TATATTCCGTAGTATAGGCTATTTAGTAATACTTCTTACCTTCTCTTTCTCTATACTAAACCCTTCCTTAGTAATTATATATCCTAGGAATCCGGTTTCCTATATATAGAACTTATATTTAGATAGCTTAAGGTAGACCTTAGCGTCTAATAATCGTCTTAATACTATCTTATTATATTTAATATATTCCTCTAGGGTTCGTGAGAATACTAGGATATCGTCTAAGTAGGCGATAACGAATATATTAAGGTATTCCTTTAGTATATCTATAATAAATTATTAGAATAATACTAGTATATCGGTAAGCCTAAATAGTATTACTAAGTATTCGAATAGACTATAGTAGTATCTAAATACTATCTTCTATTCGTCTCCTTCCGTAATTCTAATTCGGTTATACGCGTTAGCTACGTCGTATTTCGTAAAGTATTTTATACCTACGAGTATATCTTAGATCTCTTAAATTAGTAGTAATAGGTATCGATCTTTCTTCGTAACTCTATTAAGTTATCGGTAGTCTATATATAGTCGTAGCGATCTATCCTTCTTTTTAACGAATAAGATAGGAGATCTAGCTAATAATTTCGATAGTCGAATATAACCTTTTCTTAGGTTTTTATCGATATATTCCTTTAGCGTCTATCGCTCTTTCTCGGATAACTAGTATATTTTTAAATATCGTAGTTTCGTGTTAGGTACCGTAAGTCTAATTTTATAGTTAAATAGTCCTCTCTCTAGTAGCTTACCCTCTAGTAGTAGCTCGAAGATTATTCTAAATTCTTTATATTCTACTAGTATAATCGGTTCCTTCTTAGTCGTATATAAGGCCTTCGATTCGTAGTCGATTATAACGTAGTCTCGTAGTTTATTATCTATTATATTAGGTCTCTATTCTATTATAAGGAATACGCTAATATTTATTATATTATATTTCCCCTATACTCTACCCCTAGGCTAAGATTCACCTTTCTCCGAATAGGGATCTTAATAGGTACCTACTTTCCCTAGGCTAGGTCCTTTCTATTTCTTCTTTTACTATTATTACTCCTCTTAGGAGACTCCCGACTAGATCTAGCTAGTCCTATAATATTCGTAGTTATTAAAATCGATTACTTTAGTATTCTAATCTATAGTAGGGTTATATTTCCTTAACTATAGTATCCCTAGAACGATATTATACTTTCTAACTAAGGTAATATCGAAGTTAATTATTTCTAGGTATTATCCGATAATTATTATTATAGGTCTACTCTTATTCTTAATTAGTAAGCCTAGTCTTTCTCTATTAAGACCTACTATCGGTATAAGGTCTCGTTTCCTAATCGTGTTAATATTATTTTACTAGTAGTATTTTAGGCTTATAAAGTTTCCTACTACTCCCGAGTCTATTATAACTCTTATAGTTTAGTAGTTTAGGTTTACTTCGATAACCTAATATTTACCCTATATTATAGCTACTAGTTACTATATTTTTATCCTCCGGTTTCCTATCTAGAGTCCTATAAATTCTCCTTTCTATTATAGCTTGCTTATCTATATATAGGGTTTAGGTTCGATACCTAAGTCGAGTTTTCCCTATATATAGATCCTATAGTTATCGTCGTAATACCCTATTATCGCTTATTCGTAGTACTTTAGGTGTTAAGTATACCTAATATATATATATTTAGGGTTAGTATATAGGTATCCCTTTAGATAACGCGCTATAAGTTTATCGGCTATCTATCGTAGGTTTTTAATCTTATCTCTAATACCGGTAATACTTTCTAAGGCTACTTACCTAACGTTATCCTTACTTTCTTTATCGAGTATTCGCTATACTTATAGCTTGAACTCTTTAAGACTTATATTATCTTCTTCGCTTATTTCGTTAGCGGTTATAGGGAATTCTTAAGGTATCTCTAGGATTTCTAGTAGCGTAGAGTACGTTAGAGATTTTAATATCTATTCGTACTCCTTAATCTCTTCCCTCTTACTATCTATAGGGCTACTATTCTTCGTAGTAAGATATTAAGCTTAGCTTTAGCTCTCTACACTATCCTCTTTAATAGATAGGAATTATTTCTTTATCTCTTCGCTTATAAGGGCTTCTTCTCGCTCTAGTAGTATTCGTCGTCTTAGTTTTCTCTTCGTTACTTATCGTAGCGTTGTAGGTCCTAAGTACCTAAATAGCTAGTTAAAGTCTAGATCTTATAGCGTTATAGTGACCTATATCTTAGGTACCTCGATATTCTTATTAAGTATTTACTTAATCTATTATTTAGTCTACGCCTATTAGGCGTTCTCTCGTGCTAGTTCTATAATTTCCTTTATCTTACTAGGATCTAGGCTAGTTCCGCCTTAAAGTATTCTCTCTTATTACTCTAGTATTAACTTCTTAAAGAGTCGTTCGTATTAGGTTATAGGTCGAAACTCTTCCTAACTCTATTCGTATTCTTAGGTAGTAATCTACTACTATCTCTAATCTTTATTACTTATAGCTTAGAGTTCCTATACTCGGATACCTATAGTATCGTATCTGCCTCGATTATCGGATATCGCTCTTAGCTATTAGGTCCTCTTCTAGCCCTAATACTAATTCTCTTTCGGCTTATTACCTTATCTACGCTATTCTTAGTAGTCCTTAATATAGTATCCTAGTTTTCTATATTTAAAGTATAGGTTTTTCTCTTTCCTTTCTACTTATTCTCTACTTAGGAGTCTCGCTATATCGAGCTCTATTAGTCGTAGTCTATAGAGGTCTTCCCTCTTTAGCCTATATAACTATTAGTAACTTAGTCTACCCTAACCTTATCTCTATATATCGATATCTCGTTTCTACGCTTATCGGTTATAATATTAATTATTAATCCTAATAGCGGCTTCGATTAATTTATTTAAGTTCTCGATAGGGTCTATTCGTACTAGTTCGTCTTTAACGTATAATTTAAGTCTATTATTATAGTATAGAATAAGTACGTAGTCGTCCTATCCTAGCACTACTACGTACTATATAAATTTAGCTATATAGGCTAAGGTCGAATTAATTTATCGTAGTTTTCTTAGTTTTCGTTCGGCGGCTTTCTTTATATTAATATCGCTAAATATCTTCTCGAGATATTTTTTAAACTAGGCGTAGTAGGAGAATATCGTTATAGTAGTTCCTATCTACTCGCTCCTATCCTTCTTATAATATTCTCTTACGTATAGCTCGATCTACTCCTAGGCCTTCCTCTTAAGGTAAGTTAATATAAAAATTACCTTACTAGGTTCTATAGGCAGCTTCCCTTTATTTATATAGATATATATATCTATCTATATTAGGAACCCCTGTAACTTAGTATAGTCTCTATTAAATAGTTCCGCTTTAGGAAGTATAAGAGTTACGTTAGCAGCGCCTAGTAGTACTAGTACTATAACTTACGTATCGAGCTATTCGAGGTAATCTTTAGTATTAGCCCCGAAAGCGTTTAGTTATTCTATAAGGATCTTAATACTTTTCTTAAGCTAGGCAATCTATTCGTCTCGCTTATTATCCGAGTCTAGGTCTAGCACCCGTAACTAGGTAGTCGGTAGCACTAGTGCCTTCTTATTATAACTATCTACTAGAGCTATAATACTTAAATCACGGTTTAATAGATAGGGCGTTAATTATATTACGCGCTACTAACTAGTTAATGTAAAATATATATTATCGTAACGTACCTCTTTTATAACTCCGACGATCTATCTCGTAATCGTACTATTGCCTGCTCTAGCCTTATATAGACTCGGATCTATAGAGTAGACTAAAGACGTATATAGTTAAAGGGCGCCTAGTCAGTCGACTAAGTAGTTATATAATAACTACTAAGCGTTCCTTCTAGTTAGAGTATATCCTTATATTATACCGTGAGAGTATCACGTCTCTTAAAGATAGTCGAATGTCTAGTCTAATTATAAGTAATAAATATAACTCGTAGTAACTATAAGTAACAATAGATAAATCAACGCGAAGAACTAAATATATATAGGTGAATAAGTGTCCTTATATATCCAGTCCTTCATATCCTAGGATATACTCGGTTCATATCCTAGGCTATGTTCCGATCATAGCCCTGGCTATAATATCACGTGACCTTAGGTGTTACTGCCTAAGTCCGTTCCTGCTTATTGTAAGCAAGATCTCTCGACACCGCCTTGTTGCAGAATCCATTAGTTCAGGCGTGTCCATTTTTAGCATCCTAGGGGTGGGGTCTGTAACACTTTGCTTACCTCTGTTATATATAGGCTACATCAGACCGTATATTATAATATAATCTATTGTCTTTGCTTTAGTTATATAGGAAAGTGTTGAAGCTTGTACATAAATTAAGGATTATAGAGAGATCCATGATAGCAAGAAATAGTGTTTTGCTTTCCTTACTTGACGTTTATCTTCCTACCTAGTCGACAGGCTTTCTACCCTGTACAAGTAGTTATTCTCTAACACTAGACCATAATAGTAAGTAGATCTATATTCTATTATCTAGTAGGATATTATAACCAAGTCCGATTTTTGGAAATTTCAAATAGATATCATATAGGCTATAATAATCAGATTCCAAAAGGAGACTCATGTAAGAATACCTCGAGAATTCTCTGTTAATTGTTACTACTTTTATTCTGATAAGATGATTTTGAAGGGTATAGTTTAGGTCACATTTTGCTCTATATATCATAGAACTTTGATTGATTGAGTGAATGAAGCAATATAGTCCGAGTATCTACTTCCCATGCTAGACGATCAAAAGGCAGGATAAATGTCTCAAGAAAAGTTATTGCACGGGTTCAAAAGATGTGCCACCGGCACGACATGTCCTAGAAGCAAAGTTTCCGGGTGCCTTGCTCCCAAAGAAACTCGAAGTAATTCTGTAGTGGTGTGATCCTGGCTAAAAAGGTATGTGATGATGGTATTTTTGAGCAATTTCCGCAATTTTGGGCAGCAAGGACAAGAAAAGGTTCTGGCTGGTCGATTGCAATAGCAGTCTGGTTTGTATCCGTTAAGATTCGTGTTGGGTCAAGAATTCCGCGCTAAATGGGTAGTCGAGATATCCAGTCTTTGACAGTGTACTATAGAAGGACTTTCTGTTGTACGCCTGCAGACTGATGCCAGTCTTCACTCGAAGGGCTAGGTCGGGGTTGGACACAAAATATCGACCGAAAGCCACCGCGATCAGAGGGTATCTTTCAAAGATCGTGTCGACCAGCTCACAAGCGGTGGAGGCATTGTATCCTCCGGCAAGAATGACAGGTTTGGATGGCCCCCACACTCGCACCAGGCTTTTATGGTGTGGGTCTGGATGCGATTTGGTCTCGTCTAGCCATCGGGAATTGGCGAGGTGGAGGTATGCGATGTCCATTTGCCGGAGCTCTCTCACGAGATATTCGAACTGGGGCATAAGATCGCTCATGGTACCCATTCCCATGTATTGACTCCACGGGGATAGCTTTATTCCAACATGATCGGCCCCGATGGCTTCGATGATGGCCTGCGTAATTTCGAGTGCAAAGCGTGCACGATTGGGAATACTACCGCCCCATTCATCCATACGCTGGTTGCAAGAAGCCTGCGTGAATTGGTCGACGAGGTAGCCATTTGCGCCATGAATTTCGACTCCGTCAAACCCTGCATCTATCGCATTTCGGGACGCTTTGGCGAAATCGGAAATGTATTCCTCAATCTCTTGTCCCGAAAGCTCGCGCGGCTGTGCTGCTCCGGGCTCAAGTGGCACAGCGCTACTCGAGACTAATTCCAAACCCTTAGCCTCTAACACACTCGTTTCCGCTCCTCGACCAGTAGCCCACAGCTGACAGAATATATAAGATTGTTTCGCGTGCACTACATCTGTAACCTGCCGCCATGCTTTGATTTGGGCCTCGCTCCAAATTCCTGGAACGTGCGCTTCACCATTGGCTTGAGGACTGACGTCCGTTGCCTCTGAAATCAGTAGCGTCCCGGGCATACACGCTCGCTGCTCGTAATAATCCTTCACGAATGGTAATATAACTCCATTCTCATCCGCACGGTATCGGGTCATCGGTGCTAAAACTACCCGCTGTTGAAGCCAATGCGACCCGATTGGCATGGGTTTGAACAGCCTGGATGCGGTGGATTCTCGTGTCATTGTGGCGCTGGTCCTCGAAATAGCCAATAAAGAAAATTCAAAGAAGGGGAACTGTTTTCTCACGATAGAATCAAGCTTCTTAAACTTAAATCCGCTCCCTTGATTGTTAACCATATTACATGTTTCCAACATACTCTCGAAGTCGCCCTGATCGGGGTGCCAAGACAATTTTCCTAGATTTGCGATCACCATGACACAGGAAATTGTCACTGCTTAGCCTTTGTATCGGATGCACACCCCGATGTTAATGTTGAACGAACAAAGAAACACGCTATGACATTGAATTAAAAAACAAAGGAAAAGGAGGACAAAAGAGGAAAATGTCACTGGTCAGCCCTTGCATCGGGTGCACGACCGGATGTTGATGTTGAACGAAGAAAGAAACATGGTATGACATTGAAATAAAAACAAAATAAAAACGGTGGGTTAAGTGGTTTCCATAAACAGTTAGTGCATGAATTCTCGGGGCAAAAATCAAGGCATCGCATTAGAAGAAAAGAAAAGTCTGGATCCGTTAATCTTATCGGAAACGCCATGATGAGAATACAGAGGAATGTCCATGGCTGGCAAAAGAAGAAGTAATATTTCGATACGATCCTATCCTTCACAAAGCCATACTCAAAAGCTTATGTTTTACTTCCGTGAGATTTCAACATGTTCTATGCAGTTTGAGGAGCCATAATAATGCCTAATTCAGTGATCAAATTTTGCAATCCAAGGAAGTCAGAGATGCCTATCCTGCAAGTTCTGTCCATTTATCTGCTAGTGATGTTATTCAACCGATGTTATGAATTTCCAACCTCTTTGATTATTCCAATAAAAACACTCTATTTATCTTACCCAAGATTCTCAAACGAATCGTCCCTCAAAAAGCCTATTTATTAAGATAAGCGGAATCCAAGAACCGAAAAAAGGAAAACCGAAATAAAAGTCGTAGCCCCTAGTATTCGCCTGGCACTCTGAAGGTGAAGAAGCGAAATACACCAATTTCTTTGACTTCAGTGCTCTCCAGGCCTGCCTTTTTCGCTTGTTGAACTAATTCATCCGCCTTCCATATTTTAGACTTCGTCTTGTACTCCACCACCTCCAAGATAGTCTCTTTGCCCTGACTGTCTTTGGTGACCACCTTCGCCGTCAAATTCTCGAAGTAATAACCATCTTCAAAATGGTTGTCCGACTTAAGCTCTTGAATCGTGAATGGAATAATGCCCTTCTTGCACAGCTCCTCCGTCTCCTTGAAACCGCCTTCATAGTCGGCTTCGGGTAGAGAGGGGTCGTATTTCGCTTCCGGTTGCTCACTGTAATCATAGACTTCAAGAAATACTCTTCCGGTGCCTGGGCGCAAGAAGAGGGCAACTTGAGAAAAGAATTTATCGATTCCCTCGAGTTCTTTAAGAAGACTGAAGCCCCCATCCGCAAAAATGAGGAGGTCCACTTGGTGTTGCAATCCGCTAAGTTCTGGACGAGCAAGCAGATCCGTGGCATCTCCAAGCACCCACTCGACAGATTCAGCACTCCCCAGTTCCGAGGTCCTTTTTTCAGCACGCAGTAGCATCTGCTGCGAGATATCGATGCCAATGAGTCTGGCATTCGATAGATCCTGGCCTCTTTCTAGCGCACAGTGCGCCAGTCCCCGTAATGTTCCGCCAGTGCCGGTTCCCAGGTCCAACACGACCATTGGCATAACTTTTGATGAGCTCAACGAGGCCTTCTGGCCCAGAGATTCTTCATAAACACTCCAGATCTCCATGTCCTCCGTACAACCTCGATACTTATCGCATGAAGCCTCGACATATTGAGAAACATGAATGGAATCATAAAAGTTGTTTGTGGGAATTTCTTTAAAGTCTATGTCGAATATTATATTTCCACCAGCAAGGTGAATTATACGAGGCAGGTATCGAAAATATATAGCTTATGAATATTTGAATATGAAATACGTGTTCAGCCTGCTTGAATTTATAGCTGCGTGTCTTGCAAACTTATCTACCAATTCTCCAAAAAACAATCGTGCCAAGGATTCAAAATACCTTCGTCATAAGAAAAGCAAATTATGTGAGTTGCTGCTTCTGGTATATCGCTACACAAGTTCGAGTACAAGGGCCCGTTCGTGGATAAAGTATTTGCTCTCCATGGTACGGATGGTAAAGAATTCCTGCAACTTCACCCAAACAGAGTCATGGAACGACGAACACACAATTTTGATATGCTTTATGTTATAGGAATCGCTCATTACACTAAAAGTTTAGAATGATTGCAGTTTGCAACATGGGACTAAAAGGACCAAGAAGTAATTTAACTATTGTGAGATCAATACTGAGAATGCGGCGTAGCTTAGCAGCAAGCATAAGCCTCCAACTAGAACGCTGTTATCTGAACATTCTCATATGAGCCAGGCTTTCTTCATCATTATAAGGATCAAAGTCAGACCAAGAAATCACTGGACCACCACCACCCAAATTTCATTCGAACATGTTTTCAGGTAGCATAGAAAGCTCACTGACAACGGTCTTCATCTTCGAAAGCTAACCCAAGCTATTCACGTATATACATGGAATACTTCGGAAACAATTTCCCACTTTTCATCCACCTTAATAAGCGAAAAAAAGTTTGTATTCTGAGATGCCGGAGTTTCAGTGTCAAACTCACACTTGACAACTGCGGTAGTCGGTGTTCTCCCAATCACGCTCAAATGGGCCACAACATTGGTAGGTGGCTTTCGAGCTTTGAAGTAGTCAACAGCAATATTGATCGAGCCTTCTTGCATAGCTCCATCGCCAAGTCCATAAATATTTGCCGTGTCTCGGAAGCAAGTGATTAAAAGAGTAGTGTCACCGCTTCGTATGGCTTCAAGGTAAAGCTCAACTGGCTTTATAATCCCGTCATCATGTGCGGAGATGATCCGGTTGATTGATTTCGACATTTCACAAGAGAATGTAAATGAAAAGAAAGCTGGGAGTAAAATATTAAATTGGGATGCAGGAGCAGGGGTAATTCTCGGTATGGAGAATCACCGTTCACACAAGTGATGGGTGAAAAGAAGTATAATTGGCAGTGTCTCGAGTGCCCAGGATCCTGTGATCTTAAGGCCTATATATTGCGCTGCGGAGATTTGTTTATTCTAGCCTCTGGGCCTCTATTCGAAGGTACATGAAGCTAGATAAAAATCATTCTGGAAAAGCAAGTCTTTCTTTATCCTCATGCGCACGAGTGTAACGTATGATTTTCTTTTCCTTATTTTTATCACACTTTAAACACTACTAGTGATAATGGTGGCAGTTTATAGAAAAGTCTTGTTTTTTTCAGTATACATTACTGAGAAAAACAACGAAGGCACAGTCACGGTACATGATCATGATGACCCTAACATAGGGGCTGACTATGGCCACAAAACAGAATGGAATGTCCGAAGGAGTTTTCCTCGCACATCTCAATTATAATTCAATTTTCTACAGAATGAAGCTCTTGTCAAATGAATCTTATGTAGTTACATATTTCTATACCCCTAGGACGTAATGGATTAAGCAATACCATGGTGCAACTCTCCACATCTAGACGAAGAGAAAGAAAACATAATACTGCGTCGTGAGCAATAGCACAGATGATCTCTGTGAGATGGGAGTGTTCATTGATGGAGGAAGGAGACTCAGATGGCACTATCTTACATGGGGGCCGCAGGCCGCAGGCCATTTGAGCAACAGTAAGATCAATAAATCGTGCTCGTTAATTGATAACAGGTGTTATTTTTTCTTATCTAGACAAGCTAACTAATAAGGTATACGGAAGATAAAACCCCAGGTGGGATAGAGAAAAGCAGGGGTGCTAATTATTAATTGAAAACGGGCGCTCGTAGGCAAGCTTGATGAAACAAGCAAGATAAGATTATATCGGCAAAAATGGGAGAAAAAAGGTCAGTCGGCAAAATACAGCCGATGTTATATTCTGAGTGCTCACTCGGAGCAACGCTATATCCCGAATGACTGTGTGTGCTGCAATGAGCAGGCAAACTAGAGAACTATATATTTGAAAACAAGAGTAAATTAAGGAAGACTTTGAGCTTCAAGTTCTTGGATATCTCATACTTCTGCAAAACTTTAAGCAGAGTTAATTGAAAACCACATCGAAGAAGGATTTTCTTCTTGACTTTACCCATGAATTTCTATTTGGACTTTGCTACCTTTCATTCGTGACTTATCTTAGGTACCTCCCAAAGAAGAAGATAAGATCGCGTTTAGCCTCTGTCTGGAGCCAGTGATTTCGCTACACATTTTACTATCCCCGGTAGAATGTTATATCAAATTTGATATTGGCCAAAATCCGACCTTCAAGAAATCACAAGTAGTAGCCAATGTGGTCATCTGTAGAAAGGCGAATATCCATCCCATGCCAAATTATTCTAGAACCATGCCTTTTCCCAATCAGCTTACTTGCTTAACGCATTATTTTCGATAGGGACAGAAGATAGGCTATTGAAACAGGGCAAACGATAATCGATAAGCAATTTTATATTAAAAAAATCCATTTTCGAATCCATGTATTTCTATACTAGCTCGTTATCTGGTGAACGGGAAACACTCCGTCACCTCCCGAAATCCAAATACTCACTTGGCTAAGCACTTCTGATTGCCTTTGACGTCTTAATCAGCCAATGCCTTTTCTCTCTTTAGTCATGGTTTCCAAGCCTTTGTCAGGAGGCTCCTCATGGAGAGTGGCTTTATGTCAGGGAAAATAGCATTGAGGCGTTTATCACGGGGCAATTCGAAGTGACCAGTGATAAGCAGCTTATTGGTATAGCCATCAATCCATTCGGCTGTTTCATCGTCATAAATGAGCCCCAATGTCCGGGGAGGCTTTTCATCTCCGGTCTTATTCAGATCATCATAGGCAATCTCAAAGTCAATCCCTTTGCAAGAACAACTCGCACTCATGTTAGTCATATAGGAATTTCATGTTTAATCTCACGGCTCGAGCCCCACGTACCACGGATCTCTTCTCCTAAACGCACCAATTGACCAAGTGTGATATCGTCACCTCCAATGTAGCTACACTTTGGCCATTCCTCAACATCCAATAATCGCACCACGAATTTGGCCATATCGTACGAGTAGGTCATTGTAATGATATTATTACCATCTCCTGGGATGAGTGCTTTGCCGTTGGCTATGTCAACAGCGTAAACAAGCGGTTCCAGGTGAGTACGAATTTTTGGCATTGCCCAGTAGTCCATAAAATAACCAGGAAAAATTCTGGTGTATTGCAAGCTGGAATCTTCGAGTGCTTGAACTGCATCGAGAAAGAATTGGACCGTGTAATTCAAGTCCAAATATCTGTATCAAGAATAAGCCAGCAGCATATTTTGGGGATTTTGAAAATTAGGGTTGATTTACTCTTCGCCTTGAGGAAGTGAATACTCGCTCGGGATGAATCTCCTTGTAGTAGGGGATTGATCGGAAGATTTGATTAGGTTGACCTGGGCCCGACTTGCCTCCTGAGAGAGTAAGCCAATAGTGCAGATAACGGTGCGAACATCGTGTTTTTCAAGCTGGGCAGCAGTAGCGGAGACATCATCGTAGTCTACCTGCAATTGCTTGAATTTGTCCAGCAGCGAGTTTGATTTGGGTGACTGTGACTCTTAGCCATAGTGCATTCTTCTGATGGGGAGCATATATTACCCGTGTCAAAATAATTATCTGAGACTGATACTGAGGGTACTCAAGGAAAGTTTCCAGTATGGTCTTGCCGACAGCGCCGGCGCCTGCAATGGCAATAGTCATCGTCGATCCGAAGAAATGTGGGATAATCTTAAATGTAATATTCAAAGCTATCACGGGCGTTATTGATGGAAAAAGGTGAACAGGTCAGGTCCGAGGCAGATTTACGATCATCTTAATATACTGGATTGAACAGGGCCTATGGCGCTCCAATATGCCGAGGAAACTATTACGGTATTAAATTCGCAAAGAATGGCAAATATTTAGTTTTGCTGGACTGGATCCTTATAGCCTTATTAGTCGCACACATATTCAAAAATATGCAAAATGGTAATTGGTTCTTCCAATTATTTGCCGCCCATTTGAGACCGTCCAGGAGGGTTCAAATTTTTGGAGGTAGACATCAAAATTCTCCGGTTTAAGCACTTAAAAGTGGATATTCGGCTCCAGATCTCTACTAAGTTTAATGGAAAAGAATTCATCTATTTGAAAGATAAACACTTGGTCAGCTGAGTCGTGTGACGCTATACAAGCTTCACCTAACCACACGATAATCGCAGCCTGCGGTTGCCATCATCTTGATCTCCGAGAAATTTCAAAGTTAGGAAAGAACGAAAGAAAAACAAAAAAAAGAAAAGATGAATACAAAAAAAAAAACTTCAAAGACTTAGAACTTGAATTCTGGTATGAAAAAATGAGAAATGCCCCAACTGTGGCTATTGAAACCGAGGATCTACCGAAGAAGGTGTGTGCAATAAGTGATCATCGCGAAGGAGTCGTAATAACCTGCATAGCCTCATCAATTCCACCCGTTCTCCTTTCTTGATGAACACACCCACGTGTAAGTTACGCTACCCAACCTAAACCCTAGCAATCACTATCATGCCAGCAATGCCTCCCATCTGAAATAAGCCTTTATCAATTGACAGCTATACGCTAGGATTCGAGAGGACGAATCAAAAATACGTTTATGATATTTTCATTTGAAGTGATTTCTAGACTATTCGCCTTATTAATGAAAATACAGGAGTTCAGATGAAATGCATAATTTTCCCGGCCTTGAATCCGCAGAAAATGATAGACCATGAACGTGCGAGTATGTCAATATATTGAAGTTTAAAGAGTTACTACGAATCTTGTGTTGCCGCAACACAGGGAGCAACGTAACACCTATGTTCCACCGATCTGCAAACCTCTGATATGATAAGGCACCCATGATGTCAGTCTTGTCTAGAGTTCCTCCCCATAAAAAATTAGGTCTCAGAAGAATCATTTCTTGCAACTGCTAAACTACCTCTCTTGGGTTTTCGAGCCAATTCGACCATAATCAACATGGTAGAATATTACAATTTTGTTTCGAATTCGACCTCCCCTTATGGTGTCCTCAAAAGCTTATTCTATACAATATGTTCTTTAGCATTTTTAATTCTTGTGTCTGACTTGTTATATGGGCTGAATCGAAGAAAGGCATTGTCAGGAATGCCAATTATAACCGAAGGGAGCTTGCTAAGTCCTCGGCTACGGTGGAAAAATACTCAGTCAGATGATCATCATTTCTTGAAACAGCTGAAATATTATTACTACAAGGTTAGTAATAACTATAGTCTTTGATATAGGATACTTCTGATTCTCATGATTTGTGGGTAGTATACCAAAAACGGCAAACCATTTGCGGTACAAAGAAACGGCACTGATAGGATAGTGCTTCCAGTTCAGTGTGGCAAAGAATATGGACATCTACCCAACGAGAGTTTGAGCTTTATGAAATCAGTTGCTCAGGTAATCTCTATGTTCCTTAATTTCTTGCCAAAGACAAGCTAATCATTGTTCTCAGGATATGCATACAAAAGATATTGTAGATTTGGAATGGAAAGTGCCAATCGAATCCATTCACGCCTCCAGCCGGCGGGTCCCTATGGGTAGGCAATATTCTGCGTGTCCAAAAACTGAATATCTTACTCAGTGTATTTCATCTATCAGAGAAGATTCTCCGTGTGACTAGTCATACGTTTGATAATATAAAATCCCGATATTTTGACCAAATGGGAGATGATGGTTAGTAGTGCCACCAATCGCTTGATCGAAATTGTTTTTTTGCTCATACCATAGACAGGATGGAATACGTGCAAAGTTCTAGAGTCATTCCTGGCGCTATCGGCTGGAATCCATACGGCAACGATATTCAAAGAAGGGCTAGAGGAAGATGCTGATTTTTGTGAAGCACTGTTAACCTATGGAGATGAAATCGCAATGCATATGGACCTAAAAGAAAGCTACCCTCGAGTTCTGGGACCGTTAGTCTGGTATCTAGCGCCGCAGACTCGTGCTTTACGATCAACAATCGCCAAAATTCGGGACAAATTGATTCCTCTCATTCAAGCACGTATTGTTGACAAACGAGCATCTTTGAAGGGGATTGAGAACACAATTCTGGATATCATTATTGACCAATGCTTTCGAAAAGGCCACCTTAACCCCTCTCGTGTGCTTTCCACTGATAATCAGACCGCAAGACTGATTGCAGATGAGACGATGTTCCTCCACCTCGAGGCTTTTTTCCCCATTGCGATGCTTGCAGCAGATCAAATCATGCGGGTTATGGCCCACCCCGAATATGCTGAGCCCCTAAGAGCTGAGCTAACTGCAGCATTTGCATTGACCGGTGGGGACTGGAGCTCCGAAATTTGGAAGCATACACCCAAATTGGAAAGTTTCACCCGCGAATGCTTGCGCTTAGATACCCCTAATCTCTGTAAGCTCGATCGGTACCATAAAACTGATAATATTCAGTGTTTGGCTTACAATGACTTCTAGTTACTGGAACTAGAAACGTCGGAAACCAACCATTGAATCTGGCTTCTATAGGGTTAACACTCAATCCTGGGGCACGTGTTTCACTGCCAAGTCGAGACCATCATCATGATCCTGAGATATACAAAGACCCGGAAAGCTTCGATGGATATCGCTTCTATGACAAAGTGTCGCGTACAACAGATCCTCACGGTTCGACAACTATTTCAGATTCCTGGATCATATTTGGTCTCGGGCGCTCAGTCTGCCCAGCCCGAGTAATGGCGCTAAGGATGGCTCAGATCATGTTTTCAAAAGTTCTATTAGCTTATGATATCAAACCTGAAGCCGGTGACAGATGCGAGTACCCCTCACAAACACTTATGGGTGTGGATGCCGTTCCCAATACAGAATTCAAAATGCGTGTCAGGCCGCGTGCTTTGATGGCAACTGATTAGACTATACAATGCTTTACATCTGACATGCATGTGAAGATGAGATTTTTGGAGTTTTTGACGGAATATATGGGATTTGTGGTACTTGGAAACGTTTGCAATCAACTGATGGACGGCACTGCACTTGATTTAGCGATACTACCAGTCCTCCGGCAATCAACGACTCGGATGGGCATCGAAAGGACTCGACACACGCGAGAATTGTGCAAACCTCTCCTCTACCTCTCTTTGTATATCTCGGGCGATCAAGATAGTATCTCATTCGGCTTTCTGTTGGTGGATTCGGCGCTTCACTCCCCTGGCTACCTGGTCAGAACTAATCAGGTAGCTAGATGAGCTCTCAGGTTATTAGAAAGATAGAAAAACATAATATAAAGGTATTTTAGAAATGTAGACATTATCTCATGGGGATTTCCCAAATAGTAAGCAAAGTAGTTGAAAGGGGTTTTGGGTGTAGTGGTTTATGTGGGGGAAAAGTTGGGTTTAGCCTGTTCATACCGGCTCGATTACCCAACGATTCTTTATAGATTTAGGATAGCAATAATAGCCAAATTGAACCATTAGTCATGACCTTGTCACCCCATTTCACGGTACCGAGGAACCGAAACACCGGCTCTCCGAACGAGCGTTTGTGGACCAGGCGCCAAGATCGTGTTGGGCACATCGCGGGGGGAACGGGGGGCGGGAGCGTTCGAAATCCGGAGGTAGACGGCGCTGGAGAACATCAATGCGATCCTCTCGGGCACAAGCATTCGCGATCTACGGAGGAGTTGATCCGACGGTGCAGTAGTCTGGCCCCCGGTCGCGCAGACTGATGGCGAGATAAGCGGGAGGGGAGGGCCGGTCAAGTGGAGCTGCAGCAAACAAGCGCCTGCTTGACGCACCACCCCTCCTTGCAAGGAGACTGACAGGCTAACGCAACCCCCAACCACGACCTGCAAGTTCTGATCGGAATGGTTTGTTTCAGTAAGCCACACGTTTCATGAAACCAGCGTCCATCCTCCATAAGAGATGTTAAATGGAGGCACTTCCATCTACGTTTCATCTTCATTCAACTGCATGGTATATCATATTCTCAGGTTGACTCTCGCCCCTAATTCTAGTGATCTATTCTTGACCAATCACCCATAATTCTTGGATATTCGGTTTCCGCCATTCGGTCTATACATCTGATTGATACTTCTAATCTATATCTCGGGAAACTTCGTGTCGACAAGCAATGGCCGACGAGGGATTCTCAGAATTTCCGTGGCTGCTAGACAGAATCTACTACTGCTTTTCACCCAGTCATTCTATGTAAAACTGTACAACATCGTTAAGAGCATTCTCAAAGGAGCAAAACTCAAACCCCAGAATCTTCTCAGTTTCACTCGAATCATATGACATAGGAAGTGTTGGTAAAAGGCCCCGCTTAAGCACGCCATCTGCTACCTCCTGCAGGAAGTTCCTCTCTACCAGACCCCAGGAATCATCAAAGTTGACCATTTTACAGGCACCAAAGTTACTAGGAGTTTCGGGCGTAGGCTGGAGGTCTAGAACCTTCATAAAGATCCCAGCTCAAGTCATCAGTGTGAACATAGCCACCGTGAATCGGAGCTGGGCAATCAATCCCAGTCAAACTGCGCAATAGGATTCCAGGTGAGCTCTTCTTGTTTACCGCAGTTTCGGCATCTAATACTAATTCATCACGGCCGAAAATATATCCAGGGACGATTGTAGCAATGGAAAAATGTTGCCTCTTTTCCTTTACAAATGAGTCGATGTTGTTGATTTCAGTAATCTTGCCTAGAATATAGGCCTCGAACTCATTGCTAAAACCCTAAACCCTAAAGGAGTTTCAGCCCCAACATGTGACATGGGAACTCAGGTAACATCTTTCGTCCCCAAAATTTGAATTATACACGTACGTAACACATGTGGGCCCTGGCTACAGGCCAACCTCCATCCGAGTTTTGCCTGGCAGCCACAAACCCCAAAAAGAATTATCACCATAGAAATTACGATTTATCTTGGAATCTCTGTAGCTAATAATTGTCTACTGTAGTGGGGTTTCAGGTGCAACTTGAAGGTTATTATGTGATTGGTCCATTTGATAATGCAATATCACTCCTACGCTCTTCTCCTGAATTTGCCTCCATTGCTTCATCGGACTCAGAGCCTCGGTGCTTTTTCCTGTGGGATGTGTGTATTTCTGGGTGTTGGCTTGTTTGTATTATCTCGTTCTGCCTGTTCCATCAGGCTTGTCTAGATGTGCTGCGCTTTAATCGGTAGATATACGTATATATCTAGAGGATAGGGAGTGGTTGGAGGACAGGGGTTTGAAAACCTATGAATCCTTAATGTAACAACAACTGCTTAATGAAGTAAAACTCCTCCTTCGAGTCCAAGCCAGGATGATATTCCGAACAAGGTTTTTCTAATCCCTCGCACCATGTGTCCCGCATTGTCGATCCCATTGAATGTCAGTCGCCCATGGGGGGTCCGTTTCCAGAACCCCTGTTCAGCAACAGTGGAAGACCAGGGCTTTGAGAGGGCCATCCGGAGGAAGCCCATCCTCTTTCACTCTAAAAATTCAATAGCCAGAAGCTGGCCCGGCGTGTTAACGGTGAAATCATCGTTCCCGTTCAGGACCAGGACCGGGATTTCGCTGCTTTTCAGGATAGAGGTCCACTTGTCAGTAGCCGCGAGAAAAATGGACCCACTTTTCTGGAAGGCTGTGTTCAGCTCCAGATTGACGTTGCTAGAGCAAAGGATTTGAGGTAGATAGTTTGGCTGGCCTTTTCGGGAATCCAGCAGAACGGGAATACGGAGCACGGTAGGCGGACTATTGATTCACTGTCAGTCAGGGGCTATCAAGAGAAAAAAAGGTGGGAAGTCATTTGCTTACTATTGTATGGGTTTTTGGTTCCTGCAATGGCCTCAAGATAAAGATAGTAGTCGACATGCATCATTCTGAATAGCTGTGCCGGCTCGCAAACTTGAGCGTCGCGGGTCTCGCGACAATGGCGGCCGAGCCTACTGCACTCGGACATCGACTGCGCCCTCCTCATCTGAGCTGACGAGCGGCGTTCCTGGTACGACTGAGGCAAAGTTCGTGCCTGCAGATTGGTCCAAGAAGAGCACGGAAGCGCTTGTGTCCCAAGAACAGTGGTTGCTTCTTGTTGCATTGGCCGGGGTTTATCGTGGGGGCAGCGTGGTCCAATGTTCAATGTCCAAATGGCAAGGGGAAGGGAAATCGGGTGACGGAAACGCTTCCTACTCCTGCGGCAGATCGAGCAACAATCACGATTGCGGCTGACAGGCATATGAGATGTGAGAAAAGAGGAGAACATAGTCTTGGAGAGAGAGAGAAAGAAAGGGACCGAGAAAGAGCGTCTTATCTTCTTACTGGAGCGCTAACAGCTGCCCGAGTCAGTTACAAGCCACAGCCGCCTATCGCCCTTTAAAGCGAATTAAAAGCAGGGGAGGGGTGATGACTAGACCTATTCCCCTATTTCACTTCCTCATTATCTATTTCGCCGTATACTTCGATTTTGGTACATATTTTGGTATCTATATATTAGCTCGCAATTGAGAGGTAGCTGACTGCTCTCAACTTGCAACTTACAGCAACTCTCCCAGAGATAGAGAAGGTACAACTCTCCAAGTCAATCAAAATATGTGCCTTGAAAGACTTGGGATAACCGTCACTTACCTCTAGCGTCGGGGGCTCGTAAGTAACCCTGCAAAACAGCGGTGACTGGCCCCGTTTTCCGCACACCCTTCGCTCAGGCAATATGCAGAGGTCCGCGCTGCAATCCTAGCGGTGAACGAGGATCTATCCGCCAGAATACTTCGGGCATGGGTAACTGTAGTTCTAGCCATTGCCATCCTCAGCGCCCTCAATCAGCTGTTTCAGATGCAGAACCCACGCGGTATGTCCCCATACCTCCTTGAAACCGATGGACTGACTCTGATATCCTGCCAGTAGCCTTCCCACCCTACATCATGATTCTGCTGGCACTGCCAGGGGGCCGCCTGTGGGAGCGTATAGTCCCCAAGCGCAAGTGGACCGTCTTGGGCCACCAGTTCACGTCCAACCCGGTCCCTCTAACCCAAAGGAGCACACCGTCATCGCCTTGACCTTGATCGGAACCATGTCCTTCGACAACGGAAGTGTGGCCAGAGATTCCTGGAATGCTTTAATCTTCAACTTTGGCATCAAAGTCAACTTGGGCTTCCGCTTTCTCTTTCTCCTAGCACTTCGGCCCTCGCCATGGACTGAATCGGCAACCTGCAGAAGATTCTTGTGGACCCAGCCTACTGCATCTGGCCTCGTTGTCTGCCCTAGTGTACGATACTACACTCGCTGCATTCCGGTTTTTTTGAGAACAGGCCCGCGAGTTGCTGGAAGATCAGCCGGATGGGCTTCTTCTGGGTTGTGCTCGTGGGCATCACGATTTACCAGTTCATTCCGCTCTTTCTCTTCACGGGTCTGGAACGATTCGCTTGGATCACCTGGTACGCCCCAAGCCCCATCGTAAGAGACAGCCTTCTCATTGACATCACTCTGCCAGGATTGCTCCCAAGAATATCTTACTCAAACAGTCGTTCGGCTGAATCACAGGAATGGACCTCCTACCCACCACCTTGGATTGGAACACCATCACCGGGTATAATGACCCCCAGCTCGTTGTCCCCTCATATGCATTTGTGAATGTCCTCATCGGGTTCGTGCTCTTCCTATGGGTCGTGGGTTCAGCAATGCACTGGAGCAATGTCTGGCAGGTCTCTACATGCCATACTCCTCATTGGTCAGATTTGAAAATACTGATTTGCTTTGAAATCCCCTCGTTTCACAGAAGCATCAATGGGAGGGATTTTACGACATGGGGTGCGAAACCACCCCTGGGAACCGCCTCTTCAACTCGTATACATGTTTAATCATCTAGGATCAGGCCGTACGATGTGAGTCACTGCTCGAAGTTTGCGACAGGATTGACTATGATGTGGCCTTGTGTTCCCATGCCCTGCAGTACTGTCGCGAGTGCAGCGTCTTCTTCATTGCAGCCGCCCGTCTGAATCCCTACGACTTTTCCAAGCCCTGTGCCAATATTGCCAACTGCTACATGGATCTCCAGTGGGCGCGAGCCGACATGAACAACTCTGCCATATACCGCGCCTTCAATACACCTCCCGGTGCAACATTTCATAGTGAGGATATGGCCCTTTTCGCGAAATTCGTGGCTAGCGGCGACGTGGGCCGGGAGTTCATGGACTCAGTCTCGTACCTTCTCAACAACATATGATTCCCACTCACCTTTCCCAGCCCAAACATATGATAACCTCTATTCCTCCACACATGACCTGGAGGTACTGGTGCACGTCGGCAAAAAGGACTTGTTCTGCCACGCAGCGGGGACGCGGTACTGGCTGAAAAACATGGGAAGGAAGGGGCTCGCCGGTTTCCGTGCGTTGAGAGAGGAGCCCTGGACGGTGTATATAGAAGCAGTAGGCCGGTTCAAGAAGTGGTCACACCCAATCTTTGTCGAAGTTTTTGTCACTGGCCATATGGTGCCTATGGATAGGGGGTTAGAGGCACTTTCTTTGATGGACAGCTTCATGTTTCGGTTGCCCATCAGTTCTTGAGTACTGTGTGGATGCAAATGAGTAGGTATAGGTGTATAGTGACAAATGGTGCTATAGAAGGTGATATCTAGATTAGGGTGATGTTACCGTTACCATCTCTATGATACACCGTGACCTTTAACTAGACTATTTCCAGTGAAGATCTACTCTGGATCACAGATAGACATGTTAACACCATGATTATTAGGCCTCTCAGCACACTGGTCGGGGCTGTACCAATACCCCACTAAATAGCATATGATGTGATCCATTCTTGTGTTGTTGAGACCGTATATGGCCCTAGAGTTTTGAGGACTGTACTAAGGCTGTCCAGTCTAGTCCCACTGTTCTATAAACAAAATAAATATATAAAACCCTGTGGTGTACATTATTTTTAAGTTCTAGATACAACATCTTATATTTAGCTTTTATCAAAATTGTATAGAATACTTTGATTATACAATATTCCAGTAGAATAAGTAACATCTGTCAGAAAAATGGAAAATTTACGTTAATTATTATATTATCTCTCTTTCTTTGAGTAACTTAGTTATGTTTATCTAAAATGTAATATATTTCCAAATCTTTTTCCTAGGTAGGTGTTGAGCCAGGGCGTACATAGGGAAGCCCAATGGAATAGACAGAGCAAGATAATATTAAAAAAATATCACCTAGAACTATATATTCCCTACAAAAATATATACCAAGGCCCTAGGCTTGATATGAAAATAGAGGCTGTGTTAGTAAAAAGAGAATATAGGTAATATTCTAGATTACTAAAGATAATAACACCTAACAATTTCGGGAGCGTTGAAAACATTGGAAAGAATGAGGAAGAACATCGAATTGATAGGGTGAAGCGCTGCCCCAATGATTGAGAATGTGTTGACGGTTTTGTGTATACAGAGCTTCATAAATCATGTTGTGATAAGGATTACGGCTTCGGTGGATTCCAACCCATTTTTTTATACGCACAGCATACTTGATTATCAGCCCAGTTTCAATGTCCTCCCCCACCCCGTAGGGGTTGATAGGTACTTACTTTATCTCATGCAATAGGGGTTTAGAGTTGTACCTAAGTACCTTGCAGAATATACATCACTAGTATCAGACAAATTCAATAGCTTTTCTGTATGAATTTATCCTAGTAAACTAAGCAAACAGAACAAAAGACTTCTCATTTCATTCTTTCCTTCAGCTTACGTGCTCAAAACTAATAACTTTGATAGGGTAAGTATGCGGTAGTTACATATACCAATTTTGCACCTGGAGAAAAACATTAGAAAACCAAAGTGAGTTCCGAAACCAGAAAACAAACCTTAAGACTGGATTCAAATGGTTTTCACTGTTGTAAGAGTAATTAAAATTGCATAATTCGTCGCAATTTCCGTCGTAGTGACTCCCCACTTGCACCCTGGTCAGTTCCACTCTGATCACTTCCACTCTGATCACTTCCACTCGTGGCGGTTTCACTGCCAGCAGGCTCACTCACGGCGGGCTCACTCACGGCGGGCTCACTCACGGCGGGCTCACTCACGGCGGGCTCACTCACGGCGGGCTCACTCACGGCGGGCTCACTCACGGCGGGCTCACTCACGGCGGGCTCACTCACGGCGGGCTCACTCACGGCAGGCTCACTAACGGCAGGCTCACTGGTGGTAGTTTCACTCGTGGTAGTTTCACTCGTGGTAGTTTCACTCGTGGTAGCTTCACTCGTGGTAGTTTCACTCGTGGTAGTTTCAGTGGCGGTAGTTTCAGTAGTGGTAGTTTCACTCGAGGTAGTTTCACTCGAGGTAGTTTCACTCGAGGTAGTTTCACTCGAGGTAATTTCACTCGCGGTAGTTTCAGTAGTGGAAATATTTTCACTACAAGTGCAGTTTTCATCGTCCCATTCTTTGCAATCAGGAGGTTTATCCTTGCACTTCGCACAGTCGCAGTTCACATCATCCCATATCTCGCAATTAGGGTGTTCCGTGGAACACCCTCCTGATGATTCTGATGAGGTGGTGTCCTTGCATTTGCATGTAGTCTCGTCCCAGAACTTGCAACTGGGTGGTCTTGGTTTATCACACTCACAAACTGGACATTTTGAATTGCACCTGCAGTTCTCCCAGTCCCAGTCATCACATTGCGGTTTGCGGTTCTCGCACCAAGAACCCCGACAACTGCAATTGTTCTGGTCCCAGCCATTTTTGCAGCAATGCTTCTTTTGACATTGCGGTTTGTAGTATTTCTGGCACTCAAGTCCCTTTCCCGGCCGAGTGCACGTGCAGTACTTCCAGTTCCAGACCTCACATGTAGGATCGTAATTCTCGCACCACGAGCTTTTACACTTGCATGTAGCAGGGTCCCAGCCTTTTTTGCAGCAATGCTTTTTTTGACATTTATCGTCTTCCGGTGAAGTTTTTCCTCCAGAGGTTGGATAATTGGCTTGGCGGCTGATCTTGAAATCGTTGATTCTGTCTTTACATATGCAACTGATGGAATCCCAAGCTTTGCAATTAGGATCCATCCAGGCACAGTTCCGGTTTTTGGACACTAGTTAGGAAGTTGTTATAATAAGATCTGTCTTAATGGTGTCTGAGCACGGTACCTTGATCATTGTGAGTTCCTTTATATATCTCTGCAGGTGAAGCCGAGACTAAACCGAGCAAAAGCACCGTCAAAATAGCATGATTAGCTTTCATACTGGAAGTAAATATACCGATGAGCCGTAAACCCAAGTTAAAATCGAAGAATTAAAAAAAAATATACGTAACATGTACGTGAAGTTGGATTAGCTAAGGTGAAGCTCCTGAAAGAAGACAGTTTGAAGTCCTCAATATATATTCCACCGTCACGATCTAGAGACTGGAATCTATCGTGTCATAATGATCCAACGACATCAATTTGTCGGTCTAGACAAAAACATTTCTTTTGTGTTGGGTGCTAAAACATAGTCCTGTGATCCAAGCTGCCAAGCCTTCACCTCAATTGGTTTATTGAATATATGGTTCCAGGAATGCTAAGACGCAGGCGTCAAAAATCACGATGGATTCATGGGTTGTCTGAAGACCTTAATACAACTCCGGAAATCGTATTTCAGATGGTAAGGGGATCATGTAGGAGAAGACGACCATGTTACTTCTTGTGGTTAAAAAAGGGCTATGTCCGTGGTAATACCTCAAGCTATGTGTGGGGTTCACCATGGTTGGGAATTTCCAACAAACTATATTAGTGCCTTACACCGCCCCCCAACCCTTCCGGGTTGTGGGTGCGCCACACACTAATTTCCACCCACACACTAATTTCCATCTTTTCCTATTTCTCCTATCTATCGCTACATCCCACTAGTATCTATAAAGAAAATATCACCGTTCTAGCGTGCTTCCTCTGCTCTATCTAATAATGCCTGGGATTCCTGTATAGGATCTGGTGGTGGTGATGTTCTATATGCTTTCTTCCACTGCTTCCTTACCCGCTTCCGCTCTGCCTCTACTTCCTTCTTATTTCTTTTAGTAATAGAACGATTTGCATCTCTAATAGAGAGCACCCCTGTTTTACTAAGCGGCGTTTTAACCTAGCGCTTAGTGATTAAGCGCTGTAGTGGTTATTGAGCTTCCCTAATCTTGCGAATAGTATCGTTCGCTAGATTTAGGTTCTCTATAGCAATCTTGTTATAATAAAATAACCGGTTAAGATTGCGTTACTGCCTAGGCGTAAGATCTTCTTGTTAATATCTAGCAATCTTCTTTTAATTCTTCTCTAGATCCTATATAGATCTAGGCGGCGATTTGTCGATACTAGAAGAAGATATAGTAGTTTGTAGTAGCAGCGAAGGTGTTAAATAAAGCGGTAGATCTAGTGCTATAAGATCTTGATACTCTTAGATAGGAAGGCTATTAATAACCTTTCTACTATCGACTAGATATATCCTACGATCTTTAAACGATTCACGAATAATTCGCTAGCTAAACGCTCTATTCCGAATATCACTGATTATTCGAAGGAACTCGGATCTTCCGATAGGGCTTCTACCCTAAAACGCTTAGTCGTTATTCGCTAAGCGGAAGTGTTGCTTATAGCTTAGAAACGGCTTACCGTCTAGCGGCTAGCAAAGATACGTAGTATATAGTAGGAATCCTATAGGTAGGATATTATTCTCTTCGTAAAGGTGTAGAAATTCGAATATTAGATACGAACCGTAGCTGTCGAATATTAGGATACGTTTTTTACCCGATTTCGTACGGTCGTATATTAATTCTATAAAGAATCGAAGCTATTAAACTACTATACTATCGGTTATCTAACCGTTTAGCGATATAGTGATAGTAGTTCTTGGTAGTAGGTCGTCTATTTAATTAAACTAAGATTCTATAAAGATACCGTTGCCTTTAAAGATAAACTAGGGTTCTATCTGCTACCTGTCGGTAGTAATACACTCGATAGACGTAATATTTTCGCCTTGGTCTAGCTGAGGAAGGTCTACTACCTTCCTACTACTACTAGTAGTAGTAGTAGTAGATATAACGTTTCTAGACCTTCCTTCGCCTAGTTAAAAGCCGTATTCATTAAAGTTATAGACTAAGCGTGGTAGTGTAGTCTTCTTGATCGTTTAGGCTAGTAGATCGTACCAATTCGCTAATGCTGCTAGGTCTTCTGCTAGGATTCGCTTTGATTCTTTCGTATACTGCTTAGTAGGCCCTAATTGAAGATGTTTAGGAAGCCTATTAATAAAGCGATACGCCCACATCTTGCTAACCGACGGCTTCCCGACGCGTTAGTATACACGATTCGCCCACGCTTCTAGTATACTAGGAGTGATAGGCATATAGCAATCGTTTATATATTATATCCAGCGAATCAAGGCTTCTTCTTGATAGGCTTCTAGAGCGTATCCAACCCCGCTTCTAGCTGTACGAGGCCCTGTATGCTTTTTGACTCGGTTTGCAAGCGTACGCCTAGGCACGCTATATTCGCGTGCTAAACGCGCTATATTCGGCTTCTCCTCTCGTGATGCAGCTAGGCAGGCCTCTGCCATACGAGATTCGTCAAATTTAGGCATATTTAGAAGGCGGTGTTGGATAGGGAACCAAAAAATAGAGATATAGGGGAAAATGGAAATTAGTGTGTGGGTGGAAATTAGTGTGTGGCGCACCCACAACCCGGAAGGGTTGGGGGGCGGTGTAAGGCACTAATAGCTAGAAAGATAGTAGTGTAGTATATAGTGTAACAGATATATACATTTAATGTTAGGGTAGTGAAAGTGGGGATCGGGAATACTTTTGAAACGCTATGTACTTTGGCCAAACCTAGTCTTTTGAAGATTGGCCTGGCCATTCTGATAGCGACAAGCGGAAACCAAGAACTTTTAATGAACTATGACGTAATAAGATAGTCTTGGAATAAAGGAATTCAATCCCACTCTTATACCTGGCGGCTTCTTCGTGGAGGACTTTGAATTGTTATCAATATTGGTCTGGTGCGTGTCGTATTTCTCAATATATCGCAAGACTTTTATGAGGGGATCACTTTTTTTTTTTTTTTTTTTTTTTTTTAAAAAAAAAAAAGAACATAAAGGAGGGGACATGGCTCCAATATTTTAGCGGGGTTCAATTTCACAGGGAAGACACAATCTCCGCAAAGTCGTGCACTAGAACCGGTCGACAAAATAAGTACCAATATTGGACCCTCGGAACATATTCAATAACGTATCATTCTCTACGACGGGATTAGAAGCAAACGTTTCGCATTGTCTGCTGGAACTTGACAGAACCAAAAATTGACTACCATCAATCTGTTTTGATAATATCATATTGGGAACACGTCCATAGAACCATGTTTCGAATGTGAAATTTCCATGATAATTGATGTTCCTATTTATTGGTCATTAGCATTTCGCAAAGTTGCTCATTCCTAACAATTAGGCCAGTTACCAGCAAGAGCTGAGGAGGCGGAATGAACGCCAATGATCAACTCAAATGTTGTATCTATCGAATTATTTTGATTCAATATGAAGAAAACTACGTAGTTATTGACTACTAAGATCTTTTTCTAACACATATTTGATGGTAGGCTTAATAAAGACGATGAACGGCAGACAGTGAAATAACGGACAAGTCTAACATAAGGTTACGGTCGGATGATTAACATGTGGTACGTGGATATGGTGGCGGTCATCCGCTTCGGATGCTAAATGTTAATTTAATTCAAGAGTAAGGTTTGACCCATGGCTAGGGCCTTTTGAATAAGACGAGGTACTTCAAATGCCATTTGGCGAAACCCGGACACCAAAAAAACTACATAGATAATTTTGTCTCCGCCCATGGAGATGTCGGCGGGACACATAGAAATATAGAATGATGAGTATGTGCTGAGCGATACTTCAAATACTTGTAGAAAGGTTCAGCAATAGCTGTCTGGTGTTTTGGCAGTCTCTGGATCCGGGGAATACATCATTCAACCCCCTACTATTCAAACGTGGGATGTAAGCTATGCCAATTAGTGTTTGATGTGAGTTCAGAATGAAGGTTCCCTTCAGTGCCGGGTGGAATCTGGACGAATTCATGCACAAATAATAGGATCCTGTCTCTCCAGCCACACAAATTTGCATGGCCAAGACGAGAAAGCGACCTAGTGATGTCATGAAAGGCCTGCGGGGGCTATATGAGCCCATCACCCACAATATGATTCTCTCTACATAGAAGCGATCCCTGTCTGATTTAACGTTGGATACCAGATCCCTAAATTCTCTAATGCGATCTATTTCAGTCAGAAATTATTCCGTTTGCGAAACGTAACTACAGCAAATTATCGCGATCAGGGCGGGGCAGTTGGCCCAGACGAAGGGAAGGAAACCATGGTCCGAGACTTAGGAAGACCCTCTCACGACGGAACTGGATCTAGGTGGCAAAATCACAAGATCTGTTCAATTATTCTAGATATTAGCTGGCCAAGGGTCCGTGGCGGAATCATCTTGGCAGCTTGGCAGCTTGGCAATATTGTTATGATGTTAGACCTGCGGGCCAGACCCAAAATCCCTTAGGAGTCTTTTAGCGTAGTTTAATTAGATTCTCTCCTTCAAGCATCATCATTTTTTGATCTCTTCCAATAACTGTATCCCTAAACCCACTCCGGTAGCCGGTTTGTGCTAGGTCCGCACCCTATTAAATTTGAATTTGCCCTAATTCTTCTTAGCATAATACTCAGAGTGTGGACAAAGTGTACGAATAATAGTAGTCTAAGGGTACTTCTAATTACATAGCAGTGGTTTGAGCGTACTAGCGACTGTATTGGCGATTGTGCTACCGAGCTTGTTGCTAGATGTACTAGATATTCAAGTTGCTCTTTTTCCGTCTGTTGCTCTATCTGCAAATCTTTGGATAGTATCCAGATCGTAGGCTTGCTGCCAGGCCGGATGACTTGTAGGTAGTATACAATTATGACCTTATAAGCTGATGTCTCCTACAAAGACCGAAATTCCAGGAAGTTGAGTTTTATTTTTGATCGGGAGATCAGGTTTACGCTAGTACAGGTAACGAATTTTCTTTGCATAGATATTGAACAGGGATTGAGATCATTCCTGTCTGCAAAACAGGTCTGATATCCCGAGGTGCGGGGAGTGCCAATGAGAAGACTTATGGATATGAAGAAAAGAAGATATATCTGAGATTATATAAGTTATATAGAATTTCGCTATAGTTTCAAGTATTTCGCTACTATCAGAACATGGAGAAAATTAATAGATTTTGTATGTTTTCACCCGCTCCCCTTTTCTCTCCTTTCCCCAAAATTATACTGGACAGTTTAGCCGAGGTAAATTAAATCAATTATGCTACCGTCCTTCACATTAAAGAAGTAAATCTACTGCAATTGAACGTAACGTAACCTTAATATAGAAACCAAAGGAGCTAGTGATAACGGAGCTATTGACTTTGAGATTTCTTCTATTAGAGATAATGGCCTAGCTAACTAGCTACTCCCCGGGTCTACACTCATTCCAGGTTATTTTCAATAAAGTAAAGACATTTGTAATCAAGCTAATACTTTCCATGACACTAGGTGAGGTTCCACCACCTGGAATATGTGCCCACTGAGAAAGCAAGTCATTGAAATGCGGTCCAATATCCAGAACATTCGACCGCATGATTCGGCGCAAGGGGCGGACAGGAGACGCAGCTAATAAAATAAGTATAACCGATGTCATCCTGTCTGTAATTTCCCAGATTAGCATTAAGAATCGATCTGCGTATCTAGTGGAGAAACTTACGAAAGCGAGCAAATCCACGTGTCAACAGTGATGGTGTGCGGCAAGCTGCGTAAATTTTGTGCGTGCATCCAGGAGGCCTCCAGACACAGCTTAGACCCCTCATAAACGATTGGCGGACACCCTTCTATGGTATCGCCATTAGACAGGGCCCAGGCAAGATAGGGACGATAAATGACGCTCTTGCAAGTCAGGTACCGCTGGCGAAGAAATGCACCTTCTTCTGTTCTCGTGGAATCTAAATTGATAGAAAATTGGAATGAAAAGTCTTTCCACTCGTTTAATTGGTAAGCCAGCTCCGAGACAACAGAGAGAAATTGGTGATTGTCAAAACCAACGCCGGCATCTCGAGCGTAGAGAAGGTTATGAACGCGGTTGAGCAGTCGTCTCATGGATATGCAGGCAAGGAAATAGAGTGATGATTGCTCTTGGTCACTTTCAGACTGCTGTGTACAGTATTCACCTGGTAAGGGAATAGAAGATTCTATTTCTCCAATCCCAGTTTGAGGAAGGCCGGTTAGTTCTGCAAGAAAGTCACTAAGTTTTAATGGTCAGATTGAAGCGTCAAAAGGATAGGAGGAGTGAGGCGGGAAACCTAACAATGTGGGGGATTTAAAAATACCTCTCGAGAATATAGCAGGACCAAAATATCCGGCGAAGACATTCCAGCTGCTCAGAGGTCTGCTCGGGGATGTCATAAGACAAGAGAAGCCGACATTTGGTTGCAGCCGCGCTTATAAAGGACCAGGCTTGGAGTGGTCGTTGCAAAAACGAAAAATACAACCTGTAGTTCCACATCAGCGAGCTGGTCAATTGAATGGTGCTGATATATTGCTCACCCGGTAAAAAATAAACACTGCACTGCGTCCGCCGTAAACCCCGCCTGCGCTAGATAGATCTTCCTTAAAGCAGCATCCAAGTATAACTTCCCCATTAGCCGCCGCTCCCTCTGGCAATCTGCCTCGCTTGTCTTGGATCCTTCCCGGTGCGTGAAAAACCCGACCAGCTGGCATGCACATCCCAAAGCCATCATCAACAGCGAAAGACATGAACGAGTAGTCTCTTCAAATGTACCCGCTATGATATGGACTTGCAACTCCTGCGTCGTGGCCCGGGCCATAGTTGGATACCAGAAGTTGATACCACGCTCAAAGCTTCGAACAGTGGTCTCCACTTCTTGCTTGGGCATATATGGCTGTACCATGCATTGGCGCTGAGCGAGTGGCGGACGCATACTCTCAAGGCGGAAAAGTGAAAAGCAGCGCTCTTTGATCAAGTTTCCGAATTCGGCAAGTTGTGGCCATGAGAGAATTGACTCGGTGGTTGATGCATGAAAGAGGGATAGTATCGCATTGGAGATGTGATCTAGGGGGCCTTCACCGTGGTGGGTGTTACTCACCGCGCTTGGTGAAATTTCTGTATGAGGCAATATCGCAGAAGGATTTTGGTTTGAACTGCGGTGGGTACCCTGTTGGTTTGAATTGGATCTGTTAATTAAATAACTGGTACATGAAACACATGACATTCATGACATTCGTGACATTGATCCCAGTCCATGAGTTGGCGACGTACCAACTGGGTAAATAATTCCTGGAGGAGATTCTCGGACCGAATGCCGATATCCAGAATCAAGTCGCTCTTGCTCTTACTGCGTGTGTTTGGCTGGCATTGTTGGACTGTGATGAAGGAATCGGGACTCATCCATTGGAACTCGCTTGATTGTCTCAGACCCATAGACACAATTCATTCCTATTTCGGCGCATGTTCTGCAGGGTCGGCGACCATCGCATCTGGCTGATGTGAACTTGCAGATTCCATTTGACGAACCCCCAACTGATAGGGATTAACTTCACTTTTGGAATTGACAAAGATCATACTAGAGATGGGATATTAGAATCATGTCGCGGGAGCTATGCTTGGTATATTACCGCCAATGAAGTTCTTTTACGCTTATGGCTCTCGTTTTGGTGCTCTGGAGACAGCATTGTGGTTGATCGTCGAGTACCTATGAGGGAAGTCGGAGGAAATTGAATGAATGAAATCGGAGGTGGTGCGGGGCCCCGCATGCTCGCCCAGACAGAACGGGGTTAATTTAACCGAGGTGCAGAGCATAGACCATATACAAAAGACACTAGTTTGAGGAGTTTGTACCTAACATGTTAAACTCAAGGCTCGCTCACAGATCTTAATTCTTCTTTAAACATACCTAGATTGCGGTTCAATCACACACGGTCGCGGTATGCCTAACTACTTATCTACGTCCTTACCTACGTACCTATGGTTGTGGAGAGAAGAAGCTGCTAAGATAAATTTCTGCAGAGATACAAGGTATATCCATGCGACGATCTTGCGGAGGCCTAGGGAAAAGCCCATGGAATCATAATTGGCTGGGCATTCAGTCTGACATGAATTGATTCCGACTAGGTTTTGAGACGTAGGGATCTTGGCCATGGAACAATCTTATAGGTGATGGGTTGGCGGTTACGATGCACTAGAAATGGCCTGACCTCTGTCCTGGCCCAATCCCGGCTTCTTCCCGCTACATACCATGCCTTCAACCCAACATAACACAATTAAACATCAGCACGAGTAGTAGTTTCGACCTCCGTCACCTCCAATGTTCTCAGCGCGGTGGCAATGTGCCGGCGCTCCAAACTCTTCTTAACCGGATTTGGAGTCGAGAAGACCTCTTCCAGCTCCTCGAGGGTCCGTTCTTTGGTCTCTGGGAACCAAAAGTAAATCACAACCATCTCAATCAGATCCCAGGCAATGAACACGGCATAGAAGTAATAACTCAGCTTCTCAAAAGCAGGCCCAGAGCTGTACTGGATAATCGCACTGCTGATGTTGGATAGCAAGTTGCCCAATGCAGTACCCTTGGCGCGTGTGTTGGTCATCAGCGTCTCAGCAATATACATGCTTTGCAGGGGCGTCCACCAAAATGAAAAGAAAATGCCAAACAGGTAAATAAATGCGACCGAGGTATTCGCCGCGTTAGAGTTGGTCGGATTATCCCCTGATAGTTTGGATGTTCCCAGGATGATGGCAATCGCGACAGAGCAAAAGAGAAGCGAGTAGATCATCAGAGGGCGACGGCCAAGACGGTCAGTGAGACCAGCGCCGGAGACGGATGTGATCAAACAGAGAACGGGGTAGATGCCATTGAGCATGAGTTGGGTCTTGACCGATCCAATGCTCGCATTCTGAACAATCACCGGGAGATAGTAGCTAGTAAGACTGTTTCCAGAGAGTTGACCAAAGCACGCCATTCCAGCCACACAAATGAACCGGCGACGAGCAGAGTGCGAGTTGAACAACTCGCGGTAATCCCACCATTTTTTGCTCCAGTCCGCAACATCGACGATGATCTGATGCTGCATCTCTTTAATCTGGAGGGTCACCATTGGGTGCGATGCATCCCCTTCTCTGTGATAGCGTGCGAGAACTTGAATGGCTTCCTCCGAGCGGTCCTGCGCCATGAGCCACCGAGGTGACTCAGGCATGAACCAAGTGCCAATTGTGACCACCACGGACGAACACAGCTGGCACCAGATAGGGATCCGGAAGCCGTACGAGTGCCTGATGTCTTTGCAGCCATAGATCCAACTGGCGACGATGGAGCCAATGTACCAGGTGCAGTTGTGTAACCCAGTCAACGTTCCACGCCACACGCGATGCGCCATTTCTGAGACATAGCATTGCGCACTCACATAGCAAAAGCTGACTCCGAAACCGAGGATGAATCGACCCGCGAGGAACATTTCATGGGAAGTGGCGGGTGCTTGAATGCAAGTGCTGATAATGATAATGGCGGCTCCGGTAAACATGCCCTTGCGGCGCCCGAAAATATCATTGACGGGACAGGAGAGAATTACGGCGGGAATAGAGCCAATATTATAGATGGCAAATACCAGGCCGGTCGACGAAGAGGCCGTTTTCCTGGTGTTGAGTTTCGGGTCAGAGAGCGCGCATTCTGCCCATCTCGGGGTCGACTCACATATGGAAATATTGCTGGTAAGTCGTCATGTCATTCAGTCCTCCCATCAAGGAGCCGTCGTAACCGTTCAAGCATCCACACAGATATGCGATTATCAGACAACCGTACAGCCGAAACATGCTGGCGGTCCATGGACTGCATTTCATCGATTGAACCGCCTCGGCGAGCTGAATGGCATCGCTAGTTTCCCGAAGACCCTTATCGCCACCGTCCATCCCATCCTTGCTCACCTCGAGCTGCTCCAGGGTTGGCTTGGTGAACTCGGTGGTCATGTCGAAGGGGAATATCCAAAGTGCAAAGCGGGGCTCGATTTCAACCAGGCTGATCCCGAGCCGCTGGTTGGAATGCAGAGCTCAGATGGGTCGAAGATGATCGGCGGTACATCGTGTTATTTATCATTCTCTGGAGACTAGCTGGTTGGTATTTCCATCGCGCCATGTTCAAAATCTGGGGTCGCATAGAGTTTAGCTCTGGCATTGACTGAATTGAACTTTTTCCCGGTGGCACGGCGGACCACGCGTGTTTGTCGCGATTGAGCCCGTCCCAATCATGGGCTAGCACCCCGAAGTGATGGTGATACCTAGACTGCGGCAAATCCGCATCCGCAAATTGCGGATTGCGGATCTAGGTATTGGATCCTCATCCACGTTGCGGATATCCTTGGACATCCGCGAGATATCCGCACTAGCTTAATTCTCGCTTAATTATCTCTTTAGAGACTATTTTCTCAGTCTTACGCAGCTTACAAACCATTGTTCCGCATTGAAAGAAAAGCATGTTTTGGCTCCTCCCATCTTGCTTGTTAGTAACCTTCACTATCTTGGTAGGAAATCTTGAACATTCTATTATAATCAGAAAGAGATAGTAGTCATGCTCTTATATTATAAGTCTTTTCAAGAATCTTAAAGTATGTGGTTGGCAAGAGGTCTTTTTGTCCAAGCATACTATAATTGTGTAAGTTACAAAGAGAATAACGTATTTCACTAGTCAGTGGCCCACTACTAGTGAGTGGCCCACCCTACCAACCACTACTTTTTGAAAACACTATTTTTCCACCAAAACGCCATATATTTAATTCAACTATTTACTAGAGCACCGAGTAATCTTATGCCCTATATTCCCACATCCAGAACACTGAAATACACGCTTAGTAGTAGGCTTAGCGCCCTCAGTAGGCTGCTGAGCAAGCTCTGCATCATCGTTTTGAATAGCTTCAACGCTTGCTGGCAACGTTGAATCAAGAGATATAGATTCGCCGACTGTAGAACCTTGCTGCCTAGATATCTAGCGAGTAGAACGTGTGCGTTTCTGACGTTTCTTCTCGTTGAATCTATGTAGTTGCCGAATCTCTTCCGCTTGCAAAATAGTGTTATGAAACGCTAGTTTAGCGCCTTTGATTAATTGATCTAGCACTCGCTTAGTAGGACTTCCTAGAGACCGTAAGCGCTTGCGTAGTAGAGCTTTGATAGAAGAAGCTTGCTTGCTAAGCTGCTTAATCGTATAAGGAGTAGTAGGCACGAAAGCGCTGCTCCTACTACTAGGCCTACTAGTAGTAGTAGTAGTAGTAGTAGTATAGTAGTAGTAGTAGTAGTAGTAGTAGTAGTAGTAGTAGTAGTAGTAGTAGTAGTAGTAGGAGGAGGAGGAGGAGGAGGAGGAGGAGGAGGAGGAGGAGGTGTGTTACGCGCTGCTAACTGGTGAACCAGGGCGCTCAGCGGAAAGCCTGAGAATGCAGGCAGGATGATATAGCTTCAATAAACCAGCATACAAACCACTATACACTATAATGGAGGATGCCTCCCCTATAGGAAGTAGAAGCAAATAGAGCAAAGAGAGTGTCAGAGTTGATTCTTCTCCCTATTAGAGATCCCCCTTATAGGCCATTTCCCTACTACACTGGTTAACGTAAAATATGCGTTATCGTAACGTACCTCTCTCGTAATCTCCGACGATCTGTCTCGCAATCGTACCGTTGCCTGCTCTAGCCTTACACGGGATCGGGTCTATAGAGTAGACTAAAGACGTATACAGTTGAAGGGCGCCTAGTTAGTCGATGAAGTAGTTACAGGGTAACTACTAAGTATACCTCCTAGTTGTAGGGTATATCCTTATATTGTACCGTGGTGATAGTTAAGTATCAATATGTAACTATAAGTAACAATTTGTAAATTAACGCGAAGAACTAAATATATGAAGGTAAACGTGTCCTTATATATCTAGCTCTTCCGTTCGTCTTAACAGGACCTTCCCTATCAACCGGGCAGGTCCGTTCCGTTCGAACGGACCGGACGTTACGTGACCTTAGGTGTTATAGCCTAAGTAACCTGATAGACTCCTAGCAGAATCTCTCCTGGCCGCCTTGTTGCTGAACTGATTAGTTCAGGCGTATCCATATTTGGTACCCTAGGGGTGGGGTCTGGAACAAGGTGTAGGTGTTCGAAGCGATATATTAAGCTTTGATAGGACTCGGTCGGTATCTAGCGGAACAAGGCCGGCGCTAGCGAAGCTTGATTGTATAGTGCTAGGTAGAAAGGCTTCCTAGCGTGCTAGTGTATAGGATTCTAGGAAGTCGAGCTTGTCGATATGGTTATATCCTAGGCGAGCTTAGTGTCATATGATATTGCAACATAAGGCTCTTCTTAACTCAATGCCTCAGGTGTTAGCTCGACACCTTATCGGTCACGCTTCGTTATAACAGCCCTACTTCTCCCTAACATAGATATATGACCTACAAGGCCCTGAGGGTTCGGTGCCCTTCTATTAGGGATTCGTGAACCCCTCTCCCCTGTGGCCTTTACTTACCTCTGTTATATATAGGCTACGTCAGACCGTATGTTATGATATGATCTATCGCCTTTGTCTTGGTCATATAGGAAGGTGTTGAAGCCTGTATATAAATTGAGGATTATAGAGGTCTCCAGGATAGCAAGAAATAGTGTTTTGTCTTCCTTACTTGACGTTTATCTTCCTACCTAGTCGACAGGCTTTCTACCCTGTACAAGTAGTTATTCTCTAACAACCTACTAGTAGGGCGTAATATCCTAACAGGTCACTACAGTCGCCTAGAGCCTAACTATAGGGCGCACGGACGAAAAGCGTGGAATATTATACTATTCCTGAGGGAATACTATAGTAGGAGTACTAATGAATCAAAATAAGCTTGGCTCAACTTACCTGAAATTTCTTCTGTCGAATAGCCTTCCCCTAGTATCATGCAAGCTCGCGTGAATCTGTGTCTAGCAGATCAGACGTTCGGGCTTCACAAAAGTGCTCAGCTTCCGACCATCTTTCAAGGTGTCATTTGAATGTCCCTGTTCAAGAAGCAGTTCAGCTATATCCCAGTGCTCCTCAGAAACAGCTAGAAAAAGAGGCGACCTCCCAAAGGCGTCCCTATCATGCACGGAAGCCCCGTTCTGCAGCAAGAGCTCGACGATCTCCCGAGTGCCAACTTCGCTAGCCAGGATGAGAGCCGTGGTTTTCACTGGTCCGCGGGCATGTAAATCCGCATGGCAAGCCAGAAGAGTCTTTCTCATCTCAATATCTTGACGAGAAATACAAGCGTGGAGCGGTCGAGTTCCGTCGCATGAGGGTGAGTTTGGATCGAGTCCTTTGCTCAGTAAGAATTCTAGCGCTCTGTGATCACCATAGAGGGCGAAATGGTTCAGAATCCCGGTTCCGTAAAGATCTTCATGGTAAACGTCGGCTCCTTTGGTGACCAGAAATTTAACTAGCTCAAAGTTCTTACTCGTAATGGCCTGAGTCAAAGGCGTTTTCCTGTAGCAGCATTGTGCGTTAATGTATGCACCGTGTTCAAGCAGAAAAGCGCACAAGTCTTTATTTCCCTTGCTGGCCGCGCAGTGCAAGGGCGTGGTATCGTCGAGATATGAACGATTGGGATCCTCCCCGCTTTCGAGGAGTCTTGTGATGTCTTCCTGCCAGCCCAGCTCAATTGCAGTGATGAGATCAGGCTTGCCGACGTGCCTACATATGATCCATATTGCCTCCTTTAACCCCTCAAAATGCGCCCGACGCAATGCATGGCGCACATTGGTCCCTCGGGCGACGAGGTACTCAATTACCTCAATATACTTCACGGCCTTTTCCTCGTTGGTCGTGTCTCCAGACTTCGGCTCGTACATGGCCAAGGCAATAGGTAGACGGCGAAACTGGTCCTTTTGGTTGAGCTTTGCACCGTACTTGACGAGCAGCTTTGTGATGTCTATTCTTTCCCGGACAAGATGAAGAGGCGCCATTTTAACGTAGTCACCTAAGTTTGGCTGAGCCCCACTCTCCAGGAGCACTTCAACAACGGCAATATTTCCGTATAAGACAGCTTCGTGCAATGGAGTCCTCAACGTATTGTCCTGCAGATTTACGCTGGCACCGGCCGCAAGTAAGAGTTTGGTACTCGTCACTAAGTTGTGTTGGGCGGCACAATGAAGAGGACTGCGGGCATGGTTGTCCAATGCGTCCACGGTTGTTCCCTGTTGTAAGAGTACTTCAAGGAAGGCGTGAAGATTGAATGCCATGCAGATTCGAAGAACGTCGAGATGGGCATATGAAGTGCGTGGCTCACTGCCCCAATAGACGGAAAGCCAGTTCTTGAAGCATGAACTCTCGATATCCAGCAAGTGCGTCATGTTGAGTTGGTCGAGTTGTAGATTGCCACGGTACACGTGCGTGAGCCAGTGTGTGGCAGCGTAATTAAGGAATGGGTATTGACTTGCGATTTCTCGCAGCGCATCCTTGGGTCTCATCTGGATAGAGCTTCTCGGTCCAGAAACCTTTGAATGCTCTTCGAAAAGCGACTTCATGGTTCTTCCGGTCCATTTGTGGTTGGAATCCCATGAGACATATGTACGAGGCACATTGCGTTGGTCAATGGTCTTCGCCGTATCCGTCAACTCGATGGTCAATGGGTCTTTTTCGAACTCCGCGAACTGAAGATATCGCACACAAACCTCGGCTAGTTTCTCCTGCGCCAATATGGTGGAAAATGACGAATGCCATTCGAAGCTTCCCCGATCAGGGTTATCTGGGGCTTTCCCAGCCTGCAAGAGGAAAGTCCGTGCTGTTTCATGGATGAAGTAGACCTTGCCGTTCACGACCGTCACAAATAATCCACTGACCTGTCGCAAGAATTCCATTCTGGAGCCCGGCCCTTCAAGGTCAAGCTCACTAAAGCGTAAAATCTGATGGCTGAACTCTAATGCGACATCAATTTCTGACAGAGTCAATGGCCGTTCTGCCGCGAGAATGACGTACAGCACTTTCCTTGCTTGCGCCTTATCAGATACTCGAGTCAGTATCTTCTCATACGCCTCGCTGACCGTCTGCGGGAGAGTATCAACAACAGCGAGCGCCTTTTTCTCCGATTTTCCCAACATCTGCCTGATCTCGGCGAAAATGAGAGTGATCCACAGATACGAACGCTCGTCAGAGTTCGTCAGTCGTTCGATGAGCGCGTCCTGAGTCCGTTCTGTAAGGCCAATCTCGTCGCCAATCCCGTTTATCCGTGCTACCGTAAAGACCTTGACTTCCTCACTGACCTCCTCGAAACTGGAGTTTCCGTCGATATGGTAGCCGCGTCGTTCCCGCAAAAGAGGAACTACGCACCTCTCGATTTTGGCATACGGGCGGCTGGACACAAGGAACTTGATAGCTGGGAAGCTTTTGGGTGACTGATCACCGTTTGAGAGGCCAAGCAATTTGTGGAAAGCTTTGATCAGGAGCTCGATTTCACGAAAGTCCTGGCATTCGTCCACCGCATCCAGGAGACATATGATCTCGCTTCGGCATGTTACTTTCGTTGCCGCTATTTGTGTAAAAGCTTTTAAAAGCTTGCTTCTCATGTTGATCAAATTATTCCCATGGCGGTCATACTCTTCTTTGATGTCATCGATCCAGTCAGAGAACGCGGCAAACATTTGATGCAGAATTGCCGAAAGAGCGTGAGTCAAATCCCTCTGCTCGGGATCGCCATCTGCTTTGAAGAAAAAATAGCATACGCATCCAGATTCAGCTGGCTGAACGATATCAGCCAGATGCCTCACCAGAACTGACTTCCCACAGCCTGGATCAAACGAGAGCCAGAGGAAGCAGCTTTCTTCTGACCGTCTCCAAGCGTGGTATTTTTCTTGGGTCAGAAACCACTGGCAAGTACCTGGATACGCAGTTGCAATTCGGTTCTTGTGATCTTCATAGTCGAATCTACCAAGTTGTTGCCAAAATCCAATCATCTTGTCGCTCATTGGACGATGTTCATTATCTATTATAGAAATTGTGAGAATAGGACTACATGCAGCATTCTCAGAGCAAATACTCAGGCTGTTTCACATACTCGACGTTCCAGATATTGCTAAATCCACTAAAGCGTCCCATACGGGTTGATACCTCTGCTGTTCATCCCTCGAGAACTTGCAAATCGTTCGGTGATCGGAGCTAGCAAGAGGCAGAACGAGCTCGTTTGGAATATTCATAACAGCAGAGTCGCGGTCAACAATAAGCTGATTCATGAACTTCTCCGTCTCATGGAAGGTCCTTATTCGCAGATGCTTTGCCCGATGGACGAAATCTCGCGATATATCCATCCAGACTGTGGAATTGCGTGCAAGACTTTTGATAAAGTTGTCGTTCCCAAAAGAACCCCCGGTTAGCCCTTGGAAGGTCCGAACAGGCATCTTGGCCCAAGATGCCAGTGTTGCGCCTCGGTGCGGTACGCCTAGGAAAATGCATCCTCGAATACATTTTAGCAGCTGGCCGTATCGATCATTGTTGTTCCATGCAATGTTCAGTGCCTTAAGATGATGGATAAGAATCAGAAGATGGCTTCTCAGAGTCGCGCTGCCCAAGACTCACCTTCTTTACAACAAGACCCCCTAAACTGTGAGCTATGAGCATCACTGCGGGAAACATGTTGTCCATCTTCCGAAGCGCGTTGTATATCCCCTCGATGAGTACCTCCGCCACCTGCTGGATATCGCTAACGGACATGGTAGCGAAGATGTTGGAGTCGTACCCAAAGGACAAGACTCTTGCGGTGATGCCAATCTCCTCCAGCAGCTTGGGTCCTAAGGAAGACTGGATCCAGTTCCATCCATCCTTTTCAGACTCCCATGTCTTGAGCCAGTTTCCTCCCATACCGCGACAATTCTGCTCCGAGTTCGTCAGTGCATCGCTGCCTTCCATATTCAGGCTTCGGTGGTTGCATGGAAACTGACACTATCGATGCGCCCTTAATTACCTTATCATCTTTGATTACGTCAAAAAGCCCACTTGTAGACTGCTGCTCCAGTTGACGACACCGTTATCCTAGGCTCAGCGGCAGATGTGAGCCGGGGGCAAGACATACAGCTTGGCTGCCTAGCTGATAGCCAGCAACATCGTCCCCTTGCCCGTTTCTTTTTCTGCGTCGGGCGCCGTCCTTTTTGAAAACTTTGCCGAAAAGAGGCATTGTGAGAAGCCGAAGGGGGGGGGGGGGGGCAAAAGATTGCAAAATTCCTCTGTTGGGAATTCATGCGATGTTAGGATGTTAGGCGCCGAAGGTTGCGGGGTCAGACCGTCAGCAAGCAACGTAATTCGCAGCTATCTCGGCCACACCGTTAAGGTGGCTACCTTAAACACTATACTACATACGATTTTTCACAACTTCATATCTCAACAACTCACTATAGTATTCCCTCGGGAATGGCATACCATTCCACGCTTTTCGTCCGTGCGCCCCATAGTGAAGGCTCTGGGCGGCCGCAGCGACCTGGTCAGCTATTACGCCCCACTAGTAGGTCCTAGCTAGCTAATCTGGTAATACCCCTATGCTATAGGGGAATAGGGAGTATTAAGTATTCGAGTTAGGTTTTAGATAGCGATACTAGTTAAATTTTAGTTAGTTATAGTTAGACATCTTCAAGGTAGTGCCGGATTAGCTAGCTAGGACCTACTAGTGGGGCGTAATAGCTGACCAGGTCGCTGCGGCCGCCCAGAGCCTTCACAATGGGGCGCACGGACGAAAAGCGTGGAATGGTCGACTATTCCCGAGGGGATACTATAGTAGGTTATTCACTGTTCGCTAAATATATGAAGATAATAGAGCCTGACTTCGTTATATTTCCGTAAGCGCGTGCGTCATGCATACGATTTGTATCCGAAGTTGGCCCGAATAACATCAAGTATTATACATTTCGTTATCCATAACACTCGAAAAGAGCTTCCTGTATGTTAATACCCGTTTGAAACGGATCAAGGCTCGCCTGGTTTTGCTAATGCTATTGATGATAAGGCAAATGCCGCGGCTGCAGCAGGGAATGAAACTACTTGATGCTAGATAAAACTCGTATATAAATGATGAAATCTTTTGATGAAGTCCAAATAAATCATCTTGCATGATGCGTCACAATTAAGTCTGAAGTTCATTTGGTCAGGACGATATACAGGCATAGCAAGATCTTTGACGTCCTGCAAGGTCTATGATTTCCAACCTTACGGAACTGACATCAGAGACAGCTCGAAACTCGAGAAGAAGTTATTTACCTTTCTGCTGAAGTCACAGACACTTGACTTGAAATTTAGAGAAAACGAGGATAGACAGTGAGCCAAGGTGCTCGCTAGCAATTCTGGAAGGCAGACAGGATGAGAAGTATCAACAAACGATAAACCACCAAACCACCTGGCAGTCACGAGGAGGAAGGCTTCTTCAAATCGAATACAGATGCTAATCTATAGGAAGAGGATGTAGAAGTTATGTTTCTTCAGCTATCTGAGATATGAGGCTATTTAGGTAATGAAAGTGTACTAAAAAGTCTTTTTCCAATAAGATAAAGCCTAGCGTGGGTTGATCCCAATGACAGCAATTTTTGCATTTGACGGCTAAACCTTACGGATAAGTAAATACCAAGATAGCCTGGTTGCCATTTACTAACAGCTAATTGTTGGGGCCATTAAGAATCCAAGACAGATTGAATCTTCGCCAGAAAAGACATCTGTAAGATCCGCTTCCAGTTCCATCGTTGAAGAAGTCACTTTCAACCAATGCTCCGATTTTGTAATCTGCCGTCTTCGTCATACTGGAATAACCACCCTCATACCCCGCAGACTCAACAGGGGCATCGGACAATTTGCGCCCGTAGTCAAACTTAGTGGCATCACCGTCATAGCTGATGCGGACTCTCATTGCACGCCTACTCGTGGTAGAAGCTGAGTTGAGGAAAATCGACCTCGCTGGCGCATCCGAATTATACCTCAAGAGGGAGCCCTCGCACGCTGGGTCGGGTAATCCTTCATCTGTAGTAAATGCACCAAATCCCGATTCAAGACTGCCTCTTGCAATAATACGATGACCTGCAGAGCCTGGTCGATCATTGCGGTATAATTTCCCATCTGGTGTCTGGCAAATGGTTCCTTCAGCTCCCGCACCACTAAGAAGCTGCAGTGACCAAGTCCGATTACCCACATTCCCCCGGCCAACAATGTTACGGCCCATAGCAGGAATCACAAGCTCACCAGAATCGAGTTTGATCCCATTTCCAGGGCCGACGGCATCCCAAGACCAGTTGTCAGGCGTCAATGTAGTTGTCAGATCCTGAGGTTTCGACCATGTGTCGCCGTCGTCGATGCTAGTTGTGAGAAATAGATGCCGACGACCATACCATGAGGTATCGATCTTCTCAGTAATAGTACCGTCTGGTAGCTCGTCACTTCCATGTTGACTGTAGCTGCCATTGTTCCAGGACAAAAACAAGTAGATCGTAGTACCATCCACAACGGGTGTAGGGTTGCCCCAAGTCCCGTCGCCGCTACCAACGACCTCGCGTAGACTTTCCCAGTCCGCGGCGGTAGCACCGTTATCTGTGCTGGTCTTGGTACGCTTATACACGAGGTTGATGTCACCGAAATCTCGATTATCATGACGACGTCCTTCCGCGAAGGCGATAATTCTGTCAGTACTAGTGCGAACAACCGCCGGTATACGGAACGAATGAAAGCCAACACCGCTGGCTAGCTTGTCAGGAGAAGCCATATTGGCACTGCGGAAAAGAGGGAATTCGGCATGGTATGGAGTAGCATCCTTGGCCGGATCATCAACTATCGCGGCTGTTTCGAGCACCAACTCCAGGACAACCGGGAAAAGGATTCGTAGAAGCCGCATCTTGGCACTTGATCATGAAATGAGCGTTTGATGCTCAGTGCAAAAAAAGGGATGATGCTCTTCATTCAGCATCTCAGCAGTATTTAAGCGGCGACCTACTCTTGTTCAGCATCCTTCTGGGTCCATACATGATGGGAAATCTACCCACGTGCGATTTAACCAGGGGCGAATTTCGTATACTACTCTACACGAGAATTTGGCCTAAAAATATCGCGAGTACGGGTCTTGGCAGGTTTTCTGGGTCAGTAGCCATATTGTGATATTCGAACTCGTATCCAGGAACGGAAGGGATCCGCGAGTCGTTCAAGTGAGAAAAGAGAACGCACAACCGGCGTTTCATACAACACCATCTGTCACAGACTCTTACTATGAGGTCCAGAAAGCCAACCCTGCTAACAATTTCAAGACATATTATCACGAGACATTAATTGGTAGATCGTGCATAATAACTACCTCCTTATAGGGTTTCAAAAAGAGAAGGAAGATAGATGGCAGGGCTCCGAAGAGAACTCAGAAGAAAGCAATTCCTGATTCCACATTGAAAGTTAATCCATTTTTCTATCTGGCTAGTTCCTGGGAAAGAATAATTCACCTAAGGCTCCGTCTTCTGTCTGGAATATCCGCTGGTAGCGGGGATGGGGCCGTGCAGCCTCCGAGCTGCGACAGAAGGTGGCAAAAGGAGAATTGAAAGGGAATTAATAACAGAGAGGTCAAAGCTGTATTGACTTTATATGCTCAATCAATAAAATATATGGAACTGTCATATGATATTGCAACATGAAGCTATTCCCAACTTCACGCCTCAGGTGTCAGTTAGACACCTTATCGGTCAGGCTTCGTCATGACAGCCCTACTTCTCCCCAACATAGATGTACGACCTACAAGACCCTGAGGGTTCGGTGCCCTTCCATTAGGGATTCGTGAACCCCTCTTCTTTGTAGCCTTTGCTTACCTCTGTCATATAGGGGCCACGTCAGACCGCATGTTATAATGTGATCCATCGTCTTTGCTTGGTTATATGGGAAAAGTGTTGAAGCTTGTACATAAATTGAGGGCTATGGAGAGATCCATAACAGCAAGAAACAGTGTTTTGCTTTCCTTACTTAACGCTTATCTTCCTACCTAGTCGACAGGCTTTCTACCCTGTACAAGTAGTTATTCTCTAACAGGAACTATGGATAGCTTAGTAACCGATCAGCACCCAAGACACTTGATGGAAAGATTATTGATCATTTTAGATTATCGGTTTAAACTTAAGATAGATTCGCACACGCTAGAGAAGGCGGAATGATATAAAGATAGAGAATGTTGCAATGTTCTTTATGAGAAAAACCAAAGAATCAATGGGGATTTATTAATCGGATTCCGATTATCCTTACATATTATTTATAGGGGAATTGGAATGTAAGAAGTTTTTAAAGTATCTTTCCCTTTACCTTAGTCAATTAACTATAGACTCTATTCATAAGAAAAATTGAAGTTTATTCTAAGCTCAGGTTAATATATTCGCTTGGAATTATTAAGTATGATCTAGGTACTATTTCCTTTCTAGACTGAACTATAGATAAGGGTAGGAAACCTTTCTCCTATACCTATAAGTAACTACAATTCTGTCTTATATCTATTACTTAGTTAGAATAATAACTTATTATCCGCGAATACTTAAAAGCTTATATAAAGCGTAGATATTTTAATCTAAATAAAGAAATAAATTAAAGGGTAATACTAGAATGCTAGGAAATATATCATACTCCTCGAGGCAGAAAACGTAACGTGGGGACTGATGAGATGTTTCCTAAAGGCGACGAAGCTCTTAGGAGCCCTAGGAGCTCGATAAAAATATCCAGGAATAATATAGCCGCTCTAAGCAGCAGAAGGAGCTTTGAGAATATAAAATTGGTAATCAGAGGAGTTATGGGTGTGGCTGGTTTATGTAAGGAAGTCGGGGGGCGGGACAAGGGAGACTTTGACCTAGTACTGCAGCCCGTGTTATTACTTCGAAAAAGATTCTGACACATCGATATCCGGACAGCATCAAAAACGACCGCATTGTGCTTTCAACAGGTGTGCTTAGCGGCGCCCTCCTCTTTAGTTCCCTCTCCTCGTATCTTCATATTCTCTTAATACAATTTTCCTTCTTTTCTCTTAAAACCTCTTCGCCCATCACTACTGTCAAGTAACGTGCAATCCAATGCACAATGACTATCTCATCTTTAGAAGGGCAGGAAACTGCATCACATCATTCCAAAATCCCACCATCTAGGCATGGTGATGGTAAGCAACTCACAAAATATCCTGCAAAAGCTGGAGGTCCTTTGAATGCGTTCACTAGCTCAGACAGATTCAGGTGTATCTTCTGCACAGGCTGCGAAACATGACTATGTCTACATTGCCGATGGATATCACTTGATTCAGCAGATCGTCTTCATATGACGGTGTGTTCATCTATGTTCACCAATCAGTTGGGCCTATGCAACAGCCTCACGACGCTCGAAGTTATCGGAGAGTCCTTTGATGTCACTCAGCCTGGTAAACGCTCGTGGACAACCTCTCTTTACGGCTTGACTCTGGGCATATTCCTCTTGGTCGGAGGACGTTTGAGTGACGAGTTTGGTAACAAGACAATCTTCATCATCGGTATGGGCTGGCTTGTCTTGACCAGCATGATGACAGGAGTCTCTGCATACTCCAAATACCCCATCTACGTCCCTGCTCGTGTCCTGCAGGGTTTTGGTCCCGCCTTGACTGTGTCTAATGCGCTCGCTATCATGGAAAAATGCCTCTCCCAGGGCCCAAGAAATATGGGGCTCGCATGGGTTGCTGCATTAGCCCCTGTCGGTGCGATGGCAGGTCTCCTCTTTGGGCCTCTCTTCGCCATGGCTTGGTGACCATGGATCTTTTGGAACCAGAGTTTGGGGGTAGCCTTTCTCTTCGTCTTCTCTATCGTTGCAATTCCAAACACGCCTTTCGAAGGCGAAGAAATTCAGCGACGAACGATTAGTGAAATTTAGGACGATCTTGTCCTCCTAGGAGGTGCAAGCGGTGTGACAGCTCTGGTTCTGTTCTGTGCAACTTCGCTTTGAACCAGAGCATTGTCACTACATGGGATGAACCTCTCAACTACATATGCCTGGTCTTCAGTTTTTTTTTTCTGTAAGCATTCCTTCCCATCGAACTTCGCTTAGCCCGCTATTTAATCCTACCTGTCGCCGTCCTTACTTCTGACATCGCTTTCGTCTTTGGCTGTATAGCAGCGGGCTGGTCCACATTTGGCATCTGGGTAAGTACTGCGGTGGGGAAATGGCCAACACTAGGGAGATCTCTGATTGGAGGATATCTTTCCTAGTACACATTCTTTACAGGATATAGCTTCGCATCTCCGATAGGGACAGAATCAACTTTTCACACTCTCCTCGCTTCATCTGCTTCTGCTTTCCCTATTGGGAGGATTTCTCTATCGTGGTGTGTGGGGGTTGTTGGTCTGTTCGCCGACCTATCTCATCCTACCTGCGTTTTTAGGCTTGCCATAGTAGAGCGCACTGGTTCACTACTTAGCGAGTTTAACCCTACCCAAATTTGAATTTTTTTACTAGAAATATATATCTAGAAAGATAGTAGTGTGGTATGTAGTGTAACAGATATATATATTTGATGTTGGGGTAGTGAAAGCGGGGATCGGGAAATGCTTTTGAACCCCTATGTATATTGAGATTTTCTAACGAGATATAAATTTATGACATACGGACGAAACTAACGGTCGAGGCCCGGTTCGGTACATAGACTAATGCAAGTCATGGTGCCTTGCATTCTCCATGGACGTGTATGTGAAACACGTCGAGGTTACATTACATCTGCAGTCAGCATCGCTTAGTTTTTCTTATCAAATTTAGATAGCATTGCAAACTTATCACGCTAATAGCGCAATGTCCTTGTTCGGAAGGACAAATAGAGACAGCCGATTTCCCTTCAGCAGACAAGAGGAGGAAGTTTGACGACAAATAGTCATCATGGCTCTAATTCAGGACTCTCTGGCGACCATTGGGGATGCAATACAGCACCCAATCAGCTTGTTCCTGACGGCTATTGCCGTTCAGCTTGTCTATCTCATTGTCTTAGGCCTCTATCGTCTCTACTTACACCCTCTGAGCAAATTTCCCGGCCCAAAGCTGGCGGCTTTGACTTACTGGTACCAGACATACTTTGATCTCCTCAAGGCTCCTGGTGGGCAGTTTATGTTTCAATACCGCAGGCTCCATGAGCAATATGGTGAGATGGGGCGACCAAAAACGCAGGTATAATGGCTCACGAGACGCAGGGCCAATCATCCGCATTAGTCCAAATGAGGTTCACATCCAGGACTCGAGCTTCTTCGACGAAATGTTCTCCCAAACCCTGCACTGGGATAAGCCTGACCATCTGCAGTACCGCTTCAACAATGAGACAGGGACGTTCCCGACTCCTAAGCACGAGATTCACCGACGTCGCCGTGCAGCAGTGAACCCCTTCTTCTCAAAACAGAGGATCGCAGACGTATCCTGGATCATGCAGGAGCAATTAAACACGCTCTGTGCTCGAATTCGCAATGAATACCAGGGAACAGACCAGATCTTGCGTTTAGATTGGATGTGGGGTTGTATCACTTCCGATAGTATCGTTCGCTACTGCTTCGATCAGAGCTACGGGTTTCTGGATGCTCCGGATTTCAAGTCCGCCTTTATGCAGGCGATGGTCAATCTTTTTGACGGCATCCATCTCGTTACCCAGTTCCCATTTGTGGTGACCATCCTCAATGCGCTCCCAGAGCATCTGCTGGCTCTGATCCAGCCAGGGATGAAATATGTCCATGACTTCAACCATGTGAGCACTCTACTTCATGTCATTAGTCTCTTCCCATTCAAGGCAGCCAACCTGATCTATGTAGGAAATGAAATGCCAGATTATAGGCGTCCTGGCCGACAAGAAAAACGGGGGAAGCCCTAAGCGCACGGTCTTCCACGCGCTGCTGGAGTCAGATCTGCCCCCTGAAGAGCTATCTCCGATACGTCTCCAGCACGAAGCTATCAGCGTGGTAGGGGCAGGCATTGAGACAACCAAGTGGGCCCTGTCTGTTGGCAGCTTTCACATCATCAACAATCCTGTGCTCTACCAACGCCTGCGGGAGGAGCTCGAGGCAGCGATTCCCGACCCTCAGAACATCCCTCCATTGAAAGAGTTGGAGCGGCTCCCTTATTTAACCAGCTGTATCCAAGAATGTATGCTCCGCTCCGCTATCGCCTTTGCTTTCTTTTATGAGGCTTGGTTTTTAACATTTGGATGGAAATCCCAGCAATTCGCATGTCCTATGGAACAGCCCAGCGGAGTCCTCGTGTCTCTCAGGCCTTCGACCTGCCCTACAAGTCGTATATAATTCCCCGCGGGTCCATCGTCAGCATGGATAATTATGCCATTTCTCACGATGAGACCATCTTCTCAGATTCGTACGAGTTCCAGCCCGAGCGCTGGATGGGAGACCCGGTCGCTCCTGACGGCAAGAAGCTGGTCCGGTATCTGGTGTCATTTGGCAAGGGCACTCGATCATGTCTGGGCATCAACCTGGCTTATGCGGAGATGTATATTGCCATGGCGAATATCTACCGGAACTTCGAGTTCGAACTGTTTCAGACGGACCGCACGGATGTTGACTGTTTCAAGGAGATGTTCGTTCCTCGTCCGAAGCCAGGGACCTTGGGGGTGCGAGCGAAAGTCAAGTAGATGGTAGTTAGGGAGATACCCTGGGAAACTCAAGTTATGTCATCTTGTTTTCAGAGATCTCTGATGAGTGAGTAAAACGAAATTTTTGTGGGTAAAAGACCTGCCTCCGTCGATAGAATCTCTCGAGAATGAGAAGCCACTAAATATAGCGAGGACCCACATATTCCACTCTGCGTCTCATGCTGATAATAATGCCCGTCTGCTTACTAGTGTTTTATACGTAGTATCCCGGGTAGACTCAGAACTTAGCGCTCTAACATGCTAGTCAGCGAGGCAGAAGATATTCAAACTGTCAATATAGTAGAATACTGTATAGGCTAGGAAAGCTAGGATCTAATGGACATATAATGTTAAATCTGATGATATCCAACTCTCTCTATATATACGCGGTGAATATTGAAGATCTCCTACTTTGGTAAGTAGCGTGTTTCAAAGCTAAGTTCCGAATGCACCTAGAATACTATATAAAATAAATAGGAAATCCAGTATCCCTATAAGAAGCTAACATAAAAAGAGATATATAGATCTCGGTAGTATAATATGGCTTTCCTTCTTGACAGTATCCCCTCCGGTGATAGTGGAGCATATATGTCGCAGGATATTATTAGGGCTGAGGGATATCAATAGAAGTAACAGATATGCGGTGTAGCATGGAAATCTATGTCTACTGAACAAGGAGTTTCCCACTGAGTGCTCAGCTCGAGGTGTGTAAAGTAAATATTTCGGTACCAGGAACAAATGACATGGTGAAATAAAAGTAAATCTTGCCTGTCAACAACAATAAAAGAGGCACTGTGGAGGCTCCCTGCCCCCAGGTCGGTGTATTCTTTAGGCTTCATCGACTATAACATTGTATTGGAACTTTCCTTGCCTTAAATAACTAAATTTGCAACTCTTGTGTGGTTTCAGTGAGTTTATTTACCACGGATTAGCTGCAGTGAGCTCTCAGGTCTATTAGCCCCTATTCAGGATGATTAAACTGGACCAGAATACGAGGGAAACCCTGAAAAAACTTAAATACTTAAAGATGCTCGTAGGATAGGAGGCGATAACAAGGCCGTTGATGTGGATGCGAAAGATAAAAGTGGCGTAGGTATGTTACGGGAAATGAAAGGCCTTTTTATTAAGTAGGTGGCTTTGAGAGGTTGATTTTATTGATTGACAGAGGCCGCCGGGCCTGCTAGTGAGATGAGTTTAGAATTGAACCTTTCTCACGATTAGCAAGATATAGGGAAAGTGATTATTCCAGTGTTAAGGTTGTCCCATAGATATTGGAACAAAGTATTGTTTTTCTGGATCAATACCTGGCAAGATCCATTCACTCTCATTGACAACGGGGCCTCACAAATAATAGGACGAAACAGAGCCATAGTCAGCCTGGGCATGTTCAGTGCTCTTTAGTTCTCGTGATGGCCTGTTTCTGCTCTCTTTGGGGGACAGCCAGACGATGAATTTGCTGAGAAATGGGACATATATGCCGCAGCAGCTGGAGGGGATCATTCTGGTTGATTGCCGGATCCCATCCGACGATGCCTGCTCAATAGACAAGCATGATCAAGATTGTGAGATCATGGTGCGCTCGATAACACCTAGCTTGGGAATGCCCAACTTGAGAATATTGCGTCAATTCATCCTCTTGCTATCGATAGAGGCAATATGCGCAACAGTCGCGCTCGCGTATTTTCTTCGTTCTTTTTTCAAGATCGGCAATACGGGAGTCGTGAACCGTGATACACTCCTTCATAGCAAACAATCATACGTCTTTTTTCCAAAAAATTTTCAGAAATAACGACTCTGTTGATTAAGCTGTGAAAAGATCAGTTATACTTGATTGGGCCCTGAGTGGTACACTCATACCGGTATTGACAGAAATTGTTTCTGGACGGGATTCCATCAATGCAGCCTTTATACCGGCATATAAACGCAGCCATGAGGAACATCAAGAAACAAAGAATTAATGCATTTTGAAAAGCTTTTCTGCTTGTCTCAATACTCCACCAACCAGGGCTACCCGGCGGACTTTTAGGAGAACCGCTGCACTCAGAAATATATTTCGCCATCGTAAGAAACTCAAAATTCTGACATTAAGATTTTGGAAGAAATTGGAAATAAATCAGGAGAAAGTAGCCATCCAATCCCACAATACTTGAGTCTTTTTAATTGTCTTCAGATATGGATGGAGTAGATCTCGTCTCAGGAAATATTGCTGATGGCCGCGTCATCTACGCGTCACTGAGGCGTCACTAACAAAGACTAGTACAATTACAATGTGGAACTCAATCAAGGACAAGGAGTAAACAAGAGTAGCTCACCAAGAATGATCAATCACTGAGATAGATTGGGAGTTGTGTGCCTTCGGTTCTCGGATCATTGAAATAACAACTTCTAGCTTGTAGATTGTCTTGATTTTTGACCGTGTTATCACTTATTCATACTAGAAAGGTATGGACAATGCGGAAACAAGACTGTTCACCGTTAGCTTTCATCTCAGAGCACTTTATTGATTGCCTTAGTCGATGTATCATACCGTATTGTCATCTTCGCTACTTGAAACCAATGAGTACTCACTCAATGTTAGAAAGTCAGCTATTTCGGTGAGTTTAGTCCAGATCAAAATTAGCCATTTGATTGGTTTTTTGTTTTCTGGATGACCTCCTTGAAATATATTCGCATTGATAAAAGAAATCGCCTGCCTTCTCATATAATACCTAAGCATTGGATTTATCGGCACAAGACCGCAGCTGAGCCTGCAGACGCATTATAATCATCAATGATGCTCACAATAGTCCCATAAGTTCCCCCAACCGTCAAAAATGTACTAGCCACGATAAAGAAGCCGTGCCACGCCATCATCATAGTCCATCCTGTAGACCCGCGCACTTTGCGCTAACTCCTGTTATCATATAGTACATGCCTGCCATAGGACAGAAGCAAAGGGGAATAGCGAGCAACGCACCTATAAGAGAAACGAGATCGCCAAAGACAGGAATAGCGCTGGCAATAATATAAGCAATCATAGCAACGCCAATCGTGAAGCTTAGCCAGATTGTCCAATGCTTCATCATTTTGCATTGAGATGTTTTGAGCCGCGAAGAACGTGAACAAAGATATACTTCGCTGGTAGCTGGAGCAGCGGAAATAGTTAGAGTCATTGGTTACTTTACTTGTATCTCTGGAAAATTGGAAGACTCATCTGGACAAAGAGCAATGTACTAATGAGCAAACCGGGCAACGCGAAGCTTTGGCTTAATTCTTTCACTGTGAGACCGGCGGATCCAAGTGCTGGAGATGACACATAGAGCCTACAGTAGTAGTAGAAGACGATGCCAAAAGCTATATAAAAGCGGTCATGATAGTTTAGCAGACAGTTAGTGATCTGGTTTAGTATCGAGGATCCCTCATCTCAGAGGCTATCGAGAAGAATGCGGGTGTGCCGGCATATGCTAACATGATCGAGGACACCGCATTCGCAGCCTCACTGAATGACAGGTTATTTACAACGATGTAGTCGGATACCTAAATGCCTGTTTGGACTGCATCCACAGGGCGGTTTAAAAATCCAGACTGCAACTGCCACAATACGGACTACCTACCAGTTGGATCCAGGAAACGGAAAGTATAAAGAGGTCTTACTAGAAGTGAGAATGCAGGTCAAAGCAACCCAGGCAAGTCAAAAGATACGACCGAATGTCTGGATGCTGTCAAGGACGCAGGTCAAGACGGCGGCGACGGCAACGTAGACAGCGGCATAGGTAGCGTGGGAAGAGACAGCATTCAGACCTATGGAAATGCTTAACATTCCAGATGCGGTGACAAAGGTCCACCCTACCGCATTTTAGCGAAACCAAATTGCCTCCCATTAAGATGAAATTACGAAGAACAATCGCAATTCCTAGGCAACGTCTGCAAATCGACCGAGCAGCAGTCTGCTAACGTCTTCAATAGCATAGACTTCACGGTGCCGTAGCTTGAAAACACCGATAATATAGTTTGACCACGACGTAATAACAGCAGCGACAAATTAGCAGACGATACCGGGAACTATTCCTAGGGTATCGAATAACGCTGGGATTGAAAGGACACCGAGACCGATCTTTGTTCTCAACATCAAGACAATTGTGCCCAGCCATCCCACCTATTTCATGAATCTACATGTCAGTCCATTAAATGAACCTCAGAGCGTAAAGAACAAAACACCTCCATTGAGGTAATTAGGGCCCTCTTCGGTGATCTCGCCATACACAGCATCATGAGAGTATGGAGGCCTCGAGATTTGATGTCGGAAGCCGGGCCCGGCGAGTGGGGCAGAGTCTGCTCTTCGGTTGGCGTTTCCGCGGATGAGGCATCCGAAGAGACTTGCTCTCTAGCGGCATGGTTACCAAAAGATTCCCACCTCAGTGGAAAGTTTCGGAGGTGAAATGTTCGAAAATTTACGACTTCTATATGTAGTGCGTTTCCAACTTCTAGCAAGATTGTGCCCTTCAACTACAATTCCTGGGTTGCTGCAATCCAGAATGTTGCTGCTCTCAAATCAACATGTTTCAAACATTTTCCTCAATCTTTCGCTCCATCAATGTCAACGGTTTTTGCATTCCTTGGAGAGCATCTTAATGCTGTACTCAACCGAGAATAATCAAAAAGTATCGAGGGATCTACACCAACCACACCGTAGTAGCATGGTTTCCAAAAACGATGACACCACGTTGTTGATGCCTTCCTCACACACAACCAATGCGGCGGTCAAGGTAGTAATGTTTTCGCATAGTGGCGTGGCGACGGGTGTGATTCTGGTTATGAAACATAGCGGGGGGAGAGGGTCGTCGGGATGGTAGGCGCCACCGAAGTGACGGCATTCCGGAAGGCGTTGGCCATGATGAGCCTGTTTTGCAAGTGAAACATATTCCCAAGAAAAATACCATATACTTCGGGACTGGCAAACAGGTTGAATAGCATATTCGCCTTGCTCTCCTTCTCGTACCCACCCAAATTGAAAACATCACAACCGTACGGTCGCGACTAGTTCAGCTTGAGAAGGACACAATTGCCTCTTTGCGCACCCTCTATCCACAGGTGAACTTTCGCCTCATCGTAGGATCAGATACACCGGAAATTTATTCCGTGTTGCAGACATCTGGGTTCGGCAAACGCGATTTTCTGCTGCACACCGTCTACTGCTCCGTTGTTCCCATTCAGTTACCTGGCCTCATTTCCACAGTCTCGTTTCATCTCGGCCATCGATTCCTAAAAGCCACATATGAGAGAGATTGATACGGAAATACTCTTGAGTGGAGGGAGCACAATTTTTGTTGACTCGAAAGATGTTTATTAATACGAATCAGGGGAGCCTATCAGTGCAAATGTCACCTCGGAGCAGTTGATCAAATTAGGTGAGGTCCTCAACCTGGACGATACACAGGGGCTATTTCCCACCAGCAATGTTATTTCAAGTGTGTGAGTATGAGCATCATGGATTTGTCCATCAGTAGGCTATTGCTGGAGATTGCAAAGAAATCAAGTCCTGGGGAGCTGGTGAAGGGATTTTGAAAACTACCGAGGTACCCCATAATAGAAAATCCATCAAAAAAAAGACCTACCAGAGCCACAAATTATCTGAGTATTATTCGCAAGTCCCGCCTGAGTTGTAAACGATATTACGTATATCGGTAGCCACTGCATATTTACTTGCAGGATATATATGTGACTTGCATTGAAAATAGCGTAATGCGAACCAAGAGAAGGGTTCTTATCATAGTATAGTATCAAAACGACACGGTCTCGAAATGCCACGACCCCCGCAGTGGACCTCAAAGAACTTCCGCTCTCCACAGCCGCTTTGGGTCAAATTGGGAGGTATTGCTTTGACAGAGGGTCGGGCTGAAGGACCCACCTAGCGTTCGTAGTTCTTCACGGCCGATGATAGATATAGGTGGTCGACCAGATGCCACCACCAAGCTGCAATACACCGGTCAAGAGGAATATGATGATAGTCACAGAACCGAAAAAATCCTGGTGGTCCTGGCGGAGATCTTGAAGTCCATATGTTCAATACCAAGCACATGGACTTTGATCTTGCTCTTTTCCTGCCACTTTCCATATGACCAAAAAGTCCAACATCGTCAATCTGCATCTTTGCAGCCATTTCTTCAAAAAAAAACCGCCGATCGCAATGAAGCGGATAGAAAATCCATCAATTTTGCCCTGATATCTGAATGCCTGCCTGCCCGGTAGGCCAATCCCCTCGTGAATTATCAGTATGAGTGGTCTGGTCAAGTCACTTGTCTGACTCTATAAAAAGTGCATTCAAATATGTCGCGGGGGAGCAACGAGTAGTTGTCAGATCTGGGTGATCTTATCCTAGTATTGGAGAGGTCGGACTCGGGAAGACTGTTGAGGGCATTGACCTTTGCTTTCTTCACGACGGGAAGTCGTAAACGGTCACTACATCTGACTCAATCAAAACAAACGGTTGCCTATTACCGCCGTATACAATTTTAAGGCATAACCTACATCCGAGTGGCTTAATAGCCTACCATGTGATTAGCATATCGAGATCTCGCCGAACAGCTGGACTACCGATACGTTTCAGAATCTTGTATATCGTCAATGTAAGCGAATATCGAAATATCCGACTGTACCTAGCATCTCCAGGCGGAGAAGTCTTCCCCTGCTTCGCTTTTTTCTGTATTGAAATGCTCTTAAAGGCGCAAAAATTTGGGATTGTTCCCCCGACTTGTAGCATGACTTGTCTTTATTAATAGTGAAGAACATCGTAGCCAACTAATGAGGTTCTAATATCACGGAGAGCTGACCAGGGACATGCATGAATAACCTTATATCTTTCTCTTCATGTCTTAGAGCACTGGAAGTAGATCGGTAGAAAATCTTTGATAGATTCTTCACGTCGACCAATACCCATAGTCAGATGGCGCCCTTTAAGTAAGTCCCTCTTTCGGTCTATACCACTTGGACTTTCGATGATGGTGAACGTGTTCCAGTTGGATTGCTATAGCTAGTCAACGAGCTGATTTTGCTCGAGCAAGAAATTCCTACGCTTGAAAATAGTCGCTCAGGATTTATCTGTGAGGTTTGGTCGCTGTTACCTAGCATTGGTGGATTTGATTCGACGGAGAGCGTTTGCCACAGGCAGTATATATGACGATTTTCCAGCTTTCGGAAGGCTGCTCAGTTGTAGGTTATACAATAAGACAGACAGAAGGCGTATCTATAATGATCGCAAAGTAGTTTGATAATGTAGTTGGTAAAATGCCGTTAAATTATTTGCCTGAGCACCTATACTTTTCTATGGAACTAGCGATCTTCATGCCCTTTCAAATCCTGTAACTTGTTTGATCACCTAGCACCCACTCCTACGTCACTTTGACTGACTTTTAAGCGAACGCCCCAAAGCTACTACCTCGTCACCTTGACTACCACAATGAATCCTCACCATAAGCCTATCAGCTGCTATCCATGTATTAATGTGATTGATATTACACAACCAGGTGTGCTATTCTTTTCAGATCCTGCGACTGGAGACCAATAGAATTTGTCCACGTATACAAGTATGCACACTGCAGGTATACCTCCACCAGCTGCGCTATTTTCCACCTATGAACAGACCTCAGTGAGCAGACACTAAGCATCTCATAGAGTAGGGTGCTTTCCGTGTGTTTGTCTGTAAGAACTTTTCTTACGTTTCAGGAGCAATCCAGCTGCTAGGGCCGGCCGATTCACATTGATTGATTAGGTAATTTACGTATAGAATTTTCTACTTGCACTGTTAAGTTATAATTCTGGGTTGAGGTACAAGTGTGATAATCATTTCTAACTACGCGAGTAGGTGCAGCTATGTCTAGTCACAGTAGGGGTGGGGCCTAATTTTCCTGCTTCTCAGAATTATTTATCTTATGTAGTCTTTATAGGGTAGCTAGGCCTAGCTAGAAGTAGAGAGGGCCACAGACGAACTAGTATTAGAGTTAGCTAATATACTAAAACTCCTAGAGCCTACATTTAATCAATCAAGTAAAGATTTTCCCCTTCGATCTAATTATCTGTACGGAAGATATAGCTCGCCTACTATTATAGCGCTAACTTGATATTGCTAACCAAATTTCTAGATTACTCCCATTGAGCTTGTCTATCGCCTTGATTGGAAGATAAAGTGTCCTGGTATCTGCTACCTAGTATAAAACAAGGTTTAACGCATTGATCACGTATATTATATACATCAAAAGTAGAGCGCTAGAACGCTATTCTATAGAACAAGACTATTTTACACTAGGCGCACTCGAGTAACTATTCCTTTGAATTAATAGCGTCAAATTAGCGCGTGTGTAACAACTAGCGTTATGATATATCTAAAAGCGAGTCCATTCTGGGAGTTCCTTATATGCAAGATGCTAAAAGGAAGCCTCTAAGTTTTTGATAATTCTTGATAACGGCTTCGCATTTATAAGAATCTTCGAAATGTCAACTGATCCAAGTTAGTAACTATATAAATTTAGGTTATACTCTACGACCAACTTTTGGGCTTGTCGTTGGTATAGATCCAAAGGCCTTTCGCTTAGGCCGGCTCCTTATCAGACCTTCTTTGAAAATTTTACAATATAATATTACCGTTTTAGTACTGACATTAAGCTGGTTCTACTTATTTTCGATATAGTTGGAGTTTAGATAGAAAGGAAGACTCTATACCATAGGTAGCAATCAGGGGTATATAGTGTCCCCAGAAACAAAAACAATTTATCTTCGCTCTCTTTTTCGACTACTATACCCAATAACTACGCCTTGACAATCAAAAATACTTACTCTTTATCAAAGTTCATTGGAATTGAACGATGAAAGCTCCTTTTTAATCCTTTGTTGTATGTTTCTAATTTCTTCCTCCTATTACTATATCCGAGAAAGTAGAGCGGGCCACTTAGTTTTCTTTATATTTATCATCTTTAATATTTAGTTCCGGTGAAATCATGTGCCAAATAGGGCATTAGAGTCTCTGTAAAGAGAGGAAGGAAGCTAAGCTCTAATAAAAAGAACGGGGAAGAATAAAACTAAAGATACAGGGGATCATAGATCCTGGCTGGAAACAGGATCAAATAAAAGGGCTAGCACTTAATCTCCTATTGTTCTGATTAAGAATATAAGCTTCTCTTTATAATATACATCCTAATCAGCTCCTTTTCTAGATAGCGAAACTATTTTGCAAAATTTAAACCCTGTACATCCAATCCTCGCTGAAAGAACCACAATACATTGCAAACCAGAGATGCAATGTGTTCCAGGGATATACAAACCAGTTCTTCTCTGAGCCTTTATCTATAAGATACTGCAATCGAGTCAATATTTGAATCATGGCAACACACAAGACCAGAAAATTAGGGGAAATAGAGTGACGCACACTTCCACAACTGCTATCGTGTACTGTTTTATCAATGGCCTGGTGGAGTTTCTTGTCATAATTTCGTTCACTGCTTGATTTGACCTCGACTGAAACGGCTTGATAGAGCATGATAGGCCTTATGAGTCGGATGACCATATCGACCTCGCTATTTCAAGACGTTAAACTCAAATTCCATTTTTGGGACTCGAAAGGGAATTTTTTCATACCTCTCAATTATCTGAATAGTAGATGTATATAGCCGACCAGAATTCGGTCCAAGGATATAAAAGAAATTAGGAAATCCATGCATTGCGACTGTTTTAAATGTCGCTTTGTGGCCATATTCCTTCCAGTGCTGTTCTCGTGTCTTGCCCTGACGCCCTTGTACATTCACATCGTACTGGGTGAGAGAAAAGCCGTTGGCTAGGACCTAAATTGAGATTGTCAGTTTTTCCCCATGGTAGGTCGTAAAGAAAACATAACGCATACGATGATATCGATAGGAACTTCTTGACCCGACTTTGTGAGGATGGAGCTTTTCGTGATTTCTATAATAGGATCATCCTTCAAGCACATATTTTTCTTGGAGAGAGTTGCAAGATATCCACGATCAAAAATTCGTCTCTAATAAGAATCCAAATCAGCTTTATTTTACCCCGGTCACAATTTACTTAGACTCTGTACCTTGCACCCAAATTCAAATGAAGGAATCAATAAGTTCCAATAGGATTCTGTTTTACATTTTAGCTTTTGAAATTTCAATGCCAGCCTTGCAAAAAAATAAAACCTACCAGGCGCCGACTTTTGGACATAATCTCGGCTCTTCATCTCAATAGACGCGCGTCCCAGCTTTCCAATTCCATTCTTCTGAAACCGGAACCACATCAATTCCATATAAAGGAAAAGAATGAAACGAATGAGATAAAGCAAAAGAGGAAATCGATTAAAACGATCTCTCCACTCTTGAGATATTTTATGATTTTTAGCCTCGACGAAGTGGTGTTGAGACTGATTGGCATCGTCAGTTAAGACATCACTTCGGAATCTCAAGGAATTGAACTGACCCTCATGAATTGCGTGACAGATTTGGTTTTGTCAAGAATTGCGGGAACTAGCTGTGCAGCCGATGCTGTTTTTCATTTAAGTTTAACTTCGAAAGATAATTTGGAGGCCAACACTCTACCTCCATTCCCAATCACTGCCACATTTTTATTTGCAAGATCCGTGTTAGGATTCCATCTCGCAGTGTGAATGATCTCTCCCTGAAAGCATTCAACTCCAGGAACTTTTAATTCTTGCGGATTTACCAGACCACCAACCGCCGAAATCAGAATCTCACACTCCTGGGTGAAAGTCTGCTTTGTTTCGAGACATTGCAACGTGACTACCCATTTCTGGGCTTTCTCTTGCCAAGTAGCATTGGTCCATTCCATCCTTCCAGTGAAATGCTGGTCTATCCTATACTTTTTGACAATGGTAGACAAGTACTTCAAAATTTCCCTTTGAGGTGGAAACATTTGGGTGAAATCAGAGCACGGTTCAAAGGAAAAACTGTAGCAAAATCCAGGGATATCCACGGCACATCCAGGATCTGGAATTTGAAATTCAGCGGATATTATTCTTCACACTTTAGAAAAATACTCACATGTGTTGGCGAGCCAAGTTCCTCCTAATCCTACCTGGCGATCGTAAATGCAAAACTCCCTCATATCATATACTTTAATAAGTTGACACGCCATTGCAATCCCTGATACCCCACCGCCAATAATGATGACCCGAGGTTCAGGCCAACTTGGAAAACCCATGGTAATTTGATGGAAAGAAGAAATTGTGAATGCTCACAGCTATATTTCAATGAGTTCCAAAGGTGAAGAGTTATTTCAGGCATAAAACGGAAGGTTAAATCACACGAGAGATATTTGATATGTAAGTTCAAATAAATATGCTAATATTTGTGTACGCTAGGGATCCCAGTGCCCGTTTCAGCCGAACAGTGCAGAGTTTAACAAATACCAAGGCTTCTAAGTCATGAACTGCCCAATCGCCCAGGCCGATAAACATCGGAGCTAAACACCGCTATTCTGTTTCTATCTTGGCTCCTCTGGTTACGAATACGTCACGGCTCCACGTGGCTGTCAATAGTGGAACTAGCTGAGGTTAGCGTTTTGAAAATGGCCGGAAATTAACCAATCACATGTTTATTTAGGTAGAAGCAGCTCTTTTTATTATCCTCCGTCCCTTATTTTTCTTTAATTTTCTGCAGGGCGTTCACAGCCACGGAAAATACCGAGATCTCGGATAGCAGGCGCCGATGAACACCTTTCCTAGCGCGCTGTCAGAAGCCGTTCAGCCAGCCTTTTTTATCTGCCGTAGCTCCCCAAAGAAGCTAGCCTCAGAGGTATGACAGCCGGTGAAAGCCGCATACCCAGCTATGTATTTTCTATCGCCTCTTTTTACCCTGCATGATGCCCTTTTTTGGTTTTCTATGGATACTTTCAAGCCACAAAAAATTTTTCGACTCTCGGCTTTGCCGAAGAACTCCTACGTCGGCAGCTTCCAGTATACGTCTCAGCCAGCCCGTGATTTCCATAACCACCCAAAGAAGCTAGCCTAAACAGTACAAAAGTCGGTGAAAAGCAAATTATACATTATGGTTATTCAACATTGGAATAATACACTCCAGACGCATAGTATAAACCGTCTGGAAAGATAAAAGTTTGTCCGTGGCGCAGCTTGGGCGAGCCATCGGGCGGGACTTTTTTACGTTACAAGCCTGATCCAATGTTATAAAGTTCCATATGAGATTTTTATTTTTCCCAGGGCGTCACTAATAACAAAGACGAAGACTTTGTCGCTTGGCCTCTACCCATGGCCAAAACAGGAAGCATGTTGGTGCAGGACCTTTTAGTGCTATCGCTATATTTGGGCCACCAGCTTTTCATTTCATCAACGTGGACAAAGGCTTTACTGGTGGGGGGTATCTTCACCTTTTCTCTCACGATCTTCCCCCTAGCTGTCCTGTTCGTCCAAACGATCCTAATTCCTCGTCGACTTGTTTCGGTGACGAACACGGGTAAACAAGCCACGGGATTTCTAGGAAAACCGCTATTCTTCCCGGTCCAGTTCAACCATATCCGCCGCAGACCAGTGAAGGATCAGTTTTTAAATCGCTTTCTTCTTGTGGGCACACCAGTTGGCCTTCGCTGTCGCATAGGAAGTCTACTCGCAGTGGATGATAAGTCTCTCGATGTGACCCCTCCTCCTGATGGCGTTGAACGGTATTGGTCATGGAAACGTATCTCATCCCAATTATCCTGTTGGTTTACAGTTGACTCTGCGCGTTTTCTTCATCGGGGAGACCATGGGTTGGATCTGCGACAAAAGCTTGACAATTTCCTTCGCGATCAGGTACTTGGAATCGTTACTGTTTAATGAAGTTGTTGGATCAAATTGTCACTAATTGCTTGAAATAGAATGAGGATCCCTCTCAATGGCCATTTGCCTACCTACTGTGTGTACCCCAGTTCCTAGGATGGTCTCGGGCTGTGGTATCTTGGTGGTACCTCTACAACAAGAATCGGGAACTGGACGCGATGATTCTCGAAATCAACAACTCTTACTGGGAGAAAAGAAATATCTTCCTGAGGGTGACTCCAACCTCTGACTATCCTCTTTGTCCTCCTGCAGACCTACCTGTCGAATATCTTGACGAATTGCACTTGGCGCCTTCGTTGATTTCACGGCCCCGAGCGAAGTTCTACAAAGGAACCTGGATCAAAAGCATCTTTGCATCTCCATTTGAAAAGGTAGACGGCTTAGTATCCAATCGTATGATGGACCCTTTGCAGCCAGAAGCCTGGAAATCCAACACTTCCTTTTCTAATATGACAACAATGGAGGAGGATACGGGCGAGGTCCGAATGGCAACTCGCTTGATTTGTGATGGTCCTCCACTTGACCCTACCAGAATGACTGCTTTCCAGGTAGCAAAGTTCGTATTCAATTGGACGCTGCCAAACATGTTTACAACGGCAGAAATTGTTTACAAGGCTTTGAAAATAAAATTCACTGGGATGATGATCATGAACAAAAAACCACCTGTGCGCAGCGGGACTGTTGGTCGCCCAATAACGAAGCTTGAAATGTATCATTTCCCCTCTCTTGACTTTATCATGGCTCTTTTGTGACTCACGAACGAATTAAATAGGGTTTTTGAGGGATTTTTCCGCTCATACCTCGCTACCTGCGTTGAGAATTTCCCAGAGCCGATTGAGGTCACCTACCTGCCTTGCAGGTCATTCACCAATGAGATTGTTCGCATGCAGTCTCCTTTATATAAAGATGCCCCCTCAAACGCACACTCGCTGAGAGTTGAACCTGTCGATCCACAATTTTATGTGAGATTCGCCACCTATCTCGATGTAGAATCAGCTCTAGGTCAAGAAACGCAGCCGGCAGGTCTGATCGCTGATCCTACAGCCCAGCCACTTCTTGCATCTGACTTATCTCTTCTTGCTTATGTTTTGGAGTCTGGATCTAAAACCAATAATTCAACCTCTGCTTCAAATTGGAAGATGAGGCTGATATTCTCCTGGTGCCGGGGATCGGGCCTTACATTCATGGATAATTTCAGCATGTCATCGTCCAACCTACCTCCCCGCGCTACCTACCTTGCGGCGACTCTACGAATCGCAAGTGCCAGGAAAATTGCATTTGGCTCTCAGTCTTTGCTAAGCATCTGGATTTTCATCGCATCTTGGTTAGTCCGATATCTGGTTTTGAAAGCCCTCTTTGCCTGGTGCGATACCGTCTCAGTCACGGGAAAGACTTCTATTATGCTTGCAACTGCTGGATATCTCTTGGCTATGAGTGCTCTAGAATCAATAAAGAGTTGGCTTCTTCAAATCTAAATTTAGTCCGCTGAAGTTTCGGTCCTTGAAGTCTCAAGTTTACCAACGCATAATTTGTACACATAGCCTGTAGAATGTATTTTCGAATAAAAGGTGGCGTCAATGGTGGATTTAAATAATGTAATTAATTAAATTTTGGTCAATCAATACCTCCAAAGATTGCATGATGTTCGCCGGCCCTATTTATCATGCCTTGAAATAATACTCGTACTCTTTCAATGGGTATTCGTCCCGTGGAACTTCGTTCCAGGGGCAAATTGCATGGCATTGAGGAATAGAGTCCTTGTCAATAATACATATAGTTTCAACCAGGTCAAGTTCGAGCCCACGTAGAACCTAGAGCCAATGCCGAATGGACATGATATTGAGCATGCGGATGCGCGGTCTTTCCAGTGATATCATATACAGTTCAACAACCCATTTCTCGAGTTAAATTTCTCCGCGTCACAAAGATACTTATCTTGCGTATCAAAACATGAACAGAAGAGGGGGCAGTCATCCCCTTGGAATATAATGATCATTCACCATGAGACTAGCGGGAAGGATGCATCGTTTGAATCCATTTGGAACCGCTGGGACGAGCCACACAGAGAAGTAAGGTGGAGAAGGTAGTAGAAAATCGCGCCCATCGCCATGGATGTCGTATCGGTACATAACAGTCCGATTCTGCCTCACCTTGGGGTCATTTCAAGACCGAAAGATAGGGAATCTACTGATTGCTTACAAAACTATATTTCACTTTCTAAATTTAGCACTAATCATGTTGAAAATACTCTGATTGACATCATCCCCTATCCCCAGGCTTGCCTTTGCATCGCTGTAAACACATTTCTCAGTGGCGATCATTTCCCTATCATTTCCCTATACAAATGTTCAAAAACAATCCAGCTTGTACTGCCGCGCCTTTGGTTGAAGGAGACCCTGAAAGCGACAAATTTGCATGCCCATATTTAAGATATAACATCAGGAGATAGAATTACGAAAAGGGTTCGGAATATAGAAGTCATGCAAGAGCTCAATATGTGTCTATTTGATGTACCTCTATTGGTCTTTTCATTTGCAGTAATGTGTCGAACTGTAAATGGCCACTAGACCACAAAAAGTATGAAAACACTGATTTGGGCCTAACCGCATAATACAGTATTCTTTCTGGTTGCCAATATATAATTTTTCGCACATAGGCTGCATCATTATTACCACAGCAAAACCTCTTTCCGCATATTTTCAGAATTTATTTCTGAAGAACGGCCGTAGTAGATCTGTGCACTGCGCTGATGAATGTCAAATACTGGGAGAAAAGATGACAGTCGTACTGCGGCAGGGATGTCCACACAGCTTGCCACGGTACCCAGCCCCTCCTCTTCAATATCGATCCATTTCTCTGCTATGGCGGCCACTATTACACTGTTCCAAACACCTTCCTGGACAGAGGCGACGCGAAGCACATTCAAGGCGCGTCGGCGAAGACATGGGTCTCGACATCGAGTGGCGACATTGAACATAGCACCAATGATGCCGAGGTCAAGGGAAAAGATCGTTGGCGGAAGTGCTGGTAATGGCGACAATGATGAAGGTGAAGACACATGAAGAAACCCTGTAGAACAGAAGTATTCGACAATTGACTCGCCTAGGTGTACCATCTGCTCAAAAAGGGAATAGTACCGATCCCAGAGGGTAGACTCCTCTGCCCCAGTCACCTCTGCGAACTGAAGAACATCCAGCACTATGAAACAGTCGATCTTACGTAGCTTGAGGATTGCGGCACCCCGATGGTCGCGACTTGTCAAAGAGGCGCTAGTTTCGAGCAAGAAGCGGTCCAGAGCATCAGACCAACGCGCCAATAGGGAGAGCGAGGTGTCGTGTAGAGTGACGGCTTCGGGATTCATATATGTGAGAGAATCCATCATTTTGTTTTGATTTCGCATTGCCGTGCTATGCTGTCGATAAAAGTAGGTGTATACTTCAAGCATCTCACGTGCCTCGGCTAGTGAGTGGAACGCAACTGGTCGGTCTAGGTCAATTGCCAGTTTGGGCCACAGGCTGAGGGGCGATGCGCTTGTGTTATGGACAGTCTATAGAAATTTCTTTCAGAATGAATCCATAGCTAGAGGAAGGGGCCCTGAGATTGAACACTCATACCACAACGGCCTGCGCTTCCAGGCGGGTAAAAAGCCCGCATAAGACGTTGATCGTGACATAAGGCATGCGGCCTGTACTTAACGCTATCCACTGATCCACGCTAGACTCACTAGTTCGGAGCTCCCCAAGAATCTTGAGTCCGCTAGTGATATGAGTGATAGCGCAACCATATTGACCACGCATGGCCTAGGGCTCAGCTAGCACACATAATTATTTCCAGTGATGGGTAATGTAAGTAAAGGCATACCTCAAAGGCGGCAAATAACACGCAAGACATCAGACACACATCGACGGGTAGCGAGGGCGCCGTCGTCGGCAGCAGGCAACGGATAGCGCGTAAATACTGTCGAAGAGCAAAGGGGCTGTGTATGGCCCGGGTTCCCGAGGTCACAGGGACACCCGCATCCCGCACGAAAGTTTCATGTAGTGAGCCCAGAGCGACTATCACATGACGAATGGCTGGTTCGTGGTGTGCAGACTGGACTAAATGGTGATCCCAGAAGACGCACGCGAAGTTGCCGGCTAGCTGTGGGGCAGTCTTGGTTAGAAAAAAGTGGAATGAGCGGCGCTCCTGGTCGCATAGGAATAGGCCATGGGAATGACCACCCAGAGGCACGCTAGGGTACGGAGCAATGGATTTTGCTGTCCTGGTTTCGTTTGTAAGCCGTGAGGCCGCCAGGGCTGACGAGGGTGGAGTCATCGACTCTTCATAGCCGTCACACGCACGACCAGATGATGTGCATCGTAGGCAAGCTGGGCGCTCTTCACCACATTTTACTCGTCGTTCTGTTCATCTCAGCAGATAGTTCTCTGATTTTTCAGAGGCAAAGATCACTCTCACTCCTGGCGGACAATTAATAGGAGTCGTATCAGGGTGCGGGGGACGGACTTGCAGGTCAAGCAGCCTGTTCGTTTCTTAGGTTGATATGCCCGTTTCCGGTGTCCCAGGGCGACTCGAGTCATAATGCGAACAATTATTGATATGTCAAGACGTGAATGAAAGAGAGTATGGCGAGCTTAAGGATAGAAAGTATCGAAGACGCGAGATTGAGGAGGATCTGCCGACCGTGACTAACTTTGTTAGCGGGAATCGGTTCTCCCGACGACCCGGAGAGTATCCACAGGCGCTCTAATCCAAGCTAACGATCTCAAATCTCAAAAAAGGACCGAAATTGGGTCATTGGATCCGTTTTGATACGATTCTATTTTGATACAATTTAGTGAACTTTGAGGGGTTAGTCAAGCTATTAAATGCGCCAATTCCCGATCAAACACAGAAACAGTTTCCAAGTGATTACAACAGGATGTAGTGGGATTGTAGAGATGAGATGGTCGATAGGATAAAATAGATAATTCAAGAACAGCGAGATGCTTCAAACTTTCAATAAATTGGTTGTTCAAGTTTGAAAAGAAATCAGAAGTGAAAACATAGATTCGAGCAAAAAAATGTGTCAATATAGTAGGATACGGTATCGGCTAGGAAAGCTAGGATCCAATAGAACGAGATGCTTAATATAGTGATGTATTGGGTGACTGAACTATCTAAGTGTGTGGGCGGGGGAATGTTGAATATCCCCTACCTTGCTGTCTAGCGTGTTACGGCGCAGGGTTCCGAGTATACCTAGGATACCATACAAAACACGTAGCAAATCGAGTATCCCTGTAATATCCTGACGCGCATAGAGATATGTGGGTCTCGCCCGTATTATGCAGTCTTCCTTCTCGACAAAATGCAAAAGACCAAAAAAAAATATTCAGTGGTGGCGCTCTTGAAGATTCTATGTATGGTAGTTAGCAAGTATAGGACCGCCCTTCCTCAAAACGTACCAAATCATCCTCTAATACCCTCATCTTGAATCTTATGTTTCCTTTCTTTCGCTGCTTGCGGTTAGGTATGTCCGCGTCTTTACCTGGCATGATACGGCCTGGATGTACAACATTGAGCGCCACCAGCGCCAGTAACATAGGCAGGGAGTCGAGGCAGTACTGGTAAGCCTCGTGAAGTGGAATCGTGCTATCAAGGCCTTGTGCATATTCACAAAGACGGAATATGATGCGTGCCTGGGCTTATTAGCCTGGGTCTCATAAGATTGAGAATATCTGCTCACGGTGATCAAGGCTAAACATGCGTAGAGGATATAGAGCAGTATCAAGGCTCTTCCTGCATCGGACCGCCGCTGCGAAAGCACCTTCCGATGAAACTCTATTGCACAGACTGTAAATATGACAATGAACAGCTGTTGCACACCCACGCCGCCCATGTAAATATGCAAGCCTGTCATCTCGGCGCTATGCGAAACATTATTGCCGGCAGCCTGCGCCGCCCCATAAACTTGAATAACGAATGCACTACTTCTCTGTTGGTATGTATTGAGTATAAGACAGAGGCAAACGACGTACATGATGTCAAGAATCACAAACAACAATCCGAACTGCCACGGCCGTACGCGCAGGACTTGGGCGTCATCGATGAAGTTCCACACCATTCGACCCATTACCATGTAGACGAACGCATTCGTCCAAATAGGTGCAACAAGGATCAGGACAAACCATGCAGCATAGTTGTTATAGCTTGCTGGGTTAAGGATGCTGAGAACACGGAATATATATGTCACCGTCTGGATCGTTGCTGCTATGGCGATGACCCAGCAATAGAATTTACGGTATATGATGGCCTGCGCCACATGAGCAAGACTCGTCAGGCCAAACAGCACAGTAAAAAGGTATGCAGCTTCGATCGAGGGACAGAAGCCCCACATCGTGTTAAGCGTTGCCAGAGCTATTCAATGTAAGTATTTATCTTCGTGCAGAACCTATAGGTCGTCTTACCTTTACATTCTGCCATTGTGAGAGTGATTGGGTGCCATTGAAATGATTTAATATCGCCATCATGGGGATTTTCTCCCTTAAATATCCCTATCTTTAAATCTCAGTGTCAGAGCAATATCTCAGTGTCAGAGCAATATCTCAGTGTCAGAGCAATATCTCAGTGTCAGAGCAATAATAGAAAGTGCTGCCTGCTGGTGTCCACACGAGGGCTGGACCCGCTTGGAGTACGGCAGCTCTGATTGGCTTCCTCGTATGGGCGGACCAATCACACCACAAGGCTATGTGATGGGATCGAAAACCGAAATGTCCACCATATGCAGTGGGGAAGCCAAGAACGGGCCCAATGCCGCAGATCTTTGATTGGTGAATTGGCTGGAGATAGAAAGAGATCGTCTCCATGTACAGTGAATATACAAAATAGGATAGATATCGCTGTTCTCACCCACGTAGCCTAAAATAGCACAAATGCCATTACAATGGCTGAATGAACAGCCTCTATTTCTTCGTGGAGGCTACATTTCCGGATCGATATAGTGTTGTCTACATTTAGCTGAATTTGCGAGAAACCCGGGAAAGTCGGGTCATAACGCGAGATACAGCTAATAAGATTAATGTTGTCAGGTATAGGAGCTTTTTTGGGTTCCTAGAAAGAAAAATTTACTGAAAACGAAAGACTGTTGCTCAGCAAACGCACCATCTCATGGCCACCAAGGGTATCAACATAATTCATAAGTCGTCTACCTTGTCGTCAAAAAAAATACGTCAACAAGGGCAAGAAACATAATTCAACGGTGGATATCCACGAAGGAAATGGGCGCACAAAATTCTCAAATCAATGATGAAGTCCACAGCCGATAGGCGGAAAGAATATGGGATAGCCGACTTCCCGTTATATTCGAGGCATTCATCTCAGTCATCATGCCAAGTCTGAGCTAGGCAGCAGTTGGGCCACGACGGCCCCAGCGACGGCGAGTTCTGTCAATGATGTCAGTTCAGATCACACTCCATTACGACAAACATCATTGATTATTGGTCGAGGGGGCTAGGAAGACGAAATACTTACGTCCCAGCACCAGAGTCACGGACACGGAAGGTGAACCAGATACCCTGCGGGAATTGATACTCGTCAGTCCTCATGAATCGCAGACAGGCATTCCATCAAAACATACCACTAGTGCAGAAACAAGCCAAACAATAGCGGAGAGAAAACTAAAGGCTTCAGCGGCTTTCCAGCGCGCGCAAACTGAATTGCCTCGAAATTGCCATGACCAGATGCTCCCGCAGGGCAAGTGGTGGATCGCGTCGACTAGAATACCGAAAGCAGCAAACCATGCAAAAGAAATCAAGACGTCCACTAGAAAGACAATGTTAGTACTTCCGCGACTATCACTGTAAGCGAATTTTTGAACACACATGGCCAAGAGAAGAACCCCGAAGAGAAAGGAATAAGCCAAATCAAGCCAAGGAGAATTGATAAACCGGCGATTACTTCGGTGTATATCCAGCGAGCCTGGGGCCAGGCGTCGATATCGTCAAAAGAGGCAAGATAGTGTCCGATGATACCTGCGACAACCTAGTCAACGTATAAGAGAGATGGCTCCAGGGTAATGGGATAGACCTGATCTCGCATACCGCAGCAAAAGCGATCTCGGCAATCCGAAGCGGGATAGATACAAGGCGCGAGATGACCGGCATGGAGGGCGTTATCAAGTAAAGCAGGCAGGAAATGGTAAGTTTCTCGAATATAGGGTGAACGGGAAGATTAGAGAAGTTGTTATATGAAGCTTTGTGAAGCGAAAAGGCTGATCAAATTGGTTTTAGGCGGGTGGGCAGGACGAGGCTTATGAACTGCGATCGGGCAGCGCTGCACCAGGACGAGAGTGCAGCAACGAGGACGTGGCACACATTTTAAGCAAGGGCCTCAACCCCAACCCCCTCCGAAAAAAAAAGAAAAAGGAACATCAAAGCCAAAAAAAAGACAATGATGCAAGGTAAGCTTCAAAAAATGCGGGCCCATGAAAGAGTCAAGTCCAACTAAGACCTACAGGCCAATGCAGAGTCGACCACGAGCGGCCGATGTCGTCAGACGTCCCTACGAGCTGCTACTCCGTGCTAGTGGGCAGGTAGCAGTTTGCAGCTTGGATCGGTTGTGAGGGGGATCGTCATTTGACGCCATGCATCATATCCATGCAGTTCTGATTCCACAGCCCCAATCTCCCCTGCTCAAGCCCCTCAGGCCATGCTTCAAGCCATGCTTCCCTGGTTTCGCTGGCGTGGGACGATCGCCTCACTCCCCCTGCGAAACCCTAACTGGTACCCCGACCGCCACTGATGTATTCTTTTGTGGCTGAACGACTTAGCCCGATCGGAGTAAGGAGCTGTCATAGTGCAGGGACTGTTGCCTACCCTGGTCTCCCATGTTTTGATGAGGAGACCGGGGGGAGTGGGTATAATCCCACGAGTCAGGGGGGTTATCCCTGTTTTCATGCTGCGCTGGATTTGCTCGGCGATGCGCTGGCCGAGGTCGAGGAAAGCTCTCGCTTGAGAAACGCGCTGGCCTGCTGACGGATCTCTTGTGGCCGTTGTCGATCAGTTTGCTTCGATGACACATGATTGGCGCGGTTTCATCCTCGGCTTGTTCCATGTTCAGTGACCTTCCCTTCCAAGCGATCAGTCCCGCGCCCAATATGAAAGCCCATAATTTTGCCCTTGGGATAGACTTGAAGTGTATTCTTCTCTCTGCTACACCGATTCAATAATCATTTCTGAACGCCAGGTAGAGAGACTCCTTGTCCAGAGTGCCTGTGTCGGAGTCACTAGGGCTGATGATCCACCTAGCATTGCTTGGGCGCGGGATCCAGTCATGGAGCCCTTCGCCGAGCTATCCGACTGGCAAGGTCCCCGGCTGGATGTACATATTACCCCATCAGCCCTATGACGTGTGGGCCTCTGCCTCTCTGTGGTATGATCGCATTTTGGTAGGGATAGAAGCCGTCTCCAATCAGATTTTGAGCGCGGATCAAATTACCCAAGTAATACAGAGACGGAGCTGGGGGGACAAGAATGACTTGGGTTAACTACCTGGATCTTCCTCCCACTCCGGTGTTACAAGAGATCACAAAGAGGGAGTGATGACACGATTGTTATACATTATTTATTTGCGAAGACTAAACAAGCAATACATTGGTTTTCTCTTGGGCTAAAAGGGCTCAGTCGAAACACTACATAGAGGAATTGTGATAATTATGTTCAAGATCGACGCTTCGACACTAAACGATAGAGTTACTTGGCTGCTCAGCTGAACAGCAATTTTTATGAAATTGGTGATAATAACTGTTTCTGAGGTGGCGGAGCGAGAGAAAGAATGGTCAAAGTCATAACTTCTCCCTAGTTCGAAGTCGCAAATTTATAGTACATCGTATCGTGACCCGAAGTTGTGGAATCATACGTTTCATTCTCTGTACGACTCATAAATGTCGGATACAAGAGAGGGTATAGTATATGCTGACATATGCTGGCACTTGAGTTGAGATCTCAGGTTGATGCCCGACAAAAGACTTCTTCGACGAACAATCATGTGACCAGCGTACTACCGGATTCGGATTAATATTTTCTCCCGTCGATGCCCAAGGCCTCCAGGCGCCAAGCCCTGGCTCTACTTGGCTTTTGAGCAGGGGGTGTCAGACTCATTGCAGGATCTTAAAGTTACTGGCCATGGTCGGGTCGGCGCTTGACTCTTCTCCATTCACACTTTAAAGCATCAGCCCATCCATTACTACAGATCTTCAGGTCGTGTTTCCGCTAAGCCTTTCATTCCCCATCTACGCTCAGTGGTTGGCCAGGGTCCCCCACCTTTTTGGCCGTTATCCCATCTCTGTTGAACGGGCCATTCCGCCTCTCCATGGCTACCTTTGGGGATGTTTGATCTGTTTGCTTGATATTTCCTAACCATGCCTGGTGAGTATTGCACACAGGTGGTTGAAGTCCCTATCAGGCCTCTTAAATCAAGATCTGGGTGCAAAACCTGCAAGTAAGTTGCTCGATGGTCAGGCCAAAAAGATAGAGAAACAAGAACAGGGTCATTGAAACTAGTGCTCACAGAATTCGACGAGTCAAATGCGGAGAGGAAAAACCTTCATGTGTCCGGTGTACTAGTACGGGTCGCAATTGCAAGTATGAAAGCACCGCGTCCGGGACATTCTCATCAACATCTTTGCCTGTCTCGGTTCATAGCAGCGGCCCGGAATTCTCATCAACAACCGTGTGGCGGGAGCGTCGAGCGTTCGCATATTATTTTGAACATACAGCGTCTCTTATCGGCGGAGAACTTGATATCGATTTCTGGCGCACTATTGTGCCGCAGGTTTGTCAAGCGGAACCGGCCGTCTGGGATGCTATCAACTCGATTAGTGCATTGTTTGAAAGTTCCGACCCATGTCCAGAACTGATTCCTCTACGCAATGGACCTTTTCTGGGACTCAATCAGAACCATCGAGACGCATTAACATGGTATTCTCGGTCTGTATCTGCTGTTCGCCAGCGAATTGAACGCGGTAACGTGGATATCTTTGTTGGACTTGTGACCTGCATTCTTTTTATTTGCATTGAGGCTCTTCAAGGATGTTTTGAGGAGGCAGTGCAACTCTATTGTCAGGGTGTCCAGCTCATTCTCGTTTTCCGGGCTCAGGTAGCCACGGGAAGTATATCGGGAGATCGTGCTCCCTTACTTGAAAATACGATAGTTCCCCTGTTTATCCGTCTTGGATCACTGGCTATCACCAGCCCTAGTCCCCCAGTAGCTCCTTTGCTTCAAAGCAATGGCCCTACAGTGACAAAAGCGTTCGGGTCTATCAAAGCCGCCAGAGAATCACTTTTGCTTCTTGCTGCAGAGGCTCAGCTCTTTGAGAATACTTGCAATGCAGAACATCCAATAAACTCAAGACTTGCAGATATACCGGAGGAGTTGATAAAGCAACACGCCGTTCTGCTGTCTAGGCTCGGTGACTGGCACACCAATTTTACAAACCTGATGGTGTCGGTACGCATGAAAAGTGTTCTATCGTCACAGCAACTTGGTACTACGGCTATGCTTCTTGCCTATTATGAAACGACATTTATCATACTCTCGGTGTGCTTGTCTCCATTGCAAATCTCCACAGACGCCTATCTGCCAAATTTCCAACGAATTCTTGAGCAGTGTAGCATCACACTTCAAACCTTAGTGCGATCCGATGGGTCTCAAATACCTTTCACTTTCGAAGCTAGTATTGGGTTTCCGCTTTGGTTCACTGGTCTCAGATGTCGCGAACCTCGAATCCGACGCACCGCGCTGGCTCTTCTGCGTCGGTCTCCTCATGTACAAGGCTTTCACAGGACTCTTCCCGGAATAGTATTTTGCGAAAGGATTATGATACTAGAAGAAACATCTGCCCTGGCAAAAAATGATACCAAGCGAACACTTGATTCAAATTCTTCGATCACATTTCGCCCAGCCATAGCCTCCGAGTCTCATATGCGGAATGATTTGAGCATTCAGAGTGAAACAATGATTGCCATACCAGAACCGGAATCCTATGTTAACAACAATACGGGTCCTGTTGGTACACAATTAAAGACATCCTTGGCAGCTCTCATTCCAGAGGAGGCACGACTTGGACCTGTCAATGTGTTTCGCCCGAGGGACGGGTTTCCTCAAGGGGCCATGGGAAAAGACATAGTGAAATGGAATGGAAATCGCGATCAAACGTTTCTGCAATTCTGGAGACATGAACTTGACCCCTTAACTGGCACCTGGCAGCCAGTTCATGAATATATTCCCATAGACTTCTTTTGAAAAACTGTTGCTGTTCTAAAAGCAACTGATTCACGCATATAATATATAGACAGAATCTATAAGAACTGAAGAGTGATCCATCTCAAGAGAATTTGGTCTATTGCTCCATTTACAGGGGACATCCATATTTTCGGGTCTGAACTGCCAATGTGAACGGATCAATCAACTACCACATTAAATCTAGCCCACAAAATAGCATGTCCATACATCCCAAACGGGTAAATTGTTTTGCCGTGTCGTAAAGTTGCCGACCTAAGCAATCATTCTTTTTACCCTGCCTTTCATGGAAGCTATTCTTTGACTATGTTCAGAACAGATTCCTTATCAGCCTCGATCATACAGGAACTCATTATTATGGAATCAAATACGGGACAATGCAATCAGGATGAACCACTTCTCTATCCAGGAGAAAAACTGGAATTAATTGCCAACTTCCCTACGATCTATTATTAAATCTCTCCCAATACTTCATTCACACTTGTTGATCCTCAAAGCCATTATAAAAGACATTGTTTGTGTGCATCACTGGTGAACTACATTGGCACGGGATTCGGGTCATAATTATTACCCGCAGGATGACATTTAATATTTTAGATCCAGCAATTAAGGTTCAGAGTCCTCTCATTATCATATGCTTTTGAGAAACAGACCCCCACCGGCTGCACTATTAACGGGTTTAGGACTAGGGTTTGCAGGCAGCCCCGACAGCCTGGAAGATTATTTAACAAAATAGTCCAAGAACTCGGTCTGTTGTCCTGATATAGTGGATCATGCCAGGTAGAACGGTTGTTCTGTTCATTATCTCTGCAATCAGCAGCTCATCGGTTCTTGATTTACACCGGGCATTTCAACCAACCCAGTGCTTCCAAAATCCGTTCCATACAATTGAGGTTTTATTTTCAATAATTTGGATCATGGATTTAATGAATACCGGGAACAAATCAGATTGAAAAATACGAAAATTTGGCCATAGCCTCCACCTCGGTGTTTGTCTTTTCTTTCAAATCTGATATTGATACAACTAATAATCTGGATCCGGTAGAAAGCTTAATGCAAAACAAATACCTAACGCCAAGATATGGATCCTTCACAACGCCACGCCAAGTAACTATTCCCTGTGAAATGCTTAGCCTCCCAAAACAGTCCAGCTCATCAAGCCAACCCACCCGACGACAAAAACAACCGTCAAAATCCCTGCTCCGGCTTTATCGCCAGTGGTAATCTTGGAGGTCGTCTCGCTTGACGTCGTTGTGTCGTTCTCACCAGCCGTGGGATCACTGGTGCTGTTGCCACCGGTTGTGGATGTGACTGGAGCAGATGAATCAAATTGAATCATGTTCGCAACAAAAATATTGGTCGCGCTGATTTGTTCCTCCATTCCCATCCACCCATCATATGTTGACTTGTACCATCGGACACCACATGTGTTATTGTTGTGGCCGGTGCAAGACTTGGCGGCAGCAGTGGCTGAAGTCTGAAGATATGGCAAGATGGTGCTGTAGGTCGACGGAACAATAAGAGCTGTAAATGAGAGCCAGGATGAGACCAGTCCTTTGAACAAAATCTCGTTGTCATTACAGCTTTCCGATGGCTCGCAGACTACTTCTTCAAAGATACCTCCATTGCTAGTTGGGAAAAACTTGTCGAAGGTTTTGTTCATGAGGCCATTCACGGCAGTTAGCCATTCAGAACTTCCGTTGGTCTATAAAGAATTCGCATATGGTCAGCTTTCCTGCCCATTCGGAGCAGCAAACGTTTCTCGAGAGCTTACATAGTTATACATATAGGCGGCGCCCATCATATATGTACCATAGTTATAAGACCACTGGGTATTACCTTGAGTCGCACAATCGTCGTCGTTGTTGGTCGAATCAGCCACATTCCAGGTCGAGTTGTTCAGCAGGGGACTGCTCAGAGACCAGTTCCAAATTTTCCGCGCCCACTTCGCGTAGGTCTCGTCATTTGTATAGCGTGCCAGTCTGGCCGACAGTTGAAACAGACCACCGTTCGAGATGGAATTCTTCATATCGTACCCCGACTCGTAGGGCCAGATTTGCCACCGCATCCCGCCACTGCAGTGCGAGGTATCCCATCGGTCAATCTGCGTGTTGAAAACACCCTGAGCGAGTGAAAGCCACGAATAACCTGACGACGAGTCAGCGAACTTGAGTTCCGCCGCTGTCATCGCAGCCAGACCCCAGAACATCTGATCGTCATTGCCCTGCATAACTCAAATTAGCCGGCAGATCGATTCGAGGATGACTGGAAACCCGTTTCGTACCAGATAACTACTGTAGTTGCTAGGCATATAGTCACCATCGCCCGCCTGCCACTCCAGTCCGACCCGCAATTCGTCGTTGTAGGTGGTGTCGCCGGTGAAATGCCAATATTGCAGCAGCGCCAGGAAGAGAGCGGCACCTTCCCACCATTTACTTGCGAAAGCTCCCGGGATATGACCCGTCTCGTTTCCTTTGTAGTAGGTCATCATACCATAGGCTGTGGTACTTGCGGCATCTTTGAGGGATTCTGTTACCGGGAGAGGATTCCCGCAATCAGTATTTCAACGACAGAGAGTGAGATGGACGGCCGAGGCTCTCCCGGCCATACATGCAAACAATGGAAAGGACCCAAGCATACGTTCATCACTGATATCCAGATCGATGGTGGCCACGGGATTGGACAAGAGCAGCGCGAGGAAGAGACCCCTTATCCAGCGCCACACACCTGGCGAATGCATCTTTGCGGCCTCACAGCGCTGTCAATGGATACACGTCCGGTGGGGTCAAACGTTTGGAAGCGGGGGGCGGGTGGTCTCGCTATAGATCGAAGGACCAAAAATCAATGAGCAGCACTCTTTTAGTTATGAGCGGAGGCCATGATCAGTCCCTGACGGAAAGGGGGATGCAGGACTTTTTCGAAGCCAAAAGAAAAGGGAGCCAACTTGGCTAACTGGGCCAACTGAGCGAAAATGGCTGCCCCATTTTGCCGGAAATATAAATATAGCGTCAAAAGCATGCGTAATCCTCGGCGCTAGCGTCGTCAACTTTGATGGTGGAGAACGGACGAGTCGCCTTGAGCATCCGAGCAGTGGATCCGGCCAGTGGGGACCGCCAAGCTCATTCAAGCTTTGCTTTCACAGATGGGTTGGGTAAGGCCGATCGCCAGGAACCATGTTGGCCATCAAGGTGATGGATCTCAGGATTCCTATATGAACGGGCAAGATTCTCGGGGGCAGGAATATCGCGACGACGGGGTCTTCGGTCTTCTACTTGCCCGTGCTGGGCCGGGCCCCGATCGAAATGGCCCAAAGCCGCGGCACAATCGGCCGCGTCATCGCCACGCCGCCCGATCGGCTCTGAAACCTCTGGAACTTTGATCGACGCCAGATGATCAACCGCTGTCAAAGACGCTCATCCTTCTCCAGATATATATATCCCGGCATGAGGATGAGCCGTTGAGAGGCACTTAGAGACGTCCCTTGGGCATACTGTCAGGTCTCCACAGAGCATGCGGCGCTGGGCTCCCAGCATTCCGAAATCTTCCACTCCCCACCGGCGCCGGGAAATCCAAGGCAAAAGGCCGCCGGGGACAAGTGGACTAGAAATCGGTGGGTCCGAATGATTTCTAGAACTTCCGCAATTTGCAACCACGGACGGATGAGAGACAAGGACGGCCAATGCTCCAACCCTCAAGCAGACTATCTTTCTGGAACGGGATTGTATCGATCGTACTGATATCGACCTGTCATTCAGCCCCGTACATATGGATCTCAATGTCCCCGGGATCTCCACAGCTGGGATTCCTCGGCCATCTCTGTATCCAAGGCATCGAAGAGATGAAAAAATCTGGTAATTTTTTGGTCAGGTCTCGATTTCCATGTTGACTCCTGTGAGATCCTTGGCTTTAGATACACGTCCGGCCGTTGATTGACCTACCGCTCGGACAGAGACGGGGACTCTTCTACTAGTCCCACGTAGCATGGAGACTGCGAGTGAAGCTTCTAACAGGCGAGTCTATCAATCCTCAGACTACTAGTAAGTAGTAGTGGTATTCACCACCTTTCTCGGAATAATTGACCGCCTTCTCATTCTATGACTCGAAGCGTGATGATGAGCGGTTTAACTCGTTTATATCAAAGCATAAATCTTCGACTGGAATGAGATTGTTTCGGAAACTTATCGATGTACAGAATGAATCGATCGGCTCTTCTCTCCCCTTGGCCTTCTTGAGAGGTATTCCAGGTAGCTTCCGGAGAATGACACTATGTTCGCGCTGTCTCTAATTCCTGGCCTCGCTGCCTTGCTTCAGTTTGCCTCCAAGAATAACCACGGAGAAACACCACCCACAGAAGGGGGCTACACACGATCCACAGTCCCGCGACCATGGTGGCGGTCCATCCGATACCGATGGCGTCAATCAAGGGCGCCACAAAGCCCGTAGTGCCGGCTCCCATCAGACACCGACACAGATTGTTGGCAGCGACGGCGGTTGCCGCACTGCCATGATTGATGTCCACCACAAGCGTGTTCAGGGTGTTAAAGGCGCCGGTGGTCGTGAGGCCCGTCAAGTACAACATCACAATGGGACCCGCCAGGGAGGTGCGGTACTGCATCACCCACCCATAGGCAAGGATACAGAGTGCCCCCAAGTAGATCATGGGTAATGTAATCGCCAATCGTGCATGCTCGATATTGAATTGGGTGATATCTTGCTGCCGATTTTTCTGAATCGCCATGCCCTGGCGACGGGCTTCACGCCGGAAGTTCCAGTCGAGTAGCGTCCCCACTGTCCAACGAGAGCTGATGCTTCCAAGTCCCAGGGGCAGGTAGCATAATCCAATCTGGATGGAATTGAAGCCAAACCGACTACTCAACTGAGTCGACAGGGTACTGAGCACAGCCATATATCCTGAGAACAATAGACCTCCATACAACAGAATCATACCGGCTTCTTTCTGTGCCACGATCCGTAACGAAGAGATCGGGTTAGGTCGATGCTTCAGCTGCTGGATCGTAGTGTGGTCCGGAATCCTATCGGGTTGATGAAATCGCGTCCCGGATACCAGAAGAACCCATACGGGCCGATTCCATGCGGGGGGCTGTACAGAGCCATTGCCGACCACGGCACGACATGTTTCCGGGAAGACGATGAGGATGACAATGAAAAAGGTCCCGGAGAGAATGACTAGGAACCAGAAGATAGCTCTCCAGCCGAGAAAGTGGTCGAGCAGCCCGCCGATGATAGGCCCGAGGGCAGGCCCCAAGGCGATTCCCATTCCGGCATATCCAATGTATTTACCTCGTTCTGCCCGGGTAGTCAAATCTGCCACAACAGCGCTACCGAGCGCGATAGTCCCACTACTCCCGGAGGATTGAAGACAACGCAGGACCATCAGGGCTGGATAGCTGCTCTGAAGCGCAAGGCCAACATTGGCACCAAGGTAGATGATGAAAGCAACAATGTAAGCAGGGCGTCGACCATGCCCATCGGAAAAACTGCCGACAAAGGAAGGGGCCAATCCTTGGAATATCTGCAAGTGCTGTCAGTGCCGTTATTGGCACCGTCGAGTCGCCACGGCATAATATCGTACCAGATAGGTTGTGATCGTGAGGTTGATCAAGGAGACCGAAACGTCCATGTCCCGAGCTAGGGAATTGAGTGCGGGCAGATAAATGCTACTTGATAGTGGAGAGATCAAGGCGGCAAAGGATCCCACCACAATCACAAATGCCTTCTCTCCCGGTGGGAGAACGCTGTACGGGACATCGGAGGAGGAAGGCCTCGGGTTTTCCTTGTTTTCCTGCAGTCCATCACAATTTCTCAGGTCTTCGGCCAAATCGGTCTCAGAAATTTCCGGGGAGTTGTTTGCGATCGCGGGATTCGTCTGAGAGAAAGCATCATTATCCTGAGGCCTCGACGAGATCTCGCGGTCGGCTCTGTCCGTGTCAGCGGGAGTCGATGCTTCCATTGTCCGCATCTGAGCCATCCGTATAGTCGAGAAATAGCTTCTTGCGGACCTGCATGATCTATTTATCGATGGTCCCTCAGCGGCCATCCAGTCCCCCGACCCCGAATCATCTCGAGATGTTTTCCTTTTTCAATCCCGAAGACGGGCCGTTACCGGGATGGCGGTCAGGATGGCGCGAGTGAATCTGCGACGATGTGGGTCGCGAGGGCCCCGAGCGGCCACATTTGGACCTCTGAAATACCGCAACAACCACCCGCGCACGGTGTTCTCAACGATGGTGTAAGTAAGCTTTGGCCGTTCGGGAGGGACGCGAGAAAATCGGCGAAGGTTGCGGCATCAGGAACCTTTCGGTCACGTGGGAAAGTGGAAGCTTGATTGATCTACGGAGTATAAAATCTCCGGTGGTACTGAGTACATCTAAATACTCCGCTAATCGACACCAAGATGATCAGTGAGCAAATCTCCAGGGGTCGCGCTTGGCTGAGCAGAAGCAGACCACTGGGTGCAATTCAATTGACGAAACCTAGCAAAACACACAAAAAAAAAAAACAAAAAACCTCGTGCCTAACGGATCATTAGCGGCCGGTGCTCATCTGAACTCCAGAACCACCGCAACATCCCCTTCAACTCAGATATTTTTCAAAAAAGTCCGCCAACTGATTATACCTAATCCGAAGGATGGCCGTTAGCTACATCGGAAGGTGTGGTCACCTAGAGAGGGCGCCAGAGATACAAAGGGTCTCTATAGAGACCCAAAATTCCTGAATGGACGAAAGAACGAAAGGACTCACCCGCGAGTATACTCAGCTCGGCTATCCTCTTTCTCCAAATTAGCTCGCGCACCCATCCATCCATGCCACATGGTGGAGTATGTTTCTACGAGGCCTTCTCTTCCATTCTGAGCCAGGTGGTCAGTGTATGCCGCAACCGCATCTGCAGGCTCATCCTTGGAAGCGAGCACAATATGGGGGATCGACAGAGCCTTCGCATCGAGTGCATCCATCCTTCTAAACCCACAACCCGAGTCAATAATTAATGCCTCACTTCTTTTCTTTTCTTTTTTTCTTTGTTTTGAACCGCACTGAGAGCAGGGGAGGGAGAGAAAAAAACTTGCCCTGGATGCACCTGGCCAGACGCAGCTAACGGCGTGTTGGGACCCGATGTGAGAACGGTCACCTAAAATCAAAGCAAGGAATGTCTTCCGTCAATATTCCTTCATATGAAGCCGCATCCGTAGTAGTAGGTGGGGTGCTCATGAAGCAAGGTCCAGGATGACACACCTTTCCACCCCAACACAGACCAAAGGCACCCCACTTGTCCACCGAGGGGAACCGAATTCGATATTGCGGGACGGCCGCGGTCACCACGTCCACATTACGGGGGATGTTGGCGCGGTGAGCCATGAAATCCGCAATGGTCTGCTTCTTTTCTTCGGTATCGGCAGGGACACATTCAGGATTCAACGGCTCACCCTCGAAAAAGTCGGGGATGAGCACTACTGCGTTTAGCCGGGCGGCAAGAAGGTCTGCGCCTTGCTGCGTTTGGTTGGCCATGCCAAATACGTCATAGATATCTAGAATACCAATCCGGGCATCTGTGGTGTTACCAGTCACATCTGAGAACGTAGGGAATCAGTCAGGATTCCAGCATGCCCCAAGACCATAGGAACACTCATAGAGAGCGTGCAACCTCACATGTGCTCAGACCTGCGATGATCTCAAACTGGCCCTTAGGAGTATATCCATGGGGGATCACCGGAGGAATAGTCCGACACGCTTCACACGACATGGTGGACCGATACAAGGAGGATGCAATGAGGAAGGGCGGGGGCTGCCTTCCACATATTTATTGCCCGTGATAAGTTCCGGGACCGGAATCAAGCACCCGCACCCCCACTTAGTGAGGCAATGGGCCCGGGGATAAATAATAATAAAACCCGACCGCACTTCAAGCGTCGGAGTCTGGAAAATGGAAAGCGGGAGCTAACAGGAGTGAAAAAGAAGTTAAACCGGGGCAAATGCAGACGGCCACGAGGATGTCGGAAGATCTGGAACAGGCAGATGCTTCTCCGAGGCGTTGGTTCCTGCACGGAGCAATCCAAGAACCAGCTGGAGGGATGAGCGTGGGATCCAGCCAGCGCCACGGATGATTCTTGGGTTTCGGGGGTAGAGGTTCACGGAGAGAGAGATATCACCATATTCTTGGAGGAGATCACATTGTGTCCCGGAAAGGGATTATGTCGATTTCATACGCAGGCAGGGGAGTTGAGGATTGATAGTTCCGCAGTGCGAGGCACTCGGGCATGGAAAACAGACAAAGAACCCCTCCAACCTCCTTGAGGTAGAGATGATGCAGCGCCTCCATAGAATTCTCCCCTTTCATCATTTTTCAGATTGCTCACGCAGTAGCAAATGCAATTTTTTCATCTGCTGTTAGGCAATGGCTGGGCCTTCCTCAACCCCCATACCGAACGTGGCTCAAGGGACCCCAAGTTTGAAGGAACTTGCAAACGAAATGGCTGCCGCCTTCAAAAAGCTAGCCACTCAGACCGACGAGGACAAGCTCCAGGAACAGAGAGTGGATGACCCTCAATCAACTCCTCAGGCCAGACAAGCTGCTCTCGATATCCTTTTTCAAACCCATGTGGCAGATACGACAGCTTTGGGTGCTGCGTATAGAACATATCACGCCCACAGGAGCCGGCTCCAATCTGATTCGGAGTGAAAAAAAGAAAGAAGAAAATCTCTATCGCAGAGTTGCAGGGGTCTTCCCGCTAGAATTGGACCCTTAGGGGCCAAATACTATCTTACGCTTCCTAAGCACAGCTAGCAGACTAGACAAGTTGAGGCTCGAAGGGTCGAATGAATCAGATGGACCTGGTCCGTCTTACTATAAATAGCGACTACCTACACCAGTATTGCATGTCGATCGAAATAAATCAGGACAGCTTCCACCACTTTGGCCCGCAAATTTGAGATCCCCGGTAATCAACGAGAAAGAAAATGATCAAAACATAAAAGCTCCAACTATGGCCGCCACCGGAAGGCCGGGTTTCGCCAATCCAAGTCTTGAATTTGTTGCTGGGAAAGGCCCGCCAATGCGCTGCTGATGTCGACACGACTACGTCGTCGGTTATCCCACGATATGAAGGCCCAGAGTCCCGCACCTAGAAGCAAGGTGACAGTGGCAGTTGCCAGGTTGAGCCCATTCCCAATATGATAATTTGGTGCATCGGAAGGGAGGAAGGACCAGGTGGAGATCAAGCCACCGACGTTGCCGAACATGACAGTGGTTCCAATGGCCGACGACCGAGCTGTGTCGGATACGACATTGGCAGAAACGTGGGCATTACAGAGAGCCCCAAAGGCAAATGCACCACTAGCAATGATGAACGTGGCGCCGTAGCGAACCATATTGTTTTCACTGGCCAGGAACATAATGTATCCGGTAATCATCAAAGGCGGGCAAGCGACGAAGAAGATCAGTCGTCGATCGAACCGCCAACTGAGATAGGGAAACAAGACGGTAAAAAAGGCCCCGACAACATATGGAGGAACCGTATGGAGCTGCTGAGACACCACGGTCGCATCGGGGTAAATGGTCTGGACAACGGTGGGTGCGAAGAATGCAAGGCCCTGCACCGTGATGTTGTTGAGTAAGAAGACAAAAGCAGTAGTGATGGTGACAGGACTGAAGATGCCACGCAAGGTCTTGGTCAGATCCAGTTTATCCAAGACCTCGGTGGTCCCGATACGCTCGGATTTCACGCGAGCAATTGCCAAGTCCTTTTCCTCCTGCGACAGCCAGCGTGCCGTTTCGGGCCGGTCGGTTAATGTGAAAAATGCCAGAATGGCCACCCCGATCGTGATGATACCTTCGATGGCGAAGAGCATCCGCCAGCTATGCAAGCTTCCAAAGTGATCGAGCGTGAGAATTCCGGAGGCCAGGAGGCCACCAAATGCTCCCGCCAGTGGAGCCATGACGATGTACAAGGCAAGACGGAAAGCGAGCTATAATGTTTGCGCTCAAGTCAGTTATAGGACAAGATAACCAACGAACGCCGAGAACGAAGTTGACAACTCACCTCGCTTCGCCGGTACCAACGACTCAGATAGTAGGCGATACCGGGCAACAAGCCGGCTTCAAACATGCCCAGTAGAAACCGGACTCCCGAGGCAGCATGGATATTTTGCACGAAAGCTGTGGCGACTGAACAGATGCCGAACCCCAGGGTAGCGGCTGGAAGGAACCAACCTGGCCCAATCCATTTACATGCAATCTAACTCGAATCAGTATCGCGACAGTGTTTGTTGGGAAGAGGAGGGGGGGCGGGGGGAGGGGAAGTGTTGTCTCCGTCGACATCACGAAACAGTGGGCGTACATTACTGGGGATCTCGAAGATAATATACGCAACGAAAAAGATTGACAGCACGGCATTGTAATCGTAGCCCTCGAGCCCGAGGTCCTTGTTGAATCCCGCCAGCTTCGCATTACCTATCAAAACTCATCGGTCAATTCCGAGTGACGGCATTATTATCATGAAGGAACAGAGTTCCATACCAATATTTGCACGATCGATGAAGCAGAACAGGTACATGAGGGCCACGGTGGGGACGATATATAGATCGATTTTCAACCGCAGCCGCGATTCTGCTGCCTTGTCGAAGTCCACGAGCGCATGGCCATACTGATCCGTTGCTAGGTGACCTCGCTCTGCAGCCTCTCGGGCCACTTCAGACATAAAGTTCTCTTTGTGTTCGGAAAGGCCTTTCCCGCCCGACGCAGACTCATCGGCCACGGCGGTAGCCATGGTGGGAAGGAGAGATGCAAGGAATCAATTGATGTAAAGAGAGAGGGAAAGGGGATGAAAGGGACGCGAGCGGGAGGAATAAGGGGGGAGAGAGAGTATGTGAGAGAATATGGACCAGGTGCAAACTGCGACGGCGTGGAATTGCGTGAGCTGCTTGACAGTGATAGAGGGGAGCTCCGAGCTTTTAAAGCCGGTCGCCAACGGGGGTTCTCTGCCGTCGGAAGTCCCGAGAGGACGGACGATCGGAAGAGGAGCAGGTGCCAAAATCTGATATTCCGGGGTTGCGGGGAAAGTCGCAGGTCCCACCGAGCCCGACCGGGGCAACGATGCTGATACCGACTCTGTGGCGTTCTTACTCGCGGGCTCAACACGCTTCTCTCCTCGGCATCTGCGGTTTCTTCCAATCGCCTAGAATTGCCGGTGCCCAGAAAAGCGCCTGATATGGCTTTCCCGAACCGCAGAAGGAGAGACAGGCGAGGATAAGAGAGAGTCTTGGCGCGACTGAGGGGGTCGAGCCCGCGCTTGGCAGCGAGTCTTGGCAGCGCAATCCGGGGACGCGAGGCGCCCAGTATCTCGTCTGGGACAAGTCGACCCAATCACAGCGGGAAAATCTCGTCCCACCCGCGGGACGAGGAGGATGGAGGCTTGACGACTGGGAGACAGGGAGGATTGGGGGAAAGCCAGTGCCAATCCTTTCAGTAGGCTCGAGCCTTCGGTGCCAATCTCTCACCCCCCCCCAGCCTGTTGCTCATCCGACCCCTCAGCTAAATTTAATCGGCCCGGCACTTAGATAGGACCGTTGCTGCTCATAATTAAGTGCCGACAGCATGATCCGGCCGTCTCAGAACCGTGGCTGGGCCCCGATCAGTCTCTTGCCACCGAAGTCAATGATCGATCGATTCATCGCAACTCTGCTAAACCATCTGTTGGCAGACCTGCATAATCCGGAGAATGACGGGGAGAACCCTTGGGTCCATTGCGGGGGATCGGAAGCCGCTCGGATGAGTCAAGTTCTATCCGAAGCGGATCAGGCTAGTTGAAGCGTGATGACCTAGTTGGGTAGAAGGGGCAGTGAGTTAAAGTGGACGAGGGAAACCACCTTTTTTGTCTTTTGGACTATTCGTGACTAGTTCCTGACTTCGAGGACAGTTGCGGCCCCAAGTGACCGAGGCTAAAAGGGCCATAATTCACAATCCGCATTACGCGTCATGAATTTATATCCAGATGCTGTTTTGGGCGCCGCAAGCCACATTTTTCATCCGGACGACATGATGTTCAAATATATATATGTATATTCATGTCTATGTATATGCAGACGCGCAGTCTACCTAGATCCTGATATACACGGGGGCGCATCAGATAGAGGCATCAGATAGAGGGGCCAAGCTAAGCTCAGGCCCAGTGGCGGGGGAGAGACAGGGGAGTGAATGGAGCACAGTCTCATTCATCACCCTCCCTCTCGCTGTCTATATACGAACTATGGATGAATATTCTTCCACAGGTCCAGGAAGTGTTCCCTGTGGCTCTCACGTGCAACAACCCGCCAGATAGAGTTCTCAAGCGGCGTGCGTCAGGTGAAATATCACGCTTTTCCACGGTCTCCCATACAAGGATGTGTCGCCAAAATCTAGCTGCCTCGAAGTCTGCATAACGGCTTACGATCGTACGGCCTGTTCTAATAGACGTTAATAGAATATTGATTGATTGATTGATTGCAACAAACACTGATTTGCCAGTAGAATCCTGGCTATCTAGAATCCCCTGGCATATGCATTCATTGCTTCAATTTTCATCGTCTGTTCCTCAATTATTTGTGATCTCTTACAAAAACGGTGATGTGGACCTGGCTCGGTCGCCCGTTCACGTGACCCTATCGGATATCGCGGATATAAACGACCCGGACGCGGATGAATCGATATGCAGGGATCCCAAGCCCTGAAAGCAGCGCGGAAAGCAAGAAAGCAGGAATAGAGACAACAGACGACAAAAAGCTTGTTTTGCTGATCCTCGTCTGGGCTCATTACCCTTGAGTCCTTGTCTCGGATATGGCTGATCCTGCACATCCCTCCACAGCCGGTTGGCGCATCCCCAAGGCATGCCAGGAATGCCGCAAGCGCAAGATCCGCTGCAATGGCTCATCGCCGTAAGCCCCATCTTTCTACCCCAGATGATCTGATTTGTGAATGGAGCTCTGATATGATCGGAGGGGCTACGGGCCCGTGGACCGAGGCGACCGAAAGTTGCAAAACATGCCAGCAAAGGAATACACCCTGTGTATATCGAGACTTCATCCGACATCGAAGGAAGAAGCATGAGTATTATGAGGCTCCACAGGAGAGCCAACACCCTCGAGCGTCACCAGGTGTCACACAGCCGCTATCACGGCCTCGCAGTGCCTCACTCATGCATAATTTCCCAAGTAGCGTGTCCGCAACCCATATGGCCTCGCCCTCTTGCCAGATGCAGCTATACTATGGGCCAACATCGCATTTTGCGCTCATGCAGCATATCTATCGAGATCTAGTTTCGAATCCAACCACTCAGCAAGAGCCATCTGGAGGAGTAGAAGAGGCCGGAGCTGGCCTCGACTTGTTTAGCTTTCGCCGTATCTTCTTCGGGACCCCGGACGCACATGAGGTCGGTAAGACTGCGGGCTTGGGCGAAGTCCCACTCATGTTCTTGCCGTACGAATTGGCCAAGCTCTTTCTATCCCGATATTTGGCCACCTTGTACCATATGTTACCTCATCGCCCCAAGGCGTACCTAGAGCAATGTCTGGAACGGATGTACAACCCCTCTCCGACAATTCATCCAGATACGCTCACAAAAGCTCTAGTTCTACTTTGCATGGCGACTGGGTCGTTGGGTACCGACCACTTCGCCTGGGGTGACGTACTATTTGAGCGGGTGAAAGCCTCGTTGACCGCTTTCGACGATGTGGTCAACTTACAGACGGTGCAGATTTCGTTGCTGATGATAAGTCATTACCGACATCAACTATCTTGACATTGTTTTTCAACTAACATAAGTTGTTTTCCTTTACGCCAATTTTCAAAATGAACAGGGGCGTCCAAATTCAGCTTTCTTGCATCTTGGGTCCGCATCGCGCAAAGCCCTCTCGGCGGGGCTCAACAAAGATGTCCCCCAGATTGAGAAGCAAAGCCCAGAGAATATGGAAGAGCGCCGGATTACTTTCTGGTCACTATATCTATATGAAACGTCAGTCCCGTCTGGGTTGGAAGGTAAAATTTCCAGGGTGTCCGATCTTTACTGATGCCATTGCCAGATGGTTCTGCTTTCACGTCGGTCGACCAAGCTCGCTGTCATTAAAAGATGTTGCTATCGAATATGCCCAAGACCCGTTCATTTGTCTGTTGGTTCAACTCTGCAAGACTATCTCCCGGTCAACCAACGAAATCTACGGGCAACGTCACGAGTCCTTGTTACATATGTGGCGGGTTGCGCGCTCGATCGCGCACGATCTCCGGGAACATGAGGCCTACTCGCAAAAGGTTTTGGGCTTTGGCTTAGAGGCCAGTCTTCAACCAGGTTCTCTTGGCGTTCGACAGACCATTTTCACAACACGTAAGTCATATTCACAGATCTAATAGAGCCCTGAGTACTAATCTGAGACAGTATATTATCATACGCTTCTTCTCACATTCCGACCTTTCTTGATATTTCGCGGGCATTGGCGCCGTGACATGAAGCTCTCTCTACAACCTTCCGATGCCGGTGTATCTAATCGCCCGACTGAGATGCCATCCTGGCTTAATGAGGCTTGCAATCACGCGATTACGGCAGCCAGAAAAACAATTCACCATCTTTGTGAAGCATCGCGTTCAAATGATTACGTCAATGTATCTTCCCGCCTCTTAAATTCCTACCTACCCAGTCCTTGACATGTGTGTGCCGTTAGCTGACATACGCTTCTAGCAACTCCGGTACCATGGCTACTTCATTGGTAGCTCGACGTTCACCTTGATATACGACTTCCTTCACGAACCGGATGCTGCAGCTACTCACTTGCCTTGGGTCTATGCCTCACTGCAAAATCTTTCTACCATGCGGGCAGGAGATCCGATCGACAGTACAATATCCGCAATTCAGACAGTATTGCGCAGGATTGATCCTTCATATGAATGGTCCCCGTATCCCAAGCTCGATGAAGATTCCGTTTCTCAATCGAGAGCAACAATGCCCTTTTCCCAGCCCTCTTTCAGTGTCGATGAGAACCAAGGGGTTCTATCCGGCACAACATTCCCTCAAAGTTCTCTGGTAAGCTCAAAACAAAGTTTATCGGTGCCCCAATGGAGCCTACCACAGTTAGAAGGTCCGGAAACCGGTGGCTCTGGCGGATCTAATGAAGATCTTCTCGATTTCACTCAGTCCGACATGGGATGGAATTTTGACTTTTCAACAATGGACTTGGAAGCTTTCTTCTCTGTCCCTCAATCTATGGATACCTCTTTCCACTATTAATACAATATACAGCTGTCAAATTAGCCTATTGAAAGGAAATAATTCTATAAATCTCCCTGGGAAGGGGTGAATGCCACCTAACTCGCTTCTGACGTATCAATTCAATATATTATGTTTCTTTTCAGATCTAGATGTAGTCGACCCTTAGTTCTGGAATGCATACCTCACCGACCGGCTATCTCATTCACCGGTTTCACCGTACCTTCATTTCAATTATTCTCCCAGGGGCCTTCTAGAAGGATCCACACTCTCTCATGTTGACGAAGAGAAACCAATTACTGGTCGGTTGCTCGAGTCACAGAGTGGATCTGCAGGTAAGCCTATATCCGAGATGATCACAAATTCAATCAGAGCTTACCTATTGGTGGGTCTTGATGTGAAGGCTATGATTTGGCTAATAATCCTGCTGGGAAAGATAAACCCGGTAAGTAGATATCTCCGATTTTTATTATTAAATTTTCCTCCAAATAGTGAACTCTTTGCTCAGTCATCCAATGATTTTCCTTTTTCTGACCCACTTTATGTGATTTTGTAAGATCCCTTGATACAACGATACGGAAATATCTCAGATACAGAACCGGGCTCCACTTCTCGGCAATCCGGATTTATAAGTAAAGGTGCTAATAGCTACTCGAGACCTGGGGCCTTAAATATAGAATTTGGCAAAAAAAATATTTACATCATTCGAGGATTCTCCGATGGATTCTTTATGAGTTACTTTTTTGTCGCTAAGGTCATCTACAAATTTTGAATAGCAGTCCAAAACGTCACCGCATCGGTCACAATGGAGACACCTTCGTCCGGGACCATCACGCCCGCGGACGTGGAAAGTGGCGTCGGTCATATTCGCAAAAGACTGACGGTGACATTCAGGGGTCTCAATGTTCGGGTCACTGCACCAGACGCCGCCCTTGGAAACACGCTTTGGTCTGAAATTGACCCTCGTCAGCTTGCTGGCTTGTTCGGCGGTAATAAAAGACCCAAAAGAGTATCAATGCACCTTCCCTTTGCCAAGAAGACTGTACTAATTCCCATAATAGACAATTCTTAAGGATATTTCAGGACAAGTGAAGCCAGGAGAGATGGTAAGCGCTGATTTACCCAGTCATCCGTGTTCGTGTAGTCACAGCTGACTCGCGAAGCTTCTCGTCCTTGGACGCCCTGGCTCCGGCTGCACCTCACTTCTTCGTGTACTTTCAAATGATCGAGATACTTTTGATGAGATAAGTGGTGAAACTCGGTATGGCAGCATGGATCACAAAGCTGCAAAGAAATTTCGTCAACAAATCATGTTCAACAACGAAGGTACGTTATGAAAAGAGAAGCATCAAGATGTTCACGCATTAGCTCACCACATGAATACAAGATGATTTACATTTTCCGACTCTTACTGTGAACCGAACGATGAAATTTGCTTTACGCAACAAAATCCCTAGTCAGCGGCCAGAGCAGCTAGCGGATCGCAAAACCTTTGTGACTGAAAAGCGGGATGACATTCTTGACTCTTTGGGAATTGGGCACACCAAGAAAACTCTTGTTGGCAATGAGTTTATTCGTGGTGTTTCTGGGGGTGAAAGAAAACGTGTCTCCTTGGCCGAAGTCATGGCTGGTCAGGTATTTCTTTCCTTTCTTTTTCGTTTAGAAAATGATTCTCCTGGATATACAATTCTCTAACAACATATTTACCATAAAGAGCCCAGTTCAATTATGGGATAATCCAACACGCGGCCTTGACTCCAAGGCAGCGGTTGAATTTGCTCGAACGTTGCGGAGGGAAGCAGACGAGAATGAGAAAACCATGGTTTTGACGACCTACCAAGCGGGCAACGGCATTTACGATGAATTCGATAAAGTTCTTGTCCTAGCTGATGGCTTGGTGATTTACTACGGGCCCAGAAGCCTCGCAAAAGAGTACTTCGAATCATTAGGCTTTGACTGTCCTCGGGGCGCCAATATTGCGGACTTCCTGACCTCCGTCACTGTTCTCACGGAAAGAATTGTTCGACCAGGATGGGAAAACAAAGTGCCAAATACCCCAGAGGAGCTTGAGGAGCGCTATCACAAAAGTTCCATCTATCGCGAGCAGATGGATAGCATGGATTCCCCAGAGAAACTAAAGTACGAAGTTGACGATCTTGAAGTCGCCGTATCCAACGAAAAGGGGAAACAACATATTCCTCGGGAAAATAGCGTCTACACTGCAGGCCTATGGCATCAAATTAGCTCTTGCACCCTGCGACAGTTTCAGGTTATGTGGGGAGATAAATTCTCCCTGATTGTCAAGGTGTGCTCCGCGATTATCCAAGCTCTTGTGTGTGGATCTCTCTTCTACAATCTGCCTGAAGATAGCACTTCGATTTTCCTGCGGCCAGGTGTGCTCTTCTTCCCTGTACTCTACTTCCTTCTCGAGTCCATGTCCGAGACTACTGCATCATTTATGGGTCGCCCAATCCTCTCTCGTCAAAAGCGATTTGGCTTCTACCGCCCGACCGCATTCTGCATTGCCAACGCCATCACAGATATCCCGGTGGTCGTGATCCAAGTTACATGTTTTTCTCTCATTCTTTATTTCATGGCAGCTTTGCAAATGAATGCGGGTAGATTCTTCACCTATTGGATAATCCTGATTGCGCAGACTCTATGCTTCATCCAGCTGTTCAGGGCCGTCGGTGCCGTCTGCAAAAGCTTTGGCAATGCATCTAAAATCTCAGGACTTCTATCCACTGTGTTCTTTGTCTATGGAGGTAATAATCTTATTTTCCTTTTCTACCTGACCGGATGTTTGCTAACTTGAGTCTTTGAAGGGTATCTAATCCCGTTCCATAAAATGCACGTCTGGTTCCGCTGGATCTTTTATTTAAACCCCGGGGCTTATGCTTTTGAAGCGCTAATGGCTAATGAGTTTGTGGGTCGAGAATTTGAGTGCATCGAGCCAGATTACATCCCGTACGGTCACGGTTACCCAAGTACTGCCTCTCTGCATCGAGGATGCTCCGTTGTTGGAAGCAATGATCAAGGTATAATCGATGGCGCTGCATACATTAAAGACCAGTACAACTATTCTTTTCATCATATTTGGCGCAGCTTCGGGGTTATTGTCGGCTTCTGGCTATTTTTCATTTTTCTAACTTCGCTGGGCTTCGAGTTACGGAACACCCAAAGTGGTTCTTCGGTCTTACTTTACAAACGTGGAAGTGAAAAGAAACAGCGGCATGATGAGGAAAAGACATTGGGTGGCGAAAAATTGGGAGAGCTAAATTTACTAACTGGCTCGGTCAAACATTCCACGTTTACTTGGAACAACCTTGACTATCATGTCCCTTTCCATGGAGAAAAGAAACAGCTTTTGAACAAGGTATTTGGATTTGTGAAGCCAGGGAGCCTTGTGGCCTTGATGGGAGCCTCCGGGGCTGGAAAAACTACGTAAGTGATCGAATGAGGGTATTATAGAGATGCAAATTTAACAAGAATTTCAGGCTTCTTGATGTTCTAGCCCAGCGAAAAGATGCTGGGGAGATCTATGGCTCGATTTTGATTGATGGCCGTCCACAAGGCATCAGTTTCCAGCGAACAACAGGTTATTGTGAGCAGCTGGATGTACATGAGAAGACTGCAACAGTAAGAGAAGCTTTGATTTTCTCTGCGCTTCTGCGCCAGCCTTCTTCTGTTTCACATGAAGAAAAAATTGCCTATGTCGATCATATCATCAATTTGCTTGAACTTGAGGACATCAGCGACGCATTGATTGGCGGTGAGTATAATTCAAGTAGATTGTGAAGCGATGAGCTGACGAAATTTAGTTCCCGGCGCTGGTCTGAGCATTGAGCAACGGAAGCGAGTTACCTTGGGCGTTGAGCTCGTTGCCAAGCCTACACTACTGTTTTTGGACGAGCCTACATCGGGACTTGACGGTCAAAGTGCATACAACATCGTGCGCTTTCTTCGAAAGCTTGTTGATGGTGGTCAAGCTGTATTGGTTTGTATTCCATCTCTATAACGCAATTACGGACGTTACTGACTACGAAAAGTGTACAATTCATCAACCTTCCGCAGTCCTCTTTGATGCATTTGACGGTCTATTGCTTCTTGCAAAGGGTGGAAGGATGACATATTTCGGAGAAAGTGAGTCTTTCATAACTTTTTTGAAGAATTCGTTTCTCACGCATTTGATGTTATAGCTGGCGAGGGCTCGGAGAAAATTCTTGACTATTTTGCACGCAATGGAGCACCTTGTCCAGCAGATGCCAACCCGGCAGAACATATCATTGAAGTCGTACAAGGAAGTACGAAGGAAAAGGTCGACTGGGTTGAAGTGTGGAATCAATCGGAAGAACGCAAAAGGGCACTTGAAGAACTGGAGGCCCTGAATGAGGCCGGCAGAGCAGATACGGATTACGTCGAGGATACTTCCGATTTTGCTACCTCCCACTGGTTTCAATTCAAAATGGTTTCCAAGCGCCTGACCATTCAAATATGGAGATCTCCGGTATGCTCTACGCACCTCTTCCTATAAGTATTCTGTGACTAATCTACATTCTGAAGGATTATATGTGGAATAAAATCATCTTACATATTTTTGCAGCACTTTTCAGTGGTTTCACCTTTTGGAAAGTTGGAGATGGCTCTTTCTCGCTTCAGCTACGACTCTTTGCCATCTTCAATTTTATCTTTGTGGCTCCTGGTTGTATCAACCAAATGCAGCCTTTCTTCCTGCAAAACCGCGATATCTTTGAAACCCGCGAAAAGAAGGTATGTTCATTCATTAGTAATAAATATCATACCATACAGATCTTACACTAATATTTTGTCAAAGTCGAAAACATATCACTGGATTGCTTTTATAGGAGCTCAGACGGTGACCGAGATCCCCTACCTGATCATCTGTGCAACACTTTATTTTCTTTGCTTCTATTACACCGCCGGCCTTCAGACTCAGTCAAGTGTCTCGGGACACTTCTATCTCCAGATGATTTGTGAGAATCCTGTTATTGTTTGAATATTTATTCTCTTCGATGCATGTCTCTAACGAAATTAATAGTCTATGAGTTTTTATACACCTCAATCGGGCAGGCAATTGCTGCATATGCACCCAACGAGTATTTTGCTGCAGTGATGAATCCAGTCCTTATTGGAGCAGGCTTGATCAGTTTCTGTGGTGTTGTTGTTCCATACAGTCAGATACAACCGTTCTGGCGCTACTGGATGTACTACCTTGACCCCTTCACCTACCTGGTAGGCGGTCTCTTGGGTGAAGTTCTGTGGGATGTCAAGGTGCAATGCGAACCATCCGAGTACATTACCTTTAGTCCACCTTCTGGAGAGACTTGTGGTGAATATATGGCCGACTTTCTCTCCTCACAAGCCGGTTATCTACTTGATGGAAACTCGACGCAGACTTGCTCTTTTTGTCAATACTCTATGGGTGCAGACTATGCCAAGTCGTTCAATCTCCGCGAGAAATACTATTCGTGGAGAGATGTACGTATTTTCACTTTTATTTAACATTCAAATATACTAATCGCGTTCACAGACTGGCATTACTGCCCTATTTTGCATTTCATCCTATGCTTTGGTATTCTTGATGATGAAACTCCGAAGCAAGAAGACCAAAAGCGCCCGGTCTGAGTGAGTAGGGTGCAATTGAGGCACCGCTACCGCATTCGTGGCTTCTTTGTCGTGACATTATCTTGAACTCCGTTTCATGGTCATTCTTTTCGATCTTTTACCTCTCTAGGTATCCCTTTTTATTTCTTATAGACACTGCATCAGTAGCTATCTCACTATCATTAGACATCCTTCTCCTTTATCTAGACCAATCCTGTTTTTTATTGATTTCTTCTCCCGCATAGTACTCAGTAACATAACAGAATCTACATATTGACTAACAATGTCTATTTCTCCGTCACAGCCCTTATTGGCATACTCTTTCAATCCAGTGACCAAAAGACTTAAATGTGTCAACCAAGAATTTTCATTAAGCAAAGACGATCTTGATAAAATTTCAACCTCATGGTATAAGGTAGAGGTGCATTAACATACTTGTAGTTAGATACACATTGCTTAGTTTGAAGTTGAGCCCGCTCATTCAGAAAGTAGCGTTGCTCAGGTTTGTATCAAAATGAGCATCGATAAATGGCACAATTGCGGATCCAAAGTCAGTTGTGTCCAAAGCCTCTTGTGCGACTGTTGGAAGTGACTCCCATGCAATCAAAGGCTGTGTGCCTCCAACTGTGCTTGTCAGTCCGCATTGGTGATCCACCGGCCAAATGCTGTAATATCTAATCAACGCCGCAGTTCCATCAAGAGTATATTCATCTGTAGAGCAATCCCATCCGCCATGTGCAGAAGGACAAACAGCAACAATATTGTCTGCTGTCGTGCTAGTCGAGTCAGACAGCCAGATAATGACACCCTCCCAATCATGACGATGTCCCAAGCCAGTAGAGGGCTCATCCTTGGGAAAATACCACGCATACATCAACGCATAGTAGTCACCTGAGCTCTTGCCTCGCACATATATCTGACCGGTGCTGCTACTGCAATCACCATCGGAGTCCCCAGTTGGAGCCAACCCAGCACTGAAATATTGTTATTCACGGACACAATTTTGAGAGACTAGGGGTTTTAATAAATTTCTTACTTTGTATCGCCATTCTCATCCACGGCTGGAAACGGAACACAGCCATTTACAACATACAAATCCGGTTGGTAAGCAAGATAGACATCTCCGGTTGTGCCAGATGGTACAGTTTGATCAAATCCAACTGTGAATATTGTTAGCTGAATCAAAAACATTAATTAAAAATAGAAGCTCCAAGAGAAGCATCACAAGATGTGATCTCAGTTCTGGGGCTAAGTATGGCCAGTATTTACCTATTTCATCTGACGCAATAGTTCCACGACGGGACAGTGGATACGGGGAAGCAGCAACAGCTATGGAGAAAAGAGCCAGGGGGCCCAAAAGTGGCTGGAGAATCATCATTCAATTGCGTATTTCGGAGAAACTTTCGACTATGGCTTGATCAGTACTGTCAGCTGTCCGGTCGCGCCTTTTATATTCAATTTCAGGCAGTCTTGATCTTACGCCGGTGGTCACAAGCTTTTTTCCTGCCTCCGGCCAGAATTGCTCGACACTTAGGATCTGCACGCTCGGAGGCCTACCCGAATACAAAACGGTCTTCATACCTCAAATGGGATAGCGCCCGGGAAGGTCTCTCCACTGGGTCTCTTAAGTTCTTTGAAAGTGACCTCGTGGGGTTTCTGCGGTTCTTGATTCGCTTCTCTGATTGATTTTGAAGTCCTGAAATTTACTGAATTGCACACATAATGATCGTGTCCTTTAGATCGCACGCATTCATATGGACCTAAATTCATATTTTTTGACGCAGGAACCGAGTAGAAAAAGCCGTGCTCTATTTACGTATCTGCAGCCTGGCAGGTGCTACCTGAGCTACATCTTATAGGCTGTCTTCAAGAACTGTCTAAATTAAGTCTCGCGGATGTTCAAATATCCCCACCAATCATGGTAGGCATGTAAGTAAATCACTGAGCTTCTCCAAAACGACCCCCTGGATAGTAGCATTGGCATCCCCTTTCGTGCCAGCCATCCCAACCGACACGCTTGCATAGCATCCTGATTCCAGAGCTATCTCGAGTTCGCTTGGAAGACGAGAACTACCACAAGTAGTGACATCATCAGGGGTTATCAAAGGGAGAGCGATATGGATTCGAGACAGCACGAACGAAAAGTCTTGCGTTGCATTGCACTCTGAAGACACCGATGGGAAATTCACATTAATCCAAACCTATTCAGAACAGGGTCAGTAAGACTAAGGGAAAAATCACGATATTAAGCTCCTCACATCATCTGGTAGGTACGGGGTGCCGGATGCCACTAGGTGATTGGTCAAGTTCAGTGATAGGTCTGCATAGACTTGGCTATAGTGCGGGAATGTCGCTGAAGCATTCCATGCAGTTTGGGATCCAGTGGCACCAGAAAACGCAATAGCCGGAATTCCCGCATTATGAGCGGCATATGTCGCTGCTCCTACAGTACCGGACAGCAAAACTTCCAATCCAATATTATTGCCAACCTGTAAGATTCAGCTTGATTTTCTTCTATGTCATCCCAGAAGCAAAGATATGTGTGTCGAGACTCACATTAGGACCAGTGACCGCAAGATCCGGGGAGCCATCGAAAAACTTCGGGCCGATCGAGTTGATGCCGTACTTCATCGCCGTTGCCGGGTACGAGTTGACATAATTCAGACGAGGCTGTGAAGCATTATATCCTATAGCCGGGCTACCAGAGGGGCAGCTATTGAATTCACACGCCTCGGTCAGCACGGTCGGCGTCTTTTGGGAAGAGCCTGCAAAGTGATCAGCAAGAGATCGCAATCTATGGTGGGGGCTACTCTGGGCAAAATATACCAGTCCCGCTCTCATTTTCTGCTGGGGCAGCTACAACCACCGAATGGCCACCGTCTGTAAGGGTATCGAATAAAGCTCGAATATTGACCTCGGCCCAACCATCATCGTTGGATGAAATGATGTTGATCGCACCGGCCGGAACAGCGACACAGAGGGAGACCGCAAAAGCAGCAAGAGCGTCGACTCGCATAATGACTGAAAGCTTGTCAAAGCTAGTATATTCTCAAAGAGTGCGAGTAACGACTATTGCTTGTTGGGGTGATTGACATCGATACCTACAGGCATCTTTATATCACCCCCTAGTACTCCGTATAACGGGCGGATCTCACGGCTGCTGAGCGGGTGGTGTCCCACATGGGTCGACGATCGCCTGCCGCATTGAGGGGAATATCTACGACGCGTTCTTAAGCGACCCCACATCGGGCATGGACGCGGATAATGCGGATTCGGGGCGTCTGTGAAAACGGTTTAGACTTATGCACGCTCTACGGAGTTACTTCGTCCGAGATCAAAGCATTTCTCCGTGCAATAAGAAGTTCAGGGGTTCCCAGGTGGTGATTCATTGCGACAGTGGCCCTCCACCCTGCTTCCGGGACTCATTTGGCCCGCCAACGGCTTCATATTCAATGTCAATCCAGAGGCACCATTTCGCGTAAAGGGAGCACATTTCAAACTAACCTTATTCGGGCCGAATTTATTGTGTATAAGCCACAGTATTGAGCAGGTTGAAGACGTGAAGTTGCCTGTAAGATAATTCCGCTGTTCCAACTTAAGCTTTCCACTAATCCCAAATTCGCTCTAGAAATCCTAATACCTCGCGCCTTGCCGATAAATAATAGGCTCTTCAAGTACAGATGGAGTTAAGAAAACAGACAACGCCCGGTAACATGAAAGTAGAGAGTACAACAACCTATCATTTTTATTTGGAAACCCTATATATCTTGCCGAAGTTATTTTCAAACATTAATTACAAAGGTATTAGGAGTTCTCAAGAAAGAAGGTTGAAAGATGCTTTCTTTGTTAGAGTTGCTCACAAATTTCTCTATGCCTATAAGTGTTCAGCTCAATGGCATGGCATAACTGGAAACGCTGGCGGGGATAGTAGAGGGCTCAATCACCAAGGAGGTGCCGGTGCTCATGTTAGTTGTCGATTGTTTGACGTGGTGGGTGGATAGCCATTTCTAGTTGAGTTTGTTCAGGCAGAGAGTGCAAGCCATGGAGTATGGTTTACCAAGAAATATATATTATTCACTTTCGGCCGAGTTGCAATTCCAAAGCGCTGGCTCTTGACTCTATCTGAGGCTTGATAGAGCATAGATGTGATTTGAATCACCAAGCAATCTCCAGGAGCAGAGTTTCGAGAAAAAAAGAAAGAGGGAGCAGAAGAAAAAAAAGGTGAAAGCCGAATGTTGAAGGCCAGAAAATGCCTAATAGGTAAAAAAATGGACTCGCGGGGAATCGAACCCCGGACCACCCCCATGCTAAGGGGGTATTATACCACTAAACCACAAGCCCAATTTGATGGAAAGAAGCTACTAAGTTGCAACTATCAACAATACTCCCAGCAGGCTCAAACATCCTTGCCATTCTTCAGCTCAGATTCATTGCCGCTTTCAGATCACTTCACTGATGCAATCAATTGCATTTCCTGCACCAACCGATCATCTTCAAACAAACAAAATTCAACAGCCATTCGTCGAACCAGGCCTACGGTCGTTGGCGTAACATCCCCCTCTCCCCGGCGACACTTCCCAGAGGCTTTTCCGGAGCGCCCGTGATCTATGGACCTGCGCTCAAGCTTTTCCAGCTTCTCCATCGAGCTCCACTAGGTACACCTGCTGGCCAATCGTGAATATGTGAAAGTAAAGGTGAATTCAATGTGATACCATGTGATGTGGCCTTTCATCTTGTCGTTCTAGCTGGAATTAGGGTAACAGTATATAGACCCCATGGTCCTTGGGTGAGATCCTCTGATACTTTCCCATCTAACAGAATCTCATCTCCACTTTCTACTGGCTCTTTTGAGTTTAAGTTGGCAATAATATATACTTACTACCTAAGATACACACCAATGGCATTGAATGGTAAAGTTGCCCTGATAACGGGCGGAGTTAAAGAACCTCGGAGCGGGATCTGCGCGGGAGCTGGTTGGGGCGGGAGCCCATCTGGCCCTGCATTACAACTCGACCAGGAGCAAAAAACACGCCAATGAGCTGGCGGCTGAGCTGAAACAACAATATACGACCCGGGAACTCGCTTTCTACCAAGGGGAGTTGATTTCCCCGGCCGCCGTGGACCATTTGTTCCACTCGGTGCTCAAGGAGTTTGGGGGGATTGACATCTTGGTCAACACCGTTGGCAAGGTGCTGAAGAAGCCGATCACTAGGATTTCGGAGGAAGAGCATGATTCGATGTTTGCATAAGGCCTCATGAATTCCTCCAAACAGGATGACATCGGTTTGATCACTCTTCACACGGTACCCGATCTTGACGCAAGTGGTAGGATCAACTCCAAGGCTGCCTTTTTCATCCTCAAGGCGGCTGCGGCTCACATCAACAACGACGGGAAGATAATCAACATAGTTACAGCGCTGCTGGGCGCATTTACCGGTTTCTGTACCACCTATGCCGGATCGAAGGCTCCCGTGGAACACTTCACCCGAGGAGTCTGCAAGGAATTGCAGGCGCGACGGGTCAGTGTGAACAATGTGGCCCCGGGCCCAATGGACACACGTAGGTGATGCCGTGTAGACTCTTGAAACAATGGGATCCTTCATAGTTGACCCGATAACAGCGTTCTTCTACCCCCAGGAATCTCCCGAGGCGGTCGAATTTCACAAGAGCAATGGCATGGGCAATCGATTGACAATGGTTCAGGACATCGCTCCCCTGATCCGATTTCTATGCACTGAAGGTGCCTGGATTGCCGGTCAGACAATCTTTGCGAACGGCGGATATACGGCTCGGTAAAGCGGGTTATGAGATATTGATATCCATGGCAAGGAGAGGAAAGCTAGGAGGGCGTGCCCATTCTTTTCGGGGGCGGAGGGAGGGGGTATCGGGATACTACAGTGAATTTTCCGGAAATCCTCTAGATTCTCAGACTCCATGTGTCCGTGTGCGTATGTGCAGGTGGGTGTGGGTGTATGAGGACTTTAATGTTGTTCGAGAAAACCATCTCTTCAAAAACGGGTGATGAAGTCACCTGCCCCCCTCTAAACCCTAACATAAAGCCCTACCTTCCCCTTTCAGCTCACATACAAAACGCCAAAGGCCCGGAGGACAACAGACCGCCCACGTGACGGAGCACATCCACCCGCACTAAACCCAAGCGGGCTGCGAAGCGGTGACATCAGACCACGCTTTGAGGAATGGCGTCGCCGGGACTTTTTTAGGTGCTGTGGTTGTCTGACATAAACTGGAGACTGACTGACTGCCAGCTGGGCCTCCTCGTGACGTTCGTATCTGATGCAATAGACCGGCTGGTTTTATCCTCGTCTGAACCTGACCCTTTCACCCCCAGCGCGACTCCAACAAGATCTCTGGTGTCAGTGACGAAATACCCTAAGTAACCTCCCCACTTCTACTTTGTCTCACCGGAATTGGGTTCAACCCCTCCACTCGGACTTCATTATTATCTTTCCAGCGCTTATCTTTGGTCGTTTTTCCTATTCAGCTCAATCCGTGATCCTTTCCCCTCATCTTTCCTTTTCGATTGGTTTTGCGTTCGACCCGTCCAGGTCGGCATCTTCAATTCCAATATGGAGCCCACCACCAAGAAACCCGTCGAACCACCTAAGAAGCGCCGCATTGGTGTCCTCACCTCTGGAGGTGATGCCCCTGGCATGAACGGCGCCGTTCGCGCCGTGGTCCGCATGGCCATCCACTGTGACTGCGAGGCCTATGCCGTCTTTGAAGGCTACGAGGGGTTGGTCAACGGCGGCACCATGATTCGCCAGCTGTTCTGGGAGGATGTTCGCGGATGGCTGTCGCGTGGTGGTACCTTGATCGGTTCAGCTCGGAGTATGGCCTTTCGAGAGCGAGCCGGCCGTCTGCGAGCCGCGAAGAACATGATTCTGCGAGGCATTGACGCATTGGTCGTCTGCGGTGGTGACGGTAGTTTGACCGGTGCCGACGTCTTCCGTGCTGAATGGCCTTCGTTGCTATCCGACCTCATTGCGGCCGGCGAGTTGACCCAGGAGCAGGTCGAACCCTACAAGGTTCTGAACATTGTTGGTCTGGTCGGCTCCATTGATAACGACATGTCTGGCACCGACGCCACGATCGGCTGTTACTCGTCGCTGACCCGGATTTGCGATGCGGTCGACGATGTCTTCGACACCGCGTTCTCGCACCAACGTGGATTCGTAATTGAGGTGATGGGTCGTCATTGTGGTTGGCTGGCATTGATGTCCGCCATTAGCACGGGCGCAGACTGGTTGTTCATCCCCGAGATGCCCCCGCGGGATGGGTGGGAGAATGACATGTGTGACATCATCACCAAGGTATGTACTGAGAGTGTTTGCAGACAATGTATACGGACTGACAGACTGTCATTTCATAGAACCGCAAAGAGCGAGGAAAGCGACGTACTATCGTGATCGTCGCCGAGGGCGCACAAGATCGCCAACTCAACAAGATTTCGAGTTCGACCATCAAGGACATTCTTACACAGCGGTTGGGTCTGGATACCCGAACCACAGTCTTGGGCCACACACAGCGAGGTGGAGCCGCTTGCGCATATGACCGCTGGCTCTCAACTCTACAGGGTGTCGAGGCTGTTCGCGCTGTTCTGGAGATGTCCCCCCAATCTCCTTCTCCGGTCATTACTATCCGCGAGAACAAGATCATGCGAACTCCCCTGATGGAGGCAGTTCAAGCCACCAAAGATGTCACAGCAAAAATCCATGACAAAGATTTTGCCGCGGCTATGACTTTGCGTGACGCCGAGTTCAAGGAATACTACCATGCGTATCTGAATACAGCAACCCCAGATCACCCCAAAATGATTCTACCCCAAGGCAAGGTACGTAGCGGTTTATAAATTTATAAGCTCTGTTTTGAGCCTTTGTTAACTGTTCTATAGAAAATGCGGATTGCCATCATCCACGTCGGCGCCCCCGCTGGCGGCATGAACCAAGCCACTCGCGCCGCTGTGGCCTACTGTTTGACTCGAGGTCACACTGCTCTTGCAATTCATAACGGTTTCCCTGGTCTTTGTCGACACCATGCAGACAAGCCCCTTAGCTCGGTGCGGGAGGTTCGATGGCTCGAGTCAGACAGCTGGGTCAACGAAGGTGGTTCGGATATTGGCACCAACCGTAGCCTGCCCTCGGAAGACATGGAGGGCACGGCCAAATGCTTTGAACTCTACAAGTTTGACGCTCTATTTGTGGTGGGTGGCTTCGAGGCATTCACGGCTGTCAGCCAACTGCGCAAAGCTCGTGAGAAGTACGATGCTTTTAAGATCCCGCTCGTCGTCCTGCCCGCCACTATTTCCAACAATGTTCCCGGTACCGAGTACTCGCTTGGTAGCGACACCTGCTTGAACACGTTGATCGACTTCTGTGACGCCATTCGACAGTCTGCTTCCTCTTCTCGTCGCCGTGTCTTTGTGATCGAGACACAAGGTGGCAAGTCGGGCTACATTGCAACCACCGCCGGCCTTGCGGTTGGAGCAGTGGCTGTGTATATCCCTGAGGAGGGCATTGACATCAAGATGCTTTCGCGTGATATTGATTTCCTGCGTGATAACTTCATTCGTGACAAGGGTGCTAACCGTGCGGGCAAGATCATTCTTCGCAACGAATGCGCTTCTAACACCTACACAACCCAAGTAGTTGCCGACATGATCAAGGAGGAAGCGAAGGGCCGATTTGAGTCGCGAGCAGCCGTTCCTGGTCATTTCCAGCAAGGTGGAAAGCCATCACCCATGGATCGTGTCCGTGCTCTGCGGATGGCCATCAAGTGCATGCAGCACATCGAATCCTATGCCGGTCAAAACCGTGACGCTATTGCTGAAGATCCTCTCTCTGCGGCTGTTATTGGTGTCAAGGGTTCTCAGGTTCTGTTCTCCCCCATGGGCGGTGAAACTGGCCTTGAAGAGAGTGAGACCGACTGGTCTCGCCGTCGCCCCAAGTCGGAGTTCTGGCTTGAACTTCAGAATGTGGTTAATGTCCTGTCCGGTCGGTCCTCTGCCAGTACCCAGGAAAGCTGGGGAGGATTTGAGAGTATGTAAACGCCAAAACAGCCCCTTCATGACCCAATGGATACCCCCCAAGCCTTCTGGATCCCGTGCAGCGATCACTATTCGTAATTGACACATCTACTATTCTTTCATGCGACGTATTGTGTTTTTGTATGGTTGTTCTGTTTATCTCGCCGTATGTTAACCTTTTCTGCCTTTTCTCATCTGCAGACCCCTCGACTGTCCACTCGGTCCCATCGGTCCCGGGCTCGCCTTGAAGGATTCTCTCATGGTCCTGTTACCTCTTCACTTCCGCTTATACCAGGATCCGCATTGCCTGCCCGTCAGCTCCTAGCGCATATTGGTGTTTCACAATACAATGACGGCCGTGCTATACTGAGACTGCCGTCAACTTCAACGTAACCACAATGGATCCTCTTCATGTTTGTATGATGCTACGCCATACATGCCGCCCCGATCATATATGGATCTGGTCGACATATTCAGCTTGGGATTTTAGGTCTTATGATCCCTTATCATTCTGTTCTTGCCCTTTGCTGTTCTTTCACAGACTTTTGGCTTCAAACGCCATAAACGACTGTCACAGATGAGATGAATGAAAACCCAAGACTTTTTTTATCTTTTTTTTTCTTTTTCTTTCAATCGACTTGTTTGCATTCACATTCACGAATAATGGGGCAGAAGACATTGCCTGTATACCGCATACACTGATAGCTATCAGATTGACTGGATGTAGAATGAACCTAGCCCAGAATGACCTTGTCTCTGATCCCGAGCAAATAAATGCATTATCATGAAGAGTATATGAACCACCGAGATAGAGGACTATATTCCTCTCGTATAATGTGCTGATCCCACTCCGTTACGCTACAAATGGAAGAAAATACGCTCACAATGATTGGCCGTACTTATGCCGGATTGACAGCAGCCTCCAGCTCGTCCAGTAGATCCACAGTTTCCGCCGGATTAGCAATCCAAGCAGTTGTCGAAGCTAGGCGGGCCTATGTATCTAGGAGGTGAGTTTGACATCCAGAACTGACCCACTAGAGAGCAGGAAGGGGAACGGGGGATTGTCTGACCTTGAAATCGTTTGCTCCGGCCGACAAAAATTGATCACCAATATGAAGGGTTTTAGAGGGATCGATACCTCCGAAATATTGTTGGCACACCCGAACACCCCAGGATTTATCACCGATATCCACAAAGACATCATTACCGCCTGCAAACTACTGTTAACATCCTCACTTCAATCTTTGTAAGACATGAAAAGGCTTCCTGACCATTGAAAGCGCAGAATGGAAGGCGCGAGCCAACCGCGGAGGTTTCTACAGTGTTTTGCACCACCAGGACCGTTTCCTCCAGCTGCTCTCGATTGATGCGAACTCCATTCACTGGGTAGACCCCGACGGCGCGATCCTTGCGCAGGACGGCTGCAGGCAGGCTGAGGTTCGAAGCACAGGCTCGCAGCGCCGACTCAGCGAGATCAAGCAGCTCTTTAATATCCTGGTCTTGCCATGCCCGCATCTCATCTAAGAGCCATTCATCGCGAGGCACATAGGTGAGTCGGACGTCTGACGCATGATCGAAGCGGAAGAGGAAGTTGCTCTCTCCGCCCATCACGATGATGCCTTGCTTCTGGGCGAGAGTCAGTATAGTCGAGTCGTGCACGGCATCCAAAAGGCCCCGCAGACGGTCATAATACTTCGAAGCTTCTTCATAGCCTGCGGCGGTGACTATGCCGACCTTGCGCCCCTGCACCAACAGGCGCAGGATGCGGGAGATGACAGGATTGTCAGGCGTCAGGCAGGCGCCGTCATCATAGAGCGTTACATCTCCGTCAAAAGTGACAAGCTCCACTTCACTAGAGCGGACCAAGCCTAATAATTGGGCCGAGTTCAAGATCAGGCGGATGTCGTTGAACGAGGGCGCGACAAATCGCCGTCGGCTGATGAACCGCCGCTCGTCTTGGTAGTTGAAGGCATCCTCCAGATGCAAGCGTGTGAAGAAGGTACCGACCGAGGGGACAAGCAGCTTGAGTTTGGACTTGCCCGGGGCATTGCGGTCGTGATGTCGGACTACGGCGGTGCGGGACCGGGGGGAATCAGCCTTAGCCGCCCAACAGAGAAGCCTAGCAGATATGATGCTGCCTTAGGAGGATTGGCTTAACTCACTGTGATCAAGAATTAGATTTTCAACATCGCGCATAATCTCTGCATAGCGCAGATGGGTGTCGGCAGCGACCGTCTTCAGCCCCTCGCTGTGTTCCTGATAGATGGCGGTCGGTTGCGAATGAAGCACAAAGGGAACGGCCAACAAGCCCTGGGAGGGTTGGATGAGTGACAAGTGTGATTGAGAGACGGCACCGAGCACCTACTTTAATCCATTCAATCTAGATTGACGTGTGAGATACAGAAAAAGAGAGAGAGAGAGAGAGAGAGAGATAGTGAGCCTGAGACGTGCTTACCAGTTGATCCCGGCGATGGGTCTATCCCTGCGGAGTTAGTGAGTTGGTCGATCCTTCGGGGTTGCAAAAGGCACACCTTGAGTGCATCTACAACACACGTCAGTCGGCAGGAACAGAGAGAGGAGAGGAATTGGCTGACATTCTACACGATAGCGAGTCGTCATTGTCACCTAGTGAGTAGTAGTCAAACAGGTCCACCAGTCCGAGAGACGGAGGGAGTGCAAGCGCGGGGCTCCAAAGGGGGCGGGGACAGTCTCCGATACGTCAATGCTCCGATACTCCGATACTCCGATTGGTACGCCGTACACAGGACGTAGTCTCCCACTTACCATAAACAATACCGTTTACAGTCCTTCTATACAACTCTTGTACTCTGTACTTCCGTCCTTCTGTACTTCTGTAGTCTTCCGTTGTTCTGGCCCAAGTCCGAATTCCGAGGTGCACGGCCCCTTTGGCACCCCTCCCTCCGCCATAATTCCTATTGCAGTATAAATGGAACGGGGCTTGAACAGAACCCGACTAGTCGCTAGCTCCCTTCCAAGCGTCCGAGCTGGTGACTCACGGTGCCTCATTCGTGAGTCAAAGGGAACGGAACTCAGGAAACTGGGCTGGATTTATTCTGCACCCACAGATGATGTACTCACCAGGAAGATTGATTGGTAGGGAGTGATTGGCACAAACATGAATCGCTTTCGAATCACACAGACCATGCCTCCATAGATCCCGTATTTTCAAAGTTTAATGGAACGAATTACGATGTGGCGGTCTCCCTCAAGGTGAGCGGGCTTTGAATCAAGTAGGATTGGCTTACAAAATGCCTCGAACAGGAGTCAACTAGGCTTAGATGCTCAGAATAATCTCAAAAACTTTGCTAGAGTCGGTGAGCAGTCACGATGATTCAATACACTAGGCAGCACTGAACCGAGCTCCGATGCAACTGGAAGCATATCAAATGGTGAATGGCGACACCGTAAGCCCCGAGGTTATATTATTCCCACGGATGCCTGGATCCCTAGGGATTAAATTCCCCAAGGCAAAAACATTTGATTGCTTCTGATTAGACCGAGATTGCGGCAAACGTGAAAAAAGGGTGTTCTGATAGTGCCTTCGTTTGATCCTTGGCTCCTAAAAAGCAAACAAGACCGACCGGCAAGAGGCCGACGTTACTATCTTCATCTGTATAAAAGGATGTTCGTGGCAACCACCCATCATTCATTCCATACCGTCCACACCGCCAATACAATGTCAACTTCAGATCAAAAAGACAACCAGGATGGACTACCGCCCTATTTCCCCTCAGAAAGTTCTCGATACTTCACTGAAGAAAAGTCCGAGCAACTTCTTCTCCTACCCGAGTCCAACGAGCCCGGTCTGGCTGTGGATAATACCCTAACACGAGGCCTGCAAGTACCATCGCGAACTGCCACTTGCACTTCGGGATTTGACTACCCTGCTGAATTGATACAATATGGTATCTCTCAGGAGCACTGGCAGCAATTCACTCAAGTCATCTGCGATGAGGCCAAGCTTTCGCGGCAACAATGGACCACGGTGATTGGAAAAGGCCTCGGGACACTTGCCGTCGGTGGGCTGATGATCGGGCTGCTTGGCGCCATTCCTGCTATTTTCGTCGCTCGCAATGCTCGTAAGCGCCAGGAACAGCGGAACTTGATCACATCTATGGCCGGCGTGCAGGGTGAGCGGTTGTCTCGGCATATCTGGCACTGGAACGAGACTGTCTTCCAGCCTCGTGGGATCCAGATCCGGGTCGATCTACCCGATGAATACATCGGTGATCTAAACTCCATGGACCTTCATGGGAATAAAGCCTCGCCCCGACTGGAAGCGAAGGCCCGTGATAAAGCCGCTCTTAAAGCTCGAGTAGTGATTATCCCTCTGGATTTACGGCCTGCGACATCCGATCAGTCACCAAATACGGGTCGAAAGGGATCCCTGGATAGACGCGTGTGACGAATTATGAAATACGAACTAGGAGCTGCGATCTGTGGACTATAAGCTGCAAAGTGGGAAGGTTTATGTTGATGTGCTCTAAAAATTGAACAAACGCGATTCGCTTATGTCTTGACTTGATTTAATTTTGCCCTTTGAATGCAATTTACACCGGGATCCATTCTCTGGCAAGATGGTTATTTGTTTGGCGTACAAAACACGATATTGGAAGATAGTATAAGGGGCAGAGATTCCAAGCAATAAATAGAAACTTGATTGAATAATACTTTGATCGTCGCATATCTCATGAGAACATTTTATAGTTAAGTCCAAAATTTGGGGCATCTTTCTTTACACTTGCCGCTCGACATGCTGAGCCATGCCTTGTTGGGAAGCCATCATTTCCATTTTCTCATCCACCACCTGATCACGTTCTTCTGCATCCTTGTTACCATATCGGCCAATACGATACCAAGGCAGCTCAAAAAGTCGATCCATGCTCTCGAGAGTCCGACCAGCAGTCTCTGGCACACTGAACCACACCCACACGCCACCAATAATGGTCACAGCCGCGAAGAACCAGAAGGTACCCTGGGGACTAATACCACCACTAGAAGTTTCAAGCAGCATGTTGGGCACTGCACGAGAATTGCCATACTGGTTGGCAAAATGCAGGGTCATGGCGAGGGATGTTGCCAGAGCACGGATCCTCAAGGGGAACAGTTCAGCCGTCAACAGGTATTGCATTGAGTTCCAACCAAGAGCCCACCCGAATCCGGAGATATAAATCATCGCAATTGCACCCTCACTGGCTCCCTTCTTACTCTCTGGAAGCACGTATCCATCATCCCCCATTTTAGGAAATGCAGATAGGAAGCTTGCCACGTAGATCATTGCGATGGCCTGCAAGGAGATCCCCAAAAGTAGGGCACGCTTGCGTCCGATAACATCAACTAGAAAAAGGGCACATAGAACGGCAGCGACAAGCTTGACAATTCCGAAGATGGCGGTCACCAAAAGGTTCTCGTTGTTGCCAGTAATGCCCAGCAATTTGAACAGATCCGTCGCGTAAACAGTGATAGATCCCGCACCCGACCACTGAGACAGAATCTGGGCCATCAAAGCAAGATAGATCCGGTAGAGGTTCGAGGGAACCAAGAAAGTTTCTTTAATGATTCCCAAGGGTCCAGAGCCCATCGTGGCCTCCATCTCTAACTGATGCGCATTTCGGATGGCGGTGATCTCGCGGACTACATATTCATGTTCGGGAGCTAGGTTTCGGACACGGGCTAAATTTGCGAGTGCCTTGTCCAGCTGGCCCTTCTTGACCAAATATCGAGGAGACTCATATTGTAAAAAGGAGAGGAGAAAGATCAACCCAGCAAAGATGACATGGAGGCTCGTGGGGACCTCCTATATTGGATGTTAGTTGGGTCACAAACTGAATGATCCAACGCTGAAAATGTCAAGGAATCCTCTTACCCAACGATTGTGCGTGTTATCACCCAAATTGACTTCGCATCCATAATTGGCAAAGTAAGCTAGTACAATTCCTGCGAGCCAGACATGGGCTGCCGTTAATGGATGCTCGGAATTCGTATAGAAAACATGAAGGGCTGAGCGACGTACCCAGATAAACAAAGCCCGTGAAGACACAGGTACAAAGACCTCGAATGGAGGCAGGAGCCTGGGAGAAGCCGAGTTTGTTAGTCTTCAAATACGGGGAACAGCCACACAATAGAATTAATATAGAATTGAACGGCTGGGCTTACAATCTCCGCTAGGTAAACCGGGGCTACCACGACGGTTTGTCCAACACCGAGGCCTGCGATGAAGCGACCAGCGTAGACTGCGCCAAGGTGGCCATTGTTTCCCATGAAAATAGCGATACCAAGGATCCAGAGGAGACATAGCTGACGAGTTGCCCAAATACGACCGATGCGATCACAGACTAAAAAGGCACTGTTGTACAACACGTTAGGACGCGATCGCATTGATGTCGATAGACAATCCTGTTTTTATTTTTTATGTTGTCTTTAATGTCACTCACAAGAGGGCACCACCAACAGATCCAATTTGGACCATTGCTGAGACATTGGCTTTGATGTTGGTCTGCTCGACTTCACTATAGGATTCGTAGTGGATGTACCGCTGGAAGTCCTTGGAATTGAATGCGCCGGAGATGAGGCCCTCGTCAACACCTCGTGCCGCACCCATCAAACCGAAGGAGATGACAGCAAACCAGAGCTTCCAGTTGAAGACTTCCTTGGGATCACCCAAGTTCTTCAAGCGGAAGACGTTGACCGGCTTTTTGGCACCGCCCGCCATGATGAGCGATAAGAAGATGGATCGAAAGCTCGAGTGAGGAGATGCAGGGGACAAGAGAGACAAAGAGGGGATCAAGAGATGATTATTGACCTATTCAGTTAAGCAAAGTAGATTTTCAAATTCTTTCGTACCTCAGGGAGATTTAATAGCTGCGCAACCCCCGACTTTCAGACTAAATTCTACCTTCCATGATGCGGGGAAGTTCCGGGGATGAGGGACCAGACGAAAGCCAGTCACCCCGCGACATTGACGGTGATAATCCGAGCCAAACCAAGCTCTCTATAATCTTTCTGGCCCCACTGCCTCATTATTTCTCGGAGTGCCGTCATTGTCCGGCCTGTTCGGGCTTACATTGCATCTATCCGGTCTCCACCGGCGACCAGATTCATGCGAGAATTGCGCAGTATCTTCGGGCCTTGGTTACGAAGCCTCGTGGGCCGATCGTCGGGGGAACAACGAACGGAGTCGGCCAAGACCTGGGGGGCAGCGCCAAGGGAGCTTGGATCCCGAAGCAGCTGGGTAAAACCCGATTACGATTTGACGGCTACGCCGTCTGTGTCATGCCGGTACTCTTTTGGCCCTTTATGATTGGGGAATGGGTCGTGGGGAGGGTTACAGTCGGCATGACCCCAGTAAAACTCCCACATGGAGACACATGGAGCACATACCACATGACACCACCTGGTGCAGGGAATTGGAGCGTCTGGGATGTATTTCTGGTAACAATCCGGCTTGCCTTGCTCGACAGGCAGGCAAACAGACGTATCTTGGGATGTTAACTCTCATCGGATACTACATGTACCCGGACGCTTCGAGTTGGTACAGCCCATACGCCGAACGTTAATATAGTTTCAAGTAGATAATCCAGGCTAGAACTTAATAGTTCTCTCGGCTCGGGAGACCAGGGAATACATCCATTCATGCATCTCTAGCGACTTCTAGCAAGCGTCTGTTCAGCCGTCGCTGTGGGGGTTAGTTTGTTGCGTTGTTGATTTCTTGGCGGATTCCTTTGCTCCTTTCGTTCTCCATCTTCCTCTCTACTTCTCGTTTCATACTGTGATACTCTATACTAAAGCTCATTGAATCCCCGGGGCTTCTTAATTGTTACGCTCTTTTCTTATTATAGCCAAGAACCAAGAACTAATAAGCAACTGGGAACAAAGTTTTTGGGGCCTGGGGCTCGGGAAAGTTCCGCAAGACATGTGGTGGCGTGCCGCCCCGCCAAGATTGGGGCGGCACCTGTACGGCCCCCGTGTCCTCCATCTGGGGAGGGACAAAGAGGGGTACGGAACTGGGGAAGGTCTGGTAATGGCAGCCCCTCTGCTATTGATTGGTTCCTCATATGGCGAACCTCCGTGGTGGTGCTAGAAATGGTAAATACGCCGCGTTGCTTGGCGTGGGGGACGAAGCCCAGCATAGTTGGCTAGATGATGGGCGATCTCTCGATTACCAATTCTGTGCTAGTGAGGCTGACCTATCGCACTGGACGGTGATTGTGACCATACAGAAGAGCGGATTTCCATCCATTAGTATATATTTGTACCTAACCCACCCGAGCGACGGTTTCTTAAGTTGTGGAGATGGCTTGATTTCGAGGCCTTAACCGCGGTACCGCGTCCCGATGCACATCACGTCGGACACTGTCCTTTCGTGCTTTCAATGGATCTGGGTGATTAAGGGGGCGTTTCTTTCGACCCTATATCCCTCGCATATCATTTCCTTTTTCTGGCTCTCACCAGGCTTGTCGTTCAAACCCTACTTTTTGCCGGTGCCGGCATTTGGAGTCAGGATACAGAGCTTCCGTTGCCGGATATCGGCTGTAGTCGGCTGCCTACCAGAGGACTGTGATGTATCTCGACGGAATTTATCTATCTCCAAGAGACATGACTCCTATTTTCGGAACAGTCTCGTTGCATCCTCCCACCCTCTTACGTATTACCCCCGCATGCATTTTCCAAATTTGAATCCACGAGAAACATGTTTCCTGTTGCTAACTAAAAGCTGTGCAAAATTTATGTTATTCTTCAATGGGCCCTTATATTCTACCTAAAGTCTGCAGGTTGCCCTATTTCAATGGTCTTATAAGGTCAAGCTGAATAGAATATTTGAAATTCAATATACATACTAGACCAGCATATACACAAGCCCGAGACATTTCGATTTAATAAATAGATGTAACTTCATACTCAATGTACGATTACCTAAATTTACTCAATATATGGACGCAAGTTATAATTCAAATTATGGCATCCTAGGGCTCGGGCTGCCGTGACTATCAACTTTAGTCTTTCGATCACCTAACACGGCTTGCTGTGGATACGATAAAATAATCATGGGCCCACGCGCCTGCACTCTCCTATTGTCCACACCATAATGAATCTCAAGCAAAAAGTTTGTGTTGTCTTTGAGATACAGTCAAAAGAGATCAATCAAGGTTCCACTAGACGTGGCGTATCGAAGCAGCCATATCCCTTGACCACACTCATTTCATTTGTATAAGCATGCTTTGATTTGAAGGTCCAACCACCGACCGAGTTATGGAGCATGTCGCAGCGAATTTCAGAAGATTGATTGACCTGCCATAAACAACATCCCAAGATCCCCAGCTCGGAGACAACTTCTCCATCATCTACCCCAGCGGGTCCCATCAATAGACCAGGCAAAGTTGGCGGCACAATTTTCTGCATCAAGATATAAGAGGGCCACTGATACTTCGGAATCGATGCAAGAAACCCGGGGATTTTATCGCCGTAGATATTGTGACCGCCGCCCTCGAGAGAGGGCTTCAAGATGTAATTCGAACACTGTTCAGGATCACAGGCTACTTCCCGAGCATACATGCCCGACTCTGACTCATCTAGCGGATAAATAGGAACAAGGGTTTGGCGGATCGCGGCAACTTCTTGAGGACCGAGGAAACGCTCAAGGGCCCCCGGAATGGTCAGCGCCTGCTGCACTTTTTTAAACGTAGCCAGATGGGCAAGAAGAGAAGGACATTTGATGGCAGTTGATTTTTCGAGCTGGAGGCGCGCCTCCCTGCCCACTTCATTGTACTCATCCGCTTCATATCCCGCGCGCATGTATATCACCGATATCTCTAATGGCGCTTTTGATGCTATCCATGGTGGATGAAAGAGCAACTGTCGATCTTCATTGAGCCAGGTATATTGGAGCACGTCTTGCCCGAATTCAAGTCGGTAGGCAGGTACTGGGTCGCGCTGGTTCCATAGTGCGTATTCAATCGGTCGCTCATCTGCAATATTGAACTATATATTCAATTAGAATCCTCTGCATTTAGATCTGATTTGATCTGGGAAAAATTGATATACGCACATTTCTCGGTTGCACAATGAAAAGAATTGCTGTCCGTTGCACCCCTTGGCTTTTTGGGGGTCCATATTTAGTGTGCGCTAAGGCGAGACAGGAGGCAAGCGACTCGATGTTTGTATTAAGCGGTAAAGATACAAGATCCACAGATATATCACCTTTATTATATATCCCAGTGTGTTCCAAGTAGCGATGCATATCTGCCACCTTGTTTGCATGCGCGGCACCAGCACTGGAGAATGTATTCAACTCTACCTGTGCCAAACTCGTTTCATAGAGGTTATTAGGGGAACCTGACAAGTCCTCGCCAATGTTACAATGGAGCATGTAATCCGAGCGAAAGATGCCCACCGAAATGCTCTGAGCATATCCTGCAAGCTTGACTGCGCGATGAATTCCCCAGAGTGCTGAGGCAAGGGGCTCATGAGGGACCAGGTCTCGGATCGCATTAAATATCCATCCCTCATCTGCGGCAACGGCGCAATAGAGCCGATTGAATATTTTCTGTAGGTCTACTGCTTGATGAAATTTTGCCCGGGGAAAAGGTGTTGGGAAACACTGTTTTTGTCAGATGTTGCTGTCGTCGGGTTGAAATGGTATAAACTCTACCGACACTCCTACAGGATGACTCGGGGCGCTATATTCGGTTTCGAGATTGACTTGTTTCAGAAGAGACCCATGAATAACTGATACTTCTTAGCTTTTTTTTCTATCAGGGGGTAAGAGACTTTGCTACTGGCACTGACTCTGTATCCGATTAGAGACTGGGGTTTGCGCTCGCCCTTTGCACTCCGGAGACTTACCTGCCAGTCCTTGATCTGGGTGACTAAAGAGAAAAGGTGCTCGTCATTCAAGTCGGGAGAATATTCCCCTTCGACCACCATCCTGACTGCTTCACAGACAACTACGCGGCTCTCTGATGGCGTGGGAGATTTTGCGACGAGACTTCGGTGCCTTGATGATCTGGGGGCCGTTTTCGGGCAAAACGGCGGGGTTGGCCGGGATCGCCACGGCGCGACCAAATTACAACAGGCATAAGGTGACGTCTTCTTCGTCCGAGACAGCCGCTTAACAGGTCCATTTCAACGCTTGTTACCCCCGTATTGCCACCACATTTTGGCGATTTATCTCTTCTAGGAACGTCCCCGAAATCCTTTTCTCGTGATATGATCACGATGGTGGCTATGAATCTTCATGAGCTCGCTCATATGATTTTGTCTTCACAACGAGCATGAACAGAACGATGACGAAGTGCGAAGTTCTGTATCAACGCCCGTTACCTCAAAAAGAGACAAAAGCGAGGCAGATTTCCCGGAGTTGAAAGTTCTGACGGGTCTTGAATCGTTCTACACGGTCGCAGAATTTCTGAAACTCCAACGGAGATGAAGAGAGGAGGTCACTACTGGAGAGATGTCTTAATTATCCTTCCTATAGTCGGCGCTTCGGTCGCGACAATTGTATTCGCCCTTCGCCTTTACGCTCGTCATCTAGTAGCCCATCGCTTGCGCAGCGAGGACATATTGATGGGAATGGGCCTCCTGTGCACTTATGGTTTCTCAATTTGCGTTATATATTGTAAGTGTGGGCTCATACTAGATAAAACCTGGTGGCTGATGATTTCACTCCAAGCGGCTACACAAGGTATTGGAATTGGAGAATCGTGAGTTTATCAATCAACTTGAATGATCCCACAAGAAACTAATTTGAGAGCGAGAATTTGGGTTCTACCTCGTGAACAGCGCTTACGGATTGCACTGGTAGCACTTCCTCAAATTGCTTTGCGATGCGATCACTAATTTGCAACATAGGCTCAGTGGATCTCGCAGAAGTTTTGGCCACCTGCTCAAATTTTCATCAAAGTATCCATCGTCATCTTCCTGCGCAGGATTCTTGGCTGTATCAATCGCTTTAAACAAGTCACAATGGCAGTTATAATCCTCGTGGTTGCCTGGGGCCTGACAGCCGTTGTGGGTAATACCTTTCAGTGTTGGCCCGTCCAATATTTCTGGATCAAACATATCGAGGGTCATTGCATGCGCGGTCAAAATACCTTTTTTATTATCATTGGTGCCCTTTCTTTGGCGCAGGATGTCTTCATTCTCTGTCTGCCGCTGCCTATAGTGTGGAAACTGCAGACTCCTCTTCGGCAGAAGATCGAAATATCGCTACTATTTTCTATCGGTTGCCTGTGAGCTTTCTACGGTTTAATATTTAATCACTTAACTAATAAGCTGTCTCTAGAGTTTGCATCTTCAGTTTATTACGTTTGGTAGAACTCAAAAACTATCAGACAAGTAATTTGACTTGTATGTGATCGGATCAGAGTCTTGATCGAAAACAGAATACTAAGTCTAATTTCTAGACAGCAGCTCCCTCACTCAAGTATGGACGATAATGGAGCTCGATATGGCCATCATATGTGGGTCACTATTGTTGATGAAGCCTTTAATCCAGCAATGTATGGGGACTATGCGCAAAGGAATCACAAACTTGAGTAGTGCATCATATCTGCACGGATCTGTGGGCATAGCCATGTCCAATCGTTCTCCCGAAGAGTCAGGGCTGGATCAAGTGGGATTTCAGAGAGTGGATAATAGTTTGATTGTCAACTCTGAGGGAAGGCCACAAGATGAGTTGAGGCAGATCAATTGTGCCGATGGGAGGAAAGCCAATTTGGAAACGGAATTTTGTTGAATTACAGATGATACTTAATTTTACTACTAACAAGGATTTGAAAGTAACTGGTGTGCATTGAAGTCCAATCAGGTCGAAATAATCAAACTTCTTTTTGTTCTTTTGTGCAAAAAATCTCCTTGGCATCAGCGCTTTTTTCTGAAGACGGAGGGATGTCCTTATACTCCGCGTTCGATTTTGACAGCGCGGGGTTCAAGATCTCTTATAAAATGCACATGAGGTTTGTGGCGTCCGCCACATGCCCTGACGAAGATGACGTTTGAAGTCATTTGACATTTTGCAAGAAGCCCAGATATTTTGATAGTAAATTTCAATGCACATGACAGCTGGGAAATTTTATGAAATTTTGAACTAAAAGATCAACTGCACCGGAGAAACTACATACTATCAGATTCTGCGAGCCAGAAACCAACAAAGACAATAGATATCAGTGTGGAAACTTGTAGCTTTTATTATTATATTGAATTTCATCATTGATTTTCTCCTAGTATAACGAAACAAATGCTACTTCTTGAAACCACTATTTTGGAATTATCCGGAGCTAGTACGCTGTTAACATTGTATTGCCAAGGGCGCTTAAGCTAGGCTCTATTTTTCCCCGCGTCAGAAGCTAGGAAGGGGGCCGTGTCTCATCATATGTTTCGGAATGCAACTAGGCAACTTATCCCATTCGATGTTTCATTTTTCACTGTGCGCCCTGTCCGATCTTGACACGGACGCTAATAAATGGCTGTCGGTGGCGCTCTCATTAAATAGGAGGATTATTACAGGGCGCCAGCTGAAGATATTATGAAGTAACATGTGGATGTAAAATTATTCGGCATGTCCCGGCTACCGGATTTTCGAGTCCATCAAGCGACGGACGTTTGATACCGAAAGTATTGATTTATCAGATATATTACAAAGAAGAGATAAATAGAGTAGTTCGCCCACAACAATCATCACAACCAGACGGCTTTCTTTCAGCGAAGAAGAGCGACGAGCTTATCATTTTTATTATAGCCGACTCAAAAGTCTTCTTGAAATGATGCAGGGATTTGTGCTACTCTATCTGGCGACCTGCGTCGTCGGTCACGGCCATATTTCCAACATTGTAATCAATGGTGTCTCCTATGAAGGATGGGATATCAATGTATTCCCTTACGAGTCTGATCCTCCCACAGTTGTGGCATGGGGAACTCCGAACACCGGTAACGGGTTCATCACTCCAGGTACGCTAAAAAAAAGATAGAAAGAAAGATGGGCCTTTCATGCATATCTATAGAGAAAGCACTAATGATGGATGCCTATAATAATTCTAGAGAACTATGGAACCTCTGATATCATATGCCATCTCAATGCAACCAATGCCAAGGGACATGCAGCAGTCGCCGCTGGCGATAAAATTAATCTTCAATGGACGACCTGGCCTGATTCCCATCATGGGCCTGTTATCACATATCTTGCCGATTGTGGAGATTCATGTGAAACCGTTGACAAAACGACATTGGAGTTCTTCAAAATCAGTGGTGTTGGTCTTGTGGATGATACCACTGTTCCGGGTACTTGGGGTGACGACCAGTTAATTGCCAACAGTAACAGCTGGCTGGTTGAAATCCCCCCCACAATTGCACCTGGGTACTATGTACTGCGAAATGAGATTATTGCACTTCATTCGGCCGAGGCAGAAAATGGGGCACAGAATTACCCACAGTGTTTCAATCTGCAAGTGACTGGCTCGGGGACAGATCAACCATCGGGAGTTTTGGGAACAGAACTCTACAGCCCAACTGACGCCGGAATTTATGTCAACATTTATTCATCACTTTCAACGTATGTGGTCCCGGGGCCAACCCTTTATAGCGGCGCTGTTTCTGTTACACAAACGACATCAAGCATAACCGCATCTGGTACTCCGACAACTGGATCAAGTGGAAGTTCTGGTTCTGGATCTGTAACTTCGTCCGCCAGCTCGTCGAGTACTACGTCCTCGTCGACACAAACAACTAGTCAACCGACGACACTCACGACACAGACAAGCACTACTTTGAAAACTAGTACTACAAGTACAACGACCTCCAGCACCACCACAGTGGCTAGCAATAGCTCTACCCAATCGGTATATGGGCAGTGTGGGGGAAGCAATTGGACTGGGGCGACGGCTTGCAACACTGCGGCCACTTGTACTTCTATGAACCCATACTACTCACAATGTGTCCCAACTGCTGCTTAGGACTTAAGTATGTGACTGGTAGGACCTGGAATTTGTTTATATATTAACAGAGTTAGGAAAGAAATCAATGTGTTTTCACTGCAAAGCTTGCTGTGTCGTTCCTTACAAGGGGCATCATTTGTATGAGAATGGAAAGATTGACTTATTTTTGCCAATAAGAAAGCAAAGTACGGAAAATTCTAGATATCGTCTTTCTTAATGAGGAAGAGCCCGAGAATTTACCGGTAGAGCAGTGAACCCGCGGATATATCATAGTACTTGGCTCCTATTAGACTAGCCCTGCTTTCCGTATTTCCTTGACGCGACATCCGGAATTTCACAAAATCGATCATTCTGGCTCTACCCCCGCCCGCATCTGGTAAAAACGGATCCTGCTAACAAGGTCGTTCTTCCCCCAGAATACATTCTTCATATTGGTTGCCCCTCCGTCCCTCACTATCTCCATCTCCGTTCTGTTGCCGCGCCCAGGAGGGGTACTATATTCTCTCAGCTTCGGTCGCCGTTTGTAGTGCCAGATGCGGTCATTTTCGGTGTTGGTTTCGCAGGTCCTTCTATCCTTATTTTTGTTCTCTGAAGTCTCGCCCCTAGAGATTGGGCCACATCCGTTTCGTCTTGATCCCCACATTGCCTCCCCACGTCTAGCAGTAAATCCATCCCACGTCTCGTTTGATCCAACCCCGCATGTCCCGCTTGGTCACCTTATTACCCGTGAGGAACTTGTCCTTTACGTTGCCAATAATTATTGAAAATTGATAAGATCGAGTCCAAGAATAGATACAGGGAGATATGAAAAGGCAAGATAGTTCCATATACGTATGAAAGGGTCGGGTTGATCGCTTTTAAGAAGTTTGACACGGTCAAGGCGCAATGCGAACTCGGCCATCGAGATTTTACTTTTTCCGACGTCCCCACATGCCACATGAGCATGAAAAGTATAAGACGATCAGAATCCACGGGATCTCTGATGGAAATTTCAAAAACTTCAACAACAGCATGGCACCTCCATTTCGGGCTGAACAAATCGGATCTCTCATGCGGCCCCCAGCGCTTCTAGCAGCCCGTTCTGCCGCTGGGGTGGCATCTTCGTATTCGCAATTGACTGATGAGTTGCATAAAGCAACTGAGGAAGCTATTGGAGAAGTTGTTCTGAAACAACTTGATCTAAGCATCCGTCCGATCACCTCAGGGGAATATGAACGCGACAAATTCTATTCGGGATTTTTTGAAACCCTGCAAGGTATGGAAGTTGTCAAAGACATTCCAATAACGGAAGGGTATCGGACCAATTTCCCTACCTTGAGGACATTGAAGACACTTGGGATCACCACTCGAGATTCGGTTGTGGCTGTTGATCGAATCAGCCACACCCGCTCTGCCTATTTGTCAGAATGGATAGCTTTGCGTAGTCGGCTTCCACAGGAGAAATGGAAAGAGTGTAAAGTGACGATGCCACCAATAACTCATAGCCATATGCAGGTATAGTATACTGTTCTCAAATATGATATACCTCCAGACATAACGCTAAAATTATATCAAGATGGCCGTGGGAAGTGCTTATCATTCTTCCATTTACTCTTCCGATCAAGAATATTTCAAAGATCTTGCAATCGCGTACATCGCTGAGTTTCGTATTCTTTATGATGCAGGATTGCGCTCCATCCAGATTGATGATCCATGCCTATTATTTTTTGTTACCGATGAATTCCGATCCGGTTGCGAGATGGACGGTGTTGATCCTGACGAATTGATTGACCAATATATCTCGGCACATAATCAATGCCTTGTAGGGAAGCCGGCAGACCTACATGTTGGGCTGCATCTTTGCCGTGGTAATATGGCTGGCTCAACTCATATTATGACAGGATCCTACGAGCGAATCGCTAAAAAGATGTTTAGTGAATTAAATTATGATACATACTATCTTGAGTAGGTTGCTTCTTACTTCGTGCTTTCCCTGACTTTCTCCTTAATGAATACGTATATACCAAGATTTGCTTCATCTCGGCATCATACAAATTGTTGATCTCATGCTCTTCCATACAGGTACGATACCGCCAGAGCAGGTGATTTTGAGCCACTCCGTCATTTACCGATTGGTAAAAATATTATCCTTGGAGTCGTCTCCACAAAATCACCGGAAATGGAAGATATAGATGAGCTTGTGAATCGAGTATATTCTGCCGCCGAGGTAATTGCTCGCGGGCAGGGGCGAACTGTAAGCGAGGTCGTTGAGTCGTCCCTTGGAGTCAGTCCTCAATGTGGTTTTGCAAGCATGAGTTTAGGTGGGGGTCGTGGCATGACGATGGATGTTATGTGGGAGAAGCTCTTACTAGTCAAGAATCTTGCCGCGCGAATCTGGGACTGAAATAAGAGGCTTTCGGGTGTGAAATTTACATTCAAACGAGATTTGAAAGTACAGTATGAGAGATGAAAATGCCGACTTAGATCTGCGAGAAAAACAAAAGAAAAAAGAAATTATTCGCTAACACTATTTAGTAATCACCTAAAGCTCGTTCGGGTGTAGACGGCTCAGCGCTCCCTTTATTATGTTCTTACGCATATAATCCTTATGAAGGAGATCATCTCAGATTTTAGTGTAAAAGAAAATTTGGCCGACCAGGGATCGTGAATACTAGACATCACGTTTAATTTGATGCTACAAATTGGCGGTGCAGAAACAGGGGTAGCACAACTGATTGACTAAGTAAATCAACATCGAGTAGTTAAGTAGTACTACATGAATCATACTGTGTCTTGCTTTTTGCTTCTTTGTCTGTCTTTCCAAAATCTCCCCCCATTTCGTAGGCTCAATCAAACAAGTTTTGCCCATAGCACTGCTGTATTCGGTCCCCACTGACCAGGCAGCATCATTTAATATTCCATCGAATCAGGAGCAGCGGGAGTCATTTAGAGAAGACTCAGGAGAACGAACATATTACAACCAGGGTTGAATCTGGATTACTCCCCGCAGTAGAACAATAATCATATGTTTTGGATCTGTGATATAGCAGGACTATGGAACCATAAAATTCCATAAAAACAAAAACATGGGACGAGAGCATCCTCGAATCTTCCAGGCTGCTAATGCCGCTTAGCTCCCGACAACAAAGACCAACAGCATACATAACAAGTCAATAAAATCAATAACCAACGCCATTGCAGAGTAAGCGTGGCTGCGCAGTATGATTGTTCTGATTTGGGGGGGCTTGGTCATCAGTCCGATCCTTTTGGCACTCAAAAGGGCTTCTTTTCCTTTCTCTTCAATCATATATGTACACGGTCACTGTAATACTCTCTTCACATGCTCCTATTCTACCCTTATATATCCCTACTTCCCTCTCACCTTTTCACATTCTTGCTCGACAGTCAGCGATCCGAGCGGCGAAGACCCACCGGTTCCAGGGATCATTTTTAGCGCGAACGCCAGCGCCCGAGTTCTCAAATCACTTCACATTGTCGCGTGACCAGTGTTCAACCTCCAATCTCAAGGAGTTAAGGCGACATTGTGCCTTGCAAGAGACGGGGTCAGTATTTGCATTCGACATTCGACGTATTCCAACCCACATAGGCATTGTCGGCCCGTTGATTCTCGCAGCGGAGGACCAAACGCGTTATGCCTGCCGCCCGAGACGCGATCGCGCATATTTCGAAGCTGTTGGTGCTCTCCTACGTGGTCGACTGGGTGATAATCATGTATGGCACATCTGCGTGGAATTGTTAGCTGTGAAATACTGATCGTATGCACAGTGGAATCGCCTTGATTGGCTATGGATTCTACAAACAGACCCCAAACCAGCATCCCTTCTCCCTCACCGACCCCACGATCTCCTACCCTTATATCGAGAATGAAACCGTATCAACTGTAACTTTGATACTTGTGGGACTCTTAGCCCCTGCCGTTATTGTGTTGATCGGAGCGCTAGTCCTTGTGCCTGGGACGACCGCTGCCGAGGGCGCAAAGCCCTCAAAATCGCAAACCCTGCGGCGCAAATTCTGGGAATGGAATGCTGGGTGGATGGGGCTCGCTCTCGCACTGGCAAGCGTGTGGACGGCCACCCAAGGACTGAAGGTCCTGATCGGAAAGCCGCGTCCAGATCTTCTGGCGCGATGTAACCCGGACCTGAGCAAGATCGCGACTTACACGGTCGGCGGTCTGGGAGACCGTCTTCAAGGGGCAGCGACCCTGGTCAGCTATGAGCTTTGCCAGGACCAATCCTCCAGCCTTCGCATCGACGGATTTTCAAGTTTCCCGAGCGGCCATTCGTCCTGTAAGAACCTCAGACATAAAGATCTCTCAGATGTCGCGACATCCCAACCTAACTGATATTCTAGTTTCTTTTGCTGGTCTAGGCTATCTAACACTGTGGCTCTGTGCGAAGTTTTCAGTCGGCTTCCCCTACCTGTCTCACTTCAATACAGAAGGATATGATCAGAGCGATGACCGTTCTTCTGTCCGAACGCGTGGTGCCGCCCCCCAGTTCTTCTAATGCTCCTAGCTTTCGTACCCACTGCTACGGCTTTTTTTATCTCAGCTTCTCGGTGGTTTAACTACCGTCACCATGGATTCGATATCATCTTCGGATCTGTCATAGGGGTCATTTTTGCTTGGATTGGGTTTCGAATGTACCATCTTCCCATCCGGCGGGGAGCCGGTTGGGCTTGGGGTCCACGAGGCCGGCAAAGGGCCTTCGTTCGGGGCATTGGTTTCCCCAGCTCTCTTGGAACTGATAGCTGGACTTTCACCCAGAAGACCGGGCCTGTATCCTCGGGTGCTAATTGTGCAAAGCCAGAGCATGACCTCGAAAATATCGCCATGCGAGAACGGCCAGAGCCAGTAAGTCCCGTTGAATAAAAATCAAACGAGTTTCCACCCCCAAAAAGTGATTGTTCCCCCCGAATTCTTGAACTTTTCCTACCGTGCCGTCGCAATAGCTATACAACCCTCTACACACGATACGGTACCGACGTCAACTGCCACCCTATGGATTGATAGAATAATACTATGGCATCATAACGCTCCTAAATTCTGAAGGTCCAGAGTTTGGCGCTCACAAAAATTCTATAAGGTCTCATAAGTACGTCTTATGACTATCTCACCAAGGGCCTCTGTCACGAGCAACGACAAGATTGTTCAGCCAATCTCAGTTCGATGCCTCATGTTTCAGATTCAGGAATGCCTAGTTGATAGCTGGATCCTTCAAACAGCTAATTGAATATACATATATTGCAAGTAATAATCTAAACGCTTGGAGCGAGTTGATAATGCATACATTCTAAGAGAGAGCGCCCGCTGGTTCCTAGCGACCGTGTGTGGACTTTAGCCGGAGATAACGTATCTACGAACAAGGTCATCGCGCTTACATGTACGAGCGGGCAACACCGAACGCTTCCCTACCTACCACCAAAGTTCATGACTATAAAACTAAAACTGCCCGTTCAAAACAACTGACATGGCTTCATTCATGGTGACCGGTTCATCGCGCGGCTTGGGGTTGGCTCTCATCACGCGCCTGGCCTCGCTACCCCGAACAGAAGTTGGAACAATCATTGCGACCGCACGCCAGGATAATTCGCTCCTACTGAAGGAAATAGCAGATAACTCATCTGGACGTGTTAAAATAGTCAAGTTGGACGTCACGAACAAAACAAGCGTTCAAGAAGCGGCTACTTTGGTGGACCAGACGTTGCAAGGAAAAGGTCTAGACTATCTCATTAACAATGCCGGTGCTACAGATTGGACGCTGAGCGGGCTCCAAGGAATGTAAGTAATATCTCAGTGCCCTGAGTGAATCATATTCAAAGGAACGCAGGAAGTAACACAATGGTATCAGGGATAATTTGAACGAAATTTTCAACACAAACGTGGCCTCGGTCCATCTAGTAACGCGGGAATTTTTACCCCTCCTTCACAAAGGGGAGAAGAAAGTTGTTACAAATATGTAGATGATATCTCTCTCAGACGCATGAGCCTGGCCCATGCCCATGCTGATAACAAGACCTAGATCGACCACTCTTGGCTCGTTTGCCCTGGCTCCACAATACCGTCTATCACTTTGTCCTGCCTACAAAATATCCAAAGCTGCCTTGAACATGCTCACTCTCCAATATGCCCAGCAATACGAAGGAGATGGCTTCACTTTTCTGGCTATCAGTCCCGGTGTAGGTTTCCCTGTCAACGAATCAACGCTCCGGCCTCAATGCATCTGCTAATGACGATAGTGGTTGCGTACTGAACTCGGGAGCTCTCGGGCAGATCTTCCAGTAGAAACTGGCGCCGAAAAGACAATGAATCTTATATTAGGCGCGAATTGTGCGCAAAATGGAAAATTCTTGAATATCCACGTGCCTGGTTGGGAGAATGCACCAGGGCCCAACCAGTACAATGGGGAGGAAATTGCTTGGTAGGGGGAATAAGTAATTTTGAATTGAATCCGTTCTCGGCGCTTTTCATTGACCCCCGAGCTTCTAGCATGATTTGTTTTCTTCCTTCAAGGTCCAGTCTCCAAGGCAATAATATTTTTGCCACGAAAGACCAGGACTATGTGGCCTGGCGCGAGCTGTTTCCCCTAGGTCTAGAGGAGAACGATAAAAGGGAATACTGCAGTAAATGTTCCGGCAAAATTGTCTTATATTATATTATATCCAGACCCATTCAATTTACATATTGACGAACAATCTGAGAGGAGCGTCAAGGATAAATAAACTGAGATTTGATTTTAGATATATATCCCGGAATATCGGGGCTTTGGCTGCTACAAACTTTGAAAGAAAAAAATTGTTTGATAACTCCCCTCAAATGCAAACGATTATTGATACAGATTCTGGGTACGCGTAATATCTTCCAAGAGATCTCATTAAGATTTGCTCATAAAGTTTTATCCTGGGGACAAGAAAGTCAATGCTGTCACGCAATGCTGACTGGTTAACATGACAGGTACGTTAAGTCTGGGTTGTTGTTGGTTGTTGATTATTTAATGAATTTAGTCTTTTTGAACAATTGTTGAACTGTCGAAGCCAGTAGTATTCTGCAATTAAGTTGATATTGCAGTCTAGTTAGGTCTTCATCGAAATCCGTCGACTAAGAATCAGAATGAGAGAAAATGAAATAAAGAAACATCCAATGACTTCTCAACTTCTCATTGAAACATACCCTGATATATATATTGAGAGTCATATTCATTATCGTAAAACGCGAAATACGTTATTAATAGAACCATCGGAAGTCATCACTTGCGGGCCCCTCGTTGAGATTCTCTGTAGGGATATCTCTTGCTTTGATATGAAATCCTTGCTTCCGGTCTCTTCGCTTGTTGTCTATCATCATCCAGATGCCAAGGCACAGCGTCAAAATTATTCCAGTACCTCCAAACACGGATGTGGTAATTAGTGCAGGGAAGTACTTGGGCGCATCCTGGCTACGGAAGATATTGGAGCTAACAACTCCCATAAGGTTCGCCATTGGAACAGCGATACTAGTTAACACAACACGTCGTCCCTCGTTAGCAATATTGTTGTTGTACCAGGAATCGAGAAGAACTGAAGGTGCGGAAGTGCCCCTATAGATCCGTGGTTAGGAAGAACCAGTGATATCCAGCGAAATCCTATTCCACGGAAACTTACCAAGTCATCATGAACGAAGCAAAGTAAGCGACACTCAGTTGATTTTGAACATCGATGGCTGCGTATATAACAAATCCAACGAAGGTGAACAAAAAGCCCAGTACGATAAACGGGAAGCGCCATCTGGTCCAGTCACTAGCGAAGGCCAATATCAACAACATTGCTGCACCTGAAACATTAGGCGCGACAGTGTAAAGGTTGGTCTTGACCGTACTGTAGCCAAGACGTTCAATAATTACTGGAAGAAATAATTGAACAGCTTGGAGTGGTACGCCAAGGCAAATTTGGATGGCCAAAATGGCCCAACTAGTCCAATGTTTGAACACACGGAATGCATCTCGAATGTTGAGTTCTTCTTCAACCACCGAGGAGCTGTCAATTTGAAGCCGGAGGTACGCAAGCTCCTTTTCCTCCTCAGTAAGGAAATTTGCCTCTGAAGCCGACCTCGGGAGATACCAAAGAGCAAAGAGCGCAAAGAGAACAGTCCCACAGCCTTCGATTAGAAATAAGTATCTCCAGGATGCTAATGGACCAGTGTGAATACGGAATACGCCGAAAGCTAGTAGCCCGGAAAAGGCAGATGCGATACTTTGTGCGGCATAGAAAATTGCTAGCCGACGAGCAAGTTCACCTCGGCGATAAAAGCTTTGAAGAGGTTAGGGTTGTCTTTGGTGTAATTTTAATGTGAATTGCGTTGCTTACGTTGTCTGATAGTAGATAACCAGAGGAAAGAAGGCACTCTCTGCCATACCCAAAAACCACCGAATGGCAAATAGACCGCTGAAGTTGTATGCAGCCACTACCAAAATTGTACAGAGACCGAATGCGAGCATCATACTTGGAAGCACAATATTGGGTCCATACTTCTTTCCAAGTAGACCAAGGAAAGGTGCCGTCAGAACGTATGGCACGAAGAAAATACTCAATATCATATTATATTGATTCTTTTCCAGGTGAAGTGTGTCTGAGAACCACGCGTTGGTTTAAATTCAAGGATCAATGGTTTAAAATACATACCTTCCAGACCTGCTGTCTTTGCATTGCCTAAATTGGATTTATCAAGACTGTTAAAGAGATACATGACAGCCAGTACAGGAAGCAGGCGGAGGTCAAACTTCCAGACCAGTGCCCGTTCCGCCCGTGCATCGATGTCAACATTGGCGATGGTAGTAGCCCCAAGAGGCTTTGGAGGCGTTTCGAAAGATTCGGACATGATTGAAAACTATCAGGTTTACGAGCCATGCTGATCGTAAGGATCTCTCACAAAACATATACAAAATGCTGCTTATCGGAGGTGGTGCTTGGCTACCGCACGCATCACATAATAATATCAGGACAAAATGAAATGGCGGTTCACGTTCGCAGATAAGCCGCGTCTTGGCGGGCTTGGCCCGATAAGCTTGTGCCAATCAGAAGGGCGTGTAGGATGATTAGCCGTAGATTATCCTTTTTGAAGGTCCGACAACGGTCAACTTCCGCAAGGGTAAGGCTTTGAATCACTAGGGTCACCCTTGAGGTCAATGTGTCTCAGTAGTAGTAGAAATTCAAAGCCATTTTTTGTCGATAGCACCTAATCCGTGGAGTTAAACTGGGGTATTGCGAGTTCTACCGAGGCTACAACCAAAATTGCGGGGACTGGGTTTGGGAGGGATTTCTGATGCCGGGTAAAAACGGACGGCTAGAGAGGCCAATCACTGCGGCAATGGACATGCATTTGTTAAAACGCTAATTCAGAAGATGTGACTTCGTAACATCTACCCGGAGGCTGAGAGATTATAGATATGCCCAAGGAAATTGATGTTGAACTTATTGATCGAATTAGGCTAGGTATACCAAGAACACCACAAAGTAATGGATTTTTCGGGGAACTCGGACACGTTTCACTTAGCTGCAACACATTAGCCACAATTCAAGCTGTTGTGGGGGATATTAAAAGTTCACCAGGAAACCTACCCATCACACTTGTGGCTGCCTTCCTGCTCAGAGTCCTTGCATCCGCTCGAGCAGAGCTGGGGATGGCCCACAATACCAGGATTCTTACAGTGAAAAAGAACGTTCTCGAGGGGCTCATTCTCCAAATCAGTCCCTTTCAAAACATCTTTCAAATCCGCCTCGGTAAAGCCTGGCCCGATTAGCTTCATAGTTATGCCGGGAGGCACAGATTCGGTCTTACCTTTGGATTTGATCAGGATGTCGGAGCAATAATCGAAGCTGGGTGTGCAGGTTTTGTCGGCGAGGCCGGTTGAGAATAGAGCAAAGATGGCTAAAGCAATAGATGAGAGCCTCATTTTGATATTAAATTCGAGACCAGCAAGAGATCAATTGAGAAATCGCCTGACAAATGGAGGGTATCCAATGGATGGGCGCGATATATATTTCTCTTCCGAAACAGCTGATGGAGGAAAACAAGTCTCCAACATTCTTCGGTCCCGCATGTTCTGGATGGAATGAGAGCCGGCATGCAGCTACGCCATGGGGCAAACTACCCTTGCGGGATCTGGCATGGTCGATCCCGTCGGAGACTCTGGCACAATACTTGGTTTCTTGAAACAGATTTCAGATGTTGTCCATTATGCATTAGAGCCGAATGATTTCAGAAGCCAAAGAATCTTTGAAGGCCTAGACAAGGCCCTCTATATGAACATGGGATATATGTCGCAGCCATGTGATATTTTCTGCAAGGGGCTGGTGTTTTCCCCCGGAGTAAAAATCCTCTAACAGTAACATTTTTTTCCGGTTGATATTTGAGACATTCTGGCCGAGCGGCTTGTGGGTAAATAGTAGTAGCGTTCATCGATTGCTGTAAGCAACTGCCCAAACAAGCCCAAACAAGCTTCGTTCAAGGGTTTTAGCGATGAAGCCCGAAGAGCCCCAAGGTCAATAAAAAGAGAAAGCGGAAGACTTTACTTAGTACATCCAAGATTGTACTGGTTAGTGAAATACTCAATTGCCGAGACTGCTAAGGAAGTCATTGGTTTAGTCTAGACAAGGCAACTCCGCGCGCCGGCGTCACTGTTCCGATAAGATTAAATTTCAACCCCGCACGTTTGTGATATACGTATTTCGGATTTTGACCAGCCTCGCCAAGTTTCGCTTTTCCAGTTGCCAGCACCTGACAGACCGGCCGCTCTTGAAGCTTGATATATGATAATAGCCAGTCCCATAATCCAATCCCCGCGATGAAACCGAATAAAATTATCGGTGATTACCCCCCTGATGTGTACAGCCCAATCAGCCAGCGAGCCGTTTAGATGCGATCCTTGCCTTTCTCCCCTTCCAAACACGAATCACTGTTAACATCCCCGACAGAGAGGCTGGTCATGGCGGATCCGGGCCTGCCGCATTCAGAACCGAGTCAATCGTACTGGCAGCATGTCCCGCATGCTTTGGCAAATATCAGATCGCCACAATTGCCGACCGAGAGAGATCACGTCATTATTGGATCTGGTATCTCTGGCCTTTCTGTCGCTAAAACATTACTAGAAAACCATCCAGCTGCAACAGTGACGGTTTTTGAAGCTCGGACGCTTTGCTCCGGCGCGACTGGTCGTAATGGGGGTCAGATGGCTGCCAACATCGGAGAGGAGTACACGCACTTGGCAGACATTCATGGTCCAGAGATGGCCGGGAGAATCGCATCATTTACGTTTCAAAACCTAGAGAAGATGTGGAAGTTAATCGACGAGTATGATTTGAAGGACACGACCGAAGCGCAGCGTCTGTGGAAATTGCGCGTTTTCCTGACAAGCAACACATATGATGAATTTCGAGAAAGTATTTCACGACTGGAAGCTGATCATCCCTCAATGAAGGGTATATATAAAATGCTAGACAAAGAATCTCTCAAAAAGGTGTGTGAATTGTTGCGAGCCGCTACTGGCTATTCACTGCCATGCAATTGCTCTGACAACGATATGTTCAGGACTTTGGAATCCACGGGGCGGCTGGTGGAGCAATGCTCCCCGCTGGGACGGTGTGGCCCTATCGCCTGGTCACGAATGTGTTTGCTGCTCTTATGAAAAAGTATCCAGACCGATTAACCATCGAGACTAACACCCCGGTTGAGGTCGTGGAGTACAACCAGAGTTTTCCTACTCCAATCACTTCCGTTTTTCCCTACACTATCCGTACCTCTCGTGGTCCCATGCGAGCGGGAACAGTCATTCACTGCACCAATGGCTATACTGGTCATCTTCTCCCGAGTCTACGTGGACGGATTCATCCCTTCAAAGGGACCATGACAGTACAAGACCCTGGCGGCGTTATACCTAACCAGGGCACCAAGGTATCATGGGGATTTCACTATGAACCAACATATGATCCCAAATCCCAACGTCATGGCTTTGGACTGTATTATTTAGGACAAAGTGCAAAAACCGGGTACTTCTATTTTGGTGGAGAGAATTCTCGGATCGACGAAGCAGTGTCTGCAGACGATAGTTTTGCAGAAAAGTATTCTGTAACTCATCTCCAAGAGGTCCTTCCCCAATTTCTGGGCCGGAATGCCACTTCCCCTTGGCGGCTGGTCAGTTCCTGGAGCGGGATCATGGGATTCTCGTCGGACGGGCTACCTGTAGTCGGGCGACTTCCCTCGACACTGACAGGTCGGGGTGGCGACGGTGAATGGATTGCGGCTGCTTTCAATGGTTATGGCATGGCCAACTGCCTTCTCAGCGGCGAGGTTCTGGCCTTGATGATATTGGGCATAGACGTGGGGGACGTACTGCCAGGCGCATACAGCATCAGTGAAACGCGGCTGCTCACCACTCTGACACCCCCGGAATCGATCAAGGCGTTGACCTCGAAACTATGACAGCATCTTGAAGACGGGCGTTGTTTGTCAGAGGAGTACCACTGTTTGTTGTTCTTTGATGGCCAGGCAATTTCAAAGAAGGCACACTCAACATCAAAATCCGCAGATATTCCCATGATTGAATCGATCCGTACTTTGTTATCCATGGTTCATGACAACTACTAAGCAGAGATTTTTGGATACGCTCGCATAGTCTTTCGAGAAAATTGTAGTAATCAAGTTCAAATAAATTGCTAAAAACAGGGTATCTAAAGCTTGCTTGGCGCCTTTTTGATGCATCGAAGAAAGATTAAACGAGACGAAGAACAAATTTAGTCTTGAACTCCCGTGTCGTGCCAGAACATCCTCTCATCACACCAGACTGGATGTGACAGGAAATCCGTGAAACTGAATAGATGAATGGCTCACGATGAAGGTGATGCCTGGTTCACTACGAAGTCCATCATGGCTGGATGTTCTCCAGATTCTGGGGTAAATGGACTGGGAGATGTCCAGATGTGAGCCCCGGGGTGGCTGACACGCCTTTCTCTCGTGTCACGCCCAATGCCGTCAATACTGGGAACGAAATAGGTTGAAAGAGAGAGCTTCTCACGAGACAGAGAGACCTTCATCTTCTTGTGCTTCTCAGGATTGATGTTGGGCAATAATAATTCACCAAGGTGTGGATATAATGCTTCCCATCTTCTTGTTTTCGATGGCTCAGGCTCCGAGGTTCTTTGGTTCACCGGCAACTTCTTCGAACATATTGTAGAGATGACATCGAGCAATAGAAGGTGCGTGATGGCTGCGTGTACCTCGTCTTTCAAGCGGAGATGACCTGGTGACTTTGAATCTGGGATAGCGGGTAAGTCGAAATGTACGTCATAGCTCGTGCCAAAAGGCGGGAAAGACATGTTGGTCCGAATATTGACAGTAAAGGAGCTGCGGGGCGAGAGGAGAGTCCCCTGGAACACCGATTCGACTGGAAGAAGGAATTTTGGGACTAGTGTCTCAAGTGATGCAGCGGAACAGGAGATAGGCTCAGGCTTCCAACTGGAGAATAGACTTGAGGTATATTCGGGGATGTGAAGACCCGAGGACCGCAACACACCGAAGATATCTCGAAAGAACGATTCTAAAGACCTGACGTGCGAGAGGTGCTGGATGTACGCCATGGCGGGTCGAAGGAGATGATATTCAGGAGTGGGTCGCTTTTTCGACGTTACAGGAGGCGGCACTTGGGTGCGACGTCGCAGGTTCTGACGATGAGCAAATGCGAGGAGAATACGGATCGAGTGTGCCAGGCCTTCTGCAAAAAGAGTATCCTGCCGAGTAGAATTTTGCTCCCCATGAATCTCCTCATCACCCACATCAATGAGATCGAGCATAATCTCTAGGTCATCAGAGGCGGGAATGCGAATAAGGTTCTGGCGTGTCGTTGCGCCACAGCTTGCCATGTATCTGGCCTCACGGACCAATTCGTGAAACAATTCTTCCTCAAAGACAGAGTCACGGGCCTGCAAAATGCGGTTTTCGATTGAATCTGCACCATCAGAGCCTGGTCCTCGGGGCCTCGAGCTTACAAAGAACTGAGAGCCTTGCTTTACACGGACTCGAACATAGCAGGTACTTGAGGGGATAAGACCTTTATCTAAAATCAAGGATCCATCTTCGGCGCGTCGTAACGACGCAAGGCCACGGTCGCGAAAGACAGGCGTAGCTGGAAAGTAAGCTTGAATTAGCAAGAGTGAACAATTTGATGACCGTTGACATCATGAGCCAGCCACATACCTTCAAGAAATCCATATTGTACACCCAAAGCTTGTTTCTCACGGGGTAACCTGCAGACCTTCCATCCTTTATTCTTGATAGCAAGCACTTCGTCCCAGTATCGAGTCTCGGATGTGATTTCCGTCTCGAGCCTGGCGGCAGCACCCAAGAGCTTGTTTGAAGCAGCATTGAAATTCAGGGTTCTCCAACCTCGCGAAACTGCAGATATGTCTTTTTTAGCCGATTCGGGCTTCGGAAGAGGGTTCACAACTTCCGAGTCAAGAGAACCGATGGGGGCGCTCTGTTTCAGGAAAGAGGATATTGAGGATTCGGCCTGGCGAGGAGCATGCTTCGACAGCACTAGAGAGACGCAGTCGAGGGCAAACATAGCCTCCATGTGCGATTGACTAGCCAATGATTGTTAGTTTTGCTGTCAAGAAGGCGACTGCAGGCCAAGAAGCGGAAGACCAACACTGCGAATTGTGTTATCTCGGCGCGTTGCTTGTAGAGTTCCTCTAGGCGCTCTATCCGGTCGACATCGGCTGACTCGTGGTCCTGCTCATTCAAGTGAGAAGAACCATCATTTTCCTCCTCCTCGGCAATCTTAGCACGCAAAAGCTCCTCGTTGACATTTCGAAAGGAACCCCACTGGCTGTTGATTTGGGCGATATCGATGGGTAAAGAATCCGCGCGCTGTTGCTGCTCCGGGGGTGGGCGTAGAGGAAGGGTGAAAGAGTTGGCCATGGCATTAAATGGAGCTAAAAGATGCAGATTGACCAGAGGACACCAACCGAGCACTTACGGAGACGAAGAGAGCAGCTTCGAGAAGCTGGAATCGTCGGCGAATGTCACGTGGGGCGGCACGAACGCGGTGAACGCAGGCACCTTTTAAACGTGTTTATGTTAGTAGGAGAGTCGCTAGAGTATCTCGGCTAGTAAACAACATAATTCTGCGCTTCAGCATTAGGAAAAACTATTTATGAATTATTTTGATAAAGGGCTACATATCTTCCACAAAAAAAAAACAGCACAATTTAAATGTCTCATCTGTGCTCGTCGCCGAGCGGAACCCTTTCATTTCTGTCTGGTCTTCACATAGTCAACCAGCTCGAAGAAACTCTTCTTATAGTGGCGTTGCTGCGTAGTTCTATTAACACTTTGTAGGCCAAATTGTGCAGAATAATCTCCGAATTCCCAATTATCCACAAAGCTCCAGGCGAGGGCACCGATGACCTTGACACCATCTTGGTGTATAGCGTGGAGAATCTCAGACATAAAAGAAAGGTAATATTGACTACGAGGCGAATCAAATAGCTGATCAGATAGCTGCTTGTTGGCCTCATCCCAAACGGGGAACCCAAATTCTGAAACAAGGATCGGATGACGAAAGGTGTTCCATAAGTATGACAGGTACTCCCGGAGATAGGTAGGCGTAATATAGACATAGGACTCTAAAAGAATATTAGACCGAGCCTCAACAAAAATAGCAAGCAATCTGTTTTTTAAAAATTAAAAGAAAGGGAACAAAGTACCTGATCGATAACCAATATCCCAGCCATGGATATTCCGTGATTCCTGGTTGACACAGTAGGGTAAAAGTGAGTTAGAGCTCGAGGTGTTGTTGGTACAAGCATCAATGCCTTCATCGGCAGGATAGACCCCAGTCGCCGTATATGGATCAATTCCAAAGAAATCAGATGTTCCGCCGATATATTTGAGTTCATTTTGACTTAGCGGCCTGGCGCCTGGGAGTGTCTGTAGAATAGAGTCTGGGTACTGCTTGCCCAAGAAGATGGGATTTCCAAAAATCCCAACTGCATCTCTTGAAATCGATTAGCAGCAAATACATGACTCGCATTCTTCGGGTTAAGTGGAATTCCGAAATTATCACTGAATTTGATGCCCATTTTCCCAGTCCCTTTCAATTGGTTGTGGTAGAATTTGTAGACCTCAGCATGCGCATGCACGACGTTGTCTACGCCCTGAAAGTTGAAGGCATAAAGCAGTGGTTCGTTGAATGTAACCCAGACTGGTACTCGATGGGCAAAATTCGTGAGCAAAATCTTCCCATAGTTCACGAATGCGTCAACAAAAGTTTCATTTTGATACCCAGCATTATGGGAACCGATATCAGGACGCCGACCTGCGTATCGTTTGTTAGGATCTCGATCTCTATTCAAGGCTAATTCTCACCTGGAAGGGGACGTACTTAGATTATCACTGGAAACAAATATAAGAGGACTGTCAAAATGGAGCATAGTCACGACAGGCTGCATTCCCGCATCAAGGACAGTACTGATCAAGTCGTTATAGTGGTCAATGGCCTGCTGGTTGACAGGGCTCCCAGGCAGAACAAAAGGTAAGATTCGAGTCCATGGAATTGTGAAACTGTAGTACTCCACTCCCATTGCAGCGAGTCGTGCAATGTCCTGTTTATATAGAAAATAGTTCTCATTTGTAACATAGTCATTTGGAAGGTCACCCGGTATTATTTTTTCCAGCAAGGATGGCGAACGTCCTTCAAGCGCAATTGCTCCTTCAATCTGAGCAGCACTGCCGGCAACACCAAACATAAAGTCATCGGGAAATTCGTAGCAGTCTGTGGGCGCGAAATAGTCAGGTGGTGGCAAAATAAGCTCGCTTGTTGGTACCGGTGTAGGGCTGACAGTTGTCGAATACAACCCTGTTGTAACCTGTAAAGATGCATGAGTAACTACCATGATTCAGAAGCTGACATAAAAACAACCAACATAGTTTTGTAAATCTGCTTCCAGCCACATTGAAGACCAGGCTGCTTGCCCATATGGATCACTCGTATCACTAGCACTAATTACTGTCTGTCCAGGGACCCAACTGCCCCAGGTCGACGTTAATGGTTTTGTTGTAAGGTGTTTGACGGCATCGGTATATGTAGGCGCATAGGTGTGCGTTGTTGTAGGAGAAGGAATTGATGTTGCATATCGAATAGTTTCCTTCAAAGTAAATGAGAAAGGCTGAAAATAGTAGCTGGGAGAACTGATCACATGGCTGCACTGAGGACGAGCTGCATGGCCAGCCTTTGAGATAAAGATATCCTGTCCCTCTACAGTGAATACAAGGCACAGAACAGAGGGCAAAATAACTTGCATGGCTTGAATTGAAAAATCTTATTTTCCCTGGAATATTTCATTGGGTAGAAAGTCATTTAAATATCGTAGTTGCGGACCTAAACCCTTCTCTAGGTGTAATGCGTCAAGCCCCACTCTCTGCAGAATGAGGCCCTGGAGTGCGGGTCATTATTGTTCGATGAAAAGTGCAACGTGGTGCTGGGCAGAGTGAATTTGGTTCCCCGTCCAACCCAATTGCCAAAACGTTCCGAGTACACAATATTACCAATGAGCTGATCCAGATGGCCAACGATCGGCAGCTTTCGGATCCCGCTTGCGGTGCCTGGTAGCATTTAGCGGGGAAGCCCTTACCATATGTACCGCATTTGGAAAAGACCCCTGCGTCTCCGCAATAAAGTGGATAATTTCCTCGAAATATGAAGCAGATTGAAGATATCTTGCATGGTTTGGAATTGAGCATTTTCCAAACGATACGAAAATACCGCTTGATTTGATGTCTGAATCCCAATGTGAAGTTCGATTTTGATGACATTCGTGACGAAAGCTTGGATTTAAGATACATGTTGAATATCCCTTGCAAGAATCAAACCCAGGTGATTCCAATTGACACTTGCCCAAAAGGACAATTCAAACTTGAGAAACTGCAATGTTGATTCTAGAGAAATAATTTATTATGAGGTGCAGGATTCGAAATTGCATGGATTCATCTCAATTGAACAGAATCCATCACATTTCCCAGTTGAAATTGACAACTATCCTCCCAGCCACTTGGCCTTTGCGCAATTTATCTACAGCTTCGGGCAGTCGATTAATAGGATACACTTCACTAATTTGCTGAAGCATTCCGCGTCGCGCAAAATCCAAGGCTGCAGCCGTGTCCTTTCGACTACCTACCAAAGTTCCCTTGATGCTCAAATTCTTGAAAATATACTCGCAAGGGTCCAGTCCAACAATAATTGACCCCTTTGCCGGTAATCCAATACACATGATCATGGCACCCACACGTTGACCGACAAATGAGACTGCTGTTTTGTAGGCAGCGGGAGCCGTGACAAACACCCCATGAACGCCGATTCCATCTGCTGTTTCGATAACAGCCTTTGAGGGATCATCCGAGACTTTGAAATCCACAAAGGCTTCTGCTCCCATTTTGAAAGATAAGGCACGCTTCTCACTACCTGTGTCCACCACAATAGGCCGCATACCCATCGCCTTGGCCAACTGGACACCTTGTATACCGACGCCACCTCCGCCACCCGGGAAAGCAACCCAGGAGCCAGCTTTCAATTTAGACTCAAGAAGCGAACGATAGATTGTGCTCGCACTGCACATGATAGGCGCAGCAATTTCATCTGGGACTTCGGCAGGAATAGGCGATGCATAACGTGCGGGCGACACCAGATACTGCTGGTAAGTGCCTGATGATGTTGGTCTGAAAATCCATTATATCAATAATTGTGGGACCTTCAAACGTACCAGCTGTCATTAAACCGGTGTGAACTGCTGTTTTGCAGTACGTCTCTTTATCATCCCAACATAGGTGACAAGAGCCACATGTATCCATTAGGGGCTTGATACCGGCTCTATCGCCAAGCTTGAAGTTTTTCACATTTGAACCAATCTTGACAACAACCCCAGCGCCTTCATGGCCAGGAGATCGCACACCGAAAGCTGACATTGGCGGCGTACCTAAGTCGCCCCGCATCATATGGATATCCGAGGCGCAGAGTCCTGTAAAATTCAGGCGAATCAAGACATCATCTGGGCCTGATGACAAATAGTACACAACTCGTTAGCCCTACCTCCAGAGTGTTTCCAAGGTTATAACGGAACCCCTGAGTTTAATGATCCTACCTGGCTCTGGAACTGGCACCATTTGAACCTCAACGTGGAAGTCTGGCCCTTCATTGACAACCACGCCGGCTTTGCAGCGAGTGGGGATCTCAAACTGCGGAATATCTGTTGCTGAACTCATGAAGACTAATGCCCAACAGGAACGTGTGGCTTAAAGAAGTAAAAAAGTTCGTTTCTCCGCTTCTCGCTTTGGCGAAATGTAATTCTATATCTAAAATCTTCCCACGTAATAACCGGTTCATGACCGAGGCTCGCGGGTGTGGTAACCACCCGCTGACTGCAACCCCTCTTTTCGATGTCAAGTTTTTGTCGCCACGCCCGCATAGTTTGGAAATGCCCCTCATCTACGGAGACACATGGTGGAGAACCATTTATGCTGTACTTCCGAGCGTCATGCCCTGGGGTGGGTCACTGATTACGTATGCTAGCATGGAGAAGCTTTCATTCTATATGAAGAATCAATAAAAATCGGATATATATTGAATTTTGTCAGTATATACACAGATCCTCATTCCATGCTGACTCACAGACAGGTAATAGCGCAAATACCAAGAAGTTGAAAACACGAGAAACAAAAAGACATGGAAGATACTTTACTCCCAGAGTAACCAGCTGCACGAACCTCCTATTGTAACCATCATCAGTGCAGTTAGAATTCCGGCACCAGCTCTGTCGGCTGTAGTAATGGTGTGGGATAACGCGCTTGGTTTTGGTTCCTCAGGCTTGCCTCCGGCACCGGGGTTTCCTTTACTAGTACCTCCGTTATCGCCAGTGACAGGGGCAGCTACACGTGTAATAAGCGTAGACTGAATCACTTCAAGAGCGGCCATCTGTTGACCAAAATCCTTGGTATGATCCCACTTTTCATCAGTCCATTTGAGGCCGCATGTAATTCCATCATCCCCACCACTGCAACTTTTTGCGGCGGCTGTAGCAGAAGCGTTCAGCTTCAGCATAATTTGATCAAATGTGAAAGGGGCCATTTGGGTGGTAGCAGCCATCCATCGCGCAAGATAGCCCTTGAAAGACCTCTGATCCACCATGCAAGTGTTGACTGTCTCACATGCACGCTCGTACATGACGTTTTGTGGAGTCTTCGAGAAAAAGATATCTGTCGAGTCAAGAATATTCTGTGTTCGATTCTTCCACTTGGGGTCCTCGGTCTGTTGCCAATATTAGTTAATGGGGTTGAAGGCGTTTCTTTTAATCCCTGGAAACATACTGCATTCCACATGTTGGCTGCGCCGAGCAAGAAGACTCCGTTGTTATAGGTCCATTCAATTTTGTTTATTTCTGTGCAGGCGCTCAAATCACTAGCGCCATCCCAGAAATGGTAATCGGATGTCATGAATCCAACGTCGGAGATCCAGTCCCAGGCCTTATCGGCCCACTCCTGATATGTACTGTTACCAGTATATTTGTGCAAACGCGCTGCCAAGTTGAAAAAGCCACCCGTAGAGATAGTGTTTTTGTAGCTATACCCGTTGTTCCAGGTGAAGATCTGCCAACGCAAACCACCTCCACAGGAAGATGGATCCCAACGTGAGGCTTGGGTGTTGAAAACTGCCTGGGCCATCTCGAGCCACTGCGGTTGGCCATCCGGAGGATTTGGAAAGTTTCTCTCTGCGGCGGACATGGCGGCAAACCCCCAAAAGACCTGATCGTCGTTACCTTCCGTCTTGCTTTGATTACTGGGCATGAAAGCAGCATTGTCTCCGGCTTGCCACAACATCCCTTGGGTTGTGATGTCGTTCCATGTATCATCGCCCGTATAGAACCAATAGTCGATCAAGGCATTGAACATCGCTCCAGCCTCCCACCAATAGTATGGATCTGGCAAGTTTCCAGGGTTATCTCCAGGGCGATTTCCCGTGTAATATTCCATCATGCCCGTAGCGACGTCCTTGGCGGCCTTTTTGATAGTATCTGTGTTGCCCCATCAGCTATCAATTGCACGCTTTTCCACGATAGCGCACCTACTGTCATCTGCAATATCAAAATCCACCGCTTGAACTGCCTTTAGACCCGTCAGGGCAATGACCAGCAGCCTCGCCCATGAAGATTGGGAGTTTTGGCCAGTCACCCACATGGTGGGCAGTATTGAACTGAGTTGAGAAGTCTGTGCTCTTAGATCGGCCGTCTGAGACCTCGCCGTCAAGGCCTACTGTAAGTTTATTGGGTTCACGATGACCGTGGAGTAGTGCTCGGCGTCACTGAGCGTGTCCGGGCTTGAGTGTATGAATATAAGCAGGGCAAAGGAAGGGTTGAAAGATCGGGATAACGGCAAAGGAGGGAGAGAGATGAAGAAGAGAAGCCCTAACGCAACGCGAGTCGCAATCTCCATGAGGGAGAACCCACGAGAGGGGCGATGTGTGGATCGGATGGCCACATTCCATCAACACAGGAGTTCCTGGCATGGTAACAAGGAGTGTATCCCTCGAATCATCGTTGGCCCCTGACCCAGGACGCTCCTCCGACAGGGCTGCAAGCTGGCCGCATGAAGCGATTCACGCCATGCAGGCTATGAAATCCTCCCGGAATTAGTCTAGACTGGAGGGAGAGTGCAACCTCGTGCCTGTCAGGGCATCCTGGCTCCTATGGCTTCTTTTAAATTGGCTCCACGACAAAGGATCGACCTGGAATGTGGGCAGCCAGCTGTCAACCAGAATCCCGCGATCGTGGAGAGCGCTGCTAGACGAGTCGATCCAATCAAGGGCCGAGAGGAGGCCGATGATGGAGTCCAAGTCGAGGTGATTGCCAAAGTGGGTGTGTTTGACGCAAGCAACCGGTGATGCAACAGGTCGACGCATTCCGATGGGTTGCGCTCATCCCTTTCCGGAAGGGGCCAAGAGAGAACGGCCTAGCCTGGGTTCCCCTGTGTCTCCTTTGCCGTTGGAAAGGCTGAAAGGGCCTGTGTCACAATATGATTATTGAAGTAGCCGAGCAATGGATCTTTGATTTGTAAGATATGGCCATCGGAGGATGAAAATGGACGGGGGAAGGAGTAGAGGAAGTCAAGGAACTGGAGAAAGAAAGTCGTGCAGATATAGATCGTGGCTGCCTCAGGCAATAAAATAACTGGGCCGCTCGATCGAACTGGCGTCTCTGGTTGGCGATTTGCCCTGGATTTTTCATCTCGGCCATGATTACAGAAACATACCCTCAAATGGAAGAATCCTCATTGCGGATATAATTTCGAGCCATTCACCTACCGCCTGTAGATTGCGACCGCGATAAATGCACTGGAAGGATACAACAGGTATTGTCGGTATACAGGTATACAGTGGGATATGACCCCCCCGCCCTTAATTTTTATTCAATTTTAGGTCGTTCAAAGATCATTCAGGCCCGATGTTATGATATCGATATTTTTTTATCCCAAGAAATCTGTTTAGATGGATTGTGGGGGAGAGAGGGGAAGGACTATCTACATTTGTTGATCTGAATGGAAAGAGAAGCGGGGGCCCGTAGTAGAAGCGTTCGCGGTGGTGAATCGTCTTTCTAATACCGTAAGAGTTGAGCTGTAGTTAGACAGGGTATAAATTGTTTTTTTTATTTCTTTTCCCCTGTCGAAAATAATACTCTCATGCAATGGTCTCAATAGTGAATGTCTCAGATTCTAGTCTAATTGACTGACGAACTATGACGCGAGCACAGGCTTCTCCTGCGACCGTCTGTTTGAGATCTGGTCAGGTCGGCTCCAAATTGGGCGCCAACAGCTTCACTAAGAAACTATAACTGGCGGCGGCGGTCCCTGCCAAGGGTCCAATGAAAGTATACCGCCGTCAAACCAAGCCTGAGAGATACTGAGAGATAGTTTGAATGTCGACCGTTTTGCCTGGTTAGGAATGTGCTAGTCCATCCCGAAGTCCGAACCGGGGAAATTCCACGGTTCCCCGGAATCCCCGAAGCCAAACTAGACCTGTCCAAGAAGGTGTCCAGAGATGTTGAGAGAAACATGATGCGCACCAGACAGCCCATCTACCACGGTGGTAGAGCTCACGCTTGGACACTTCCTCAGGATGCAACTTCATTTGTCTCAAGGATCAAGCGGCCACTGGGTTGCCACATCCATTCGAGGCTAAAACTACAAACAAATAAACATTTATCAGAGAGATTGCCATCTGTATGCCAGGTCTTTTCAACAGTGTCAATCTCTCACCTTGGCAGGAAAGCCCATAAAAACCCCTTATGCAAGTCTTACCACCACTGAGTGCTCTGTTCGTGGCCCTGGTTGGGCTGCTCGCCGCCGGGTCTCTGGCCGGCGCGCAACCACTCGTCTCCTCGCCAGGAGATATCGCAATCATCCCAGGATGGAGTCTCCAGTCCAGTACGCGTGTGTCAGGCGATATGCCTGGCTTATCCCAGCCCGGTGTGGATGTGTCTTCTTGGCATCGCGTGGGCCCACGAGGAACCGTCATGGCCGGACTGATCCACGATGGCGTATACAACGATTCGGTGCTCTTTTATTCGGACAATATGAAACAACTGGCGTCAATGACTATCTTCCAATCTCCCTGGATCTATCGGGAGGAGTTCGCTATCAACCCCACCGACGGCCATTATTTCACCCTGCATACGCATGGTATTACATCCAAAGCCGACATCTTCGTCAACGGCAAGAGGGTCGCTTCGAGTGAGCAGCAGCAGGGATCCTATGGAGGCCACAAGTACAACTTAACCGATATCATTCACGAAGGTTCCAACTGCATCCTCATCCGAGCCTACCCAACCAACTACCTTCGTGACTTTGCTCAGGGATTCGTGGACTGGAACCCTTATCCCGCCGACAATGGAACAGGTGTCTGGCGCAATGTGGAGATCTCCCAAACAGGTATTGTATCGATGTCGCCACTGCGAGTCATCACAGACTTCTCGCAGCCTGGGCTCGAGCATGCAGTGAATGTGACTTTCAAAACAGACCTCGTCAACCATGGCCACACGCCCGTGGAAGTTATTATCAATGGAACAGTAGCCTCCCCCATGGGTTCCCAAGTTGCCACTCTTTCGCATGCAGTTAAGTTAAAGCCCAATGAGAAAAAAACTACGAGCGTGAAGGCCACAATCAGAGATCCCAGCATCTGGTGGCCAGCCAGTTGGGGCGATCAGCCTTTGTATTCCGTTCAGGCTCAGACTCTAGTGCTTCAGGACAAGGACTTCAAAACGTCGGACATGATCCGGCCCCAGAGATTTGGTATTCGACATGTCTCCGCCTTCTTGAATGAGCATAATGATACGGCATTCAGAGTAAATGGTCAACCCTTCCAGGTATTGGGAGGTGGCTATGGTCCTGACATATTCTTGCGATTTGATGAGACGCGTGTCGAGAAAATCTTCCAGTACATGCTCGACATGGGACTCAACACTGTACGCCTGGAGGGCAAACAGGAGCATACGGAACTGTATGAGCTGGCTGATCGTATGGGAATGATGGTACTGGCTGGCTGGGAGTGCTGTGACAAATGGGAGGGCTGGGAGGTAAGTGGCAAAGACCTGTTTTCAAATATATTTCAAAAAGGCTGACCGTTATTTCCATAGTATAATCATGATGCGAATGGTGTCAAATGGGGTGGGGCCGATTATCCGATTGCCCGTGCCTCAATGCTCCACGAAGCCGAGATGATGCAACCCCATCCATCAATGCTGGGATTTTTGGTGGGCTCAGACTACTGGCCTAATAATCAAGCGACCAGTATTTACTTGAATGCCCTGAAGGAGATGGACTGGGAAAACCCAGTGATTGCCTCTGCTAGCAAGCGTGGATATCCCGAAGCCCTAGGACCCTCAGGGATGAAAATGGATGGTCCATATGATTGGGTACCTCCTAACTACTGGTATGGTGACAAAGAAGGGGCAGCATTTGGCTTTGGCTCCGAATTAGGTGCTGGGGTCGGTACTCCAGAGCTGCATAGCTTGGAGAAGTTCATGTCAAATGCAGATCTCGAGGCTCTGTGGAAAGAGCCCGAAGCAGATCTGTACCATATGTCCAGATATGACTCACAGTTCTACGATCGTTCAATCTATAATAAGGGACTCTTTGCTCGTTATGGAAAACCTAAGAGCTTGGATGACTACGTGCTGAAATGCCAAATGGCAGATTATGAAGCCACGCGCGCTGAGTTCGAGGCCTATTCTGCTCACCAGAGTGCCGCGCGACCTGCGACCGGTGCAATTTACTGGATGTCAAATAGTGCTTGGCCAAACCTTCACTGGCAATTGTTCGACTATTATCTTAGTCCAATGGGTGCTTATTTCGGGACTAAGGTGGGAACTCGGATGGAGCACGTCGCATACGACTATGACACTGAGAATATATGGCTCATCAATCATTCTTCAGAAGCCAGAGGGCAACGGGAGATTTTTGTTGATTTGATCCAGGAAAATGGAAAAAAGATCTCAAGTGTCAAACTCAAGGCCTACACATTACCAACCTCCTCCAAGCAACTTCGGGCATTGAGTGGTATTGACAAAATCAAGGATATTGCCTTTTTGCGCCTTGTTCTACGCGACCCAAAGGTAAAGCGAGATCTGAGCCGCAACGTGTATTGGCTCTCTCCAAAGACCGATACTCTGGATTGGGAAGATTCCAATTGGTATACGACACCTGTCACTGACTATGCCAACTATACCAAGCTTGAAAGCCTTTCTGTTGCCAAGGTGAAAGCATCAATTCAGGGTACTAAGACTCTGACCAAGGATGGCTGGGTTTATGCCCATATACAGCTGGAGAACAAGTCAAATATCCCGGCAGTATTTCTACGCCTGAATGTCTTGAAATTGGACGGGACTGAGATTGCACCAGTCTTTTGGTCCGACAACTACGTAACTCTTTGGCCAAAAGAAAAGATTCGGCTTGAGGTAGGGTTTGAGAGCGTCAATGGTGACCTCAAGCAGACTGTGATCGAAATCTCCGGGCGAAATATCAAGAAGCGGAGAATAAAAGGATTCAATTAAGCTTTCGAAGGAGGAGGGGTTATTGATGATGACAACCTTGCTTTACAATACTTGCACTTTCGACATGAAGGAACTTTATCTCAACAATGACTTCTTGCTACAGTATTCAGTTAAGACTCAAAAAACAAGATGCAATTTGAAGTATAAACTATCAACAAAAGATGTAATTGGAAATTGATACAAATACAGTATGCCAAAAAAACCATAAATCGTAACAGGTGGAAATCTCTCACGTATGCTGTGATGTGGTTTGTAGCAGGCTCAAAACTTGCGGCATTTTTGACCCAGAATACTCGACCCCAAGAACAGATGGGGCTTTGATATTTTCCGAGTAAAATATTTGCAGGCGTTGATCCGGTGTATCACAGAGTCCAGGGGTTTTGCGAATGTCCGGGAACGAAAAAAGTTCCCGTGTCGGCGCCGTGGCCCAAAGGTAGTATAACGAAATGCTCTGTAACGACTTGAAGTTGCGACCGAGGTCTTTCAAAATCGGAATCCAGTCATCATCTGGAGTGAGAGATACATGATATAATGTCAACGCAGCAAGACTGCCTCGAAGGCTATCGAGAAGCCTTTGAAGGTCAGGCACTCTAACAGCTGTTCGGAACAATGCTAGTTCATGAAGCTGAGAGAAAGTGGCAGTTTCGGCAAGCTCATGCATAAATTCACATGCCAAATCATGAGACCCTAAGTTTAATAGAAGGGTCCGCAAATTCGGTGCATTGAGAACGAGCTCCAGGAGGAAATTGAAGTTGTCCAGTGTGAGGTATTGTTCCAAAGATAGTTTCTGCAAGTTTGACCAGACTGCTTTGAACTTTGGTTGTCGATATAGGAGTTTAGGAAGTCGTCGCATATCCATAATTAATGTGCGGGAGTATTTATTAGCATAGACAAGATGGAATGAAGAAAGCGGTAGTTCGGCGTCGACGATGAGTGCAAAGAATACCGCCACGGCGTCAGTGATTGTGACTCGGCTCATATCCGGATGGCCTTCCGGGTATCGACAGAAGATGAAAAATGATCGACAGTTCGTCAAGTTATGGACCAAATTGTCACGTAGCTGCCGTATCGCTTCGATCTCCATGGGCGCTGATAAGGGGCCCCAGGGATGCCGGTCCCAAATCAAACCGCGACCCACGCCATTCTGTAGCATAAAAGCCAACCCGTGCACGTAGGGACGCAGGGCTTGATTCCGGGATAGAGCGTGAATGCGCCCGAGGCTTTCCGCAGAGAGATCGGTCTTGATGGAGGAGAAGTATCGCCGTGCAAACTGGTGGAATGTTTTCTTCTGAAGCTTCCGACAGACCAGGCGAAGGTCAAGCAAGTTATCGCCCCCGAGGAAGCTGGCGATCAACTCGACGAGCTCAACAGCCAGATCTGGAAAATGTGCTGTAGAAGTATTTGGGTGCATTTTGTGAATAGCGAGAATAATACATGTATGAATATATGCGGGGTATAGGCGACTTTTACATCCTGCGCCTGACGTGTGCTCGAAAGGTCTAACTAAGTGGATCCGTGGAGCTTCCCCAGATCCCTAACGAACACTGGAAGTAGAAAAAAGCGGGCAAGTCAGCAAAACCGGAATAGGGCGTCTCTCAGTGGCTCGGCTGACTGATTAGATGGGTTCTAGCACGATGACCAGGTAAACCGGCTTTACCCCTCACTTTGACCAGCGACCTGCGTGTGATTGTTTGCGGAATCAGCCGGGATGGCAATTTTGCGACAGGAAAATATGCCGAGGGTGAAAGAGTAATAGGGAGGGGTGAAGGGGGCTCGGAAACCATGAAAGTATTAATACTCTTGCAGATCGGAGCTGTGGAGATGCGCAGATGATATTCAATATTGATATTCGATATTGATCAACTAGTTCGATGTTTTAAGAGAAAAAAAGAGAACTATCAGCATGACGGATCATTTGAACTATTAAATGCATGCCAGGAACAGCTGGTTGAAGGTGTCACGAAGACAGGGAAATCGCTGTGTGCAACATGAAACTGCAAATATCATAAAAAACAGGAGCAAGAAAGTGTTGGTTATCAACTACTGTTCCATAGTGGCTGCCAATCCTTTCCACATTGAACATCGCTTCGCCTGCGATTTGGGCACGTTCTCCATCTTGGTTGAGTTAGTTTGGAGCTTCAGTCGCTGACCGTCGCCTGTTCCCCAGGCTTCCCACACGGGCGCATTTGGGTTTCGAAACTTATTAGGATCAAGAACCTTCATGAAGCTCAGATAGTAGTCCATGGTGATGGGCACGATCGCTTCATTGATCGTAGCGAAGGACCTGGATGCTTCGTTGGTCTCGCCCAGCCCAAAAACTGCAGGCAGCTCGAACACGTGGGGCACTCCCATTCCAGCGGCAACTTCGGTTGGATCTTGTACATTAAATCGATAATTCCAGACTTTATTCGGCGAAAAAAAGTGACTGGCTGCGGCGGCGATATGATTGCCGGGACAGGTAAATGTTGATTCTCCATATGCGGCTGCTGCTGATGCGAAATATGCGGCATGTTTCGGAAGAGGACTCGTCAACGGGTACGCGTTGTTGATAGTATCCAGCTGTTTCTCACTGAGTCCAGGATAATTATTCTTCATAAACTGCGCGACTTCAGCAGTACTAGTTGCATTATAAGCAAACGCTGTGCCCTCGTTGGTGTCATCGGTGACGATGGTCGGGACATGGATAAAATCACCCTTCTCAAATGACTTGTACAGGCTGTTGCGCACCAAGTCTCCGTCAATCACTGGGAGGAAATACCACAGAGGAACAGGGTCACTGCTGCCACCAGGAAATGGTCTATCGACATCATATTCCTGGATTGTTGTGATATCTGCCGAGCGCAGACAAGCCAGCGTGTTATTGTTGGCAGTCTGATTACAACCAACGTCACTCACGAACTTTTCATACTGGAATTCCATCTCGGCGACCGTGCGCTGGGTGGGCCAAAAGCTGGATTCAGCAATAGCTCCGACAAATAGAGCCTGATCGCGACCACCATACGCCGTGAGATGGTAGGCAACAGAGCCTGCGCCTGCCGAGTCGCCGTGAATTACCACATGGTCTGGATCGCCACCAAATAGCCCGATATATTGCTGGACCCAGTGTAGTAGCTTTCGCTGATCTAGTAAGCCCACATTCAGGTCACCATCTTCGCGGACCTGTTCGCTCGCGAGGAACCCGAGAGCCCCAACACGGTAGTTGAAGTTCACGAAGACGATATCGTGCCCGGATTGTTGCAGTACATCACTTCCATTGTAGTTGGGATTGGCATTGTTGGCGTATCCACCTCCTTGAATGAACAGCCATACTGGAAGCTTGGAATCAGCTGTCGCGTTCGCTGGCTTCCATACATTGACGAACAGACAATCCTCAGCAATGGAGTCGCTAGCTGTCTGTCCAACACCGACGCAAATGGGCCCAAACTACCTTTCATCAGCGTTGTATTCAGTGGGATAAAGGATAGATAGGATTCTACCGCGGATGCATCCAACAAACCGTCCGTCTGGTCAGGGTCTTCAGGGGCCCGAAAGCGAAGATCCTCTAATGGTGGCTTTGCATATCGCATGCCCAGATACTCCTCGATACCATTAGCCAGAGAAACGCCTTCATACTGTGAGTAGCCGAGATCGATTGTGGCTGATGAACTGGGCAGCAATGAGGCAAAAGCCGGTGTTTGGCTGGCAAGAATGCCTGGAATAAGTACGAGTGCAGCATAAATACGCATTTTAGTGCACAAATAAGAGAACAGAATACTTAAGCAGTAAGCACGGTCCAGACCATGTATCTTGCCAATAATATTCTGGATACTCTGGAGATACCTTCTTTTTTCTTGGCTTCACTTCTCCACGACTAAAATGGTGAGTAGATTTAAGGCAGGAACGCTAGATGATTCAGCAGGCAAGCCTCGGCGTATTGTCGTACCCGAAGCGGGGGATCGTCTGTTTGATGCTGCTCGTTGAGGTTGCTTTGCATCAATTCATGTATAATCAGAGCTCACATTGGAGGATATCCGGCCATGGGTAGTTTCAAGATTAGATTCTTCCACCATTGAACTCGCGAAGTTGTCCCCAACAGAGCCCGCAAATTGCCCGACTTCCATTTGTCCGCCCGGGGATGTGATGCTTTATTTGATGACCAAAACAAAACGATCTTGAAGATTCGGGCCCTCGGGAGATATCTTTCCAGGCTCAATATCCGAATTATCCTTGGGTTGAGACAAGTCACGTGTGTTCTAAGTAGGTGACAGTATACCCCGAGGAGTGTCTCTCAGTTATGCTAAAGTACGCGGTTTTACGTCATGGACCGAGACGGGTCATCTTCATATCATGCATTGCCCCAGTATATAACGATAGGGAGTGATACATGTAGTTGACCGAGTATATAAGGGTCGGGCATTACAGAGGCCAGGAAATGAAAAGTAAATCATCAAGATCACCATTGGGTTCCCGCTAAAAAGCTAATTTACCTAATACAAGGCGACTTCCATCTACAGACTAGAAAATGGGGTCAATATATTGTCATTCTTTACCGTGTGGTGTTCACACAGCGCAGGCGATTCATATTGAATTTGAGAGTATCTTATAAAAATACAAGTGTTAATATACACCACGTATCAAAACTAACATGGAAAAACTTGAGCATAGGTCATCATGTAATCATCGAAATCATCTGTCTCACTGGCATCATCTAGTATGCATGATGCATATGACTCCCGCGACCGTCAGTTCCATGCATTCGTCGAGTACCAGCAGCCTATGCATCAAAATTAGTATCTTTGCGTTGTCGGTCCTTTTGGGATTCAATAACATTTACCTTGACTCCAGGCCGGCGAGTAAGACTACCCTTCAACTTCAGCATAGCGCCCGACACTTTGTCACCCATAGTCACTTTGCGCTTGTGGTGATGTCGAGGTGAAGAATTACCCCAATGACGCTTGGTGCTATGGTGATGTGATGAGGGGCCATGGCGGGTGGTCGTAGTCTTGGTCTTGATAGTTCTGGTGCGGGCATTAGGGCCCTTTAGTCGGGTCATCAAGGAGGGCTTGCTCTCCCGAGTGGTAGTGGTGGTTGGGCGATGACGGCGACCGAACATTTTGACAGGTAATAAGGCCTAGTCTTTTAGGGGATCGATTATATATAATATTGGATTTCTGATAGGAAGAAATTTAGCTGGCAAACAAAGGACATGTAGTTATTAGTGCTGGAGATTCGAGGTCGTCTCAGGTTATATAAATAATCGTGTTTTACTATTCTGGACTCGTCAAACTTGATACTACCAGGGTTAACGTATGCCAAGGGTAAAATCGTCTTCTAGAATTGGGATGACGGAGATCCTTTGGAGTGGCGCGACGCCGACACGTCATACGTGGGAAGGATCAGCACTTACGATAGCCAGTCAAATATCTTAGGAGGAATAATCCCAGTCTTTTTGTAGTTGTCTGATTTATGCAATTTGAATAGCTATCGTCATACAGAGCAAGAATGTTTCAGTAATTATGTGACTTTATCGAAATGACGGTCTTGATAGGGCTGTTGGGCACCAGGAGTGTGACATCATGCTAATTATACACGTGAGCGATGTCAGAAATGACTAGCTATTTTGTCACTTGCACAGCCACAAAATGGTAAAGGAGCAGTGTTTCTTCCCTTCTCAATTCAAGACCACACCCCTGCAATTGACCGATGATGTCAAGGAATGTTGCTTTAAGCAGACAAGCGTGGCCTGTGCGCGGGAAATTTTCACTTGGCGAATGAGGTAAAAAAGATAGACGGTAAGCTACAAAAGATCAATCAAATCAATATCCTCTGTCATGTATGGGATCTGGGCTATCTGAAATGAAGTCTTTTGGGTTCTGTTTAAAAAACCAAGTTCGATTATCATCTGCGTCAAAAATTATAGATGCTTCGTTTTCTATAATGAAAGTGGACGAAATTGAAAAGTTTAAACGCAACTGCTACTAATAGCTCGGGCCACACTGCTTCACCCTATCGTGCTCTTCACGCACGCCCTCCGCATCAAGGGTCTCGAACCTGAAGTTCCAAAGTTTCTCCCCGTCTGTCATTTCTGCCTTTATTCATTCCTTTTGAACTCCTTCTTCCTGCATGTTGCATAATGACTGGACTAGTCGGCCAGCGAATCTCTTGCTTCAAATTTGCCAATTGCTCTGTAAGCATATCCACCTACACCAGACGGTTTATTCCATAAAGCTCGACAAGCCCCAGGATTCTCAAGTGTGGAAAACGAGAGTTTGGCAGCAGCATCCATACTGGAACACTCAGTGGACGCCATCTGAAATTAGAAGCACCTTGGCTCGGTCGATTGAGGAAAAAAGGCTGATTACGACAGGTGGGCAGACGAAGCTAAAGAGGTCGTTTCGCTATGCGAAGGTTGAGGCGGCGTGGGGTCCCTAAAGTCATTGCCTTGCAGCTCGGCAGGCGCAGGCAACTGAAAGTGTGACAAGAATTGAGTAGTGAAGATGGGTTTAGAAGAGATAGCTTGAATACGATGTCGAGCCAGCATGTAATGGCTCAGTAGGAGCAAGGGAAGATCTCGCATACAGTGGTTGAATAACGCGCGTTCGACTGCCCTTCTTCGAGACTAGCCCTATGAGCATAGCCTGTTCCGAGATTTCGGTATAGATGTCAACGAAAATTGAATGGACGAGACTGAAACTTCGGTAGTAGTAGCGATCATGGATATGAAGCTTGGTATATTGAAGAACAAAAGACGTAGGCAACAGGACAAGCAGAACATACCCCACTTTGGCAAGTCGATAAACTCTTCTGGTGCAACTATATGATGGATGACCTGATTAGTTATTTTATTTCTTAGAGTGCAAATATATGGTATGGTATCATATATAATGGGAAAAAACAGTTTAATCACACAATGTGCTTCTGCTACAGGCAGACAGCCTTCAGTCTATATCGTCAGCAACACCCTTGACTTGCACGTGCGTCGATGGAAGAAGTTTTAATTGGTTATATGGTCACTAAGGCCAGGATAGCCCACCAGAAGAAAGTTTGAATATACTGATATTGACAGGACCTAGTCAGATTCGATATAGAAAGTAGATGTCTCTTCAAGTATGCTAGAAACTCTTCTTAAGCCACTGCGTTTGCGAGTTGCAGTATCCTAGCAAACCACTCAAGCCCCATTCAACCCCGATACCACTCTGCTTATGTCCACCAAATGGAGCTGTCGGCGATACGTCGAAGTGTGAATTGACCCAAACGCTGCCAGACTGGAGCTGGTCTGCAATGCGAGTCGCACGCTCAAAATCTTTACTCCACACAGACGAGCCTAAGCCAGTCTCCAGAGCATTGGCTTTCTGGATGACGTCCTCTTCATCCGACCACTTCATAACAGGGAGGATAGGAGCGAACGGCTCCTCCTGCACCACTCTCGAAGACTCGGGAGGGTTGTCAATGATGGTCGGATGGATGAAATAGCCCTTGGATTCCTCGATGGTGCCTCCTAGGACTGCCTTGAGGTTATCGGTGGAAATGGTGCTGAACAGGTCTTTCGCCTTTTCATATTGCATCTTATTCTGGACGGGTCCAACGAAAACGTCATCCTCGGTACCTTCACCCACTTTAAGGCCTTTGACAAAGGCGACCAGTTTCTCCAGAAACTGGTCATAGATGTTTTCGTGGACATAAAGGCGCTTGATCATCATGCAGATCTGAGCGCTGCAGAGGTAAGAGAGAATACCGATCTAGTGTGACGTCAGTAAGCAAAATGAATAGACACTATGTGAAAACTTCCGAGTACAGGAGGGTTCGCATGAAATACCTTTGGAATGATCGCATCAATATCAACATCATCGCATATAATGGCGGGGTCATTTCCACCCAGCTCCAAAGTGAGACGTTTCAGGGTCTTTGCGCAGCTAGCCATGACTCGCTTGCCAGTCAGAATTGATCCGGTAAAGGAGATCTTATCGATTCCTGGATGCTCCGTGACCATTGGGCCAAGTGAATCATCTCCACTCAGACACTGCACCACGCCTGGAGGGAAGAAACGAGTGGCTAGCTCCGCTAGCTTCAAGTCACAGTATGGAGTGAAGGGAGATGGCTTGACGATGACCGTGTTTCCGGTGTATACTGCCTGAGTGATCTTTCCCACAGCGAGGAGAACCGGGAAATTCCATGGCACAATGGCGCCAGTTACGCCAATTGGCGTGTATCGTTGCACAATTTTGCGATCCGGGGTCTCCTCGATAACATTTTCTGGAATCTGCAGGCTGGTAATACCTTCAATCCAAGAACTACCCATGCCCACCTCAGTGGCTGCTTGATTGAGCGGCTTGCCTTGCTCCATTGTGAGGGTCTTGGAGAAGCCGTCCGCATTGGCTTTGATCGCGTCGCCATAGGCCAGCAAGGCGCTCCGGCGCTCTTCGAACGATGTCTTCGACCAAGTTTGAAAGGCAGTCCGGGCGGCTTGGACCGCTTTGTCTAGATCCTCCTGTGTGGAGATTGGAACCTCCGGGTTTGGTTGGGAGTTGGCGGGATTGATGCTATGGCGAGTCACCACGGTGGTGGTTAATTCGTTGTTGATGACATTGTGGAAGGTCTGCCTCATGTTTGTCGGTCAGAAAATACACTCAGACTCTCAGTATGACGATGATCCTTGGACTGGAGAACTCACGGAGAAGTCCAACGGACTATTCTTCTCGTTGATGGCCATTGGGTGGTTTAGCGGTTGCCGTCAACGGAGCACTCAACGATACAAGTATAAAAGAACAAAGGAGAGCAAAGGGCCGGGTTGAACAAATATATCCAATGCCACGAGCCAGATAAGAGGGAGGGGTATTTTCTGCAGATATTGACCGGGAATCAATAGTCATAGCTGAAAAAAAAGACGTATCCACCAGATGGCGGGCTATCGACGCCTTCGCCCCGTATTGATACCGTTTCCGCGACATCGATGGAGCAGCTGGCCAGTCCGTCTGTGGCGACAGTCGCTTGGCGTCATCTCGTGCATTCACACTGGCTGGTAAGCTGACATGCGCCTGTAGAGGAGCCTATCACCTCTAATCGTCTCGTTCGGACTGCGCCTGGGACGCCATGCCGATCAGACTAAATCTGTTTGCGGGTCCGCGTTGTCGAAGCTCAACACCTGCCAACAAACCAACAACACGTTGATCCTGTGTATAATCCACATTGCATTACCCCGGGCGAGACAACTTGCAGACCATTGGATTCCTGTCGGGCTGAGTGGACTGTCAATTGGCTGAGAGGTGAGTGAGTGGAGTGGAGTATGGCCAAGGCAAACTTTTGCGGATGCGGGGTGACGCGCGGGATTCGCGGGATTTGCAAGGTAAATAACAGCAGACAAACCGCCTGATTTCCAACCCGCTGAAACTATATCTTTGCTTTTGTCGCATCAGAGCTTCAGCTCAGCTGAGGATCCACCTCAGATTCGCTTATCCGGGTCCCAATCCCGGCATGTACGACGTAACGGACCGCTAGGCCGGCACTTGGAAGGTCTCGCGACATGGGAGGACTCAAACTCAGTATATTATGTTTGACATAGTTGGCCCGATAGACAATCATAGGACTGCTCCCTACCTAGGATACATCGTGAGTAATGTCTGTCGTCGAATTGGCGGTACCGAGCGGGTCGTGTAGGAAACGCAATGCCGATTGATGAAGGACGGAAGGTACAGTATACTCACCCTAGACGTATGCATAGATTATCATAACTGAAAGCCATGAGACTGCGTGCCGCTTTGCATCGTCAGTAAATCAGAGGGATTGACAAAAGCTCGGGCATCGTCCAAATCTACATCGATGGAGAGTAGATGTCGTCGTCCCCATTTACGTACTTTGCCCCTGTAGTCGCTGTGGACCACTCAACCCAGGTTCACCAGGGAAACAATGTAAGGAAGCAGCGAAGTATTGCAGAAGGGGGTATCAATGCCATTGCGATGTTAGAAAAAACTAAAAATACAGGAAGGAATGGCTATGTGCTCGCCAATGGCTCCTCCAAAAGCAGTTCAGGAGAAATATCTCCGAGTCCCGGCTCCAACGCGCCTAGCTAGAGAAACCTGATCGACCCGACAAACCGGGAGACCAAGCCTCAATAGAAGGGATGGAGCGGCATTTGAGTAGAATTTACTCGATTGGCCAGCGGCCATTCATCTTGCTGGACAGACCAGCTCTCTCCACCACTTCACGGCTGCGCTTCTTCGCTTCCGCGACAATCTCCCCCTCGTCCATCGTGAGAAGCTCTCCGTTCTGGACCAGTATTTTGCCATCCACCACCACTACATCGACATCACGACCTGTTGCGGTATACACAACGGCACTGGTCGCGTTGAACCAGGGCTGAGTATGAATGCCCCGGACGTCGATCGCTACAAAATCAGCCTTCTTCCCCACCTCGAGGCTGCCAATGCGATCCTGCAACCCCAGAGCTTTAGCGCCATTGATAGTGGCCATTTCCAGCACTGACTCGGCTGGGACTGCCGTAGGATCGTACGAAATGCTCTTATGGATGATCGCAGCCAGTTTCATTTCCTGCAGCAGATCGCAGGTATTATTGCAAGGGGCGCCATCGGTACCGAGACCGATATTCACACCGGCTTTCTGGAGGTCCGGCACGCGGCAAATTCCCGACGCTAGTTTAGCGTTCGAGGTGGGACAATGTGCGACGTGGGTCCCTGACGCCGCGAGGGTCTGAATGTCCGAATCATCCAGATGAACCATGTGCACAAGAACCGTGCTCGGGCTGAGCAGGCCCACCGACTGGCAGTATGACATGGGCGTGTGCGACACGGAGGCGAAGAACTCGCGGTCGGCCTTGACCTCAGCACAGTGCATGGTCACGGGAATGTTCTTTTCACGCGAGAGGGCAGTCATTTCTTTGTACAATGCGTCGGAAACACTACGATGAATGGGTTTAGATACGGTAGATGACCCTCTATCAGGGAACTTTGGGATGACTTACCCGCCAGGAGTTCTCGCTCCAAACCACACACGGATGCGGTCGTTCGCCGCACCGTTCCACTTCTCCCACATCTTCAGGGTCCCAAGGAGCGAAGTCTCGCGGTTTTCAACCAGACCAGGGTGCATGGCCCATGCATCATCTTTGGCATATTTGGCGATGTCCATGACGATTTTACCCAGACAGCCACGAATGCCAGACTCCTCAACGGCCCTTGCAAGGCCGTCGAAACCATAACGATCGGCGAACTGAAAAAGAGGTCAGCCTTCGTGACAGATTGAACTAATAATGGTCGACTCCCACGTACCATGCTTTCCAGGAAGCAAGTGGTGCCTGACTTGAGCATTTCGCCAATACTTAGCCGTGCCGCAGCATAGCCGTCGGCCTCGGTAAAGTTCCCCTGGAGGACCCAGATTCTCTCGCACAGCCATGACACCAGCTCGAGGTCATCCGCAGTCCCACGCAGCAGAGTCTGTGCAGTGTGCATGTGGGTGGAGATAAGTCCGGGGATAACAATGCGACCGGACAGATCCAGCTCCTCTTCCTCGGGGTAGCGCTCTTTTAACAGGGCTGCCTTGCCAATGTCGGCGATGGTATCCCCCTGCACACGGATGGCTCCGTCCTCGATGATACGACGGGAGCCATCGACAGTGATGACCGTAGCATGCGTGTACAGCATGGTGGATCACGATGGGGTCGAATTGCGGTGTTGGGGGCCTAGATAAAATGAAGCGTCAGCGTGCGATCTATGCTCAAAGCCTGCAGGTACTCAAAGATGAGATCCGAAGGACTAGCCCACTAAAATCCGGGGGTTGCGGACGCTTTTAATCACTGCGCTGTCACCCCTCTCTGCGTGACGATCCGTCACGATCCAGACAACTTGGAGGAGGCGGAGACCGCCGATGCCCCGCGACGGGCAGCGCGGACGATAAGATAAGGCCGGAGATGAACGCGGGGCTTGACACATCAAGGAAGGTATAGACGGAGTCGACGGATTGGCCGTGATGAGGAGGGCTTGATACCTCTGAATGAAAAGTTATTCTTATCAGGAAGTCGAATACAGGAAAAAGAGTGATGGAGGTGCTTTCCGGTTCTCGGTATCTTCATTTGAATTTCTATTCGCAATTGCTGTCTTTATGTACACCTATCCATCCGGTCTATTGGCATGAACACATTAATATAATCAGGTCGCAGAGGGCTACAGGTAAGTCCGCAGATATTCTCCGAGGGCCATAATTGCCATGGCTTGACCATAAGGCATCGAAGTGAGAGGGATATCTTTGTAGAACTGGAGACAGTCGCCCATGCCAGTGCCAAAGCTGGTGTTTTGGAGCTCGCCCGTGCTATCGATGTCCTTGAGAACGGAGGCGATGGCCTTTTCAGCAACGGGACGGTACTGAGAACCAATATAGCGTTTTCGCACGGCCTTCAATATTCCGTAGGCAAAGCCGGCCGTGGCCGAGGCCTCGAGGTACGAGTCTGGGTGGTCGAGGAGCGTGTGCCACCCACCCGACGCTGACTGGACTCGCTCCAGGGCCTCACATTGGGCTTCAAGAGTCTCAATCAAGTGCAAGCGAATCGGGTCGGTAGGCTCCAGGTCCAGGAGCTCAATAATTTCAGGAATAACGATGGTCACCCAGCTGTTGCCGCGGGCCCAGCGAGCATCCGCGAAGTTGTGACCGCCGTCCTCAAAGGTCCAGCCGTGGAAGAAGAGACCCGTCTTGGTGTCAAACAGATATTTGATGTGCGTGAGGAACTGCTTCTTGGCCTCCGCGATGTAGTGCGGTCGATTCAGAAGCTTGCCAATCTTGGCCAGCGGCATCACCGTCATCATCAACGTATCATCCCAAAGCTGCTGGTAGTTTTCGGTGATGTAGGTAATGTGCTGCATGCCGCCATACTTGGTCCGGGGCAGCTCGTACATGGCCCATTCGGCCCAAGCGTCCAACCAGGGGAGATAGGTGGCATTGCCGGTCTTCTCATAAACATAGGCCAGGGTGAGGAACGGGGCCATGGTATTGATGTTCTTGGTGGTGCCCTCAACGAATCGTGCCGCGAACCAGTCCTCGATGATCTTCAACAATCTCGCATCGCCTGTCATCTCATAGTACTTCCACACGCCATACAGACCAATGCCGTGCGTCCATTCCCAGCCATGCCAAGACTTGGTGTCGATAATGCGACCGTCAGGCAGTGGCAACAGGAACCGGCCGGTCTCATCCTTGATGTTGACAAGATTGTCAATCAGCAAGTTGACGGCTTGGTGGATTTCAGGCGCGGGTGGTCGGGAGGAAGCCATGATGAAGATGCGAGAATATGAAGATAGGAGGAGTATGCGAACAGGTTCACCGGAGAAGGTTGAGGCGATGGGGAGATAAGACTCCGGAAGGCGTTTGACCGAGTAATGAGGGCGTTTGGGGAGGAAGGTTTATCGGGCACGGCAATGCCACTCGATCAGTCGCTACGATTCACAACTCGACTTTGGTGTTTTTTTTTTCTTTGCTGACAGCCAAGAGGTCCGAACTCGAAAGGTGCTGGTGGTCATCTTCGTCTCGTGTGTTCTGGCGTACCCAATATGTACTGGCCGGGGGGTTCCCCCGCGCATGATTTGCGGAAGAACTCTAGCGACCCCTCGATCCGTCGCTCCACGTTTCCCCCGGCCAAGCCTGTATTCGGGCTATCACCAGCCGAGTCATCCCCAGACAATCATAAGCGAGATCCACCATCGCGCTGCATCTCGGACATGGGGGAGGTTCTGCAAATGCGATGGTGGAGGATCACCGAACTCTCATTCGAGGAGATGGGCATCGCTTGGTTGAAACCGATCAGACATCCTTATTCACCTCATTCCTCCTGTTTCTTCGTTGATTTCTGGTTCAGGGCCTCTGTCCTTCGTGGGGGCGACGTGGGCCGATTTCGGGTGAAACTACCCCGGTTCGTGGGGGAACAAGCTTAACCCCTCAAAGTCTGACTTCCCCCGACCCGCCGCGTGCTCAAAGTGGTCAAAGTTTAGATACCCCAACGCCCAAATATCGGTCTCCGCTCTGCCAAGAAACCCCGGGAAAGACAGGCTGGGCACCGACGATTGGACTATCGGTTGACTGTCGGTTAATTCCGTCGGATTAGGCGACGTTGGCTGATTTGACCGTGGTCTGCACTGGTCAGCGGACGGCACTTAGGAGTCTTGGCCCACTACTCTCGTAAACAGTAAGGAAGAGAGTGAGAATGAACCCCCTGTTAAAAGGACTGCTCCGTCCTGGTGCTCGGGGTTTCTGGTCTCTCATCGTGCCCTTCCCACCCGTGATATCGTACTCCTGATCCGCGGGAAAGCGCGTTATAAAAGGCCCTTCACAATGGCTCCTCGTGAGCGAAAATCATCGGAGATTGAGACTGAGACAGTCCAGCAGCAGTCCCTTGAAATGAGTAACACAAAAATCCAGAAGGACATCGCGCACGTTGAGCGGGTTCTGTTCCCACCCGATGAGCTACAGAAAGAAGACATGGATTATGACCGAGTTGATAAGGAGGTATGCGCTGAACCCAATAGCATCATCATCCGAGCGCAATGATTCATAGTCCATAGCTAAAGGCGATGGCCAACCCCATAGATTCAAATGTACGCTGGCCGCGGTCAGATTGAGATTGACGCCGCGGAAAACAAGCGTCTTAAGCGCATGATCGACCGCCGTGTCTTGGCTGTCATGATTGTCACCTATTTCCTCCAAGCCCTCGATAAGGGAACACTGTCATTTTCTTCCATCATGGGAATCAAACAGGATGCCCACCTGGAAGGTGGACAGAAGGTTCGTGCTTCGCGTTGCCTCCGGATCGTCATGGAGAAAGCACATTGATTTGCTAACGCTTGGGTCTTTTGTTCAGTATTCCTGGCTGACCACCTGTATTTACATCGCCGTGCTGATTGTCGAGTACCCAACCAACTGGATTATCCAGCGGGTTCCCATCGCCAAGTACTTGGGTATCAACATCTGCCTTTGGGGTATGATCTTAGCCCTACATTCAGCCTGCCATAACTTCACAGGTCTAGTGATTGTGCGAAGTCTACTCGGTATTTTTGAAGCCGTGTGTCAGCCGACCTTTGTGCTGCTATCCTCGATGTGGTACAAGCGTGAGGAACAGGCGGAGACGGTAACCTTCTGGTACATGATGAACGGAGCCCAACAGATCGTCGGTGGCCTTCTGGCCTACTGCTTTACCTTGATTGGAAGCGATAAGGTTCTCAAGTCATGGCAAGCTTTGTTTTTGACCTACGGCTGCTTATCCGTGCTCTGGGGCCTGTTCGTCATCTGGTGGATGCCCGATTCGCCCATGCGTGCGAAGTGTTTCACCGAAGAGGACAAGCATAAGATGGTTGAGCGTCTACGTTCTAACCAGACGGGTATCCAAAACAGGGAATTCCGTGCTTACCAGATGTGGGAGGCTTTCCGCGACCCCCAGACCTGGTGCTATTGCAGTATCCAGTTCTTTACGACCCTTCCAACCAGTGGCCTGGGTGCGTTTGCTAATATTATCTTCACGAGCTTCAAGTTCACTACTCTACAAAGCCAGCTGCTCGCCATGGTATTGGGATTCTACATCATTTGCATCCTGCTCTCCTCCGCTTGGCTAGTCAAAAAGTACCAGCAAAACTTGCTAGTCATGCTAGGATTTATTATCCCGTAAGCATTGCGGTATATACTAAGGGATGAATCATTGTTCGCTAATCATGAACTTGCAGATCATATATTGGAACTATAGTTCTGATGACTGTTCCAAACACTACACTAGCCACAAAGGTTGGCTTGCTTATCTCTTATTACATATGCCTCAGTTTCTGGTAGGTGATATACCTGCACTATATGATGAAGATCGTATATACTTACACTGGACTTCAAATTTAAGGTCGAGTCAGACCCTGGCACTGTCCATGGTATCTCGCAATATTGCCGGACAAACGAAGAAAGCCACTGTTGTTGCCGCAACCTTTGTATCATGGGCAGCTGGAAACGCTATTGGTAGGTTCTTCGCTCTATAACCCCAAAAATCATATTAGATATTAAGAAGACATTGAAACAGGCCCCCAGGTGTTCCTGGACCGGGATGCCCCTCGGTATCACATTGCCTGGAGTGTCCATCTCGCCTGTTATGCCTGCATGACCGTGGCGGTGATTTTCTTGCGATTCTATCTCATCCGCCAGAACAAGAGGAAGGACGAAATGGTTGCCGCTGCTGGTCTAAGCGCTGCGGACCCGAACCTTGTCCACGCCTTTGAGGATAAGACTGACCAGGAGAACCTGAACTTCCGTTATGTATACTAGAAATTGACTGACAGAAGCCTTCCATTTTGAATATAATCGCAACAGGCAGGGTAGTACTATATCCGCGCCATCTTGTCTTTTACAATGGGCTTGATTAAGCAAGCATGATTCGCGGCCTTTGTCGCTTCACTGGTGCACCCAATTCGACAATATTGTAGTTGACGACTATAGCAAACCCCATAACATTCATGCTGAATAGGGCGTTTGTATTTAAACTTAAAGAGTACTATTCATTCGAATGGGGCTTTCCCAGGGTTTTGCAAAAGTTGATCGAGCAATGACTGATTAGTTAGCAAGACAACAGGCGGCCGCAAAGGAAATAAGCTATACTTACCCAGTCTAGAGACTCAGGGTCATCAATAATATCAGACATAGCTTCAATATACGGAAGCTCAAATTCGGGAACACAGTGCGACTCCTTATTCGTCGTTTGGGAATTTCGATTGCCACCCAATTGAACCTCCTTGACCCTTTGGATCATCAAGTCCAATGTGAGTGCCGCAAGACGTGACTGTGGAGAGTCATCGCCAGCCCACAGCTGGTGAGATAGTACAAGTGCCTGTAACTTCCTCGATATTGAAATTTCTTCATTGCCTCTCTCCGGAGACTCAATTCGTATGGAAAGATCAAGGCATACAATCATCGCTGCTAACAGAAAATCATGAATAGTCAGTGAAGTGACCATCCAGCGATCTTCATGAAGGCGGCCACCAGGGACAGTTGCTTGGTGGATGTCTACCTGGCGAGCTAGAATATCCAAAGCTGCTTCGAGACAAAATGTTCGAGACAATTCAAATGCCAAGTTATGGGGTTCATGTCGCAGAAAGCGCCGGTGAAGAACAACAATACCCTTAAGATAGAGTAGTTCTATGGTACATCGTTCCAATATGATGTCAGATGAGTCCATAAACGATTCACTGATATTTCTCCGACGGAAGGTTTCAGGAATCTTTTGATATGTCTCTTTCATTTCACAATCTAGTGCCAGAGTCTCCTCATATCCCGGGGAAGAGAGAGTTAGTATGCGCAACAATCTTCTTAAAAACACCCATAATACCAGACTTGACAATCGCGTAGAGAATCGGTGTAACATCCGTGGAAGGCCTCGAAGGTGGCAGACTTTCCAGACCAACGGTGATGTCACTGTCATATAGATTTCTCGGTGGTTGGGTGTCACAGAATTCCGTCGGAATCATACTGGGAAGACCCATTTGGAATGACCCTAAGGCATCGATCTGAAAAATATGCAACCAGGTGCGTCGTCGCATCTCACCATCTAATTCTGAGATGCGAGAAGCCCCACTAGGGTCTCTATGGTAACCCATTCGAAATGCCAGGCGAATTAACGTACCAAACTCAAGCCATAGTTGGCTGTTGGTGCAATTTTGGGTCATGAAGCGGCTTTGGAGATACAAGAGCAATGCTTCCACTGCATTTTCTCTTGCACTGGCGTAGTTTGCAGATATGAGGCACTGGGCTGTCATTTTTTGAAGAGAACCTATAGAGGGTATTTGCTGGGAAGAGTCTCTTTGGGAATTTGGCTTGTTTCGTAATATTATCGACATGCTCAAGATAGCAAGCATCAGAGAAAGCCACGCAAGGCTAGTGTTGCCAGGAGAGGTCCAAAAGTTTTGGTACTATATTCCGGGTTAATATCTGCAGCGAACCCGCTAACGACCTTTGACTCCTACCTCAGTGCGGAACGTTCCGTAATGCACGATTCCTTGGAAGTTTCTCATCAGATAAGATCTAAGCTTCTGTAAGCATATTACATACCAAGAACCATGAATCGTGAATTAAAATATTGAGATAGTAGCATATCGCAAGTAGTCTGTGAAGGAAGAAAGCTTATAACATCATCGATCGTCAAAGTATGGTCCAACGACAACCCCAAAGCAAGGTCTGATTCCAATCCTAGAGGATCCTGTTCACTTGCTGCCTCTGTAGGTGGAAACAAGCCATTCGAAGGTAGCTCTGAACGTATATCTTTGATATCCTGTAGGATGGACAACCAGTGGCTCGGCTCCACATAGGCGGCCTCACCATGCTGGTCATCGAGAAACCGAGGTGTTTCCCTTTCAGGTGCGCTTTTCATGTTCAGCTTCCAAGAGCGATCATCTGAGTTCGATCCCGGATGTGATGTCTGAGAAATTTCTCCCTTATCACCAGAAGAGTTAAAGATAGGTTGCATTCCTGCCTCCGTAAATAAGGTAAATAAATCCTCAATTCGCCTGAGTCGTTCATTTAGACTGCCTTGGCTTGAACTTTTTGGTTTGTGCCGTTCAGAATTACTTGCATAATGACATGTACCTTCTTGCTTCCGCCTGACACAAGAATCACATGGCAGCTGTTTGTCGCATCTCGATCTATGACTTGGTTATGAAGGTGGTTCCAACGACAAGATTCGAATAGATGTACGTACTTTCGAGTTCGACAAGGCTCGCAGGAGACCGGTGGTCTATTCCTTTTTTCCACCCTTCGCGATTGCATATCCATCACTTCCTTTCTTACAAGCACTATGGTTGAATAGGTTCATGGAATATTAGAGCGAACTCATAACCGACCGAGCTGTGGAACGCCCGGATGTCGTAGGAGTTAAAACGGAGCGGAGGCAACGGAGCGGGGTTATTATGTCCGCTCGGATGGACCCACTTATTGTTGAATAGATCACAACACATAGATGGCTTGGGTCATTCCCGCACAGCGGAGTTAATATCTCCCTATGGATGTAATCAACTTAAATGCACATATAAATGGCAGGCCTCAAAATCTTCTCATGCTCTGAATTATCTCCATTACTTACTCCTATGACAAGTTCCAATCTATCGCACGGTCTCACGTTCAAAATGGCGTCCTTTTCTACTATGAAAAGCATGGTATCGATCCTATATTCGAATATATTCGTGAACCTCCCCATACCAGAGGGCAATTTGAGTGACTGGACTATTATTGTATCCGGGTCTAACCAAGGTCTTGGATATGAAGCCAGCAAACATTTACTTCGTCTCGGTGTACATCGCCTCATCATGGCCGTCAGAAACTGCAAAAAGGGCGATTCTGCGCGACTGCAACTGTTGAAAGCCACCGGTCGTGAAGACAGCTCGATTGAAGTTTGGGAGCTTGACATGGATAGTTCTCTCTCAGTCCATAAATTTGCACAGCGTGCAGCCACTCTCCCCCGTCTCGATGCGCTCTTGGCGAATGCTGGCCTGGCAACAACTAGCTTCAGCTTGGTGGAAGAAAATGAACGAACAATCACAGTCAATGTGGTGAACACATTTTTACTGATTGGTTTATTGTTGCCTAAACTGCGAGAGTCTGCCGCAAAATTCGGTATTACTCCGCGAATCTCTATTGTGAATTCGGCTTTGCACAATTTTGTCTCATTACAAGAATTTGACAGTCATAATGATGGGGGAATTTTTGCTCATCTGAATAGCAAAGAAAGTGCTAATATGGCTGGGCGATATCCTTTGTCAAAGATGTTGGTCCTCTTTGGGGTTAGGGCATTAGCTGACCGATTGAAAGAGAGCAAGGAGCCATTGGTGATTGTCAACTCACCGAATCCCAGCTGGTGCAAATCTGAATTGATGCGTGAGAACAGCAGTACAGGATACCGCTTGGCACAGTGTCTGTTAGCTCGTAGTACCGAGCATGGAAGCCGGGCTTTAGTTCATGGAATTCTCTCGGGCAAGGAGAGTAATGGCCAATATCTTGATAACTGTCGAGTGAAAAGGTTGGCTCCCTTCTTCGTCAAGAGTCTCTACTATGCACCTTTCAAGAATATAGCTAATTTTATCCAGTCCGTCTCCTCTTGTGACAACCGCCAAAGGTTCACAAGTACAGGAAGCCTTTTTCCATGAGCTGTTTGAGAAACTCGAACACCAATCACAAGGCATTAGCCAAGTACTTTAGGGCACTGTGAACTAAATATCAAATGAAGTGGTTTATTTGGATAAAAATGTACTAAATATATATGATAATAGAAAATTCTCAAGCTATTCACAGATAACAATGTACCAAGATAGCATTTTGGAGCTGAGAGGTGATATTTGAATGGAGATAATATTTTAAAAGAGCTTATAGATATGTTACATGAGGAGATTGTGTCTCTTATGAAAGTTTTTATCACCATCGATTGTCGACTGGCCGCAGCACACTGATCTCTGGTTCAACGGGCATGGCGTCGAGTTGGATTCCACGACGGCGAGCTGCGTCATAGATGGGCTGACAAGCCACCCGGGCTTGATAAAGTAACGCTGCAGGAGCTCTGTGTTCCTTTTTGGTAGGTGGTTCCCCGTGCTCCTGATAATCAAGATCTAAGACGAAGGCCAGGTTCTGTAACTTCGGGAGGAATTTTTTGGACCCAAAAAGCTGGACCCAGGCAGGCCAATGCGTTGATCGACACAATGAGGCTGGGCCACGGAAATGCAGGGTTTTTAAGTTCGGCGGTAGGATCAGATGCAGAGTTGGAAGGTACTCTGGGTCTTCAAATACTTCTCCAACCGTCAAATTCAGTGTTTCCAGATTACTCAGCTGTGGCAAGATCTCTCGAAAGGCATTTTCATGAGTATAATTGAAATCCAAGCCTCTGGTGGACCGAATACGCAAAGAGCGAAGGTTGTTCACAAGATGAGGGAGAGACATAGTCATACGATTGAAAGTATCGATCGCATCATTTTCCCAAATTTCCAAAGATTTCATATTGAAAGGGCCTTCTGGAGCCTCTTTTATGGTTCGTTCGAGGTCAGACATGTGTCGATTCATGTAGTTGGAGACAAGCTCAGGCAGATAGGTTATTTCAAGCTGCCTTTCATCTGGAGTGCCTTCATTCACTGTGATAATATTCCTCTTGGCTTCCCCACGGCCAATAGCGGCTTTATGTTCATTGTTTAGTTCATTACTAGTTGGGCCTTCGAAACGGAGGCCAGATGTGAAGAAGAGACTCAGATGCGAGACCAAGCCTGCCTGGACATGGTGGGATTGAAGTAACTCGGATACTGAATCACTCAGCTGGAGTCGCTCTAAAGGCCAGTGGAGGGGCATCTTCTTGTCATTTAGCTGTTCGTCAAACCCGGCTATCAACTCCAAATTCTGGATGTTGGAGAAATGAGAGCCGAGAATCCCCCATTCCGTGTCTGATGGGGTGTTTTTTTCCACTCGTAAGAAAGTCGCATTATGCGGGATCAATTCCAGTTGCTCTTCAAGTTTGCGTCGATGGTCTGGCTCTTGCTCATAGTTGGCTCCCTCGACCTCAACAACCACGGGTGAACAGGGGACCAAGTGGGCCATGGTGGAGACGGACTGGGCAATATGTGGGTGGAAAGAACATCTGATCTGCATGCTCTCCGCGTCTAATGGAAGTGAGGATGCATTCAATTGCAAACATTTCAGAACGGTGGCGGCAACGTTTGAAGGGATTGAGTTTGATAAATAGGACGATAATGGAGCACCCAAACGGGCTGAAGAAGCGCCGCGTTCGTGCAGTTTGTTCGAGCCTCGGGATTGCCTTGCGCGACGCGATATGACATAGCGGACAGCACCCTGAAGACAATGCATCGGTGGCGGTAGCTCGAAATCACTTGACAAGCCTTTATTAGGTAGCCTGTGGGGAAAGATTGGATGAATAACCAGTTTGGCCTATGTGCTGCTTGGAATATTGATAGCGGAGTGAAAGGGGAGGATGTTTACTTTTCGTCTGGGACATAGCGGGCGACCGGAAAAAGAAAGGGCCGACAGCAGAGCCGCATCGAGGGGTATTTATGAAGGTATTTGTGAAGGCTAAAGGAGTTTGGAGCGAGAGCAAACAAGTTGAATGAAGATTCAATAGATTCATCAAATAGATTTGTGGGTTTCACACCATACCACTAACTACAGCAATCCCGCACTGCCTCTATTCACTTTATTTTGAGCCCGACGATCCCACTCCCGATCTATCTCTTTCTCGGCATCATATCTATCAAGGTGTTACAGGAGGGATGAAAAAAGGAGGCGTAGTGTTAGGACTAAGAAAGGCAAAACTCACGCATAACACCACATCTGTGTCGCAGGATCACTCCATTGATTTGGACTGTGGGAGAAAGGCCGATTCTCAACCTCCGGTCGCATGGCAGCATCGCGGGCCTGCTGAAGAGGACCATCGGCGAAATGCCACAGCTTCCCATTCAGAAGACTAGCCTCCTGCATTTTACTTGCTCTTTCCACTCGTACGCTTTCAAACACGGAGAGAGCCAGTGGAATCTGCGTTGTTGATTTGATCTTACTCAGGCTCTGGGCGAGAGCAACTCCATCTTCAACGGCAATGGCAGCCCCTGCAAGGAGAGACGAAAGAAAAAAAAATTATCTGTCAATACAAGAAACTGGCTGTTCTCTGGGTATACAATTAATTGAGAGTCAATATTCATACCTTGGGACATATAGGGAAGCATGGCGTGGGCAGCATCGCCGAGCACAACTAGCTTTCCGGAGATCCATCGATTCATGATTGAACCACTGAAAAGTGGCCATTTGAGTGTCTTGTCGATCATTTGAATAATTTTGGACAATCTAATTGTTTTGTTTTTTTTTAATCAAACAAGCGGTCCTCTAAATTTCAAATAGATGGGAATTCGGTGGAAGAACTCACACTGGATCCCATCCTTCAAATTCTTTCCGCATATTGGCAAGGGTCTCTTCTTCAGTCTGGTTCCAGCCGGTCCCATCAGAGTCATCGGGATGTGACAGGACCATGTTGAAGGATTTTCCGGCTCCAATCACATAAGTCATGACATGTCTATTATCTCCGAGCCTGAAAGGACCATTTGTTGGTCGACGCAAACCAAAATACCGGAACTCCGCTGGAGTATTAATAGCTTACCAGAGATTAAATGCCGGCTGATCCAGTATCCAAGCCACATCTGAGTCTGCTTTCATGCGCTCAATATCTACCACTGCACGGTACGCAGCAAATCCCGTCCTTTGGGGTGGGTGATTGGCTCCTCCCAGAACTACTTGCCGAGCAGCGGAGTTGACTCCTAGCAAAATTATTAGCGAGATGTGCACGTTGGATACTGTCTTTCGTTTGTACGAGGTGATATACCATCAGCAGCGACCACCAGATCCGCCGAAACGGTTGATTTGTCTGTAAGGGTGATACTCGGCGTATCCACATCGTAGGAAACAACTTTAGATGCCAGATTCACAGTCACCCCTAAATCCATAGCCAATTCATGCATAGCTTCATGAAAATGGGCTCGGTGGATGACCCAGTAGGGTGCATCAAACTGCTCTCGAAATTGTGAATCGAGCCTCGTCCGGCCAATGACATCGCCAGTCTGCCAACGACGCATCAGAATACTTTCTGGTTCGTTGACATACTTTTCTAAGTAGGGACTCAGGCCGAGTTGTAGCAATAGTCTAGTTGAATTCGGAGGAATTTGGATGCCGGCACCCACCTGGATAAATCATTCATGTTAATCTCTATCTTGAATTTTAGAGGTAACTTGCATCCCGTATCACTCCATAGTGTAGTCCTACCTCGGCTAGTCGATGGGCCTGCTCGTAAATGGTGACTCGGTGCTGTTTTCGTGCGAGCGCGATGGCGGTCGCTAGACCACCGAGGCCGGCTCCTACGATAATCACATTTAGGTGGCCCACTTCCGACGTAGCAGCCTTTTCAGATGGACCATCCGTTTGAATGTGTCGTAGAAAATGTAAGCAGCTGCTAGGATAGCTTGGAATCTATGCGACTTTGTTCAGCAGTGATAAATATACGCAACTTCCTTTGCGAAGGCGTCTACGTCTGCAATAGAAGCCATTTGGACGGTAAAAACAAGACGGGGCTCACTTTGAGTGTTTCGGTGTCGCAATGGTGTTCAGGGTGGATAATTGTCATATTTTTCCACAAGAAGCACGATTATTCGCGGGTTTTCCCAGAGCCGAATAAGTTTCAGATGGATGAAAAAGATATATACCAAATTATCCAATTACTGCCGTGTGTCGTAAAATGAGGCTTTCTTAGGCGCCCCAGTAGAGTTTGCGAGGATAAAGAATCAACCGCCAGATTTCTGGCTGGCTCAGGCTCTAGCCCTAATTATATATCGAATTATTGATTGACACTTGGTCCAATAACAGTGGGGTAGCGTGGGGGGAAGAGAAAGAGAGACACAGGAGAGTGTGGGGAAAGCGTCACAACAATAAATTTGAAATCCGGGGCCAGTGCAAACTGGGTTTAGTGCAGATTTAGATAGGTATGCAGAAGTACGGAGCTGAGCAGCCATCAGAACTGACTTTCACGGGGAAGCTAGCACTAGTACGCTCTATGCTGCTGACTGTTCGAGTGCATGGGTGGATTTGGTTCGTCCATTTCACCTATTACGCAAGTTGACGCGTCTTAGAGAGTCCTCTAGCATATTACTGCTCTTTGCCTCTTCATTTTTCATTTTCTTGGAAGGGGGCACCTGATACACAATTATACACACCAGTCAAGCCTCCAACCCTAATTTCCAAAGGAGCAAATGCACAGAGCAGAGCGATGAGAAGCGGAGCGTATCATTTTTCATCATAATCAGTTTATGGCCTTGCCGTATATGTATGTATACTCGAAACAAAATACTGTGCCCGCTATTCGACTTGAGTTACAAGTTATGTCGACTCGTCCACGCGACTTGGATGCATTCCTGTGCGCGGTGCCGTTCTCGCCGATCCCTGCCATTTTGAGTTTCGAAGTATTCAATCATCAGTATTGATGGCTCTACCAACTGTGCCTTTTTAAGGCTTTCATTCTCGCAAACACCACTTACATAGCACATTTCCCTTAGACCCCTTCACCCCGATTGCGATCACCAAGTTCCATTCGTCACTCCCCATCCCTCGGGCAAAACTCCGGTAATGTAACCATGAACCCGGGCACGCGGTCTGAGTGGTGCGTGGCTCTATGCATGTTGTACGACAGTTCTCCACTTGTCCGGTGATCGTTGCTTAGCAAGGGACCAGAGGGACTCAATTTTCCAACAAGTCGCTCACACATGCACCCATTCATGTACATCCTGCATCAAGGGTGAGCGGCAATCATTCCATCCAGCCAGTCAGGATGGGCCAGGACTACGCAAATAGGGCGCCCAGTCCACAAATAAATTATCCATCGCTACTCTCCATCCCTGCCAGGGACAATGAGCATTGACATCGTAGTTCCACGCACCTTCCTACTCCCCCAAGCCACAAATAATCTGGATTATAATACTTTCCACTCCAGTGAGACAGTGGCAGTTTTGGATGGTGTTCCTTGTTGCATCGGGTTGGAGTGGCATATGTAAGTGCGCTCTATGTATTACCGCCATATATTCATCAGCAGCGTTATTTGCATTATGGTCCAACGCATTGTGCTTTGAACTCCCAATAGACGCAAAAATAGCATGAAAGGGCCATCTGGCTGTCTGCTGCATGGATACTTTTTCAACCTTGCATCCTTCTTCCTGCCCCCTGCCCGCCTCTTCCATTCTTGCCTTCGTGCTGGCAACGGCAGGGTAAGCATGGTGGCCTACACAGCTCCAGAGGGTTATGGCACGACTCTTCTGGTCGTGACCTGGGTCGAGTGCTCGATTGCCTTGCTGCTCTTGTTGGCGCGAATTTACACTACCTGGAGAATCACTCGGCACATCCGGTCGGACCTCTACCTTGCCTTGTTTACCTTTGTATAGTATTACAGTTCCCCATGCCTGGTATTCAAGGTGCTAACAAATAAAACCTTGGCCATCAAACAGGTCATTGCAATCACCAGTTTAATCTTTCTCACAATCAGCATCAACTATGGTATCGGCGCTCACCAAGATAAACTTACATCGGGGCAGATCAGTTCTGCAATCAAATGGAGCTGGATGAACCAGGCCCTCGGCATTTTCGCCATAGCGTCAGGGAAGCTGGCTATTGTCGCATTCCTTCAGCAAATTCATGGTCCTGAACATCGAGGTCGAGTCATCCTGTTATGGAGCGCGGCGGTCAGTAACCTCGTCATCAATTGTATTACCATTGGTATGATCATGACACAGTGCTCGCCACGCGCAAAACTCTGGCATGACACGCTACCCGGGACATGCGATGGACGACTGCGGAATCAGAACACGGCTTATTTTCAAGGCAGTTCGTTCTCTCCCCTCTAGATGCACATGTATTTGAATCAAATCGCCAACAACGATAATTTTCTGTATACAGGTTGGTCGGCATTCTGCGATTTGGTCCTTGCCTTATATCCGGTCGTTTTTTTCTGGACTGTACGACTCAATATGCGTGTCAAGATCGGTCTCTGTATTCTCATGGGCTTCGGTATTATGTATGGATAATATCATTCCCGAAAATTGATTGTTAATGTGCTAATGGTCCACCAGTGCATGTGTTTGTTCGATTGTGAAAACCACAGTACGCAAATGCCCCGCTATCAAGCTATCAGCCTAAATTACATGGACTTGCCCATTGATTGACATTTTTTCAGTATTTACGTGTGCTATCTGAGACCCAGGACGTCACATGTAAGTTAGGTCAATCTCTTTATGGAATAGTGCCATAATTTGCCAATGCGCTGACCATACCTGTTTAGATTATATCGCACAGTTGATTACGTGGAATGAGTATGTCAAGCCTTTTGGATGAAGACGTCGGAATTCCCACTAAAAGTGGCTTCTTTCTAGGACAGAAAAATGGGTCGTACTTATAGTGGGCTCTATTCCCCCTATCAGACCACTGTTGGTAATTCTTTTTCAAAGACTTGTTTCAACTGTGAGGTCTTCATCTGAGCAGCACTCCAATAAACCAATCAAATCAACTGAACTACATTCATACTCCATTTCTTCCAAGAGCACAGCTCGACCACGACACCCCACACCTGGAATGAGTATCTTGGAAGGCAAGGATAGCGAAGAAAATATCCTCCCTGAAGTTGAGGAAGGCGCCATCATGAAAACCACCGACATCAGCCTCCATTATGAAAGTGGATTTGCCACACGGGAGACTGGGGAGCACGATGGGCAGGTCATGCCTACTGAACGAATCTAAGCTTTTGAAAATCCACCTATGCGGTTCGACCGTGATACATGGAATGATACAGCGCGAACCAGGTCGCTGTAGCCAGGCTCCAATTCCTCGTGGGGCTTATAGCTCCACTCACTGACAAGCAAGGGTGTAATTGCTGCTGGTACATGGTGCCTCATGGCCTCGGTGGAATTCTTTCTTTCTTTGTGTACATTACTTGAAAGCCGCGTATGCTTTGCTCTGGAACGAGCTTTATATATAACCATGGATACCCCATTCTAGGACATATAGTAATATATCTCTGCTTCTACACATCCTGCCTGGGCACCAACTGGAAGTTCAAAATAATTTCATCAGTGTCATAGCCCGAATATATGCAATAGATCGACAGAGCATTTCCCTGTAGGTATTTAGGGTTTGGAATCTATGTAGTTAGGTCCAACAATATATAGGAGTCAATCCTGCTATACCCACATAAATGTAATGGCCATCCTCTGCATTAAGACCGGAAGATACTAGTTTGAGTTGTATACATACAGACATCGAGAATCCTAATATCTGGCCACCTTTACAGCTTTGAGGGCTCAGAGATTTTTGGACGATGCTGAAATCAAGATTTTGTGTCCCTATGCACCTATGAAGTATTGCAAGACAGGCGGTACAGTATAGTCTTAACTATTGTAATTATTCCACCAGCCTAAATGTAGGGGAATTTGATCCGAATAATTAAAGACGAGGGTTATTCCTGATGTTTCCATATAGATCGGCAGCATTTCAAAGTAAGCGACCCTTCTCTCCTTCTAACCTATACACAAATCCTCAAAGTCTCTCACAGAAACAGCTATATAGGTTTCAATGAATTTCAGAAGTGCTTGACTTATTGGTTAGCTGTGCATATTATATACAGACTCCCTGTCAACGTCCTCCCCTTCTTTGTTTGCTGTGCCCAGCATCTGCACTCTGATTGGCGCAACGGGCACTGTCGCCGACCGTAGTGGGGTGCAAACAAGTGCCCTCCATTTTCTGAAAGACGCTTTGCTTCCAAATGTTGAATCTTCATCCACTCCCTATCCTGAAGATGATTGGCATTGATTTTCTGCGTCAACATTCGCTTTGAATAGACCAAATGGATGATGGACTTGATATTCCCCATTCGGGTCCATCCAATTTAGTTGGAAGCAATGGGACAGCTTACAGACCCCGCGGATACCAGCTGGAGATGCTGCAGGCCAGTCTTCAGCAGAATATCATTGTCGCTGTAAGGTTGATTTCATTCAATCTGTCGCTAACTTCCTAACCGATATCAACCTCTAACACACTTTTTCCGGCCAGATGGATACCGGTAGTGGAAAAACTCATATGTATGACACCCGCCGTTACCTGGTTTAAGCTCCCAACCCTAATTACATCGCGGGCACTAGAGCGGTACTACGCATCATTGCTGAGCTAGAGATATGTGCTCCCGAAAAGGTATATGCGATACCCACACCCCCACACCTCATGCATCACATATTGATTCATCGGTGTTGATGCGCTGCAGTTGGTTTGGTTTCTCGCTCCGACTGTGGCACTGTGTCTCCAGCAGCACGAAGTCATTGCCTCGCAAATCCCGTCCATCAGGACGCGGGTGCTCACGGGAGCAGATAATGTCGACCGATGGACTAAGCCAGCTGTTTGGAATAGCGTGCTAGAGGGCGTCCGTGTGGTGTGTTCAACGTACGCTGTTCTTTCGGATGCTTTGAACCATGGATTTGTGAGAATGGCGCGGCTGGCTCTACTTATTTTTGACGAAGGTACATATTCCTCCGCAAGAATAAACGAATGGTAATAGGTATAAACGCGCATCATTGTTAACTGCATTGATACTATAACAGCTCATCATTGCACCGGTGGCCATCCGGCGAGAAAAATCATGCAATATCACTACCACCCCACACGTCTTAAATCCGGATCAGATGCAATTCCTCGAGTTCTAGGGCTGACAGCGAGCCCCATAGTGAGATACAAGCCCCAAGATTTGCAGTATGTCCGTCAGCAATAGCATCCTAGAACAATCGATTGTGACTGATCCTTTTCAAGGGCTATTGAAGCAAGTCTAGATGCGGTATGCAAAACTCCCCGAGTGCATCGGTCGGAGCTTCTCAAACATGTTCACAGACCGCAGTTGGAATGCATTCGCTACAAGCAATGCACTACAGAACAACCAATGTTAGGGACTCGGTTGCTGTATTCATTGATACATTGCGCAAAAGCTTACGACATCCATGAAGACCCGTACATGGAGATGTTACGCTATAAATTGGAGTCACAAGGAAGTGCAGAATTATTATCACAAACCGGGAAAACATTTTGCAGCGAGCAACTTGCCAAGCTAATCGAGCGCAGCCGTCATATGTACGAGGAGCTCGGTGGCTGGGCCACAGACTATTTCATTCAGGCTTCGATTGACCAGCTTCGGAGGTCCATAGAGGAGGACAACTCTATGACAGGTCTAGACCGTGCTGAAAGAGTCTATCTCCTCGAGCTTCTGCTTGGGATGCCAGTTCCTGCAGACAATGAAGCAGAAAGCTTTCATATTTCCCCAAAACTTGAGGTCTTGCTTGCTTTTCTTGATAAGATGGATCGCCCTAAATTCTCCGGTCTCATATTTGTGAGGCGGCGCGTTACAGTGAGCGTTCTGGCCCGTCTCTTATCACTCCATCCTGCAACGAAAGATCGTTTCCGTTGTGCGCCATACGTGGGCTGGTCAAGTAACAGTTCCCGTAAGGATTACCTCGGTGATCTCCTGACTCGCGACATGCAACGGGATACTCTCTCCGAGTTCAAGGCCGGGCGGAGAAACTTGATTATTGCCACCGATGTTTTGGAGGAAGGCTTGGATGTTAGCTCCTGCAGCTTGGTAATCTGCTACGACAAGCCATCAAATCTCAAATCCTTTGTCCAGCGTCGTGGCCGGGCCCGGCATCAGCAATCTACCTATGCGATTGTGATGTCGACTGAAGATCACTCATTGGACTTCTACAAATGGGAGCAACTAGAAAGAACTATGATTGAAGCATACCAGAATGACGAGAGAGTGCGTCAGAAGGCCTTGGAACTCGAGCGAATTGAGGAGAATGTTGATGATTGGCTAATTGTGCCTTCTACAAGGTGAGTTTGTACATGCTGATGAGATCTCTCACTAAACGTACTGATTACCACGTACCAGCGCACGTCTGTCCGCTGATGATGCAATGCAACACCTGCACCATTTTTGTGCTGTGCTACCTGTAGATGAATCTGTGGACAATCGTCCATCGTTTTCATTTGAGGACAATCCTAGAGGTCTCATTCGGAGCACGGTCACTCTTCCTAATTCAGTTCACCCCGCCGTTCGCCAGACACAAGGAAGGAGATGGTGGCGAACTGAGCGTGCAGCCAGAAAGGAGTCAGCGTTCCAAGCGTACAAGGCATTGTGGAAATACGGTCTGGTAAACGACAATCTCCTGCCCCTCACTCGAAAGCCCGATTTACAATTCACAGAAGACACTCAATTACCAGCAGTCATCGAATGTTCGGAACAATACGATCCATATATGGACTTGGCCAATATATGGGTGTCTCCTGATCCCCACCAGACAAATATCACCGTATCGCACAAGGGAGTCGTGAACCAGAATTTTCTTATGTCAATGGTGTTGCCCCAATGGACCCCTATGCCGGATGATATGACATTCTACTGGAGTAAAGATGAAACTCTGAAAGTATCCTTGACTGATCCGCAGCGACTTATGGACTTCACCACGGAGACTCTTCAAACCATGAGGGAAATCACTTCTATATACCTTCAAGCACCTTCATCGCGAGTAAATGGACCCGAGAAGGATTTTGTGGCCCTATTTGTCCCCACGGCTCCACCCGGAACTTTCGAGGAATGGATCCAGAAATATCAGGGCACGGACAAAGCTTTGGATATCTATGCCCAAGATCCCACCCGTCCGCTGGTTGGCATCGTGCGAGATACAGCAAAATACAGCGAACCTCGCTTGTTCAGAGAGTGGGTCATTTCTAGAACAGACCAGAAGACTCACGTTGAGATAGAGTGTCAGTCCCTTCCTCGTCGGCGAAACCTGCTGCAGGACTGGAATACTGCGACGGCTGGAGAAGATGGCGAGATGGCGACCCCAAAGACCCACATTGTACCAGCCGCAGGCTGCACAGTAGACAGGCTGCCTTCCGAGATTGCTATCTTCGGACGTTTCATATCCGCAATTCTGGACCGCTTTGAAGCCACTATGGTCGCTCATAAGCTCAATGACACCATTCTGAAAGGCGCAAAAATCTCGAAGATTGAGCACGTCTTGACAGCGATCACCAGTCCCATTGCTCAAGCTACAGCCAACTACCAGCTATATGAGTTCTTTGGAGACTCTGTCTTGAAATTCACCGTCAGTTGCCAGCTCTTCTTCCTGCAGCCCAAATGGCATGAAGGCTATCTCTCTGAGAGCCGGGACAAGCTTATCCAGAACAAACGTCTCGCTCGTGCTGCACTTGATACTGGATTGGATAGCTTTATCCTAACTAACCGCTTCACTCCGCGCAAATGGAATGCCCCGTTGGTGTCCAAGAGGGTGTTGATGAAGCCTGGCAAACGACAGCTCTCCATGAAGGTATTGGCCGATGTGGTCGAAGCAGTGATTGGCGCTGCTTATATGGACGGTGGGATGGAAAAGGCACAAGCCTGCCTCCATAGATTTCTCCCAGAGATCACGTTGTTCACCAAAAATATCCCATCATTTATAAATCCGACAGACACGCCAAAGCTCAAGCTGATTAATGAACATTGTATCTCAAAGCTAATCGGGTATACATTCAAACAAACATCTCTCCTGACAGAAGCACTCACTCACCCATCCTGTGAGTTTGATACCATCACTCAGTCTTACCAGCGCATTGAATATCTTGGAGATGCTGTTCTTGACATGGTCGTTGTCTCTGTGATTGCCGCATATCCACACAAGATCTCACAGGGCAAGATGACTCTCATCAAGCATGCTGTGGTGAATGCAAATCTCTTAGCCTTTCTCTGCTTGGAACACTCTGTCCTAGATACAACTACAGAGATGGAGAAAACATCAACAGGAGACCTTGATCTCGTTACGCGCTCCAAGGAAATCCAGCTGTGGCAATTTCTCCGTTTCAATGGGCCGGTCATCAAAGCCTCGCGCGATGCATGCGTAGAAAGATATAAGGTGTACCGCACGGAGATTCAAAACGCCTTGCATTCCTCGCAGACGTATCCATGGGCGCTCTTCGCCATTCTGCGAGCAGATAAGTTCATCTCTGATATTGTGGAAAGCACAATTGGGGCGATCTTCGTCGACTCCCAGGGCAGCCTTGAGGCTTGCACAGCCTATGCCGAGCGCATCGGGCTGCTACCATACTTGCGCCGTATCATTTCCGATGGCGTTGATGTCAAGCACCCGCGCAACAAGGCCCAAGATCTCATGAAGGCGGCTGGAAGTCTTGCTTTCAAAGCTAGGAGAGTGGAAGTGAAAGGTGGGGCCGCCACATACCAGTGCTCTGCGGTTATCAATAAGGAAGTGGTTGCTTCCGTGCAAGGCTGTACATCTGCGGAAGAGGCCGAAATCAAAGTATCCCATATTCTCATTGAAAAGGCCAGAGCTGACAAAGTTGCGGCGGAGCAGACTGCCACACACATGGTGATTTGAATGATAACAATAGAGATCTGGCATGAGTTTCTTCACATTTAGTTTGCATGAAATATGCTAGTGCATTGGGAAATTTCGATAGTGTGCATTACATATTCGCTTGATCTCAGGGTATTTATTACATTGTAAGAGCTTCGACCTAATTATAATTGGCATCTACGTGGTGACGGCAAATAGACCTCATTGATTTGAAGGATGTATTAGAAATGGAAAAGTAATTTACTCCTTCTTGCCGCGTTTTGATCGGCGAACTGGTTCAGGCTTCGCCTCATCCGGGCCTGAATGGTCTGAACGTGCATTCTCGGATTCATCTGAATCATGCAAGATGTCTTGTTCAGCTTCTCCACTAGTCGCAAGCATCATATGCTCACTTGTGGCATCCTCCGCCGCAGGGTCTACATCGGCCCTCGAGACCGATTCCCACGATCCCTCCGTCGGTGCCGTTGCCTGTCTCAAGCTTGACAATATCTTTGCGGTCTCACTCTCAGCACCGTTCCAGGCACCACAACTACCACACCGCCATTGACCCAGCTCTTCTGGGGTTTTAATCCCTGGTGGAGCTTGTCCATTCACCAACCGACATGAGGTACAGATCATAGCCATTCTGTTGCGGGGCTGCATCTCATCTTCGCCCAAGAGCACATCCAGGAGCCGGTCATACCAATGCGGTTGTTCAATATATTGACCGGGACTTGAAAACGCATTTGGTGCAAATCCAGGCTCATCTGCTGGAGGATGGGGGGCTGTATGAGCGGAGGGGGGAGTGTTGGGCACCGTTTGTTGCTGAACTGGAATGTCAAATGGAGGAGGTGAAGGAGGGTTTCCGGGACCCGCAGGAACTTGACCAGAAGGACGGCGGATGTTCGCTGTTGGTGGTGGTGGTAACCCCGTGCGGGTCACTGGTTGTTGCTGTTTTTGGGACGGAGTGCTCTCCTGGAGGCCTCCAGAGACATTTTTGGGGCCAGAAGAAGCTTTAGGAGTTTCTCCACCGTACTTATCCAGTAACTGCTGGGTAGAGTTGTACCTGGTGGCGGTCTTGAGCTTCTCGATCGTCTCGTTGCGCTGTTTGTGAAGGTCGTCCAGCTGGCGTTGGCTCCTAGCGACGCGATAGTCAAACAGACGTGCAGCAATCGTTCGAACACCGTAGATACTGCCGGAAGAGAACATGGTCAGTGAACTTCGGATCCCGATCTCCTCTTCGGAGTCGAATGTAAAAGATGAACGCACAGCACGGGCCCGCCAACGATAGCGGCGTATTCCTTAAGGCCCCAGTTGTCCCATCCTAGCACTAGTGCAGAGACTATAGAGTAGAAAAGATAGGCAAGAGTCGAATAGAGGGTCCAGAGAGCCTTAAATCGGCGAGCAGTCTGGCGCTGCTGGTCCAGTCGCGTGGTAGCCTGGCTGATCTTGGTGGACAAAGCGGAGAGGGTCTTTTCGAAAGAGGCCGGAGAGTTATCCTCACCCTGGGTCCATTAGTAGAGGGTCCATGCGAGAAGGTGAAATTAGCAGACAATACCTTCCAGGGCCAGAAGGACACCATTGTGGATGTGCGCAACAGCTTCAGTTCGTCGGGGGGACCGAAGCTCCAACTTGGCTTGTTCACCGCCCAAACCAGGTGATCGCTGACATCACCTGCCCTGTTATCATGATCGACTCTACACCCATCCTCCACTTTGGTGATACACTTCTTTTTGTTCAGAATCGAACATCTCTGAGAAATGACGATACGGTGGAAGCTCTGCTACTAATCAGGCAACAGAGTCACCGAAACTTGTCGTCCTACTCGTTGATCCATTGAAAGAGCTCGTCATCAAGAAACCTGACCCAGATTCTATCGGACCTCGACCTTGACTTGGGGTAACTCACATCATTAGCACCACCCTCCCCTCCCCTTTTCTGCATTTGCTAAAGGGGGAAAGACTCTCAAATAGACCTGTCAGGTCCACAACTCCGTGACATCGGCATGGGGTCTAGACTGGGAATAAAGCGTGCCACTGGAGCAACAGGAACCGGTGGTACGCGTGCTCCCCGAACGGATTCTTTGTTTGCGATGCCAAGTCCCATGGAACCCCTGCTTAGCAGAGATCAATAGCCTCGCCTCGCTCTTCCCAAGGAATCCCCGGGGCTCTCATAATATCCAATTAATAATCACCAGAAACACCATGTGTTCAGACCTCGGTGGAATAACCAGAGCATTGGCAGAGCTTCCTGTAGCTCATTTACTTTCATCGATGGCCCACCCCATGTTTCTTCACACCTTCACGATCGACCAAGTCTAGTTAATCCGTTGGTAATAGAATCATTTCATCACAGGATGGAAGACTTATAAAACCATTATATGGTGGTATATCACTTATCGACCAATGCAGGCTATGGCCGCGTGGTCGCTCGTTAATTAGCGCGTCAACGAGCATTTCGATTCCCCGATTCCCCGGCGGTTATCGGTCTCAAGAAACTAGTAGATTATGTCTACAGGGATCCACTCCGATGCGAGTCATCACAACCAGATCGGCCGTGCTTCTGGCCATTGAGCCCTCAGATATAACTTCAGGAATCGGGGACTCACGGAAGATCTCGCGCCGTCCCAGAACCCAATTCCAAATCGGGTAGGAGATTCGAAGTTCCGTTATGGGACTCAACACGGCAAAGACCATACTATCCATGCACGGACATTTCCTACCCCAGCAACATGACAAGGCTTGTTTTTAATACTTGAGCCCAGGGCTAGATTCATTCCTCCACTCCGTAGACCACTCCATATTCATCTGGGTGGATGTCTACCCCTTGTAATCATGGATACCATACTTAACAACCTGCCTCCAGAGCTAGGAGACACTCTGATGAACAACTTTGTCATTCTTGAGGTAGTCTCCATGTTCGCGATCAGGGCCTACAATGCCCTCGAGACGGGGATTGTCACGTTCGACACCTTCAAACACTATCGAGGCCTATACTTCTACAGTATGCAAGTGGCCTCCTGGGGTATACTTCTCCATACTATTCCGGCTATGGTACGCTTCGTCTCCCAAGCGCCGAACATTCCTATGTCCATCCTCTTCGTGGTAGGCTGGTACGCCATGGTGACCGGCCAGGCTGTCGTGCTATACTCCCGTCTCCACCTTGTGGTCTCCGACATGGTTAACGTGCGCTGGATCCTGTGGATGATCATAATCAATTCTCTCGTCTTCCACGTGCCCATGACAGCCCTATTCTTTGGCCTTGCTCGTGGCAATACGAACCTTGCCCGTCCGGCAGCGATTTTTGACCGAATTCAACTCACGGGCTTCTGCATCCAGGAGACTTTTATCTGCGGTATCTATATTCACGAGGCCATTCGGGCCTTGAAGCCCGTCATTGAAATTCGTGGCCTTGAGGGCCGCAAAGTCATAATCAATCTCATCTGGGTTAACGCCCTCGTGGTCCTTATGAACGTTCTTCTCCTTATCGTCGAGTATAAGCTGCACTTTATCACTGTTAGCTTCAAGATAGTTGTATACAGTGTCAAACTGAAACTTGAATTTGCTGTGCTGAACCGGCTGCGCTCCCTGACCCGGCTAAATACTTGCGTCTGTCACCAAGAAATCCCTCGACGACGTCGGTCGAGCGACGTCAACATTTTCGAGATGATATGGGCACGATCTCGGGAAATTCCAGGATCAGAATTCACGACAAGCACTCCTGAACTTCATATTGGAACCTCATGTCGAAGTTCCTTACCCAGTAGCACCCACGAGTTCCACCAAGCCTTACGGGAAACATCTTCAAATGACAATACATTGGCGCCTCTAGATACCTGCGTCCTCCGGCCATCTTCTATCACTGCCACCCTTCACTAGTCTCTGTTGTGCTCGCCGTCAATCAATGAAGATTCAGTCTACAGTCGAAGTCGCACCCATCGAACCATTGAAGTGATCTCAAAGTTGTTTTCGTCTTTTTTTTCTTTTTCTTTTTCGTTGTCATTGAAAATCTTCGAAGCACATTTTTACATTTTGTACACGATTGGCCTGGAAATCTTTCGACCAATCGTCTTTTTGTTCTCTTCATATCATCTTCCAATGGTCAATTTTGTCAAAAGAATTCGGCGGTCTTAGTTTTCTTGGGCGCTTTTTGTCCTTCCTTGGATACCCTTTTGTGCTTGACCGCGTTCAATGTGGTTATTTTCTTGTTAATACGTCTGATTTCTTCAGTCTAATGAACAGAATTAACCAGAAAGTGCTATAACTCCAAATTTGCCGTATTGAAATGATTTGATTGATTCAAATAGAAGCCCAAAAATGATGCGATGCCCGACAATGCCGATGAAGCGTGGTATGGTACATAAATGAAGACTAAATCAAGGGATATCACGGATCTATTGAGATAAACAACCACGTATAACATGAAAAAAAAGGTGTCATTGAAGTGTAACAAACATGGATATGGGTATATGTTTATCTTTCCACGGCAGCAAAAAAGCACAACACTGAAGAGAATCATCCCGGACATTTTCGTGTACATAAGTCTGAGAGGGCAAAGTGAGAGGTAAAAGGAAATTGACATATACATTAGAATCATCGAGACCATGATGCATTTGCCTAGGACAAGAAGTGTAGACTCGACATGTCAAACATCATGAGAAGATGGCAGGTCAAGGAACTTCGCACGCTATACCAGGATGCACTGGCAGCGGCAAAAGCGTGTATGTGCGTATTTAGAAATATTCGGAATTTTTTGGATAGCCCACAGATGCCCGCCGCAAAATAGAAAATGTCGGAAGAATGAGAAGCAGGGAATCATGAATGGGTTAAATTTGCGAGCGAAACAATCCGGGTTACGGGCCTGGATCCGAAGGTTCAAACCATCCACCGTTTTCCCATTGACCGGGCTTATATGTAGCATCTTTCCGAGCTTTGGGATCGGTTATGCCATTCAGCAGGTCGTTCAGTCGCGCGAAGTTAATCGGTTTCATGACCCAACCATCAAATCCAATGTCGACATAATTTTGCTTCTCTGACTCGAGCAGAGACGCCGAAACCGCGAATATCGGAATTCGATGGTTGAGCTTGGCCTTTTCCGAAAGGCAAGCAGAGCCTGCCTTGGCTTCATGATCGCGGATCATCTTGGTAGCGGTCATTCCATCTGCAATGGGCATTTGAATATCCATCAAGACAACATCCAATGCCTTGCTCTCAGAGATGAAGGCATTGGCGCATGCATCGCCGTTACCAGTAAGATGGACCGTATGCCCAAGCTTAGTCAGGCGTTTGTGAACGATCTTACTATTCACGGGATCATCCTCAGCGACGAGTACATGTAGCAACTGGCGATTCTCCGGATACAGTGAGGTAGGATTTGTGGAAGTAGCACCGGTAGTCGAAGTAGCGACCGATATTTCTCTTTCTGGAAGAGGGATTCTAGGAAAGTAAGACTGATCATCCGCCTGCTGCTGTGCCCGGTGCTTCAAATGCCGCTCGGAGATGCGGAGGGGTCCCATTGGCATGCCAGAGTCGGTGATGTTCTCCGTGCCTGGGGCAGGCGGGGTGTTGAAAGGCTGGAGAGTGAGCGGTGGTGTATGCGTGACTGTTGACAAAGTGGCAAGGTTATCTTGCGTAGTCGAGAGGCGTTTGAGACTGGCAGGCGGAGAACCCATAGAAGCTGACAGATTGGTTCCGCTCGCGGGGCTGGTAGACTGCCTGAGCTGCCACATATCAGAGCTTTGACTCCCGGAACGCTTGACGAGAGGAGGTTCCTGCATGGCACTGATGAGTCTATCGGCCTGACTCTTTCCACTGCGAGAGCTGCCCCCGCTGCGTAGGCTTTCAGAACTGCGACGTCGGTCATCTCGATTGTCGAGAGTTCCTGCCCCAACCAGGGTGAACTCCTTGTCGAAATTCATCGGTGTGGGAGGCACTATCATCTGCTCTACACCAGTTTCAGACGGGGTCGCTGCGGAAGCTCCCTCTGGAAGCTTGAATTGTAACAGGACCTTAAATCGGCTGCCTTTACCTTCTTCAGACTTGACACCAAGCTGACCCTGCATATTATTAATGATTCGTGCGACCAAAGCAAGACCAAGACCAAGGACACGCCTTTCTCCAGGTTGATCATCTTGTTTTTGTTCTTGATCCGTATAGTAGTTGTCATCAGTCGAAACTTGCTCAAGTTCATAAAACAGCGCCTCCAACTTGGAACTGGACATGCCCGCTCCAGTATCGACAATCATAGTCTCAATTGCGATATGACCAGGCAAAGATTGATTTGCCGATCGCCACATCTCCACTGTAACTGCACCAGATACCGTGTTTTGAATGGCATTTGAAATCAAGTTGGAGAATACTTGGCGTACGCGTCGTTGGTCGCCTAGAACCATAGATGGAACTCCTGGATGTACCGTCACGCTGTATGCAATATTTTTTCGCTTGGCTTCTCCAGCTAGCATGCCAGTTGCCTCCTCAAAAGTTGTCTTTAGATTGAAGGATTCGTCCTTGATCAACTCTTGGCCCTTCTCCGTGTTTGTTAGATCAAGCAGATCATTGATGACATAGATCAGAGATTTGGAGGCAGAGTGAGATTTTGTCAGGCTCTCCCTGGTTTCTGCATCAAGAGCTCCCTCTAGTGCTATCTCCAGGTAGTTGATAATTGCGTTCAGCGGAGTCCGAACTTCATGAGCGGAGTTGGCGAGCAGTAGTCGCGTGAGTTGAGAGTTCTGCATAGCAGCCTCCTTTTGACGCCACACCTTGATGAATTTTCCATAGACAAGACAGAGTACAGCTGCTGTCTCGACATCTGTCTCAGACCACTCTCGAGACTGGCTTAGTACTGTTTCTCGCCAGGCTTCAAAACTGTTGCGAGGCTCCAAATACCCTGCGGTCTCTTTCCGTTTTGAAATCTCATAGGGGTTACCGGCCCATTTAATCTCCGTGAGTTGGCCCTTTCGGAAGAATACAATACAGTCATTACCCCCAGTTGACAGAGGAACATATAGCATCCCAGAGATAGCCTTAAGACCCGGGGGATAGTGCAAATCCGGGAAGTCTTTGACAATATCATGAGATGCGAGGACTGAATTGATCTGACGCATACGAATAAATTCCAGGAGTGCGAGGACCTCTTGCGAATTCTGGTTGTCACCAAGAATCTTCGTTTCGTCGCGGATAGAGAGGACACCATAGTCCGCATCAAAAAGCTGCAGCAAATCATCCGATGACGCAACGATATAACCGGATGGATTAGCCTCGGTTGGGACCGTGTTGATCAACTTCCGCGCTTGTAGTCGGGACGCGTAAGACAGACGTTCAATATTTCGCGAAACTGTGTCGCCGAGAAGTCTGCACATCTTCCGAATAGGAAAAGCAACACGCATGCCATTATTCCCGTAGGAATGACAAGATATAAGGCCCCAAAGGTTGTTGAAAGCGTTGATACTGATTGACATTGACGATCGGACCTTCATGTTGGCAAGATACTTGACGTGGATGGGCGACATGGCTCGAAGGTAAGCATGAGTCATGTCTAGTGGCGTCTCAAGATCTTCTAGTGTCCGACACACGAGACGTGAGGTCACTTGATCACGGTCATAAAGTAACCGAACCTTGTTGATCTTGTAAAGCTCACGGGCCTGCGCCGGGATATCAGCTGCTGGAAAGTGAAGGCCCTTGTAAAGATCGATAGTAATCCTAGGATCCACTAGTTCCGCCACGACGAGACCGTTCCAACTGCTGTCGAATTGGTAGATCAAAACACGGTGAAATCCCGTCAGTTCTTTAACCAGCCCTGCCGTGGTATTGAGCAACGTATCGAGGTCATTTGCCCGGCCTAATTGCTCCTGGATCTGAGAAAGCATGCTAAATACTTCCATAGAGGCAGCTTTGCCCTTTCTCCGTCGGGCATTGCGAAGAATTCGAAGTGGCTGGCTAATATTAACGGTACTAGCGGCAAATTGTTCAGGTGTAGGAAACACGCCTAACGTCTCGGTCGGGCTGCCGGGCGTTACAGAGCCACCCACATTCAAAGGGTTGATCTCATCGTCTTCAAATTCCAGTTCGCAGATAATCAAATCCTTCTGTGCTTGGCTGACGTGGACCGCACACCAAAAATGATTAATCTCTCCTTTGGGGCTTCGGATGGACAGAGAGAAGACTTCAGGACCATCAACGCTGGGATCATAGGCATCATCACGGACAAAATCAACATGATCCAACAGACTGTCGCCTTGGTCGTCATCCAGGATGTCACAGAAGCTCTCCAACTCAAAGAGTTGCCTAGGGGAATAACCCGTAATTTCCTCGGAGTTCTCGCTAACCACACGGACAACCAGTTGATTAGGGGACTCCTCGCGCATTGCAATCATCAAACCGAAGCTTTGGATAGCCCCTGGGATTCGAATAGGTTCATCTTCACAATACTGAAAAGAGTCCCCGTCCCTGCCAGTGATTACCGCATGGCCATTCTCAGTCGTCACATGTTTGAAGCGTGTGGTGACATGGCCGTATGATTCGCTGGACCCAGGTGGCGCGTTTAATGTTGGCTGAATGGTACCGCTTGTTGTTGATTCGCTATCACTCTTCGCCTTGGCATATACCTCCGGGTGTTGAAAGACCCGAGAAGCCATAGAATGGGTGGCTAATTCAGTCTCATCGTTGACGAGGTGTGTCTCGTGTCGAAGAACATCGGTAGGGATCGTGGGCTCGAGGTTCGGCTGTAGGGGCGGGGGCGGAGGTTGTTGGGACTGAGCTTGGAGACTGTTCCAGGTGCGTGCATCGATGATCGAGTATTGTCGAGCGCCTTCGCGGGTTGGCGAGAAAGCACCTCTTGTATTCAACGAGGATCCAGACTGAGTAGCTGTCGGATCAACTGAGACAACGGACCTGATGGGGAACACTCGATCTTGACTGAAAGACTCGGCGCCGAGGGGCTGCTGTCCTTCGTCGTGCGTGACAGACTGCGACCGGTCTCTGTTCTCAGGTCGAGTGTCGGCGATCTCAATGGAAATAGGTCTTCCTGGTGTGGTCGCACTTTCAGACCGTTTCCGGGCGGTCCCGGGACGTGAGCTCCGAGGACTCTGTGACGCCATTCTGATATTGTTCAGGTAATGAGGGGACAAACCCGCTCAGCCCTTGCGGTGGGATGTTGAAAGGTATTCAGATGGAGAGGAGAAATTGGCGAGAATAGGGTCACAATGGTGGTGAGGCACGAGCGAAAAGAACACGATCTTTGTTACAATGGTCAGACAGAGCCGGACTATGAGGCTCACACAAGACCAAAGTCAAAGTGGCTTTTCGCAAATGAATGGTGTGAACCGCACAAGACCGCCACATTTATCGAGGCCCGGCGAGTAAAACGCTGGAGGAATCCTTTGGGAGGCGGAAAGGAGGGTTATCGATGAGCTTCATCAGGGATCTTGCATCCACCGGGAGGCGTCGTCGATCGTTATAGCAAGATTGGTGAATGGATGAGTGCCTGAGAGAGAGTGGAATCCCAAGGGAGTGGGTGGGCAGGCGATCTGGAGAGAACGACACGACTGAAAGTGGAGAGAGGGGAAAAAGCTCTAGGGAGGGGCACAGGCGGAGAGAGCCTCTGCCCTCCGGAAGTCTGGCGCAGCCAGTGCACTGAACCCAAGGTATGTGCGGTCGGACCAGAAGCTTTCCGGTAATGATGAGCAGGCCGGCCGTCAACCCAAATCCACCCCAAAGGAGCAGCCATCGTAAATTGGTGACACCCAGTGGACAATCTAGTAGCCGCGGCGGCACTGCCGACGCGAGCGACAACAGGGCTTCCTCATTGGAGGGATTGCAGCCGGAGAAAGTGGGCTGATTGGATTGAGCCTAGGAATGAGGCCCTCGCACCGGGGCAGCTGGGGCATCAACTGGTAATTCACAGAAAGCTCAAGCACAGTGGACCGAAATGACAGCGAGCATTTTGGTGGCTGAGCCAAGGGCTCAGTCCAAGAGAACCCTGGGAGTACCCGATACCGTGGACTATTGGAACCACAAGCCGTATGGCTTTTGGGTACCGAGTTCTCGGGAGCATGTAGGAAAAAGGTGGAGCCGGTCGCCATTATCATCATCTGGTGGTGTATGGGGAATGCTCGATGACATCACGTCCGTATGGGGTTCTTCGAGAAGACGGTATTCGCGGGTTCCTGGCGACAGCCCTGCGCCATGACATAACCGATCGACAAGAAAAAAAGACATTCTCTTGAGCCCTCGAGCTATGCAAGCGAGAGTCATTTTCCACATCGTCTAGCGGGTCCTGAAGTCACTTCGGCCGAATGGTCGACGATCGGATTCTCGACAGGATATACCAAATCTGGAAGCGGTCGAATGTAACCGAAGTTGCCACTTCGTAAGCGCAAGGTGTTGAAAAGCGTAAGGAGATTGAGAATCACTTCAAAATTGGGTGGCGAAAAATAGTTGGACAGGAGGAAAAATGAAGAACCTCGGAGATTTGACGACGTTTGAGGTTTGAAGACTGAAGTCACATTGAGATAGGCCGATAAGGTGCACCGGTAGAACCCACATCCAGCGACACAACAGATATACTGGATAATAACTTGGCGGTAAATTTGCATCAGGTTGATTAGCTAATTACTGAAGAGTGTGTAGTTACTAAACGCCCCTTTTAGGATAAGCGCAGGTCAGTGAGAGAGGGCTGTTGGTTATATATATTGTGAGTACTGGGAAATTTTCGTGTCCGGATAGAAGAATATTTTGGCTATTCAAAATGAAAATTCTTCGAAACCCGTTCCTATATATAGATGTAAATGAGTATCATCTAAAAGGCAGTGGGCTTTTCAGATCACAAAATCGACAGCACACCGCATAACAAGACACGATGCTCAATGCAAGTATTGGACTTCGGTTCGGTGACATGCCAAACGAGACCTGGGGAAATTATGGACTGCAATTGCCCATCTTAGCCTTCTAAGGAGCAGACCGAGTTGAAACCAGAATAATAAAGCTTGTCTCACGCTTCTATGGGCAATTTCCAGTTCAATGGATGGATTGCTAAGTGCAAATGCTGGGTCCTGGAGAACGATATGGCCCTGCCGCGATGAGATAAAACATGTCTAGAATGGGGTCTATTTTTAGCGAATTATATGGTCCGGATGGTAGGAGAGGTTGGCCAGGATCTCAATTTGTTAAATGGTCTGAAAAGTGGACCAGACGAGGTGAAAGGAAACAGGTTCTTGGAAATACAATGTGAAACCGAAGAGCGATTATTTTGCAAGACATGGTTTCGATCATCCACTCCAACATTATATTCATGATAGTGCCGCTTTTAAAGCGGGGATAAGTTTTTGAACGAAAACTATCTACAAGATATACCGGAAGCTATTGATCTCCCTGTCAGTCTTATTCGAAAGTTCATCCTGCAGCTCTGCCCCAACGGTCATTTCTTCCGGGCGCCCGTATAGGCGATCACGACGGCGGTTCTCCCAGGTGTAGTAAAAGAAGAGTAGAGCCAAGAAGAAAATGCTCAAAATCAGGCCAGACATTCCAGCCTTAATCCCGGTCTATGATTCATTGTTAGTAATTTGATTCGGCCATCAGCAACGGAGTTGGATAGCTGACTGGGTAGGAAGGCTCCTCGGAGGCAATATAGAACTGAGGTCCAACAACATTTCCCACGCAGTAAGAAATGAATATTAAAGCACTAACGACACTTTTCTTCGAGAACCCAGCGACATTGGAGGTGACGATACTCAACATAATCGGCAGGTTGATCGCATATACAACGGCCAAAGTCAGACCAACCATGCGACCTGCCTGATCTGCAGGATCCAATTTCCAGATCAGAACCATCCCAATCACTGATATCGAAGTGTTGAAAATCATGGCAACGATACGAGACGATGGAATAAAGGTACATGCAAGAGACGAGAGCACCAAGAAAACAATCTCTGCTCCGCCTTGAGGCATTTGCATGATGAGGGCTTTCAGGTCGGTAAATCCAAAGCCCGCTGTGATGATAGATGTAAACTGCAGGGAGTAAGAATGAAATATATAAAATGAAAATTAGGTTATATGATCCATACCGTGGTGATCCCGCCATTGCATAGGTTCGAAGTGAATGAATTCAAAACCAGCAACCATGTTTGTGGGTCTGTCAAGGCCTGGCGGGCTTGAGACCATTTGAATTTTCCATTGTCCATTATTCCAGTCTTGTTCTTCAATGTCCGTTGGATTGCGATAGCCCGTTCATTATCTTTTAGGAAAAAGGCCTTGGCTGGAGAGTCAGGTAAGAGGAAAAATAAGACGATAGCATAACCCGACGTGATAGAGCCTAGAATTAAGAACAATAATTTCCATCGTTCAATTGCGGTGGTATGTATATTTCCAATGCCGTAGGCAATCAAGCCTCCGAAGAGTACAGCAACGCAGTTACCAAAGAACCAAGCAGATTGCCTAATTATGGTTAGTAAACATAACTTGAGCTATATGCTTCGATCATACATACTTACCGAACTGGCTGCTCCTGCCGAGTATAAAACATTCCTGTGATTAAAGTGAATCCTGGTGCGATAGAAGCTTCTCCAACACCAAGGAAAAAGCGAACGACCATGAGTTCAGCAAAGTTGGTGCAAGCAGCGTGGCACATCAGGATTCCACCCCAAAGAAATCTGAACACTCAGCAATGGGTCATATTCAGGATGCGACTTTACTTACACCGTCGTGGCCAAGTACTTCCCAATTGGAAAACGTACAATTATGTACGCACTGGGCCAGCTCCAGAGAAGGTAGCCAAAGTAAAAGACAGCCGAGGTCCACGAGTAGTTCGATCCACGCAGATTCTGTAGTTATTAGTTGATGCACAAAGTAAAGCTAGAGGCAGTCTACCAGATCTTCGCGTAAATTGAACAGCGTTGCTTGACTCAGAGCCAGCTTGTCAAGAAACTGGAGGAAATATCCCGTACCCATCAAGGGGATCAATCTATCATGGTGTCAATGGAAAGTAACTTGGCCATTCAAAGAAAGACTGTTGAGACTCACACAAGATCCAACTTGCGTAGAACTCGACGCTGTTCTTCTGGCGTAGATTCTAGAGCCAGCACCTCTCCTAGATCCACATCATGACTAGGCGCAGTGATGTTACGCTTAAGATCATTCTCATTAGCCATTGCAACGTCGATACTTCCAACAGTCAAGTAGATCAAGGCTGAAAGCTTTCTATCAACTTCAACAGCCAGCGTCGGCGAGCTTATTATATTCTTTCAGGTAAACTCTATTGCGCCGCATCTTGACGACCGTCAGGCCCCCATACAAGCCGTCGCTGTTAGTTTCCTCAGTCCGCCCCATCACCGCGATAACAGTCGCTTGAACCTACTAATATGGATGATCGGACGCGTTCCGCGGTGGAACCCGCGCATCCACAGGGACAGGAAGCTTAAACGTGCTCCAATCAGGTGCCATCGATCCGTTTTCTTTGGTAATAGATTCATTTCCCCGCGCGCCCCGATTGCGAGGAGAGATATTGCAGCTGCAGCGCCTGAGTCTGGGGTCGCGGGGTTTGCGTCTAGTCCAGAGAATGTGGGAAGACCTTCCCCACTCCGGATGCCGACTACGGCAGATACATATCCAAGAACCGGGATCAAGAGACTTTGCCATTGACCAGGTTTGATCCTCCTTCCCCGGGGTCTTTTTGATTATGGAATTGCAGCTCTGTAGCGTGGTCTTGACTAGATTCCGCGATATCTTTGAGGGGATTCAGCGTGGGAATGGTACGTGATATATCGGTTACAATTCCGGTTGAGATTGAGGGTGATCAATGGTCCGAAGACTCGGGAGCTGTTCACTACCACCTTAAGAGGGCTTTTCAAGGTAAAAGTCGAAATCAATGAATTATGTCACCGGGATCTAGAGCTCTATATCATCTGTCTTTTTAAAATCGGCCTGAACAGCCGCAGCAAATACATCATCCGTCAACATCTGACATCCAACAACCGCCATTCCAGCCGCACAATAAAGACTACGTTTGAATCCTTCTTCAGATCCCGCACCGGCTGTAAATTCTGGAGTGTGATTCACGCCATCGGTCTGGATGTAGAAGCCACCGTGGAATCCAGGGACCTCGTATGATACGTTGCCCATATCGGTAGATCCTCCGCTGAGCCCTCCTTCTTGACCGGCTGCATCGTAGATTGTACTATAGCCCATAGCGTTCATGACATTGGTGTAATTTTGGCAGATTGGACGGTTGAATTTCATGTCCTTGTATGCAGGCTCCCTGGAACGAGCAGATTAGACTTGTCTGTTGAATCTAAATTTCGACGCCGTCACATACCATTCGTATTCTACTGTGCACCCTGTTGCCGTCGCGGCCGCCTCGAAACATTTCAAAACTCTCTCTGTGAGTGGCTTGAGTGTTTTGACTGTGTCCGATCGGATATAGTAGTCCAGCGTTGTGGACGCCGGAATGACATTGGGCCGTTCGCCACCTCTCAGTACCACGCCGTGAATCTTCTGTGTCGGCAAGATTTGCTGGCGCAGCATCGAGATGTTCACATACGCCGCAACAACTGCATCCAGAGCATTGACACCTTCCCAAGGTGCCGCGGACGCATGAGCCGGCTTGCCTGTGAAGGTCACTTCGACCTTATCATTCGCCAAATACTGACCAGCGCATGAGCTGGAGCTCAACAAATCTGGAGCCCCGGGCAGAACGGGGAATGGATGGACCATAAAACAGGCGTCAACATCTTTGTAAGCGCCTGCATTTATCAAGAGCAGTTTGCCACCTCCACCTTCTTCGGCGGGAGTTCCCAAGAGGCGCACCGAATAGCCGATATCGTCAGAGTATAGAGCATCCATGGCATCACAGGTGGCTAGGAAGGCGGCAATGGAACTGGTTGCGATCAAATTATGACCGCAGGCATGCCCAATTCCTGGCAAGGCATCATATTCGGCATTGAATGCAACCACCCGTCCACCCTGGCCCCGCATGTGGTTGATCTCAAAAGCTGTGTTGATGCCATAGGCTTTTCGCTTCACTTGGTATTCCTCTCCGAGAGCAGTGAAAAAGTCGCAGATATTATCGTGCGCGCTATGCTCCTCAAATGAGAGCTCAGGATTAGACCAAATCTATGAGCCACAGAGTTAACAGTGTTCGTGATTGAAATTTCATATTGACGCTGACAGGTGTTTTTTACCTTCTGGTTGATCTCGCGGAGCCGAGATTCATACTTTTCCAGGGCCGCGTGGGCCTTCTGGATCAGTTCGGACTGGCCTTGCTCGCGGGTCATTTTCAAGAATCCCACTTAATTCGGAAACTTTGGAAGTCGTGCTAACAGATAGTTTTTTTGGACAATCTGGGAAACCCGACTTTATGAACCAAAACCAGCGTTGCGATTGCTGCGCTGCGCCCAGAGAGGCATCCGTTGCCGATCGGCAAAGTCCTTCCAGCAGCCAAAGGAATCGAACCCCTACCAGATAAGAGCGACCAGGGTGCCAATCTGATGATACACGATCGCATCACAAGGTCGAGTGCCGTTCCGCGATCGTTCCGCAGTGGAGTAGATTCTATGGTATAGTAACTCGAAAGTAGACCACCGCGTGGAGGACCCGCTCTTACTCGCCCGTCCGTATTCCATCATCTACTCCCCCTCAGGTTCCCTAGCCGTCTGCATATGCCGACGCCATACTCAATGAGGCTGCTCGTGCCTGAACTGGCTTCGAATCTAGAAAGACCCGCATCTCGACCACCTGTAGGTCGTCCTGGTTGGCCCCTTCGAGGTCGAGGATGTTAAACTCACGGGTTTTGACCGGAAAGTGGTCCGGATCGTTCTTAAACACCGTCTCCGACGTAGCTTCGAACATGACAGTGCGCTTCATGCGTACTTTGCTTGTAAGCGGGGCGTAGAGAGTCGTCTCCTCGCTGGCAACGGTGTTGACGTCGGTAATTGCGTCCGCGCTGACCGGCTGGGAGGAGGGCACCGGGCCGGTCTCAGAGCTTAGATCGATGTCCCAGGCGATATGAACCTTATGATGGAAGTGAGCGAGATGCCGGCTGCGAACGTGGAGCAGGGGCACGGCTTGGCTGGCGGAGCTGGGTGGGTTGCTGTTGATTAGAATGGGGGCGCTGGGCGTAAAGAACGACGTGATGGAGCATTGACCTGGGTTAATCGCGTCGACGACGGGCATGAAGCGTTGTAGGAAGATAAGGCCCGGGGACGCGTCGGCGGGAATCGATTCGTAGGAGCCATGGTGGATGGACACGGTGGTTTGCATCATCGACAGACGGCTTGGGACAGTGGATTTCATGAGGTTATCCCCATGCTGCTATTGATGATGGTGGTGAAGATGATGATGAGGATATATGGCGCGGCAATTTTCGAGAGTACATGCTGACGTGAAGATTTCAACTCCGTCATGTCCACGTATTGCCTCGACAATTTACCAGGAAGTAAGAGTGAGTCCGTCACAGGACATCATCTTGATACGATTCAGGATATGACAAGAAATGAAAAATTATTTAATTCGCTTTTGATGTACTTGTACACGAGAACGCCTGGATATGGACGTTCTGAACAAATTATAGACAGTATCAATGGTAGCTATACAAGAATAGGATATTGACAGCCTGGTGAGCCAAATTCTGGTCTCGATTATTATCGTGGCAATTGTGTCAGGGTTGTGCACCATAGTGTCGCCCATATGTCGGATTATTTGCAGAGAAGTAGCATTATCACAATCAAATCATGGTCATGGGAACGACTTGGTATGGCAAAGAGATAAGTCTGCGGAAGTAACTCGCTTCGACCGGGCCGCTTGGCGTGGCTGCTGCGCCACTTGGTTAATGACATCGCGAGGTTCCGCAGAAAATTTAACCAGGGAGTGTGTGAGGCACTCCGAGGCAAGCAATGGTTGACATGACACACTATGGCCAGTGCTGGATAGGTGTGAAGTCATGACACTCCTATGTTGCCCTAGTCAAAGGTCAAGTTAAACTGTCACTGGATAGCCTCGATCGAGTCGATGGGCGGATGCGCTGCTCGGAGGTGGACAGGCTTTCCATGGAGATGGTGTTCCAGGCATTCATACCGCGCGACATGCGTGCCTCGACGGGCGCGGCACGGGTCACGTCGGACGTTAACTGAGATGGGTCCACAAATGTAGGATATTCATCATGCTCAGATGAGGTGGGTTGCGATCGATGGTTCTGGACAAGAGCCACCAGCTTGCCAAGAACACCGAATTCGAGCTTCAGTTTGATGCTGTACACCATCGGCTTCAGAGTTGTTTGTAATGAATAGAAGCCGATATATTCGACCACCAAAAGTGCAACATCCAAGAGAATGATCACGAAGTTGATCGCCAGGAGCTCGTACATGATCTTGGTTCGTCTTTGATTCTTGTCTGGCATCAATCTTAATAGTTTCACGGTTTCTGATATGTAAATGCCGGAGATGACGAACTCCTGGGTGCAGAACCAGGCCAGTTGCATGCGCTCCATGACATTATAGCCTCGAATGATGGGGACCGTGCCAATGTAAGCGGTCGAAAATGTTAAGACGGTCGTTGGGATTAAGAGAATGACCGCATCAATAATGATGAGCCACAGGACAAAACGTAAGATCTTATGGCTCTGGACCACCAAATGAAGACGAGAATACAGTACCACGGACTGGCCAGGGACCATGACATAAAATCCAATCGTCGAGATCGTGAGACATAGCCAGAGGGGAGCCAGATTAAAGAACTCCAAGATGTATCCGATCGTGTGGGGGATTACCCCAAGCACCACCGAGAGAAGGAGTGTCCAGAAGTAGAGCCCACGGTATTGTTGGAAGGTCAGAAACAGTAATATGAACAGCTCAATAGCATTGTAGAGGGCTATTGAAGAGAAGACCACCATCAGGATCTTGACCGTCAGGTTGTTTCCCCGATAGCCTCCAATCAACCCGTCGGGCGCCTGGGACAGGGCATCCGACATGTTGCCGGGTATTGGGTCGCTATTGAATTGGCGCAGAAGCCGGGGACACAGGTCGTCTAAACTGGCGGGTTAGGAGCCCTGGGCATATGCCTATTTTCTTCTTGTTCCAAGAGACTGATTTCACCGCCATGATAGGTTTGCACTAGCCTCAGCTGAGCATCCACGCGAGAGTCGCAAACCGACTGTCTCGAGAGGGGAGTAAGATCGGAAAGAACGAACGCTGTTGCGGTCAAGCAACAGAGATGTCTTCTGCTTCTCCTTAACAAGAACGTAAGCTCCGGATCCCTCAGTCGTTTGAAGCTTGCAGGGGGGCTCGTTGGTGGTGGGCCAGTCTAGTATGCAATCCGCCTCTCTCCCTCCCTCTCTCTCTCTTTTTTTTTTCAACAGCGAATGTGAATGTCGGTTGGAGGTCGCCGATGAGATGGAGGGTTCAAGATAGAGATAGATCGAAACAGGTCGAAGTGATTGTAGACTTGCGCATGCACAACAGGAGGAAACAATTGGAAGTTCCGAGTCGATTGCAAATGTCGTACGTCAATCCTGCAGTCGCCGTTGTAGTGCCGAGGCGAATGTGGAGGGGCGAACGAGGAGCCCCCCAGTGGGTTTTTTTGGAAGACCCAGTCTCCAGCAGCTCCGCACACGGATACCTGAGGAGATTCGTGTCGCACGAGTGAGGTCAAGGGAAATCAGGCCCAGGAAGGCTGTTATATGAGAAAAAAGAGGGAGAATTCGAATTGGAGAAGGTTCAGGTCGTTCTAACTTTTGCAGGGCCAAACCGCGAAACGCCGGGGACGCTCGGCTGCGTCTCGGCTTTGCCACTTTGCCCGCCATCAGCCGGCCTGACTAATGGCCAAGCGGGCGAACCTCGACTTCCCCCACGCTGGAACTTGCACACTCGGACGACCCATCGCGTCGTGCTTGCCACTTCAAGTCTCGACCCGGGATGGCCTCGGTGTTTCTACGCCCTGCGCGTCTGGAGGATCTGCCCTTCGTGGCGGATCTCGCTGCCGAGGCGATGGTCGAAGACGAACTCTTTGCCTATCTGTGCCCGCACCGCCATGAACACTATGCGGACTTCCGCCTGGCCTTTCTCCGCCGCCTCAAGACACGATTGGTCACCCCCGGATTTGCGGTGATGGTGGCAGTGGAGCCGTGTGAGCGGCAGCAGGGTGGACTCTATGGAGAGAAGCAGATTCGTGGCTATGCCGTGTGGGAGAGGATGGGGAAGAGCGACAAGGCAGCCCGATGGAAGCATCAGAACAATGGATGGTGGCATGGTGATCCTTCCTGTCCACACTTTACCTCGATCTGTCCGGCCTTGACCGCTCTTGACCGTGGCCTCCCCTCCAAATCTTGATCTTTCTCCTGACACTGACGATATAATTCCATCCCCTTTCTAGCTCTCGAACGGAGTCTCCTGGCTCTTGAGTCCCGATATTTGTCTCTTGTCTCCCCCGACCGCAGCGTGGATCCCCATCGCCTGGAACACTATCATCACGCATGTCTGACGGATTGTTTTCCTTTCGACAACTTCCCAGAGCTGTGGTATCTGGGTAATCTGGCCGTAGCTCCAGCATACCAGCGACGAGGCATCGGCCGGCTGTTGCTCGAATGGGGTCTTGACCATGCCCGCAGAGAACACGTTGCTGTCGGGTTAGAAGCCAGTGCAAAGGGAGTTGGACTATATGAGCGGGCAGGCTTCCGCCCGGTCAATGCGATGGAGCTCATGCCGGGAATTCCCATCACCGCGATGCTCTGGCAGGATTTACAAGGCGACCAGTCTTGACGGCTCATCGTGCAACACCCTCTTCATCTGCCTTCCGTAACCCTCCTGCTACCCGTCCCGTATTTTCTGGATTTGCCCAGCCTCATTTCATGATACCCCTCGTCCCTAATCACGTAGCTTCCATTCAAATATTCGCTTCCTATATAGCAATCATAGGTTCAGCTCCCATGGTTGGCCTGTTTCTCTGGGCCGCGATATAGATGAAAGGACCAAAGGGAACGGTCGAGTGCGATCTAGCATATATTTTCGTTCCGTGAAATATCATGTACGCTTGATCGAGAGAGTGACTTCGTTAGCCCCTACTCACCTTTTTGCTTGTAAATGCCGTCTGAACAGGGAACGATGCACACCGAAAATCAGACACTTTGACTCGTGTTGGAGCCTCGTGGGAGCACGGGCCAAAGAACGGCACAGTGCCTCCACCGGTTCCACTTAAAAGATTTGGGGGCTGAGAAAAGAGCGGACACCCACCTTGGGATGAACTTGCTATACTCAACGGAGTATAGGATTCTAATTATTGAGTTTGACAAGACTCGGCTCTGCAAGAATGTCCCAATGATTCGATGCCAGCTGGTCACTTCATTTGTGCCTCTGATCTCATCTACGCAAACGATATAGCAGCTCATTCCATCCTGATAGATTCATACCTTTACTTTTTCTCCGCCTCTCCTAAACAACAGATTGAAATATTTCTCAACGGGACATCCCAAATGATCGAGATTGTTTCCGGTACATTACCGTCCACATATTCTGCACGAAAAATATCTCATAAATCAAGTACCTCGGCCTTTTATTCTACTTACTATTCAATTCTATACATCTACATGCTCTAGGCTTCGGAACAAATGATGATTCAAGCAAGGGAAATTTCGATCGAGCCACCGAAGAAGAGTCTCGCACGTCGCGCGAATGCGTCTCGTGCTGCGCTGTACTCTTATATAGATTAAGCTTCGATAAGGTTAGACAGAGGCCTAGTAAGTCAGTTCGGGGCAATCGGGTCATTTATAGATTAATATTTCTTCAACAAGAAGTAGTCGGTACCCTCTTTCTGAAAATTATCATTATACCGTGACAAAGTATACACAGGATAGACCAAGGATGCCGAGCAAAAAAACATGGGGGGGCCGTATGGGGCTAACCCATACCATTAGAACCCCCTCACGGAGAGATTCCATCCACTGGACAGCCCTCATTTTCTGGACGGTATTTGTCCCACTGTCATGACCGCCAATATGCAGCCCCTAGTCTCACATAGTGTCCTACCGTCCGAGATGGCCCACTGGTGATCGACAGATCCGGCGGGCTCGGTGGGGCGGGAACAGCCTGGGACGCCTGTTCCAAAGAGACTCTGTCAATTGACGGATCAGATGCGCCACCTTTTTTACTCTCCGGCTAAAATGTGTGGGGCAGTATGAGATATGCGTACTCCATATCAGAAAAGGCTGGACATTTGATCTAGTGGGCCAACGGGGAGGGAGGGGAAGGCCTGAGTTGAGCTGGCGGGGAATCAAGCATATAAGCTTGGCGGGTTACCGGAGTTTCTCCTCGAAATTTTAGCTTTTTCCGTCAGCCTGGACTTCCTGAAGGAACTTCTCTACTGCTTATTCCAGACCCTGATCTACAGCATAACGGCTAGAATGGGTTCTGAATCGTACGATTTCATTGTGGTTGGAGGTGAGTCTCCCTCGATCTTGCCCTCCAGTAGAGTATCCGGAACCCCAGCGGAACTATGGAATAACTTACCTCTCGGTACGATTTCCCAGGTGGCCCTGCTGGGTGTACGCTTGCCACATCCCTCGCCAAATCCGCCAAGCGGCCCAGTGTGCTCCTGATAGAAGCCGGTGCGCGCAATGACGACAAGCTACTCAAGATCTCCGGCAAGCGCTGGGCGACATTCACCGAGGAAGGCTTGAACTATGGATATAAAACCACCCCACAGGAACACTGCGGCAACCGACAAATTGACTACTCCCGTGGCAAGTGCTTGGGCGGGAGCTCTGCGATCAACTTTGGCGTCTATGCTGTCGGTGCCCGGGATGATTATGATCAGTGGGCGGCGGAACTTGGCGACGACACGTTTGCATGGAAGAACATGCAGCTTCGCTTTAGAGCACTGGAGACATTCTCAGCGGGAAAAAACCCACAAAGGCAACAATATGGACAGCCGGACGCGACTGATCACGGCGACAAAGGCGCTCTAAAATTAGAATACGTGACCGAATGGGAAGCCGATCTCACCCGGGCCCTAGATGCCTTCAAAGAGGCGGGTCTGCCGCAAAACCAAGATCACAATTCGGGGAACCCAATTGGTATGGGACTGACTATCAACTCAACGCATAACGGCGTGCGAACGACGGCGGTAGATCTGATCAACACAGCCCCCGACAATCTGGTGATTGTCGCCGACAGCCCCGTCCGGAGGGTGCTGCTTGAGGGCAAAAAGGCAGTTGGTGTGGAGGCCAAGGGCAAGCAATGTAAGTTTGCTGGGGCTCTCAGAGATTAGTAGATCGGTAGTACGAAATGGATAGCTAACCTAATCCTAGATCTTGCTCGCAACGATGTGATTCTATCTGCAGGCTCTCTTGATACTCCCAAGATCTTGATGCACTCTGGAATTGGCCCTGCGAACGAACTTGAGAAATTCCAACTCCCCGTCGTCCAAGATCTTCCAGCCATCGGCCAGGGACTACGAGATCATCCGTTCCTCACTCTCATGGTCACCCGAAAGCCAGAGACCAATGACCGCAATAGCTTCTTCCAAAATGAAGAGGCAAAGGCAGCCGCAATTAAGCAGTGGGAGGCTGATGGATCAGGGCCCTGGGCCAGATATGGATGCCAATTGGGAAGCGGTTGGTTCAAATCCGACCGGATCACATCTTCTGCGGAGTTCCAGGCCTTGCCTGCAGATGTGCAGGAGTTCTTGAACCGGGAGACGATTCCGCACTACGAAATGATCACCCATTTTCCCGTGCATATGCTCATGCCGCAGCTTTTCCAGGACTATAGCTATATCTGTCTGGCCGTGTTCTTGATGAATGGCCAGACCGCCGGTGAAGTTCGCCTCCAATCATCGAACCCCGAGGACCCTCTCCTGTTCGATCCCCATTTCTTGGAGCATCCATTTGATCGTCGTGTTTGTATTGAGATGTATCGGCATTTAATGGAGCTGGTTGAGCACCCAGCCTTCGCGAAGGACACCATCTCAATGGTCATGGCCCCGAAGTCCAAGTCCGACGAAGACATCCTCCAATTTGCACGTGATAATCTCTCATCCAGCTGGCATATGACGGGTACAGTGAAGATGGGCAAGCCGGGAGATGCGAGCGCGGCGGTGGATAACTGCTTCCGGGTGTTTGGAATCGACAATCTGCGAGTGGCGGATATGAGCGTTTTGCCCGTGTTGACCAACAACCATACGCAAGCGACAGCCTATGTGACGGGCGCGACTTGCGCAGATGTTCTGATTCGAGAATACGGTCTTGATGGCTAGTTCAAGTAAATTTTATCTGCCAATGTTGATGTCCTGTCTCATGCCTCAAATAGACCATGTTGTTGAAGGACAAGCCACGGCAATTTATTCTAGCATATCTACGTGTAGTCTGAACTCATAATCGATCCTTTACTTCAGGTAAATAAATTATTAAGTGATTCTTTATGAAGTAAAGCTATAATCCTAAACGAGTCGTCTTTCCGGCCCTCAACCACGCCCACGATCCCCCCCACCCCTCTCTGTTTGTAAAGTAAAAGCACCACCTTCCATCCCAAGCATATTTACAAGGATCGTAAAATGGAAAGGATCCATCATGGCTGCTATTCATATTCTTTGGAAATATCTCAACAAAGAGATCAAATTAAGTCAAACATCGAAAGAACACCACCAGGCCAGGCAAGCTAGAAGCAAAATGACAAAAGTCACATATCACGCCGCACACCGGTACTGGGAAAATAGAGAGAGGAAGAGAAAGGAAAACGAGGTGTTCAAGTGGAAAATCATAGAAAAGTGGAAGGGGATTGAGGTTCAGAGGGACATATAGAGGCGTAGTGCAAGATAGGGAAAAGTGAAACAGAAAGAATGTCAGCAGGGCATACGGCAGTCAAGAGGTCTGATGCAAATTAGAAGGTAATCAAGCCATTGGAAGTCCATGGTGACCCTCCTGCTTGGGCAAACCATCGGAGCCATCACCCTGATTATCGTCACGGCGTTTATTAGGCTGGAAGTTGCCGCCCATGAAGTTTGTTTCATCAGGGTGTTTGCGCATGCCGAGGCCTGCAACGGCGATGCGATTGAGGGAGTTCATATCATCATTGGCAGTGCCACCATGCTGCTGCTGAGGAGCATTGGTAGTGGGCACGGAATTTTGAGAGCCAGCAGCACTAATACCGGCAGCAGCGAGAGCCAGCTCGTGGCGAGGCTGGCTAAGGTCGATGTTGGGAGGCAGCTCAGGGACTTCAGCCTGGGCATCCATGAGACGCGATTGTAAGTTGATGACATATTCACGGAGCGAGTAGTTTTCGTTAATCAGATGTTTAAGCTGCTCACGCAGGCCCTCAACACCCTTGACTTCCTCTTCCAGTTTACGGATATAGGTTTCCTTGCGCTGGCGGAAAGCACGCTGGAAAAAAAGGTGAGCGGGGCGAGATTGGAGACCGTGGGCAAACGAATACACATACCTGAGCAGCACGATTTTGTGCGGCACGCTTGGAAGTCGACAGTTCGCGCTTGCCATAGCTTTTAGGAGTTACGTTCTCGGGAGAAGCCTGCTGTGGTTGAGTGGGAGTTTGGGGCGCCGCCGCCATCATGGCACCTGAGATAGCCGGGTCGATGTTGGCCTGGTCCCGGGGGCTGGCAGTGTTAGGCTGCAAGTGCTGTTGCTGGCCAGGAGCCCCCTGGGGACGATAATTTTGGTGCTGAGCAGCAAGAAGCTGGTCATGGAGCACTGTCAGCAGCTGTTAGCCTTTGATACACACAAGTCGCACCCCATCGCGCGATTCGTCACGCGTTTAGCATCCTGGTGACAGCGGCAGGGAGATCAGCCATCACGAAACGCCAGATCTGATACCAATGCCGAGGTCTACTAAAATGCGTGGTGACATGCTCTCACGTACCCTGATCCGCGTGGTCCTAGAGCAAGTGTGTCAGTACAGCTAGTGGATAAGCGTGGTGGTGACATCCGGAGGGCCGGCAAGGAGCATATTCCTCGGCGACGCGTCGAGATGACGAGGGTCGATCGCAGGAAGCCCGGCCCATCATGCCATGCATCCATCTTATAGATGTACTTGGCGCGGGAAGGCGATCTGATGACAAACGCGTCGATAGACTTGCTTACCTGAGCAGGGTTCTGCATACTGGGATGCGGCGCTGGCGCCAACGCGGGTTGCATGGATGATGAAAAAAGTGCTATTGGAGGAGAGAGAATTGAGCAGCAACTCTGCTGCACTTGTCCAATTCTCTACAGACGCGTGGTGAGCTGGTATAAGCTAGCAGGTGGACGAGTACAGTGAATGAGGTAAGCAGTTGGAGATGCTGTAAGCAGGAGGTGGGAAGGAGAGATTACTTAAGGATTTTCTGAGTCAGGTCCAGGCGGTTGGGTACCCTTACGTAAGTGCTGACTGGGTGCGGCGCCTCCTGAGGGCATTTTGGGGCGGTAGGCTTTGTTGCGTGTCATTTGGTCTCGTCATGGCGTAAGCGAGTGACTGGATTGGGCAGGCGGTAGGCAATGACTGTCCTACATATGGTCGGGCGATCTGGGATGTGCATGCCGGATTAACTCCGGGTCGTGTCGGACTCCCTCCATTCCGGTGAGAGCCCGCTTGGAGGTCACGTGGATCAACTCAGGCGTGATAAGATAAGGAAGGTAGGAGGGAGGTGCAGTGATGGAGCACTCCTCCTGGAACTATTATTTTTACACCTCCCTACACCATTTCCTCCGCACAATGGGAGTCAGAACCGTGAGATATCGGGGGTATCTACGTATCTTTTGTCCTCATACCAAATCCATCCAAAGGATGTCGGGTAGTCATCGCAAGCCCGTCTGGCTTTAATTTGAACATATCCTGGCCGCATCGCTGTTCTCTCACTATGAAGAACCAGGGGGCGGGAATACTTTAATAAACGTCCTTAGAGACTGTTGCTCGAAGTTTATCTTTGATGTGGATCAATCTATATAATCTACTGAGTGTTCCCATACTGTCGACACCAGCTGTATTAACATTGATTGTTCCTACTTGGACAAACGATGCAGGCTCAAATATACCTTGATAACACTGCGTTTCGTATGATTTGGTATTGATCAATGGAATCGTAAATCTGCGGGCAGGGAAAAGTCACATAAACCTCCTGCATCCTACCTCTCATCTAAAGTCAAACCGCCTGAAACATCCCGCCGTGATAGAAAGAATCTCACTGCTGCTTCTTCATGCTACTCTTCGGGGGCTGTGCCTGGATAATCCCAGCACCGACCTCAGCTGACTCATTCCAGCCACGCTGGCGCATCCAGAAGCGCTCGGCAGGGTCCGTGGCGTGCATCGAGTTCCGTCGTGCATCTTCTTCCAGAGCAGCGCGGGACAGCTCTGTCGGAGCTTCAGGCACAATCTTCTCATTCTCTTCGTCAGCGCCGACTTCAACCTGAAGTGTGGATTCAAGATAGCGCTTGCGCATGAGATAGCGCTCAGCTCGTTCCTTGCGTGCATTCGGAGGCTCAATCTTGGCCATCGCAGTCTGCACAGCATACCGCACAATCAGATACAGATGCTCGGAGAAAAAGATGACTAGCAGTAGTGCCCAGCCTCTAATCCCTGTAGGCTCTCCATTCGGCCCATGCTGCGCATTACCGCTAAACATGTAGACCAGAGCCGCACTCGAAATACTACCCACCCAGGACAAAAAGCCCAGAGTATCCAACCAAGGACCAATAGTATCACAGCGCAGCGGGACTGGGCGCTGGAATTCCATGCAGATTTTGAAGAAATCGGACCGGAGCTCTACCCAGTTGTTCACAAAGAAGGAAAGCGGAACTAATGGCCAGGTGGGTGAGAACAGAGCCAGGTAACCAAACTGAATGCACATCTCACGCAGATCGTCGGTCACTTCATACTCGGGGAGCTCGACTTCATTGCGTACACGCTTCAGAAATTCCTTTTCCTCAATAGGATCGTCGTAGGACATGATGGGCGATCTTTCGGGGGAGCTCTTGTCACCGTTTTGCTCAGACATGCCGTTGCGCTTCTTATTGTATGCCTTGTATTCTCGAAGCGCATGTTGTTTCAGGTATGGCACGATGGTTTCCATGGCAAAGCCCACAATCTGAGCAGTAACTGTAAAGTAAATGACCTGGTTTCGCAAACGCGCTGGGTCGATTTGAAAGTGAGATCGCTTGGCAATGGCGTGTTCCTTGGATACGAAGGGCCGGACAGTCAGTCTGAATACATCCAGATACGGCACAATGCGGCTCGCAAACGGCACATAGACAAAGGCTGTTAAAATGATTGGGAGGTAGGATGTGATAAAGTTGATAACAAAGACCTTTTGGGTCAGAGCGACATCGTAAGCGTCGTTAGTTTCATGGTTCTCATAGTCATTTAACTTGGTCGCAATCGACATTAACACGGCACTCATTGTCGGTACCAGTGCGGAGACTAGAATAGTTGGAATGAATATCTAAACACGTTAGAAGGCGAATGATAGATAATGTACTGCAGCTTGGCATACCAGGTAGGTCTTCAAAGGACCATTGTAGAGCTCGGCGATAAAGATCTCTATAGCAAAGCATGTTGCAATAATGACACCAAGTCCAATTGCAGCAAACAATGCAAATGGAATCTGCAGCAGCTGCCGCTGCATGCGCCTGGTTGCAGAGAAGACCCTCGCCTCTCGCCGGTACTCTCGTCGCGAATCTCTCTCTCGGCCTTGAATTCTCGTCGCTTGGTTTGTACCGCTGAAATGCCCTTCGTCTGCCATCGACAACTTAGATCCACCTCTTTACGTTTCCAGTATTCAACGAAGATGATGCACCACAGCGAATTGACCATGGTGTAGACAACTGAGTACCCACCCAAAAGAAACCAACAGGAGAACCCAAATACTGCCGGAAAAATGAGAAACTTGAAGTATGACTGCAGAAACGAGAAGTAAAATCCAACCTGCAATAACGTCAGTCTGTGTCTGCGAGTCCTGGGAGATTGATCTACACCTACACTTTCACCAAACTTATTCCGAATCTGGTCCAGATCATCGTCCGAGAGGAAAGTCTTCTGACTCCACGCCTGTAACCATTTCTTATTTGTTTCTTCATCGTGTAGAGGGAAAACGGCGGTAACGTTCTTCCACTCGCCGTGTTTCGGAGTGATGCCGGCGCCGCCTTCTTCGCTGGGGAGGGTGATCATGTGGTTGATCACTCGCAATCGTTCAGCTTCGTTCTGAGGCTCAATCGAGCCGGCAGGCTCTGGTTCCGTATTGCGGATACCATAGAGCCAGTCACGCACCCTAATATAAGCAATTAATAAGATCCAATCTTGAGGTGAAGAGCTACAAAGCATCTCACCGGGATCGATACACTGCCCGCTTCAGCCGATTTTTCGAAGCGCGCACGAAGACCAGCAAAGACGACTCGTCGCCTTGGCGGACCTCACATTCGAGACCAACATCAGAAAGGGTCTGGAGCAGCTTCCGGAGCTGGGAGATTGCTTGCGACTTCTCTGGAGGGACCATAGCATGTCAGCGGTGACTAGGATGCGACCGTCAACTTGACTTCCCACGGGGTCCACGCTCGGCTACTCACCTAGATCGTGAAAAGTATAATGGATGACATAGTCCACCTTAAGGTTATACCCCAAAGCATTTGCATCGCTTGCAGTCGCCATCGCGAAAAATTTGGGGGAGGAAGAACTGGGTGGATGAGGAGGAGGAGCAAGATAATGCACGTCCGATCGGCGGACGATTCAACGACGTCACCGCTAAAGCTTGGCCCCGTGGATCACAAGTGCATTGTGACCCAGCAATCAGCAGCGGGAATGTGGAGAGAAAGATTGCGCGAGGTTTTGCTCGATGCATCAATTTATTGTTTCGATGAGGTTGAATATTTCTAAGCTAGCATATTCATTTGTCCATGAACAGATGACTACAGAGAGCTCATCTAGCGACATGATTGTCCTGCTGTATTCATCTCATTTTCACCTCGGTGATCCTTATGTATACTTGCAGTTTTGTACAGTGTGACCCGTGCAGCCCCTCAAAAGCAAGTTTGAGACAATTTGGCTCACCTCCAATTTCATCCCTGCTGGCACTAATTGACCCCTGTAGGTGGCGTGGTGGCGCTTAGCAAAAGTCTATGGTCGCTAGAGAACTGGGGTAGTCTCTCACATTGAAAAAAAGAGTTGCAAATAACCTTACTGCCACGCTCTGTCCTTACCGCCAGATGACACCCTTGTACTTTCTTGCTTCAACTTGCCTGCATCTCGACAAAGCTAGGATGCGGGAAGTCCTTGCATTTTTTTCGAAACTACGTTAGACTGGTTAATTCTCCGCACTTGGGAACGCATTCGCGCTTGCTATCAAACATCTTTTCGTGGCCAAGTCAGGTGAAGCGCCTCAGTCTGGCAGATATTGAAATATTGAATCAGAGCCATTCTGAAGAAAGTGATATTCGCCCCAAAAAGGAAAGCGCGTAAACTCGGTCATCCAAATGGGGACCCGTTCGAAGCCCTTTTCGTGACCACAAGGTAGATCTATTGAAGACAGTATCAGACGATGCCACGAGATAATTGCGGACGATATAGTGCCCCAAATGTTCGCATTGTACCTAAGAGACCCCTAAGAATTGAGGTGTGAAAACTGTATGTTTTTTCGACACAAAGTTGTTGTACATTTCGAAATCGTGTTCTATTGTGCCTTGATCCGGTATTTCATCTACCATGCTAGATAACCTAGGCTTGTCTTTTTCGTTCCACAACCAAGTCACGTCAATCATATACACTACCGCGGGGAGTGATACTATACGCCCTCGGCCAGGGTATTCAATGCCGGTCCCTCTACCATCATCTTCATCCACTCATCCATGCCCTTGGCACCAACCTGCTCATAGAACTTGATGCTTGGGGTGTTCCACTTGAGCACACTCCATTCCAGTCGACGTCCCTTGACTTCCAGCACCTGCTTCGCCAGATACTTCAGCAGCTTAAAGCCATACCCGCGGCCACGCGCAATAGGCTGGACATAAAGATCTTCAAGATAGATACCAGGAGCAGACCGCCAGGTGGAGTAGTTATAGAAAAAGAGAGCCATGCCGACGGGAACTGGCGCGGGGGTCTCGGAGGTCGGCGGAGGAGTGATTAAGGCCGTATAGACGGAACCACGCTTGGGTGGGTCATTGGGGAAGGAGAGGGTGGCCAGCAGCGACTCTTCGGTGGCCTCGACCTCATGCAGGGCCTTTTCATAATCGGCGAGTTCGCGAATGAACTGGAGGATGAGGGGCACGTCTTTTGCAAAGGTCTTAGTTAGTAGGGCTGGCGATCAAAGTGGTGGCCAAGGGTGTATACAGTGCACGTATCTGCGCACATTATGAAGAGGGCCAATTACTCACCCTCTGGCGTCGCGAGTCGAATGGTGGACTGATCGGTCATTGTGAATGCCTGTGAGTTTATGGCACTTGCAGTGTTGAGAAAATTAGATTTTCGACGGCTGCGGGGGATTTTATGACATGCTCGGTGTCACTGAAGGGCGTGGAGACCCCCGACGGGGACCCACTGGGACGGAACAAACCCTTGGAATCGTGGGCCTGGAATGGACCAGGATTGAATTAGACGGATTATAGAAACCGCATTCAGGAGTTCAAATTACCATTGAGTTGGACTCACGGTGTTGTCTACAAGGGGTTCAATAAATACTATAGCGACGGTGGATATTATACAGGGAAGAAAAAAGAGGAAAAATTAAATGTGCAAGCTTGCCATAACAGCCCGAAGCGAGAGAAGCTTTGACAGTTATTGAGAATATGCGACGCAGCACTACACATCAGCGAGACATGATGGCTGACATCCACTTTTGTTCGTCCGTCCTGTAATATGTTAGCGTCAGTCCATGTGCAGGATCCATAACTAGCGATAGCTAGAAGGGATAACACCTACCGATCGAAATGAAGCAGCATTCCCAGCACAGGAACCAGCTGTTTCTGGTAATTCTTGTCCTTCTGTTCCATGAACTGCAGAAGGACGTTCTTGAGATACATATAATCGATAGACCCGGCGCTACCACCGCCACCAGCACCGTTAGGCGTCTCACTGCGGCGACTGGATGTGCTGCGATCCGGAGCCGAAGGGGAAAGGACACCGCTAGGGCGCCTGGATCCAGAGTCCATCGAGGACCGAGACGATTGACGCCCAGATTCGAGGCCACGGAGGCGAACATCTTCGCCTAAGGTTTTGTGTGATCGACGGAGTTTCTCCAACCGGTTGTTGGTCTCTTCGACAGAGCGCCGCAACTCAGCTTTTTCCTTTTCCAGGTCCCGGACCTGCTTTTCGCTTTCATCCAGTTGCTCCCGTAGACCAGCCATGGCCTCCCGGATCTCGGTCACTTCTTGATTGGATCGCTCTGAGAGTGACTCCAGTTCATCACGGCGGCGACGCCAGTCCTTTTGGGAATGTTCAAGATCTTCTTTGTCTTCCTCCGCAGTCCGGAGGGCACGCTCTGCTTCCCGCACCTTGGCCTTCAGTTCTTCCATTTCCCGGGCTCGGCGTCGGCCTTGAGAGCTGGCTTCATCTTCAGCACGATCGCGCTCCTCAACCGCAGCTTCCATCCGCTCCTTGAAGTCGCGGACCTTGGCCTCGGCGCGGCTCTCAATATCATTGATCAGCCTGCGCATCGTCTCGCCCTCACGAGTTCGCTCACCAAGTAGACGGTGGGCTTCGGCTAATTCCTCTTCTAGGCTCTCCGATCTCTCCTTCACTTCCTTCATCTGCATGGCCATCTCAGCGGTCTGGTCACGCATACTACCCATCAGGCTTTGAGCACTAGCGTGTTGAGCGGTCTTGAGCTGAATTTCCTCCCGTAGGCCCTCGAGCTCCTTGTTGAGTTGAGACATCTGCTCATCCAATTCACGGATCTTGGCTCGCGAGCTCTTCAGACCATCCTGGGCCTTAGTCAGGTCCCCAGTAATCTTGTCTTTAGCATTAATTGCATCCTGCTTTCTAGTCTCGGCAGAGCGAAGGTCTGATTGAGCTACCGTGAGCTGCTCTTCAGCCTTAAGGCGACTATCAGTCTCTTGGCGGATCTTCTTGTTCAAAGTACTGACTTCGGAATCTCGCTCGGACACTCTCGTCTTGACAGTTCTCAATTCCGCACGCAGATCCTCGTGCTTGGATTCAAGATTTCTCAACTCGTTGTGTTTGCCGGAGAGTGTCTCCTTCAGGTTCTTCAGTTCTGCGGACTCAGCACGCAGGTTGCGCAGCTCAGGCTGGATTTTCTGCAGGGTTTCCCGCAGGTCCGTTAGATCCTTGAAGCGGGTCGCAGCCAGTTGATGGGCAGCGGAGAGGTCTGTCTCCAAAGAGGCAGCCCGAGTCTTTAGACGCTCAAATTCATCCCTGAGGTCAGTATGCATCTTCTCCGAGTCAGCAGTACTAGAAGCACTGCTTGTTTTAACTTCAGCCAATTCCTTCTCCAGCTTGCTGATTGTTTCTTGCAGCGCGGACTTTTCAGCACCAAGCTCCTTAATCTTGTCTTTGGCTTCAACATGTTCCTGACCAACGTTGACGAGATCATCGCGAAGGGATTCGATCTCCTCCTTCAGGTCCTCCTCGCCCTTCAGCTTGGCGCTCAGGCGATCGATGGCGGCTTCTTTTTCTGATAGCTGCTGAGTCAATGACTCAATCTTCTCTTTGAGACTGTTAAATTCAGCAGATGAGACAGCTACAACAGGCTCTTCTTTCGTTGGCTGCTCTGCAGGTGTAGGCTCGGCCGGCTTTTGGGCTTCCTCTGCCGCCCTGCCTCCCTTCTTCTTCTTTTTGTTCTTCTTCTTTCCGCCACCGCCACCGCCGCCGGTGTTAGTGGTTGCGATAGGCTGACTTTCTTCCTCGGCGTTGGAAGTAACTGCGGGAGTGGTTGGGTTGTCGCTCGTTTGGGCCGGAGCCAGGCTCTTGCGAATTTCTTCGAAATCGCCTTTGCGTCCCGCGGAGACATTCTCTTTCGCGGACTTCCAAGCGGCATTCTCCTTCAGATTTTCATCAACAAAATCAACGATTTGTTGAAGTTTGGTCGAGTCCTCGGATTTTTGTTCCAAGTCTTTCTTCAAATCCGACACGTTTGACTCTGTATCACTAAGCTGCGTTCGAAGGCTTTCAACCAAACCTTGCAGTACGCCTAGCTTCTTCTCACTGGCGGTTTTCTCTTTCTTGGTTTTCTCGAGTTGAGAAGCCAAGTTAGAGTCAGGCTTAGATTCCTTTGTCTTCTCAGCCTCGTCCACCTGGGCCTGTAGTTTTTCAATTTCAACGTTCTTGGTCTTCAAGTCAGTCTTGAGCTGGTCAACCTCGGAGGTAGCCGTTGCGAGGGACGATTCAGCGGTCGCAAGCTTGGCCTTGAGTTCGTCGACATCGCCCTGCTTCGTGGTTTTCAAGTTCTCGACTTCAGATTCCAGTTTATCCTTGGTGTCTCGCAGCTCCACCAGTTCTCGGGTCGCGGACTCCAGGTTTTGCACCATGCCTTCTGTCGACTCCCGTGTAACCGAAAGGTCCGTCTTGAGCTTCTCGACCTCAGTCTTGAGACTGTCCACCTGTTCTTGCTTTTCCTTCAGTTCGCCTTCCAGTCGAGGGACCTCATTATCGAATGAGAAGAACTCTTCACTTGTTTCTTCAATTTCTTTGGGTGACTTTGTTTCTTCCGTCGTAGACGTCTCTCTCTCCTTCTTGAGTCCAGTCAACTCGTCGTGTGCTGCCTTGGCAGACTTTTGAGCTTCCTCCAATTTCTTTTTAAAGTCATCCCGTTCCGTAGATACACGTTTAAGCTCATCCACCACCATATCACTCTTGAGAGACATCTGGTTCAGATATTCGGTCATCGCTTTCGGTTCGGCGATCGATGTCAGAGGAGTGTTCTCGCGGAGGGCAGCTTCGAAGGGCTCGATTGATAGGACGCGCGAGTGCGCCACACGGTATGCCTTGAGAAGTTCTGGCAAAGGAGAATTCAAAGGTCAGCCTGTGATATCCTTTTTTTCGATATGCCACGCCAGACAAATCAACGCGTGTTGCTTACCATGGTATCGTGATTCCAGTTTATCAAGCCTTCGTAGCTTCGCCCTCACATCCGACGACAACTCCGTCGGCGCAGGGCTCTTGGAATCTGTTTCCGCTGCGGCAGGGGCCAGTTTGTCGGACGCATCGGGAGTCGGCTTGCCCTCTCCCTCCTCCGCGTTCTCACCTTCGGCCGCTGTGGTGGCCAACGTGGTCACTTCGGAGAGATTGTCAGGCGTTTCTAGACGCGGGGTGACTGAGCGACTGGAATCCTCATCATCCCCGATGGCGAATTCGGCCTCAAATTCTTTTGGATCGGGGCCGCGCACGGGAGTGCCGGTGTTGCGTCTCGGACGGGATCGTTGACCGGGCGAGAGGTTATTCGAGGCCGGACGACGGGCGGAATTGGAACGGGAGATGTTTTCCTGAGCAGACTTCTGGCGAGCCTGTTCCTCTGCAATGCGAGAGTCGATGGCGTCGCGGAGGCGCTGGGAGGCCGGGGGTCAGCAATTGCGGCAACAGGCTTGCGTGTACATGTACCCGGGGAATCGCAAGGCTAAGCTGATCACGAAGCACATTTGAGGGAAGAGGATAGGTACCTGAAACATCGCCACGGCAGGTCTCTGGACCAGAACCACCAGGCCAAAACAAGCTCGAGCAAAAAGTGCAAGGTGGATGCAGACGAGCAGGAGGTGATGAAGTAGCGGAGGGGGAAGCATGGGCAATGCAGGTTGATTCCGGAGTTCGGGCTCAGCCTTAAAGCCAAGAAACCCGGACAAAGCCCAGTGGAGACCATCGAGATATCCAGGAACGGGGGGTTTGATGATGATGGGAGTCCCGAAAAGATCTGGCGACAGATTATGATCGCGAGCTTGTGTTCTCTTTTTTCTTTTTCTTTTTCTGACGTTGATTGGTTTTTTTTTTGTTTTTCTATTTGTGTCTGTGTCTCTACCTATATATCGTCGACGCGCGATTCTATCTATGGCTTCGGTTTAGCTATTCAACACCACCACCATCTTCCATACTGTTAGACCACAAAGTATCGAGACAGCCGTAAATCACAAGTCATCTGACCTTCTTAGTATTGGAAGAAGCTGATGTTTGTATACTTCGTTGCATTGCTAGTGGATTCATATTTGTTGAAGCGAGGTAGAAACCGCAGAAACCGCAGAAACTGCAGATGTGCGAATTATGGGTGTATCCGGATCGAGTTTTGGACTAATCAGAATAACTGTAAAGCACATTCGTTTATCGGACTGCATAATTGATATGCATTGAAAATGCTGAAGATGAAATGATCACTTTGAGTTTGTGAAGCCACTGTCATGATTAACTTGCCCTTAGGGTTGAGATGACTTCTCATTCATTTTTGGTGCCTAATTTTATTCCACAGATATATTCTGTACCATTTGCAATGTACAAAGCCTGTTGTAGCAAAATGAAAGTAAGTGAAGCTGTCTCTTGGAGGAGGCAAATCGCCCATCTGGCTTTTTCTCCGACCTTGCATATCCAAACAATCTACGAGAGGAAGTGTTTTGTTCACACCACCAGTATCAGGAGAATCGAGGACAGGGTTATCGGGATGACCTCTGTCATAGTCCATAGCTAGTAGAATCAAAAATGGAATGGGACAAGGAATCAAAACCAAATCAAAAAGATCAACATGCTAGTTCGTCACTGAGTGAGGAAATACTGGTACGAAGAAAGACCGCGACGGCCTATCGACGGGATCGATAAGATATCTGCTATCTGCTATCTGCTATCTGCTAATCGATTGGCAACATGAGAAACGTGATGAGAACGTGACCGTGGGAACATGGGAGATGCCCCGTGATCGACAGAATAACCACCGCCTGCCTCGGTTGGTCTCGAAGGGTATGAAAGCTGACCTTCTGACCTTCCACCCTCCCAGTCTCCTCCAGCTGTGTATCTGACCGTCCCCTCTCGTCTCCGCCATCCACCGGCCACCGGGCCCGCACGTTCCCGATGCGACAATCCAATCGGTCGGTTTTGAGTTAGCCTGACGTCGGGCCCTGGAAGCAGAAGCGGAGCTCCCCCTCTTACTAGTCGTGCCAGGTTATCGAGTCCGCGGGCTCGCTCCGCCTTTTGCACGACCATGGTAAATGGCCTAGCCCCGTCGCTTGCCCTCAGTTTGACGGCGGCGACCTCATCTTCACTCGGCCTGCCTTCTCCTTCTCTTGCAGTCTCCGCCCATCCTGCAAGCGCTCTATCCGCCGTCACTTCCCACCTGCCGCCTTTCCTACCCCCATTGCCCTCGACCATGGCGGGGTGGATCGGTTGGTTATTTACCTTCGCCTTTCAGGTCGTCCCCCGCGCCCTGTACTGGTTCATCACCTTCTCAACCATCACACTGCCTACATGGCTGTTTACTCTCTTTTCAATGAGTCTGACGTTCACCATGAACTTCACCACCCTGTATGTCTGTTTTTGGTCCCTCTCTCCCCCGCTCTGCGTATATATTGTACCCATTTTGTTGTCGCGGAGCCCTCCACTCTCCCTGTCTTTCTTTACCTCAATTTTCCCAGACCGTCGGGCATTATTCCGATCCTCGAAGCTGATCAATGGCTTCTCTTAGTATGTTGATTGTTCTCGTCCTGGTATCGACCGTCAGCTGGTTCATTCGTTACCGGTTTTTGAACATGTATAGCCGCTTGCCTCCCGAGCCCCAACGCAAAGAAGCCCAAATCGATCTCTTTCCGGATATTCAAGAAGGCGACTCCAAACCGGGTCTTGCCAATTACCTCGATGAGTTCTTGACTGCAATCAAGGTCTTTGGTTATCTCGAGCGGCCGGTCTTTCATGAATTGACCCGGACCATGCAAACTCGAAAGCTTATTGCTGGAGAGACGCTCATGCTGGAGGAAGAGAAGGGGTTTTGCTTAGTGGTAGACGGGTTGGTGCAAATTTTTGTGAAGTCAACGCGCGAAAGCAAGACGGGTTCGCAAGAGAATTTGCACTTGGATGATGTCACATCCGACGAGGAAGATCACCATGTGCACGGCCGCCAGGGCTATCAACTGCTCACTGAGGTCAAGAACGGTGCATCGATGTCGTCCTTATTTTCCATTCTCTCTCTATTCACCGAGGACATCGAACTGCGAAATTCTCGAAGCTCCAGCTCAAGTACACCCAGCGCTGGCCATGCAACCGCCATTGTCCCAGATTCAGCGCCGGGTTCAGTCCCTGTCAGCCCTAGCGTCGATGTTATGGATAGCCCACGATCCACTCTGAGGGACCAAGTCGAGATTCAAGCTTCAATCAATGGAAATATGGATGCTTTGCCGGCGGTTCCACCCTTGCATCTGGGCGAAAGCCGTACCAGCCACACTCACACACCGCAACCCGAGCTTAACCGGCAATCTAACAAGAGACGTCGAAAGTCTGTCCACCCAGATATTGTCGCACGTGCAACAGTGGACACCACCATTGCTATTATCCCGGCTAGCGCCTTCCGTCGCTTGACTCGGGTGTATCCGAGAGCCACTGCACATATTGTACAAGTCATCCTGACACGACTACAACGCGTCACATTCGCAACAGCTCATTCCTATCTGGGCCTGACAACCGATGTTCTGGGCATCGAACGTCAGATCTCGAAGTTTACAACATGGGACCTTCCCAACGATCTCCGGGGAGGTGCATTGGATCGACTGAAAGACAAGTTCATGAGGGAACGGGATCGCCTAGGACCCGAGGAAGTTTGCAAGGGTATTGCGTTACACAACCCGTATGTCGGACGGAGACGACGGTCAAGCAGCTCTCTTAGGAAAGAAGCTGTTTTGCAAGCTAGATTGGCTAGCGAGCGTCGTCCTGTGCCACATCCGCTCCAAAGACAGCCAACTGTCTTCGCGGAGCGAGACACGAGTGGTGTCAGCCCTGGAGATTTACTCTCAACCATTCAGCTTTCTCGATTTGGACCACGTTACGACCGCTACGACCATATGGAGCCTCGGGTCCAAAGCCCCCTGACTGAACGGGAGCGCCTTCCCTTTCGACCAGCTGTTGGCATGGATAGTCATCCATCTCCATTCCAGAGGAAAGACTCGATTGACGAGGACACTCTTTTCCGCGAATCGATTCTGGATTGTATGATGAAAGGAATCGGCTTGACGGAGAGTACGCGCGATGCTCTGCGCAAGAGCAGCCATAACTCCGGTGATGTTTCGCCCAAGCTATTATCCTATGATTCTCGTCGACAAAAGGCCGTCTTTTCCAATGCCTTTGGGTTCATTGATCCATACGAGGGATCTGGAGATGGAGAGACTGAGTCCATGATGTCCATGTCGGTGACTAGTGCTGGTGGAACATCACCTGTTGTAAACCTTCGGGATGAACTGCGAAATGACATTGAGGTTGTCTATTTCCCCCAAGGATCCGTTCTTGTTGAACAGGGTGAACGCCATCCGGGTCTTTATTATGTCATTGACGGGTTCCTGGATGTCGGCATTCCCGCCAACGAGGGTGGTGATGATCTTGTCGGAGGCTCTCGCCCAATGAACGGCTCTATCTCGCAAGCGCAAGAGGAGTTGTTTCCAAAGTTGCGACGTACCACCACCGGCTCATCACGAGCTTCAGGTGCAAACGGCGCCGCTGATGGCAGACGCAAACCTCTCTCACGCAAGTCCTTGTACTTGATTAAACCAGGAGGTATGCAAGGCTATGTTGGCGCCCTTGCCTCCTACCGTTCGTACACCGATGTCGTCGCCAAGACTGACGTCTACGTCGGATTCCTTCCACGAGCATCTCTTGAACGTATCGCAGAGCGTTATCCCATTGCCCTTCTCACCTTGGCAAAACGATTGACGAGCCTACTCCCACGTCTGTTGCTTCATATTGATTTTGCTCTCGAGTGGGTTCAAGTCAACGCTGGCCAGGTTATTTATCACCAAGGCGACGAGAGCGATGCTATCTACCTTGTGTTGAACGGCCGGCTCCGATCTGTTCTTGAATCATCCAATGGAAAAATGACGGTTATCGGTGAATATGGACAGGGTGAAAGTGTGGGCGAGCTTGAAGTCATGACCGAGTCTACTCGCCCGGCAACTCTGCATGCGATCCGAGACACGGAACTTGCCAAGTTCCCTCGCTCATTGTTCAATAGTTTGGCACAGGAACACCCAGGGATCACGATCCAGGTATCCAAGTTGATCGCCCAGCGCATGCGTGACTTGGTTGAACATCCGCTGTCTGAAAAGGGAATTGAGCAAGGTCTTGTTGGCGGGGTTCAAACTGCAACCTCCACTGTCAATCTGCGAACTGTTGCAATTCTCCCTGTTACAGCAGGCGTCCCCGTCGTGGAGTTCGGACATCGTCTCCTTCATGCTTTACACCAAATAGGTGTGACAAGGGGAGTTACCTCTTTGAACCAAGCCGCCATTCTTAACCATCTCGGACGGCATGCTTTCAGCAAGATGGGAAAACTGAAATTATCTCAATATCTTGCCGATCTTGAAGAAAAATATGGATTGGTGCTGTACATTGCAGATACTAATGTCAACTCCCCTTGGACCCAAACATGCATTGCGCAAGCCGACTCAATTCTACTAGTTGGTCTTGCTGAGTCTTCTCCAAGAATCGGCGAATACGAGCGCTTTCTCCTCGGAATGAAGACAACTGCACGTAAAGAGCTGGTTCTTCTTCACGCTGAGCGTTACTGTTCACCTGGATTGACACGTCGCTGGCTCAAGAATCGCCTCTGGATCAATGGCGGTCATCATCACATTCAAATGGCCTTCCGCCTGACTGCCGAGCCTTCACACCCTCAGACCAAGAAATTTGGTACCGTGCTGAAACAGAGAGTACAGATCCTACAAGCAGAAATTCAGAAGTACACCTCTCGACGCATCCAGCAAACCCCGCTCTATTCTCCACAGACGCCGTTCAAGGGTGACTTCCACCGTCTTGCTCGACGACTTTGTGGCAAATCTGTTGGTCTTGTGCTCGGAGGCGGCGGCGCTCGAGGTATCTCTCAAGTTGGCGTGATCAAGGCTCTTGAAGAAGCAGGCATTCCCATTGACATCATCGGTGGAACTTCCATTGGCTCGTTCATTGGCGCCTTGTATGCTCGAGATGCCGATGTAGTACCTATGTATGGACGGGCTAAGAAGTTCTCTGGGCGCATGGGAAGTATGTGGCGATTTGCATTGGACTTGACCTATCCGACTGTTTCGTACACCACGGGCCACGAGTTCAATCGCGGCATCTTTAAGACTTTTGGTGACAGCCAGATCGAGGATTTCTGGCTCGAGTTTTATTGTAACACAACCAACATCAGCCGGTCTCGTCCAGAATATCACTCCTCAGGGTATGTCTGGCGCTATGTTCGCGCGTCTATGTCTCTGGCTGGCTTGATCCCACCTATCTGCGACGAAGGCAGTATGCTGCTAGATGGCGGATACATTGACAATCTCACCGTGGCACATATGAAGAGCCTCGGTGCCGACGTTATCTTCGCTGTGGATGTTGGCTCCATTGATGATAATACACCGCAAGGTTACGGCGACTCCCTCTCCGGGTTCTGGTCAGTATTGAATCGATGGAACCCTTTCTCGTCGTGTCCCAATCCGCCCACTCTCTCCGAGATCCAAGCCCGTCTCGCCTATGTCTCCTCAATCGAGAATCTCGAGAGGGCGAAGAATACTGCCGGTTGTCTCTACATGCGACCTCCAATCGACCCCTATGGTACTCTTGACTTTGGAAAATTCGACGAGATCTACCAGGTCGGCTATGCCTACGGCAAGGAATTCCTCGACCGCCTCAAGAATGAGGGCTCCCTCCCGATCCCCGAAGAAACCGAGGAAAAGCGCAAGTTACAGCGCACTATGGCTCCCCGACGAGCCAGTATCTAAATTTGATCCCGCTGATATTTATCATTGCAAGGTGTTTGTGCCATGTGAGTTTGTGGCGTTCAGCGAAACCATACTTCTTGTTCCTGCTTTACCCTTCTTCTTTGCAAGCACTAGGACTGCTCTCATTCTGCTTGCTTTGCCTCAGATATATACCCTTCAGTGTTTTATAGAATGCTCCAGGCTGTGATTTGATGACTTTAACTTGCACATGGTCTGTAGATAGACAAAAGAAGTGTCTTTAGCAAAGCTTCCTTTTCCCTTGACGCATCATGGCGGTACTGCAGGTGGCCCATCCATGGAATATAGCGAGTGGCCAAACTTGATATTTAAGCGGCAATTGAACCGAAGCGTTTGCTTCTCAACAAATTTTCTTTTCCTCTTCAACGCTTCGTTCTTTCACATATTTTTTCATCTTTCTTTGGATTTGCTGAATTTCGGTCCGATGGAATTGCGCCAGAAGCGCATTTTCAATTGTGATGAATATAATTTTCTTTTATAAGTCAAATTTCAAATAAAAAAAATGCACTTCACTGACCAAGACAACATATGTCAAAGGGAAAGGACCTTAGCCATCGCCCATCTTTCAATAGTCACTCTCATCGTATCTCATATATGAGTTGTTTGTGGTGAAGAGGAATGGTAGCTCGCAATCATTTAGCTCGACGCCCAGCGTTGATGCGTCGTTTACATTGCGCTTTACCTGTCCGATGGGAACGTCATTGTCGTCGCATAAATGAAGTGAGACATTGGCACCCTCGTCAATTGTGCCTCTAGCACCGGGCTGGTTCGCTTTCAGGAACATAAAGGTCCCGATTCTTTTGTCGGACCTGGTGTAAAACAGAAGCCCCATGGTCCTGCCACCAATTCTCGCATCCCGGCCAACGTCTGCGGCCAAGTAACTTCTGGTCGCTTTGTTGTACAATTTGTATGGCGTGTTGTATGTCAACTGTCAAAAATCAGTCCTGTGATGCTCCACTTGATATTTAAGGAGCCTACCCTTGGTGGTCGCCCAAGCTGTGTCTCAACGTCGAGCTCAAATATACAGCCGCCCGATACAGTGCGCGCGCTTTGCGGATCAATTCCGACCCACTCATGCCAGCCATTTGTATATGTATCCTGTCGAAATTTATACTTGGCATTGTCGGCTGACTTATTAATGTCATCGGAGCCATAGATCGCGACGACTTTTTCTTCATCTAGACACCATTTCCTCAGCGTATCAAACATTCCCTCTGGTCGACTGTTAGCGGGGTCGACTTGTCATCGGGCAATCAAGCCTGGACTTACCATTTTTCGTTAGACCTTTATCATTGCGAAGGCCATAGTACTGGTTTCCCTTGATACTTCCATCATGGCCAGGGTCCGCTTCCAGGAGGAAGCGACAAGGCGTTCTTTGGGCGGACTCATTGCTGATCATTTTGAACATTTCGGGGATTTTTTCATATCCATCGAATGTCCCAATGAACTCCGCAATTGCCATAACGTCCTTTTGCTATAGATATAGTCAGCTAATCATATTATGATCTTGCGAAAGCACGGGCTGAGCATAGACAAACTACCCACGTTAATGACTCTCCAGTTCTTGAAGGGCTTGACAGTAGAGCTCCAGGCTGGAGGACTAGAAGAAAGGTCAGTAAATGGAAGCCAAATCAGTCGAGTAGCTGCTCACTTGTTGCAAAGTGTCGTATCACCGCCCACGGCTTCCCAAGAAAGTGCTTTGCTCATGTTGCTGGTCTGGCTGGAGCTACTTGACGCGCTCTGGGTTTCCTTGCTAAAGTTAAAAGAGGCCTGGACAACTGGAGAAGAAAAGGACAACGCCGCGCTAATCTTCATGGCATTTGTCATCTCTGCCGTTCTCGCAACATCTGATGAACTGAATTCTTCCTTTGAAAACAATTTCCCACCCAGTTCTACGTTAGTGGCAAAGAAGTGTCCTGTCACACGTGTCAGCGACTTGTTCAGAAGCCGAGCGAAAATGTTAAGTGAACACGAACCAAACTTCTGATAAAATTTGATCAGAGCTTTCCTTTCTTGCCAACTTGCCACCTTCGGGTCCCTTCTGAGCTTGATAATGTTGTCCAAGGCATCTTTGCAGCTTTTGGTCAGCTCCAAGCTGTCATTGTCCAAATGCAGAACCACTCTCGGAAACTGTGTTCACTTGTCAGTTTGAAATTGACAGAGAGATAGCTCTACTAACGTTGTATGTAATGTTCATGCTTCTGTGCTTGCTTTGTTCGCTGGTAGCAAGGGCGTCAGTCTCGCTTTTGCTGAATCCACCCTTGGCGGCAGCACTGTAGCCGAAAAGGCCTCCCCCACTGTTGATAATGAGCTAATTGTAATGTAAAACGTCGGTTTTCTGTTTACTGACATTGAAGCCTCGATATCCATCGATGAAAAGTTGCTCGATGCAAGGCTGTTGGAAAGTGCATTGGCGGTTTCAAACACATTGACATAGGAGTCATCCGTGACAGTGTACAAAGGATACTTGTATAAGATCTTGTTTTTCTTAGACATGGGACTCATTATGATCAGAGAGATATCTTACCGGATCTTCGGTTGGAAGTGTGACGTTAGGGCCGCTCATTCCCATTTCTTCGAGGCTCCTCGCTTTGATAGAAAAGGCTTCACCAGCGATTAGTTCCATTCACACCCTGCACCTGAGATCTTTTCTTACCAGGATATGGCGCTTTATCGATTCTTTGAAACTTTCTTCGGCCGCCCGCGGTGTCCAAGAAAACCATTCGATGGCCATTTAAGAAATGGGTGGCTCGACAAACCATGTCCCAATCAGCGTCCGATAGGGAGCCAGCGGAGCTAGCGCATGATCAGCTAATGGCCTGGCGAGAATTTTTGGACATGCCATACTCACATTGGCTCAGTAGTACTAGCAATTGACTTCCACTGTGCATGATCGTAGCCTTCCAATTTAAAGTCCGCAATGTTCGCCTTGAGCAAATTCACCTTGTCTTTCTGTGTCTATTGTCAATTCAAATTTGACGGAAATTTCAGCATTTTACATACGCCAAGCTCCAGATTCAACGGAGTATCAAGCAGTTTCTGGACGTTGGCGCCGAGTTCACCATATTTTCGGTTGGTTTCTTCCTCGTCAAGCTCAAAATACACATCATAAGCGGCGATACTAAGAGCAGGGGTGTCGTTTTTCTCGGTAGCTTCTTCTGCGGGGTTCTCGTCGTCTCCATTTCCACTCTGAGCTACGAGTTAACAATGCATCAGAGGTTCATTTCATCTATCGGCTAGGCACTTACGCTCTCAGTGGCCCCAGCGGTAAGTTCCTTGTAGAGTTGCCATTTGGAGTCATCCCCTATGCGGGCGCCATCCTTGGTGCAAAAAGGAAAAAGGGCCCTGTGGGATCTCGAATGTGAGAATTCGAATTGCCCCACTGGAGATGGGTCAATAACTCACTTTTTGGAGTCGAGCTTGCTTTTAACAAGCGACGCTCGAATGTCCGCCAAGGTCGCATCCTCTTTAATGGACCCTATGACAATGCGATCAGTGATCTTTGTCTTTCCAGCCTTATCATAGGTCCAGATGTTGAAAAGGTTGTCTTGACTTTCGCCCATGGTTGCAATGTTGAAGATTCGAGCGTCCAATGTTCAACTTTTTTCTGCTCGAGATATAATCAAGGAAATGACATGTACCACGGCTTTGGCAACACCTTTATAGTGAAAAGGCAGACCATCTCTGTCTCTTTCAAGTTTGAGCTTCAGGATCTACAGAGACCATTCAATAGTCGACCCAAGGCAGAATTCATAATTGGACCGAAGAGATCAATTGAGCCACAAAGCAGCGTGAAGTGGAGGATATTTGAATTTTTTCTTAATCATCGGCACCGAACAGCCTATTACATGCTTTGGTTGCATGGAAATTCTTTTCGTGGCTAGCTGGCTGAGGGGTAGTGGACACTTGAGGCATTTTACTGCGTAGTTGAATCACATCTCCCCGCCAAAGATCCACTGCAGCTGAGATCTGGGTCCCCCACTGTGCTCCACTCACGGGTAGGAGGACTAGATATGTGCAACGCCCATAGGTACCCAAAACCTAACTACTGTAGCATCGATAACTCACTTACATAAGTGGGAATCCCTCGTGAAATCGCTACGTATAGGTAACCTTCGGTTATTATAAGCTATATTAAGCAAGTGTAGAAAGTTGTCAAAAAATTAAGTAATTTTCGCTGTTTTGAATTGGCATTAGAATTTACTGCGAACCAAATAGTAGCGTATCTAGTAGGAAATCGGAGTTGGTGGTAGCTTTGACCAGCAAGACACGAACCGTGCTGCGGGGTCCAAATGTCGGTCAACAGTTCGCCTGTCACTTAGATATATCTCCCTAAGCAATGTGAAAGGACAAGCACATAGCTCCGCATTTGTCGATGGGTGCCATTTATTTGCGTACTACGAACGTCAACACTCTAATAGCCCAAAATTACGCCTTCATTAGCCGATTGTTGTAACTTGAGCCTGAGAGAACCAGGACGATTGGGTTTTTCACGGGTCGCCCCGCCCGCATTGTTGGCCAGGAGTTGGTGGAGATCACCTTGGGGTGGAGACGATTGGGCGCAAGCAAATCTCGGCTTAATTTTGTGAGCTTGAATGCTTCGAGTGTTCCATGTGCATGATATCCCTTATCTTGCTGCCAAATGGCCGACGAAGGGCGATCTCTGATTGGAAGATATCTTTCCCAGAACACAGTCTTTACAGGATATAGCTTCGCATCTCCGATAGGGAGAATATCAACTTTCACACTCTCTTCGCTTCATCTGCTTCTGCTTTCACTTTTGGGAGGCTTCCTCCATCGTGGTGTGTGGTGGTTTGTTAGTCCGTTCGCTGACCTATCTCATCCTGCCTGCATTCTCAGGCTTGCCACAGAGCGCCCTGGTTCACTAGGTATAGTTACTTCATCGCTTTTTTACGAGGCTTAATTATCTAGGCCAGACATCACGAGGTAATTCAATATGCCATTGATCAGACACTTCTATCCAATTAACCTTTGTTTTCATTAGTTTGAAGTTGTCCGTTGAAATATAATGCCCGCTACGGCTGCGCGGATTTTATATAGTAGATGTTGAATTCGAATTGATGTCTCTAGTATACAGGATGTGGCAGAGATCTCAAGCTTCGGATCGAAATAAAATCATTGTCAACGGTCTGTACTGCCGTTCTCCTCGTGATTTACATATTTTGATCGCGATTTCTGGCGTCATTCAATTACTTACGATATGGCCTGGATTTTGCAGCACATATATATCTGAAGAAGACTATTTTCGTAGTCTAACAATTATTTCTGACTAAGACTGCGTACCACTTGATATTCAGTATATCCATCCTGTTTTCTGAACTACGTATTAGGACGATTCCCCACATAAACGGCTCTGCAGTCTGCCAGCAAACGTGCCGAGGATATGTGTTGACTTTGCAGATGCATGGCTACCTTCCACTACAGTACGATATAACCCCTACACGCCATTTCAAGCCATTGACAAATTGTCGAAAGACGTGAGTCGATCTCGCTAGCATCGCCAAGCCAAGTTATACTTGCCACCACCGCCTTGTTGGCCAGATCGTCTTCGATCTCCTCTTCTGCTGGGCCCGCTGTCAGAAATCAAAATGCTCGGTCAGTTGCGATAATGATGTGATGCGAGCAAGAATGACCTGCAATAGACTCTCAATGGGGAAGCTTTTCAGAGATTTTGGCTCCTTGACGCCTGTTAACGATCTTGGTGAGGACTAAGAGCTTGAGCTTGGCCGAGTCCATCTCGGATGCCGTGATTTCGCAGCTAATTCCCACCTACCCATCTCACTTGCCGATCTTGGATCTCCCGAATTGCGCAAGCCGATTCGCGTCCGCGTAGGTATCCGAATCCTCCCAGGACCTGCTCCCATTCGGTAATATATGTATATGTATATAAACCTTCCACTGGTGCCTATCTAATAGTACTAGGTGTAGTGAGCCTGACTATAGGGCGACCAGAGTCCTTTAGTATAGGTAGTATTTAGATACTAGACCTTACTGTAATTGATTCTTCAAGGCTGGCTATAAGCCTTTTTCTTTGTATAATTAAGTCAAAATTTCAGAAACCTTTTAGTTAGAATACTATCCATCTATTATAATTTAAGCTTATTAAGTCTTCTTACGCTATTATTTAAATTTAAGTTAAATATAAGCTAACTAGATCCTCCATGATGGCAGATATTGCAGAATGAAGTACTTTGCGGCTCGAAGGTAACCACAAGTCATGCAATAAGACATATTGATTAATTAGATTAGAGAAAGATTAAGACAAGAAAAGGAGATATCTCGTAAATCACCACCCAAACCACCGGTGACCAAAGACTGCCAAGCTTACCGCGTGTAGCGATGGCCACCTATGTGCAAACACACTCATTAAATGTAAATACTCATATCGCGAGAGGAGCAAACATGAGGGGGGAATCAAAAAGTCTGGACCATTCTCAAAAGCCGGATTTCACATCCAACCAGAAAAGAGAACCAGGGCGAGAGCAAGCCCACTCGTAAGCAGGAGATACACCCGGTACCAGTCCATATATCGCGGGACCACCCATTTAGACAGTTCCCGCTGGAGCAGCTGGCTCCACTGGTGCATCCAGAGGCGGCCGCGCACCGGGCTCATTTTTCTCATGCACAGGGGCGGCAGCGGTGTTGTTTTCCTTACGATAAGCCCAGAGGGAGGCGACTTCAAGGAACATGCCGAAGAACGTGAAGATGCTGCAGTAAACACAATTAGCAACTGATGGAGGCCAGGCAGCAGAGAGACAGCGAATTTGAAACTCCAGGGTCTATTGTGTGACGGCGGGGGAAAATACGAGAAAAAAGGAGGCAAACACATACAAAGCAAGGAAAATGAATGACTCGTTGGCCTTCTTTCGTCCACAGGTTACACCGGGCGGGGCATTGAAGTAGCACGAATTTTGGTTATAGTCTTGGGCCGCGAAAATGAAGGCCGTCAACCAGCTAGGAAAGCAAAGGATGTTAGTATCGAGTTGAATGATTATTGGTGGGGAGCGGAATTGCGGAGGACGGAGCTTACAGATAGGAAAAGATGACGTCGATGAGAAGGACAAATTTGCTCAGGGCAGTCGGAAGGAAGGGCGAGATGAAGGCGGGCAGGAAGAAAACCACCGAGAGGACCGCCTATTAGGACAGATGAGATACTTCTCTCGAGTTGACATGGAATGATAGAGTAGAGATAGTATAAACGTACAATGACCTCCTGGTAGATGATGTGCTGGCCGCGAGGACCTTGCTGGATGAAGAATGAGGTTAAGCCCATGACAATCACGGCACTAGACCATTGTAGGACTCGGGTGACCAGCTGTAATGGCCTGGCAACAGCTGTTGAAAAGATCATCGTGCGTAGTGGATGATTAGATGATGGGAAAGGTGGATGTGATCTAGTGGTGGCCCGAGGTGGTGTGAAATGGAAGATATAGAAGGTTACAAGGACAGGAATGTATATAACAATCGAAAAGGAGGCCCCGCAGGATACGCTCTGGAAATGTGGGCAATGGCAATGAGTTGAGGTACACGACAGACAAGGAAAACCAAAAAAACGGGATTCTCAAAGCGGGAAGCCACTTTATAAGCTTCTTGCCCAGGAAGACCAGACACCATGGATCTTGCACATCATCAGCCCAGCCGGACAGTAGAACCATGAGACACAAACACGACTAGCGCCGAGCCAAACCGAAACCTGAACGCCAGGGCCAGATCCGGCAAGGACAGTTGGAATGTCCGGGCTTTTCCCCAGATGCGTCATGATGCTCTCTGTATGAAGTCAGTGCCAAAGGAGGAGATTACACAGAGCCACGACTACAAAAACCCCTGTACTTTGCCCTTTTTTGCGCTCTCTGCCTCTTTTGATGGACTCCAATATGTTTGATTCATGCCATCGATAGTATTGATTCAAAGCTACACAGGAAAGGCAGACCTGTCCGGATGGCTTTTTACTTTGCTGTGGGCCAGCTACAGTAGGTTGATCTGGCCTGACAACAGTGACAGGAGACCCCGTTCCGCAGTCCCACAGACTTCTGGTTGTCCAATGGACGTAGTGGAGAAGGGGGCAAAAGTGATCGGCATGTCACTTCTCGTGTGCAAGGGGGAATTTTTGGCCAAACACACTCGGTCGCGTTCAAACAGCAGTCCCTATAGAGTCATTCTTCAACCCAAATGGCAGAGCTAGTAGCGCCCTTCGGCACCCCGCGGAAGCGCAAAGTGCGCTAGTTATCCGATGAACCGACTGGACTGAAGAATAAGACCGTCCAACTATATTGAACATCCAATAACCTCACATAGAGAAGATCACACCACCCCCAACCCGGGCGGGAATGAACCGTGGGAAAAAGCAGCCTGGTCAAGTAAATCAGCAAATTATAATGATCACCAGCTAATCGTGAGACTCATGTCGACCATCCCGTGGCGGGGCCCTATTTACTTTTGGTAAATGGCTGCAGAATCAGCCAATAGCGGGGTGCTCCCTGCATCAGTCCAGATCGACAGTGGCCTTTCAGCCTTGTAAGCTTTGGGCACCCCGAGGTCAGTTGATACAGGGCGAAAACAGTCAACCTACGAGATGCCCCGTCGCATTCAAGGGATGAAGCATATCCCTTGAGAGCTGTCAAAACTTTAAAAAAAGATGGGCTAGAGCAATATAAACAAAAAGCAACCAAAAAAGAAAAGGAATGGGAACCATGGAGCGTGGTGCAGACGGGTGAGACAGGCCTCGCCACGCTGCAGGTAAAGTATGTATAGTGAGCGTAGTATGTCTTATCAGGCTTATTACTGGTAGGAAGGGGGACAAGGACCAGGATAGGCATGATGAAAACCTAGTCTTCCTTCTCCACTCCTTGGAGTATGAACGATTGGGGAGGTCGTGATCGTCACCGGCGGTGGGGGGATTGAACCCCGTCTAACGAGACCGTGCGACATCATCGTTGGCTTATAAGACATGCTTTTTCGTAGCTAGCTACATCCCTCTGGACGACGCAATGTGTCTAGATTAGCTAGAGGACTGGGCCACTGCCGGGTACTGACGCTGGAAGGTCCGGGTTTGGGCCGAGTCGTGCAGCAGCCCCAGGCCCGTTTTCCGGTTGGTCGCTGGATGGAGCGGGGATTTGGCAGAAGGTCCGAATGGGAATCCCAAGATACATCGAGATACATCTTGCTTCAGAGGCGGAAAGCAGAGAGTTTTGCCTCTTGATCTGTGGGAATGTTTTGGCAAATCTTGAAACGAGTTGCATAGTCCCATAGTCCCTCGGGGAAAAAGGCCAACAAAATAAACAATGTCGTCCTCTGGCCGGGCAGGTTCAAGAATCAATAAGCGCCAATGTCTCAGACAAGCTCACCCAGCTTCATGTATGGGGCCGAAGGCCTAGTAATAAAGTAGGGACGTTGGATGAACGCAAGGGAGTGTGAGTCTTGAAGACCGCAACCAGAGAATGGCCCTCGGTTCTCGTCAGCATGTTCCACGTACGAAAGACAAGTGCGTCGCGAAAGCGGCTCAAGGGATTCACTCCCAAGGGCTACAATAACAATCCTATGGAGAAAGCATACCCATGGGCGATGATGATTTTGATTACTACAAGAAAAATATCTTTGCTGAACATGTCCTAGTGCTGGCCAAACCGTGTAAATCCCGTGCGACTCGACTCCATTGCGCCTGAGGTGTTTTGGACTCCTCTCGTCCACGTTCTCACCATGTAACGTTGCCCAGATCGTGCTCCTGTAGAACATGTCAGTCAACTGAAAAACCATGAAAGGCGCTTGTAAAGACGTAGCCGTAGTAACGCTCACCTTGATATATTCGCTGCCCTTTTCCAAGTATTCATCGCGAGACACAGAGCACCGGCCCAGGTCGGCACTTCCGGCCCATTGCGCGGCACCTTTCCATGCATCGAAGACAGGGTCTGCGGCCTGGCGTACGTTCAATGCAGCATCCATGGGCAGGAATGCGCGCAGCTCGTTGCGGAAGCGCTCTTCGAACCCAGTGAACAGTGTATTACCGCCAGTCAAGAAAACATCCTTGAGGAGACGGCTTCGGGCCGCAGGGTCGGTGAATCGTTGATTCACAATGTCAGCAGCGATCTGGATCAAACCCGCTTGGTCGACGCCCGCAATGGAAGGTTTGAATACGACCTCAGGGACGCGAATGCGCTCAACGTTGAGATGGATTTGGTGTGCCTCACGCTGACTCTCAGGATCGAACGGCCATGGACCGCGCAGGAATGCATGGACAAGGCTCTTGGTCCAATCAGACTGGGCTGCAAGCGTGTGATTTTCTGTAAAGTCAGGGTCGTGCTCGAGCAGCTCCTGTTCAATGCTGTTAAGCATGCCACCGAGGTCTTCCTCCTCTTCATCGTCACTCTGCTCATCTTTGGCCACAGTGCGGTACACGCCCCAATCTTCGTCATTGGCGCCAAAGTCGTCGTCGTCCCCACCTCGCCGACGCTTCTTAGGACCATCAGAGGCCAGATTGGCCAGGGTCTTCATGCGCATTTGGCTGGCAAGGGACTTGCGGTTGCCAAGATCCGCCTTCATGCGGTCACGGTCCTTAATTTTCTGGAGAATAGACTGTATGATTGTTAGATGCTGCAAATAATCAAAGGGAGGACGAATGCACATACTTGACGGTTTGCACGTCGCTCTGCGATCCAATTTTCAAAGTCATTTTCTCGCTTCTCCCGATCCAGACGTTCTTCTTCCTCCCGACGGGCTTTTTCCCGTTCCTTCTCTGCCTTGGCGCGTGCTCGAGCTTCAACGTTGGATTTCATCAGGCGTTGGTGACGTTTTTCTTTCAGGCCGGCCTCGTCTAGCTCCTCGTCGGGAACATCCAGTAATGGGAAGGTCATTTCTTCCTGCTGCTCCTCGGTCTCTTCGATACCCAAGTCCTTGTTGCGAGAGCGCTTGATGGACTTCTCCAGATCCCGAATCATGCGTTCCAAATGCGCTTCGTCCTTGAGATCTTCCGCCTCCAGCACTCGACGAATCTCTTTCTTTGTCTCGGAAGCCAGGCGAGTCTGCAGATCTTTCCAGTATTCTAGTTCTTGCTCCTTCTTGACCAGCTTTTCCAATCGCATCTTGGCGGCTTGCTCCTGCAAGCGGCGGCCACTCTCTTTTTTGCGTTCGGCAATGCGCGCCAATTCTTCTTCGGTTTTCTCCGGTATGATATGCTCTGTGAAGGGGTATTGAATGACATGATCCCGGTCCTCGAGCCCTGTCCAGTCGAGATAGCCACCGAGTTCGCGGTCGTAGTCTTTTGAAACGTAGCAGTGCTTGTGTACCAAATCCTCCATTTGATTATCTGTCATGCGGGCGGGGAAGGTAGGATATTTGAGCTTTAGCAGCTTCGCGAGATATTCCGCGTTTTGAAGTCCGCCCCAGTTGAGCCGAGTGCAGTTGGACAGGAGCGGTTTCGAATCTAACACAGGAATGACATGTGTCGAGGTATGCGAAGAAGAAACGACTAATCCATCTGAGCCCTTGTTGTAACGGTAGGCGAAGAGTGAATCGATGCCATAGGCCACTGACGGTGCCGAATAGCACTCGAACAGGATCTCGTTCATCACTAGGGCGTTACTGTCAGCTCTGAAATCAAATGTGATTGAAAATATCGGGGCCCCATACTTTTTCGAGGGTATCCAAGATTGGCAATTGGCTCGGTCATCAGGATGGGCCGGTCAACCCCCCGTTGGCGCCATCCACACCGAGCTTGAGAAACAAGTAATCCAGTACACCTTCCATAACATCCCAGTTGCCGACCACACTAGAGCCAGGGTCAAAGGCATATCGGAGCTGACCGCGCGTAGTCGCATCGAGATAGGAGTCGTATCCAATGAAATGGCATTGGCGATTGAGTTTGCGATCGCGGTAGCGGCTCATAACGGGGGGAAGAACGAATCGTGGGTTTTCGTCGAAAGACCACCCCGCCTTAACGAGATGAGAGCCTGCAGGGGAATCAGGAGGTCAGAATTCAGTGAAGCTTGGACACCGTTCAAAGGGCGAGTGCGAGATACCATTGTCAATGACGATGGCGCTTGTGTCCGGATGGGCCTTGCTCTGCTCATATCCGTCGGGCTGTGGAGGTTGATAACCCTTGAAAGGGAAATCCTGGACCCCATAGGTTTGCGGTGTAGGTTTAGCCTCGCGCTTCTCCGATGAATTGATCGCGAATCGACTGGGCAGGAAGGTCTGGACTGAGGTGATGGTCATGGTTGCTTGCGCTGGTGCAGAAACCAGGAGCTCTGAGGGTCGAAGATCAGATCAGACGGTCGGGGTCACTGCATGACAGAGAAAAGGGCAACAGCGAAGAGGGTCAGAAGAATTGGGAATATACCAATCCCGAGGGAAATGTGAGGAGGCAATCAGAGAAGGACCGTCCGTTGCGGTAGGTGGACGAGGTTGGAGGGTTTGCGCCAAGAATCGATACGTTATCCTACGCCGCCGCGACTCCCTTATCGGCCGCCTAAACAGATACTACCAACTACTAGATGGATGATGATGGCACCATCCGCCAACCAACTTATAGAAGAGAGAAAAAAATCCGAGAAGAATATGGAGGCGTTAGACATTAAATTGGATATCTCTAGTGCATCTCGTCATCATTTTCCAGCCATTGGGAGGAGTCCTTCCCGGATGTCCTCATGAAGAGGGCTCCTTAAGATTCTCAGTGGCTGCGAATGATGTTAGTATGGCGGCGTATACCAACAAGAGAACGAGAATGCAATATGAGGCAGAAGCATACCTTCAAGGTGGAAGAGAACATTCGACTGATAGTTCTTGAACATTTGTGCGACCAGCTCAACGTTCATGTTCTGGATGTTGACTTCCTACACGGTTGTCAGTTGTCAGGCATGGATCAGCATTTTCCAGACTCAACGCCTACCTGAAGACTCTTGTTCATGACCATAATAGCCTCATTCAGTTTTTCCTGACACCTCTGGTCAGTCTATCTGGAGACCGTCATCATAAAACATAGACAACAAATCCACATACCACATTGGTGATGATGCGCGAAAGTAGCACCGTCTGTTGATGCTCGTGGGGGCTCTCCTAAGGGAATGTCAACATCATTGCCCAATCCAAACAATCAACTATCGTGAGATGAGAAGGAAGACAGACCATGGTGTGACTGGGGTATTTGGGTGATTTTAGGATCCTTCGAGCACACCAAGTTGAAAGCCCGCTGTTTGTTTGGGCTCATCTTCAGGGTCATGTGACCCGATTTCCGATCGTCCGCGACCCGGCGCATCGTCGACCTGAATCTTCTCCCTTACACGGGACACTATCGTGGGAAATTATAATACGACCCCGCAAATATATAATTCACGGCATCAGCTGATAAATCTTTCTCCTTGGCTTGACTTTGACCTCTCCCCATAGCGCCCCTCTCGTTCATACTTCCTCCTCCCTCTACACTTCCACCCTTCCTACGCAATGGCACCAGCTACTCCTGCCAACGATGAGGCACACCAGCAGCTTCTCAACCAGCTCGATATCTCTCATATCCATAAACCATTCCGCAATCCCCACTGGAAACCCTCCCAGCGCCGCAACAAGAATGTCAAGCAGATCATCTCGGAGACTGCGCGCAAGGAAGCCTCAGTGATGGCGACCCAGGCCAATTCCGGCGCTACCACCCCCTTTGTCGGCACATCCGGGGCTACGACTACTGATGGTGCAGCCAGTCCAGCTGAAGGAGCTGGAAACCCGCCGAATCTGGCTCAGGCTGCCCGGAACCTGTCGTCGTTGGTCCTTGAGAAGAACGCACGAGCTATGTTCCCAACTGGACCCGCAGTCACCTACACCAACATTGAGTCCGCACCATCGCTCAGTCCGGCTAACCAGCGCAACTATTGCGATATTACGGGGTTGTCTGGTCCCTACACTGACCCCAAGACCCGGCTTCGCTACCATGACAAAGAGATCTTTGGTGTCATTCGAAGCCTGGCTCAGGGCGTGCCAGAGAATTACCTTGAGGCCCGCGGTGCCCAAGTAATCTTGAAATAAGACGTCCATATTGGACCGATTCTACTCTTCTATTCAAATCAAAAATTCATCGGGAACAGTGTCACAGGTATAAACATAGTTTCATGATGCTATCATCCGAGGATTGAGCTAACAACGGGGATCTCTGTAGATCGACAGAAACCGCTACGAATATTATGTATGGCCAACACAGTCAAGCCCTTTCCACCCCACCGTGCCCCTCTCGAGACAGGTTCAAGAAAGCGCTCCGGCTTATTCGTGACCGAGAAAAGTCATTGTCCGCCTTGTGCCAGGATGCACTCGACTATTACCGACGCCTCAGGGGAAAGAGACATCAGTTACAGCACCCAAGGGATGCTGTCGTCGCGGCGTGGTATACTGTGAAAACAGTGATGGGTTTTGGGAAGGGAAGCAATAGAGAGCAGGCCGAGAGCTCCTGTTGTGCGTACATCAACGCAAGCTCTGCTCCGGCCGACATCCCTGTAGCTTAGTTGCATATTTGGGAACATAGAATAGCTCCTTCTCATGCTCAATTCGTGCGAATAGCACAAATCGTATATTTTGAGATCAAATGCCTCCCTTCTCTGCCCCCACTCTCTGCGTATTGGATTTTGCACCGGGTGTGCACAGAAGCAAAAGCCGGACGACCGCTCGGGAGCGGCTTAAAGGGAGAGTGCCACACCGCCTTTGTGTCTAGGCAGAAACAGCCGATTTGCTGTTTACGGCGATCATCGCCCGAAGAGCCTCGCCCAATTGTCCTGCAATTCTACTCACTCGCAAATCTTCCAGTCCCTTTCCACCCATTGCGCATATACAGAAAAAATGCCTAGCATGTGGTTGTCCGAAAACCAAAGTCAGTTCTGCCCTGCTTGCCTCCGGTAGACCTGCACTGGAGTGTGACGCGAGCCACATGCGCCTGCCCCGGCGCAACCGTGACCATGTTGGATTTGAGGCTAACTTTCGTAAACAGAGATCGGAATGATCTTTTGCTCTGCTGGTAAGATCTAGCGCCGGCCATGATTGCCAACACTGTCGTCCTTGGTGCCATGTTAATCTGCTCGCCCCGGGTTGTATAGGTGGTTTGTTTCTTTTCGGCGGCGTCCTCATGTTTTTTGACCGTTCATTGTGCGTGTTGCCCCTTATAAGAAGAAAGACCACTCCAGCTGAGACTGTCTACACGATCGTGATTATATTATACTAACAAGCTTGTCTAATAGGCTTGCAATGGGAAACGTACGGCATACCGCGACCCCTCGTCCTCGGCACTTGAACTGACCCCCGTCCTAGATCCTCTTCTTGATCGGTCTCACCCTGATTATCGGCTTCCAGAAGACCATGGTCTTCTTCGCACGCCCCGAGAAGCTCAAGGGCACCGCCGCTTTCACCGCCGGCATTGTGCTGATTCTCCTCCGTTGGCCGCTGACCGGCTTCCTCATCGAGTTATACGGGCTATTCATTCTGTTCGGCGATTTCCTTGTGACGATTGGGCAGTTCGCTGGCAACATCCCTGTCATCGGACCGTATATCCAGCGCGGACTCGAAATTCTAGCCGGTGGCCGCAGCAACGCTGAATTGCCTGTATGAACGACGAAACAAATGTCGAAGGCAGCTGTTGATGTGCACGACCTAAGACATGGATACTTCGCTTTGCATGAGTTTTCATTTCCTGCGGCAACCTTGGAGCGGCAAGTATGCTGTTGAGTGGCGTCCTGTATGAACTGGTTGGTGGTATCCGGTGGCTGGCGCTTGGGAGTGACTCGAACGACATGATAATATTACGGCATACGCAAACACCCTGTAATTACTAATGACTCTTTGTTTTCTGTTCGTGCAACAAGGGGGAAATCCTGAGGGCCTTTGGGCCCTTTTATAGCATATCCTTCTGTTGTACGGTCGGTATTCAATGTCCCATAGAGAATAGAACCCAAAAAGTTCTCCATGACAAGGCGACGGTGTGGGATCTGTATTCACATCCCCAGAGATATCACGCGTTGAAAAGAGATATCGACTCTGACATAAGTCAAAACGTATGTTGATGGATACAGGGCAAACTGTTTCTCCACAGTCCACGGGCTCCATGGACGAGCTCCGATCCAGCGGCGCCACTACTGGACTGCATGGAGAGCCAAAAGCGTAAAAAAAATAACAAAGAAACAAGCTGAAACAGCGTAAAAAAAGAGAGAAACAAGAGGGAAAAAAAAGATCAATGCTCCTTTATTTCTTATTCTTCACAAAGCCCCCTTGTCATTGCATTTCATTTCATCCACATTTGCAAAAAGAAAAGACCAATCAGCTGCGCGCATTTATTGGGGGTTGTTGATGTAGTCGACCAGCTTCTCGACGACGGTGGCGGCGTTGGTGGTCTGGACGCTCTCACCGTGGTGAGCGATCATGGTGCAAGCGGAGGCACGGACAACGATGGCGCCCTCCTTGCCCTGCAGTATATCGGATTCGGGGTCAGTTAGCTGTTCTCGGGGTGGCCTATATAGATTGGAGGATACGGGGGGGGAGATACCTTCTTGCCGTATAGACTGCGCTCGTCAGCCTTGATGCAGACGAACTTCTCGCCGCCGATGGAGAAGCCGCTGGCGAAGGCGTTGTCGGCGGAGGTGAAGGCGGCGGCCAGGGAGTTGATGTCATCCTGGGAGAGCTAGAGAAATGGCACGCAACCCGCCACGTTAGTACTTGATTCGTCTGAACGGCGATAGCTAGAATTGCATCTAGTCAAGCATGGAAAGCCAAATTTCATACCGTGAAACCGGGGGACTGAGCCTCGAGGCCGGAGAAGTCAGCGGCGAGAATGCCGGCCTTATCGAACTGGCCCGAGCCCATCAGGCTGGTTAGGGGCGAGAGGTTAGCATGGATGCGGATGGCGGAGTGCTGTAGCGACTCGGAAGTATGCGAGCACGAAGAAATCTAGGGGTCTCCAGAACGAAGATTGATGGAACTGTACCTGGAGTCGACATAGCCTATACCGGAGGGGAAAAAAAGCGCGGGTTAGTGAGGGGGAGGGTCTCTGGGAACGGAAACGGGGCAGATGGATGACGGCACACATACCTTGCCAGATTGCGGAGTGCTGACCCATGGTTGCGGAGGGAGAAGAGGAATTCAATGAGGAGAAGAGGGAAGTCCGGGATTGAAGATGAGGGTAGAGGGGAAGAGAAGAAGAAAGGAAGCTTGTGGGAGGTGAAGGAGGTTTGCAAGTGGGGGGTCTGTGTTGGCGGTAAATAAGACCCCGCCAAACTGCAGGCGGTTCCCGTCGATCCTGGGAATCTCGGACGTCTTGGGCGGGTTCGGAGCCGCGAACGGACGAGGAAGTCAGGGAACGTGGGAGTGGGGGGTCCCAACCCACCCGAAATGCATAAATTGCTGGGACAAACACCGGGTTTCGCGTCCACGAGGTACTTTTCAACCTCAGTGTCGTGTCGTGGATTTGGCCATGGGCGACCTCTCTCTAATATATTCCCAGGAGAAGCAGGTCCGCTGGGTTCCCAACGTCTGCAGAGTCGATCGGCACAATGACGTGCACGTGTCGAGTGCCTGAATCCGGAGTTTGTTTCCTGCTTCCTGCATGAACATCTTTAAATCCGATCGAGCGGTAGGTATAGGAGGAGAGAAATAGGTAGATGTCGCCCTACTCGTGAGTCCGGAGACGCCCTGTTGACGCCTGTCAAAGGATGTAAAGGACTAGGTAGCCTCGGTAGGGTGGGGCTTCATAGGAACCGGGCGACAGATTTCTATAGATCTGCTAGGGCAAAGGAGTTGGGCAGCGCGATGGTCAAGCAAGATAGGGCCGGACAGGCCAACAGGAATGCTATCATCTGGATCTAATTCCTACCAGTATCTAATTTCGAATCCTCTCTACTGAAAATGGAGCCACGCCAAGACCCCACGCTGGAAGTACGTATTCTCGTCGAGGTCGTTTTCCCACTTTCACCGAGAATATCAAATAACGAGACTACGAGATGTGCTGGGGAAAGAAAGGGAGGGTCGAATACAGGTGGCAATGGAAATGGTAATGGACAGTACCTGGTCGGCCGGCTCAATCCAGCGAGGGGCATCCGACTATCGATATACGCATAACTATACAATCGATCTCACGGCTCGGCTGCTTCGCCATGCACCTATTATGCAGGCACCATCTCGGCAAAGGGCTCCGCAATGCTGTGGATCAGAGCTTTATTTTGCATTCCCTCGACCCAGCGAGTCGGGATCGAGTCATACCCATAAAAGATACCCGCCAGGCTCCCGTAAACCGCCCCGGCCGTGTCGGAGTCACCCCCGAGATTGACGACGGCCAGCACGCCCGTCTCCCAGCTCTCATACTTGAAGAATCCCCAGAGCGCGGCCTCGATGGTATCCACTACCCAGCCACTACTTGTGATTTTGTCGCTGCTGGTCGTCTTCCAGTCGTCGATGGTTTTGTACCGCGCAAGACGTTCCACCAGATCCGGATGGTGGAACTGGAAGTCCGAGATGGTCTTGCATAGTTCCTCCTTGGTTTCGCCTAATACGGGAGATCAATTAGGCCGTGGTCTGGAATAAGAACAGAAGAGCAAACCCCCTTTTCCTTTCATTTGCTCTTTCGTTGGGACAGGCCTACCGTTCATTGCGCCGCAAATCAAGAGGGTGTATGCTTCACAAGCGTCCAGACAAGCAATCGCTGGGTGAGTGATCCTGCTCTGTTCCTTGGCCACGTTTCGGGCCCGATTGGGATCGGTCCAGAGGGCCACACCCACCGGGGAAATCCGCATCAAGCTGCCATTGCCAGACGCACCCTCGTGATCAAGCTGAGCGGAGATTTCAAACTGCGTGCTGTCGATATTGTCGATCCCATACTGCCGCCACATGGACAAGGACTTACGCGTGGACAGGCCGACGTCCCAGGCTTTTTGCGCGGTGCTGAACTTGCCCTCGGTGAGCCAGCCGATATAGTGCTCAATGGATCGCGCGTGGTTGTATCTGCCCTTGGATTCAACGAAAGACTTGGCCAGCGCGAGGGTCATCGACCCGTCGTCCGAATACGACCTGAGTATTCGTGTCAGCCGAGACCTGGACCCCACTATTATTGCTGTTGTTCTTGTCTCTTTATTTTCCTCTTTCTGTCATGGTGAAAGCGAGAAATACCCAGCTGGCTTTTGAAATGGCTCGACGAAACGTAAGTCGGTGATGGGCTCGAACGTGCCAGGGGGCTTGAATTGAACGGGACCGCCGAGGGCATCGGCCACGCAGGTGCCCCAGATGGCGCCCCGCGCGCGAGATTGGATCCGGACCGGTTCGGTCATTGCGTTTGGTCTGGTGGGAAAGCAAGAATAAGAAACTATAAAAAATAGAAATAAAAACAATTGAAACCGGGAGAGACTGGAGTTGGGGAGTCGGCAACCTCGGGATCACTGTGCTATCTGGCGTTGATGGTAAAGTAGATGATGATCTATATAGTCGCCCTGTCTGGGTGCTGCTGTGGCTTATACCATGTCGGATCGCGGAGATGGTGACTCAGAAACCCGGTGCTCAGCCCGCAGATGCCGAGCAGCGTAGCCCCCGCCAGCGTGGCCGAGCCTCTTTTTGGTGGAGGCAGCGGAGTCGGAACCTTGACGCCCCTCGAACGAACGAGTCCCGGCATCCAAGTCATTTAGCGATAGATTTCATTCCGTGGGACCGCCGGGGCCGAAAAGCGAGCAGAGCCGCATCGTTGGACTCCAGCCTCAGCACTACACGGTCCTCTCGGGAAAAGAGCGACACATTTCCATTCAGCATACCAACTATGCCTTGGAGGCTGTCTGCAACAAATCGACTAATGGCTCTAACGTGAAGTTCCTTGCGTGAGCTGCTTCAGTTGGATGTCGTACGTGAGGATTTTGCTAGTGAAGAATATGTAGATGGGGAGATGGAAATGTTGACGTCCATACCCCGGCGAGCCCCAGCTTCAATTTCAGAGGGGCTCAAGTTAGAGAGAGAAAAAGGGGCAGTTGTCAGGGGACACGAATAATATGCAAATCGTCCGAGCCAGCGCTTAAAGTTGCAATAGTTTTGAGGTGAATCTTTCTCCCCCAACGCCATTGCCAGGTCAGAAACGGACCCGTTCAAGCTTACTTCCCCCCTCTCCACTTTTCCCTCCCCCACTTCGTAGGTCCTCCATCTACACGGCAATGGCATCTCTGACGGATATCGACCCCTATGCTGTCCTAGATGTGGCCAAGGATGCAAATCTTGGAGAGATCAGAATTGCGCATCGCAAGAAAGTACTCAAATGCCATCCGGACAAAATCCAGGACGAATCGCAGCGGAAAGTAACCGAAGATCTATTCTATCGAGTTCAGCAAGCCTACAGCATTCTTTCCGACGAAACAGAACGTGCCCGCTACGATCAGCTAGTCAAACAAGCACAGATTATTCGAGAGCAGGCCTTGCACAGACAGAATGAGGCGGCCTCTCCGCGCGACGTTCCGCACGACGTTCATCATGAGGCCCGTGTGGCACTCCAAGCGCTATTCGGAGGAGCCAGTGTTCGCCATCAGGAGCGGCAGGAACTTCCTCGAGGCATCAAATCAAACTTTTGGCCCCGAATGGACCCCGATGACGGCGCATCCCACTCGGACAGTAGTACGGATGCGATCATTTTCAGTCGAAGGCGAGCTCCTCGGCAGCCGTCCCCTCGCCGGTCTGAGAAAACACGACAGACCGAGGGTGCTTCTCGACGCGATCGTTATTCTGACGACCCCGAAGCCTCGCACTCGCGGCGCTACATGTATGCCACTGAGGTAGATCACGATACCCGCTGGCCGCGTTCCCCGCGGCTCAACCATGGTTCTGGTTCTCAAGGGGAGCAGCCAGGAACAAGGCCGTCGCAACAGGGACCGTCCTCGACAACGATTAAAAAGGAAGAATTTATGGAATTCTTTCTGGGCCTTTTGGAAGAAGTATGTCTGATTCCGAGTAGTCTAGAATGCTCAGTGGTGAAAGGGAGCTGGAAACCGGCGGGATTGCCGGGGTGTTCGCTGTTGCTGACTGACAGTGATGTAGTATAAGAGAGACCAGAAGACTGCATCATCCTTGCCAGATGGAGTTGATCAATTTGCAAACATTGAGGAGCAGATCAAGGAGCGTAATAAAGCAGTGAAGGATGCAAAAGCAGACGCGATTCCCGCACCCCCTCCTCCTCTCCCAGAGTCAAGCCTAGAGCCCGCCGGGAAAGGCTCATCAGAAAGCCCGCCCGCGAAAGAGAAGCTCTATGTAGTCCCACCAGAGCAATTGAATCTCGAAGTAATGTATTCCAAGCCTGACGCTGAGCGTGTCGATATCGTGGCTGTCCATGGCCTGGGTGCCATACCGGACATCACCTGGAGAGAAAAGGAGTCGGGAATTAATTGGCTAGCAGATGAGAAAATGTTACCCGCAGCGGCTCCAAAGGCTCGAATTCTACGATTTGGATACGATTCACTCTGGATGGGGGATACTCCCATCCGGACAACCTTGTCGACAATCTCGACCAAGCTTCTTCTCTGTCTCAACATGATCCGTGCGGCAAGTTATCTGGCTAGACATGATTAATTTCGACTCCAGCTAATAGGAGAAGTAGGAGGACTTGAAACGACCACTTGTATTTGTCGGTCATTGCTTCGGCGGCCTTGTGATCGAACGAGTACGAAACAGATACCCTAGAGTTTCATTATGAACACGCTTCACTAACTGCATTCCTAGGCCTTGGTCCTTGCCAAAATGCAGCAAAATCAATATCCCGGTCTTTTTGAGTCAACCGTAGGAGTTGTCTTCCTCGGAACACCTCACCGTGGATCGAGGTCATTTACGGAGGAAAGCGCTCTTCTGACAGCTATAGCCGCTTCGTCCGATTTATATAAAAGCCTTGAGACGGACGTGCTGAAAACTATGACGTCCAGAAATGGTACTCTCCTAGATGTCGCGGATGACTTCATCACTTTATGCGTTCAAGGGGGACCCAAGGTATCATGCTTCTTTGAGCAGCGACCCTCCAAGCTGGGAAAGGTGATTGGGCGAAACGATATCGAGGTAGGTTATAGAATATGGGGGGAATAAGGAGCTGATTTTTCCTCATCGTTGCACTTTTTTTTGTTCTCTTTCTCATGCTCTATGGGTGCAGGAATTCATCGTTGATTCAAAAAGCGCCTGTTTTGATGGCCACCCGAAATATGGCCTTGAGGTGGACCATTTCAGCCTCAACAAATTCGACAACCCCAAGAACCCGAACTATATCCAGGTACAGTCTGTCATTACGGATTATTATAAAAAAGCTTTGAAGACCACCCGAAAAAGCCGTTCCAGTCGACATCACCATCAAACTCTGATAGAACGTCGAGAGGAAGAGCTCAGGAAAGCGGCAATCAAGGAACTCCACGAAGAAGAAGCCCGAAAGCAAGCGTCGGTCTGGGAGACAAGATATCAGGGGCGGCTTGCGGAGGAGAAGCGCGCTATTGAGCAGGCCTTCCTTGAACGCCTCAAGAAGAATATGAGGAAATACGGAATCAAAGAACCCGATACGATCCTCGATGCCCACCCGCTGCCCCGAGACGAGGAGCTAGAGTCGACACAAGAAGTAGAAGAAAAGAGGAATTGGTATTGCAACCTTCTCAAGGGAGTATTGTCAAAAGAAAACTTGGGTGGCGGACAAGTTGACGAGATCTTGAATGACATGGGAGAAATCATGGTGATCGATGGAGTTGAGACTACTGTGACCAAGATGGCCGCGAAATGGATTTCCACGCGCACCTTGGACGCCTATGACATTCCATGGCAATATGACAAGGTAAGAAGCTACACATCTTTGAATTCTTAGTGGTGATAGCTTTCCTGACACATGCCAATAGAATGACCGTTCAACTATTATTGTCAAGCGCTGGGTGCCGGACTACGAACGGGACTTCTTGTGGGATCACTCGCATGCACTTCGGGGTGGACGAGGACGAAAACGAAACCGCGATGGTGGTCGAGGCAAAAAGAATGACAATGGTGAAGGTGGAGAGGAGCAACTGAAGGCTTGGCTGATGCGCAAATGGGAGAGCCTCAATGCGGCTCAGACCAGGGTACCACTGAAGAGAGCATCAACATTCGCAGCACCGAAATATATAACCATTAGGAGTGTGAGGCCCGGGCAACAGCGACGGCCAAATGTCCGGAGTGCCAGCGCGGAATCATTTCACTCAGCGCCCGATGCCGAGGAGGTGACCCGGCGACGGCGACATTCCCGAACACTCAGCCAGGAGGGATCGCCGACGGGCCGTTCGAGCACCGAGACTCGGCCTCGCCGTCGAGCAGACTCAACGGAAGATGAGCGAGTTGTCTCGACGGGGCGGCGTCACAGCTGGAAAACCGGTTCGCGATCACGAGATACCCATAATTCGTCCGGTCACAGGTACTCCATCCATAGTGAAAAATAGCCCCGCTTGACTTCTTCTGCTACTTCGCGTTCGCGTTCAATGGACCCTCTGTGTGGGAAGCCAGGGTTTAATTCGGCTCCGTGAATCCAGAAGCTGTAGGTCAAAGGAGCGCGCGCCTACGCTTCTTGTGGAGCATAGAGCACAGCCACACGCGCGGATGTGAAGATAACCTGCGGGTCAACCCACATAAAGTGCAGAAATGGTCCTTCGGGTGGGAAGAAATTCTCATGACACAGTTTCCCTATCGAGTGACGGATTCTCCTTATGGCGCATCAAGCCCATAATATCCCCTGGAGGGTTTTAGCAGATAACTTTGGATATCGCTATACGAGTACGAGGGCTCAAGGCCAAACCAATTTGTTCCCAAAGTCGAAAAACAACCTGGACAAGGATTTGTGCTACTTCAGTAAGGCATTCTGCAAGACACTAGAAGAGCACAGCAAAATTGAAAGAACTAAATATCCCGATGCCATCCGTCCACCGGACGATGATGAGGAGGTCTTCCCCAAACTGGTTGCATATAAAATCAAGCAGGCGATAGAATACAACGAGGAAAAGGCTCCAGAAAATTGCACCACAACGCCACTCGACTCGAGAAAAATGCGATCATGGGTGGAATCTATGTGGGCCCGTGACCCAGGCGTGGATGGACGCGCCCGCAATTATCTGAGCTACGATCAGATTGAGATCATCAAACAACTAGTCATGCACAACGAGATACTGCCCGCGCTTCGAATTGTTGCGCACCCTTCCGTGGAACTAAAACCCGCATGGGAGCGATGGCTCAATGTCCAAATTGACTACGGTCTGAAAGCCTTCTTTTATCTCCCATTAATTTCGTATCTCTGCCTGAATATGCTCTTGCAAAAACCGGAAATATATGATCATACGGTGAAGACACGCCATCTACAATCTCCCCTGCCTGGCATGACAGTTGTGTCGGACACAAGCGTTCTAGATTATCGACTCACTCGCGCGTATCAAATGACCGTCCTCTATTGCACCAATGCAACCCGGCAGTCAACACCTCATCAGGCATTCTTTGGCATTTCACACAATGGTCAGAAACAACATTATAATTTCCTAGATGATTTTGTCCCGAAATGCGGGACCATGTCGTTTTTCGACTTCAAGGCTGCGTTGGAAGTGAGCCAGGAGTATCCTGCACACCCCAATGACGTGGGCGAGATCATCCAAATACTCCAAGCAAAGGGTCTTCCCGCGGAGCTGTGTCTCGGCATTATTAACTGCGGCGGTTTCACACCATCCCGAAGGAGTCTGGTGGTTGACGATCCCCTACATACTGATAATGCGCCAGAGCTGCGGAAATACCTCACGTATTGTTGGCAACTTTTGATCAGAGCCAACGTTGTAATGGAGTCCAAGGGACTACAAATTGATTGGTACCAGGCAGTCGTGTGGAGTATCCAACGATTGTTTATTACGCCGATACAAGTGTCACTAACAAGATGTAGATCATCCATGAGGGATGGTGGCTTGCGCTGGTTACTCCTCGATGAAAAGCTGAGTAATGGATTTTGTACATGTTGCTATAATGTATGATATAATATCGACTTCAATAAGCGAAGGATTTTGTCATATCTTGAGACGATGGGACGCCATTGGACGGCAGTAGAATCATCCATATAGGCTGAAAATGGGAGTCAAGCAGTGGCAATGTCAGGGAGAGGTCCGATGCCACAGCGCCCAAGAGCGGAGCTAGTATGCTAGGATCGGGCGAGTCATTTCTTAGGAGTATAAAAGAAAGCAGTCTCCAGACCGATTCAGCTGGCATTGATCGAGGCAGAGATCCAGGCAACTGGCGGCGGTCACCTGGTCACCACCTGACTTGTAAAGACACTCTGAACAAGCGCACGATTGGCATCGTCCTCATCCTTGGCATCACACAACGGCAAACACAAAACCGACCAGCGCAACGAATGACTGGTCTGCGACAGCCGATGCGCGAGATCCTTGACCGTCCGTGCGGGCCTGCGGGCCCCCAACTATGGAAGATGCGACCCGACCGGCTGCCGACCCAGTCAGGCTTTTGTGATTCGCGCGAATCCCTACATATCATTGATCCATTCACGATGACTCTTGTGCCGTCAGCGCAAATTTCAACGCGGACAGACAGTTCTGGACCCTGGTCAAAACCGGCCAATACGCAAACGTGGCGAGCAAACCCCTGTCTCATGGAGACAGGAGACTTGTCTCAGTTTCAGGACTGGTGAAACACGCCTCTCTGCGGGCGGACGCTTCTCGGCCTGACTGGCTGGTACGAAACGTGGTAGCGAGCTAATCAATCCGCAACGCACATGCCCATTCGCTGCGCTGCAATTAAGCATCGGACACCAGGCTCGATATTTCGATATTTGGCCTTTGCACCGGCCCCATGCTGACCGATGCCACTCGAGCGAGCCCTGGAGTGGCCCGGTGGCTTTACCTAGTGGACTCTCCTTCGTCTGTCCGCGGGACTGGGCATGAGAATTGACCCCCTGAATTCCGACCGTTGCGGCGCTAGCAGCGTAACGAGATGGGATACGATCGAATGAGCATTGGGCGCTGGCGTGGTCTTTCATTTCATTACACCGCTCCCGGCTCCCTGTTCGACCAGTCTGACTGACTGGACCCAAACAGTGACGGCCTAGGGGGGCCATGGCGGGCTGGCCTGAGTCAGGTTTGGGCTGAACCCCAGCGTGGATCAATACGATGGTAAGATAATCAATTCTGTTGACTTCGATCGACCAGCCAACTAATCAATTTTGTTAATAAAGATGCAATGTCTCAGGTACAGAGCTTGGCATAATCGTTTCTCCACACTTGGGACTATACCGCCCGCCGCCACTCCTTCTGACCCTGTTCAATTAAAGAAATTCATTTCGATAAAAGGCCCGGTGCCCTGCACTCGCGCAGTCCTTCTGGACTGGATCTTTGTTTGCTTTAGCACCGAGGCCTTCTGGAAGGCCGTTCATTCCTTTTTTTTCCTTTCTTGATTGGGCTGGAATCTTTCATTTCTGGAAACCCTTTATATCGGTTGTATTTCTTTACGGCAAGTCTGCTCTAAAATTCAGACCTAAGGCCCACAGAATAGGAGATGGCACGAGCTACTACAGTCGTCAAATCACACCCAGCACCGGCTACTGATGCGATATCCTTTCCCGTGTTAACCTATACCGATGCATTGCCCCGAGATGACCTTCATGACCTTCCCGGTGCCAGTCCTCGACCAGTCCCCGAACAAACAAGTGCCACAAGATTCAATTTTCCCCGGCCCCAAATCGCAAACAAGCATGCAGAAGTAAAACAGCCACCGGCAATGACTGCTACGTTTGACTTTCGCTTGACCGCGCCGCCAGATGAGGTTGTTCCAACCAGTGCCAATGCTAAACGCAGCCCAGGAGGAATACCCAGGGTGGGGATCGCTCTAGGTAGTCCTAGTATGCTAGATTCGCGTGACGATCTCCCACCTCCGAGGTTCAATCAGGAGATTTTTGCGCCACAACAGACCGAGCAACCGCCACAGACCCGCAAGCCGAGCAAGTGGAAGAAAATCGGGGGCCTTTTCAGGGCGAAGAATGCACTTACTTCACCGACGGAGCAACTCAAAGAAGGACAAGCGAAAGGGTTACCTGCAAAGTCCAAACAAGCCGAGGGCACGAAGCGGCAAGCCGAACGCAGGGAGTCCACGGAGGAGTGGCCTAAAATCGAAGTCGATTCCACGGCTTCCACGACCACCAAATCTAGTCCGCAAAGGAGCCGCAAGTTCTCACTTTCGGGGAAAAAGGCCGCTCCAAAGGAAAAGCCCAACGATAAAGGTCCTCGGCTGGACGTCAATATCCCCAATATCCAGATGGAGCGTTATAGTGTGATGTTCGGCAATGTGATGAACAAGAACCAGAGACCCTCACTGCTGGCCAGGAGGGCCAAGACTCTAGACAACCTGCGTGTGCCGGATAACCAGGTACGTTGACTGCTGACAGCTTGATGTATCTACCGGTTGTAGATAGGCTGAATGAAAAATACATATGTTAACGACAACCGATCTTGAGTAGGACTTTCTCGCTGCAAAGCTCCCACCTGTTCCACAACGACGAGCCACTTCACCCGCACGATCTAGTTTCACTCTTTTCCCAACCTCCCAACCGTCCAAGGCCGCACTGGTTCTCGGAACCCAAAATTTCTCAAGGGGTCCTAGTCCATCTCGCGGTCCAGCGCCTTTGACAAGGTCGAATACGCTGCCCGTAGAGAGCCCTTCTAAGGTGTCAGCGGAGACGCCGCCTCTCTATCATAATAATAGCAGCGTTTCCTCGTTTGGATCTCCTGGAATTTCCAATCTCTTCAATGATCGTTCGAGTACTCCACGATCATCCCTCGATAAGCCACTTCCGGCCATCAAATCCGATGTCCAACAAGTTGCTCAACCTCGCCCATCCAAACTGGCATTAACACAGACAGTCACAGCGTCCGCAGAATCTCAATCAGCGAAACTAACGAAACGACTGGCGACGCCTCCTGAAACCCAGCAAATACAGCCATCCGCACCATCTCCACATCAAACACAGAAGAGCATACAGAGCTCTTCGCAACAGACAAAATCCCCTCAACAGGTTACCAAGACACCACCACGAGTCTCCAAGTTGCCGGTTGCGCAGGCGCCAAAGCCAATTTTCCAGGAACGGAAGTCCTCACTGCAAGCTCCCAAATTGCAGACCCGGTCATCCAAACAGCAGCTTTCACAAAAATCGAAGCCTTCTACGAAAGAGAGAAGTCCCGTGCAAAAAGCTCATATGCAACCCCCTGCAACACTTCAATCAAGCCCAGAGGCCAGCCGTCCAGTCCGCCCTAACTTGAAAATTCAAACCCAAGCCCCAGCGCCGCCCCGACCGCCGATGAAAGAGAAGTCTTCATCTGGATCGTCACCATCTACCATCCCGTCAGGATTTAACCCCACCAAAAATGCCGTTGACCGAATTATGTCCCCTGGAGGATTCACAGCTAGCCCAATATCGGGAATATCTCCAGCAGAATCTCCTCGCATGCCGCTGGTCGACACAGTTGGAGAAGCTGGCACTGAACCCCATGACTCGGGCATTCAAATACCCACCATCGAGGTGTCTACCGCACGATCCATATCCGTCTCGCGCGGCAAGCGCCAAATACTGGTACCCATTGGATCCCGTGTTGATCAATTCGACTCTAATGAACGATATGTGGAGCGCAGAGCGTTGACCCCCCAAATCACAGGGGTGCAGAGCCGGCATAAACATGCTGTTTCGCAGGAGCTGCAGATTGAGTCTGTTTAACTTTCAACCTCCACCCAACTTTCTCTGGCCATTCTCCATTTATCCCTTTGTTTCTTTCATTCTTTCTTTTTCTTCCAGATACCACTTTTTCCATTTTATTATTCATTACCACCCCTTGTGCATCCGGGCGCATACTTTCCTATCTGCAGTCGGCGAATGGTTCTTTTTAAGTATATAATAATTCAAGGCCTTGAATGGATACGAGACATCTTCATATCTCCAGCTTTTTCTTGACATCATCCTTTCCATGAAACACATACTAAACCACCGATATAAAGGTCCAGGTTCAACTTTGTGAGAGTTCATCTCTGACTTGGTCCTGGAGGAATGTTGGGTTTCAGAAATGGTTGGCACGTCTAGGTCAGATGGCCAGGGTCTCCGAAAGTGTTTTCAACACATTGACCATGATATTCCCTGTGATTAAGAAGAGGTACAGAATAGATTGACAGAAACTTCGGGGATATGTGAAGTCAAGATCGAAGGCGTGAGATAGAAAGAAAAATTGAACTTATCCCAGAAAAGCTTGGTCAGAGGTCGATGGTGATTTCATGTGAGCCAGTCGAACTCATGCCCCAACAGCTCAAAAGCAGGGCGATTTAATAGGAAGAGACAGAGAGGCCTTCGCGTAGGATAGAGTAGATGATAGTACAAATGCATTTTATCCTGACATGTCGAAAGGACAAGCACAGATAGTTATCTAATTTGGGATGTTGTGCTTGGCATGAAGCATGAGAAAACTGTGAGCGAGGGTTCGGAGTGAAACCGAGATCGATTATCACTATATTCTAAAGTTGTGGCATGTATGTGGCTTCGGCTTGGCAAAATACGGAGTATCACATCCAGCACAGTAAATTACGATGGGTATGCGAAGCTGGATTTTCCAATCTTGATATGTTCGAATCGCTTTCGCCTGCTCCATACATGGGAACGGGCTTCAGCATAGGATGGTTATTTGCCGATGTGGCGAATCCTGGGCACCGTCGACGCGGACATTGGAATAGTGGAGCTTATCGCGCCACATGGCGCTTACTCCGTTCGGCCTCATTGTTTGGAACTGGGTGGAATTGGAATTATGCGGCCACAGATCTTCGCAGCAAAATGCCTCTACTTGGACGGTATTTGGTTTTTGACCGAGTCGGCCGCTTTCGGTCGCTTCGAAAGCACGACAGTCAACCATCTGTTTTGGCTGTGGAAAGCATACACGACTCTACGTTGTTGTAGGATTGCTTTATATTCAAGACTGCTCCAGCGTGGAGTGGTTCTGGATGAAATCAACGATTCGATCTCGTCGGCTCGGAAGGGGCCTGGAAGGCCGATAGAAGAACCAAAAACAGCCCGGCAAGAGAATCAAGCTGAGGAAGCGCTAAGCTGCTGACAAAAATAGGTACGACGAACTTGAAGGTCACCAGGGGAGTTCGGAGCAGGCGGAGCCGACCGCCAAACATTTCCCCCTCGATCCCTCGCTAAGGGGCAATTATGGTCTCTAACATTCGCCACGGGCGGCTAGAAGTGCCCAAGTGACTGCTAGCCACTACTTGAATTTCTTAGACTGCTCTCAATGGGCACCCACAGAATAGGGTTATCTTGTCGGAGTTTTATTCCAAGATTCCTACTTGGGTCGTTCGATGTAGTGTTCCTTGGAAGTGGACCTTGATCATCTAGCCAATGATTACCAAGTGACAAGCCTCGCTGCTGAATCTAGTTTAGAGCTGTTCAATAGTGTCAATCCGGTTATCCTGATCCACACTGCGGTGTGAATTGGCCATTTGTGCCGACGATCAATGATATGGAATCCAACCATCGTGGGATATTTCGGCGATTCCGAAATCATCAACAGTTAGCGAGGCCATTCGGATGTTATTATTATAAGCCCCCCTGGCCCTCTAAAAAGACGCTGTCATCACGATTTTATGACCACCCAGTGAGGAATTGTCACTCGTTTCTGCCACTCACTTCTGTCCCTCGTTCACTTACTTGATTGACTTGGGCTATTATAATTCGTTATACCCTTAATTATAATTCTTAGGAGTGGCATCCAATCTTCCTGCTTCATCACCATCGATTGACCGATCAAGATGTGGCTCCGGTCACGCCCCTGGATCCTTTTATTCCTCTTCAATTCTATTCTAGTTGCAGCGGAAGAAATTGTCACCTGCACAAGTTTAGATACGATCGAGAATGGGTCATTTGAAGATGGAAGTACGAGCTGGGGCTTTGCATCGGGCACTTCAGGATCCGTGGTCAGCGGAGATGCAGCAGACGGAGACTACTATGTACAAACGTCGGCTACCTCAACAAGTGTTTCGGTTCTGCTCTACCAGCGTCTCTCCAACTTGCTAGCTGGAAATACATATGGGGTTTCCTTCGAATATCGTGTTGTTCCAAATTCGAATTCACAAAGCATGACCTGCTATTTCAAGATGTACATGGATTCTTTTACCACGGCTGGGCTTCTTGCCCAGACCAGCATCTCGGTTACCTCTTCGACCACCAGTTGGAGCACCCTCTCGGGGTCATTCACACCAACCAGTTCCGGGACCCATACATTTGAGATCTATGGATACTGTACGGGTTCTACAACCTATGCTGGCGCTGCAATCGATCTCGACAATATTATCATCTCGGGAACAACTTCCAGTACATGCACCACATCGACTGTGACGCCCAGCCCTACCCCAACACCAACAACATCGCCATCCTCAAGTCTATCCAGTACATCAGCTATTGTATCGAGTGCTGCGCTACAATCGTCTTCAGTCGCTGTTGGCTCTAGTTCGTCCGTCATCTCAAAGTCTACGCCAGCTATCATATCGAGCGCTGCACTGCAATCGTCTTCAGTCGCTGTCGGTTCTAGTTCGTCCGTCATCTCAAGGTCTACGCCAGCTATCGTATCCAGTACTGCACTACAATCGTCTTCAGTTGCCATCCGTTCGAGCTCGTCTGTCATCTCAAAGTCTACGCCGGCGAACGTGCCCACGTCTACCAGTTCACCGTTGAAACACCTATCTACCTCTATCCCTAACAGGCCAGCTAGCTCGATGTCCATTCCTTTCGTGTCCAAACCTCCGTCTTCTTATTCCAGGACTGCAAAGTCTCGATCTGCAACCCTGTCTGCCTCTGTGCCTCCGGGATCTGCAGCCCCGTCTGCCTCTATCCCCCTGGGCCATGGATCTTCTTCTACTACAGTAGCTAGCAGCGAAACCTACTCAAAGAGCCTCTCAGTTTCATCTGCAACAGCTGGCACCACGGATTTTTCTACTACTGGACTAGCGACAACTGTCCCGGTTCCAGGATCTACCTCCGACGAAGACCAATACACTACCTCAACGGTCTTCAGTACTCGTACCGCCACCATCACAGCTTGTCCTTCTAGTGTGACCGACTGTCCAGCTCGAGAGAAAATTACCCGCACCACGACGGAGACAATTCTCGTTTCGACAACTGTCTGTCCAGTCTCCGCGGCTGAGACAACACATACAGTTGAAACTGGATCCGCTGGTATTGGCTCCGGCACGGATAGTGAAAGTTATACCACTTCTACCATTTTCAGCACTCGCACGGCTACTATCACAGCATGTCCATCCAGCGTTACAGACTGCCCTGCGCGTGAAAAGACAACTTATCTCACAACAGAGACAATTCTTGTGTCTACAACTGTCTGCCCAGTGACTGCAGCTGAAGCTACCGCCACTGTGACTGCCAATGAGAAAGGAACAGATGTCACCGACAAAAAATCTGTGGTATCCAGTACTATCTACACTACCTCTGGTGCCGAAGAGACCATTGCCCCTTCACCAAGCGACAGCTCCAAATCCAGCTCTAGCTCCGAGTTCCTGGATTATACCAATGCATCAAGCTCCCCCTCCAGCGCGTCAAACGTGTCGATCAGTCCTGGGCTTGAATTTACCACTATTCCTGTGGCTGTCCCTTCTTCAGAGGCCTCCGAAGTTGATGCCACTAAGAATTCCTCTCTTGGAACGAGTCACATCCAGGTTTCTAGACCTACTGTGACAATTGTTCCTGTTGGGTCCCACGATTCGACCATGATCAAGCTTGCAAGTTCTTCAACTTCTAAAACAATTCCCTCCTCATCAAGTGCCCACGGAGGCCAAGTTATCTCCTCAACCACCACCCCAGGCACCCCCTTGTTCACCGGTGGCTCTGTGTCGCAATACGGCGTCGTCTCGATGAAGCTAATTTCCTCGTTCTTGCTCCTCGCTGGCCTGGCTTTTGTGATGTAGATCATGGCTGATACTTCATCAGAACACTTTAATTCGCCTACTAATTTACTAGAATAATATCTCAAATCAATGATAATTCTATCTCTTCTATTTACCTTTCCATCGATAAAGACTCTGTCTCATGGCAGGAATTGTAAATTCACATTTGAATTAACACTTATAGATATTGATAAGCAATAAACAAGCTCCGAAATCAATCACATGGATATTGAATATTAAGAAAACTTACTAAGGTTTCATGGTCGCTGGGGGTTGGACTATGAATTAAGAAATACCGAGATTGAGGTTGAAGATGAATGTCAACAGAAGTACTGAAATATATTTCTGAACACACTGGATTCTCTTGGAGTGGAGACAAGCAACAGGGGTAACGGAATAGTAACCGATCAGATTCTGGCGGAAAGAACCTCCAAGGGAAAGAAATCTACTGGATATGCACCCCTCCTCTAGTGAAGGTTCTGCTATTACGGACATACATAGTATGTCCGTCCCTTGTAATGTCGCGACTGAGACAGAAATGGCTGCCGACGCTTTCCGGTCGCAGGGAAACACCTAGAATGACAATCCCAGCGAGCTCCGCCCTAGATTGTGATTTGTTGTGTCCCGGATAATCTGCGGCTATACCAAGCCACCATAAAATGATTCGATGTCAGCAAATAAACGAGACTTGTCTGGGTCATCACGGTATACAGGAACGCGTTGTGCCGCTAAGTGTGACCAAACGCCACCCGGCGTATCGGGCCAGACACAGACATGTTTGTAGTATTATTCTGTGATGCATGTAGGAAAATCTATGGCTCCTAAATTCTGCAGAAGTCTCACCTCGGCGTTATTCTGCATGCAATGCGTCTGAGTGGGGGACAAGCATAGCCAACTCGGTTCAACGACAGGGCAAACCGGGAAGGTCTTGAGTCCGCTGTTCGCTGTTCCTAGGAGTATTTACTCGATGCCAAGGCATTCCTGGATTTACCACGTGGAGTCCTTCAGAATTATCGTTGATCCTGATCACAGCGATAGCAGCTCTCAATCATTCACTAATTGACGCTTGTTCCTGGTCCAACATTGAGAATCCACGCAACTGCGAGTCGATGGCGCCTCAGAGAAGGGGGCCGTTAATTTGTGTTCGCGTTAGCCCCCAATTGTGCTCTCGACACCAAGCCCAATCCACGACTCTTCAACCTGTTAATAGCAGAGAAAGGGGGCCGCAGGATCACCCCGTGACGAACGACCTTGACGATGCCTATCTGACCATCAACTTGCTATATTCTCACGGCCCCGGAACTACGCGCCTGGGGGGCTAGCTTCGTGTGATGCTCATATTGTTCAAGGCGGCCCCTCTTATCACAACTCATCTATCAGAATGAATGCCTATATTATCAACAGTGTCACCCTGGTCCTTAGAGGTGTCTCAATTCGACTTGGCAATAAAACATCGTCAGTCTTCCAGGGATGAGCATTGAGACGGTCGCGGATATCCTAGGCCCAGCACCAGCCGGTCTGGATCTGTCGGCTAGCCGGACAACCCAGGATAACGCGATCGTGATTAGCCTTTCAGCTTTGAGTCTTTTTACCGTGATAATTCGGTTTATTGTCCGTCTCCGAAGCCCCAATTCGAAGTTTGGACCGGATGATTGGTTGATTGCCAGTGCTCTGGTAAGTGTTCACCAGCCGATCTTTGGTTCAATTCACCTAATTTCTGCATAGATTCTCCAAGCAGTCCTGCTAGCATGTTCCCTCATTGCGGGAGAATGGGGCATGGGGAAGCATATTTGGACAACTACGATTCCTAAGGTTGTGAAAATGAAACAAGTAAGCCACGAGCATCCTTCATCTCGACCGGCTTAACTTACAAATCTATGGGTAGATCCTCCTCGCCTGGCTCATTATCTATATATTTGAGCTTTTCCTCATCAAGGCCTCGATCCTGATGTTCTACCGCCGTATCTTCGGTATGAACTGGACCATATGGGCGTGTCTGGCCATCGCATCGGCATGGGCCCTAGGAAGCCTCATCGCCCTGCTGGTCTGTCCGGCTCCTATTTCGTATTTCTGGACAGAGTATACTGCTCCGACAAGTGGGAACTTTCGTTACAATTTTTACAACTATTATCTTGGAAATGCGGCTGGCAATGTAGTCAGTGATGTGCTGATTCTTCTCGTCCCGTTCCCGATCGTGTGGAGATTAAAGATGCGAGTGACGCAAAAGATCATGGTGTCAAGTGTTCTTTTACTGGGTATCTTGTAGGTTTGCCAACAACCTGCGGAGGAATCTCTCCATTGTGTTCCTGTATCACTTTGGCTAATATTCTCTCGCTGTGTTTAGTGTTTGTGCCGCCAGTATTGTCCGCCTCCACTATATCACGGGCCTTAACACTGTCGATCTGACCTGGGCTATGAGCAATGTATACGTTTGGTCAGATGTCGAGCCCTGTCTTGGAATCATCTGTGCCTGTCTCCCGGCCGTGCAGCCTATTGTGCGCTCTATCATGAAAATGGAACATATTCTCCTTCTCCGCAGCAAACTACGCCGTTTAAGTGCACAAGCACAACGGTCGAATGAAATACAGCTCCGGAAGAAAGAGGAATATGTCAGTCATCACGATCATAGAATCACTTCTCTCACCCCAGTCTACAGTCCTGAGGGTAAACCAGAAGGTCTACGCACGTATTATGATGATACCCCAGATGAGGAGGAGAGGAGGCTTACGACCATGATAACACATATAGAGTCAAACGAGTCGAGGAGGCTACGAGAAAACCTAGAGGAATTTTTGGGTTCTGGGTTCATTCGAGTGCAGCACGAGGTTGTGGTGAACATAGATTGACTCGTCCCGATGTAGTATTTCGCTATCTAATTTGATTAATCCTTTATTTTGCTTCTGTGGCACGTTCGAACGGTCCAGGCCAGGCTCCATCCAGTCACTGAGCAGGCAAAAATGGACGCGATAACTGTAGCGCGAGGCTATCGTCCTTATTCGACAATTCTGAGGTTGTGCAAAAATGGAACAGGCCGCGAGAACACATCCCCTCGACCAGTCCAACTTAGAATTGATGTATGTTCATTCAAATATGAAAGAAAAATTAATCCTTCAGGGAGACACTGGAGGATGGTTCAACAACCTGTGTATGGGCATCAGAGCCCAGGCCCACCTCCACATTGGACAGTGTCCACTGCATACCAATATACGAGTCACTAATGAGTTTGACATTCACTCGAGCCGTGCCATCGGTCACCAGAGACGAGGAATTCGCAAGGGCGGTGCTGGGGAACTTGACCGTCGAGCGAATAGTCAACACTGCGCCACCATTCTTGTCATTGCCCCGGGTTGCATCGCTCTGGCTAGAGCTAGTGGAGGCAGTGCCTGAACCGCGGAAACGGCTGTTGTGAGTCTTTTTGGAGTGCGGAGGCCATGAAACACGCTTTAACCCAAGCAATTCTCCCTCACTACCGTCTGATCCGACACTGCAAACAATCAAGAAGAAGCCTTCGGTTTGCGGCTTGGGGAACTTCGGGCCATAGATACGGTAATCCGAGTTAGTGGCTGGGTTGCGTCGCGCGATGGACACGTTGATTCCCTTGGCGGAAATTCCAGCGACTGAGATGGACACATTTGGCAGCTGTGAATATGCCCGAGTAAAGTGACCGGGCAGATTGAGCTTCTTTACCATGCTGACTACTGCAGAGGATGTCTGGGAGCATAAGGCCACAAGGGAAGATGGAAGGCCGCGCGGAGGGTTTTCGGTATCCACACCAGGGAGAATAGATAGAGGATGGTCCTCTGGCCAGCGCGCTGATTTGATACACTGAAGCAGAGTGATCAACATCTGACATGCAGGAATATACCCAAGCTCTGCCATGACATCGATTGAGGCTTGAATGATTCGAATACCTTGGTCAAGAACAGACGTTTGGTCACCGACATAATCCGATATTGGGAGGTCGATTCGGGACATATAAGCCTGGAGGAGCAAAAAGGCTTTGACGTGAGGATCCCATAAGGGAATGTCACCCATGCAGTCGATGGAAAGAGGAAGGTGCTGTGCCATTTCCGCATTGATGAGGTCTTCATTGTGTCGGACGGGCAATTCATCAAATTCAGTCGCTGAACACATCCAGCTCAGGACGTCTTGGAAAGTAGGTTCTCGCTTGGCATGCGACATCAAGTAACGGATTGTCTTGTGCGACAGGTAGTAGTAACTCATGATCTTTCCGAACGGAGTGGAGTCAACTTCTCCAGTAGCAGAATCCACAAGGACACAAGAAGACTCAGCTAGGTCATCTAGCGACTTGTCAACCAACTCAACCATAAAGTCCTGTGCAATCGCTTGAGCGGCCATATTGTGCTGTTCCTCAGCGGAAATTTCAAGACCGTAGTATGAAGGATTTTTGTGAAGTCTACGGAAGAAGAAAGTCCATGTGAGATAATCAAGCGCATCCTGTTTCGTACCAATGGTACCAGCAGATACTTCTGCGCCCAAATGATTGTCCAGAACCTTATGCAGAGTTGACTCGACTGGGAAACCAGTATGGAGGAAGTGCTTGTAGAATGCTTTCTTGGCATCCTGCGTGAAAATTCGAGCGATACCAGAGTTATCAAACTGCGGACGACCAGCACGACCCAACATTTGTAGGACGTCAGTCAGGTCCATGTCCCGATATCCCTCAATCTTAGCGTCGAAGAACTGGGTGCCCTTGACGACCACAAGGTGGGCAGGAAGGTTGACACCCCAAGCAAGCGTACTGGTAGCGACCAGAATTTGGATCTTGTTATTGGCAAACAACTCTTCTGCGAGCTGTCGGTCGGATTCAACAAGACCAGCGTGATGCAGGCCGATGCCAAAATTAAGAGCTTCTCTCAAAGCGTCGTCCTTGACACGAGCGAGATTTGCTTCCAAATCATCTTCGGACATACGAACGAAACGACGAGGATTATCTTCCATTCCGCAGTAATTGATCAGGTCCTTTGCCGTTAGACGGGTCTGCCGACGAGATGCTACAAACACAATGACTGGCTTCTCTGGCGAGTGATTTTTGATGGCCAAAAAAGTCGGTCTGTTCATGGACTGCATCAGAGGGCAGAACCCGCGTTGCTCGGGAAAGCCATCAATGAAGATTTCAAGAGGCACAGGGCGAACAGAGTGACGGAAGTTATACAGTCCCTCCTTGACGCCAAGCCAATTAGCAAGATCGCTAGCATTAGCACAGGCGGTGGACATGCCCATGAGTCGAACAGAACCCTTCGACTGGGAGGCAATATAGTTCATCCGAGAGACGATGATTTCCAAAATAGGACCTCGGTCTCCGCCAAGCAAGTGAATCTCATCGATTATCACAAGACTGACCTTTCGCACGTAATCTCTAGTTTGCCAACTACGAGATATACCGTCCCATTTCTCAGGAGTCGTGATGATGATGTCTGCATCTCGAATAGTTCGAGTGTCAGGAGTGTTATCGCCTGTCAACTCGACAAGCTTTAGTCCCATAGGACCTGTGAGACGTTTCCGCCAATCCTGAACACGCTCGCGGACGAGCGCTTTCATAGGCGCAATGTAGACAACCTTCGAACCGGGCTTCTCACGGAATGCCCACCACATTGCCAGCTCAGCCGCAACGGTCTTTCCACTACCGGTGGGTGATCCAAGAAGTACATTGGCTGGTGTATGATATAGTAGGTGGAAGATCTGCGTCTGCATGGGGTTGAAGAACTGGAAGCGTTGCCCGTATAGCTCTTCCAAAATTGGATTGTTCAAAGCAGAAATAGGAAGCGGCTGCAGATTCAGCAAGTCAGTGTAGACACTTTCAGTGTCAGGACGAATCAAATGCTGGAAGGAAACCGGAGTGACAGTTTCCGCCCCAAGCCAGCGATCGGAGATCAAGCGGACGTAGATCTGGCTAGGCAGAGGGTCTGAGAGCGGGATCGTAAAGTTAAGTTCATGATCGTCATAGAGTTTCTTGCGACTTAGGATAAAGTATTCGTGGTGGTAGATCTCGGAGGTCTCAGAGTTCTCAACCCAGACCCAGAATGACTCGGATGTGCCGTGGTGGCGGTCATTCCAGCTGAATTCGGGGTATATTGAAAGGCGAATACGAAGAACATCACGGTTGAGAGGGGCAATCTCGGTCTCGACGCTCAGAGTAGGGAAATTATCCAGTAATTTGCCCAGGACCTTGCCCATCTTGTGATTGTGTACAAGCTGGCCAACTTCCGCAGTTTCCATCTCCCGCATGGATTCAATTGAAGAAGAGGGCAATTTTTCATCCAGATTTCTCAGAATTGGCTGGGGTAGGTCAAACTGGTGAAAAGGGTGATCGAAGGGCCAGATTTGCTTCTCAATGGATTTGCACATAGAGAGAAGGACTTGGCATTGATAGCCCCATCGCCGGTTCAACGCGATCATAAAGAGAGCCCGGCAGATACGAGCCGCATTTTGGGCCACATATCCTGTGTCGGAGACCAAAGCGAAATCCTCAATCTTGGCACGAGATATGTACGACTGAAGCAAAATATTCGTCTTGGCATGAGGGGAGTCATTTCCCCCTTCAACTTCAGTCTGGATCGCCTCATCTCGTAAACGTTGCAACTCCTTTGACTCGCTGTCTCGCGACTGAATGTTGTCAAATTCGCCGCTCATGCTGATCATCTTGAGGACATCTGCTTCACCAGCCCTAGGACGCATCATTGTATTAAAAATCTCGATACTTGTCTGGAGAACGTAATATTGACTTGCGATGCGACCGACATCCTTAGCCTTCAGATCCTCTGTCTTCTCATTGAAGATAATCATTTGGCTCTTTTGAAGTGTCTGGGCCGCCTGGATAATCAACTGTCGACGTCTTTGAACCAGCATCGGATCGTCACGAAGTTCAGCGAACTCAATACCATAGTTTCGAGGCTCCCGTTTCATGCGGACGAACAAGTATGAGTACCCAAGCCATTGCACGGCTTCTGGCACCGAGGTGACGGTTCCGAGCGAGATTTCCGCGTTCAAATTGTCCACGAGCCGACTAGAGAATCGAGATTCAATGGGCTGCTGAGCCGTGACAGCATTCAGGTAGTGGTCGAGCTTATCATGTGTTGTACAGATAAAGCCAATACCGGTGTCCTGAAACTGGGGTCGACCGGCACGACCGAAGATCTGCAACACGTCGAGAATGCTGAGATCAACAAATTTACCCTCCTGTGGGTTATACAGCTGCGTTCCCTTGATGACAACCGCAGCTGCGGGCAAATTGACACCCCAAGCGAGAGTGGCGGTACAGCATAGTACCTTGATGAGGCCCTCGGAAAACATTCTTTCCATCAGGTTACGGTCACTGCGACTCATTCCAGCATGGTGTGTTCCGAACCCACTAGCAAAGAGGTCGCGTAATTCGCGAGCACGTGCATGTTTCATATCGCGAAGGGCAGAAGAGTAGTTCTCATGCTCCTGGCAAGAAAACAAGTCTTCACAGCCCTCCTCGGCTGCGAGTTGTTTCAACATGCGAGCAGTCATGACGGTGTCTTTGCGAGAGTGGACAAATACCATAACCTGGTGACCTCTTTGCACCATATCACGGACCTTTTCAAAGGCGACGGTATCAATGTTTTCCCTGGATTCTTTGGACCCGGGCTTGCCCTTGACACCAATAAAATGTTGCTCCAGAGGCACTGGTCGGAATGACGAGTCGAAGAAAAACAAGCCGGCCATCTTGTTCACTTTCAAAAAGTCGGCCACATCCACATAATTCGGCAGAGTTGCAGACAGGCCCACAATGCGAATTAAGGACTGTGTGCTTTCGACCTGACGCTGAGTTCGAGCGACCAGAGATTCGATGACGGCTCCACGTTCATCGTGAAGCATGTGTACCTCATCAATAATGAGTAGTCGTACCTTCTGGACCAACTCCGTGTCGCCAGTGCTCTTGCGTGTCACGACGTCCCATTTCTCGGGGGTAGTGACAATAATCTGGGTTTCCACTATCTCCCGCTTGGTTAACTGCATGTCACCTGTTAATTCGCGTACCTGGATTCCTAGCCAAGCCAGGCGTTTCCCAAGCTTTTCGGTCACTTCGGCCGCGAGAGCCTTCATCGGCGCAACGTAAACAATTTTGAAGTCGTCCACTTGGACAACAAAATCAGTGGCATCAGGCTCATCCAATGGGTTTGGAACAGTATTCTTCCCGATCGCGTTCAGGATCGTCAACATTGCAGCATCTGTTTTACCGGCGCCGGTTGGGGCACAAATAAGCATGTTCTCACTTGTTTTGTATGCAACATCATAGAGCAAGCTTTGCATGCGATTCAGGGCTTTATAGCCCTTGAAAGTGCCCCGACAGAGGCCATCCAGTCCAGCAATCTCCACCAATTTCTGGTTCTTGGAAACCGCACCAACACTAGAAGCCGGAATTTCATGCTCGGTATACTTGGGTTCCTCATATGTCTTGCTGCCGACTGGGAGTCCATATTTCTTTCCAGTCACGGAGAGAGTGTTCCCAGTCGAGTTATGAAGTTTGTAGACATGGGGATATACCGGCTCGGTCCGACTTTGGGCTGGCATCAGAGGCGCATGCTTGTGTTGGAAATCTCTTTCCCACAGAGTTTGCTCCCTCTCCGCTCTTGTTTGAAGTCTTCCTGCTGCTAGTCCATCCGTTTGTGCCTCCACTTTCTGGCCCTTGTCCGAGAGAATTTCCGACCGGTGGGCGATGAGTTCAATGACCAGATCTAAGTCCTCAAACCCCACAATCTCAGCCAAGGACATCTGCAGCTCAGTGTCGTCACTATCGGTAGCCAAGGTTGCAAATATTTGTTGAGCTAGGTCTGTTGCGTCCATCGAGCTTCGAGCGGCGACATCCTGGCATCTCGTCTTCAGCCAGAGCTGGTCGTAACCGGATTGTTGGGGGAGAGAAATACCGCTCCATTCGTCGAAATCATCGCTGATCTCGTCATCGGAGCTGATTATATCCCATACATCGTCCACTGTCCCAGGTGAGGAATAATCGTCGTCAATATCCAATTCCACGTCACTTCCATAGCTATTCGGGCCAGTGGGAATATCCTTTGGAAGATTCAGGTCGGCGATAGCCTGGCGCATTGCGGCCAGTTGTGAAAGCCATTGCGACTCGGTTGATGCAGCGATATCCATGTCGTTCGAGGGCTCAGGAGATCGTGTTGTGTCTGGGCTGTCGAACAGACAGCAAAACGCGAAGAAGTTGCGGGGATGTCAACGGGGTCCCAAGAAGGCAATAGGGCTCCGCTGCAGGGCTCCACCGGTCGAACGGGCGGTGTGAATTGGCTGCCTGAGGCCTGAATTGCGGAGACCCTCTGCCATCATCGTTGTTATCAGGAGTTACACCCTGGCCAGCGAACTTTCCGGTTTACTTTCCTCCTACATCGACGTGGTTTACGAGGAATTTTCCTGCTTAACACCCCGAAGCTCGAGTTACTCACGCCTCGAATCCTCGACCCCCCTCGGCCATTTGTCCTCTCACTCCTTGTCTCTTGTGCGAACAACTGGATCTTCCCCGCCACCATGAAGATTCTCTATATGGGCGTATGTCTCCCTGCGCGATGGAGGCTACTGTGGGGGTTTATACACCAGTGCAAACTAATATGATCGTCGGGGTAGGTTCTGCGGAACGATACTCAGCCTGCTCTCCAGCTATGTGGTGAGAAGGACCTTACGAGGTAAGTGTTGAATCCGACCATCAATGCCGAGTTAGAAATAGAAATTAACGCCCGCTAGCTTTTCGCGATTTACTCGTGGCAAGTATGTTTATCTAGTCCCTTAATTTGTTATTCGTTCCCGGTTGTTGATCATCTGCGACATTCACAGCTATGAGGAGTTCATGATGCTCTTCTGCAAGACAGTCGCCGAGCGCACAAGCCCCGGCCAACGCCAGGATATTGAGGAGAAGTCATACACGTTCCATGCCTACGGCCGCACCGAGGGTGTTGCTGGTGTCATTGTAACCGATGGAGAGTATCCGGCGCTGGTGGCGCACCAGCTCCTGTCTAAAATTGTCGACGAGTTCCTCGCCAAGCACCCTCGCACAGCCTTCTCCGATCCGACTCTGGCTGAAAACGCCTGCCCACTGCCCCAGCTCCAGGAGTATATTGTCAAGTATCAGGACCCCAGCCAGGCCGATAGTATCATGAAGATCCAACAAGAGTTGGATGAGACTAAAATTGTTCTTCACAAGACGGTATGTCATTTGAGTCTGCCGTCGCGCCACCTCCAAGATCCTCGTAATTTTCTGACCTCCCCTAGATTGAAAGTGTGTTGGAGCGTGGTGAGAAGATTGACTCCCTGGTGGCCAAGAGTGATGGGCTCTCGGCCCAGAGCAAAATGTTCTATACCCAGGTACGAATACTCACAATGACGCTCTCTCTTCCCCCCCTGTGTGTATGTGTTCTGCTGCTTACCCGCGTTTTTTTTTTTTCAGGCCAAGAAGCAGAACTCCTGCTGTATTGTGATGTGAGCGGCTATACGTGGTTGGATATCTGGGGCTAACCTTGACGGCCATGGCATTCTCTCCTGCTGGGTTTCACTTTATTCATGTAATCGACACGTTGATGCTACGTATGATTGTTCTTGTGCTGTTTATTATCTCTTGGATTCCATGCGGCCTCGGCCGTATCAGATCTTTGATTCCCTTCCCTTGTATCCTGCTCCCTCTCTCGTTGTGGCGGATGACTCCCGTTTGCATTATTCAAGGTTTACTGTACTGTTTGCCACGACGATCATGCGATCATTCTCCATTTCTCTATAGAAAGGTCCTATCATGAGACTGCGCTTCATAATGAACATTTTGTGCCTTCTACGCATCCACATCCTGCCTATTCAAAACCCATATCCGGCGTGATCGAGGGTCTAATCCGGTCCGAATCAGATAAAGAGGGTGGTTGGCGTCTTTGATGGAGGATCCCAGCTTGAGACGGTTCCGACACAGAAGCTGTGCCATTGTCATGACTGGACGACTGGAGAACCTAAGGCTAGCGGCAGAATACGGTGTTGACCGAGTCAGATGCTCTGTTTCCAAACTTTCGCCATCCTCTCTTCAGAGACCGTCAGCTCTCTGTTCACATGTTCAGATACAGCATTCTTCGCGAGACATTATCACAGGGTCCTCTGGGGTGTCTTCGCCAAAGCCCCTTGGATTTTGAGAGGCTCGGGGTTTGATTGAGCGAGATTTCCGCTGTACGAGCGAATTGCGAACACGGATGGCTGTCGGCGGGACAATCGAGGCAGTCACTGCATAAAGGTCGCTTGGGCATTGAAGCATGTTAGGCCAGTGAGGTAATCACTCTGTTCCATGATGTCTGTAGAGGGGAAGTCAGGGCTATTCGGTGCGATAAACATCACGTTCACCCAACCAGGCAGCAGTCGTTGTGAGTTACTCGATCGGTGAAGCAACTCCAGCCAAGCCTTCCAGATACTTTGCTACTGGGTTAGTACAATTCTTCCTACCGTGATGATAAAGTTGATGAAGCCGGACTGCTTCTCTATCTGCGGAATCTTCCTCAACTGCTGTCTGATGAACCGAATTTCCTGCTGTCAATTTGGCGAAATTGAAGCTCATGAAAAGAGCCGAAGGGGATACTCCGTCTGATGAGAGAGGAACCCGGCGCGAGATAGTTCAACACGCAGGCAGGCATAGGGGGAAGTATGACAGATATACCAGAGAGCGCGGACCACAGCATGGAAGTATGGAATCAGATATCGGAGGTATTGTCATTTTCTTTCATTTGCGCAGCGCGAACCCACAAACTACCACACATAAAAATTCTTCCACGGTTTGACCTCCATATGGCCTTTAGGAGGGGCGAGAGTTGAGCTTTTCCCGACTTCTGCCAGACGTTGAGCAATCGACCAAAACTATCGGTAGCAAACTCTTGGTCGTCCATATGATCATAAAACAAAGTAGTTCATATTTTGAAAATTTAGGCCCGGTGTTCAACAAGTGTCTCCGTGGCGCAATCGGCTAGCGCGTCTGACTGTTAATCAGGAGGTTGGAAGTTCGAGCCTTCCCGGGGACGTTGGCATATCTTTTTGGCTGCGTTGTACTGGTGGGAACTTGCGTTCGTATACGCTAGGCCCTATACCGTAAAAAATTTTGCTCCAGGGCTCCGCACCACACTCTTGATCATCTCCTTCTCGCGCGAAACAATACTACAGTGCCGACCGTTACTGCCTCCCATGCGAGGGAAGAGTGAAAATTTGTTTCAGACACTAATCACATGATAAGCCAAATCAATCATGGCTACCTCCGTATTTTGATTTTGTTCTAGGTTTGCAAGGTCACAAGCTTGACAGTACAGGACCTGTGTAGACATGTACTGTTTCATATCCAAAATGACACCTGGCATAGTCCAAAAATAGCTACCTCCTCTATAGTGTCGTTTATACTCTTTCCAATCTGGCTAACAGCAGTCACCCAAATCACTAACAAAGGGCTAGAAACGTCCATTCGTGGCAGCGTAAGATGATTTCTATATTATGTGGAGCAAACGCACCAGCGCCAGCGAGGGTTAATGTCATTTGCTTAGCAGCAAAGCTGAACAGGTAGGCCCCGCAGTGACCTGATTTGCGAGCTGCCTTGCTCCCCTCAGCAGCACCCCTTAGTAGCTGCTTTCTTTTCGGCAGTGTGCATATTGCCTCGCAGTATAGATAAAATCTGATCAGCGTATAAGAGGGTTAACAGAGTTTGGTCAATATAACAGTGAAATCATGAATGAACTTCCAACGCACTCTGCTGTTTTTAAATGGTCTAGGAAAGAAGCGAAAAGATTGGCTAGCCAAAAGGCCTGCTCCACATCACCCATCAAGCGTAGGCTCGTGCATCGCCCAATACCATGTGACCCCAGGTCTTGCCCTTTCAACCTGCGGCCCTGCGTTTTAGGAGCACAATCTCTGCTCCATCCCGATCGATCGGACTAAACTGTTCATAACAAAGGTATCCAAGTTATGGCGAGGCTGAATATCCCCTGATGCTTCCATTAACTTAGACAAAGCTGACGTTTCAGGGCTACAGTACCCATTTTATTGTTGGTGTGTTTTCGGATTACTCATATGCCTCCCCATTCATTCTTCAGTCATTTCAAAGTGTGATCTTTCGAAATTTCCCGCGACATTCTTATAGTATCGCCATGTATGACCCCGCATTCAATATCAAAAGTGGCAACCTTTGTCTTTCTCACCTATTGTGGAACAACTTGGAGCATTGCCAGTTTCTTGCGAAGCTGGAAAATACTCTGGGGGTCCCTAATGGCCGTCCTTACAAGGACAATACTAGACCGCTGGAGAATGCTAAGGAGAAGCTCCACCATGCCTATCAAGTCAACCAGCGCGGAGAATATTGTGAGGGAATATACCTGATCTCTCTGAAGACGACAACAACCAGTCTATCTGCTTCTACGGGCCTCAAGAATGCTGGCTACAATAATCAACAATGTAGAACGGAAGAAGACGCGGTGATGATCGGCTGTATCAGCTTAACCGATTGGAATCGTTGGATTCCAACTCACTCCATGGAATTATTCGTCTCCATTTTACCCGAATACCAAGGCCAGGAGAGAGGCTTAGAAGCAACTCGTGCATTGTTACAGTTTGCCAAACAAAAGTACGGAGTCACGGAAATTTGGGCATTTATTCATTTCGTTGGCTGTATTGGGGCACCTCGAAGTTTCATGGACAAAATTGGTCTACAAGATAAGGGTTGGGCCAGGCGGTACGGCTTACCTGGGGTTATTTATGCAACAAGTAAGATGAACAAGGAGGCAATTATGGCAGAAGGCTCTCCTATCCAATATGATGAAAATCTAATGGACTTAAGTGCATAAGTGAAGCGCTCCTAATTGAGCAAGCAGTACTTGTCTCACCATAAAGTCGCCGCCTTCTGCGACCAATTTCTGCACACTCTACCATGAACTTTCCTCGGATAGCTTGCTGTGATTTAGCGGTACATATAGGGAGAGCATTTCTCGAGCTGCATCTTCCACTTTCAATTTCATTGTTGAGTCATATATGAGGCGTATGGCATCTGTAGACGCAGAAAGAATGGGTCAGTTGGTGTACCACATCTGACAAGCCGCGTAGGGCGCTGTTAAGGCAAAGTCTCGAGCCTGGAGAACAACAATTGAGCAACTAGAAACCAAGATGGAGAACAAGGACACGCCAGACTCTCTTGGGCGAGAAAACCTGGTATTAGATAAAGGGAATCGACACATTTACCAATAGTCGCCTAGTTTCCTCGCGTTGCATGGAACCTTCTAGTCATGAGACTTGTATTTCTACTCAAAGGTACAATAGTAGGTATCGTTATAATGTACGAATGAGGTCGAATATTTACGTTAAATTCATATAAGGCGTAGCATCACATGTGACTAAGGTGTGAGTCGGTATCTCTATATCATGATATGGAAGGCAATAACAGCCGCCACTGTACTTCAGATCAAGAGCGAGAGCAAGATCTTGCACTGATCAAAATGCGTCCACTGATAGTTTAACCGATCCTGATTTTTGATAAATATCCGGTTTCGAAATAGAGGCCGACGACATCTTCCATACGACGGTTGCTAATTGTTGACTTCGGGCCCTTGCATCCAATGGAGATAGGGCGGGCCGTCCTTATTCCCATCACGAACCATTCACTCAGAACCACAAGAGTAAGGAATTCAAGGCACCCTGTCGAGAAGACTGCATAATACCGCTAAGACCCACTTTCCCCCGTGTGAGTCAGATTGTTACAGGGATGCTCGATTCCCTACATGTTTTGTATGGTATTCCGGGTAGACTCGGAGTACAGCGCCGTAACGCGCTAGACCGCGAGGCAGAGGATATTCAACATTCCCCCGCCTACACACTTAGATAGTTCAGTTCACTCAGTCACCCAATATATCGCTATTTTGAGCATCTCATTCCATTGGATCCCAGCTTTCCTAGCCTATACCGTATCCTACTATATTGACACACCCTTTTCCCATAGCACGAGCTAGGGCTCACGATTGGCCCTGAGATCAGTCGCCACACTTTCGTCAGGTATATCGCGCTCATATTCCCTACGTTGATAAGACCCAAGTGGCATGGAGCAAAATTCGGCACAGCACTCTGACAGATTATACAACAAAATTGAGAAATATATATATCTATTGGAATGTGATGAAAGATTGAAACCAATAGCAATGGATCTGTACTTTGATAAGAGGAGGAAAGAAAAGGTGGAACACTCTGACAGTGCCTGAAAGTGGATTTTACCAGCTGAGAAGTTATACCTAAGCTAGGACTGCGTTTCACGAGTCCTCAGAAGCTTTCACGACAACGGGAAAATCGCCGCTTGGTGCACTATCATCAATCGTCCATGTCAGACCGTAGACACCACTATACTCCGTAGACTTGGCCCAGAATTGAGCTTCAAGGAGAGTGTTGTTGTTGTACACAAGCTGTGAAGCGAACAAAGCAAAGCCCGACACAGTGCCATTGAGATACGCAACTCGGGTCATAGGCAAAACACCAACCGCATATTCATCCTCCGGCATGATGTACATGCAACCGGCACGGGTGCCGTTGACAAATGTAGCGTTGGCAATCCAGCACTCGCCGGTGATCGAAGCGAGATCCCAGGTTAATGGCGTCAGGTTGGCATCGCTGTTCTCGGGGTTCTCGGCGACATATAGGAGGCCTACCAATCATGATTGTCAGACAAAATGCTAGTAATCTGCCGTCCACTTGATTGAACTTACCATCGTTAAGGCCATATGCGATTGGCCAAGCGGATGAGTTGGTACCGTATGCATAGAGTGTTGCATTGGTCTCGGCGCCGCGTTTGACATGTTCATGGAGTGCAAGTCCTATTCTGATATGGCAGAAAAGAAGAAACAGAAAAGCGCGGAGCTGCATTTTCATTCGTAGAAATCTGCAACAACTGGTCTTGACAAACAAAATAACACAATGGAGAAAAGGTGACTCGAACAAGAGTTCACCTTCGGAAAACAGGGGGGAGATATAGATTCTGCCCAGATTAGAAGAACTTATGGGAAGGGGGGTTTTTTTGCCTTGAAAGTTTCCAGTGAAAAGAGTTTTTGCACCGAAGTTCGAACAAAAGAACCTTCCCCCCAAAGTATGACTCCCCACCAGGAATAACGAAAGGTGTGGATAGAACGGAATTCCACCAAAACCTGGCACTAGTATTCAAGCAATCGTACTATCACTACCTAAATCCACCCTCACACGACACTATCCGAGTACTCCGTCCCTCGCTCTAGGGTCCCGCCTGTGCGCTGGGATTAAGCTCAGGGCCGTATGTTGAACGGTGTACGTAGGCCCCGCCGATCAAGACCCGAACGACCAAGGCACCGTCGGGTGGTGGAGCGGATCAAGATTTAACCTCGCACGGAGAGTGGGCGGTGGTTGATCCCGCTCCACCTCTCGACAGTTGGTTGTTGAGGCTTTGCAGCCCTGCTGCCTGCGTCCTACGTACGCTATCAAGAAAGTCGTTCGTCAGCTAGGGTGCACAGTATGATTACATCAATTTATACTTTCTCCTATTGGCTCGTCTTGATGGATAGGATTAAATAAAGCTTGCGTCGTGGATTCTGGGCGGCTGGCGGGCCGATCCCAACCATCTTGCGGAGGCTCCCAGTTGCGCTAGAAGAAGCTATACATAGGTCGCGTGCTACGTCTCCCTCTCCACTCACATTATGTGTCTGTAAATTCCTCTCTTCGACCCAGATGCATTGCGAAGCATATGGAGTAGACTGTATTGATTCTGCTAGATTCTCCGTAAATTTACCGAAGTTTTGGTTCCTACTTGTTTGATCTTGCTTCAGCCCGCCAAGGGAAATGCTGACGGTCGACATAATTTACCACGACCATGGTGGAGAATAGTATGATGTATTTTTAGGATTAATACTAGGAGCGGTTTTTCAGTTCAATTAGTATGATATATTCAATTTTCTGAGCAGGCGCAATGTAAGTTTGCTTGGTATTTGTATAGCTTACACAAGGGTATGGATGTAGGGAGTTAGGTTAGTTCTACTGCTTGCCCCGTATATTTTGGCTTGTAGAAGAGCCAGAAGTCATCGTGATTCAATAGTACGTCAACAACAGCCCGATAGGGAGGTCGATGGACGACTTGACTGGCTAGCCAAGATTGACCAGAAACAGGTCTTGCGTTTGTCGATCACACTATGTGGATACAATGCCTGAACCATCAAAATCCTTATGGGTACGGAAAACGAATATTCTGGGCCGTGGTACTGGGTTAGATTCCGTCTCAACCCGTCTCATCAACCCCCCTTTGCTAGCCCGCTTGATAAAACTACAGGGTAAATTGCTCTCGACGGTATTGTCTTCAGTCTTTCATTCCATACATTCGTTTTTACATTCGGTAAGTCCTTCTTTTCCTGAATTGCCTGCACCTTAAGCGGCAATCAAGGTCATCATGCGTTTTTTTTTTTTTTTTTTTTCATCACTCGTTGCTCTTCCATCTGCTATCGGCGCTTCTGTTGGTTTTAAGCTCTCGAGAGATACAACATGCTCGAACAGTGCATCCGACCGAGCATGCTGGAGTGAAGGGTTTGATATCTCGACCAACTATTATGAAAAGGTGCCAGACACTGGCGTCGTTCGTGAGTACTGGTTTAATATCGAGAACACAACAGCTGCACCTGATGGAGTTGAAATGCCTGTACAGCTCATCAATGGATCATTCCCTGGTCCAACTATCATTGCTGACTGGGGTGACACTGTCGGTAAGTCAGATATGATCATTATATTGATGGTGAGATCTATTGCTGATTGACTGAAAAACAGTTGTTCATGTGAAGAATTCTCTTCAGAACAATGGTACTGGTCTTCACTTTCACGGCATTCGGCAAAACTGGACTGATGCAATGGACGGTGTTCCTAGCATCACTCAGTGCCCTATTGCGCCCGGGGACTCTTACACCTATCGCTGGCGTGCTGTTGAGTATGGGACAGGATGGTATCACTCACACTTCTATGTTCAGGCATGGGATGGGGTTTTTGGTGGGATCCTCATCAATGGTCCAGCAACTGCCAACTATGATATTGACCTTGGACATGTTTTCTTGAATGACTGGTATCACGTGAGTTATTTTGCAACGCAATTATTTTTTAACAATCCTACCCGAAAATAGAGACTGATGAAATCAGGCTACTGCAGACCAACTTGTCCTACAAGCTTCGACGGGTGGGCCTCCTACCGCTCCCAATGGATTGATCAATGGAACCAACACCTGGGGGGACAAGGGATCTCGTTTCACAACCACATTTGAAGCAGGCAAGAAGTATCGAATGCGGCTCGTCAATGCCGGCGCCGACCAACACTTTCGGTTTATGATTGACAATCACACCATGGAGGTGATTTCGAATGATTTTGTGCCTATTGTGCCATTCACCACCGACCAACTGAGTATAGGCATGGGCCAACGATATGACGTTATCGTCACTGGAAAACAGCTCACTAGTGGAAATTTCTGGCTGCGAGCCATCCCCCAGTCAGCCTGCTCTGAGACAGATGCGACGGACCTCGTCAAGGGAATCATTCGTTACGATAACTCCTCAACCGCAGACCCGACAACTTCTGAGTACAGCTATACCGACTCATGTGCCGATGAAGACCCATCGAATCTCGTGCCATTTCTAGCTTTGAATGCTTCTAGCACTTATGCATACAACAAAGAGGAGGATGTAGAGGTTCAGGTGACTGATAATGCGATGCTCTGGTTGATGAACAAGACTTCTTTCCGAACCCAGTGGGAGTATCCAACTCTGTTGCAAGTTGCGGAGGGCAACCGAACCTGGCTTGCCAAGCAGCGAGTGATTCATCTTCCTGGCGCAGATAAGTGGGTCTACATGGTTATTCACTCTCCGTTTGCTCAGGATCACCCAATGCACTTGCACGGCCATGACTTCTGGGTTCTTGCTTCAGGTTCTGGTAACTTTGATTCTTCTATGACGGACGGCTTGACTTTGGTCAATGCCCCCCGAAGAGATGTGGTTATGCTACCTGCTAGTGGGTACGTGGTAATTGCCATGAAGACAAACAATCCTGGTGTAAGTTCGAATTCAATATCCGAAGTTTGTATTTTCTCGTGGCTGACAAGATTCTCTCGATTGCAGGTTTGGCTCATGCATTGTCATATCGCTTGGCATACTTCGGAGGGATTTGCAGTTCAAATTCTTGAACGTGCGCCAGAGATCAAGTTCAATTATGAGACTCTTAACTCCACATGTGCTAACTGGCAGCGATATGTCTCGTCAGATGACGTGACTCAGTACGACTCGGGCGTCTAAAACGTGTATAGAGATTAATACCGATCCCGTCTACTATGAGACTCTTGAGACTATAATTGCCTCAATGAACCTCACACTCGCCTGCTTGTAATTGCACCTAGATCTTCAATTTCATCTAGCATAAAGACAATTTTGGTATTCTTGGTGCATACGATCATGAAAAGCTCGCATAGAATTCCATTTTGCCGTGCGATGCGTGCCCAATTAGGGGTTTCTTCTAGCGTAGCTTTCCAGTTTTCGGAAATATGATTCTTCCTCTATTTTAGGGAGTTTCGGCATCGTGTTGTCGAAAATTTGCAATAATTTGAAAATTTTCTATAATTTGAAAATTTTGAAGGATTCTGTGTATCGGTGAAAGAGCACTCACAGCCAAAAGGGGTGGGTACAACGTAAGCACGGATAGTTGCCCTTTCGGCACAAATGCCAGACGTTAAGAAAGAACAATTTGTCTAACCTTGGTATTCGTTGGTACAGTGAATGTGAGGTCGCAAACGATGCGGGCGGCGAACATTGTTAGTGTTTCCTGGGGACCATTGGTTCTCCGAACATGTGCGTGTTCCATGGTCGTAAATATGTTGTACTATCTACTAAATAACATTGATTATTTGGACAGGTGCGTGCTTCAAGGCCCATTAGTACATAAAACTTTCTAATGAGTCTGAACGCGTATATTCAAACAGCAGGACAGGTTAGATTCCAGGCAAATGAAGCCATCCCCTATATGGCTATAGTGAAGGAGACCATGGATGCCATGTTTAATACGCATTCTATTACGGTAGATTCGCTTAATCTTGGTGCCGGTATGTCTCTGAGGTAAACTTCACGGGGGCAACTGCAGACTGACGGCTGAAATTAGGGGCTCGCTTAATGAAGATGCTGCTTGGGATCTATCCGGTCCTTAAAAAGTTTCTCCATTTGTAAAATATTTAAGGCAGATTCGCTACCAATGTCCTCTCATTGATCGGAAACTTCTGCGATAATAGAACTTTAATCGCGGTACCGCTTATTGGCTCAGTTAGTTGCTCTGAATATCTCGGGGTCATATTAGCTAGTGTTACTCAACATGCTTGCATTCATTTCCTCCATTTGTATGTATCCAGTCATTGTTGTCATCGGTCTTCAACAGACTTATACCGCTGGCGATTTATTCTGAGTTTTATATTTTCTCGCTTTATCGAAATTTTGGATTAGATCATGTCTCCATCCATAGGGGAAAGATTACCCCCTTCCCTATCTCAGATGATACAGTGCGTACTTTGATCTTGCAGTGGCGCTTCATGAAGTTGAATAGCGCTGGTGAGATCTGTCAATATAGTAGGATAAGGTATAAGCTAAGAAACGTAGGATCCAATGAAACACGATGCTCATAGTGAAAATGTGTTATATGAACTGTCTGACAAAGAGCGCTGAACATCTCCTGCCTCGCTGACTAGCGCGTTACGGCGCTGAGTTGTGATTCTACACGGGATACGATATAGAACTGGTGGGGAAACGGGTATTCCTGCGAGCCGGAGACACAGAGTGGAATGTGTGGGGATTCACCGTATTGAGTGGCTTCTCATTCTCGACATAATTTCTTGAATAGATTAGTTGAGCTCCAATGATAATCCTCCAGATACCACTTGGTGTCTGGCACTGGCTTGCTTTCTGGACACGCTACGTATAACGCGGCGCAGACTGCTTGTAAACTATGTACTGAACCAGGGCGCTCTTTGGCAAGCCTGAGAATGCAGGCAGGATGAGACAGGTCGACGAACGGACCAACAAACCACCACACACCACGATAGAGGAAGCCTCCCCAAAGGGAAAGCAGAAGCAGATGAAGCGAAGGAGTGTGAAAGTTGATTCTCTCCCTATCGGAGATGCAAAGCTATATCCTGCAAAGACTGTGTACTAGAAAGATACCCTCCAATCAGAGATCTCCCTAGTGTTGGCCATTTCCCCACTGTAGTACATATGATCTGAGCACCAACCTAAAATGAGAAAATGGAGGAGCGGTGGCCATACTAGCTCTTACGCATGACTTAGAAGATTGTTTGCTCGGATTCTCCTCAAATAATGTTGTAGACATAGAATATCTCAATTTTGGGGAGTGGCTCGGAATTGTCGGATATCAAGCTGATAGCCTATTGATAGCCTATCAACCCGTATTCGGCAAAAATATCGCCACCATGTTATTCACCGCAACACAATCACTCCGTCGTCTAGCAAATGATTTGAGTTGAAAGAATGTCATAGCCTATCCGGAGACACAATTTTCCGGCGACCCCAACTCAACGTTCAACCAGATCCCGGCCCCAACAATTTCATTGTGAAGGGTAGCAACAGATATAAATATTCTCGAAATGGCAGAATATTCATCAGATTGGAACACAAACATCAATACACCATTTTAAACCCAAAGGCTACTTTAGGTATTAACATCAAAATGGAAGAGCCTATCTATGACCCCAGGTAACTGAAGAGACAAACTCTCAGACTTATCACCTCTTTGACGCTAACTTTAATTTAGCCGCCCCATGCCGGAAATCAACATTGCATACCAATACAAACTTGTCAATTGCCCTGGAAAAAGTATTGTCGGTCTGCGGGTTGAGTTCCCGCCTCACGGCTCGACTCCTCCCCATCGGCATGGAGGCGCGTCGGTTTCAGCCTATGTTATCAGCGGTAACTTGCTCAACAAGATGAACGATGATCCAATGAAAGTGATCAAAACTGGCGAGACGTGGTTTGAGGCGCCCGGATGTCACCACCGGATTAGCGATAATGCCAGCAAAACGGACCCAGCCACACTATTTGCGGTATTGGTTTTGGATACCGATGTACTGGAGCGGGATGGAATGGATGCTATAATCCAAATCGATGAGGAATATCGCTGAAGCTTACCTTTTCATTCAATTGAACTCGGAGTAGAAAACTGTTGATTTAGTTCTTGCGGGAAAGCTCTTTTGTATATCTTGTCCTGTGTCAAAATAGACGAAAGAAGGCTTAACTTGGCCTCAACTCATAAAACTAGTTCTGTCACACCATCAAGTTCATAATACACTGGTGGCGAATACACAACGCTCCGCGGAATTGAGAATTCCTTTCCAAGGGGGGAGCACTTTGTGGGGTATACTGAAGTGAATTTCACTTGAATCTATCGGAATATGGCTCGCTGCCACCCGAAACCTATAGTTGTTAACCATAAGGCTTGGAGGTTTGTAGCCAGACCGAAGATGGATGACATGGCAAAATCCTGAATCCACCACAATGGCATTGCCCCAGATATTGCTATTGACTACAGCTGGTATTTCATGTTGTTCCAAATTGTGTCGGGGTCTACCACGGTGAAAAAGTTATGGAAAGTAGTGACCGGAGAAATTCCCTCCAGCCCTGTTGAGATTCCGGAAGCAGGACCATGATTTCCCTGTATAAAACGGTCGCCTTGTAAATACCAGAAAAGGGATCTAGCCAGAAGTGAGATAAGACGAAAGGGCCGGAATATGCTAGAAAATGTATCATTAATTGAATGCTTATACTTCTAAGTGATTAAGCTTGCTTTTAAGCTTCGTTAAATAAACTAAACTAAAATAAGAAAAAAAAACAACAAAAGAAACAGGGCAAGGAAGAACTCTCTATTAGGGGGTGAACAACGGGAACATAAATATAGGTGGTAACAAGAAGCTTGATTTATGGGAGTTGTTAAAGTGAAGTTCATTCTTATGAGGGAATTAATGATAAGCCAGTAGTGACGATATCGTCACGTGGTAACAACAGGGAGGCAATTGAGGACCAAATGAAGACATAAGGAAATAGGCTTCATATGCAGGGTCTTTGCATCCCAAGAAATCTCGATCTAATGTCGTAGATAAAACATTATCCTGTGTATATACACAGGACAAATTTGTTCCTGTGTTCTCCAATGTCACCCTTGTGTGGATAAGGAAAGTGGGGAAGTGGGGATGTCGGGGAAAGGTCGGCTCGTCTTACGCAATGGAGACGCGCGGGTTGGACATGAGACCCATAGCATTGGTTGAACCCAGCTACATATAGAACGGGTCTTAGACATGATTTATTTCATACTTTTATGTTTCCAAGCATTCGTTTCTTTGACTTCAGCTCCTGAAATTTTGAGAATTGGTTGTTGAGAATAGTCAACATGGAGAACGCCATTCGATCTTCTTTTCCAGAACGACCACAATTTCAAGGGTTTATGAGGCCATGTCGGGTAGAAGGCAGTGTCCGGCAGCTAGAGGTACATGGCGAGATACCTGTAGATATTGACGGTACCTTTTACCGAGTCATGCCTGACCCCCATCTTCCACCTTTCATCGAGGACGACCCTGTAAGGATTCAAATAACATACACAACCTGAGGCAAATGCTAATGAAAGAAGTGGTTTAACGGCGATGGGAATATTAGTGCATTTCGGATTCACGATGGCCAAGTATCATTCCAACAGCGATATGTGCGAACCGAAAAGTTCGTTCGTGAGGAAGAAGTGAAACGTGCTTTGATCGGTGAGTATGCAGCATATCCACACTGTATAGTAAATACGAATTCATACCAAAAGCAGGAAAGTATCGCAACAAGTTTACCGATGCAGTCAGTTTCAAAATACGAAGCACTGCGAACACCAACGTTGTATACTTCAATGGCCAACTCCTCGCTCTGAAGGAAGATTCGCCTCCGTATGCCTTGGACCCAATCACACTGGAAACAAAAGGGCTGTACACTTTTGGAGGTCAACTACCGAGTATGACATTTACTGCCCATCCCAAGTTTGACCCAAAAACCGGCGAAATGGTGTGTTTTGGATATGAAGCAAAGGGTGATGGCACTCCAGATATCTGTTACTATTCGGTATCGCCAGCTGGCGATCTCACAGAAATTGTATGGCTTGTTTCTCCAGTCGTGGCCATGATCCATGATTTTGCTGTTACAGAAAATTGGGTATGTCTTCAACTTGACCTGAACACAGTGGCAGAGGCTTACAGAGCTCGCTGTTACTTTAGGTTCTGTTTCCTATTATTCCTCAGGTCTGTGATATTGAGCGACTGAAACAAGGAGGGGAGCATTGGCAATGGAGCCCGGAAACTCCTTTTTACATTGGTCTGCTCCCTCGCCGAGGAGGAAAGTCATCAGATGTCAAAGTAAAAGGATCGTCTCTTAATTGGTTATTGTAAAAGCTAACTTGGGCAACCAGTGGTTGCGCTATAAAAATTCATTTCCGGGTCATACCTCAAACGCCTTTGAAGATGAGCGGGGAAATATTGTATTCGATTTGGGCTTGAGCGACAAAAATGTCTTTTTCTGGTGGCCAGACGCTGAAGGCAACGCCCCCGAGCCCAGCTCCATCCATTCGCAGCTCACACGCTTAACCATCAATCCACACTCGAATGACCTTGAGTTGAGGGCCCCGGAAATTCTGCAATCTATTAACTCCGAATTTTATCGCATCGATGATCGTTTTGCAACAAAAAATTACCGTCATTGCTTTTTCGATTCGATGGATCCTACTCTCGGTACCGATTTTCCCTCCATCGCGCCAAAACTAGGTGGAGGCTATCCGTTATATAATTCTTTGACACACTATGACATTCTAACAAGCCGATCGGAAGTTTATTTCCCAGGAAGAACTCACATGGTCCAAGAGCCTGTTTTTATTCCTCGGAAAGGATCGGCTGAGGAGGGAGATGGATACTTGATTGTGTTGGTGAACAACTACGAGGACATGAGCAGTGAACTGCACCTTCTGGATACCAAATCTTTCACCAAACCAAAAGCAACAATTTTGTTGCCTATTCGCCTTCGTCAAGGCCTGCATGGAAACTGGGTTGATGCAGAAGACATTTGTGGAAATTAAAAATTGGCCTTCGCAACTTTTTGATCCTGTTACTGAATTTCCATGTGATCCATTTTGAATGATCTGGTTATAATATGGGCAAATGGCTCACACTCCATCCGGTCGATTCAATGCATCTGTGTCTTTTTCCGAAATCACATCACTCTTCCAGTTTCTAAATTCTCGTGTGGACAACCCTAGCGCAAACATCCGATCAATCTCTAGCGGTGATCGTCCTTTCATCTCAGGAACGGAGATCCAAGTTCCAACTATACCAACCGCCGCAAATCCAGCCATGACGAACCCAATCTTAGCTCGGAGATCACCCTTGTCCGCATTGTAAATGTATGGCAAAATGATGGAGAATACGCCAGTTGCCACTCCGCTAACAAACCATCCAATACCCTGTGATTTGGCTCGTAACTGCAGGGAGGATGCCTCAGCAGCAACAACATGTGCAGCAGGCCAAATCCCAAGACCGCAAACCATGGTGACAATCATCATAGTCACTGCTGTGTACCTGTTTGTTGATTAGCTTGGTTTTGTAAAAGCTATTCCAGGACGAAGATACCAGATAGTTACGACTCCAGTGAAGCAGCCCGCTATACCCATCGCAAACCATAGAACCATCGACACTCCCAGCGTGGCAAGACAAAGAAGTCTTCTACCAAAACCATTCAACACCCACAAGCTCACCACGTTAGCGATAAGGCCAAGTCCGATACCCAAAATGAGAAATATGAGGCTGTTTGTTGAGCTCATACCAACGATTTGCATGAAATAAGATGCATTGGCCAAAAGTTGGAGACCAAATAGTTGAGGCAAAGCACTGGCGAAAGCGACAATGAAAGTTCTTCTCGCGTTCACCCCCTTGAAACAGTCTGAATATGTTTGCGACGCACTTTCTTCTTCTTCAACCATGATGGAGGTCCGTAGCTCCTCAATGGTTGCCTCAGAATTGATCTTCTGAGTATCAAGTCGCTGTTGGGAGTTTAATGCCTTATCGAACGAACGTGTCCTTACCAACCATGTCGGGCTTTCGGGAAGAATGGCGGACAACACGAATGGGACAGCGGAGAATGCCCACTGCGATGCAAAACATATGCGATAGCCCTTAGCACCGTCGTACTTCAGAGAGGTGTACACAACCACCGACCCGATAAGTTGACCGAGAAGGGTGAAAATTGGCAGAAAAGCAATGATGGGGCCTCTAAGCAGGACAGGCAGAACCTCAGACATATAGGTCTGCACCACACACAAAAGCATACCGATGCAAATCCCTTGAAAGAGCTTTCCCGCAAAGAAAACACCCCGTCGTGAATCCATATCATCAGGCAAATCGGCGACGTAACAGATTGCAACGGCGATTGCAGACAGAAAGCTTCCGGTTGCTAAAGATAGTCGGCGTCCTCCGCGATCCTGGTAATATCCCCCGAAAATGGCGCCAACCATCATACCTATTGGACTTGCCGCATTCCAGAGTGACAACCACATTGATGGAATAATGTATTTTCCATCAAGCTCGACGCCAAAACGGTGTCTGATACAAGTCAAAACATAGACTTCGTAGTCTAGAAAGAACTTACTGGAAGGCTGGCATCGCGGACGCATTTCCCACGATGACAAGATCATATCCATACAATAGAATGGCAGAGCTCAAAGCTAGGCAATAAGCAATAACTCTAGGCCATCGTTTTACAGATTGCCACAGAGGGACATGGGTCTGCGGAGGGCTTTGAGGTGTAGCCTCCTGTGATACATCTTCAATAAAGTCTTGAGTTGGCTGAATTTTGAATGAGCGCATGTTCGCAATCAATTTCCTGCACTGAAGAAACCTTTGAACTCCCAAATTTTCATTCTCATTTACTATATAATAATAATACAGGATTTGCACCTCGGTCGATGAGGGGGTGAGAATCACGGAAGCACAGATGTAACCTGAGCTTGGACTGGCCAAACACTATCTCTAAGCGAATACCAAGAGACGGGCTGCTAAGCTCCGTCAAATAAGACACGCCATGATATCAGATACATGTGCAATGACCATCCTACCAAGAGAAAGATTTGCCGATCGCGCCAATCACGAGCCCAACGGCTCGTCACCCCGCATCAGGACATCAACTACGGAGTGATCACTTCCTGGTCAAGCGGGATCGGTTGAAACTATACATAGCACAATCCGGGGAGATTGACAGCGGGGTAATTACCCCATTTTGCTCCGCCCACAACTCTATTTAAAGCATATACCGTGCAAGGTTTAGTCTGGAAGTAAGCACAGATAACTTCACAAGAGATATGAAACTGGTCCATGAGCTAGCAATGTAATCAATTTAGTGCATATTAAGATTATTGTGTAGAATGCAGTGAAGTGAGATGTAATTTCCAATCCCAAACTTTCGTTATTCACGGTCTATAGCATTTTCCGATATGTTCAAGGCAGCGGTTTCTGAAGCCGACCGAGCCTCTCTTTGTTGTTCCAACTTCGCCAGCGCTTTTCTCATCCCCTCAATCTCAGAGTCTAGCTCGGCCTTGGAGGCAATCCGGTATTTTAGCATCAAAATTCCCGCTGAGAGAACAAGCAACCCAATAGATACGAAATATGACCATTGTCCGACCTGCTGCGGATTCTCCTGTGAGGGTCCATCGTTATAGATTGTCCACTCGATCCAGGCAACAAAAGCGATAATAGTAAATGGACTGACGATCATACTGAATAATAGTCCAAATAGGATAACAAAATCTACCAGCGCGCGGAGAAACGCTTTAAGAAACCTGATTTTGAACAGGGGTTGGATATGATCCCAATTCGACGACTTGGACCCTGCAGGAGCACCACCCGACTTGTGAGAATTTTGTTCACTCGCTGCTGCTGTGAATGATCCCACCAACTCATCTTTGAAATCGTGCCAAATCGTTTTTCTGGCTTGCCAAATGACCACAATCTGTGCTGATGGGATACGTGAACGATATGGCAAAAATTTGTACGTCAAAAGAACAAAATTCAGTATGACACACAAAATGATCAGGCTGTAAATGTAACGATTGGAGTAAACAACTTTATTCCAAAGTCGATTAGGATGAGACAGCTCGGACTCCTTCGATGCAACCCATGACTGCAACGAACTTGGCTGTCGAAGAATCTGACTGGAGTTGAAACACGGGTTATAGCAGATATCACCCAATTGCCCCCATTTTGACACGTTCGTGAAGGTTTCCCAAACACTATTGTTCCACGATGATGTTCTCCAGGAACTCTGCCATCCATCGGAGGTCGTTTTCTCAAATGGGGGGTGTCTGCATAGCAGAACATATACTGCGGAGGAATCTTCCCTTTTGTCGCAGCATTTACCAGTGCACATATTGAGCCCGCCAGCATCAAGATATTCCAGATATAGAACAGAAAATTTCGAGCTCTCTCATTAGTCAAGACCCTCGACCAACATTGGAGCGGTAGAAAGACAAGGTAGCCCGTAATGACGATGGCAAGTACAGCGTCACCATCCATTTCAAGGGAAGCTGGTTGAAGGGTGACCTCGCTCGTATTGGTGACGAGCTGAGGAAAGTCATTCCAGAGGGTCGTGTTATCAGGAACAAGTGGTATAGTAACCACAGACGGATCTTGTGTCTTTTGAGGGCTGGCAAGGAGAATGAAAGCCTCGATTGCTGCCGTGCCAGCATATGTAGCAGCCGCACCTAGAAAGACATCGGCGAGCCATCCTGTCCACCGGGTCACACAACTTGCAAGTAAAAGGGCATAAAAAAGATATCGCGGACAGGAATCATATATTGTGCTGATTGGATAAAAACATATGGCCTCCTGGGCGACGAACAAGGGACCGCTCGAGTTCATTGAGGAATGAGACGCGTCCCGTCCCCTGATCAACAGGGAGTAGCTGCAAGCGCAAGATCGGCGTGACACCGGGCAAGTATATGACAAACGGCTATTTGAGGAGATTTTATCTTGCTCTTCACAGATTTGGAGGGGCAACTCTCACGTTCTCCTCACGGGTTCTTGTTGCTGCCTTGGAGGGATCGTCGGCGCACAAATGGTCGTTCGTCCTGACGTCATCCACTCCTTGCAGCGAATTGGGGTCAAAACACAAACAATAATAATAAAAAGCAATATGTAAAATACGAAGAAATGTGCGACCTAGCGATATAGCTATATCTCAAAAACACATATTTGAATCTCTCTTGTTCATTGGCTCTCCACTTAGAACCATTGTCCAAATGGACAGAAATATCTACTAAGTTGCAGTCGCCATCGAAAGAGCCGGGAAAGGTCATCATTCCTCCACTTGGATGTATGGCCCCATTGCTTATTCAACTGCATACACATCAATCGTAACATGATTGGGCATGGTTGGGCGATGAAGATCACCAACAAACAGTGTTCGATTCAGCCACCCATGCGGACCATCCTCGACTTCAAATCGCGGGTTTGTCCTTGCGTACCACTCGCTCTGCTTCATTTCTGTCACGTCAACCGTGGATTCACCGGGAGTTGAACTGGAGCTTTTCTCAAATTTTCGAATCCAGCCTTCGTTGGTGACACTGATAAAAACGCCATCATTTGTTTGAATGGTATATTTGGCAAAGACATGCCCCATTCCGTCTTGGCGCAGGGCATTCCAATCACCACCACCAGGAAGGATTGTGGCTTGCAGTTTTGGGCCTTGTGCAGTTCCGCCAGTGATTGGGATGAAGCGCCGATGACCGCAATGGGTGTCTCCAAAATCTAGGGCAGGGGAAAGGTCGACCTCCAGGGTGAAGGCAAATGTTAGGCTAGGTGCCATTAATGCTCGCGTTTTTGAGGCAGTGGAATGTCCAAGAAGAGCGCTATGTCGGTCTGAGAAGTGCATACAAAGTGCAAGGTACGCTAGATGGTAATTCTCTGCGTCCACAAGTGATAGACATCTCACATTTCATAAGTGAGGGGCTAGGCAGGGGGAAGTGGTCAGCCGAGGCCCGCTTGGAAGCTATACTGCATTTGGATTTCAAGATGAAACTTGGGCCCTTTGGACCACTTCATCAAGCTTCCGATGTGAATTAATATAGCGGCACAAATATCTTGGCAGGTCAGAAATGATTCTTTGCTGCCCGTGGCAACAGAATTTCAGCGTCAAAAGTCAAAGCATTACTTTTCGGAGGGTGACCGGATTGAGATGACTTGTTCTCCATAAAGAAGAACCAGGGTTGGCAGGCCTTGTACTGAAATCATTCATGGTGTTTAAAAAGCAAATGAACAGTTTAAGAGAGTAAGTGAGATTCCGAGGGCCATTTGAAAGACCAGTAAGCTACACAGATACACAGATATTGACAGGACTCCAGGAAATACAGTCTCTAAAAGAAAAATAATGGATAAATTCTATTTTCCTTGACAGAAACCTGTTGAAAAAATGAAGTAATGATAGATTAACTTACAGAGAATGATCTGCAATCGGAGCTTGTAAAAGCATAAGGAGCGTATATGTGCATATTCTGCACCAGAATTTAGGATACTAATTCACAATGAGAAGAACCAACATCGAAAGCGAGACAATTCTCCATCAGGCCCAATTTCCCACTTGCTCGTTTGACTTATAGTTACCAATATCGACAATTTATCACAACTGTTGGACTTATCACAGGGGTTTCAAGGTTGGGTTAGCTCGCGCTTTACGTGGAGGCGTTGGCAGAAGCGTTGGCAGAGGCATCAGCGGAGGCATTGCCATTTGCAGAAGCATTAGCACTTGCATCAGCGGAGGCATTCGCACTCGCATTGGAGGACGCTGAGGCGTTTGCAGAAGCAGATTCTTCAGCCTGGGCTGCAGCTGAAGCCTCAGCAGACGCAGAACCGCTGATTGAGCCTGAGACACCCGTGGGACCGGAAATAGAGAATCCGATGCTGGTGCTCCATGAAATACCACCAGGAACTGTGCCAGAACCCTGCCCTAAGCTTCCAGAAACGCTAGTACCAGCCGTACCAGATCTGGAACCGCTAGCACCAGCAGAGCTAGTGCCAGAAACGCCAGTGCCAATAGAGCCCGAGTCGGAAGAACCGGTGTTGGAGGAGCCTGATCCCGGGGAGACAGCCCCAGAAGAGCTCGCCCCGAGGGAACCGGTGCCCGAGGCACCGCCTGTCGCACTTCCAGAGCCCGAACTGCCGCCCGAAATGCCCACCGAAGCACCCCCCGAGGCTCCCCCTGAAGTACTTCCAGAAGCACCACCAGAGATGCCGCCAGATCCAGAAGTTCCTTGACCAACACTTCCCGAGGCGCTTGCACCCAGTGAACCAGTGCCAGATGCACTAGCACCACCTGATCCAGTAGCGGAACCACCAATTCCGCTGGAGACACCACCAGAGGCACCGCCTGCAGTGCCACCGGAAGCTGCACCAGAGGCGCCTGCTCCAAGGGCACCAGTTCCAGAGCCTCCCATACCACCGGAAGTGGTACCAGAGGCTCCGATGCCACCAGAGGCACCGGCAGAGCCGGAAGCGATACCGGATGCACCAGCACCAATGGAACCGGTGCTAGATGCACCAAGACCACCAGAGGTGGTACCGGAGGCACCAAAGGAACCACCTAGACCGGCGCTTCCTGATGCACCCGAGCCAACAGATCCAGTGCCAGACGTACCAATGTCACCAGAGCTCGTTCCAGAGGCGCCACCAGAGCCAGAAGATTCGCCAGAAGATTCGCCAAAAGCGCTGCCAGAATTGCTTCCAGAAAGACTGCCGAAAGTGCCGCCAGAGCTGCCACCAGAAGCACTACCAAAGCCAGATCCTCGCAGTCCGACCCCAAAGCCTGAGGACCCCAAGCTTGAACCAGAAGTACTGGCAGAAGAGTCAGATGAACCACCAATTATGCTGCCGATACTTGGAATGAGCGAAGCGAGGGAGCTGATGCCACCACTGGTGGAGGTGCCTCCGCTACCCTCTCCATCGAGCATGCCATCAAGCCAGAGACAAGGCTTCCGAGCCTCAAGGGTCTTGTTGACAGGAGCTGCCAGAGCAGTGCTTGCGAGTAAAAGAAGAGCGGTGTTCCTCATTGTTTGGAAGATTGAACGAGACAAAGAAAATTTTGAGACCAAGAATTCAATTCTGGAAAGATAAGATAGAGAACAGTGAAGAGAAAGAATGATTGTGTTGAGCCAGTCAACTGAGGCGAAGGATAGTGGGTTGATGATTTTGATAGAATGACAGGGAAGATGCGCATCTTTATACTTTTCTCTATGAGAATAACTCATTGGGAGCAAATTTGGCCTCGTCGAGGCAGTAGGCTTCAATCTGTATGTGCATATCCTATGAATCAATCTAGTAGTAGGTGAGGTTCATGAAACGACTGCCCCTGTCTCATCGAATTCTGTTTCATAGTACTACCATCAACCCAATTTTCAATATCCGGATGTCAAAGTTTTTTTTAACTGAATCATTACTGCAATAACTTTCTCGTTACTTTCAAGTCTGCCACAATTGCCATTAGCAATTGTTTCATTTATGGCTTTTTGAACTTTTGCGAGGCTCTGCTCGGATGACTAGATGCAAAGACAACAGATCAGAACTGCTTAACTTCACTCCATTCCAAGTGATATCTTGTGAAAATTTCAAATCTCAAGAGATCCATAAATATCCTCGATCGATGGACGTTAGTAGGCGAGTCGGATAAGCATCGCCGGCTAAGAAACCCAAAAATGAGCATTTTTGCCATTTCAGGAAATCTGTCCGGGTGGGCCCCGAGCGAGCGAGTTTGTTTAGTGCCCGATCATTCTGAACGCCGAACGGTTCATCAAAAGCTACATGTTACATGGATTGCTTATTTTTAGGCTCCTTGTAAGAGATTCATTAACAAGGAGAAAGTCTATCGTTCATAGCCGAGCAATGTGTTAAACCTAGTTCATCAGGGCTGAACGCTAGGGCCCACAAAATTTATATGATTAATGAAGGGAAAATTACCACTGAATGTCTGGTTGATCCACAATTTCGTCTTTGTATTGTAGTCTTCTAAAACGCCTAAAAAATGCCCGTGATCATTCCAGCCATGCCGCATCTAACCTTACTATTCGGTTTGACTAAGGGTAGGTGAACGATATGGGTAACTCTCTCATGCTCACAAGTTTCAAACTTCCTCCGTAACTCTGGTCACACACCTTGCAGATCAATTTAGACCAGGAAACTGTGGAACCAACTTGATATTGCGGAGGCCCCAGAAAGTTAAGTCATCGGCGTAGTTTGTTTCATTTTAAGTGCGCTAAGACAATTTTATAACACCTTTCTCCACATCCATTTCTTTGCCTCGTGAAATTCTCGAGCAAAGTCTTGAAAAGAAGCTAATTATAGGAGTTGCTCGAGTAGACATGGATAGGTCAGTACAACATAATGACAAATTGGAACTAGGATTGTGCCTATATATACTAAATCGGCCGTAGTTTTTCATGTTCTACCAGGAATAGAGAACCCAAAATATACCCAAAATATCGCTAGTGAATGCATACCTGTTCAAATACTATACTGTGTTTTTCTAAAATCGTAAAGATAACTTACAGTGACTCATTAGAAGATCAATTTACGTTTTACTTGAGTGATCAGAGTGACATCTACGGGCAGTCAGCGTTGCCGATAGATCTTCGCTCAGTGGAATGCTGTCTAGGCGGGAGGGCTATGTTCTTACCTAGAAATCATAGTCTGCAAAGTACCCAGTTTTTACAGAAAATATTATAGTTATCGCTGAGCCGAAAGCCTGAAAATATAACACCTAATACAGTGGAGAAGTATCCCACCAGAGGCAAAGTTTATTAGTTGACTAGACTTGCATACGGTTGCTATAAATCTAATTTGTTTATCTGGATAATGACAAAAACATGTTTCTATATCACTTCATGGGAGAAAATATTTTCCAAAATACTACCTGCTCTCTCTGTGTGGTGTAGCAGTATGGTGGTTGGTTGTTGATGCCTATCGACTGGCCTGGGAGCGGCCCAGTTCACTGTAGATTTTGATTGAACATTTGAAGGACGGTATATTCCATCCCAGCTGAATATAAGCTGACTATAGCAAGCAAAAAAAACTACAGGAAACAAATCGGCAGATCTACATAAAAAGAACATCATGGAGTCGAAGAGGACAAAACGAAAGTAAGCATCTTCGGGCGAGGATCGAACTCTGGTCTGCGTTAGTTATGGTCGGTGTGGACGAGTGGTAATTTTAACTTTACATACCGCAGTCTTTCGCTTCTCAAGAATACAAGATTTAAGTATTAGTGTATCAATTTTGATCATCGATTTAACTTTTATGTCGGTCGATCTTGCGAAACTCATCATATCTCGAAAAGTCATTATCCGGCCGAGGTTCTAGAGGATGCTCTTATTTTGCCTCTGGTGATGGTTTTCAATGCTCCATGTTGTTCAAACGCTATGTAATGGAAGGATGATGATTGAAAGACCTCCATGCTTATTGAGTTCGATGATTTCTATAAGGCCAAAGAATGTTGATTCAAAAGCGTAGTTCCCATGATGATAAAACGGCCACGATCGACCAACACTCCAAGTAATTGCAACTAGACGAGATATATTAGATCAATTATATTTTCATCAATTCAAGCACGTTCTTCGATTTCAAAAGTAGCAGAAACGATCCTGGGATACTCTGAATATGAGTGCTAGGATCGGAGCTTTTTTGAGAGTCTAGGATATTTTTTAAACGGCAGTCGAACATTTATTTAATGGAAAATGGACAGGATTGAATATTTTGAGGAAAAGACAGAGCAGAGTCAAGGATAGAATTCGAACTATCACCATTTTAATATTCTTCCATGATTACAAATAGATCTAAGTAACTATGTACCATCCGGAGCTGAGTTTTATCTCCGTAGATGGTCCGATCTCTCCCGCGGCTCCTTCGAGTACGGATATATCGGTATTTGGACACTGAGAAATACACAACGTAGAAAAAGATAACCTATAAGTAGACAAGCCGTATTATTCAAGTTTGCTACCATATCACAATACTTCGATGAATCATCTCGGAACTTCAATCACCAAAATGGCATCAAAGATTGTTCTGATTACTGGTGGAAATGGAGGAATAGGCTACGAAGCTGTGAAGGCGCTCTATGAGACAAATAAGTCCTACCATATTTTTATGGGCAGTCGGTCCATGGATAGGGCGAAGAATGCCATCGAGAAACTTCGCGCAGAATGTCCCAACGCGACCAACACCGTCGAGCCCCTGCAGGTTGACCTCACCAACGACGAATGTATCGAGAAAGCGTTTGCACAGGTAGAAGCCGGGCCCGGATACATCGATGTATTGCTGAATAATGCGGGTCGGTGTAGACTGGCAAGCCTCTACCAATGGAATGCATCTAACATTTAGCTAGGGGCTACATTCGACATTGAATACCTGCGCGGCCGCGTCTCGCTGCGAGATTGTTTCAACAACGCCTATGATGTAAACGTGGCCGGCACGCATGTCATGACGGCGACTTTCATGCCGCTTCTGCTCAAGTCAACCGATCCACGATTAATATTTGTCTCTGGCCTATCGGCTATCAACCAGGCGGGCGAAAAATACTTTCCAACTCCGCCCCAACCGGCAGGATGGCCAAAGAGGATTGACTTCGAGACAATCGGATATCGATGCAGCAAGACTGCATTGAACATGCTTATGCTGGATTGGAATCACAAACTAAAGGAGGATGGCGTTAAGGTCTGGTGTGTTGCGCCTGGGATGCTAGCCACCAATCTGGGCGGAATGCCTGAAGAAGCGAAGAAGATGGGCGCTAAACATCCAAGCATAGGAGGGCAGTTGTTAAAGACAGTTATTGAAGGGGAGCGGGACGACTCAGTGGGGAAAATCGTGATACGGCAGGGGATCCTGCCATGGTAAACTAGCACAGTTGAATGCAATCATTTAAGACGATAATCAAGCATTGGATAATATTGATGTGACGGTAAGAAGATGTAGAAATTGAGGATTCAAGAATTATTAGCGGCACAAAAGCGAATAATGATGCCATTGATCGAAATATGACTGCATTTGAGCTCTCCGCATAGTGGAGTTCCTCGGGACTTGAGGGGTGTCATTGGTAATCAATAAATGCATTAGTAATGGTCGAATTGTCTGATGAATTAGGTTCTGGTAAATGGTTAAGTTAGTTGCAGTTGTCATTACAAATCAACATGAAGGTGGGCTGAAAGATTGATGATAAGAGTGGAAATTTAAGGGTAAGAGCATCCAGCGCTGTGAACTTCAAACTATACTGAGAACTTCATCAAGACTCTCCAAGATGAAAGAAGCGGTTGTCGATAAAGCCACTGTGGTGAGCATTCGGGATGTCAAGGTTCCAGCCTTGAAACCAGACGAGGTGCTCATCCGAGTCGTAGTAGCTGGGACCAATCCTAAGGACTGGAAAGTGCCTCTCTTCTTGCCGGACCCGTCTCCAACAAACCAGGGCGATGATATCGCGGGCTATGTTGAGTCTACGGGAGAGGATGTGAGACAATTCAAGAAAGGAGACAAGGTGGCTGCTTTCCATGAGATGTTTAGCTTGCATGGAGGCTTCGCCGAATATGCAATTGCTCATGCGGACTCAACCTTCCATATCCCCGACAAGACAAGTTTTGAGGGTGAGTGAGAGAGGTCATCAATTATATCCGCCGGTACTGATTGAGTCGCAACCAGAGGCTGCGACGATTCCACTAGCAGCGATGACGGCGGCGCTGGGCCTATATCAGAATTTGAATCTACCTCTGCCTTGGAATCCGACCAATGAGCCATTGCCATTATTAGTGTATGGCGGAGCCTCGGCTGTCGGGGCGTTCGCGATTAAGCTAGCCCAGCTATCAAATATCCACCCATTGATCGTCGTGGCCGGGAAGGGTGCCTCTTTTGTCGAGACGATCATCGACCGATCCAAGGGCGATACAATCATTGACTATCGTGAAGGAGTCGATACCGTACGCTCTAAAATCGAAGCGGCGGCAGATGGGCTCCCAATCCACCACGCCTATGACGCAATTTCGGAGAAAGGCAGCTACCTGGACATCAGCGCCTCGTTGACCGCGCCTGCAACGATCACAACGGTGCTGCCGACGCAAGAAGGAGATGTAATACCGCCAGGAATTGCCATAAAACGAACCATGGTTATGAGTGTCCACCAGAACCCCGCCCCGGGTAAGACGATCGAGGATCGCGAGTTTGGCGCGGTCTTCTTCCCGTTCCTGGGCCGCGGATTGGCTCAGGGGTGGTTCTCCGGACACCCGCACGAGGTGCGACCAGGAGGGCTACATGGGTTGGAAGGAGCACTCAAGGACTTGCGAGCAGGCAAGGCATCAGCTGTAAAATATGTAGTGCGGATTTCGGAGACCGACGGGGTGGAGGCGTAGAAAGCCAACTTGCACGGACCCATAGGCAGTCTCTTGTTTCTGTTGTTGATTGTATCATCAAATTACAACGCCTGTACTGGGCTATACTTCGGAGCAATGAATTCATTGTTAGTCCACTTCCGCGGATGGCGTCGGAGACTAGTCTTCAGAAGTATGACGGATAGGGCGGGCACCGCCGCTGGGCGCTAGCCTGCTCCCAGGAAGCATGCATCTGTGGAAATTTCCAGGAGTGTTCGACGGTCGATTGATTTAGCGCCGGAGCAACTCGAAATCAATCAGAAGCCAGATATTACCACGCCATGTCTGGGGTGTACCTGCCACACTGGAGTCGGTCCGGAGTATCTTTTTCGATGTTGCCCACTTGACTGAAGTGGAGGTTGAAGTCGACGATTCACGGGACTCGGCGTGTCCACGTGCCAGGCACACGGCACGACATAAACTCCGACGCCCGGAAGCTTATCACGAAGCGAGGTTGTTGACGGGCGTCGAGGGCCACTGCAAACCCTGGAGACTCTGGAGCCCGCGGGAATCACTGAATTTGCGAATGGCTGGGCTTGCGAAGGGGTTTCCTGCCTTGGTCGAGTCAGGCCTAGTTGGACTTAGCTGGGCCTGAATCCACTTAGTTGCACGGGAAATGGGCTTGGATACGGTTAGTGTGTCTGACGATTCGGATTTGATGGCATGTACCTGGCGACCGTTTCTGCATCTAGAATATTTAGTGGCTTCGCCTGGCTAGTGGATTCGCAAGTGCATATGGGCATAAACAAGCTCCGCCGCCGATCTTCCTGGATGAGGGAGTCCTCGCGAACGGCGTGGGTTTCCTCATCGGCGTGATTGGCTTGCCCTGATCGGCACTCTTCCACCTACGGAGATGGTCACGATGTCCCGTCGATACTTGGTTGAAGATATAAGACATGATCGATGGGCCTGTCATGATGCTTCTGGGTGACAGGCAAATACCTCGACCATCCAGACTCACTCCGAAACGACACCAAGTTGGACTCATAGTCCAGTTTCCAATATGGTGGGATCGGTCTCCTTCATCAAGTCTTTGCCCCTACTGGCGGCATCCGCCCTGGCTGGCGTGAACTATCCGACCATTCCTTCGGACCTGACTACCCCATTCCAGCAGCGTCTTGCGGTCTATGGTCCCACCTGTAAGATATACCTTGGACTCTCTTCGAAGAGCAAGGAGTTTCCAACCAACTTCCAAATCGGCTAACTTTATTATTTCCACAGCTGTCTCCGTTGGGTGGAACACCTATGAGCAGCTGAACTCGAGCTGTGTGGTGTATGGCACTTCCGCTGACAACTTGAGCTCGCGCTCGTGCTCAACTGGATCCAGCACCTATGCCACCTCCCGGACATGGTCTAATGCAGTGGTGTTGAGCGGTCTGACTCCCGCTACAACCTACTACTACAAAATCGTGTCCACCAATTCCACCGTGAACCATTTTCTCAGTCCACGCACCCCCGGGGACAAGACTGCCTTTAGCATGGATGTTGTAATCGATCTCGGTGTTTACGGCAAGGACGGCTATACCACCTCGTCCAAGAAGAAGGATACTATCCCTGTGATTGAGCCGGAGCTGAACCACACGACCATTGGGGCTTTAGCTCGCACCGTTGATGACTATGAGATTGTTATTCACCCTGGCGACTTTGCCTACGCGGATGACTGGTACCTAAAGTTTTCCAATATCCTGCAGGGTAAGGAAGCTTACCAGGCAATTCTGGAGCAATTTTATGATCAACTGGCTCCAATTGCTGGTCGTAAGCCGTACATGGCATCCCCAGGCAACCATGAGGCCGATTGCTCGGAGATTCCCTATCTCAATGAACTGTGCCCGGAGGGACAGAAGAACTTTACGGACTTCATGCACCGCTTCGAGAAGACGATGCCCAGTCCGTTCACCTCGTCCTCAACTAGCACCGCCGCCCAGGCTCTTGCCAGCAAGGCCCGCAGCTATGCTAACCCACCCTTCTGGTATTCATTTGAGTATGGAATGGCCCACATTGTCATGATTAATACCGAGACCGATTTCCCTGATGCCCCTGATGGCGTGGATGGATCTGCGAGCCTTGACAGTGGTCCATTTGGTACTTCGGGCCAGCAGCTCAACTTCCTCAAGGCTGACTTGGCTAGCGTTGACCGCACTGTGACTCCCTGGTTGATCGTCGCCGGCCACCGACCGTGGTACAGCACTGGCGGCTCCAATAATATTTGCGATACATGCCAGGAAGCCTTCGAGGATCTGTTTTACACCTACGGCGTGGATCTAGGCGTGTTCGGACACGTGCACAACTCCCAGCGCTTCCTCCCCGTTGTCAACGGGACTGCCGATGCGAATGGCATGAATGACCCCAAGGCGCCGATGTACATCGTTGCTGGTGGAGCAGGTAACATTGAGGGCCTGAGCTCTGTCGGCATTAAGCCCTCCTACACGGAGTTTGCCTATGCAGATGATTACAGCTACAGCACGATCCGCTTCCTGGACGAGAACAACCTGCAGGTTGACTTTTATCGCTCATCGACTGGGGAGCTCTTGGATTCTAGTACCCTGTACAAGAGTCATAGTACTCAGTTTGTGGTGCAGTAGATGTTATAGCCTTCTGAATGACTAGTCCAGATTGTCCATTTGAGATATCCAAGTACGCTCTGGCAAGGGGATACTCAAAATAGAATGATAGAACGAAATGGTACGAATTAGAACATCCATTGATTCGAGAAAAAATGCTCTGGATCAAATTTCTTCACCTCCTCTCGAAGTAATGCCTGATGTTTAGGTATGAATCGGACCTCGTATTTATGTGGCATGCTCACAAGAATAGCCAAATCAGTTGCTGCAAATGACTAGATGGACTTTAATATAACCATCAGACCGGATATTAAAGGCCGAAATCATTCGTAAAATGGTCAAGTTCTTGATAAGCAAGCAGAGATGAAACATACATTTAGTACTACCCAGGTGAAGAGTGGGTAATTTGGATGTGCAAGCCATCTTTCGGGGCGAAATTCTTCAGGTTGATCTAAATGCCTTTCCTTGACCGTGCCTGGAGGGGCAGTGATTTGCAAGTGTGCTCTAGCTATTATATGCAACATATTTAGTTGATAGTCACTAGCCAAGTTACCTTATGTGTTGATATCTATATTCTTCATCAGAACACTGAAAAATAGAATAAAATTGATGATAAATGGAAGCCCGCCTCGATATCATAAGTTTATAAGCCCCGCTGCTTCCATCTCTATACAGCAAATCCCTAGGTCCCTAGCCAGGTAATCTCGCCGCCTACCGTCTTTTACTACTTAATTCGCCGACTCAATCAGTCTATAGGAAATTACTAGGTCTTAATAATCTCGTGAAGATCGTGGAGTTAATTTAGATCGATCACAACTGATATATATATTAGATGCGGTATACTATATTACAATCAGATGTTTGCCTTGAAATAATCCACCTATTCAATTTTAGATAACCATAGGAGAAGGGGATATTCTGCACATTCATTGGAATGATATCGGTGGTTTCCCAGGAGACAGCGGGGTCAAAGACGAGGCTGCTTACAGACTATCAGGCTGCGAGTCCAGCGTTCACATGTCGCACTAGTATGTTATCATAGAAGAAAAGCTAACACCCGTGGGGCTCATCCACGCACACCGCGGTAATATGTATATCTTAGCTGGCCTTGACCTACCAAAATCAGAGCCAATATTATTTCTGTGTGTAAGCATCCTACTGGTAGTACGGGCCTAATTATAAGACCCAGGCTGGTACGTCAAATTGTATACCTATTTCTAGGCAGGCAGCTTACCAGAAGCTACTTCATCAGCAAAGATATATTAGTCTTGCTCTTATAGTATCCTCTAGATAGCAGACGAAGTATCTTATTTATTAGTCGTCCTACTACATACGTTTACGCTCGAAGAGTTCTCTTTATATATAAACGCGATAACTTGTCTAAATTTCTGACTAGCAAGAAAAAAGTGTCAGTGAAAAGCTGCTTTACTATAGAGGTCTAATTAATATCGGTTCTATTAAACCTTGGAGAAGAGCCTTTCTACTAAGTAGCGGATACGATAATACACATATTACCCAATTCAAGCTTTTGTTATAGGTGCTTTCGTATAAAGAAGCTCCTTGAGCTTTAGTTACAGAAAGAGCCTCTAGTAAAATCGAGGAATTAGAACTAGATCTCAATTTATATGCCATGATTAAGAGTAACCTTCGACTCGATTAAGGAGTAAACATATGGAGTAGACCCTCGTTATATATTCGATCTTCCGAGAACGACTGTAACACCACCGACGGTCATCGATTAAACATGAATTCTGGAACAGGACAATAATCTTCTAATTTACCGAGCAGAGTGAATGAGATCAGCCATATGGACCTGATAGTCTCTGCAAGGCTTGCTGTCAGCTAGAGCGCAAAGATGTCCTGGTTTCCGAGTAGTTTCCTGAATATAGACAAGTGGACATTGGAAAGTTGCTGGGAGCCCATAGCATATTGTCTGTCCGACTGTTCATTTGACATTCTTTGATATGTCAATCGACATTGCCAAGCTATCAGACAATTAATATTATATATTCCAGGTTGTTATCGCAATGAAATCCGAGTTGGTCCTGAAGCTTTCCACACATTCTGTTCGTACTGAAGTAATCGATATAGCAATTTTTGCTCGAAGTACACTCGGGGCCAATAAGCACACAGCGGAGATATCTGCTTATCCGCTGGTTGCAATAGTAAATTCTGTAGGCGGAGCACATTTGGGCGTTGCTGGAGTGGCACTCGATGTGGAGGAATTTCTCTTCTTTCGCTTGGTACTATGCCCTGTCGAGGTCATAATACCAATACTGCCACCTACCGCGCCTAGCAACAGGCCTATTCGCAGTGCTATTGGGAGAACCATCGTTGTATCTTTGATGAATTTCGTGAAAATACCAGATGGGATGTATGAGGTCTCGTGGTCAGAAAGTTGCCTCTGGTGGAATATTTTGGCTTCGTTCACAGCTAAAGAACGAGGAATAGGACTGGAATATCGTTGTAGAAGGACAGGATAAAGCGAGAGAAAAGACTTTCCAGGAGGGGAAAGGAGATCACCTCAACTTGAAGGAAGTAGGTATTTATGCAGGTGAGGAGTTAGTCACTTGATCTTAGAAAAAGCAAGTTCCAGTGGTACAAATCGTACTTGTGAAAATGGGAGCAAGCGCTCTTTATAACCGCAAGCCTGCCAAGCTACGTTTCTGAGACACCAAGGCTCTTTATCTGAGGTTGTCTCAGGTGAGATTTTTTCCTTTTTCTGATTGATTGGTGACAACAGTTTTAATTTGAGATGTAAATGGTTTGTCTGATCTAGACATTGGTGCCCACCGATGTTATGGTTGCACTAGACGCATGATATGACGTCGTTGACAAATCACAAAAATGGATAAAAAAAAAACAAGACTGTCTATTTGTTGGATATAACACTCATACAGAGGAGGATGAACACTGTTGCTATAGCGGGACTATTGAGATAATCAGTGTGGATGACCACTTCCTATGCTCCCTCCGTGCTATTAGAGATTGACCGAGTACCCCCTCTCTGTCCTTCGCTTTCTGCCACCTCAACTAAGACTATAGTCTTGCCTCTTATTCTCATCTCTTCTCTTCTTATTCCAGTTCTAGACTATATATTGGCAGTGACATCTAGATAAAGTGCTTTGCTATCAGTCCAGGAACCTCGTGGTTACCGTGACGGCAACTGGGTCAATAAAAGATCATCTGTGTGGCAGAGCCAGAAAACCAAGACAAATAGAGGAACCAACGGTTCATGAATAGTTCTCTTCAAACGATCCATACTCCACAGAGTGTCGATCATCAAACTCGAACCAGACCCATTTTTGCCAAGCCCGGCCGAATCGGGAATTCATAGATCGGATCGTGACGTCCGCACATCATGACATCAGCGGGGCTTGAATATTTCGCGTCCAGACCAGCCAAAAGCGCGTCGAGTCAACATCCAACATCCAAGCCCAATACCATCTCCTTCTTTCCCGCCGGCCCCTGAGGCCTCCCATCGAAAAGGCAGTGCCATGGCAAAGCGCACCCTTGATGCCTTCTTCAAGCCAGTAGTACCCAGCCCGCCGGAGAAACGCGCGAAGAGAGACCATGACAGCTCGCAATCACCACCCTCCAACCCGGTCGATGACCGCATTCCACCAAGCGTCCATCCCAGCTACCCATGCCCGATAGCCGGTCTCCCATCCCATATCGCCGTCGCATTAACCCACGGCACGCCGGCGCGCCCGCCACGACCCATCACCAACCAACCCAACCTCGACCTGCTCTATTTCAAGCCCTACATTACGCGGCCGGCAGCGAACGAGCTGTTCAAGTTCCTGCGCGCCTCGCTCCCCTTTTACCGGGTGCAATACACGATCAAGCGCGGTGGGGTTCCAACGGAGATCAACACGCCCCGGTACACGACCGTCTTCGGCGTCGACGACACAAGCATCTTCATCCCGGAGGGTGAAGCGCAACAACCATCCACACCCCCGGGGGAGTCGCACGACCCACCCGAAGCCACTTCCCACAGACACAAATACTCAAGTCAAGAAGCTCCGGATACGGACCCAGATACCGGACGTCACACGGACGACCTGATCCCCGTATCGACCCACACGCGCGCTCCCATCCGCGCCTCAAAATACGACTGCACACCGCGCCCTTTACCGGCGTGCCTGGCGCAGCTCCGCGATGCAGTTGAAGCCGTGACGGATGCGCAGTATAACTTCTGCCTGGTGAATTACTACGCCAGCGGGAGCGACAGCATCGCGTTCCATTCCGACGACGAGCGGTTCCTGGGCGGGGCGCCGTGCATTGCGTCGCTGTCGCTGGGTGGGGAGCGGGATTTTGTGATGAAACATAAGCCGGCAGGGGCGGGAGAAGTAGCGGTGCAGGCGGAGCCGGTCAAGATGGCACTCGGGTCGGGGGACATGGTCGTGATGCGGGGAGCGACGCAGGCGCATTGGCTGCACAGTGTGCCGAAGCGGCGGGGCCGGAGCGGGGAGGACATGCGGGGGCGGATCAATATCACATTCCGGCGGGCGGTAGTGCCGGGGGGCACAAACAACTACTATCATTATAATGTTGGGAGTGGGGGGGTATGGAGGTGGGACGAGGTGAAGGGGCAGATGGTGTTGACTAGGGACGGACGGGAGTGAATTAGGGCAAGAGTACATATACACGGCGTGTTTCCAGGAAGGTCCTAGAACAAACTTGGAAACTCTTTATCACGGGTATACGCGCGCTTGGAAGTACAACTGTCACTACGTGTAACAGCTCACCAGGCGGTCGACTGGTGTGACCTTTTTTTTTTTTTTTTTTTTTGGCGGATACAAGCAGACGGGCAGTGGAACAGATTATATTGGAATACAACCTTGCGGTCAGGGGAGCCAGCAGCAACATACTGGACCTGCGCCAGCCAAGTTCCTGACCAGATAGCCTAGCCAGTCTCTTGCGTAGAGATGAAAAAAAAAGAGAAGTGCAAAGCTATGAGTTCAGCAATATGCAAGGCCCCAACATGATAGAAAGCCTGGTGCTTGCAATGGAACGAGAAAGAAGAAGAGAAAAAAAAGGAAAATATGAAGAGAAAGGTAAAGAGACGACTTTATAAGCACATGAATGCCCCCCCTAAAAAAACACAAGTCTCGGAACTCCCATGTACATTGCTCCCAAATAAATAGACAGAGAAGCAAGTCATCATGTGCATTGGCGCTGTTCAATCGTTCCTAGTCTGGGATCGGGGCCAGACTGCAAAATGGATATGGACCCTCCCATCGAAGAGGAAAAAAAAGAAAAAGACGAAGAGAAAGAAGAAGAAAGGAGAAATGGGAGGTCGGGAAGAAGGGAAAGTAGAGATGAAATACAGGTAAAAAGGTAGGGGTGTCATTTTATTCAATACAGGGAAGAGGGAAACGTGAAGAGGAAAAGAAGAAGAAGAAGAAGAAGAAGAAGAAGAAGGAAAAAAGATGGGAGGGTAGAAGAAAGATGAATGGGAACGGAACCCTTCATGGGAAGCAAAAAAAAAAAAAAAAATTAAGAGGCGAGACGAACTTCCCATATTATATGATGACCTCCTCACCGTAGACATCAGCGTAGCATTGGAAGGTATCGGGGCAGCTAGAACATGAGTCCAGTATTAGCAAATGCAGATGGACCAGAGAAGCTACTCTCTGGTTCCGGGGTGAGTACTTACAAAATCGGATCCTTGCCAAAAATGATATGCCACGAGTACTCCATGATACTGGAGGTGACCTCGTCAGGCAAGTCGTTGGTGAGCACCCAGTTGTACATGCGCTGGTAGTCGCTGAGGGGGCGCTGAAGGACCTGGTCCCGCGAGACGGCGAATTGCGAGCAACAGGGGGCGCCGATCGATTGGGGCACGTCCGTGTTGCCAAATAGCTCCTTCCAGGCGTCGGCGTAATGCTTCTCGCCGGTGTTGCCGGGCTTGGGGGGTTGCGGAAGGGCTGCATTTCGGCAGGACAGCCGGGGGAGAGCTGGCAGCGGAGGCTGACGAAGCCTTCGGCCTGGACAAAGTCTCTTTGCAGAGCGCGCACGGAGTCTACGTTGCTGTAATCCATGGTGTCGGTATGCCAGGCGGCGGGCCAGCCGTCGCGGTGCGAGTGGAGGAACACGATGATCGGGGGGAGGTCATTGTAGTGGTCGACAATAAATTGGAGGTAGGGCAGCGCTTCACGGCCCTTGTTCTTGGGTGTGTGGACGGGGGCGGAGGTGTCGTCGACCGTGTAGATGAAATTGCGCCATCTGCGGGTAGTTTTTCGTGTCAGCCTAGTTCGGTGGTTGCGGATTCTGGGTCAAGCCAAGCACAGCCGAGGCGCTCGTCTCCCCCGATCCCCCTTTTTTGGGATCGCAAAAGAGAGAGAGTAAAAAAAAAAGGGGGGGGGAAGGGAAGCCAAGAAAGACAAGACGGAAAGACAATGCATCGAATCATTCAGAAGCGGAGAGGCAAAGACAGAGTTCGGGGGGCGGTGGGATCGACTCACTCTGCCAGTTCGGCGGAAACCCAGGCGGTATCTTCGTCGCGCACTCGACCCATCACAATAATGCCCTCATTCGGCACCTCGATCGGAGTGGTTTGATAGTTCAAAATGGCTTTGCTGCCGGTGCCAATACCCCATTTTCGGCGACCATGGTCTGGAGGAGGCGGGGGTCGTAGCGAGGCGCGGAAGGAGGTGGTGTCGAAGTGCCAGAAGGAGTTTGGTTGTTGGCCGACGGGGCTCAGACGGCGGTTCAAGAGGAAGAAGGTGAAGAGGATGAGCGCGGTGGCGGAACCGACCCGGAGTGATAGCCTCATGGCATGCCGTGGTCTCTCGCGGGGGAGAGGGCGTCAGGGAGGGGGGGGGGAAGGGGAAGGGGAAGAAGGAGAGGGGGAGAGAGAGAGAGAGGAGAGACAAAGTGAGGGTCGAAATGAGGGCAGAGTTTCCTAAATGGAAGCCCAGAGACGTGACAGTGTCAGGAACGGGAATCGGCGCCCCATACGGCGGAGACACAGCCAACGAGAGGGGGGACGCGGAGGGACCCGTTTGGCGTTGAGTCGATGCTGGCGCAACAGCACCAGATAATTAAAAAAAGAAATCACAGACCCGTTTCGCCTGTGTTGGTGCGCGGTGTACAGTCCTACGCTACATACACTCATCGACTCCGTTGGTGACCATGAAGCCGGTGAAGGATCGCGTTCGACGAATCGTGTCCTCGACGAATATACACAGAGGCCCGGGCTCGAGAGAAATTTCTGGCGAGCTGATTTAGGCTTCTCTCGTTTCTCCCGAGACAGAAAAAAAAAAAAAAAAAAGGTGGACAATGTTGAATCATCCGTGATTGGCGGACTCGGGGACGGCCGCATGGGGGCGATGCCCTGGGAGAACCAGCGGTGCCGGGGGGTACTGCCCAAGTCACTGCTCGGTACCGGGCCACCCCGTTCACCGCACCCCAATACCTCACGATACTTCGCCGATACCCCACCCATCTGCGATCGGCGACAGGCCTCGATGGCCCAGTGGGGCCTCGTCCGTGCTGGACCCTCGTCCAGGGGTCGAGACTGAACCGCTCAACCTCAAACAGAGGGATCTCGACCGTCGCAGGACGATCAGGAGGATCGGGAATGATCGTCAGGGAGCAGCCGGAAATGAGACTGCCCACCGCAACCCGACGCCCGGCCTTGGTGAACCTGGTCGCGACCATGGTGTGCGGAGTGCAGGGAGAGAGTCGGCGGGTTCTCCGCTGTTGCGCACCGCTTGGAATTTCCATGATTCGGATTGTGCAGTCTCATCCTCTCAGCGAACTCCGCTGCCGCCCACCAGTGGGAGTGGTGATCAAGGCCCCGTGCGTGCGCGTGCGATGTCTAGTCTACGCCTATCAAGGTGCCCCCCCCCCCCCCCCCCCCCCTCACCCCCAAAGCCGTTGCCCATGGATGCTGCAAGGGTGGATCGAGAGATCATGGACATGATTACACTGCGGTATCTACCCGCGTCTATGCATGCCCGTCCCGCGGGTACAGCACCATCCACGCTATAATGGACCCTGACGCCAGGGGCTAGCGCGCATCATGTGAATACATCCAATCCGCCCGGGCAAGGGGACGGGAAATGCCCGTCTTTCACGGCGGGGGAGATATCACCGGCGATGCGCGCGGGTGCAGGACCCCACAGAGCCTGACAGGCCAGAAACCTCGCCCACTGACACCAGACGGAGGTCAGTGATAGTAGGATATTGGGCTCCTCAGTGAGAATTTTGGTCCGAGTCCAACAGAGGGGGAATTGGCAGGTTATCCCCGAGGGAAATAGGGGAAACGAGGACAAGAGGCCCACGAACGGGCGGCGGCCCAAACCAAACACTCCCTAATGTCGAACGGCCTGGCCGCGGTAGATCGCTGCCCACAACAGACTATCCAAAGCACAATACGCTGCTCCACTGGGCCAGGGCCCGACCGAGCCCCCCCCCCCCCCCCCAAAAACATCACAATGACAGCCGCTGGGTGTCGATCGCGTCTAAGTGTCGATCGCGACCGCCATCAAATCGCCCCAAACTCCTATCTAACCAGGTCCACGTCCGGCCCCCGACAAATTTTAAAATAAATAAATAATTAATTAATTAATTAATTAAAATAGAAATAAAAATAATGGAATTGAAATTAATTAAATAAAGGAATCAAATAAAAGTAAATTGGAAAAAAAAAAAAAAAAAAGAAACCGAAAAAAAAGTCAAAACTTCACCCTATTAGATCTTAAATGGAGTTATCTGCGCGAGAGGCGGTCCCAATCTACGAAAGCAAAGTGCGACATTTTGGTCGAAACCGAATGAGGAAACAGGGGCCGCCATCCCGAAACCCAAAAGTCACCTTGTCGCCCCCGATCAACCATAAAAGCGGTCCACGCGGGCTCCTGCCATCACCAGTAATCCAGACACAATCAGCCGGGTGAAATACCCAGGGAACGCCCAAACGCCGAGCAGCACGATTCCGGTCCCAGGATATCTCTCGCAGAAGCACAGCAGGAAACAGAAAAGAGAAGAAGACAAAAAAGGAAAGGAAAGGTTAGGAAAAACAAAACTAAATATCAACAGGGGGAAATCCAGAATGGAAAAAATAATTACGCAGCCCACCAAAGCGATTACCTCAGAACAACCCATCCGGTTCATCTCAGACTATCCGGGCAAATACTAACTCACCCTGCAGTCGGATAGTCGGACCAAATCAGATCGGTTCAGAGAACAGAAAGGGGAAGCGGGGAAAGGGAAGGGACGAACGCGGTCCATATCCGACGGGAACCAACGTCTCACCACTTCTCAGGCGGAATGTTCACATCGAATTCCTCGTCAGAGCCAGCGATGCGCCCGACCACACACCTCGTGCGATCCAACAGGGCCACGTCACCAATCAAGCGATGACAAGCGCCCAAATGATCCATAAACACATCCAACGTCCCAAACGCCGGGACGGGCTCGTTCTTCTCGGCACAGCAAAAGATGCAGCCAAATGGGCCGCGGGCCTCTTTCGACACACCGACGTAGGCGCGGCGCACCTTCAGATGCGACTTGGCCAAGAACAGCCAGCGGAACTGGATCGCGGAACCACGGTGGAGGTAGACCTTCGTGTCGAAGCGGTGGTCGGTGCGACTCTGCCCCGGGACGTGCGGCATCTCGAAGAAGCATGAGTCGCAGCGCCATTTCGTTTCGAGGTTATAGTAGCCAGAGGGAACGGAGTGTACCTTGAACCCGCCGAGCCCGGAGTGCAGTTTCCAGGCACCTTTACAGAAACCGGAGTAGTTGGTGTCTTTGCTGGGGGGCCAGTAGGACGGGTGCGGGGATGGGCTGCTGGCGGAGGGCTTGTGGACGGAGGAGGAGGGGGTGGACAGGGAGGCGGAGGAGCTGGTGGAGGCGCGGGAGGGGGCGTTACGGGCTTCGAGCGGGGGAGGGCGTTGTGGGGGGAGCGATGGGTGCCGAGTAGGGGTCGTACGCGATGCCCGGGTGCGGGAAGTGGCTATCGTCCTGGGTCATCTCGGCGACATAGTGCGGCGCGGGCATGGCGCCGCAGGAGGGCGGGGGGGGGACTGGGTCGGGGTGATACGGTGGCTTGGGCTGGGGGAGCGGCGGTGGGCCGCCTCGAGAGCTTTGGAGTGCGGGTCCATATTCCACGGGTTGTTGGTGACTTCACGCATGATATCGTCGGAGGAGTCGCGCGCACTGTCATGCTCCTGCTGGTCTTCCAGAATGGGCTCATGAAGGCGTGTTGTATAGCCTCGCTCGGGGTCGACGAGGTCCGGTGCGTGGATCTCCGGGATGCGGTCGTGACAGTCGCTGGCGGGCTCGGGGGCGTGGGCAATACTGTATGAGCGACGAGACGGCGGCGACATATTCGCAGATCCCAGGCTACTATACCGGCTATTGACTGCGGGCTCCGAAAAGATGGACTGTTCAGCGGACGATCGGCGCCGGAAAAAGGTCGTGAAGGACGACGATCGGGAGGAACGTCTGGATGTCGAAGTCGACGGACTGGATCCCTCGAGCTGCGGAAACAGGCCAGACGGCTCTGGGGGCGAGCTGGTCCAGCGGCCGGAGTTGCGATGATCCCCGGGTGATGATGGAACCGCCATCACCCGGTGCGTGTATGGGATGTCCGAAATGCCCCGTCGCTCGATCCGATCGAGCTCGCGCGCCAAGTTGGAGGATCGGTCGACGACCACTGGCCCCGTACTCATTGGATAGGGCACGAAAGACGTCTGCGAGATGCGCTGATAGAGGCCGATGAGAACCGCGATGGTTTCGTTCCGGCCTTGGTCGGACGCATAAAGCAAGGCCATGATGTCGAGCTGGGCATTGTTGTCCCGCAGATGGGCGAGCAGCGCTCTTTGGAGCTGGATTATGATATCCTTCATCTGGTCGCGGGCGATTGCGTCGCCCTCTTCGTAGCGACGGCCCAGTCGCGAAGTATGTTCATTCCAGTGGGTGAGGATATCTTCCTGGCTTCGGCGCAGCGACCACTCAAGGTCGTTCGTGCTGGCTTCGCTGGACAGAACCTCGGATTGGCGGTGCTCCTTCCATTTTCTTTTAATGGTATGGAGGAGTCTGCTACCGTCATTGTAGGCGGAGACGACTACATGATGACCATAAGTCAGTGGGAATCAACAAGAGATAGAGAAGAGATACCGCGATAGTAAATGACCAAACAAAATGAGCCAAGAAAGGAGGAAGGGGGAAAAGAGTACCTGCAGCCACGCAGGCGACCACGGCGATCACCTCCGCCCCAGACATGGCAATTGCTCAGGTGGTGATCAGGAGTCAGTGAGTGATGGGGTGGGGACGGCCTGGAGAATGATAGGGCCGGCCGTGGAGTATCGATGGGGCGCGCGCTTGGAGGTCAACTGGTGACAGCCAGAGATCACAGAAGCAGACAAGAAGGCTCGGCGCTGGGAAGGAATAAGAAAAGAAGAACAAAAAAAAAGTCTTGGATGAGGAGAGAAGACCAGGGATAAGATAAAAAGAAGAAAATGCCCAGAAAGCCAGCAAAGCGTGTCAAGCCAATCGAGCCCCCAGTCAGTCTCGAGGGGTAGGGAGGCGAGATTAGTCCCTAGTAATCACGAATGAGCAGAGAGATGATCCAAGAGGGCAGTGCCGGGAGGGGAGGAGGAGCTGTTGAGCAGCGCCTGACAGCACAGGCCACCGTCATTTCATCCTCGCGGGGCTCCGGGAGTTTGGCGTCCGATCGACGGTACTAGGCCCCGGGTGAAGACTCGGTGTGAGCAAACGGAGTTGATGAAAGGGAATGGGGGGCAAACGGAGGGCGAAAGCAGCGCGGACTGGACGAGGGAGGTTCTGGCCCAGACGCGCTAATCACCAGGCCTGCAGGGCGAGAAGAGGTGGCGGCCAGTCGGAAGCCAGTCAAGGCGAGCAGAAGCGAAGGGAAGCGAGGATATCGAAATGGCCCGGGGAAGCGGGAGAATGAGTCGAAAGGCGATGACTCGAAATTCATACGTTGGAACCAAGACCCAGACAAGCTCTGGATGTGATATGCTTGTCGGGGAGTTCACAGGGTCAAAAGCCCGGCGGCAGAGGGTGTGTGGGAGTGAGGCTGAGTGGGTAAACGAGGAAACATCCACGTTCAAACGCCATTGAATCTGCCGTTGGGCCGGTGGCCCCGTGGATCACTGGACGCCGCAGCGGGGAACCGGGGGCGGTTCGGAGGCTGGCGATCCTCGAGGGGATTCATGATTCCACGGTGAATCAGAGTAAAAGCGTAGAGAACGTACTTTTGGGACCGAGGAGCTCTTGGATCGGGGCAACAAAATACCCTGGCGACGAGATCGGATTTGGATTTCACCCGGGTCAACAGCCCCCAGCCCTGAAGTCATCCATCCGAGGATGTCAGACAAGCACGGGACCAGCACCAACGCGACACGGTCTTATCGCCCCTTATCTCGGCTTGACGTGTACTTGGCGGCTGCCATCCGTCATGGCCTGCAGGGCCTGCAGGGCCTGCATGGAGCCCCGATCGAACCAATGTGCCTCAATTTGCTCTCACTGGCCTATTCTCCCGTTCTAGTCACGGTTCAAACAAGAATTCAAAGCATCCGATCCTCTGACAGACGCTCTGATACTCAGATCTGCCCCTACCGGCTAGCCTGTCACTACCCCGGACTTCCCCCGCGGCCTTGGGTCGCGGTGACATCATCGTGCCGGGGCTACCAATGGTTCGCGTTTCAGAGCGGAATCGGAGGATGGATCGTAATCGATATGCGATAGGTGTGGCCCGGTGCATTCCTAATATTGCTATTGGCCCCGGCAGTCACTATCAGGGCTGATTATGCGGACCTTTTACATGAAATTTTGACTGTCGGGAACATGGACTTGGCCGACTCCGATGCGGAGATATACTTTAGACTTCTCGGCGGTACCGAGATACCGCGAAAAGTAAACAGAGCATGCGGAATCATTGAGATTTACATAACATGGCGGTCACCTTCATATAATAGGAGCTGAAGTGTAATGCAAGCATAATGCTGAGTACTCATTGGTCTGTCTGATGTCTGATGCAATTGTTATGTAGATGGTAGAAATGAGATCGAGAATCGAGGAGAACACCCAGAACAATGACAGAAAAAAAAAGACATCGCCTGAATAAAAAGAAAACCAATGTCCAGCCCTCTTTCCTTGAAGAACACGCACATTGCAAACGCCTGGAAACATGGAAAATGCAAGAATCCCCAAAAGACAAAGTCCGCCCAGATATACCACCGGGACACATATGGAAGAAACAACAAAAGAGGCACAGGAAGAACGAGCCAGATCGCGGTCCGTATTCAGAAAAGCAAGTTCTCAAGCACCAAACCATCATCATCATGGTCATCAGCAGCACCGTCCTCGTCGCTGGGCAGCTTGCATCACCTGCGCTTCCTCGACCTCGCCGATCGTGGGCGTCGCCAACCCCAGCCAACTTCGTCGTTTATCCCCAGCGCCCAGCCGAAAACTTCCATTTCCATCCAACCCCGTCAGCCCAATCGGCCCGACAACACCATCGTTCACGCCAGGCGTCGCCAGTGGCGACAGCGCCAGCTCCGCATCCCGCCGGTTCCGCTGCTCGACCAGCTTGCGCGTAATCACGCGAAACACCTCGTCGATGCCCTCGCCGTCCTTGGCGCTAATCTCATGACAACAGTCCCACCCAATCTCCTGGCCCCAGAACGCCGAGCTGCGTTTACTATCCGGGCTCAGCAATACGCTGGCGGCGCTCCCGCTGCTCCCGCCGCCGCCCACGAGGCCCAGCCCAGGTCCACTCATGCCGGCGGTCGGCGGCGGCGTAGACGCGCGACTGGGATACAGCTGTTCTGCGACGTAGGCGATCGTACGCTCGAAGGGCACGCGGCGGGAGGCCGGGTCGGTCGCGACGATGTCGGATTTGGTGCCGACAACGTGGATGACGAGGGGTTCGGTGTCCGGGGCGTCGATGTTGCGGCGCAGCTCGCGCAGCCAGCCGGCCATCTCGGTGAAGGAGGCTTCGTCGGTGATATCGTAGCAGAGAAGACAGGCATGGGCGCCGCGGTAGTACAGCCGGCTGATGGAGCGGAAGCGCTCCTGGCCGGCAGTGTCCCAGATCTGCAAGCGAACGATGGTATCGGAGGTGGTGTCGAGGACACGCTTGGTGACAAAGGAGGCACCAACAGTGGAGGTAGTAGAGGCGGGTGTGAAGGCGTTGCGGACGTAGCGCTGGACGAGGGAGGTCTTGCCGACGCCTGCGATGGTTAGTTTGGTATACTCAGATTTGCTTTCGGGGTTTGGTGCTAGGGGCAGAGGGAGGGGTCGGTCCCAACTCGATTGTATGGGAACGCTTCAGGGCTGAGACGCAAAGGGATCCAGGATGTCAGGGTGGTATACTGACCTTGCGCGCCCAGCACAACGATCTTCGCCTCGAGAGAGGAGCTCATGGCGCGGGGTTCACAAGAGCGGGGCCGACCGTTCACATGGGCATGATCTATACGACCAGAATGCAGAAAGCCACACCACGCCGAAGAAACGCGGTGGGAGGGAGGAGAGGAGCCGGGGACGGAAGAACACGTCGAGAATGCAGTTCGACCAGGAGCTGAAGGAGGTGAGAAAAGGAAGAGACCAAGCGCGAAAAACCGGGAACAACCAAACACCCAAACAAAGGCGGGATCGGCCGATCTCAGGCGGCAGTGCCTCCTTTGGAGGGTCAGCTGGTCCCTTGCACAGTGAGTCACGGCGATGGCGGGTGCTGGTGATTCCTTGTTGGTGTTAAATGTTGTTGGGCCCGTCGCGTCTGTCGGTCGCATTCAGAGCAAGTGTGATTTTTTTTCTAGGTTCTGATCGGATCGTCGAACATGATGAAATCCAGATAGTTTGGGATCGGTAGGGTCCACGGCGTGCTTGGGGGCGGATTGGCTATCACACCTTGATCAGGGTTAATTTGTTAATTTAGGTATGTATTGGGGTATTTGTTTATTCTATAAATCGATGCATTGGTGCATGTTTGATTAATCTTGGGCGTGATTTGAGTTTTCCATATATTAATTTACGGATCGATTGGACGGGGAGCCGCACATGCAGGGACTTTTGCTCTCGGGGCTGCTCAGCTGAGACTGCAGGTCATTGCAAGCTGACAGTCTAGGATACGCCTGCGACGCACGAAGACGGGACTGATTGAGAATGTTTGGGGCTACTATTCCAACAATACAAGTCGGTACCATGGTGGTCGATGAGAGAAATCACAAATTCCATTTGATTTCGAGAATGAACAGAGCAAAAGGAAAAAAAAAGTTGATAGGTCCGACACATAAACAAAGTCATACAAAGACATACAAAAAACCGCCATGCCCAAGCCACAGCGTTCCGGATCATCAGATCATTCAACAAGAGGAAATCACGCACCAGTCGCACTTTTGGGAAGGGAAATCGTTCAATGGGTATATAAAAGAGACAGGACCAGGAGACAGCAAAAGAGATAAACGCGGTCCAACAAGAAAATGTAAGGGAGGTAAGAAAATGAGACAAAACAACGGGCGATGACGTGTGCCGACAAGGGGGTTGCAGGCCCAGCACCCAATCAGTGTGGACTCCAACACAACTGATAACATCCCAGGAGCCCTGGCAGCGTCCGACGTCACATTCCAACATGGACATAAAATAGGTCAAAAAGGATGGTCAGGAGCGATGACTTGCAACGGCATAACTTGCCACTGGCACCACACTTTTTGACACCCGTTATTTCTCAAGCTGCTCATCAGAGCTAGGAGGGACCTCGCCTTTCTCGGGGTCGGGGTTGCCGCCGGGGCTGAAGCCATATTCCACGGCCTTCTGCTCAATCTCCTCGTCACTCAGCTTGGGTAGCTCACGGGCCGCCCGGACATAGCTCATGTTCTCGCAGTAGCCCTTGGCGAAGATGATATCAATTTCCTCGAGGGAGCGACCGGCGGTCTCGGGGTAGAAGAAGTACATGGGCGGGATGAAGACGGCATTCATGATGGCAAAGAACAGGTAGGTGCGCCAGCCGATATGGGAGACCATGACTGGGGTGATCATGACGACGGTGAAGTTGAACAGCCAGTTGGAGCAAGTGGAGACGGCATTGGCCTTCGCACGAGTGCGGATGGGCGACAGCTCGGCCGGGTACAGCCAGGGCAGCGGGAGCATGGCGGCACCAAAGAAGGCCATGTACAGGAACAGGCCAAATACGGCACCCTTGGACGGGCCGTTTTCGCCGGGAATCAGACAGCCGAAGACGATGATCATCGAGACCATCTGGCCGGTCATGCCGCCGATGAAAAGCTTGCGGCGACCGATCCGCTCGATGAAGAACCAGGAGAAGGTCGCGAAGATGGCGTAGACGATCATGTTAACACCGCCAATCAACATCGACATGAAGTGGCTTTGACCGAGGGACTGGCGCAGCAGGACGGGCAGGTAGTAGATGACCGCGTTGCAGCCTGATAGTTGCTGGGCAATCTGAGAAGAGGATCCGATAATCATACGGCGGAAGTGCTGGGTCTTGCCGCCAGTTAGGAGGTCCGAATAGCTTGCACCAGCGGCAGCACCGGCACTGGAAAATCAGATTAAAAAATTAGCATATACGTATATAACGATATCAAAGGGTTGAGAGGGGAGGACAGGGACCGGGGGAGGGGGTATCAATAATGACATACGCCTCAATAGACTCAATGACCAGCTGCTTCTGGATCTGGGTTTCATGATCGTCGATCTCCTTGCCCGCCAGAGCAGCCAACACATACTCACCCTCGTGGACCTTGCCCTTGGAGATGAGGAAGCGGGGAGAGTCGGGAAGATGCCACATGCCAACGATGATCAAGATACCGAAGACAATCTGGAAGGCAATCGGGAAACGCCAGACGAGGTCGTCCGGCCCGTACGAAGCACCAAAGTCAATCCAGTAGGCGATCATCGTACCGATGGCAATAATACCACCCTCGATACAGATGAGCAGACCACGGTTGCTGGTGCGGGAGCACTCAGCCTGGTATGTCGGGATGGTAGAAGTGTTCATACCGTTGCCGATACCCGTGATGACACGGCCGAACATGAACTGGAGCAGAGGGATGTGACCAGGGAAAGAGGTAACCTGGATAATAACACCGATGATCATAATAAACGCACCGGCAATGATCATCCAACGACGGCCAATGCGATCACCAGCGAACAGCGCGAAGATGGCACCGAACAAACATCCCAGTTCGTAGACGGCAGTGATCAAGGCTTGCATAGTGCTGTCGCCCTCGGCGGCCGTGAACACACTGGTGAAGGCGTCGGCATCGATGATACCGGACATCACACCCTGATCGTAACCGAACAGCAGGAAGCCCATGGTGGCGATCGTAGACACTGTCAACGACAGGGGCCTGCCGGACAGGCCAGCAAAACTGGGCGCCATGATGATTGAATAAAGCCTTTTATCGTCGTTGTCAGGACGTATAGACGTATAAGGCGGTTACAAGGACAATTGATTCCGGCAGAGGCGCAATATAGTGATGTCGCCTAGTGATAGATCTCGACGGAGAGAGAAATGAATTGAAGTGTCGAGGGGCCTAAGATCAAGGAATGCAGCCCACAAAAAACACGCGGAGAAGATTAGAAAAGAAAAACAGAAACCTGGGGGGAGCAAGGGGGGGACGAGGGGGGCAGATATTTCAATAGAACGATCTCACCCGCAACCCACGCCCTCGCCCCAAAGTGGCAACGAGATGCAATCGTGGAGCCTGGCATCATCTCCAACTCTCCGACCATCCATCTACCGAGGCGCTTTACCACGATGTGGGTATCGTTATTCCGTGTGCGCGCATAAGAATTCACGCCTGTGCCAGCGACTCGCAACCAACAAGCAAACCGCGCAACTTTTCGATCCGAGACTCCGCTTAACCCACACTTGCGGCAGCGCTGGTCCGCCGAATGGGGGCTCCGCCGAGGTGGAACCAAGCTTCCGGATGCATCAATAATGAATGGATTAAGCATTTCTCGACTGCCCCGCCCGGTACCTCGGGATGGCTTGCGTCCCTGATGACATCAAGGCCGAACATCTTACCGCCGACAATTGGTGTTCCATTTCTCGAAAAGTAGGATTTTATGCGATATTATGATTGGCAAGGCTCGGTTGGATACGGGTCGAACTCAAATATTTCCGCGCATGGCTGTTACATAAATGTATGAGGCCTTGCGACGCCCGTGGTTGGAGAATACGCGCCGCGAGTGGCCACCCATATCGCACAGATACGAACTATTGGAGACTGTTCTGCGTGGTAATAGTGAGAATCACTCAGTAGATGATTGCCTCGCCTGGGTGTTGCTATGTCCTCTCTGAGGCGAGGGTTCCGCTAGTCCTTCCCTCTATGGACAGAATATGCATGCGTGGGTAGATCTTTAGGCAGCATGCCGATAATCAAAATCAGCATTCCTACTGGCCGATTCAAGAACTTTCCAGATGAGAACAATAAGCAATCATGCCGAGGAAAAATAAACTCACTGAAAAAAAAACATCAACTTACAAGATGTGTGGTGTCGGTGAAGCATAACACAAACTGGACCTTACAATATAACATACATGGCCAAACCATATGAGCATTCAGCTCCTACTCGCTTGGTCCACGTATAATTTTTCTGTTTCACCTCGTCGAACAATATTCATTACTCAACTATGCTTAGTCGATGGCAAATTCTGTCCCCGGGCAGATTCGTGCTAGGACAGCCCAAGATGCAAAACAGATCCTTGAGACTATTTTCTATAACGCGGGCGCTTGGCCAAACATCTCGTCAACGTGCGCAAAGATTAAGAGAGACGAGAAAAGGCGGGTCCTGTCTTGTCCACTCTATCGGGATATGGGCTCTAACTTGACTCGGGAAGCCGTCACCGCAACCTCCGAAAGGGGGCCGGTCCTCCGGCTGGCGCAGGAAATGGGAAAATGGGCGATGATGTAAGAATGCGCCGTGCGCAAACTAGCGGTCCCTCCCAGCGGATCAGTGGGGCGTTCGGCCCCGATTTATTGGGCCGTCCGTGGCCCCCGTTGGGAGTAGAATGTGCACTAACGTTCTGCATGTTCCAGGATGCGAATGCGTTAATGGCCCATCAAAGTATCCCGTATTCGATTGTTTGGGATCAAGAGCCCTTAGAAAGACATGGCAGGCGATTACTGTTGATAATGTTTATTGCTATCTAATATTTCGTTTCTAGTCGACACGAGAAGGCGGCTCAAAGTCAGGGATAGTTGCAACTACCCCCAGTGATACTCGCAAATTTAAAGTGGAGATCAGACGAGGGCTGGCTCACTGGTACCTATTCCCCCAGGGCATGAATATAATTCATTTGGCTTGGATATGATAGACGACCGGTGCTTTAATCACTGCCTGAGAGCCAGGGCTATTCTAGTACATCTGTTGAGTTATTAGGTTAATCATTCATACGGTATTTCATTTATCGTAATTGTTTTCTTCGGTGGTTGGCGTTTCTAAATAACAAGTTCTTACTATTGTCATTTTGCGTTTCCTAGTTTGATTTCAAAAATCTTTGGGAAACAGATGGAATACCGAATATTGGGAGCGAACGATGTTGTACCTCTCCAACCATATTTTGATGCTCATCCCGATCGAGGCTTGGACCGAACGCGTGCGTGTCAAGCAAGCAGTGGCACCGAAATGCAATTCAGACGAAAAAAAAGAAAGAATAAAATGAAGATAAAATCAAGAGTATCCTACGTTCCCTCTCCGAGTCGACGACCCACGTCATTTGAGGACCCGCTTATGGAGGAGTAGAAAAGTGGTGCATCTGCACCAGATCCGTTCAGCGCGCCCGGTGGAAAGCCGACGTCAGGTCTCCGCCCGATGATGTCGCCGAACCACTGACCAGACGGGTGATTTTTGTTCTCGAAGGTTTCTACGGGGCCAACTGGAACACTCTCCTGGTTGTTCCAACTGTTGTATATCCTGGGGCTAGTTAGAACTCTACCGGGCGTGGAGTTGAATTTTCCCATGGCGTGGCGGAGGTAGTTCGTGCTCGGCAGATCTCCCCAATTATTATTGCGTGTCGTATGCAAATCTTGCTCGCTCGGTAAGAGGACTCGGAGTTACAATAGCACTAGTCGGACCCTCTTCGGATACACAGATAAAATAGGGCATTTATCATGATGCAGGCTGTGTCCATGCTGGTGGCTACGGTACCTGTCCGGGGTGTGCACCTGGGGGTCATTTCTCCGTTATCTTGCGCCCAACACAGCCCCAAATGTGCATTCAACGAGGGGTAAAACGGATGACAGCACTCATGGCAGCCAAGGCTCTTTCAAGTGAACGTTGTTGGGGAAAAGGATGTCATTCTCAGTGTGCCCTGTTATTCCGGGACCCGCCCGTCGATCCTACAGTACAACGTCATCCATGGCAGACATGCACCAACAAAGACTGCAGCCTATTTGTCTCGGATTGGATTCGATGAAAACGTACTCGCCGGGGAATCTGAATTCAAGTGACCGGGAAATACAAATAAAGAAAGTCTGACCATGGACACGGTGAACACCATGAAACTAGCGCGGGGAAAATGCATTCGCGGGATGGAGATTTGGAATCCGCATCGCCACGCGCGGTGACGCTCGTGCAATCGATTCTCGATTTTTGCAGGCATGGATTTGATTCATAAATCTCGGACTAGTCTCGCAAGAAGCGGTGTCGAGAGACATCTGGGTCCTTAGGATGCTGCATAGAAAGATAAAGGGCTTGACGAGGGGCGATGCCTCGGTCGCAAGTGACAACAATCGGGCAGTTCGGCAACGATGAGTAAGGTCAATCAATGTTGTATCTGGGGACCAGGGCAATCCCAAGGGTTGACCCGTCGATCCCGAACATTATAATCTGATGCCGGCCATGGTAGCTCGATGTTCGTCGCTAGAACAATGGGAACCCTGGCTGTACGTGAAGCTTAATATGGGATCGGGTTGTAGGTGCGCCACCCAACATTTCCAAACCACCTAAGAATTTCCAACTTTTCCAATTACCCTATTTTTTGCTTCCCTATACAATACTATCATCAAAATATGCCTAAATTCGATAAATCTCGTATGGCTGAGGCCTGCCTAGCTGCATCACGTATAGAGAAGCCGAATATTACGCGTTTAGCACGGGATTTTGGTGTTCCTAGGCGTACGTTGTACAATCGTGTAAACAAGAAAACAGTGTCTACTACTGCTAAACGCAGTGCTAAATACACTCTCGAAGCCTATCAAGAAGAAGCCTTGATTCGCTGGATCCAATATATAAACGATTCCTATATGCCTATCACTCCTAGGATACTAGAGGCGTGGGCGAATCGTGTATGCTAACGCGTCGGGAAGCCGACGGTTAGTAAGATATAGGCGTACCGCTTTATTAATAGGCTTCCTAAAAATCTTCAATTAGGGCCTACTAAGTAGTATACGAAGGAATAAAAGCGAATTCTAGCAGAAGATCTAGCAGTATTACAGCACTAGTACGATCTACTAGCCTAAACTATTAAGAAGACTACGCCTACACGTCTATAACTTTGATGAATGCAGCTTTCAACTGGGCGAAGGAAGGTCTAGAAACGTTATATCTACTACTACTACTACTACTACTACTACTACTACTACTACTACTACTACTACTACTACTACTACTACTACTGCTACTACGCGGAAGCGGTGTAGGTGTGTGGAGACACTGCTATTCAGTACAATCATTTTAGTACCAGAAAAAACCCAATTTCAGCAACATTCGAGCTGGCTACAGGTATCTTCTTACAATATTTCCGATCTTTTTAGACCAATTCTGTACGGCAAAATGTTGTTTGTTTTAGTTGACATTGGTTTTGTATAGGCTGGTGTTTATATAGCTCTTGCTTCCGCAAGAGAGAGCATCGAAATTTCCTTCACGCTACAATTTAGGCTACATTAAGCTAAATGAGTTAGGTTCAATCCTCCGGAGAAATTTCAACAACGACCTTCCTTGCCGAAACACCTTTCCTCTGCAGATCAATAGCCTCTTGGACCTTTGACAGTCCACCATAAACTATCTGAGGATCCGGCTTTGCCTGAAAACTCCCAGCAGCCAATGCACGAGGAATAAAATCATGCCAGATAGCCTCGCCAAGGTGTGGAAACTTGGTCTCAATATCCAAGCAGATGACTTTGAGTGTATCAGTACGTACTTATATGACTAGATAATCTAGGGAATCTTACCAAATGACGACTGCACGTTGTCTGGAAGAGTTTCCTCGGGTATAGTCATGACTGGGAGCAGTCCTCCTCCAACCTTCCCGAGAATCTCACCACAAGTCACTTGTGTGTCCTTCGTGCTAATGCAATCGACAACATAATCCTGTGGCTTCAATAGAGCGGTAAGGTTGTTCACAGTATCTGGATCTTTGTAGTTGAAAACATGAGTGGCCCCAAGGGATTTCATAAGTTCATGATTTGCACTGCTGGCTGTGGTCACGACCTCCAGACCAGATGCAACTGCAAGCTGAATTGCCGCAGTACCAACAGAGGAGCTTCCTCCCCAAATAAGAATCCTTTTTCCTATGGGCTTGGGAGCTAAAGTTGGAAGTGGCAGCTTAAGGTGGGCATAAAGTGCTGTGGCGGCTGTATCTACCGCGATGGGAAGTACTGCAGCATTGGCCAAGGGCAAAGACTCCGGAACTGGAGAAACTAGAATTTCATTGCAGGTACTGTAGAGTTGATATGCAGCGTTGGTTGCTTTCTTCGTATGAAATCCATCGCAGTGTCTAGGGAAGATTTCAGAATTAGGGAACATTTCAGGTGCTTGATAGCATGAAACAAAAGATTTACCCGATCACTCTTTGGCCCAAATGAAACCGGGTGACTTGCGAGCCTACCTGTGCAACCGTACCCGCGACATCTGTTCCGAAGATGAAAGGGTATGGAAGCGGTATACCGGGAAAATCTTGAACCTAGAGGCAGTGAGCCTAATAATTGTGAAGGCCAACCATAGCGACGGAATATGATATTTCACCTTCCAGTCGACTGGATTTACAGCGGCATAGGCTACTTTGATTACCACTTCATTCTCCGCGGGATCTGGCGTTGGACCCGGGCCAAGCTGAAGGGGTCTTGTGTTAGGACTCGGGATCCATGCTGCTTCATTGACAAAGGGTGACATGTTTTTAAGACTTGAGATGAGGGAAGGTGAAGGGTTTGGGTTGAAGAAGTCGGCGAGACAATAGACTGTGTATACACACGCTAGATAGCAAGTTAATTCTGGGCCGAGACATTGGGAAGGCATGCAGTCTTTTATACCTTAATATCTTCTATAATCATCAGATTTCAAATCATCATTATGTACATTTCAAACAATATTGATAATCACGGTGAGCGATTGGCAAATTTTGGGGCCATATCGCTTGAGCAATTTATCAGCATGTCAACTCTCCCCTGCCCGCCTGCCTTTCCACCAACTAACACCAAAGGGGAAATCGAGTGCGAGCACAAAGTAGGCAGCAGAAGGGAAAGAGAATAGAACCTAATGAAATCTAGATCTGCCGTTCAGAATTTTCATAGGTGTCTTTTCTTGCCCTCGGTCGAATCGGGAATATTGGACTAACCTCTTCACGTTCTGGACCCCAATTCTCTCACTTACGGTTCGACTTCGAGGGGATTGACTTGAACCCGGGAAAGTTTCCACCCTGGATGCTACTCTGCATTTCCTATAGCCACATCTATAATGTTTGCTGACACCACGCTAAGAGTATAGTCTGTTGAACTTTTGATCATGATCGTATTTCATTATTCTCTATCATGACACTCGATGCCCTTACACAAGACATGGGTATATATATATGCATCACAGGGCAGCACTCGAAAACAAACGCAGATCTAGCTAACACGGGCAGTAGCACTCGGCCCAGAGCCAAAATATCAACACAGAAAAGGAGACAAAACAAGAGAAACTCAATCATCCTACAACTTCGCCTTCTCGTTGAAACGCGGCGCCTCGAGTGGGTCATAAGCACGGAGGGCAAGTGTATCTGACGGGGCCACGCCGGAGTGGCCGCCCAACAAGCCGCGGGTATCCAGCAGACTGGGATTGAGTTCCTCGATGCGAGTTGCGCCAATCAAGCGCATGTTCATCTCCATTTCATCCTTGAGTAGCTGCATGGCGCGGTTGACACCATCCAGCCCGTAGGACGACATTGCGTATAGGAACGGCCGGCCGATGCCGACGCCCTTGGCTCCCAGACACAGTGCCTTCAGGATATCTGTGGCTCGGCGCACGCCGCCGTCCACGTACACTTCGATACGCTTCTCCCACCCGCGCTCGCGGAGTGCTGGCATGACCTCGGCCAAGACTTCGATGCCCGAGCGCGCAGTCTCGAGCTGCCGTCCACCGTGGTTGGAAAGGACGACACCGTCAACGCCGGCTTCCACGGCGCGTAGTACGTCCTCGACGCACTGCACACCCTTCAGCACAATGGGCATATTCGTGATGGATCGGAACCAGGGAATGTCTTTCCAAGACAGGGCCGGGTCAATGAACGAGGAGATGGCGCGGGCTGCGCCCTGAGAGCGGTCGACTGAGTCGTCGTTAGACTGAACGTTTGAACCGGCGTCGGAGAACTTGGATCGCATGTCCTTTTCGCGGCGGCCGAGTTGAGGCGCATCGACGGTGATGAAGAGGCCCTTGCACCCGCGCTTCTCGGCATGTTCGACGATCTTGCGGGTGATCTCGCGATCCTTGTTCACGTACAACTGCAGCCACTGCACCTGGTCTCCCTGCTTGGCATCGACAATCTCATCGAACGAGCAGGAGGCGAGAGTCGGGATCATCTGTACCACGTCGTGCTGGTGCGCAGCTTTCGTGAGCACCACTTCGCCCTCGGGGTGGCCGAGCTTGCCCAGCGCGGTGGCGGTCACATAAAATGGAATCGAAACAGGGGTCCCGAGCATGGTGGTGGACATGTCGATATTCTCGACGTCGACCAGAATGCGGGGCCGGAACCAGATCTTGTGGAAGGCAGCGTGATTCTCACGCATGGTCTAGAGATGCCATGTGTTAGCGATTGACTCCTTGACTCGGTTCGTGAGAGCAGCTTAAAGGCAGTTCTTATGTCCACGCACAATTTCATCATCCGCGCCGCTAGAGTAGTAGGCCCAAGCAGTCTTCTTCATGACCTGCCGTGCGACTGCCTCAAAGTCCATTAGGTTGTAGCATGCGGCGAGCGGGGGCATGAGCTTAATGCGCTCCTGGCGGTCCGCCTCCTCGGGGTCGAATGCCTTCTCCTCCTGCTGCACGGTATTCATGTCTACTTCACCCAGGTGTTTGGACTTGTCGAGGAACTTGTCGAGAGTATCGGGCGGGTGGATCGGGTCGAATTCCTCGGTCGCATCCTTACCAGCGTACTTGAGGATGATTTTCTGACCACCGGGATGTTCTAGGGGCGTGGTTAATCGACAGAAACACACAAGCATAGAATTGAGGCTGATAAATCGTGTTACCTGGAAGAAACTCGGTCACATCATATGCCTTGCCGTGCACAATGACCCAGCAGGAGTCCTTGGAATTGTGCTCCGCGACGGCAGCACCCGTCAACTTCTGGCTCATGGTGTGTGTAGAGAGAGGGGTAAGACGCCGAAGAAGAGATTATTGCATGCAGAGTGATCTACAGTACAGTGCGAAATCGATGAAGGGCTTCACGAAGGAATGGAAATGGTAATTGCGAGGGAAAAAGTTGCTGCTCAAGTAACTCGGGCTAATGGAGTCCGGGGGAAAAGTTGCGGGGAGCCTCTCGGCCGACTCGGGTGTGTCGACTCGATATGATCGAGTATTCCCCCACCGGGAAGAGCAAGGGCCAGGGATTGGAGGCCGGGGTCAGCGCGGTTATTTCGATCGGTCTATATTCTCTTCTCCGTCAGAATAAGCGAAATGTATTCCAAAGACGCCCAAATGGTGCAATAAGGTGTCAAATAGTACAGACAATCCGGGGCTGTTGGACTCGAGAGCCCATGAGAATGAGAATGTGCCGCTCCTCACCGCCCGGGGACGCCTCGGCCCAAACCGGCCAGTCACGCGCCTCGCATTATTACGCGCTCGGCAACCCGGGGCTTCTTGTGCCGAGCTCTTTGGCAGCTTTCCCCGATGGTCGGTGACCGTCGTCGCCTGCTGCATATTCTCTTCACCATGGCTATCCCAAGTGTAAGAAGGCTGTCTGGATATCACAGCTGGCCCCGAACATTTCTCATGCCTGAATGCTTCTCGAGTCCTTCGCGAGCCCGTATCTCGAGTCATTGATCCCTCTCAGCGGATATAGTTGCGCATATCTTGCATTCAACACTTTGTGATTGTAGATTCCCATCTTGGTAGCGTAAATCGCGTGATGCCATATATCTTATAGCTCATCTTATGCCAAGTGTGAATTCCAGGTTGCCTTTATCCTCTAAGTTTGAGTCGTGCTTCTACTGGATGGAGCCAATTGTACAATTTGACTTGGTGCTTGGGCCTGATATCTGTGCAGAGAGAGTGGTAATCATCGCAGTTCTGTACAAAGGTGTGTAATTTCTTAACGCCCCTATGTAGAACATAGCCCCGCAGCTTATGCCTAGGTGTCCCTCACCGTGTGCCATACGAAGGATCTCGGGCTCGATAATAGCAGGAATACACAGCCAGTATTCCCCGCTTTGTTGGGTAGCGTACAGTAGTCCCTCGTCAAGCTCATTCAGCGGGGTAAGCTTGACTAGGTCAGGCTCGCACGCCACGCGCTCTAGGTCGTCGATAACCCTTGACCATCGTAGGTCGGTCTTATACCCGTCAAACGCGCGAGCTTTGAAATCGTCCTTCAGTGCGACTGCGGACGTGAGAAAGGGGTAAGCCTTATCGGGCAAGTCCCGTGTATCCGCATGAAGAGCGTCCAGATCTTCGTCGTCGCGGGGGACCGATTTTCCGATAGACGGCAGGCGAGAGAGTGCGGTCGGCGAAACAGTTCGTCTTACCAGAGCGGTAGAGAATAAGTAGACGAAACTGCTAGATATATTGCGAAGCCCTCACTAGACGCAGGTTCAGTCGGTCCAGGGAGGTAGAGGATAGGGAGGTAGCAAGATTAATAGTGGCGGTATGATCGGTATAGATAACCGGAAGCAGGCTTTCGGGTGCTGCTTCGATTATATGTCGCGTCTTGCGTATAGCCCAGACTAAGCACGACGCGGTTGACTAATAGTTCTTCTCGGCCGGTGTTAGGAGACGGCTAAGGAACATGACAGGCTCGACCGCTGTTGACGGAAAGGACGAATGGTATATAGAGGCAGACGTACTTAGCCATCGCCCCGACCTGCTTGAGGTGTATGCCTCGCGATAAATTCTCGTTTCAATGATGTTATGTATCCCTCCTATATTATTTCACCTCCTTGTTACCACGTGACAGTATCGTCATCAATAGCTTATCATTATTCGCTCATAGTAGATAGAACTTCACCTTTATATCTTCCCAGAACACAGCTTCTTATTACTACTCCTACTCGTAATAATTATTATCTCTGTTATATTTCTCTTACTTCACCCTTACTTCACTCTCACTTCACTCTCACTTCACCTTTATAATATCTTTTACTCCTTACTACACACCTTTCACCTGCTACCTCTACTATTTTAACTTATTACCCTTGACACATTTTATTCATCTATTATATACTCCTACCGCTGCCAGCATATAACTAAGAGCAATCTGTCGCCCACTACCCTCGCCCTCTTCTCTCACTTCCTACTAACACCTCACTCTCCCGAAAAGTCTAATAACTAATCCGAACTCTAACCTACAAGGAATAGTAAAGTCATTTCGCATCTACCTCCCTTCACATTACAGATTTAAATCATTGGTTTATCCTACAGACTCATACCCACATCGCTTATTATAGTTCAGTCAAGGATAAGAAAAATCCCCTTGAAGCCTGTATAGATAAAATGGTCAGGGAGGTGCTTTCGCTCCAATACGATAGTGAATAGAGAATAGCCGCTAACGAAGGCGGCTTCGGCTTTCTTGCGGAGATGCGTGCTATTAGTGAAAAGATCGAGAAGCTCAAATCTGATTATGGCAGCATGACCAACAAGATCGAGAAGCTTGAAGCTCATCGCCAGAGCCATCTCGATATCCGTCAAAGGGCAATCTCTAAATGGGTACGAGATGCGCTCAATAAAGATACAGAACGTCGGAAGCAGGAAATCAGCAGAATAGACAAGGATATCATCTACGGCGGCGATGTACGTTCGGATGCTATGGTCGTCACTGAACGCTACAAGAAAAGTAGCACCGAATGGGGATCATTTCACACTCTATATGGACTTAGCCCGGATAATATGAATAGTCTCGGTCTTACTCACATATTCCCCTAATTTTCTGTCAATCTTCAATCGCTGATATATTTTAGACCAACAAAAATGCTACAGGTCACTACAGGTCTTGGATAGAGCAGCTTCTATCCTACTCAGGAACGCTTGGACAAGCTTCCCTCATAAGACGATGGAGAAGAAACGCGACGACCTTGTCACTATGCTGCTGGAAGAGAGATATGAAGAGGCTGAGAAGATGAGCAGCATTTTTTTCTGTGGCGACGAGTCTGTAGCGGAAGAGGACTTTTACTCTTTGCCAAAAGATAGATATTACGTATTATTTATCCGATCAATCGCTTTCTAATCAAGCACAATTCAATGTACTTTTACCAGTGCTACCCTACGTCCAATCGACGCGGAGCGAGCCCGATTAGAACTTAATAATCGCTTTGAAAATAACACCACCAGTAGGCAGTATTAGTAGCAGATCTAGTTTTTTCGTCTCTATTAAACCATATATAACCTATCTCGATTGTTGGCGCACACTGTCTCGACACTCATGCTCGCATTACATTGGCACCAAATTATAAAGCGCCGAACATTCATCTTCAGCATCGGAAGAATCGCCATGGCTGTCGGGTTCTAACACGAGCCAGCAATATTCCGACCTCAACACCTATATTGAAGCTGCGAGGTCAAAGGCGTGGGGGGCGCATTTTCAAGGAGTGTTCGGAATGCGAAAAGACATGTTACTACTTCTTCGCGCCCATTCTATCGTTTCAAACTCCACTGAGTGAAACCCTGGGCGACAGGCCGATGTTCCGGGATAGGGGGAATCCATGATTTCTATAAAAGGAAGCAGAGGGGGAACACAGTGCACTGTGGCCTGAAATGTTAAGTGATCTTAAGCCGAAGCCTTCGGCGGGGGATCCAACAAGCATCCCGGCACTTCCAACACTCGCCATTTAGGACCAACCTCGCTTGCTACCCGCCCGGTCACGTATACCCGTTTCAACGCTAGATTTGTGTGGTATCCTGGGTAGACTCGGGACTCAGTGCCGTAACATGCTAGTCAGCGAGGCAGGAGGTGTTCAACACTCCCTGCCAGATAGTTTCTAAGTTAGACATCATCAGATTCAGCATCACGATCCATTGGATCCCACCTTTCCTAGCCTATACCGTATCCTAATATAGCGACACCATTTTCTCGACTAGCCCCTACTGCATTTATGGATACTTTACCGATACCGACAGAACTAAGCCGGCATTCGGACCGCCTTCCCAACCCGAACGCGCGGCTTTTGCGGCTCCACCAACTAACCAACTATCATGGTTGCCGGCGCCTACGATGCTGGCAGGTTCGGCTGAAATGATCCTTCAATACAGTTCGGCTCATCCTGATCGCTTTTAATCCTCTAGTTCACCATGGCCAACTGTATGACAAAGTCGAGGATGTGTCCTACTCTAGCGTGTCGCAGATAGGCGTGACCGCGGAAGTCACAAGCTTGAGCTTTAGTGAGTGGTATAGATAATAGTTTCCTAGGATAAAAGTGGATGGCTAGGTATTTCAACCATATGTTCTAAAATATAGGGCCACGAGTCCATGGATCAGGTATACGTGGTAGTACCCTTTAGCCTCCCATTTCTCTTTCATTGCTCACTAGTAGTCTCCTCGCTGAAACGTCTTGACTGGGAAAGCGTCAGAGTCTTGGCTGGGAAAAGCGCCAGACAACTGCTATCAACACTGGGTAATGTGAGAACAGGAATAGCTCATGTTTGTTCTCATAAAAAGAGAACTGCATCTGACGAGGATTGATTTCGGCTCCCGAGTCGGGGGAGGCAACCCATTACTGCTTGACTGACTGAGTCAACGAACAAAGCACTTTGTCATATTTTCGGTGCCCCTCTCGCCTCGCTGGAAGCTTCGCTTACCCCACCCCAGCGCGTATACTGGGTTAAATATAATTTTAGTAAGCAAATTTCCTTGGGGACTGGGACCTTCTGATCTATAAGCCCGATTGTCCGATTCTGGCTGATGACACCGAACCCAACGTGCCATGATATCTGCGCTGTTCACGAATCTCGGAGATCCGTGCTGCAATAATCAAAAGACTTGATCAAGTCTTGGTATAGACAATCTGCAGCACAGAATTATTTCCTAGACTATAAAGCGTTATGAAGTGCTTAGGTTGTCTCCAGTTTGTAAGAAGATTAATGGTCCCAACAATTCACAAGCCAAAATAATCAACTTATCTATAGATAGGATGAAACATGAAACTGGCTCTTCAATACATGGAAGAAAATCCAAACAACTCCTTTAAATAGAACCGTTAAACAATCATAGCCGCCAAAGCTCCTCTTGTTGTGGGCCGTGGTCTGTTATCGGCCTTATGCGGAAGCCTTTATCATTCAAAAAATATACCTTGAGTTTCAAAGATTCCAGGGAGACAGTTATGTATAAAATGGAAAATGTTCGCTTTCTAAGTGAGTGAGAAATATCCTTCAAGCACAACCATTCAAGAAATTTCCTCGAACAGAACTTGAAGGCCTTGCCTTATTCACTAACCAAAATGATCTCTTTTGGTCTCAAAGCCTTAGCCACGGCCCTCCTTTCGGTCAATCTCTTAACTCCTGTTGCAGGTTGCGCGGAAGCATGCGTTAAGATCACTGGTGATATCAAGTATAAGAGCGTAGATGGTGCATATGGGACGATGAAGGTAGTGGACACAGGTAACACAGTATGCAGCGGCAACATCGAAAAAGGCTCTAAATACCTTGGGCCGTCTAAAGAAAATGTCTATGCAGATGGTGAAGTTGTGAACCGCTATGGTAAGTTAATGTGATCTATGACTTTATGGCTTCTGCAGTCAGCTTGTATACTAACTCAGCGTCAGTCTGTGAACACAAGGGCACGACTTTGCATTATGATTGGACAGACAATAGGGGAAGCGGCGACTATATTGTGTATGATTCAGACGCTAAAATGAACAACCATACTTTGCCAGTAAACTACTGCAATGATGGTGGGAACTGGTAAGTTACTTGCAAATGAAGCATCAAACGAGATAGATTAAAGCTGACACTCTATAGCTATGCTTGGAATGTCACCGTTGTGTGCACTACGGAATCTAGTAAGCATAACGGCTGGGATTGCAATTCTTTTACCTGGACCGATTGCTAGAATTGGTTTGCAGCTCTACTACAGTAGGGTTTTGATGGGTATCTGTTTCAACTACAGTCAATGCTCGGTACCTTGACTTCATTTTGTATTTCAGTTTGGATGGATTGCTTTTTGTTGAGTTGCTATATGTGGATTGCTGTCTATGATGTTCTTTTCTATCGCTGCCAAATTCTTTTTTGAATTTTGTTCTACTTTTCTCACACGCGAGCAGTGTTTTCCCAAGGGGTATTCTTAATTAGGCTTAAAATATCTCTTATAAAATATTTACTCCTTTCTTTTATTTCTTCTTGAAATGTATGTAGACTAGGTACGTGTCTAGCCAGGTTGCTACGTAAAACTTTGGTAAGGGTTAAATGCAGAATAGCGGAGCATGCGCATGAATTGAGGTGGATAATGATTGGAGCTCTTTTGATAGTTTTGACGTGCACCGCTCTCTGCACATATGTCATAGGGTACGGGAGAGGGAGCGATTGCCCAGTTCTCCGGTTAAGTTTGAACTATAGGAGGAAACTAGAAACAACATGTCTGGCGTCCTAGCTCCTCATAGATCTCACAACTTATCGGGACTAAGTCTTTAAGAGCAGAGGCCACTATTCAAAGGCCCAGTATCAAGGTAATATAAGTAGTATAATAAGCTACCAAAGATAATTCATACCACAGGAAGCTTCCAGAAGAACTCAGTTATTTTTGCCTCAGATCAAGTGGGCTCACATGTAGTGTTACTGCACTGGTCTTATTCGACTCTCGAGACCAAAGGAATTTATTTTGCTCATCAACATACTAGAATGCGGCGATATCATTGAACACAGTGACAGGTTAAAAGATCAGTGTCCTTCATCTTAACATAGAAATGTGACATGTATCCTAAAGGAGACTATTAGTGCCTTAGATATATAATCAAATTCAGGGTTCCTCTCACCATTTTATCAATGCGGTAGGCTCGGAAGATGAGCTCAGGCTTTTTTTGTTTATCAAGACAGGTAAACCGGTCGCTGCTTGGATGGTTTGGATCTGCCCATCTATATATTCCCTCAACTTCTGCGTGCACCCCACGGATTCCCGGGCAATGCACAGAGGCCACAATAGAGAACGTGCCCATGTAGAGTTCTGCACGTGCGAGCACCTTTCTATTGCTTGACTATTTGATCTTAGAATATCCGGAATAGTGGCACATATGTCTACCACGGTCTGTCGAGACACGTGGCGGTGATTCGAGATCGAAAATTTTAAGGACTCCATGATATCTTGAGAGATATTCGGCCTTTGTTCCAGATAAAGATCCGTGGCAGACAGAATGAGATTCAAATTGAACAATCGTAGCATTCGCAAGATATTCCAAGTCTGGGCACACCGGAAATGAGTAAACTTATGAAACGGAATAGCGGTGTCAAGATCCTCAGTTCCGCGGGTCCATTCTTGACTCATGGTGGCTTCGAAGGCGAAGCTACCACCATAGGCATCTGGCATAGAGCTGAGTAAGGATTGTATCTTTGAATCTATACTCCATAACTTTGATAGGTAAAGGTAAGATATATCCTGCTCATTGATTCGTGAGTTGACATCTGCGACCTGCTCCACCACAGCCCAAAATTGCTCCTGGGGGCCTTGATTCAACCAGGATGCTGAATAAAGCGACCGCAGTTGTGGAGGAAATGGAACCTCTCGTTGTATGCAGTCGATTTGTACAAGAGAAGTTATGTGACTGAGGATATCCTGACCCGGGCGGCTGTTGAAAGTTTCTGGTGGTGTCTGAGATAAAATTGCAAAAGCCCCCTGAACATGGTTGGTCCAGGCCCCCTGGATCTCTCCGGCAGAATTTGCTGATATGACAGCGAACAAGGATAGTAACAAGACAGAGCTCAACGTCTCCAATGTTGTGGCCACTTGAGTGTCTTGTAAAGAGGCATTTGTTTGGGACAGAGCCTCGCCGTACGCCTGTCGAGCAAGCCGTAAAGCTTCTTTATTTCTTGTTTCGCTAGCCATATATGCCAAAGCTACAGCTTTAAAGCTTGACTCCAGCGATTGAGAGTGTGTTTGTTTGGAATAAATGACTGGGACATAATCGAAGTAAAGACCGCCGGCATATGCAGAGGTGAACATGTTGATAGCCTGCGACACAATGGGCTCGACCAGTCTTTGCATTTGGGGATTCACTACCAGAGATCTTTTTGATTTTAAACTCAGGGCCAATTTTTCCGAATTACAGGGCGGTGGTTTTGATTTTGGTGTGAGTGACTTCGCCTTACGGGTAACTGTGTCGGTCTCATCAAGAAACATAAGATCCAACTGACTCCGGTAACCATCGCATTTCGCTGTAACTTTCAAGCACTGAGTACAAGTGGGTCGTTTTTCATCACACTGGAGTTTTTTACTTGAGCTGTGAAAATAGTGGAATAATCAAGTTGTGGAATCACTTACCTTGATCCGTCGCTCACGGCATAACCTGCATGCAGTGGATGACTTCCCCCTGAAAACCATCGCTTAAGCCTGCAGCTAACGTTGAACTCGACCGCTCCTCTTGGTTGATACAATTTGATGTTTTCACTGTAATCCTCTGCTTCCTATGGGATCATCGAGGTGGGTGACAAGGGGAAAATATGGCTCCTGGTTACTATTGATGAAACAAGCTTGCCTGGGGGTGGGGGCCAGAAATTCCTTGCAGTTCAAGGATGCCTAAAATGAACAAGCAAAAGAAGCTTGGAACGTGAAATAGAGCTTTCCAAGATGCTTTTAATAGATCGCTTGATCCTTGGCATAGTTTGATCCCGTGCTTTTTGCTAAATTCTACTCCTTATTACATATTGCAACGGCGAAGGAACTCGTGGCCCACGTCACATACACTAAAAGTTGCAAATGAAGGCGGAACTAAGTGGTTCAGATATAGATGATTTTAATCACTGAAATTATTCACATTCAACGACTTCGAGTCGCTAGGCTCTCCTGGAGCCAGGCTCTCCAATCCTGGTCACTCAGGATTGACCTTACGCGAGCCTCGAGCCACTCCGTGTTACCCCAAAAGCCCCAGGATGCCTGGAATCTGCACCAGTCAACCAATGCAGTTTCCCAATCCCTTTTAAAGGCCTCCCATGGATATAGCCCTGGGTCTTTATTGTGGAGTAAACTCCTGCGATAGATTTCCAGCAGGTTCCTCTCACCGCCACACATCGGCAAGCGCTCGGGCAAAGGATCATCAGCATCCACGAGCATTTGCAAAGGAATTGAGCAGGTGAAGAGTTTCGCAAGGTCACAAACTCCCAGGCCGAGTCCAACATACTGGAAGTCAAAAAATGCAACCTTGTCTCCTTTGACTGTGGTGAAGAGATTCTCGGACTTGACATCGCCGTGGATGTATGATTCAATTGGCCTTCCACAAGGAATGAGTAGCAAGGCAGCCATCTCAGCAACAGACTGGGAGCAAGTGCCCACGGGCTTGCACATGGCTTCTGACCATTCAGAATCTATGTCTCGCGCAAGGGAAGAATACTCTTTCCGTCGTGTTGCGAGGTAGGTGTATCCTCCATTGAGCCATAGGGTATTCCCAATTACTTCGCCTATGTTCTGCCTTCTTTTGGCTTCTTCGAGTGGTGGCAAAACATATCGCGTAAGATTGTCGGGGAGCCATTCCCACGAGCGGCTATGAAACTTGGCCAGCCAGTCCAGCGCTCCATGTACTTGAGTACGGCTCAGTGCACTTCTTTTTCCGCCTGCTATAGGAAACCTGGGCCGGAGATCAACCATAATGGTCGCCATCAGACCGCGGAGTTCCTCCTCACCCTCCTTGCCCGCCATATCTCGTGTCGAAGCGAGGCATTGGGCAACGGCAAGATCATCTCCCAATAATGGCACCACATCTTTGTAAAAGCGCTGCTCTACTTCATAGCTGAGCATTTTCCGTAAGTGGCCCTCGTCCTCATGGCTGTTTTCTCTTGGGGGTGAAATGAGCTTCAAAATAAGAGGGTAGATGGTTCCAACGGCGCCTAGCTGCACCCCGCAAAGCTTGCTAAGCTTCTCTGCCGCTTCATCAGTGGTAGCTTGGACGATGATAGCACATATTTGTCCATAGCCAGCCCACAATGTTTGCAGAGTGGTGCAGGAGATGAGATCGAGTGAGTGCCAGGACAGCATAATGGTAGCGACCCGGGCGGGGTCATTAACAAGTGAGGGAGCCATGGTGGTGATGATCCTTCATTACGAGGCAATGTGATCCACACTTAGAATGTATTCTTTCCAATGTGACTTTATAGCCTGCTCGGGTATTCACAATATGCGACCGAGACAACATTTGTGGTGGATCTCAAAAGATCAACAATCACGTGATTTGTGACCGAACAGTGCATCGGATGAAGAGGGCGTTTGTCTCCATCATGCTGACGGAATTTTATTCCGAATATATCAAGATAAGGAAAAACTCCTCCATATCATAGGCTCTATAAAAGTTGGTTCTGTGACTGAACGGTTGGAAAACTAGAGGATTTTCTTTGTGCTCGCTAAAGAGCATCACAGTGGATATCGGAGAAGAGCAGATGGGGGAAGGTTTTGAGCCCGATGGCATCGATTCAGCGGCTACAGTCTCATTTCATCAACTGTGGCAGAGTCTGAAGACACGGAACTTATACAGCGGGATATGTGACATTGTGTATCGGTTGGGCTGGACGGGTCTGAGAATGCTAGCGCAAGTCTTCTGAATACCTCATACTCTCCAAAGGAGACGTGTATACTAAGATCAGTGTACGCAAATCCTCGTGACGAATAAGGCGCGAAAAATCACAAAATCATGATACAAAATATCTCCGTGAACGAAGGGGGCTGGCGCGATTGGGGTAATAGACAACATCCTTTCGAGAGCCTTGCGAAAAATGACTACTATTGGTCAACATGCTGCCCAACACCATACATCGGCGCCACCCTTTCAGCCAACCACAAGCTTCCTCAACCTTTGGGTTGGGTCTAACTGTTCATTTGCGCTCTTCATATCGTCATTTGCAGAAACTTTCCGGATAATTTCTGAGGATGCCAATGGTCTCCTTTTACCTAGCTGTAATCGATGAAGACCGGCTGAGGGAAGGATGGAGCGCTGGGGTATGTCAATCCTGAAAAGCCAAACTAACTCCGACCCCAGACCCGATTTTAGATTCGATTCGAAATCTTTAAAATACAATGATTCTTTAACCGCGAAAGGGGCAATTATGAGACGTCCCACAGCGGCAATCGACGCGGTCCGTCCTATTTTTAGGCTGGCACCGCAGTGTCCAAGCATACAAAATGACCAACCTGCCCGCTGACCAGTCTCAGGCTGCTACAGAAGTCAACTGTCAATAGTCCTACGTTGGTCATTTTTGTCGTCGCATTTTCTACGTGAACCTTTGAGAATGTCACCCAAGAGCCTGAGGCAGTCCTCATCGAAGGCGGGATCCTCGATGACAAAGGCGTGGCTAACGGTCGATATGTTCGACGATGATCCGAGTTGCGATTGCTTAATTCAAACTCGTTCAACTTTTGAAGGAAGGCTGAGCGACATTAAAGACCAAATTCATTATCAAGTACACAAATCTTCTATCACAAAAACCCAGCAACCGGAGAGCAAAAGTAAACCATCTGGCCCGCAACCATCATCATCTGCCGGATGGAGTATGTCTCTCCATTCAGTGACCGATTCTGTAGAAGTTGATTCTACAGCTGATACTTGGCGATGTATCATCGGCCCTGATACAAAAGACATCGAAATCCTATATAGCGTTCCCGGGAAGTGGGCGTGGTCGTCGGCGAGTCGCGTGAAGTCGAAGACCGTGAAAGATGAAGGCGGGGACAACTACTCTGTGACTCTAGCAGGGAAAAAACTTTCCTGCATATGGGACTCTCGCCGCGGCATTCTCGAGCTTTTGGATGGCGGCATGACAACAGCTAAGTACAAAACTTTTGAAGAAACCATCGAATCCGAAGAAATAGTACGCCCGGGTGGTACGCTCTCTGTTTCGACGCAGTATGATCGCTTCTTCCAACGGATCATCATTTTGATATGCCTTGGGTTTCACCGAAGAGCTTACCCTCCAATGTAAAAAGTGGGACAGAGCTCTGAATATTGACCTGAGACTATAAAATCCCAAGTTGCATGGTATCGCGCCCAAAGTCTCGTGAAGCTCAGGGCACAACTGAGTATGATACGGCTAGAGGCGGAAATGGATGGATTAAATGGGGGCTGCAAAAGCAAGGCTCTCTTCTATAATACTCGCATCCAATATGATGAAGATACTGTATCTATCTGGAACTTGGCATTTCAGTGCTTCCTATCGCCCGTAATCATTCCAATGGTCGAACATATCACCGGAGTCACTCTCGGTGTACTGCTTCCTCAACCCTGGACTAAGGTGTTATCTAGAACATACATGTCATATGCTAGAGATAGGTTGGCGAATATTGAAGGTTGTTGAATCTTGTTTCCTATCCATATTTTGGGGAGGTAGTCTCTGAGCATCTGATTTTTCCAACACTTCATTTTCGCCTTTCCCCTTCCAGCCCATATACCTACCGAAGAATTCACAAAACTTATTTGATATCCCATAATATAATCTCCTTGCTTCCGAGCGTGTGTTCCTTAAGGTTCTCTATCCGAAATCTTTCCCAATATCTTCATTTCTTCTGCTGCGTGGAAACTAAAAACGGTACATCATCGAGTCTTCAAATTCCTGAGTGGGGGTAAAAAAACGTAGCATACTGGGAAACCCCACTGTCAGGATTATAGATACTTTTCTGAGCATCTCTTCTCCCTCTCACTGGTCTAGGATTATAGCAGAGGGTAAATATTGAAGTCGTTCGGCAAACTGGACGAGATCAGCAATTTTACTGATGTAGATGTAGATGTAGAGGAGGGGAGGTCGGGAAACCTCACAGTGGGTTCTCTAGATCGTGCTCTGTAAAATACAGTCTGGTCAAATGGTATCTGAGCTCATGTTAGTTGGGCATGTATGGTAAGTTGATCCAAAAACCTCACCACAGGCCCAAAGTCGAGTTATCAGCGAAAGCGAAATGGACAAGAATATATATTTTCCGGCGTCTTGGAAGAGCAAATTTCATAATATAGGTGCATTACGCAGAGGAAGAAAAAAAAAATTGTTCTTGAAATATATTTAGTAATGAAGACCTGTATAGAGAAAATTTCAAGACCATGAACTCAGTTTTGGTTCGCTAGAAAATTTAAGATGTTGAGATGTTCGAGAAGGTAGTCCTTTCAGGCCGAGATCCCCGGCGGGCCGACACGCGGGGTGCGGATTATGTCAAACCACCGAGCCCACTGACAACTTCAGTCGACACCGACCCCGTTGCAAGTCGTTTCTACCACGAAGAACACACATAGGGTTGATTGTGGTAGTCTCGCATCGAGACCATTGTTTTTCAAGCCGGGACCACTGAACCAGATCTAACTTCCCGGCATGTAGTGTGATCTCTGGAGATCCCCACATAGTGAGCCAATGGCCCCTCAAGCGAAAACATGCGAGGTCAGCAAAAAGCGAGATCATCGAGGCACAGGACACTTGCTAACGACGATCAGGGATGCAAAGCTCGCCATTTGCGATGTAAGACATTATCCATGACATTTAATGCATTTTACCAACTGATTTGAACCGTGACAAGGCTCTCGAACGTCTCCGTGTGAGCACTGCTCTAAAGCAGGTATACCATGCCAGCGAACAGTTAATTACAAGTTCAAAGTTGACAAAAAGTATCGATTCCTTCAATTTTCTCAGCACAATACCTCCTTACTGAAGTGATATCTAGACCGAAATTCCCGAAGAACCAACGATGGGTCCAGGCAGAACATCGTGCGTGAATATGAGCTTTCCGCAATTTGGCTACTGGGCCGTCTAACTGACCCCTCGTTCTAGCTCCCACGCCAGCCAAGATCAATGAGTTGGATGTGATCCAGTGTGGTGGCCATTCCGATTCTTCACCGAATGGAGACACCGGGGGCTTCCAAATGGAGAGTTTGCTACCTGCCAGTCCGTCGTTCACGCCGGAAACTCCAGACTACAATATGAACGTGGCAAACATCAAGACCCCTGATTCCATTCCCGTAACTTTTCAGGAACCATCACGATTTCCCCTGCCCGAGAATGAATCTGCCTTAGTGAGGCATTTCATGCGAACTCTTGCTCCCTGGGTAGGAAAACTGGGCTAATTGCCCCTCCTGTAAAAAGCCTCTATGCCGTTGAGACTGACAAAATGATAGTTCGATTCCTGCAACCTCCATCGACATTTCACAAATGAAGTGTCAGCGCGCTTATCTAGCTCCACTGTGCTGCTTGAAGCTGTTCTAGCGATGGCAGCTCATCATCTCAGCGCAATAGGACAATTAGACTCTCTCGCCGCCGAAAAATACTACGAGACCGCGAAAAGGCATCTCCTGCCGTCACTTGGTACTATGCAGAGCTCACCCAATGCAGAAACACTTGCTGCAACGATAATTTTACGTCTGCGCACCGAGCTCGACAGTAATTCTTCCCCCAAGCGAAATCCATGCCCTATCACCAGCTCCGCAACTAACCATGGCCGCTGCACTAGCTCCCCTACGCCAGATCACCAACAAATCAACTCTCTTCGCAGAAGAGCCCCTTGTCGCCGAATATGCCCTGGCTGACATCTTTTTCCCAACCCCTCTAACGCCCTTCAACGTCGCACTCCTCTGGATTGGGCTCCGCCAAGAACTCCGCGTCGCTGTCCTGGGCCAGCGCATTGCCCGCTTCCCGACAGACTGCCTGCATGTTGACTGGCATATGCCACCCACCGATGACGGTGACTGGGCCAACCGCATGGTACTCAATCTTGTTGCGGTGCTGCAGTACTGCTACAACTCGCCGCGCGACGTCGAGCTGTACAAGCTGCTGACGGAGCGGTGCCAGATATGGCGCGAGTCAAATCCGCACTCGTTCACGCCCATGTTTCTCGAGCCTGCCGGTGGTACGAGTCGCTCCCGCGCTGCGAGTTCGTCAACGATGCAATTGGTATGTTGGCTGCCTTCCCCCCTCCTCCGGCCCAGCGCGATGGCCTGAAAACTGATATGCTCGGTGGCAGTGACGGGACTCCAGTATTGGAATCTGTGCAAGATTATCTTGGCACTGCACCATCCGACGACACTGCTGCGGCCGGGCGATGCAGCGGTGCGACGTGAAGTCGATGTAAGTGGGGGATTGTATAGATTTCGAATTTCCCCCCTCCTTCCCTCCCACCCTCCTACGGTGATGTGACTAACCGAAGTGGTACAAAGCAAATCATCAACCAGTCCATCCGAAAGCTGTGTGGAATCGGGCTATATAATTCGGACTGTGCGTGTGCGGTTGGGCTTGCTTGTGTCGGGATCCGGTTATGGGGACATCGGTTTGAGGATGCGGAGGACCAGAAGGCGCTGCAGAAGATCTTGCATATGGCGGAGGAGAAACATGGGTTGAAGACCTGAGCGTCGAGAGATGGCTTTGGGCGGGCGCGTAATGAAAGTTGTTTCGTGGAGTACGGGACAGCGAGATATTGGTATCTGGAAACTGGAAACGAGCATATATAGCAGCTCCGAATCACGAGCAGGGCTTGCATGTGAATTATACGTGTGTCATGGTCGCTGTTGCAAATTGAATGGTTTATAGTCTCAGTCGATTTCAAGAGCGTGGTTATAGTTATAAAATAAGACAGAAGACGCCGATCTACATGAGGAAACGAATTGTCAATTGAAGCTAGATTGATTGGTATGTACCAGACGAATACCAAGTGCTATGTACAGGTGGCTTCGGAGTAGAGGTGAGAAAAGGCGATAAAAGGAGACGCTATGCACGCTGCCGAGCAAGATATGGGTGGTGGAAAATAGCACGAGAACAACAAGCACGGAGGGGATGATTATACATTAACAGGAAATTGCGGGCAAGCCCCATGAGTGGCTCACAGCTCAATGACCTGCGGTGGGTTCGCAAGTCGACCGCTGCTGCGATACATACAGGCAGCATTCACCATCCAACCCCCGCCGCAGGCCTCGCCGCCCCAGACCTGTGACCAGACCACGCCCAGCATGCCGTAGAAGATAACGCGGGCCGCGTCGAGCCAGCTTGAGGGATCGAACAGATCTCGGAGGAACCCCGCCAAGGATACCAAACGACCGTGCTTGGCGCGCGGGCGGCGCGAGGCGCAGAGTCGCTCCCATGCGCGCTGAGCCTCGTCCCAGAAAATAGGTTCGCGGCCAGCAGAGTTGTGGATGTGACCGAAAACGTGCAGGGCGGGCCTGACGCGCCAGGCCTCGGCGAGGAGATTGGGGCAGCCGGTTGAGTAGATGGGGGACATGTCCAGGTGGGCTTCGGGCGGGGTGTGGGTGATGAGGATGTCGGTGTCAGGGGGCACGGTGCGCGACCAGGCATCGTGATGGGGAGGGTAGGTGAAAGCATGCTCGGGGCCGAAGGGCATGAGAGCGGGAATCTGGGGCGCTCCGTAGATGGTGAGAGATCGTGGGTGGGTGCTGGTAAGGGGAGTTGTCGGGGAGGCTGCGGGGGATCCGGGGAAAGAGAGAGTCACCGAGGAATGTTGCAAGTAGTGGATGTCACCCCAGTCGATGCGCGAGGCGGCGGTGATTTCGTCGAGGGAATGGATGGAGGCTGTTGAGGCGGAGACGGCGGCGAACGAGGATGAGGTGCCGTGGTCCTCGCGGTCTTCCTCACATCGCGAGCGCGCATCGAAATAGCTATCGTGATTCCCGCAAATCACGACCTTGTGTCGATGGGGTAGAGATCGTAGCCAGTCAACGGCACTTTGGATCTCGCGCACAGAGCCATCGTTAGCCAAGTCACCAGCATGGATCAGGAGATCTCCATCGGGAACATCGGGCCACTTGAGCGTGTGTGTGTCGGAGATACAGACGACGCGAATGGGACGGGCGTCGGGTGGAGGTAGTCGGGGAGATCCCCGCAGACGCAGCAGGAGCTGATGGAATGGATAGAGGAGGGCCACGAGGGGCGAGGCAATCAGATAGTCTGGAACCGGCCGGTGGTGGTATGGATTGGCCATGGCGAAAGGTGTGGGATGGGAGAATGTGAAAGAGCGAGAGCATTTAGCTTGGTGAAGGTTGGTTGAAAAGCGGAGCTGGAAGATTGCGAGGACTCGAACGACCAGTGACATCACGCGAAAGGCCCCGTGCAGCGGATCTCCGCGATCGTGTCGACCCAGTGGTTTCAAGGAATCCATTTGGCACCACGGATGACAGCCGCCGAACAAGCAGACCGGCTGCTTTTACTCGACATTATAAGCCATGATTACAGTCCCTCATCTGTTCGGTTAAGATATTGGTTGATTTGGGGGAGTCACTTTCTCTGTCTCGAGGTTTCAGGTTGTTCGAGATTGGCATGGTATCTATAGCGCCCTGTTGTATATTGATCGGCCGGCCACTCCGTACTCCGTGTTGTCGGAGGAAGTATAATCAGTAAGTTTTATATCCTCGGGGCGATCACGCTCTTCTGCCATCCCGCTATCATCTGGTCTGTGGTGGAGCGTTCTATAGTTGTTGGTTCTGAATCTATAGCCCGGAATGATATAGTCCTCATAGTTGGTCTGCCCCGGACACCCTCTTATGCATCCTGGCTTTGGATTTAAGTCCTTGCCTCACTCCTATGGAGACTTGGAAGATGACCTGACTCGCACTGGACTCAGCTGCAGCGTCTCATTCTGTGAAGGTACCCAGATGGGCCCTTCATGAATCCCCATCCTCGCATTCCGATGCATGTAGCATTCGCGGCATAGTCCGCCCAACAAACACCAGAAGAGTTTCTCATGGCACGACTCGTGCTACTAGCAGTCATATCCCTTATTCCTAGGACAACTGCGTCTCTTGAAGATCGGTTGCCTTTATTGGCCCCTTCGCCCCTTAGCCCATTGGCCCGTGAGACTGCCGAACTGCCGGCATCCAAGCCCCGTCAAAGAGCATCACCAGCCACCGGGTCGATGACGAGATGAGATCGATGCGCATCGCGTTTGCCCGACGTGTCCGCCCGACGGACCATCGGCCAGCAGGTTGAAGATGTTCCGTTGGTGTTGGGTCCTCTGAGTCTCCGCTAGACTGACAACGCAGAATCCGAATGATCGTTGCGATAGCCCATAGTCCATAGTCCTGATCGAGTCATCGTCTCCGTGTTTTGCCACATCCGTCGTGGCTGCTTGCGGCCTCCCCACCGGCTTAACCAACACGCCCCATTGACCTCCCCCCCAAGTACTGAGTACTCGGGCTACCATCACTGCTACTTACATTACCATGTACTCCGTCCGCGTCGTGTCGCCGTGACTTGTGACTGCGACAGGCTCATCACCATCACTCCAGCCACAACATCGACTTTTCTTCCTTTCACATCTCCCCCACTCCCCTCTTCCCCCTTCTTTTCTTTTTCCTCCCAGACGATTCTTTATTTTATTTTTTTTTTATTTTTCGATCCCTTTCTCTCTTCCTCTCGTGAACACGTCCTGACCGGCTCTCCCGAGCACTCGAAAAAAAAACGAGGTGTGGCTCGCGCGCACCGCCCTTGATTTCCCGCAACCAACCACCTCGCATCTACTGCCCCGCCTCTCAGCTGTGGTCCCCTCCCCTCAACACCCTTGAACTCTCCACATCATGGAGGGCGTTGATCTTACCAAGGCCGTGTTGAACAAGGGTAAACAGATGGCGAGCGTCGCTGCCTCCGCCGCCAATGGCAACGGCGGTAAGAAGAGGAGAAAGGGGACCGACCTCAAACCTATCGTCACGAATGATGCAAGTCAAGCCGCATCGGGCCATCCACTGGAATCGTATGTGCGATCGTCTGTTTTCTTCTCGTTCAGCCTCAAAACCTCTCGAGCTTTCTCTCCCGCCCTCCTGCTTCCATCCGGGCTTTTGACCGGGCTTGCGAACGGGGCGCGCGGGATCATCGCGGCCTGATCGTCCATTATAGCTAACACCTCATGAAATCTAGGACGGGCGCCACGCCTCATGCTAACCCGAAAGGCACGGGAGCCACATCGCGCTCGCCATCCCTCTCGTCGGGCGACGAGCTCGAAACCGCCGCGGAGGAAGAGGATTCGGAGGACTATTGTAAAGGCGGATACCATCCCGTCCACCCCGGCGAAACGTACAATGGCGGTCGCTACGTTGTGGTGCGCAAGCTCGGATGGGGCCATTTCTCGACCGTCTGGTTGTCCCGCGATACCAAGACCAACAAACACGTCGCGCTGAAGGTCGTGCGCTCCGCTGCCCACTACACCGAAACCGCTATCGATGAGATCAAACTACTCAACCGCATCGTCCAAGCGAAGCCCTCCCATCCGGGTCGCAAACATGTTGTCAGTCTGCTGGACTCGTTCGAGCACAAAGGCCCCAACGGTGTCCATGTTTGCATGGTCTTTGAAGTGCTGGGCGAGAATCTGCTGGGTCTGATCAAGAAATGGAATCACCGAGGGATTCCATCCATGTTGGTCAAACAGATCACCAAACAAGTGCTGCTGGGCCTGGATTATCTCCACCGGGAGTGTGGCATCATTCATACTGATCTGAAGCCGGAAAACGTGTTGATCGATGTCGGTGATGTTGAGCAGATCGTGAAGGCGCATGTCCAGGAGGAGGAGAAGAAAGAAAACAAAGAGGATAACCGCAACGGCCGGCGGCGACGCCGTACTTTGATTACAGGCAGCCAGCCGCTCCCCAGTCCAATGAACAGCAGCTTTGGCAGCTTCGACTTCAAGCATAGCTCCAGCAACTCACACAGCAGCCTGAGTCAGATGGTGAATGAGGTGGTGAAAGAGGAGGGTGAGTCTGGATTCGAAACCATATGTGTGACATATCTGGTTCTCGTACTGACGATTTTGCCAGGAGCCCCGGGCGATGTTCCCTCTATGAAGGAGGCGTTGGGTATCAAGGATGAGGATGAGAAGCAGAAGGCAAGAGAGAAGACAACGTATGCAAACCCCTTCCAGAAGCAATTGGATGGTTTTCTTTTCTGGTTTTGTGTTTGTCTTTCGCCATCGCACTAACACATTTCGAACATGCAGTGATCTCCTGGAGAGAGAGGTGTCCGGTATTTCTCTCGACAAGAGCTCTTCAACCCACTCCCTCGACCAGAAGGCTAATGCCAACTCGGTCGACAACAACCCTTTTGCTGGTCTTATTTCAGTCAAGATTGCCGATCTAGGTAATGCTTGCTGGGTTGGCCATCATTTCACCAACGATATCCAGACCAGGCAATACCGGTCGCCGGAGGTTATCTTAGGTTCTAAATGGGGTGCCAGTACAGACGTTTGGAGCATGGCATGCATGGTTCGTAACATTCATTCTACCTTTGTATATCTCAACCTTGTTCTTTTGATCTAACATGCCTAGGTTTTCGAATTGATTACCGGAGATTACCTATTCGACCCCCAGTCCGGCACCAAATACGGCAAAGACGACGATCACATTGCCCAGATCATTGAACTTCTGGGCCCCTTCCCCAAATCACTGTGTCTCTCTGGTAAATGGTCCCAGGAGATTTTCAACCGCAAGGGCGACCTGCGAAATATCCACCGCTTGCGCCACTGGGCCTTGCCTGATGTCCTACGAGAGAAGTATCATTTCACAGTGGAAGAAAGTATGCGAATCAGCGAGTTCTTATTACCGATGCTTGACCTGCACCCTGAGAAGCGTGCCAATGCTGGAGGTATGGTTGCGTCCGAATGGTTACAGGATACACCGGGCATGCAGGGAATCGATCTGGGCATCACGCCAGGAACACGGGGCGAAGGGATTGACGGTTGGGCGGCGGAAGTCAAGCGTCGATAGGGTTGATGCTATGATGAACGGGGGTTGTTGTATTCCAGCGTTGTCTTCCTTTACCCCTACCCTTCTCTCTCTCTCCACCTACATCCTCCATCTCTATACTCTGGTATCCTCACCGCAGATGGACCTTCCTCCTCCCACCTGGCTGTCGGAGTTGTTTACCCATCCACCTATTCCATTGGTCCATCTTTCTCCCCGATATGGTTCTCCCTGATATGGTGATGACGTGCGAGATTCCTTTTCTAACGATCTTTTCTTTCATTTTCTACTCTGGGATTGATCACCGGTTGGACTGCGCTTTGATTTTCCATCCCCTCTTGCCTCCTCTTGTCTTCCCATCCTGCTGGGTCATCTGGTTAGGATATGGAGAGCAAAGGCCATACTGCATCCGCGTTATGATGTCTGTCTTTCCTCCATGTCCATCCCTGACTTTTCTGCTTCCCTCCATCGAACCCTTGGCCTCCCCCCTTCCGCGCTACCCCTTCTACGCCCATAGAGTCTCATGTTTTCAGTTTCAGTTGTCTCCTGTCGCTCTATATTTTCCATGTGGTGCAATCGAATCCGGGACGAGACGTACAGGCCCTCTGTTTTACAAGCTCCATCCCCCCAATCAATCTAGGCTAGCGCGTCCCTTTACTCGCCAACCCCCTCCCCCTAGAAACTCTTCCTCTTTCCAAGAATGGATCCAATCACTGGAAGACGAGACGATCATGACCCGCGTTGCGCAGAACGGGATATCCTTCCGTGATTATTGCTGTTAGAAAACGAAGAGTGTATGAACTGAGCGATTGCGTTTATTTTCTTCGGTGCGAGTTCTTTTTGTTAAATGAAAATGCCTTATTGTCCTTCACTTGGTATTTATTGGAGATAGCCTGTCCATTTGCCCGTTCGTAATGGTAAGGAGAGCTATCATCAATGAGCTTCGAATCAATTAACGTATGTTTATACATAATTTGAGGATCACACTCTTCTAGAAAGGATTGGTCGGATCCTTCGACTTTTGAATCGAAGGTCCGTCTTTGAACTTGTTTTTATCTTCTATTGGCAAGGCTATTAGCGTGCCATACTCTTTCTTCTAGACGGGAATACAGGATTCGTCTTAAAAACAGTGTTGAAATACGTTCAAGCTGTGGCGTACTAATCATTTTCCGTGTTGAAGATAATATTTGATTAATTTAAAATCAAAAATGAATCTACTCATTTCATGCCCTCGTCACAAAATAGAGGGCCACTGCCCGTCTGGCTATTCATCCTCATCTGCACCAGCGTCTTCCTCGCTAGGAAGTTGTTTTGGAAACCACCCATAACGGGAGAAGTCGATGTACATCTCGCCCATGCTGTCAGTGGTGACCTCTACCCCTTCCTCGCGAAGAGCCTCTGCCTGTCTTTCTGCACTCCCCGGGCCACTGAGTCAGGCGAATTAGCAATGATCATCGGTGGAAAAACTAGCGATAACTCGTATTTTCTCGACACAGATAGAATGAAAGGCGAGTGAGTTAAAAAGACGCACCGGTGGGAGATCATGCCCTTTGAGTTGATCACACGCTGCCACGGAACTGTTGCCGAGTTGAAGTGCAGACCAGAATCGGCGTCAGGGAGTGATTTGAGGCAGACACCCACTTGTCGAGGACGTTGGGCTAGGTGTTCCAGAACTTAGATTGTCTACTGCCAAAATCCTGGGGTAGCATACGTTCACCGAGCAGTAGGGCAATATGCCCATAGGACGTGACCTTGCCGGGTGGAATCTCCTGGATGGCGGAATAAACAGCATTTGCCCACCACTCAGCTTCTTCAGATCGAGGCATAATAGCCGCGTGTTGACCTCTTCTTTCAGCCTCCCGTGCGCAGCCGAAGCAAGTGAATTAAGGGCTTCAGAGTCCAGATACATTGGAGCGTCAAACAAGGGACTAGACTAGATACAGTTCGGGAAAATATTCCTCCGGTTATCGATAAGTGCGACGCAAATCACGGCGAAGCTCCAGCCAACAGAACCACCCTCCCCTCTCAGACACTCACACCAGCGCACATCATGCCCGGCTCACTGGCAGATTACCTCGCCAAGAACTACCTCAATGCAGATCCGTCCACGGAGCGGCCGAAAAAGAAGCGCAAGAAGACCAAAACCACTGACACCGCTGGCTCTGGCCTAATCATCACCGACGACGACCCGTCCGATCTCCGAAACACAACTACTACCACTGGCCAAGATGACGATGACTCCCCTTTCATCGACACCTCTGCGGTGAGCACCGAGTTCCGCCGTGCCAAGAAATCCTCTTGGAAAACAGTCGGCGGCCCCGACCCAACTGCTACACAAACCGACCAAGAAGCCGCAGACGCGATCCTAGCTGCCGCTGCCGCTGAGCGCAGTGCTCGCCAAGCAGATGAGGATGAAGACGGGCCGACAATCGAAGGCGAGACACAAGACGATGGACCCCGTATGGAGAGCGGTGCCCTAGCTGGTCTCCAGACGGCTGCGCAAACAGCGGCGATGGTCAAAGCGCAAGAGCGACGGCGCAAAGCCGAAGAAGCCGCCTACCGTGACCCTTTGGCGACAGCAGGCCAGTCCCAAGAAACAATCTACCGAGACGCATCCGGTCGGATCATCAACGTGGCGATGAAGCGTGCGGAGGCTCGACGCGCCGAAGAAGTAGCGCGCGAGAAAGAGGAGCGAGCGCGGGAGGCGCTGATGGGCGACGTGCAGCTGGCTGCGCGTCAGACCCGCAAACAGGAGTTGGCGGAGGTGCGGGCGATGCCGGTTGCACGGGGCATTGAAGACGAGTCGTTGAACGAGGAGCTGCGTGGGCGGGAACGTTGGAATGACCCTGCGGCGCAGTTTCTCACGGAGAAGAAGGGGCCCAAGGCGAGCGTGACGGGGCGGCCGTTATATACGGGAGCATTCCAGCCGAATCGGTATGGGATTCGACCAGGGCATCGGTGGGATGGGGTGGATCGGGCTAATGGGTTTGAGAAGGACTGGTTTGCGGCACGGAATAAGAAGAGCCGGTTCGAGGCGTTGGATTATCAGTGGCAGATGGATGAATAGTGAACTTGGATGGGCTACTATCGTGTGTTGTTGTTTAATATGGAGTCGAGTAGATCCGGAGACTGAAGTATACAAAAAGATCGGGGTGCTGGCGCCCTACAATCTCTCTCTGTCTGATGTTTCTCTAGTGTCCTCGGGTTTCTGGCTTTGGGTCATCTACTAGTACTCTAGGTGGATTGAATGTCTATAATCACTATTTCTCTTTCAATATTCCCTAATAGAAAAGAAATCATTGAAGCTCTTCTACAGTCTACCGCTTGCATTCTAGAATGATCTCTTGCAGGGCTATGCATGCTGCAGCGTTGATAATAGGTTGGAGAAAATATATGCATCATTGAAGATTTAATTCAGAGCAAAATTCCCTGTGAATTATCTAACTTATCTTCATGACACGCCGCTATCCCCAGGATCCCAGACCTTTTACGAAGTGCACTTTCTACCCCTCCGTTCTTGTCGGTCCACTTGGAGGTCCGTCCCGCTACTCCGCCCAGGTTGCTCCGGACTCTGTTTACCCAAACAAAAAACTTCCGTGCTCCACCATCCCGCTCTCACGCTTCACAACACCCCAGGCCTCATCCACTGTGGAAAGTGGCCATCAATCAGGATGGAAAAACGAACGGGAGAGTCTCCGATGGACTTTGAGTGGCAGTCTCGTCCTCCGGGTGACGCCAGCTCGCCTTTCTACCAGATTGGCATGCAGCACCACGACAACAAGAAGCGTAAGTGTCCCACCACCAGACCCCAGCCAGACCCTCTTTTTTCTCTTCAAGACTGTGGTCTCTGATCTGTTGATCCTGCAGGCACCCACAGTGTCTTCGATTCTCCCGGGAAGAAGCCGTTGCCATCTCTCCGCCCTCCGAACTCACAGCCCTTCCTGTTCTCCCGGTCGAATACCCAGCCCGAGTCGCAAGTTCCCCGGTCAGTCTTTGGCCAACCAGCATTCACAAAGTCAGCCTTTACCACTCCACGCAAGTTCGACCCTGATCTTTCTTCAGGGGCGGAGAACTTTTCCTCCCCCGACAATGCGGATAACGAAGATACGCCGGAGCAGTCAAGCCCAAGGCGAAACTCTCTGTTCAACATCTACGGACGGTTTGCGCCCAGCCCTGGCCGAGGCGAAATTCCCCGGCTGAACAATTATTCGAATGCGCTAGTACGGCGCGTCCAGAAGCGGCGGCGTCGTAACAAGGAGCTTGGACGGCACATCCAGATCGATACAGATGATGACGAGAGTGACCGACCCAGCAGCCGTGAAGGTCGCACGGACAAATCCCGGAACAAGGGCAAGCGGTCTGAATCAAAATCCTCTACAGCCCCATCGTGGTGGACCATGGCGTGGTGGTCAGAATTCTTCAAACTGCTAGAGGAGCATCCCAATGTGCCCAGCATCTTGTCGTGGTGGGCCCAGTTATTGGTCAATTTGGCATTATTTTCCCTTGCTCTTTATGTGGTCTTTGCTTTCATCTCGACAATGCGCAGGGAATTCAATATTGCAGCCGATAACGCGTCTGCTGCAATGATAACAAGTATGGGCGTTTGCGCCAACAACTTTCGCATTAATAACTGCGAGCTTCGACCACCCGATTTGCAGCTGAAATGCGAGCAATGGTTGAATTGTATGAACCAAGATCCATCTCGGGTTGCCCAGGCCAAGGTGTCAGCACACGCGATGGCCGAAATAATCAACAACTTTATTGAACCTATCAGTTGGAAAGCAATTGTACGCGCCACTATCCCATCTTCGTTGCTCGATGGCTTTAACTAATATGTTTTTAGATGTTTTTCCTCGCTTCCCTCGCTACTGTGACCGTCATAAGCAACTGGACCTTCCGCTCTTTCAGAAATCACCTCAGCCAAGAGGACTACGTTCGCCATAATTACCCACCAGCTCACCACTACTCTTCTATGCACGCTACTCAGCCCCAGCTGCAGCACAATCCCAGTCATGGCTATTTCGCTCCACATGCTCCGCAGCAACTGCAGTCCAATGGACACGCCGAGAAGAATGATGCCCCGTTGGCGCTGGAGGATGTACCATCAATGGACTTTGTCACCGAGCGCACCCGCGACCGCGAGAGCCACCTTCGGACGCCGAGCCCGTCAAAACGACACCGTCAATTTGCATAGCCATGTGAACATATTTCTTGAGGTTCCGGCGTCTTTCACTCGGTTTGGTTGCATATCCGACAAGTGGGTTTACGGATTGGTTCGGTATTGGTGTTTTCCTTGTTTCTCATGTGCTTGTAGTATACCATCTTCCCCGTCTTTTTTCGGTTCTTGTATTAGTTTTGACCAGGCTTCAGAGCTCCTGATAGCAAGATGCTTTGCGCATTTCACATTCCCCATGTTGGGCTTCTCATAACATGAAATGATTTCTTTGGTACTTCGACCCTCACTTTGTGACTTCAAATGTCTTCAATGAAGTAAGATCAAGAGCAAACATCCATCACTTCCCTTGCTCCCCACTGAATTGTGCCCGCTGTTCCCGGTCACCAAACCTCTTCGGTTTTCGGCAAACACCGTCTCGCCCGCTCGGCAAACCGTATCGTGGTCCCGCCGTGGCCATCGGCCTCCGTGACCCACCTGCCGTCGCCGAGCGGCCGTCAACGGCCGAGGCTTGGCATATCCACCGCCTTTGATCTACTCGGAGGATAGAGCAGTGAGCATTCATAGCACTCTTTACTCGGTACCAGAAAATGTTTTCCTCGGAATCACATCTCTTCATCGGACACCGAAGTTCGAGATCGTGCTTGGCAATACGCAAAGATAAATCCCACTGTTTTCGGCCGTCGGCTTTCGATATTTCTTTTTCTTAACCTGGTTCTCTTGCAGAACGCCGAACAATGGTCGAGGAAATGCCCAAGTACAGCAGACATAAAAGCAAAAGCATATCCGGTTTAGAATGTTTGAACTCAATTTCGAGCAATTGTTTTGTCCTATTACATATTCCTTTGAATCACCATCGGAGTCATAACTGAATTCCATATTGCATCCTTCTGGTATTTCGAACTCAATTCCATACCCTCCACGTTTCCAATGCACATAGAGCCCAAAGTCGATGCCTCCGACATCTACCCCGAGGGCGGCCTACGTGCCAATCTCGTCGTGCTGGGGAGTTTCAGCTCGATACTAGGAGGGCTGGGACTGATGAACAGCATCGGCATCTACCAAGCCTGGATCTCGACTCATCAACTATCCTCCCTCAGCGAGGGTCAGATTGGCTGGATTTTCGGGCTGTACAACTTTCTCGTATTCTTCTGTGGCATCCAAATCGGACCAATCTTCGATGCAAAGGGCCCGCGCCTGCTGATGTGGTTCGGCTCGGCGCTTATCGTCTTGACATTCATTCTTATAGGCTTCTGCACCGCATATTGGCATTTTCTCGTCGTTGTCGGCATTCTTGGCGGAATGGGAACATCTTTCATCTTCATCGTGCCCGTTGCCAGTATCGGACACTACTTCTGCCGTCGCCGAGGCGCAGCAACAGGGCTGGCCTTGTCCGGCGGTAGTATTGGTGGCGTCATTTTCCCGCTTGTCCTTGAAAATCTCGCGCCCCGGATCGGATTCGCCTGGTCCACACGGATTATTGGCTTGATCACCTTGATCCTACTCATTCCCGGGTGTCTCCTTGTGCGAGCCAAGTTCCCTCTAAAGGCACCGTCGCCGCCATCAGCTAAGGTGTTCCTGCCTGACCTGACGATCCTCAAGGACCCGGTCCTGGCACTGACCACTCTAGGCGTATTCTTCATCGAATGGGGATTTTTTATCCCGCTTGAGTATATCGCCTCTTATGCTCTTGCTAGTGGTATCTCCCCGAAACTGTCGTATCTGATGGTCGTGTTCTTGAACGCAGGCTCGTTTCCCGGTCGCTGGTTACCTGGTATTCTAGCAGACCGCATCGGCCGATTCAACACGCTGCTCTTAACCAATATCTTATGTCTGGTGGCAGTACTGGGCATCTGGATGCCTGCTGAGGGGAATCTCGTCGCCGTAGTGATCTTCTCTGTGGTGTTTGGCTTCGCAAGTGGCAGTAACATCAGTCTTGTTCCTGTTTGTGTGGGCGAGCTGTGTCCTGTCCAGAATTACGGTCGCTATTACACTACTGTGTACACTATCGTCAGCTTTGGGTAAGTTTTGTTTTGTTTTTCCGGGGTCCAACTTTGCCCTGGTCAACGTGGTCATTATGGCTAACTTCTTGGATAGCGCTCTGACAGGTGTTCCCATTGCTGGTGAGATTCTGCATCGCTGCCATGGTGCATACTGGGGGTTGATCGCATTTGCTGGCTGTGCATATGCAGCTGGGATTGTGTGCTTTTCTTGGGTGATGTGGCTCCAGCGGCAGCGTGGAGAGAAGGCTTAGGAGATGGTGGATGCGAACATGATGACGAAATATATCACATGTAGTGGGACATGAAAACATGTGGACGCATATAGATTCGTAATGAATTGATGATAATTTAAAAGCGGTCTGAATCAAACTGATAAAAAAAAATCCTCAAAATAAGCAATAATTTCCAATTCCCGTTTGTGGTATTACGCCCCCCGCCACCGCAGCCTTTATCTTTATTTCCTACCAGGATACAGGACTAGAGATTTTTTTATCCATAGAGTATGAGTTAAGGGGCTTTGATAACATGATTATAACATACACATTACAGCTGTGAACAGTAGAAATGTCTCAATAGATCTTTGGGAAATAGTTTAGAACAAAAGAAGAACCCATCTCGGCGTTCATTCTGACGTATAGGTTTGCCATCCAGAGGCAAGAGGCGACCGCAAAGAACCTTCTCATATAACATGCCTCCTCAAGATATATTTGCCAAATAATCCTTCAATCGAAGCTTGCAAAATTTTCGATCAAAGCATATGCCAATTGTTAATCGAATAGACCGATAATCGAACAATAAATTTGTTTCGCCAAAATGAGCTTCACCGACGATACGAAGCGCAATCTGATCATAGTGTCCAACCGCCTTCCACTGTCGATCAAGCGTGTTGACGGAACATTCCAATCCTCCATCTCTAGTGGAGGTTTGGTCACCGCATTATCGGGCTTGACAAAATCGACTGAGTTCCGATGGTTTGGATGGCCGGGTATTGAGGTCAAAGACACGGCAGATAGGGCGCAGGTTGCGAGCAGCTTGGATGAGCACAATGCTACTCCAATATTCCTGGATAATGACTTGGCACGCGAGCACTATAACGGTTTCTCCAGTAAGTCATGGTCCGTCCTCGAAATGTGTCCCATTCCAGACTGCATGCTTACTTTCCTCCAAAGATCGTATCCTGTGGCCTATACTGCATTACCAATCGGGGGTCACTTTCGACGATGGCCCTTGGCAAGCATATAGACGTGTAAACGAACTTTTTGCGGACGCGATAGCTAATTCTGCTGAGAGCGGCACTTTGATTTGGGTGCATGATTATCATCTCATGCTATTGCCAGAGCTCCTTCGGAACAGACTTCAGGACCAGGGCAAGAAATGCGCCATTGGATTCTCATTGCATACTCCGTTCCCTGCTGGTGACTTCTGGCGTAACCTGCCAGTCCGCAAGCATCTCATCGAAGGGCTATTATCCAGCGATCTGATAGGATTCCACACAGATGAGTACAAGCAAAATTTCATGGATACCTGTGCCAGTCTTCTGTAAGTCTTACCTCTAGACTTCGTCCATTCAATAGTTGCAACTTTTGACATGAAGGTGTTGCTGATTCGTCACCAGAGGCGCACGTATCGAAATTCGGAATCAAATCCAGTACAAAAATCGACTTATATGCACAGACAAGTTTATTGTAGGAATCGATCCCCAAAAATTTAGCGAGACGTTGCAAAAGACGGACGTACAAGCTCGTATCAAATCCCTTGAAGAGCGGTACCGGGGCATCAAGGTCATTGTCGGCGTCGACCGGCTCGACCATATCAAGGGATTAACACAAAAGATGAAGGGCTTTGACTCTTTTTTGGATGACCATCCCGAGCTCCGAAACAAGGTTGTTCTCATCCAGGTGGCCGTCCCAAGCCGTGAAGATGTCAAAGAGTACCAGGAACTAGAAACGGAGTTGAGCACACTGGCTGGCAAGATCAACGGCAAACATGGTTCGTCTGGGTTCCCTTCAAATGCTAACTAACTTCGAATAACACCCAGTAGCTACTCCCGACGGCTCGCCATTATTATATATGCACCGTTCGGTCCCATTCACGGAATTGACTGCGCTGTACTCCGTTGCTGATGCATGTCTGCTAACCTCCACCCGAGACGGGATGAATCTCGTATCCTTCGAATACGTCGCCTGTCAAGAGAAGAGGCATGGAGTTCTCGTTTTGTCTGAATTTGCTGGAGCTGCGTCTTTTATGCGCGAAGGCAGTGTTCCATTCCACCCAGCTAACACAACAGAAATGTCTGAAGCTCTTTACAGCGCTCTCAATCTAGACCCGGCTGAACGTAAGCGCAAGTATGAATATCTTCGGGATTTCGTCAATACCCATACCAGGTAGGCATGACCTTGTCTCTGTTAAATTTGAATTTGCCACTAATCAGCTCAAGTGCGGAATGGGGCCAAACCTTCATAGAGAAGCTGTCCCAGCGTTGTCGACGACCTGGAGATCCATGCTCATAAGGAGACACATTTCTGGTGTACTGTATTTTGGACTTGGAAATGGGTCTTAGGCGATTCGGGGCGTGATTCGGGCACTGTAGTAATATGCCATGTTCTACTTCGTGATCAACTGTGTGTTTAACAGACTTGCCGTCTGCATGGACAACGCATACCTGGTATATTTTTCGGGACTTGATCATTTCAAAGACGAAAAATCCCCCCTATTACTTGCCAACATAATTTCTCCATATTCATCCAAGTTTGCTGGTCCGTAAGTATACCACTTGTATGTAGGTTCTCCATAAACAAGTACAATACCGAGGAAGAGTCAGTGAGTTGTCAAAGATATCCAAGATATGCAGTGAATCCATTCAAGTCATGTACTACAAATAGTAGAAATTTGGTCATTTTGTTTAGATCAGTGTGCGCACGGTCCTCGCGTCGATAAGGCAGCACTCGAGGCATCCTCTCATCTTGGGGACCGTCATAATGCTCATCGACCTCTACAACCAACTTAAACATCCTCGCATCAGCGCTAACAATTCTAAAAAAGCCCCATACTTGAAAATCAGCCGTCGAGAGTGACTGATCCACGATTCACCAAATTTGATAAGAATATTGGCACCAACACGGCGTAGATCACAACGAACACCTTGACTTCCTCGTACACGTCCATCTCTTCCCCCCATATTCCAAAAGCTCTTATTTAGGGCTCCCCAGTCGCCCTATCTCGTTTGCAGCTATTTCTGAATCCACCAATCAGCGTCTAGGGCTCTGTGATCTTGGTCACTGCCTGGCTCCTGGTTGTCTATAAATTCACATTTTCGCACAGAACTCTTCTTCCTCTTCTTCTTTCCGCCCCAGGTTTGTTTGTTCCCCCCTTTGTTTGCTAACAACACTCCTCACTTTAGTTCGACATAGCGTTTCTTTGGGCAATGATGAGGAAATGGCTCATGACTTTCTTTTCGAGACTGCTCCGAGCGGGGATGGGGTTTGTCGATGACTTAAAAAAACCACTGAGCCCAATGATCGCTATGTCAACATTATATGCTACTCCGTCCACAATCTTGTCTTGTATTATCTCCTTTCCTGTACGGAACTGCATTTCCCCTCCAGAGTCTGGCGTTTAATATACTCCCCTAAGAATTCCATTTTATTATCCCCATATAAGATGTGTAGCGGTTGAAGAGATTATTTCCTGTCCACAATTCCGTATTTTGTTGTTCGGCTTTGTAACTCGTCTAGTTTCTTTTGTCTGCCCGCTGAATGTATTCCTTGCATCTGTCTGTGTCTTGAAAATACATGTAGCCCGACTTCCAAAGTCACTGAGAATGGTATAATGAATAGACGCGACTTTTCCTGACGCGTTCTGCATCAAGTGTTCCCTTTCAGCTCTCCTCTTGCAGGTTTCTCCCTCCACTTCCCTCTTGTATCGTCGCACCGATCCCAACGTCTCGATACTAAACAGCCCTATAGCTTTCAGCTGTCCTTATGAACTCTATCACCGAGATTTGTCACTATTCAATCCTTCTATGTCACTGCATTTGGTGTAAGTGTTAATATCTGAATGGGTACTTTCCTATTGAATGAAGAAAAGGTGTATTTGAGGATCTATGGACCTGATTAACAGCCAGTTATCTGACATTTCATGTTGCTTGAAATAGGAGATTTCTTCCTTCCGTTCTCATCTTGAATAAATGCTAATCCGTTTAAATCCAAGGACTCCATCATCATCTACACGTGGGGCTTACTTCCCGGGTTCGATACTATGCACCGTTGCGAGACATTCGCCCTTCTAATAACTCATCGCTAACACTCAATACGCTTCATTTGGTTTCAAAAGACACTAAGGCGACTCATGCAAAGGACAAGCCGGGCGTGGTATCATGGCAATGAGAAAATGCTATCGCATTTAGCAGTGTTATCTGGTACGAAGAGATTCCATAGGTTGAGTAAGCTAACCTGTGGGCTATGAGCGAAGTTCTTAGCGAAGCGTCTATTTCTTAGCACCTGTGAAGTTTTAGAGTGAAAAAACCTTTGGAAGTACGTACGTTAACCTGCTTCGCCTAGGTACCTCATCAATGAGCTCAGGTATAACTTAGCACCACAGGTAAAAAAACACGAGAAGAAACACTCTATGAACAAGACATTGAGACTTTGTCTGTTTGATTTCTCTTCACTTTGGGCTCTTGATCAACGCCTATCCCTTTGCAGATTCTGATCTTGTCTCATGCTTGCTTTGTTTCGACAGCTTAGATCCTCAAGTTGCTGTTTCATGATGACAAAGTTCGTTTGTCTTATGGGGTAGCATGGCTTGACGTAAATCTTTTTCAATATCAGTTATTATTTACCTCTCTGGTTGATTGTCGTTTGCTTGTTGAATTGTCATACTGACTAGAGTGCAGTCGAAGATAACCTTAAAACGAGCCCCACATGCCGACCGATCACGATCGCACAGATCCGGAACAAAGATTAAAAATTGCCTGCGTATCACCTAAGCGAGATGTGCCGGAGTTTTGACACGGAAATAGCATACGACTGGTGATATATTGGCTTCTGATACAATGCCCGAAGGGATTAGAAATCAGTTCTGTTGAAGGCGTGTCGTGTGACTGCCATAAGTCCTTATGACACTAAGCCTATTCCTGGGTATTCTTGACTTGTTGGAGTTGTTTTCAAGGGCATCGGATTGGACAGAATGCCCTTTTGACTCCGGCGTTGTTTGAGTTGAGCTCATCCGTGGCTTGATGGCGTGCGATCGATTGAAGATTCGCCAGGAACAAGGCTCCACTCCAGCAAAAATCAGCTGCATTCGTGCAATCACAAAAATTTCATTACCAGGGTTGCTATCAGCGCAGTCAATCTATGTATGCTGCTGACCGGTTTATATAGTCACACAAAAAGACCTTTCCTATCTCTAGTGGGGGCATTTATAGCTTTCTTGTAATTCAAAAGCATCAGTCACCCACCGAGCATCGACCAGCGGGGGTCTTGGCCCTGCGATCTTCACTGGTGCCCCGACTGGGGCTCATCACGACATCGGCAACAAATGAACGGGACAAGATATTTTCCACGGGGATGTGACAACAGTCCCCACGGTCGCACGGAATGGGATGTTTAACTTCTCCTTCGCAACTTCTTCCTGTTGCGAGTCAAACGGGTTTGATTTATGAACATCCTGTTGCAGCCGACCGGAAGATCTAGTTGCTATCGAGAATAGCTTGGCTGCACCTATGACAGACATCAATGTTGGCTACAACGCGACAGCATATCGCGCAACGATGAAAGATCCAGAGGAAAATGTCTTCATCCCAGAGGAGGAAACCGTTCGGTCAGACAATGAGTCGGTTGGGAAGGATCCATTTTCAGCGCCGTTGAAGCGGCAACTTAAATCACGGCATCTGCAGATGATTGCGATCGGAGGTGTGTGCAAATATTCTCTCTTCACATGGAAACAATCTGTGTCTAATTCCAGATTTTAGGAATAATCGGCCCAGGGCTACTTGTCAGCTCAGGAAATGCGTTGCACGAGGGTGGCCCCGCCGGAGCTCTCATCAGTTTCTGCTTGGTGGGGATCATTGTATTTTTTGTGATGTGAGTGGAGAATCCCGGTAGATATGACTGTCGGAATAAAATACTAACGAGAACAGGCAATCATTGGGCGAGATGGCAACTTTGATTCCGGTCACAGGTTCGTTCACAGAATATGCAGAACGATTTATCGATGATTCAATTGCATTCGCATTAGGATGGGCATATTGGTATTTATGGGTTACCGTGCGTTATCGGTATCCGGTGCGAGCCTGTCAGATCGTTATACTAACTCGACAGAGCGCTGATAGGTTCTTGCAAATGAATACAATTCAATTTCGCTTGTCATCGGATATTGGACAGAAGCAGTGCCACAATGGGGTTGGATTCTCATTTTTTGGTTTCTCTTCCTTGGCTTATCCAACCTGGGTATCTTGGCATATGGAGAAATGGAGTTTTGGCTCTCGCTGTGCGTATCAAGTCCCGCTGCCCGACAAGAATACAATGCTAACATTCATTTTTAGTATCAAGGTGTTGGCTCTGATTGTTTTCTTTATACTCGCCATTTGCATCAGTTCAGGAGGCATTGGCCCACAGACAATTGGGTTTAAATATTGGCATGACCCAGGCGCATTTGCGGACTCTATTAACGGGGTTGCCAAGACCTTTGTGGTTGCTGGCACTCTTTATGCCGGAACAGAGATGTATGTAGTCCAACAAGGAAATTCCTTTTTCCTTCGCACTTATTAACATGACACCAGGGTTGGAATTACCGCCGGTGAATCAGAGAATCCCCGCCAGGCAGTTCCACGGGCGATTCAACAGGTATTTTGGCGCATCCTGATCTTTTATATCGGTATGGCCACCTTTGGCAAATTCGTTGCAGGCCATTAACGAAACTTCTCAGGTACCATCTTCTTCATCGGCATCTTGATACCATATAATGACAAGCGATTACTGGATTCTTCTTCGAAAACCGCCAGCTCTCCATTGACGATTGCTTTGCAGGATGCAGGCATTCTGCCGGCAGCACACCTCATCAACGCTTTGATCGTCATTAGCGTCATCTCAGCAGGCAACAGCTCATTATACGTTGCATCTCGTACGCTGCTCTTCATGTCGCGCAATGGAAAAGCGCCTCAATTCATTGGCCGTGCGAACCGCGCCGGCGTTCCATGGGTCGGTCTGGTATTCACCAACGTCTTCGCTTGCATAGTTTTTCTGGGACAGTCTTCGAGCGCAGGGACGGTTTTCTCCGCTTTGATTACGTTGTCTGGAGGTAGGTGTCATTTATCGTAGGCCAATAAAATAGCATTATGCTAACCACGGGGAAATAGTGTCGACATTCATTGTTTGGGCCGTTATTGGCATCTGCCACATTCGCTTTCGTCGCGCCCTGGTGGCACAGGGACAGGATCCATCAATGCTGCCATTCCAAGCGGCACTATATCCCTGGGGCACCTACTTGTCACTGGCGGCCAATATATTCCTTGTTTTCTTTCAGGGATACACGTGTTTCCTGAATCCATTCAGCGCCACTGACTTTGTCATCAACTATATTCTCATACCTGTATTCGTCCTGTTTGTGGTTGCGTACAAGATATGGAACAAGACAAAATGGGTTAAGCTGGAGGAGATGGATATCTGGACTGGAAGAAGGGACTTTGCAGCGACCGACGATTCGCAAACGAAAAGGCCCCAGCAGTGGTGGTCTCGCATTAGCGACATTTTCGTGGGATAGCCTGGATATCCTGTGGTCAGATTATGCTCTCATAATACTAAAAAACCATATGAAATCCACTTTGCAAGACACCAACTGATTCATCCGGGCCTTGCTTCCAACCGAGATTTTTCTCGAGAAGCATAGAAGGGATCGGCACGGATTCCGACGGAGAAGCGGGCTTTTTAGTGGAGAGGGCCGTGGCTCGAAATCGCCAATATAGCGGGCGTGGGGCGTTAATGCTGAGTTATCTACGTGAGATTAAAGGGCTAGATCATAAACAAATCTGACATCCGTCTCGGCATCCTCCACCTACCTGCGCATCCCGAATTCTTCAGCGGCGGAGTCTCCCGCCCCCAACTCCCCACTTTTTCATACCGAGCCAGGCACATCGTGGCCCCTAAGACCACTACTCATTGGCCCGATAACACAAACTATTCTTCTCGATGCCGTACTGGCAAGGGTCCACTCCTCAACCCCGGCGCCAAAGCCGGTCGATCATGCCCGTCTTTCAGCAGGATGGCGCACCATGTGAGTAGCAACCAACCACCAGTCGATCGCTCACGTCGCCCAGGCACTACCAATCAGCGACTCGCTGTACCTCGTTGATGACCTTTCTCGTACAGACACTGCAGATCGGCGGACATTCCTGTTCTAGTAAAGTCATATTGCAAGTGAGGTGCTCTCTAGCCCTGTGGGCTCGAGAACCCAATGATATCCCGTTGACATAGTGCGGCCAGATGTAACATTGTCTGAAGTCGGTGATTTTGGGCTTGGCTATTATGCTTCCAATGGAGAGCAGAGCCAGGTTTGGCCTTGCTCTCACACAACTATTTAAGTCACTCGTGGCCCGCGTGTGTATGCTCATACCACGGAGAAGAATCAAAGCGCAGATCCATCCCAGTTATTATCTGATCGACCTGTTCATCCTAAATCAAGCAAATCTATACTGAAAATGCAGTACTCGAAGGTATCATCTACATTCCTACCAAGACGCATTGGAGTATCTGCCTTACCATGCAAAGCCATATTAATATACTTATCCCATCTAGATCCTGGCCGTCGCCACTCTCTTCTTCTCCGCGGCCCTCGCTATCCCCGCCGAGAAGCGTGCATCATGCGCCTATACCTGCGGCACCGTCTGCTACACCAGCAGCGCCGTCAGCGCGGCCCAGGCAGCCGGCTACGAGCTTTACGAGGAGGGCAAGACCGACAGCTCGTACCCGCACGTTTACCACAACTACGAAGGCTTTGACTTCTCTGTCTCTGGAACCTACTACGAGTTTCCCATTCTCAGTGACGGCGATGTCTACGATGGCGGCTCCCCCGGTGCGGACCGTGTTATCTTCAACACCGCCGACGAGCTGGCTGGTGTCATCACCCACACTGGGGCTAGCAGTGATGATGGCTTCGTTTCTTGCTAGATTATCTCTATCTAATGGGGGTATATAGCTGGAAATGACTGGAAAAGCAGATTTGATCATCTACGACAGGGTGTTCCGAAAGCAAGAATGTGCTGTAGCCAGACCGAATTGAAGTCTCTTTTCCCTCAAATTATGTGTAGCTAGAGTCCATTGATGAAAATAAAGATCTATGTAGAACGAGTACATAAGCTACGGAGCTGTAGAAGACTGACTTTCATGTAAACGCGAACAGAGATCTCGCGGAGACACGCTGTGTATGTCTTCTTTTGTTTGTTTTTGGTACCTAGAGGCAAACAGCAATCGACACCCGCACAATTGCGAAAATGTGGGATCATGTCGTCGCCGGGGTTTGATACCATAGTAAAGGCACATAGGGTAATGCATGGACAGCATAAAGCCCATCGTGCATTTCTGCAACATTCCACTGTTTTTCGGCGGGGGTTTCGGTGGGCGACAGTGACAACAGGCATATGGATCGCTTGTTTACAGTCGAGTTTGTAGGGATCTAAGTCAGTAAGGAGGCACCCTACTCAATATGGAGGAGTTCATCTTGAAGATTGTGGTAGAGCTCTCAACATTTTGATTTGGAGGATATCCACCTTGAGGTAAGAAAAGGGAGAGAGGCAGATGGCAAGAAGGGGGGGTTTAAAAGGCGCACAGACTCGGTCGGAGTATCTGGGAATCCAGGACAGGGATAAGTGTGGGGGATGCGGGGTCAAGTTGGAGAACAACAAGATCAAAACAACAAAATCAAAACAACAAGATCAAACCACATCAATGGATATACAATGATACTTTGGATGCTGATATATACCATACTGCTCTTTGTTAATGAATGACAGCACGACTGGCACTCACATGCTTGGATTCAGAGTTCATCGGCCAACAATAGCCTCAGTCTGCACATTATTACGAGTAGACTTCCCTAGGTTTCACTTGGGAATGCAGAATATCCCGATCTGTTTATGCCACCCAGATGCAAATGGTGAAAAGAAGCAACAGAAGGTACTCCATATTGAGGCAGATATGTGCAAGAAAGATGTGGCTGATCTTCACTAGAAGTCCTCAAAGGTCTTTGTATACCAGGGATACCTTTGTTCATCCTTTACAAGCGTCTTTAATTCCAGTTCAACATTGTACTCTGAAAGAAACATGTCACCTCTCTTTGAATTATTTTAATCACATTATGAATTATAAATACACTGAACACGCTATCTGATTCCAACTCATCCATTCCACATCTCCTCCACCTCTTCCACCCTTTGGTCACAACAATTAGCCGCATAATACAAACTCTACGTGTCCTGCATACAGTCACAATGCCGAGCCCGCACCTTATCTCAAACTCGGGCCAAGATATTGAAGGCCTTGATGCCACTGCTGACCCTGCGACCATGAGGGACTGGCTAGACAGCGTCCTCGCCTTGCTCAAATCACCTGCAGGGGTATGGCTTCCGCACCCTGATCTATGTAGTCTCCGTAAAAGGTTTATCACTAACTATGACATCCTAAGGCAAGCTGCTCCTGACATTGCAACTGGGCTGCAGTCACGCGATGATCCCCTGGAGTACGTGCCTAACTCGTGGCGTAACTGCCCCACCACTTGTTGCGGGGTCCGAAACCTTGCAGGCCTCTCCGACTGTGATGCGGGTTCTGGATGGCTGTGGAACTTACACAACCAACCCTTAATGGATCAAGATGACGCTTTCACTAGTGCTATCAAGCATGGATGCCTTGAATGTGTGAAATTCCTGACAGAGTGGTACGAGGACTCCGGTCCCCTCGCACTGTATAACCGCAGCGGATTCTCTCTGGCGGCTCTTTCCATTATTCATGGAGAAGGAGAAAGCCCGATAAGTAGTTATCTTGTTGAGCGTATGGGCCCGACGGAATTGGTCCTATCAATTTGCTATACCCCCGAGGGGCCCGTGGGAGGCAATCACCTGGACTTAGTACTCTGTCAACGAGATAAGTCCCACTTTCGGAAGATGATGTCCGCCCTTCCCGTCGACATGACGCCCAATGATGAGGATGACGATCCTTTCTTCGACTGGTTTTCCACCGACCGATGTCTGGAGTTGTCTACCTTTATCTGCGGACGCGCGGCGGAATTCCTCCGAAAGAAGGTCGGTCGGGACTTGAGCAAGCTAACAAATTTCTCACAGTACAGCCCCGAGCAACCATATTTCTTAGCGGATCCTGTTCCTGGGTGCTGGAGGCAGCGGAACACTTTCATGATAACTCCTCTGTCACAGGCAGTGCGGCACCTTAACGCCGATTTAGTGACATGGATCCACAGGCAGTTGCTTCACCGTTCCATTTATGGACCATGCACTGATTCTGACCCCATTGCGGATGCCCTCGATCATGCCCTGCTACTTCAGGTATCACCACAATCCGAGCAAGTTGTATGCGACATGATCTCAGCGCTATGGAATCTCCTCAGTCCCGGCATCAATCGCCCAGCCTGTGTCCAAGCACGGCTCAGTACCTTACTGCATCGTCATCTCGATTCCCTCTTCAAGCTCCGCAATGACCCTAATGTGAACGCCTTCCTAGTTGGAGACCTTTCCACTCAGTGGAAGATGTCTGTTGAGGCGCGCCTGTCGTGCATCGCACGAGCCATGAGAAGTGATTGGATCCTAGTGTTCTACCAGTGCCCCGAATTCAAATCCTGTCGGACACTAGCCAGCATGGTAGATGTGGATCTCGACTTCTTATTCATGAGAGGAATCCTTCATTTCCCGTCCCCTCAGGCTCCGTCTTCAGACATGTCCTAGAAGCACCCTCGGTGCCTTTCTGGTCCTTTTGATTTGATAGCATTTCTGTAGCCTGGCTTGCGATGGAATGGCTTCTCGTGTGATTTCTGCGCAAGCTTTCTGTCCTTCTCGCTAGGGATGTCATTTGAATAGTATTTTCACTTGCGAGACTGACTCTGCCCATATGAGAGTAGAAAAATGTTAAAAACGTTCCTGCGCTGAGAATTGTGGACAACCACACGCGTCAGGTAACAAGCTTCCCAATCCCATTGTTAACGAAAACCTATCCAGTTCATTAGCTGTACTACATGGCCCAAGACTCAAGTCTTTTGGATCGCCAGGAACAGACGGCCTTTGTTCTTGTGTATCTTTAGGCAGAATGTCAGAAAAAGGTTTCCTTGGATAGTCTGAGCTCTTACCCATCATATTCGTAATCAAGAAAGACTGCCGAGTAGTTCTCCGGCTATGCTGAGACTGAAGCACAATCATCAGATTGCCAAGAAGTTTCCAGGCAGAGTTTATAACGTCGTGTGACTCATGTACCAAAATTGGTTTGTAAATCGACGGAATTACTTCGAAAAAGGATGCTGACCGGCTCTTCCCTAGAAGCAAGCCCTGTAAATGAACAAGTCTTGCTCTTGATTCAACAATTGATTCAATCAGAGGATGGAGTAGAGTTGGTCCAGTGGGTTTTTCCAGCGGTATTAAACACTTCGATTTTGCCAAATAACCAGGACATTTCGCTACTTCATCAAAAATGTCGTCCAAAATTTGACCGAAGGGGCTATCCTCCGGGTGTTGATCTCTTTGATTGCACTTACCTTTTAATGCGGACTGCCATTCAAAATCGCCCAGAAAACAGGGAACTGAATTTATGAATGCATCTGCAACTAAAAAGGGTCTCCAAGAGAGGAGGAGAGTTCGACCCATTCCAGATGTATGCACCGTAGGGCCACGAGCACAGAATAAATACCGGATCCCTTTGGAATGAGCAATCCATGAACGACCACTATTGCCATCTAAGACCTCGTAACCGCCCAGTAAGATGGCAGCGGCAAGTGTCTCATCACGCAGTGCATCTTCTGTCTGAAGTAGAAAAGCCAGATGCTTCAAACCCCGACTATACATATGACGAGCACATAATATAGCCTGTTTATTTTCTTGTCCCATTCCCATACGCAAAGTGACCAAAGCGCGGACCGACCAGATAAGTGCCTGAGGGAATGTGAACCAGCGTCCCCGCACAAAGTCCATCCAGTTAGTGTCAAATCGGCCAGTCCAGGAAGCGATGTAACATGAAAAATGGTATTCTAACCATCGTGCAAACATTTCCTTTGTTTGGGTATCGATTGATCTGAGGGCAAGACTGGGCACTATTGCTTCGTCCATTAAGGGACGACCATATCTCCTCGCAACTTGCCCTGTTTCGTCTTGGAATTTGTAGCCTCGATCATAACCTGGGCATGCGGAACCCCTATGTTGACAGCGCAGGCACTCCGGGTGAGTTTCATCACACTTCAACTCTTATTAGTTCATCTCTTTTTATCCCTTTCTCAAGATTTTGATAGCAGGAGATGCAAATCGAACTCATCCTGGCTGCGGTGAAAGTTTGTCCATTCCCACTTACCTTGACTCTGCGGTCGATACACTTCAAGCATCCCTTACTGCGGGGAACGCCAACCATGGTTGTGGACGGGATGAGACGACGCCCGGTCTGCTTTCAATAACTTTTCTGTCTAGTGGCTCGACAAAAGACTATGGAAATATCTGATCACAGGCGGAGTTCATCTCATCTTGTCTTGCGATGTTTCAGTCACACTCTAACTACCTCAGTGATCGGGTCTAGGATCTGGGCAGACTGGATACTCCACCGCTCTGGCAGAACAATTTTCATGTTAGTTGACCAGCTCTCCTGCCAAGCCGCTAAGCATCAGGATTACAGCACAATACTTATAGTACTATGGCTAACGGAGAGAGTAGTGGCGGCGCTATACCTGAAAGGGATGAAATACGAGAGCAGAGGACACGTAGTGCAGGATACGACCAAGTAGCTGAGCCTCCAGCAACCGCGCACAGACCGCATCTCAATGTCATCTTCAACATCGACCCGCTGCAGCCAAGATTACGCTCTAATAACGCTGATCTAACCCCGGTCGACTGTCTTCTTTCGCGCCAGGTTTATCATAATGTCTATTTTTGGAACATCTCCAGCAGGATTTGGTCGACGGAGTGGAAAGGAGGAAGGACCTGATTGGCATATTGGTGTCTAGAGATATGATGGCTCTACCCCGCGCAAAAGAAAAGTTTTTACGACGGAACACTCGTCTATTATACTTCCACGTCCTGCTCCAATGCCGCTTAGAATCAGCGCAATAATTCAAATCCAAAATCATCCATACTGTATATCTCTCCCTATTTCTGGCCCTGATGAAAAGGAATCTCATTCTATATTTCAGGCTTATTAACCTATGTACTATATCCATATTATGCCCTCAACTTGCCGATTCGAAGCGTAAAGCCTTCTTGCCTCATTTCACGCGTGAATATCAACTTACTTCCCTCTATTAAATCCTATTTTGTCCACTTCTGGTCGCCTTCTACCCTTTATCCCCTTGGGCACACTACTTCGCCTCGTGTAATCTATTTATTCACAGTAGAATTTCAACAAATACAACAATCCATTTCCAGCTGTCTTCTCCCAATTCCACCTTGCGCCACATGTTGAACTGCTAGGATAAAACCTTTCACTTCTTTGCCCTCCATCGTTTGTCTCTAACCGCTCGTTGTGGTGCCTAGCCTAGAGTTACAACACCGCCTTTCAAGATCCCCGAATGTCTTGAATGCTCTTAGTTACGATGGTCAACGTGCCCTCAAAAGCTATCTCGATGTATTTAAATAAAAGGTCAAAGGAAAACCCAGTCGCATGTCTTGACAGCAGTCCCCTCGCTTCATCCCATGTGCCTAGGACGCAGCAACCACAACAAAACGTCTGTACTTCATTCGCTGACTCAGCGCCACTTATTCCCGTCAGTCAGCCATCTTCTCTCCGCATTCCAGCCTCCTGTTTATTACAGCCAGACTCCTCAGGTAGGGCTTCCACATATCTTCACTACCTCACAATCAATTAATGGGATTGTTATATGACTCAAGCTCATTTGGTTCTATCTCCTTCCCTCCGAGCTATTTTAACGCTCCGCCGCTCGCCATCTATCGTGTAGTAAATCTCCCCCAAGCGCACTATTTTGCCGCCAAGTGCCTCGGTTTTGTTCAATATATTGTTTGATATCATCAATCCGGAGCGCTATATCACAAAGGAAAAAAATTAGTATTTTCTAATTTGGAATTTTACAAAACATGAAAGCCTCATTTTGCCGGGCAGGTAGTGTCCTAGCCACAGCCAGAAGACAGCTTGCTAGGTCTCCGCAAACCTTACGGCAAAAATATTCAACAGTGGGACGACCTCAATCATCAAGATTATCTCCCTTCACATGTGGTATATTTGGACTAGCCGTGGGTGCTGCGGGCACAGCCGCCGTCCTGTCGAGCGGGAGTAATGCCGATATAAGGCAAATGACATTTGCTCCGCAATACGCTGATCGATCAACCATGCTGAGAGTACGTACCCGTTGAGCAATTTGCGCTGTCTATCACCTATGAATGAAATACTAACGTCAACCTCCAACCAGGCTGCCAAAGAAATTCAGGATATTCTTGGCGAAGACGCTGTGAGCATGGATGCGGATGAGCTCGAAACGCACAGCTATTCCGAGGCGTCAACGTCGAATCTCGACACCCGCCCGGTTGCTATCATCATGCCTTCCAGCACGGAAGAAGTATCTCTCGTGGCAAAGATATGCACCAAATACAAAGTCCCAATGATCCCATTTGGCGCCGGGTCCAGCGTTGAAGGTCACTTCACGGCGCCATACTCCGGTTTCAGCATTGACATGTCCCGCATGAACAACATCATCCAGATTAACGACGAAGACATGGATGTTGTGGTCCAGCCCGGCGTGAATTGGGTCACTCTGAACGACACCCTCAAGCCCACCGGCCTATTCTTACCTCTGGATCCTAGCCCCACAGCGCACATCGGCGGCATGGTTGCGACGAACTGCAGTGGAACAAATGCCATGCGGTATGGGACGATGAAAGACTGGGTTGTCAATCTGACAGTGGTCCTCACAGATGGCACTGTGATCAAGACACGTCGCAGGCCGCGCAAAACATCTGCCGGATACAATCTGAACGGCCTCTTCACCGGCTCCGAAGGGACGCTGGGCATCATCACAGAAATCACCTTGAAGCTCGCGATCGTCCCGTCTAACTTTGGCGTCGCGACAGTGTCATTTCCCTCCGTTGCGTGCGCAACCAAGGCTGCGACATCAATGATTCGCAGGGGCGTGTCTCTTGCCGCACTTGAGTTGATGGATGATGTGCAGATGCGCGTCGTGAATCAGACCGGCGGAACGGCAGGGAAGATGTGGCCGGAGCGGCCAACGCTCTTCATCAAAGTCTCTGGTTCAGAACGAGCCGTCCTCGATAGCATTGATTCTGCCAAGACCATTGCCGCTGCCCATGGGGGCTCAAGCTTCTCTTTGGCTTTGAATGAAAAGACAATGGAATCTCTATGGTCGGCACGAAAACAAGCACTGTGGGCGATGCTCTCCGTGCGGCCTGAAGGGACACAAATTTGGTCGACGGATGTGGCTGTTCCGCTCTCTCAACTGGCAGAGATTGTGGAACAGTCAAAGAAAGATGCGTCTCAACTCGGCCTGTTTTCCAGTGTGCTCGGCCATGTTGGCGATGGAAATTTCCACCAGTCCGTCATGTATAATCCAAACGTACCTGAACAGGTGGACGGGGTGAAGAAGTGCGTCGATACAATGGTCGTACGGGCGTTGCAGATGGACGGCACTGTCTCCGGGGAGCATGGAATCGGACTTGGCAAAAAGCATTGTCTGGAGAAGGAGCTTGGGCCGGCCACGATTGAGGTGATGAGAACGTTGAAGCGGAGCTTGGACCCGCATTTCCTATTGAACCCGGGGAAGATTTTCGATATCTCACCATCGGAGGATCAATAATAGCCTAATCCAAATGCAGGAATGTTTTACCCCCGGTGATGCGTGGCGCTCCAAAACCAGGAAGGTGTTCTGATATGCACAGGGCTCATAACATCACTCGCTCCGAACACGTCGTGATGATTGTATCTAGAAACCAAGAGATAATATATCTCATTGAGGCTGAAAATCCAAGTCTTGGACTATACATCTGTGAAGAGGCTTTTCCATCGCACCTGTACTCGGCTCAACCCTGCTGATGTATAGTTTAAATTGCTATACCAGATCTCTGGCATTAAATACTATTTTCTCTCTACATCCAGTCAAAGAATCCCGTACTAGCCTCGACAAGGTACTTCTAGAGGTACTTAAGATTTGATGGTTGACAAGTACCCTCGCAGCGTTAAAAATGAATTGCTTTTTTATGCTCTCGCCGTGAGAAGACCGGGTTCTCGACGTAAATCAGACCTAAGTAGTCTATAATAGAAACATATACCCTCACGCATAGCTTGAGCCTCTTCTCGGCCACAACAACCTCGATCCAGCCCTGCAATATATGCAAAAAACCACATCCTGTAAATGCTACTCTGCTACATCCGCCCTTTATCTTCAGAGTATACTATTGCACACCCAAGAGCCCGAATCTACACGATGCTCCCGAATCCTTGCCCACCATAGCCATTTACACAGCAGGCCGCCTGATCTCGATACACCTGCCCAGGGCCAACATATCTTAGATATCAAACTTCACAGCACATATGGGAGATCAACGATGTTGCATGTAGTGAATTCATCGCCGAGCCAGTTTCCAGAGTGCAGGGTATGCTGATCGGGCACAGTAGTCATAGAAGACATCCACAAGTGCGAGGGGCAATACTGAGAAGAATACTAGATGTGATCTCCCAGGCATGCAAAGTAACGGGAGGGCCGCTGGGGTTTTGTAGGTGTGAAAGATGGGAGGTTGGAGCTTGTCGATGAAAATCGGCAGCGTGTGATGGTGCACGGGCAGATCTTGGAGTTTCAAAACAAATAAAAGCAAGTGTAACGACAAGGATGCGGTGTAACACTGTGCGCGGTGTGCAAGACAATTGGGATAGAAATGAACAGGAGATAAAAGTAGGTTGAAATCACGCAGAAAAAAAAAAGATAAGGGTAAGTTCCAAGAAACTGAAAACACCGTGTAACTAATGCATTGCTGGTCAACCACGGAACTGTATTTTTTCCCGTCTGTGACCCAGAAGAACGAACCCATGCAGAAACGGATGCGAGAAGTAGAAAAGAGCTGAGCTTATCATAAAGAAAGAGACCTGATGGTAGCAATGGTAACTGTAATGGTAATGATACTCAAAGTTTCGATGCAAGGCTAGAAAGACCCGTTATGCGCAGGCAGGGAATAGAAGGATCAAATGCAGAGCCCGGGAATCAATAACAGAATGGAACAACAATCAGACATTCATCACCAGCCGTCCTCGTCCTCGAAGGCCTGGTCCTCGCGACCATCACGATAGGCGTCCTCGATGTCCTCGCGCTCGCTGTCCTCGTCTGGAATATCGGAGTCAGTATGCATGCCTCCATGACCACGAAAAAAAGCAGAAAGTTTAATGATATGATGGTTTGTGAGAAACAAAGCACAAAAAGAAGAAAGGAAAGGCAGAACCATCAAACATAGAAAAAAAACGGAAAGCAAACGCAAATTGCAAACTCACCTCTCTCATGCTCGATCACTGCACCCGCAAGGCCACCCAAGGCCAGACCTGCCACTCCTGCAGCAATGTATTTGCCGGCGTTACTCGACTTCTTCTCCTCGACCACCTGGACAGGTGGCGACGCATAGCCACCCGCACCACCGTAGCCGCGCTCATCGTAGCCCTGCGGAGGGCCGGGCGGAGGCGCATAGTAGCCGCCCTGGGGCTCAGGCGGAGGCACGCTGCGCGAGCCATCATAATACCCGGGAGCGCCGTACGGCGGCTCCCACTGGGCGCGGCCAGTGTTGTCCTCGACCCAGAAGGCGCGGCGGATGGTGGGCTCCCACTCCTGGTGCCAGCCGGCGGGCAGCGGAGGCGGGGGAGTTGGGGGCGGCCGTGCGCCTGGCGGCGGGGCGCTGTAGGGAGCGCGGTCGTAAGGAGGGCGATCGTCGTAGGGGGGACGTTGGTCGTACGGAGGGCGCTGATCGTATGGAGGGCGTTGGTCATAGGGGGGTCGCTGGTCATAGCCGCCTGGGGGGCCCGGGGGAGGGCGGTTATAGGGGTCGCCACCGTAGTAGGCCATTGTGGATGAGAGGGAGTATATGGAGTGAAAAGAGAGATAAAGAGGAAGGAGAAGGAGAAGGGCGGCACTTGCGATTCAGGGAGGGGTTTTATAGAAGGACAAGAAGCAGGAGACCGGAAGCGGGGACGTCAGCTTTTATGAGGTGATGGGGTGGAGGATTGTTTAGTATGTTGAGTGTATGGAGTGTATGGAGTACTTAGTGTACCGACTAGGGTGGGTTGATAGTAATTGGGCAAGTAATTTTGATGGGGAGAGGCGCATGAAATGGCGCATCGGACAACAAAATGAATAGGCCCTTTTCACGCACTCCATACTCCAGTACTCCAAGATTTCGTACCCTGTCCTACAACGAAACTGTACATAGTTTTCCCGGAAAAGTGCAGACTGCGTTTGGAAAACGTGTTTCACAGACAGTCGTTATGTCCTCTCGACCTTAGAAACATGAAATGCTCAGGATTGACGCGCTTGTTCCGCCCCGAACCGAAGCCTCCACACCGAAACGGAACGAAAAGGGTAAGAATCAAACACCCAGGGACAGCCGTGATCCACCGAAAAGAGTGGAGATGCTCTTTAGCGTCGAACAAGCCTTCGTCCAGTCTGATGCAAGATCCCTTTTTCGCCTATTTCCAGACGCAGTTTCAACTCTCAGTCGGGAGGGTCGGATCCAGAGGTCGGCCACTACTCCTGGCCCGGGCCGAATTAGGCAGATGCGATTATCAGTCAGGCTCGAGGGTCCCGAGCTCGCGAGTTGCTTTTCTGGCAGGCGAGTTGGGGCGGGGGATCAGGCCTCTAGAAAAATATCCATCTGGCCTTTGTCTCGCAGTATCAACTGTATTCAGGTATGAGTCCAGTGGTAATGCAGTTACCTAGCGCCATAGGGCCCCGAAGCCCCATCCCCGCTCCCCCCTATCAGCCGAGATGGCCCAGCTTGGCATCAGAACCGCGGGGGCCTCGTGAAACAACCCATTGGGCCTGCGTCCCTGGTAGATAGCATGAGTGCCAATCGTTTACGCCCAGGAGGGACAACTCCTTGGGCTCGTCAGCATGCGCCAAGGGGCAGGAGGGGTGGGGGGAGAGAAGGCGTGTGTCGCCGTCAGATGGCCAAGTCCAGCCCTGCGGGCAACGCCGGGTACATACAAACACACACACACACACATACACATACACCCACCTTCTAGAGATGGCGTGAGTTTCCCGGCAAGGCAAGCAGGAGGACGGGACAGCCACAAAGTCTCCAACAATAGAAACATGTCTGGTCCGTGGGTGGTAAGGGAGTGCGCTGGCCGCGATCGGCTCGAGTTAGGGTTTCCGTCGGCCCAGGGCTTAAAGCTTGGCTTGAACCCCTCTCCAGCCCGCCCAACCCGAGTACGGACAGTCTGTACTATAGACTGTACAAATCATCCTACGTACTACAAAATTCGGTAGTTCGATCGGCTCGGAAAATGGACACAGTCCAGGGCTGGAAAACGCATCAGGGTAGCATGTAATGGCAACCACCCGAATCGAGAACGGTGCGACTGATGCCTGTCATGCACTCCACCTGTCGTGGAGCAGCACTAGGCGCCCTGGGTCATGGCAAGACCGGGGCAACCGAGAACCGTACCGCATATGGAGGCTTCATGAGGGTGATCAATTCATTCGGCAGAGAGCGGGCGCTAGTGGGCGTGCCGAGCCACGATGTGGCGCAGATATGCGAGACACAGCCACTGGGGGACACACACGTGGCTGATGGACTGGGGCTGGTGGAGCTGGGGCTGGTGGAGCTGGAGGGAGACTGAGAGAATGGGGGGTCGAGAAGGGTTGAGAAGCAATGGCAGGAAGTTGGGCCTGTGGCTTCATGAGGTTGGCATACGGTTAAACCCGCCGGAGCATGGGAACAAGCCAAGATGAAGGGAGGATTGATTGTTAGTGTGGCGGCCACGTAGAGAGGATGGGGTCGGTCCGTGCGAGCCAGGAATTTTCTTGATTATCCTGCGTCTCGTTTCTGGGTTGTTTACGAGTGAATGCAACGTGCGGAGCTATAGAGGGCGATACATCGGAACATTGAAAACAGATTAGTGTGAAAATTAGAAGTGAAGGAATGAGGCTACGTCGGAGGATAGAAGGTATAGCAATAGGGTCAGAGTAAAGATTCAGAAACGAAGAGGTCGGCCAAGACTTTCTCCGATTTCTGATTTCCCAAAATAAAGGGTAAATGGCATTGTGAAGTATAATGAAAAATCTTCAATCTAAGCTAAAACTGATTACAGAGAAGAGGAAGAGATGGAGGCCAGGTGATCAGTAAAATATCATCTTCTTGGGCCCCCAGTGATTCACTGGTATTGCTGATCTGTGGCCCTCAAGGAGGATCACCGACAGCCAGACCAGAGTGCAGGTTCGAAAGCTACTTCTGTCATGGGAAAGGGGCGGATATGGTCGGAGGTTACGACCCAGCAAGAGTGCTGGCATTACTGCTAGGCGGGTAGTAGAAGGCAGCCAAACTGGAATAAAGATCAGCAACGGTGCCCCACTCAATGGAGGGGACAGCAAGACTCACGCAATAATAATGTAGGCGGCGATCAGGAGCGCGCCTTCCAGGTAATTACTCCGACCATCCAGAACGAGGAAATTCACCACAAATGCTGTGACAAATAGGCAGATGGTCTCAAACAGGGTGAAATACAGGGACATGTCTTTGTCCATGCACCAACCCAGAATGACCACCAGCGGAGTAACGAAAATAGCTGTTATAAGAGGTCAGCATGAGGACAAAAATAGAAACAGATTGAATGAGAGATGGATAACGAACCGATTTGAATACTGCTGCCAACAGACACACCGATGGACAGGTCCATCTTGTTCTTCATAGCAACGCTCACACCAGTAACGTGCTCGGCTGCATTACCCACAATCGGCAGGATAATCAATCCGATGAATGCTTCGCTAACCGAAGAGCTGGCCAGCATGTCTGGGATGGCGTCAACTAGGAACTCAGCACAAACAGCAACTAATCCCGTAGACATAAGAAGCATCACCACCGCAGCGGTACGCGACATCTCTGGCTCCGGCTTATCGGCTATGGCATCGGCCGGGACAGGGTCGTTGGAATCAGGTACACGGGCAGCACCACGTGCGAACTGAACTGCATTCCCAACAGGAGGAGAGCGAATATGGGCGGGAAGGGAGTTGCTGCGGGCAATGGCAGGACGTGAAGCGCCCACATGAGGAGAGTGACTAGGGGACTGCGAGCTGAAGACGGTGTTGGATAACAGAGACGGAATAGGACCAAATGGAGATCTCCGTCTTTGAACTTCTCCCTCTCCGGCTCCCTCCATACCCGCAAAGTTGGGTGCAGAGGAGAATCCCTTCATCGATGGGTGGAAACCATCCGGGACCTGCAATTGGTTGCCTTGGTTGGGAGGAAGCTCAAAACGGGCCTTCTCAGCTTTCCGAGATCGGTGCTTCTTGTGCTTCTTAGACTTTTCCTTGTCGCTGCTACGATGGCTGCCAGTGCGGCTAGGGGTAACGCCAAAGTCACGGGAACGTGGGTGGGCATCGTCGTCGGCATCATAACGAATCTCGTCCGTCACGTCTATTGCACAGGAGGCGGCATCGTGGCTGTTGATCGAGTTGCCGACAGAGGCCTGGTTCTCGTTGATCATAACCTTTTTCTGAACAGACTGGCGAGAAATTGTGCCCTTGGAACTGGTGCTAGACTTGCGACGCTTGCGGTGCTTCATGGCCCTCTTGATGCGCTTGGCAGTAGACCAGGACGTGGTAGTGTCGACGGATTCGTTGCTAGAGCTGCTGGAAGAATCCGAGGAAGAGCCATTCATGAAATCGGCCAAGACGCCAGGATGCGACTCCTCGTCAATGATATTCTGGGGGATACTTGCGTAAAGGTAGGCGTGAGACTTCAGCTGAAAGATGATATACAGGATGTATACAAGCAGCAGCACCACGCTTGTTCCACGGCTGACCTTCAAGGTGAACCTGTCCGCATCATCGCTATCAGAGAAGGAAGCGTGGAAAGCCGTGGGCAGTAAAAGGCTGGTCACGCTCAGACTGAGAAGACAAGCACTCATCTGGGTCACAGTGCTGTTGTAGATTTGCTCCTGGAAACGCAGTCCACCCAGCAAAAACGCCATGCCCAGAATCAACAGCAGATTCGCCAGTATTGACCCTAGCAAGGACGCTTGGACAATGCGGATCTCATTCTTGACGAGTGCAATAATAAAGATGATCAGCTCGACCGCATTACCGAACGAGACATTGATCAGGGCGCCCATTGTGTCACCGAGGCGGCTGGCCACGCTCTCGGTAGCATGGCTTAGAATTCCCGCCAGCGGGATGATCGCGACAGCGTTCATGGCGAAGATGACGGCCGCAGGTAAGTCCGCAGCCTTGACCGCGATGCCCACGGGGACAAAGATCAGGAGGACATTGACCCAACTATGAAAGAGGGCGTCCTTGGTGTGATTGTAGAATCGAAAGGAACCATTCCGCATTCGCGTGAACATGTCCGGTTTCTGGATGGGTTTTTCCTCCTCGGGCCCTGTAGATACAGGGCCCTGCTCTGGCGCAGTCACTTGTACATCGTGGGAAGATGGGATTCGGGCGATGTTGAATTCAGGGCTCTGGCTCGGGGGAAGATTCGACACAGGGTTTTGAGCTTGCGGCGCGCGAGAAGAGGCGTGAGCTTTCGCCCACGAGTTAATGCGGTCTGTCATGGTGGGTCAGTTACGATTCGATAGTAAAACTAAGACGATAGCGAAGCGAGGACATCATGTCACTTACGCATGTATTTCCGGAACCAGCAGGTGATTCAAAGAGGAAGGCCCAGCCTAGAAGGAGGAAAGACGAGCAAAGACGAGCAAAGGAAGGTAGCAGACACGCCCGGGGTGGGAATGTGTGGTTGACAGGAACCAGCACTTAGGGGCAAGCGGGCCGGACTTATTTATCGCGGCGGACACCAGGTGGAAGTCTTGGCGTGGACTCATCGGCGTTTCCAGAACGGAGCCACAGGCCAAGGTCGCAACTTATCCCCTTATGGGTTGTCCGGCGCCCTCCAACTTTCGGAGAAAAGAATGTCAGGCCGCGACGAGATACTGCGGGCCGGCTACTGTGATTATGGATTATTGTGATCTCGGCATTGGGGGCCGCACACTGTCTGTCCCCTAACTATCACTTCTCCCGTTCAGCCATCCCCAGAATCTCGACATCTCCGCTGATCCATGAATGTTGACGAGTCCCTCTGAGGGACTGCATTCTTCAGGCCCGAGCTTCGTCAGCCTGGGATCCCTTCTCCAAACACCCTTCGGGCATGATGTCACCCCACCTAGTGGTCGTGCATGGGGGATATCAACTATACCTGACAATTCGTGAGACCTTCCAAAGAGCATGCGCAAATGACGCGTTCTCCCGTCCTCTCCCTATAGGGATTGCCAAGGACGCGCCCTCGCAGGATAATCGGGATCCACCATGGACAATGTCCGACACTAGCCTGGACAGGGTCCGATTGATTGGTAGGATGGTCTCCACAGGATCGACCTTGCGGTGTGAGACCACGGTCTCATTGGCCGCCTTCCTAGGCTAAAATGGCGGCTTTTGATGATGGCTGACACTGGACGGGCGTCGCGCCGACAAGAGGGGTGCGCAAGAGTGACTGTGATTGTCACTAACTAATAACATACTAGATGTGGGAGATTGGCTCCGTGTTGGCATCTTCGATCCTGCGTCCGCCGCCCCAAGCGGAAAACGCCTCGGTCCGAAGCTGATCAGCCTGGGGTCTCACGGCCCCCATTGTTCTTGCGACAGCGCTTGCGCAGTGCTACTCCGAGAAGCGCTAGGGTCACGGCGTATAGAACGAGGTGATCTGGGCCGGCACAAGCAACAGCCACCCGAGCTTCTCGCAAGCTCGACACCCTTCAGACCCTCAAGACACAATACCTTGACCAGACAGCCACATGATGTCATGTGGGTGCAGGCCGCTTTGTCTGTGGACAATCCGTGTGCATAGCCCTGTTTTGACATCCTCGTTAACCTTTGCTACGTTTTTTTTTCTAATTTTAAGCTCGCTATCAGCGGCACAAAGTAACCATCCACTCACCATGGTTGAGTTTCGCTCCCCCAACGTTTCCAAAATTTGGCCAAGACTCGACCCGTGCGTGTGCAGCCCCGCCGTACCATGGCAAAAAGAGTGGCGGTGGCTGTGGCGGTGCTTTTCCACGGCTTTCGCCACACATCGATCTAGATCACGACGGCTTGACTCATGCTGTGACTCGAAGACGACGTTCTGCTTGAAAGTTGTCGCTCATTGAAGGCAGACAGAGTCTAGAAATCGGACTCATTGACTATTCGCTTACGGTCGCTAATTTGTCCCAAGCATGCCCGTGCTGGAGGTCTTATTAGCTTAACTTGCGGCACGATGGATGAATTCACTTTTTACGCAGACATGGGGTAAGCATGGATTTCAGATTGAACAAAAATTTACATGCCACAAGATATGGGCATAAATTTGCCCATTAAAATTCAGGACCATTTTAAGGACTGCATTACGATGCCGATCGCAATGAAATATATTTCGTACAGCTGGACCTTCGGAGAACGATATTTAGCAATGGTGGCGGATTGTAGAGACGTCCTGTCCAAGAGATTAAGCAGAGTATGAGATTACATATCGATGTTCAATTGGCGATCTGCTCAAACAGATAAAACCTCCATTCAATCAAGATCAGTTTCTGGATAAGAAAAGAATCGTCGCTCGGCGAGGCCTAGTCCTCGACGGGAAAAGTCAACTCCGGGCCACCGATGTTCGATTGTAAGTAGATCTCTCCTTTGGTACGGGCAAGTATGGCTTACCCAGGGACACACGTATGCCCCATACTGGTATTCATTATAATGAAATTCAATTTAATGCATCTGAAAAGTCTTAGTGCTATATGTTGTTGTTTATCGCACGGCTCCATCCACCAAGCCAGCAACCGTCCCTCGCCGATATTCACGTGATTCCCGGAATCATCGACCGGCCGTTGAACTTTGATCTCCAACTTTCTCCCTTGATGCAAGTGCTGCCACAAGATGCCGCTCCTTTAAAGAACTTGATAATGAATTGAAGTACCCACAATTGGATGAGAGATCGATAGCTCCGAGATAGTCGCTGTTGCTCCGCCCCATCGGCACTTGGCTCGGCACGGATCCATACGGCGCGGCAACCCGATCCGCATACAGTCACTTTGTTCCGATAGTGCAGATCGGATCAATTTTTCATCTTCTTTGCTCTCTTTCCTTCCTGAGAACCCTTTTTGAAGGGGATTTTGTGAAACGCACCGGACTCCGGTGTGTTGGGAGGAGATCCTGCATGCGGTCCTGCGGATATCTCTTATATCTGAGCTAATATTATGACGGAGAAGGAATCCCGGCCATCCCGGTCTGGGAAGATCAGGTAAATCAAGGGTCTCGAGACAAACATCGAACAACGAGCTCAAAATATTCTAGGAGTCTATACCCCTCACAATGGTGGCCAAAGCTGGAGCTGGATTCGCGCACATTCCTCATGATGTTGAAGGGAGCCTTGGCGCCAACCATTACTATTGCCATGTACGTCGGCCACTTTGACAGTTCATTCCGATCATATTGCTAACGGTCGCCAAGATATCAGAGTGATGCCATCTCCAATATTACAAGTACCATCGGCTACTTGTCAGCCCTGATATCGGTCCTCTCGCAAGGATTAATGCCGCGCGCAAAGTTTATGAAGATCATGTTCTTTGATCTTTTGTCGACCTGCGTCTCTGCCTCACTGTGCTGTCTTGCCGTATTTTGTGCTGTTAAGGCAAGACTGCACAACACGCCGGCGGATGCCAGCGAGGCCGTACGAAACGGGTATAACAGTGATGCGTGTGCGGTTGCTGCCATCTGGTTGATATTCATGATTTGGTGAGTCAGTAGCTTCGGCCAGCTGGAAGACTACCTTTATGGTGATATATGGCTAATGCATATGCTGAACAAGGGGAGCCAATTCTCTCCGGGCACGGAAGCCTATGGAGCTGCAGGACCCAATGGTTGCGTTCTCGATTTTTGCTGTGGTGACCCTTACTCGAGCAGGGATGTTCACATCTCTTTCCGAGGGTCTGGAGTTTGTTTCTCGTTTGTTAAAGGGGTTCATGATCGGCTTTGCTATCGCCACAGGGGTCTCTCTTCTCATATTTCCGATTACCAGCCGAGGAAATGTCTTCCACGACATAAAAGGCTACGTCTCATCAATTGAAGGGGTTCTTCAGGCACAGATATCCTTTGCAGAAGCAGATTTTGTAACAGGGTTGTTTACTGGAAAGGGATTCCTGCGCCGAGCACGGACCGCGATGAGCACCCGGGATATGCAGAGCGAGAGCGAAACTGATCTACAGTCAAAGCAGAAGCGGTTGCAGGCATCCATAACTAAGCTTAATGGTTTGCATAGTAAGCTGCATGCCGATCTCTTCTATTCGAAAGACGAAATCGCGTGGGGCAAGCTGTCAGCCAAGGACTTGAGCCAGATCGCGGCACTTTTTCGAAGCCTTCTGCTTCCTCTTTCTGGAATGTCGATGTTGCCAGAAATTTTGGAGACCATAATCAAGAATGAAGGACCGAGGGATGATGATGCCAATGAACCAGACGATCTTGACGATCCAGCCTCAACTGCAGGGGAACTGAAACAGTCGGAAATTCAAAAGGTGGTAGAGACACACCACGCGCGGCTTGTGGATGCGTCTGAGCTCGTTAAACTGGGACTTAGCTACTTCCTGCTCACATTGGAGCTTATCAAACCTAAGCATTTGGACAAGCAAAAAAAGCCTCACGGCGGTGTGGCGGGCAGGGACGAGGAAGCAAGGGGGGGAAACTCTATCCCCACTCCAGACAGACTTCGTGACGCGTTTTGAGCAAGAGTTGCACCAGTACTTTTCTCGCAGAAAGCATCTACCTGAATCACTGGCGTCTCTTGAAGCATTTTCAGCCACGGAGAAACATATCGATGACGATGCTGAATTGGGACCTCGAGTGCTGGCTGTTGATCCGGATGTGCGACAGGAGTTTTTTCTGATTCTCTATATGGGTCATCTGCAGGATGATCTCTTGAATGCCACATTGCACCTAGTGAAGTTTGCCGATGGAAAGTTAGCCGATGGGACGATGAAGCAGAGTCGTCTGATATTTCCAAAGCAGAAAACCATTCGGGAGTGGTTATCTCTCAGCTCGGAAGCGAAGGGATCTGAAAGCCCTTCGGCCAGCAGGCAGTCGTCCCATGTGGACCCCTCAACTGTTCATCGCACCCAGGCGTATACAGGGTTTCCTGACCCAGAGCATATGCCACCAGCCAATATTTGGGAGAGGTGGAGTACGATTCTGCGAAGTATTTCTCACGTTTTCAAATCCGATGAGAGTACTTTTGGTTTCCGCGTAGCAGCGGCCTCATTTTCTGTCGGTATTCTCGCCTACCTCAATCAGACGCAAGATTTTTTCATTCGACAAAGATGCATCTGGGCCATGATTGTCATTGTGATTGGGATGAATCCGACAAGCGGGCAAACGATGTTCGGTTTTGTTGCTCGAATTGTCGCCACAGTGATCTCGTTAATTCTGAGTTTAATTGTCTGGTACATTGTTGATGGAAAAACTCCGGGAGTTATCGTATTCCTATATCTCGCGAACGTGTTTGAGGTATGGTTGGATCGTATACCAATTGATCCATGAATGCTGATCGTTTCACTTGCAGTATTATTTCTACGTCAAAGTGCCGCAGTATTTTGGACCAGCTGTGATCTCGATTGTCACCTTGAATGTAATTGTTGGCTATGAGCTTCAGGTGCGTACGGCCAATTTCCCTTCGGATCCTTCCTACCTCTAACCTTTCTAACAGGTTCGTAAACTAGGCATTACTGCCGCCGAATCGAATGGTCAGCCCTATTACCCAATCTATCTCTTCGGTCCCTACAAGCTTGCTGCCGTCGCTGCTGGATGCGCAATATCATTTTTCTGGGTGATATTTCCATATCCCATCACAGCGAAGTCACAGCTTCGCAAATTGCTCGGTCGAAGCCTTTTCGTACTTGCCAAATTTTACAGCTGTATGCATTCCACAATCGAATGCTGGCTTAGTGGAGAACTGGGTGATATTCTTGACAAGACATCCCCGGCCCACCAGCTTCAAGTCTCCCGCCACAAGATTTTCAAGGAGGAAATGATGCTCCTCACAGGCCTTCGCATGCACAGTCATTTCAGCACCTTTGAGCCCCCAATCGGGGGAAAGTTTCCGAAAGAAATCTATGACAAAATTATTTCGGAAATACAGCGCATCTTGACGAGCATGTCCTTGATGGCACACACCACACAGAGCTTAGAGGGCCTATCCATAGAGTCGGAGCACTCAGGACATGAGACTGACGACCAGTGGATGTCGCAACTTGCAGAAATCGCACTCAAATCCGCCGATTTCAATTCCCATAAAATTACGTCTCTTTTATGCCATCTCTCTGCGGCTATCACAAATGCCCAGCCTTTACCACCGTATTTGTCGACTCCAGAAACGTTTCCGCTTGCGCGCCAAATGCAGAAGATTGACGTTGACCTGCTAAATATCAAACATGTGGAGGACCCCTCTTTCTCGGCGTTTGTGTCGTTGGAAGTTTTGCGATCTGTTGTGAGTTTCAGCTTACAGGATCTGATTGAGTAAGTGGTCCGAATCAGCATATGGTGTGGACGAAATGCTAACACATCATAGCGATATGAAAAAATTGGTTGGCGAACTCAATTTTGATTATTATCCCCGGCAGGCTCAGCGACATGCTGAATCGACACATTTACTCCAGGGCTCTAGCCATGAAGACTAATGAATGAGAGTCAATATTATCAAGAAACACATGGTTTGTAATCACATGTGAAGCATCAACCGAATTATATTGTACATATAACATGACGGTGATCTATCTGGCAATGTCAATATGGCAGGCATGCTGCGACCAGTTTCGGGATACAATCCCCTCAAAGGAGCAATAATACAAGTAATTCAAACTCAAAACAATATATATTTGTGATTCCATCTGGCGGCCCTCACCCTGATTGAGGCTTTACTGAACGCGTTCCTGCTTAATAGCCCTTTCCCTGACAATTTTTTATACCCTCTTGCAGAGCATTCTTCAGCCTTTCACCGGTAGCAAACACTTAGGTTTTAAACTGTCTCCCTACAATAGTACTCGCTCAGGCTGTCGAATTCAATGATGTTTTGGCAAAAAATATTAATATTGCTTTAGTACTTTAATATCCTTGCGCGGACCTTCGGCAGGTTAGAGCAATTAATCGCCAAGTGATTTAAGATCTACCTCCAAAATAAGAACTGTATAAGATACGTAGTATTCAGTAGGCACTAGCGGAGAGCTGCGCACCTCAACCATTATAAGAAACCGATAGTTTACACTTCGAAATCGAAGTGTCTGTCGATCTTTTCTACTCAGGTAGTGATATATATATATATGCTCTAATATAGAAAAAGCCAAAGTAGGGTTTTTCTGTTATATTTCAATCAGGATCACTGAAATACTGAATATTCTATTTCTGTGAAGCGCAAAGGGAGGAAGCGTTGGTCCAAAGACTATTGAGCCAAAACTGGACGACTTATATCCAGCATTCTTCCCGTTGTGCGTTTCATTGACTGTAATAGAGAAATCTTAAAGGGAGGCTAGAAAAGCGATATGCGACCCTGAAAGCTATCTCGCCTTCTATTTAAGCAGGAATAAGTAGCCCTCTATCCATATAAATCATCTACAGCAACTTATACTTGGCTGCGATTGCCATACAAATGACCATAAACGCCACAAACCCCCCGACAATGCCAAAGAACCATGACAACCCTGGCGTATCTTGCCCCGGCACATAGACATTCATGCCGAACATGCCCGTGACCAGATGACAAGGGACGAAGATAGTCGCCAGCATGGTGACCTTGCTCATTGCAGAATTAATCGTCAGGCTAACACGTAGATTGGTGGCGCTCAGTTGTGCCAGACAGTTCGCCTGCGAGCGGCCAATAATTTCATCGATGTGCGCCAGCGACGACAGCGTCGTAACAAGGTGATCCTGTACGTCACCCAGGTAAAGCAGCAGATCGCCATCCGGGAAGACAGGGTGCTTGTCGGGGACTTGGCAGCGCTTGACAAAGCCGTTGAGTACGTCGACTTTGCCATGCAGACAGCGGGTGATGTGCGTGATTTTCTTGCGGAGACCATCGACTTGGGGGATGAGGGCTTTGACGTCGTCGATGCGCGCAATGAAGACTTGGTCTTCTATGGCACCGCATTCAGCTTCAGCTGCGCGGGCGAGGGGCTCGAAGCTGTCGACGATCTCATCACTGTCGGTGAGTAGTGTGAGCTTTGAACGAATATAACCAGGAATTGAAGGAGGGAAAGGGAAGAGAAGGGAAACGAAGGAGAGAAATGTGAAGGAGATGAGGAATCATACATGAGAGCGTAGCAGATCCAGTCACTGGACAAGATGGACGGGTCATGCATCTTCTGGATACGGTCGCGCACTCGATGGACATGATTGCAGCCGCTGGCGGAAAATGTCACGACGCCATACTGGAACACGAGGATGTAGAATTCAGCTGTAGCTGGTATGCCAGGCCGATCTCCTTCAGAGGTGCGAGATTGTGGGATGAGAGTTTGGAACGAGATCAGATAGTAGTTACGAAACACCTCAACTTTCTCGCGCGGTTCGCGGATGGCGATGTCTTCTGCTGTGAGCGGGTGGACGGATAGTGCCTGTGCAACGGTGCTGACGTCCTCCTCTGTGGCATCAAGGATATCAAACCACCAGACTGGGCGGGAGGGATCAGGCCGTGCCTTTTGGTTCTCCTGGAAGATATGGTCCAGGTTTCCGGCTGGGAAGAGGCCGTCCCATGTCGACGATACCAGGGCTTGCTGGGTATCAGAAGAAAAGAAGCTGAAGCGACCTGTCTGGACGATATCGGAAGGCTGTTTACCAGTTGCCTCCATCGACGCCAGGGGCTTCTCGCTGGTGGGTTGGATCTGCTGGTTCATCCTGCTGAAAGAGGCAGAGTTCAGACAAGAATTCGTGAGCTTGAGGCGTCGTTTGATCGTACAATCAGTGCCATCAGCGATAGAGGGTCACTGAAGGCCTCTGAAGAATCCGCTGGAGCAGTAGTAGAGGTTTGCTCATGAGTTGGAGAATTGGAGAAGGCCACGTGCGTTTGATTCATCCCATTCTCCTGACTGGTGAGATAGGTGCTTCTCAACAAATGAGAAGAGAGTAGTGTAGTATCAGCCTGGTGTGCAGCTGTGACCAGGAGCGTGAATATAGTTCATATGTATATTTCGTGTAGGGATCGCAGCGCACATTAAAGATGCGAATGTTGACGAATTGCGATCGAAAGGAGACGAGCAAAGGCCAGCCCTGGAGACTTATCCATCATGGCAGGCTCAGGGCGCACATCCCTTGCCAGCCCTACCCGTCGACCCACCCCGAGGAGACCCAGGAGGCCCAAGTTACCTCAAGAGGTGGATGCGAGAAGGATTCAGGCCAATAATGGCCAGTATACTACCAATCGGGGGCCGGTTGGGGGTGTGGACGGATCCAGTCGGAGTCATCCCGCAGGGGCGGGCAAAATCTGTCGCACCGGAACGGCGGCACTGATTTTTCAGCCAAGAATATTCTCCAGGCATCACCGTTTGAACATGAAAAACATATCTGTGAAATTACAAGCTGATTACCGGGATTGAAGATTTCAGTGGCTCCACTTGGGACACCGGGACGTAAGGCATGTGACAATTGGAAGTGCTGGCTCATATTAAATCGGTGTACACCGACACAGCAGGGGCGACTAGACACTGAAAGGGCTTTGCTGTGATATAGACATGAAACTTGAAACAACAAAAAAAGGCCCGAAACACCGAGTAACTCCCAGGAACATCGCCCTGCAACTGATCCTTCCGCTGTTTGCTGGTAGTCATTATACGTTCAATTGCTCATCAGAGAGGCAGCTTCCAATGCCTAGCCCAGCCAAGACGAGATGGATCTGGAGACAAACGTTAATCTCCATCCTTAGTCACTAGGGTAGTGCCGAGTTCCGATCAGTAGAATGATACATACATTGATATATCAAGAAATCTCAGAACGAGGACCTTGTGAGCGACTTACGTAGGCGATTGGCACCAGGTATCAAAAATGATCAAAATCTTCACAGCTCGCCAACTTGGCCATCGTGTTTCTCGTTCACTGCATAGGACTTTCGCAAACGAGGATAGGCAAGCACAAAGAATACCACCACTGCCAAGAGGACCAAGAAGGTTGGGAGGAACATGAAGATGAACAAAACCAGGCTCACGCCAACAGTAACATTTTGCCCGCGTAGGAAACGGCGCGCCATGAGGTCAATGAGCGAGGACATCCGCCTAGTTGGGTATCTAGAGGGATCGAGATGAAGAGTGTGGTGCTCGGTGAAGAGGATGAGACGTAATTGAGAGGTGTATATGAATTAATTCGCGATTGGAAAATGATAATTAATATTTGATTGTTTCATTGAATTGGTCGACCGATTGATGGTGGAATGTGTCCTGCTCACACTGGTTGAAAGCTGAACAGGTCCATCGCTACTGAGATATAGAGAATATATAATTGACGGGAGATGGGAGAAAGATGGAAGCGACCGGATGTTGCAACCTGCACCGCCAAAATGGAGTAAGTGTGGCTTTTCCCCGTTGAGGCGCAATCATGAGGTCGCTCTGTACCGGATTTCTGCCGACGGACTTTAACTTTGCCTTCCGGATTAGTATTAATCCTCTCGCCGCTTTTGCATTCTCAGTGGAATTGAGCACGGCTTCTGGCGCACTGACCGGCTCACTATCCTCAACCGAGACCGATGTGCCGGTGAGCTACCACAATAAAACGCGGCGCGCTAATCCAAGGGCGAGATGCCCCCACTTGCTCAACCAAGATCAATCTCCCACCAAGAAACGAATGACTCGGGGTGCATATGACCACGGTATTTCACAATGAGATCTAAGCTAAACCATTACCCCCTAAAAGCCTATCACTGATCCTGTGTTTGGCTCGATAATTGCCACGATATCGATGATGAGGTCTTAGAGTTTTGTTGCGATTGTGGCCAGGTGTTTGCAGGTCGGTCCCCGAGATGTCAAAATCACGTATGACTAAATTTTAAAGCCGTCCACGTCTTTAGAGATGGGACATGAGCGATCAATTATGGAACCCATTGCTAGACTACTATTGTAGAAGTCGATGGCCAAGTCAACACTGGCAAGCTTTTCTCAGTTCTCAAATAAAGGCTTGATGGGCTATGATTTTAGAGGATACCTAAGTGGATAAGTACTTAGTATGTTGCAGTACCAGACTGCAACATACTAAGTACTACTCGCAGTCCCCATAGCTTTGGGCATTCCATAAAAATGTGCGCCACTGTTCCCCACGCGCCACACTCACACCAATCATCGGCACTGTAGCTGTTGTGATTTAAAGGAAGATTCGTTGTTGTTGTACAAGAGGGTATAACTGCGGCTCTATATACGAGACGGCCAAGTTGATTCCTAATCAACTTGTTTATAGACTTTGCATTAGATTATTCCGATGGTGAAGTTTGATATCGGATCTGGAACGGCATCATATCATATTCATACTGTACGGGAAATACTCGAGTCATTTGAAGCCATGGTTGATAAAAACAAAGAGATTGCATGAAAGTATGTCTGACATAAGACTTGAAGAGAGCCACATATGCCTCAAATCCCTGGACAGACGATGGCCATCAAGTTTACCGGGTGTATGTGAAAGTCTCGGTACTCTCGACAGCACTCTCTTCCAGCAGCTTCGATAGCCGAGCCCTCTTCTCCTCCCCGTCAAAATTCTGCGCGATGAACGCGGCTTTCTCCGAGAACTCCTTGCGTTGTTGTTGTTCCGCTTCCTCTGCAGCTTTCTTGTCTGCTGCGATGTCATTTTCGCTTAATCCAATGGGCTCACACTCAATGTCGAAGTCCTCCTCCGAATCAACTGAAGCTTTATCAAGCTGATTCTCTTGCTCTTTCTTTTTCGCCTCGGCATCCTGATCTACCTTCTCCTCGCCAATCTCTTTGCCGTTCTCGTCAAAGACAGGACGGTAGAGCTCGACTCCGATCTGATTACCCTCGCTGTCAAAAACAGGTTTAGCGTACTCGACGATGCCGGTGGCAGCTCGTTCGGTCTGTTTCAAAGGCTATTCACTTCAGTCAGCCTTCTGATCAGACTAGGGGGAGTAGATATTTACATTGCTGCGGAATGCCTTGATAGTGTGAAGTCTGAATGCAGCTCCACCGTACGAGACGACAAGGCCCTCGTCCTCCTGAATGATGTATCAGCATATCAAATTTTCACCAGGGGAGAAATTTACATTACCTCTTCCGCTTTATACGTTCTCCATCCCTCAGCCTCGAGCTTCTGAAGCGACGATCCACTCGCCCCAACCTTGCCCATTCCAGTGGCACCGACGTCCAGTCCAGCACTAGTATCACGACTATGACCACTAGTCATCGTGATCGCACACTCCGAGGTTGACCAGGTCGTATGAATCGCCCATAGGCCATATTCCTTGATATAGTCACCGAAATCACCATTAACAAGAGTTTTGGCATTCTTCTTCACCCAACCCCCGATATATGGACCGACAGGACCGGAAAATCGCTCATTCTTAACTATGCCTGTCGTTATGAGAGCTGCTTTGCCAGTAGTGCTACTCTTGTTCTTAGCATTGGCAGAAACATCGACAGGGGCAGCAGAAAGAGCGCCGGAAAGACCTGCATCAAGCCCAAAGCTGGATTCTGCCTCGCTGCCGGAGGATACAGTCTTCCACATGCGCTCAGTCGGCTTGTCACGCTGCAGGTCACGGCCGATAGGTGTAAATCCATCTTTTTCTGGTTGTCCTGGCACAGAAACATCTGTTATTTGGTTCCATATTCCGTATTTGTCGAAATAGCCGACCGAGCCCGGGTGAAGCTGGCTGAATCGCTGAGGTGTGTAGAGGTAGTGACCATCACCGTTACGCTTCATAAGCTCCGCATATTCCTCGCGCATAGAAGGAGGGGCCATTTTGAAATGTCAATTTACCGAATGTGATTGATAAGTGAGAAAATTTTGTAGCATATCCTCAGTGCCGGGGGGGGGGGCAGCTCGCTTAAGACTATTGGGAAGATGGGCGTGTGGGTCAATTTCCGACTGAACAGGCCTGAGCGATGGATGAGTGAAGATCTTAGTGCTCATAACTTGGCAGCAGAGTAACTAATAGCCTTTCACACTCTGTTAGGTGTGATGAACTGTGCCCCACCGCCAGCTTCGGTTGCTTATTAGATCGCCTTGAATAACACCTAATGCCTCTTGTTGATAAATTGGAATACACGAAGATTTTGTTGCAGATGACAGCCTTTGTGGTATTTTGCCCTGCAACTAGTTGTATTTACTTATCTAGGTGTATTCGTTATTTTCATCTCATGAGGGATTGTTTACCTGACGACGATCGGTGGCGGCCCATCCTGCGCTAGATGACATCATTTAAGTCCACAGTGGAACGAAACGCTAGTTAATTTGCCGATCCGCGTTCGTGATCAAATTACAGATATACCAAATAATGACTGCGCGGGTGGGTCTGATCACCCCTCTGCTCAATTCGCTTTATCTAGGTGAAATGATTTCTCTCTTCACGATCTACCCAGCTGCAACGATACAAGCAGCGCGATGCTTACGGTATGCATCACAGCTGCAGTGAGAGGTCTGAAGCACATTTATCGTGGCGAAATAGGGGATTGTCTACTGGGCAATGCTGTCTGCGATATATGTGAGGGCAATATCTTTCGAGCGTCGAGAGAGGTGGAGAATCTATTTCCCGTGATCTCGAGGCTCTAGAGATCTTATTATTCGCCACGCGAACCTGACCACCACTCGGTAAGTCTGCTGGCTATGTCTCCATCAACTTTCTGCTGCAATGCGCCTATAGAGAATTATACAAATGCGTCGCTGCTAGTATCAGCGAAAATATATAGACGTAAGCGGCATTGAAATGCAAGGACCGATCTCTCAAGATCTTGATTGAGAAGAGAGGGATTTCCAGCAAATGTAAAAGATATCTAGAACAACAAGGCTTCCCAGATTGATTCAAAACTATCACTCCAGTAGGTAGGTGTTTCTTCCATACTACATGTACTCGGCGATCCTTCGGATTTCCGACTGTCCCGCTCAACCCTGACGGGAGCGAACCACCCGGGCGTATATGTTAACCAAGGTTACCCGTAAATATGTGGCCTGGTATGCGTTTACAGAGTCGAACGACACAGTTATGGTGGGCTCAACGGTAAGCTTTCACGGTTGGTTGAGATAAATTGATGTCCCGATGAATCATTTCTGGCCGGAAGCTGTCTGTCTATATTGGGCACGGGGCTAATTGGTATGGGTTTCCAGAGAATTTCAGTTCCCCGAGTGAAATGATACGGTTCTTTAACTTGATCTCTATTTCCAATGCGTTTTGTACACGCTAGATTTCCTCGTCACCTGCTGTCACAGCGGAGAATTATTTCACGTAGATGGAATCTACAAATCAGTTATCCGACTTGGTATCCGACTTGGGAATGGAAGGCATGAGTGATCAGGATATGGCAAACTCAATGGCCTCAAATCCAACATTCTACCGGGATAATACATGCAACAAAGAATTTTGCACGAACTAAAACTTCTCATACTTGCTAGCATAGTACCGATTCAGAAAAAAATATATTCATAGTATATGCTAGGTGGCTAGCCAATTATAGCTGACTTCTTAGTGCATCAATTGAAAATATGGTAATGGATGTTAATCAGGTGTCTGCTGCTTAGGAAGGATGCCACATCATCGGAAATGACTCCATTATCATCTATATAAATACCGAGTTCATTGGGAATCAACCTGGAAATCATGCTCTATCTACAGCCTCTTTGTATTCCTGCCAAATACATTAATTAGGCTTCCTAATATCTATAGAGGCAACAGGTAATACTCGCTGTATTTGCATAGCTTTACTTTGGGACAGTTAGAAAACTCTTTCCGCATTGCTAGTGTGCGCCTATATTCTTATCGTACTTCAATTTCCGACAGATATGCCTAATTCTAATTAGCGTAAGCAGTTTGTGAGCGGAGAACATCTCGTATTTCGGATGTCATAGAAAAGAGACCTGCCAAACGGTTCAATTTTGAAAGAAGCCAAATATCGTGACGGTCGTGGGCGGATTTGGCGTGTCTGTACCTATCATGCAGCCCAGTCGGTCAAACAATACTCGATCGTTCATTGGACCTAGGATTTACCCAATGATCGTACGAGATTCTTGAAAAATATTACTTTGGGTTGTGGAGACTTGATCAGGTGGTTTACACTCTAGGAGTTCATTCTATCAAGTGAAAAGGTGTTGAAAATGCGGACCTATCTTGACTTGGGCAAATTCTCGGCTCTTTTCGCTACGATGGACCCTTATTTTGTTCTTAAAGTTTGAGTGCGTGAAGAATTTTGTTCCCGTATCTGTGGTACGGATTGTCGTCAAGGTGAATGAATAAAAGATTAATTGATGTTACGAAAGAACCGAGGATTATAGTTCAAGATTTAACTTGGAATCAAAGACAGGCCTTAGTGATAGAGAAAGCGGTTGTCAATTCGGGAATAGTGCTCTTCAACATAGTTTTCCGGACTGCCATGACGTCCGAAATAAAATAGTCTGTCCTGTTATCTCAGGAGAAATTCTGGTGAAAATTCAGAAAGTTGGATCGGGGTACTCGACGAATGAAAGCCGCATTTCGGCACCAATCCAAGTAATAATCTATTTACGGAAAATCTTAACTTCGGGACGGATAGTCGCCAAGGAAACGCGGGACTTGATTTCATCAGTTTTGGAGTTTTGAATCCCGCCCGCTCACTTTAAGCTACGTTGGTAAAAGTATCAATCACAGCAAGGCAAGAAAGAAACTCCTCATCGCCCTAGCACTTTTGAATGGTTCAGAATGATCTCTAAATCTTAGCAACCAACCTACCCTCTATCGATCTGAGCTCTGTGTAGCAGGCATGGTCGGCGTTTCCATTTCTCTAATCTCCAATTACCATTCAGAATCAAATTTAGAGCCGTCCTTTGGCTAGAATATTTGCCTGAGCTATGGTATTATTCCCTCGGTGGATGCTTTTTATGGCAGCTGGGTCGCAAACCAGAAAACATGCAAGGGCTGCATACACTTCAGCGTTTGCATGAACTACAGCTCCAGCATAGATCAGGCTCCGAACCAATGATACCGCGTGCCTATATCTCTGCTATCTAATCGCTAATCGAATTAAAGATAGCGAACTTGCGGGAGGCGGCACTCCGCCGTGATTACAATTCTACCACGACCAATGCGTACAAGCTTAAGTCTACAGAGACTTATTTAAGTCTTTCTTTTCGTACCATTTAGTTTATATTTCTTGTATTCACAAATATCGCCTCTCCATCAAAATGTTTTCTGAGAAGCGCCAGCTACTATTCGGCCCTTCTGTGTCCTCCACAGACCCGCTAACATGGAGTCATTTACGAAAAGAGCTTTTATTCGCGACTATCATCTTTGGCTCATGCGCGACCGGCTCTCTAGGCCCGCTTCTAGTTCCAACCTTTGTTTCCTTGGCCGCAGATCTCCAAGGAGCCTGACTAGTATCACCTTGCTTAACGGAAGCCTAGTTATGGCTCTGGGGATCAGCGCCTATGTGTGTTCTTGTTCTGCTCGGTGCTTTGGCAAGCGACCAGTTTACCTCTTTACGACGATTTTGGTGCTCGCCGCGTGTTGCTGGGGTGCAGCATCCAAGTCTTACACCTCGCTCCTTGCATCGCGTGTGTTTCAAGGTAAGCTCCGAACTTTAAGCCTCATGACTTGCTGGATGCTGACTATTTAGGACTGGGTATGGGGGGTTTCTTCGCCCTCGCTGGCACAGCTTCCATAAATGATATCTACAATGTTGACGAGCGCGGCTGGCGCGTTGGCTTGTGGAATTTCGCTGTTATTGTTTCCGTTAACCTCACGCCCGTCATCAGCGCCAACGTGATTTCAGCGCTCTCCTGGCGCTGGGCTTTCTGGCTCCAGGCCATCCAGTTTGCCGTCCTTCTTGCAGCCGTGATCTTCTTCTTCCCCGAGACCACATTTTGCTGTGAGATCTCTGGTACTCGACCTACCACTGCCAACCCAGAAAAGTCTTCGGACGACAACACCTGGGATAACCCGAATCTTGACGCCGAAGAAAAGAGTGGGCTGCCGCCAGCGACAGCACCGAATCTATCCCCGTCAAACACAATAACCCCCTTCTTATCTTCATCGAGCCCCTTGCAATCGTGGTCGACCCTATCGTCATCTGGGCTAGCATCATGTGGTCTATAACCTTCACCTGGACCATCCTCCTCGGCGCTGTCGCATCACAAATCTTCACTGCACCACCCTACGACATGTCCACCATCGCTGTTGGTAATCTTACTGGTATTGCGCCTTTGATTGGTTCGGCGCTGGGTACTGTGATTGGGGGCCTGCTGTGCGATCTCAGCAGCAAGCTCATGGCTGCCAAGAATGGTGGAATATACGAGCCCGAGTTCCGTCTACCGGTCATGCTTCCAGCGACAATTGCCATGGCAGCGGGTGCCTTTGGGCTGGGTGCTGCGACGCAGTATGGACTATCTACTATGGTATGCGGAGTATTTATGGCAGTTCTAAATTTTGCCGTGGGTATGGGATGTACAGGAATCGTGGCCTACACAAACGATGCTTGCCGGCAGCGGGCAGGAGATTGTTTTGGGCTGGCGATGGTTACAAAAAGTGCGTTTGCATTCGGACTATCATTCGTTTTTAATAATTTTATTGCAAGGAGTGGGAAATTGATTTTCTTTTCGACATTTGGCGCTGTGAGTGTGGCCGTAATGCTCACTACTATTCCGCTATTCATTTGGGGCAAGCAGATCCGAGCATGGTCGGATGGGCGGGATTTGCTTCGACGCAGAAAATGAATTTATTGAATGATGGGCAGGTAATTGAGGCAAATGCATTTGAATTTCTTTTGGTCGGTGTAATTGAAAGGAGAGCAATAAAGATATGCCCAGATCTGAGGCTGAAGTTTGGCTTGGATCTAGCTACATCCTTAACTGATAGTTACCTGTATGTTCAAGATAGATACGTTGATATTGAGTGTTAAGCGACGTTTTAGGGCTGTGCGTCTAGCACGTGGATATTATACAAAATATTAGTGGTTGATAAGCGAGTCTAACCCTCCCCGAATTTAACTTTGTTATTAGAAATATATATCTAGAAAGATAGTGGTGTGGTGTGTAGTGTAACAGATATATATATTTGATAGTGGAAGCCAAAAGTGGGTCGCATGCACAGACTTTTGGATAGGGAGTGTATATAAAAAAAAAAGAGATAAAGGATATCAGTTAATGAAAGAGGGTTTCTAAATCTTAGTCAAAGATCAATCGCAACAGTGTTTCTAGTGCAACTCAATCTGACTTAGAGCAAAGAGGCGATTGGAAGCGGGGAAGTTGCATTGATAATTGGCGAGAGGTCACGTGTGATCGCGTGTTGTACTGTACAGGAAAATTTTACTAATGAGAATCTCCCGAGTTCGAGATTCAGATAGAATCTTTCTGATGTCTTGGAGAAGCCCGGAATGGGGTCAATGGGGAACTTCAGCCCCACCGCCGAAAACCATGCCGGGGCGTAGGACAGACCCCGACGCCTGCAGGTAGCGCATCACATGATCATACATCAACTGACATAGCATATCACATCAAACGGTATCTCTGGTGTACTATTTGGCTTAGACCCAGGCACACTGTAGATGGAACTCCATATGTTCCATAAGCAATATGAGACAAGTGGGCACTTATTAGTGAAGCTTAAAATTCGATTCAGCTTTGGGGAAAGTCATCTCAATTTGGTACATGTGCTACAACTTCAATCTCGACACGCATATCATCTTCACTAAGCCGGGGAACACCAACACAGGTCCAAATAGGCTGGTGGCCAGGCATGTATTTTTCGAAGTTGCGGACCATCGCTGCCAGGGCCTCGTCGTTGATGGGAACGTGATATGAGACGACTCGGAAGACCTGGCTCCAGCCTTCACCACCAGCATCCTTCAGGCTGTACTCCACATTATCGAAGGCTTGATCGATCTGTTGATTAATCTCTCGGTAGATTCCGCCCGTGTCACGGTTCCAGCCGCCTATTTCAGGCTAGGTCAGAGATAATCCCAAAGGGCAAGATCGTTCGGAAGTGACTAGGAACTTACCTTGTCCGGCACATTCAATGCGGTCACCAATTCGAACAGCTTGGCTGTAACTTCAGATCCCAGCCGAGGCTCCAGGGCAAAGAATCGCCACCTGGCTATGATCCTTTATCTCAGTTTGGATATTTGATAAAGTTTCCTGGGAGCCGAACCATGCTCATGGTCAACCACGAATACACCCCCGAAGAGGCAAGAGAGCTGATCAAGAAAGAGAAAGTCGACCTTGTGACATTTGCGGGGTCGTTCATTTACAATCCGGTAAAAGACGAACTTGTCAAGCATCGTTGAAACAGAATTTCTGACCAGACATGATCTAGGATTTGATCAGTCGCATCAAGTTCGGCGTGCCTTTTGCCACGAACAACCGCGGGGGTAGAGTCAACTACGGGCCCTTTCAAGATCCCAACGAAAATTACAATGACTGGCCATTGTACGAAAAGCAACAATGACATAGCCGACAGAACGACATTACAGCTTCTTCATGCTGCCTCGGCAAACCATTCCTCAACATGTGACAAAAAGATCCCAGCAGTTATCTCCGGTTGGCCAAATCGCCCGAGCTTAGAGGTTGTACGGGACAAAACTGGCCCGATCCAGGCTAAATATTAAATCCATTAAATTCTACACCGTTCAAATCTTTCCAGAGGTGTCATCATGAGGAGCAGTTAAGGACACACTATCAACGTTTTTCAGATGCAACTTCATCTGGGCTTTGCCAGCGGAGTTTTGAATTCCGTCACTACCTGTCCTAAATATACCTGTCCTCTGAAATATCGAGTTGTAATTTATCGCATTTACTATGGTGTTCTGGGTGCCCAGCTTGCCCGTGTGGCCAGCTCGCTAGTGAAATACGTTAGTAGCGAAATCGAGAGTCCACAGGGTCTTTGTTACCATGTAGAGAAAAGAAGAATCAGCTAGGGTGTGCAACGATATAAGGATATGTCATATAAATTTATAGTGTTCAGAATACTACAAGTAGAGGTAATGTCGACTTCGGTGATTTTTTTTAGAAAGGTAGGAAGGCTGAGAGAAGGAGACTATAATGATCGAGGAAAGAGCTGGGCAAGAAATCACTCTGTGATTTATATTTCAGTGACTGGCATGGGATAACCATGGCCAGCGGGAGGTTTATGAAATAACAATGAATCAATGATGATCTGCTAGTGTACAGCTAGTGACATTACCTCGCTGTGCTTCCCCAGCCTTCGAGTTAAAAGGAACATGGGACCCCTTTGTGGAGGGCCAAGCATCAGTTTTTCACATTCTCCCAAACCGAATACTATCTCACTCCCTTGCCTAATCTAATAATCCATAACAGCAACTGAGATGATTGAGAAAATAAATATATAATATGGACTAAGGGGGAATGATTTTTGAAGCGAAGTTTACATCAGAGATACTGACTTATGAAGAAATGTCGACCCTGTAGAAATGAAGGGCCACCAAGAAGCACATAGAAAATAAATCTGTATTATGCCGAACTGATACTACTTTGGATATAGACGTGGGGTAGACTGGGTGTCAAATAGATGACCATGAGAAAGGAAGATGAGTCAGCAAAAGATCAGGATCAGGATGAGTGAGCCAAAGCCTGGACTGTAAATTACTCAGTGAGCCTCTAAGTCTGCCCGCCCAAAATAAAAGCGGCGTTGGCCATATTAGGTAAGCCCCACTCGTCAGGAGGATGCCAGTACGTACAGATACCTATGAACGTGCTCAATTCGATTTGAACGCTGATGCCTATGCGCTAGTATGTATTGGTCGCGCGTCGTGGGGAGGTGGCGAATACCGTCATTCACTTTGGACTTTGCTGGGGAGAAAGTTGGTCCACTTCTTGGCAGTGACGGAATGATGTTTGAGTTCCGTCGCAGGGAGATCAATAGGAAAAGAATATTTCCGAGCTCAAGGCCATGGCATTGTGATTTAAAGGAGCATGGAATGAAAATAAGTTGGCCGGGAGAGGCATCTACAAATCCGTGGTCAAGCATTGGGTTCTGCATGGTGCCGATGCAAGATTTTTTGAATGTGATCCCATGGGACAGAGTATGGAAAGTTGGTAGTATTGGATTTCAAAACTGTGCCAAACTCAAGAACAAATTTAGTTGACCAAATGAATAATCATCATGTTATCACTCTGCAGATGGGAAGTCCCGAACTCCTTCCATCATATTAGGCTACATTACCCCCCATGCTTGCGATATTAGTAGTATCATTACCGCTTCAATACAGTCTAGTTGCCCGGAATTCCCAGCCGTGCGGGCTTGGCGGGAAGGGCGTCAGGCAGCAGTTTTTTGGGGTGAAAATTTGGTGACCGCAGAAAATTACGGTCGCGGTCCCGCTTAATTGGGGGGGGTTCCTTTCCCCTCTCCCCCTTTTGTGAGTAAAACTATCTACATCGATATGGAAAGAAGATCTGTGGCTGTGGCGTGAGGCTGATTTGATAAAAAGAGGGAGATAGAGAGAGAGAGAGGTATCTGCCCGTGCAAACTGCTATCTAACTCTATTTCCGATACTGCCAGTGTAGACAATTGCATGCTTTCCGAGAATGCTTGTACCCAGTGGGGCAAGCCGATGGGCGCCAAGCGAGAGGGTTGAAAAGTGAAGGGGTTACACGGGGCCAATTGGCAATGCTTGATGCAGGGCTTGCAGAATTGTTCGGATATCCGGAAACGCAAAGCATTTTTGATTCGTGCCGTGCAGGGTGTGCGGTATAGTAATATCTGTAAGTAAAAGATGAGAAACAGTCTTACTGCTTGGTACTCTCTCGGTAGTTTGTATATCTATCCTGGGCACTAGGGGGGCGGGGGAGGAATAGGGGGAAATTGTGTGGTGATAATCAAATGATGCTAATAATAACATCAATACCCATGATACTGTATAATAAGAACAATAATCAGGATGAGGGCCGATCGCGTTTCCCAACATCGCTCGTTGGGTTTGGTAACTGGATCAAACCGGGTTCCATCGGGGTTAGACCCAGACTGATCGGGGCAAATCAGGGCCAATCCTGGTTAAACCCCCCGGCACCCAAGTTTGCCTTGTAGGGCTGAAGCTTGGCGTGGATCCGACCCTGTGTCAGACAAGTAGACACCGTGGAGCAGAGTCTGGAAGTATAGGAAAAAGCTCAAGTACCGAGCCTCGATGAATTGATCATCGTTTTCTAGCACAGAAAGAAATTCAGATTGATATAGTCCTCTAGGCTGGATTCTATAGGTCCTCGAGGGCGACAAGATGAGCGTCTTTGGGGGCCCCTTGGCAATTGGTGGAACCCCTGCGAACATCATCGCTTGCCCACGCAAATCAAGGAGAAAATAGAAGCGGGTGGGGATTTGCCCGGATCCTAACAAGATTAGTACGCTTACAGGGCTGGCGTACGATGATGATTATTTGCCTTTCCCCCACACTGGGTCTCTCTGCGTTCGTTCCCCCTCCCCTTTTAGGGACTTCTCCAATTTCCTTTTCATCCTCCCTCTCTCTTCTAGGGCTTCACCGTCTTTTGCTTCCCATTCCACGACAACACCAGGTAGCCCGCCAGCTTGCGACAAATTGCGAACAAACCAGGCCATCCTAGGCACTCCGACCCGACCAAGATGTCTTGGCTCGCGGGGTCTGGCAAGCTCTCGGATGAGGAAAACGACAACCTTGGCGTGGATTGGGTGCTGCAGTATGAATTCGGCGATCTCGGTACGATCGACCTCCCCAGCATGGCACTGCCAGATGGCAGCAACCGGCATTCCTTTTCTCCTCTGGCTCCTCTGTGTACCAGAGGCCATAGTATTGCATTGCCTCGACCGCACAGCGACTGACGATCTACCCTCACCCCTGCAGATCAGACGAACGCTGTCTCGGAATTTCGAGCGTTAATTCACGACCTGAGCGAAGCTGGCCTGAGCGTACAGGTCCGCCATGGCCATGGATCCTCCTTGCTAATTTGTATTCGCATTCCCCGGGATCATCTGGGTAAGATGATACATCAGTCAAGGTAAAGCAAAGAGACCAGTCCAATCCCGTATTTACCGATATGATCGCAGATCTCGACGGGTCAATGCCATATCCTCTTCTGCGTGCATACTGACCACGTCCCATGCGTTCATAGAATCAAAGACTGGCTTTTTGGAATTACACATACGCTCCCCGCCGGCGACGAGGACACTGCCGCCACCGCCGAAACCTCCGCCGAGGAGCTGCGGTCCGTCTACCACGCCGTCACCTGGCAAAAGAAGCTCGGCGGCGCCGGTATCACGCCCAATTTCGGCAAGTGGAAGAACGTCACCGCCTCGTTCCCGCTCCACGACCAAGACGCCTGCTCCGAATTACTGCGCAAATGGAGCCGCAAAACGATCTTGTCGACCCAGGACCTAGATGCGATCCGTGCGCTTTTTGGAGAAAAGGTATTCAGGACCCCCTCTATTCGGTTCTTGCGTATCTGCATCGCACAAAATCCGAAGTTCTTGTGGGAGGGTATTTGCTAACCGCTGGGTTGGCCATTTTCTGTTTAGGTTGCATTTTACTACGCCTTCATTCACTGCTACTCCCTCTTTCTCATTGTCCCCGCGACTCTCGGTATCGTGGGCTGGCTCTATCTCGGGCCATATTCGATCATCTATGGTAGTGCACTATGTATCTGGTGCGTGGTGTTTGTTGAGTACTGGAAGATCCGCGAGTCAGATCTCAGTCTGCGGTGGGGAGTGAAGGGAGTGGGCCGGCTGAAGGTGAACCGGACGCAGTACATTTGGGAGAAAGAAGTAAAAGACCCAATTACAGGGCAAGTCACGCATGTTTTCCCTGGGTGGAAGCAATTTACACGGCAGCTATTGCTGATCCCTTTTGCCTCGGTTGCAAGCCTGGCACTGGGTAGTCTGATCTGCTTCTCGTTCGCGGGTGAGGTGTTCATCTCGGAGGTGTACAATGGCCCCCTCAAGGAGTATCTCGAGTTTGCGCCTACAATCTTGTTTTCGCTCTCGCTCCCCGCTATCACCTCCTTTTTGACAAATATGGCGACCCGTTTGACTGATTATGAGAACTACCGGACCCAGGACTTGTATGACCTGGCCCAAACGCAGAAGACCTTTGTGATGAACTTCATCACAGCTTTCTTGCCGACTATCTTGACAGCATATATCTATGTCCCGTTCGGCAAGTCCATCGTTCCATACCTGGATATCCTCCACCGAACCAGTCGCAATGGGGATATGGCCAGTACCAACAAGGAGTTCGAGGTGGACACGTCCCGTTTCCAGCAAGAGGTCATCTACCTCTCCATGACCGCACAGGTTCTCAACTTTGGCGAGGAGATCGTCCTTCCCTATGTAAAGCATGTTCTCTGGCAGAAATGGCGAAACTACCGTGACCGGCAGGCTGGCTTGAAGCGTCAACGCAGCTTCTCGAAGGCTACTGACCTATTGCTCATCGATTCTCCCGATGAGGCCCATTTTTTGCGCCGAGTCCGTGGCGAAGCCGACGCTGACGAGTACAAAGTCGAAGAGGACATCTTAGAGATGTGCGTACAGTTCGGGTACCTCGCACTTTTCGGCGTCGCATGGCCGCTTGTACCGCTCGGGTTCCTCCTCAACAACTGGATTGAGCTTCGCGGCGACTTTTTCAAGCTGACCCTCGAATGCCAGCGGCCACCGCCCATCCGTGCCGACTCCATCGGGCCCTGTCTACTAGGCCTTGACTTTCTTGCATGGATGGGTACGCTTTCAACCGCTGCGATCGTGCACCTCTACCGTGGGCCCATGTCAGAAGTTCGCCTCTCCTCTCTGCTCGTCACCATCCTCATCGCCGAGCAGGCGTACCTTGCCATGCGCTTCACAGCCTCCACTGCTCTACAGAAAATATTTTCTGATACGCTCCGCAATGAAGAAGCTCAGCGCTACGCCGTGCGGAAGGCCTTCCACGACGCGAGCGTCGCCCGCGCGGGCTCACCCGAGTTATCACCTGGCGCGCGGGTCCGCCAGCGCGTGCGCTTCCACGAGCGCGTCAATGTATACAGCAGCGATAGTGCGCCATCTCCAGACGGGTCACCGTCTCCGACCATCGAGCAGCCACAGGATGAGGTGCTGCGTGGCTGTGACCGGGAGACAGAGTTCTGGAGCGGGCCGTTGGACGAGACAGTTGACGCGGGCGTCAAACTCATCCGGGCGTTGAGCGCGCAGAAAGGCGGGCAGTCGGAATCAAAGTGGGCGAAAAATGCATAGTTCATAGATCTTGTGATGCATAGCGATTATCTTTGAAGCAACATAGATCTTGTTGATTTTGTTTTCGTTTCCCGTTTGCTGGCTTTCCGACCGCCTATACTTTTGATCATCACTTGCTCGGCACACAACGATCGGCTAATTCTAATGTCTAGACAGGGGATGAGCTATAGCTGGGAATATTTTCATACTATTTGAGTGTGATAGTATGTCATAAGTAGGTCAAGTCCCCCTCCCATTCATGATGTCTCGATTATTGTAGCTCTTTGCCCATTTCCTTGTGATCAAGATTTGATCGAGTTACGACTACACTTTGGTTTTGCCTCCTTCACTCTAGACATACGATTCCTGCTACAAAGGTGCAGTACGCTATTGAACTCGTAGCATTATGCTATTTTGTTCTAGCATGTGTGCACATAGAATCTTGCCTTAATTGACTATCAGGCATGTTACCGTCGGCTGACTGGCACCCCCCAAAGACCCAGGATCCAAGAGGACAGTTGATATATTCAAGCATTACGGCACGGGCTTCCGGCTCCTAGAAACTAAGCTCCGCGCAGGAAATTGTAGTACTCCGGAAATTAGATACCAACCACTGTTCAGGCCGAGGGATTTATTTTGGACCCAGTGGAGTTATTTTAAGATATCTTAAGTTTTGTTGGGGCTGATTGTCTACTTTGTCCTGGTCCAATGATAATGAGGTCAATTCCTACTGCTCCATGGAATTGAAAACTTGTATCGAAAATGATAGTTGGGGTTTGCAGACGAGAATAGCATTTTGAGCTATCCGAACCCGATCTTCTTCATCTATTACTGCAATCTGGGTGACAAGACGAGGATCGCGGGTTTCATACTCGCAGGGGGGAGTTGGAAACATACGTGTGATAGGCATACCCTCCTCCTTGCTTTGGATTTGCATTTTCCCGGTACCGTAGTCGTAGACTACTTCCGCGGATCGCTCCGTATGTTAGGAGCCCCTCAATTTAGTGTTGGATCCTTTCTGCATCAAATGCCGCTGCCTAGTCCCTTTCAGTTAGCGGGAGACTATGTATAGATGCATAGCGGGGGTCATTAGCCCCAGAACCGTCTATGGGCGCCGCGTGAAATACTGTATTCCATTATTTCCTAATGTGATTCTGCCACTAGCGGTTGAATGCGGGGATGCTCGAGATTTTGGAGCCGAATAATGAACGGCAGCCCTACAGCTGGTCGACGTAGGACCTGCTGGTGGGGATTTCGTGGGATTGCGGTGGAGATGTGGCGGATTGTGCGCGTCCAGTTTAATCCACCTCGTCATGTTCCGGCTCTAAGAGGGCCGCAAGTGGAACTTGGAGGCGAAGGAATTGGTAAACAGGAACATCCCATAGCCCCATGGAGAGAGAGTTGTCGGGGGCCAAGTGTCACGTATCTAATAATAACACCCGTCTCCCACCTTCCAACGGCGGGAGAACCGGACTGCTTCCGGGTACCTGAAGCGCCGGGTTAAACCAAGGTTGACACAAGTACCTGAGACAAACGCAACAAACCCCTGGGCAGGTTCAGCCCTACGAGGCGGCGCCAAGACTGCACTCCACCCGCAAGCGGGTCCTTCAAGGCCAACACGCCTAAGTCCGGCTTTTCTGTCTCCCCATGTCCCCATCTACTCTTTCTTCGATCCCCTGACCACATAAGCTCCCCTTGCTTTCTTCCTCTACTGTCCCGGTGTCTTTCCTGGACCCCAATCGTCTCTCTTTCTCCGCTGGTCGTACATATCGCGAGCGACATGTGAAGGGGGTTTCCTCGTGATCTACATTCACGCACGATCCCAACAACCCCGTTTGCCCACCATGGGGAGCCCCGGGGACTCTTCTGACACCTTGATCACTCCTTTCTCACCCACCCACACGCCATCTCAGACACCGGCCATGAACACCGTCTCAGCGGGATCGGAACCAGAACCAGAACCGGAACCGGAACTAGAACTCTCCGCCGTCGAGCCGGCTCCGCCTATCGTCCCCAAACTCCTCCGTGAAGCCAGTGATATTACATGGCAGGACTCTCTCGACTCCAACAAAGACCAAGTTGTCCTTATTCGACGCCACGGCCGCTTTCGCCTACTCCACCAACAACAGTTTCGGAACAGTCTTCTGGCCAGCGTGGGTTATCTGGAACTCGCCAACGCCGGTGACTTTGCCGCGAATGTGTGGAATGAGATACCTGTGCCGACTTTTGCAGCCGTGCTGATGGGCATTGGAGGCACCCTCGCATTGGGGATGGTACTCGTGGCCATCCAGGATTTCCGGTTGAGCTGGCGGAACGTGACGCTGCTACGGGCCGAACGGGAGCATATCAAGCGACTGCGGCAGCACCACAACAAGAATCCGGAGCTGGTGCAGCTGATGAACAGCCGATTAGGAGTAAGCTACCGCGAGATCGGTACGGAAGTCGTGGACCGCATTGTGATGGACCTGCTCATGGGCGCCGGGTCCGTTCTGGTCGGCGTGGGTACCCTCATGGCGATCGGTGGCGCCAACCCACGGGTCTACAAAGCCAGTAATCTGCTGTCGGGGTATATCGGTAACGCGCTTGCGGCCTTTTTTGGCGTTGTCAATGCGGTCTGGTCGATCTGTCTGATCCGGCGGTTCCAGCAACATGACAACGCTGCCCGTGCCAGCCAGCCAAGTGACGATATTCGTCGCCGGCTCCACACGCGCGTGCGTCGGTTCCAATGGCACTCCTTCATCAATGGCTTGAACGGTCTGGTCGCTGGCGCCGGTTCAATGGTGACGGCGGAGCGTTGGTGGGGCTATATCGTCCTGATCCCTTGCATCATTTCGCTGATCATGTGCAATTACTTCTGGCGGAAGAAGCTGGGCTACGACCGGCCGATCCTCGATGAAATTTCGATCTCGCGCGTGCAGTTGACGCCGTTGCTAGAGGATCTCGAATACGCCATTGCCATGCAACGTGCCCTCGCTGAGCCCGATAGAAGTCATCCTCATGGGCCCTTCCAGGTCCACTCGCTGGAGTCGATATTACAGTTTATCATGCGCAACCGCATGCTGGAAATATACTGCGACTCGCTCGTACAAGACAAAAAGACCCGTTCGCTCCTGCAGGACATCCCAGCTTCCACAAATGTTCCGCAGCAAATCACTATCAGTCATGATGTCCTCCTCCGCCTGGCTACTGTCCAACCCTCCCATTTACAGACCCTCACCGAACATGCCGGCAAGTTCTTGCGCACTGAGGGCGTCCGTGTATTCACTCATCGAGAGCGCCACCTCCTTGAGTTGTTAGGCTATGCCGTCTGGCTGGATCAGACGGCGGCCACCATGACTCCCATGACCTCCACGGCTAAGACCGAAGCTCCGGCAGCGACCACAGAGCTGAAAAATAATATCTAGACCTGTTTTTCACGCCGTGTTATCTTCACGTTTATACAGCGGAGGATCAGATTCTCATACGTGCGACTGGTTTCGCTATGTTTGGGCATTCATTGCATTTGCATAGCATTGCGAAAGTTTTGTATTTCTCTCTCCTTTCCGTGGCAATGAGATTTTTGCATATCTGGATGATGTGCTGAACATATGTAATGAGATATTACACTATACTGTTCATTTTCCTGCCATTATCATCTCATGTCGTAGCTCTGTGTGCCAGCGTATATGTAGAATTCCGAATTTATGACTACCGACTCCACATTACTCCTTAAGACCGTCGCATAGATGCATGATAGATTTTTGATTCAAGAAAATACACATGTCTAGAATATCTATCTACATGACGGCATGAGCTCATGCATATATACAGCCCCACGTGCCTTCTTCGTTTTAATCTAGCTGTCCAACCCCGCGCAGTTCTCACTTGTCTCTGAGGTGATATCGTCATATGGCGAGGGATCGGTCCAGATAATATCGTACCTAGAATCCTGTCAGCCCTACCTCCACCTAAATCACGTAACTTCCGTGCCACCACACAGGCCTCAACACCGCCGTGTATATATCTCCCGTCCACGCGCAATTCCACTTTTACGTACCGGTCATCGGGATAATCCGGCGCATCGTCGTCGCCCAGCTTCTTCACGATATCGTGCAGTGCGTCGTGCTCCCAGCAGATCAGGATATTTCCCGAGCCGGAGTAATCGTCGACCACGTCCTTGACACAACCAGGGTCATCCCGATCGCAGGACGTGTCGACCGTAAGCCCGAGGTCATCAGCCAACGGCTTCACAGTGTCATAAGGACGCTGGCGGCTGCCGTCTTTTGCCGAGAAAGACATCCAGTTAGCAATAGATACACACAGGGATCCGGGATTGAATTAAAGCAATTGACATGCAATGCATGTAATCGCCATGCTTTCCCACGGGCGCAAAAGAAAGCTAGGCGCATTGAACGTACCGCTCTTCGGTGTCATGGCCATGATATACCCGATATCATACGAGGAGCTGGCGCCAAACACGCCGCGCAAGCACTGCGCGCGCTCCTCGCCCTGCGTGCTCAGGCCATCGCCATCATCGGGCTTCTCGCCGTGGCGGATCAGGTACACGGTGGGATCGGCGACGGCCAGAGTCGCCGCGGTAAGAGCAACAAGAGACGCGAACTTAACCATGGTGAATTTTGGGATTGATTTGGTTCAGTGCGGGGAGAAATTGCTTCCCAGGGCCCCAGGATGGGATCTTTATATTCTGGAGGGTTGTTGCGCGTGCTCATGGTGGCTGGTGTGGGATAGGGGACGGCCTGTCCATATCGTGGACCTTGTGGCCCTCGGAGAGAAGTGAATACTACGTCGTGACTTCGGGCTTCTGGTATCATGACCACACAGCGGCGGGATCGGCGCGACATGGGCGGTCAAGGGGGCGTGATTGGGCGGGCGATCTGCTGTCTGGACGGCGGGGGGTTGCGCCCCGCGCCCCGCCCGGAGATGGAGCGGACGCAGGGCGGAATCTTAGTCGTAGGAGAAGGTGGGCTTGTTTTGGGGATTGATATGGAGCTTGGGAAAACAGAGAGAGAGGCACAAAGGAGGGGGGTTGGGAAGAGAAATAACTTTAAGTATAAAATGTAAATTGTTGACTGGGGGCGGGCACATTGAGTCATCGTTATTCCTCATCTTTTTATCAGGCTCGGACAGGAATTGAAATTTGGACCTCAATGTCGTGCATGAAGGAGCGGATCGAGAGTACAAGAGTTGGGTAGATTCAGCGTGGAACACGCTACTGCAATGCACGTTCGGGTATTGTTCGCATTCGTATCGAGTCCATTGCAACTGTAGTTGATCTTGTGCACCGTGGATATCTTGGATACCTGCACATTGTCATGAGAGACATGAGATTTTTTGTTGAGCCCACGTGGTGCATGGCCTATCCGGATGTTTCTCGAGGATTCGAGGTATTCAGTCTATCAGGATTCCTCTTGCATCTCCTGTTGCAGTCGGTGTTTACAGAGCGCAGTGTACGGCAAGTCTGACGGTCAACACAGACACTGGGACCATGCTATGAAGGTGGTGTGTCATATATTTTCTAGGCTATCTCTACTGTGCCATATGTCTTTTGATGAATATATAAGCTGAATTTAGAAACTGAACAGTCCACTCCGGCGTTTCCCGTAGGGATACACCACGAGGGCCGCAATAAACAGGCCAATCGTGATGCCAATTGCCACCTGGATCATGCCAAAGCCCAAGCTGAACACCGAACTGCTGGAGGCCAAACCCGCCCCTGGTGCCGAGCTCGGTTGCCCATGCGATGACACATTCTGTCGAATCGCATCGGCGGACTGTACGCCCGAGATCAACGACCCCGTCGCCGCTAGCCCGGACGGCACCAAAATGAAGATGCCCGGTAGGATAGCCGTCGCTGCGTGGCCATGCCAAAACCGACTATACAGATTACCCATGATCCCCACCGTGAAAGCGCCCACGGTATTGGCAACCTGAGAATTTGACCCGAGTCGCTTCGTGCTGAAGTAGTTCGTCACGTACCCCGACATCGCAATGATGGTCATCGGCGGTAGTTGCTTCCACTTGCCCTGGTTAATGATCAATAACCAAACGGTCATGATCAGTACAAAGGGGAAGCGGGCGACATAGGGATTCGGAAACGCGCCTGTCTTCGGGCATTGCAGATCAGACACCGCTTCGTTGTCCATGAGACCATAGATCGTAGTGCCAACGGTAATTCCGTAGCCTATGAACAGCGAGAAGATAATCGCATAGACCATCCGGATGGACCCGGCGATAATTTGGTGTGACTGCAGCTCTAAGCTGCTACACAGTACGAGGAAGCCGGGCAGTATCAAGGCAATTGAAGCCTGCGCAATCGCGGAGAAGCAGAAGAGATACTGTCGTTTGCCGTCGACGATGATTCGTGGGATGCTGCCAAAGGCCCGGGCCAGAAACGAGGTCACGACCGTCGAGGTGACTTCAAAAACATTTGAATACAATACTGAGCGCGGCGCCGCCACATGTTGCATCAATCCAACCAGCAGCCCATTGAGGAAGATGATTGGCATGTCGATAGGACGGGCATTGAACGCGAAGGGGCCGACGGTGGCGGTTGCCAGGCCATAAACCAGCACGACGATCAGCTTGTTATACCGCGGTTTCTTCTTCATAACCTCGTCTAGCTCCTGCACGGCTTCTTCGATCCCGATCACATCGTGAATGACGTTCTTATAGATGAGATGCGTGTCCGAGAGACGTGCCAGATCGACGCCCTGCGCCACTCGAACCAACTTGACCTCCGTCGTCCGCGTAGAGGGATCGTCGAACGACATGATCATGCAGCCCGGCAGATACAAGAACTGGCTGTCCACCTCGAGTACTTTGGCCGTCATCTGCATATATTCCTCGAGGCGATGAGTGGGTGCGCCGAACGTCATCAGCGCCCGGCACAACTGCATGATATACCGCTGGCGACAGATGATCTCGGCAATGTGCACCGTCACGCGAATCTCATCTTCGAGTCGCACTTTGCGCTCTGCTTGTTTCCCTCGTCGCTCCGATGCTGCTGACAGGACTTCGCTCGAGACGGGTGTGCTCGCACCACTCAAACTGCCCGCACCCCCGATCAATGTCGACGTCGAGGTATTCTGCGGCTTCTTGTACCACTTTGGCTTCTGCTTTTTCCCCCTTTTGCCCTCCTCTGATTCCGTGCTCCCACTGGCGGCGCTGGAAGTCGACTCCATTGACGACTGGCTTGGCGTCCGCGACATACCCACGGGCCCAGCCGGCCCACCATTGAGCTTGATTAACTGTGACAAGATGCCGCCGCCACCGGAGCGATACCGCAGCCCAGACTCGAGACTTGACTCGTCCGCTTCGCCTGCGAACTCTGTGCCGCCATGCGGATAGGGTCTCCCGCGCGTCTTGCGCCGCTTGCTTGAATGGTCCTGCGTCAGATCGCGCACTAGCCGGTGTGCCTCTGAGCTGCTCTCCGCCTGGTGCGCCCGCTTCTCCTCCTCGCTCTTGTGCTTGTTGTCCGTTACGTCCGACAGCGGCACTTCCCCACCAGATGCCCAGTCCCCGTGGTACACGCCCGGGTGGAGGTCGTCGCCGCCGGTCGTCGGGCGGCCCAGACGCTCGCCGAGTCGGGAGGCGCGTTCCTTGAACCGCTGGCTGGCGTTGCGAAGCCGGTTGCGCGTGCACTCGAGGTTGAGCGTGTCTACGGCCTTGGTTTCACGGCCGGTGTCTGGGGCGGGAGGCGAGACTGGCTTTTCGCGGTTGCCGAAATCGACTTGCTCCGTTTGGGTGCGATCGTGCGGGGGCGTGTCGGCGATGTCGGCGGATTCGTGAGCGTAAGGCAAGGAGGGGCGATGAGCCTGTCCTTCACGCTGGGAGTGCTCCCATTCGGATTGAACGTCTTCGGATGGATGCTGGCGGGCTGCATCCTGGATAGCGGCCACGTTTGGACGAAATCGAATGTGTGGTTGATCCGGTGAGTCCTCTGGGCTTGGACAGTCGTTCTGACGAACGGCTTCGTCGGAGGTCTCATGTCCTGCAGAGTCATCGGCGTGATACTTCTCGCTGCCCATTGACGAGTCATCATTATTCGGGTCCCGTTCGGACATCAGGGCCGGGGGTGATATTCAGGACAGCCGCTCGTTCTATTGTCCTTGAACCAGCATCCGTTCCTTGAGCCGAGTGCTTTGTATGCTGGTTCTGGCTCAGTATACAAACATGGGAACGAAAATACGGTTAGACTTTAGACTTACCTCAGAAAGTTCCAGCTCCACGGACCGCAAAGTGCTGCAGGGAAGGAATATCTACACAAAGTCTGACTTGTATTCAGATGCCGCACTTACCGCCGTGAGTTGAAAAGATTTAAAATGTATCATCCAGTGCAGATTCCATTCTTGCCCCCCGCGACATGCAGTGTGGCCATTTCTATCACCTGAATGAGCTCATGGAGGCGGCGTCGGCGTATAGTTCTCACTGTGTAGATGGGTACGGGACGATGACCCTGTGCAGCGAACCAATGAAAACAAATTGAAAATAAGTCCTTGTCGTCTAGAAGGAAATAGAGTTCCATTCATGGCGCGGAGTTCATTTTCACTGTTCACGTCATCGCGTCGGAAAGCTTGTCCGCGTACCACACAGTGAAATATTTCTCCTGTCGCACTACCCCCTCAAGTGTCCAAGCGCGTGCGAGGGTTTATTTGGACGACAAGTGTATTGCTTTGAGCGGCAAAGGTCGACTGTCCTCAATTGCAACTCTCTACCGATATCCACTGTGACAGGAACTCCTTCCCTTGTCAAATGGCGTAGTAAGGGAGAACGCGGCTGTTAAATCCGATGTGCGGCAATGCCGGTGCAAAACAATTCGCCATTAGCTGTTACTTTCACTTATCAGGCCTGAATATCCACTAAATGGCTCAAGAGAATAGACGATAGCCTGGATGTCATTCAGTAAAATTCATCCATTTCATGTTTTCATATTATGTCCAACCATCTCCCCTCCTCCGCCTCGAAAGCCACGCAGATTCTTATGCACAGGCCCCGTCTTGTAATGCCAAAACAATCCTCTGCAATGCTTCATCCAAATGGTCCCGAGATTGGGAAAAGACAATCCGAAACCAACCATCTTTCTCGGACCCAAACAAGGCGCCACTGGCCAAGAATACCTTGTGTTTCAGCAGAAGTCGCATAATCCGATCTCCAACCCCGTCCACTCCAACTTCCCCAGGATGCAAGTCGCGGTACTTGCTCCCCAGATTGACCCAAAGGAAGAAGGCGGCGTTGCTCCCAGGGGCATAGTTAATGCCATGCTGTCGGACAAACGCAACCGTGTACGCATAGCTTTCCGATAATCGCTTTTGGTTCTCCTGGATGTAGGATTCTGTAAATTGTGTATCCTCGAGGAGACGTGACACCAAGTAATCCGAAACGCCGGAGGCATACGAGTACAAGGAAATCGCCTTCATTGCCGAATGCAGGTCTTTATTGGCTTGTGAGATGATGACTCCCAGACGGATACCATTGGCGCCAAAGTCTTTGCTCATACCCCAGAGTATGTGGACCAGTCGAGGGTCAATAGTGCCGTCGAGGTCAATTGATAATACTGACTCGAACGTCACGGCGGAGGGTTCTTGATCGACGGTGTTGTGCCATGTTGACAGCGCGTAAATTTCGTCGCTGATCAGATGTATCTGATACTTCTGGCAGAACTTCATCAATGCGATGAGCACGTCTCTGGGGTAGCAGCGTCCGAGCGGGTTGTGAGGATGACAGAGCATCAAGGCTCTGACTCGCTTGCCGGTCTTCTGTTGGTATTCTTGCAGCGCCTGTTCATACTTTTGCACAGCATCGATATGGAATGGGTCAATGTCATCGAAACTGACGGGAACCACCGTTGTTCCAGGGCGCGTGGAGATATCAGGAACAAAGGTGCCGTAGTAGGGCCGACCGAGCAGAATCCCTTCTCCCGGGTCTGCAAGGGCCCATGATACATGCTCAATTGCTGGTGAGACTCCGTTCGTCACAATGAGATGGTCAAGTTGCAACGGAATAAATGGGTGTAAATGGCGATTCAGGAACTGTGACAGGTTGTCCCTTAACCTAGAGGACCCGCCCCCGCCGTCGTTGTAGGTGAGGTACTGTGCAGGCAGATCTAGCTTGGAGTTGAGAAATTGCAGAAGCTCGGCATGCATTAGTGTGTTTTCAGCCACGCCCACATTGACATATCCCCTGGGGTTGCGTGACGGGCACCAAGCGTCAGTCATGATGTCCCACATCAGATTTGTAGATCCGTCATTGGCGACATCCTGAGCGCGAGAAGAAAGCACTAGCCCTTTAACAGTCTGGGCCATTTGTATGATAGATAATTAATCGCAAGTAGAAGAGGTCAAGAACGAGGTGCTTATAGTTGATATAAAATTTGAATTCAATGACGCATTAGAAATCGCACGCTGAGTACTGATCTCGGGAGAGTGAGTCAATGAAGGGATCCGAGCAGAGCGGATACCGTCGGCTACCACGGATCCACCCAACCTTATTTATGTACTGGCGAGATCACCGAATAGTCCGTAGACCAGAATACATTTGTTGATCCTGGCAAATGGACATCCAGATCGGGGTAACAACCCTAAGCATATCACGTAAAATCTTCACGTCTGCTTGAATTCTTTACGAAGGCACAGCTCCAACTGCCAGCGGGCCGGGCGTTCAGCCTTTATCCCTTCAAGGGTCCCCCAACTCCAAACACCGAAAAGTCTACTACTTGACTGGCTGTCTTTTCAGAACTCAAAATTCAGGTCGTTTCTCTTCGTTAGGTTTCCGAATTGTGGAGTTGAAAGGCGATAACCCGGTTATAAAAAAGCCGAACGTCTGGACCAAATGTTTTGCTTTGCTAGATAGAGCTTTGTCATTATCATGGTTGTCGCTTAATTTTCCATCAAAAGCACGGAAACGCTCAATCGTCATTAACACGAACGTTGCAACCCAAGGGTTACGCCTCATTGAACCAGGTCAATCATTGTACATCCAATTCATCGGCTCACCACCTCCGGGCTCAAGCTGTGTGGTGGAAAGCTGGTCTTCATATTAGCCGCAAGACTTAATTCCGGTTGTGTTTCTCTTCACACTTACCAGGAATCCCCAACTATCGATCCAATCTGGCGATATATCAAATGCCAATTCATCTAAATTGTCCACATTTACTCCCACCAAATCTGGATTCTCGTCAAGTTTCTGTTCGAAGATTTCTAGGCATTGGGCCACAACATCTTCCCCCGTTTTCATCAAAATTTCTGGGAATTGATCCTTAGGAATTCCGCGCACCATTCCATGAATTAGAGTATCCACCCAAGATAGAAATAAATAACCCTTGATATTAGTCTCGCCGGCCGTGATGGAGTTCAAACTCCACTTCTTGCCATCCTCTAGTACAGACAGTAAATCCCGTCTCAAAGGAACTGGGCCAAGACTGTGTTCTTCCTGTAACTGTGCCCTGAGCTCTGCCGCAACAAGGAAGCAGGCCTGCATTGGACTTTTGCGGAAGACACCATAGCCGCAGCGAGCAAGACGTGTCAAATAGTCATTTTTGGGGCGACTCGGATCCTCGAACGGTGAAGGGGCCATAATCGAAGATGGATAGACTGCCGACCATATTTTGAGCGCGGTTTCCACCACAACCTTCCTAGAAAAGGCGAAAGCTACTCCTTTATGAGAGGCGGAAAAATATGGCGAATGAAGACCTATGATATATCGATTGATGATGAAATCGAGCGCGTGGACCCCAAAGGCAGTCTGTGCACTGCTGTTAACGAGCCTGTGTCTCTGCAGTGTCATACAGACAGTCTTGTAACATGCCCTCAGTTCCGAGTCCAGACGCAGGGTTTCCTCGTAGCCTCGCTGCATTCCAAGCGCGTTCAAGGATCTCGCAATATCAAGGCGGAGGGGGAACATCTGTCGCAGACTAAGGGCTATTGACATCCCAGTAAAGATTCCTTCAGGTTTTGGAGTTGGATCTTCTGATTCGATCTGGTCGTCATCGAAATTCCCTGGTGGTTGGGTATCAAAATCCTCCATCGACAAGAGGGGCGGTCCTCCACTCTCCATGCTTGTCTGAAGGGCGAGCTCAACAATGGTGTTCCACAGTCTTCGTCGCATCTCCGAACTAAAAAGAGTTCTTTTTGCTTGGACCAGAGGGTCACGGTGAAGTCCCATGTGCATCGCCGTCCGCATGACGTTTCCGACGGAGATCCATGTCAAGCTGCCGTCCACACCCACGCTTTCTCGTGCCAAAAGGAGTAAGATTGAGGTCTGTAGGAATTGTATTGTGAGGCGAGATTTAAATTCTGGCTCGGAACTCCAAGTTTGTGCTTCATGCACCCAACGGATGGCTGAGGTTCGTAGGGTGAAATGATCGTCATACATAGTCGCCCCAATAGCAAATATTAGTTTTAACTGAACAAGGAATGCTGTATCATGAATTTTTCCAGGGAGCCATAAAGCATCATAGTCTCTTTTAAAGCTTGGAATATGGAGGACTCGATAAATTGTTTCATATGTTCGAAGATAGATGTCGACCAATGCGTCTGCGACTTCTTTTGGTGGTAAATCGCTGGTTACGGGGGTAGGCCATGGGGGTGTCCGGCGGGCCTTGATTATTTTGGCTAGTTGTTTACATTTCAGCAAGCCTACGACTGCTTTGGCACCTTCATCCTGGACAATCGGCTCGAGCATTTCCACAATTCCTGCGAACTAAATGAGAATTAGCGCAACGGTGTTCTTGAAATGTGCGGTGGACCGTAACATGGAACCCACCTGTGTCATGCCAGCCATCCAATGGCTTTGCCCAAAGACGCGGGTCTTATGCATAATCATCCGCGATATCGGTGGTTCATGACTGTTCATTGGAGTTTCATGGTTGATATGGAACGTTCCCACTAAGTGAGACGTTGTTGTGGCGAGATTGAAATTTGGACTTGTCGCACTGGAGGCGACAGACTTGTTAGTAGCCCTAGATAGCTGATCCTCTAGCCTTTTTATCTTAGATTTCAGAAACTCCACCTCCCGAGCCGATATTTGACTGCCCGGTGTAGATGGGCCCGTCGATGTAGCTATTGTGAACAGCGACGGACGACTTAAGAGCGTGTCTTCTCTGCCGGTGTTGAATGAGTTATCAGTCAATACCGAACGGTCTGAGTCTCTCACAGGAGAGTCCATGCGAATGACCGTTGGTTGACCATGGTCAAGGCGTCGACTTGGGGGCGGTGACAGCTTCTCGTAAACACAAATGTTGTTTTTAGACCGCAAACAATTACTACAAGGAGACTCTCGGTTGCATTTGATTTTGCGTCTTCGGCAGAGACCACACGAGCTGAGTTGGCAATGTCAGCACTAGCCTCAAATTTTTCTTTTCAATCAAGAACACATACACAGCTGGTCTCCTGCGCCGGCGTTCGGGCTCGGCCGTCGGTGCGGACGATTGCGGCGATGGCATGCTTCGGCCCTCCATTTTCACGACATGAAAGCTCCCATGATTCGAGAGACTAGAGAAATACTTCGTCGATGAGTCGACTGACTCGAAATATGAGAGATTATTGCCGAAAGAAAGATGACACTATTCTGATGGCAGCGTCAAATCTCTGATCGGTAATTGCGCATATGGTCTCTACTGTCTACCTTTTCCCGTCTCCGACTCCGCCCCGACTCCTAAGTCCGTGGCCGCGTCCGTGGTCCGACCCCTAAATCCCCGGTCATGCCAAGTAGGTAAGCTCGAGTATAAAACAACCGGCGAATTTCCTTTCCAATATGATTATCAGATTCCATAAATCGAAACAAAGAAGTTTTCAAAATCAATACTTCTAGGGTCTTGTCCTGCAAGCCTTCGAGCCCATTCTGTTTACCTATCTGATTAGGCTCAGCGTTCATATATATTTCAAACATGTCTTCACACAGTGTGGAAGAGTTGAAGTCCACCAGCGACACGATTTCACCTACAACAGAAAAGGAAGAATTAGAGTTGAACCCAGCTCCTGATGGAGGATTTCGAGCATGGCTTGTTGCTGCAGGTGGATCTTGTATCTTCTTCGCTGCGCTGGGATTTGCGAACTCGTTCGGAGTTTTCGAGGAGTATTATCTTACACACCAGCTCAAAGGCCAATCTACAGACAAAATTGCCTGGATTGGTTCAGTGGCATCTTGTTTTCAGTTTACCGCTGGGGCAATTGGTGGTCCGTTATTCGACCGATTCGGTGCATGGGTAAGTTAACCCCTACAAGTCAGATGAACACTACTTACTTGGTATACAGGTGATTCGCCCCTGTGCCGTTCTTTATATTTTTTCGATCATGATGACAAGCCTTTGTAAAGAATACTGGCAATTTATGCTAGCTCAAGGTGTTCTCATGGGAATTTCCATGGGCTTGATTCAGTTTCCGGCCATGGCAGCCGTCATACAATTTTTTGACAAGAAACGTGCTGCTGCTCTCGGAGTGGTAGTAGCAGGATCATCCATCGGTGGTGTCGTAATGCCTATAGCCATGTCAAAGATGCTGAATGGCACTTCACTAGGCTTTGGATGGTCCGTTAGAATTATTGGATTCATTTTGATTCCTCTACTGGGCTTCTCTTGCATCGCTGTCACTTCTCGGTTGCCGCCCCGCCAATCAGCCTTTTTCATGATTGAGCCATTCAAAGACCCTAGATTCAACCTTGTGATCGGCGCTTTATTTTTCATGTTCATTGGCATGCTTGCTCCATTGTTTTATATCCCGACATATGCAGTTAGCCGAGGTATGGATTCGACAATGGCCTCTTATCTCCTTGCAATTCTCAACGCAGCGTCAACATTCGGCAGAATTATCCCTGGTGTACTGGCCGACAAGTTTGGTCGGTTGAATGTCTTCACTATTGGCGGAATTGTGACAGGAATTGTGATATTCTGTCTGAATTTGCCAACATCCACCGCCGCATTGGTCGTCTACTCAATTGCTGTCGGATTTTCATCAGGGACGATCATTTCTGGAGCATCTTCTGCCTTCACAGTTTGCATCAAAAGACTTCAAGATGCAGGAACATATCTAGGAATGGGCATTGCAGTTGCATCTGTCGCAGCGCTGATCGGACCTCCAATCAATGGCGCACTTATCAGTCATTACGGCGGATATGCTCAGATGTCATACTTTAGCGGCGCAATGACAATTGTTGGTGGATTACTTGCTCTCGGGGCCAAGGCCACAACACCTGAAGGTATTTTCGGGAAAATTTGATGCCGAGATTTTGTTCGATCATTACCGAGATATCATAGATGGAGACTGGAGAGGTTGTATTAAACGGATTAAGTTTCGGAATGGGCGCCATAATAAGATGAATCCTAATTATTAATGAGCATAATGTTGTGGATAATACTTTCTATATTGCCTTGTTTTGTCATAGATATAGCCTAAAGGTTGACAGATATTATCATGATCACTCCGAAGCAGACTATGTTGATGCCAGCATATGTTATTTTACAGTGTAACGAAGAAATTTCAATGTCAAGAAGTCACAAAATCAGAACGGTCGATTGCAGATTAAGACGTCTTCTATCACATCCACTTAACGGTTCTTCAAACCCCAATCTCAAGCGTCCCATTATAGTGGCAGTCCAACTGGACATTCGGCTCGGGATCGCTAACGCAAATCCACTTAGTTCCTGGAGCGTCGCCACTCAAGTTGGAATCCAGCAGCGCCTGCCCATCCTCAGGAATCGAACCATTGACCCGAATGAGCTCCAGGGTAAAGCGGTTGAAATCATCCACGCCTTGAGGAAACTTGATATAGTACTCGCCATTGTTGCAACGGGCACTCTGGTTGGGGCTCGAGCCGTAGGTCCTGGAATCGCAAAGATGAGTTAATTGAGTCACGCTAATCGATATTCTTGAAATCATAAGACCTACCAGTGCATATTACAGTCAGTGGGTGTATCACCCGGGTAGACTGGATCAGTAAGAACAAATGACAGGGTTGCACTGTTTCCGCCAGCTGCGCGCGCCTCCAGGTCGGTGATCTGGAGGCTATTGCTGCGCTTCGTCATGGCCGGCGCGGCAGAAGCAGAGGTAGCAGCCAGGAGAATGGAAATGATAGTGAGTTTCATTTTGCGAGATTTGTTGTTAAAGTGAACAATGAAGACAGTTGAATAGCAGAGTTCAACCTTTTTTGTATGGCTTGATATGCTCCAAAGAAAAATGAAAATAGGGAAGGTAGGTCTTATTTATAAACCAAGGAAGTAGTCATCGGTAAATGTATATTTTCATAGACTCACAAGAGTCAAGGTGGTGAAAATGAGACATTACAATGCAGACAAGATTAAAAAGAGATGAATCAATAGGTCAGCATGAGCGATACTTCCCTGGTCTCGAATTAGTAGCACAGTATGGGGTAACGAGCAGGTTTACGAGGCTGAGCAAATCCGAATTGCTACCCTACATGGAACCCGACCTATGAGCGATCATGTTCAAGGTACGCCTCGATTCTTCTGAATTTTTGCAGAACTTCTCTTATACACTTTTGAGAGCTCGAGAACTGTCATTGCTGCACGCAAGCGAGGGTGATGTTATTCAAGGCGCCCAGGTACGGCGCCCCGGCCACATGGATTCATCGCGAAGATCTTTGCTTGAAGGGGAAATTTGTTTTAAATAAGCCTGCTATCAAAAGGCCTAGCGGGCCGTTTTTCCTTTTTTAACGCATGGCTGTTCCTAGAGACTGCCATTTGACCTGGTTTGTGGCCGCATAACCGATTCCTAATTTAGAACTCCCCATGAGAACTTTAGATTTAAAGATCTATTAGGCGGCCTTGGCTATGCTCAGGCGGACGGCAGAAGTACACTAGTCACTGCACAGTAGTACTTTTCTGAAACATGAGGATCTTTGGAGCCCAAAGGCTCTCGACTCGCGGCTCAGATCGCTCACTGGAACCTGCTGGGGCTAGTTACGTAAGACATGGGCAGCCTCAGCATCAGCGTGTGAGCTAAGAGCCATACTACTTGGACTTTCATGAGTGGGTTATCTTTTCACTTCCCACACTCTCAAAAACTATGCCCGTTTAAGGGTTTATTCATTTACCATTAACTGTACACGTTGAGAATGAGATGCTTTGAAAAAAAAAGGTCTCCACATTATACTATTCGTCTAGAGCGCCAATAGATATACTCGAGCGCCCCAGTCACAAGAATTAAAAGTTGAAATTATCGGTACGATAGGGCCGACTTTCCCAATAATTGACATGATCAGTACTGTCCGAATGGGTGGTCGCGTTCCTTAGCTCGGTATGTTGTTATGGCCAAGCTGAGACAGCAACATGCTGGGCATGCAAGGGATAGCGCCATGGCAATGAGGGCGGAATTTCGTAAATAACCACGTGGCTACAATTTGGAAGTATGACTTGTCAAAGATAGTAACCATAATAATACCAAAATATACGTGTGTTAGAAATCCAGGGAGCGGTCAAAACCAACTGATTAGAAGCCTGTGATAGCCTCATTGGTACTAAATGTATCATGCTCAATATCCAGAAGGTAGCTATAACTCTAATATACGTATGAAACCCTAATTGACATTTGATTTGAAAATTGGTTGTATTTGAAATATTCCATCTAGCACCGTCACTAGAAGCTTAGATGTGCGTAATCCAATAGATTTTGGAAGTCGGATCAGTCCACGATACTACTGCGAGAAAGATCCGATTATATGATGGCTGATGAGAAGGCTATTCAATTCAATTACATTCGATACAAATATTTTCAGAGCCAGACAACACTATAAATAACGTTAGATTGAGTATATGATCCGTCAAACCATTAAGGTGGTTTATTTCAAGGGTTTTCGGACTGTGCCTTATATACTATGAAGCAGGCTCGACTAAAAAAATAGCCTTACATGACTTGTTCCGCATGCAGCGGCCGGAATTCTCTTGCAACGTCCCATTTATCATCTTATGTGATACTGCATGTTTGGTGCAAATTTACAATGATTTTCATTTCCCTTTCCAAAAACGAAGGAAAGTCTCTTTCTTGTTCTTAGGCGGCGAGGGCTCCCTTTTCACCGTCGAGTACTGGCAGGCCGTCATTACCGACGTTGCTAACCGCATTTTGAGCTTTTCCTAAAAAGTAGTTGTTTTGAAACAAAGCAGCAACGAGCGGAATGAATGCTAATCCAAGAGCGGGAGCGAGACAATAGTATAGAGCGCGTTGAAATGCTATAATGGCACCGGCACGCATTGGGCTGCCCCAGGGGTATTGGCGAATGGATGTCACACTGCCAAAAATCTTTGTCACGTCAACCTCGGTGGCTGTCGACGGTAGATGCTCTCGTAGCTGCTTGGGCATTTGATCCGCCCAAATCATCACCACAATAGCTGAGCCGATGGCGGAGCCAATCTTAGACCACAGTGATAGAAGTGCGATCGCAAGCGCAACGTCTTGGTGGGGAACAGAAGCTTGAGAAGCAACTCGCGATCCGACCACTGACATAGAGCCCCCGAATCCAACAAGGATTAGCGCCATCACCATAGTGGCAGTACACTGAGTCGCTTTATTTCCATCAATCATAATTCCCATGCCAATTATTTTGATGATAAGTCCAGAAATTTGAATGGCCTTGTATCGGTGCGTCCATCGCTGAAGAAGACCAACAAAAGGGCCAGCGACGCAGAGAGCAAGAGTCAGGGTATTGCTGTAATAGACCCAGTCTTGATAACTCCACGGCTTAGCAATATAGACATAAGAACTCCAGTAGAGGCCCCGCATATTGCCAGCAACTATTCCAGGACAACGTGTCAATAGGTTCTCTCACACCTCATGTGACTCCGAGGAAAACTTACGCATGTAAAAGCTATCGATGATAATTGCCATCACGAAAGTTTTATTGAAAACCAAACGGCGAGGAGCACTGGGAACACGGGCCCACAGCATTTCATAAATAACGTACACGATCAGCAGAATACCACCGACGATCATCATAGCGATCATGGACGGATTCCGCCAGCCACCATCAGCGTATGTTTTAAGAGAAAACGGAAGCAGTAACAGAGACCAGCCAAAACCAAGTAAAATCAGGCCGAAGGCATCAATTTCCTCAAGGTTGCTTTGGAGAGATCTGAACCAGGTTTGGGACGGCGCCGCTGCAGGCGCAATAATAGCCCCTTCAGGAGCATCATGACCATCCATCTTCGCGAGGTCTCGAGCGGCACGGCGCGCTGCATTTGAGGAAGCCAGATTCACGATGCCATATTTCTTGGCCTTTCGATCGAGCCAGATCATGGTTGCGACCGCTGGGCCCAGTGCCACAGGCATTATGATCGCAAACATGCCATAGCCCCATCGCCATTGGTTCCTGCTATCAATCGCGTCGACAATCTTTCCAGCAAACCAAGTATTTATAATAAAAGGAGTTGACAGCATGGAAGAAGCGAAGCCACGCCACTCAAGGGATGTCAAGTCAGCAACGATGATGTCGTTGGTTAGATCAAGACCCGAGCTACCGATAGCAACGAAAACCTCCCCAACCACATAAGCAGATATGGTCTTGCAACTGGCGACGATAATATAACCGATAACATAGAATAAAAGGGTTAAGAGGTAAGTGTACGGTCGGGAGGTTATATCCGAGACCTTCGCAATGAAAGGCTTGCTAACGGCGCTGATGATGCTGGTAGCGATGGATAGCGTCGATAAGACTGAACTATGCTGCTTGAAATAGGAAGAGGCATCGATGGAATAATACGATGTGGTAGAAGAATCAAGTGAATATGCCCAAGCACACACCAGTACCGAGACTGCGACTAACCAGAGTGATTTGCGGTTGGTCTTCGCTTCCCGATAAATAGCCTCCATGCGGGTAACACCTTGAGACTGGATGACATTGCCCACTCTAGACTCTGGGACGGCATGATCACCGCTTGAAAAAGGTCCGGAATAAGCCACAGCAGTGATCTTGTCGTCGGCAGACATGATGCTTGGACAATATTCCTACCTGGGAACGAACACGGAGTTTGATCCGCCCGAGTTTCCAAATAGAACCCGATATTGAAGTTTGCCGGAAGAAGGGAAAAAAATCGGCGGTTCATGCCAGATTTCAGATCTTATATTAGTTTTGCCATCTTCAGAAACTAGTGTGATACATGGAAAAAGTCCAACAAAGGAAAAATCTAATCTAATCAGATTAGAAGGCCCACAGGAAGAGCGTCTTCCTAAGTTCGCACAACATTGTCTTCTTGAGACTAGCGTTGATCTAGCTTTGTAAATTACCAGGGAAAGAAGGAACTGATATATGACTGAAGGACTTCATTGGCTTTCGACTAGTGTGGGAGGCAAAATGACATTAGGTGAAGGGAGGGCAGTCTTGGCAAGGTTGGCGGCTTTGCCTGATTCCTCGAAGGTTCCGATGAGCGGAGGCTTGGCAGGACACCATCGTATCTCTAACAAGTAATAATCCTAAATTTAAAACCGCTACAAGTATGTCTTTCTCGAATTGGAATGGCCTCCTCGTCGAGTATTCCGTTTTCAGAGGCCTATACCGGAGCTCCTGCCAAAGACAACGTTGTTGATCCCGCCTGAGTTCGGTAAGGCGAAATTGACTGATTGAGCAAGTTGCCCACGAGAATACTGGAATTGTTACATCTTGAATAGAATACTTTGTGATACCATGAGATGTCGAGGTTTTTTGGTGCGAAGGGATGAGAAATAAATATGTATACATAGACACAGTTTGGAACCTATGCGAACAAGGCCTGGATACTGAAATTGAAAAGTGTAACATATGTCTCATCTTCAACAAGAGCGGTGCGGGTACCTCATACTTACGCATAGAGCAGCGAAAATTTCTCGTAAGCTCGAAGGTATTGACTCGAGAACAATTCATACAGTAATTACCAATTGCGCAGTAGAAAGACTGAATGATTCAACATGGAACTACCCTCATTTGACATTAGAGTATTCACGGTTTGTTAGTTGAGGTCTTCTGATTGGTTATAAAGGCCCCGGTCCTTTCTGCGCGACTCCATATTCCTAATTGGGTGAGATCTAAACAGCACCGCACAACGCGAATTTCCAGGGTCAGGAACAAAACTTATAGAAGGAATTGGAAGCTGAGAATACAAACTTTCAACTAAGTGTTCTAGTCGGCTATATGACGTGTGACTACGAAGTGGTTTTTCGGCATGTTCTGGCCAGCCTGGATCTAGTAAGGGGTGTCGATCCGGTACCGCTATGGCGGAGCAGCCGCACGCCTGCCAACCGCATTCCAGGTCCAAGTTTGCTTCACACGCGCATACCAGTCAAGATGGGATACGCGCATTGGCGTGCGCGTTGCTGCGTAACTGGCATCTCCGGGTCATGTCCTTTATTTGGGGTTTCATTCCTCCAGCCTCCAGCTCTGTAGTCCCTCTTTTTCCATCTCGTGTTCTTCTCTGAATATCTATTGAGTGTCAAATTGAGATTTGGAGATTGAGGATGCGGGGCTCTATATTTCTGGCAGCAATTGCAGCCTTTGCTGGTTCTGCATCCAGTGCTATTATTCCTCTTCATGAGATGTATGCAACCGCTGGCCGTGCCGTCGAAGCTTCTAGAGAGAGTCCACCGGCCTGGTTTTTGGAATTGTCTGCAGAGTATGTGACCTCGTAAAACTCTTTTTTTTGTCCAATAATATACTCACTCGCAGTTCAGGCTCGATGTTTCACCACCTGAAGATTTTGAATCCAGTCAGCTTGCTGGAGCCAGTTCTACTCATGTCATCCCAGGGTCTACTGGCGGGGCACTGTCCAGTCCTCTGACAAGCCCCACGAGCACAAGTGCTCCGGGCTCAAATAGTGTACCATCAATACCACAAATCGCATCATCTAGCCCTATTGTTCCAGGGACTTCTGTCATTCCAAGCAGCACACAGTCCTTGACGGGTACAAGCAGCGTCACTTCCGCCCCCGAGGTCAAAACATGTCCTAGCGTGTCACGAAAGTCAACAAATGTATTTTGGCTCGACGATCAAGACCACAATCAACAGGGTGCAGGATTCGCTCCATATGCGAATACTACAACGCATTACCCGGTCTTTCGTAATGTGATGGATTACTCTGTTGTCAATGATGGGTCTGGCGATCAAACTGCCAAATTACAAAGGTCTATCGACGACGATGGGAATGGGGGAACTCGTAAAGGTTTGGGTGTTACACGATATCCTGCTGAAGTTTACCTGCCCGGTGGCACTTATGTACTGGGAAGTACACTCACATTGACCGTGGGAACAATCATCGTCGGGGATCCAAATGACCCTCCTGTTTTAAAAGCCGGCCCGAATTTCAAGGGCCAGTTCTTGGTCATGGGGTACGATAAGAACAATGGCAACCCGGAAACCACTTTCATGGTACTCATGAAGAACGTCATTTTGGATACAACCGCTGTTCCAACCACTCAATCTATCACAGCTTTGCAATGGGGAGTGGCACAAGGTTCAGGATTGACTAATGTAGAGGTTCGAATGCCGACAGGCCCATCACTTCACACAGGAATCGATATTGTGGCTGGCTCTACCATTGCGGTGACTGATGTTGTATGTTGAATCAACACATTCCGAAAATCGTTTTTCTCTTAGCTCACATTTACAGAAAATCATTGGTGGTGCAACTGGAATTATTAATTCCAACCAACAAGTCAACTTCAAGAATGTCCACTTCATCTCATGTGGAACAGCTTTCGAAGCATCAGGAGGATGGACTGTTCTGTTGCAAGGTGCCTATTTTGAATCATGCGGCACAGGTGTCAACATGACTGCCAACTCACTGGGTAGTTTGGTGATTCTTGACTCTGTATCAACGAACAGCGGACCATTGATCCGATTTTATGATTCCTCTCGCGATACAGCAAATCAAAATAGCCAATTTTTGATACAAAATCTGGAATACAACTCCGCGGAGCCGATCGCAGTCGACATCGAGGGTAAGACCCGCCTTAGTGCGGTATCCCACGTCGACACTTGGGTGTGGGGCACTATGGTCCCTGGTCAATATACCGCAGGAGGAAGCTGGAACACGCAACGTCCTGCTCCGCTACTTGTCAATAACCGTTATATGACCAAGGCCCAGCCTACGTATGCGGAATTTAGCAGTGAGGATATTGTCAACGTTAAGACTGCCCAAGGGCACACGGCTAAGGGTGACGGTGTCACGGACGACACCGCAGCCCTCAATGCAATTTTGGCCAAGAACTCGGCGGATTGCAAGATTACCTTCATTCCGTTCGGCGTATATCGTGTTTCTGACACAATCTTCATTCCAGTTGGATCTCGCATTGTCGGTGAAGCATGGTCAGTCATTACTGGATATGGGGACGCTTTTAAGAACCCCAAGAGCCCTAAGGCTGTCGTTCGCGTTGGTAACCCCGGCGATGTCGGCTTGATTGAGATTCAAGACATGCGTTTCTCCGTCAGCGAAATCTTGCCAGGCGCTAAAGTCGTCGAGATCAACGCCGCCGGTGATCAACCTGGCGATGTCGGTCTTTGGAACACTGCCGTTACGATCGGTGGAACAGCCGAAACAAGCGTCTCAACCGAATGCACCTCACAAGATCCAAAGGACTGCATGGCTGCCTTCATGGTGATGCATCTGACCGAGACTTCATCGGCCTACATCGAAAATTTCTGGGGATGGACGGCGGACCATAACCTGGATAGCAAGTCACTGCTGACAATCATCTCCACTGGCCGCGGAATTCTTGTCGAGTCTACTAAGGGAACGTGGCTGACTGGTACAGGTTCTGAGCATCACTGGCTCTACAACTACAACTTCCACAATGCAGCCAACGTATTTGCGGGTCTATTGCAAACGGAGAGCCCATACATGCAAGGGTCTGGCGAGTTTGAGCGGGCGCCCGCCCCTTGGACCGCCTATCCACAGTATGGTGACCCTGACTTTTCATGGTGTGCGCAGGATGATGAGAAGTGCCGCACTGCATTGGCTACCAACGTTGACGGTGGGTCAGACATTGCATTGTACAATTCTGCTGCCTGGGCATTCTTCGATGGCTATTGGAACGCCATGTACAACGAGCCGTGTAATGGCAAGTGTCAGAGTAATATGATGCGGGTAACAAACACCCCGCAGAATCTAGTATGGTACTCGATCAGTACGCGCATGACAGACGTGATGGTGCTGGATGGGAAATCGAATCCGCGAGAGGCAAACCATGCTGGTGGATGGGAGGCCCTTATCCAAGCATATGGACAATTTGAGGCATAGTGGATGCATGATGTGTGTCTACGGTATATCTCCATTGAGCGCTGGGATAATTCTTGGTTGCGATTGCATGGGTTGGGCTGAGCTGTTTTGGCATGTGCATAGGATTGCATTTGAACATACAACATAATCTAGCATCGAGCATGAGACCTTTAAATATATAATCTTTAAATATAATCATAAATGACAATACTAATTTATGGAAAGAACATCACTATGATTTTGATCTCCATCCCTTGATATATACGTATTTTCCGTATGCCTCCCAAATCGGGTCATAAGCAGGATCTGAATTATTTCATGGTATAAGCCAGATAATCAATGATTGAACCTCTGGGCGAGAGAAGGATCCCAGTTGCTCGCAGGTGCGTAGACTGTCCAGTTTGAATGTGTGTAGAAAAGTAGTAGTGTGGGAGTGGTCCCTAATCCTGGCTAGGCAATTTGCCATGCAAGCCCGAAGATCCGGCGAACGAGGGCGCAGCATGCTGAAGCGGCGAGCTTCCCATACCAGCGCCTCAACATTCGGGTGTCTATATCTATTATTAAATTCCACGTGACCGGATTGTCGTGACTTCTGCCCGAGGCATCCGATGAATTCCGAGTGCTTCGCCTCTTCCGGTGGCGTCCGGACAAGATCCAGTCCAATCTTAGGCGGCGATGCACCCTCCGATATGAGACGTTATCACGAGTTCTTGGCCCCTTTCCCTGCAACACCCAAGCCCGATCGAGTTGTTCGAGGCGCCATTCAAGCGGGTCAAAGCTGTTTATTCAATACAGAAACTGGGCCATCTTTCGCGACGTTCGGATTGTTACAGGACAGTCGCACAACTCCACGGTCAGCCTTGTTCCGCATGCCGTCAGCCAAGTACACTCGGTGGCTGATCGGTGGAGATCTTCCCCGGTGGACATCAAATCCACCTCAGGGGGCTCGAAATAGGGTCTATGTGGCGGTGACCCTAGCCGTGGATTCCGAGGACCAGTTGAGTTTGTTGAGGATCGCTGAAGGCAGCAAGAATATTCTCTACAGCGCAATTTCTATAATCGGATCCGAAATCCAGGCTGTGCTGGGCAACTTACAGAATTAGGCTTCAGACAACACGTTCATGTCCCAGCAATTGCAGCACGCGAAGGCTTTGCATCTCGCAGGAGATTTGGCCCGTGGTCCAAAGTCGCGGAAAAGGCATGAAACAAATCACTGGCCGCGCTTGCTGACAAAGTGGATCCGTGAAATGACGATTGGCCTGTCCGGGGTTCTCGACGGGCGAGCGAGAAGTATCATGGTCTCCGCTCGGTACACGCTAACAGTGCAGATCGGCTGTAGGGAATTGCTCCGCTTCGTTTCCCAGAAACGGCTCCAAATCATGTCGCCACTGCCACACCTACTGTAGCAATTAACCTCCCCCTGTTACTATGTATATCATCAGAGTGGGAAATTTGCGTTTCCATCTCGACCCATATAAGAACCCCTGGGTCCTCCCCGGAATTATCTACACTACAAGTCATCATAGCTTCTTAACCGACCTACTTTAATACCTTCTATTGAATTTATTTCTTCTACTCCTATTCTAGGACACATAAGCCTCCGACACAATGAAGCTCACTTTCCTCACCTCTACCCTCTTCCTGGCTGCTGCTGTCGTGGCTGCGCCCGATGGCATTGATGTGAACTCGATCGTCTCCGATGCTCAAAACGTTGCCTCCGCCGCCGCCTCCGGTGGAGAGTCCATCGGATCTGAGGCCGCCGCTGCTGCGACTTCCATCGCGGAGGCCGCTTCCACTGGCGGCGCTGCTGCTATCTCTTCCCTAACAAGCGAGGCTGCTTCTGTTGCGTCCGCCGCCCAGAGCGCTGGCGAGTCTATTAGCTCCGACGCTGCCAGCCGTGCCTCGACCTTCCTGAGTCAATTCACTACCACCAACTCCGCTGGCCAGATGACTACCGAAACCTCTACAATCACCTCCTCCCCATCCACGTCTGGTACCCAAACTACTTCTGGATCCACAAGCACCAGCACTGGTGGTGCTATGGCTCGCCCAAATGCTATGGGCGCTGCCGCTGCCGGTATGGCCGGTATGCTGGGTTTTATGGCCGCCCTATAAATACGCAGTTGATATTTCAATGGGTCTGCCTGTATACCATTTATTGATACTTACCCTCTACTATGGCCTTTCTCATGACATTTATTGGATTTTTCACAAAATCTCTCCTTGCATTTAACTCAGAAGAGTAGATATGGTACTGGCGTTGGAGGCTGTACACTTTATCATGACATGTTCCAATGTAACTTTTTTTTCACTTGCTTTCTGAAACAGCAGAATCCGTATAGTTTTCTTGCCCTCCGAGCTTTCCGTAGAACGCCTTAAATTCGAAGCGGATACAGTGCAGTAGACGAGACAGCAACAAATTATCACTTACACGTGTACAGCTATGAGAATTTTAAATATCCGGCAGTTAAAGAGAAATTCTAGAATTTATTCTATACAGTCATTCTCGATATCAGCTTCACCAATACACACAGACTCTTTCTCGGCCCAGCCGCTAAGGCTTTAGCACAGATTATTTATTGAGCTGGCCGTATCAAACTAAGGGGAGCAGTAAAATGCGCTATGTATGATACAAGTAATAGGCTAGGTAATATTACGTTACTGTGTATGACAAGAAAACTCATGGAATCCTATAGAATTCTTTAGTGGATGGCTGCAGATTATGTAGGGAAGGCTACCTTGTGCTAAGTAATTGAAGACCTGCTGGGAGACGTCGTTCTCCTTCTCTTCCTTCTTCCTCCTCTTCTGCAAGGTGTGCTAGTTATCACTTTCGAGGGCGTCTATTTAGCCTAGAGAACCTCAACTAGTGGGACTAGCAGCTAACGACTATCCTAACTAGTTAGAGGTTGTTTATAGGCGAATAGCACCCTCAACGGCGCCTAATAGTGTAAGCCTTACCTAACTATCACTCACCCTTAGTCTTTCGTTATAGTAACACTAAGAAACTAACTCAAAGTTCTCTCTGCTATTGTGAATATAACGTTTAACGAAGCGTATCGCTTGACCTGTAGGACAATATATCACAATATGCACCAACGCCTGGCTATGCACCAACACCTAGCTATGCCCTAACACCTAGCAACCCCTCTTAGTTACCTACCCTCCCGTTGTTACGCGCTGCTAACTGGTTAACGTAAAATGTGCGTTATCGTAACGTACCTCTCTCGTAAGCTCCGACGATCTATCTCGCAATCGTACCGTTGCCTACTCTGGCCTTACACGGGCTCGGATCTATAGAGTAGACCGAAAACGTATGTAGTTAAAGGGCGCCTAGTTAGTCGACGAAGTAGTTATAGGATAACTACTAAGTGTCTGTCATATGATATTGCAACATAAGGCTATTCCCAACTCAATGCCTTAAGGTGTCAGTTCGACACCTTATCGGCCAGGCTTCGTAATAACAGCCCCACTTCTCCTCAACATGGATACATGACCTACAAGGCCCTGAGGGTTCGGTGCCCTTCCATTAGGGATTCGTGAACCCCTCTTTCCTATAGCCTTTGCTTACCTCTGTTATATATAGGCTGCATCAGACCGTATATTGTAATGTGATCTATCGCCTTTGCTTCGGCTATGTAGGAAAGTGTTGAAACCTATACATAAATTGAGGATCATAGAGAGATCTATAATAGCAAGAAATAGTGTTTTGCCTTCCTTACTTGACGTCTATCTTCCTACCTAGTCGACAGGCTTTCTACCGTGTACAAGTAGTTATTCCCTAACAATATAGTCACGAGACACTACTATATTCGCTTTTTCTAGAGCCCACGAAAAGCCTACAGGCCTACTATAGGCCAACAGGCTGAGCCTACAGCCCACCGTGGGCCTAAGGGCCGGGCCCAAAGCCTAAACTATTCGTGGGTTCGGTTAGGTTAGGCTCGGGCCCGTGTAGGCTTTGGCGATGTCTAGTGTGGCGCACCCACAACCCGGAAGGGTTAGGGGGGCGGTATAAGGCACTAATATGTGGCAGGGCCACATAATAGGAAGCTGGTCTAACCCGTTACATTAGGTCAATCTACCTAGACAATACCAACCTTTCTAACTCTCCCTTAACAATCCTTTTAATATTTTCGATCATCTCGGTTTCTACTATCCGTTCCTGCCAGGTAAACCCCAATGCCAATCTTCCATCCCGCCCTGTCACAGCACTAATCTTGATCGCGGCGCTGCAAGCACTAGAGCTTTGGCTGAACAAAATACTCTCAATCTCAAAAGTCGATCCTCTCTAGATAGTGAAACTTAGCCCGACGTTAGACAGCTCAAATGCACTCATCCTTTTTTGACCCAGTTTTTGTAACATCCAATGATGCTGGTTTGGAATGACTGCCAGGTATTCAACGAGCATATCGCCACCTTTCTTTGCCATAGCTTGTTTGATGCTCATCTTGGCGCGGCGGGCCTCACCTCAATCAAAACACTTCATCCTGCAGTATGTCGTAAATAGTGAACCGACGTAGCATCCTAAAGTGGTAGCGGTGACGGGCTTTAGAAGAAATCTTCGTAGTGACACCGCGCATTCGGCTTGTAGTGTATTCTATCTTGGCGGAAGAACAGAAAAAAGGCTCATCGCAATTAGCGTTTGAAGTGCCGCTGTAACTGATGTTTGTTCCGTCTTACTCATTGATGTAAGACCTTTTGTCTCAGCCTTAGATAACCACAAAGAGGAGAAGTAGGTCTTCACGGGCGCGAACTAGGGAGCAGCAGTCGAGATGGCTCGTGGTACTTCTCTTGAGCTTGCAAGAAATTCTGCGATACAGGGAGCTTATATAAGTCTTCTAGTGGAGGAATAAGCGCATCGGTGGGGCTATAGATCGTCTCACTTGGCTCAAGACCGTTATATTGAGCAATATATTCTTCTAGCTCCTCATGAAACGAAAGAGCGCTTTTGGTGTCCATCAGCGAATGATGAAATATGAACACGAGAGTGAAATGTGTGGGAAACTCGTTGCTCTCTAGAAAATATAACTTCCAGAATGGAGGATTCTTGTTTGGCTGTACCTCGAAGGTGCAACTGTGTTGCTCCTCAAGGAACTTGTCGAGGGCATCTCTCCAATCCGAGCTCGGAGGATGACCATCATATTTCACAAACCCCACCGCGTCATTAAGTGTGATCTTGGGAAGGCGTAGAAAATAGGGATTTGGTGTATCAACAGCAAATGGAATGGCCGAAAGTATAGGATGCTTCGAGATGAGAATCGACAAAGCGTGATAGAGTGCGGGTTTCACGGGTACTCCGCTTGCCCGCTTGTAGCGGACTGTCAGACCCACGTTGAGATACATTTCCAAGTGACTCCGTGTTGCTGAATACTTTTCCCTATGTCCTAGTGATTGTCAGAGAAGCTCAGATTCAAGGAAGCATAGAACCTTACCGAGCGGGCGCAATGGCGTAGGACTTGTCTCAGGGAACACTTCCTTCATGACGACAAAGAAAAGGGTGAGAGAGGTTCAGCCGGAAATGGTTTAAATGTAAGGATTAAAAGTCAGGACGGCGACGACCTCTAGATTATCTTGCAATGCCCAGTGCGAGATTAAGTAGCCCTTCGCTACTCCGACCCGGGTACGTGTACCCGCATTCGCCCAAAAAAGTGCTATATCATGTATATGCCCCCACCAAGCCACAATACCGGCCCCCGCCCGCTAGTCAACTTACAATATTTTCGTCTGTATGCATTCAGAGCTGTCGTCCTGAGCTACCAGCCGACGACAGAGGAGTGCCAGAATCGAGGTATTAGGAAAATCCAGGGAGCTAGAATATATGGTGCCTAGAGTCTACCCATCCATCTTACTCATCAGTGCTATGGGCAAGCTTCTGGATATCTATAACCAATGATGGGACCCTGTCGAAGACCGCTCCAGCTTAACAATGGACATGAAGTTATCGACACCAGAGTCGCCAGGAGATGTTACTTTCACAGGGGATCAGTTCACGCATGTGCGTCAGGGTTCCTCTGCAGCGAGATATGTCTTTCCATATAACAGATTGATGGCTGGACCATCTAAAGAGCGGAGTGTGCCGCAAGCCCGAGAATCCTAATCTCCAAAGATAAGCATTAATATGATGAAACAGTAAGCGCTTTTGTGAAATTGAATAGTATTGTTCCTGGCGGTTATGCGATTCACTGGCTCTATGTGGCCATCTTAGGTTCGTACAGCATGTATAAACTCCTTAAGCAAACAGGGTGTCAGGTCTGGTTGGCCGTGGGCTAGCTGGTTCACACCCGTATTAAAGTCGTGATGAAGAATCCCAGCAATGAGGTAATGACTTTTGTGTACAGCTTCCTTCGCGATATCATCATAATGAAAAAGTCACTAATTCTTAAGACAGTACGAATTACGTTCCGTAAGGCATTGAACCTCGGACATTACTCACGGCGTACACAGTCGTAACCGAGGTCTTCCACTTCCACTAAATCACTCCTATCCCTATACCTCTATGCTGGCCTGGATAAAAGGGAGACGGGGGACAATGCTTTCCGTCCTTACTGGAGTACTAAAAGCGGATTTCTAAGTGGTGTTAATTATTGAGTGGGTTACTCTCAGCGAAAGGATAGACAGTATCTACCAAAACATGCGGCAACTATTATTCCACGCAGCCTCGACAACCTCTCCTATGGTCACCTCTTTTAGCCCGGCTACCACCAATCCAACTTGCTCAATGGTGCAGCTCTCATTCCTACCCTTGACTATCTGTCCGAGGATGAACTTGTTGTGCTTTCGACTTAGTGTTAAGACCCTTGCTGTCGCCAGGTACGTTTCAATCCTTGGGTCGTTTCTCACAATCTCACACCACGGAGCATCTGTCTCGAGCTAGAATTTGTCTAAAGGGATATGCTTAACTATTTCGATCTGCTCTTCTGTCCGGAACGAGATGCTATTCACGCTTATCTCAAGGCCTAGCTCCACTAAGCGAAGTATTTCAGCCTTTGTGCTAGGCGAAACAGTGGACCAAACTACCTCGTGGCAAGCTGGATAAATATAGTTCTATAATCGAGATAAAATCTGTAGTGAATTCCCGGATATACAAAAAAAGGGGCAGTTGGAAGTGAGTCGCTAGCTCTAGCTGTCCTCAAAAGGCGCGACGTTGTGTCTCTTTGTCCGCTCGATCAAGGTAGGTATAGTCAAGACTAATCTCCCTAAATGCTGCTAATAGAGTGGATTTTTCGGAAAGTAGCATATCTCCTATAATTTTTAGAGAATCAAGATATATATTTTAGCTTTCTTGAGATATTTCTCCAACATAGAGCTCAGCAGCACAGTATAGATGCACGCCGAGAGTTATTTTGCATATTTCGGGAAACTCTCTCACAACCTGAAGATTTCTTCGGGCTTCATTTAGTGACGTTGTAATCAGTATGACTTTGTCGCACCCATGTTCTTTGACTCTCTTTAGTACTTCTTCGAAGTCTGCTTCATGATACTGCTTGTCTCTGTAAATACCATGGAATTGATCGGCAGTATAAGTGACAGCCACCCATAATATTATAAGCCTTTTGTAGCCTAAGTTAGCGGTAACCGTGGGGGAGTTTTGGCACATCAAAAAACCTCAACGAAGAATTTCTGGTTGGTTGCGCCATCGCGCTATCTAAAATACGCAAGAAGGGGAGCTGACTCGTTTGTTTGAGTATTAACGGGCCTTTTCAGGTCAAATCTGAAACCATGACCTTGAGATTTCCTCTCACAAAATAAGACGACTGATATATCAGTTGCTTGAAATTTAGTCACATGATTGTTTCGTTGCAAGTTCAGCTTCAACTTTTTCTGCGCGGGTGCATGTACCCGAGCTATCTCGGATACATACATCCGGGACTGGCAAAATCGAAAATCAGCCTTACCATCGTAGGCTCGCCCAGTGCTCGGCAGGCATCTCTTCGCAGTGCTGAGGATTAATATTCAATCAACGGGCTTGACTGATTGCTAATGGAGAAAGCTAGGACCTGCCTAAGGCTTGAGCGGCGAGACGGATTGAGATGCGACCTTTTAACGCGTCTTCTACTCTCGTCGGTCGGTTTGAGCATGTTAATTCTGACACGACATTTAATTGGCATGATATTCAATTAGCCCGAGTTTTGCATTTCAGTGCACTCTCCCCACTCTACATCAGCTTCAGGCATAACCTTCTTCTAATCGAGAAGAAAGTGAAATGATTTTAGGCCCCTATGATTTCTGATTCAGTAGCATGATGTCCTTAGAGGGTATTGTGCTCATACTCAACAATGAGACAAACCGACTTGATCAAAAGTACCAGAGGGTCATAGTCAAACACTGGCAGTGTACCCGTATTCGTTCTTTCGTATTCGCTCCTCGGGGAGATTCGAACTCAGTGTTGATTACTTACACAGCGCTCTAATTTATCCCAGATATATGGAGTATGAGGCTTTGGACTACAGACAAATGAATTATCCACTCTTCTCTTCGGCAAATCGCGACTATCAAAGCTATGGTTGCCTAAGAAGTAACCCAGTGCGTTATGCTTTAAATCTAGGGATCAGTGATCCACTGAACGCTTCTGGTCAGGACCCACAAAAATCCACTAAGCCGTTGACTTCCATTGGATGTCGTATATTCGTACACTAAACCTATATTGCCAGGTTGGGTGAATGGAAAGGGTGGATGTTCCAAGAGTCGCAATGTACTGACTCTATCTTAAAGGCACTTACTTAGCTTTAAAAAACCCCATGGCTGGAAATGGTCCAATGCTCTATCTACACCTTCAAATTTCCTAGCGAACCTCTTCACAGCCTTCTTAAATCTTTCATCCTCTACACCCTTTTGCCTCATTTCACACTCCATCATGAGTACCTCCGGAGAACACGTTGCTTTTCAACTTTACCGATATACACCTTCCCTCCCTGCAGCTGTGATCTTCGCCGTCCTGTTCATTCTGACCACGGTATATCATATTTACCAACTCGCCAAAAGTCGCTCTTGGTACTTCGTGGCATTCGTCTTAGGTGGAGTTTGTAAGTTTTTATCGGACATCGGCCATGAAACTCAATAAATAGTGGCTAACTATTATTGCCTAAAAGTTCAAATAATCGGGTACATTGCACGAGCGGCGGCGCACACAAATACTAAAAGTGTACCTATTTATTCGATCCAAACAATTCTAATTTTGCTGGCACCGCCGCTCTATGCTGCGTCCATCTACATGGTCCTTGGAAGATTGGTTCGGCATCTTCGGGCTGAAAGTTACAGTATGGTACCGTTGAAATGGATGACAAGCATATTCGTGACGGGCGATGTGATTGCATTCTTGATGCAAGCAGCAGGTACGTCTCTCCCAGCGGATCGATATATTACCTATTTCAAGTGTAGCGTGGTAACAAGGGTCTTTTATAGGCGGAGGAATCATGGCGAGTGGTACAATTAGCGCAATGCAAACCGGCGAACATATTACAATTGGGGGCCTCTGTGTGCAGCTTGTCTTCTTCACATTCTTTGTGATCACGTCGGTTGTCTTCCACGTTCGCATCCGTTCGAGACCAACTCAGCAAACAATCGGGGCAAGACAAAACCACGGATTGCGAATCACGCGCAGCTGGGAGTCCGTTCTTTGGGGGCTGTACGCTGCCAGCATTTTGATTTTGATACGATCGGTCTTCCGTCTCATTGAATACGCGCAAGGCAATGACGGCTATTTGATTAGCCATGAAGCTTTCATGTATATTTTCGATTCGACGCTGATGTTTGTTGCCATGGTGGCCACGAACGTGCTTCACCCTTCTGTGATATTGACTCCGAGTCGTAAGGGTGATCTAAACTCGATGGAACCTTTGAGATCTTTTTCACGGACGCACTGAGAGCTTTGACTGTAATTCGACCGGTCTGCTTACGGAGCGGAAAAGGTGAATAAGGAACAAAATATTTCAGGTCACTGCTTGAATCCTGTACCGTTCAAAAAGACTAGAGTTGAGCGTTTGCCCACGAAGCATTTGGATAAAATCAACCCCCATGTTAAAGATTGTTTTTAGAGTAAATTGTAAAATTCTGAATTCGAAGACTATTATTCTACTAGATGCCTTCCGCAATTTGGCGAATTTGAGAATTTGACCCACTTTTTGGTGCGATGGCGCCTTTAAGCAGCTCCTTCCAGGCCACAGACCTTTCTTGGCCACCGAATCCATTTCCGTAATTCCAGCGGTAAAGACTCAGTAATCTCAGCAAGGAGCTTTTGGTACCAGCCGTGGAAAAACCAGTAATCATCAAGATGGTGCAAAACAATACAGTAATGTGCTAGAAGTACCAGAGCAACCGGTGCTAGGTGCATCAAGAGATGGATAAAATCTCGCTGCAACAAAATCGGCCACACAAAAGCCGCTCCAGGCTCCAATGGTTGATTGGCGACGCAAAGAAAGCGAAATGCTATTTCTAGCTTCTTCAAAGCATCTAGGTAACCATTTCGCTCCTGGGTTTCGAGCTCTTGTTTTCTGATGAAGTCGGCTAACTCAGCAAGTTGTGGCTCTTTTGTATAGGCTAGCCCAGTGAGGCCGCCACTTTCGGTACGCGTTAGCTCTTATGTCATATCATCATGAAACTTTGCAAATCTTGCGTAAGCGGTACCTTGATAGATCGATAAGGAGCCTGTAGTCCTCGTGAAGCAAGGGCCGCAAGGAGCATTGTTGGATCTCACGACGATATGGGGCAAGGATTGTCTCTACCCCTCGGCACATGTTGAAAATTTTCATTAATATTTCAAGGTGTGAAAGCGAGGTTGCCGAATTTCTTTCTATGGCTGATTGCGCGCAGACATAAATGGCCATAAGAGAAGACAAGCCAAACAAGGGCACACAGTTCTCTGTTGATATGCTGGCGAGCTTTTCTCTGAACCGACCAAGCGATATTTGCAGATGGTATGTAGATAAACTTGCATAGTCATGTCTCTTCTCATAATTTGACGAGTCTAAATGCAAAGCTGACAATGCGAGTAGGCCATGCATAAGGTAGTCACACGTATAGGCTTCTTTGGGAACAGCGACAGCCCACGTGTCCTGTATGTTGTTGCGATGGGAGAGCGTTCTGGCGACTGACGTACTAAAGTGGTGCATCAGCTCAAGGTCTTGCGCTAATAGTTCTGCCTTGCTAGAAATGTCACGAAGCGAGGGTCCTGCAAGGGATTCCATCGCGCCAATCACCGAACTGGAGACCGTTTCATCCGTCTTGGACGTTGGAACCTTCGCACGAACAGGACTCCGCTGTTTCCGTCCTAGGTCCGTTTGATAGACACAATCGCTCTGGTACTTGAAACAATTGTGACAAGGTTGCTGTTCATTGCACTGCAAAGAGTGTTAAGATGTGGAAGAACATGACAATATGTTAGGCTGAATACCTTCACTCTGCGCCTCTTACATTCGGTGCAGCCATTACGTGACTTCCGATGAGGTCGTCGAATTGGCATAGTGTACCCTTGTATTGCTAGTGGACAACCCTGCCGAGTCGAGAAATAGGAGGTTTATTACATGTCTAACTCAGACGAGACAAACCCTTCAGGCAGTCATTGTTAGGCCATGCCAAGACCCGCCCATGAAAACCCAACCCACAGATTAGGTTTAGGTCTTAGTCAGCAAAGCCGTGGCGTCTAGTTAACTAGTGAACCAGGGCGCTCTGCGGCAAGCCTGAGAATGCAGGCCAGATGAGATAGGTCGGCGAACAGACCAACAGACCACCATATACCACGATAGAGGAAGCTTCCTAAAAGAGAAAGCAGAAGCAGATAAAGCGAAGAGAGTATGAAAGTTGGTTCTCTCCCTATCGGAAATGCGAAGCTATATCCTGTAACGACTATGTAGTAGGAAAGATATCCTCTAATCAGATATCTCCCTAGTATTGGCCATTTCCCCAGTACACTAGTTAGGATAGTCGTTAGCTGCTAGTCCCACTAGTTGAGGTTCTCTAGGCTAAAGAGACGCCCTTGCAAGTGATGACTAGCACACCTTGTAGAAAAGGAGGAAGAGAAGAAGGAGAACGATATCTGCTAGCAGATCTTCAAGTTACTTAGCGCAAGATAGCCTTCCGTATATGATCTGCAGCTATCCATTAAAGAATTTCATGGAATTCTATGAGTTTTCTTTTCATACGTAGTAATGCAATATTACCTAGCCTATTACTGTATCATACACAGCGCATTTTACTGCTCCCTTTAGTTTAATGCGGCCCGCTCAATAAATAATCTGCGCTAAAGCCTTAGCGGTGGGGCCGAGAAAGAGAGTGCAAGTGTGTACCGGTGAAGCCGATTTCGAGAATGACTAACACATTCGCGACTCGAAACTTGTTCAATGACCTCGCTAGAGTTTTACTCGCAAACCAAGGTCAACGCCCTTGTCAAGTATTATCAGGACGATGCGCACGGACATGAGTAGAACAAAAAGCAGCATGGTTGTCAAATATTAAACAGTAAATAATGATGTTGGGTAGATCTTCACTTGGCAATGATTTGATTAAATATTCAACCCACAACTCTTATAGCTATCGACTCTCCCAGAATTGCGCGTCGATGGCGATTAGTCGATTAAAGAGCTGATTTCGTGACCTCATGCCAGTCAAATGAAACGACTGCTCTAGCTCTTTACCATTGATCACCAACCCATCCGCAGCCTCTTTACTGCCCGCCGTGAGCTCCACAATCAACTTACCTTTCCATCCCAGACCTTCGGTTTTCTTCAATTCCTGGATATCCGTCACAGGTATTTGGAACAATACTGAGCCTTTCTTGCGGCTCTCAATGCATAGGTCATCCAGGCCTGCCGACTGGTACGTGGTAAAGTACAGTATGGGTGGCTCCTTGGACGAGTCAATAACTGCAGCACCACGCTTGCGCTCAAATTTTGCATCAAACTTTAGGGGCCCGAATGGCGTGGTGAGAAAGTGTCGCTTTTGGAGCATGCTGATCAAGTTTTTGGTGTGAGCTGAGCCAGCGATGGCCATCGCTCGGTCAAAAGCTATGTGACCTTGGATCGCGGTCGCTATTGTTCGGCGAACATACTTCAGCATCTTGAAAACCCATCTTCTCTTAGGCTTTGCTGGCAAGGGATCATCAAGAGGTTGGCTTTGTAAATCAATGGTTTCTTGATCACTCTGTGACATGGATAATGCTGTCTTGGACTTCTTGCGACGAATTGGCCAGGATGGCTCATTGTCGTCCGACGTCGGTGGTGGAGGTATAGGCGAAGAATTGATTTCGCCAATTCTCAAAAGAGTCAGAGTAAGTTGTGCATTGGTAGGGACCCCTTTCAGCAATGTTCTATTTATCACGTTAGTTAGATCCGCGATTTTCCTGGACTGTTATATGCAACATACTTCTGTATATCCATATGCTCCTTCCAGTCCGGAATTTTTCTATTCAAGATGTGCAAAGTGTGGGCAAAAAGTGGCCCACCAAAGAAACCTAGTCCAATGATGAATCCGAGGGATTTGATCATCCAATAACTCGACATGAATGGCGTCGCCAAGCTTATTATGCTCAAGATTCCCGAGAGACGTAGTCGAGAGCCTATCAACAAAAATGGAGGCGTCGGAGATAGGAGACTATCTTGATCAGCCATATCTTCAATAACAACTTGTATCCTATTTCCAGTTACTGACTTGGCAAATCTTTCATAAATATCCGTTATATCACTTATTAAGCGCATCGTGCTGTCCGTGCCCTGAGAAACCTTACTTTTCACTGGTTTCTTTGTCTTGTCTTCCAATGCAGGACCTTCGTCAGTAGGAACGGCCAGATGGTCCCCTGCTTCGGAAATTAAAGGTAATTCAGGGGAGTCTTCAGGTATAGTTTGGCCATATTTTGCAGCTGCGCTTTCTATCGCAATGCTCGCCATACTGTCAACTAAGTTCTTGGCTTCTTGCTCTGCTGTTTCTCCTTTATGGCTCTCCGGAACACCCGTGAGGCTATCTTGCGATCCTGGTTGTCCAGCAGCCTCCGTGTTCTGAGGCTTCAATGAAGAATCTGGTAGTTTTGGAGCACTGGGGAATAGCAGTGGTCGAATAGGTGGAAACATGATCAACGCAATCACCGCATTTAGAATGGTGGGAACCAGAAGGTCTAGGTACCATGAAACAAAATATACCTGTTCAAGACTTAGCTCTTTCATACGAATTAGCACGTCTATAAGATAGATCTTACCAGAGTGAATAAAGATGTCCGGCCTGGCTCTCTCCATGACCGTAGGCGACCAATATGCCTGCAGAATTCCACAACCCCCACGATGACAGATGTATAGAACCTTTCAATGGTCATCCGCAGCTTTTCAGGCGGAAACTGCTCATTCTCTGCCCGGTTGAGATCCAAGTCTTGAGCCTCCGCACCTTGATTGGCTTTCACATGGTATATTTGCTGGTCACATGTCAGTTTCTACGGCCCCCCCAAAGATTGGCTAAACGTACTTTGTTAAAGCGTCGGATCAACATCCACAGATCTTCATTGGAGAGCCCTTCCGAAAGTGTTTCCTCCACAGTCCGCGTTGCCGGTTTCCATTGCTGTGTCGTTGCTTTCTTATTCGGTACGGCTCCCCCTGGCATTTCCCCAAGACCACGAGTCTCTGCGTCTGCCGCTTCCTCAGACTTACCATCTTGATTACTCATAGTGGTATAAAGTAAAGGTAATCCAACGGAGGACCAAATTTCAGGCAGCCGGTCGCGGTGATATGTTGTGAATGTTGTTACCTAGCTCTGAGAAACAACCCTGCGCCGGGACGAGGGGAGTGTGGGGTTCGACGTCATTGGTGGCTATTTTTGGAGGATGATCGGCATTGGTTGCGGAGAATGTTGGGACGCGAAACGAATTATTTCGCGAACAGAATTGTCAATTATGAGGGTTAATAAATGGTATAACGGTACTATGAAGAGCGGAATTGTATTTTCACATCATCAACTACATCCTATTTGGAACTTAAGCACATAAAGGCTGTGTAATAAGGGACTCGATCTCATATTTCTCCTGAACACATATGTTAACGGTAGTATGGCCCAATTATAACGGCGGCAGACCTATTATGCTATGGATTACTCCTTTTTACACCAGGTGAAGTCGGTGTTTGCACAGAAGCAGGGGCTACATATGAAGTGCTTTCCGAAACAGTCGAGCGACCCTCATCGACTGTGATGCGTGGACCAATGAACCAATGACGTGCAAAGAGGAAGTAATAAGCCATGCAACCAATCCAAACAAACCCATTGATCACAATGGTATAATTCATGTCCGCAGCTAGATTAAAGTGTTGTTAGCAATTGCCGGAGTAGGCTGGGGGCAAACTGGACAACATACGATCCGGACTGGGCCCCGTAGTTGGGAACATGGATAAAATGAGCCCAAATAGTAGATATACCACAGAAATCCACGCGATTGGTTTGCTGAAGCGACCGGTATAGAATTCACCAGGATAGAATTTATCCTCACCCCAAACCAATCGACAGAAAATCGGCATTCCCCAGGAGAGATAGTTGCTGGCGACGAAGAGCGAGAATAAGGCATTCGCGGCGGCATTATTGATGAGGCATAGCAAGCCTAGCACGAGACAGATAACATCTAGGCCACAAATCATACGGACAGGCTGATACTGGATCCGTTTACTGACATGACGGAAGAAATTGGAGAACGGAAACGCGCCATCGCGAGAGAAGGCCCACGCTTGGCGAGAGGCAGCAACAATCTGAGACCACTAGTCAGATGGCGAAGATCGCTCATCGGGATCAAAAACTTCATACCAGGCTTAGTCCAATGAGGAATTGCACAATACAAAGTACAATCATAAATCCGAGAGCGCCATTTTTGCCGAGCGCATCGTAGTATATCTGGATTTGTTATTGAAATCCAACATGCAATATTGAGCAGCTTAGTCTCACCTGTGCCATAGGCTGGCCAAATTTGCTGTTAAGAGTTTGCGAGACGTCGGGATTCATAGTAGCAGCCATAACAGAGAGCACCAGGAAGCCAAAAATGCATGCAGAACCAGCCGAGAACATGATTCCCAGGGGAACGGCTTTGGCGGCGTGCAGTGCCTCTTCGCTCATATGGACACAGGAATCAAATGATCCTATAGACCAGATGGGCGCAAGCCAAGCGAGAATAAATGCCCAGCCAGTTGGCCATTCGGTTCGATTTTCCACGTGCCGGAAGACATACTCCCCGGAATTAAGGGATTCGCCGTGTGATACCTTACCAACTGGCAATGCAATGACCGTGGCAACGACGAGAGCAATGTTGATATATATGCAAAATGTCTGGATTTTGGGCATTAAGCGACCGCTGAAGACTGCGGCGATGCCATGCAAGAAGATTAATCCCACATAGACTGCGTAAATAACGCCGCGCGAGGCTGTCCATTCCGTATCCCGGGAAATGGAAACGCATGAGAGAATCATAAGGGATAGTGTATCTGGGGAACCAAATGGTAGGTTAGATGAAAGCTACAAAAAGCGAGAGGATTTGGTAACTCACAATCGACCGAGCAAATGCCGCCAATGAGACCAAGGGTGTTGCTATACCCAATCAAGAAACTTAGCGGATTCTTGAATTTCTCGCCAGCAAAGTAATGCGTCCACCAGTACAAGCCACCAGCGGTAGGCATTGCAGAGGCAAGGTCAGACTAGACACTGTCAGTATTTTGCCGAAAATTTGCCCGGGGATAGAGAGTTAAAAGTACCATCGCTAAGCCCACCATGAAAATGAATATGCTGGCCGTGAACCAACCCTATCCAACGATCGGTATCTCTGTTAAAAATCGGGAAAGAATAGAGGGTAGGGGTTTCCAGAATAAATGCTTACCCAAACCATACCAACTGGTCCCGCGGGTAGAGAAAATGAGATAGTTGACGCGATGGAGGGCACCAACCCCATGATACTAAATGCGATCGCAAATACCTGTGGAGTGGTATATTGCCTTTTCAATTCCTGTTTATATCCCATTTTGGCTTTGCGATGGGATTAGCATGCGATCGGTAAAATAACGCCGTTGTGCTCGCTGAAAGCTCACCAAGCAATTCCAAGTCGCCGGAGTCTGTGAGCCCCGGCTCGACAGCCGTGCCCCCGAATCCGGGATCGTCATCGACCCGTTCAGCTGAGGTGGTCGTGTGCATGACGGAGAGAACTCAAAATGGGTCAGCCAGATCGCAAGGCATGGCTGTCGAAGTTCTCTTAAGAAACCTCTGTCGAGAAATAGAGTTGGCGGGCTCAGCTAGAGTCAGCAACAGACTTTGCCAGATAGGGAGGGCGTTCAGGGATGTCGCGTAACCGAGAGATGGGCGATAGAGTGGATCTGCAAATCTTCGATTCTTCTTGCGGGCCCGAGATACAACTGGCCAACGGGGATCAAACGCTGGGAGGGGCTCCAGTGAGGGTCGTAGTCTATGTTTTTGTAAATTTGCAGATAATTATCTAGCTAGCAGGTCTCTTCCTTTCGATCGAATTGAAGGAAGGCATCGTTTTCCGACCCCTGCTGGGCATTTCTTATCCTTCCTTTCCCGAGATTCCGTCCTTGCATACAAGGTTGGAGCGGGCTTTGGTGGAGCCTCCGACACACCAATCCGCGTCGTAGGCCAGTTTTCACGCCCCCTGTCCGCTGTGTAGTGCGCGGGGTTGCTCATCGTGAGGAGACCGTTATTGGCCATTCCCTGGCACAATACCCTTTGTATATCCCCGTGGACGCTATAGCTGCACGTTGTACGGGTTAGTCTGGATGATGGATCTGTATCCCCGGTTCATCTCCGTCCCTGAAGAGGGCATGCTGCTGATTGAGGCGGCTGATCGGCGTGGAATTGGGGCCATTCATGCAGCCTAGTCATGCAGTGATTGAGAATGAAATTGGCCTTGGCGAGACAGGGGCAGCTATTCAAGGCCAATGAACGACATTCACCTCCCACCGGGGAGCTGTCCGCTGTGTGGTATTTTGTGGAGTTTCTCCTCGGCAGGTTCTACGGAAGTCTGCGAGCGTGGAACGCCCCTAGGGGCCGCGAAAGGGAAGTAGGACACACCATAGTAAAGTAGGACACACCATAGTAGTAGAAAATAAAGAGCGCATAAGTTGCTATAGACATCGGGGTTGCTTCATAATATCAAATATTTATATCACACCGCTAGTTCCTGCCCGGGGCCATATCCCCACTACACTATTTAAAGGCTTCGTTTGGCAGTTAATTTGGGCACGTCCCGAGTCAGATTTCAAATAACTTTCGTCGCTGAATTCGAATACTCCACCGGTCGCAATCTCTTACGCATATCGTTTCTACTGCCACACTACTTATCCACGGTAGACACGAACCCCAGATATCAGATATGGGACAGGACCACATTAACCTAAGCACCATTGCTAACAAGCACTTTTCTTGGGAATTTCAGACAAATAATCGAATGTCATCTATCATCAATAAGATACGTTATTATGAGTATGTATGAACATGAAGGGGAGTTTCAATGTAAGTATTATCTGACTTTACTGATTGGTGATTCAATGAAGACTTCAGGTATCAATAAATAAGAAAGCAGCTGGCAGGCTTCGATCTTACTGAGCCATTACCACTGTAGAAATCACTTAAGAATATGCCATCAACAGGATGGTTTCTGTACGAGAAAAACCTAGACCTGTTGCTCGGGCGCCACATCGTTGGACTCCTGATTACCGTTGTGTAGAGTATCGGTAAAAGTGTTGTCCGACGGAGCCATGGAGGCTTTTCGTGCCTTGATCTCCCACTCATTGAGATCCTGACCGGGATTGATGTTCTCCCAGCGGACCCAGCACAGAAGGTGGTAAAAGCCAGAAGCAAGTAGCGAGCCCAACAAAGGACCGACCCAGTAAATCCAATGATATCCAGGGAAACTTCGGTTGATGGTGTCTGGCCCCAGCGATCGAGCAGGATTGAGGGAACCACCCGTGTAGAAGTCACCTTAAATGAAGAGCATGGTAAGATAATAGATATGAAGATGTCGTCTGCGATAAAACTTACCAACCATCTCACATAGGAAAAATGCGAGACCAATGCCAACTGGAGCCAGATATGTCGACTTGTGCTTGACAACGGCCAACATGATGATAACCAGCACCAATTGGGCAGTCAGGAACATTTCAATGAACAGCCCTTGAGAGATGGAAGCGCCACCTCCCAGTCTAGTTGCGACATTGAGTGGCCCAGGGAACAGAGCGCTGACAACACCGGCTGCAGCAATACCAGCAACGAGTTGAGCTGGGAACACCATCAAACCACGAAGAGCTGGCATACCACCAGTTAAGCAAAGAGCGAGAGTGACCTATCAGAATTAGATTCATGTCCCAGATGAATACTCAAAGATCGTACCGCAGGATTAAAAAGACCGCCAGTCACACGGAAAAATGCCCAGACATTGACAGTCAGAGCGAAGCCGAAGCACAGCGAGGAGTACAGGAGATTTGAAGTGTTAGGATCCGAACCTGGCTCAGGCTTTGGGGTGTTTGAGACTTGGGTTCCTGCAAAAGAAAAGAATAAAAACAAGAAAGTGCCAACGAACTCTCCCATCATGCAGAGCAAGTTGAAGCGCAGCTTGTCCGGCATCTGCAGCATAGGTAGCTGGCCACGGCCGCCGGGTCCAGAGGGGCCACCCAGAGTGGAAGTCTGGGAGACTTCACGCTTGTGATTGCCAAACATAATGATATCGACTATTAGTGAAATGATATGCTGCAAATAAGCGAGTGTTGCCCTTCCAACTGCCTAGCCTTTGAAAAATCGGAGTGGTTTCCTTAAACTAGTCCAGAGAAACCATTACCCAGTGGCTACGGCTAAGTGACGAGATATTTATTCAATGTTTAAATTTCTCGCAGACGTCACTATAGAGACCATATCACGGCAAAATAAATGTCCATGTATCATCGACCTTGTCTTGGCATGGGGAGAGTTGGCAAGTATATGTTCCGCGAGGCTTTCGCAAAGCCATTTTCCCAGTATTGTTTCCTAACTGGGGTGATAGATACAACGATAACCAGTTCTGTGTCTCAGGATGCTCAATGATGAGGTCAATATTTCGCCTGGCTCATTTTATGGATGGACGAATCCCCAGGGTTCTTGTTGGGCGGCAACACCCGGCCTTCCGCATCCGGACAATGCTGGACTGTCTAGAACTTTCAAGCCAAACTTTCAATGGGATATCACTTGGTGATTGGTCAATTTTTAACAATTTTTATGTGGGTCATTTAATTATTGGCTCAATGTAGATTCCTTGTGGTCCTATTGCTGCTGTGTTTTAAAATCAAGGGCTCATAGAATGTCGTTCAAAAGCACTGCGTCCTTGGATCGGAGAACACCAAACCGCATTGGATAACAAGAATTGGATGAATTATAAAGGTTTTGATAGTATTTTGACTTTTTACTCATGTGCTCTGCTCCAGGGCAGATTGCTGAGTCGAGTGTCACATTTTGGGGGTTTCGGGTTCGACGGGACAACCCTGGAACAGGTTAGGCGAGGAAAGACTGAAGAGGACCCTTTTTGTCCGCTAGGATAAGGCACATGACCCCATAGAAAAAAAAACCCCCGAGTTAAAGTAAAAATTTAAATCCACGGCTCATCCTTCTCTAGTGTGAAGCCATAGAAAAGAAAGAAAAGGTTCTGCGCGATATGTCGATGCGAAATGTCTGCCGATTGTCACTAAGGGGGAAATGAAGTAGCTGTTGAGATTCACCTATGCACACCGTTGCCTATATCTAATATAATAAATGATTTTCCTTAAAGGCCACTGGCTTGTCGTTCGTCATTGGCGGCTGTTCGGCACCTTTCATGTTCCTAAACATCCTCGTCATGGCCTGACCGGTCGGGATTTACGCTCGCCTAGTTACGCCCAGGGTCTTTTGACTGGGTCGAAAGCCACGGCATACCGAACTGACAAGCAAGCTGCATGGAGAACTTTTTTGAGACCACTCGGCCTATCAAAACCCAATGTCATTACAGAAGGTGGTTCTTATCGATGCCGATCTACTGGTTCCTCACTGGTCCTGATCGGCGCTTTGACGGGAGTGCCTAACCTTATCAGAGCGAGAGTTTTTGCAAGTGTAAGGCAGGTATAGATGATCTGTATTCCGTATAGCTTTTTCATCCATAAGCCTGTTCTGAGCCACGCAGAACCTAATCAAAATAAAATCGACTCCGTACGCCAGAAATATTATCCGCGCCGTGCTTGAAAATGCAAACCCGAGAAAACGCCAGCCGGACGAAACGGCCGTCGAACCACGTTGTGCGCTTCCCACCGCCTAGGGACTATTCCGCGGAGATACTTGTTTTTTTCGGGTCAAATCGAAGTTCCAACCGTACCGGACCGCAATACCCGCTCAGGTACGCGTTTCTTCATATTTCTAGACGCCGGGACTTGTACGTATGGGGCCATGCAGGTGTCACTTGCAAATTTTCTAGTGTGCGTGACTCGGTGAACTGTGGAGATAAATAGTTGGCCAACGGCCGATTGTCAATTACACATTTCCCGCATGATACATTGAAGTCAATCCTCATATAAATTGATCATTGTTATTCTCACGATTTGGCATTTTCAAAATATCAATAGAATTGCCACTCATGGGCTCCGTCGCAGCATTAACACCGGACCAGCTCCATCTCATCAAGGCTACTGTGCCTGTTCTGGTGGAGCATGGCAACACCATCACCACCGTTTTCTATAAGAATATGCTAACGGCTCACCCGGAGTTGAACAGTATATTCAACATCCCGAATCAAGTCAACGGCCACCAGCCCCGTGCTTTGGCCGGTGCATTGTTTGCATATGCCTCAAACATCGACAATCTGGGGGCGCTGGGCCCTGCTGTGGAGCTGATCTGCAACAAACATGCCTCACTTTTCATCAAGCCAGACCACTATAAAATTGTTGGGAAGTACTTGCTCGAAGCAATGGGCGAGGTTCTCGGCGAAGCATTGACGCCGGAGATCAAAGATGCTTGGGCGGCTGCATACTGGCAACTAGCCGACATCATGATCGGGCGGGAGAAGCAGATCTATGAACAGAGCGAGGGGTGGACTGATTGGCGCGACTTTAAGATTGTCGACAAGGTGAAAGAGTCGAACGAAATCACTTCTTTCTATCTGGCGCCATCTGATGGCAGACCGCTGCCTGCATTTTCCCCGGGTCAATATATCTCTGTGCAGATTTATGTGCCCGAGCTGAAAAATCCGCAGCCCCGTCAGTACTCGCTTAGCGACAAACCCTCTCCGGAATATTATAGAATCAGTGTCAAAAGGGAGAAGGGATTGAACTCGCCCGATGCCGGCGCGGCTGCTCACCCTGGTAACGTGTCGAACCTCCTCCACGACAAATTCAACAAGGGAGATTTGTTGAAGGTCTCTCACCCGTGTGGCGACTTTTTCCTTTCGAGCAACGATGCTAGCCCAACAAATCCGGTCGTTCTTATTTCAGCTGGTGTTGGCTTGACACCATTGACGTCGATGTTGAACACTTTGACTACGAAATCGGCCCCTTCCGAGCGCAAGCTGCATTTCATTCATGGTGCTCGATCATCTGCGGCACGAGCTTTCAAAGAGCACATAACCAGCATACAGAAAGAGCATTCGAATCTCCGGTCAACCTTCTTCAATAGTCATCCATCTGAGAATGAGAAGCAAGGCCTGGATTATGACCACGTGGGTCGTGTAGATTTGAACAAGCTGGACGGAGTGAAGGATCTTTTCCTTGACGATTCTCGAACCGAGTATTATATCTGCGGCCCCGACAAGTTCATGAACGATGTGCAAGCCAATCTCATGGAGAAAAAAGTGCCTGCTGATCGCATTAAGATGGAGTTGTTTGGAACAGGTGGTGTGAACTGAAGACAAATTCCTTGTATTATTTTTTTGGGTTTTCTTAGGCGTGTATATTGACACCTCTCTTCTCTACATATTGCTTTTATGAGTTATGAATCAAGTCATGCGATCTGTTTTTGATTTCGGCATAGGCTGATGTGCAACACTCAAAGCGCTTTCAATCTCTTACTTCATCTTAATTAGCGGCTCTATAATACGAGCTTCATCATAAGCCTCCCGCACTGCCAAGAGGCTACTTTCTGCGCTAAATATCTTCACGAACGCACTGCAACTTCGTGGTCTATTTTAAGACTCCCGGCCGGGCTTGGCTGCTACTCCAGGATAGCCGAGTCTCGTATCCTCGACGATCTCATCCGCCCAGGTGGATTATCTTGCAACCGTCGCGTATGAAGTGTTAAATAAAACAAATTTAGTAAAGTCTTCTGAGTGCCAGAGCGGATGATACCTCGTATACAATTTTTTTTGCGTTGCGCAAAGTGCATTGGATCTCATCAATATAAAAGCAATATCTCGTGTCGCGATGCCAATGACATCCACAAGACTATTAAGAATTTTCCTAACAAAATATCTCCCGAGCATATTTAAAAATGCTCTACTCTCCTTTATTTTCGCTTTGCACAGCATTTCTTTCAATGTCAACCGTTTTTGCATCCGATGTACGGTACTGCAACAATAACAATGTTATCAACGCCAAAGATTTCACGCTCCAGGAATCTGCTGATAACTCGCATCTTGCTGCATTGGCCAAGCATTTTCAAGGCGTCGGAAAAAATGTCAGCGTAACGGCCGTTTTAGAATCGGCCAACCGGGCGCTCAACAAGGGTTCTCCGCCGGTCGGTACGGGGTCCCCGTCTGAAGCTTGGGCATGGAACTCAGGTGATTATGAGACGACAAAGTGGACACCCCAAGGCATAACCAGCTCAGCTGATGCTCTTGGGTCCGGTACATGGAACGATCATGAGGCGTGGATTGTCAGCTGGCATCGTGAGGACAACAAAAGTGTTCGACTTAGCTTTGTCGATCGCACAACCCATGAGTATCGACATGTACTTCTAGTCTATCCTACTGAGGATGATGACTTCAAGGAGGTTGCTGTGCACGCCGGTGGCATTGCATGGTATGGTAACATCCTATACGTTGTGGACACAGTGAACGGCATCCGTGCGTTTGATTTAGAGAACATCTGGGAAGTCGATATTGCCGATGGGGTTGGGAACCTTGGCGATGGTAAGGGGTATTCGGCTGATGGATATCGATATGTCCTCCCTCAAATCTAGTGAGTGTAATTCATGTAAGGGCTATTTCCAGTGACCCTCGATTGACATCTGCTACAGCTGGTACAAATGGACTCCTGGAACGGACTCGCCCTTCCGATTCTCTTGGATCTCTCTTGACAGAAGCGACTCACCAGATACTCTTCTGGTTGGTGAATTTGTGCGTGAGGGAGAGGTCGACGACAACAACGTTCCTGTTCCGATTCGACTTGTCAAGTACGACCTGGACTATACAACACGTCGCCTGCGCACCGATGATACTGGCCTGGCTACTGCGAGCTGGGCTCACTGTGTTGATATTCTTCGCATGCAAGGTGGAGTATCTTATGAGAAGAAGTTCTATTTGTCGCGCAGTAACGGCCGCGACCCAAAAGCTGGTGACCTTTGGACTTGGAAGGAGGGTGAAGCTGCGAAGGAATTTCCTGGGTGGTTCATGGCTGGCAATGAAGATCTCAGCTATAACCCAGTACGCAAGGAGTATTACACAGTGACCGAATATGACGGAGGCCGATATATCCTCTCATATAAGGTATAAAAACTGGCCATGGAGGAAGTAGACTTCTATGTAATTACTTAGGATTGTTCGCCTGCCAGTTTAGATTCGAAGCTGAATATTCAATATGGTCTTATCTTATTTTACAGCAAGTCCGCATAAATGGGAAATTTTTAACGCCTGCGACTTTAACTCTAAACCCCGAGGGGTAACTCCGAAACAACGGTGCAATTTCAATCTTCGGCAGTACTTAAGAGCGACCGAGGGCCATTTATAATCAGATGCTGATCAATTCTACGAGTCAACAATGACCCACCCTCCTACCACCACAAGCTCGAGTTGCTACTGATGCATTCTGTCCACTGCGGGTCAAAAGACACAAGAGCGTGTATTATAAGTTGAGTAAACATACCAAGTATATTGCATCCAAAAAACTTTGCATTTTCTTTACGATGGCAACCACTAGAATTGGAGTCTTCCCCGCCTCCGGCGGGCTTGGCATGAGCATTGTGCATCACCTCACAAAGCTCGTGCCACCATCTCAACTCATTCTAATTGCACGCCATCCTGAAAAACTTGCAGAATTGAACCATTCTGGTGCAACCTTGAGAAGGGCGGACTACGATGATAAATCTACACTGGAAAATGCTTTTGACGGGGTGGATACCCTGATCCTCATATCATATGCATCGTTTGAGATTAAACATCGCGTGGAGGTTCGTGAATCAAAAATGGGAGTTGAATCAGAAGAGTCAACTAATACCATCAACCAGGTCCATCGTCTTGCCATTGACCTTGCGATCAAAAATGGCGTAAGGCATATATTCTATTCCTCTCTTGGCTTTGCCGGCGATTTAGAAGACGACAGTGTTGCCCACGTTATGGGTGCACATCTCGAGACAGAAAGGTATCTCTCTGAATTGACCGATAAAATCACCTACACATCTGTCCGTGAAGGATTGTACTCTGAGTCATTCCCCATCTACACGGCCTGGTTTGATCCACAGAACCCGGTAGATGAGATCACCATCCCGCATTCCGGTTCTGGACCAGGTGTGTCCTGGGTAAAGCGAGATGAGCTAGGCGAAGCGACTGCCAAGCTGGTTGTATCTTTCATCAAAGGTCCGATGAGCTTCCGCTACTTGAATAAAAAGGTCTTGCTTTCCGGGCAAAGGGAAATATCTCTCTCGGAGACTGTGGATATTATTGGTCGCGCTTTAGGAATGGGCCTGAAAATTCGAGAAATATCGGTGGAGGAATATGTATCACTTCCACAGATTGGTGATAAACATACATACCATGGGGTGGATCTCTCACGAGAGTGGGCGACCGCCTGGCAGGCTATAAAGAATGGTGAAACTGCAGTAGTGTCACCGGCTCTCCGAGACATTCTTGGAAGAGAGCCAGAGGCTTACGAGACAACGATCAAATCTTTGATTGGATGATGCACTTTTTAAATCATAGAAAAATTACCAAATAGGAAAAATTCCTGTCAATACCTTGTGTGATGCGGATATCTAGGTAGCGAAATACAAAGTAGCGATGAAGGATCGCTTAAAGGACAAGTGATGACTGTCACCCAAAATAATAATTACAAGCCAAACGAAAATACGGCGAGAAAGAAGCATACTCGGACTTAGCAGCCCTTGCATTCCTTGACCCAAAGGTTGACCGCCATGTACTCGGAGTTGTGAGCACCGTACCAGTAGATCTCCTTGGCAGCACTCTCTCCATAGCCATCAATAGCAAAGTAGGCGTTGCCATTGTGGGTGAAGTAGCCGTCGTCGTTGACACCAAAGTTGGTGGTGCTAGCATCCTCGGGGACAGCGCCAGAGTGAGGAATGGTCAGGCCGACGGGTGAGACAGAGTTCTCAATGATATAAAGGTTCTGGAAACCTGTAGGGGTCTCAGACTTGGATGTGAAGGAAACGAGGCCAGTATCGCCACCGGAACGCACTAGATTGATGAGTTATCAAAATTGTTGTATGGGTTGGTTTGGTTCATTTGACTTACGGATAAGGATCTCGTGATTAGTGGTGTTTGCACCGATCCAGGCGCTCTCTGTATAACCCTTTGAGTTAGTTATTTTTCAATTCACGAAAGAGAAACTGCTTTTTACTCACGGCCATCAGTCAGAACAGTCTTTCCACCATCGGCAACCAGAGTGAACGCAGCAGGCAGGCTGGTGGCACTGATGGCGCTGACGAAGCCAACAACGGCGGCAATCGAGAACTTCATTGTGGTTGAAAGGAGTTGTTTGATTAGATGATGTCAAGTGATTTTGTGTGATAGTAAACCTTTTCCAGGACATGAATGGCCATTTATATCATTTCTAAGACCTTGAGCAGACAGGTACCGGCTCAAGCTCAGACATGCTTAAACTGCATTGAGAAGTTTTGAAAGTCGGAGTTGTTTCCATTTACAATCACAGCGATTACCGACTCTGGCCATGCCCGGTTTATTGGGCGATCCTCTGGAGAAGTTGAAACATGTCTTGCAACCCCCCACAACCCTCGTGGGGGAATAGCATATACTTGCACACCGTCTTTTTGGCAATTCTGGCATGAATGAGCCCACGAGCGAAGTAATGTGAAATGGTAGTGCCCTGATCAATTCCTTGTGTTTTTATTTCTTCTCTTTTTGCAGTGATTCTTGTATAAAAACTATTGGCCGACCAATGTAGCACGACAAAATAGGTTACAGAAGTCCCTGGTAGCAGGGTCTTCTGGATAAGACTGCCTAAATTTTGTTGAGCTTATCCGCATCATCCGAATAATGCGGAGCCGGCTTTTCGGGGTATAAGCCACTGCCGATCCCGAAATGTCTGGCGGGGATTATTCGGGGCATTTCCTTTGGGTTCCACGTTCTATTCTCGGCTAGTCAACTTCAACAAATCCAACTTAGTAGCATTTCGGAAGCGTCTCCATTCGTTCTTGGCTCAACTAGACAATCTTGGTTCTGGCGATCTTGCTGCCTTGGTCCCATCCGGTTTCCTTTGGGGGTGCCGCCCGATGATCGTCATGGCTATGCTGCATACTGAACTGTCGTCAGAGACGGTCGCTGTATGCGACACAGGAACGCCTCTAGAGGCTACAGAAAAGAAAGAGAAAACAACTATGGATAGTACTGCAATAGAAGGAAAAGGGTGTCTGATTTGCTATAGACAGCAGTGTAGCCCTATATATCACACCTCTCCCACCGCTAGTTCCCGCCCGAGGCCATTTCGCATTCCAATACGTACATCAAGGGTAAGTTGATAACTTGTATAGAATGGAATGGCCATGGTAACCAAACACGATATAGACATTGATCACTGAGATTCTTGCTTACCACTCTAGTTCATCCAAGTGGACTGAGGTTTCTCTTAACAATGGTACGAATGATAACTCGGCCGGTCGGTCCGCGTCGGAAAAATGGGGGCAAAGCACTATACCCAGAACCATGTGGATTCAGATTCCTGTGTCGATCTTTCGCTAGTCTTGAAACTATTGTGCTGCAACTCCAATAGTCAGTATATAAATCCCAACAATGGTGTACTCGTGCAAAAATTCAGGATCCAGGATATGGGATATAAGGTGCTGACGTGAAGCTCTATTGAGACTCAGTAGCCTGAACATGGCACAAACCAAAGGCGCAAAAATTCAACAATTGAAAAGCGCAAAAAGTTTAAAGAGGTTGACGTAATTCCGAGGAAGTGTGTTCAATTTTAATGCAATCTAAGGTGTTACGATATCTTTCACCTATATATATAGAAATAATATGTTCCACCCTGATGGATTTTCGAATCCATTGCTCCAGCCAATAAGTCATCGTTCACATATCGAAAGTAGTCAATGATAGGAAAATCGTCGTAAACCATAGCCGTAGAAACAACCCCACGGAACTCGACTTGACGAAGCTGTATGAATTGCGGCAACCATGGTTAGTAATCCGTTAGACTTAAGGATGATGATGGACATCAAGCCAAAATGAATATTGAGAAAGGAGATGCAGGAGTTGTTTGTCTTACTCGGGCGTGACCATAGTCCTCATTCCATCTACGAGATCCATCGTCTTTGTAAATCACGACTGGATCGACATCTTCAATAGATCGAAAATTCTTGCCAGCCCAACGCATGTCGTTAAGCATTTGCTCAATCGGGTGGCCAGTACTCACGCTGGCGGCTTTCCAGGGACCAATGAATTGCTCGAGCTTAGCAGGCTTCAATTGATCAAATAAAGTGAGGACCTCATCTTTTGGAATGTTGCTGCGCTTGACCAGTTCCTGGTATTGTTGTTCCGGAGTCCTTCGAACCATCGTAGGGTTAGCGAATCATTCAAAACCTTGCGAGAGAAGTAGCCATGGGTTATGATACAGTAACATTTTGGTGGAATAAAAATCAATCAAATCCAAAAGTTGGGTTGTAGAAAGTCCTGAAAGGATGAGGAAAAAGTTTTCATAGCGAGTTGGCTTTCGGGCCTTTTTAACCCTCCCAAAAGGGCCTCTGTATGTCACTTGTGCGCCATGAGGGAGCTCGTATCACAGCTCGTCAAGGCACACGATCTTGATCGTCCCCTCCATCGAAGATCTTTGGTCCTATTTGTGAATATGCTTGGGCCATGCGGTATTGCTGTAGATCTTTGTGATTATGGGCCCCTAAAAGGTAGTTTCACCGATGAGTCGTTCCAAAAAGCGTGGGGTGCACACCGAACGCAACGCAGATTCAAGAAAGTGTGGTATATCCATGTTGATCTCAGGTTAGAATCATAGAGCATAGAATTCTCAAACTCAAATTTGTTTGTATCCAACCTTTTTCTCGCACACTACATGCATGGACATACCAATCAACTACGTCGTCCTTGTACCAAATTCCGATGCAGGCGGTCCCCATGGCCACCTCGCTACCCAAAGGATCCACATGCATCTGGATTCCCCAAGCTCAGATGGCTGAAATGGGCGGAATGCAGGAATGTACTACAATTGATTGGGAGCATACAGGGAAAACATCTGAATCTTGCTAATAATCTGGTATCGATTCATGCACATGGATGAGATGGCATCCTTGATCCAATAACAATTGCTCGCGATTGAGCGGGTATTGAGATGATAAGATGGGTGGATGTTCCACAGGTGCGTCATGGGCCGTGCACTGGATCAATGATAGAATCCCCCCACCACAAGTATGGCGAGCTGGGCAGTACTCTCCGACTCGGACAAGACAGGGCGAAAGAGAGATGGCTACAATCCATGCTTTTTCGCAAATCATCGACGAGGATGTAATACTTCAAATTTTGATGATCGCAGGCGTGATTAAACTTGTCAGGACGTGATCAACTGTCGACACAGACGTAGTTGGGGGCCAGATTGTGGCTAGGTACTGCCTTCAAATATACATCTAGAATTGGCAAAGCCCACAAGGACCATAGACAGAAGTTCAGGAGACTTCATAAAATTTGGGAACATCATTTCTGTATCTTCTTGGAGATGTTGTTACCGCATTGGATATATAAGCCGAACATTACCCCTGCCTGGAACGGGCCAGCGTACGGGCATTGTCTTCGTCCGAAGGATGCCAGGGATCACGTTGAAAGATGAACCATCATAATCGAGTGATGTTTTTTGAATAACGGACTGGGAAAGTAGTACTTAATCTCTGTTGGTCAATAAAATATTCATGAGTCAGCCGAAAGGAGGCGCAAGCAAGCACAATGCTGCTTGCGAAAGCCGGTTTGACTTCATTTTCCCAAACCAACCCACCGATTCGGCCAATACGTCAGCAAGCAGCCAGCCGAATATTTCCTTCGAAACAAACATTGTAGAGCATGCCGAGAAAGGAACGAAGATTTCATAGTCATCACATGAGTATATTCAAGACAATGGCTTCCATTCTCTCCATGCTTGAAAGCATGGCGGTTGAGATTTTACCCCCCCGGAAAGTCCCAAGAAGTGCACAGGGCTGACTCCCACACAGGCTAGCTGCCGACGTAGATCCCGCCGCGGAACCTAGAATCCGGGGAAAGCCTAGAATCGGCAGTACGATCCAGACACGACCCGTGGACGGCGCGTCGGTGTCGGCCTTAGTGCCGGGGTGGCTGTCCAACCCCACCCGGACCGAGGCCTGCCGTATGGACTGACCCCGTTATGGGCCTTCCAGGGTGATGAAATTGTGAGCAATAATCATTTTGTGGGATATCCTTGTCCAAAGTCTGATTGCTTCGTCCATTTCGGTATGCGGGCCGGCTGTTCAGCGTGGACTGGGCCTGCCGCAGAAACCTAGGACAGCGGGGGACATAGAGATGGTTGCATGTCAGACAAAAACATCTGAAACGATATTTTGCACCAATCTGGATACAATTTGCTATCAATAATTGTTTTAGGGGAAGTGGACGATCGTCAATCTTGCCTTGTTGGGGTCCTCGTCCAGTTGGGTTACGTTGGCGACTCGCCCGGCTTCAGCTGACGGAACCCGGGTCGCAAAACCCCTCGATCTCTGGGCGTAGAGTAATACTCAATCATGAGACAGTTCAGATTGACCCAGGAGTCGATACCAAAATGTTCACCGGGATTGGATCCGCGAGAATTGCGTTCCGTCTTCAGTTCGTTCTGCTTATACTTCGGTGTCACGAGGACAAACAGAAAGGGATCGGTAGAGATCGGGACCAGGACATCAGGACATCAACCGGCGCAGATCCAAAGGAAAGACTCGATCCGAATCACCCCACGGCCAAAAGGGGCAATTGACAGGTCCGTTTTGGGGAAGAGTTGGGTCAGCGGGAAATACGCGCCTTGGGAGTGGATGGACCAAGCAGACTAAATGTCGCACTATTTCACGCCTAATCTGGCTTGTCCCCATACCCGGTTCCGCCTGTTCGACACAAGGCTGGCCTTTCAAACCTCGTTTACCGACCGACTACAATACAATACAATTGAGGAGACTTGCAGCTGGCTGGGCCGCAAACGCACATGGAATTGGCCACGTCGGAGGATTTCTGTACGAATGCGGAGGGGGGCTGGCTGTCTACTGCATATTGCCACTGTTCCATTATGAGTTCTGTAGTGCCGGGTGAGGTTCCCGAAATATCAATCCAATTAGGATTAAGCGATCTTCGCATAGTGATGCTTGCGCGGACCCTGCTTCGGATGATGCGAGTGGCGTGTCAAAAGGTGTGTACCTTGGACTAGTCGATATTTAGCGGATTTTCATAGCAGGATATCTCTGAGCAGGATATTGATTATATCTCCTTTCTCTGTCTATTCCGGGACTCTGTCCAGAGGTACTGGGGATGTGTTGGTGTCGCGGGACCAACAGACGGCTGCTAGAGATCCCGGGACGAGTCTTCTGACGAAAACCGTCGCGATGAGGATCTGCAACACGCCAATCATAGTGAAATGAAATTCTTGTGTGTCATAAGTATACTGGTGAAGACCAGCGACCGGGAAGTCCTGCGGAGTGACGGCGCAAGAGGGGGCTCGTCGTACCCAGCAATCATACTGGGCCGCATCATTCTGTACGGGAAGTAGACAGGGTAACAGCAGGGAATGAATTTTTCCGCCTGATGCGAGCAAGCGGATCAATCAGAAAGCAATGATTCACAAGCAACAAAGTACCCCGGCCTAATGCTATGCTTAAACAATGCAAATTGACGTTCATAGTGCACTTGCGTCCCACGGGGGCGTGAAGCCGTTAAGCCGTTAGGCGTCGGCTCCGAGACTCGGCCGGGCAATGCTTGGCCCGGCGGTTCTCCACTGCTGACCATCGTCTCGTTGCTGCGTTCTTCACTGGCTTCACGCGTCAGTCGGTTTTGTCGGAGCCGGCCGTGCTAAGGTGATCTCGGCTTCACTGCACCGAGCGAATCCAGCACTGTCGTTCACGCCGTTGAACTCGACGGGGCAGGGTCTTCGGGGCCTGGTTCATATTTTTTCCATTTTTTGATTTTTTCCTTCTTTTTTCTGACTTGTTTTTATTTGGTTCTTATTCTTTTTTTACTCTGATACTGTCTAATAGCGCTAGTATAGTGCAATCCCCTGACATCACAGGTTCAATCTCGGCTCGCAAGCTCGGTCAAACAACCGCGATAAGTCGTCATCCTTCTTCCCCTGGCCTTTTCAGCCCTTTCTATATAAAATAGCTGGCCGAACCTAATCCTGTTCCATGGTTAATCCACTTCCATAATTGTGATATTTTTACAAATCTTCCCTCTCAATCTTGGAATCCTAGATTCCCCGATCCTTCGATACATCGCCACTGTTGTCTACTGCCGTCCCAATCCGTCCTCGTGCGCAGTCCAGATTATATATATCTTCTCCCAGCATACCCCACCCGGTCCACCTCCAACCCTTCATCGATCAACGGTCAACAAGTCATCTTCATCAGTGCATGTACGAGCAACTTGCTGACTCTCATGATGGCATTCAATCGACCCAACCCTCTCTCGACGTTGTCGTTAGAGGATGAACGATATCTCAACCAGCCTCTCAGCCCACAGTCTCGTCCGATCGATCTCTTTCCCACCAAAGGGGCTGAGCCACTTCCTGGCCATTGGTCCTATGATAGCACAATCGACCTGTTCTCATTAAATCCCGCTGATATGGACTCTGTGTCATTTGACTTCGCCGACAGCTTGACCAACGCCGACACCAAGGACCTTTTCATGGATCCCTTCGGCACCCCGACAGCGATCAGCGGGTTTACCATGCCCACATCCGAAGATACTGTCTCTCTCTCATCGGTACGTACTCACTCGGAAAAAGCGGTCAAATATTGCATATAAATATATGTTAAGCACATTCGAATCGCTTTCTGACAGCATTTTCATATAGGATCTCGATAGCGACGACCAGTCATGGTCTGCTGGTGCTCGACCTTCCATCGACATGGCGATGCTCGACCAAACCCCGACCGAAAAGACTCGCTCAAAACCAACGACACGCCAGTCCACCCAGAGCAATGCCTCCTCCACCCGCTGGTCGTCGAGCCCTGAAATCAAGCCCCAAGAGTATATTGCCCCTCGTGCCGACAGACGTGCGCAGCCCAACGGCAGCCGCAAAGCTCGCAGCCTGTCTGACGACTCGCACCGCTCGTCATCCACCAGCCAAGACACCCAGGGCCGCAACGCCGCTAAGCGCGCTGCCCATAACATCATCGAGAAACGCTACCGCACCAATATGAATGCCAAATTCCTCGCCCTCGAGAAGGCCATCTCCCCCGCCGCCGTACACAAACAGGCCGGCCGCGCGGGCGCCGGTTCTCTAAAGAAATCCGAGATCCTGACCAACGCCCTGACGTACATTGAGGGAATTCAGCAAGAAAACCAGGCGATGCAGAAGGAATTAGCTCTTCTGAAGCAAAACCTCCTGGGCGCCGGGATGTGGCGGCCGGGGAAGCACCCTCGCGCATGAGCCGTGACGCAGTGATACGGTGATAGCCCGCTGCCAGTTCGATCAGGCCACGGCCCGACTACTGGGCTCCTGCATGGCATATCCCGTTGGCTTTCCTTTCTTTCTTTTCATTTTTTTTTGTTTTTATTCTACCATTTTGCTTTCATGACCGTGACACGATGTATTTATAGACGTCACCGTGGTTGCTTTGACCCGGTGAAGGAGTTCAGCGCACTAATTCGGGTGTCAATGGGGCAATTTGCTTGATCTAGGTCACGGTTTTCTGCAATGGGGCTTATGCTGAAGGCGTTCAGGGCAAAAGGGATTGCATTTCGGTCCTTAGGACCTCTCCCATCTCCACATTCTCAGTCTTTCGGGTCGTTGGTGAACAACAAAAGTGTGCTTTTCTGGTTTCGAGATTCCCCCTCCTCAATATATGGATCCACAGGTGTATCCGATAGTGATTGAAGCATTAATGTCATTGCCAAGACTCGGATGATTCGGTTTTCCCTTGCCCCCTGATTTTGTAACTTTCTCACTTCTTGCCCAAATGTTCTCGTGTGTAGACTGTGTAGACCGGATCGTCGAAATACCGAGCCGTGCGATCCGGTGTTGTCTGACATCCCCAACGCGGAAATAGTTCCATCATACCCAGAAAAAATAAATATCGGCAAATATATACGTATTCGAGGGTGATCATTTTGTAGTTGCGCGGCTTGGTAGTCACAAGATCCTCGTCCACCGCGGAAGTCTTCTAGAATCGGCCCTTCATACTCTTTCCCCTCTACATTATATTCAATGAAGTTAATAAACCTGTTCTTGAAAGGATTGAAACGGCACACCGGTTTCTATTGCGGTCTTCACTGGGCGGTCTGGTAATTCAAACCACTGAGTTCAATGCGCGAGTTGCTTATACAGATGATAGTGAAGAATTTGGGCCCCCAGAATCTGGCTCAATTATCTGGGGTCAAACCTTTGCGATTTGAACCACTACTCTTAATTGGTTGGCAATATGTATATTGCGCTTCACGCTCAGTGATCTCTTACGTTATGATCTGACATGGCCTTGAATGTTAAACTAAGGAAGAGACTGCATCTGTCTGGGAACACGGTCCAACCTATAAGGGATTGTAGGGATGCTTGAGCAGAAACATTGAAATATGGAGAAGAGAATGTGTCTTCTTGTCCGAATCTGTGAGTGGGGTAGTCTTATATGCATCGATTCTGAGTCATTCTGCATAACAGAAAATTCAAAATAGTATGGTCATTGGATGACACCATTCCTGCAGTAGGTCAAATTCATATTTTTAAGCATTTCACGATTAGGAATATCAGAACAATTTTACGGCTTGTAAAATAAACCTAGTAATTATAACACAACGGACTTAAGGAGGCCGTCCATATGGCAACCTGCCAAGAAACACGCTCCAAAATTAAGAAAGCATCGAGATCATCATGAAGAGCGAGACAGATGGGGTTTATAGATCCGTGTCAAGACCGTGAGGTACGATCCAGGCAATAAAGAAAATTAGCGCCGGTGAAACGCACACAAAATTTTAAGAGAATGATCTAACTTAGGCTGATAGTTTCGCGCGCATAGATTCCCCAGAATTCTTCGCGCTTGTCGCCCGCTTCTTTGAGCTTGGTCTTTTTCTTGAGGAAGAACTTGAGAAAATCTGAAGAATGTGCCTCTAAGCTTCTACATTTGTGGTGAAGGTGAAGTAGTGGTCATGGTTTGTGAGAAGTATAAGAGCCTTTTCCAAATTCGTGCTCTGAGATTAATGGAATATTGTCCATCGGTCTTGGTTGATACTCGTAGTCGATATTCGTATAATAGGGGAATGAATATTTAACTCTCAGGGTCATCAAGCTTCTCGCGCTGTGATTCCTATATTAAATATACATCCGTGTGTGCTAGTGAAGGGTACTCACTCTATGACAGTCACAATGAGAATACATCCAAACACTGAACCAACCTCGCAAGGTGCCTCTCACGCGGAAATATTCTTTTTTCAATATAGCGAAGAAGGTACGATGGGTGGATTGACTAACGCAGATCTGTGCAAGTCTATAAATCTCCTCCACATTTTGCTAGGAAGATAACACGATGCTAAGTGGTGCTGCTCATGTCGACGATATTAGACTTAATTCTTGAAGATCGGCGCTCAAGTGAAGGATTAATATGCGCTATCGTATCATGATAGGAAGCCTGGTCGGGAAATGAAATATTGTTTGAAATGACATCAATAGTCTGGTTAGCCAAGTCCCTAAGAGCTTGCCTTTCCTATAACTAAATACGGTTTTTAGTAAGCTTACTAAATAAATACCTTGAAATTTAGGCCTTTATTAGAGAATAAATTAAGGGAAATATAGAAAACTACAAGCGAAAACTATATAAAATATATACGTAGTTCCGAGATACTACTATATTTACTTTTTTAGGGCCTAAAAAAGGCTTATAGGCCAAAGGACCGGGCCTAAAGCGTAACCTATTCGTGGGTTGGGTTGGGTTGGGGTCAGGCCGGCGTGGGCTTTGGTGATGTCTAGCAGGAACTTCTACATGTAAACGTTACGGCGAGGAAGTACGTCGGAAGATAGTCTTCTATGATCACATAGTGTCTGTAGAGTACCTTTAGAGTACCGAGAGCTTGAGACTGTTGTTATATAAAAATCTCTGATTAGGGAAGAGCCTCCTGGAATACATATTGATTTAGAGCCGTAAGGGGCTCCGGCAAGACTGAAGACTCCGGCAAGTAAGGAACTCATTTCCACCACTTATTCCTATACACGGAGTACACCCAATTTCAATCTACTCATCATCGCGAATATCGATGGCTGTCTGCTTCCATTTGCGAGCCGGGACATGACGGTTGAACAGAATGTCGATCTCACGGAAGGACCTGTTCTTCATCTCTGGGACCCAGAGCCAAGACATGGCGGTGCAGACCAAGGCGGTACCAGCCCAGACGTAGCCGGTCTTGCCGCCCAGGTTCCACTTATCAGAGTTGAGACAGTAGCTGGAAAGGAAGATGCAAGGAATATTGACCAAGTAATAGGCACCTCGTCCAATACCGGTTGTCAACGGCCTGAGACGAACGGAAGATGTCTCGCCGATGATGACCCATGAGGCAGGGGCGGGTCCCAAGCAGAACAGGACGGAGACGATCAAGCCAAGTGATGCTACCGCATTGTTGACCGCATTACCAGTGCCACATGAACCCGCAATACCGAGCGCGATCAAGAAGATGGTGGCGATCAATTGACCATAGACATAAATGGTGCGTCGGCCGAGATACGTGGTGAGGATCCAAGAGAGCATCACCATTATCCATTGGAGGGCAGAAGTGATGAGACCAAGTGCAAATGCGGTGTTTTCTGACATGCCGGCCTCTGATCTGGTGTTAGTCTACTATGAGGTTGCAGGAAATAGCTGGACTCACGTTTGAAAAAGTAGGTCGCTTGGTTAGCGATCAGATTGCCCGTCAGATTCTGAGACGCGTACACACAGCACACGATCAATGTGCGGTAGCGATCGGTACCCTTCCACAGTTCAGCGAGGGTGGGCTTCTTCTCGGTTTTCTCGAGTTCTATCGTGCGACGCATCATTGCGACTGCGTCAGCGGGATTATCATTTGCACTCGCGCGTCCAAGACGTTTGACAGCCTTCTCTGCCTCAGCCAGACGGCCCTTTCGTACCAGCCACCAGGGCGATTCAGGCGCAAAGAAGAGTAGAATAGCGAGGGGGGTAGGGAACATCCACTGGAGTGCAATGGGAACTCTGTGATGCCTGTTAGTACAGTGCTCCTCGATGGCAGCGATGGAAGCGGACGAACCTGTAGGCGGACGAGTCATTCTTAGATTGGTAGTGGTAAGTAATACCGCCGACAATGATTGATCCAATCGCCCAGAACATCTGCAACATCTGCGTCGCCGGAGCTCTCAATCTCATTGGCACAATTTCGGCACAGTAGGCGGGTGCATTGGCGATAAAAATGCCCCACGGGATGCCTTCCAGGATCTGGGCCGCGAAAAACATGCCCTGGCTGTTACCGAAATAAAAGACGAAGATGAAGGCATTCAAGCACATGAGACCGCCAATGGTTGCCCATCGATATCCAATCCAACTGGTAATGGGACCCGCGACGAAAACACCGATGAAGGCACCGAGTGGCCCGCTGCACTGGAATGCGGACTGCCACGAAGCGACGATAATGTACTCTCCTGATTTCTCGCTCCATACACCAAAGTCCTGGGCGAATCTTGCTGTGGCTATGAACTGGCCCATCAAGAAAACACAGTATGACTCCATGATCTATCGCCACTTTAGAGAAATGATCTGCCTGTCATGTTGGCAAGAGCTTACAATGGTGCATGACATCACGAATGCCCACCAGCTGGCAGCAGGATAGGCCTTGACAGCCTGAAGCACAGTCATTCTATGTTCGACCTCCTCGGCATCGATGGCGCCCGTTCTGTCGTAGTCGACTTTCTCGCTGACATCGTGAAGAGCGCCGCCTAGGGAGGCGGGCTGGGCCTCGATCTCCGACGCTGTGGTCTGCTTCTCTGTGAGGTCGCTACTCATGTTGACGATTTATGAGCGAAACGGGTGGATGAAAGAGAGGCAGGCACGACTGGGGGGGTTTCAGAATCTTTATACCTGTGCCAACACGCGCGTGATGGTGAGATCCCGATCTTAGCTCAATTGAGCGAAGCTTCTTCCAGACCTTGACCTCCTGGTCCATTTTCCCGGGCACTACGGCAGCAGCGCCACTTGATTACGAGTGGCCCCCTTGTCGAACGAAGTAGTTTGATAGGTTACTGACCAAGAGAAAATGAACTGGTTCATTTCCGGGGTGGTACGGTGGTGGTGTGGGGTCTGGATGTGGCGTTCTAATCGCCGGGGAATTTCCTAGTTTGGATCGCAGGGGGCCACGAGTTAGGGCGAGAGTCATGCCTGTGCTCCTGTTACAGTGGTTCAATTCGGTTGAGCCTATCATCGGGAGCGAGTCCATTTAACCGAGCAGCTGGGAGAGGATAAGCGCTAATCCTTAGTTAGCGCTGTCCTTGACTCCGGATATCGAGCACCCACGGGCAGATAATGTTCAGCAAACGGGACCCATTATTTAGAATGTCTTCGAAGGGTGGGCTCCGAACACGATGCTTGATCTCTCTCACCGTGGTAGAATAATACCGGATAACCCGAGGTGCAGGAGGCCAAGATAAATATTTGCGATCTTTAAAGAACCTGACCAATCCCAGAGTCGGACACGGCTCGGTGTCATCCCGCCCTGCGGGTTATGAGCTCGGGGGGCCCGGGGCTCGGTCAGCTTTACCCCGGACGGGTATTACCCCGCACCATGACTCCGGACGGATCCTGAATCTCCTCCAATGGAGAAAAGGAAAACTTACCGAAATTGGCTAGTGCAAAATATGAAGTTGCACGCACAGAAAATATCTCTTTAGGGGTTGATAAAGAGACGCGTGGTCACGAAGTACCACGGGGATTTACATGCAAGATGGTATTGGAAAGATCATTATTAGGGCTGACTCCTACCGAGCATCATAAGATAGATTGAGTACGAAAGTTGTTCAAAATAAGGGGCTACATTATTACAAACTGACGGAGAATAAGGCTAGAGGCGCCTTGAGCGGGCTGGCAACTAGGCATGCTTGTGATCAATTCTACCTAGGGCTCTATGCTTGATTACGAATTTTCAACACTCCGTTAGGGTCAACATCAACCACCGTCGCACGGAAGCCGTATGTCAGTATACAGAATATGATTACCGGCTCAGTCAGTGATAAGAGTGATTCTTTTAGGCAGTATAGTCTTACCCCAAGGCTGAATTTGATCGTGGACCATATGATAGTAGCCTAGCTGTTAATATAGATCTTGAGGTTGTCAACAGCGGTATTCGAATAATTGGGATACCGGTGATGAAGGAACCGATAGCGAAGATGCACGCCAGAATTATCTGGGCCACATCAGTCTAGCACGCGTAAAAGCGTAACGAGGGGTGTTTCTGACAATAACTTCTGTTTGAGCTGCAAGGAAAGCTTCCAGAAGACGGACAACAGAGCAAGATAACGATGGGGCCAAAAACAATACCCGTTACTTGGAACGTCTTCCAATGAAGAAAGACCCACTCAGTGGAGGCAAACATACCTGTAACGGCGCAGGAAAGGCTCACACCATCAACAACACGTGCCCCTAAATTGACGGGTTGCAGATCTTAGACACGGATGTATATGTTGCAGTGGGGAAATGGCCAACACTAGGGAGATCTCTGATTGGAGAATATCTTTCCTAGTAAGCAGTCTTTACAGGATATAGCTTCGCGTCTCCGATAGGGAGAGAATCAACTTTTCCCACTCTCTTGGCTTCATCTGCTTCTGCTTTCCCTTTTGGGAGGCTTCCTCCATCGTGGTGTGTGGTGGTTTGTTGGTCTGTTCGCCGACCTATCTCATCCTGCCTGCATTTTCAGGCTTTCCGTAGAGCGCCCTGGTTCAATGTAAAGACGACAATGAATGTAAATAAGGTTTGGTTGACAGTCACAGAGACGAGGGTCGTGACAATAATGGCTTTGTATGATTTGATGAAACCTCCAATATTCAAGTATGAAGCCAAAAAGACAATTTTCAATGAAGAAGCAACAGTGTAGATCTGCCGATCGGCATATTGGATCTTCGAGGGCGCGTATAAGTGAACAATCGAGATTCAATTTCAAGAGTCTCGGGTCTTCGTACCTTGCTGAATGGAACAGCGTTTTGAGGCGGGATATATCCCACATTCACCCCGAGTCCCCGCCGTGCCTCTATTGCACAAAACCGGGAAATTAAGCGAAAATACAATTACATAAGTCTGAGAAAGATCTACACACAATCACAAGGGTAACCCGGATCAGTATAAGAGGCGCAGTCACAAGCGCTACATAGTCATTGACCTGTAGTGCACGTCCAGTGTATCTTGTAGCGTAGAGCCGTAGAAAAACAGCGAAAAGCGCAAGAATGGGAACTATATTGTGGACCAAGATTATGGCGTCGATATTATTGTCGGGATCATTGCCTTGATAATTATGCACCTAACCCGTACTTTGACATACCGTGGGACGGTCTGTTCCTTTTGTAAGATGCTGCAAACCCGAATAGCGTTTGATGAGCGAGCAAGGGGAGAAGTCCGTCTGGGTCTGAGCCATCCCACCCAGAAAGAAATCGTCATAACTGCTACCACCCACCTATCCCAACTCCTACCGTGTCGCCAATTCGCGCTAATTAAATGCAGGAACCCGCTGGACAGAACACAGAGGCTCAGTAGCCGTACTTTATAGGGTAAAGCGATATAAAGGCTCCAAGAGCGCCCCGTCTTGCAACTCGAATGTGAAGGCCTCTAATGCCTGCCCCAGTGGCCCATTTTTATTTTTTATTCTATCTTTTCGGTAGAGAGGATAGACCAGAGGCTCTGACTAGAAATTCACAAAATTTCCAATGGCAATATAACCACAATCGAAATCATACGGGCTCATTAATAACCTGCGGAACCATGAGATCTAGAGTCGGTGCCTCGGCATCCAGTGGCCGTGCAAGCCTGACATTTGTGTTGTTGGCCAGTGAGGGATTCGGCTCAACCGGTGATCTTCTGGCGGCCAGTGGCTGGAAGGAATGGAGGCCACAACCTTCTTCACACTCTGGCTTTCCATTTCCTTTCCTGAGTGAGCAGAATACAAGCTGGGTAGTGAAGATTAGGTTTCCAACTTACAATGAAAGTCTCATCCTGTCACTAGGTGCCCTTCAACCATCCACATGTCCGGTTAACAAGTTTTTCGGCGGAAATTCAACTCCATCTTAACAGTACACTTGACGAATAACAGCTCTGTCCAAAATATTGCATCGCGCGTTCCGGGCGGAGCTGGTCTCCATGATAGCTAGTCATTTTTGCCGCCGCGCGGTATTATTTGCAGGGCTCGTGTGTGTTCAGCCTCAAGATGTCTCAGAAATCCATCCTAAGGTAACATACATCTTGATAGCTAAGAAGTGCACTAACACTTATATAGCATGTTGGGCAAAAAGTGAGGGTTCCTACTCCTGCTAAACATGTCTATTTGAAGGAACAGGTCTGTCCACTGCCTTTCAGCCTCTCTTTCCCACGTTGCTTACATTTCCAAATTCGTCGTATGTCAAGGGCCGAATACCGTCAACATGCGTGAATCCTTTTTCCTCGCCGCAGCCCTCGATGCTCTTGGTGCTGAAGCAGACGATTCCAGCAGCACCATCATTGGCTCCTTCTCTCCTCCATGAGATGCAGGCCTGCTCCAGTACGGCGGTTAGACAATGGCCGCTAGTGTCGTTGCTATCAACACCAAACCTGCCACATACCATGTCGGTTGTTTGAAAGACGCCCCCAAGACGGATTGCAACTATCCCACATCGTGGACGATCATCCAAAGCCCAGAGACAGTGAGCTCCACCGGGAAATATATCGCCTCGACCTCGGAAGAAACAACCAGTTACGATATTATTGTCACTCAGTCTTACGAGTGCTCTCCGAAATCCTCAACTGAGTTGGCCAGCTGCACTATGAGTGCAGGCATGAGTGGGTCGCTGGACGGAGGGAAGTATGAGCTTTCCACCTCCAGCAAGGCGACTTACACGACAGAGCCATTTTCCAATTCATACTACCAGTTGACAGTAACCGGAGGACTGAGCAAGCTTACGACTACTCAGGCAACTACAACATCTGGCGGTGCTGTCGCTGGACTCGCAGGTGCTTTCATTACGGCGCTGCTGTGGTTGCTGCTGCAATGGCTGCTCTGCTGTGATGATTCCAGATATCCATTTCGCTTAGTGGCGGAGACGGGCTTTCTCACATTCACCCTTGTCTTTGGGAGGAGCTTGAACAGAGTTGGGGTCCAAATTGAACGCTCGGATCACATGATTCAACGGAAGTTCCAATTTAAAATTAGACAACCTACTAGAGAGACTACCAGACCCTTTTACTATGTTCCTTCCGCCAAGAAATCGGCGTTATTCAAACGTGATGAAATTCTTGATAGGTTGAATCGGTACAGTTCCTCACTCAACTTTCCGGTGAGCGTCTTGTAACCGTGGCAATAACAGGCCAATGGCTGTGATTTTGATTTCTGGCAGGGTTGGCTGCGGCACTAAGTCCTTATAGCCCGTGAAAGACTCATAATGCAGCCGCCGCGCTCATACAGATCAAATTTTATGGCCAATCAAAGCCGTATTGGTTTCTCCATACCGCATTTCATGTATAACTATCACTGAGCTTATGGTAGCCGTATACGTCGGTTAAGGGGCTTATAAAGGAGCTTCTTCAAACAGGAAGCATATCACCTCACATATTTCTCTATCACCTCGACCAATTTGTTCTCGGGCTGTATTCTACAATCACTCCTTCCTCTGAGAATAGAGCACCTAGCTTGGAGCCTACTCAAACTCAATATCGAGGAAACCTCAAGATCGAAGTCCGACTCCGCTCGGACTCGAAAGGTACTCGCAATAATCCGAGACTAACACCGCCTCCTAAATACTATAAGCGTCTTGTGAATAAGGGTTTACCGGACGACATCTTAGAATAAATACCCGACGGTAGCTCAGATTATATGTCTTTCGCTAGCTACACCTCCGCGGATAATATATTTGCCGAATTTGAGAGGCTAGAGTAGATTAATAGGCTTATATTCAACTAAGGCGATACCGACTCGGACGAGATACAGGTTGGATATTGCGATAGCAAACTGATCAGACATAAAGATATCCGCGCTAATTTTTAGTTCGCTATAGAGCAGCCAACCGAAGAAACGTACGCTCGCATTTAATCTCTTCGATAGATACGGCCGCTTAAAGCCTGAGTTCAAGATCTACCGGTTAAGAAGGGGTCTAGCATTTAGAACACTAAGCTAGATAACGGAGATATATTTTTAATCTAGTCTCTAAGAACTAATAGGCAATGTCGCCGCCTTAGGTAGGGAAGCACGCTTGTGAGAGCTATGCTAGAAAAGGTCAGGCACAAAACTTTAGGTTTTGTTCCTGCTGTGCGCCCTAGTGTTCTACTCAGTGAAGTGCTATACGAGCCTAGCGGGAAAGCGGTGCCTAATAAGGAATTGTTAGAATTGGCTGCTACAGAGATCTCGAAATCTTTCTGGTGATCTTTAGGGTATCGTCGAATCGGTTCGTCTTCTTGGTTTGGGCTCGCTTCGGACCCAGAACAACCATGCCACCGTCTAGCTGCTGAAAGCGACTATGAGGTTCCAGCACTGTTTTCAAGCATGCTAGACACCGAGCTGAAACTCAAGATGAAAATTACGCAATTGTATCGTCAGAGGCGAAATTCCCCCTGAGATTGACGGGACCTTCTACCAGTGCATGCCGGATTTCGCATGGGCGCCTCTGTATGAGGAGGATGCCTTTGCTAATGGTTATGGCTGCATTGATGCTGTCCGTATCAAGGACGGTCATGCAGATTTCAACCAACGATATGTCCGCACAGAGAGGTTTGTGGTCGAAGGAGCTGCGCGTCAAGCCGTCTTCGGGAAATACCGTAACCGCTACACTGACAACCCCCGCGTTAAACACAAAACTCATTCCACGGAAAATCCGCATCTTATATACTTTGAGAATCAAGTCCTAGTTCTCAAGAAGGGTTTTATTCCTTATGCCCAAGTACCTCTGATACTTCCATCGGTTGAACATTAATAATATCCTTCTCGTCGACCAGTTCCAACGCAGTCTATCTAGACCGACTCGTAATAATCATAGGTCCATTTTGGCCTCGCGGCAATACTCGAAATGAGGCTTTGTTAGGCCTTTCACTAGTTGCGTCTGGCCTATAGTTGGAGTTGGCCAAGGAAGTTCATCGTTATCGATATCGTCAAGTATACGAACCCATTTTGCTTTCCTATTACCCTGAAGCCAATTCTTGACCAGTTAGAATATATCAACATTGGCATCCTGGCGGCCTGGGGGTTTGACCCAGTCCGCTATATCTCAAAAGCTTTGTTCGAACCGAGCTTCGTTACTCGCATAGACCCCAAAAACTCATGTCTGTGGAGATACAGAGCGTATCATTTAGGAGAACTCGATGGAAAGTTGCGATTTCTTTGGGTTATTTGGAAACTAATCAGACCTCGCTTCGACAGACCTAAACTAAACTCACCCGACACCGCCATACTCACAAGCGCTATTCTCGATCCTGAAAGCGAATATTTCTCTTGTATTACTAAACATGGATTAGGGCTAATGTACCTTTTTTCCATCCCTGTCTAGCGTTTTCTACGAGGGGATCGACTACGCTGGTATTATAGAAAAAGGAAGAGCCAATTGAGGCGGGTGGATATTTCAGCAACAAGAATTAGAGTCGGTAGAAACCTTTGAACCGATATCTATTCATCAAATCATATTCATTGAGGATGGCAGGTTACAATTGATCATGATCGAAGTGCATAGGTACTTCGAAGCGACATCCTCTTGGCCACCAAGCGAGTAGTGCCTCAGAGAGCGAAAAAGGAACATCAGCTGACAACAGCCATGAAAAAAACCCCGTGGGGTACTCAACGCACTGCTATCCCTGATTCTTGAGACAAAATGAAGCTCTGTTGAAACAATCAGGTGCCAGAGATCAGGGCACTAGCCCCTTGAGAGCGCGTATGTCGGCTCGGGCAGGGAGGCTAGTGTGGAGGCGCTGGCTACGAATGCCTAAATAGGTTTGGCATGGGAAGTGGTACCTGACTACCACTGCAGTTTCGAGCTTCCCGCGTGTGGTCAAAATAGTTCAGGTCCTCGAGAACCATTATTACGATTGTGAAAGGCAGGATGAGATGAAGATGATATTAGCTGTTCGTTCACGCAAATCAACGTGTCATAGAAATAGCCACCCCGCATTTCAGGCCCATCAATGGTGATCTATCATGACTCCAGCATAATGAGTCTGCCAGCTTCCAGGAAGGTCTCCCCCAGATAGGAAAGACAAGGAGATACTAGGAACCAAGCGGCGATGTAGACCAATAGCGGACATCGAGCTAGGCCAGCTCTCGGAGGAACCCACCCGGATCGACTCTATTACATGGAGATCGGGGGCACGAGGAAGCGCCCCAAGATTCCGCAAGCCCCGTTTGGCATCCTTGAGATATCCACCATTGCTTGCCCAACAAGCTCAGTTGTGGACCACCGCTCGCCCGATTCCCTGCCGTATCGGCGACCGAAAATGAATCCTGCTGCCTGACTGGCTGAACCATATCGTTTCGTATTACTCAATCCATGTAAATCGCGGGGTACTGCCCGGGGAAGCCAGATGACTTCTTTCATTACCGGATCGATGATCGTTGTATACTTCGGCTAGGAGTTCCAGCCCGGGGTGCGGCTTCAGCGATGGGCTTGCCATAGAGTTTAATGGCCGCAAAACCACATGGCTTCCGGCATCGGCATTCAGAAAAACTCCACTGACCCCAGAGAGCTCATCAGATATCATGCCTTTCGCAACAACGCAAGATAGAGCTGTTGTTATCGTCGGCGGGTAAAAGTCCGCTGGGCGATAACGGCTTATCGGGTCGCCTGGACTTGCCTGATTCGGCATGGCATTGCCACCGACGACCCAACCATGTTTCCGAGGCGTCGTCGCGATGGCTGCAGGGTCCTGCGACGGTGGGAGAGTGATGGCAATGGCAGCTTGGAGGGCGTTTCTATCGACTTGCTGTCCAATTGAAAGTTCAGCCAGCGTTCGCGGCAAAACAGAGAGGCTTAATGGCTTTTGATCTGTAACCGCCGACCGAATCACGACCCTCGCAGCATCGGGAGTACAGGTGAAACAGTACAGACCAACTACATCAGCCACTAGTACGACTCTAGGCCTGGCATCGCAAGACTCACTGCCATTCAGACGAAAAGAAGAGTATCTGGACATCAGCGCATTCGAACACCCCATTGCATTACTACTTCGATGGTTTATCTACTGTGTGGGGAACCTAGAAAACACTGGTACCACCGGCCCACTTCAGGAAGTCCTGCCGAGGGGCGGAAAGCAACTCCCCGCAAAAAAAAAGATCCAGTCGACACGCGATGGTCGTTTCTATGACCAAGAGCTCCTCAGGACATGACCAATATCTCTTGCTGAGCCCCATCGAACCGGTTGAACAAGTACTTCTCATTGGATGGTCAATTCGTCCCCAGCTTTATCGCCGTCCCCGTGTTTTCCCTGGGGGAACGCCTGCGATACTGACACGGTCCGTGACAAGCCCAGGGCGCCCAGACAGGAAAGCGATCGCTAGTGTTGCGCGGAAAGCAACCAACGCCCTCGCCCGACAAACCACTATATAGATTTCAGCCCCAGACGCTGTTCGGTCTCCCTTTTCTTCTTTTTTGTCCTTTGATCAGCCTACCGGCAGAAAATGGGCGGATCTTCTACCTGCCTACCAAGAGCATTGATCTTTATTACTTCCGGTTGAAGTTATGGACGTGGAATCGAACGCACTACCCCTTAAGCCACCACTCGAGACCGATCAGGATGTGCAGGATGCCACCGACCTGGCAGCCATGGGCCATGCCCAGGCACTCACACGCAAGTTTAACATGTGGAGCATGCTAGCTCTTGCGTTCTGTGTACTTGGTACGTATCTTCGTCAAATGGGGGAGACAAAGAGACTGGCGAGGCGAAGCAAGAGTCCATCCCTCATGCTCGAAGCTATCAGGCTAATCCATCGTGTGTTCTTTCTTTGCAGGAACCTATTCTACTTTCGCCCAGGATCTCAGCAGCGGTCTCACCAATGGTGGACCGATCACTATTCTCTGGGGACTGGTGCTGGTCACAGCTTGTAATATGTGTGTTGCCCTCTCGCTGGGCGAGTTGACCAGCAGCATGCCTACAGCCCTGGGCCAGGCCTACTGGGTCTATCGACTTTGGAACACGCCGTGGGGGCGGTTCGTCTCGTATATGTGTGCCTGGATCAACACCTTTGGATGGTGGACCTTGACCGCATCCCAGGTGGCATTTATGACCGAATTTCTGCTGGGTATGAAGACCATGTTTAATCCCAACTGGGATGGTGCCGACAAGGGCTGGCTCAATTTCGTTGTCTTTATTGGCGTCGTCTTTCTCTTGACTCTCATCAACGTCGTCAGCTGTCGCCGCGAACAGATTCTGCCATGGATCAATAACTTCGTCGGGGTTTGGTTCGCAGGTCTTTTCGTGGTCTTGTCGCTGGTGATGTTAATTTGTGTCGGTGTGAAGAGCGATCTCACTTTCCAGCCGGGATCCTTTGTCTTTGGCAAATGGATCAACCAGACTGGCTGGAGCGACGGCGTCGTCTGGTTCACGGGTCTGGTCCAGGCCGCGTATGGGTTGACCGCGTTCGACTCGGTTATTCACATGGTTGAGGAAATCCCAGCCCCGCGCAAGAACGCTCCTCGCGTGATCTGGATGGCGGTCCTCTTTGGCGCTATTACCGGCTTCATCTTCATGGTGGTTTGTCTGTTCTGCATCCAAAATGTCGACAACGTCACCAACGCCGACCTTCCTTTCATGGAGTTGATCCTCGAGACCGTCGGCCTCAAGGGCGGCGCCACACTGATCGCCTTATTTATCTTCAACGGCGTGGGCCAGGGCATCAGTGTCCTGACCACCGCATCCCGCTTGACCTGGGGCTTTGCTCGTGATGGCGGTCTCCCCTGGAGCGTGTACTTCAGCCACGTCGACCCGGTGTGGCAAGTGCCCGCGCGATCCCTTTGGGGCCAGGGTGTGCTCATCGCCCTCGTCGGTATCCTGTACCTGTTCGCCAACACGGTCCTAGAGGCCATTTTGAGTGTCAGCACCATTGCCCTGACCGTCTCTTACGCCATGCCCATCCTCGCCCTTCTTGTTGTTGGTCGCGACAAGCTTCCCGACGGTGGCTCTTTCCACCTTGGCAGATGGGGTCCGTTTATGAACTGGGTCAGTATCGTCTACTGCATCATCACCACCATTTTCTTCCTCTTCCCGGGTAGTCCCAACCCGGCCCCGAGTGACATGAACTACGCAATCGCTGTGTTTGGCGTCATGCTGGTAATTTCCCTCGCGTTCTGGTTCATCAAGGGTAGCAAGACCTACCTCCAGACCGAGGATGCGATTGCCCAGATGGTGTACGCGCAGCACTTGGAGAATGCAGAGATGTCTCAAGATGTAGTGTCCTCTTCTGAGTCGCAGTAGATGTAGCTGAGAGGGTCAAGAGTTTACTAGCGGCCCGATAGGTGGGCGCCACCATGCTGTATATATCGAATCTTATATGTTGTTCTTTTCGCCATATTGTATGTTCTTAATACCATCCTATGCTTATATATATTGCTCATTCACTTTGATTCATCCGCATCTTTCTGACTGTAGAGTTACTGTTCTGGTTCACCCAATTTACCTAAAGTCCGGCTACCTATGGATATTGAGAGCTCCGTGGAAAGGTGTTAAATGATCTTTGTATAGACGATGAATGTTATGCATGGCCATTGGCTGTGAGTCTTTCTCGATAAATGCATGACCCGAGTTCTGCGATTGACTTCTCGTTCATATCCCTCGTTCAATCACATGGAAAGACTAGGAAACCTTCATGTATCGCATCATTAAGTCTTGTAAGTAGAGAACAATCGCAAATACTGGAGAACGGCCTAAGCTATGGCGGGTGAACCCGCGATGATCTTCAGATCACAACGTAAATTTTCCCAAATATCAGACCGGCAAGCTACAAACATGGTGGACACAGTATATAACAAATATATATCTCTGCTCCTACGTCCTGACAACGGACTTAGAGCCTTGTCACGGCCTTCCGCGACCTAGTTCTCTTCCTATTGTTAGGCTGTGGTCGTGTCGCACGACTGTGAAGCCTTTGTGGCGCCTCAATCAAAATCTAGTACCGCCTTAATTGTTCTGTCTTCTGAGACGGTATCTGACTTAGACCTCTTACCCCATTTTGAGCCTCCTAGCAGACTCGGTACGTTATTATATACTTCTCTAACTTCTCTCCTTATGACCCTTTGAAATGATCTCAAATTCGGGTAATGAGGTCATAAATAGGCAATTATCTCCTTACGCGCGTTATACCTTTTAGTCATTACTACTATAGCCGATTTTCTCATAGTAGCTAGTGTTTTCTAGTGGTTTAAGAAGTAATCCTTACCTCTTTATGAAGATGTTTTATGGATATTCTATCATGAAATCAGGGTAATTAGAGTGAGTTAATGTTATATACTTTATAGTAATAGATTGTCTTCTACCAATTCAGATAGATCTATGCTGGTCAATTACAGTCAAATAAGTCAGAAGAGCAAAGCATACATCCGCCATCGAAAGGGACAAAGCCAAAGGGCCAACTGCGACACCACCTTGCTCAAGGCCACCATGTAATCTCCGAAGAGGAGAAGGGCTTTGTTCTGATATCACCCGAAATTTACACCTCAACATCTTGAGTTACACCCATGACCTCTCCCAAACTTTTCTCTGCCGTCTCCTCCCATTCTTTTTGAATAACTCGAACAGCCCAGTCGCCCCTCGGTCTAAGCTTGAACTTCACCTCCCGCGGCATCGTCATGAATCCCACAACAACCATCGCCTCGGGATCCACCACCTCACCATCAACCAGTTCCACATCGAAAGCCCAAAGCAAGCAAGCGATTTGCATGAAGGTTCCATCGATTGCAACCCTCTTCCCTTGACAGATTCGCCGACCCTGACCAAATACCGGGAGAGGAAGCTCGCTTCGCAACTTCTCGGTCCCACCCTCATCCTGTCGCAACCATCTCTCTGGGACGAAATCCTGCGGATCGCCCAGGGTTGGGTCAAAAACGTTTTCGTCGCGACCGATCGACCATGCGTTCGCCATAACAGTCCAGCCCTTCTTGATCTTCACCCCGTTCAACTCGTCATCCCTGTCCGCGCGGCGGGGAATCGAGCCCGGTGAAATGGGTCTCCAGCGGAAGAGCTCATGCACAATAGCCTCGATGAAAAGTAGCCTGGATCTATCAGAGAATCGAGGCAGTCTCTCCCGACCAACGACTTCATCGAGAACAGCGTGCGCCTTAACCATGAAATTCGGTCTGTGCAAAGCTGCGATAAACAACCAAAGGAGCTGGCGCGGCGAAGTTTCCATACCGCCCTGAATCGATGTTGCAAGGGTAAATGCAAGATCGAGATCTGGGATACCACCTGGGACCAACTTCTCACTGTTGGTAATGGCCTGTTTTGTTGCATTCCAGCTTGCTGATTCTTTGCCGTGATTAAACAGGCGCATATACAAATCTTCTTGAGTGGCATAAAGCTGATCGTACGAGCGTTTCCAGGGTGAGATCATTCCAGGCAAGTGGCGGAGCGGCGGGATGATATCCGGTAGACCTGGATTGGCCGCGAGGTGTGTGACCTGAGTTTGGATGTCAATGACCTCATGTAGAATCTTCTCCTCGAAGCGTGGGATACGAAGGCCATAATGCAGGGCTAGAATGACACTAGACTGAGTGCGCTCTAGCTGTGGATAGACCGTATCAGTACTGATCGCTTTGGGCGACTTCTTCACAAGTCTGCATAGGTCGAATAACAATTGCTTTGATTCGAGTTCCATCAGGGGTTGATAGTGAGGAGCAGCAGGGCCCCCAAGACTGGGAGTCAGAATGCGGTGATGCAATTTCAGATGGTCATCATAGTCGTGCATCAAGGTGAATTTCGATTGTCCGGGCTTGGCGTTCGTGATCATCTCCATGCTTACAGAGGCCGGTCGGTTACTATACCACTGACTGCGACGACTGAACAATTCCGTTACCGCTTCGGCGGAATTTAACACGACGATCGGGATGAGCCCAAACAACTTGGGCACTGCAATTGGACCATTTGCTTTTGCCCAGGTATCCCAGTTCTGGAGGGGCTTTTCGATGGGTGAGGTATGAAGGTCGCCAATCAGGGGCAATTTCAGGGGCGTTGCACTCCCTTCACCATCCTCGCCGTTCTTTTTCAAGGTGATATAGAACACTGTCAATAGACCGACGGCGATCGCAATTGCGACAGGCGCAGTGACAGCCATATTGACAGCTCAGACAATCCAAGTATAAGTCAAAAGATTGGAATTGGGGATCCATACAACTATCCAATTTTGCTAATTTTCCTCATTTTTCTCAGGAGTCAGGCTGATCCTGCATCTTCTCCGCACATGATTCATTTTGTCTTGTCAATGCCGTGCTAGTCGACGCGACGGATTCAACGCTAGCCCGTCCGGGTTTGACACAAAGTGCCTCCCCCAATCAAATCATTGGAGTTAGTACACTTCTGAAAACTGCCGTCTTCGCGGTCAATTCCGCCCCCAACCCACATAAGCGAGATATGTCAGAGGCAAGTCCTATAGGTTGTTAATGGTATCCGCCAGTAACATGAACCCGCAGAGGAGGCCAGCGACCGTTAGCCCGTCCATCCAGTCGGCCCGGCTGTTTAGACTTGGCTCATCACTTCCGAACATAGAATTCATGCCACCAATTTGGCAGCTTCAAAGCACACAAGTGGGTCTGATGGATTCTGGGCTAAAGCCGAGTGGGATTCTTTTGACAGAACGGGTTTTATAAAACGCCCCCGTCGTTCCCCAGCATGGTCCTGATCTCTGACATGTTCAAGGAGAGCTGTGAATATCGGGGTGCCGAGGATGACGGTCATTTTTCCTGTGGTGAGACAGGCTCAGAAAGAGGTCCTGGGAGTCGCATTCACCTTCTCGATCTTGGCGGTTGTGGCAGTCTGCCTCCGTCTCCTGGCTCACCAGCTCGCCCACAAGCCATGGACCGGTAGCGATTACATGATTATTGTCGCCTGTGTAAGAAGACCCCACAACTCACTTACTTGGCTTATACTGAGCGTCGCAGGTGTTCGCCGTTGGCCTTCAATCGATTAGTATCACAGGTGTTTTCCAAGCTGGTATTGGATACGATCATGTCACAGCAATCGCCGCCGAATACGGAATGGAGCCTATTACCAAGCTGCTTCAATTGATCATTCCACTGCAATTCTTCTGGGTCCTGAGTTTAGCTTGTACGAAAGTCTCGATTCTGCTCCTCTACCTCCGGATATTCCCAGTGACCTGGGTCGTGCGGGTATCATGGGTGACCATGGGCATCATCATTGCCTGGGCGATCGCGACAATTTTGGCGGGCTGTTTGATTTGTCGCCCATTCGCCTACAACTGGGATCAAACAATATCGGGTGGCTCATGTGGTAATCAGGTCGCCTCTTTCACCGCAACGGGAGTGATCAACCTCGTTACAGACTTGATCGTGCTGTTGACGCCCATGCCATCGCTGTACAACCTACAGATGGCCACCTATAAAAAAGTGACTCTGATTACTGTTTTCGGATTGGGTCTTGTGTGAGTACCATTTTCCTGTATCACCACATTTTGAGCATGTAATCGCTAATTGTATGCAGGACCTGTGTAATCAGCGCCCTCCGTATCTCCGTTCTCTCTACAATGGACTTCAATGATATTACATTTACCTTACCCCGCGCGAACATTTTCAGCGGTCTTGAGCCTTGCCTCGCCGTGGTACTTGCTTCAGTCCCGATGATGCGGCCCCTCCTCGGCCGTTCAATATACACACCGGAGGTGACCGCGCAGGGGCCCACGAGATCCTCTGGTCCATCTGGAGGATCTAGAGCGCGCAGTGACAGTAAATTTCAGCAGCTGAATGACGATACGAGCCAGTTGTGTTTGAGACCAATGGGCCCCAAACATGAAGTTGGCGTCGCTGTGCAAGATATGCATCGCAGGAGCGAAGATACAGTTGCGACTATGGAATCAAGACGTGGTGCTGATAAAAGCCAGAATGGCAGTGGTGAGATCTCGGTTAGACATGAGTGGGCTGTGCTCAATGGACCACAACGATAGACTCCTAGTGAAGTATTTATCTTCGTGTCATCCTAATGCAAAACTAAATTCAAGCTCCCAAATAAGCTTCTTTTTATTGATGTTATGAAATCAACTGACTATGGTCAATCGTATTGCGGGTTCGACATTTCCACGCTATGTTTACATCGCGCGCCCTCCAATTAGTCTCTCAACTTGCAACTAGAGTCGATCGTCATTAAACTAGTTGACTTATTTAATTCTATATTTTCTCCAACTGGAGCATTCTAGCATGTGGCGAACAGGGATGCAAAAATCAAATATTAATATCAAGTGAAAGATTTAATTATTAATTACCCTTGGCATTTCTACGGTACTTGGCGTCTAAAAAACTTGGCCAGGTGTGACCGAAAGTACCTTATTAAGATATACCAGCACTTTCATTCATTCAGAATTGGGTAGAGGGTGGGGGGTTTTATGAAGGGTAACTGCGCTAGGATTGGGGAGGCTCGAGGGTCCTAGCCTTGGACCCTCGCAGGGTAATTCCGAGGTCCAATATTATCTAAGAATTATTTTCGCAAAAAGAGTGAAACGACTTTGAATCTAACCAGGTGGCTATAGTTTTCACTTTTCGCGATATCGACTACCTACAGCTAGATCAATTAATCAATCAATCAATCAATCAACCGATTTTTCTCATTACTACTAGACCTTACTCTCTATATAAGGGGTTATTTAGAGGATTGAGCCTTCCAGTTTCCACTTTAGCGCACAAAAGTAGCATTACCCGCAATGCCAGCTCGAAAGGTCTCTGCTAAGCAGTCTACAGAAACTAGGGTAAGTACAGAAAAACAAAAAAAAAAATTGACAGGAAAGCGAAAGGCGAAAGAAGAGTATCTACCGCCCTGCAGTATCAACCCACACTAGTCTAGAATTTCGAACATCCTCCTTTGGCATATGGATCAGGAGCTCCTTGGTATACGCAGTGGCGGTGGCTGAGGCATGCCGTTGCATATTATTTGAGATGCAAATCCCTCGTACCACAAGACAGGAAACGGAGGTGCTTAGGCGCGGCTCGCCTTCTTGCTCAAAGCAAAAGAACTCTTCTTCGTCGTCCCGAGAGCACAAAAATTTCTGGTCCGTGATCACTTCCCGCATCTGTCTTATTATCATAGAATTTTTGCACGATACGACGGTCCCGTCGTAAGTTTTAGGTTCTCGAGGCACGTATTTTGTCAGGGATTCGGGGATCGTGGGACCGTACATTTCCTGACGAGTCTGCACACGAAGGACGGCTCCGGCGAGGACAGACGGAATCTTATTACCAAAGTTGTTGTGGCGATACTTTGTTCCGTCTTGTTCCTGCATTAAGTGACTCACGAGAACGTCGCCTTGTTTCATACCGCCCTTTACTTTACCGAGTCCATCTGCTATACCGATCGAAAGACCAACTCGAAAGGATTTCAGATAGCAAATTAGGTGTGGAGCTCTGTGCGCAACTTGAATTGTAGAGCCTCGGGGTGGTAATGAAATGACGATATTATGCTTTCCCACGCGACCGAAGATGTAAGCGTCGGGATCGTTACTATGTGTGGTGAAGCCGGATGGGATTTCATATTGCTCATCAAGTATCGCTTTTAGATCCACATAGTTGATGGTATGAGTGGCGAATAAGCCAATTTGAAAGGAGTTGATATTGGGCTGAGCCAATGCCATGGTGTGGAGGGAGCGGGTGGAATGATAGAATTAGGTAGATTGCCTCTGTCGACAAGCTAAAAAGATAAGAAGTGGAAAAGAACAAAGATGAAAGCAATGGGAAGCTGAAAATTGGACAAAGTTAATAAACTGTTGAAAAGACAAGGTCGGCGCCAGGTCACAATAACAGGCTCTCGCTAGTTACACAGGTGTGTTGGGGGCTGCAATGCTATAAGCGCTTACATACAGGAGCCTACTCGCCATTATCCACCTTTATGCCCATCCACACCGATTTCCAAATTTTCCATGTGCCAACCAACCGATTATGATGCTTAGTCCTGTTAGAGCTTCCCCTACATTTAGGAAGCTGCCACATACAGGCATTTGCACCTTCTGGTTTCCAACCCAGCGCGTATGAACTGTTGGCAGTGATCAGTTTTTGTACAATTTGTCAGGCAAAGTGGACCACTATGGCTACATACTGACCGTAAAATAGCCACGCGCCGGCAGGTTGTAGTTGGGTGGGTCACCACCAGCGAATCCCTGGTGTTATATAATGCTATTTTTGTTGTTTGCTCTTTGGAATTCCTCTTGCCGCCTGTCGACTGGGTATGGAAGATAAAAAATCAACAAAACTAGCTCATGACGTAACTCAGTGAGGAGGGGCAGCATATGGTTGGATCAATAGCTGAATCTTGAGAAGATTCCATTCAGGATCGTCGGACTTTCTTCTTTTCTATTTGAAATATAAATAGATGACAGAATCATGATGAGTTTCAGATTAAGTTATATATACGTAATATTGACCTAATATATTATTATTATAGCAAATTTTGATTGATTGAAGGAACTAAGCCTATAGTCAACCTTAGAGAATGAATTATACGTAGTAAGGTCTAGTGCTAAATTACTACCTACACTGGAGGCCTCCGAACCCCTTGCAGTCAGGCTCATTGCACCCGGTACTATAGGATAGATCAAGGCAAATATTCACGCTCAACCACTCAGCCACTTAAATGTCTTCCCCCGGACGTACTCCCAAGTTTAAGAGTTCCTCCTCGAGGGAGTTGAGACGGGGGTCGCGGCGCCTCATCTCTGCTTGGAGAGATTTACCTTCTTTACTATCCCCCCGTCCCTGGGCCCTTAGTATATCCCACCTCGCCGCGAAGGAGTTCCTCTCCTCAAGAAGTTGGTGGTATTCGGCCGCTAAAATTTGCTTTTTGCTCTCATTCCCTCTAGCTCTCCTTTTCTGTCGCTCTTCTCTCTCTAGCTGTTCACTCTCTCGCTGTTCTCTCTCTCGCTGTTCTATTTTCTCTCGCTCTTCTCTCTCCTCTCTTAGTGTTTGCTGATGTGCTTTCCACTGACGCTTGCGCTCTTCTAAATCCGAATCACTCTCCTCGTCACTATGTACCACTCTGATGTTCCCTCTTTCCCCTTGTCGTGGCCCAGAAGCCGGATAGTTGTGGCCTGAGTCAGGATTCACAGCATACGTACGAATGCGTGTTCTTCTGACCCTTGGCGGAGGAGGGGTTGGAGAACGTTGGGGTTGAGAATATTGATGGCTTCGGCCACCATTTCCAGAGGCACCAGACCGATGGTCATACGGTCCTCTGTTGTCGACGGAGGCTCTTGGTAGTGACGAGTCTCGAGGCCCTCGGGAGCTTCTCCGGCGGTGCGACGAGGACGGTTGCTGATCTCTGTCGTTCTTCAAACTGGCCAGCTCTCTTTTTAGCCTATTAGCCGATCTGGAATTCCTCTCATATTCGGCATTTCTGATCTCCATTTCAATATCCTTTATCTTCTGGCCTTTCGCAATATCCTCCATCTGGGCACGGTATTCCTCTCTGTCTCTCACTCTCAATTCCGCCATCATTTCTTCGTATCCCTTTCGTCGCGACATTATCTAAGTGTAGTCAAATACAGCGAGTCTGGTTCTCTGGCGTCGGAGAATTTGTGCACTCTTATAGCGAAGCTGGAGTGTAAATACCTGATAATTGTCTCTCCTAGAGAAATAAATGTAGTTTAAATAACTTTCAAGGGGGTCAGCTTGCAAAACTATCTTTAGAATGAAGGAAAGCGAACCCACTCACTCCCTATGGGCTGCTTTTTTTATTCCACGGTTAGCTATTATAGTCGTTCTAGGCACTACGTTTCAGCTATTTTATGGTATATAAGAGACAGTTTATGTCAATAGCGATATTCGAATTATATGTCCTAGGCGGCTGCATTCGAGTTTTCAGCCAATCAATATTGCAATACCGAAGAACATGGCCGACACTGCACCATCTGCAACCAATTAGTCAACATAAGATAAGTTGGAGGCGGCATACATATCCCCCTTGGATAACATACCACCATCGATATTAAGATAATGAGACCGCTGCTTGTAATATCCAGTATGATCTAGGGGTATTCTATCCGATCTCTCATTAGATGCTTTTCCCTCCTATACACAGTTGTTGCCAATATAGCCTCAGGTCTCAGATAGAGAGAAAAATAACTCCTACGCACTTCCACCAACAAATCAGCATCTGTTACCTCTTCCGGCGGCCGCTCCCCTAGTATGGTGTGTGATGCTTTAGTGGTTTGTTCGCCGATCCTTCTAATTCTGTCTCCTTGCCAGACTTGCCTCCGAGCGCCCTGGTTCAGTATATAGGGGGTGAATGTTAAATATCTCTTCTCTCACTGACTAGCGGGTTGCGGCGCTAGGTTCCGAGTGTACCAGGATACTATAGAAAACATACAGGGAATCGGGTATCCCTGTAATAGACGGACGCATATAGAGATATATGGCTTTCCGCTGTATTATGCAGCTTCTTCTTCTCCACAAATACAACTAGGCATGAAAAGGCAATATGCTACATATGCAATGAATTCTGAACGGACAGAAGAAATACAGGGCAAACGGAGATTGATGAAGGAGACGAATTGACGCACTGGAAATGTATATATATTGAGCCGGCGCCGACGGCCGTCAAGGAAGTGGCGGTAATTCCCACATTGTGCAGCTATTGGCCCGACAGGTAGTCACACCAACGAGCCCTAAGTTATTATCCATCAGGAGCCATGGATTAGAACTTAATCAGATCAAAAAGTCCACCAAACCATCGCACATCAATGAACTGGACAAGACTTCTATAAAGAGGAACGAATGCCAAATTTTTGGATGCATCCAAAAGCGCCGGTTCCAACTCTCTTATGAATCGTCTGTGTTGGCTCAATATACGGAGCAGGAATATAGCCTTGATAATATCGACTGCTATCGACTAGATGAGTCTTGATCAATTTCTTTAAGACGCTCCTCCCAACATAGATGCATTTCCAGGGCATCGGGGTCATCCTCTAGACGAATCCTCCTAGCAGGTTGTGCTCGGTCGGTTGGATACACGGGACGGTTCCTCTCGTATTTATCGCGAAATATGTGCAAGTCAAAAGTATCATCGCGATAGATGCGGACTGCATTGCGTTCAGCCGTCAAAGGGAAGGGACACGGAGTCGACTCGTCGTCATCGAGGCAGAAGGTAAGGAATTGATCGATCTGCGCTTCCGATAGTTTGAAAGGTCAGAAGCCAGCACTTGGGTGAAGGTAGATATCTCGTAGCTGTTTTCAGTCAGTTCTTATATAGCAGGGCTAGAGGTAACAACCTTGTGGATAATAAATTTAGAATAGGAAGACTGGAAGTCATATACCTTGTTTTCGGACTCACTCCGGTCAAATAGCACAACGCCTCCAAGTAATCTATACTCAACCCAGTACCCAACCATATCAGCGACACCCATAGGATATTGCTTGTAGAAGGTATATTCTACATGATAGAGGTAGGTGGGATTTTGAGGAATAGGGGCCGGACGTATTATCTCGGGCTCCTCGAACCCTGGGATCTGTGGGATAGGAGCTGGATCGATAGGCGCCACGGGCTTTCGGCACTTATAAGGCGGTTTATTTGTATACATAAATAGCTGGGCTGCTATTTTATGTAAGCATATTCCAATCATTTTGATTAAACGAAATTGGAATTCTTGTGTTCCAGGGAGGGTGTCTTGAAATGCTTGGACCACCTAGTGATACCTATTAGTTTAGGAGCACTAGGGGTATATAATTAAAGTAAGACGAGGAAGTCTAGCGTATATATCCAGGTCGAAGGACTTTTCAAGTTGTATGACTTGACATTTGAGCATGACAACAAATCTCGACTTACAGTGCTTGTGATTGTTAGATCTTCTACTTGGAAAGTAGACTTCCATCTCACAAGCTCCCTAAATGCCTCATCGGTCGGGGTCTTACGTCCAGAAACCACTGGATCGTAGGCAAACATCCATCGAGTGTCAATTTGTTCAATAGGAATGCCGTCAACTACCTGTGCCAGCGTTATTTCCGCAAGCTCCGTAGAGAGGATTTGTTGAAGCGATCGTTGTAGGGACATCAGATGTTCTGCATTCAAGTTGTTGGCGATGGCCACTTGACTCGTCATTTTGTCCACAGTGCAGCTTTTGGGGGTAGGGATAGCCAGAAAGTAGGGAAGATATGAGAGGAAAAGCAAAGTAGATGATTTACAAAAGGGTTATGTTGGGGCACCAGACACCAATGCGGTGGCATGAACTCAGAATGTTTGATGTGAACGTCGTGGGCGTGATGCCTGTGGTAGATCAGGGGAGTGGAGGAGGGGTATTCGGACTGTCTTGGTTAGTGAGCTTACCGCTGACTTGGTGATAAAATATAGGTTATATCAGTGGTTTAGTATGTATAAGTTAAGAGTTGGATACTTACAAATAAGCATATGCTAAATTCTAAACCCTTTTATGACACTTATTAAAATACCTGGATAATATGCACAAACCATGTTACCCGCTCGGCGATAAGAGCCCTATTTTAGAGATCCACACGGGCTTCTGGACTAGGTCAATTGTATCGTGGGGTTTCTATCGAAGGTTCATAGTCTTGATGGGAATGCTTTTCAAGGCCTCTTTACATATAAGTCTCCTTATAATTCACAATACACCTTCACACAACTAGTCGAACACCCTCAGCCCGACGAAATCAGCTCCCCAAGTCTGGAAGACATCACTCGAGGCCGCATTCCCAACAGCGATCTCATTATCTCCATCTTTCCACCCGTCAATCAGAATGCCCAGCGTCGCGGAGTCCCACCAGCCAAGTCCAGGGCCGAAAAGCTCACTGTGGCGACCTGAGAGCGGGACCTCGAGGCGTACAGGATCACCTCCATTCAAGGCTAGGGTGATGTTGCGGGAATTGGAACCCCATTCCCAGGTAGAAGAGAAGGCAACATCATTGTTGATATAGTCGATTTCAACATACTTTGCCACGGTGCCAGCGCTGCCTGCTGAGGAGGGAACATTGGCGGAAATGGTCGTCGTTGCGGTACTGGTGGAGTCAAGATATCCGATCTTTGATCCGACGGGCAAACAATACCCGGCATCACATTCTTCGAGGATCGCCGAGCCACTCAGGGTGAATATAGTGGCTGGGTAGTACGTCCCAGCCGGAGACCAAATTTGAATCGACTCAATGGTACGAGTTGAAGTGAGGGTGATCGTGTTGGCCGCGCCGGCGACCAATGAAACCGTGGAGGAGACGGTTGTGCTTGAAGCCGGTACATGGATGGTGCTCTTCTGACTCCCAGACGAGAGGCTTAAGACGGTCTGTGACGATGATGACTGGGAGAAGACAATTGAGATGGTGTAGTTGGTACTAGTCGTATTCGCATAGACAGCGTCAAAAGTGACCGAGTTCCTGCGCCTGGATTAGCACGTCAAGATCCAAAGAAATAAAGAAGTAAAGAAGTCCGCATCAGCTCATGTGACTAACCCGTTTTTCGTCCCAAAATGCGCGCTTGAGTATACTCCAGCCGGCGTCGTGTCCTGCAGCTCCAGCAACATGACCCCATGCGCCTCCACCGTCGCGGTGTATGTGGTCTTCACTCCCTGTACTTCCGCGCCCGCCCAGATATCCTTGATAGTGCCTGCATACTGCACACCCACATCCGGGAGATCCAAAGACAGCTCGCGTGCCTCGCCATCCCAATTGATGAGGGCTACTACCGTGCGATCCCCCGACAACGGCCCACTCCAGACTTCATACCCGGCCTCCGACCACCGGCGCCGCAAGGCGGCGCTGGCACCCAGCGAGTCCTGATTAAAGCTAACGACATCCTCGTTCGCGAGGATAGCCAGTGACGCCTCGCTAATCGCTGTCCACTCGTCTTTCAGTGCACCGCCAATAACTAGCGGACTTTTCAAAATGGCCCACATCGAGAAGTGTGTTTGCTCCTCCGCCGTCGTGAACACGCCATTCCCCACCTCCAGCATGTCGAGATCGGGCCACTGGCCCGGCCCAGCAAAGTCCGTTTGTGGCACAGCCTGGTTCAGCGTGCGCACGATGGTGCGCCAGGCGGGGATGATGTCGTTGCCGATACGCCAGGTGTGTCCGAGAGCCGGGGCCCACAGCGCCGGGAAGTCGACGCCCCATTCGCAGATCTGGAAGAGGACGGGCGTGTGTTGGGCCAGGGCCCTGGTCATGTTGGCATAGCGGAGCTGGGGGGAGGTGCTGGGCGCATAGTTCACGTTGGGGTAGTCGGTGGCCGCGTCCGAGAAGCAGTTATCATCTGTGATGAGGGGCCGGTTAGGGTGAAGTAAGTAAAGATATGTGATAGGATACTCTACGAATGGCAACGGGAGCTTACATTTGAGGGCATCGATGTTCCAGGATGCAAAGAGGGCGGCGTCCTGTGACTCATGGTCTTTGATATGTCAGTATGGCCGCTAGTTACCTCGCAATGCCTCGATGTGATCTGGGGTTGCTGGAGGGGGTCTTACACAAACTGCCGGCCTGCTCGATATTCGTCTGGCACGATCGGATACCCGCGTCTTCGTACACACCAAACAAAAGGCCCAAGTTATGGAGGTACGCACCCAGTGCCGGGAAGCCGCTCGGGAACAGAGTCTCGTTCCAGGTTAACGACCCGTTAGCCGTGCGGTCCGGCACCGTCCAGCCGCAGTCGGTTGTCACGTACCGATATCCGAGATCCGCTAGGCCAAGATCGACGAGGGCCTGGGCATTGGAGTGTACGATCGATTCATTTGGGGAGCATGAATAGTGGTTGTACGTGTTCCAGCTGGACGACAATGTCAGGGTATTTTTTTCATGGTAGGCAATAATTAACTCGAACAGGTAAACAGGAGACATCACCTATAGAGACATACCCCATCGGCGGTGTTTCCGCTACGCCATTGTCTAGACGCGCCCTCAGTGCAGCGGCATGGACCATTGGAAAGGCCACGCCGGCCGCCGGGAGAATCACGGTCCAATGCATGTGTTCTGCCGTTGATTGTTTGTCGTGCACTTTGCGATTGTCCTCGTCCGCGGCGATTGGCACCCGAACCACATGTACCGACAAATACAGAGAATGCAAAGCCCTTTTCCAATTTATAGCCCCCATTGCATCTACTTCCCCGCTATGTCGCATCATTTACCCCGACGCGGGGTCCAGCATGATGCGAAGCCCACCACGACGGAAAATTGCCTAAACGGGTGCTGCAGAATGCACGTCTGGCGCGACGATCCCCTGGCGGCGGCCCACTTGGGCAAGCAAGCCCTCTGCAATTGGACGGGATTGGGGACGGAGGATTGCAGGCCCTATAGTTTGATGGTCCGCGAATCCGGGTATTTCTCTGATGCTTTCCATTTACGTTTCCTTTCACTTTTACTCGTACTCCGATGCCGACCACTCACAACTGCCCGGACCTGGGAAGAAGTCTGATTTTGGCTTTGATGGGGTGATTTGCAGACAGTCGCATACATGAGTGGGGGCAGTTAGTGTCAACGCAGGGCCCTCCCTCACGGGGGAGGCTTGGATCAGAACATGTATACAAATAGTCGGTATGTATGACGGTCATTACTATGTGAGATCGGCTCAAATTACTTGTACATGCGAAAGAAAGGGAATAAGCAGAAACAATCAAACAAAGAGGGGGGGGCCCATCAACACTGCCGTCCACGGTGTGAGGGGGCATTGCGGAACGGAAACCCTGGCAGAGAAAATCCAACGCACACAGAGAGAAACCAGAAGAAAGCCCGCCACGAAGATTCATCACCAGCCACCCTCTCCATGCACAGATTGACTGAATGCAGAGGCACCCATCTGCAGTCCGTGTTCCACGTCTCTATTCTGATGCGGGAAGTCCCCGCTCCGGGCTCCTCGCTCTGTCCAGGCCGCCCGGTAGGCCCGCCGGCGGCAGTCGGCTTCCGCCTCGGGGTGCAGCTTTAAGCCAGCACGCCCATGAGCGCGGAACAGAACAACATGGCGACAACGCCGAGCCCAGACTTGGAGACGGGCTGGTTGAGCACAGCGGCGTTCGAGGTGGAGCTCGAGGTCGAGCTGGAAGTGGAGGAGGAGCCAGTAGCCGAGGTGCGGGTGGTGGTCGCCGCAGCGGTCGCGGTCTCATTGCCCTTATCGGTGTTGCAGAAGATGGAATAGGTGCCGCTCTTCTTCTCGAGACACTCGGTCAGCTCGTGCACGGTCTGTTCCTGGGCTAAACAGTAGATCGCGCAGCCGTTGTTGTACTTGACAGGGGCGTCGCCCTTGCAGCAGTCGTCGAAGGCACTGGTGATGTTACCAGAGATCGCAGCACCACAGGCGTAGTCGGTCACGCCTGTGGGCAGGACCCAATTGTTGGCAGTGCAGGCCGTGGCCGTGGCTGTAGCAGTCGAAGTAGATGTGGAGGTAGAAGTGGTCGACATGGTAGTGGTGATAGTGGTGATAGTAAGGGCGGCTAGATTGAATGGGGAAACAGGTAGCCAAAAAGACACAAATTTGCAGAGCACCAGAATTGCACAGAAAGAAACCAGAAAAAAGCTCGCTGACGGGGGCAACACTGACCATAAAACAGCACACTCAAGCAGAAACAGAACCTGGTCTCAGCCCCAAACCCAACCAACCCGGCGTTGCTGATTTTGTGGGGAAAACCCGCCCTGCGGCCCCACTGCTAAACTTAGCAGCCAGTCACCGGCGCAGCACCGACAGCACCGCGAGCATAGTGGACAAATGATACAGGCGGATCCGAATAAGATTGATAATAATGTTCATGTCGGTGAATCTTGATACTCTGCCCACTATGGCAGGGCAGCCGTTAGGCGCACATCCATCATCCATCATCCATCATCCATCATCAAGGGTGTTCCTCCAACGCGTCTGCACAAATGACAAATGATAAATGGCACACCCAATGAGTTAGGGTGCCCCTGGTATGACAGGTCTGCTGCAGGCGAGGAGTGGCACCCCGCGCAACACAAAAACGGAAAAACGCAACACACCAGGATCTGTGACCATATTCTCCCGCGCGGTTTGTGTTCCTATGCTGTCGGTGACAGCCAATCCGGGCGCGGGTCCAAACGCCGGCCCGAGCGACTGGGGGCCGGCGAGAGTCGCGACGTCGATATGATCAAGAGACGATCGCCACGGGTTGCAGGAGAGACGCGCATCCCCATGCAGCATGCAGATCATAGGAAGAGACAGATCCAATGCACGAGAAGGGTGGCTCAGAGAGGAGCACCATAGAATGCAGGAGTCTGTAAACTAGCGACTATAGATGGTAGACTAGAGATTATAGACTATAGATTGCAAATTATAGACTATAGATCGCAGACTATAGGGTCGAGGCTATATACAGGCGAGATTCCGGTTGATTATCCACAAGCAGCGACTCCAATGTCAGATTCTCCCTTACCGAGTGCAGGCCGCCTAACCCCCCGGTGAAGGCCAACTGCCACTCGCCCAGTGCAGGATCAGTGGTCACACTTCCAAACTACAGCCCGGTCACTCGCTGTGATGCCCAAGGACAGGCCCGGCCCCGGGCCTGCAGCCCCCCAGAACCTTGCGAGCGTTATTCCAAGGCAGCAGGTTTATGCACAGACGTGTTCTCGCTGTGCGTGGCCTCCTCAAGCCCGGTTTTCTCGTCCGCGCTCTCAACTCCGACCAGCGCCAGCAGGCCAATCTCCCGCTCAATGCGCTCCTTGCGAGCAGCGTCCGCGGCCGCCATACCGCTGGTGCCAAACAGCTCATCCATCTCTTCCAGGGTCCGGCCACGTGTTTCCGGGACCATGAAGATCACGTAGAAGATGCCAATGGTGGTAACGCAGCCGAAGAAGATGAACGCACCCAGCGCGCTACTCGACAGGAAGGGCGAGGTGGCGGTGGCGACGGCGAAGTTGTTCAGCTGCAAGGTGATGAAATCATATTAGTCGGGGGGTGTGGTCTGCCTAGTTACCGGTCTGGAAAGCGGGAAAGACAGAGAGAGAGAGAGAGAGAGAGAGTGTGTGTGTGTGTGTGTGTGTGTTCGGCAGTCTGGCCGAGAAGGACCGGAAATGAGGAAGGGACTTACCCAGTTGCTACTACCACCAAGACTGACACCCTTGGCGCGCATGCTGAGGGGGGAAGACTTCGGACGTCACAATCCAGGCCACGGGACCTGTAGCGCAAAGCAAAGAAACGGATTAGCCAAGTCACACAGAGAAAACAGGCAGAAGCAGGCCGGCATAGATGGATGTCCGTCCCCGCCCACACACAAACAAACCACTTACCCCACGAATAGGCAAAGTTAATCACGAAGATCCACACAAACACAATGGCCGTCCAGCCGGCGGCGCGGTGGCTGCCGAACTCGCCCTGGTATGCGCCGATGATACCCGCCACGATGAAGTGGCAGATCGCCATGCCGGCCGCGCCTGCAATCAGGATCTTCTTGCGGCCGATCTGGTCGACCCACAGCACGGCAGGGATGGTGAACAGGAACTCGACAATGCCGACCACACCGGTGGCAAGCAGGGTTGTCGTGTTACCGGGCAGCTCCATGTCTTCGAAGATGAAGGGACTAGGGTGGATCAGGAGAAATCAGCATGACACCCAATCACCACGGAGAGCGCAAAATGCGCAACACATCAGCGAACACCAGGGACTTACGCGTAATAGTTGATAGCATTGATACCGTTCCATTGCTGAAACACCATAATCATGCACTAGGGAAGCCATCAGTATGTGGTCATAAAAAGAACATAGCGGCAATTGGTGCCGGGACCACCTGAAAAGACCTACCGCAACGCTCGTCCGCTTGAAGAGAGACGGGTTCGTGACGAGAGACATGTAGTCATGCAGACCGATCTGGAACCGGCTCTTGAATGAGCCATCCTGCCACTGCGGGTACTTCTCGGCGGCGGTCTCCTTCTCGAACAGGTGCAGGCTCTTGATCTCGAGGTACTCGATGCGCACCAGCAGGTCATCGGTAGAGGTGTTACGCAGCCGCGCCAGCGTCTGCAGACACTCTTCGTCGCGGCCGGTGTTCATCAAGTGGCGCGGGGACTGGGGCATAAACATCATCATGCCCACCGCAAGGATAACGGCCGGCAGGATCTGGATGCAGATTGGAACGAGCCAGGCTGCGTCGGACTGGCCGGCGCCAGTACCGCCGATATAGTTGGTTCCATAGCCGATCTAAATACAAAATGTGAGCTCATGATGTATATTGTCGGCGGGTTCCAAGTTTAGCATAGACCTACCCAGAAGCTGACCATGATACCGAATGTGATAGCCAGTTGCTGGACTGCAACCAGCGAGCCCCGGATCTCCGGCGGAGCCTGTTTTGATGCTCAATTGTCAGAATACAATTCCGATTCGTCCATGCAGCCTCACTGCGTGGGGATGCGAGGTGATGAAAGAGAGGGAGAGACGCACCAGTTCCGCATTGTACAATGGCACAATCATACTTAAACTACCGACACCCAAACCCGTGACGAACCGGCCAGCGAAGACATAGTCCTTGTTCTGAGTGCAGGCCTGCACAATGACACCGACACAGAACACAACCACCGCGATCAGGACCGTCAGGCGACGACCGGCGGCGTCAGCGAGGTATCCGTTAAACAATGTGCCGACCCAGGCACCCAGCTCGAGAATGGAAGTCAACAGGCCTTGCTTGATGCCCGTTTGCGCAGCATATTGTTGGGTCTGTCCAGAAGAAGAAGAAGAAGGGGAAAGAGACGATCAGCAACGAACGAATGGCAATTATCAATTTATTGAACGGATGGAGAGGTCTCAACGTACCGCCGCCTTGAAAGACGTCATCGTCAACACCTGCGCGAACATGCCCTGGTTGTCTACTCGGCTGTCAGTCTCGACATTCTCCAATGGTATCACTTTGTCTTCGCCATTCATGAACTCACATCCATATACCAGACCACCCAACGACGCGAACAGCCCAATAGCTGACGTCTTCTTATTGCTCAGCAAACCCCAGATTCCACCTTTGCCAGCGAGCTCAGCCCGCTTGGCCGAGATGGCCGTCTCCCCAGGAAGCGCAGACACCATGGTGAACCGCAACAAGAGATAATAAAGACACACACAGGATTCTCAGCGGAACAGGCCAAGTGTACCTTGTCAAATTTCTACAAGGAGTACAGGACGAGATCCAGATCGCGTCCAAGGCCGATTCAAAAAACCAGGGTTGAGGTTCATCAATTCAGCGCGCCGCGTCGGGCGATCGGCAGGTCTATTTATTCATCGCGAGATCTAGCTCAATGGGGGCCGTCAGGGCACTGGGTAAATTCCCTCTTCTCCGGAGCCTTTATCCCCATGGGGCCGCGTTCCATGCCCGGTCAATGTGGGGAGAGGGGAGTGTGGGAACCATCCCATCAGAGCGAGGCAGATGTGGAGAGCATGGTCTCGAGCGTGCACCGGGCAACAGGTTTCTGGACGGGCCTATCGGATTTACGCGAGACGGTAGAGCGGAGAGCGTAGTGGTGCTGCGCAATGCCTCCGGTCTGTGAACGTCCCACCAGTTCTGGAGGTCCGGCCTGGCCGTTGAATGGCAAGCTCCATTGAATGGCATGAGGAAGGCGAATGGGTCGTGAGTGATGGCATGTCCGAGTCACGATTTACCCGGCCACGGTCGGGAGCTGATTTCGGGAACGGGGATGGCTGGAACTCTGGGTAAATTGGACGGTGTTGTTTGCCGGGAGGCCGGGGTTGTCGTGTCGTGATGATCCCGGACGAGACGCGGGATCCCGAGCCGCTCAACACATTACCACGACTGCGCAAGGTCTCCTCTTGCACCAACGACCGGCTTACAGGGAAAAGATTTGCTTCGTTATTCCTCCCGAACCTATTTACCCAGTGATGATGTCGTTCGGTATCGACCGCTGCCTTTGACCACGGCTCCATCGGACGGGCAAGGCCCCCGCCGACGGGCCGGTCTCATTGGCCGAGTCTCGGGCCCACTGCGACTCCGGCTGGAGATGAATGGAGACGAAAGTGCGTTCCCCTGGGGAAACCCCGCCCCCCGGGAGAACCCCTGGTTTTGACAGAGTCCAGACAGCTTGTATCACCCGGATAAGGGGCCTCGTCATCGAAGGGAGGGGGACTTCGGCCGCTGATATCTCGGACTTGAGAGACGCTTATGACAAGCTTTCTCCCCCTATCCAGCTGCCCCGGGAGGACGCCACTGCCGAGCACGACTCGCACAGACACCAAGCATACGCCGAGGAGCCGAGCCCGGCGCAAGACGAGGTGCCATCCCGGGGGGTGGGGGCTCATGCAATCCCCACATCCTCGCCGACGGATGAAGTCGAGCTAATTTAGCCTGTTCATCCTACCCCTTGCCCTCCTGCAGACAGCCCACGCCACCTACGCCCATAACGCCTCACCCGCTGCCCTGATTTTATCCCTCGAGCCTGTCTACGAATCGGCTTCGGGCGGACGGGAGCCACGGCGCCAGGATGAAGGTTTCTCGGCAAATACAAGCCCAGATTTCGCCGGCGTGGCTCTCAACATGTAGCTCCGGCCTGTGGTGGTCTGCTGAATAGGCGCCGAGTCTGGCTAAAATGTCATTTTTGCCCGGGGTTATGGCACAAAAAGAGTATTCCGGGGCAGGACAGGTGGCTCGGGTTTCTATCGGGAAATAATCGGACATTACCATGTCTACAAACCGACGCAACCGCCTACACTCTTTCCGTGACGCTCCAGACTTGCCAATAAGAGGCACTGGTCTATATTGGGGGGCCTCCCAGACTGGAGTCCCCCTGTTAGTTGGGTATATATCACTGTTTCGTAGATTAGATGGTATCGGAAAACTTTTGTATTGGTCTGCCAATTATATTCACGACCTGTGAGTCCTTAGCTTGGAAATAACCCGCTAAGTGAGGTCGATGGCAGACACCTTTTAATGAGGAGTGGTTGAACAATAACAGCACCATACCTCGCCCCTTCAAGCATAATTTTATCATTAGCATAACCTACTACGGGACACTATTGGCGTCCCAAGAAGCAAGTACTACTGATTGTAAGAGGAGCGCTAATTGGAAAAACTGTTCCATCGGACAGATGTTGCGCGATGCTCCAGTACTGGTGGTTCAAGTCATACATGTTTAAAGCCTCACAGGGTACTTCGCTTGAACTTCGAGGTCAATTTGTCTATAGGACACATTCGCGCCGGTTGTAAAAAAACTTAATCAGCCCTGATATACTATTATTTTTTAAGGCTACCTATCTTGAAGGCTAGACAGTCTGGTATCGAGATTCATAACATATGTATTCATTTCAACGCAACTCAAGTTTTGCTAATTTATCATCTACGTAGTCTACGGAAGAGCCCGGTAGAAGCTAATCATCCGAGAAATAGTGATTACCATTCTCTCACGCTTAAGGTGCATCCTGGATATAATGGTATTATCAAAGGAGTTATTGAGTATCTCTCTGATGCACAGGACACGCAATGGTCTAGTGCCCTCCAGCGATCATTCCTTGTACGTATGATGAGGATCGCATGAGCCGTTGTAGTAACCTTCGCCCCATTGAATCGACACTGTCGAGATCCAAACGGGCCTTCAAGCCCGACTTTGTCGGCCACGACATCCATCTAAGTGTTCACTTCCGAAATTCTGCACTTGGGCTCGGAGATAATCGTGGAAGCGCGATCTGTGGGGAAGCTTGCTAGCTTCTCCGCCAGCAATACCTTGGTGTATACGTACACACGGGGGATACCACCAGGTAGAAATTGATCGCAAGCCTACGACGCTTGTGCGCGGAGGTCGAAAATTCATTTTCAGTGTTCGGCCCTCAACGGGTTTACGATACAGATTTAGACACGAGGACTCTCCCAGTACGTATAAATTGCTGCAACACCTTTTAAAGCCATTCAAGTCAAGCCATACATGAAAATCTCATGTCTAGCAACCCTCCTTACTTGTCCAGCTCTTCGCAATTTTCGAATTCCATTTATGCGTTTCTGATCTCATGTCCGAAGCCGCCTGTTGCGTTCTCCTGTAAGGCTGAAGTATCCTTTCTCTTGTTCATTCTTGAAGCCCATCAGGCGTGTACTTTTGGCGATACACTTCCAAGGTCTTGCGGGCGTACTCCTCCGTCCTATCCATGGACTGATTGAACATCCTAGGCAAAATTCGAAGCGCGTTTGCATGGTCTGGCGCAAACTCGGGCCCATGCCAACCATAACTTGCACATAGCGCGACCGTATCCTCCACCAGGCACGACCCAAGTCCCCGACTCCGACGATCCTGCTGTATAGTCCATGCCCGGATAATTGCCCTGCACTTCTCTGGTGCTACCAGTGGAAGCACCGCTGCCTTGTCCCGCTCTTTACCGGTTTTATCCTCAGCGCGATCAGATTCGTTGATGGGCTCAACCCGTATCACCAGCGTACCAATGAGACCGCTTTCCCCGGTTGTGGCTTCATTGCGGATGACAAGCACGATATCCCGCTTGCCCACACCAATGTATCGCTTTTCCACCTGCTGCCCTCTTCCGCTGGAAACAGAGACCACAGTATCCCCGTCATCAAGACTGAAAAGCCAGTTTATAGTCTTCGCCTCCGCTGCATCGATGTACCCATGCAGTCTCCATTGCACCGCATGTGCAAAGGTCATCAGGACGCCGATAGATATCAAGAAGCAGGTCGTATTGTCCATCGTGTTCAAGTATGGCTGCAACCTATCCAGTTGCTCAATCCGGTCGGAGTAGAAAATCACAACAGCGATGATTGCAAATAGCATCCATATGGCTGGGTGGAACAATACGGCGCGCGCGGCCATCTGTCGCTGCTGTGCCACGGAATCCGCGATAAGCCGAATGGCATCTTTCAGGTCTGTTTCTCGCTCGGTGACCACAGAGTGTCGGCGGTTCATATCTGGAAGAGCTATCTCCTCCTGGAATCGCGGCAAGTGCCAGGGCCATTTGTCCTTGCCATCTGAGTCAGGGGATTCCGTATAGTCTGCATCAACGGTGGGGACAAGTTCCAGAGATAGCGCTTCTGCAGAGTCTTTCAGGGTCTTATCTTCCCTTTGGTTGGCATCAAGGCTGGCTTCGGGCTGTGAGACCACGCGGTCATCGGTCGCCGGCAGCGCGAGCATCGCGGGATCTTTAGGTGTCTCGCAAGGCGGGGAGATGGGACTCGAACTGGACTCCGTTGAATTTTCCGAGGTGTCGAAGACTGCAGGTCCTAACAACATTACCGGAGAGATCGGAGCTACTGCAGAAGCCGATAAAGCTTTATTTTCGATGGCAGCCTCCACACCGGGCTTCGAAAGCACTGCAGCTGGTGAGGTCATGTCATCAACGCTATCCCTGCGGTTAACAATGATCTCTGGTCCCTCCAGGGTGACGGGATGTGTTGAAGTTAAGAGCCGTCTGCTCTGGTTCATCCTGGTTGGTTCTGTGGTCGGTCAAAGTCGGAGCAAGAGAGGGACTGTTGTACAGTGACTTGAGCGAAGGTCAACGTCCATGAACCCGGTGAGAAGCAGCACTCAACTCCCGGAGCACACCTGAGACAAAGAATCTCACTGCAGAGCTTTTCTCTTAGTGTTTCCTTTTCTCTCTGTTCTTGATTTCAAATAAAAAAAAACTCGTGGGAAGTTTGACGTGGCCAATCTGAATGTGGACAGATGTGGCCCAGTCAAAGAAACCCCTGCCGCCGTCCGGGGTTCACAACGCGAGGTCCCAGAGCCAGCCAACACATGATCCACGGGAACACTGTCCATGGGTGAATCAAACGAATTTCCAGGCTTGTCATGAAAACTGGTAGATTTTGATGCTTGCAATCTGGTTGCGCAAGTGATAGATTGAGTGCCATCCGTAGATCGGCTGTGGATCCTAAGAATAAAGATGTATTTAGCTACAGGACCATTGAAGCTGTTCACCGAACACGAAAAGTCTATTTCTTAGCACCAGCCTTTCCCAATAATGTGTCTTTAAAATTAATCTGGAAATATGCAATTTGGTGACCCACCTACACTCTAGTTACTCATTGGTAATCATATACCTATCTGAGTGGATAATAATAATGTCCAAAACACTACATTTCCTCTGGACTGTGTATCTCCATGTTTCATTTGCAAAGTCATAGAGCCAATGTCTCAACTTGTCTCCATATCATCAAAAGATGTCAAGTGTGTGAATTATCAAATCGCATGACAGGATTGAAAAGGGAAAGAAGGAAGCAATCATCAATTGTTGATTGATGCTCATGAACCCGATACGGATCTCAGAAATTGAAATGATGCTACTTCGAAGAAACAGTACACAAGACACAAGAAAGGATTGATAATGTAATATTCTACCCAACCTTGTAGACATATACAATTCATCGCACCTCAAGTAACGACAGTAAACTACTGCTGGGTGAAGTATCCCATAGTGCTCCCGGTCTTCGAGAGTACCTGTAGCACGTCAAGCGATAAACAGCAAAATATTTGATTATCAGTGATATAAGAAGAAAAACAAAATATGTGCCTCAGAAATCTTCTAGATAGAGTGAATATTTTAAAGTTACCCTATAGCCACCTGGAAAACATGGGACCCAGAGCTGAGATCATGTTCCTAACCAGTCGATCTGTGGTATTTGAAAGACTGCAACGAGGAAAACCAGCGGATGTGATTTCTCTTTTCGATAAAATAGACTGTATCATTACGCAACAAAAGAGCAAGCAAAACGGATACTCCACAGCGATAGGCAGAAGGAGCAGCGGGGAGCCTTATCCACCTCATGTTAAATTGAGTGCCATCACGGTAATCGTTCCATCGAGGTTGAAATACTAGAGTTAATATAATCCAACAGTATAGAGCTCATGTAGGGACAGAGTGACCCGACTCACAACAACCTTCCAGAAGGTACTGGCTCATGACCACAGTACCAGAGAGTCTCCAAATACGTCGAAAAAGACATCATGATCATAATGTCCTGAAATTTCACGCTGATAGCATCACCTATCTAGCCTTCTATAGGAGATGGCTTTACGATTCCAATTGCAATCATATATTCGCCCCGTCGTCTCTGCACACCTTGACTACAACTTTGCCACGGGCGCGTTTGGTGGCAATGCGCACATAGGCATCGAGGGCATTCTCCATGTCGAAGACAGAATCTACAGAGACACGTAGTCCCCTCTTCTCAATGAGGTCTACCACATGGATCGTGGCCATACGTGTCGGCGGCGTGCTGAAAACGATGTAGCGACGTGGTACGCCACCCAGCCAGGTAGGCAAGAACCAGTTCGAGAGAATGCCAAGCGTCGTCGACCAAATGCCCTCGATGGCTCCAATATTGATCACAGCCCCCTCGGGCTTGAGATAGGCCGGGGAGTTGGCAAAGAGAGCCTGCGTCCCGACGCAGTCAAACACGAAGTCGAACGGCTGCTCGCCATACTCGGTGGCCAAAAAGGCTGGAAGCGAGTCATGACTCTTGTAGTCGACAAACTGCGCATTGCAATCAGCGAGGTTCATTGATGAAATTGGGAGCACCTTCTCTCTCTCTCTCTTTCTCTCTCTCTCTCTTTCTCTCTCTCTCTCTTTCTCTCTCTCTCTCTTTCTCTCTCTCTCTCTTCTCTCTCTCTCTCTCTTTCTCTCTCTCTCTCTGTGGAAATATACCTCATCAGCGCCCAAACCGCGTACCAGCTCCTCGTTGCCGCCACTCGCGATCGCGACCACCCGTGCCCCACGCATCTTGAGCATCTGTACCAGCACCGATCCAACCGACCCACTAGCACCGTTCACAAGCACAGTATGACCCGGAGACACGCCGGACGTGCGGATCATTTTCACTGCCGTGCTGCCACAGCCGTTAATCCCGGACGCCGCCGCCATATCCATCGTCTCTGGAATCCGCGTGACATTTCCCCCCGGCACCCGCACGTACTCACACAGCACGCCCTGGCCTTTCAGCACTGTGCCGGGGACATTGGAGAAGGCGACAACCTGCGTGCCAGGATCGCGCACTTCGGGCGGGGCGCCGGTGCCGGCAGCGACAACCTCGCCTGAGAATTCGAGCTCGGGGATCCATGGACCGGTAAAGGGGAGGCTGGGCAACGTGCTGATAAAAAACGGCGAGTTGAACTGTAGCGACACGTGCGAGACGCGAATCAGGACGTCGGCCGACGATCCTGGCGGAGTTGGGGGGACGGGAACATCGGCCAGTTCGAGGGATGTTGCCGGGGGGCCCCGCCGACGCCGGACCCAGGCGCGCATTGTTGGCGGCAGGGTGGTGGATTGAGGTGCTGACTCCATTGTCACGTAGAATCCGACTCGCTGAATATGGATTTAAGTTGCGGGTAAAAAGAGAGCGTAGTCACTAAGAGGGAAACGACCCAGGCCTCATTTTGAAGGTTCGAGCAACGGCGGCAGGCACCAAGATCTTACGTGTGTCTGGAATCCTTCAGACCAGTTGCTAGTCCCAAAAGATCCGACATGCAGCCCGTTATCCAATTTCTTCTCCGCAGGGAAATGGACTTCTGCCATAGACTCTATAATGAGGATACACTGAGCAGTCCAAGTAGCAGGACCAAACTCCTACCCTTTCATTAGTTCCTATAACAATCTAGTACAGCACTTGAGAAATAGCGACCACAGAATATGCTATATAAGTCACTAGCCTTCACGACCAATCATCAAAAGCCTTGTTTTTTTCCATCAGTCTCCTAGACTCTTTTTATTGCACTATCGCAAGGATACACACCTGTCTGTGAACCAAGTCCAGCCTCTACGGATAGTAGCACTGTTAGGGAGGAGACACAGGAATATAAAGAAGAGAAAGGGCCTGGCTTCCTTCCCTCTATGAGCGGGGTAATCTTATATACATCAACCCTGACTCAGCCTGCAGACCCTCAATTCCCCACTGCATTATCTTGGATGGCCCATTGAAGGTTATTGGTGATAGGGGAGGACTGCCGTGAAGGGCTGCTCCTTAACAAAAGCACCCGGCAATCAACAACATTAGCCCCTCGGTTAAAATTCACGATATCGGTGATTTTGGGAGATTGTGCTGAGAAGCTCATTCAATTCACTCACAGGGGGCGATGAGGTATGAATATCAGACTCATTTCCACCTATGTCTTCCACATGGGGTCAAGCATTCGTACAGTTAGCAGAGCACGGCTTCAAGGTGTCGGCCACTTCCGATGCGAATCAAGTAGATATATCGATACATATTCCTTTTCTTATCCCACGAGATTCAGTCGTAGAACGTCATTTACTGCTTTTCGGTATTTCACACGGGTCGCGTGGTCTCACGTGGTAGTATCGCAGCATCGCATCAGTGCAACCACGCATCCCCCGAGGAACGAGTGAAGGAGCGTCACCAAGATGCAGGCTGCCATGATGTTTTGAAAATACTCGCGGTTGAGGCTACGCAAGAAGACTAAACTAGGTTATGGTACTTGGTGTGAAGCAATTTTGATGGAGTTCATTAGCAAATTATTAGTCGCTGGCTAGCTAGGGTAGATACGCCCGACCAGCATACAAACGATACTTTTCCCAGTGCCTACCCAGAGAGAGGGAAGGAAAAATGGCAGAGCCCGTGTGTTGTAACAGAAATCAGAAGTATTAAGAAAAGGAAAAAAAAAAAATCTGAATGGGTGTAGACCTTGCCAGGCAAGAATCTCACGCTCTCATCACTCCATCATTCCATTGAGAATCACACTTGCAATTGGCTTGTCGTGGGCCCGGTATGGCAGCCCCTGGCTGGGTTAGGCAAGACCCTTTAACTTCCACCCTGAAGAGTAGTAGTGGCAGGCTCCTTGGGTGTGGAATTCTCGTTTGTCTTTTCTTGATCCTGGGTTTGGTCTTGCTGGGGATCCACGTGGTGTTCGCCAGACAGCTGCTCCAGGGTCAAACGCTTGGTCTCTGGTATCAAGAGCGAGGTCAGGAGGCCACAGAACATGAACCCGCCAAAAATCTCCATGACGTGATTCAGCCACGGGGAATCGGAAGACCCAGCCTTTGCACCCCTGTGCACCAAGGGTCCGAAGACACACTGTGCGATGATGGCACCCACCTTTCCGGATGCTGCGCTGACACCGTGAGACGTGGATCGGTAGCGAGTGGGGAAGCATTCACCCGGGACAATGAAGGTTGTTGCGTTCGGGCCAAAGTTGAAGAAGAACTGGGCTAGAATGTACAGTCCAAGGAGGCCATTGTGCGAGTGCTTCAATTGATTGTAGGCACCACCGATCACGAAGAAAAGGATGGTCAAGATGGCGAAGCCGGCAATTTGGATCGGTTTGCGGCCAATGGTGTCCACAGTGGCCACAGTTACCCAGTATCCAGGAATTGCACCGGCAACGATGAGAATCAAGTTGCCTACAGCATTTCGGTAAAAGGTTTCGTAGACATTCTTGCCACCGGTCCAACCGATAGCACTAAGAATGATGGAGTTGTTTAACCCGAGGCCGTAGAAAGCTAGGCACAACCTGATAGTTAGCGGGATCATGAGATTGCCAGTGGCCTGAGACTTATGACTTACCAATATCCAGGAAGAACCAAGATCCAGCAGTACCGAGAAGCACACTTCCGTTCTTCCAGTTACCAAAGTGGTGCCAGAAGTCAGACCAGCTTGCCTTTGGTGCGAGAAACTCAATGCTTTCGTTGCGCAGAACACGAATGCGTTGGATTTCATCAGGATGCCCCTCTGGGTGACCCTTGATGTAAGCACGGATATCCTCGTCAGCCTTAATGATATCTCGCTCAACATCAAAGGTATAGCGCGGGGTCTCAGGGATGGTCATCCGGTAGTAGAGTGCAGCACAGGCAGGGACAGCACCGAAGCCGATGACTGTGCGCCACATCTTGTCCACTGCTAACAGACAAACACCCGTACAGTGGGCAACATCTTTGGCTGATTCAAGCGACTCACGGAAACCAGCGGTAACAATCAGTGCAACAATGGCAGCAGCAAACTGGCCAATGCCCTGCATAGCAAACACGGCTCCCATCATGGCGCCACGCCATTTGGTAGTAGCAAACCTGTTGAAGTTAACTCATGTTTCTTTCAATGACAGGGTTCAGACGAACAACTTACTCTGAGGTAATGATAGAAGAAAGGGGATAGTCACCACCAATCCCAATACCCATGATCACACGCCAGAAAATGAGCAGGCCAGTGATGGACATGCCTGGGGATGATGAGGTAAGAGCTTGGGCCAGGGTAGCCAGCATAATAATGATCAGCTCGATTCCGTACATGCGCTTGCGACCAATTCGATCGGCCAGCCATCCGAAAAAAGCTGACCAATGACGGTGCCGCCAGACGTAGCCACCTTGATGGCTGTATCCGAGCTGGAAGGGATCTTTCCAGAGCTCGAGTGGGCGCCCTGCCAGTAGACCACACCTAGCATGCCGACAACGAGGTTGATGGCGAAGATGTCGTAGGAGTCAGTAAAGAAGCCGACTCCAGCCACGACAACTGCTCGCACATGGTGCCAGCCGAATTTGGCATCATCAATACGCGCAAGTGCTTCACGGCGTCGCTCCTGAGGGCTTATGATAGAGGCCATTTCGCTCTCGACATGCTCAGCCGAGTCACTGGCAGCGAGATTGTTCGAGGCCATGGTGTTGGATTCCATGGAGAGAGAGTGGTCAGGACCGTATTGAGGATGACGAGGGGAGAAAGCTGTGTGAAAAAGGAGAGGGTGGCAGTAGCAAAAGAGCATCAAGGGTTGGCCGGCGAATATCAAGTCAGGTCAGACCTGAATGACCGTTACACCGGAACCCTAAGACACTGGAGGCACGCCTGGGGCTTGATTTGAGAGCACACAGCACAATTATTGGGATATGTGAGGAGAGAGATGGTGGTTGGTGGATGAAAGGAAGCTGGGATGCTTGTTGTGCTCCGGGTGGCCACTGTCTCCTGGACGCAGGCCCGACACACGACTGAGCCGCGGAGCTCTCACTTGTAGCAGGCTTCATACTTCTGAGCCCGCCAATCAGCGTCTGGAAGGCCAGCACATGCCATCCAAGTCCAGCAAACTGTCGCGTGATTTCCCGGAACAAAGTCGCGCCTTCCGCGGTTGTTGACATTGTCACGCAAAAGTATAGCCATTGTCCCGTGAAAGCTTGTCCGCGTGCTGCAAGCCACGTGAACGGCGTAAACCGCGGTTTCTGAGGTGCCCAGTTATTCAGGCCTCTTAAGGACCAAAAGGGGGCGAATCTGCTAGAAGGATCGGGGACCATAAGATGTGCATTGTTCTATAGATCTATCAGCTGTCAAAACAAGCCTACAGAATGAACAAAATATGGGAACAGACTCAATACAGGAAATTCAGACTGCTAAATACAATTCACTTCAGTGTAACATACACCAGATGGGCAGAATAGGATGATGTGCTGCCGTGCTTGACAGACACCACAAACTATACTCAGTGGCCTTGTCAGGCTATTTGTCAGTCCCCATTGCATCGCATGCACACACGTGCAACACGGACCAATATTATATTGCAATCAGAGTATTACAGTAGCCATTTCCCCACCCGGATAAATTGCCGTCTCATCCATCTATACCACCACTCGCCCTGGATCTAGTTTGTGGCAATCGTCCAGGCTGGTCTAGAAGGCCCCGAGAGCCACCGTGGTGGAGAATCGAGTACTGTGTGCATTATGAGAATGGCCCCAAAAACAACATCATGTCCAATTGAAAGGATACCATTTGATCCTTCTATCCACATTTCCTCCCCAACCTAAAGCGCTTCTCTGGTAGACATGTCATAAAGACATCACCTCAACGCCTTCCACATGGCCACAAGTGGCGATGCGGCAACTATACTTATACCCCTCAAGTTCAGCCTCCCAGTTCGGTTGTTCTAAGGGGTAATTCATCAAAACACATCATAAAACAAGAATAAAGAAAATCATCCGCCATAATTCGACACACCGTCAACCAGGCAGTGAATCATACAAAACAACATACAGCCCACCAACGTGAAAGTTCAATCGAAGGTCGCCGATATGGGCCGTCAAGCAGGCAGCGACGAGAACAAACTTCGCGGCTACAAAGCGTTAGTCGGGACTCCTTTCCTGCACGAGGACCTTTCCTTCGTCCAAGTTTATCCTCTTAATTTAACATTGACGAGCGCCTGCTAATACCTCAAGTATCAATATAGAGCGGTCACCAATTCCAGGGTCTCAGACGAGGCTCGCTCGCACGCCCAGCAAGAGATCGATCAATTGTCTAGCTCGCAAGATCCAAGTGACCGCCATGAGGCCAACATGAAGCGCGGACTCCAAGCGTATGTTCCAGCCGGGGTTCCGTTGCGAAGCCTCTTTTCTGAATAATTTGCTGATATCTCTCCAGTGCGATGCATAACTCACGCGTGACTGAGAAAGGCCGCAGCGCGGCACAGAGTAAGCTGGACGAGATGAGCGGCCCGGCCGAGTAGATCAAACCTCAGCCAGTACACAGTGCTGATTTAGTGGTGAGATGATCCAATATCTTGCCTTGCACATATCTATACAATCGTTTCCATATACGTGGTCGAATCTACAACAAGTCTATTAAAGGATGTCTGAATTCTATCGTATGTCAAGTCTATACGCAGGGTGTATGCTACATAAGTACATGGTAAAAGCACTTTTTTTCCGCCCGACACATACCACCATGTATAGATCCTAGTGGAGTGCATTTGAGAATTAGAGACTACGCCAGTCCGCGCTTCATCTTCCATCGCAGGATAAACGCAGCGACGGGGAAAAACGCCAGTGACACGGCAATCCAGATAAAGAGAACGCCAAAGTCCAGGCCAATCCGGGAGTGTGTTCCGAACAGAATGGTCCGCAGAGCCTCGACAACTATCCAAAAGAAAAGGAAGGTTAGCCACCAGTTTAAATATACGAAAGAGATTCGGGAGTTGTCAACTTACTCCGATGCAGCGGCCATGCATATCCCCACCTGTAGAAGTTGGGAGCAATGTCCAGAGCATAGAAGCCCGTCGCCACGTTAGTGATCACCCAGAAGATTAAGAAGAACGCGCTCCAAGGGAACCCGAGGATCATGCCCATGTTCTCGCACGGGAACCCAAGCGCTGTCATCCCAACCCAGTTAAGCATCCAGAAGACCACGAAAGAGCCGCGGCCGTACGCATTGGGATTATTCGCGGGCTGCGTGTCCGGGGCCGGGTCATTGCTGAAGGGGATCTGGAACGCCAGCGACACGAGCGAATAGAAAAACGAGAGAAAGAAGTACGCTGCGATGTTAGAGAAGATACGCCACAACAGCCATTGCGGGATCTTCAGTGTCGGTCGGCCGCCCTCAGGTTTCACAAACTGGGCATGAATTGGCATCAGGAATGGGAAGTTAAAGAAGGCAATGATGATCAAGTAGATCAGGCCGATGGTGACCGCGGGCGCGGCGACAGCCGGTGCAAAGGGCCGTAGGTCGATGTGGGTAACCCCAATGCCGGGGTTGATGGCCTGTGGAGGCGCGGAGGATAGGGTCTCCGTGGAGTAGGTATCTCTAAGCTCCTGGACCCACACTGGGCCGAATTGCGCGGCGACGATACCGTGCAGTACGGTGAGGTCCGGAAGGACATAGGTGTAGTAGGTGTTCTCATCGCGGGCAGAGATTATCACAGACTCGATGGCTCCGGTTGGGTCATAGCTGGTGTTTTGCGCCGAGACGGCGGCTCGGAGTAGGGTTGTGGCGTTTGGGTTGATGATGATGGCGGCGTACGCATGCTCGTCATAGACGGCTTGTCGGACCTCCCAGGGATCATTGTTGAATTCGCTAGGCGATTTGATCTCGTAGCCTAGGTGCACTCCAGACGATGCCATATAGTCCTTGGTCGCATTGGTGACGACGGGCCCGACGATCGTGTCGTTCGTTTGGTATGCATCCGTCTGTCCGTCAAAGTCGACGACCCATACTTTCAGTGACGAGTACTTGTCTTCGGTGGCATATTGAGACCCCCAGAACAGGCACAACACGCAAAATATAAAAACGCAAAGGATAAATACTGTTCTGCTCTATTAGAGACTGCTTCTGCGCCAGAATGTTGTGGGTCATGACTGCAATCAACTTGAGGTCATTTTGACGTACCTGTTCGGCCCCATTGATACAACACTCGCCGACGCACGTCCTTCAAGGCGGGATGAAAGAACGATACTGCGGGCGGGGGGCCTCGCTGCCTTCCAATGCCTCGACTTTTTCCGCCAACATTGTGAAATTTGCTGAAAATTGAATGGGTTTTTTGGAATGCGAAAAAGGATTCATTTTAAGCTGGCAATTAAGGTGTGGGAGTGGCCGCTGAGTCCCAGGCGCGATCCGTTTCCGGCGCTACAGGGCTCGGGGATTTACCGTTTCGGGACAGACCCTGACTTAACTCCGACGTGGCCCTTTGGCGACGGGCGCGCGCCAAGGAACATCATGAAGAAATCTAGAAAAACAGCAATCGAAGAGTCTTCGGGGTTAGTATAATGCCGAAGATGCCGAATGTCGGCATTTAGATCATTAATTCGGGAAGCGAAAAAGGCTGAAGGGCCGTGCGGATCAAACTTTATATATCCGTCGGATGTGGTGACCTGAACTTCCGTCGGCTTGGAACGCCAATGTGTATTGTTTCTTCACAGAAGGTGCTCTTTCTGGCTTTCTGGTTCAACCACACGGATTATACTGTATGACATGAAAACATTTATGCTGTCAAAAGTCTTTCTGAATAAATGGCCCAACTGAACAAAGGGGATCGCTTAAACTTGCATTATTTGATTACTTTGTGAACATGTATATCATGGAAGCTCGATTGGGACTGAAGCACCAGATTCGTAAAACGGTGTCTATCTAGTCTTTTTCTCACTCAATCTTGAGCATAGTGGCTATAAATTGATACCTGTCGGCAACGCATAATGCTGGCAGCTTTACATGCAAAGCTGCTACCCATGACATTTGAAAGTCTTTTGTGTTGCTGAGAACCAATCCAAGGCCTTACTGAGAATATGCGTCTGCTCAACATAAAGAGATTACACTTGCACCACCCTGGTTTAACCGATTAGACCAATGTAATATACTCGATCAGTGAGCTCTAGTGGCGACTTTATTTTGGCGGACCACTTGCTCATATAATGATTTGTGTTCGGGGATTCAATTAATCTGAGAAGAATGGGAATGACCTTCGCAATGGATTAACAACCTAAACCTTGATATCTTTTTATTCAGCATTCCAGTTCATGTGGGACATAGACGCTATAGACGGGAAGGTATTATCTTTACCTCCACGTGTGACAACCCTTTGGAAACAAGTAATCCTCATAGAGCGAGGTCTGAGGCGACAATAATCAATGATAGTTTACACTGTACGGGGAGTGTAGAGTAGAAAGCGGGCTGACTAAAATTCGTCACTGCTGAAGCTTCCCAGTGTGTTACATCAATTACTATCTGCGACAACTGAAACGGTCGCTGCAATGAACACCAGCATGTCTAATTGTCAAAGTATTTGAACAAGGTAATTGGCGATCCTCATTTGTTTCTAGCCTCTTTTGTACCCGCGACGGTCTTTATGTTGTCTTCATTTGGTTCTCGGTTGCCGGGATTTGTTTCAGTCAGATAAATAGCATATTCCAGAGTAGGAAGTTGATTGAAATGTGACCCATTCATGCATCGGGCCATATTTCTGAAACACGGCGCACCGTCCCGGCGCGGGGGAGAGAGAGCGGGTGTCCGGCGCATCTCCATCCCTTGCAACTCGCCCTCGTCAAGGATGGAGGTTGCCATCTGGAACAGCTCATCGGTTGATGCATCCACTCGACGAACACGAAACACGGGAGGGGTACAGCTCAAACTTAAACATCGTCGTCGATTGGCCTGGGTAGCATCAACATGGGTGGTGGGCTCATGGTGATTGGCTGCTCGGCGCGGGGCTTGGACGACTGTACGCGGCCTACAAAAGACCCTACGAATCAATGCACTGGAATCACGCAGGGGGGTTGTTTGTTACATTTATTGATCTGATTTTTTTTGTTTCCTGATATTCTAACACACAGTTGAAGTCTATCCGTATAGATGTGTCTATCTAAGGCGCGAGGTCTATTGTGAGACCAAAATGAATAATATATGATAATGACAAGATGCATATCATGCTCAGCACACTGAATCAACTAGACAAGGTAACGCCATTCTATCATGATATCCCCGGACCAGCCGCGGGATGAATTTTTTTTTCATTTCAATCATGTCCCAACCCACCCAGGATTCATTCGCAGGTCACTTGGTAGGAGCCGAAGCGTCGCTTCAGATTGGGCACACGGCACGTATCGGTGGAGGTCAAGGGCCCGGCAACATCGGAAATCTCGTTGCCGTCGCACATGGTATTGTCAAAGAATTCGATGCGACAGCCTTCATCCACCGTGTTGAGGGTGTAGGACGAGGCAACGCTGTCGAGGTCGGCGCGGCATCCTGTGCTGCCGCTGCCAGCATGTGGGTCGGCGGTGCCATTGCAGTATGTTGTAGGATATAGATCGAAGGACCACTGGACATCACGGTGGAGGAGCGGGAAGGCTGCAGAAGTGCTGAAGAGGAGACAGACAACCATCGCAACGGATGCTTTGAGAATGAATGACAACATGATGCCGATATAGAGGGAAAATGTCTTGTAGGATGGTTGGCAGTCAGCGAGGGTGTCGCGCCAGCAAGGAACGAAAGACTGGAGGCATAGGACGAACCAGAAACAACGGCAGTTCTTTTTAAGTGCGCTGGGCAATGAATTCAGGGTCTTACTGCCCAGACCAAGAAATAAAAAAAAGTGGACTTGATGGGGCGAGTCTTCAGTTTAATAGGCTTAGATCTGCGGGTGTCACCACTGAGCTGATCGTCAAGGAGTGGGCTTCCAGGTGGCTTTAAGGACTGTGTTTCAAGCCTTCCAGCCCCTCGACGATTCGACCCTGGTTTACGTCGCTGCAGAGCGTACGTACACCTCGTTTTCAACCGCTGCCTGTATTGCGGGGTGGGAATGTGTGCTGCTTGTCATCCGACAGCATCGTCTATGGTAACCAAGGAATTCGTCAATCTGGCTAAAATAGCAACTTACAAACCGCATATCATCTACTGTTCCTGGTGCCGCCGGCGAGCGCCGATTGCCCTCCCAGCCATTCCCGATGACCTCATTCTGCGACGTGCCGATCGTTTAGTCGGTTCAGGGAAACTCGGTGGGGCCGCACCCTCGCGGGCGCTGGACTTACGTAGCGGCGTACGTACTTCGAGTCACCTCCTTGAGGAAGGCATTCCAGGCGATCGCGCAGGAAGATCCAGTTGGTTGGCTCGGTGATTTCGCTGGTTCGCCGGCGCAGTTCGTATGATGTCTCTGACAGATCTGCACCCCGAGGCTACAGTACATTCTCAGAGGCTGTACTCCCAACATCCGGCTAAAAGGCCTGTCATTCTGGTTTCTATTCTTATTCTTGGTGGGGCAATGTGCCAAAAACATTCAAATTCGAGCCCATCTCGTCGATGCGGCTGATAGATGAGACCCTTCCGACCGGTATGTCTTGCCACTTATAGGACTGGGTGCGTGTGCAGTAAGAGACACACTCCTGCCTGTAGATTTCTCAGCTCGTCGACAATCGTGGAAATATTTTCTGCAACAGGGGCTTTCGCGATCTTGGCGCTACCGTGCCGATGCACAGGGCCTCGCCATGCTGGGCCATTATTGCTGGGCGGTGATATTTATGATATTTCTTGGTCGCATCGGAACCTGCCACGGAGAGGAGAACTAAGAGCAATCGTGACCAACATCAGCACCCGTATGACCCGGCGTTTAAAGATACGAGAAGCCTTCCAACAGCGCATAACGAACTTTTTTTCCCACCAGGGTGCTCGCCTAAGTAAGGTGTCATATCAAACACCCTCCCGTCAACGATAATCCATAGATCATCTTCTCGATTATGTGACGCGACATCCTGTAGAGTATACACGATGTGGGGCTCCAAACTCGTCACGACTGATTCTGGCTGTGTGTTGGATCGAGGGTCTTTCGTGTCAGGGTTCATGTTGGGACTAGCAGCCTTGTCGGGTTGAGATATGCTTGAGAACTCTTTCGGGTGAACTATGGTTCATCTGCTCATTTTTAGGCCCTCTCGAATCGACTTCTTATGGGATCAAAGTCGTGCTGTGAATCTTCCGGCACCGAGGTCCGTGGAGCTTGAGTGAGGGGTTGCGCTGACCTCGAAATGATCGGCAGGCACTCCAACAATTCCGCAATTGGCTAGATGAATGTTGGTGAGGGCACATTGTATTTGCTCAACTGGGCGGTGGCCAACGTCCGCTTCGATTTGAAATGTCGGCATCGGCAGAAGGAAGTCCTATCATTGAGCCATTTTTCAAGGTTGATATCGATGATCAGTAGTGCTGGCCTCATGTGAAAGTGATCGCATCCCGGCAGGCACCAGACAGGGTCGGCCCAGTCTGGGCCCAGCCGCCTGCGGTGAGTCCAACCGTCCAGCGTGAGATGATCGGGCAGTGTACCTCCCGCGGCTGTGGCTACACGATTCCAATCGGACGTGGTCGTATATGTAAGTGTAGTGATGTGTGAGACATTGATGTGTCTACATGTCTGTTGTCAATACCAGGATCAATTGGCCGAGGGCCTTGATGGCCAGGCCCACAGGCTAGGACTACTGTAGATAATGTGACTCCCCACAATCGATGCCCGATAACCTTCTTGACATGTGCTTAACGCTGAACTTGTGCTTATCTCCTGTTGTGGGTGCTCGCAAAGCCTGCGATCGCAGACGTGTTTGGCGACAAGTAGTTTGAGGCCTAAACCATGTGGCATCCACGTTGTTTGCATGCTTCCTTTGCTAATCAAAATAATCGTGGGAGGGCTGCTATGTGATACCATCCTTCGTCTCCCTCACATGAACTCCTTTGAGCCAAATCTCTTTCCAATTTTTGAAAAGAACCGCACTGTGTTCTACCGATTTGTTTCCAAGGGCACCTCCATAAAAGGTCCTTTCGAACAGTCTATTAAAAGGCCTAGCTGAACGATACAATATGTATCCAGATACAAATCTGTAATTCTCTGGTTTTGGTCCTCCGTTTACAACCGTAACTGAGCTTTTAATTATTTGACATCCATATCTAGATCTCGTGTAGAAGATGGAACCCCTGCACCGAACAGTGGTTGGCCGGCCCCCTACCACGTGGATCTCATTGGGATATAGAAGCATGTAGAAGCCAAGGGAACATGTGTTCAATTTGTTGGAAACCGTAATGACATTAATATTGATGTCTTAAGCGACGAAAAACGAGAAAGTGCCGACTTAGCGAGTCAAATTGTGAATCAATTTCTCGAGAGAATTGGCCAAAGGCTCGACCACACGGATATCAAAGTGCGCATTAAAAAATGCTACTGGCTGGGGCGCTTCGACGTGATCAGAGATCGACTCCACCTTTGGTATCTGGATAAAGCACATATCGAGCTAAGCATGAAAGAAGTCTCAAAGTGATTTGATAACAAAGTAGCCAAATCTAGCTATGTCGCCATTTCTCGGTTTGATCAGAAACAGAAAACACAAGCGACAAGACGAACACTGATCAAAGCGGTAACAGGTCTACCAAAGTGTTGATATTCGCTCCTTTCTCATTGCCGCGAACTCGTGACTGGAAGAGAATCCTTAGCAAGCCAAAAGTATTGAGCTCGGAGCGGATATATTGGTCACAGGCAGTTTGCATCTTGTAGAATCGGCTCTAGAGGCAATGCAGTGGGGCCGGGATGAATTGGAATTGAAATGATAGCCGTTCTGGCTATTTAGTTCAAATGCCTTCTCATTAACCCCCGCCTATAGCAGCATGACAATGAATAGATTCCAGTTTCGAGTAGATGGCGAACTCCCTGATGATTGGCCAGAACACCCGAGACAGTTCAAGTTCGGGGGACTGGGGTTGATTACGTGATTGTGCAAATTTGCCGATCCGGGAGTCACGTTTTCCGAACCCCTCTTAAAGTAAGCGTGATTTGACACCCTGCGATCTCCTACTACCCAGTCCGTGCATAGCTCACTCGCTATGCCACTAGACGATCAACCGGCCAATCCAGATAATTTTGCTGTGCAAAATGTCTGCGATGGAAGTGAAGGCCAATTAAGCAACCAAGATTTCCTACCAACCAGTCTACTCGCAGCGGATACCTTCATTTTCGATGACTCCGCTTTACCGGCAGATCAGTATACCAATGATTGCGGTTTAGATCTATGCGACCCTCTTTCTGTTGAGGCTCCTTACGACGCTTTTGACCCATCCCTGTTGGTTTCTAATGTTACCGACCGAGCAACCCCGAGAAGTAGTTTTTCTGCGTCTTTTTCTTCTCTGGATGCATTATCGGACAGAATAAATATGACATCTCCGACGGATAGTTCTCGAAATAGCCGCAGCATAGATTCAAATCTCGTGCCATCTGCAGACATTCCTGATACTGGATTGTGGAAATGGGATCTCACCCCTAACACTATTGACCCGGCAATGCTGGTCGAATCTCATCAAGAATCACTGCCCGCGCTCAATTCTCTCCCACGGATTCCACGCGCCTACAATCCCAGGGCAAGTCTTCCCCGTCGCAGGAGTCGCTATTTTCTTTCCAAATGCAATGAACGAGCGGTTCCGATTCCGGTCCCCCATCAAAGGGAACTGGATCCGATGCAAAGATGGCAAGAATCCCCGCCTGAGGATGAGCCAGCTTCTTTTACAGCAATTATGAATGCTGTTGATGAAATGCCAGCAGACCAACAGCTTGGTCGACATTCTCAGGCCAGTAGCCCTCCGAATGCCTTCGGAGGCTATCGACAGCCATCATCTATAACAAGTGGAGAATACAGCGTTTCATCTGCAGAATCCGTAGGTTCCTCTGCAGGCCGTTCAACCCCCCAGAGCGGTCAAAGCCGTCGATCGCGTGGGCGTGTCACCAAAAAGTCCAAGTCAAAGCCCTGGAATGATGGCAAGCCGCGTCCATTTTGTTGCACGTTCTGCTGTGATCGCTTCAGAAGCAAGTACGACTGGGTCCGACACGAAAAATCACTGCATTTGAATTTGGAAGCCTGGTATTGTGCTCCTTTCGGTCCATCCGTATTTTCTCAAGTAACTGGGAGAGAACATTGTGTATATTGTGATGCGGCGGATCCGACCCCTGATCATTTTACTACGCACATGTACGATGAGTGCCAGAAGCTCTCCAAATCTAATCGTTCCTTTCGAAGAAAGGATCATCTTGTTCAACACCTTCGTCACTTCCATCACGTCGACACTGTTCCACTAATCGATAACTGGAAAGTGGTAACCAATGATATCACCTCAAGGTGTGGATTTTGCAACCAAAATCTGGACGACTGGGATGAGAGAATAGAACATTTGGGGGATCATTTTCGAAAAGGTCTTACAATGAAGGACTGGCAAGGTGACCATGGGTTCCCTCCATCCATAACCGCGCAGTTAAAAAACGCATTCCCTCCATACCTTATTGGAGCAGAGTCTGAAAGCCTCATACCATTCTCTTCAACAAACGCCGACGTTCGAGACCATTACGCACAGATGTCCACTCGAGTACAAGGCGCGAATGAGAATGAGAATAATCGGCATACGTCGATGATAAATGCCTCGCCAGATCAAGGCAAGTTGCAGTTTGATAACTTCTTGGGCAACTTTACACGCCATTTGGGACAATATGCAAGAAAGCAGATGGAAGCCGGAGTCATTCCTACAGATGAAATGTTTCAACAGGAAGCGAGAAGGGTGATCTTCGATTGCGAAGATGCATGGGATCAAACTATTGCTGACGATCCAAGATGGCTCTCCTCGTTTCGACAACTACACTGTGAGAAGGAAGATACCGCGCCAATCTCATAGAAAGAATAGAGAATCATACGGATCCCCCAATAAACGATATTATTGAATCTATATTCTTTTTCTTCACACCTTGCGCCCGGGCGCAGGTCATCATGATCAGGCTTCAATCGCAATGCAAGGTTCACATGGTTCAGTTCATTGGTTTCAAATATCCAATGCCTTCGAAATATATTAGTTCCATTTACCTGCGCTGGACAAGGACTTTTGGTGAAGACACATACCAAGTCATACCAGACACTTCCAGCGAATTGACATGGACTTTTCCCTCGGTTATGGAACCCAGCACTTTCATAGAACTTCACAAGGTAGTCGTGGGCAATAAGCACAAAGCGTTTTTCAGGTACCCTTTGCTCCCTCATATATTGGATATATGCCTTCACCATCGCCTTCCCTATTCCCTTTCCTTGGTACTCAGGAATTGTCACGACCGAGTGAATCGCAATTATATTCCCGTTTGCTTCATTGCCCACTACCTTGCCGTTACGAACAACCTGTTCATTGGGAGCTAACGACCGCCAGTTATCGGGCATTCCCATTGACTCCTCCGTGATCCCATCAAATGATGTTCGGTTGCCGATAACATGACCAATGTGACGGTCGCCCTTTTCAGTGCGGACGAACAGACCCAAGGAGAGCTCTGGGGTTTGACTGAGTCGGTAGATGAACTTTTTTCTCTCTTAGCTTCGGCATGATCTATGCGATGAATGGATAGAACGGCCAACCTTTTCCTCTGAGCATCTCTCCTGTTCTATGAAAGCATTTTCCACTTCAACACATGACTTCACATCGGCGAGTGATAGAGGGCGCATGTACGGATATAATCCAGATAGTCCAGGGCATTGCTCAAGTTGGTCGATCGAAGACATGGTAGTGACGAATAATAAACAAGCAACAATTTCTATGCGTTCATCTCCTCAGGCTAAAATCAATGCTTTATACAAATCAGAGTTGTGACTTGATGTTCCATCATCCGTGAGTAGCCTTCCTTGCACACCCTACGCCCTACGAGGTGGGGCTCCGCGGGCGTCCAGGTTAGTCCAGATCATAGACCTCATTGGCTCGAACTGTGAGGGGGTGTAACCTTGTTCCCTCTCTCTTAGTCAAGAAAGAGTATTTCAAGAACATTTCTGGAGAACGTGACTATCGTTGAAACAATATTCGCTTAATAATCGAGCTGAGATTATAATCGAGCTGAGATTACGATCGAGCTGAGATTACGATCGATAAAGTTCTTCTTTCTGGCTTAAGCGCAACGCTAGTATTTTCTCCTTTTTCGGATTAAATGCGTTTCCAATGGCTTTTGGTGTACACCGGGAATCTTTAATCGCAAACGGATTCTGATCGGTTTCTTAAATGCACATTAAAAAAGCAGATTTCTATGACGATGTTTGCTTGCTCCCAAATCTCATTTTCCTGACACGGGGTGTCTCACTGCTTTAACAGACAACACATATTTCAATGCGGGGTGAATACAGCCTTATTCTATTAGTGAAGATAAATCCTGGGCCTGATCAACATCCGGTAATGTAAAGAAGTTCCTCTTCATTTACAGATCCCTGCTGCCAAGTTCTCTTCAGATTCCTCCTCCACGTCGGCTTGGTGTAGGAGGTTCCCGAGAAAGTACAGGAGGTCCTTCACGACGTGCACGAGCAGTGCGGGGAACTAAGCAACTAGATTGAATATGGGATAGTTGCACAATCCGGGGAATATTGTGGGGCGAGATTAATTTATACACTCTAGATTGTAGGATATTTCGGTCTATCTCTGGCCGGATGACAGACCTTCAGTAAGAGTTTGAAATTGCGATTTGCATAAGTTGGATGTATCGAGTCTTTGATGATTACCAGTTCAGTTCTTTGAAATTACAGAGTCTTGATTTATAGGCTCTGACTCCCATATTACTTCTCATTCTTCAGATCTATAAGAGGAGAGGAAGCACCGCTCCTATCTTGGAGGCTTTCGTCCCTGCTTCAAACCAGTAGCTGCACTTGCCATAAAGTCTGCACCTTGACAACAATCTTTGCAACGCCATGGCTTCTGCCAAATTGATGCTGCTTTGCATTCTGCTGCTCAGCCAAAGTGCCGTCTATGCGAATCCCCTTGCTCATTCGAATTCCAAACGACAGAGTCTCTCCGGTGGGCAGCTTCCAGTTCCCTCTACCTATGCTGCTCCTCGCTTTCGTTGGTGGTGGCCAGGTGGTTGGATTGATCCAGATGTGGTGAAGAATGAGATCCAAGCAATTGCTGCTGCAGGATTTGGGGGCGGGGAAATTGGCGATGTGGAAGATAGTATCAAAGTTTCCATGGACCCCAAGATATACGGCTGGGCTCGCGAACGATGGAATGCCGGGATAGAAGCTGCCTACAAGGCTGCTAACAAGTAATGCCAGTATATCTGAGGGATATTCTCTTTTCTTACAAAGAGTAACAGGCTCGGCGTTTACGTGGATCTTACTCTCGGGCCTCACTGGCCCACGGGCGTACCAGGATATACTCCAGACTCACCGGAGACTTCCAAAGAACTTGTTCATGGCCAGCTTCTATTAAATGCTGGGAATTCGTACAGTGGCTCGCTTACCCTTCCTATTGTCAATCCGTCCGGGTATGAGACTGGCAACACCAATTTCACTGCTACTCCTAAGCTGTTGCTGTGTTAGCTGCAAGAACCAATGCCACTTCGGTCAATGACACTGTCATTGGATTTGAGCCCTCCACTTTGGTGAACATTACTCAGCACTATGCAAAAAGTAAGTTGACCTGGACTGCACCGAGTGACGGAAAATACATCGTTGCAGCAGTATATGGTAGAGGTACCGGCCAGATTCAAAACTTATATGACAGCAACACCAACGCCCCTGAAGTGACATATCCCTTTCCGGCATACATTGTCGATCACTTATCCCCTGCCGGTGTTCAAGCATCAGTTCAATACTATAACAAACATATCTTGAGCGATGAGATTAGGGCTTTACTCAAAGCGTCCGGAGGCTCACTGTTCGAAGATTCGCTGGAACTGAAATTGAAACAGTACTGGACACTAGACTTCATTGCCGAATTTACAAAGCGACGGGGATATGATCTCACACCATATCTTCTTTATGTATTGAAGGACAGAAATACCTTTACCGGTGACGATAACCTCGCAAGCAGAATTGAGTACGACTTTTTACTCAACGGTCACGGACTTGTATATCGACTACAGAATTGGCGGGCTGAAAGACTTCGCAAATAGCATCGGCTTGAGGCTTCGTGTACAGCCCTATACTGCGACCTTTTATTCCTCTCGGGCAGCGTCCGCCGTGGATATCCCCGAAGGGGAGTCGCTGGGCTTTGACGGCGACAATGATGCCTTCCGTGTCCTGGCCACCGAGCGCGATATTGCTGGTAAGACCAGAATTCTGTCCAATGAGTTGGGTGCATATATGGGCAAGGCCTACGGCGTAACTTGGAATTTCCTTCTTGGGGCTGCCAACCTGGACTATTCTCTGGGTGTTAGCCAGGCGGTCATCCACAGCTTTCCCTACCGCGACTCGCCAAGTAGTGAATGGCCTGGCTTCGCACCCTTTACACCCCTCGGGGAGTCGAGCAATGGATTCGCAGATGCATGGGGCCCACGAATGCCGCAGTGGCTCTTCGCGTCCAACGCCAGTAGCTATATGGCCCGGGCTCATGCTACCCTACAGACAGGGGTGCCCTCCGTCGATCTGGCTATCCTGAAGACGGATTGGGGAGTCACGGCCACCTGGGAGGATACCGGATTAAATAATTTCGGTTACTCGTACCAGCTGAATTCAATGATACATATACTATCTCTATAATTGCAGAGCTAATGCGATCATTAAGTTTCCGACTCCTGAGCTCTTGGCCGAGTACTCAGCTTCTGTCAAGAATCGACGGCTAGTACCAGATGGCCCACGATACAAAGCTCTTCTGATTGACCAAATCACATCTCTCAATCTCGATAGCGCAAAAATGATCTTGTCATATGGTGAAGCTGGGTTGCCGATCGTAATTGTTGGCGATGCCCCGTCCCAGCCGCAGTCCTTTTGCATCGACTATGCACAGACAAAATCAGCCATAGAATCGACATTCAAATAATTCTAGCCCTGAAAAATTCAAAGCAAGTTTCAACTCAGTCTGATGCGCCCGCTGCACTGCAGGCTCTTGGTGTGAGGTGAGATATGAATCATATACGGCGTTATATATATATTGACTGACCTGTTCCGCACAGTCCAATCGTCAAATACTCTAGCTCAGCCAACGTATCTATGATCGCAACACGGCATCGGCTGAGTGAGACTGAATTCATCTACTGGATCTACAGCTAAGAAGCGACTGTAGCATCAATCCAATTGGAAGGTGAAGGTTACCCACTGGCTTTCAACCTTTGGACAGGAGAGGTGGTCCCGATCGCCGCGTTCAGCACCAACGGCGGGTATACTTCAGTGAACATCTCTTTGGGCGAGAACGGAGCACAGGCGATTTACCTCGGTCAAAACAATCCGTACGGTGTAACAAATCTCAAGAAGCACGTAACTACTACGGATGCTGAAATAGTCGCTGACAAGTCGAACAGCCTGTACATCCGCGCCAGCAAGAATGGGACGTACTCCGCGTCGCTTTCGACCGGCAAATTAGTCCACGAGACTTTCAATGCTATCCCAACACCTGTTGAGTTGTCGTCTTGGTTATTGTCAGTTGAGGACTGGGCACCGAGGATCACGAACGAGACGGGTCTGCAGTCCTCTTTTACGACGAAAACAATCCTGTCATCGGTGAAATTGGATGGGCTGAAGGCATGGCCGAACATCATGGGGCTAGAGTATGCCAGCGGCATTGGAATACATAAGACTACTATACAACTCTCCTTGGAACAAACCAAGTTCGCGGAAGACTCTCTGGGTGTGCGAATCAACTTGGCCGAGGTGGAAGGGAGCTGGAGCCTCAAGATCAACGGTGTTCATGTTGACGGCATCGATTTCATGGTTTCAGCTCCGCTAGATGTGACCTCATATGTAAGGGAAGGGTCAAACGGTATGTCTATCTCGAGTATTGCGTGTTCGTATCGACAACTGATGTGTGAGGGGGAGGGTTAGATATCGAAATAATCGTGGCGACCACGCTGTGGAACAAACTCCACAAGACATGGCCGAGTCTTTACGGATCACTAGAGGCGCAGGATATCGGACTGCTGGGCCCCGTGAACCTGACATACTACGCAGAAAGACAGATTTAAAGGTGACCAGGGATCGATGCAGATCTGCTTTCATATATTGACTGCAACTCAAAGGGCAATGCGAAGTTAATGGAGGACCCGGGGGTTCGATGGCACAGGAACGTTAAAAAATGCATTGGTCTTCTCTATGTGACATGAAAGGAGAACAGGTAGTCATCACGCGGCAGACAAAATTTTATATCCAATCTAAGCAAAGGCCTTGACCTCGCCGTCCTTCAGCTTGCCAGCGTCAACCAGACGCTTGGTCTCAGCAGCGTAAGCAGCCTTGACAGCAGCGCCGTCCTTGCCAGCGATGGTCAGACGCTCAGCCAGAGCAGCGAGCTCGTCAGTGTCAATCTTGCCCATGATGACGTCGACGTCAGTCAGGACGGAGTCGACCTGGGCAGCGGAGGCCTCGCCGTCAGCGAAGTAGTTAACGTCCTTGACGGAACCCTTCAGAACACGCTTGTTCTTCTTAGCGGCGTTCTTAGCGGCCTCCTTGGCCTTCTTGTTCTTCTCGCGTTCGTTCTTAGCAGCCTCCTCTGCATCCTTCTTGCGCTGCTCCTCCTCAGCCTTGGCGCGCTCCTTCTCTTCCTGCAGACGCTTGGCCTCGTCCTCCTTGGCCTTGCGCTTGGCATCCTTGCCGGCACGGGCCTGCTGGCGGAACTTCTTGATACGCTCGTCGCCAGCCAGACACTCGTCAACCAGGCCGCGCAGACGGGTGGTGTCCTCGGTCTTGCGCTTACGGCGGGCGTTGGCGTTCTTCTTCTCAACATGACGCTTCTGGTCACGGCTCTCGCCATCATCGGGAACGTCCTCGTCAAGGTACTCGAACGTGCGCCAGCTGTCAATGTTATACCAGAAGTTGTAGAAGGTCTCGACCTCCTCCTGGGTGCTGTCCTCGTTGCCGAGAACAGGGACGGGCTGTCTCACGGAGAAACGGCCCTCGGCGACAAAAACGGGTCCCCAGCACTTGTAGAAATTGCGCTTCTGGATGTCCTTCTTGGTCGGGGGCTCAACATCGGCAGCCTCGTCGACGGAGTCGAACTGGCGGCGGCGGACAGGGTCCAGAAGCAGGTCGGTGGCCTTCTGGATACACTTGAAGAAGCTGTCGTTCTCGTCGCGCAGGCCCATGGCGGCCTTCTTGTCGGGGTGGTGGCGGAGGACCTTCTTGCGGTGGGCCTTCTTGATCTGCTCCGGGGTCGCACGCCAGCGGTACTTGGACAGACCGAGAACAGCGTAGTGGTCCTGAGCCTAGTAGGGAGTTAGCATACAATCGTTTCGATGATAAAAATCGGTGGGTGGCTGACCTTCCAGTCCTTGGCCTCACGAGTAAGCATCATGGGGTCCTCGTCCTCGGAGATCTCCATATCCTCCTCATCCTCAGTCTTCTTGACGTTCTGCTTGGCCTGAATGCGCTCATCCTCGGAGAAAGTGCGGTTGTGGCGCTTCTAGAGGGTTATTAGTATCGAAAAATGGGATTGCCCGCAGTAGCGCACAGAAAATGAATGGTGTTGACATACCCTGCGGGCGTGAGCCAGGAAGTGCGGGCCAACAGGCTCGATGTTGCGCTGGGCAGCAGCGGACAGGGCACCGACAGCCTTGAAGTCCTTGTCCGCACTCCAGCCAGAGGGCAAGGAGGGGAGGGAAACGTTGACAACTTGCACAGGAGCCATTGTGGAGGGATGTGAGGGGTGGTCTGGAACGTTGTGGGAGGAGCAGTTGGGTTTTTTTTTGCGTACCTTTTTTTCTGCCCCAATTGGCCGCCCGCCAATCACAACTCGGATGATCCGGTCATGCTTCGCTGCGACTTACTTGACTTGTACGCCTCAGCCTTGCTCATCCAGTCCTCCGGAATTCCTTTTCAACCCTTTTTGGAGACCTTCACAATGTCTGCTCCTAGCCTCCCTGCTCTGAGTGCCTACCGGCAGATCTTGCGTGCCACCCGAGTGGCTTTCCGAGGTTTGTTACAGAATCAACGGCTTCGCAACGATGCCTCTGCACTGTCATTGTGCTGACATTCTAGGATCAGACGACACACGCGTTATGCTTGCTGCTCGCCAAGAAGCACGCCGTAATTTTGACGAAAACCGCCGCGTGAAGGTTGACACTGGTATGCAGATCAACCATGCTATTGAGGTGGCCAACATTTTGCGACACAACCTGATTCAGGGTGCTCGGGAGGATGGCAATGAGGCCGCAAAATGGGGTATGTTAAAATTTCTGTTACTGAGAATTGTGTTCGTCGGAGACTATGATGTTTAGGGTCTCCGAAGCTGGAGTGTCATTGTGTAGAAACGATGGCTAACGTATGAGCAATTACAGAACTTCGGATCCACGATGACATTGAACGTGGCGACAACGACTCAATCAAAGTTGGAGGCAAGGATGTTAAGATTCATAAGGCTTGCTCATCTTGATCCGAGTGATCTCACTCATCTGCACCTTTGCATACGCTCATTTCGTCCCAAGCCATGCTACGCCCAGAGACCGCCAGGCATATACAAATACGCAAGAAAGAAGTATGCGAGAGGACAACAGTGGCAAGCATGAATTACAGGTGGAAGTGGAGTGCTGTATTATAATATACCCGACTCTTTTGATTACTTTTGGCGTCCCCGGGGTATTTTCGATTTAACCTAGATCTGCATAGAAAACAAGAACCAATCCATATCAACGCCCGCTTTGTAAAATCCAAGCGTCATGCAAATATCTTCATCCTGTGCTATCTCACATTGAACGGTGAAAAAAAGAGAACAGAGGAAACACCTGGGAGAAATAGGAACCAGCGTTCAATCACCAGACATGCTCGCATATTGAACTTGGCCCGAGCCAGGTGGCGGTGCCACGGCATAGTTCTGAGGCTTGTCTTGTTGCGCTGTGGCTTCGCCGGCGGCAGTAATGGCCTTCTTGTCAGATGAACCACCCTTCGCAGCTGGACCAACTGCCGATCGGCCTTCACGTGCATTCTTGATGCGCTCCTCACGATCAAGGGTATCGAGCGGCTTAGGCTTGCCCCAGCGCACGCGGAGCGGACAACCTTTGATGACAGCTTTGCCTTGGCACTTTTGAGCCGCAGATTCGGCGTCACTGCGGTTTACGTAGTTTATGAACGCGCAGTGAGATCTGTGCGAGCAGACGAGTGACCGAAGCTGGCCGAACTCGGCAAAGAACGATCGGAGGGCATGTTCTGGCAGATCATCCTCGACACCAGTAACAAAGAGAGATGTGACGTTGGGATCAGCAGGGGGCATAATATCCTCTGCGGTTGGCGGCAACTGGGCAGTGCCAGGGAACGGGCGCCCACCACGGCCCGCGCCACGGCCACCGCGTCCCTGTGCGCCTCCACGACCTGGCAATCGGTTACCAACACGGCTCTCACTGGTGCGGATCGGGCCTGGCCCATTTCCATATCGACTGTGTGTTCGCGGTTGGTTGGAAGGTCCAGCTTCTTCGGCCTCTTCGCTGTCTGCAGAAGGGCCATCGATACGTCGTGGTTTCCGGTAATAGGGCTGGCTGTTCGCCAGGCGGCGCAGAAGCTCGCGAGCCTTGTCGTCCGTCTTTTCGTATTCTTCAATCGCGCCGATCCCATCCTCGATCTCCTTCTCGTGATTCTGCGCGTAGTACTCTCGGTTGATGGAGCTATCGGGACCGGGGGCAACCATCTTCAGGGCGGCATCGCGGACTTGGAGTGGCAGGCCGAAGGATAAATCCAGCATGCAGCATTGACAGCAGTTCTTGAGACGCGCACAGGTCAGGCAAATGTTCGTACGTTTCTGTCGCGAAGTACGATCGGCCTTCCAGCGAAAGATGGTAAATGGTCTGGTACACTGCAAGAGTTGCATCATCAGTTTCTGAGCTCCGGATACCATTTGAAGGGGAAACCGTAAAACTTACAATCTTGCATTCCGCACCATGGTCTTCTTTCAACATCTGAACGTAGGGGTTCTCGGGAAGGCAGTTCTCACATACGGAAGGGAAATCCGTGGACTCCCAGCCGGAGCGATTCAAATCATGCTTGATCTGAGGGGGCATGGTCGATGAGGGTGGAGTTGGAGATGCTACCGTGATGAGTCGGACGGGCGAAGATGATTATCAGCGGTGGCGTAAGTGTGGCTGGTGTAACACGTGATCCGCGACGGCGCATGTCGTGTCCGAGCCGGCCAATGTTCACTGCTGAGCAATCATGGGAATGGGATTGGGGTGATCTGATCAGACTCGGGAGCCGCCAGTGGAGATCCGAGGATGCGCTTGGGGCTCAGCAGTGTAGCGTATACGGAGTTTACGGGATCAATAAGGCTGCCATATTATGACCGTTAGGGTAGGTCTACTGCGTTCTACCGCGTTGAGTCGCCAGCCTATACCCAGATGCACGGTGAACATCAGGTCACCGGCAGATCTCGCCGGGGGATGGAGTATCCGACGCCGCCACCGCCCGGAAGCCCGCCTCCCGCCTGGCAACGTGGCCAATCACATGCTGACAATGACCACAATCACGTGCCGGTATGGTGACTGCGGGCTGCAAACGAGACAAACCGCGCAATTGCCCCAGACTCAACTGGGCCTAGCCGCATAATGCACGCTCAGGGGCAAGTTGATTGGCCTGACTTTTTCAGAAGTCAAAAAGTTGGCTCTTATTTATCTTCACTCCCTCACTCCCTCTCTCGCTCTTTGCTTGTGCCCTCCGCTACTTCGCTTCTCCGCAGCAACTGGTCGATTCCAATTGTTGTGCTTTGTTACCTTTTTACCGGACCCATTGTCCCTTTTTTTCCTTTCCGCTTAAAACCTCCGCCTCGGCACCATCGCTCCCACCCCCTTTTAATTCACTACCTCCTTTAATTGTTCACCATGGCCCCTACTGCTCTGGAACGCGAGGATGTCGCGCGGGATTCCGCCTTCAATCAGGCTCTGCACGGCAAGTCTGCCAAGGCTCGCGGTGGTCTCACTGCCATGCGCGGCAAGGACGCCGCTGCCCAGAAGGCTGCCGTCGATGAATACTTCAAACACTGGGACAACAAGGGCCACGTTGAAGAGACCGAGGAAACTCGTGAGGTGAGAGCCATCCAAAAGCCCTGCTGCGCCTTCAATTGCCTTCTCCTGTACTAATGTCAACCTTGCGCACAGGCTCGTCGTTCTGAATATGCCACCCTGACCCGACAGTACGTTTTGTCACCCCTCCTCCCTTCTCTGTGTACTACATCTATACGTACAGAAAGAATGGCCCCGAAACTAACGTCACATTAGCTACTATAACCTCGCCACTGACTTCTACGAGTACGGCTGGGGCTCTTCCTTCCACTTCTGTCGCTTCGCTTACGGCGAGCCGTTCAACCAGGCAATTGCCCGTCACGAGCACTACCTTGCCATGCAGGCCGGTATCACCGAGGGCATGAAGGTTCTGGATGTCGGCTGCGGTGTCGGTGGTCCTGCCCGTGAGATGGTCAAGTTCACTGGTGCCCATGTCACTGGCCTGAACAACAACGACTACCAGATCGACCGCGCCACCCACTACGCTGAGAAGCAGGGCCTGTCGGAGAAGATGGCTTTCGTGAAGGGTGATTTCATGCAAATGAAGTTCCCCGACAACAGCTTCGACGCCGTCTACGCCATTGAGGCCACCGTCCATGCCCCCGAACTGGTTGGTGTCTACAGCGAGATTTTCCGAGTTCTGAAGCCCGGCGGCACCTTCGGTGTTTATGAGTGGCTCATGACTGATGAATACAACAACGACGACCCTGAACACCGCCGCATCCGTCTTGGTATCGAGCAGGGTGACGGTATCTCCAACATGGTCCGTATCTCTGAAGGTCTGCAGGCCTTCCGCGACGCTGGCTTCGAGATCATCCATCATGAGGATTTGGCTGCCCGCCCCGACGCCACCCCGTGGTACTATCCGCTGGCCGGTTCGTTCAAGCACATGGGTTCTGTCTGGGATTTCTTCACAATTGCCCGCATGACCTGGTGGGGTCGTGGTCTTGCCCACCGCTTTGTCGGTGCCGGTGAGACCATCGGCCTGTTCCCCAAGGGTTCTCAGAAGACCGCTGACAGCTTGGCTCTGGCTGCCGACTGTCTGGTTGAGGGTGCTCAGAAGAACTTGTTCACTCCTATGTATCTGATGGTTGGCAAGAAGCCCGAGTAAGCGTAAAATTGGGCGTCTTTTTGTCATTTTATCCCTTTTTGAATTCCTTGGCCTGGTAGTATACCCACAGCACGGCCTGTTTCCTCCACGCGCATGTTCACACATATTCATACCTTTGATCTTGCAGCTTCCTTGATTCCACTTTACCTCCATCCTCGTTCTTCTCCGTTTTCCGTTTCCAACCCCCTGCCGTCCCAGGAGACAAGATCTCCCTGGTTCTTCCATCTGACCCTACCGTCGGCGGTGACCATGCCCCGCGTTGAGTCTCCTTTGATCCTCGGTGATAATTTTCCTCTTGTCTTTCTCTTCCCTGTTTTTTTTGGACTGTGATAGATATGTAATAGTTATTGAGGCAAGAATAATGAGCAAAGAAATGGCATTGTTCCATATTGTTTTATTTTTTCAAAAATACAAAAAGCCAAACAGCGATTTCTGCCTGACCGAGCGTCCCCCATAAGCTTCGGATCCCTAAATCACGCATCTTGTCTAAATGTTTTAGTCCCAGAACCTTGTTCAGCCACTGGTTAGCGTGCAGCCCCCACAGTCAGGTCAGGGGAGTAAATAGGCTCTATTGGTCTACTCTCAAAACTTAGCACTCCTGTTTCTTACGCCAAAGGTACCTGGTGTTGAATCCTTCACTCCGGAATTTCGGCTGGAAATTGGCGTGCTGAACATTTTTTATGTTCAGTCTCCTCTCCCGATGTCTTTGTCCAAAACCATTCCCATGACACCCAGCCACTGGTCACCCTGACCAATGACTCGCAGATCAAAACACGGGAATCATATCGCAGTCACTGACACCACTGAAGTCTCAAACTCCGTCTAATGATCTTTATTTACTTGCTACTGAGCCCAAGGTCTGGCAGATGATCATGCAGGGAAGGCTTCGGAACTGACCAAGTGCTATCCTCAGCAAGAAATTTTAGTTGGCTTGATCCTGTGTTTTAGCCATATTGGAACCTATTCTAGCGAGATACCGCACGCTCTCCTAGATTGCAAAGCTGAGATCATTTCTCATGTCTTGGTCATTTGCCAGATCATCCCTTTGGAAGCACCGCCGGGAATCATCACCTGTAACGCTGTCCCAACTGGACACTTGAATAACTTCCTTGATGAGCACCCTCTATGCCCTGCATACCATTTTCTCATTGTCATTCGCTATGCTTGTGACCATCCTGGCGGTGGGCTGTTACGAATCCCACCAGCAACCCGTGTCAGAGACTCAGAGGTGGTCTTAATCTCATTGAGGAATTCTTCTTGGTACCGATGCCATGCCTCTTACGACCAAACATCTTGTGCATTGGCACTACAAAAGATAGCATGTACACTTTGATACAGCCAGAACCGGTGAAGGCTCCTTTGTGCATAACTTACTCTAAAAGAGCCGGGCACTATGCAGCCATTCTGGTGAATGAGCTGAACACTATGGTTTCTAAAGCATGTGCAGGATAAAGGGACTGTTGTAGGCTCAATTGTCTCTAACTTTGTTCTTCTCTCCCTCCGAGACCTTTCAAACGTCTTGAAACATCATAGTCTTTCTGTTACAGATCCGACGCATGTCTAACCCAGATGAACGAAGAAATGAAAATGGGACGTCAATCATGATGCCCAAGTGAAGGTCAATATCTCTACGATAAATAGTTCTTTTTCCTTCTTCATCTCCCTTCGATATACATCCAAGGTCTACCATCTAAAATCAACCCTCCTTCACAAAATTATTTCATCAATATCACATCTCCTTCCCCGAGGACCTTTCTCTCTTCTTTTTACCATGCCTGATGCCAGCTCACAGACCCCACACACATCTCAACTCCCCCTGGAAACAAAAGAGGCGTATTGGCTCATCATCACCGACTGCATTTCCCATGAGAAAATTCTCGACCATTGGCGGATTCTACTCCATAAGGAGATGAACGACAAGGAAAAGTACGACCTTGCACTCGCGGTCAGCATGTTGCAGGGTTTCATCCCCCACGCGGAGACCCTGAAGGAAATTCCTTTCGAAGAGAAAGAACATGTTTTGCTCGGCTTCATCTCCAAGATGTATCCCATTGCCACCGAAATCTGGAAGAAGCTGGCCGATTTTGACATGAAGCTTGCCAACGCGGAGGATCTTGGATTTCCGACGGATTTCACGGAGGAGGATCTCGCGAAGCTTCCAGAGGAAGTAATTAATGTCATGCAGGAGGCGATGAATGGTGTGAAGAAGCTGGCGGAGGACCACAAGATTTTATTGGAGTTGAGCTTTCCGAACTCTTTGAATTTTTAGTGTACTCCTGGTGTTGGGTTTTCTAGTTCGAGGAGATATGTTGGTGTTTGGGTAGATTGTTACAGATGGAAGAATTTGAGTTTTGATCTGAAAATGGTATTTTGTTTTCTGCTGATTCTGGCATGAGAATTACTGTATAAGTAAATTCCTCTTGGACCTGATTGAAAAATACGCACATTGTGTTGTTCTGCGTCAAACTACGTAGTTCCTACCGTATCACAGTGTCAATCACTTATCGATCGCTTGTCAATCCCGAAAGCGGAGAGAATCTACGGGAATATGCCTCGGTTGGAATGACATGAATTCAAGGCTTCAATAAATTAGCAATATTGCCCCGCAAATCTAGCTTATTTCTTAAAATTTCCATAGACCTGCAAACGAGACCAATCTGGAATGACGGAAACTCACTGTAACGGTAACGCGGGAAGCGCGCTTATACATTTTTACAGAACCTGGATGCAACGCAACTATGCCCACTTTTCAATTGAAAAACAAAGGATTTCCTGCAAAGGTCACAATTTTATTACACTCTATCTGAGCCCCTTCATGATGTTGAGTTCGCGCCTTTTGTGTCTGCTTTATGTGGCTCTCCTTTGCCGAGCCGACGTGACTTCAGATCATGATGCACGTCTGAAAACGGCTGTCATCCTGGACACTCCAACAACTGGAGCCAGTACTACGCCAGACGGCCGCACATTCCTCAAACTTGCTCATGTTGATGGTTCAACAGGCCCACAGGTAGTCGAAGTTGTCGGCAAGAACTATACCCTGGTGCCGTATCCCGACAAGACCTGGAACTCATGGAATGCTAGCGTCGACAGCGTCGCCGACTCAGAAAACAAATTTGTGTCTGTGAATGCACAGCGTGTGGGTCCTGATGGCAATCTGTGGGTTGTTGACACCGGAACTCTCGACAAATTTCCCAACTCAGCCAAACTCATTTCTTTTAATCTGACAACCAACGAGGTTGAGCGTATCTACTACCTGGGCAGTGTAACCACCACAGAAGGCTCTCTCAACGACGTGCGCTTCAATGGCAAGTACGCTTACTTGACCGAGTATACTATTGGCTCCATTATCGTTCTTAATCTCGAGACAGGCCATGCACGCCAGCTGCTCCGAGGGCACAAATCTGTGGTGGCGCAGATGCCGTTGTCGGCTGAGGGTAGCTTACTTCGTGCTGCATCGACGGGCCTGTTCGAGTACATAAATGCCGACCAACTCGAGGTTTCTCCCGATGGCCAGTATTTTTACTATCAGCCAGCGAGTGGCTACATGTCTCGTATCGAAACCAGGTATCTCAATGAGGCCCTCTATAATGACACAACTGCAGACCTTTTGCCAAACTATGTGCAGCCATTCTCGTTGACTCCCAGCACCGGTGGAACTGCCATCGATGCCGAGGGCAATATCTACTGTAGCGATGGTGACCGCCAAGAAATTCGTTCCATCGCACCCAATGGAACGACAACATTTTTGACGCGAGATGCCAGACTGCTGTGGGTCGATGCCATGTGGATTGACACCCAGCAGCGCTTGTGGATGTGTGCGTCACAGCAAAACCGTGGGAACCTTTTCCTGCAGCCGAATAATCAGACGTCGACTATCAAAAAGCCAATTTATGTCTTTACCCTTGATATTGGTCACAACCCATCCCCTTTGGATCATGCATGAGTATATGACCGGGTTTTATGTGGTCCAGTTATTGTTCCCAAGACTACTCTAACACCTCCGATCGGGGAACGGAATCGACCGCACTACTACAGCATCTCATTATACATAACGGTGGCTCCAGAAGGTACTTTGAGATGACTTTGAATGAAAATAGAGATATTACACTAGAAAAACCCTCAACGGTCTCTACGTGGATTGAGTTGACACTCGAGTTCCAGCGGAATCGAGGTTTCCAATCCGAATTTATACCTGCTTAAGAAATATAAGCCCTTATTCGTGAATTATACTTTCGATTATAGGCATTCCGTAATTCCTTCGGTTTAGAATGGCCTTGGGAAAAGAGGACCTCATCATACATTTCAGCGTAGGCGTCGAGATCGGTTAGATGACAAAAGTTACTACTGGATTTACATGGGGCATTTCTACCAGTTACTCATCCGTTCCCTCTCTATCCCATCCAAGTATACCACCAATCTCACTTGACAAAGGATCGCTCGTCTCCAGGTCAAACGCGACTTTATCAAGGAGCTGCAGCTCCGCAGCCTGAGCGAGACCGTCCACGTAACCATCTGTAGTGAAACAAATTCTCGTCCCAAGCATCGCCTCATCTTTGTCAAGCACTATCTCATCATCTGAGCGGCGAGGCCCACGACCAAGCCTGCAGATTGTGGCGATAACGCTCAGGAGTTCTCGGTTATACTTTTCATTCGATCGATCCTCCAATACTTGAATATTATCTATGAACCCATACGCCAACCTCGGACCCACATTTCGAACATCACGAATCAGGTGTATGGCGTCCGCGACACTCAAGTTTCCCTGTTCTAGAGAGGCAAAACGTGCAGGGGACAGATCTGCTTCGGAGTAGCCGTTGTCGGGAATAAGCTGGACCAGTTGGGTAATAATGGATGCGAGGAAGAGACCTAGTTCTTTGTTCTTTGAAATTTCTGACTGATGATGCTCTGTGAAGCTAGAGAAATATATGAAGCAGGGGAGGTTGTTGTTTCGTGCTAGGGCGGCCAGAGCAACAGCGGTCATAGAGTTCTGGCTGGGTTGCGATATGTCGTGCGGACCTTGAATCCAAAAATTGGTGGAGTTGGAGGCTCGGAGCCATGCAACTAGGCGGGTATGGACCTCCCGATCAAGCTGCAACAGTGATGCTTGATTTGTGATTCGTATCAACTGATCCACCTGATCCTTCCACCGCTGTGTTGTGCAATTGATGGCTGCCTGGATGTCCGCTCGACTAAATCGGTAGCGTGCCTGAGAGATCGAGTGAACCTCCAACCGTGGCTGTAGTGTTTCATCCCCGCTACTAGAGGAAGCAGACGATACCTCGCCCGCCGTATCTTCGGCAATGCTTATGATCGGACACGGTTGAGGCGGCTCGACACGGGAGAATCGTTGCTGTTCTAGAAACCTTTGCAGTGATTCACCGAGGAATAATCTTTGCTCGCGAAGTTGATCCGGTAGGATCTGGTAGAGGCGTTCCTGATTTTGTATCATCATCTCCAGGCTCCTGGTAGTGCGGTGGCGGAAGTCGAGGTTAATGAAATTCTCCATGCGACGCTCAATGGTCAGCATTCGGTCTTTCTTGGACTTGAATAGCTTGTTGAAAGCATCTTGATCGAAACTGGTGAGGAAGCGCTTCCAGCCCGATATGGACCACTTCGTAAAAATTTCAGTGAAAAATTCGAAGACAATAACGTATAACTCCTGAATATACTGTCGAAGAGCCGGAATGTTACCATGCTCTGTCATCTGCCGGTTCCAAAAATCAATATCTTGGCTTAGATCGTCGAGGGTATCAGCTACTCCCTCGGCAATCTTTTGATGGTTAATTGTTGCCTGAGCGATGGCCGAGAGAGATCCGGTTAACAAGGTAACATATTTGTCATCCTTGGGGAGGACGGAGAGCAGAGCACTGTGAGAGTTGCAGGTCTCGCAGAGATTGTGAAATTTGGATTTGAGCTTCCCCAACTTGGTGTCATCCCGCCCTGACTGCCAGCTAGCCGGTGCCTTGCTTACAGAGGCCACTAGAAACTGAATATCGGGTCTATCTCGGTCCCCGAGTGGTAGCTGTTGGTTTTCAGGCAAGCTGTCTCGAAACTTGGACCATGCTGCATGAAGCCGCTGGCTCTGTTGGAGGAGAACGGCCTCTTCATCCGGCATAGAATTCTGGGCCAGTTGCCGACCTTGCAAAAGCAGTTGATCCCATCCAGTCCGTAGTGAGACTGATCGTTCTTGATTACGATCGACTGCCACTTTCGCTGCTAGAGCTCGACTGAGAGGCTCCCCTGGCGAAGAGTCCGAGATGCCATCACTGAATCTTCGGATGAGCCTTCCGCTGGGCTCGGTCGGTCGGCCAGTCTTCATCTATTGGACGGGAGGAAGGGGGGCGCGCAGGGGGAGCGATTAGCCGAGTAGTAAGTACGTGCCTTTGAAGGGGAGAGATGATTCAAGACTGTATTCTATAAATCTGAGTAGACTGTCACGTTGAACAGCAACCGTATGCCGAGTTCCCGCTGGCTAAGTCTCGTTTTTGGACTGATCGAATGAAAGACCTTTGGTGCATGACAAATGATCTGGGGCAATCAAATACCGAGTCGCTTACGCCCGCTGACGTGCTCGCCAATGAGGACCTTGTCCGGTGGGCGCAAACATGCATGAAGCTGGGCGTAGCGAGGAGGAGGGGAAGTGGAGGCTCGGGCTGCATCGACAGACCTGACGAGACCCAACGCGGCGAACCCCAACACCGTCTCTTTTTGTTCCAGCCGAGGTCTGATATCTCAGTGACTTGTTCCATCTAATATTTGATATCCTGTTTGTGTATCCCAGACTACACTCAGGAATGGATACTGAAGGATTTACTCGGAGACTAAGCCCACTTCCGGCTTTCAACCGAGAAGATGGCTCGGTCCGTCTTATAAATGACCGAGCATCTGACACTTCCTCAGATGAATATATCGGTCCTTCTCAGCTTGAACATGCTCCTGACGGTGAAAGCCGTGGATATTTTCGCGAACGTCGACCTATGGTTCGATATCTGGGAGAGGTCAATCTTGCAGAGCACCGAAGGAACCGGGATGGCGGGCCAGAAACCTCTAGCAAGCCAGCCGTTGTTTGGTATGCCAAGTTGTTTTCCAGAGAAAACGGACTCCCCTTTGGCCAGGACCTTCGGCAACCGGACTTGCTTATAATCGATGACCGACCAATTGAGCTATGCGTGGGCGTGGCTCCACGCCAGCCGCAGATTGACACAAAAGACACGAAAGAGCCCGCACTTAAAATACCGTCGTGGGAAAATCCAGTCTTCACGATTGAGGTCTTTCTTGAGACAGACCTTTTGCAACGTGAGATACGGGAAATCAGACGGGACCCCAATATGGAGAAGTTGGCATTGAAGCGTGTGTCAAGACGACATTTGGTGGTGCATTCTCCATACCTATTATTGGCTCTCAGTGAAATTGTTCAGTATTATCCCTCCTTCCACTCCAAAGGACAACGGAGCATTGCAGAGCCCTATGCTGTTCTGTTTCATCATTTTGATGCCATTGAAGCCCGGGCGGGCTCTTTTGTCTCGACTTCAATGTGTCAAAATACGCACGACGCCGATACTCAGGAGGCCCAGCAGATCCAAAAGCATATCCAAAATCTGCTAGATTTTTTGAGGCCCATTCGTGAAAATAAAATACTTGATTGTGAAAGAAATTTAGCCGAGTCCACTCCACGCGTGACATTTGACATGATCTGGTATCTTTTGAAACCCGGAATGGATGTTTATGTTCACATCGACGGGTCTATACAGGCAGCGGTGCTGACAGATGTAAAGCGCGGTGGAGAGGATTGGTCCTCTGTCTGGAAACCTGAGAATGATAATTGGTGGCTGATTGAGCTTTGGCGACTGGAGACGGATGGCTTACGAATTGCGCGACGTTCAACCAGTGCAAATATAGTCGCCTATGCTGGGTTGCGAGAGGTTATAAATCTTGCGGTGTGTCCGGTCTCTATTTGGGATGCGCATGACGGTGGTGAGCGACGCAGGGAGATCCTGCGCCGCAATGGAACCTTCTTCAAGGCGCTATGTCAGGGAAATCTCCTCGTGGACTACAACGGGCCCATCAAAGGGACTAATGAACATGTAGGCTCGTGTCTCTGTTTCATCCATAATGTTGCTGATATTATCACAGTATAATGGAAAATTGGTGATAGACCATCGAAGAGGACAGGAAGATCATAATAACCATCATTCTGGCTTCCCACGGATCCAAGACAATTCCGATCGCTTCAAGGCCTACGATCAGATATTGATCAATAACGATGCTTCCGGCAGCACCAACCAAGAAACTCAACGCCGGCTCTTCAGCATGCTTGAGACATACACAGCCCGCCCCGCTGAGAATAACAGCACAGGTGCTCGCGTCGGTGGCTCAGACAGGGGGATTACCCACCTCTCGGTGATTACCCTCACCCTGAAACGCCCATAGAGGACTGGAAGGACAATGCTGTTGCTGTTGATGAACTAACCGAGCACCAACTTCTACTGCTATGCCCAGAGGCCTTGGCATACGCCCTGAGATATAAACAATGGAGTACGCCTTCCGGGACCATTTGGAACTTCGGCGCCTAATTCTTTCTTTAGTCGTGATATCTCTCGATCATGTTCAAGAATCTGTGCCATCCGATGAGAGTATTCGCAACCTGGTCATTAGCGAGGCCGAGTTGAAAACCATCCAGGCTCTCTCCCATCGCCAAAATAGCAAAATCAAGCACTGGTCAGCGGACTTCATTGAAGGCAAGGGCTCAGGGCAGATCATTCTACTGCATGGTATCTCACCCCCCTCCCCAACTTTCCATGAGTTTGTGCTCATTTAAATCTCTCACAGGACCCCCAGGAGTCGGCAAGACTTACACAGTCGGTGTGTCTGCCATGATCCGCCATGAATGCGAAAAAATACTAACAAAATGACAGAGGCTATATCTGAGTGGCTGCACCGGCCGCTCCTCGCACTCACAGTCGCTGATATTGGCACAGTAGAAACTCTAGTCGAAGGCGAGCTATTGAAGTGGTTTAGTCTTGCAGAAGCGTGGAATGCAGTACTCCTCGTTGACGAGGCAGATATATTCCTGGAACGACGACAGAACCGAGATCTCGCTCGGAATGGATTAGTATCCGGTAAGATCGGTGCAACTCTTTGTACACAGCAAACTAAAATTTTGTCCTCAGCATTCCTTCGCCGAATGGAGTACTTTAAAGGTCTTCTGTTTCTAACCACCAACCGTGTCGGTCAAATTGACGACGCTTTTATTTCCCGCGTCCACATAGCAATAGGGTACCCTGCTCTCGACGAAGATGGACGCCGCAAAGTGTGGAATGGGTTTTTCCGGAAGCTTGTCCGTGACCGCGCGGGCAAGATCCAGATCGCACCAGACGCGAAGGCGTGGGTCCTCGAGACCACCGGCGAGACGCAACTCAACGGCCGAGATATTCGAAATGCGCTGCAGACAGCGATTACATTGGCAGAGTTCGAAAGCCAGGAAGATCCAGATTATGATGAGTCCCTGGTGACTATTGTCACCAAAGCACATTTCCAGAAGGTGCTGGACATGTGTAATCGGTTCCGTACTTATGTAACAAGTATTAGGCGGGAGGATGAAAAGAAGCGTGCCCAGGGACGGGGCGATCGGAATGATTATGGGCGCGGAACGCTAAATGAAATGGATGGTCTGGTAGACCTTGCCAGAGCGATTGGAAAGTAGGCCTTGAAATCCTATGGCAGAATGCAAGAATGAATACGTGATGCGGCAAATTGTGTTTCATACGAAATCTCGGTAGATACGGAGCGCTTGGTATAGAATCACCGACTCACTCTTCCATTCCTCGTTCCATTTTTTTTGCTACACTCTTCGTAATACTCCTCGTGCTAATATTATTTTCGAAGATTCCGTTCCTTCTCGTGCCTTCATTCTACCATTCCCAATCCTCTCGCCACGTCTGCTGCTACTCCTGCTGCTCCCATTACAGTCCATAATGACAGTACCAACATATGTCGTAGATCATGCCAGATCGTATACCAGCGATAAATAATTCGAAGGCTCTGCTACGGCATGAGTTCTAGATTAATATGAGATATATCAGCGGCGAGAAATGAACATGACAGTATAATTGGACAATCGGTCAGGCACTCGGCTTTCATTTTACCTGAACCTCTCTTCAATAACTTGATCCATGTTCCTAAACCATTTGAGCTCTATGCCAATTCATTGAAGATCATGTCAGTTCCACTCCAGTCAAAACTATGTACAGTAAGCTTGTAATGGATGATAGGGTCCGAACACAATCATCCACCAGTTGTGCTTGCAGGAACGCCATGTACCCCGCAAAAGCGGCTTGGCAAAAAGATAATTACCGGGCCACAAGAAGCAAACTATCGGTCTTTCGCTACAAAATAATCCGAGAGGTGAGAGGTTCCATGAACTATGTGACCAAATCAAATAGACTCGAGAAAATTTCCGACTCCGTCGCTTCCCCCCCTTGCCAAGAATAACGGGAATCTGAATGAAGTGCCTTCGCCGGATGATATCATTCGCGATACCCCGTGAAACAAACCTCACCCCACATGGAATTGCAGGATGGTCTTGGCAAACTAGCTGCCCTGAAGTAACTTGGCATTCCGGAGCGGGATTTTGCGCCATAAAAAGAGCCCTCCCCGGGTATCTTTAGCACGAAGAGGATCCCTAGTATCAAATCAAGCTGATCGCCGTGCCGAAAGGGGATTTTCCCCGGAGCTATTTGCTTGAACCCTTCGTCCCACATTGGTGGAACTAAAATCCAATAGAGGATGATATCCGTAGACCATGCAGGGGCGGCGCGTGGGCCATGCGAAATATCCACCGTTCAGGGCGCATGGTTTCAGACTGGACGGTGAGACGGATGAGCAGTCAGGCAGTTTTTGCCATATATCAACCGCGGAACTGGACCTGAAGTCCAGGAACTAGCTGATTAGACTGGTCTCTTATTTCAAGAAATCTGTCTGTCGACATGTTGTTCTCGGCTTTGGTCCTTACCTCGGTTGCCATCTGGGGCAAGGTGGCCAATGCAGCATTCGGAATCACGACGAGCTCGTCCGCATACGTGATCGACGCTGGATCTTCGAACCCGCTGAAGTTCACCGTGGACCGTACTAGCTGTGATATCACGTCGATCAACTATTATGGCTCAGAGCTGCAGTATCAGTCGACTGGCTCGCACATCGGATCCGGCTTGGGGACTGCTACTGTGACTGCGACTCAGAGTGGTAAGTGTAGAGATAAATCTTATTCGGTATTGTTATCCCAGAAATTGATGGCAAGAAGGTGATTATATCAAGGTGACGTGCACGACCGACACATTGATCCACTACTATGTTGCACATAGTGGCGATTCGATTATCTACATGGCCACATATACTACTGCTGGTGAGTCTTTCGTTTTGATCCTTCAGCGACGACCCGATATTAAGCAATAGAAAGAACCTTCCGTCGGAGAACTTCGATATATCGCTCGACTGAATGCAGACCTCTTGCCAAACGAGGAGCCATTCGGCACGGTTTCAAACATTGATGGTGGAACTGCCATTGAAGGCTCGGATGTATACTTGGTGGATGGAGAAACTCGGAGCAAGTTCTACTCTAGTGAGCGCTTCATCGATGACCAACGACACTGTGAGTACAGAGAACCTCGAGAAATCTTCGCAAGATCTGCACAGCAAAGAATGCTCACCAGTCCCAGGTGTTTCCGGTTCTGCTCATCGCGTCTGTATGATTCTCAATCAATACGAGACCTCAGCTGGAGGCCCATTCCACCGGTAAGTCAATCGGTGAATAGGCCACCCTGTTTTCATTATTGACAATACTAAGTGATATCAATACGAACAACGTTGGGTCCTACACCGGACTCTATTGGTACATGGTAAGGCAGTCTGATCGCCAATCCTCGCCGCAGTACAGCTAACGCGAACTAGAACTCCGGCCACGTGCAGACCGAAACCTACCGTCAGGGGCTGCACGGTCCGTACTTGATGTACTTCAGCCGCAGCGGTACGCCGAGCACAAACATCGACACTTCGTTCTTCGCCGACCTGGACATCGAGGGATACGTTGCCACGTCCGGTCGAGGATATGTTTCTGGCACGGCATCTGGAGCCGACTCGTCCTTTGACTGGGTTATTCACTGGTTGGTTTAATACCTTTACCTCACTTACAAGGGGATTCTCTCACGCATATGCATCCTTATTAACTCAAAGCAAGGTATAACACCAATGCCCAGTACTGGACCTACACGTCCTCAAGCGGCAGCTTCACATCTCCAGCCATGAAACCAGGCACCTATACGATGGTATACTACCAGGGCGAATATGCCGTCGCCACGTCGTCCGTTACCGTCACGGCCGGCTCAACCACCAGCAAGAGTATCTCCGGCTCTGTGAAAACCGGCACCACGATCTTCAAGATCGGCGAATGGGACGGACAGTAAGGGCCATCTTGCTCTCTCATACCCAACACATTCCACTGAACACATGCTAACTCCTGTCTCTTAACACAGGCCAACCAACTTCCGCAATGCAGACCTCCAGCTTCGCATGCACCCCTCCGACGATCGCATGTCCTCCTGGAGCCCTGGCACTTACACTGTAGGCAGCTCCTCAGAGAGCGATTTCCCAATGGCGATCTTCAAGTCCGTGAACTCACCAATTACCATTTCGTTCACCGCGACATCCTCGCAGACCGGCGCTGCAACGCTGCGCATTGGGACGACACTGTCCTTCGCGGGCGGCCGGCCCGTGGCAACGATTAATTCGTACACTGGGTCGACGCCGTCGGCGCCAACAAATCTTGACTCGCGCGGCGTGACGAGAGGCGCGTACCGAGGTTTGGGAGAGGTGTACGATGTTTCGATTCCCGCGGGGACGATTGTCGCGGGCAAGAATACGGTAGGAGACCTTTTTGGAGCCATTTTCTCTTTGATATGCTAATTGATGATGAAATTGTAGATCACTATTTCGGTGGCGTCCGGCAGCTCCGGCGATGAGTTCCTCAGCCCTAATTTCGTGAGTCGATCGTGGAAGGAGTCATGGTGAAGTCGCGATGCTAATGTTTTTGCACTAGATCTTCGACTGCGTGGAGCTCTTCCAGTAGCTGGCTCTTCCAGGAGCTGCAATTCTCACTCATATCAAGGGGATCAACATACCGTTACGATGTCATTTCATCAGACACAGAATATAAAGCATGAACTCGTAAATTTCTTAGAAATATCACATCTATAAATCCCTTATCAGGGGCCCAAGAGGGCTTCAACAATCCCGCTAAACACAATATAATCCGATATAAAACAGAAATAAAAAACCACACGGATGCCTTGCGTAGCCCATCAATCTATCGCTTTATCGTCTTGGTGTCTCATCAAACCCCCGTCTAGTTCCGGGTATGCACCAGCCGCCCAGAAACCCAAACAGCCTTCACGTTGCGGTCATCTCCGCTCCACACCCACTTGTGCACCTTCTCCTCCCATGTTTCCGCACCAAACAAATCCACATTGCCCACCGGCCCGGCCCGGACCAGATTCTCACGCGTGACGCCCTCAAGCGGATTCTCGCTCTCGCTGAGAACCGGCACCGCGCCTAGCTGAATCAACTGCGCATCCCAAAGCATGCCCTCTTCAAACCCGCCGAGCTCATCTGCCATGTCGACGACGGCGGCACCGCCCCGCGTCGCAAGGTACAAGCTTTCCTCTACAGAAAGCTTCTCGCGACTAACTATAGGCTTCTCAGCTTGCTGCGCGAACGCCGCAGTATGCTCCAATAGGCGGGAGACTAGACACGCCTGGCGCACAGCCTCCAGGACGCTGGGACTGTAGCCACCGCTGACGTCAGTTCCGAGGCCTACAATCAGGCCGTCGTCAAGAAGGGTGCGGACTGGGGCGATACCGGAGCTGATCGCGGAGTTTGAGGCGGGGCAGTGAGAGATTTTGGCGTTCCTGCTGCGGATCAGGGCGCGCTCGGACGGGGTGAGGTGGACAGCGTGTGCGAGGATGGTGCGCGGTGTGAGGAGATTGTGTTTGTCGTAGACGGCGGCATAGCTGGGGGCATCCGGGAAAAGTGAATGCACGAGGGCGATCTCGTCGGTGTTCTCGGAGATGTGGGTTTGGATGTGGAGCGGCGGGGTGTAGGAGGCAGCTAGGGCACCGAGGCCAGAGAGGGCGGGCTCGGTACAGGTGGGTGCGAAGCGTGGGGTGACAATGGGTTTGACAAGAGCCCCATGAGGGTCCAGAGTGTGAATATACTCGATTGTGGACTTTGTCGCGCTCACCGAGTCGTCGGCAGACAGGTCTTTATAGTAGGATGGGCAGAAGTCCGGGTTGTCCATACACACCCGGCCAATGAATGCACGCTGGCCGCGGGCGTGGCAGAGTGCAGCGAGCGCATTGGTCGCAGGGACGTGGATAGTAGCGAAGTACGAGGCACAGGTCGTGCCATTGGACAAGGTGCGCGCGACGACCTGGTCGTAGATGCGCAGCGCAGACGGAGGTGCATCTTTCGGCAGTGTTGCCTTGCCGTTTTTTGCATCTGCTTGCGCGCCAAAGCCAGACTCGACAGGGAATGTGTACGTCTCAAGCCAGTCCAGGAGAGTCGAGGAGCCAAACAACCCAACATTGGGGAACTGGGGAGCATGGATATGTGTATCTAGACTGCAGTTAGCTCGAAGTAGATAGGGTTCAATTGATAGGAGTGGAATGTGACACCCAATATAAAACATACCAATGAACCCAGGGAAGAAGAATTCGTTCTTCTGCTCACTCGCAATCACAACCTTCACTTTGACCGCACCCTCAGCACTGCCATTGACGCGCTGGTCCACCCCAGCATCCACATCAACCCAGCCATTCCGATTCAACAGCACATTGAACGACTCATCGTCCTGGACCTGCCAATCAAATCCCTTGATACGGCCATCTGCCGCTGAAACCCACAAAGCGCCGCGGTTGCGCACAAGCTCAATCTTTGGCTTCGCTTGCAGCTCCGTCTCCGGCATGCGCGGTGCCTGGATGAAAGTCCCACGATAAACGGTGAAAGTGACGTCCGCCATGACAAAAGATCGTCTGACAATCACTGGCTGGTCCAGACACAAATGCCCAATCACGACGCAGAAACTGGAGTTTCGAGGCGTGAGCCAAAAAGTGTAATCAGACGCCGCAGACGCAGAAAAATATACAAAGATCTAGGATGTGGACACTTCGTCACTCGGGTCCACTAAATAAAAACAAGTCCAGAGAATCTCTCACGGCTCCATGGCTGATCTGAATACAGCGCAAGATATATCTCAAAACGGGGCTTCGCACAGACACGCGGTGCGATAACGCTTATCCCCAAGATGGCAGGGCCAGCACGCGGGGCAAGGGAATCAGGGTTGTTCCTGCTGGATTAGAGGGCGGTTGGAGCCGAGGTGGGATCGCGCGTGATTGCTGGGCGAGGCGGCCTAAACGAAGGACATGAAGATGGATTCGAAAGAAGCTTGAGAAGAAGTGGAGGATCAACAGGGCGCGATGAACGAGACGAGACGCCTAGACAACACGCGGCGATCGCCTGTCTCCGGGGCGAAAACAAGAAATTTTCCTCGATACAATAAATATACTGAGAGATTGTGTGGGGGCAGGTGCGGGTGAGTGCGGACAAATGGTATGGTAATGTAAGAGGGGCTCTGATAAGCGCGGGGTGTGTATGCGGCGGGGTGTGTATGCGGCGGGGTGTTACGATAAGCATAAGGATTTCGACATGTGGGCTCTAAATATGGATAACCATATATAATCGAATGGGATCCAGCCCGAGAGTCATAAATGGCATGAACAGCTTGATGGGGCACTGTCTACATATCGGTTTGCTGTAATAAAGGACAAGGACATCGCGATCCTGTCGAGTAAAATGGAGCTCTGTTTCCGCCAGCTGTGACTTTATTTGTTGTGCGGCTTCTTTAGGCATTTCCTCGTGCACGTTGTTAAACCATAGGCCTTCTATCCTTGAGGTTAAAGCAGATACAGTGGATTCAACAGCACTATATAAATATCTGTCCGCTTTGGACTCATGAAGTAATCTGATTATCTGAGCCGACTCCTCTACACACCGTTCTGCCCCTATGCCGTTCACAGCAGCGAAGTAGGGTCGCATACCAATTCCTCTGGGGTGTACTTGACAAAGCCATTATTTGCAGTGTCTTCATCAATAGATTTGAGGGGGCGTGGACTTGCAGAAAACTTCATAACTAAACTGATATTTCCTTATTCCACATCACTCTCGAGCATCTATTCGCATGCCATGCCGGCATGGAAGGGCCCCAAAGGAAGATGCTATAGAGAAATTAAAGATATAGCCCCGATTTCCAGTAGAATAGTTATCATCGTGATGGAAGAGGCTTTTTCAGAGTTCTTCAAAAGTCATTTCTTGGATCATTCATGAGAACGTTGGACTCTGTGATATTGCTTCAAGTGTCGGGAACAGAAATGTCGGTTTTACAGCTCAAAACAAAGGTCAGGAGGCCTGCGCATCGGGCTTTCGATTCGAAATTCACGAGGAAGTGATGAGTAAAGCACTGCAAAGAGCCCCCTCCTACTAATCATATCCTATGCTTACGTCCCTCATCTCGGACATCTTCTATCCCCGAAATTCATCAAAGTGGGCGAGGTGGAAGTGCGGTCTCCGAAGAGAGCTCGCTGTCTTCTTCAGTCGAACATCAATATCCCTGTTGCAATTTCTTGGCAAAAGCTCGGCCTTCGGGGGCCCGTCTTCCGCGCCGCCGAGCACACCCTGGTTAAACGTACCTGAGCTACAGTTTTTCGCGTATCCCTCACATGCTTGTGCCTTGTTATGTTGCATTTGTATGGATCGCATCGGTAACAGCTATGAAGAGGAAAGACGGGGTCCGTATAAAACACCGCAGTATTCACGGCTCTACTCAGAGTTAGTTTAACGAGCCCAAGAAAGGTGGTAAGCGAAATGTGATGAAGCAAGACGTCGCAATCCCGTAAGCAAGCATCGGCCGGCCGGCGTGAACAAAGCCCGAGGGCCAATATGTTTTGTCAGACGTATCACGTGACAGTCACAGTAGTACCTGCCACATAGTAGTAACGAGGGTAACTCATATTATTAGGTTAGCAAAGGTTCGGCCTTTCCAATCGGCATGAGCATCTAAGCCGACTATCCTGATGATAGTAGGATGCCCGATGCCACGTCATACACGCTGACAAGCACCCTAGAGATATCAATCTGCTCTTACAGCTACTGGTTCTAGTATGAGTCGAAGTTGTCCATTGATTAATTATCTAGTGCTAACTAAGTACCTTTTGGAATTATTCATCTCGCGCGTAAAGAGGGCACATAAGCCCGAGAAGGGGCCATGATTAATTATGACTATTCTATACTGTGTTCAACGAACCTTCTGGGGCTCGTAAATAAATTCAACATGATTTTCGCTCAACTGGATCTTTTCCACATCAGTTTCAAAACATTCTTGATACATCAGTCATAGACAACTCCATCAAATAATGTCTGCAGTCTTAATCACAGGTGCGACGGGTAAGCAGGGGGGCTTCCTCATTAGAAACCTTGTCTCTCGCAACGCCCCATTCGAGATCCTAGCTGTCACACGGAATCCGGCATCTACATCCGCCCAGAAGCTCAAAAGCCTCTCTTCCAACATCAAGCTTGTCGAAGGTGACCTAGATAACCCGGCCGGTATATTCCAGAAAGCGCAGGATGCGACTTCAGTCCCGATCTGGGGAGTCTTCAGTGTGCAGGTACTTAATTATACTCCTTTAGGTATTTTACCCTTAATAAACCCATCATGCTAACTCAGCACCGCAGGTGGCGATTGGCAATGGGGCCAAAGAAGAAGTCCAAGGCAAAGCCCTAGTTGATGAAGCGATCAAACAAAACGTCAAGTTCTTTGTGTATAGCTCCGTTGACCGTGGCGGCGACAACCGTTCATACAACAACCCAACCAAGATCCCACATTTCATCAACAAACATAATATCGAACATTACCTTGTTGATAAAGCCAAGAATAATGTTTTAGATTGGACGATCTTGAGGCCAACGGCATTCTATGAGAATCTCACTCCAGACTTCATGGGAAAGGTCTTTTCGACATCCTTCAAGATGGCCTTGAAAGAAAAGCCCCTTCAACTTGTTGCGACCAGCGATATTGGCTTTTTTGGGGCCGATGCGTTCCTGAACCCCGACCGATACAAGGGCCAGGGGATCTCCCTGGCGGGCGATGAATTGACCTTTGAGCAAATGAAGCAGGTCTTTGTTCGGAAAACAGGGAAGGATCTACCTATGACCTTCACGCTTTTCTGCTCTTTGTTCATGGCGGCCATAAAGGACATGGGCTATATGTTCAAATGGTTCCATGATGAAGGATACGGGGCTGATATCCAGAAACTGCGCGAGGTCAACCCCTCTATGAAGGACTTTGAAAATTGGCTAGAGAAGGAAAGTGAATTTTGAGATGATACGTGAGATAGTATGGTAAAAATTGGGTTCCGGGTGTCACAAAATGTGAATATACGAAAAAGACCGCGATATTTAGACCATTAATATATAATACTTATTAGTTCTATATCATTAGTACTGTTGTCACTACTTGTTTTGAAAATTGCTGTGCTATGTTAGCCTATCCGGTGGAGAAAGGTGTTTGGCAGCTTCACTAATCCAAAAACAGTTTATGAATACCAATAAGGTGTATCAAGGCACGAATTCATAGAATTATGACCAACCAATGAGTGATGCAATAGTTAGATCTAATATGTACATCTGCGGCAGAGGTAGATATAGACTTTCTAGTGCCCAGAACGGACGTTCATATTCTGCAAGGACCAATCGGAAGTATCATAATTATGTTGAATGAATTCAGCTCTACCTGATAAACAAGGAACCCTCTTAGAGAAATAGAAAAAATGAAACCGTTATCATCATCACGCAATACAAGAGACTCCCTCCAGGAGTAGTCCGCCAGGAGGAAAAGATGTTGAATGTATACAGAGAAAAAAAAAGAAATGTAAGAAAAAGGTAACAACTGCCGCGAACCAGTTAATGGTTGCTCGGGCAGCAAATGCAAAAGCGAGTTTTTCGATCAATCAAGCAGCGCAAGCATGGGTATCATATATCTATTCGGTGTCCTCGACAGGGCCACATGTGCAGAAGAGATTCTGGTCACCAAAGGCTATCGACAGTATTAGCAGATGAAAAGGGAGACAAGGGGTAATTAAAGAAAGGGGGAATTTGGGACGGGATACATACCATCGTCAACACGAGTCACAGAAGGCCAGAACTTCTTCTCCAACAGATAGGGCAGTGGGTAGGCCGCCGCCTCACGAGTGTAAGACCGGTTCCACTCAGTCGCGAGCAGGTCACGCTGAGTGTGCGGCGAGTTCTTGAGCACGTTGCCCTCGCGGGGTTGCTTGCCAGCCTCGACCTCAGCAATCTCCTGACGAATGGAGATCAGAGCGTCACAGAAGCGGTCGAGCTCGGCCTTGTTCTCGGACTCGGTAGGCTCGATCATCAGGGTGTTGGCCACGGGCCAGGACATGGTCGGGGCGTGGAAGCCGTAGTCCTGGAGACGCTTGGCGATATCGATGGCCTCAACACCGCAGGTCTCCTTGAAGCCACGCACGTCGAGGATGAACTCGTGGGCGCAGCGGCCGTGGTCATTGGTGTACAGGATCGGATAGTGAGGCTTCAGGCGGGACAGGATGTAGTTGGCATTGAGCAAGGTGATCTTGGTGGCGTGGGTCAGGCCGCGGTCACCCATCATGTTGATATAGTTGAAGGTGATGGGAAGGATGCTGGCACTGCCCCAGGGGGCGGCACTGATGGGGGGAGGCAGAATCACCGCGCTTGGACTGGAGATATTCGCTGGTCGGGTGCGAGGGCAGGAAGGGAGCCAGGTGCTTAGCCACACCGATGGGACCAACACCAGGACCACCACCACCGTGGGGGATACAGAAGGTCTTGTGCAGGTTCAGGTGGCAGACGTCGGCGCCGATCTCACCCGGGGAGCACAGTCCAATCTGAGCGTTCATGTTGGCACCGTCCATGTAGACCTGGCCACCGTACTCGTGAACCAGGCGACAGGCCTCCTTGGCACCCGGCTCAAAGACACCAAAGGTGCTAGGGTAGGTGATCATGAAGGCGGCCAGCTCATCCTTGTGCTTCTCACACTTGGCCTTAAGATCCGCGAGATCCAGGTTACCAGTCTTGGTGTCACACTTGATAGTGACAACGCGCATGCCAGCCATGGCAGCACTGGCAGGGTTGGTACCGTGGGCAGAGACGGGGATGAGGCAGATGTTGCGCTTAGCATCACCCTGAGCCTCCTGGTACTTCTTGATCACACGCAGACCGGCGAATTCACCTTGAGCACCGGAGTTGGGCTGAACAGTAACCTCAGCCATACCAGTGATATCAGCAAGCTGCTGCTCCAAGTCATCAATCATCTGGATGTAACCCTTGGCCTTGTCGGCAGGCATGAAGGGGTGAATCTGCGAGAACTCGGGCCAGGAGACGGGAATCATCTCTGTGGTAGCGTTGAGCTTCATGGTGCAAGATCCGAGAGGGATCATAGAGTGAGCAAGAGAGAGATCCTTGGACTCAAGGTGGCGGATATAACGCAGCATCTCAGTCTCGGAGTGGTGGGTGTTGAAAACGGGGTGAGTCATGAAGGAAGAGGTACGCTCCAGGCTAGCGGGAATGGAAGTGACACCAAGAGTGCCATCAACCTCGACAGGGCTGGCGGACTTGAAATCCGAGAAGACCTTCAGAATATTCTTGATCTCATCACGACCGACAGTCTCGTCCAGAGAGAGACCAACCTTGTTACCCTCAAGGCGGCGCAGGAAGATGGACTGCTCACGGGCAGCAGCAAAGACAGCATCAGCCTCGGAGGCATCAGCCAGCTCAATGGCGAGGGTATCAAAGACGGCATTGCCCTCAGTGTTGGAGCGAACAGGGACATTGTAGCCGAGAGACACAAGCTTCTCACGCAGTAGAGTAGTCATAGACATGATACGCTGGGCAATGGACTTCAGGCCGACGGGACCGTGGTAGATGGCGTACATGGCAGTCATGTTAGCGAGCAGAGCCTGAGCAGTGCAGATGTTGCTAGTGGCCTTCTCGCGACGAATGTGCTGCTCACGAGTCTGGAGAGCCAGACGCAGGGCGCGGTTGCCAAGACGGTCCTTGGAAACGCCGACGACACGGCCGGGAACCTTACGCTTGTACTTGTCCGCACAGGCGAAGAAGGCAGCGTGGGGGCCACCGAAGCCCATGGGCACACCCAGACGCTGGGCGCTGCCGAAGGCAATGTCAGCACCGAACTCACCAGGGGCCTTAAGAACGGTCAGAGCCAGCAGATCAGTGGCAACACTGAAGGTACCCCCCTGGCCGTGGATAGAGTCGCTCAGAGACTGGAAGTCGTAGATGCCACCCTCAGTGTCAGGGTATTGCGCGAGAACACCAATGAGGTGGTCGCCCTGGTCCTTGACGAGCTTGAAGTTGTCGGCCATGATATCACCGATAACCAAGTTGATTCCGAATCCCTCGGCACGCGAGCGCATAACGGCGATGGTCTGAGGATGGCAGAGGTGAGACACGACAAACGACTTGTCGGCCTTCTTCTGCTTGGAGGCGGGCATGGTGGCAAAGGACATGGTCATGGCCTCCGCAGCGGCGGTGGCCTCGTCCAGAACGGAGGCATTGGCGAAAGGCAAACCGGTCAGGTCAGCGGTCAAGGTCTGGAAGTTGAGGAGAGACTCGAGACGGCCCTGGGAGATTTCCGGCTGGTACGGGGTATAGCTGGTATACCAGGCGGGGTTCTCAAGGACGTTGCGCAGGATCACAGGAGGGACAATTGTGGGGTAGTAGCCCGTTCCGATGTAGGTCTTGCCTGAGATATCAATCTGCTTGCGGTAGGTGTCAAGCAGCTTGAGCATGTCGGTTTCGCCAAGACCACCTTGAACACTGGAGCGGTAGAGGTTGATATCGGCATGGGGTTCCGAGACCTTCAAGTTCTTCTTCGAGAGAATGTCCGCGGGGAGGACCTGCTTGACAAACTCATCGAGCGATGCCGCGGGCGGGTCCAGAACGGCCAGCATGTCCGCGGCCGCTTCAGGAGACGGGCCAATGTGACGACGGGGGAAAGTATCGAGAGGCTGGAAGATGTCCTGGGGGTGGGGGTCACCATGGTCGTTAATAGAGCTGGTATAGACTCCGCGGCGAGTCGACGGCGCGGACTGCTGCTGCTGGGTGTGCAAGCCACGGTGGGCAATGTTCAATGGGGACACAGACACTGTCCGCAGAGCAACCGGAGAAGGACCGGCACGCACACGCGACCGCAGAGCAAGCTGGCGACCGGCGCGCAGAGCAAACCAGGAGGCCGCCATGCTGGAGACGCGGAGAGTGACGTCGGAAAGGGTCAGGGAGGCGGAGAAGCAACCACTGGGACCTCAACGACCAAATGCAGGGAGAGTGTGGGAGGAGGAGGGGAGAGGAGTAAGAAACAAGGTCCAGGACGAAATTCTATATTTATGAATCGGCACTGAACGGTCTTTCGCCATGCTGGGCCTCATACAATTTGACCGACGGGCAACGCGGGAAACCAACGCGAAGTCACTGATAAGCCGGCGGTCACGAGCTTATCGGGCCAATGGCTCCGCTTGCCGTTGAATGCCGGTGGAGTCGGTCGGACTTCAACCAGCCAACAACCGACGCCGAAAGGGAAAACACGCTGCGTCCGGACGAGAATCCGTGCGTTTCCCGACGGGAAACTCGACCGATAAAGTCGGGGCTCCACAGGTGCGAAAACGAGAACCCCCCTCTCTCCGGACCAGCTTCACGCGAGCATCGGAGGTGTCCTAGGGCAATGGCCTCCGGAGAACAGTCCGGAAGCTCTACGACGGTCTGACGAGCCGGTACGTTCGAGGATATGTTCTCAGAGCAGATTGCTATTCCTCAATGCTTCGAAATACGGAACATCCAGCTTGTGACGCTCGATCGGTCGATAGGCGATCTCCACCGCGGCGACTTTCTCCCCGCGGGACACTCTACAAGTTCCCCATCGAACCAGCGAAACGAAAAACCACCAGAACACCATGCCTCCACCCCATCAAATAGTATATCGGAAGCTCGGCTCCTCTTCAATTACCCGTTCCCCTCGGTCGGCCTGTCGATTGCAGAACCAGAACCAAACACTCAGCACGCCGACAATCAAGATAATCAAAATATTGCACCTAGGAGAGGAAAACCCCCATAGTTAGCACTTCTCGAACAATGGAAATTTGGCAGCAAAAAGACCAATCAAAACATGGTTCTATCCACCTCCCCATTCCCGTGCTTCTTCCGGTTGCGCGAGCAAGGGACACGATCCGGGAAGATGAATAGGTGATAAGGGGACCGAGACCGACAATTGCAGGGGCTTTGTACCCCCTCCCCACCGCTGCAGGGTCTCACAAGGGAGGGGAAGGGGGGCGGGACAACATTACAAAGAGGCAAACGGGGTAAGACTTACGCGAGAGCGGCATACATGCCCGGGCGGTATCCAGGCGCGTCCTGCTCGCGAAACACCAAACTACTCGCGATGCCACCCAATCCACCCAGGCCGACCAGCGTGGCACTCGAGAACGCGCGCGTCCACTGTCCACGGACATTGTTCGCCTGATAAGCCATGCAGGCGGGGATGTTGGCATTGGCGCCCGCGACCGTGAAAAACACTCCCGCATAGCGTGTGGCGTTGCCCTTGGCAAAGCCCATCATCGGCAGTCCGATAATGCAGAGCAGGCAATTAAAGATTAGGATCAGGCCGCGGATGTGGTACTTGTCGCCGACCCAGGCGGTACCGTACATGACAATGCCAGCCAGGACATAGGGCGGAGCGACGAGGCATTGAGACTCGCCGACACCGAAACCCATGCCTTCGCGGAGGATCACGGGCAAGAAATAGGCGATCGCATATGTGACAGTAGTGAGACAGCTGGTAGTTTGGAGATGATTAGTACGGGTGAGTTGTTGGATAATTCTGTAAGTGGGGATGTATGGACCGAGAGGATGTGATGATATATAATATAAAGAGGGATGTCAACGTACAAGAAGATCAAGGCGAAACCCCAGATTTTGAGATCTAACCCAGGCCGGAGGAACTTCTTCAGCGAGAAGGCTTCCAAATCACCGTCATGGCGGTCATCATTAATACGTCGTACGATGAAGTCGCATTCTGCCTTGTTCAAGAACCGCCAGGACTTGGAGGCGCGGTCCGGGAAATCGACCAGGAAGACGAAGCAAAGTAGGCCGATAGCGCCGGTGATCTGTTCGCACAGTCAGGATTCAGCACGAGACAATATGCCATACGAATAAAATTGTGTCGATGCAGTGTGCATGCCAGGGTCATCCCACATACCACGCCCTCCAGTATGAAAATCCATCGCCAGCCTGTTAGTCCATGCTTCCCGTTCAGTTGCATCAAACCGAATGCCAGGATACCAGACAGCGCCGAGGCCACGCATCCAATCAGATAAAAGACCGAGAAACGTTTCTGAACGTCATCTGTAGCTGTCCGTCAGCCAAGAACCTCAAAATGACATGCCCTATTTGAGGGCCGTGAACAATGGACTACCCACACCGGGTATACCAGCACGAGAGCAGGTAGACACAGCCCGGAAAGTACCCAGCCTCGAGAATCCCCAAAAGCACACGCAGAACGACTAATTGGCCCCAATCCTTGACGAATCCTGTTCCGATCATGATCACAGCCCAGGTCATCACGATGGTGCCGAGGAAGATGGTTGGACCGATCTTGCGAATCAGGATGGTCATGGGCGGCTGGAAGATGATATACGGTACAAAGAACATGAGCACCACGATCGACTATGGCCGTATTAGTCCTGTTGTTCAAGGGATACATCTGAGGACGACAATGGGTGCTTATTGAGCAAGGGTGTACACACATATCGATTGCCGACACTCAATGCCAGTTCAACTTTGAGGCTGTTATAAAATAGTCAACAACTATTCGGGCAAGGACCTCACTCGGCGCAGCTCTCATACCCAGCAATGGCCGCCATGCTCAGGTTAGTCCGATCCATCAGCGAGATACAGTATGCTAGCCCTGTCATTGTGACCAGGCGAAGGTCCACCCGTTTGATGATGGCTCGCTGTTGCTCCAAGGTAAATTCCTCTGGATTTGCATCGGAAATTGGGCTCTCATGGCTGGAGGCCTGGTGCGTGATGTCCTCGATCCGATCCACACTCGGTGGTTTCTCGTCCATGGTGGCGGTTTTTTGATTCGGTGTGTTGGAGGGGGGGAGGGGTTGTTAGTTACACAAATACGAAGGATACAAGGAAGTCGCCGGGCCTCCAAGAAAAGAGAAGAGTAGATAGGGAAGCAGAGAAGAGCGGCCGTTGCGATTCTCTTGTATATTTTTTATGTCTAGGCCGGAGAATAAGGTGCCGCACGGACTCGGCCGGACGATAATGACTTGTATCTTGTGCTCGCCTCTTCAGATCGCGCCCAGACTATCTCAGTCTGGCCATGTCCGCCACACGAGTACAATAGCCGACAGGAATTGTGCAGATACCTCGGGTCATGGGGCCACACTATGACATAGAGCTAGCACTGTCCGGCAAAAGCGATTGAAACAGGGAGCAACGAGGCGGGGGAGAGTTTCCAACCCCCCACTGCCAGGGCTGGGCGTTGTTCGATGGCAGACGCTGATCTGGGGAATTCGGGGCGAACAATGCGGGGGCAGCTTGGCAGCTTGGCGAGCTGGCGAGTCGGACTGGGCCATTTGGTTTGGCTTTATCTCGTGTGTGTGGGACGGTAGAAGCAGTGGAACTTGGATTTTGCATGAATTCGACCCCCAGATTTCTAGCGAGTGGATTGGAGAATGTGGATTGCGTGGACGATGGAGAGATCTGCGTGGCCATCAGGATAGCAAGACGAGATATTCCGGGGTCGGGATACCCCATTAGCGAGTATCCACCCCTATTACTAGGGAAGAAGCACGACCCGAGGTTGCTCCACTGCATCGCACTGGAGCCTGCTAGATTCAGAGGCTTCCAACTGGATGAACTGCAATCCTGCCGAGAAAGTTAAGGTTCGACAACCCGTCGCAGTATACCTACCGAGCGTGGATGAGGTTTCAGCCACACGAGCTTTACCAAGCCTGACACCTCCATTCGTGCTGAGTTGGTAGTCATGGCATTGGCTTTCAAAGCTCAAGAGGATCCGAAATTTTCTCGTCCCATAGGATGTCTTGCCCGATCTGTCAATCCTCCGTTCGTGTTGATCGCATGATGCGCGAGGACCCCATCGGGGCTGGCTGTGCTGTTGTCCTCCCTCAATCGCCCAAAGCTCCAAGTCAATGATCTCATCACGGTGAGATACAGCATATAGCCGACTTTCATCGGTGTTCAGCAAATGAAGTCGCAGAGATCGGCTTCCAGCTGTGCCTCCCCAGTTCGCAAGGCGGGGCTGTATGCATAAGCCCCACGTGGAGAGATGGGATATTGCCAGATGTACGGTCGTGCAGGGCCACAAGTCAGTGTCATCCAACGGGAGATGTGAGATTGACAGGGATGAGAAGTGAAGTGAAACAGAAGCTGATCTCATTTCACATCTCTGCGACTACTCCTCTGCTGCCTTTTGATATCTGCGCGCCGTTATTACTGGACTTGATGCAGGTATCTAAGGGACCAAGGAATCCGATGAGGAGCGTCGTATTCATCCTCGTAATCGTCTCCATATTCGCCCTCATCTTCGTCCCACCCTTCTTGTCCTTCTTCCCATTCTCCCCCTTCCCTGCCAAGAAGTGACTGTTGCTCCTGGGCGAGACCACGGCTGGACTCGTCTTCCTCGTCCCAATCTGGCTGCCGACCCGCCAAAGCCACGAAGGTCACCACTACCCAACCAATAATGAACCCAGCAATAGCTAGTCCAATATTGATCGGAGTGGGATTTTCACTGAAGACGCTATGGGTGAGGACATCCAGCCCATACTGGGAGAAGTTGACTATCCCTGAGATGCAAATGATAGTGCCGTACACGCGGCCGAAGGTCGCGAAGCCGAACACCTTCGTGGCATAGTCTCTGTGACAAGAAAAGAAACACGTCAGTATCAATCTAAATCCAGTGGCAAAGCTGGACGTACGACATAGCCGAGTAATAGAGCGGCCGCAGCAACACAAACAACACGACCGTCGAATACGCCGCCCACAATCGCGGGACACAGTTCAACACGCCGACGACAGTCGTGCCTACCACAATCACCGCCAGCACCACCGCCACACTAGCTCGGTCCAACAACCACCCAATAATGGGGGTCCCCAGGATGCCACCCAGTGGAAGGGCGATGTCGAAGAAGCGATTGACTCGAGCTGCACTGTCCGCGTTCTCGAGCAGGAATTCATACTGGCCCCGCATCGTTGCGATGAAATAGTTCATGCGCAGCATCTGCAGCGCCGTCAGAACGGTGATCAGCCAGAACCACGGTGTCATCATCTGCTTGTGGGCTGGCAGTCCGTGCAGCATCCCCCAGACATCACTCTCTGCCTGTCGAGTCTCCTCGCGCTCTGCACGCTGTGCACGCTCATCAGGACTGCCGAGGACACTGGCAAGCTGCGTAAGTGTGCGTGTGCTAGGGGCCACTGAGCTGCTCTGGGTAGAGAATTCCTCCGCTAGGTGCAGCCGGTTCTCGAGCTGCAGGGGTGAATGATAGTCGTTTTTGGGCAGGAGAAGAACTGCACCAAGGTAGAAGAGAGCAGGGATGGCGCAGTATGCGAGGAAGAACATGGACGGGCTCAAGCCGCCCTCTGAAGCGATATAACCCATTTGATAGAAAAGAAATACCGCGGCAGAGGCGTCATATGCACCTGTGATGCAGGCGACGATACTGCCCGCATGCCGAGGGAAAGCATTGGCTATTTGGAAGGAGGGCACAAAGATGAAGGTGCCGCCGAGCGCAAGGAAGAAGTTGCCTACAGCCAGGATGTCCTGCAATGCCGACCAGAACAGAGCGAGGGACATCAAAACACTGCCCACTAGAAGAAAGCAGTATCCAGCCATACTACAGGGCCGAGATCCGTATCGATCCAGCATATACCCGGCCAGCATGGCGGACATGTTCGCAGTGATCGAGGCAATGGTGAACGCCAGATTCAGGCTGGGAGATATTAGGGGTTGATGAAACAATGCCAAAACACGACTGGCACTTACCGGAGGTCTTGAGCTTTACACAGATCAGGCTGGGGGTCTAAAGCATCCTCTTGACTGCATAAATGATGAAACACCCCTTCGCTGACAAGGATAGGCTTCAGTGCTGCAAAGCCGAACACGATACCAGATGTGAGGCAACATGCCAGAAAGGTGAAAATGACTTGGACTACATGACATATTAGCTTTACGTCTCTTGTTTTGCTTGACTCATCACATACCTTTTCGTTTGAAGGTGCTGTACCGATATGCGGGTATGGCCGGTTGCTGTGTTACAACGGGTGGCTGCGGCCGGAGGAAATCATAATGGATTTGCCTTGCAACTGGTGAGGAGAGCTCACCTGATGGTGAAGCAGGATCATGATCGATGCCCTCATGGGCAGAGACGTGCTGGACGAGAGACATTAGTTGTAGTGGACGAAGTGGTATGTATGGGTGAGCAGGATGAAGAAAGAGAAAAGGAGGTGATTTGGAACCTCAAGTCGAAATAGCGAGGGCTCATGTTGTGCGAAGTGTTATCGATATCGATAGGAGGAGATCTATGCGCGCGAGCTTTGATATTCAACCCTAAGCCCCCCTAATTCCACGCGTTCCGAAAAGGCAAGTGGCCGCATGCTTTGTCCCACGATTCGCAGATTCAAGAGTGCCCAGAATGTCGAGAGCAAAAGCTTAACCGTCGCCATCTCTGAAACCATATTAGTATGCATGGCAAAAGAAGTATACTATCTCGATATAAGAGTGATAAATCTAAGCCATCTGACCAGTTGAACAATGTGAGATACACCTCATAGATACTTCCAGTGTTCAATTCATTTAAGTACTAACATGGAAGACATTTGAGATTCAGAGCTAGAAATAATCAACAGGATAGTGAATAGGAATGTGGGCCGGTAGGTTTTGCTATCTGATCTTATCTAGTCTCAAGGTACTCTGAAAGTTTATGTGAACGACATCTTACTTGAATAGCCAGAACAATCACCAAATCAGAGCGTGTTAAGTAACCTTAGGTGAGTGGCGGAAATTACTAATAAATGGTCCCTTAGTTAATCTGCACGGAGCTCTTAGGAAGTGTATCCTCAAATCTCCACCAATCCAATGATGTTGCATAATACAACGGAAGAAGCTATTTAATCCCAGCTTGACTTACCCATCATCATCGCAAGTTGCCAGACACTGGGATCTCGAGCTGATATCCCTGCGAATAGTCCGAAAGCGAAATTTTAGCCTACAAAAAATTCGAACCTCACCTGTTCAGAATTTCTGGATTATATCCAGAAGTCTCCAGACATCACATCACTTCCCGGCGGTATCCTGACCACCCAGATCTGGATACCTGCATTGAGACTCACCCGAGGGACAAGTCTTCAAAGAGATGAATGAGATGCTCTGCTGTTATATGGCATTTGGTAATTATAGTTTAGCCATATTGATCCGTCAAAACATATGTGGAACACATAGAACCTTTAACAGTTCGCAAAGAATAGCCTTGGCTACTACAGCTGGATGAGACAATTTGAGATGATTTGAAATTAAAAGGACACCCTAGTATTCTCTGATGATCAAGAAGCAATCCTGGATTTCCTTTCCGCGACGCCGGGGGGATATTAATTTAACAGCTAGGTCAGCATCCCAGAAATACTGGATATCTGGCTCGACAAAACTAAGAATTCTCCGTCGTATGAAGAGCGCTGCTATTATTTCTAGGATCATCATTATTTTGTGTTGTGTACTTTGGAAGGAGTACCCCTGTTCCATTAGATACTCCAAGTGACATGACCAATTAATTTATTGGGCCTGGCGGATTCCATGGAATACGCGACCGCAATGACGTCGTGGGGAACATGACAGCGTCGATGACGTAGAAGCCGTTAGCCGTTACGCATCATGGCAGCAACACCAACCGCATCTTCATTTCTCTTCACATTTGCATTATTATCTGCCTAAAGAGATACGAAAGTTTGAACTTCATCTACTCGTTGAAACTCATAAAGGACTCATCACTCGCTATCCTGACCGTCGCCGAGGACTTGAAAAGCAATCGGTATAGTTACGCATCGTAAACTTTCGGTGGTCCCGACAACCGGAACAGCAGCACCGGAAGCATGGCCACCGTTTCAATCAGCGCCCCGGGCCTCTCCAATGGGCTGCTATACAACAATGGGAATAATAATGCTAGAGTCTGTGTCACCGCAGAGACAGGTGAATTCGACATCGAAACGATCAAGAACTGGCAAGAAGAGGGCTTCGACGTGGTCTACCTTCCTCTAGATGGAGGTGGCAAGGACTATGAAAGTCGTCTGCGATCAGTGAAGGAGGGCCTGGGGGTCGGTGAAAATTATGCCGTAGTCGGTTCGTATAACATCGAGAAGAGATCAAGCAGGGAAGCGACCAACGATAACTAACAACAGGACAGCTTTTGGCGATGCGGCCAACTACTGCTTGGACTATTATTTGAAACCGATGAATGCAAGCAGACTTTGTGCACTCGTGGCGTACTATCCAAGCAACATACCTGACACGAGATCTCGATTCCCCTTGTCTCTCCCAGTTCTGGTTCATCTTGCCGGCTCCACAATCGAGGTGTCCACAATCCCGGTCGCTCTTGGCCTACAGGGAAAGAAGAAACGCAAAACCCGCCCGTTAAACCCAGGGATTGGTACTGGAGAGCGGCTCCAGTTAGCATATCCTGCTTTTACCTATGATGATGCCCAGCCGGGATTTGCAGAACATGATATGGAAGAATATGACCACCTAGCAGCTGATCTCGCGTGGACTCGGACGGTGGGAGTTTTGAGAAAGGGTTTCTCAAGGCATGTGGACTTGGAGAAGACTTGGGAAGAGCACCAGGAGGGTAGGGAGAGCCTTAAGCACACCATGTGTGGACTGATTAAAATGATGAAGCTAACTGAATGCAGGGAAATTCTTTTCGTCTAGCATCTCAAAAACTATGGACGGATACGTCCAGCAAAAGAAGCCATCCGTCACTTACGGCCCAACCCTGAGCGGTGGAATCGGTGTCCAGTCACTCCGTCGATTTTACGAGAACCATTTTCTAGGGCGGCTGCCACCATCTATGCGCATTCGACTCCTCTCAAGAACGGCCGGTGCTGACCGGATTGTGGATGAACTCTATATCTCATTTGAACACACGCAGGAAGTTCCATGGATGCTTCCCGGAGTGCCGCCGACCGGCAAACGCGTGGAAATAATTATGGTCAGTATTGTGAGCTTGCGTGGTGGTCGTTTGTATTCAGAACATACCTACTGGGACCAAGCAAGCGTCTTGGTTCAGGTTGGCCTCTTGGATCCAAAGCTAGTGCCAAGCGCAGCTCAAGGTGTCGATAGATTACCAATTGTCGGACGAGAGGCAGCTCGCCGCATTCTACACGAAGATAATGAGGTTGATCAAGAGGATTATCATAATCGCCTCATTCGGCGTGCCCATGCACGTGCTCGGAAGGGTCAGAGCTCCCGTTCTTCACAGATTGCGGAGGAGTCTGGAACAGAGATGAAGAGTGAAGCTGGGGATCATCTACCATTCCGGCAACAAAAGGGAAAATCTGTCGAGGAAGCGAGGCCTGCAGGTTCTCAAAGAAGTGGAACTGAAAATCAGGCAGCAGAGGAAGACGATGGCGCGGTGACAGAAACCGAGTCTACGACAAAGTCGAAGCCCGATGACACCAACCGATCTGCCTATGTTGAGGATGCAGGGGACGAGAATGGGAATTCCTAACCGACTCAATTTATTAACTTTGTATCTCCATTCGGTGAAGGTGACTGGACATGGTTCATTTATGCACTATCGTACAGAGAAGATGGGTCTTAGCTTGTTGTTGTAACCCTTCCTAGGCATCACGATTTCGTGTATTCCTATGTCTATTCTGGAATAGTGACTTCCACTACCTCATGTATGCTTTTCAATGCTAATATAATGCTTGTGCCGCTTTATTCGCGATATGATGCTTGTAATTTATTCCAGTGAAGTCCTTGGGATTGTGACCAAGTTTTGTGTAGTAACACTTGTACCTCAATTAGGCAATTTCCTCATTGCACGAAGACAAGAGACCCCGACCCCTCCATATTTCTCGAGATCAATCGAAATAGGCTCAACATCTTGGAATCCAAATCTTTTGTAAAGGCCATGGCCATCATTAGATGCTTCCAGCCAAAAGTCATTCAGTCCACGGCTAGCCCCTTCTGTTAGCCCTTGATTAATGAGAGCCGAACCAATCCCATGACCGCGATATTCTCTTAGAGTCGCAAGAACTTGGAGAACTGCAAATTCGTTAGCTATTATCCAGCACTATAGATCGACCTTAACGCTCACAGCCAAATCTCATCTCCGACATATGTTTTATTCTCGTCTCCACGACCTTTCTGATGAACTCATTGCAACCAGCAGAGTTTGCACCGGCAGGCCACTCTATATCTTTCCACTCTGGAATAGGCTTCGGTTCTGTATAGAGGTACCAAAAGGCAAAGCCAACAATTTTTTTCTTGCCCTCTTCATCGGTGACCACTGCCTTCCACAACCGAACGGTCCTGTCACTTTGGAGCTTCTCAGTCAAGTCTTTTGCTCGGAAGCTAACATCGTCCGGAGGACCAAAGAGAATACGCGAAATATTCCGTTCTGGCTTCTCTTTGTCCGCATCAGTGTTTGCGACAGCCTCTACTTTCGCGAGGCTAGGGCAGTCTTCCTCAGTAGCTAAGAGAATTTCGAAATTGAGAGAGGCTGGCGTGGAAGCCATGTATGAAGAATGCGTATAGACAAAGAAACCTGATAGAGTTGACTTGACAGAGACGTGAGAAAGGGGAACAATTTAAGATTTTAAGTCTTGAAGCAGACTTATCAGGCAGTCGTGGTGATTCATAACACGATTTTGACCCTAAGCCTAACTTGGAGTCCGACTATCTCGGTTATATCGGACTTGCAAAGCTTATCTGATACAGGAAGAGAAACAGCATTCTACGCCAAGGCTTTTCTTTTCGAGAGAATTTTAATAATGCCTGCAATAGGCATTATAGCCATTCGAGAAAGTAATGCCAAGCCAAGCCAAACCTTGTTCATCATCTACCTCAGCTAGCTGAGGCACAGCGCAATATTTAGGGAAAATTTCTCTTACGTAAACTCAACACACAAGCTTACAATACAACCTCCCAAATTTCCATATTATTGAACGAGGAGGTGTTTATTACCCGCTGTGTGGCCAGCCAAAGGAACATATTTGAGAGCGTCAAGCATCTTGCCGGTACCACCGATGCCGACTGGACAATTACGCATGCGGACACCAGGAAATGATATAAAGATGGCCTCGCGGAAATGAGATTTGGTCATATGGCTGGTTTCAGCAAGATGCATTACGCAAGGTCATTTCATGCACACGGTTCGAATAATCTATCGGCCAAGGCGCAAATTGTACTGCTTGGATTGCAGAGGGAGAGCCTGGATGAGTTTACCAAGCTTGGAATAAATTTGGTGAAGAATCTAGAGCTTCTCCTTGAGTGGACGGCGGCCTAGAAAGTCGAATATTTTTAGATTAGTTTCACATTTCCCCATGATCAGAAATGTTTGCTGGTCTGTCGCAGAGACGTCTCTGTTTGAATATGTACATGTTGGTTTTTGGTATATAGTATGGTATCTAAAAATTGACACTATGTGATGTGAATGACCGGCCGCACATGAAACCAGCGTGACTAGCCCCTATATTAGTTGTTCAGGATTATTTCGATCTTAGAAGAATCAAGAATTATGATCTCATCACACATCACAATGACTTTTAATTTGCAATTTGAAATACAGGTGGGACATGATGGTTTTGAATCCTGTCACTAAAGTCTCCACTATGAAAAGTCAAGATCCAACAGTCGCCACTTACACGCACTACATACCACTTCAAGTTAGTCACCAACTTCATAATGATGGTATGGCTGCTGCTAAAAATGTCCATCCCGCAGAAAATTAAATTTCTCATTATGCCCATTATCGCGGTAACAATTTGAAGGGCTAAGCTCCGGACTGGTATGCGCATTTCCTTTTAGCAGAATTTCTTTGCCTTGCAAGAGTCATGGCTCAACTCGATCGGGAGGGCAGAGGTTTTCCAGTATAAAGATGAGCAAACTATTTGAAATTAATAAAATGGAATGCTCACACTGCATGAGCGCGCTCCTTTTTCAATGAAGCTGTCTGATACAAGCATTAACCAAAGCAGGATCATAAATGACGTAGGCTTTCAATGAAGGATCAAGTGTTTGGCGCTTCCCTCCTAGTCCAACGTCCCTCACGGCCATCACAAAGACGCGTTGTAGGAAACACTAAGATTCCACATGAGTATGATTATGCTATATAGCCCCCATTTTCTCTCTTCTCCTACCATAATACGACTACTGTAACATACATAGTCTCTACTAGACAGTAGCAGTAGTAATTTTGAATCGAAATGTCGAAGTTTTTGGCTGGCAGAGTATTATATAATGTAGGAGGCGTGGGCAGAAGGGGCGTAAAGACTTTTAGTTCGTCACTGTGTTATTTTAATGTCATAGGCAATATAATACTTGATTATTCATTATTTCTGTTGGTGTTTCGGATAGCGCGAGGATGAGTTGAGGAGGGGGGCTCTATAGGTCATCGTAATCTTTGTGGACAAGTAGTCGCCAGGTTTGAGTGTTTTTTACAAATACATATATAGACGTTGTGGTGCAGATTAGATTGTGGTCATCGACTGAGATTCTCAGCTTTCCTCTATTAAACCGACTGCAATTCCGAAATTGTGATCTTATATTGTGCTACCGCATCTTTGTCAATCAATCAGTCCATTCGTAGAGGTTGCAATTGCTTATGCTCTTTTTTCTGCTTCCTCATCACACAACGCAGGCCAACGTGAAGATCAACATCGTACTTAATTGCTCTCTTTCTCACTCTTCCTTGTCTTCAAGATTAAGCGGCCATGAGTGGCGCATATTACACTAATGAAAGAACTGCTAGGGATGCTTATCGGTAAAGCTCGAAATCCCAGTATTCATATAATCCCAATACTGATTCTGGTTCTAGCGGACAACAAAAATGTAAACCTAAACTCACGATTGCTGAAATGGAAGATGAGGAAGGGAAAACATATTTTTTGGTCAAGCGATGGTATGGTGAGGGAAAAAATGATTTCAATTCGGAGAAAGCCAATGTCCAGCAGGAATTGCTTGAGACAAACGAGGGAAAATACTTCGTACGCAGGACGTTTTTTAGTATGGAGACAAATACATTGATTGTCAAGGACGACATATCGATCGAGAGTGACGATATGACATGGTCAGCACCCAGTTTCAGTGGCTCTATGTGCTTAGACAGCATAAATGTGACAGTGACTTTCCCGACAACTAAGAAAAAGTTTTCTCAAACTCTCAGTCCGGTAAACGGCACAGGCAAAAGGTATAAAGAGAGTCAAGAGCTTCACCCTAGAACTAAAAAGGAGGTGACAAAATATTGGTATTTGCTGCCTAACGGGGTCAAGTTAAAATTTACCGCGCGCAAGGCCAAGAAAGGATAGTCTGATAGTGAAGAAGCCGATCGGTCTTTCGATGAGAGGGAGAGCTCCTCTAGGGAACTGCCAGAGCCGCACAGACAACCGCATTCTGGAAAGAACAGGGGGGCGAAGAGAGAGGGAGGGGAGAGGAGGGGTGGGGGGAGGAGGAGGGGGAAGAGTGCACTTTATGAAAATAGCCCAAGTCTTAGATACTCAGAAGCTGAGGGTGCTGTATATATGCAGTTCATAAGGTAGCTCAGTGATCAATAATTTTACTACCCATCTAGTTTTCTGCCCACACAAGTCTAGCATTCTTGGTACTAATATCTTGATAATCAATCTTAAATCCCAGCATTTTGGTATTTGTAAAAGGTAGTCCGAACCTGCTTTTGCACCAGGTGATTCTCGTGCATTGACTCAAATATCAGTCCTATACTCTGTAAAAGGTGAAAGCCCATCCATGAGCTACTTCATATCATGTACACACATTCTTATCCAGCTGGTGCGTTTTTACCGTTTCGATTCTCCAATATGGAGAACGTCAGGAAATTCTGTCTGAGGTCTGGTACTAATCCCGGATATGACATATTTCGCGTTAGACATTTAGGTATTCTTACCCTTCATTCTATTATCCTAGTCTCCAGGATTCTTACCCATATCACCCGCACTCCCTCTCGTGAACTAGTTCACGCTATTTTGAAGCAAATTATGCTTTTGAAGTTGTCCGCGTGCAGTACGTGGCTCAATTACGGCTGAGCGAATGGGAAGCCCTGTTCTTCATTCCCTGCGCCCGTATATATTTGATAAAGCGCACACAGAAATAAGCAGAAGCTATGGTAGGTATTAATTCTAGAGTGTGAGGCAGACTGCCCGAAAGAGATTCGTCTTTGGGCACAATTCATATCAAGATGCAAGAGACGCTGTGTCTTTGATTGTCTCGTATCTAATGCTCAAAAGATCTATCAAAGTTTAACCTGGACCTATGCGCGCCAATTTTCACACCTGATGAGAACTTGGGTAAGAATCGGGGATTTTTTGCTCATTGAGAACTGCATTCATGCTAGTATAGCCTTGGTTCCTTGGGGAAAGCGATGAGGCAATATCCGCTATGCAACTAAGTAATCCGCAAACCTATACAATCCCAAGCTGTAATATCATCGTACGCGCAGGGAGTAGCAGGAGTGATCAACCTGTGAAATGGAAATAACGAAGCCGCCCGGCTGGGTTTGGCAAATTACGCTACCTAAAATCGCTCTGGGATCATTTTGTCCGATCTAACCTTCACAGTCCGCGGGTAGTTTAGGCGATGATATGTGGCTTAGAATATATTGTTCGTCAGTCTTGGAGCATATCGCCGATAATCAGGATATCTTTGGTCTTGTTTGCCAACTCCACGCTATCAGACTGACCTAACTGCTTCTGATCATCCACCTGCCGGCTGCCTGTAGAGTCTCAGAAGAGCATCGCAATAGTACAAAAATGGGTATGTTTGTATGTTTGGCAATCCGAGGAGTGGCGCCATTTGCCAGCTCGGATGTATTAGTGACTGGATAGTACAATAGGCAAGATTTGTTTTCAGCTTTATTGTGAAGTGTTGTGATTTCCAACTCGGAGGTACGCAGGGCTGGGGCCAGTGCAACAGTGCAACCAGAATCTCAAACTCGACCGAAAGCAACTGTCGTAAAGTTTCTCTAATGAGCTGCGGAACCCGGGCAGCTAAGAATACTTCAACCAGATATTGTCCACGAGACTATCATTTTGCGAAACCAAGTCCAAGGTCTCCTATGATTTTATTCAACCGGCTCTTTGCTGATCTTGGGAAACCTAGTGGTAATCTACCTTGATATCTCAAACTGCACTGCTCTGTGGATGCCCCTTTTTAAATCCACTTATGCTTGAGATAGACCCGTGGCCAATTTTTGCCGTCTTTTCTGGAAATTACAAACCTGTTCGCTGGTGCGCTATTTAAAATAACATGCTGATCGCGTGAAAGGTGCTACTGAGCTCCGTCTCGTGAAAGGACCAGCAATTCATCAGGCCGACCTGGGCCTGTTGTGATTCAACTATATCTATTTTGTTATTCAGTGTTATCGTAGCTGCCCGTAAACGACCATCGTCGCTGGAGGCGCCCGAAAAGACGACTATGTATGATATGGAGTGGACGGTCTCGACCCGTTTCCTCGCTGTTTCTCGGGCTGTGCAGATATTAATCTCTGTGAAGGTGGCAGCGGTCATGGATTGATCGTCTCTAGTGCTATTTCTGATCGAGTCTATAGTTTGAAGAGTTTCCGTGAGCGGAAACTGGAAGGGCGACATTGTGTTGTTTATCCGTCTCTACTCCCGCGACAGTGCGCTCTAGCTAGGATGGTCACGAGGTAAAGTGTGTAGCTTGGATTGAGCTAAAAATTGTTTCGGTTCAAAGTACATTTGTGATGAAGGGTGTTATGAATAAATAGCGGCCAAGTTGGGACCCGAAAGTCTATAGAGGTACCGATGAAAGGATGAGTCTAGGCACATAAGATAGTCGCACTATATTGTCAAGTCAAGACGGATCATCTAATAGCTTCACTCTGGTAATTGCTTTGTCGATTTTGGCCGACACACAAGATGTATTAAAAAATAAAAAAAGATCGATTAGTCGCTAAATTCTTCTGTAATAGTTCACCTAGCGTTCAGTTACTTCCTTGCACTCTTATGGTGGACCTGAAAGCATTTTCCACTTGATTCCTTGGAAATCCAGGTGCCCGGCCCAGTATCACCATGCTTTTCATTATTTCTTTGCGATCGTTAGCCCCAGTTCTGCCTGACTCTTCCACTGATACCTACTAACAAAAAAGGTTTCCACGTCGAAGATCTGAAGTTCCATTTCCTTATCTGTTTTACAATGAGAGTAAACTGTTTCAACACTCTGGAAAATAACCTCAGCACGACGTTTGTTGTAGATTTTCGGGAACAATGTTGATGAGTTAACGTTCACTCCATTTTCATGCAGATACCCAATGACATCTCTGCAGTCAAACCAATCGCCACCAAGACCAAAAATCGGAAGAATTTTCTGTAAAACCTGATTTTGTACCCCATACAAAATATCCGTTGTTGCCGATAAATTTCCAAGAATCCTTCTGGGTACTCTCATATTTGATGGGTAGATCGGCTCCCCTTGTGCATCCTTTGAAGGATAATGCTTTCCAGCATTCCCGACGCAATAGAATGGAAGCCCAGGGGGCTCAAGTGCATCATGCACTCCACCTGTCACCAACTTTTGGAAAAATGGCAATGTCTTCTCCTTGTTACGTATGCAGGATACAAGCCGAAATACTCGGTAGATCGTTGTAGGGGGTGACCTTGGATCGATGAATAGGCGGAATGCGTACTCGGTGAAGCATTCTAGTGAAGTTCTGCTCTTGGAGGAAAAAGGGCGAGAGGCGGTGAGAACTATCAAGCGATCTCTCGACGCTCATCTTTTCCGCATAGTCACGTCCATCATGACCATGATTCTCAAATGCTGTAAAATCCGATGATTGTGTTTCTTGTTTTGTTCGTTTATCGTGTTTGAGTGTTTGAACTTCAAACTCTCCCGGAAGTGTGTCTTGGTAATTTTGATGGGGCTCTGGTTTCACGCTATTCCTGCTGCCATTGCCAAATGATTCGGGCCTTTGGTTCGAGGTTACAGTCGATCTATCCTTGTCAGTCCAATTGGACTGCCTTGATGTGGCAATGATCAATTTCAGTGTGTCCAGACACTCATAGATCTTGGGGTGGCTTTGATCTAAATCCGATCCCATTGCCTTGTCATAGAGATCCCCGGCGGCTTTTTCAACCCTTTCAAGCTGCTTCTCCAGTTCCGACGCGCGAGCTGTTGCTTTTTCAAAAATCTTTTTTTGCTTGGTTCTATGTGTCTTTTGTGCCCTTCGGATCTGATCTCTGCGTTCCTATTGCTTAAATCGTTAATCTAAATTATTTTACCCTGGAAATGGTTGCTCTCAACATTACCGTTGACAAAATCGCCGACCCAGCGTTATCGAGCCGAGGCCGCCCGGCTTTCTTAGTACCACTAGATAATTCTTTCGGCATGATACCTAGGAAAGATGACCGACCCTTCTTATTAGAGATACATTACTCGGCTCGGTAGAGGATACAATCACTTCTCGCTCGCCTTGTCGGATACTTTGATGTTCGGAATGGAAAGCGATTTTCTACCGGTACTTGAAGCCGAGAAAGGTAGCCTGAAGTTTTGGGGCGCAGTTGGCAATTTGGGCAAGATTGATTGTGATTGTCAGTGCAGTGAAAATAAAACCGCAGGAGTGATCCCATTTGAAAACAAAAGATTCCCTGTGTTAAGGCTTCACGCTCGAGCATCACTACAAACACGATATTATAATCAGCACTGGACATCCTCGGCTCCTTAAAGTGTTGGGACGGATTGTGCGGGGCCGTTATTCCCAAGGTTGCCAACAAACCCACATCTACTCTCTATGGACTTCACGACAAATTCCGGTGTCAAACAAGCTATTGGCTCCATTAGCTCTAGTCGCATGAAGGTGTTTCTTTATCTTAAAAAAAAAAACATTTCTGTATATCCTATACTGTAAATTTCATATGATGTATGCTTAATGCGCCCCAATAATATCAAACCACTCATAACTACGTTTACACTGTTTCAATATATCGCTTCACCTCCCTTCCAAGAGTGTTAGCATTCAATCTGCTCCGAGACAGTAACCATAGACGACTTACCAGTCTGTAACGGCTTCTCTCCACAGCCCAAGCTCATGTTCCCTTGTGGCAGTGAAAAAGTCTACGAACTCTTCATCAAGAATCTCTCGCGCAATGCTCCCTGGAGCCGAGAATCGAGCCAACGCCTGGTCCAAGGTATTGGGTAACAGTTCCGGGCGAGGGTCCCCTTTTTGGCGAGCAGACATTGGAGGAACGGTAATCTCGAGCTTTTTCTGGATACCCCGCCAGCCAGCGGCAAGGATAATGCCCAAGGCAAAATGGGGGTGGAGATCTGCGCCAGGTGTCCGCACCTCAAATCTCGTTGCACCAGGCTTACACACCGGGGGTGTGATAAGCCGAATGGAAGCAATGCGATCTTCTAGGCCCCAGCTAATATGGACGGGTGCCCAGTAATTCTCAACAAGGCGCTTATAGGAGTTAATGGTAGGGGCGAAAAGTGGCATGATATCAGGAAGAGCATCCAGTAGACCAGCAAGAAAGTGCCTGCCCATATCAGAAAGGTATTCGATGTCAGACCACTGGGCATTAGGATCGGGCATATCGCGTGCAAAGAGGTTTTTTCCTTCTTTGTCCGTGAGTGATATGTGAATGTGGCCGGAGCTGCCAGGCATGCCATGCATAGGCTTGGCCATGAAGCATGGAGTGAATCCGTGTTCCATTCCAAGCGACTTGGTTAAGAACCTATAGACGCATTAGTAGAAGAATCCCCATTCATATCTTTTGCAGACTGACTTGAACATAGCGACCCTGTCTGCCATTTCGCTTACTTCGCACACCTTCAGTGCCTAAATCGAAGAAGGTTAGACATAGTCTCAATGGATTCTGATGGTTCACCTTACAGCTTCGTACACACCAGGTCCACCCTCTGTGTGCCAGCCCTCAATAGGGCAGTTTATTTGCGCACTTGTGTTAAAAATATCATGGAAATACTTTTTGTTTGCCACCGGTCGAGTTGAGCTGTAACAGAACATGCCAGCAGTGATGGGCCGCAGGGCGCCCGGACCGTTTCGTTCAAGGAAAGCCGCAAGATTGGGGTGCTTTGAACCAGCAGCACCATATCCATCCTCAGATGGAGTTTGAAAATTCATAAATTCCAGTTCCACTGTTCATGTCAGTCTACATTGTCTCAAACCCCAAACCTTGTGCCAAAAGAAATCTTACCTCCAGCTGAAGCACTATAACCACTTTCCGCAATGCGATCGCATATACCCTTCAACATACTTCTGCCGTCGGCGGAAACAGGCTTCCCATTACTCACGAACCGCACAAGGAAAAATGGAATATTCTCCTCCCATGGCAGCCGCCGGAAAGTGTTGAGATCTGGGATAGCGAGAAAATCGGCATACCCCGACTCTGGAGGGGCCACCCGAGCATTGGTTGTCCATAGCATATCATGCATGTCCCAACCAAAGACTGCAGAACTAAAGCCAAATCCTTTTTGCGCGATCCCGAGGAACTTCTCCTTGGCCATGACTTTCCCCCGGAGGACACCATCGGCATCAATCCCAGCCACCTTGACTTTGATGTCGTCGGCCAGCAAACTAGGGAGGTTTTCCACGGTGATCATGGTGGGTGTAAGCATTCTGAAGAGGTAAAAGAATAAAGAGAAAGAAAAAGAGGTTGTAAAAGATCTTGGGGATGACTGCGCCATTTTATCTGCCCAATCTAGCTCCTCAATGCGCCATTTGATTTGACCATTCTAATCCCGATTGAACTACTCCATATGAGCATGCGGGTCAGTAGCCTCACATTGCTGCGAATTAGTTCAACCTCAAAATTACGCGCTCTAACAACCTCTCGTACCGCGCAAAGCTACGACGTAGAGTGGAGGCCGTGATAGCTGGATATTCCCAAGGCTCCGCACCGTCGGATAACGTCGCGACGGCCAAAGCTCCTCGGACCGCGCGGTGGGGCTTACCGCGCTCGCCGACTCGGGACCAGCAGAATCGCAACCCCGAACATCCATAAAGCGACCACCAAGTGGGATCAAGAGCCCCAGACAGTCTCAACGACTAATAGAAGATTTTACATCCGAAAATTCACGATGCCTTCTCTTCGCATTGCCGTTCTGGAGTGCGATACGCCGATTCCCCCGGTCCAATCCCGACTCGGTGGCTATGGAGAGATCTTCGAGGGGCTCTTGAGGAGGGGTCTGAAGGCATACGGGGACTCCACTGTGGAAATCCATGAAATCAGCAAGTGGCATGTCGTGGAAAACCCAGTATATCCCGACCCGAATGAGTACGACGCCTTTCTCCTGACAGGGAGCAGTATGGTCCCTTCACCCCCTTGATCCCGAGGCAAGGAAACTAATCAACAGCCAGAGCATGATTCATTTGCGGACGATACTTGGATCGTGAGCCTGACCGAATATATCCGGGGTGTTGTAGAGCACCACAAAAAGCCAGTCGTAGGGATCTGCTTCGGACACCAGATCCTGGCGCGGGCGCTGGGCGCGCGTGTCGGAAGAAGTGATGAAGGATGGGAAGTCTCGGTCCATGAAATCACTTTGACCGACACCGGGAAGCAAGTATTCGGCAGAGATCACTTGGTATGCAGACAATTACTCCTTCTGATCCCGTTCGAGGCTTATTTGATCTCAGCATTTGCACCAGATGCACCGTGACGTGGTACACGAAGTGCCCCAGGGCTGCGTGAATCTCGGATACAGCCCCCGCTGTGCAGTTCAAGGATTGTACATGCCTGGTCGCATATGGAGTGTCCAAGCCCACCCCGAATTCAACGAATTCATAATGTCTAACTTGCTTGATTTGCGACACAAGGGGGGCATTTTTGACGATGATTTGTACACAGAGGGTGCGTCGAATGCAGGAAAGCCTCATGACGGAGAGTTTTTAGGCAGGGAAATTATCAAATTCATTGTAGAAGCATAGATTAGGGTATTAAACCACGACATAAACTCCGATTGAATTATTTTTATGGTTTCCTGATTCAATCACGCTTGGTCACCTGTATAGTTGCTAGATGAATGGGCAACTAGCGTGTAGGTTGGCGGAGCCACGGCGGGACCGCGATAAGCGGAGACTATAAAATCCGGCGTGCCCCTCCTCGCCCGCCTGCCGTCGCCACAATCCTTGAGCACCTTCCTATCAACTTCCCAGAGATACTAGAGACTGTACAACCATGTCCAACCAGATTCGCACCATTTGCCCTTCTACCCATGAGGTCATTTTTGACCAGCCGGGCACGTCGGTGGAGGAGGCCACCAAAATCACGGCGGCGTCCAAGCTCGCATTTCTAACGTATCGCGGTTCGGCATTGCAGCAGCGCATTGAGATCGTGAAACGAGCTCTGGACATTATTGATACTCATATTGGAGATCTTGCAAAAGAGCTGACTATTCAAATGGGTCGTCCGATTCGGTACTGCGAGGGAGAGATCAAAACCGCTCGTATTCGCGCGGAGCATATGATTAAGATCGCGGCGGACAGCCTAGCTGATTTGCCGGGTGAGCCCCAGGATGGATTCCGACGCATGGTGAAGCGAGTGCCAATCGGACCCATCCTCATTGCATCTGCCTGGAATGTGAGAAATCCCAATTTCAACAGTGAGAGGAGAATCTACTAACAGGTCTCAAGTACCCATATCTTACTACTGTGAACGCTCTGGTACCTGCATTGCTCGCAGGAAATACAGTGATCTTGCGACCATCACCACAGACCCCTTTATTTGGCGATAGGCTATTCGAGATCTTCACTGAGGCAGGATTGCCTCAGAATGTCCTCCAGGTCGTCCATGTCGGAAGCTTGGATGTTTTGGACAAGATTGCTCAACTTCCTGAAATTCAGTCTGTCTCCTTTACTGGATCCACGGCTGGTGGTCTTAGACTTCGTGAAGCAACCGCCCGTCAAGTGAAGCCCATCAACCTGGAGCTCGGTGGCAACGACGCTGCCTATGTGCGTCCTGATGTAGATGTGAAAGATGTAGCCGAGAACCTTGTGGACGGTGCCATCTTCAACTCTGGTCAGAGCTGCTGCTCAGTTGAGCGTGTCTATGTCCATGAGGCGATTTACGAAGAATTCATCCGCTGCGTGCAAGAGGAATTGAAGAAGTGAGTTTCTATTCAGTTCACCGTCAAGTCAAACTACTAACAGACTGGTAGCTATAAACTTGGTGATCCTCAAGACCAAGCTACAACCACCGGCCCTGTCATCTCAGCTGCAGCCAAGAAGAACATTTTATCTCACATTGACGATGCTCTGAGCAAGGGTGCCACCAATGTGACACCCGAAAATGCTACCTTCTCTCTTGAAAAAACTGCCGACAAGGGCAACTTCCTTGCTCCAGTCGTCTTGACCAACGTCAACCACAGCATGATCACGATGAAAGAAGAAACATTTGGTCCTGTTATGCCTATCATGAAGGTTTCCAGCGATGAGGAAGCTGTTGACCTGATGAACGACAGCGACTATGGATTGACTGCTAGTGTGTGGACGAAAGACATGGCAGCTGGAGAAGCTTTGATTGATCTCATTGAAGCTGGAACGGTCTTTATTAATCGATGCGATTACCCCAGCCCAGTAAGATTGGCCCTGCCTTACCTTGAAGAATTTTTGATACTAACAGAGCCTCAGGACCTCGCTTGGACTGGATGGAAGAACTCTGGTTTGGGGTGCACTCTTGGTCCCCGAGGCTTTGACGGCTTTGTCAAATTGAAGAGCTACCATATCAAGAATGCCTCTACCTGAACACGCATTTATTAGACCGCTCGCCTCACCTTATGATCACAATATATTTCCAACAATTCATACATTTCTTCGTAAATCTCTATCCTACAATCAGCGATCTAGAAATCCAAAGATACCATTTGCTTCGAAAAATGTTATTCAAACGCTAATAATAAATATTATCCTACAATCTTCAAAGTACATTCAGCTCTTTGCAGCACTGTATCCATTCAAACACATGACAACCTGGCCTTTGAAGACCCATGCCTCTTGGCATTGTCCGCGGCTGTCCAATCGAAATAAGGCTCAGGGACCCACCGGACCGCGTTCCCGGACCGCGCTGCCATCTCGAAGCGCGGCAAATTTACCCAATTCAGATGCTGTCGGCTTATCAGCTCCAATTGATCAGATCGCTGTCCATTGCATGGTATCTTCCCTCCAGCCCCTCCTGCCCCGCATCGAGCACAGGGTACCGCGCCGTCGGATCATTGTCACCACGAGTAGGAGAACCGCAATAGCCGATATGAAGGCAGTGCCGCAGAGCTCAGGGTGCAGATGTGTCACAAGTCGCTCCCGCCGGCGGATACCGCGGACTCTAAAGGCCCCCTGCGGGTTGAAGATGTTGGAGTTGGGGTCAGATTGCACTGCGATAGAGGATGGTGGGGCAATGCGTGGGACAGGATAGTAATAGCTATAAATTAAAAAGCTGGGAAAGAACGCTCAGTTCCCAAGCGTACGCCTATATATTTTCCTCGTCTATAATCTTCTCATTCGGATCCTTTTCCCCCTGTGACTCTTGACTTGAAAAGCTTCGTAACTATACACCATGGTCGGACGACTCGAAGGAAAGAATGCCATTGTGACCGGTGCTGCCGGGTATGCGCCCCTCGTCCTATATTTTGGAGTCGGAATTTAACTGACATTGCCCCAGTGGCATTGGCCTTGAAACCGCCATTCTCATGCTCCGCGAAGGCGCTTCCGTTCTTATGGCCGATATTAGCGAGGCCGGCCTGGCCACCGCTCTCAATAAAGTCAACACAGTCGTCCCCGCTGCTGAGCGTAGCGGCAAGGTCGAGACAAGAGTTGTCGACGTTTCCAGCGAGTCTCATGTTGAAGCCGCGGTCGGCCATCTGGATTCCTGGGGCGGGATCGATGTGATGTTCAACAATGCCGGAATCATGCACCCGAAGGACGGTGACTCCGAGGAATGCCCCGAGGAGATCTGGGACCGAACAATGAACATCAATGTCAAGGGCGTATGGTTTGGATCGAAGCATGCCGTACGCAGCTTCCGAAAGCATGGCAAGAAGAAGGGAAGCGTGATCAATACAGCCAGTATGGTGGCTCTGGTCGGTGCGGCCACGCCGCAGCTGGCGTATACTGCCAGCAAGGGTGCCGTGCTGGCTATGACTAGAGAGCTCGCGATTGTGCACGCCCGCGAAGGTATGATTTGCCTTTCGGACTGGCAATTTGTCGACGAAGTGCTAAAATGGTCCATCACAGGATTCCGATTCAATTCTCTCTGCCCTGCGCCTCTCAAGTAAGTATTGTTATCACTGACAGGCTTGTTGCAGTGAGCTGATTGGGACATAGCACTCCTCTTCTTCAGGACTGGCTGGGTGACGACAAGGAAAAGCGATTCCGCCGCGAGATCCACTTCCCTACCGGCCGCTTTGGTGAGGCTATCGAACAAGCCCACGCTGTCATTTTCCTAGCCAGTGACGAGAGTTCATTCGTCAATGCTGCTGATTTCGTCGTAGATGGCGGTCTCACAAAGGTGCGATAATTCTCACTTCTGTTGGTATTTACCAATGCTAACCTGCATTTAGGCATATGTGACTCCGGAGGGCCCGGCGACAGAGGCTCCAAAGAACTTGGCTGGCCCATAGATTGGAAGACGATTGCCTCGAAACCTGTAAATGAATATGAATGGAATGAAAGTAATATCTTTGAATTCACGCAAATGAGATCCAAATTTGATTCTGTTGCATTGTGCGGCATATATTCCATGGCCCAGTATCGGCTGCTGGTAGTTGCCACATCGCTTCGAGGAGGAGCAGCGTTCGTTGCATATTCCCGAGGCCGAAATGGGAAGTCATAGCGGTTAGGCGATTCCTCAGTCGCTCTTGTTGCTCGGGCTTCTCCAGGCAAGACCCCACAACTGCAATGGGCCAGCAGAGTCCCGAGTTTATTCTGGCATGTGGGGATAATTCTCCTAGATAGTTGATTGCTTCTGTCACGGCGTTTTCAACAAGAACTTTGTACATGCCGTCTGCTGAGTAGCTGTAGCCGCCCAAAGAGGTGTAGAGATAGATGAGCATAGCTTGTTGGAAGACCAAGCCTGCGAGATAAACTTCCGGCCCAACAAATGAATAAGGCGACCAGCGCAGAATTTGAGCTTGGATGGAAGCAAACATGGCAATGTCATCTGCACTAGGAATAATTGGCGGTGCATTGTCTATCATCCATTGTCGACCGAGATCAAAGATGCAGGGGATGAGAAGTAACAATTCTAGCCAACAGCCACAAAGATTCCCCACATATTGAGTTCGAAGAAGCTCTCGCGCTCGGTGTTCCAGATCGAAGTTGAGGAAAAGCTGTCCGCTGAGGCGAGCATCTATGGAAATCATACTCACTGTGGCCGTGTATGCGTAGTATTCAATTACAAAGTCTTTTAGGTCTCTAGGGACAGCAGCATCGCTCTGCGCCAGAAGCTTGACGAGAAGAGAGTTAGCGGCCGATAAATGGTCGAATATTGTTCCAGTCATATCGCCCTTTGCAGTCTGTGATGAGGATGGTCGTTAGTTTAATCTAGAATCTGAATATCGTGCCGCTCAACCCTACCTCCGTGAAGCACATGACCAGTGCGCCGATGAGCAGCATTAGGGGGTTGGATTCTTTCCCTTCGATAAATTCAGTTACCCCATGACGGAATAACTGGATAGCTTTGGTGTAATGTGATTGTGCAACGGCATCTGAATCGTCCCGACGCCGAAATGCACGGTGCGCTGCACTCTGAGTGATAACAAGTTGGAGCAAAAGATCGCTGGTGAAAGCTAGCGGCACAATTTGCACAAGAAAAGGGTTGATTGGCGTTGAGCCGTTCGCCATCACATCAGCTGTGTTTGCAAGATAATGTGACAGAAGAGAATAGCTTTCCGGGTCGTATCCGGGCAGCATCGACAAAGTCCTAGGTACTACATTTCCCACAGTCATGTTGGAGATGAGAGAAGACTCTGAAGTCTCAATAGGGGATGGGCAAACTTCCTCAATCTCTTCTTGCATCGATGCATTATCGAGTCCACCTTCCATAATGATAGAGAGCCTTCCGTTAGATGAAATCGAAGAGGTTCGTCGCGACAATGGGCCTGGGGATTGATATGTCGTATCAAGGTCTTCTGCTGCGCTCTTCGATATTTCCCCGTGGTCTGAATTTCGTCTGCCTGGAATTGGTGACGGCCACTCGCAATGCAGGTCATTTCGCCTACAACCCGCACATACCGGTCGGGTTTCGTCACACTTCTTCTTGCGACGCCGACAAGACCAACACCCGGTCCGGACGCGGACAATTCGCTGAGTCCGCGGCTGTCGATCTGGCGGCATCGTGCATGGAGAAAAGTGAAAGAAGATCGGGGGAACAAGGAGCTGATAAGGACCACGCGCGGTGTGGGGTAGCAAAGTCTAATTCCGCTCTTCTTGCGCTAATGACGATTGGGCGATACGGAGCGCGATCGATTACTGTACTGGTCCTTTGGTTCAGAGTACTTTGGGTGGCATTTGTGTATGATTCGGTTTCAATTCAATTATCCTTGTCCATTTAAAACAAATTATTTAAGAAGACACACCCAACGTGGTCAACACAAGTCCGTGGCAGCGGGTCAGGAAATCCATCACCTCCGCCTTATCGTGCCATGCGTCATTGTAGGCGGCACTCAAGCCCATCCGACCGTTGAAAGTCGCGAGAAATAACCCCAGTCCAGTTCCAAGCTCCTCTCCAGTTACCCAGGGATCAAATATCTCAAATATGCCATGCTTAGGAGAGATTATCTGATCAATCACCCCTAAGCTGGATATTGAAGCTGACGGGCTTTCGTTCGGTGCTGGAACAGGAGGAATCTCCGAGCCACTTGGATAAGCTGGCGTAGAGAGGCTCCAGATAGATGGTACCATGGTGATATGCTCCGTGTCATTGCGAATAGATGTATAGTATTCTTTGACCTGCTCAATAGCATCCATCATCTTCTGTCGAGTTTGCTCCGTGTCCAACGGCTCGTCGTTGATGGCAGTTACTGTCAGGTCAATTGCAAGGCTCTTGCCTGAAATTGAATGATACACCGATGCTGCGTGCTGAGCAGTATTAAACGGTTCTCTGCAGTGGTGACGTTCGTTGATAAGTGAATAGTTAATGTACCGTACTACCCGCCTCTGCGGCCTGCATTCTTGAAGTTCACCCATAAGGACAGCGATTGCTGCATGGTATACATGAGTCACGCTAGCACCAAGCTCTTTGCATGCTCTCAGGACCAAATAGGTAGTCTGTGAAGGTATTTCAAGAGCCAATCGCTGGTGGCGACCAGGAATTGTACGGCCAAACCGAAACGGGAGGGTTGCAACCTCTATCTCCTCACGAAGAAACAAATTATCTCTCACTATTCCTTTCAATCTCACTTCTTGCTCGCTTGTGAGAGTTAGAGGGATGTCCGCAGCAATCCGAAGGGGCGGACTCAGATTCTTCCATTCGTCACCAAAGCGATGTACAGGAACCTTCTCTGGTTGCCCATATGCCCGAGCTGCATGCCGAAAGAGGTTATTCATCAGATGGAGAGACCCAATTCCATCGATAACATCATGCTGTGCCCTCAGAATCAAATCTGCTTGAAATTCACCATGTTCGGCACAGGGCCCGTTTTTAACCAAGAATAACGTGGGAAGCTTGGGAACTGGAGGGTCTGAGTTGCACCATTCCTGGCCTGTCTGGCCGTTGGAGATAATTTTGAAGGTTTCATTGAGCCATGCAGACTGGTGTATATGCTGGTTTGTTTTGGGGAGCCCTTCATATACTTTTCTGCATCTCTTGGCCTCATGGTGGTATTCTACCCACGATGCAATAAGTGGGTGGTCGTATCGAAGGCATACCCACGCTTCACGGAGCGCCTCAATTACCCTTCTCTCTATAGTAAGAACGGATTCATCAATAACATCAACTTTGATGCTGACATGGCACGTCATAGCGAAAAACGTCCTCCCAGTTCCTATTATCTCATTAGTGTGCATAAACCGGCACTTGAGCAGAACAACACACCTTCAAACCTTTTGGCGAGGGTCGTATAAAACGTCTCCACCTCATCAATATCTCGTTCCCATCTGTGGGGGGCTGTCTCTTCCCAGGCAAATTTTTCGGTCGGCATTGCGGAAATTTAATTTCAACGGTCTCCCACGTACACAGTACTTGTCCTATAAGGCCGATTTTTTTTAAAAAAAAAAAAGTCAACAACCGCCTCCCTGAACAGAGGAATATATAACTCTCTGTGTCCATTTTGGGTACGGATTGAGGATGGTCATCTGACACATTCCCAGCACAACCGATCTGCTGGATCCTAAGTAAAAGTACCTTTACAGACTTCCGAAGTTTAACCTAAATTGGCCAGAAACTCGGGGCTCGGCCCGTAAATCCGAGATCAATGACAATGAACTAGTAGTAGATCATCGATAATTCAATGAATAGATTTATTTTGCTTAAAATCGACAATATATGTCCATTTGAGCTCTCATCAACTTTTTTTGAGGTTCAATGTGGCATATGATGATGATCACAGGCTTGCCAAGACCACTATGTTCGGGCCAGTGTTGGGCTGGAGGCCGCTGTAAAGGTTGTCGCCGATTTGACGGCGTTGTCTGTCAACCACGCTTCTAGAATCCAACTCCTTTTCAAGAACATGCATATGATTTGCCACTTCAAATATCTGGTCACAAGATTCTCACCCTCGCTCTACTATGACCACAATTTCGTTGGTTCCCAGAGGTTTATTGTTGACGATAGGATCAGCCTTCACGGTAGGCCCGTGGTCGGGAGAGAAAGGAAGATGACCTTGAGGTATTCAGAAGGCCGAGATTAAAGATTCAGGTAGCGTCATGACGTTTGTGAAAGCTGCTCAGGTCTCGTGTCGATGTTACTATCTTCAGAGGTAATAGGGTCGCAGGCTGACGCTGCGGGGCAGACCCCGTCACGGGGTTAGTTCTAAGCACCGATCTGGGGGATTAAACAAGAGCCTCGTAAAACCGCCACATATTGCCCAAAAGAAAATCTACCCCATTCTATCTACTAGTTTATGATGGATCTAGAGCCATCAAAACTAAGTTTCTAGACCCTGCAATCATGATAATGTGAGATTTGAACCTCATGATCTACTACCGGTGGGACATCATTTCAGTCTCCACTGGTGGGCCAAAGGACAAAAAGGAGCCCCGAAATTGATCATTCGAATTATACTGATTTAATCATTTATACATTGGCCACTCAGTCAGCAAGTGGTTTTGGCCTCAACGCACGCGTCTGGGAGAATGACTGGTTAACTAATGACTGGTTGAGCCGCTTACGAACTTGAGGGGTGAAGGTCCAGGGCGAATACGAAATTGACGTCATAACAGCTTAGAATATCGTTTATTTTAAATGCTTCAAGCTTCTTTCGCGACGGCTTATAATCCTTCCTTGTTCGTAATCGACAAAAATCCACTTTGCTATATAAGCCACCACACCCTGTTTATTTCTTCTCTTTTTCACATACTTAAGCACCCCTTCAGAATGGTCTCTTCATACCTTCATTGCACTTGGTGAATTGATCGCTAATTAGCAGTGCAGTCTCCACGCGGAATGGAGGTGCCACCGTCAGCCCCTCCACGCCGTCTATCACAAGAAAGGGTATGACGATATATGTGACTTACTTAGAACTTGATGCCAATTTCTGAGGTCTACTTCTTGCGAATTTAGCCACCCATTCAGTCCAGTTCCCAAGCCCCCGTACAGCCTCGAGAGATACAAATAGAACGACCGAGAAATTATTCTGAGATTACCTCTGCTCTTGGTGTAATCGGCACATTAGATGGTGGTTTCACGTTCTCCACTCTATTCAGCATCCAATGCGCAGACAATCGGATCAATAAGCTATTGGAATTTGCTTCTGTATTTTTCATGGGAACGCTTCTCACGTGCTTACCGGTCTACTTCGCGTTTCACAGAGTACCTGACGGGACGGTCAATCCTTGCCTGACAGTATCCATTCTTTTGTTCAAATATAGTTGTTTGTTGCTTCTCTGAACCTGCTCAGCGCCATTTTATGCATGTTTACTGCAATGTACTATTTCTTGTTTGCTTCACCATTCATTCTCGCGGTAGTTATTGTCGCTTGTGCCATCATTTGGTGTCTTGAGGCAGAATATGTCTCTCACCGTGATATAAGACCAGTCAGCAGCTTTGTGTGTCTTCTACAGTGTACTTGTCTTGTGGTTGTATTTTCCATGGCGTTTGCTTGTGCATTTGGGGATTCGCTGAAAGACATATCTCGAAGCAGATGTTGATGACTTGAGATGAATTGGCATGGTAGTTTACCGCTTTCCAGCCTTCGCGGTTCATTTATTATTACCTTCTTGATCCTTTCGCAAGTTGGCATTTTCCTAGGTATTTCACATGAGAACTTTGCTATAATTGATGATTGAGCAGGGCAATTTCATCTTCTTAGGAGATAGGCTATTCCGTCTCACCGAAGCTCTTGTTATGTACAACGTGGTAAACACGTCCACATAATGGTTTATTCTTCCTCAAACCATCGTGTTCCCTCCATTTGCATCGAGCAACCCGCATGATTCTATATTGTGGGTTGCTGAGACCATAGATTGGCTTTAAATACTCCATACAGAGTTGCGGATCTATCTTCGTCGCCCAATGATGCCAGAGCAATGCTAGCATTTTCCTTTTAGAAACACGACCCAGCCCTGGATGAGTCACAATTCAAGTTGTTCAAGTGGTCTAGCCTATCTTGCCGGAACGATGCATAAACAGTGTGCATAGTCCGCCTGAATCCAACCAACCCAGCAAGCGCCGAGAAGGCAAGGCACGTGACTGCAACGTGCCGAAGTACCGAGTCTGCTGAGTCACTTCCCGGTTCCGGCATGCGTGAGGAACCTTCACACACCATGAATCTGGCCTCCTCACGTGCCCGTTGGCTATGTCTTGCCGTTGTCGGGCAAATCTATGGCGGTACAGGCCGTCGCGACCCTGCAAAATTTACTACTTGGCGGGGCCCATGAGCCTGGTCCACCGCCAACCCCCTGTCAAGCTTTGCAATCAAGCCAATGACGATAAACAAATCGAAGCAAAGTGGATTTCAACAGTCGTGCCAACGGTATTAGTTGGGATTTCAAGAATTGTTATCGTGTGCATTGACGGAGGTTTTATGCTGCCCGTCCTCGGCGGGGTGACGGTCCGTTATGTTCACTTCTGATATAAATAGTTTGCCGCCAGGAATTTTCCCCCGGCTCAGGGTTGTCGTGTGCCTGGACAAGGATAAGGGTACTACTACTTAAAGTCCTTCAACCGAGGACGTTTTGCCTCCTGCTTTTGAATACAAGCTTTGCTTTCTATCTTCTTCCTTCTGCAGACTTCTGCATGCCCATTCACCATGTCCAAAGAAGAACTGGGGCCTAGATTTCTCAGATCGGACTCGACCTCAGATTCCAGCAGCAATTCGGGCGAAGAACCAGCAAGGACACGGGCTCGGAGCCAAAGCTTTACCGGGTCTATCAAATCCCGACTGAGATCCAAATCCAACCCAGATGCACCGGAACTAAACCGAGTCTACTCTGGAAAATACCCCGATGATAATAACGCTTATCACAGCCATGAGAGCGACGACCTCGAGTTCTCAGACGACGCATCCCAGGAGGCTTCTAAAGTGGACACAATCCAGGAGGTCCGAGATGGAATTGTAAACGAACGAGACGTGGACCTAGAGCGCGGCACCCAGGTGCCAGGGGGATTGGAAAAAACCAAGACTGCTCGATCAAATCGATCTCGTCGGTCCAACCAGGATGCGAAACTAGTCAGTATATATCCTACCCGAGCAAATCGTTGATGAACCTTGGAGACTGATACGCATTTTCAGGTCACATGGGAAGGCCCTGATGATCCCGAAAATCCAAAGAACTGGCCGAACAAGAAGAAATGGGCGGCAACCATCACTGTCTCCCTCTTCACTTTTATTTCACCAGTGTCTTCGTCTATGGTGGCCCCGGCACTATCCAGTATAGCAGCAGATTTTCAGATTCACGACGAGATTGTGTCTCAGTTGACCCTATCTGTCTTTGTCCTGGCGTACGCGGTAGGCCCTCTCTTCTTCGGCCCGCTTTCAGAAATTTATGGCCGAGTGATCGTTCTTCAACTTGCAAATTTATTCTTCCTGGTGTTCAACATCGGCTGCGCCGTATCTCAGACTACAGTTCAAATGATTATCTGCCGCTTTTTCGCGGGACTGGGAGGTAGCGCGCCGTTAGCAGTCGGCGGTGGTGTCCTATCAGATTGTTTCAGACCCGAAGAACGAGGTAAAAGTATCGCAATCTACAGTCTGGCTCCTCTTCTCGGACCTGCTCTAGGTCCCATTGCAGGAGGATTTATCGCTGAGAATACTACATGGCGCTGGGTTTTCTACGCCACTTCGATCACGGACGGTTTGATTCAGCTCCTGGGACTCTTCTTCTTACGCGAGACATACGGCCCACGCATTCTCCGTGACCGAGCCAAACGTCTACGCAAAGAAACTGGCGACGAGTCATTCCAGACAGAAGCTGAGCTTCAGAAGAAATCGCTTGCTCAAGTTCTCCGTGTTTCACTAGTTCGCCCCTTCCGTCTTATCCTTACTCAACCCATTGTCCAAGTCCTCGCATGCTATATGGCCTACGTCTACGGAATCATGTATCTCGTCCTCTCTACCTTCCCCAGCCTCTGGACTAGCCCCGACTACTACAATGAATCCACTGGCATCGGTGGCCTCAACTACGTCTCTCTCGGCCTGGGCTTCTGGTGCGGCTCGCAGATATGTGCCCCGCTCAACGACCGGATCTATCGTCGCCTCAAAGCCCGCAACAATAATGTTGGTCGCCCCGAGTTCCGTGTTCCTCTCCTGTGCATCGCTGCCTTCCTGCTCCCCGCCGGCCTCTTTATCTACGGTTGGACAGCCCAGTATCACTGCCATTGGATCGCCCCAAATATCGGTGCCTTTCTCTTCAGCGCCGGTACCATCATTTCCTTCCAGTGCATGCAGACATATATGGTCGACACATACACCCGTTTCGCCGCCAGCGCCCTCGCGGCTGGTGCTTTCCTGCGATCTCTGGCTGGCTTCAGCTTCCCGCTTTTTGCGCCATATATGTATGCCTCTCTCCATTATGGCTGGGGAAATAGTGTGCTGGCCTTCATCGCTATTGCCATCGGTATTCCTGCACCAATCTTCTTGTGGAAGTATGGCGAGGCTTTGCGGAAGAGAAGTACCTTTGCGGCGGGATGAGTGGATTGCATTCAGATTGTGATCCTGAAGGATTTGGTTGCATTTTTTTGTACAGAGCGCTATATACATTTTCTTTTATTTTCCCCTTGCATACCCACGATTACGTGAAGTACACAATTAATGTCTAACTAGATAAAATACACCATGATTAAGTATTATAGGTTGATCTTCTCACCTGGCGGGCGGCTACTAGCCTCAAGGCTGTCTAGTGATGTAATAAATTTAGTAAACATAGCAACAAATAACTAGGGTATATTGGATTCTCGAGGAATATTCGCTTCTGAATTATTTGGTCCGTTGTACTCCCACCTAACATTCGTCTACCAGCTTCTGGCCCTGGTTGCCGTGGTAAGTTTAACGGAAGGTTCTCAAATGGGATCTCACGAAATATTCCTTTGATGGATGACAGATTTATTCGAGTTTTTGATACACCGGGGACTTCCAGGCAGACAATTTGTATCAGCGGGGGAGATTCATCGAGTTTTATACGAGCGCCATCAGTTCGTAGCCTTGTGAGTCTGGGACGTGTTCCATCAATGCTTTGAACTCGGGGTAATGATTCTCGTACGACATTTATATTACTGAATTCAGGCAAAGAGAAACCCCGTAAAAGGTCGTTACAATTACCACCATGGGCCGCAGGATTTAATACGTATCGGCTATTAATATATACATCTAAGAGTGCATTAAGTACTCAGCATCGTCCGAGTGAATGAGATCCGCAACAGATCTCGGACTCTGTTCTTAGAAAGAACAGATTTACTCGGTAATACCGTGCTCCTTCTTGCCGTTCTTGAGGGTACGGCTATACTTAACACCGACGTTGATGCCAGCAGCCTTGCTGAAGGGAATCGGGCTGGTGTACTCGTAGGTAGCCTTCTTGCCGTGGTAGGTCTTCTTGACGACGTCAACGATGCCGTGACCAGCGCTGCAGCTACCGGAGGTGGCGGGAATGGGCCACTCAGAGCTATACTCGGAGTAGATATTGTCGGACAGGGGGCCGGGGTAGGTCTGGTTAAAGTAGTCGTTCTCCTCGATGGTGGCGATGTCGACGTTCCAATTGACGTAGTCAGTCTTGTCAGCAACCAGCTCAAGCTGGTTGGCTCCGCAGTCCCAGCGGCCGAGGGAGGGCAGGCCCCAGTTGGCGCTCAGGGAGGCGATCACCGAGTAGTGGGTGTAGAAGGTGTCGTCCTTAGTACCCTTCTTGTGCTCGGGCACGGCACCGCCAAGGAGGATGGAGTAAACGCGGTTCTAGAGGGAGTGTTAGAGATGTCTAGATGGTAGGGTGAGAGGGTAGAGGGATATAAATTGCTTACCTCCTGGAGGTAGGTGGCAGTCTCGTCAAAGGTGATCAGGATGAGGGTGTCCTTCATGAAATACTCATTCTTGAGCAGAGGGGTCATGAAACGGTTGAGGAAGTCGCCAGCGACAGTGATATCAGAGTCGTGGGCATCGTTGGTCATGTTGGGGGTGATAAACATGTGCTGAGGCAGACGGTGGTGCTCCAGGTCCTCGTAGAAGGTAGTAAAGTTCTTGATCTGGCGAGGACGGACGGCATCATTGGTGACAGAGTCGAACAAAATCAACGGGTTGTGCTTGCGAACGTACTCGTTGGCGCCAGACTCGGGGTAACGATAACCCTGGTAACCTATATAGTGATATCTTGATTAGAGTCTGCATATTCTGTATATTGATAGTGCGGGGTAGTTATGGATAGTGATAGGTGGATAATGCAGTTGCCAGGATAACGGCTACTACCTGCTCGGGACCCCGCACCCGCACACCCCCACACCAAAAAAAAGATAAGAAGTTTTAGATGGGTTTTTGCTTACCGGCATAGGGCAGGTCCTCCTGATACTCGCCCCAAGCAATACCCTTGGTATCGAAGAGGTCGGCAATGGTGGAGACATTGGCCGGAATCTGCCAGAAATCATCATTGTCCATGCCGAAGTTGTCACCAGCAGCCGAGGCGGCGTAGTTCGGCTCGGAGGGGTGAGTGACCGCGAAATAGTTGGTCAGCAGAATGCCCTCCTTGGCCAGCTTCTCAAAGTTCTTGTCCGCCGCAGTGGTGTCGAAATCCTGTGATGCAGTTAGCATAGGTGCGTAGGATAGAGTCCTCAAAGCTCAATGGAATCAATGTCTGCATAACCACATCGTCCACCACCGCGTCTGGTACTTACGGTGTTCTCGATCCAGATGTTGACGAAGCGGTTGAACGCAAGGCCCTTGACATTGGAAACCGGCGAGTAGGGCAGGACCGAAGCCTGGGCAGCCTCAATCTCCGCCTGGGTAGGGTACTCGACGGAGCTGGTGGCGGCCGCAGCCATGGCCAGGGAGCCAACAAAGGCCAGGAGACTCTGCTTGGTGAACATTTTGATCGTTCTGCTTGGTCTTGTCCTGCTTTTACTTGATTGCCCTTGCGTCAGTTGTGAAGAGAGCGGCCGATACGATGCGGAAGGGAAACAAGAGAAACGACCTGGGCGGGTGCATCACACGATCTTATACCTCCGGCATCACTGGCGGGGAATTGCGAACAGCCAGTGAGAAGCCGCTTATTTAGTGTCGAGTGGCCTCGGAGATTCTCCTCTTCGCTTAAAATCCGGATGATGCCGACGCGGCCAAGGACATCAAGGGGGAGCGAGGTCACATCCTCGCAGGGCTGCACGTTGCATTGCGCGCTGGATTGACTGGCCGCGGCGGGAATTTGTTGTGCCCGCACGGCGCCGAGCTAGCGTGGAGCTTGGATGTGTCGCGCCGATTCATTGGCGAGATGCCAAGCGGGCGGGACCGGTGGGGCGCAAAGGTGCCTGGCACGTTCCGCCTCAAAGCTTCATGAGTGGCCCGGAATGATAGTGAGATATTGCATGGCCCCGTTGACAAGCCGGGCTTCGATGCGCCCGAGGAAGTTCCATGCAGGTGGGACTACATGGACAGGATGCTTAAGCTTTTGGACACCACCGGCTGGATCTCGTGTGCCGCGTGGTTCACCGGTTGGGCAATCTAGATTCCGACGCTCGGATCTGTCGACCGAGAATGCCAGGAATGCGCGAGAGAAACTTGGACGAAGCAGTTATAGCCGAGATTGCCGCTTCTCGAAATAAGCTGCGAATAGAATGTGAAGTTTTAATCATCTCCTGTCTGAGTGTTGTCACTCTAACCGAAAGATGGGGTTGCCAGAGCGGATTAAGCTGAATAATAGCCGGGATCAGAGGTCTTTCGACGCACCTGGATGTCAAGCGTCAAGGTTTGATATAGTAAAAAGCTTTTCGTAGGACGATAGAAGTAGCCGATTGGCCCAAGAAAGATTTTGGTGGAGTGAGCAGAAGATCTGTGGTGATGCATCAACACGTGACCTGATGGAGGACAATTCTCGTCCAAGTTGTGATCTTCCATGAAAGATCAAGGTTAGCGGATGGAATTAGTACTTTTTCGAGAATAAGAGAAATACAAAGACAACTACCACTATTCAAACTTTGATGAGCTTCTACTACCATTTTGTTGGTGATTTTCCACATAATTTTGCATCCTGTTGACACTTTACTTGGTCAAGACTATTACTTTGGAGGGCAGCTAATCAATACCAGGATACCCAAAAAAATATATATATACTTGGCAGGATCATTCAAAGCAAACAATCCGCAAACAACCACGTGCAATAGGTCATGTTTAAATCCAATAGCCTTGAATCTCTCGTGGGCCAACACGAAAGGGTGCAAGTAAGGTAGGCAAGTTGCAGCATACGTACTAGACAAAGATGGGAACCTAACGAAATACGTATCCACATGGCTGTGGGCTATCTCGGGATCTTCATTTGGGACCAATACGTGATAACAGCTCACTAAGCCTCCTGAGACCTCCTCATTCTTGACTTCTGGCTCTTCCTTGAAATTCGGCCCAATCTGGGGGAGCTCAGGAGGCTCGTCCTCGCTTGCCGGTGTATCTGGACTTCAGCTATGGTCGATTTGGGATGACAACAATGACGTAGTGGGCTATTTCTGGGATCGGAAGCAGGAGCGATCCTCTTGATTGTTGGACAAAGTGGAACTCTGGCGCAACGTGGATTCGGACATTTTGCGTAGTAATATAGACGCTGGGATAATATTATTCGTTTTCTGCGTCTTAACGTATGACTAGAGTACGGACGACTCCACGGCCGACTCCAGCCATAAAAGTGGCCCGTCGTGCCATCTAGCTGGCTATACACAACTACACATGATTCCACGCTGTGTTTCGTAACAATATATTCTCACAAGTGACACCATCACAGCAGAGCCCCAGCCTCCTTTCCCTCCAAGGCCATCTCTTATCACACATTTCCCCTCCCTACAATGCATCACAAACAGGTGAAGTTGGCGGACTACCAGGTTTCACATACGGCACCCCACGATGATTACATACATAAGCACTGGAGCACCACTTTCCATCCGCGAGCCGATAAACCTTATCCCAGTGATAGCTATAGCACTTGAGTGGCACATTCATCTCATAGCTATGCCAAGCATCTCCCGCGGCGATGGGATCCTTGATTGCGGGATTGATAAACACTTGAAAGACGTCGCCGTTCGGCATTCGGCCAGTAGCGCCGCCGGCCTGGCCCCAAGGGTATGAGCCAGTCCAGGGCACATTGGTCATCATCTTGGGGCGGTAGGTTTCAAGTCCGTTACCAGTCCAGACGTCACCCGCATAATAGATCATCTCGCGAGAGGTGGAACCGCCATTTACGCCGAGGCCGATGCCGCAGTCGACGAGGACGAGGTTTTCGAGGGGTGTTCGTTGAGAGTAAGTGAGTGGGAAGGAGAAGAGGAAAAATGTTTTTAGAACAAGCATCGTTCCTAGTCTGCTCATCGGCATCATTGGGGTCGAAGATGATCGAATTAAATATGATGCTGTGGTTCACGAAGGAAGTAGAATGAGGGTTTTTCTTTTGAAAACTCTAGCGATTTGTATTTTGTGTCTTACAACCCGTGTTCTTTATATTTACTGGTGCCCGCTACCACGAAAGAATGTTCCAAAAACAGACCCTCCGATTTGTTGGAAGATCAAGTCATTCCTACCGATTATACAGCCCAAGGTAATAGCCCACATGTAAGCCCTAATTGTCGATATGATCCCCGAAGAAATCCCTCAGATCACCTTGAATTTTAGTCGACCATTTGCGGACCTGAGCGTCTTCGTTTTCTTCCCCGTGCATAACTAGTTCGGCCTCGTTTTCTGAAAGTGCCGGAGATCTAGCAATCGCAGATCTAGTTCAATAATCATTTTCTCTTTCAGAACGTCTTAGCTCGAATGCAAATTCGAGATGCGGGGAAGAGTAGGGTGGAGGGGCTAGATGTGGTCTCTGCAGTACGCGCCTCCGACACTACTGACTCATAATTAATTGCTGAATTTATTTCCAATGTCTGATTTTTCAAAGAACGTATATACAGGTGTTCCCCTAAGCCCCATATTCCCGAATCGTTAAAGCCTAGTGGGGTGTAAATAGCGAGCGTACCCGAATTGTATATATTACATAGCTGCGGTCATGTTTACGAAGGCCAAGCATGCAGCCATCATTCTAATCAGACAGAAAGACACGTAGCCACGGCTTGGAGTACGGAAAAGGATCATCTGCTCGATGCCAAGATGCGCGCGGCACGGCGATCTAACAGCTGAGTCCCCGCATAAGTAAAATCTAGACCCAAAATTATTGTCGGCTATTCCGACGTCTTCTCCGACCCGCATACAAAATCGAAAAATAGCCTCACAACCTCCTTTGTCACAAACTGGTGTATCCACGCATAGGAGGTACTTAGTACGTCGCACCGGTATTGATCTAGACTGGAGCCACAATTTCCATGCCACGACTCTGTAGATACAACATCGGCCATGTCCGAATCCTGGGGCGGCAGCTGTTGACATGAAAGCTGACTGCATCATGCCATTCCTTTCAGATTATTGTCTTCGGATACAACTTTTCACTTAATTCCTTTGGTGGCGCTCATCGAAGCATCGGACGTTTATATACACCATGCATTAGATGCCTCCCTAGTGCTCAAGGCAATACGTGACGATGCGGGTATGGGATATGAAAGCGCCCCAGAGAGAAAGCTCAAAACGGCCAACCTGCCGAAATGATATCAGCTGATTTTTGATATTCAGGGTACCGAGCATGGAACAGAGAGTACTTAACTTACATTTATATCGCATTGAGAATCTCGCCTTCTCTTTCACCTGTGAAGATTAATATTGCTTCTAAAGGAGTTATAGTAAGCCATTCCTTGCTTAACAGACTCAACCATTCTTAAGTCACCCCCCTTTTCGTCCCCATGCACGTCTCCACAATCTCCAAATTCTCCCTTGCGCTCCTCACGACTCTCTTTCCCTTCACCACCACCGCCGACCTCCTCACACCCTTCGGCACGAACGCTAGCCCCGGTGCCCTCCAATTTCAGCCCGTCCTCGACTTCGACAAAGATGGCTGCTACCATACTGCCGCGATCTCCACCGACGGTTCTGTGAACTCCGGCCGCACGGACAACAGTATCGGTCCGTGCCGTGACAAGGACCGCCTCGACCACAGCCAGACTTACGTGCGGGAGCGCTGCAACCACGGCTGGTGCGCCTATCTATATGGGTACTACTTCGAGGTCGACGTCGGGGAATTTGCAGGCGGCCACACGCACGACTGGGAGCATATCATAGTTTGGACGCTGAACGGCAATGTGTTCTTTGTCTCGTGGTCTGCGCACGGCGATTACACAACTGAGCACCAAAGCGTTGTGCGCTTCGCCGACGGGACGCATCCGAAAATCGTGTACCATCGGGGCGGCGGGCTGTCACACTCTTTCCGGAAAGCGACGCCCGAAGATGAGGCAATCGAAAACGACTATAAGAGTTGGTTCAAGGCACCGCTGGTGAGCCTCGAAAAGATGGATTGCGGTTTTGTGCGGAAGTTGTTGAACAATAATTGGGGCAGTGCGCATCCGGACTTGACTAAGGATCGATTTGGAAAGACGTTGGATGTGGCGATGCCTTGGGATGCGAGGAATAATGAGCATTTTGATCCTTGGAATTAGTTTGAGTGAATATCATGGGAATAAGTGGACCCCGAGAAAGGCAGAGCCATATAGCAGTGGACAATGACTAGGATGATGTGGGTGCGATCAGGACAGGTGGGATGGTATCACCTCCGACTTTCTTAGTCAATCGGTAGGGTCATGATAATTTTGCATTAAGCTAAGCATCAAAGTGCCACATGCTGCAGGCATGTACAAGGCGATTTGAGACCAGCTCACAATCCCTCTTCCTGTGATAACTCACTAAGAAGTATTCGATAATCTATGGAATAAATCGTAGATAAGTCTAGGGAAGGACACTCAGGCCCTGCTTTTGGGAATCTTGGATAGGCGTTGACTGGATATCTGAAAGGGCGGGGAAAAAAAATTAAAGGACGGCTCAGCGAAAGCGACGACTCGAATGAGGGAAAGTGAAAGAAGGTGGTCACAGACCGACCCGTCGAGACCTCACCCGTCTGTTTTATGAAAGGAAAGACTGAATGGTCAGGATTACAATGCGGGAGAACTTTACTAGTAAATCTTTGGTATTGCTTTGCATTAGTTGGTACATGTCATGACCAGAAGTCTGGGAATAGAGGTTTAAAGGTATCGAAGGTGCTCATTGGATACTTTATCGGTAATTTTCCCAGGTTTTATCGAAAAAGATTCCTCAATGACTGTGGGTGCTTCTCCGTCAGCAAAGGCGAAATACGAAAGTGGTTTAAATAAGCACAGCCTCCACCTCCGAATCTTCGTTGAGATAGTAATTTACGAAACCTTTGCGTTGGTGTGCCAAATTATACGTGGTAGGAAGTGACTTCTAGGGGTTTGATCCGCCACCCTTGACATCAGCACCAGACGTGCGAAATTAACACTGACACTCAATAACACAGAAGGTTGCAGTAAACGCCGCCTAATATGAGCAGGCTTTTTTTACCTACCATATTCTAAGATAGAGTCATATACTCAACCAACGCAACTGGGCGTGTCTTGTGGAGAAGATACAATTCGATATTGCTTTTTGCGCCGCCCTCTGGCAAACCTAGTGAAAAGCAACTCGATGGGCATGCTGTGTAAGCTCCACTTCCATATAAAGAAGCCTCTTTAGCACTTTGCGTGATCTTGAAAGCGGTTCAGGTCAGGATGACGGGACGAAAAGCTGAGTTTGAAAAGCCCTAGGCCTTCTAAGGCAATAATGTAGATCCACCAAAGACGATCATCCCTGACCCAGTTTCTGCCGCAAAAAAATTCTTAACTTTTCGGGCCACCTACGTTTCTGTTTTATGTGAGCTATTAGGTCTGTAATCAGACGATGGTGATCCATGCAGTGGATTAGACTCGGGACCTGTTGGATTCAAGTGATCACCAGTCTCCTGACCATCATCACCATTTATGAATGGCACAACCTTAGATGGAAATGATCTCGCCTGTAGAATTCTGTCAAACTCTGGTCAATTAGAAAAAGAGCAAATCGTGTTTGGTGGAACGACCTATCTTCACCTCTCTTGCGAGTTGATGGAGGGAGAATTTCCCTTGCCCGGAAGAAATCGTCTACGTCTAGCAGGCTGTATTCATCGCATTGTATCACTCAATTTTTAATGTAAACGCATGGAACTGCGGTGAAAGGACGGTCAGACTCAAAGAAAGCAATCAGCTTGACCGACTAGGGAACGAAGAGGTGGTTCGGACGGGCTATTCCCGACGAAGAATTATGGAGGTCAAGTACTAAAATTTGACCGAGATGACATAGAAAGGACTCATAACAGAGAAGAAAAAGGATGAAGACGTTTGAACTAGAATCCTGCCTTGGGACGAGCCTAGCTAGGCAAGCGCCAGTCTCGCGAAACCAGTTTGAATCGAATTGATGACTGGCCAAACACACCCCTATGGTTCATTTAGATATCTCCAAAAAGAGAATAGCACGGAAGAAGATTCCGTGTTGCAGACAGATTGAACTTCATTGGACTTAATGGGAGCCACGCGACTTTCGGTTCACGGATCTAAGATTAGCGGGAAGCGCCAATGCGGTGATGAGTGCCTGGACAAAGAAATTGCACTTGGCTCCGCCCGTAGACAGGAATATGATCCTCAATAGCAACGGTACGTTCCATATTATAAGGGGGCGATGCTATAGCTAAGAAGCTCCGCCCCAGAATGTGGAATTATTGGGCTCCATTGTCGAAGGTCCAAGGTATTCAAGAGCCTACCGAGTCTATTCTTTCCATGACAGATATGAGTAGTGTTCTGATAGAGACCCAAAATGGAAGCAAGTGATATTTCTAAAGTACCATTACTTACAAAATCTTTCACAATATAAATGGCCTTGGTACATAGCTGACTGCAATTTTTTATAGAAAAGAATAGGCTCACCAGAAGCTATACACAGAAGCTACTACGCGCAGGCAATCGCGGATCTCTGGCCTTCACTGCTAACATATGAAAATTTCCTACTTTCAATAATGAAAGGGAGGGGGTTAAAAGGTAAGAAGAAACTTGAAGGGCTGATTTTATGTTCAACAGTCTGAATATGAATTTGCTTCAATGTTACATGCGGGGCTGGCACCCTGTTCAACAAAACCTTTTCTTCTTGCGAGCCTACAAAGGCAACACGAACGTGGATGCAAGATCCATGGGTTCAAGTGCTTTTTAACTATGACAGAATATTCCTTCCGCCGAACTTGCAGTCGTAACGCAAGACCAGGCGTAGTCATTCTTATCCTTCATATATCCTGCACCAACATGATACCTTTCACAGTTGCTAGGCCCGTACAAAGTATCAATCTTTTGGAGATAGTCCAAGATATCCTGACCTTGATTGATGTTAATATCCCCTTTATTTGGTGCAACTCGACACCACATGGTGCCATAACTGCTCTTGACGGAGGTTATGTCAACCGGGGCCAAACTCGTGAAGCCTGAGCGAGTCAAGCCAGTAAGAGCATCTCGAATTGGGTCGTTGTCATTGGTGCATAGGTGAATGTGAAGCTGTTCTTCTGATCGGCTGGCAGCTGGATTCAGAGCTAGTGCGCCATGTTTGTCTCCTTGGAGCTTATTTTGTCCAAAATCGAAACCGCCATTATAATCAGGCACATCATGGAGTTCCAATATGCCTGGTATCTTGTATGTGGTAGTGATTATGTCATGTTGATTGTTCAGAATCCATGCTGGTGGAGTTCTCTGGCCAATTGTCAGGGTGGACTTCGGATATACTTCGCAACCGGTCTTCAATTGTCCTGTCAAACGCTTGAGACAATTGCATAAACCGTTGAACCAAATATAACAAGCGTTACAATCAGCGTTTTCATCTGTACATCCAACGCCACATCTGGTCATTTTGGCTAGTGCGACCAGAGGTGTTGTGGTTGGATTAACACATGTCTGATACTTCAGGGTGCATATTTGTGGGTTTGTTTTACACGTTTTGTCGTCTTGTGGTGGAAAGTCACTTGGGCAATCGCAACCAAGGACGTTGACATTGGCAATATCATCAGAAGTGCACAAAGGATTTTGTGCGAAAGCTATAGCACCGAAGATCAGTGCACCGAGTGTCACTGTTGTGGTTGGGTTATGAAAGAGGTCAAGCTGCATGATGTTGAATAAGGACCAATTGTTCGATCAGTCGCAAAGAGTATTTCATGTATAAGATTGGAATTTAGGGGGGGGGGGAACTACAAGCTCGCAGAATTTATGCGCGGTCGCAGAACTCCACTTTGCGATTGGAAGAAACTAGACCTGCTTTCTTGAGAAGTCCAGAAATGCCTAGACTGCCTAGACCCAGTGGGTATCGATTAAGGTTGCCCAATGCGGCGCGCCAAGAACCCCACTTGTTCGCAAACCAGGGTCATTCAACGGAACAATGGTTTTACCTTCTGGTTCGCAGCTAACTTTACGATGTCGAATACATCACCTTGAGCCTCCGGCAAAACAGGCCGAGTGAGTCCGCATGTGCAACTTATTAAGCGACAGCAGTTAATTCAGACTTCCCCTCTATACTGGTTATTGAGCTCTGTCACTGCGTTTGTCAACCCTCGAGGTAATTGGGTTGAGAAACATGTTTAGCAAAATAGACAGCATAACAGCGGAACCCAAAAGAATGTGCAAAAGATACCTTGACGATCGCGAGGGGAGCACCGGGGGCCAGAAATACGAATTGCACGCCGTGTAGAGCTGCTGGAAAATAAGCCCATAGCAGACGCCGGAGAGGGCGGGTCAACCGATTATTGGAGAAAGAAGGGTGGATGTGGTCATTTTTGTGCATAGGAAATGCTGTCGGTAACCATAAAGGGGAAGTGGTATCCAATTTTACCAAGAAGGCCGCCTGGAATGAGGGCGATGGCCAGCCCAAGAATTTGGGAGAGGCCCCATGGGCCGGGCTGCATGATGCTTCACGGACAGCTTGGATAGTGGACGGAAGCTAACCAAAGCAAATCAGCTATTTGCGAATGTTGAAGGGATTCTCTGGCTAAAATAACAGCCGGACAGTGACCCACGCAGCTTCAAAAAGAGATTGGCCGTTGAAGTGGAAAAAAACCAGAATAATGCAATAAGATAGCATTCTATCTTGAGAACACTTGCGTCATAAACTAGCAAGGTAATAGTATCGATATCTTACGAGCATGGACGAATATATCTCCCGCGCTATTCCGAGTCATTAAGTTGTGGGTTGTAACTGAGGCCTCTTCCTAAAACCGAGCAGTAGGTGTCAGATTTGCGCAGATCCCTCCTGTGCCTTCGCGCATAGTGAGTCACAATGGCTCATCCGAGTCCTGATGAGACCCACACGATCATAGCTTTATTGTGTAGGCGGGGTATCTTACCTGTTACTCTGTTGGTTATTTCAGGCACCTTTACTGAAGCAAGCTCACAAGTACGCGACAAGGTGATGCTTCGTATAAACAATTTTTTGATTTACTTGTAGGTCAAGCTGCACTAAATATACCTACATCCAATGCGCACATGTGGCAACTTAAAGGCTAGCCTGAAGGGGATGGGATTGTTTGCTTTTAAAGGAAACTGTCACCAGATTCAGAAGTCATCAGGTAAGATTCTGACATATTGGTACTACCTCGAAAATCCCACCGTTTCTCGGCCCGGGTTAATCAGAATCGCGGGGTCAAATTCAAGGGTGGGTCAGAACATCTGGCAAACAATGCAGAGTTTTCAGCTAACATTTCTTCGACTTGGGCATCTTGTCAGGGGAGGGAAGGAGGGCTACTTCAGGACGTGGTGCTAACAGTTTCATTGGTTGGCGTGAGTTATGCTTGCCTCTCTATGTTTTTACAAGGCATCGCCGCCGTAGGCGTGATGGCTTGGCTCTGGAGTATAGCTCAAGATGCGGTTGGACGGTTGGAGGAGAGGTCGCAGCTGGGATGTTACACTAAGAGGTTCCACTTGGTTCTATGTTTCTAAAGCTCGGGGTGTTATTACACCCCTATTACGCTGTACTTCGTCCCTCAGACAAGGTACATCATTAAGATTCAGGCCGGCTGATAGCAGTTTGTGATCTATCAAGTCGATCCCCTGCACGCCGGTCACCACCTCACCGACCCCTCTTTCCCACATATTCCGGAACTTAGACTTTTTCATCCACATCGCTCCCACTAGCTCTGATTTATTTGAACAAAAAGTAGACTCACCATCATGCCTGGCGAGGCACCGCCTATTGCAGTGGTAAGCATGATTCTCACGACTAGACAACGGTTTTCTGACACCGGGTTTAGGACAATGCGTCTTATTCCATGGAGCTTGCCTTGGGGCCGGAAGACTTTCAATCGTTCGTTCCAACCACTAACGTAGCTAAACCTGTATTCTTACTCCAATAACTTCCTGCAGAGAAACTACCTCGATCGCATCGGCAATCGCGAGAGGACGACTGGAAAATGGCCGGAGGTAAGTGGTTCTTCCGTCGACGTTGGCCAGGAAAGCTAAGATATAGATAGGTACCAGGCAACGAAAGAGGACGACTATTGGTAGGTAACCGTGTGTCCGTTCTGGTGTGGCATCATTTGACCGCATAAAGGGGTCCTTCTGACGAAAAGCAATTCGAAGCATTTGAGATAAGGTAAATAACACCGCTCACTCAGTATTGAGTCTTTTTTTAGATCTAGTTCAGAATTTCCACGAAAAACCGAACCCCTTGGATATCTATCGTGTTAACAATTTAAAGTCATATATTGTTCCTTGTATTGGACCAAGATCAGGAAAACCCTCTTTTTCGTTCTCCCATTGGAGACTCGCCTAAGGTAATTCGATAATGAAGTGTTCCATTCTTTGCTGAACCCTCGACTTATCACAAGACATAGCATATTCTAGATATCGGCACTGGCCAAGGAAGTTGGGCGATGTAAGTAAACCCGTATCTTGTTCCCAGAAGCTCCTAATCAAGTTTTAGCGACGTTGCAGATAGGTACCCTTCAAGTAATTTAATAAAGTCTCCATGCAACCGTTTTCACGATGCAGGGACTAACTCGAATTAGCTACCGTCCGCGGAGTGGACCTCTTCCCCCACCTGTGACCTGGATGCCACCCAACTGCGTCTTTGAAGTGGATGATGTGCTTCGCGAATGGACGTGGCGACAGCCGTTTGACTTAATCCACCTGCGCATGATGTATGGTGCGTTTGACAATGATGGATGGAACCAAGTATACAAGCGGGCCTACAAGTGAGTCTCACTACCCATGATATAAGCTTCAAAAGACTGAAACATGCATTCTCTTTCGTGACAGTGCCCTCCAACCTGGCGGATGGATAGAGCAAGTCGAGTTGGACGTGCGACTCTACAGCGATGACGGCACTTTGGCACAGGATAGCTTTCTAGCGGGGTGGGGCGAGACGTTCATTGGGTGTTCTGAGCGAGCCGGACGTTCACTGCTGACGCAGGAGACGATGCTCAGTGAAATTGAAAAAGTGGGGTTTGTGGATATACATGAGAAGCTAATCAAGATCCCACTGGGTCCGTGGGCTAGAGACCGAACGCTTAAAGAGGCCGGACAGCTCCAGTTGGCGCACTGGAACACCGCTCTGGAGGGGTGGGCCATGTGGCTTCTGACCAAGTTTGGGGAGCCAACCCCCTGGACGACGGAAGAGGTCCAGGTTTACCTGGCTAAGATACGTTTGGAGCTCAAGGATCCCCACAGGCACGCTTACGGATTCTGGTAGGTCTTCCGTTCCGAGTACTTTGCAGCCTTGAATTCGACCATGCGCTGATCAAGTGCAAGTCGTCGTGTGTGGGCTATGAAGCCCCTCAAACAGGAAGTTGAAGATAGAGGAGAAGAAGCACAGGTCAAAGCAGAAGAAGGAGAAGAACAAGAAGCGCACTTCAAAACAGAGAAATCAAAGTCCCCGGGTTTCCCGGGCCGATCGTCCGTGCCGGCAGAACCGGCAGGGCGGTCGACCGCAAACTACTTCCATCCTCCTCCATAGTTTTAACTCGCTCATTGAATATGCTGTTATGAAAATTGTTGCCGACGGAATTTCGGGGGTTTGATTATCCAAGAGATTCGGGTTTTCGTGGAAATTTTTGGAATTGACCATTAATTCTCTTATGTCTGCACAGTATAGTGTTCGCGAAGTGTTTGATTAGAAACAAGAAATTCTCGTAAGTAGTCAAAGTCGGGCTCCTGGCATTCCAGTGCGTAAATACCGTCGTTTCCAGTCACCACGAGCATTCTAATCAAGGGATAGGAATGCCAAGAATTCACAAATTCGCCTGTCCCATCGGAATTGGAAAATGAGTGATTGAGCTCTGTGGAGAATCTAGTAGTGTTGTTTAATTATTGAGACCACTATAGGGAGCTGAGAACAATACTAAAACGCCTTTGGTTGTTCATATTTGGATCAGGCCTCTGCAGGCAGAATATACACTACCACATCCAAGACCATTCGAGACAGTTTCGACCTGAAACATTCGACCCGGAAATAAACACTGGGAAAATACGAGCTCTGGTTTCGGGTCCGCCGCCAACCTTGGAAACCTGTGTGCCACACGATCAAGAGAATCGCGTGGGGCCTTTTTTTAGTCTAAACATTTACTCGCCCGATTCGGAAATGGCTGGCCATCATCCTCGCCACGCAACTTTTATGTTTTAGGCAAATCTTTGGACATCTCAGACCGTAGCGATCTTGGCTAGCTTTCCGCGACCGATGTCTGCGCGCCCGGCGTGCCTTATGCTCGCGAAGCCACCGACGGAGTCCGGCTCGATTCGTGGTGGAGTCCGGCGAGAAGGTTAATGTGTTTAAATCGGCAGGCAGCACAGTAGTAACTCAGACGCAATGTAACGATCTGTGGCGAATTTTTGAGCTTTAGGGGAAGAAGATCAACGTAGTGTATGCTTAACACGATCTGACCTGTCCGAGATTATTCTCGAACCCCGGCAATGAGATCCACTAGTTCCTGAGAGGGGTCGACATCAGGGGCAACTTGGGGTTGCATGGAGGCCCACGCCAATCCGCACGCGATGATCGAGGTCTCGGGGAGGGCCCTGCCGAGAGTCAGCTGGGCCAGTCACATCCCATCATCTCCGGATGGCTGCATCGGTCTCCGCAAACAATCGATCCTGTAGTTTTGTTCTCGATGAATGCCTAGTATGCTTGCCTATTGGGGCCAGATGACTGCAATTCCATATATACTGGTGAACGCGTCGCGGGACTGACATGATGTAAACTCATCGTTGTTTTCTTCACTCTTATTGCACAGAATTTGTATAGTCGGGGAGGAGTCTTGTCGCATCAGCTGTACGGCACAGCATGCATTTTCAGATGTTAAGATGGACCGTTAGCCTGGCTGCGCTGTCGGGCACCACGACGGCCATGGGAATGACCGCATTTCACCGGGACTTGAAGCTCGCAGCACAGATAGGCATCAGCCCGAGCCAGATGCTGAGTGAACGGAAATCAGTACAAGCTCTAGCCCAGCAGATTGAGTTGGATAACGTCACGGCGAAGACTGTGTCGGTAAGAGTTCCAAAGTGTGAGGACCGGGCAACAGTAAATTCTGACAGAAACTTAGATTCCTATTGACCACGGAGATCCTTCGGTGGGCACCTATCAGAATCGCTATTGGGTTACCGACGCATACTATGAGCAGGGGGGGGCCGGTGTTCATCTACGATGTTGGAGAGGCCACAGCCGAAAACGCGGCGAAACTGTATTTGGGGAACTCCACTACATTCCTGGCGGAGATATTAGAAGAGTTTAGGGGCCTGGGAATCGTCTGGGAGCATCGGTATGTCTCCAGCTTCTCATTTGAGTGACACGATGCTAACCTGACACGATTTGGAATAGATACTACGGAGATTCCTTGCCATTTAACGTCAGCGAGGATACACCGCCGGAGCATTTCAAATACCTCACGAACAAGCAAGCACTGGCTGATATTCCATTCTTTGCTCAGAACTTCAGCTTGAACGGATATGAAAAAGTAGATTTGACTCCATCAGGTACACCCTGGGTGATGGTAGGGGGCTCCTACTCCGGCATGCGATCCGCGTTCACTCGAGATGCGTATCCTGACACCATATTTGCTTCCTATGCTTCCTCAGCCCCGGTTGAGGCTCGCGTCAACATGAGCATGTATTACGACCAGGTCTATGCCGGTATGGTTGCCAACGGTCATTTGAATTGTACAAAAGACGTGAAGGCGGCGCTGGAGTATATCGATGGGGAACTGTCAAAGAATAACACCGCTGCAGCCGCGATCAAACAGCTCTTCTTCGGCAAAGGCGCGGAGAAAAACAACAACGGCGACTTCACTGCGGCATTGGCCGGGGTCTTTGGGTTTTTCCAGTCCTATGGATTGGGTGGCGGCGATGGTAGTCTCGGATCCTTCTGTGAGCATCTTGAGACCGATCCGGAAACACTTCGAGTGGCTGGGCCCCGTGGATTTGCTCCGTACCGGGGCAAGAAGTATGTCGCCGAGCGATATGCATCTTGGCCCGTCTTCACTAGCCTGATCAACTACAACTTCAACACTAATTGCAAGCAGCTGGATAACACGCTGCCCCTTTCGTGCAAGTTGAACCCCAAGTCTGCCGACCCAGACACCATCAGCTGGACGTGGCAGTTTTGCACCGAGTGGGGATACTTCCAGAGTAACAACTTCGGGCCACACTCGCTGCAGTCGCGATTCCAGAGCCTTGACTATATCCAATACACCTGTAACCGGCAGTTCCCTGAGGCAATCAAGCAGGGTCTGCTACCGAAGAGCCCGCAAGTAGACGCCACAAACCAGCAGACCGGGGGTTGGACCATTCGACCCTCCAATGTCTACTGGAGCGGCGGACAGTTTGACCCCTGGCGGACGCTGTCTCCGCTTGCCACTGAGGAAATTGCGCCACAGGGTGTGACGTTCACCACGGATATCCCCAAGTGCAACGTCGAGACGGACGAGAACACGCTGTTTGGGTATATCCTGGCGAACGCGGAGCACTGCTTTGACTTTCAGAAGAACTTCGGCCCGGGTAAGATTTCACGTGGGTACTTCTATGAGGCCCTCAAGAAGTGGCTGCCCTGCTTCGAGTCCAGGCACGATAGTCCCAGCCGCGGCCAATTTTAAATTCATGCTGCAATTCCGGGGAGCACGGGGAAAGACGAGACCCGGAGCCGCTGGACCCACTGACGAGGGCCGCAGATGGCAGATGGCCGCAGGAGCCATACTATTCATGGGGGAGTGGAGGTCGGCCAAGGAGGGATCGGCGCACTAGTCGGGGAAACAGGCGAGAGAAGTCGCAGACCGAGTCGATTCCGGTGGAGGCTTGGAAGGGAGATGATGCAAATGGTGGAGAGACGAAGGAGGTTTGTGGTGCTGGCTAGTCTCTTTTCAGGTGCGCTTGCGAGCGCGTCTCACGTGCGGCGCAGCCGAGGAACAAAGCAATGTTCCCCGCGACGACGACTTCATTTCTTGTTCTTCTTCACGTTCATATTCTTGCTGGGATCGCTTAGTATTTCTGTCTCATTTTCCATTCTTGAATCCTACATTCATGTCATCTGCTGTGTTTCGACAGAGACCCAGATCAGGCTAGCACCATTTATACCATTTATACGATTTGAATCTTGCACTCTTTTCTGTGTTATACTTTATTACTCATACACCTCGACGGATCAACGACGCTCCTCTAGATCTCTAGATCATTTATTCCGATCTAGGTCACACAAATCGAGATCTCAGGCTGGTCTCGGGCTATTTTCCTTCACGGCAACCGGCATCATGCTGCTCAGTCCGGCCATGTTGTTCATCGGTGTGCTGTATGTAACCTTCGTGCTTCTGCGGTACCTGACCCAGTTACACCACCACCGTAAACAGTCCAAGGCACTCAACTGCAAGCCTGCAGCACCCGGCAATTCGAGCTTCCTTGGTATCCCGGCTTTCTTGCGCCTTACCAAAGCAGTGCGCGAGAAGCGCTGGATCGATTATTTGTGCGACCAGTTCGCCATCAACGGCACTACCTTTACACAGCGGTTCCTGTCCCGAAAGCTTCTGACCACGATCGAGCCGGAGAATATCAAAGCAATCCTGGCGACTCAGTTCCAGGATTTTTGTTTGGGCACGAGACACGAGATGTTCTATCCGTTGCTGGGTGATGGCATCTTCACATTAGATGGGGCAGGTTGGTCGCATGCACGCGGATTGTTGCGACCACAGTTTACGAGAGATCAGGTACATCTCGAAAAATGCCGATAGCCAACTTCGAGAAAGTGATGATCTAACAATATATTTATAGGTTGCAGACTTGTCAATGCTGGATGATCACATCTCGCACTTGATCGACCTTATCCCGAAAGACCGAAGCAGCTTCGATATCCAGCGATTGTTCTTTTTGTTGACCCTCGATTCGGCCACACATTTCCTGTTCGGTGAATCTGTCGGCTGCATGCTTCCCCCTGATCAAACCACGGGTGTCCTCGAAAAGTCCGCTGTTCGGAATGCACAGGGTTTCGCCGATGCATTTACTACTGCTCAGGACTACTTGGCCGCCCGATCCCGCGCACAGGGCCTCTACTGGCTCGTCAATCCGAAGGAGTTCCGCGAGGCCAACCGACGCGTGCATGAAGTTGTGGATCATTATGTGAATGTAGCACTGGAATCCAAGAAACGCGGCACCTCAAAGGAAAGTGACGGCCGGTATATCTTCCTGGAAGCCCTGGCAGCCGACACCGACGACCCAAAGATGCTGCGCGACAATATGCTTAACATCCTGTTGGCCGGTCGTGATACCACCGCGAGTCTACTCAGTTCTACATTCTTCTATCTGGCCCGTTATCCTCAAGTTTGGAACCGGTTGCGTCGTGAAATTGTCGAGGCCTTTGGCGACAGCAACAACTCCGGTGAAATTACCCAGACTAAGCTCAAAGATATTCCGTACCTGCGTTATGTGCTAAACGAGGGTGAGTTCTGGAAATCTAGTGAATGTTTCCTCGCATCTTGACTAACTCTACGCAATAGTCCTCCGTCTGCAACCGCCTGTCCCTGTCAATTTCCGCGTTGCTACCAAAGATACATCTCTCCCGGTCGGGGGTGGTCCCGACGGTCGGTCACCCGTCTATGTGAAGAAAGGCACTTTGGTCGCCTATAACGTATTTGCTATGCACCGCCGTACGGACCTTTGGGGTAAAGATGCCCCCTCATTCCGGCCGGAACGCTGGGAAGAGAATGCGAAGCACGGATGGGAGTACTTGCCATTCAACGGCGGCCCCCGGATTTGTCTCGGCCGTAAGTCTTCCGAGATGAGAAGCCACCCAATGCTTTGGCAGAGATACCCAAACTGACCCCTTTGCAGAACAATACGCGCTCACCGAAGCTAGCTATACGGTCGTGCGGCTGATGCAACACTTCGACAGCCTCGAAAATGCCGATCCTGACCCCCGGGAAGAGCCCATCAAACAGTCGAACCTCACCATGATGCACGACCACGGCGTCCCGGTGAAGCTGTATTCATCGGCGCGGATCTAGAATGCTGTATATAGAAATAATGTCCCCTGTACGTAGATCACTTTTAAATGAGTCATGTCAATCTGTTTCAATCCTTTCTGTACTGCTTCACGAAGCCTTTCGCGCTGGCATCGGTATAATCTTTGACACCGAGCTGCTTTGCAACCCTATAGGATGAAAGATCAATAAATATCTGCAAAGTTGAATCCAAGTTATTCAACAATTCGCACCAGTCTCGGGTGTATCCCAGTGTTATCCTACGGTTCCGATTTCATAATGAAGCAGCCGTGGAAGATCCCGGACTAACGCCCGGAGATCGAGTCGGGGACGGGTAATGTGGCGGGTCGTGCGGGAAACTCTGCACGGTGTCCGAGACCAGGGTCTAAGCCCCCCCCCAAATGCCCCCCCACATTCATGGACCTTTGCTTTCTGCAGAGTTTGTTTGACATCCGGTGAAGAACTGGATTGACGCCACAGACCCTGATTTACACGCATCTGTAGGAGCTGGTTACCCGCGTTTATGCTGTGTCCTTTGGGACGCGAACTCCGAATACGCGGGGTCGGGTTTAACGGTGTTTAGGACCAATGTCTTTGGGAGAAAGCTTGAGACTCTGGACGTAGAGAAAAGTCATATAAAGGTTGATTTGGGTGAAAGTGCCATTCGCATCGAGAATAAAGAATCCAGACTTCTACATATCGTTCAAAATCATTAGTCTCATCCTAACTGCCTCAAGAATTCCATTCTGCAATATGGTATTCCCCTACAAGCATGTCCTCCTCGTCGGTGCCACTGCTGGCATCGGCCGGGCGATGGCCGACCGGTTCGTCGAAACTGGAGTCAAAGTTACTGCTGTTGGACGTCGACAAGAGCGCTTAGACGAATTTGTGAGCAAGTACGGTGTACAAACCGCCAGCGCGGTGGCGTTCGATATTTCGGAAACCGCAAAGATTCCAGCCTTTGTCAACAGGTGATCCTTGAAATCCATCCAACTTTGCGGTACCTCTGATCTAACCTGTTTCTTTACAGTGTAATGGAATCATATCCCAGTATCGACTGTGTCTTTCTAAATGCAGGTACCCAGAGTGCCTTCGACCTGAGCGATCCCGCACGCTTCGACCTTGAAACTTTTAACAACGAGGTCCATATCAACTTTACCAGCCTGGTTGCTCTTGTTCATGCATTTACTCCCGTTTTCACGAAGAGGACATCGCCTGCTAGCTTCATCTTGTATGCCTACCACAATAAACTAAATTTCGAAGTATTCTCACGAAAAGCTACTGACAAATCCTAGCACCGGCTCGAACATTGCCATCGTCCCGGCAGCGACTCTCCCAGCGTACTGCGCTTCCAAGGCAGCTCTCAACGTATTCACCCTCTGTCTCCGCGAAAACTTGCAAAACACCAACGTCAAAGTGATTGAGATCTCGCCACCACCAGTTCAAAGTGAGTACCTTCAGCCTACCCCAAAGATATATTATCGGTATTTCTGACACATATTGTAGCTGAGCTCCATGACTATATGGGCGAGGAGACGGGCCGGTCACTAGGCATGCCCCTGGAAGAATTCACTGACCAGGCATTCTCAGGTTTGGCTGTGGGGAAAGATCAAGTCATTATTGGATCAGTTGGACCTGTGGAGACTTTCAACGAGATTGTTGATAAGCGGCGGGAGGCTTTTTCGAACTTAGCGAAGCTTATGCGCTCGTCTCACTAATGGGTTTGGCGGCTATTTTCTAATACATAGATACACCTTGCAGTATTAACATTAGAATCATGTTTTTGAGTGCAAAAACGCCTTTCAATGTATAAATGAATGTCGATATGTGTCGGTGTAGTCGTAAATCGATGTCTATTTTATAAGCGCTCTGTTGTCATCTCCAAGGACGCTGAGCGCCGAGCGCCCGATATGCTTGCAAGCGGTGTTAAAGGGTATGCATCTCGGGGTTTATTCGGATGAAGTGAATGCGCACTGCTTTGTTCCGCGCCATCCTCAGAGACCTTTCGGCCTCCTCGAAAGAAAACGAAACAGAGACTGCGTATCGAGATCCAAAACATTGACTCTTGAAAACCTTTCCAAATACCCCGGCAGAATTTGAGCGTCGACGGGAAACAACCTGCAATCAGACCAAATCCTATCTCTGCCTGAGACAATATCTCCGCCCTCCAGTCATTCTTCGTAAGATTGGACCCGGTCAGAATTACGATCAAATAGGTCAATCTCACTATAGAAGAGACAGTAGCACTACAGCTGATTAGACATTGCTGAACTAATGGTTGAAAGAAAGAAAAACTCACAGAATACCAAATAAAAATGCCACTAAAATCGCCATCCTCATACGAAGCGTTGTTTGTAACTGCCAAATGCGCTTTTGAGGTAAACTCAGCATAGTCAGATATGACACTGAGTTTACACATTCCGTGACAACATCAAGCAAGTGAGTATCCACCCGACAAGATCCGCTATTTCTGAAGATATCCCAGGCCCTTGAAATAGGCTGACAGGCAAATATGTGCAGAAAGGCACTGATTATATGGAACACGACGTTCACCCAAATTAAGAGATGGCATGTGTAAAAGAACATATCTCGTTGCTGAGAAAAAATATCGAGAAGTTGGAATAAAATCGATATTTTGAGCAAGAGGATGCAAGATTCATATACAATAGAACCAATATATAAGTACTGTCTCATGAGCAAAGGTGACATCCTCCTGTGAAAGGTAGCACGCTTACATAGTTCATCTTGATAAACTCCCTAGAATTGAAATTCTCCTGCTCTACACCACTGGTAGGAATGGCTTCATTATTCAGCCATGTCAGAGCCACGTAACAGACATATAAACACTTTCAATGATCAGTCAAATGGATGTTGCTGGATTTGGAATAAAGATGGATGGGTTTACCCAGGCCATAAACGCGGCATCTGTCATCCATTGTTGTCGGTGAGTGTAGTGACAGCATTATCATCATGAATAGTACATACAATCAGATGAATTGACCCGACGAGTTATATACCCTTTTCTGTATAGCCGAATGAGGACGCAAATAGAAGGCAAGATCCAGGCCAACACAAGGATTGTGCGCGCAGCTATGTACTCGGAGTGTGAATATTCAAAGCTAGCTGTTTTCTCAGAAAGAGAGCGGATAGCCCCTCCAACCGGGCTTTGGTGCCGCTCGAGTGAGAACGGATTCATTTTGGGGGAGAAATGTGAAATCGACGTTCATCAAGAGGAAAGACATTCCAATGCAACCCCGACCGGGGGTTAGCAGCTGCACCATCCCGTGATTTGTGATTTGTGATTCGCCAAGCATTTCACAAAGATAACTAAGGCCATCCTTGCTGAATGGCTTTACCAACGCAGCATTGGTCCTCGAGTACAATGCATCATCAAATCTGACTATATAAATTTCCTGTTTTTAATACTATACTCCAATCTTTAAAACCACTTTTGTCTCCAGATTACGGCTTGCACGCTGATAGAATTGTGGCGTTTCTTCAACGCTAATAAGACTGCTCACGATAAAACTTGGCCTCGCCAAGCGTTTGGAGACCATCTCTATCAATCGAGGAGCCAGCAAGGCTGGGTCAACCACCCCAGACTGAACTTGTGGTCCCTCCTCAAAAATTCCGGACAAAGAGAATTGAAAAGTTGGTATAAATGCCCTCCAAATAGATATCCCAACAGATTGGTTCATCGGTTTGGCTACCGCAACCCGACCGATACTTCCATTCTCTGCTACAATGCCCATCATATACTCCAAAATTTTGTCTTCAAGTGATGCACGGGTTTCAATGGTGCTTTCAATACCAATGCAATCGACAACTCTCAAAATTCCAGCTGCTTCTTGGCGGCGAACCCGCGAAACAGGGTCCGACTGAGTGAAATCGATCGGCATTGCCCCCATTCCCTCGCCGACCGAAAGTCTTCTACGATCGCTGTCGAGGAGGTACACTCGCGAGGAACCTTGTAGTATTGCAGAATACACAGCCATGAGGCCTATTGGTCCAGCACCGAAAACAGCGACCGAGTCTCCCGGTTGGTAGCCAGCAAGATCAAGCGCTCCCCAGCCGGCAGGGAAGACACTTGATGCAAGAAGGTAGTCAAGAGCGATATCATCGGAAGAATTCTGGGTTGAATCAAGATGCTGCGACTGGGGGACGGCAAGCAGGTTATCGTCTGCAAATGGAACTCGAACATACTCAGCTGAATACAAATTAGCTTATCGATGAGAGAACGGGCGTGGACAGAAAAGAACCTTGGCAGCCGGTTGTTCTATAATGAACTTCTCCAGTGACCGGTCTCATAAATGGCGAAGTTTCCTGACCGGGATAATCCTCCAAGATCTGATCAAGAATGATGACCTTGTCATCAGTGGAGAAAGAAGTGACAGAGTCTCCAACATCGACAACCACTCCCAAAGCCTCGTGTCCCATCACCCATGGCACCTCTTTTTCTTTAAATTCGCCGTTATAAGTATGGATATCCGCAGTACATATCCCAGCTAAGTCAACCTTGACAAGAGCATCCGTCGAGGAAATAATGTTTGGAATAGGCAATGTGGATATGTCAACTTGAAAAGGAGTCCCATTCCATGTGATGGCTTGCATGGATGTGACGTTCAGGACCATGATAAGTGAAAATGAGGAATGGAGAGGTATGACGAAACGCAATTTGGGAGTGTTGAGGGAATCGGATTTAGAGCAAAGTCTCTTCAGTTGTATCTCTGCAGACTTTGGGAGAATTTATAATTCTATGGGAAGACTTACTTTAAAGCCTTGTGGATAAAACCAAGCTTGAACTCTTGGTCTAAGCCACCCCATACATTTTGTTAATTCTTGGGGGCACACATACCCACCTTGTCTATCCCTGCTAACTTGTCCAACATATGCTCTTGTTAATGTTGGTTTCTTTTGCTATAGAAAATGACTTGCCGATCGCTATCTCAGCAGCCTTATTGACCAAGAAGGTTTGATTATTGTGATAGGTTATTGCGATAGCCTCCGAAATGTATGTAATCGCTATCAATCATCATATATAAGGATGTAAAAGGGAAAGACTACTCGAGGATAGGCATCACAATTCGGTGAGGAAGGCCAAGACTATTTGACTTACAAATGTCGGATGTCTCGAGGAATGCCATGCTAAGATCTCCCGATAACGGCTAGTCAGGGTCAGCAACTGGCATTAGTGTCATCTTTGGTGCCTCTCCACACCACCGATAAATGGCGTGAGGGCTGGACTTAAGGGTAAATCCAGCCAATGAAAGCGTACTTATCACGACCCGCAAAGGCCCACTGTCATCATCCCCATTCACAGATCCAAGGCTCTAAAGCCTTTTGTCCAAGGCTGGGCCTTCGTCACGTTGGTCATTACCCTGGCTCGTGCTGGCCTCGAAAATCTTTACTACCGAGACTAGATATCCCAAAAACTTATCCAGCGCGAGTAAGCATAGAATATAGGGAAATGATATTCTGGTCGATCGGGTTGGAGACTATTATATCTAGGACCACAAAATCAATCACAACACGCAGATTGAGCGCGCAGAGAGCTTTTCAAACATCTTCGGTGCCTTTTGAAGAGATATTTTCTTCTTTCGTTGGCGTTGCTTGCTGGCTGTTGGTGTCGGCGGTCTCCGAAGTTCCTCTTAATTGGTTTGCATCGGATACACGCTTGGCTCCACTCCTCTTGGCTTTGATAGTTCTCCATTCCATAAATAGCACCGGTATAATGGCAACACAGCTCAAGCTGAGTGATATATACCATGTATGGGCTATGGCACGATTGTATACTTTCAACACTTCAGAAAGTAGAGACGAAGAAACCATTGTTCGAAACTCAGTCGCACCGGCGATCGCGATTGCATCGGCCTTTTCTGGGCCCAGTCCAGGCAAATTCTCTAGGCCATTCTTCAGCGAATGGCTGAACACAGTTTCGGCTACCTGAAGGAATATAGTGCCACCAAGTTGTTGGCCAAAAAATATGATCGCGATTCCGGTGGATATATCCGGGGGTGGAAGCACAGTTTGCGCGGCGAGGATTGGTTGCTGAATCCCCAGCCCCACACCAAAGCCACAGAGGACTTGAAGTCCAATCCATGTCGAGTGGGCTGTGTCGGGCTTGAAAAGGTTCGTGAGAAGCCCAGTCCCGACGCCAGAGACAACACAAGCGCCAATCATTGTGGGGACGTAGTAGCCAATCCTTTGTGTGACTAAACCACCGAGAGTAGCAGCTGTCATTAGGCCAAGAATGAAGGGTAAAAATGAAAGGCCAGCTTCAACAGGGGAGTCTCCCTTGATGGCTTGAAACCATATTGGAATATAATAAACCAGTAGCACCATTGACGGGACGAAGCTGACGGAGAACAAAAAACTAGAAAGGATGCTGCGTTGGAAGAAAATGCGCCCAGGGACAGTTGCATTCTCCTTTTTCCAAGCTTGAACTGCCAGCCAAGCAACCAATGTCAGGCCAAATACAACCCACAGGCCAATTATACGGCCGTCATTCCAGGAATAGGTAGAACCACCCCATTGTAAGGCCAGTATCAGGCAGACAACACATGGTATGAATAGAAAAAGACCGTGGATATCTAGCTGGAGAAGCTGTTCGGTTATTGGCAAACCGTCTTCCTGCGGTGGCGGAGTCTTAACAAGAAGAAAGACAATGACGATAGAGACGGCCGCAAAGGGCAGGTTTATATAAAAGCACCATCTCCATGAGACCTGCTGTGTGAAAGCTCCGGCGAGAATTGGACTCACAACAGAAGCAATTCCCGACATATTGCTGAGAACTCCAGTGTAGACTGGCCGTTTTTCCAGAGGGACAACATGGACTAAAATTTGCATGACCCCGGCCAGAACACCAGCTGAACCAGCACCGGCAACTGCTCTGCCGATTATCAAGGCTGTGGAATTTGGTGCAGCCCCACAAACGGCAGAGCCAATCTCAAACAGCCCGATTGCAACGAGAAATACTTTTTGTGTAGAATAGAACTTGTATATCCTGCCATAAATAAGTTGGAAGGCACAGTTCGTGAGCATGTAGGCACTTCCATACCATCCAATATCATCGATTGAATCTATAAGAATGCAAATTGTCAGCCAACTCTGGTTCGTTGCTTTATTTCTTGTGATATTTTACTGACGGAATTGGTCCGTAATACTAGGGATGGCGTTTGAGATGATAGTGCGATCCTATAAAAGCATTAAACCAATTCTGAGTATGTAATCCGTTTCAATCGATCCCTTTTTGCGTACCAGAGAAACCAAAAACATTGCTGTTATGCTTGAGGCCATGATTGTGAGCGCTACCATGGTTGATGAGTATTCGCGATCTCCATTGCTGGTGGACGCCTCCGGGCGAATTGTTTTGCTTGCCCCGGGCAATAGTTTCTGCTCATTATTCGCAGTCATTTTCAATAGAGAATAAGATGAGGAACGGAAATAATTATGACTAGATTTTTTCCGAGTACAGAACGCTCTCAATTTATGCTAATGAAAAACGACCAACTTTCCAAACATGATCCGTTCCTCCGTTGCGATCCTCCGCTCCGTTTCTCCATTCCTTTTAGGCGGGATCTCCCGAAAGCGACGAAAGGCTCGGATCATCAATCATCCACTAAACAGTAAGTATTGTATACATCGATTGACGTCCAGGGTTTCACCTTCCATGATCCCGTCTATAATATCTATCATAAATACTATGCGCGACTAAATTTCTAGACAATCGCACTAAATTTTCGGTCCTGCGCCAGCCGAGCAGCAACCAATAATACTGCTCCAAGGAGCAATGACACCCCAGAAAACAATGAGAGCGCGAGATAAACGTACTTTTCTACTAAAGCACCACTAATGGGCACATTTGCCATAGCACTAGTGAATCCAAGGTTATTGATCATCCTTGAAGTTGAAGGAGAAGAACGTGACTTACGAGAGCGCAGTGGACCCACAGACACTTCCAATCGCAAGGCCTAAAGTGGATGGGGTAGCAACCTGGGCTGCACATGCTTGCTGAAGTGATAAAATGCCCTGGTGTCTTCTGTTAGTTATGTAGTGATCTAGTCAATTCAATAGAAACCTACCCCGGAGGCGAAGCCATATGCTGCTGACCATATCCCGAGGCCTGCTACCGAATTCACCTTTGTCCAGCATAACGCAACGATTCCGGCAGAGATCGTTGCTAGAATACAACAATTAAATTTCCCATATTTGTCTGCTAGAATTCCCGGAAGAACACGACCAAAGAAGGAGGCTCCGTTCACTATTGAAACGGTGTAAAAGCCAAAGCTCGATGAGAATCCTTTCTCAACGGCAAAGGAGGTTGTGTAAAAGAAGGGCGAGAACATTCCGAAATAAATGATTAACATTGCCAAGCACAGAAGTTGCAATGCAGGTTGTCGAAACAGTGCACCTACTTCTTCTTTCCGATTTATTTTCTTGGCTCGGCTGTCATCGGTGTCTTCACCTTCGGTCTTCTCTGAATCCCCAGTCTCGACTCTTTGCCGGAGCTCTGAAGGTGACTTGGCAACCTGGCAAAAGAATGCTAACAATGGAATCATGATAAAGCCAACAATGCGCATCGTCCACGGGAACCCGATCCTCGGGTTGTTCAACAGTTTGTTGATAATTATTGGCCAAATAACTCCACCTAAGGATGACCCCGCGATAACAATTCCCATTGCCGCCGCACGTTTGCGTTTAATATACTGTCCGACAAGGGCCAAAGCTGGCCAGGTCACGAGTGACATAGAGATTCCGAGAAGAACGCCTTGCGCTAACAAAAACTGATAGAACTCTTTGCAAAGAGATGTCATCATTATAGCGAAGACAGTTCCAATGGATCCGAAATATGCCATCAACTATGAAAGCTCAGTCAGTGTTTTCCCGTATAGAAAATGGACGGGACATGTGCACCTCAGGACCGAATATATCGAGCATGGTACCAGAAACCACAGATATTGCGAAAAGGAAGAAGAGGGCCATGGCCCCAAGCCAGGCAATAGTTGACTCGGAGTTATTGGAAAGTTGATTTTTCGCATAGTATTCTTGAAAAACTCCGAATGAGTTAAGGAAGCCAACACTGCAAAAGACAGAGGAGAATGCTCCAAAAATAACGAGCCATGCTCGAAGCCTTTTATTCAGTCAGTCATGATCCGGAAGATAGCTCGTGCCTAGATATCCTGACGTACGTAAATTCAGAAGATTGAGTTTCTAAAGAAGCCATGCCTTGTTTATACCGTGGATGGACCGAAGAAATTGCGCATATATATATATATAGCGAGTTTAGAGGTATATGCGGCCGGCACAGCGCTTTTTTCAGACTCAGGAAGTGAAAAGAGTAGATCAATATTCCGGGCAGGAAGAATTTTATAACTGATTCTTTTTTTTTGGTATTCCTGGAAATCACAGAGTCCCCCGGAGGCTCCGAGCTCGTCAGCACGCGGCTCATACAGAATACAGTCTGCAGTGCGCGACCGGAGCCGAGCGCGGAGATCGGTCAGTCCGCGGAAGCTCCGGCCCTCACTGTTGCCTCGCCCTCTTTACCCCCTTACGTTCGCACAAACCAGAGTTCCATCGCAGGGCTCAATGAATCTGTCGGGTCGTTTAATCACATTGATGGCTCATTAATATCATCGAGCTCGAGAAAATAAACCCCATGAAGCGCAGAATACGGGAGGGAACGTCCGATTCTCCGAAGAAGCACCCAAGACAAGATCCTGTCTCGTGCGCGTCATGTCGCAAAAAGAAGCTGAAATGCGACCGAAGATTCCCCTGCAGCAGTTGCTCATCTCGAAGGTTAGAATGCAGCTATGGGGATTATGATCGAAGACCTGAAAGCCTCTCCGTGAAAACTGGCAGTCAAACGGATGCGGGTCATCCTTCAGACAACCGTGCTGTATCACCGTCTCGGTCATATTCAACGGCACCTGTCGAGCCTATACCTCGTAATAGAAATAAGGATGATCCACTCGCCACTGTACATTCGCTTGAGACAATCATTATGGGACACCGAATACCATCTGCTGTGCCTGCCAAGTTGCGAGAGGGACTATCGAACCCCCATCGTTTACAGCCGTCAACAATGCAGCGGAGAACTGCATCTGATGCTCTGTTGAAAATGTATTGTGGCAGCAAGCTCGCATCTCATGATAACCTGCTACTATTGATCTGCCATCATTTCTGCCGGCGGAGTCAGAAGCAATTAGTCTCTTCCATTATTATTGCCAGCACATCGACTACCAGTATCATCTTATCATCCCCAGTCGCACCGAGCAAGATATTCAGAGCTTATACATCAACGCTGCTAGGGGTGCGCCGGTAAATCTAGGTCATTTAGCTCTCCTATTCAGCCTGGTCTCAACTGCATTATTTCTTCAGCTCTCAACAACCGAATCATCCGAGGTCGCAGAGGCTTGTAGCCGAGAGACAGCGTTCCTTGCTGGAGCAGCACTGATCCAGAACAACCATGCATCTTATCCAACCATTGAAGGACTGCAGGCAGCTCTGATCATTGGACATCATTTGTCAAGTCTCGCCCACAATGCCACTATTAGCGCTCTATTCATCCATGGGACACTCGTCAGCCAAGCCAAGAGCCTTGGACTGCATCGGATCGACAGTCCGCAGTTTGCCATTGGACATACATCAAGACACTGTGATAGAGCCATGCTTGAGTTAGAACGCCGATTATGGTGGGATCTTGCGTCTGGAGATTGGCAAGTATTTAAATCAGTTGAACCCGAGATATTTTCGCTAATTGTTGTGCATCAGGCTAATGAGTTTCCTGAGCGGGCCTCAAGAATGGACTTATTCAATTCAACCACAACACTTCAACGTCAAAAGGCCGTTAAATATTGATGATGTCGACCTCTTCAATGAAGTAGGATCGCCTATCACCACCCCAACATGCATGTCCTATACTCTTTGTCGGTTGAGACTGGCTGAAATTTGCCGCGAGATTGTGGACGAATCCGCTCCTTATTATCTCCAGGGCCAAGAGGTACCCTATGATAAGGTACTAGATTTGGACCTAAGATTAAATCAGGCACATTCCGAACTCCCGCTATACTTTCGTTACGATCGATCAGCGGGGCAAAATTTCGCGACCCTTTACCAGGAGCGCCCGGAAATTGCTTGGCAACGAGCCTTTATCCAACAAGGTTATTATGCCCGGTTCTGCCGCTTGCACCGACAATACTTTGTACGTGGCGCAAAGGATGCAAGATACTCATACTCTCATGTTGTTTCCCTGCAATCTGCGCGAAAGGTGCTGGAGATAAAACGCAGAATGGATGAGGATCAGCCTGTTTCTTACCCAAATAGTTCATCATTGTGGGCGGTGATGCACCAGGTCTTCCTCGCAGCAGTCACATTGCTTATTGATGTGTGTTTCAACTGGGATGATATTCTTGCTGATAGGCGGAAAGAGGAAGTTCTTAGCGCGTGTCGATTATTGAGCCGAGCCCAACAAAATTCACCTGTTGCACGCGAAGGCATCAATGCGTTGATGGACATTCTGCAGAAATACTGGAAGCAAGAAAAGAGGCCATCTTCCCGTGAAATGGTCATCGAAGCTCCCGCTTCTCCTGATCTAGATACCCCATCTTTTCAGGATGGAGCAAAATTGCCGATATCCAATACCATGGAAGCTGGTAACATGATATCCTTCCCCAATCATCCTCAGAGTACATCTGTCTCGCATGAAGCCTTTAATATTGGAGATTCTGCGATCGGGGTGATTCCTTTGGAAGAGATGTGGACTGAGATGTTAGATGATAGCGCGAAAGTCGGATTAGGCACACCCGACTGGATGGACTTGCTGACTGAGTTAACAAATGCGCCTGCACCATGCGAATAACCATCTCTTTCTTTTCTGAAGGTTTGATGGCATTGTTTTGTCCTAGTTACTGCAGTTTTACTTCAATGACAAACAATCCCTGTAACGCTGCAGCCCGTCAGCGATGAGGCTCCATGGTGCGCGGCTTTGAGATGTTTGTGGCGCTCCTGAGAAGCCAAAGACAGCCTCGACCCTCTTGGTACGTTGGAAAGCTCAATTTTCCTATATCATCTTGCCAGGGTGGATATGCATGTAGAAGATGTCATCTACTCTTCTTCGGAATTCTCGGCGAAAATCTCTCAGGGTACGACGGCCTTGTAGGAGACTTTGTACTGGCTGTTGTTGAAGATGCCCATATCAATGGGATGATAATCAGGGCCTCGGACGAACACTTGTGGCCTCTCAACATGGTTGCCATTTCGCATGCTATCTTCATTCCTCACAGTCCAATATGATCAAGAACTTTAGCTGTCATTATTGGTCACAACTGCCAAGCAGGAAGAGCAGGGGTTTGAAGATGGTCGTCTAGATTATTCCATCGCAAAGATTGTCCGCCAGATGGATAAGAGGGATGAAAATATCCAAGGGAAATAGACGTATGCTACAGGGCCATATCAATGAGAAGTCTGCTCAGATGGGGGCGAAGACAGCCAAAGAAGATTGAGTCTTACTAGTTACCCTCCACAAATTCCAGCTATCAATCTTGCATGAGAGGCGATGGAATATATATTTCGTCACATGGTGAAAGTAAGCCATGGTTCGGTGTTCAACCTGGCCCAGGTCCGGATGATGCCATAGTGATGCAGCCGCTATAATCTAATCTTTTTCAGGATGGAAACTCCACACCAACTCCAATGAGCCTCTTTCTGTCAAACTCCATTGCTCACGATTGCTAATGCAGTATTTACGACATTATGCCCCCTCACAAGAAGAATGATCTCCCATACATCCACCGCTATATTACAACCCACAGCGCAGACGGCGAAGCAGTGTTTGTCTCCCATGCCCAAGTACCCGATTATATGCCATCTCAACCCGCCGGCGAAGATGGCGAAATCGCACTCCTATATGCTACGGAGAGTGTACCTACGTCGATTGCCGATGAAGCCGATATAGCGATGTACGATGAGTTTCTGCACCAGCCACCTGGTCTCACAACGGGCACTGGAACAGTCTTCCGGATGGTCGATATCCGACCAGGAAAGGTAACTCCAATGCATCGGACGGTCAGTTTGGATTACGGGGTAGTTGTGGAGGGCGAAGTTGACTTGATATTGGACTCCGGATCTAGTCGGCTTCTGCGACGTGGAGATGTTTGTATACAACGAGGGACAGCACATGCATTTGGTAATCGAAGTCAGACTGAGTGGTGTCGCATGCTGTTTGTATTTTTAACGATGGAGAAAATTACCATCAAAGGTAAAGAGATGGACACAGAAATATACGATGAGCAGTATGATAAACCTGAAGAAAGATAGATGCAGATAGTTCAGTGTTAAAAACAGCTACGGCATGTCGCATGCATTGAACTCTCCCGTTTGTACCCTAGTATCAATCATTCCATGGTTTCCAGTCAGAAGATGGATTCATCATTCAACGGTAACTTCAACTTTGGTCTTGTCTATTGAAAGCAGTGATCAATGAGAGCTTCGGCAAATATCCAAAGTCAATTCTCCTTACAAAAAGCGATGTGGTCTTTGATATTTAATGCTTTCTCGTAAGGCTGCGAGTAGTACCATGCCGCATCTTGAATGGTGCCATCTGCGGTTCATCCATTAGTAGTTCACTCATTGGTAGGTCCCTCGAACCTTTTGTAGATGTAACAGACCTCCAGTCTCTATGGAGTAGTACTCCGCATGTCCCTTCCAGGGGCAGAATGTTTTCGTGTCAGAGTGTACAAAAGAAGCTTTGTCTTTGACTGACGATGGGGGGAACTTTGGTTGAAAAAATTCAGCATAATATTAGGGGTTTGAGTTCGCTGTACCCACATATACATTTCCTTCGACTGTTTCCCAAGCATCGGCCTCGGCCAAGATCAAATCACCAATGCGAGCCCTTGCAGTTGGCATCTTGCTCAAGTATTAATTCAAGTATCAACCTTTTCGGAAAGCCTAAACGAGGAAGGAATCGATAAAAGATGAAAATGAAGTGATGCCAGCGATGCACCAGTTGGCTGACAATGAGGTCACGGGTGCTTGAAGACGCGGGGCGGGGAAGCATACATAAGCATCTCGGATATGCGGGTGTCATATTACAAATAGGTTCTCTGTAAGAACGGTTAATGGCTCGTGTGGATATTGATGATTCGCCAAGCCGAGAGATCTCTTCATTAGGCAGAGCCTGGGACTCAGTATTTTCGCATGCTTGATGTCGTTGTGTTTATTATCCGTTCATTTTGTTTGCTCGGTAACGTAGAGAGTTGCACGCTATTTCGGCTTCAAATACCCCGCCAGCCGATTGTCGGACTTGATCCGAGTAGATATTACCCGGTAGCCATCCCACGCGGAACAATCCAAGTTTCATCTCTCACCGACAAGTATTTTAGTGAATAATGTCTAAGACCAGCACGGGGTCTTCCCAGAATCCTATGTAAGATCGCATGGTTCCAGCTGATTTTCCTCTGCTAATTATGACAGGAATCGTGTTTTAGTGACAGGCGCCACGGGTTTTATTGGCGCCCATGTTGTGGACAATCTGTTAGCCCGCGGGTTTTCAGTCCAGGGAACCACCAGATCTACTCAAAAAGCAGAGCACATGAAGGCCGCGCGCCCCGAATACGCTTCGAAGCTGGATTTTGTGGTTGTAGAGGATTTTACAAAGATCGGCGTCTTTGATTCTGCAGTGGACGGAATCGATGGAGTTATCCACGTCGCTAGTGTAAGTCTAAGCTATTGGTGGCCGCCGTATAATCAACCAGTTCTCATAAATGAACTAGCCCTTTTTCTATGACACGACAGACAATGAGCAAGAGCTCATTCTTCCCGCTATCAACGGCGTCAGATCAATCCTTGCTGCATCAGCCAAGCCCGGAAGCAAAGTCCAGCGCATCGTGCTGACGTCGTCCTTTGCTTCGGTGGTTGACATCAACCGCTGCCATCCTCCAGGGTTTACCTACACTGCTGCAGACTGGAACCCTCTGACCTACGAAACAGCAATAAGTCGTGAATCGAGCTCTGTAATTGCCTATCGTGGATCCAAGAAATTTGCCGAGCTTGCTGCATGGGAATTTATCAAAAACGAAAAGCCGCAATTTGATCTTGTGGCCCTCTGTCCACCAATGGTCTTCGGCCCGGTCGTCCACCCAGTTCCTGATGTGAAACAACTCAATGAGTCGAACGCCGATCTGTGGAGCGTAGCTGCCGGTGCTGACCCTCTGCCTGGCGCTCGTGTCCCTGCGTGGATTGACGCTCGTGATCTTGCTGAGGCGCATGTCCAAGCCCTTCTTAGACCTGAAGCAAGCGGGAAACGTTTCATTCCCGCATCTCCAGAGCCGTTCTCCTATGGTTATGCTGCAGACATCATCAAAGGTGAATTTGACTGGGCCAAGGATACTGTAACAAGCAACTACAGGGCCGGTGAAAAGCCAAATGCGCCATTTGGTGTTGACGGAGAAACAGCATCTCGAGAGCTCGGCGTCACATACCGACCTTTCAAAGAGACAGTTATAGATTTTGTTGGGCATGTGAAAAAGCAGATTCTCTGAGCCATGCTCTGGGTTAAGTTTGTCTACCTAGAAGTGTTAACCAACGCCCATAATTGAATATAAAGAATATCAGTCAAATCGGAATCGGTATAGACATCAATTGAGCCAATCCTCTCAAATAATAGCACTTCCCTTTACAACAATTGCGTATACTGTAGCTTGTATATGTTGACCAATATGAAACGGCATTATGCTTGCATCTTCTACTCGTAGCCCTCATGCCCTATGCACTCGTAAACGTTCGTCAACCACACCCGCATCAGCACTCTTTGCTCTTCCCTTGCGCCAGTTCCGACCGCTGATATGTCAGCTTTATATTCATCTACCTTTTTTGAGGCACTTTTTGAGATTTTCCATTCATATTAGATCCGATAGTCTCGCCATAGATACCCGGAACGGTGTGATCGCGCCGCCATCTTTGCCGTTTACAGCTGAGGGGCCGGCTTGGATTACCCCCACCTTTACTTCGAGGGTCGTCGCCGAGACGGGTTGCAAATACCAACCCTGCGGTGTCTCCGACAATGATAAAGTCAAAGGAGATCTCAGATTAGTATCTAAAATGTAGATCATAATGGGACTAAAGGATGCTTGAGATCGGGAGAGACGACGGGTTGCGGTGTAGAAAATACATGGTGAAAGTTTCCTGTGGCCTAACCTCTCACGTTCAACGGTCTTGATTTCAAACAACTTCTAATAACCAAGGCGGTAATCACTCAAACCGCCTGTGGTGCTCTCTCACGGCTCAGGTGAGACAACATCTGTACTATTACTGGAGTTGTAAATCAAAAGATAGCAACCTAGCTTTTGAACCAATGCGGGCTTGATACAGAAACTAATGATCACAATGGCAATTCGTTTCCTTGTCAGAGAGAGATCGGATGACCATGGGCAATTGCGCTTTGGAAGCAATGAGTGATTAAACTATCCATTCGTCTTCAAAGCCAATATGAGTTCAACCACTATCAGCTGCCATGCCTTCTGAATCAGCCTAATTTTTTCGGCAACAGCTGGATCTCTCGGGGTCATCAGTTCTTCTTGCGGGAATTTTTACATCCAGAGCTCCAACACCCCCATACAAATAGAAAATAGGGGGGTCAATGTGGTAAGCCGAGAGAGAAAAAAACTTTTTCAGCCAATTAAATCGATCGCTTGTGTGGTTGCAGTCTAGCTTCATAAGTAAGATTATATTACTTTCAATACTCTCTTATTTCCGCCTCATCATTTCTATTCGTTGAAAATTCGTCGAGATGTACTTCTACAGTGAGTGAGAAAAGCTTGTCGCATGCCGCGAAATCAATTAGGGGGAGGCCACCTGTATTATTTCAAGTTCCACAGGTTCCCGCTGTGCCCCTTTTCTAAATATAGGAGGTTTTGCGCGGCCCCTATTGATTCCGGCACTGATTAACGACGCCGCTAGCTCCGCACCCGCGATTGATGATCGAATCCGCGTCAGTTGATAATTCGTGCCAAGACATTCGAGTCTTGTGCTTGGGTCGAAGGGGGGTCAACCAGCACTAGAATCCGCTCTTAATCGTACTCGCAAAAGTTCCTTCTTGGATGGAGGACTTTCGAAACAAATCCCGCAGCCTCTATCAATTTCCCACAACGTCCCCCCCGCTTTCGTGTATTTAAGAGGTCGTCATTTTTAACACTCGTATTTCGCCTATTGCCCCTTTATCTGCAGACCGATTTTTAGGTGACAACAGGTCTGCAGTGGTGCAATTGCAAGCCTTGGGACAGTTCATGATGGTAGCAGAGGGAAGCCTAGCGAGGAATCAATACCTTCAGCAGAACAGTCCTTACCCAGATAATTCAAGTTGTGAAGAAAATGCGGCTCTCATCTCAAACTGCGGCTCGGAACGCAACTTTGGTGGTGACAACCGCTTCCAGGAATGGGGGTTGAATCGTGGGTTTATCTCTATCTCCATGGTATATGTATTTCAATGGAAGCTAAATCTATGATGACATCCATGAAGAACAAGCCACGGTCGCACAGCCAAGGCATAACATTTCTCGACAGCTCAAAAAAATCTTCTCTAAAGATCAGCCAGGGAAACTACCAACTTTTCCCGCAGAAACCCCAGGATGCGACATTTGTGATAATGGCCTATTGGCATTCAAGCACCACGGCAAAGTTCTCCTAAAGCCAAGAAACTCTGTGTCCATCACCTTTTCAATTGCAGCAATTCTCCTTGCCATTCTCGATGCCCCAGCTTTCGTTGTCTTCGTCAGCAACTTGATCGCCATCATTCCATTATCAGTCACCCTCACGTTTGCGACCGAAAAATTAGCACGCGATCTGGGTGAGACCGCCGGTGCCCTTCTCAACATCAGCATTGGTAATCTAGCCGAGTTGATTATATTGTAAGCCTGTATACCTTCTTCCTATGAGAAACTTTTGTCCTAACATTTGGATTAGTATGTGAGATCTAAGTTTGGTTTCAAACTCCAGTCTCGAGCTTACACTCCAAATCATAGTACGGCGTTGATGAAAAACAACATTAGAGTTGTTCAAGCTTCGCTTCTTGGCTCAGTTCTGGTCAACTTGCTTCTCGTCCTGGGCTCTGCAATCATTGCAGGAGGAGTGATTTCCCCTGATCAAATCTACAACAGCGATGTGACACAATCGTACGTAGGATTGCTGAATCTTACAGTGTCATGTTTAATGATTCCGGTCAGTTAATGTCATCCATTGAATTTACAACACCATTCTCTGACTGTCGTCTTTAGAGCGCTTTCTACGGGAGCGTGAAAAACGTCCAGTCAGCAGACCATATGGCACTGGCCTTCAGTAGGGGGGTATCCGTCATTCTGTTAGCGATCTATTTTCTCTATCTCTTCTTCCAGTTCAAGTCCCACCCACATCTTTTTCGCTCCCGTGCGCCAGGGTTCCAATTCGAAGAAGCAAACAATGATCAGAGAATGTATGCGGCTCCATCAGAGCAACGTTATTCAGATGTTGAATCACAACGGGTGTTGCCCGAGATCACATCCAGGAGGACATCCTTCGAGAGAGCTTTTGAGCCCGTTTCGTCTCCTCCGTCGCCCACAAGTCCATCCACAGCTTCTCCTGATATCCATGTTGATTCCGGCTTACCCATGATCCAAATTGACTCCATTGAGAGAAGTATGTCTCACTCAGCTACATGGAAGCATGACCGAGGAAATGAAATCGCCAAAGACCAGGACTCCCACCACTGCAGAAACATGGTCCTAGCGAATCGAATTATTTCATTAGCGCTTTTGATCAGTTCCACGGCTCTCATCGCCATCTGCGCCGAATATTTTGCGTCCAGCTTTGCCATTCTGAATGAGAAGGGCGTCCTCGGCGAGTCCTTTGTTGGCTTGATCGTCATTCCCATCGCAGGGAACGTGGCTGAGAATGTAACGGCTATAGTGGTCGCAGCGAAGGATCAGATGGATCTTGCAATCAGTGTTGCGCTTGGCTCGGCCATTCAGATTGGGTTGCTGGTCGCCCCTATGATTGTACTGGCTGGCTGGGTCCTGGGCAAGCCGATGAGTCTGCATTTTGATTACTTTGGAATGGTGACGCTTGTCGGCTCCGTCCTTCTCGTCAGTTTCATTATCCTCAAGGGCAAGACCAATTATTTGGAGGGCGCCATCTTGTGTGCCTGCTTTGCGGCGATATCGTATGTCTTCCACATCCGCGGTCCTCATGAATCTCACGATTCTTCATCTCGAACCGAACAGCTAACGTATCTGGTGCAGTGTTGGAGCATTTCTGTTGCCAATACTTTGATTGACGTAACGAAGGAGCTTGTCATCTCTTGGCCGTGTGCTGGATTCACACGATACTGCATATTCTCTACCGCTTTCTGATCTCTTCGAGGATTGAAAGTCTACCTCTCATTTAGCATCAGCCTCAATTCTGGGTTTTTGAGGTCAAGCCTTTCTTTGAGAAACTTTCTTCTCTGTTTTTAATGACGGTTGCGAGCATCTTTACGCTTTTGTTTTTCGTGGGATAGCAACTAGTCACATACTCCCACGCTGTACACTAGTCCCAATCGGCAGCACAATCGATATAAATTTGCTTTTTCTGTCTATGCGGTATCCACGTATCCACGTTAAAACGGTCCACCGGTAGCCAGGCTGAATATTAGACCTCCGGATCTTTAAGCTTGTTTTTTGTGTGACCTTTCCCCATCAAACTAGACCGGTTCAGCTCGTAATCAGGCTGCTTTTGACTGGTTGGTCCCCAATTCGACTGGGGCTGACTACATGTAAGACCTGTCACATCCTTAGTTTTTTGCTGCTGCTGTCGGCGGAAATTCCCTGCCGGTGGGCGTGTCAGGAGTGGCATGCACGAGCGGGCTTTAAATCGAGCCCACCGCCATTCCCCGCATGTTTTCCGTTCTTCAAACGCCGTGCCCCCCATCCCGAAACACAACTTGCTCCTCCGACCGAAATGACGACACCTAGCGCGCTCCGATTGGAGCCAGCAACTTTGGAAGATATCCCAGCCATTGCCGAGCTATGGTTTGAGGTCTTCACAGATCCGATGATGCGGCATCTATTCCCTCCCACACCTGGGGTGCGCCAATGGTGGGAGAAGGCGAACCGGGATGATTTCATCAATAAACCATTCCAACGATACGTCAAAATAGTCGACCCAGAGTCGAATAATGCCAACGGTCAGCCGCGGCTCGTTGCATATGCGAAATGGGACCTCGCGATGGTTGCAGAGCGAGGCAGTCGGTTTCCGCCTTGGCACGAAGACCAGCCTGCCGGGGATTGCGACAATTTTTTTGGCAGCCTGGAGAAGGAGAGACAGCGTGTCATGGGCGATCGAAAGAATTTCTGTCCGGGCTTCCCCTATCCCCCCCCACCAGCCTTCCGACGCTAGAGATTTCTCTTTTGCTAACAGTCGCTTGGACTAACAGACCTGGACATGCTGGGCACGCATCCTGAGTATAGAAAGCGAGGTGCCGGCTCAATGCTGGTCAAATGGGGGTGCGACCTGGCTGACGATGAAGGAGCAGGGGCATATGTCGATGCCAGCAAGGCTGGCGCTCCACTGTATGAGAAATTCGGGTTTGTGGACCACAGTCAGCCGGATACTATCGGCATTGCTTCGATGGCACGACGATAGATCCTTGTATTGTTGGTGGGGCAAGGTATTTCTTGACGTTTTGCAAATATTAAACCGTATAGATGCAGGTGAATTGCCTAGATATGAGGAAAATCGATTCAGAAATCGCAATAAGCAGAGAATCCTGCTCTATGCCTTCATCATCGCATTTACCCTTATTCGCAAACTTGCAACGCCGTACAGAGCTTTCTCGGTGCAATCAAAGGATGCTTAATTTGTACTCAGCAGCTAGTACTAGCTCCTTCCTTCGTCTTCCCTGGGTACTTTTGTTATACGACGATACGCCTTCCCCGGCCGTACCTCCTAGAGATTAAGAAAGGCAAGGAACCGGAAACAATCTCTACTTCGAGCAGTACCTCTTGTCCTCGAGGCTGTATTTAGCGAAATATCTTGATAGAACGTGATACATTCGCTTGGTCACAGTGGGCTAATTCCTTTCCCCTTGCCAAGCACCTCCACTCTATTTCATCCCTGTCGGCATTTGTGAATGGTCGACAGCACCCCAGAATAAGATTCAGGCCGGCTCAGACAACCTCGAGGTTCTAAGTATAACTATCTCCTCTCTTCCAAGCCTCTGGAGAAATAAGCGGTAGTCTTGGCTATCACATAACCCCGCCCAGTTTGTTTTGGAGTAGCCCTTGTCGATCGATAGTTTCTCCTCCAAAGTTTGATTGGCTAAGCCCGGCCAAACGGTGGAAGGGATGCTATTTTTCTCAGACAAGCGAAGATTGCCCTCACAGGGGAAGCTGACGCCGCTCCAAGACAAATATGCATGTCAGCATATTATAATTACTTCGGCATTCAATGGTTCGGCCTTCCGAAAAGCTGATAGTAGAGCCCTAGGATACATCCTCTGCATCATTTTCCTGCTATAGGTGGTGGCATAGATGCAAAAATAGGATCGATAGGGCACAGTCCCTTTCTACGACTCACAGCCAAAACATTGGCCATTAGGCATTGAAATCCAAGAACCGGTCACCATGCAAGCCCCTTGGCTAGGTGGAGCCTATAAGCCGTGCGTCATGCAGATGGTCTTCCATCGGCGACCAGTCACAATCGCGCGAGTTCGCAGGCGAACTCAGATGCCAAGCCGCGGCATCTCGAAGTTTCGCCCCAGAGACGTGCACTTCACCCGAAAGCTCCAGACCACCGCCATTACCAAGCAACATGGGCTCGACCAACTTCGCTTCAAGCAACCCTCGCCCGCTGAATAACACGCCAATGGTCGCCAAGACGCAAACCCACCGGCCGGTGTGCTCAGATCGGTCTTCTGGTCTCCCGGCTGGGTTTTGTCTCCGGCTGAAGACCGGAGATCGGCGTAAGGCCCGGGGCTGCGATATCCTGACTGGTGGGCTTCGGCTCAATGACGATCGCCTCCATGGCCTGCTAGTCTTCTCACACTACTCTAGGAAAGTGTGCGGTCCAGTGCGCTTGAAGCCTTTCCGGTGCCAGGACTGGTTCTGGAGCTTCTTTCCAGTCCCGGCGGAAATGGGGATCATGACCAAGTACACGGAACATATCGCACTTCTGTACGACCGCGAGTCTGTCTGTTGATTACTGGCGAGGGTCTTTACATCAGTGGGCTCCACAGCATCTCCACCTCCCGACGGGCAGCCCAGTCGCGTCGCACTGTCAATCAATTCTAGGCCAATGTGATAGAATAATCATATCCTGGTTGGAGGGCCTCCGGTCCCGTGCCTGGCCGCCCATGTGGTTGGTGCCTTTGGTCCTACATCGTCTTGGAGCTGACAAACAAGGCTAATGCACTGGCTACTGCAAGGTGACTCTGCCCGCAACGCTAAGTTCAAAGTTTCATGTATGGGGTATAAAGGGAGCTCCGAACCTCCTTTGGGGCTGGGTGATGCTTTGGCTGCTTGTGCCGAAGGTAGATTCTTAGACGCGCTGGATTTCCTTTCACGGCCAATATGATGCATGGACTTGCCCTTTTCATGGGCCTTGTTGGCATTGCCAGCGCGGCATGCCCTTACATGGCCGGTGAAGTGCCTGGTCTGAGTCGTCGCGATACTGAAGATGCCGCTGCCGATACCGAAGACTTCCTCTCGCAGTTCTACCTCAATGACGAGAACGCGTTCCTGACCTCGGACGTGGGAGGTCCCATTGCAGACCAAAACAGCTTGAGCGCGGGCGAGCGTGGACCGACGCTCCTGGAAGATTTCATTTTCCGGCAGAAGATTCAGCGGTTTGATCATGAGCGAGTACGTTGTCAGCTCTTGTCCTCAGCATAACAATAAATTGATGCATCGATATATCCATTTGTGGCACTCTCGCTGATGTATATCTTCCATAGGTCCCCGAACGGGCTGTGCATGCTCGCGGCGCTGGTGCCCACGGTGTCTTCACCTCGTACGGTGACTGGTCCAATATCACCGCTGCTTCGTTCCTGTCTGCTGCCAACAAAGAGACGCCCGTGTTTGTCCGCTTTTCCACCGTTGCTGGAAGCCGCGGAAGTGCTGATACAGCACGAGACGTCCATGGCTTTGCGACACGCTTCTACACTGACGAAGGCAATTTCGGTATGTTTCGGAAATGCAGATTAAGCGGCCTTCATTCTTTTGTCTATGTGCTATCTGACACCCTATTGCAGATATCGTAGGAAATAACATTCCCGTCTTCTTCATTCAAGACGCCATTTTGTTTCCAGACTTGATCCATTCGGTCAAACCTCGCGGTGACAATGAGATTCCGCAGGCGGCGACTGCTCACGACTCGGCCTGGGACTTCTTCAGCCAGCAGCCGAGTGCGTTGCACACTCTTCTCTGGGCGATGGCTGGACACGGTATCCCTCGGTCATTCCGCCACGTTGATGGCTTCGGCGTCCATACCTTCCGTCTGGTGACTGATTCCGGCAAGTCAAAGCTGGTCAAATTCCACTGGAAGTCGGTACAAGGTAAAGCGAGCTTTGTCTGGGAAGAGGCGCAGCAGATCTCCGGGAAGAACGCGGACTACATGCGTCAGGACTTGTTTGATGCTATAGAAGCCGGGCGCTACCCCGAATGGGAGGTACGTTTCGGCCCGGTACAAGCTCCCTTCAATGGCTGACACCTGTATAGCTCGGTGTTCAAATCATGGACGAGAGTGACCAGCTCAGATTCGGATTTGACCTGCTGGATCCGACCAAGATCGTGCCTGAGGAATACGTCCCGGTCACCAAGCTGGGCAAGATGCAGTTGAACCGCAACCCTAAGAACTACTTTGCGGAGACCGAACAGGTCATGGTAAGCCCAACTGTCTTCCACCTTCTCGGTATCTGCCACTGACCGATCTAAGTTTCAACCGGGCCATGTGGTTCGCGGTGTCGACTTCACCGAAGATCCTCTGCTCCAGGGCCGTCTCTTCTCCTACTTGGATACCCAATTGAACCGTCACGGTGGCCCCAACTTCGAGCAGCTTCCCATCAATCGTCCCCGTGTGCCAATCCACAACAATAACCGGGATGGAGCAGGTACATAGCATCACCCTCCTCGTCTCCCGAAGCATATCCTGCCTCTATCTCCAACTGACTAAAATCAATCTCTCTTTAGGCCAGATGTTCATCCCCCTTAATAAAGATGCCTACACACCCAACACACAGAACAACGGCTCTCCGAAACAAGCCAACCGAACCGTCGGCAACGGCTTCTTCACCACGCCCCGTCGCACCACCAGCGGCACCCTCCAGCGCACCGTCAGTTCCACATTCGCCGACGTCTGGTCCCAGCCACGACTTTTCTGGAACTCGCTTGTCGCTGCAGAGCAGCAATTCGTGGTTGACGCCATGCGCTTCGAGACTGCCAATGTCGCCAGTACTGTCGTCCGCAACAACGTCATTATCCAGCTGAACCGCATCAGCAACGACCTGGCCACTCGCGTCGCCCGCGCTATCGGCGTCGCCGCGCCAGACCCCGACCCCACATACTACCACGACAACACGACAGCGCACATCGGCGCGTTTGGGCGCAAGCTGTTGAAGCTGGACGGCTTGAAGGTCGGACTGCTGGCGTCTGTGCAGAACGCGTCGTCGTTGGCACAGGGCACTGCACTCCAAGAGCAGCTTTCGTCTGTAGGGGTGGACGTCGTGGTTGTCGGGGAGCGGCTGGCGGATGGCGTGGATCAGACGTACTCCGCGTCGGACGCGATCAACTTTGACGCCGTGCTTGTGGCAGATGGGGCGGAGGGGCTGTTCAGTGCTCGATCGTATACGGCGAAGCCATCGGGCGCAAGCTCGCTGTTCCCTGCAGGGCGTCCACTCGATATCTTGGTCGATGCATTTAGATTTGGTAAGACCGTTGGCGCGCTTGGGAGAGGCGCTGCGGCGCTGCGGTCGGCACAGATTTCCACTGACCGAGAGGGCGTATATACTGCCAAGAACGTTGGAGATGATTTTGTTGATGATGTGAAAGATGGGCTACGCACTTTCAAGTTCTTAGATCGGTTTGCGCTGGACAAATAGTGGGTTGGATGCGCTGTATTGTATGTGTTGAACAAGCCATCTATGCCTTGGCTCCAGCTCGGGGGCAACTGAGCTTTGATATATAGTAGTTTTGAATTTGAACAAATTCTGAATCCTGGGATTGTAGCTTGAAATAGTTCGTATCATTGAAATCATGAAATTGCAAGTTATTAGGCTCGGGGGCCTGTGTATGTACAGGGACGTGTCACTGATCAAGTGATTTGTTTCTTTCTTCGAAGGATAATGTGCCCGATCTACGATTGCGACTGAAACTGACGACGCATAAAGGAGCCCATTTCAATCCCCGCTGCAGCACGCGCGTTTAGTTTTCTTTGGGTCGCAGAAGAGCAGTTGCCCTGGGAGCCGGTGGTGCTCTGCGTCCCGCTAAGAATCACCCATTCGGCCACAGTCGCACCTGTGCCATTCTGGGCCTGGATATCAACCTCCTCCAGACCTTGGTTACCCACAATCAAGAGGGAAGCGTATTTTGCCGCCGGGACAGGGCTGCAGAGCGTCACATTGGTAGTGTTTCCTGTAGGGATGGCAATTGCATCCAGATTTGTTTCTGAGGTGTATGGATCGGAAAGGGTGACGTTGTGGAGAGATGTAATGACTTGATAACCGCGGGAGTCACCCGAAGAATAGGCCATGCTAGGATTGTCAAGGGTCTGGTTGTGGAAAATTACGGTCGCATTCACGGGAGGAGCTTGCGCCCAATCGAAGTAGAAGCCCGAAACCATTGAACCAGCTTCATCCCCCAGAGAAACAGTCACCGCGCTCAGGTTCGCAGCCAAGCTGGGCTGCCACTTCGTTGAGGCTGCACCATCCACTGCGGAAATGGGGAATTGCCCTGGTTCATATGAATCTGCTGACTGAATAGGCTGGCATTGCATGATGTTACCAGCCACTGTGTTTTTAGAACCAATCTGTCGGTTGGGAATAACGATAGAGCTTCCAGCAGGGGGAAGTTGGTATGTGGTACTGTTATTGTCAGGACCCGCAAGAATCGTGATCGAAGTGTTCGCGAAGCGCTTGTCTGCAGTGTCCAGTGGAGAAGCTCCAGAGGCACGACTGATTGTAGTATGGGTATAATTAGACCAGGCCGAGATAGGCCAACCACGCCAGTAAAATGTGCGGTACTTCAGATATGGAATCTGTGGTGGTAGATTGGGGTCTACATGTAAGTAATTATCAGGGAGTAGACGCAGTCCTAGGTAACCAAACAAAGCAACCTGGTTGGAGCCACCATGCCCAGTCAAGAAAGGGAATGCTGGATGTGTTCCACCATTGGTGGTCGCATTATCGATCAATTGTTCTGACATCTGGAAAAACGGGGCACGTGTATAGGGGCGGTATGCGTATTGAGCATAGGTATAGGCAGAGCAGCCAGAAGGTGACATCTCATTTGCCACAGCCGAAAAGATGGCCCAGGTCATGGCAGGCCCATCGGGGGATTGCTTGTTGGCATACTATCAAATTCTCAGTTTAGTCAGGATCTAGTAAAGCAAATACAGTGCGTACTCACGTAGTCAAGATCATTGAGAGAGTCCTGGGCAGTGTAGTTGGAGGTATAATCCAGAGGGTATGTATTCAAGACCACATCGGCTTGCTTAACAGCAGCGCTTCCATTCATGGTAGTAAACTCAAGAGTCACCCCGTTCTCCCGGATGACCAGGACATTATCTGCCATCTCATTCCAAGTTTCATTCTCTAAGAGACCGAATTGCTGGCGGAAGGTATTCGCATAGGTTAGGGTTTCGGCGATGAGTGGCATCGTGAAGCCACCAGCATCAACGTTATTAGCATACTCATCCTGAGATAATATTAGTGTTTCTTCTTATGCCAACATTAATGTCTGAGAAAGACTTACCGGATCTGTCATGTTCTTCAGAGTCCAGGAAGATCCGTTCCGCACCAGCAACTCCGCATAAAGCGTGGCAATTGAGTCATAGATGGGGAAGAAGCTGGTTTTGAATGTATCATTGTCACCACTGGTCACCCATTGATTGATCATCGAAAGACCAATATCGCCGTTCAGATGATACTGATAATCCCAGCAGGGACCAGTGGCCGTGCAATTGCCAAATCGCCCACTAGTCCAGGGGAAAATGGCTGCCTCGGAAGTAAAACGGGTCCTGTTCTGAGATCCAGCAGAGGAGGTTTTGATGTTCTCCTTTGCCTGTGCATACATATCCAAGCGATAGTTTGTGATCCGCTGAGCAGCCTCAGGGTGAGAAGCAGCAAGACCAGGTTGCATCCAGACATCGGCATCCCAGAATACTTGACCCGCGTACGAATCAGACGTCAATCCGCCCACAGAAATGCTGTCCCGGTTCAAATTGGTATTGTTAGATTGCTTAATTGCATTCTTGCCCACGGTATTCTGCAATAGATAGTATGTATTGGCCACAGCGATCACGGCAGAATCGATTATGTGCGTATCCGCGGGCAAAGTGCCATTATCTGGGAACGTATAGTGATCGACAGAATCCTCAGGCATAACGCTTGCCCACTCAGTAACATGAGCACGAAGTAACTTGGCATAGCCAGTTCTCATTGCAGTCAGAACGGCCTGTTTGGCGGTGGTCTTCGGGTCTGTAAAAGCATCTGTGGATGCTGCTCCAACGTACTTCGTGACTCGCACTTTTTGGTTGGCTTTGAATTTTACAGGCACGGCCCGAGCGATAGATGAATCGTTTTGGCTGATATATGGTTTATTGTTGACAGGCTTTGAGGACAACAGATCCACTCCGGAGGACGCTGTCAAGTTGGCATAAATATAGGCCGTGACGTTGGCGATGCCACTCGGTCGCACAGCTGAGTAGATCCCAGAATGATCGTGGCCACTCTCAACAAAGTCTGTACGCACAGCAGCAAATCCTTCGAGGACGTTGACCACTTCTGCAGTCGCATCCTTCGAGGGAATAATTTCCATGTCAACCACGGCTTGGTTAATATAAAACTTGTTAACGAATAGGCGATATGTGATCTGATAGGAGCCCATGTCGCCCGTTGGCGTCCAGGTGTATGACCAAGACAAAACGCCAGCCATGAAGTCATAGACAGACTCAAAATCAGAGATAGTTGAATTATCGACGGTCGCATCAAGATAAGTCTCGTTTCCAAGATCCAGGATCAACCCGCTCCAGTGCGGAACACCGCTGATGACACTGTCACCGCCGTATTGAGACAGCCATCCAAAATTAGACTTGTTCGTGTTGGGTTGAGAATCAAAGAATCCGCTGATAGTTGCGAAGGTCTGCCGTCTGGAAAATAGAGGCCAGCCGCTAATCACGTCACCGCCATCCTCTTCCTGGTCTAATTCAAAGAAAGGACCAGCACTTGCAACGTTGATACCAAAGTATCCGTTGGCCACGGAACCTCGAGTCTGGAAGCGGCCTTGCTCCAGATTTGTCGTGGCAAGGCGCCAGTTATTTTCGTCCCAGGTGACTCCGTCGAAATCTGTTTGGTATACATTACCAGTGGCATTAAACCCCGAATCATACCCGCCATAGGCTTTCATGCATCCACCAATGCGCCGAGTGGAAGAGGTCCCATTCACAAGGACACTGAGGTGCAACAGCAGTGGCAAGACTGCACTGGTTATAGTCTTCATTTCCGTTAGTGCCTGCATTATATGATGCAGATAGAGAGAAGAGATTTGCTTACTTTGATCTGCATATTGCGGTGTTCCCACCCAAGGCAGGGAGGCAGACTTCAAGTAGCTTTTTGGTTGATATATCAGCCGAGAGCAAGTGTTCTCCAGCTTATTTATAAAATTGTATCACGGTCGATGCGGGGGTGGAAAGCTAAAAAGGAAAATTGTGGGTTGGTGGAGTTCTTAGCTGCGCCTTGAAAGACACGGACCGTGGAAGCTAATCAATCCAGTGTGCCCCTTCGGCATTGAAACCACCATGCGAGTCGAGTTGGCCGATCCAGGAACCATCTAGCATTTAACAATCAAGTCTCGCTCAGGCCTCCGTGGATTCGTGAACTCTGTGGGGAAGCAATCAAAGTTTACCTCCTATGCGTTACAGGCAAGCTAGTGTTGGCAAGTTGCAGGACCGTTCAGGGCAGGTTATACGAGCAACAAGACTTGGGTAGTGGAGTCGGCGAATCATGCAGCCAAGACGGGGCAATCGAATGTCGTATGAGGCTGGCGGCCGGGCACCCGTTGCTTTTATTGTGGCGGCGCCGGATCAACCGGTAGCGGGGAAAGTAGGCCATTGACCATGACGATACCCGCGGTATGTCAAAGCCCCCATTCTCGCCGTCCGCTCGATGCCGAAACTTTCCCTGGGCCGACTGGGCTCGGACGACTTGGCAGCCACTGAATGTTGGCAGCCCATGTAGGTATCTCGTCATCGATTCCGAAAGAGTTTGCGGCAGAGTTTATGTGTGGGGAAACCCCAGGTTGACGCGGTGGCTGCGGACCCGCAAAAGGCCCGACAAAAATCCGTGGATGGCTTACCCGGAATGGCAGGTGCATCGTGCGAAGTCTGGCAGGTGGATCAGAAGGCTGGAGAAAATGAAAGCCATGTCCTTCGTCGAGGGTCGCGAAGGAAGTTTGGATTTCTGGAGGATGTCGGAGGAGTCGTGCTGTCTGATGCAACTCGAAAGCGGAACAGAGATTATTAGCCTCAGGCATCAAAGTCGATGCGCACGCAGCTTCTTCGTCGGTTTGCCGAGAGTTGGAAGCAATTCAAAAGACAGGTTGATGTGTACATTCAAATTTTTTTTTAAAAAAAAAAAAAAAAAAAAAACCCCAAAACAAAACAAAACACAAAAGACTGTCCTACATGTTTGGCACGGTACTGAGTACATTGGACTGTTGGGCTGCGAAACGAGGCATGGCATCCTCAATATATTAGCCACGACATCTACGAGCCGCGAAAAACGCAAATAAAAAATAAGTCATTATAAAACGGATTATCCGCTGGATAATATGCTGGATATTCAACATTGAGTCTCGTCCATGTTCCAAGATCAAGGTCTATCCCTGTAGAGCCTCAATTGCCGAGACTAGCAGGGAACTATATCTTAGATCGAGATCAGTAGATGTTCCAGATTCCAGGCGGATTCAGATAAGCATATCCGGCTTTACGCTTCTATCAGATGATTGCCATCCTGCTACACATTTTCATCAGTCGGTATCCGGCGTGTCTTCTCCTTCCCCTGGTATGCGAGAGCCGAGCGAGAGCCGATCCGAGATCCGGCTATCGATTTTGATCTAGGCGGGGCAAGTAGTACAAAAGTACATATCTACCAGTTGAAATATCTTAGAAATGAAAGAAAGCAATCGTTCCTTTCTGTCGATCTTTGAAGGTCCAACATGTCTCAAGCCACAATGAAGCGACCGAACTTCCTCATCATCGTCGCGGACGACCTTGGCTTCAGTGACTGCAGCTGTTTCGGTTCAGAAATTCAAACACCAAACATCGATTCTCTTGCTGCAGCTGCGGGAGGAATGCGATTTACGTCGTTCCATGTCGCGGCTGCCTGTTCACCTACGCGTGCTATGCTCATGACTGGAACGGACCACCACTTAACTGGTCTCGGGCAGCTCTCAGAGATGGTTCGGAATTCACCAGCGCATCAGGGTGCGCCTGGACATGAAGGATACCTGACCGACAAAGTTGTTGCTATCCCAGAGTTACTAAAGGAGGGGGGCTATCATACTATGATGTCAGGAAAGTGGCACCTAGGTCTCAAGAAAGAGTATGGGCCGCACATGCGAGGCTTCGAGAGGTCCTTTGCATTGCTTCCTGGATGTGCTAATCATTATGGTATGTCTCTTGAACTAGCTTTGATCGTATGTAGTCGGACTAAGTAAAAATATGTAAATATAGGATATGAGCCACAGTATGAGAATGTGCTGGAGGAACCACCGCGTTTCTTTGAGACTGCCGTGACGGCGCTTCATATGCAAGACTCGGAGTATATCAGCCAATTGCCAGATGACTTCTACTCATCAGACTACTATGCCAGTAAACTGGTGGACTTCTTGTCAGAACGGTCTATTGATGAGCGATCGAAACCTTTCTTTGCATATCTTCCATTTTCAGCGCCGCATTGGCCACTACAGGCCCCCAAGGCATCGATGGACAAGTATCGTGGTCAATACGATGATGGACCAGAAGCTTTACGGCTTCGACGACTGGAGAGGCTCAAGGAGCTCGAGCTAATTGCACCAAATGTGGTGCCTCATAAAATTGTCACCGTGGATAAGGAGCCGGTAGAGTGGGACAAAATGTCAGCCGAGGAACGATCTAAATCCTCCCGATCCATGGAAGCTTTCGCCGGTATGGTAGATCGTATGGACGAGAACATTGGGCGAGTCATTCAGTACTTGAAAGAGACCGGGGAGTATGACAACACTGTCATTTGCTTCATGTCAGACAATGGAGCGGAGGGCGCCAGCTACGAAGCGACACCACTGATTGGAGACAACATTGTCGAGCATATTGAAAAGTACTACGATAACTCATTGGATAACATTGGCCGATCCAACTCCTTTGTTTGGTATGGAAGCCGATGGGCACAAGCAGCAACAGCCCCATCCCGGCTGTATAAGATGTTCTCAACTGAGGGAGGTTGTCGAGTGCCGCTGGTCGTGAAACCTGTTGCGAACCAGAATGCTGGTGGCCGTGTTGTCGACTCTTTTTGCACAGTCATGGACCTTGTGCCGACGATCCTGGATTACGCTGGCTTGCAGCACCCAGGAAGTATGTATAAGGGAAGACAGATCGCCCCGGTCCGAGGAACTAGTTGGAAGCCATTTTTAGATGCCATGGCAGTACCGGGACCATCCGATAAACCAGGGATACTAGCCATTCATGGTGAAGACCGTGTAACAGGCTGGGAGATCGCTGGCAGTGGTGCTCTCCGCAAAGGCCGTTATAAGATCACATACGTCCCTCTACCTCATGGCCCACAGCGCTGGGAATTATTTGACATGATCGAGGATCCTGGTGAGACAACCGAGTTGAGTGCAACGTTACCGGATATCTTTAATCAACTACTCAAACTCTGGGCCATATACGCGGAAGAAGTTGGTGTTGTGGGCTTAGCTGGGGAGTGGAAAGATAAGCATCTTATTCAGAGTGTGCAAGATGAATTCGAAGATACTGGGCGTTGGATTCGATTTATTGGCAAAAAGGACGTTCCTGCAGAGCTGGAAGACAAAATTCCGGTTTCGAACGCTGCTTTATAAAATATAACTCATCTAAGAATAGCCGAAATCCCATGGGTCCCATGTCAAATAATTAGAAAGATCATCCGCCATTTGCAAATATGAGTCAATATTAGGAACAAATTCCTCGCTTGTGGATTGAAGCCCTCCAATGCCAAGAGAAATTTGGTCCAGCGGGACTACTGTAGAATCGGAGGCGCTGAATAATTGCCTGTCAAGTCCCTGCGTGCTAGAAGAATCATTTGATGGCAAGACAGTCAATTCCGAATTTGAATCTCTCCTATGTGGCCATTGGATCTCTTTCCATGTCATTCGATAAAGGGACAACGGGTGAAGATGATGGGTTTCAGGCAATTGATCGTCTCCGTAAACGCGTGGAATACTGGATTACTTAGTTTGATAGAAACTTTCTTTGCAACTTGAATACATACCTGCTGTTCCTCGCTAGCCATTGGCTTGCAAGCGTCGGAAATCCAAAGTCCTTCAATATCTTTGCCAATGATGCCAACTAGGGATTCTTGTTAGATGATATCCGATAAGCAAGCTTTTCAAAAAACCAACCAATGCATCCCGCTTCTTATCCCAACCGAATATTATGTCCAAGGCTGCCAAGTTGACACTTATGCTCCGTTCCACGGCGTCAATGGTTAGGTTCATGCAGGTTCGAGCATGAATGACTTGGATCTTTGACGATTCGTAGGCGCATATTGCACAAATCAAATCAGTAAATCCCTTAGGTCCCCGGGTCATCGCCCCCTCAAGGATACTAGTGATCTTTTGTGCATGCTCAGCGCACTGACTCTGGAGATGCTGCATTCTTTCCGGTTGGATTTTGGAAATTTCTGTAGACAGAGGAAACCGATACCCTGGAAGTGCCACCCGGTACAGGTCACAGAAACATTGGTTGTAGAGAAGATGAAGCGCATAAAACGCTGGTAGCTGGTCATTTTCCTCGTGGACATACGCATTCATCTCGTTCAGTTGAAGATGTCTTGGGAAACTTTCACCGCATTTTTCCAAATGGAATATCAGCTGGTCGAATTTTGATAGAGCATTAGATCCGGCTTGGCGAATCAATCTACCAGCTACGTTAGCAGCCAACCAATTAGGTTCATGTTCTTTACTAACCGTAATACTTGCTTGCGTAAATACATGATATGCACAAAGTAAGCCTCAAGACATAAGTTTGTCGTCCAGTTCAGCCCTTCCAGAAACTTCGGGCCCTCGTGGAGAGTACCGGTGTCGCACTCAATCTGTAGGGTGAAGTCTCGACCAGAGCATGGTAGGCGTGTAGTCGGTATGGAAGCCCAGTTTGAAATCAAGTCAACTCCTGAGCTGACATGGACATCCAGTATATAGCATGACCAAACGAGTCTGCGTCGGGCTTCTTTTTCTGCGGTGACTAATTCCTCTGGTATTCCTACCAAACTGTCTGCCGTTGGTTCGGAGTCTAGTCGTAGCAGCTGTGCAAGGCGTGAGCAAATGCCGCAAATCATAAAGGCAGTGCTCTCTTGTCCAAATCTCATGTGCCATTCGCATAAGAGGATCAACGCCTACATTTTGTCAGGCTATACGTTACTCTCAGTTCTGAATCTGTGGACTTACCATAAGGTTCAATATACTTGGCCTTCTCAAATTGAGAAATGCCTTTTCCTGGGCCTTTTCTGCCCATTTTACACCAGTATTATTGAGAGGATTTTTTGAACTTGAAAATCTGTTGTATAGGGGTTAGTATGACTGTGTGGACATACAAACATTGGAAAATACGGACATACCTTGCCCCAAAAGCGCAAATAATGCTCACCAACGTCTCTCCAAATTCCTCCATCAGTTCTCCTCGATCCAGAGACTGCATAAAAGACGGTTTATGCACAAAATTGAGGCACCGCAGAGGGTGAATGTTGACAAAGTATGCCTCCGCTAGTTGCCTAAGTTGATATCGGTCCTCTGGGAGCACCGAATTAGACAACCTAGATGAACATCAGTACATCACGCGCATTAACATGCTGTCTATCAACCAACCATTCGATATTACTAGCATTACCCATGGCCTGGAGCTGGGGAGATAAAGCAATCGCAGATGGTTGCAATGCCTCTCTCGTCTCTGCCTCGGCACGACGCCGTCGTCCATATTCATATGGATAGGTACAGTGAATAGATTTCGATGTGCATCGCTCACAGCGAGGCTTTCCACGATTACATCGCATTTTCGACATCTGACACTCATGACAAGCGCCTACCGCACGTCTATGTCGACCTGCATGGCGAAAAGCGTCATTGACGATCGCATGCCGCTCCTGAGGAGTCACACTCTCCTCAGATAAGCCGGTGCATTTCAAACCCATGCGCTTGCATTGAGCGCAGGGACCGGTTGGCTGGTCGCATTTCACCTGATGGGCTCCTGGTCAGTATTTACGGGAGGGCAACGCCTGTGGCGGAGAGAACCTTGCGAGCTTTGCAGATTAGGCATCCTGAATATGCGATCAGAATCAACAGCGCAGATACCATTACCAAATCACTTACCTTGTCTTCCTCTAGTTGAGTTAGGCATCTTTATACACGCTATGGCTAAGAAGGAGAATTTTGGGAATGTCAGAGAAGCGGCTGGGCCCAAGCGACATCCGGCGAGTGGAGACAGCTAGCACAGTCTTAGACTAACCTCCGACTACTTATTGACTAAAAAGCCTATCCAGATAAAAAGGCACATATGCTGGAATTGCATTCAAAGAAGTTTAAATTTGGGGAAATGAGCTATAGCTCTAAATTGAAGCTATGTTCAATCCAGCTCTGCCAGTAGTGGGTCACAGTCATTTTCATGTCCCTCATAATGGGCTTCTTGGCGTCGAACCGGCCAGATTTGTCTGTTTTGATATCCGAGAGCGATATAGTCAGTAAGTACTATACAGTCTTGCGGGGCAAATAGATGGGCATGGAACTTCACGGATCTTGCGAGAGCCGGCCGTCGAGACGGGAAAGCAAGCAAGAGTCCAAGCTCGGGCATGAGAAGTCCTATGAACTCAAGCAGAAGCCAAGGTTCCAATTTTTCGGGAAATGGCAAGTCGTCTATTCTATTCTGCAAGCTTTGCAATCCGTGGACGGTGCCCTGGTGACTTCAGGGATAGTGTGATGCCTTTCGGGGTCAAGAATACCGCAACAGGATGAAGCGGCATGGATAATCGTGGGTCAAGCATGTTCCGTCGCGATCATGCGGCTCATCCCTCCTCTTCATCACTCATATTCTCATCGTCAGAGCCGACATGGCCGTTTTGTTGTCTCGGAGAGGATGCTGTATTTTGTGGAACTGTCCGACTTCGCCTCCGATCCATCGCCATGACAGCCCTTTCACCCACGTACTTGTCTCCGGGCCAAGATTTCTTGCATGTAGGGCAATCTTCTGCCTGTTGCATTCGGAAGAAGTTGCGCATACAGTGGTCATGGAGTCGGCCGGAGCAATCACGTTCGCCACAACGTTGACCCTATAAGTTGCAGTGAGCTACTTGTATTTCGCGATCTTACTCTGAGTCTTACTGATGTAATGATTTCCCGACAGGCCGCACAAAACTTGATGCGCTCAATCTTTCGTCCATCGATAGCCTCGTCATTATATGTCGCGACCAACCAGCCGCGCAGCTCCATCAAGGCTCTCGGAGTTAGGCTAAAATAATCCTTGCGACTTTTCTCCAGCCAGCCTTCTTTGACAAGGTTCTTCATCATATCTTCAGCCTGAGTCATGGACAAGCTCTGTGCCGCTCCGCCTTCAGAAGGCTGTGTCCCAATGTTCGTTGATCTCTGTCTGTCGCCAGAAACCCTGCTAAGGTTCAAAGCGTCTATTGAATGAATGACCATGCCTTCGCACAGGCGATTATTCTTTGTAACAAACATGTAGTCAAGAATGCGCTTGACGAAAGCGATCTCATCGGCAGAGTAGGTTGTTGCAAGTTGGGTCATAGGGTCACTGGTTGTGTTGACGAGAGCATATATTCGCGTCGGTGAAACCTCCTGCGCATCTGGAGAGTCATCCTTGGAGTCCTGGCGAAGAGAGCTTCTGATTTCGAGGTCAAAGGGAGAGATTGCGGTATTGGCCTGCGAGATGAAGGAGGAGAGGTGTTCCAAGGTGATATCGGTCGGGTCAACGTCGCGGTTTTCTGTCAGATTTTTATGCGATCAGCGTAGTTTCACAAGGAGGCCTGGCTAAAAGCAGTTCCGACTCACCATGAGCTGATAAAATCGCCGCTAGGACTGGCTGAGCTTGTTCCAAGGTCATGGTGGAGCGCGACATGAACGCCTGAATAAAGGCGCGATTGCAATCATTGTACTCGGAAGCATCCATGCTGCAAGACTTTATTATAGACGCCCTGAGATAGCTGCAATCAAATGATTCGGGAAATATGTAGCTCTTGTAAGTCGGGTTTCGAGAGGCAGAAGCTGTGGTAACGCGATTTGACGCGCTCGCGTGGGGTGCCAAGCCTTCAAAGAATTGGCGGAGACGAAGTACAATGTGTATCTACAATGCCACCGAATGGACTACGTATAGACTCAATATTTAATGCAGCATTTCAATAAATATATTCAAGAAGACTAACTCTGTATTCAGGGTACCCAAAGTGATTTCCACCAAGGGGTACCATAAGACATGTGCATTTCCCACAATTTTACACCAAAATAGGCATAATTTACTTCTGTTCATTTTGCCTGTATCCTACTACCAACTTGGGTTTATTCCCCTGTCAAGTCAAATCAAATCTAACAGTGGTTTAGAGAAATTGCTGTTTCCCAGACTTTTTAGTGGTCCAGTAAAGGCATGAAACGGCTCTAAGCTGCTTCAACTTGTGACCTTAGATCTGATTGAGAAGTAGACTCGGAGTTTATAGAGGTCTATATCGGCGGACAAGGGGGGAGAGAATGGTGTCAAATCTCATCATCGATTGTTCGCAGGATTGATATCATGACATAAAATACAAAATGCCAATCAGCAAAAGATAATGCCGAACCCCAGCCCCCAGACGCTCCGCTGCGCACAGGAACCTTGGAAGTGGAATCGAATCACCCACTGATATCGCCCAACGCCAGGAATTTTAAAAAACAATGGATAAAAGAAAACATTGAAATGAAAAAAAGAGACAGATTCCGCGCAACGCCTAATACCTCCGCCGAGTCGGCTCGGGGCTCGGGCTGCGGCTGACGCTGCGTGCATCGCGACCCCGTTCCTTGAGCCACTTCTTCATGCTCAATCGCAAATCCCGATCCAGCTCAGGGCCAGGATCCTTACGATGAATGAAGTTGCAGAACCCCCCACGCACACATCCTTCCCCGCTATTCAGTCGACAACAGGCTTCTCGGAAATCCGTCACGGGTGATAGCTCGCAGTATATTGGTCGCGCAGCGTACCAGCGGGAGTTCAATGCGTCGCAAGCGGCCTGTGCATCTTCTTCGTATTTGAATCGGGCGTAGACGTTGCCAATCAAGTCTGTCAAGGAAACAGCAGTCAGTAGGTTGACCAATCACCTAAGCGTTGAATTATCAGGGGGTTCAACTCACGGTCATTATTGTTGTCGCAGACAACCAACTCCTCGATTTCACCGTACTTGCACATCTCACACCATACGTCCTCGTAGAAGGCGTCGAAATGGTTCTGCAGTTGACTCGGGTTCATCTTGTTCTTGGGATCATAGGCAGGGTTTTGGTACATGTTCGGCATGAGGACGGTCTGCGAGTAGGAAGGCTTGACATGTTTCCGAGAGCAACGGTCGCCGTGACGGCATGCGCCGATCTTGTAGTAAAAGGAGCAATTGACCTTGTCCTGCTCGGTACCGAAAATGGAGGCGAGATAGTTGGCCATGGTGGGTGGACGGTGAAGTTTCCAATCGCTGTTTCAGTGGACTTATCGACGAGTGAGACAGGTGAAGCAAGCTGCAGAGATGAGGATGGAAAACGCGACGAGGAAAAGAACTGCAAGGAACGCCGGTTGCTTGGTGATATCGGATGCCTGAAGTTTCTGGAGAGCTTGAGTGGCGCGGCTGACTAAAACTGGGAGCTGTGGCCGCGCTGCGGAACAACCCTTGTCCGATGTATACTAGAGGGTTCTAGTAGAATGCTGGAATAGAATAGAGCTTAATAAAGATTACATGGTCTTTGCTCATGATGCATTTCTTCCCTGATAATCGCCTATAAGCCCCTACTATATTTATTTCGGTAAGCGGTCAAGGATTCTCAATCATAAAGAACCCTGTGTCGGAAATGTGCGGTGATTCTTCATCCAGGATATATATATTCACTCCTCAAATCCAATAGCAGACCGCTAGTATCTAATTGACTAAAACCTCGTTTTTTCAGTATACATTCTCTTTCAATCAATATTGAGATAACACTGATCTTACATCCGTCGTAAGTCCTCGGAAGGTAGGTTGATCTGAGCGAGTCTAAAGTATCTCAGGTACAGGGTACCTGGTTTTGAGATTAGTTTTTTCAATTGTTCGGGAGGACTTCAATTTGACGGCGAGACCAATATTGGATAATACGAATCATGTCAGTGTTTAACTCAAGATAGACACTCAACTTTAAACTTTGATCCTTTATGGAACGACGGCGCAGATAGGCAAGACCCTGGCAAACTTCAAGAATGCTCCGGAGGCCCCACGAGATTATTAAGCCCCGCATCAAACGTAACCTGGCACTCGAGGTACAAACTCCGCCCAGCTACCATTCCTGCAGCAGGCCTCGACTCCGAATCTAGAACATTACCACATTAGGCGTACTTGCACTCGCCATTTATTTAAACAGTGAGTTGATATCCGTTTCGGTCCCCACGGCTGAAAGCCATCAATACACTCATGGTCTCAATTTTTGAACCAATGGGAAATATCGCTCCACCTCTGCAAGAGCCGAAGGGCCTTACAGTGCTTCGCTTCGCTCTGCAATCACGGATTCTGCTTGAAGTCCGACTTCTTGTCGATCCTTTTCTTCAGCACATACCTTCCTGAATAATAAAGCAGCAGAAATTTGAACTCATAGCTGATTCCTAACTACAGCACAGTTTCACAAGAATGGCAGCCAAGACCATAATTGTCACAGGCGCTTCTCGGGGTAAGATGATCCTTGACAGTCGTTTCGAAATATACATTTACCAGTAACAGGCCTCGGTCTCGCCATGGCGAAATATCTGCTCTCAGCTCCCCAGGCCCACAATGTTGTGGTGGTGGCCCGCACCCTCGAGCCTCTGCAGAAGCTGAAGGAGCAGTATAGCAGTCAGGTTGAGGTGGTTAATGGCGACCTGGCAGATTTTTCTATGGCTCAGAAGGCAGTGGACGCCGCAATTAAGTCATTTGGCCAGCTGGATGGCATGATCCTCAACCACGGCATTCTCGGTCAGGTTGGCAAGATCGCTGATGCTGACATTGATGAATGGAAGAAGTGCTTCGATGTCAACTTTTTCAGCTTGGTTGCTTTTGTACGCTCTTCCTACTTCTTGAGATTGCTAAAAACAGTATTTATTGACAAATATTTAGACCAAGGCAGCGTTGCCCGCTCTGCGTGAGTCCAAGGGAAAAATCATCTTCACCTCGTCCGGTGCTGCCGTGACCGGCTATCCTGGCTGGGGCCTTTACGGAGGTACCAAGGCCACTATGAACCACTTGGCTTTGACTCTGGGCAGCGAGGAGCCCGAAGTTACCTCAGTCTCCATTCAACCTGGCATGGTGGACACCGAAATGCAGCGGGAGCTTCGCGAGGACCATGCCACCAATCTGAACGCCCAGATGCACGCCAAATTTGTAGGCGCCCACAAGGACGGGAAACTCGTCAAGCCGGAAGAGTCGGGCCATGTCATTGCTAAGCTGGCGCTTGATGCTCCCAAGGACCTCAGTGGTCGTTCCCTACGGTACATCCAAAAAGCTCTACTTGACATAGGATGATGCTAACACTACGCAGATGGAACAGTGAGGAGCTGGGGGCTTTCCAGGCTTAAGGAATTTAAAATATTGAGAATAGTTTTTTTCATTGTGGATAAATTATAAATCATTGTCATACGGATCTAGAGCAAACAGCAATCAGTATCGAATGCCATAAAATCCATGGGTGCAAGATTAAACAGTAAATTGGTTGTAATCAGCCGAAAGATGAAAAGCAGGTACATTTTATAAGCATCAGGTGCAGCGCACCTTCATACTTAGCATGGAATGTAGGATGATCATCATACAAGAAGGGTATATGTATTGAAGCAATTGACTCGCATACCTATGAAAAATATTCCATCGAGATGTGGTTCACATCGACAAGATCTGGACTGAGATCAGGGCCAGAGTCAACGAGGGTATCCTAGAGTCTTCGAGTAGATCAGCATGAATTCTTCAATAATCATGGGCAAAATGAAAGGTTGAAAATTTTCGATCAGCTCGTCCGTTTGGCTAGGACAGGTAAATCACCACGGTTTTGTATGATAGGGGCGACAACAATGTTCATCATGTAAAATATGCAAAAAAAGGTGCAGCAAGAGGATAGCTTACCATTAGTGAAGGGCCTTGGAGTGAATTCACATTAAATTTCACTCCAAGGTAGTAAAATGGTGAAAGCAGAAGGATGTAGAGAAAGAAGAAAAAAGGTTGGAACTCGCAAAAAAAATCCGAAGAAAAGCAGCTGTGGGCGGTAGAATTCTGCCGGCAGGAAAATATATTGCCCCGTGTCGCGGTCACGCCGGAGGGTCGACGTTTACTGCTTCAAACCTGGGCCCCACGCAGAACTTAAAGAAAACCCTGGACGGATATCCCATTGTGCCCTTCTCTCACTGTTGTTCTTAAGACGGTGATTATCATCATTCTATTATTCTGCTTGCATCACATACCAACGCTATGTCAGATCGAGAGTTCAGTTGTAGGTGCTTCTCCCTTGTGTCTTGGCGACCCGTGTATGCTGACATGTTGGGATCTTTCACAGCAAACGATGACCTTTCGCTTCCTAAAGGTATGATTGGACTGTTCCTTTGCTATCACCCAGACTGAGTTATCTGTATTTGATTTAAGGGCCACCTATAAACTCATAGGTCCCTTTATTTGCTGGACCACTGCGGATGACCAGGAGTGGGGTTCGAGAACCGTCCGACTAATTTTTGCCATAGCGACGGTCCAAAAAATCATTACAGAAATTCTTCCTCCCTCATCCGGCCAGACCTTCTCCAAAGATGCGCGCGACTTACTCATGGAATGCTGCGTCGAGTTCATTACCTTGATCTCATCCGAAGCGAACGATATCAGCGAGAAAGAAGCCAAGAAGACCATTGCTTGTGAGCATGTAGAGAAGGCACTCCGGGATCTTGGATTTGGCGATTATATTCCAGATGTGCTTGCAGTTGCAGAGGAACACAGGGAGCAGTTGAAGGTACGCAGCTACCATCCTCTTCAGTGTGATTCCGATTAGCTAACATAGCCCTTTGAACACCAGTCCCGGGAGAAGAAGCAGAGCAAGATGGAACAGAGTGGGCTCTCAGAGGAAGAATTGCTCCGGCAACAACAGGAACTATTCCGGTCCGCAACAGAGAAATACAATGCAGGCCCCGAGTAAATTGGCTATAGTCCAGAGAACTCATGCTGGTCATAGAGGAAAACAGACGCCGGGCGTTATTGCGTTCTTTTTTTATTTACTTTTTATGTGCTCTACGGAAGGAGTGACTCGGAGTTTGCTTTTCTTGGTCTTATTTCGTTCATCTTTCCTGGCGCTATACATCCAGGTGGACAAGCAACACTATATCTAATGACATGCCTTGCCATCTGATACATTTTGGATATCTATCTGCCTCGATACCTCTTGACATACCGTATGATATAGCAAATTGATCGAGTCTCACATATCCATGGAATGATTGAAAGGGCTGTTCTCGGTGCTTGCAAATATTTTCGGTATATACAAGGAAGTTGGTAGGTTGTATTCTTGTAAATGGTATGAACAAATAGTTTTAAGATGTCGGAAATCAAGTTTGTTCTTTCAAGTTCATTTGCTTGTCTCCAGGTTTCAACCCAACTGTTGGTCGAGCTCTCTATTGTGGTATCATGGCCTGAACCTTGAGGCCGCCACGCTTTCAACACCTCGACCGCCTCGTTATCACGTGATAGGATAGCAAACACCAAGTCAGTCGACACTAAGCCACAATGGGAAGGCACCCGTTGCCCTCTGAAGCGCAAATCGAACCGCGACAGTTCCGTGTATCCTGTCCGCAATCTTGACAACATGCCTCCCTTTAAGGATGAGCACATTTTGGTAGGTGGTATCTGAATATTTGCTGTCAAAATCTACACGTGAGCATTGAATCAGTCGAATTAACTTCCATCTAGTTAATTGCGCCAGGTTCGCAAATGACCCTGGCGCAGCTCGGTCTGCCCGAGACCTTCACACCCGCGCGATTTCGCTTCCCCACGCGTATGTTCCCTGGCGAAAATAAGGGAGAGTTTGAACCATACCGAATTCGTGAACGACGCCAGGAAGCCAAGGTCAGCAATGGCATCGAGACACCCAAGACGGAGCCTCCCAAGGAGGATGTCGAGATGAAGGATGCGGAGCCTGCTTCCCAGGATACCCCAGGAACCACCGATACCACACAGAAGCCCGAGCAAAAAAACGGCGAGGCAAACGGGGATGCTGCAAATGGGGAGGAATCGACCGAGAAGATTCAGGAGACAATCTACGAAGAAGATGTGGCCTCGGATGAAGGCGCTGTGTATCCGATCCAGAACGGGCGCATTGTTGACTGGCCCTGCTTTTTCGCCCTCCTGACTCACATCTACAATGCTTTGAGCCCCCCATTCCATACCCCGATCATGTTAATTGCCCAGCCGGTCTGGTCTGCACGCGATCGCGAGGCTATCACTCAATTCGTCTTTGAGAAGTTCAAGGTGCCTGCGTTCAGTTTGATGGATTCTGCGCTCGCCGCCTGCTACGGATATGGTGCACAGACTGCTACTGTTATTGATATCGGCAAGGGCAAGGTGGACGTGACTGCGGTCACAGATTTCGCGGTCAATGAGCATGGCCGGGGTATTGCTCTGGAGAAATGCGGTGGTGATGCAATGACTGACAGACTTGTCGAGCTTCTCGGATCTAAGGGTTTCACTCGCGAGATGTGTGAGCAGCTCAAGCGAAGCAACATCGCCGAAATTCTCTCGCCAGGGACTCCACTGCCTGGTGCAACAGCCACAGCACACCAGGGGACAAACCCTGCAGCTGCCGCATCCACAGGAGGCAACGACGTGAATGACTCTGCTCCTCGTGGCCCCGGTGAAGGTACTCAGATTGGCACCGAAACCAACGGGGAGGAAGACGAGGGTGTTTTGGATGTCGCTGCCATCGTCAGTGGCAACACAAATGAATATCTTGCCAATATGGAGAAGGAGAAATCAACGAGCAAAAAGCCCGGTGCTGACCCGAAGCAAAAGAATGTTCCCAACTACCAGAAAGAAAAGGCGTCATTTCAATTCGAGGAGTTTGTGCAATTGGAAGGCGAAAAGGCTCCTGTTGGCGGTTCTCGACAATACATTCGACAAACTCGGGAAATTGAAGTTGGCGTTGAGCGGTTCCTTCTGGCGACCCCTCCACAAGAGGCCGGAAACCGTCTGACTAACGGAATTCTCGATGATATTGCCACCCAAATCCACCATACCATCCTTGCAGTCCCAGATGCTACGAAGCGGAGCGAGCTATGGGACTCGCTTATCGTCGTAGGATGTGGCAGCAGAGTTCGAGGTAGGTTTTGTTGCTAATCTGTGTCATACTTGAGACTGATGCTAATATATGATGAATATATAGGCTTTACCCAGGCCTTGCTGGGTGTCATCACCCAAAAGTTCATTCTCTCCCCTTCCGGTACCATTTTTACATCTGAAATTCCTTCTGCATTCACAACTCCTCTCCCAACTGGTGGCACCAACACCCCGGCACCCATGGGCGGTCAACAGCCAGGGCCCATGTACCACCCGGCAGCCCACGGTGTGAACCCTCTTCTTGTCGCTGCCACTCACAACAACCCCGGCATGACTGGTGTTACCCCTGGCACCCCAGGCATGGACCCCACCATCTCCTCTCATCACCGCTCGACCGGACATTCTCAAACGCCTACCTCTGTTAAGACCCTTCGCCTTCCTGAGTACTTCCCCGAATTCAAGCATGAGGGGAACCGCAACGCACCTGGTGCCAGTGGTGGCCCCACTGCTGCCCAGAGTGGCCATGGCACCGAAGAAGCAGTATTCCTCGGCGCGCAGATGGCAGCCAAGGTCTTCTTTGTCCTCGACCAGGGTCTCACCAAGGGCTACATGAGCCGTGTCGAGTACAACGAGAGCGGACCGTCAGCCATTCATGAGTACATTGTGTAAGAGATTCTCAGTGAAGGTCACGGTTTCTACGAACTCAGCGCGCAGGTTTGAATTTGATTGATTGGCTACCTTTTTAGGCTGGGACATTTTGGCGAAGTGGGTTATTATGTTGCAAAGACTTTCCTTTTTTTGTACTCTTATGCTTTGATGCTCCTAGAAAAAGTTGTCTCAGGGCTTAGGTGCTGGATGTGGACTTGAGGAGTTAGTTTCATGTTCGATAGCCCCTGCTTGACTGACACTTCCATTCGAGATTTGGCTTTCATTTCTTCTGGTATCGCTAGTATTATTGTAGGAAATCGGTTTTTGAGTCTCGAGTTGCGTCACAACATGCCAATGATCACATCAGGCCTTCGATCGCGGGCCCACAGATAACAGTCACGTGACACTGGTTATCTCACCTCCGCGCAGCTTTCCGAGCCACCGCCTTTCGACATAATATCTTGTCACCATATTACTCTGGCTTGCAATTATTCCTGCGATCGATTAGATACCTTGGGTGGAGCAGTGCTGTTCTTGGTGTTTTGCCACTCCGAAGAATCTTTCCGACCTGTCCGCACCCACCCAACCAAACGGTAGACTATCTTCAACTTCCTCGAACACCTTCAAGAACGCGCTTCACGAATACCACCCGCCATCATGCCTCGTGCCGAAGCCGGAAGTGTCAAGGCGATAGGAAACAAAATCAAGAGCAAAGGATTGCAGCGTCTCAGGTTCTATTGTCAGGCTTGTGAGAAGCAGGTAGGGTGATCTGCTACCCTCTTTCACGGAGAGAATCTTTTTTCTGTCTTTCTCTTTCAAATAAGAAAACCGGCTGACCTGGCTCTCTATGATAAGTGTAGGGACCAAAATGCATTGAAGCAGCACTGTCTAAGCGAGTCTCATGTTCGTTTCTCCGACGTCCAGAGTCCCTCGAAGTCCGATTTACTAATCGATATCGATAGGTGCGCCAAATGCTCCTGATCAGTGAAGATCCGAAGAGCCATATCCGAAAATATAGCGAGGAATTTAAGACGAATTTCGTGAACCTGCTCAAGACTACCCATGGAGAGAAAAAAGTACATATCAATCACTTCTATCAGCAAGTCATTGCTGACAAAACCGTACGTCTTAATCTATCACTTGATGCGACCCCCAGGCATAAACATTGTCCCGAAAGCTAATCGAATGCAGCACATTCACATGAATGCTACGGAATGGAAGTCACTTACCCAGTTTGCCGCCTACCTCGGAAAAGAAGGAATTTGCCGCGTCGAAGAGACGGAGAAAGGACTCTTTGTCTCATGGATCGATAACAGCCCCGAAACACTGCGCAAGCGCGAGGCGGTTATGAGAAAAGAACGACAGGACAAGGGTGATGAAGAACGGGAGCAGCAACAGATCCAGGAGCAGATAGAACGGGCGCAGCTCAGCGCTGCCAGCGTGACCAAGGAGAAGGACGATAACTTAGAAGACCGGATGCTACCCCAAGAAGATGGAGAAAAAGTGAAGTTGAACTTTGGATTTGGTTCAAAGCCCAATGCGGACGCGAAGCCTGGTTTGCCTTCGGCCGCCGAAGACTCGGCTCCAAATGACTCTTCGGCCCCGACACCCACAGATGCGTCAACGCCGGCCGATGCTTCTCCCGCGCCATCGGCTTCTCAGGCTCCCGCTAAGATCTCGATGTCCTTTGGCGGACAGAAGCCGAAGAATGTGTTTGCCAGTGCTGGGAAGAAAAATCCATTGGCTGGCAAGAAGGGGCCTGTGTTAGCACCACAGAAGAAAATCAGTGAACAGGAGCGAATCATGAAGGCGGAGATGGAAGCAATGGAACGCAAACGGTCCCGCCCTGACTCTGGATTCAATGCTAAGCGACCAAAACTCACCTGAGGACATCAGCCGGGGGTGATCTACCTTCTTGCCGGATTCTTCGTTAGTTATCACTGGCGGCCGTTTTTCCTTTTCATTTACGGAGGAGAATGATCCTTCAAAATACCCCTTGTATCATGTATTCTCATCAATGAAACTAAACCAAATACGTACATACGCAAATCCTATTTGTACTTCGACGATCACGATCTACAACATATTATTGATTTTTTTGCCGAATCGCATAATGAAATGGAGTTCATCATCTACTGTGCATAGACAATGATGTGCAATCTTCTCCGTAAGGCTGCCCAAGCTTTGCAAGTGGGTGTCAGGCTCGGAGGTTCCCCCGATATATCAAATCGCAGGCTGTCGAACCCCCAGCATGAACTACGGGTTCGGCATCAAAATTGCAAGTGGGGATAATTCATCTCGTGCTAGCTCGAGCGGCAACAACTGGTCATAGCGTCAGGCTTATTACAAGGTAAACCGGTCGTCCCCTCTTCACGGTAGAGCTTGTCTCATAATTGGCTAGATCAGACCTCGTCTATTCCATTATGGGTTGTAGCTCTGTACCATGGTACGAGGTGTGTTCTTGCGGAAGTGGCCGTAATCTTAATTATCGGCTTCGCTTCCCATCTGGATAGCGAACTCCTTGCCTATTTCGGCCCCGGGGCGCGCTTCCGCAATTCGCCAGTCTCTGCTCTTGGGGCCAAATGAAGCAGGGTGCTTGACTCGAGACACGGACGAGTGGCATGCTGTACCGGGACTCGAAACCTACGCGGTAGCTGCGACTGGAGGATGGTTTATTTCTTTATCCTTTTCTTTTATATTTTGTTGTCATTTCGCAGAATGTGAACGTGTAGCAAGGCTGAAATAAAAGCTCTTGCCCCCTGGACCGTAACCGGGCCATGCGGGAAATATAAAGTGGACCCGATTGGGCCTTGGTACAGCACTAACGTGGTACTAACGTTTAGCGGTCGAAGAACCACTCGCCGACTTTTCCTATTCTGTTTATCTACACCAGTGGGGATTTTCCTGGAAGACAGGATAGAACATTATGATGCCCGATGAGATCTCCGCGAGCTCTAGAGCTCTACCTTTTACTTAGGGCAGGGGTGCTCTATGCAGCTGATGACACCTGCCGCATCCCGTGGTTGCAAATGGCCTCTCATCGACCCGGCATACGCAGAACTCCGTCGTCTTGTACCAAGATTGCGACTCACACACACTCTTCCATATTGATAAATTACCACTAATCTCTAAGTTGCAAGACTGGCACTGTTCTCCAGCCGCTGATTGGACATGCCATGCCGCCACGGGCTCGCCAGGGTGATGATATGGGATTAAGTCCGAGCTCCGGCCCCCTCCTCGGCCCCAATTTTTTTGATATTACAAGCGGTCGGTTGCTCGCCGCGGGTGGATAGAACGCGCATGCTTGGGAATTTGTTCCTGTTCATCCTCTTTTGCATTTAATCTGGCTCGGGAGAACCAGGCGCTGATACCTGGGAAGCCAACTTGGTTCGGGATAGGATCAGTTGCGACTATATACGGCTTTCTAGCAGAAAAGAACGCGCAGTCCGCCGAAATGGCGTCCACGAATTCCGACACCACGACCACGAATTCATCATCCACCCATAAGATTACCACCGTTCCCCTAACATCAATTTTCACTATTCCGACCTCATGCTCCAGCTCCTGGACATACGAATCAGAGAGTGCCAATGACATCTCGGGTGGTCTTCTCATGCAGAACTGCGTGAGCGTTGATGGCGACGATGGAGCATGCTGGCCATCAGGTTACAATAACTGGGGGAGAACGATCCCGACCCAAATATTCAGTCCCGGCCATTGTCCGCAAGGATATACGTCCGCTGGCTTGTCGATTTCCAACTCAATGACCGCGGCAATGTGTTGTATTTCGTCAGTATCATCATGATGCACGCGGCCCAAGGCGGATTTTGCTGACAGTGTCGCGTTTCCAGGGGGTTCGGCTTTACTTCCGATTCATCGTACGCCGGATGCACCAGTATCCTACCCTCAACCAGCTCGATGTTTGTCACCATCCGCCAAAAGACTGGTGACACCACGGAAGTCACTGGACCAGTGACTATGTGGGGTGCAGCAATTAGTATTCAATGGGAGGAGCGAGATCTGACCTATTGGTCTTCGACCAGCGCAACAACCACGGACGCGACCGATTCAGGCGTGACAGCAGTATCTGCGGCCACGGGGGCGGCCATGGCGGCCTCCACCGCGACCTCCACCGCGACGGCAGGATCAAGCGCGGATGTCTCTAAGTCATCCAGTGGGTTGTCCACCGGCGCAGGAATTGGAATTGGCGTGGGTGTCGGTGTTGCGAGTGTGGCTGTGCTTGCTGCGCTTGGCTTCTGGTTCTTCCGGCGTAAAATGCGCAAGAACGCGGTTGCTACTGGGACTGGATTGAGCTCGGCCGCTATGCCTATGACCGCCAATGGCGAGGGCTATGTGGCTGAGATCTCCACCAGCACTCAGGGGTCCAGCGCATCTTACGGGACCTCCATACCGGCGCGTATGGCGCCCACGCAGCCGTCCAGACCGACTGAGATTGACAATTACGCAGACCGCGAGAAAGCTTTCCACGAACTCGACGGATAGAGATACTCTCGAGGGGAGGTTTTACTAAATAACGATATTTCTGCTGTGCTGTCCAAAGACCAGTATCAGGGATGGATATACCCAAGTGCGAAGAGTGATCTGAGCAGATTCGACGTGACGGGGGAGTTCAAACGGGGTTATTTTTTTTATTTTTTATCTTCTAATGAGCGCTTCAAAATCTGTACATATTAGTATTTATTTCGTGAACACGTCTAATCCACATTTTTACAACGAAGATTGGAGCGAAATATCAAAATTGAGCGGAAACGTGTTGAATCCGCCTGTAAACCTCGATTTACTTCCCATATTGGACCCATGCCCACATTCCGGCCATTGTGGCACATATTCCCCCCCCCCCCCCCCCCCCCCCCCCCTCCCCTCCTCAAGGTAGGCACCGAAGCTTTCAACATGCCGGCCACGTAGAGTGATCCAATGGAACCTGCGTAGCTGTTGCTAACAACCCGCGAGTCATTCAAGTGTGGAAATGGCGCGACGGGTGTATCCTTCTCTAGGAACTCGCACAAGGGCTTCCAGTCCAAATCTTTCAGGTCGGTCTCCAGCAATCGCTTCGCCGGGACCATGCGTCTGACGTTTGCATAGTGTCGCTGGTACGCAGCTCACATGATGTCTCGATTTCGAGTCTTGCTCAGGCTGCAGACCCCCAGCAGACCCATGGACATCTTCCATGTAGTTTGGCTGATATGCAAGCCGATGAACGGTTCCATGACATGTCCACTTAGCCAAGCCAGGAAGCCCGCTGAGGAAGGCAGAACGATCGTTTGCTGGAAACTACGGACCCATGGGTCGAAGTCGCGATGGACAAGGATCACCCGCACTTCAGGAAACTCGCGCAACAAGGGTTCTGCAAAGGATGTCACATCGGTCAGGGCCTCGCAGGGCCCGAAGTAGGCGTTCCAATCGTCTTGTGACCATGTGTGGCCCGTATACGTGGGCAGGCACGGAATATTGTCGTCTGCAGCCATGCCCAGGCCTACCCATCTCTTAGGGTCATGGGACATACTGGACGAATGGAAGACATCACAGTATCCGACAATGGCCAGGGCCTCCTTGAGTGAAATTGCGATCCAGTGCGATAGAAGCCGAGCAAAGGGATTTGTTTGTCTCGCAGGGGACCTTCTGTGAACGCCTTGAAGGCCATTGCAAACTGGATCGGCCTTGGTAAACTCTCGCAGAGACGGAGAGAGACAGGGTTCCCTGACTCTGCAGACGATATTGGAATATATTAATGCACTTATACGTCTGGAATGCAATGGCAAGAGAGGTTGACGTCATATTTAGGGACACTGAGCTGGCATCAAAGCCATCCCGAATTGTGGCGCAAAGCTCTCGTAGCTTTAGTTGCTGCATCTGGATTAGCATAACCAGCGTTCTCATGTCAGACGGCAACGATGGCGATTCTGGCTGGAAGAAGAAAGAAAAGCAGTACAGAGTAGCGGGGTCGGTCAGCGCTGCAATTACAGCACTGGGGCTACGGGCCAGAACGATCTATTTGGAGCGAGAAAGACACCGCATGTTCTTAAATTGGTGCGGCTCTCATAGTTATCTCGTTGCAATCCGGACGTACAGCTGAGACGACCTCGAGAAGCAGCAAGAGCGAAGTCAGAAGAAGAAGACGAAGGACTTATCTATGTCCGATGCATTTGCAGAGCCATTTTCAGCCTGGCGAAGACGTGAATATTTTTTTTTTGAGAGGCGTTCTATTGTTTGCCCCATGTTTGGATACCTCGTATGAGAGGCGGTCGATGAATCCTCCATTTGCGCCACTTAGGGGTTGCATACAAAGAACACATCGAGGAAGTGTGGTTTGCGCGGGAAAAGATGCCAATGTCAGTGTGGATCAGCATGAAAACGAGAACGAGACCAGGCTCATGAGATGAGGCGCATCAGAATGTGACTGATCATAGGCGATTCTGGCCCATTTCAGCATACATGCAACTACCCGAAGGAAGACTTCAGCTGGCGACACCGTCACGCAAGATCCAGCCCGTAACCAGATGGTGTAATCAGCAAGAACCCGACGGGCAGCCACAAGAGGGGGATGTTGGGAGGCCGGGTTGGCATTTGGCATTGCGATGGGGGTTTCCGCCAGTCTTCCTCGAACCTTCTTATATCACCAACTTGGCGCCCCTCACCGCTTGATCATACGAAAACCAGACTCTCTCAAACCACTCAGCTATTCAACCATGGACCGACCAGTTACTTGGGACCGAGGAAGAACATCGGGCTTGATATCTTTACCAACCGGACAGCATGTTTTTGTGTCTGTGTCTGGTCCCGACCGGCAGAAGAATCAACCAATCATCCTGATTATCCCAGGCGTGGCCTGTAGTATCACGGAATGGGTCGTCGTTCGTCGACTCCTCCAACAGACTAGTCGCGTCCTAGTCTATGAGCGCTCCGGCATGGGCGCCTCGGAGGAATCCCCTTTGCCACGAACTGCATCGAATCTGGCCCGCGAGCTCAATACTCTCCTCCAGGTGCTCCGCATCGGTCCTCCATACGTGATTGTGTGTCATTCCTATGGAGGAATTATTGCGCGGGAATTCGTCGAACTCCGTCGAGAGGAAAACAAGCCCGAAGATGGAGTTGCGGGAATTGTCTTTGTCGAAGCCAACCAGGAGAAAAGCATTGCTCTTTGGCCTGACCCCGATCTGGAAGCCATGTCCAAGGGCATCAATTGGTATGATACGACGGGCCTTGAGATGGACCGCGCATTGACCGACTCTGAATGGAAGGCAGTCACCGATGAGCGCAATAGCATCAAGCATCAGCGCGCGGCTGAACGAGAAATGGAACACTACATTGGAAGTTGTATGGCTCTGGGGGCCAAGAGTCAGCTCGGATGCAGGCCCCCATTCCTGGGAAATCACCCCATCAGTGTACTGCAGGGCTATCCGGAGAAAGATCTGCGCCGAGTCTTTGAGGTTGCAGTCGAAAGGGGGAATGGCTCAACCGAGCAGAGACAGCGGGTGGAAAACAAATTGAAGATGTACCCGGAGTTGAACGAGAAGTTCCAGCGGGAGATTCTTACCCTGTCCACCCAGCACCGATATTCCGATGTCAAGGATTGTGGTCATTCCATCCATATCGTGGAGCCGGAGGCTATTTCTGACGAAGTGGAGTGGGTGCTGAATAGGCTCTTGATTACGAAGGAGACATAGTGAACCCTGCTGTCGTGTGAATTTTCCTTGGCCCCTCGGAAATCAATATGATCAACTGCACCTCATATGTTTTTATGGACGATAGCTCTTTGGAACTCTATGATAAGGCCCGGATTAATTCATATTTTTCCTTCTTGAGGGCCTTCAAACTAAGAACCAGCCGGAGCCAAAACTCCATAAATGACCGGTCAACAGAAGTACAAGACTGTGTATGTCGTTGTATGAACATCAAGACAAACAAAAAAAGGTATCTGAAGAGGACAATTGCAAAGGCCAAGATTTCGCTATCTGACGCCCTGACACGATGATAATAGTATGCTGAGGATGCTACTGATGTTGAGAAATCTTGACTATGATGTTCAAAAGCAATGAAGTACCCCGCAATTAGTCGGACATGATTCTGGGTTCATCCTGGCTCTTCTGTATGTCAGTGAAACACTGAGCTTGAGGCCTATTGGCACCCCTAGCCGTTAGACAAATACATCAAGCTTCACCTCTTCTTCAAATATACGTACATCCAGCTAAACTTGGTATTCCAGCAGTTGAAGATTTCTTCTCCATTCTCAGTACTGAAGCCCAAGTGCAGCCCGAATCTGCACGGAGAAGCGATATTTAAAATTAGGCCCTGCCTACGTAAAATCTCGAAATCTTCATTGTTCATTTCGAGAAAAAAAGCGCATGGAAAATGAATCCGGACAAGTACTTCTGCTCCTGAATCCAAGTTCCGCCAATTTCCACCACTGCGACGATCCTCGCTCTCGGCCGTTCACAAAACCCGAGGCGAGTCCATCAAGTTGCATCATTCTGCTTCCCAGGGCTCTGAAGTCGGTGTCTCGGTCGTGCGACCCCTATTTTCGCTGTTGAGACACCCCCTCACACCCAGAAAACCTGTTATTTCGATGGAAATATAAGTACTTTGCGGGATCTCCATCTCCTGGTCTGCTGGTAAGAAGAAGAAAAGCAAAACTGGCCAAAATCATTCACCTGATGGAGCATCTCGGCAATATTCTCACGCTTTTGGGCCGCCTTTTTGGACTAGTATGCCTGGTACGTCTAAATTAGACCACATCTGAACCTCAGAATCATGCAATCATCCAGGAATAACCCCGGTTATGACTGAATAGTACCGTATATATGACCGGTTTACAAATCCTCTTTCTCGAATTCCAGGCCCTGAAATCGCAAAATGGACCAATCTAATTTACACATACTACTGGTTCAAAGGCCAGATCCCAAACTACATCCACCGACTGCATGAAGAATATGGTAAAAGACTACCTAATCAGGTGCTGCCATTTCATGATATCTTGACGGGCAAAAAGACTAATATAATCACTGGACGATATCATTAGGCCCTACTGTTCGAACCAGCTTGACTCAGATTGATATCTGTGATATAAACGCCGCGAGGGAAATATACAAAACCAAGAGTCGCTTTCCGAAGTCAAAATGGTACCACACTCTGGTCTCAAATAACATTCGGACTGTCTTTTCTACTACCGACACTCAGTTTCATTCTTCCCGCAGACGCCTTTTGGCATCTCCGATTTCCGATTCTTCACTTACTCGTTTCGAGCCTCTGATCTCCAACCGAGTACAAATTGCGATCGACAGAATCGGTGAAGAGATGAAAGATCGCGGTGCAGCCGATGTATTCAAGTGGTGGCTATTCATGGCGACAGATGTTATCGGCGAGCTGAGCTTCGGGGAGTCATTCCGAATGCTCGAGGCTGGCAAGGTACTAAATTAACCCCAGAAGCCACATGTTCGGGTAGCGGTACACTGATGGGCGCGGATGCCATAGAAAACGCAATACAGCTTGGACCTCGAATATGTATCGAATCTCCAACCTATTCGAACGACTTTCCCACTGCTTGTGCAAGCCGCAGCCTGGCTGCCATTGCCTATCATCAATAGAACTGCCGCAGTTGGAAAAAGAATCGGTCTTTACGCTTCTCAATCCATCGAACGGTACAAGAAAATGATCGATGAGAACCCCGCCGATCCCAAACCCACCCTGTTCACAAAGCTGTTTGATGCAGAGAAGAGCAGATTGACGCACGAAGATATCAGACAGGAAGCGCAGGGGTACATCGTCGCGGGAAGTGATACCACCGCTGTGACATTAACTTACCTCGTGTACGCTGTTACTCGCCATCCGCAAATCCAAGAGAAGCTGGTGGCTGAGCTAGCGACGATCCCGCAGCCCGTATATGATCGAGAACTTCGATCCCTGCCGTATTTGAATCAGATCATAAAAGAGACACTTCGATTGTACACTGCTGTTCCATTTGGTCTACCCCGTATGACCCCATCCGAAGGGGCTCATTTCAATGGCTACTTTGTTCCTGGTGGCACTACAGTGTCTTCTCAAGCTTATAGTCTGCATCGTGATCCGGAGATATTTCCTGAGCCTTACAGGTGAGACTTGCTTGCCCCAGGTCAAACATGGGAACCAGAGAGTACATATTGAAACCCTTCAAGTTTTCGACCCGAGCGATGGGAACTCCCAACTAAAGAGATGAAGGATGCTTCATTGCCGTTTGGCGGAGGCGCACGAAGTGGGTCTTTACATTACCTTCTGAATTAGACACAGTGCTGACCTCATTGACAGTCTGTCTAGGAATGCATCTCGCACTCATTGAACTGCGTCTAGCGAGTGCATTCTTTTTCCGAGAATACTCCCACGCCCGCCCATCAGACAAAGAAGGGATGACCGATGAGGACATGACAATGAAATCATTTTTCTTGATGGCCCCGCAGGGTCATAGGTGCCTTATTGAGGCCTAAAAATTTGGTAAGGCTTGATGTTATATCTCTTTCTTTTGACTACTGTCTCCTTCAGAATCAAAATGGCTATCTGTGTTTAGGTAAATGTATTTAGGTAAAATGAATTCCAGCTCCTTAAGTATTCAACTGTGAACAAAGCTATTTATGTAATAAGAGAAGCTTTTCTATCTTCATTTCGTACAAGATCGAAGTCAGTGCTCTCATACCATGCAAGGATATATCAAAATAGCTCATCTTAATTTGGGCGAAGGGCTTATGTAAAATGCTTGCTAACACCGTCCAAGGGTCGGTCTTCTAGAAACAATATTTTCTTGAATCTTTCAATAGAAATACAGTTCTCTTTTTGTAGGCTGAATACCAAGAAGGAAGCGTGGCCAGTAAATCGTATTTTTGCTGAAACTGAAAATCTAACCTCCTTAAGGCCGATCTGAGAGGGGCATGTGGGCATACCCAGTGGCAATCCATGCCCTGCGCAGATCTTTTCCTGATGATCGCGTGGGGGCCGAGAGCTGAGCGGAGACTGTGCCACAGACTCTTCTGCGACGCTTTTTGCATACGGCAGGGGATTAGAGTTGCCTAAATCCACCTCATTTCCTCTTGACGCCTTCTTGAAGGTGAATTTATTACTGGTGCTTCATCAAACTCATATTTTGCAAGCAATCCTGAATCTGTATCATACAAGATCAACGGTCTGAACGAGGCCCACGTGGTAAGTACGCGCGCTTAATCTGTCGCGGATGCAGGTCGAGAAAGATCAAATGTGTTCTGCCAAATATAAGTGACATGGGTTCTTTGGGAGCTCCACAGCCACTGGAGACTTCCAGCGAACGGTGTTGCAATCTCGATCTAGAATGTATTGTTGGGAGGACCTGCCTCGGCCGTCCGGCTTCAAAACGCACGCAAAGAAAACTTCCTCAAACCCGAAGCCTGGCAAACCCCGAGTCATTCAAATATAAAGACAATGAAATACCTGCTGCACTCTCTGGTTTGGAGATAAAAGAATATTTGTTCTCAGACGTTGCTGAAGACGCGGTAACTCCATTGCATCCCGGTACCAATCCCGAATCAATTCAGCGACCAGGCAAAGGCAATGTATTTCAATCAATGACCGAAGCCGGTTCGTTCATATCTTTAGTTCTAAGTAATGACACAGAATTTGGCAGTAAAATCACTCATGCCACGTCAAGCTGGAGTGAACCACTCTCTGATCTCATCAGCAATGATATGGCAATTTTACTTAACCCCTAGTGAGTGAAATGGAAGGCCGCCACTGCTTTTATCTACTGACTGAATAAGGTTTGGTCTGGCATAGATTCTTTCTTCCAAAGACACCTACTCTAGTAAACCTGAGAAACCGACTAATCGCAGAGGAAGTCTCTGCTACCAACCCTGCCACAAACCTCCTTTTTGCCCTTCTTTGCTTGACAGCATTCGAAATTGCGGAAGGGTTTATTCGGCAATATCCACAAGTAAAGAGCCTTCAACTTGCCGTCTCATCATATGGGCAAGAGTTTCTTTTCTGGCCACCGACCCATCGCGATTCTATCGCTGTCTGCCTTTTCATTGCAGATTTTAGACCAGCAGCCTTAGATACCTCACAATTTGTTGCATACCGGACGGTCAAACCTGACTATCACATTTGCCGACAGAATTGCAGAGAGACTTGATATTCTACCTACACGGGATAGATCTTTTTTTAATCAGCTCACGAACCCAAACAGCATAGAATTTGAGCGATGTTTTACCGATTCGGTGCAAGAGCTGACTCTAATATAACACGATTCTTTTCTAGAGTGCTTTTCGTCCAAGTCCCTTCTCTCGTTATGGGACAAAGTGGAATATATGAAGCCTCACATTGATGCTTATCAAATTGTTTTACAGTATCGACAATGCTCGCCAAGGGTCATCCTTCATATACAATGGAATGTGGCATCCAATATCATGCTCGAGGGACAGACGCGTGCAAAGCAATGCAGGAATAACCCGGAGAGCCTGTTGCTTCTCATTGAAGGAATTAAAACAGACTGCATGGAGCAAATTAAAGTCTCCAAAGGTTTACTGGACGACATAGCTGGTGAAGGGAGACAAGAAGATCACACAGCTGCTCGCTCCTTGCTGGAACTGAAATTACACTTGGTATTCGCCCGACTATGTGGTCTGGGTCTACTATATGCCTCGGTACTGAGGTCAAGGCTTTTAGAGGGCGAGAATAATGGGGATCCAAACATACACTCCAAAGAATCGCTCCGTATTGTCGACCAAGTCGCTGGGAGTATGAACAGCCCTCCAGATGCCCCAGGCCAACATCTTTTTACATTTCTCAGCCGGTTCGGAGGCATTTATCCGGATCAACTTGTTCGTGTACTAGAAGTGTTTGTTGAGTGTGCCGAGTTGAAGATGGGTGGCATCATATTCAAATCTCCTCTTCAACGTGTGATCTATAACGTTGTGAATGTGTGCAAAAAACATTTTCGAGAACAATCTTGTTCAAATAAGAGTTTTCGGACGCCTCGCCAAAGATTTTGACAAATAATTGGAACTTTTTAATAAGTGTGCCAAAATTATTGGCAACATGGTTACCTCGCCAGAGAAATCAGCCGACTCTGCTTTCGTGGGTGGCTGTGTTTATGCTGCGAGTAGCAGGATCGTGTATGGATTACGCAATGCCATGGAACGATTGAAAACCAGAGTTTCAAACGCAAATACTCGTGGAGAAGCATTGGATATGTCCAGATTTTCACCGGAATCAACCGATGCTTCTTCAATAGGGCTTGGGCTTGGTTCACAGCCCTGGGATGCATGGAATCTGTGGCCTCATATTGGAACGCCCGATTCCTTCGCGAATTCACAAGGTATCATATTTGATTGGCCCCTTGAATTAAACCTTGATATTGGATTTGGGTCAATATGTTCTGATATGATCTGAAACCTGATGGAAGAATTTAAAACTAGACGAAGCAGAAGACAATCTTCGAACTCTATTTAGCTACCCAAGTCAAAGAATTCAAATTATTTGTAACTCAGAGCGAGAGTAAATTGGAGGTTTGAGACAAGGTTTTCTTTTCTATATTATTCATTCACTTGTCTTGTGTTCATTTGATTCTTTCCCCTTGAAACTTCAGGCAGTCCCAATAAACCAAGAAATTGATCCGCTTAAAGATGCAGCAACAACACTGCCGTGATCCTCTTCTTGGTATTGTCTTCTTTTGACCATGTGAAAACAACCGCTCTCTTGCAGCCGTTGAAACATTGCATCGCAATTCTTACCCATTGCGCGCTCGGCTGCTCGAAGCTGCCTAGTTTTAAACCTTTCCTCGCTTTCGTCCAGTCCACGCTCGGGGTATTGCTCCAAGTCACCATAAGAAAGCCATACGTTCACCTGACCGAAGGTATCTTTATTTTTGTAGAAAGATTGTTCTTCTTGAAGAATGAATCCGTCGTTCCACCAAATCGATGGGCTGGAAGCAAGAAACGCATCAAAGCTAGTTGGTACTGTGTAGAGTGCATGGAGGGCAAATAGTGCTCCGTATGAATGGCCGAATAAAGCTTTCCGATCAATTTTTACTTGAGGGAAAACTGAGGATGATATAAATGGATGGACCACTTCAGTGATGAAATCAAGAAACTGATTTCCCCCGCCATATGGTTGTGGCTGCGGCATGCCGTCTGGCCCCTTCGGGGCCGCATATTCTTGACAAGGAGGAGTCAGATCAAAGCTTCGGCGGGAGCTGTAGACAGAATCTGTGATAGGATATGAGACTCCGACCACGATGATTTTACCCTGTTTCTGGCTGAAGGCTCGTCGTCGAACTATGTCCGTCGCCGATAGAAATACGGCATTTCCATCCACAAGATATCTAGTGTCTAGCCTTCAGCTTTCACTTGTAATGTGTAGCAATCAAGCCGGTGAAATTGTTCCTCACATTATATCTGCTGAGCCGCCGAGTCCTTGTTCAATCGTTTGCCACTCAAGTGACCATGAGACTTGAATTAGGTATGGCTGGCTTTGGCAATTTGAGGCATGCCATGATGCTAGGTTCGGAATAGAATTGTCCTTGGACCTCAAAAACGTCCACTCTGCCATGTTTCAGATGGTTAACCACTGTTGACGCTATCCAGGATTGTGTCGTTGGTGAATAAATTATCTTTTAAGCGAAAGTCTTCTGGTTCAAGCAGCTAAGAGCTGTAAATTAAATGTAATCCACCACGGAAAGTTGCTGTATCGGGACAAAATAGGCGAATCTCGAATTTTTATGAGTGGAAAATGGGTCAGTCCAAGATATTCCCCACAAACTCCCCATGGGAATGCATGGGTAGGCCGTCGGTGATCCAGCACCGAGAAAATGCCGCCCGAGGCTGCCCTGAGTTGGCAGATGGTCCGACGCCAAGCAATTCCATCGCTTTTCGACCGCGGACATTTCTTGGCACGCCCTTGGGTGCCTTGGCGAAATTTATCTGATTCGGCATTAGAGAGGGAAACCGCGTGTTTCCTCGTATAGAATTCCCGTACTGGTAGTCATTAACCAAAAATATCTGATAAGATATCATGCTGATCTTTTTAGAGCAGCCGAGGTGTGGTACAGTCATCCACATGTCGACGAACGGAGCTCTGTTTAAGGAGCTCCCTACTCGGAAAAGTTTTCCAGAGCGACAAACAGCATTTTTGAATCCTTGCCATTAGTTGCGGTTAGTCACCTCGGAAAAGTTCCGATCCGAATAGATCGGATGATAATTACGAGTTCACCAGAAGTTGAAATAAATATGACATTTCACGTTTTCACCCACATTTTTCTCTTGTAGACGCTGGCAACTTATCGCAATGTTCAAACAACAGGACATAATTTCTGTGGACATCGCTTCCCAACATGAGGCCAATAATCCGGAAATTGATCATGGGATGGAAGAAGATGTGGAAAAACTGCCATCGTCAGAAAAAGTTCAGGCAGGTGTGCAAAGAGCCGATCTATTACGGAAGGCATGGACCAAGCAAGGTCTCGTTATCGTTTTCACAGGGTAGGCGTGGAGAGATTTCTGAAACAATTTATGTGCTGATGAATTACGATCATAGTCTCTTCCTGTGTACTTTGGCGATAAACTTTGCCGACTATTCAACACAGGTTTATTCCGCATATACCACAAGTGCCTTCAAACAGCATTCGGCAATGAGTGCTGCTAAAGTGGTGAATAATATTGCTCGTATCTCTGCATACCCTATCATAGCCAAATTAGGTGATGTGAGCTTTTTCGACGAGGAAGATATGATCGTTTTTACTAAGAAATTAGGTGTTTGGAAGAGCCGAGATGTTCATTCTATCCATAGCAGCGTCCGCTCTTGGTTATGTGATATACGCTGCGTGCGAGAACATCGCACAATACATGGTGTGTTTAGCATGCTTTTTCTATGGATTCAAAAAGTTGCGACTTTTTTTTAACAATAAACATGAGAGATTATTAGGCCGCAGGAATATTTGAAGCTATTGGGTCGACTGGATTTGCTTTGACACAGCAGGTATTCGTAGCGGATATGACTTCTTTGGTGAATCGCGGTATCTGGTCAACACTTCCTGATTCGCTTACGACCGTTCCAACTCTATACCTTGGCTCTATTGTGGGGGAGCAGATTCTGAATCACTCTACATGGCGCTGGGGATGGGGAATGTGGGCTATCATTCTGCCAGTGGCCTCACTGCCACTGATATGCACTATGCTTTTCTACCAACGCCGGGTTCCGCTGTTGAAACAGACAACAAGTCTTCTGGGCTTCAACCCTTCTCAATCCTGGTTGCAGAAGGCGTACCAGCTATTATGGGTTCAATTAGATCTACCGGGCGCGATTTTGCTTCTAGCAGGATTGTCATTGTTATTAGTTCCCCTCTCACTAACGGGCTCCACTAACAGCAGCCTGTGGACTCGCGGGTCATTCATTGCAATGATAGTTCTCGGCGTGGTTTTCTTGATTTTATTTGGGATTTGGGATGCATGGTTCGCAAAAGAACCTTTTGTTCCATACCGAATGATCAGAAATCGTACCGTGGCGGCGGCCTGTCTACTTGGTTTGCTAGATTTCTTTCACTACTCGGTGTTCACAGTTTTCTTTTCCAGCTATCTTCAAGTGGCAGGGCATTTCTCAGCTGGTGCAGCAACAAGAATTGAGTAGGTCTTCCTGCTCAAACTTTCTGCCTGATGCCGTTTCTGATTTTCTTATAGCAACTCACTTCGCGTCGCATTCCAAGTCGCCGGTATATTTGCTGCTTTCTTCATGAAGTACACAAAGCGATCTCAGATCTTTGTTATCTTCGGTGTCTGCCTCTGTGTGCTTGGAATGGGTGTCCTGCTCTACCTTGTAGATATGGACGGTCATGTGGGAAATGAGGCATCCTTGGTAACCGCAAAGTCTCTCATTGGCATCGGCCGTGGATTTTATCAGACTGCGGCCCAGGTTTCCGTTCAAGCGGTTGTTTCACGCCAGGAAGTATCTGTGGTGACAGCAGTATTCTTTGCATCAATGAGCGTAGGTGGCGCTATCGGAACCAGGTAAGCGATCGAAATTGAATAATAAACTCACATTGTTTAATTTGTTTCTTAGCGTGGCGGGTGCAATTTGGCGCAATACTCTGCCAAATAAACTCCAACAATACCTCCCAGAAGACCTGAAAGACCAAGCCAACGCCATTTTTGGATCGATTGTGGTCGCGCAAAAATACGCCGAAGGGACAGAGGCTAGAATTGCAATTGACAAGAGCTATCGAGAGTCGCAAAGACTATTGGCAATTGGTGCTCTGGTGTCCTTGTCCCTTATGCTCCTCGTTATGCCTTTCCTGAAGAATGTCAAACTCAATGAGGATAAAAGTGTGGCTGCCAATGATGAGACTTCGGATGAAACAAAAGAATGAGTATGATCTGATGAGTATCAGCCTTGATGTGACTGTCTTGACTGCGAGTTAATTCAGGGATTTGCCCTTTTGAAAATTGTGATATGTATTTAATCGTTGCTCTTGTCTTGAAAGATTCATATAGACTTTGGATGCGAATAAATTCTGTACCATATGATTGAATACTTTAAGAAGTGAGATTGAGGTCCTATACAGGATATCTGCGTGATATAATACCTAACAAAAATGTATCTCGAAATTAAATTGAAAGAAAAGTAGCTACAGAAATAGATTTCTAAAGATATCATCGTGTCCAGAGAGAGCCAAGCTAGGCTCATCTTTCCATGATACATGGTATGATGAAATGAAATTTTATGAAAAACCCTCGAGAGTAGGTCTTACTATTTTTCGATACTGTCGAGCCATCAGGTCGCGCCAATCATCACCATGTTCCCCTCCGATGATCAAATCAATTTCCCTTAAAATTTCATCACTAACATCCTCCCATACCTCATTCTTACTCCTTTCTTCATGTAAAGATAGAGGAGTTATATCAAATCGATGGCCTGCCCATTTGCCCTTGGTGATATTTTCGCTCCAACCAACTCTTTCAGGTTGGGAGGACCAAGAAATCCGAGATATAAGAATCTCTGAAAACCCTATAACGTCAATTTGAGGACCATGAATGAACTCTTCTTTGAGCGCTATGACTTCGCCTCGGACATATTCCTTGGTGGTCAAGTTACGTAAAATCCATCTCTGGTCTCGGGGGTAAAATTCCAAAATTTCAGGCTTGAGGCCCATCATGATCTCCGCGCGGTCTGTCTGTGACATGTGGTGTTTCGCTTCGTAGTCAAGAAACCATCTTTGTAATTCTTGAGACAGCGAAGGGGCCCCTATCTTTTTATACGTATTTCTGATAGAAAAGGACTCCAAATGGTAGACCTTATTCAGTTCCCTAATATCATCTTGCTCGGCCGGGTCCAAAATATCAGATGGGTAATCGGAGGGGTCAGTTTGATCGCTCACGCAGATTATTCGCTCGCCAGCCCATGGTGCTAACGATTCGACGATGTGATCCTCGATGTGCGCAAGACCGACCGCCCAGAAATACTTATTGGCGAGGCTTAGCCGCAGGACGTCCTCAATGGTATCCAAATTCGAGAAAATCTTGTGATGGAGATCTGAAGAAAGGCTGGTGAAATCTGGGTTGCGTGCTTCTCGTATGTTCCGATCATGATGTTCGATTCTGACAGCTTTGCTGGAGTGGTTCTGGGAAAGATCGCTTGTGCGAATTCGTTTTGTACACTCAAAATCCTCGTCCTCGTTATCTTCGATATTTTCACCGGGAACGATCTCCACGTTTTGATATCTATGTAATAAACATGTTAGCTATTATTCCATACTTTGTTACTCTGAATTTGGGATAAACTGACCGGTGCGTATTTACTGGCACGGCCAGAAGAGCCACAAGGCCGGAAGCGCTCCCCGAAAGTAAGACTTCAGCAAGTTCCCCTAGAATTCCTGTCGTTTCTTTGCGCCCTGGCGCGAGAACTCGCCAAAGCTGACCCATTTGAAGAGGTTGCAGGCTTTAAGATGCCCAAGACTACGATTATGGTGAAGAGCAATACACTTTAGGACGGTGAGACTGTAGGTTAATAAAGACGTCAGACGCACGTAACTATTAAAACATTATTGGGGAGTCCCGCATGTGCAAATTCAATCAACTACGGTTCCGTGAAGAGTGTATTACTGATAAACTGACTCAGCGATTTACTGGTGTCTGAGGTGTTCCATTCGCTGGCGAAGTTTCACTTGCTCGATCACATACTGACAGATCGTCTCCAACGGCGAATGATTTTCATAGAAAGTTTTCACTCGCTGAAGACTAGGCAGATCTGGCTGCACGCACAATTCCGTACTGCGTATAAGGAAATTTGAAGCTCGTTGGTGTCTGCCTGGTGAAATTTACAATAGGCGTGGAATCAACGAGGTCCTTCAATATCAAACATCTCGGAAAGTTCGACAGGTGCCAACGCGTCTTCTAACATATCGCGTCCCATGGGCTTAAATCTGATTCTCATATATAAGAGACGAGTACATGAGCATGAAATCACCAAGAAAATTCCACTCAAGGCGGCTGATTTGTTCATCTGCAAGAGGCAAAGTCCTAGGATGGACCGCTGTGTTTACTGGAAATATTTTACCATAGATATCGTGACAAATCAATGAATCTGAATCACCAGGGAAATTCATAAGACCTCCCAACAAAAATTGCAGAAGTTAGGCTGTCTTACCTTCAAATAAGTCCTGCAACTGTTGCTCGCAACCAAAAGCCAGACTCGACAGGCTTGTTCATTAGTTTTTTTGGCCCCAAACCACAAAGCTGGCTGCGCGACCTGATTTGAAAAGATCTACACCACTAACCCAAGATGGGTTGGTTTGGGGCCAAAACTTGAGTGGCTGAGAATCCAGCCCACCAAACCTCCCATTCTTATTATCAACTTTGCCTTGCAGCCTTAGAGCGCATGGACCGTGTCGTGATAGAGCCTCGCGATTGATTTACTTGCACGGAGTCGCCCCCGAAGAGTCAGCGGCTGCAACAGCACTCATGGGTGGCTACGCTTTTCAATCGAAGGGCTGTCGGACATGCAAAAGATGCAAGATTAAGGTCAGTACTAGCTTCTAGATGCCGGCATACCGAAAGCGTGGATTGAAATTAGAGATATCTAGTGCGATGAAAAACAACTAGAATGTGGACGATGCCTTAAACGTGGCCTTCAATGCGAAGGCTACGACCAGGCCCGAATTTTTGTCTACGGGGACCCTGTAAACCCCAAGAACGCTGTACAACCTCAGCATTCCCATGTCGCTCGTGGACAATCACGCGGCGGCTTACCGGAGGTTGTTGCTCCCAGCTCAGTCATGCGGGACCAGATGTTTTCGTCATATATCAGCCTCTTCTTTCCGAACGGCCATAAAGTGAATATCGATATTGATCAGTGGGACTATTTTGTCTATACTACCCTGTTGTTCCAAGAGCTCGAGGTACAGTCTCAGTTAATTTCTTTGTCCAAGCCATCTATCTTCCGTAGCTTGGAGTTGGATGATGACGCTGAAAGTTCCGATACTCGCAGTCATGTTATTGTCCTAATGGCCTTGCAGGCATCGCTTCTCATGTAGCGGGGATCAATGCAATCTTATTTCACTACCGTAAAATGACCCACAGGAATCCTCTCGTCAACGCCATATACGAGCAGTGCAAGAAAATGAGACTTGTTAGTTTACTCTTGATATTTAGGAATGCCGAACTGATCTGCTTTCAAGATATTCCAGACTTCAGGCCTAGCCTTATGCAAAGATGACTACGACTACATTGTCCAGTCCGCAGACGGGGATCCTTTGATGGAATTGCTCAAACTCTGGGCCAAGTTCGCGCCTATTAAATCTTTGACCGAGGCTGTTAATCCAGCTTATAAACGTGCATGTCAAGTTGTTCTTCAGAAATGCATTGCGCATCGCGGCAGCCTGCTAGCTTGGTATGACAGGTATAGCCTGGTCCTGCCCTCGGAATACGCCCCCGGAGAGGAGAGTTGGTGTGCACGGAACTATCTCCCATAGATAATATATTCGGCCCAGCCTATTGCTTCCAGTCTCTTGACGATGCGAGGCTACATGCCTTCTTCTGGGCTGCGCTCGCTATAGTTCACCGTCTTATTGCAAAAGCACGAGAAGTTTCGAGGTTTTCCAATACCGAGAGAACTCCTTCACCGATGGACCGAATAAATCATGAAACTGACATGGCAAACGAAAAGGACTACCAGGCATCAGTATTCTATACGGATAAAGTGGCTCGCACGATCCCCTACTGTGCACAGGACGGCTTGAAAACATGAGGAATCTATATCGTGGGGTTTTGGGCGAGCCATGTTGCGTGAACCCATACTGCCACAGAAACCTGGAATAAGTTTTCATTGTGCCAAGAGGTATTCAGCCTTCTCGGCGATCATGACTATGGCTTTGCGACGAGTCTAAAAGAGATGTTTTGGATCGAATGGTTTCGGAATGATTCCCGCGAGGCTATTTCGGATGTTGCTGAGAATGACGCCAATGCCCGATATGCGGGATCGACTCAGAGAACACCTGGTCCCAAGGAAGATACAGATGATTGGACTACACACAGCGGGCCCTCTGGCGCGTTGGAGGCGCCAAAGGTGGTAGAGGTTGCCGATCGGACAGCCTCTTACTCATGATGACACAGGTCTAGTGCAGGCGCTTTCGACTCTGAATTGTATTGGCCGACGGAGTTAGCATCAAACATCATATTTATGGTCATCAAGTTACAGAAAAACAATTTTTTACGACTTGGATTATGCGAAGCTCGTAACTGGTCATAAATGAATAGCACGTTAGAGTGATTATAATGGTGAATCTGTCTGATAACGAATATCTATATATACCTATTTCAAAATGTACAATCTTCTTCTCTTGAGGTGGCCATTCAGCACTTACTCCCATCGCTACAGGACTGGTCGCATTTGTAGGTACCAATCCAGTTGTCGTCACCATAGACATCCAGCCCCATCATCCAGCCGTTCAGGACCTGGTGGAGGTAGTCCAGGTTCTGGGGTACACCGTTTGACTGGCCCTCCGAGGAGCAAGGGTAGTCCTCCGTAAGACCCTTGTTGTCATTAAGACCGCTGTTAGCCGTGAACCAACCGTTGTACGAGCCAAATGCCTGGATTGCATTGCCGTTGGACGAATCGAGCTGGGACTTGAGGTAGTTGGTACCGGCATCCACATTATCCTGGATGGAGTCGGTACACTGCCCGTTGGGATAGTTTTCACAGGAGACCTGCATCAAGCCGGGAGTCGGGCCCCCGGCGTCGGCATTGCAAGATGATTCCTGCATCGCGATGACGGCCAGAATGACGGGATCAACGCCATATTTGGAGCCAGCGCTCTGGAAGTACTGGTCGTATTGAGAGCAGGCGGAGCCGATGCCGCCGTAGAAGTCATCCAACGAAATGTGGTACACGTCCTCCAGAGCCAAGTACGGGGGAGTCCATCCGTCGCTGGTGATACCAGTGTTCAGCCAGTTCTCAGAACTGTGACCTTCATTAGAGGGGTTCAGCCAGCGTCGACAGGGTGCGATACTCTTACCCGTTAGGTCCGGAGTTTGGAGTCACTTCATCTGTAGCGCCTTCAGCCTTGGGATTTGATCCCACGCCCGGATTTGCCGACTGCGCGTGGACACCGGCGGCCACCGCAAGTGCAGCGAGAATGGTAGGCTTGAGGATAGCCATTCTGTATCAGACTTTCACTGCGGAAAATGGGAGGTTATGTGTCGAGGCTGATTTCTCTGAACGGCTCACACGATATTTATGTTGGAAAGAACTGAATTCATCACTGATGATCACCATCAGCCGTCCGCACTCGTGAGGGCGATGAGCGAATCACAGCATTGCGTTGTCTTATATATCCGGTGACGAGTTTCCCTGAAGGGAAAAAGTACGGGGGCGTTGTTGGGGGAATTGTTCCCTGCAGGGGGTCAGCTTAGTCGTAGCCGGACGAGCGTTTGGAGTACCATTTTCTGGATCGGGTAAGCAGGGGGGAGGAATCTCATAGAAACCTTGAAGGCAATATCCCGAAATGTCCTAGCGTCAGGGTCCGATCTTCAGGGCAGAACTGAAGATTTGCAGTGTTGGGGTGTGTTGTGATTGGCAGAAGGGGGGAGCTGAAACACACTGCGGAACCAGCTGATTGGCGTGATGTCGGATCAGAGGCTCCACTGAGACAGAATGATGCATTGTGCAAGATCCGCAGGAATTTCGTAACAAATCAGAAGAAGCGAAAAAGGGTAGTAACAATGGATGAGAATGGAGGAGCATGTCGGAAAGGGGAGGATGAGAGGAACGAGGAAAGAGGGGAAAGGAAGAGATGGAGGAAGAACGTGGGATAACAGCCCATGGGCGGTGGGAAAGGGGAAATAAGTATCTCCGAAGTATACCAAGATGGTGTCGACCTGGTGTGGACCTGGTGATGAGGATGGGGGGACACCAGAATATCAGCAAAAAAATCCCCAATCCTGGTCCACCCCAGGACCCCAGACCGATATGGGCACAAGGATCGCAGATGCTGATCCCACACACCGAGGGTCTGCATGCATCAGCAACGACGTACTAGCTGCGGGCTCCGTGGGCCTTCCTGCTCCCCAATCCCGGTCTGCCTTTTACACAGCTATGTGCAGTCTTCGATCGAAGCCTATCATGCAGGTCCCCCGGGTGACGATGGACCGCGAGGAACTGCCTCTCCACTGGGTCAACCGGCCCTCGTCAATGGCAGCAACCAGGGCTGTGAAATGAGAGGGACAACGGCGAGTGCCAGCAGTCCAGACAATCCCACTCGACCACCGGTGGGGGTTGGTTGCCACACATGTCCCCAATTGCCTGATATATACAGCTCGTCTCCCTCACTCCCACCTTCCTTCCCTCTTTGGCCCTCTTCCCCTGGCTCAAATCCTTCCAAATTTGATTTCCTTGTAGAAAACACCATTCTCTAGCGGTTCACAAAAGGAGAAGATAATCGAAAATGTGGTGGTGTTTTTGTGGTCAGCAGGATGGGTGCGCGCTGATTTCGAAGTGAAGCTATACAGCAACGCCGACGAAACCCCCTGTTTTTCCCAAACGGGGCAGGTGATCGGTTCAACTCCTGCCCTCAACCCTCCACTCGTCTTTTCTCATCCTTCTGCAATTCTGTTATTTGTGCTGAAAAAATGGCTGGACGTTGCCGAGAACGTCTTGATGAGGACGGCCCATGAATCTGGGGAAATCTGGGGAACTCCGATGCCGCCCCCCACATTCTGCCACACACTGCCGGTATATCCTCATGCTGACCTTGGCACTGGATCCACCAGTCAAGCACCGCAGCATGGGGAGCATGGTTTTTCAGGTGAGCCACTGAAATGGATCGTGATTATTACTCTCAGCTTGTCTAGCAGACCCTCTTAACATGCGACGCCGTCCTCTTGGACTGGTCATGCTTCTTTGTTTCCTCAATGCATCCTCGTACCAAAGTTTCTCGAACCCATCGTTTCCTTTTCACACAACACGCCCGGCTCCAAAACACCAGGTAAATATCCACAGCGTGACTCTGAGTTTACCATTGACCAAATCGTTTGACCCCTCTTGGTGAAGCTCCAATCCCCCGTCCTCTAGTCCGTCGGCTCTTCTTTGTGCTTGGTTAACCGGTGTATGCATATTAGATACTTCTACTTCCTCTGCGTGAGAAGGCTAAGATACACATCTCTGGAGTACCTGACTGCGAGTCATGCTTTTGAGATTTTGACATAAAAGATCTGTCGATAAGCCATAAGTGGAATACTCAAAGAACTCAGACACAGTGACTCGGAGGGCTGTCGGCGAACTCGAAGCCATCGCTCTTTGTTTCGGGCACAATTATGGAACGCTAATTATAGAAGGAAATTACCCGATACTTCGAAGTCTCTTTGTCCCGATGCGATCATGTCGGCTCCCCTAAGTCTATATGTTGCCATGGGTCTCCCTCTGAAATTTCCGATTTCTCTCTTCTTTTCATCAAGTGTTCCGTGGAAAACCGAGTTCCCAACTATTTTCACGCCTGTGAAGTCAAGCAAGATGACAGAGCCATCAAATTCCAAACATGGATCAATAGAAGCAACCCCATCGAAGCCAAAAAGGCGAACCACGCTCGCTATACCTGTGCCCACTGCAAACTCAAAGCCAACTAGAAAGAAACACAGAAAGACAAACCAGAGTGCTTCATCCTCTCAAGGGTCCAAGGCATCCACTGAGCCACCTCATCGTCGAAGAAGATCTCGGCTCCAGTCAATGAAGCGTGTGGCTCGTACAAGTTGGCCGCGTCAGACTGTACCAATCACGGACATCAGAAATGTCCCCAAAGAGTGGCAATGGAATACGGCTGAATCTGATCTAGATGAGAGGTATGTGTCTTGATTATTTTCTTGTCTCTATTCTACTGTGCAGTGTCTAATACGTATCTTCTAGTGATATCATCGGCAATATCATGCGATGTCGTGAGCGTATCAGCGATGGGATCATGCCGCAGATATTTGAAGCCCGACTAGCAAGATTTGAACGAGAAAAGGCAGATCAGGACAACATGATTCAATCGGAAGAACCAGATCTGAGTTTTGAAGTTGTTCAACGGATCAAAGATCTGGAGTTTATTGACAAGAGTCTAGTTGCAACAGGGGATAAGGACTACCAACTCGTCAATATACGAGAGATCTTGAAAGCTTACCGAAACAAGAAGCTGCTCTATGAGCAAGGCAAGGTTACCTTCTGGTCATGGGGCAAGCAGTTGTGCGAACCACAAAGATTTGACGTGAATGATTTTCTGGAAGTCAATTACCAGTACCATGGTGACAGAAGCTTCTGGGTGGAAGGAGTGAGTTTTCAACACTATATCTGGGCAACTCTTTCTAATATCCCACTTGCAAATGCAATGTTTCATACCCGGCTTCCCTAACAATATACTGAAAGTGTTACTGATTTCCAGTCTCTAGCATGATGGCTATAATCCAATCAATGCACTCTCATCAGTTTCCATTCCTGCCATTGAAATGAGAACACATAGATTCCATATGGTAGGCCTCAAAATTATAATGAATTTCTCGGAGCCTTGTAAATTAATCAAGCGATCTCCAAGATTAAGATAGCTCTCCGAATTCCTGGTTCGGAAACCTATGAAGTTCTCGACTTTCTGGATGATACCGGGTCCGACGCTCTCACAATTTTCGATGACGACTTACTCAATGTCTGTCAGATGTCAGATGCTCCATGGTTCACATGGGCTCCATCTCTGGGAAATGTGAAGGTTAGAGGTGTTGGTGGGGCTATTACGGCCAGGGCGGTTTTACTTGCGGCAGCAGTACTTGGGACAGATGGTCAGATGTTAACCAGATGGGTTTCCATCAAGTGTTTGGTCAGAGACAATGAGGACAGAAGGAACTTGCCGCAACGGCTAAGTGGCTGTTGGTGGCGATATTTATTATACAACGGTACGGCCCCGGACAACAACGGAGATTTGCATATCGCAAGTGACAAGGATGAGTTTTCAAGTCTATTCTGCGATGTCAATCATAACGAAGCAACCGGTCCCCTTATAGCATAAATACTTGATCGCTTCCAAATGTATTATTAATGGATTCAAAACTTGGTTGCCTTTCGATGAATATATTCCGACTCGTTAGTTCTGTGTATCCCTAGTTCTTGCTGGTGGAATGTCAATTTGACTTTACTGCCGACGAGTATACACGCTTCCTGGTCCTAAGAACTTCTTGAGACTGATCGAAGAAAGATCAAAATCTTCCTACATTGCTCGAGCATTCTTCAAAATTTCGTTCAAAGTGCATACTGCGCACGACTACTTTGAGTAGTATCAAATATGGATCTAGGTGATTGGCTAATGGGGCTGGTCGATCCGAGCCCCTGCAGCTTTCCATGACCAACTCTGCAGCTCAGCTTCGCTGGCGGTTGCCGTTTGTCGAAAACAGCCCCGCTCCGAGTCTTTGCGTGTTGATTTCTAACTCAAATTAAAACTCGCTGACACTTCTCATTCTCCATATTAGTGCGGGGTTAAAAGTTTCAGCCAATGCTTTCTTTTATCGGAACCATCAACTCGCGTCCTCATCAACACAGGATAAAAACATTACGATCTCCTCACAAAGTTCGCTTGTATCAAGAGGGAAGAAAAGACACGAGCGCAATCGGTACAATCTATTGATGCTCTGAAAATGATCGCTCTCCTTGTTGGATTTGCTACATTCACGGCCGCCTTTTTAATCTATCGGCTCTGTCACTGCTTATTGTTCAGCCCCCTCCGCCGAGTCCCTGGCCCAACCTCGTTTGCCTTGACAGGGGCAAGGCTGTCTTTTGAAGATTACAGAGGAACTCGTACTCGCAAAATATTTTCTTTGCACCAAAAATATGGACCTGTTGTTCGAGTCGGGCCGAACGAAATTTCATTCAACAGTCTCTCATCACTACGAGCGATCTATGGTGCCGGAAGTGGCTTTGAAAGGACCGAATTCTATAAAATGTTCGAAGCATATGGCCGAAAGAATCTCTTCTCTTTTTCATCCGTCAAAGAGCATGGGGACCGCAAAAAACTCTTTGCCCACGCTTATGCAAAATCTGTCATGCTTAAAGGAGAAAATGCAGCAATGGTGGAGCGTAAGGCTAAGTTGTATACGGACCTCTTGGGTGATGAGGACTCCGTGAACGAAATCTTTGCATCATTGCACTATTATTCTCTTGACAATATCACAGAGTTTCTCTACGGCAGGTTTGGCAAGACTTCATGTCTAGAGGGATCACAACAAGATCGGGAATTGATCATCGACATCGTTGATACTGCCCGGCGAAAGTTATCATGGTACTCGGTTCATTTCCCTGGGTTCACAAAGTGGCTTTACTCACGATCCGGAGCCCTGAGTTGTATCGCACAACATTTTTATCCTATGAAGAAGCCAACAACATATACTGGGATCAGACTCCATGCCGCGAAAGCTTGTCAGGCATTTGCTCAAGTCCCCGAAAGTGAAAAGCTCGAGGAAACATCTTTGATCGCAAAATTATGGAGGCATCATCACTCTCAGAAGGAAAATGGAATGGATGATTTAGACATCGCTTCGGAATGTGCCGATCATCTCCTTGCCGGGATTGACACCACCAGTGACACATTAATGTTTCTGATTTGGTCCCTTTCCCGACCACCACACTCAACATTCCAAGACCGGCTTGTAGAGGAGGTCCAAAAACTATCAGAAAAACAATTGGATGCAGATGGGATTCCGATGGCCCTTGAATGTGATAAGTTGCCGTACCTTGATGCAGTAATCAAGGAAGCCCTTCGACTTTATGCTCCTTTACCAGGATCCGAGCCAAGATCACTTTCCAAGGCTGTGACAATTGATGGCTTTTTGATACCTCCACATACAACGGTTTCCATCGCACCTTATACACTTCACAGAAATCCCGAGATCTTCAAAGACCCTCTTAACTTTAATCCCGATCGTTGGCTGGAGTTTTCTGAGGAGTCAATGGAGATGAAAAAGTGGTTTTGGGCATTTTCTAGTGGAGGAAGAATGTGTATCGGGATGCAGTACGCAAAAAAGTGACTAAATCCGCTGACCTTTTCACAAACTAACATCTGTAAAGCCTAGCAATGACTGAGATGACAACTCTTGTTGCGGCGGTCTATCGAAAGTACAGGACGAAAACAACACCGGCATTTGACAACGTGTCTCCTGGAATAACTGCGCGATATGAAGTTTTCTATGATGAAATGTGTCCGGGGATGCGAGTATGCTTGAACCTTTCATCTCAAATACGATTAAAAGCCTGATCAATGTATAGGAGCATGAATGTTTAATTCAATTCATTCCACAATGTCGGTAATAACAGCCAGCCGGAGCCCTCAAACTCCCACGTGAAGGCTTTCGCAAAGCCATGGTGCTAAGAACAACTTGAAATATGAAAACCAGGCTCTGTATAACCATCGCTATTCATAGTGCCTACCCCATCCCTTTGAGTCTTTCAATGGACGAGAATTTGTTTCCTATAAAGCTAGTTGGAATTTCAAATTGGAAGTACTAATATTCCTGACCTTTCAAGGGCCTCCTTCCAGTGAGCCACGGAATCTTCTTTGTCCATGATTTCCCAGAGCTGCTGAATGATTATCCATTGTCGTCTAAAATTCCCAATTTTGTAGCCCTGCACTCGTTCCCACCAATAAATCCAGGGTTTCCGATCACAAGACTCACACGCAGCAATGAAGGCAGGCCATGACATTGGGGCCGTTCTTTTCTCGCCCCCAAGATATTGATCTTTGAGATCTTCGGCAGCCTTAAGATTTGTCCAAATCTTATTTACTTCTTTTTCCATATCTGCATGGTTTTCCAGCTTAACAGTCCGGTAATAGTAAATCAAGACTGCGCTATGGAAGGCGCGAGCTTGGCAATAAGCGACTTCAACGGCTATCGCGCTGGATCCAAGTTTATGAAACTGGGCGGGATCAAGTTTCCATCGTGTGATGTCATTTTCCAGTAACTGACAAGCCTCATGAAGCTCAAGAGGCAGGCTCTTGTCTTGATGGAGAGACATGGTCTCAGCGAGGTGACAAGTTCTTTGCAGAAGATTTCCCAGAGTTGGTGTGATGCCATACATGTACTCGACGCCTGTATCATTTTCATGGAAGAATGGAGTTTCCGAACAGTGGTCTTTTTTTCTCGAAGATTGGCGATGGAGCTTGTGTGACGTGGTTCGCGCTAGGAGTGTTAAAAAATGGCAGATGCTCCGGATCTGTTGAGTTGAGCCGTCAAGAACTTTCCCATCTAGCGCTTGAAGCTGCTGGCAACCATCCAAATGAACTAAAAAATCTTCATCTTCGCCAGTCATCGTCTATGAAAATGACGTCAGTAGGAAACTTCAATTTACTTGCTTTGGGTACTTACATCAATGGTGACCAATGATAACATAGCGGTTAGGTTTATGGTATACATATTAGACTTGATGGGGCCTGTGAGCGCAGCGTTCAAAGCTTGTAGTGATTTAGCTCTGTGCTGAAGACCAAGTTTATGAAACCTTTTCGGGTCATTTGTTGCATTTCTAAGGTGGAACGCGGCCGAAGAGAGCACACTGTGAAATATCGCGGTCGAGACTTTCGACGAGGAAGAGGGAGTGTCCGCAACAGCAAGTTCAGGGCAACCTTCCAGTGCAAACTTGAAGTATGTTGTTTTCCAGGGATTGCCCGGGTGCAAGACTGGCTGGAGTAGTTCAGAAACATGGTTCATGTAGTGATACATGAGCATAGATGTATCTCTCACGGAGAATAAAGACATCGATATTTCTATAAGACGCGGCACTCTTGTTCTCAATAGCTGTGGGTTTTTCACTAATGATGTTTTGAGGAAGGCGGAAGAATATCCGGATTGTCCGTACATTGTAGCCAATATTGAATACTGATCATTATTATCAACTTGAAATATATCATCAACGGGCACTGGCCATGCCATGATATCCGAGTCAGCATGGGAGCTTTCATGTGAAATTTCGTTTTCGAATGGATATGTGTTCTCCGTGCATCCTTTGAGAATATCTGAGAAGATGGCGCCTTGTTCTTGATTTGGTATTGCCGATCCGGTAACAATACTATTTATGGTAAATTCTTCTTGAAACACACTCCTGCTGGCTTTAACCTGCGAATGAAATACAGAAAATGGTCCGAGGGTTACTGTATCTGCAGGCTGTGAAATTGTGTCCACAACAGATAACATTCGGTTAATTTCATCATCCGGCATGGATGGTGAACTAGATTGATCTTAGAGATTGGTCAGTCAATCTATAGTCTCATAATTAAGCAATATTGGGCATCCAGGGCGCACCTAGTTTCATTTGCCTTCGCCGAAGACCCTTTTGATGTTGGCTTTTCCCAGTCAACCAGCAAAGATTGACTCGATAGCCTTCGCAATCTATTCTTGCTTTTTCACACGCCGCACATCCATTCTCTTGTCGCTCGTCACATTTGACTTTGCGAGTCCTACATGTCCAGCATCTGCATGGAATTAGCATAGATATTATGCGTCGGAGAACGAATATCTTTACCCGGTAAACGTCACCGACTTCAATTTTGCCTGCCGCACTCGTGGCGCCCTCCTGACAGATACTTTTGTTGTCTGGTTCATCACTACAAGCAGAATTATTAGACGATGGGCAGTTCAATTGGAAATCACAAAAGCGGAAGATTTCTGAATTTGCCACTCAACCGGGCGATACATGGGCCTGGTCATCTGCTTCCTGTCCACTTCGAAGATAGTAACCGGGTGTCTTGAGTCTACTCTGTGCGGGGTCGGAGGAGGAATGCGGGAGAGCTGTTATTGGGGTGTAACGTATCGGTAAACAAGTATTGGTTCGGTTGAGGACCGCGGAATTGATAATAATAGAGTGGAGTTTGGAATTATTCTGACAAATAGAATGCAGAAGGTTTATCTGACGCATGGTGGGGGCACAACTGAGTTCGCATACGATAAGCCCGCCTGGAAGGTATCTTTACCAACACGAGTTTGCTTGTGACATGGTAGGAGCCAGCGACCCCTTATTTTACCCCTAGTTTTCGGCTCTTCCGGTCTACTAGAAGGTCAAACGCAGCCTCGGAAATCTGGATTTAGACATTAAAAGACATGAGTTGGGGGTTTGAATGATTTTCATTCCACTTGATTGAAATCGATGTTTCAAAGCTTTACCTATATTCCGCTGGCCGATACCGAGAATCGTTCCAGTCCCAGTTGGATGACCCCGGGAATGCGGTCATCAGTTACTTGGTCTAGGAGAGAGAAATCAATATTTCAAACAGAATTATCACAAATAATCACAAATAAGAGGTTAAATTAGCGGAAGCAAAATGGCAATTTCACCATGGATCTCTCCATTTAGAAATTTTGATCGACTATCAATTTCGTAGATTATCGCAAATTATGATTAATTCTTGAGAAGAAAGCAATTCAGCAATGATGGTGACAGGTATGTACTTTTGGGTTTTATTGTTTCTTTGCAAACAAAACAAATTATACAGAAACACAAGTTGAATCTTCAATTGCCAATTAACCCTTTCTCCCGTTGACTCCTCCAGGCATCTCTTACATGCCCTTACATTCACACACAACGTAAGCGGAACATAGGTCGACGACGTGTCCCCCGAGTGACACCCAAGTCTTTTCCGCATCGAGGGTTGCGCTCAGACGTGGCTCCTCGGTAATTGTGCAGACGGTAGTCTGCTGGAATGCAGTCAATTGAGCGCTTGATGCAAAGACAAGGCCGTTGCGTGCGACTGCGGTATGCCCCCAAAGCTCTTGGACGGGACGCTTCACTCCATCGACGGGGACGGCGACATTTGCGTTAGCGCCAGATTGATCGTTGGCAAGTTGAATGGTGGCGGTCGTTGCCCAACTAGCCTCAGTGGGAGCAGCAAGGGATCCACTGGTGAAAAGAGCAAGCGCCACTGCGCTGACATTGAGGAGATACATGCTGAGTGGTAGGTGATTTTCAATGGAAGTGTTCGATCAGAGGAGATGTAGATTGAGATGTTTGTAAGATAGGCGTGATCGGCTGAGGGAATCTTGTCCATATCCAGCTGCGATGGAGGATATAGATATATGTTTAGATTAAACTGTTTGCAGATCAACACATTCTACCCAGATAGGTTGTTTAGTTGGCAATATGTTCCTCTGCCGTCTTCGTCGAATGTTGGGGTTGGAATCCTGGACCCAGACTTCCCTTTTTTCCGCATCCAGCGGAATATACGGTAGAACTATTGTGCTTAGATAGAGGAATGCACAGCCATGTGTTATTCCTTTGAATGGAGAAAATGATATCTGTATATACCGAGTCGCCGATAGAATGAAAGGTATTATTATACGCTAGAATCTTCTTTCTTGAACGTAAGCTCAAAAGTCATTGTTGCATGTTTTTTTCAAGTCAGGAGCGAAATAGTTTAATGAGATTCATAGACTTTGATGTCAAAATCTTAGTCTTTTCGCTTGCATAAAACATAAACGCACCCGCCACTTGTTGACTCCTGTCACTACCCGCCAAAAATGTCTGGGCTCGGAAATATAATTCGAACACGTCTTGATACCCAGCCACCAGACAAACAAATTTCAGGTTCTGCCATGTTTTCCCATGCCTTTCTCGTGGCTGGGTGGAATGAGGCATGTCCGAATACGGTAAAGGAATGCCGATTGCGGAATGCAAGCCGGAGAGTACAAGGTCGATCTACGGAAAGAAAAAGGAAATTCCCCTATGCCAAGCCTCTCACATTCTTGATCCCGGCCCAGGCGATGCCGATACATTTTCTCCAGATGGAATACTAGCAGCCCAATCAATATAGAGTAACTGGTGTTCTACTTCACAGCTCAAAGGAAAGGTTCTTTACATGAACAGCACTTGAGCAAGCTTCTTGGCGTTTTTGGTGGCTTATAGCAGCAAAATTTTGAACAAACGCCACCGAGTGTACTCATTTGAATAGCCCATTTACGCATCAATGACTGACTGCTTCTCAGGAATGATCTACTGGTTGTGAAAGTCTTGTGGACGTTCTGTTAAAAAAGCCGGCCGCGGGTGATGACTTGAGATTACCGAAAAAAAATATTACAGACGTGGGTAAAATCGTAGTATATTGAAACAAGCACGGAATTGCATACGGTCAATGAGGTCTTAAAACAATGAGTTTGAACTAGAATCAGGATTATTTTGTCGATATCCGCGCACGCACACGCTTCTTTGGGTATATTAGACGATTCGGTCAGCAACAATATTTTCCAACGATGAAGCCAAAATCTAGATGCCACAAAAGAGAACATTGGTGGAATTCAAAACCCACGTCTAGACAGTAATTTCAGTAAGTCCCATGGCATGAAAGTATGAAATCAGATCCTGAGCAATGTAGGCTTCTCGGATCTGGCCTGTGCAATCGTCCAAAACCAAAAAGTCGGTACCATTGTAAGTAACAGCTGCACCTGCCTTCAATGGTCTATATTTTGTTAGCAAGATGAAATATGAAAGAAGAAAAAGTCTGCTTAGGATCAGACTATGAACAACTCACGTGGGGAAGAGCGTGAAGTTGGCACCCAGGATCCCATTCATTTTCCATCGAACGGCCATTGCGTCATCATTTGCTACAAATTGAATAGGAGTAAATGAATACTCCTTCCACCCATTCCGAGACTTCTTGACAAAGGCAGTAAATTCATCTCGGTTTGTCACACGAGTCAAAGTACTTCCATTTCCAGTAGAGGAAGGAAAGCGGTCAGAGAAGACGACCATGTCCGGATGGAAGGTCGTATTAATGAGCGAAAATTTTCCACCCCAAACGGCAAGATAATTGTTCAGAATATGCTGATGGTAGACCTTGGTGGTGATATCGTCTCTGCAGGAGCATTGACTTGCCAATGTAGATGGAACGGCAAGTAGAGAGAGTGCAAAGGACAAAAACGCCGTTTTGAGCTGCATTTTGGCAATCTTCAAGAGAAATATAGAGCGAAGGTCAAGAAGGAGATGTTCTGGAGAGATTGAAGTCTATAGCTGTGAGAATTTTGAGGACCCTACGATCTTTTTATACCTAACCAATTGGTGACTCAATACATGCTGAGCTATTACACCGCTGAAGGCGAAGTATAATCTTGGATCCAGTTTCCAGATCTAACAAAGCTAAAGTCTGACCTTTCTACTTCGAACCTAAATTTCGGCTATTACAATGGTCTTGTTGGGGCTGAAACGCGAATGCATGGGGATTTTCGCCCCCAAATATGAGCCTCGCTATGTAGCCAAATTAGCCAACTGCAGCCCGCGCAGAATGCTCCCGTTTGAGCCTAGTCAAGTGGGGACTCTCATTTGGTACAGTTGCTGGGAGTAAGCACCGAAGATGACATCTGCAACTTCCTGTGAAAATTCCATCACGGCAGCTTTCTCGGTCCACTTCATGCTATAGTGACCGCAAATCTGTACTTCCAGTATATTTTCTGAAACAGGTTCTGTGAAGAGATTCGCGGAGCGTATAAGTTAAACTCAGCATTCGCTGCCTCCAGGTTGCCGATGGTTGGTGTTCCGGGGCGATCCAAAGGTTGCCGTACCTGCAAGCGACGCAAGAAGGGCGTGAGTTCCAATGCTGATAGGTTATATACCTGTTTTTATTGCAAATTATGCTGACTAAATTAGTAGTGTGACCTACAGAAACCTTCCTGTGGCCAATGTAGGAAAGCCTGCATCCCATGCGAGGGCTACTCGGCAAATCTAGCCATCCATCAATATTATACGCTGGAGCAGCAGTTGGAATCCTCCCAGGATCGCAGACCTCGAAATAAAGATATCACCATAATCCAGAAACCCACAAATCTACCCCCAAAATATCACATGAAACTATGCGCATCAGCCGATCCCATCGCTTCTGGAAATTTTGTTCGCGCGGCTTGCGAGTTTGGGATCGAGGATGGATTCTGGAATCATTATCTGCCTAACGGTCAATTTGCTTTAGCCTTTGACAGCACCGAGCGAATTCTCGGCGGCTCTATCTGTACCGTCCGAGACCTTGTCCCTAAGAGCAAGCTCCTTCGCGCTGCTCTGGGAGCGATAGCGATCCGGGCGACCGCGAATAAAGATGACTCCCTTCATTGGATGAAAGATGAAGGAACAAGGCTCCATATGACTGCCATTCAGCAACTGGGTAAAGCATTGACTTTCCGTGAAAAGCCGAGCCTAGAACTTCTCAGTGCAGCCCGAGTGTTCAGTTTCCACGAGGTATTGTAGCTGATCCTTTCTTTTTGTGGTTATAATAGCGAGATTACACGGTAAAGCCGCTTACTTATGTGATTAAATATAATTAGGCAATATACGGAAGTGACTGGGGGAACCGAATAACTCAATATAAGAGTTGGAGAATTCATAACTCGGGAGACCTTGCCCTCATTGTCTCTAAGCCACCATCATTCTATGCAACTGGACCAGCACATAGGCTTTTTGTCGATGGCCGTCTTGTTCAAGTATGTTGTTCTGCCACTTGGAATTGAGGGGTGTCTAACATATTCTAGGCGATATGTGCTGTTCTTTCACGAAAGAAGTCTGTTTTGAGCGAACCAGAATGGATGACTGCCCCCTGGAGATATCACAAAAAGACCTCCAAGGACTATATATTAGATGTTCTCTTGGAAATACCTTCTCTATACCAGAAAATCGATGCCTTGAACTCGAAAGATTCCGAGGCTGACGTAACATTGCAGCAGCTCAAGCAAACCTCTTCCGAAATCATGCAAAAACTACAACGATGGGACTCAAAATTTTCCATTCCGGTCTCGAGACGTGCAGATTGGCAGCATCCTGACTCAGTAACCACAGACGAGATTGTGAACGCGCACATTATGACACAGTTCTGGGCCATCAGCATGATCGCTCACGATGCATACCTTCAAGTTCCTACGAACAGCCCGGATGATTTAGATGTTGATCTGGATTATTGTTGTGCAAACATTGTCCATTGCATTCCTTTGTTTATGCATTCGTCCACGGGTATTTTTCGTCAGCATCTTATGCCATTCCCAGCAGCAAGAGCAATTTTTCACCTCAGTTCGACACCATCAGAACGATTGAATATTGAGAGAGCTTATATAGCCTCGATATGTGATAGCCCGGTATTCGCCACAACTCGCCATCTTCTTTCAAGTATCAATCCATCAATCTTCGATGATTTGAAGAAGGCCCATGAGGACGTGGGAATTCCAAGAAATGGCATGTCATAATGAATCTGGGATATGAAAAAAGTGTTGATAACAGAGATTAAGATATAGATACGAGATAGATTGGATATGCATTCTGTCCAGAATACGTGTATTTTGTTAAACACAATATTGTGGAGAGTAATTTGGACAACTTATTTATTTTGAGAAATTGAATTCCAAAAATCATTACAGACTGCCGAAATATATGTTAACCAATCAGATCAGCTACATCTTTGGATTTGGCAATATAGTAAACTTGGGACATTTATCTGCGGTCTGCATTGCAGGCCCTGCAGGACTTACTATAACGCTGCGATCCCGTGCCTTGTGCAAGCTCGAACGCCGGAAAAGGTCATGTAAGTGGCCAGTGGTTGAAATTAACGCTCTATGGAAAGTCTATCATCGGGGCAAGAGCGATAAGAACTCGGCTGCAAAGTAGGATATTCGTTTTGCAGGTCAAACATACCTTCTACTTCTTTGAATACAGCAGTTGGGCAGTTATTATCGACATTAGATAATAGTGAAAGGATATGAATAGATCTTCATTCAGTTTGATATGAAGAAAGAGGCTATTTGGCCCCATACTGCTCGACAGACACAAGATATGAGCCTTGACAACTTGAGACATGGAGTAGGTTGAGGCTGGGATCCCCTGTCACGTGGTCATCATGTTGAATGCTGTTACGGTCGGCTTCCTTGACGGTTTGAATTCTAGTTGCTGATCAACCATCAAGTTTTAGGGCGAATATCATTTTACCTATATTGTGCTGACGATGTGAGTTTACCAAAGCAAAACAGTCGCTCATTCAAGCTGTCTCCGGTCTCGCGACTTCTATGCAACCGTCGACGTTGATCATGTGACGATGAACCGAGCCCGTCAGTTCGTCATCAGGCGCTGAGTCAGTTTGGTCACCTACGTATTTGGAATTTTGGACAAAGAAGTGAGCAAGTCTTCTTCTCTAATATAGACCCTCCCAATATCCGAGCTTCTATAAAATAGAAAGTCCTCGTGATCTACATTCTACCCGAAGCAAAACCACAAGAATTCCAAAAAAAAGATTAGAGAACCTCAGCCCGAACCTCCGAGATATACATATAGCAGGCCTTCAGTCCGTCCATTCCTTCAACAGATCAGCGAGAATAAGATCTTATTTGATGTACTGATATTTCAAGTGAGTGTTTGTGTCTCAGGAGGATCATACTGAGTCAAATGGAGTCTGGCCGCTGAGCTACGGCGATTTTATCGGACCAGAAATTCGCCCTGTGTAGACATACACTGAAAGTTCACTCCCAAATCAATGAAAAGTCTGGGTGCGTCTTTTGAAAGCTTAAGGTACCTTGAGAATTGACTCTAGTCAAATTTGGCTTCGGTACATCTGAAAGGTTGGGAAATCTTTCTTTGCACAGGGATTGCATATACTCAATACTATACAGCAGTCCACTTCACAGGAATTGCAGTCAGGTTGACCTCATTCTCCATCTCATTAGATTTATTTTACTATCTCCACGTTGCGGCCACAGTAGTAGTAGTTCCGGAGCACCCGCTTGGGACAGTGTAGCTGCGATTGGGATCGCTTTCCCACACAATGCTACCGTCGGTCTCTTTCTTGATAAATTTGTACTCGAAGCTTGTGCCGACAGGGAGACTGATTGTTGTAGTCCAAAGTGGGTTGGAAGAGGTATAGGAACTCGCGGATAAGGCAACAGCGGACGATGTATCCCAAGACCCTAGCTGGCTAATAGAGCCTGAAATATACACATTCTCTCCGTATGTTGTGGTCACGAGCTCATTAAACACGACAGATATACTGGCTGCTGCCGAGCATGCGGACGTAGTAGTTGTCGTACTGGTTGAGGTACTAGTTTTGCTGTTGGTACTGGTGTTCACCCCGGAGCTGGTGCTTGAAGTTGAACTAGACCCACTTCCAGTAATGGCGATATCAGCACAATGAAGATATACCTGTGCGGTTTGATAGGAGTTCCATCGAAACCGCAGTAAGGTATGATCGGATTGATATTCTGGAATCTTGATCTTCTTAGTGACTGTGTAACCTCCAGAGATAGTGGTAGTGCAGGAGTATTCTGCAGCTCCATCGACGCCCTGGCAGCCCCGATTAGTTGAGGCTGAAAAGGCATTGCAAGTAAACCAGTCGTTGCGATAGCATGCTTCGTCTGATGAACAGTCGGGATTATATCCACAGGCTTGTCCATTCACATCTGTACACTTCAGCTCTCCTTCTAAAAAGCAGTCTTCGGCAGCCTGTTTCTCTTCAGAGGTAGGAAGGTAGCCTGGTGTCAGGAAAAGATCCACGAGCGTTTGGTTTTGGCAGATCCCGTAGGTAAACATGCCACCATGATCACCGTTATTATCAACGCACCACTGAACCTCGACAATATCATTTGCAGCGTAGGTCGCAACAACTGAGTTACCCCAGTAATCACCAGGCTGATTATAGTCGACGCTGACTCTCGCATTATATCCGCATGGCCCGCTTCGACCTACCTGGGCTGCTTCCAAGTCGGGCCAGGCCTCAACCGGCTCCAGGATAGAGCATTCAGGACATGTATCAATCCCTGCCTATGTAAAGTGTTAATTGCATGGATAGTAACATGCGAGGTCAGAAATTTTGGAAATACCTCAAATCCGAGACGAGTACGGCTTGAAGGAATGGTTAAATACCCATGAGCGTCAACAACGGCTGAAAGGGCCGATATGAGAAAGACTGAAGCAGGCTTCATATTAATATTTTCGAGCACTTCCTATGGAATACGAAATTGTATTAAGTTGAATCTTGCCTCGGGATATGCAGTCATATTTCAATGCTATCTTGCTCATACAAACTCCTTGATTCCAAACTCTCAGGGAGATGGACACATCGACCATCTCAAACTTCCAAGACCTTGGCATTCTGGCAAAAATGGCCAATAGATTACCATCTCCCCTTGTTGATTGTTTTCGTTCCGACAAATATCCGATATATCACTCAAAGGCCGGAAGGTAGATGAATGAAACAGGGTTGACGCTCGCTCGCCTAAAATCTCGCGAAATGGAGCCACTTAACCAAGATCAAAATCAGTGCCAAGGTCGCCTAAAAATGCGAATGCGACGACACAAGTTTAACAGTACATAAAGTAACTTGGCAATCCGATGAATTTCCGCTACCCCGCTCCTCCACCCAGCCGGACATTTTAGGTTCTTCAGGGGCATCGGCACATGCCAAAGGGTCCATCCGGGGTGCAGGTCAAAATACCAAGGAAAGAACCTCATTGGAGGTAATACGAGGGCATAATGTTCCAGCCAAGAATTCGTTTCGGATTTGGTTCTTCATCGGGAGATCTTCGTGCCGAATGGTTTCTCTCGGTTGAGACTAAGTTTTTCAGATGCATGGAACACACCACTGATATATTCCAATGAAGTTGCTATCGTGGTACTCGTTTGGCGAAAAAGAATCGCCTGGAGTATCATTTGCCGGCTTTTTCGCATTGTGAGAGGAAGAGAATCATCGCATTAATTTGATTTTTAACATATTGTAGAATTGGTGAAAGCGATGTTCCATTCGGAGCAATACACCATTTTGACATTCAATGCTTGAAAGAATAGCCGCGAAAAATTTAACTTCGCAAAAGACACAAAAGGCAAGTTAGTATTGTGACCTGCATGTTAGCTCTATAGTAATGCTACTGTCAGTGCAGGGCTGGCACCTAAAATTGCTCTCTTCTTTGGAAGACAAAATGGCTCTGGCATCACTGTATTGAATAGGGGTATGCATAGCATATTGAACGAATTTTGATCATCTTCACTGGGAAAACCGTTCAAACAGGCTGTCATAGTTAATGAAGGTATTCAACACGATGACAACAACTGGAATCCAGATGCGGTTTAGCCTGGTTTGGTGGCGCAAGGCTGCGACCTGGGTGAGCCTTTCAACCCAATTATCACACATTGACCTACTCAACGAATCTTCGTTGACTTTGCGAACGCCTGTATTTCATCTTCTTTATCCTATCATTGGAACCAGCAGTCCTGTAAACAAGCCCCAAGCTGAAATTTTAATCTCCACAGCTGGCTACTTCGTGCTCGAAGAGGTGCCATGAGATACCCCTTACCCCGCCTTCTTGTATAGGCAGCGAAGGTGCCATGGACACATTTAATATACCAAATGAGATTCTATTGCTCATCGGAGAATGTTTAGAGTACGAGAGCGACCTAAACGCATTGTGCACTGTTAACCGCCGATTCTTCGAGCTGTTCAACCCTATTCTTTATAAGCGTTTAACAGAACACGTGCACAGCGATGTTGGCTCCACAGCTCTCGAATGGGCGGCAGAAAACAACAAAACAGATTGTATGCGCAAGATTTTTGACGCCGGTGTACCGCCAGATATGGCTTTTGTCGAGAGTTGCTGGGCACCGATTATCCTTGCAGTCCGCGCTGGACACCTGGACACAGTGAAACTTCTGATAGAGCGTGGAGTAGATCCAAATCCCGTTTATGGCTTCTATAAAGATGATCTCGATCCCTTCACTCTCCGCACATCTTGGGATCCTGAACATGCGTGGAATCCGCTCCTGGAAGCGGTTTTCCGTGGCCAAACGGCGATAGTCGAACTTCTCGTCAGCCACGGAGTTGACCTAGAATTCGATAGCGAACTATTTCAAGTCGATCAGCCTTTGATTCTAGCAACCAGCGGCTGTCACTTGCCTATAATTCGTCTTCTTCTAGAAAACGGCTGTAGCCCGTATCTCTTCAATCCAGCCATGGCAAATACGATCGAAGAAGTCAGGCCGAATGCGATCAGAGCGGCCGCATCAAGCACACTGGAGATTTTGAAAATATTTCTTGAAGCCGGAGCTGATCCTAGACTTAACGTAGGCTACGGCTCCAGCACCCTCACCTGTGCTATCAACGGTGGCAATCTGGCTATTGTTAAGTTCCTTCTGGATTGGGGCATTGACCCCGATGCTCCAACAGAACTTGGCCTTCATCGTGCCTTCTTTTATGCCTCGCATACAAACCGTGATATCTCTGCGCTATTTCTAACAAGAATTGACACACACCGAACGATTAACTATGGTACTCATAGTAACTTTCGATTTCTCCTAGAAGGTGCAGGAGCAGGTGGGTGGGAGGACTTGATCGAGCGGATTTTAGATAGGGGACGAGGCCCAGATGGTGCTGGAGAAGGGTTCTGGATCGATTCCTTGCAATCGGCATTTGATTATGCGGTACAGCATAATCGTTTGCGAATCGTGGAAATGCTGTTAGATCATGGAGCCCGTCCAGATGGTCTAGATTTCTCCGAACCATATTCTACGACTACCGCCATACGAAAAGGGAATAGTGAGATTTTGGCATTGCTTCTAGATCGTGGTGCCAACATAGACTACGTCGCGTGGGATGAACCTTACTTACAGACCGCCATTTCCACGGGAAACGTTGATCTGGTAAAGGTACTCCTTGAGAAGAAGTATCAATCAAAATTTGCAACCATATCCAATCTCTCAAAAATGATGATCACAGCAGTCAAAGGTGGCGAGGCAGTGTTCAAGCTTTTGTTGGAGCAAGGAGTTTCACTTGATCCTCAAAACAAGACCCATCATCAGGCATTTATCACTGCCGCCAAGCAGGCAAAGCTCACAGCATTGAAAGCCTTCCTAGATGCAGGTTTCAGTCCTGAAATTCGCGATACAATAGAAGGAAATGGTCACCAGAGCCTCCTGTGCCTCGCGTTAGTTGCGATTGACGCCGAAGCCGCACTCTCGGCGGCAGAGCTCCTTCTAAATTATGGGGCTGATATTGAGGCTCGAGACCCTCTGACTGATGAAACACCTCTTCTATATATGGTGGGAAGAAAGGGAAGCCCCATTAATTATCAGGCTCGTTTGCGAGCGACTCGAATCTTACTTGAAAAGGGGGCTAATCCTTTCTTCATAAATAACCGCGATCAGAACCCATTGACAAAGGCCGCGGAAAAAGGAAATTTGGAGATGGTGAAACTTTTGCTTGAGTTCTTCGATACGAAAGAGATTTCTTTGGAGATTGTTAAGCCACTCATTCGGAAAGGAGTATCTTTTGAACACTGGCGGGTTGCGAAAACAATATGGAACTGGTATTGCCGCCGGCTATACCCCTCGCCTTAGTCCAGCATCGAGCCCTGGCTGCTTCAAAATTTTAGTGATGATCTCGAAAATAACAAAGCGTCATTACGATTTGTGCGCTGTGCTGGAGCAACTGTTTTATGGGCTCTTCTGTTTGTTTATGTTGGACTGTCGGTACTTTTCGATCTGGAGAGGGAAAGGGAAAAGACGGACAACATGAAACTAGTGAGGTAGATCGGTAGATTGAATTGAACAAAATTTTCATTGTGTAAGTCCACTGCGGCATTCTGTCAAGTCCTGTTGTCCTTGTGTGCATCGGAGATAATCAAAGACTCTGTCTGCTACTTTATTTTTTCCTGTGAATGGGCATGTCTTTGCTTGCGCCTGTGCAGAACTAACTAATCGAATGTGAACTGAGCAACAGGTATAGCTCCGGCTGATGGTTGAGCTCCCCTCTCATTCGTGGTACAAAGCCATAGAGGTCCCACAACGCCTGTTCCACCACACAGCCAATCATACGATCTTTGACATATGAACATTCTCTGGTGGTTGACAAGCTCCCGAGACGATGTAGCTTCATCATTCCTTCTTCACCGACAGGGTTCAGCGAGGTGATTGTCACCATTTCCGGAATAACCTGGAGGTTCTCTTCGACTTTATTGATCTCTCGTTGGAGGAGATCCTGGAGTTTGGTCCAACTCAAGTCTTGACCGTACAACCAGTTTGGCCCAAGTTGACGCCAGAGAAGCATGTTGAATGACCACCTCGGGAGCAAGTCGTGGAGCTCACATTTACCCAAGAGTCGCAAGTTACTCGGCCCCGCTGACATTGTGGGTGCATAGTAAAATGTGATCATGGAATCTGGAATCATAATGTCTGCCCAGAAGGGTCCAGTCGGTGGATCAGTTGAATACGGAACTCGTGTCTGTTCATCGAGAAAAGTGTTTATAAACTGGTCGACGCCATCTTCAGCGTACTCATCTAGATTGCTAGTCCTCTGAGTAGTCATTGGGCTCACAATTTCGGCGAGGAACAGAAACTGCCTGACGGTAAGCGTGGATGAGGATAAAGGATTTAAAGGTCTCCTGTTGATATGGTCTCGATCAAAGGTAGAGACAAAGATCTCAGTCTATCCACTTCGTAAAAGTCGGCGTTGGAAAAGTCAAACTAACGAACAATATGAAGGCGATAGCTGAGTGAGCTGAGGATGGTGTGTAAATGGGGTTTCACAAGATAATTAGTGAGGATGAGATGGTGAGAAAGTCAGAGAGAAGAGAGAAAGAGAGAGATCGAGGCAATGAGGAGAGCAAAAGAATTATATCCTCAACTCCACCATATCTTGTGGGCACTTAAAAGGAATAGTATTGTCAAATGAAGTGAATACCGCTACTAGTAGACTTTATCACACTTCTAGACATAATCCAATCACCATCACTGTGGCAGGCTAATATCAAACCAGAAATGACAAACCTCACACAATTAGACGTGTCAGAAAAGCGAATGTAATAGTTATATTCGCCATCTACCGGCTGGATACAGGCAAACATCTGTGTGCGACCAGGGACCAGTGCTCTTATTTGTATGGGGTACTTTCTACTATTCATCTCGGCCCCACATTCTAAATGGGAATTGGCAACTTTCATCCATCACCGTCATTCCGTCGTCGACGACTCCACCATCCGCTTCCTAAAGAAGTTCGACCTCATTCCACTATCTGTGAAAAAGCAAACAATGAACGGTTCGAAGACAAAGAGCCCCTCCCCCCCCGACTTGGGCACTCAACATCAGTCAGTTCTACCACGACTTCAAGATCTCCCTCACGGTAAGCACCGGAGCTATCATTAAATTTGAATCAAATAAAAAATTATGTAAAGCCTATCAAAAACCAAAACATACAACAGCAGGGATTCGCTGGTGGTCACCCACCCAACTACTAACCTGCCGGCGTGTGGCTTAAGTACGGCTGAGCGGACGGGAAGCCCTGTTTTCCACACCCTGTGGTCGTATGTACAGTGCTGGTCTAGGAGAAGACACAAGTCGGTTGTTTATAGATAGCGATAAACTGCACCTGGACCGCGACATCGTTTCCCTCATTTTCAAACTAGTATAGATCTCCATCCAAATCTTCCCCAGGCTCCAGAGGCAAAGCTCGTGGATCTTTGAGATCGAACCACCCGCCAAAGGGACTCGAAACAGTGTATCCAATCATCTTCTGCATGCGCACTGGATATCGCTTTACACCCTCGAGCGAATTGGCGAGGTATTGATTCTCTTCCTAGTCACTACGTTAGAGACATATAACTTTCTAGCGTGTAGGAGAGGGAAAACCTAACTGTCCGAAAAAGCCTCTGGTCATGAAACAGGAGAAAACAAGTTGCTCCTCGTCAGTGCTGGTGTTTGCACTGCCTCCGTGGAGACAACTAGCAACCCGCCATAGTAGGTCAAGTCTTCGTTTGGTGGGGTCTTGGCTGACCAAAAATGGCGTCGGGGGATGAATCTGGTGGCCTCATTAGCCTTGGTCGTCTTTTTGCCTGCCACGAAGAATCTAATATTGGTGTCACGGCCAATCTTGTAGTCCTCGTGTGAGGTATGCTCGGTCAACCCATTGTGAAATAGCATGTCATCGCGGTGAAGTTCCTGGCGTCTTGCACTGGGTCCAATACTAAAGAAGATGGTATTATTCAGCTGTCGGTGGGAATCGCTCGTCTCCAGGATTTGGCCCAGCCAGCTATCCTGGGTAGATATTAGAAGGGTACCGCATACATGCTGATACAGACGGTTTCCAGGGATTAGGTCAGTAAAAACCTTTGACTTCTCGACCAAGCCCATAACTCTCCGAGTCTCTGGAGGGAAAAAGTCGCCTATCCTGGGGCGGTCTTTTTCGATCGAAGGTCGAACATCTTTCTCAATGAGAGCTAATTGGTCGGTGTTCAGAATCCTGCGCACCAGATACCCTCCGTTCTTGATCAGTGCTGCGACAACCTCAAGTGCGGTCACAGTGCTGGCAGTGGTTGCATCGATGACGGCAGCCTTAAATTCCTCCGCAAGGTGCTTCGGAAAGCCGTTGACTGGTCGATCAGGAGGGGGCATAGGGATTTGAGCCGGGAACATAATTGTCTTTCACTTTGAGACTGTCAAGATTCTCGAAGGTAATTAGAGATTGGGGTAGCATGCATCTACCAGATATACAAGCAGAAGAGACGATCTTCCAGTTCCAGCTTGCTTCAAACAAATGGAACAGGCCCCACTCCTAAGCGCCGTTATCAATGCATGTAATATCCTGCCGTATGCCAAGATATGCCTGCCAGAAGAATGACACGGAGCTAGTTTTGACCCACGAGATTCCAACTAAGTTTCAACGTTGACATTGGAGTCTATCAGTATTTGACCAATCATTACGCCGTGTCTGGCCGCTGGCTCCGATAAGCCCCACATGGCTAAAGCTACCAGTCATCCATCTCAGACTCGATTGCTCGCCCTTCTCCACCTTCTACTTCCCGAGATCTTGTCCTCTCATCCATGTCTCCTATTTGCGGTGTCACAGGAGAAAGATGACTGAGAAGCGGAAAAGGACCCGAGATGGCTGTATTGTCTGTTGGCGACGGCGAAAACGTTGCGATCTTCGAAAACCGACATGCGGGGGCTGCGAGCGAAATGCCTTGTACGTGGGCCTTGGCAACAAAATGGAAGATCAATTGGCATTTGGAACCGAAGCTCTTATTCCTACACCCGGCATTCTCCCCCTCGGATGATTAGTATGAGTCATGGCGTGGATAGCCATGTTCTCAAGGCCCCAATCTCCTTAATGCTCTACAGGCATTATTTGAACGAGACGGGGAATGCCATATCTGCGCATCGAGGGCCACTGAACTCCTTCATTCGACTCCTCCCTTACCTTGCTATATCCTACCCGAACACAGTGTTCCACAGTCTCCTTGCTCTGAATGGAGTGTACTATGGCAGCTGTGCCTACAATGCTGATGTTGATATCATGATCTTTACTCACCTAGGCGTTGCTCTCCGATCATGAAAACATAGCCTAACGGCTTTTGCTAGCACCCTGACCAATGGTGACAGTATTCATCTGCTAGTTTCTACATTTATTCTTTACTTTCTCGAGGTAGGTCTAATCTGCTCTGGTCGCATATCCCCAATAACTCAATCCTTGAAGACAACCAGAGAAGACACCACTATCCATCGACGCGCAGAATCTTGAAACCATGACTGCTTCCCGATTGACCCAGTTTCTGGATATCCAAAAATACTTCCCGTTAACGCGCCTGTTTCTTCAGCCATCATCTGGCTACTGGTGTTTTTTGGCGTTTTGGCAAGTCACCGGAGTCATCGCAACTTGGTCTATGAGCATCTATGCCACATGCATTCCATGTTCGGGTTTGGGAATATCCAGTCATCCATGGCCTTTCTGCAGTTTTCCTGGGATCAGCAAGGTGAATTTTCAGGAATCCTTAATTTGCTAGTCAGTAACGGAAGAAGCGATTTGGGTTCTATTATGAAACACATGAACCTTGATATTTCATTGTCTTGAAATGTTTACAGTATACTGGACCTCTTTTCATTTTTTACGAGCTGATAAATGAAGACCCCACGAAAAGACCATTCAGGAAGGCTCGGCAGGTACTTTACTGAAAGCATAGCAAGGACGGAATTGCTTCAACATCATCCAATATCCGCTTATTCCCCATTCTGCTTCATGCCTTGACTATTAAGAACCCCGCGAAAGATAGTGGAAGCAAAAAATAAAGCTCCTGCGATCGCATTTAGCATCTGGGTACTGCTTGTTTATTATCCCCCCATGCTGGCTGCATCCACGCCTTTCGCAGCCTGGTCAATCATATAGTCTCCTTGAATCCTGGGGGCTGGGACCAAATCGGCCAATTATTTCCGGATTTAGTCGGCTTCCTGGGAAAACAGCAAAAACCCCACCACCCCTCTGGCCTGGACAACATTCGCAGCGGGCATAATGGGAGTCTTATCTGTCCGTGGTCGAGGGAATTAGTAAGCCTGATTTTGTAAGGGCGGATTCTATTTGAGTGATAGGGGAATCCACCAAAAGGCAATCCAGAGAATGATTTCTTCCAACCCTCCAAACTCTCCTTCACGACTTCCTTGCTTGCTATCATGCTTGCCTATGTGTGCCTTAGCCAAGCTTTTAAAGAGGAAATGGCCGTTGAGCATTCTCACCAAATAGAAATTGAGTGGTGCTCCTTATATCAATGTAATCCTGGGGGCTATCCGGAGCGGCAGCAGCACTAGTAAGAGCATGGACGAGGGAAGCACAGAGGAGGGTGACTTAAATCCAATTCAAACATCAGTTTTCCAATGCCTAACTTAAAATATAAGATGTTAAATAATGATTGCCACACATGCGCATAATTAGTTCCTTGTACGACCCTGCAAAAATAAGCCAGATTTTGAATCACTTTTATATTGCCTTCTGCTTTAGATTGCATCCAGATCCATCAAATTTGAATCAACAAACTTCTTGTGTCTTGTAACATTTAGTCAAAAACTTAAAGGTTTCTAGTTCGATGGAAAATCTAGCAATTGTCCGATAAAAAAAGTAAAGGAATTCATACTAAATATCAGCAATAAAGCAGCTACAGCATCATCTGTGCGTTCAGCTGTGCTCATATGGATTTTCTTTCAAACTTAATACTAAAGGTCGGTGTAATTCCTTTCATTGTCCTCGGATGGAATGGCGATCTCAACAAATGTGAGACAGAGGACTTGTTTTTGCAAGTTAAAATTCACAGAGAAGTTGCCAAAAAGAGCAGCAATCAATGTATATGACTCCAGCTGTGAAATATAAATGATGTAGTAGCCGATCAGATCAATGGAATGAAGAACGATGTGTGAAGGATGAAATGAAAAGAATGCTGATTCTGGCCCTCAGACTGCTGGGGGCCGGGGTGGTTGAAATACCCTGGAGAATATATTGAGACCAGGAGGTTACATATCCAAGATGGCGGAAGGTGGCAAGTGCGACTAATCTTAAACCCAAGCCATATCTTGGAAACTTCAGAAGAACGGCTTCGGTCATTACGGTCCCGGTCACTATTTCCCTTACACAGTCCATGCATGTACAAAGGGGAATCTCTTCTCAACTCTAACTGTAATTAATACTCAGGACAGATTCAACAATCGAGTCTTGATGCAGCTCCAAGAAAGCTCAGCTAATACCTAGATATTAAGTAATTCTGCCTGGCTTCCGTGCTCATTTCACGGAGTTCTTTCATTTCCCCACGTTTCACCGTAGTATACGTTGAGATTATCGGAGCTCCCATGAGCTCGTATAACCTCGTGTTCTTTTCGAGGGCATCCAGGCTATCCTGAAGCGTCTTTGGCAATCGTACTTCAACGCCTAGTTGATGCCGCTCGTCAACTGAAAGTTCCTCGGGCGCCTTTGGGCAATTGCCCCCGGTCAACGGCAGACCTGATCGAATCCCATCAATCCCAGCTGCAAAAAGGGCGCAGAGCGCCAAATATGGATTTGCAAGGCCGTCGACCAATTTGACTTCAAAATGAGTCAACCCGATCCGTCTGAGAGGCGTCTCCCTATTTTCCCATCCCCAGGCTGCGTACTCGCCACCTGACCAAATGCCTGGCTTTACCCGCTCATAGCTGACTTCTTGAGGCAGCGTAAAAGCCAAGACAGATGGAAGGTGATATATGATTCCAGCAAAAAATGATTCAATTCGTTTCTTGGAGTCGTTCTGCGTTGAGTTGATTGAAATATGCGTGTGGCATCCTGTGCCACTTTGGCCAGGCATCAGTCGAGGGTGTAGTGTTGCACGGTAACCGAATGACCTAGCAACAGCCATAATCGTATCTCGAGCCTTCAACAGTACAGTGACTGATTCGAGCGGAGAAAACGGGGGCAAGACAAATTCCCACTGGCCGGGTGCAGATTCGGCGTGGAACTGTTGCAGAGGAACGCCGAGAGCAGTAAGCTCACGTGAAATACTTTCTATCAGGTCCAGGAACTCATAATTCTCTGCTGTCACTTCAGAAAAAGCGTGCTCATTGTTCAAAATTTTGTATTCGCTCCTCCCATTACAACAACTGTGTTTCAGGAACACGACTTCGATCTCGAAGCCAACCAGCGCGGTGACATCCAATTCATAGAGTTCCTGCTGTAGGATGGCGTACAAGTCCTTCAACTTCGCTTTGGGACATTCCGGTATGGGATTCCCATCCTTTTTGACAGAATATGTTCTAATTGTCGCCCGGGTGCCATTTGAGCCTGGCTGCAGATATATTGAGGTTAAATCAGGCCGCAGGTAGAAGTTGCCACAGAGAGAACCCCCTTCAGCGATCCTGTCACCCGGGGCCACAAAGAAAGCGACCTTGGGAAATGAGAGTAGCCCATTCTCTTTTATTAAATGAACAAAAGTGGAAATTGGAAGCATTCGAACAAGGGTATTCGCGGTGTACGGCATGAAATGTACCCACACAAAGTCCACGCCAGAGTTATCAAGAAGAAATTGCTCCAGAATAGATATGGGTGGCTCCAGAATACTCCCCATCGCTGCGACAGAAAGCGCTTTTCTTCAATATGTGAAACTGGCCAATTAAGTATGGGAAAATTTGCTTTGAAACCAAAAGATAGAACAGGGAGCGTTATTTGCAACTTTCAAGAAAGGACTTTTGGTAGAGCTTTGAAATATACTCAGGTAAACAAGCGTCTTTATTTGGGAGCTTGTCACTGCACAACGCCTAGACCTTTGCATTCACTGGCAGATGTATGCTTATGATCACATTAGGAGCTTTCTGCAATGGCTAAAAAGAGTGTGATTGAGCAATTTTCGTAATAGCAACTGAATCTCTGCAAGCCTGCTCGGACAACATTGCGATCAGGGAGTGCCATGAAACTAGTCGCGATATTAGTTGCTAGGCCGGAGATTACCATATGTGGACTGCTTTCGGGGTTTGGAAGGCTGCATGCAGTTACCTAGCCTACTGCGTTCATGCCTGTTATATTGGTGCTGTTAATTAATCCGGTCCTCCAGTAGACATGTTAGCATAGATTCGGATATTTTGGTCCGCAGGAATTAGCTGTACCACGTCTTGTGATTAAGGACGTGTCAGATGCAATCAAAATGCGGCTGCACGAAAGGCACCACGTTCATCGGCCTGTCCGGCCGTTCCTCAAGTTGCATAATGCAGTGTTGACATTCTCCCTTGCTGCAGCTGTAGCTGATGTCAGCTTAACATACATCATGCTGGTCTTCACCTCTCATGCGAATTTGTGAGTGCTAATCTGCGAACTGGCGCACCCGAGTACAGGACGTCGACTAAGTAACCACTTCCATCAAGTCACGTCATAGAGCACCAACCAAGCCTATCGAGCTAGTCGGCAATTTAATTACCCGTCCAGATACCAATAATGATCCGGATCTGTCTCTGTATTGCCCAAGGCCACGAAAAATGATCTCATCATGCTGCTAGTATTTCCCATTGTATTTTCTCCCGGGACCTTACAAGCAATGCGGGGTTTACACTGGGATAGACCGGCCTCAAATTCTCTTATGGCCAGGATGCACGTTGTTGGGTGGCTGGTCCACTAGTGTTGAACTCATTCTCTAGGATCTACTGTCGTTATTTGATAACGCACGAAACCAATGTGCTCTTCGTTCTGTTTTCCATTCTCTCCGGCACCAGTGTCAATGTACCTGTGATAGGTTCCTGTGCGTTCATAGGCCTGACTAGTTGTATTTTCAGCGCCCAGGGCGCTAGGAACGTCACCGCTCTGATGCCTATAGAAGGGAGAACGAAAGATGCTGATTTCTCTCTGGGCCAGCGGAGTTCTGGTAGGGAGGTGCTCTGATCGCTCCTCTCGACATTGACAAGCTAATGAATTCTGAAAGTAGTACCTTGATGTGGACAATGTATCCAGTAACTAACTCTTCTCCGATATTCTTTTATCTCCTAGTCTTTCGAGTAATAACTGTCCTTTACAAGCCCCATAATAGGGCCAATTTTGATCCTGAATGCTGGATAGACATAAACTTCTTTTGGGCACCATTGGCAGACTTGTTGTATGACTGTCTCCCGCAGCCTCTAGCTGATGATACAGGTCCTCATCTCCGATTTGATTCATTTGGTTTCTATAGAGCGGCTGTGTCAAATTTGCCTATCTGCTGTCACTACATGAGACCTATCCCCGAGTCCTACTTCGACGAAAAGTTACAGCTTTTGATTTGGTGATACTCTACGCAAGGTATTTCCCGGTCCATAAAGCTGGCAGTCGGGTTACCACTAGCCATGCGCACATTACTGTTTGATAGCTTCGCTTATGCTTTCGCGTATTTCTCTTCGCTTCATTCTTCGTTTCTTTAGCCAGCGGTATGGATTTGACTTGAAGTGATCAGTCTGTCGTGGCTTGGTCAGATAGTTGGATCCTGTATGCGCCAATGCACGGCTTCCTTGTTCTCCGACTGGAATATATGGCGGCAGCACGCCACACAAGACATCATCACTTCACATTGGCACTTGCATTGCATATTAGATACAGGGGGCCCGACTTGCTTCTCGTCAGACTGCTGGCCTCAATGGAGTTGAAAGACATGAGTTTTCTTAGCCTCAAACGAGAAGCATAGACGGAGAGCTACAACTCCGAGAAGATTATTAAATCACGCCTTGCCCTCTTTAGGGCAAAGAAAAAATGATGACTTGAAATAGTCTCCGTTGACGTTCTTGAAAATGGATTGCATTTTTTTTACTCGAAGAAAACATGATTTCACGTATTCTGGCCATGCATAATATATGTCCTGCTTTGCATGAATGGTAAGCCCACTCCTGGCTATCAACATATCCAGTTGGCCGGCTGAATCATGATTCCTAAAAAGCCGAAAAAGAAAAGAGAAAAATAAATATTGGATGTGAACGCTGATGGTTCTGAAAGCAAAGACTGTGTCTTGACCTAGAAACTTTGTTTTAAAAGCAGGCTAACGTGGTTTACATCAGACTATGTCCGCAACCACCACTTCGGGGCAGCCTTTATGGACCCTTTAACAAATCACGCGGACAATACAAATATTTTGAAATTGCCATTGCGGATATTAACTATATCTAACTTTCCAACCTTTAATTTCAGCTTGACTATTTCAGTTCACTCCCCATCGGCGGCAAACATGCATATCTCGATGCCTAGATAAGGTGCATGCAAACAGAGTGAGTGGGGCAACAGTGGTAGAGTGAAAGATGTTAATGTAGTAATATGCAAGTCCAGGAATTTATTCCTACAGGTAGCATTAGACCAGGTTTTCCTTGACTGTAGGGTGTCATAGCAGCACACCAGAATACTATGCCGTTCGTAAGGTATTTAATATAGACCTTGAATGCTAAAACTTCAGTGATAGCTTTCACGAAAATATCAATTACGTTGCGCAATATGACAACTGGAAAGAGCTTGCCTCAGGTTCTGGATATCCGGCGGACCAGATGCGAAAGCATCATCAGCCATGATATCCGGGACGGGATCCGGAGGGAGCCCCGTACGCTCCCCATCATGATCCTTTACAGTGAGGAAGGCCTTCGACACTGGGATCGTCATTGCCATGCACCGGAGTATTATCTATTCCATGAGGAGTTGCGGATACTCCGTCAGCAGGCTCTCAGCATGGCGGAAGCAATCGAGGACAACAGCGTGGTCGTTGATTTTGGAAGCGCGTGAGTGTACAAAAGCTTTAATTGACTCAAAACTATCCACCACCTCGGATTCAAGTAGCGCCTGGCTGATGAATCCAACCGCAATGCCATACAGGAGTTTAGACAAAACTATTCTTCTCCTCGAAGCCTTGGAGACATGTCAAAAGCAAATCACTTACTATGCCCTGGACCTTAACAAAGCCGAGCTCGTCGAGAATCTCAAATTAATCCCAATTGATAACTTCAGATATGTCCGCTGCTCCTCCCTTCATGGCACATTTGATGATGGATTAGAATGGCTTAAGCACACACCAGATATTTGCGACAGGCCACACTGCATCCTCTTCCTAGGTTCAACAATCGGCAACTTTTCTCGGAAAGGCGCTACGAGCTTTCTGAGCCAAATTGCCTTACAAGCCCTGACTGGCTCGCCAGCTCGAAGCTCCATTTTCCTCACAGTGGACAGGTGCAAGTTGCCGAGCAAGGTTCTTCGTGCATATAACTCGGATGGATGTGATTCTTTCACACTTACAGGCTTGCAGTATGCGAGCTCAGTGCTGAAGGAGGAGAGCCCAAACGAGTGCAATGGAACGACTTTCTGCAGCGATGACTGGCACTTTGTCAGTGAGTGGAACTGTGCACAAGGCCGGCATGAATCATCGTATACTCCTAAATCAAGAGATGTGCGTCTGGGGCCACCTCTCAGCGACATTGTTATCAAAAAAGGAGAGAAGGTTCGTTTTGCATACAGTCACAAATACGATGAATGCGAGCTGCGAAATCTCTTTGCTGGGGCCGGGTTACGGAATGTCAAAACATGGACAGCCAATGGCTGCGATCTCGGTCAGTACCTCCCTTTCTATACCGAAGTATACTATCTAATGCATCTCTCCTAGCCTTCTTTCAGCTAAAACTAGATCCCAAGTAGGTCTATGTCCCTGCGTTTCAACATTCAGGATTTATACCTATCCTCTCTATTTCGGTTGCTGGAGGTCTTGGGGTTCTCGGCTAGTAAAGCTTTACCTAGCGTCATTGTTACATAGACCTGCATGCAGGGTAAATTACCGAGGCCTTCAATGGTTCCCAATAAGGATTTTACTTTTCTTTTTCATTTTTATACTAGTCCGATGGGACTCCAAGTACCCTCACTTGCCAATGGGAGGGTATTTCATTAGCGCGTAGAAACGGTCTTCTATTGGAAGATTCGAAACCTTTCAGTACTTATCAGCTACTATCGTGATCAGGACGTTACATTTTCGTAGTATTAGAAAGTTATTACATTACCAATATTTGAATCTGGGCCACAGGAGACCCGACATGGTGGCCAGATAGTGCAATTCCCATCACATACATATGCACGACTCATGTACAGTAATGACCCAAGTCGTACGCAATGCCAAGGCCCACGCGGGCGAGCCACAGTGGGTTATCTGACAGATTAAACCTGATATTCAACCTGATGTTCATTAATTTGTCCAAGCTAAATAGCTCAGAACAAGCGGTGTGGCTCTCATCGGGGCTTAGAACCTTCATATCTGCTCCGCTCTCAATGAATGCTCAGTCTTTGGTGTAATAGAAATCAAAGAAATCGATATGTTTATGATCATTCAAGCTTCCATCGGCTCATTGTTACTCGTTGGAGTCTTGATCATTTACAAATATGTCTCCCATCCACTCAGACACATTCCTGGGCCAAGATGGACTCTTTTTACAAAGGGGTGGCTGCTCAGTCGGCTTTATAGCAAACAACTGCACCTTCTGGACACCGATGCCCATAGGAAATACGGTATTTTCCTATGCAAACAGGACTATAGAGAAGAGAACCTAATGAACCTTCAATAGGCCCAATATTCCGCGCTGCGCCAAATTATGTCATGGTTAATGACCCGGCATATATCCACGAAGCCCACAAGTGGAACCGGACGGACTGGTTCATCACGCTGGATCCTCAGGTAGGCAGACAGAGTGTTGGAACAGCCAGAAATATGAATCAGCATAATTTACAGCGAAGAAGAATTGCACCTGCGGTATCCTCTTGCTCCACCAAACCCCTGGCATCGGGATTCGCCATGCTGACAATATGATCTGTGATGTAGTATAGTCTAGACTCTGCATACGAGATGGAATCATTGATTGACAGCTCTGTCATGGAGCTTATCCAGATTTTGAGGGACAAGTTTGCACTGACTGGCAATCCTTGTGACATCTCTGACCACATACACTGGTGTACGCCAACGAAAGCCCCACGTGAAAGCAATTACTGATGACTATTTTCAGTCGCGTTTGACACTATAATGGAGCTAGCTTTTAGTCATCGAGTTGGCTTCCTCAAGAATGGCAAAGATGTCCAATTTATCATTGGTTCCCTCATGTCACTTTTTGGTATCACAAGACTGATGACCACTTTTCCGGGGCTCCAGAAGTTCATCAATCACCGCTGGGTCTCTCCAATTTTGGGCCCTAAGACCACAGATCAATACGGACCTGGGCTCGTTCGAGGTGTAGGTTAAAGGCTCCACCTTATTTCCCACTTTCGGCTTGCCCATTTAATAATGCTAGGATAGATTGCTATCCAGGAGGTGCAGGGCCGGTTGCGGGTTCAAAATCCTACTCAAACCAGAGATCTCTTACAACGGTTCTTAGAGTACAAGGACCCACAGGGCAGGGGAACTCCCACAAAAGACCTGGAAGTTGAGGCTTTCACGCCTGTGTAAGGCCACTATTATTTTATTTGTCTCAATGAAGCCTATACCCTGTGTGCACTAACATCCATCCATAGGATCGCTGGCCCTGAATCGGTAGCTACTGTTCTCAGAATCGCTGTTCTCTATATAATCTCCACGCCCCATGTCTATAGAAAGCTTGTGGAGGAGCTCGACAGTCAGGACAGGTCTGGCACTCTTTCATCACCTATTACGTTCAGAGAAGCAAAAAGCCTTCCTTACCTGTCCGCATTGGTCAAGGAAGTATTTCGAATTCACCCCCCAATCGGGTGCGTAGCAGCGTTGTCACTCATTCTTCTATCGTGACACTGACATACAGTGCATTAGAACACCATTCCCACGTGCTGTTCCACCCGGAGGCACCCAAATCTGCGGCTATTATCTCCCGGCAGGGTGTGAGGTTGGTAAGCAGTCCCTTGCGATAGGGGATTGAAGGGTTTTAACAAAAGCTGTCAATTTAAACAGGCTTCAGTACGTGGGCACTGGGTCGAAACAAAACCATATTTGGAGAGGATGTCGACCGTTTCCGTCCTGAACGGTGGCTTGAAGCGAGCAGGGCAGTGGTCCGTGAGTATGAGAAAGCTGACCTTACTTTTGGTGCGGGTCTCACAACATGCCTTGGGAAGTATGTCATCTAAGATTCTGAAGAAATTTCACCTATTAACATTTGGTTAACACAGGCATATTGCTCTTTTTGAGATCTAAAAGACACTGGCCGAGGTGAAATCTAAGGTTCTATTTTACCTAGTCGGTCAAGCTAACGATAATAGCTTTTTCGTAATTTTGAAATCGATCTGGCGAATCCATTTCGCCCTTGTATAACCGAGAATATTCTGAGTTTCATGGTTCACGATATGAAGGTTTATATCAGCCCAAGGACTGATAAGGACTTCACTGTCTGAAGATGAGGCTTTAAAGCTATCTTTAAGGCAACTGAGACCGAATTAATGCAGATCAAACTATTCAAGAGCTGAAGAAATTTTTCACAACGTGATATCCGGTAGGAAAACTAAGTGTTTCACTCTTCAAGGTGAAGTAATTAGGCTGCCACCGCAAATCAAGATACTTGAGTTTTAATTGCATATAATTATACAAATAGATAGAAGGTCGACTTATCTTTATCCATTTGCGCTGAGCTCCTTCAACCTTCCTTGGAATTGGGTGATTGATATGCAGCTTTGTCAAACTAAGACGTGGTATTAAGCAAATCGCGGCAACACCTGGCCATGAAAAGAATATCAATCATCAAAAAATGTGGAAAATGACAGTTCTGGTCCTTCTTTTGAAGTATTTAATAATAAGATCATCATGTCCAAAGAATACTATCCTTTGGGGTAAAGCCCTCACGTTATCCTTATCTAATCTCAACTCCTTTCATAGCTCTCTAGGGTATGACTCATCTCTCGGCCTGTAAATGACCTGATTGTAGGACAAGAGTACATAATACATCTTGTTATCTTAGGGACCTAACCGCTGATCGAGCTTTACCACCCTGCGTGATGGCGAAGACATAATGCTGTCAGACTTCCTAACAAAATGGGCCGCTTCTTATTCGTTAAGATCTATCTTTGCCCTCCTCTCTGAAAAGAAAAGCACTAGGTATTCTATTTTGGCGCTATCAAGGAGGCCTAAACTCAAGATATAGGAAGTGGGTGGGGTTGGTCGTTTTCGGCAGGGTGTACAAGGATTAGGTCTCAGGGAGTAATTGTCAAGAAGGAAGACTGCATAATACGGGCGAGACTCACATATCTCCATGCGCGTCAGGATATTACAGGGATACTCGATTTGCTACGTATTTTGTATAGTACCCCGGGTATACTCGGAACCCAGCGCCGTAACACGCTAGACAGCAAGGTAGGGGATATTCAACATTCCCCCGCCCACACACTTAGATAGCTCAGTCACCCAATACATCACTATATTGAGCATCTCGTTCCATTGGATCCTAGCTTTCCTAGCCGATACCGTATCCTTCTATATTGACAGTAATGTATAAATAGTCATATTGTGTAATATTTGCGTAAAGGTCCAAAAATCTTCGTTTTCCTGCAAAGCTCGTGCAGGGAATATATATTAACGCCACAATATACCACCTGAACACTACACCGCCGATTCTACTTCTGCAGCCCAGCGATCTTCCAGGACATATACGTCAATGTCATATTGTACTACGTGGACACTACCCCGCTGTTTGCATACTTGAAGACTAAGTTCAATATGTCACTTATTATAATATGTCATTTATTATAATATGTCACTTATTATTTGCTGTCATCTATCTGACTTCTGGAGGCCTTCTGACGAAAAGGAGTAAGGGGAAAGAACGATAAACAATAACCCTCCAATTTCACAACTTCGGATTTTTTGGACCCAACTTCAGCAACTATGTTCCTTTTTCCCATCCAAAGCGAAAGTCTAGTTACCCTTATTTTGGCAGAAAGGATTAAATATCTACTGGCAATTCCCCTACTCCTTCCCATTGGAATCACAATTATCTACCGTCTTTATGCCCACCCGCTGAGAGACATCCCTGGCCCGCGTCTGGCTGCAGTGAGCGACTTTTATGCCTTCTATTATAACTATTTTGAAGATGGCTACACAAAGAAAATACAGAAGTTTCACAAATTATATAGTAAGTTCACTCTAGGCTTTAAATTCATCACAGGCATACTAAACGATAGCAGATTCACCTGTAGTGCGCATCGGCCCAGCCCACGTCCATGTCAATGAACCTAGTATTTTTGAAGAGTGAGGATAATTGCCCATCTTCAGAATACATCAGACTAAATCGAACTAGGATATTTCGTATGGGAACAAGATACGAGAAATACCCAGCCTTTTACAAGTATTTTGGTGGTCTAGAGAAGTTCATCGAGTCTAAGGATCACCGCACATACCGACGCCATTTGGCTTCACTGTACTCGTCTAAGTCTATCGATACCCTAGTGCCGAGACTCCTGACAGATCTCCATATTGTTGGAGAGCGGCTGCAGAGGAGTTTGGAGCGTAAGCAAGCAGTGAGCCTTGAAAGGTTGTTTCGTACCCTCGCTGTAAGTTCTCTCCAAATCAGAGAACTTCTTTGATGCAACTAGAACAAGGCTTGTAGACCGATCTCATTCTGCAAATTCTATTACCACATGATGTGAACATGTTCGAATTTGAGGGCTATCATCCTTTCTTGGAATCTTATGATACGGTAATGGATAAAGTATGGTTATGTGAGTTGTCTCAACTGGCCTCTTGGGCTCCGACCACATTCGCCGAATTCAATTCCGAACTGACATTCAATCGGTTAGTTCTTACCTATCCGCTAGCGGAGAAGGTCTTACGTCTTTGTCCCGGGAGTGAAAACAGGAAATATACAGCTGCCGCTCGCACTCTAGAGAAAGTAAATATATATGTCCGCCCGGTACCCAGATTTTTACATTTTCTGACCGCCGAAGTATTTTGCAAGCTGGTTCAACGAAGGCCAGCAAGCCAGGACTTCTGGCAAAAGTCCTCAACGTGATTCCCATGTAACTCGATACTTGGAAATGGACACTGCCGACCATCAAAAGGTCAGAGCTGTCAATCATCCATTGAACGATATTTTCGACTTTATCGCAGGAGGACGCGATCCAGTGACACATGCGATGTCTTGCGCATTTTACTATCTTCTAAAAACACCCAGTTCCCTTTCTAAGCTACAAGCCGAACTCAGTGAGGCTGATTCCTTTATTCGATACAACTTTGACCATAAACAGATTCAGACCCTCCCCTATCTGGTACTTCAAATGTCCCCTCCCCTATCTCTCAAGAATTTCGATTCTCCCCGGCTATGTGTCACCATCTCGGGATTACACCGGAACACTAATTGACCGTACTCGCAGAGCGCTGTCGTCAGGGAGACCTTGCGTCTCTCTAGCCCTATCCCAGGATGTCTCCCTCGGGTTGTTCCGGAGCATGGAATGAATATGGGCTCGATATATCTTCCACCTGGGGTAAGTCGGCTGTCATGTTCAAGCTGCGTTGGCATTCACTCACCTGGTGTGTCGACTTGACAAAAGACAGCAATCTCTGTCAGCATTCTAGCAGTCCACCAGAACAACAAGATGTTTCCTGAACCAGAAGATTTTCTTCCGGAGCGCTGGCTAGGTGATAAAGGAAAAAGTCTTGGGAAATGGAACGTCGCCTTTAGTCGGGGCCCGCACCAATGTATCGGAATGAAGTGAGTCTTTCTCGTTGAAAATTATTGACGTAGATGATGATAAAGTCTCGGCTGACTCATAAGCCGTAATCCAGCCTTGCCATATTCGAAATCTATTCTTGCATCGCATACCTTTTCTCTCGGTTTGAGTTCGTGCTGGCAAATAGTCCCGATGAAGAATTGCAGTGGGTGGACAAAATGATTGCACAAAACTCAGTGGATGTCAAGGTCCGCATTACGAAAGACCTGTGGGCTGACGGCATATGAATGATTCTGTGACAATATCAGTATTCAGTGCGATATGGGGATATCTTCTTCAGGTGGAGCGCACCGAATCTATATTTTGCTCGGTTCCTGCTCTTGGTTGTGTCAGGGCGCAGGTACAGTAACAGATGAAATAGAACTTAGCGTGGCAGACGGTCCACCGTCAGGCTATGTATAGGTACAAAGATAAAGCATCGCTCGAAAATCTATCGACGGGGCAATAGATCAAGATAAGATGTAAACAAAACAATAGGCCATGTGCAGAAGCGGCCAGGCATCTCGGCCGCAAAACGTGATACATACAACCCGTCAGACAGGCAAGGAGTTGGTGGGCAGGCGAGGTGCGAGTGTGAATATATAGTGTCGTATTGTGAAAGCATGTCTTCTGTTTTCTCTTAGCAAGCTTATAAATAACGGAACTAATAATATTAATTATAAGGATTACTGGGCCTATCAATCAAGGTCTAGAGTCTATTGATTGACAGCATTGCAGTATATTATATGTCGTCTTAGGACTACATACTGTAGTGGGGAAGTGGCATACAGGCATGAACTAGCGGTGTGACGGAAGATATGATATATAAGGCCTACCCCGCTGTATCTAGCAATTCAGACACCCATCTTCTCTTCAACTATCCCTAGGTGTCCTCTCTTTCTCTTCCCTAACCCCTAGAGGCGGGCCTGGTCGCAGACAGTGACCGTCTCTCACACTAGTTCAATACAAAGTGGCATGCTAGCAATACTATAGATATACTGTTATTGGTGGTATATACTATTGGTAAAGGTCGATTAGGTGTAAGCTCACTTTTCTTCTTTGCTTTCTAGTGTTAACTACGAACCATAGTAGTATTATAGAATTCAGGGTTATTATGGCAATATCAAGTAGGGTCGGCGAAAACTTTTGAACAGATATTTTTATACTATATTGGTCCACCTTTCCACTAATGATATGTGCGGATGACTTGATTAGGCCTGGCTTGATTCTATTCGTGTAGGTATCATGGCGAAGCTATCATCATTTCAATGATTCTGAAAGGCGGCCTAGTCACAGCCCGTGAGATTAATTTAAACGAAACGACTTCTGCCTTGCCACAATTAGAAGTGCCAATAAAATTGAGCTAGTGGCGAGGACTTGGAAAGCACAATAAAAGATCAGTACTATGGCAAATTGACTTTGGTTCAATATACTCGCTTACTTGGAGCAATAGCGTAACTTCGTCGGGAGATATTTTGTACAATTCCGCGAATAGCAGAGGGCAAAGAAGCAATTGACTGGCGATCTTTGATTAAATGGTTCATCTCCTGGCAGCAAATTTAGTACGCCAATTTCTTGAGCTGCACAATAGAATGTGAAGGAAAAAAACCCCCGATGCCCTTACTTCTTTAGTTTTGGGATCAGAGCCGAACTCCTCTTGATAAAGCCGACTGAACTCCCTTGTTGTCAGCCCACTCATCGCCGAAATACCGACCATTTGGCCAATTTGTTGCGTGAGATAATATGTGGTGATAACCGTAGCTTGGTCTTTCTGCTTAGCAGAGGCAGAAACAGCGACAAATTGGCCTGCGAGCAACATTCCTATTCCAGCAAATCCAGGTGTTACGTATACTGACTCCCAAAGGCTTGGCTTTTGCAGATTCCATCGAAGGAGAACAAGCAAAAAGCTGACAATTGACATCAGTATCCCAAAAATGCACCATTTTTGCCAGAAACCGGTTCTGTAATCTGTATTAGCCCAATCATTGAATTTTGAATTTCTGCGTCTCCTGGAGTCTTTACCGTCGAATTAGTTTGGCCGCGATTATGGACCCTGAAACGAACCCGATAGGACATGGCATAACACATAACGCCCCTTGGGACGGTGAAAATCCTTTTTCTTTCACCCAAAAGTCCGACAGAATGGGGACTACCTATGTAGAGCTGGATGTTAGTTTCCTCCTTGAGATAGACACAGCTTGAAATAACTCATCCTCACCGAGAAGGTTGCTATCCCACTGAGCACCTGGACAAGGAAGAAGGATCCTAGCTGGCTTGGTTGCAAGAGCGTGAGAGAGATCAATGGCGACTTCACCAGAAACACTTCGTTTAAGCAGAACCCCACAAATAGCAGGCATCCAGCCACGCCAGTGATGAATAGGCAAAGGAGCTTCCTTTCCAACCCTTCCATCGGGGCTAGTTGAATAAACATGAGAAGACAGAGGATACTGCACATCAAAAGAACCAGACCAGTTATATCAAGAGGTTTATGATTTTCCGGCTTCTCGGTATTTCCGTTCTCCAAAACCTGGTTATTCGAGTGGTCTGCATCCGGCAGCGGCATTGTGTCCTTCGTGATGCCCCCAAACACAATCGACATACATACAATCGCAAGTGGAATGTGAACTAGAAAGGCCCTATGAAAGCGAAGGTGAGTGAATATGAGATGAAATAATGTTAAATCTTGCTCATTGTGAGAGCTTACCAGCGCCATCCCATCCACGCTGTGAGTAATCCACCAAAAGGAGCCCCAAGCCCTTGACCGAGCATCGCAGCTATTGTAGCGTAGGAACGCAACATGGCAACCTGACGGGGAGTGCCAATATCTACCACGAGTTCATTGGTTAATATTACTATGATAAATATCAAAGAGGCATTAAGTAATTTTATAAGACTTACCACTGAAGATGACAGAAACCAGTTCATTCATCCCAGACCCACCAAATCCGGAGATGAGACGCCCAATTATGGTCAGGATAATATTTGGAGATAACCCTCTAGCGAACTTTAGACGATTGTAGACGATGAGACAGTTCAGTAACTCACATCAACAGGCATCCAGCAATATACACATAGTATGCGAATATGAGAGACCTTTTGCGCCCGATACAATCGCATAGTTGGCCATACTGAAAAGATTACTTTGGAGATTCTTTGTATTTGAAGGCTTATTGCGACATACCAGTGGGAGAGAGATGATATAACCTAGGTTATAGGATATGATAAGCCATGGAGTCGCACGGCGTGCGTTGAAAAAGGCAGAAATGTCGCTAGCTGTCGTGAGGACGAACGATTCATCCGCATTCGCTATTAAAGAGCCTATATAGGACATTTTAAAGATGAAAACAGAATATGAAGCGCATGGCTATCAGTCACGTACCTACCAAGAGACTTCCCATCGTTAGTCTTCCAATGGAAAAGGTTGTGACATCCCGCATCTGGTCGTCATGGTGGGATTTGCCAAGTAAGGGGCTATTTTCCGGGGCAGTCATTTCAACCTGATCTGAATTGGCTTCTCCAGGTCTGATTCGAGATATAATTTGAACCGCACAATGAGTTGAGGACACTTGCGATTAGAGAACAGTGTCCCTTAGAATCCGGGAGTATAGCTCCCCAGATGCTGCAGATGGGTATGAATTGATAGTCAAGTCAATATTCCGCAAGGGTCGATGGGCGCTTCCCGGAATTGAGGTCATGTGCCAGTATGGCTTATTTTATGATCATACAAGGTATGACCGAATCGATTGATATTCAGCTGCACTTTACGGTCCGGCGAAACAGATACTGGGATTGTGCAGTCCTCTGGGCCAATCATATTGATTTGTGAGGCGAAAAAGCAATTATCTGGAAAGGGTGTACAGGGTACTCCCTGGCAAATCTGGTTTTGCTTCTTCGATCATGTAGCATAATTGTGCACTAGTCAGGATTCATGATCGTTAGTGGGATTCTCTCTCGCTTTGGGAATCGCCACCACGCCACCGAACCATCTAGGCTGCGGCAGTATTTATAATATTGTCATGGATCTATTTTCACAGGGTAAAACGCTTGTCTATCAATTAAGAATTCTAGAAAACCATGATGATTACTTAAGCATCTAATCTAATACTATTACCAAATGCGCCATACAGACAGTGCTGGTTATAGTGCAAATGGCGAAGTCAATAGTGTGGTGGAGGGCCTCGATACAGCGTTCATCTATTGCTGACCTGGTTGGAAGCAGACTCTTTGAACAGAAAATTGTGACGGTACGGAGTGGTTCTGATTGGTGGTCAACACGAGAAAAGGAGTGTTACCCCGAAAGAAAGGCGGAAAACGTCGCACCACTGAACGGAGCTGTGGTCATTTCTTGCTCGAGTAAGTGGTTTCTTAAGAACACCCATACCCCACAGGAGACCTGGAGAGACCCGCAACTACGAAGTGTCAATTTAGTGACATAAACTTCACTAAGATGTGGAATCTCATCGATTAATCCTTCATGGGCGGGAGTATGACTAACCTGTCCATTCTCCAAAACAGAATATATACGGTTGCCGGATTTGAAAGCCGCAAGTTCCTGTGAAGGCTTTCGATTTTGCGCTCTCTGCACTCAGCCTGCTCAGCTGTTTGGCATGTGGTTAGCGATTGGGTCTGTACCATACCAATTATGAAGTTTAGTTTTGACCAGGGCAGCCTCAATTTCATATTGCGTAGATGCCCTTGGGCGGCTGTCTAGGCAGAGAGTGAATGGATATTTACTAAATGCTCTGGGAGAATGGCTGGGGCGTCGAGGTTGCACGTTTCTGGCGCGTTTCCTGTAACTTACTGTATATTACGTTATGTAGGAGCGAGAAGCTATTGTCTAGATAGTAGGATACGGTATCGACTAGGAAAGTTGGGATCGAATGGAACGAGATGCTCAATTTGATGATGTCTTAGATGACTTAAATAAGTGTGTAGGCGGGAGGATGTTGAACATCCTCTGCCTTGCTCTCTAGCGCGTTAGAGCGTTGACAACTTACAGTAAATCGAGTATCCCTGTAACAATCTGATGCACACGGGGATGGGTGGGTCTTAGCTGTATTATGCAGTCTTCCATCTCGACAGCTATTTCTGGCAGAGAGGGGATCTGCAACTAAGTTAAATATAGACTAAAGCATTTCAGAGTAGGGTTGTAATATCAATCTGAGGGTGGATAAAAGAAATCGGGTTTCGAATTTGCCAGTACGAATGGTGCTGTCCACGTGCAGTGTTTTGTAGATCTATAGTAATATTTGAACTATTAACGATTGAGATATTGTAGTGGGGAGTGGCTTACGATAGATAGGTGTTTTCTTATTAGAAGATATCATTCGTAGTACACAGTCTTTGCAGATATAGCCTTCATATATCTGATGTGGAGAAATGTCACTCCTACACTCTTTTCAAAGACAATTATCCCAAGCAAGGAAAAAAAATTCTACAAGAAAAAAACATACAACAGCAGGGATTCGCTGGTGGTCACCCACCCAACTACTAACCTGCCGGCGTGTGGCTTAAGTACGGCTGAGCGGACGGGAAGCCCTGTTCTCCACACCCTGTGGTCGTATGTACGTGATCTATCTCAGGAGAAAACTATATATAACAATTCAGGATAATAAAAGCGACTGCTGCTTTAACTTGGCGTAACATAGGTGAAATCTGAGCGGGGGGATACGAGAAAGGACTCTCAAAAGAACTTCGAATAGCCTTCAGGCTATATAGTTCGTACACCCAGCCCAATCTCCCCAACTCAGCGGGAAAACCGAGATATCGCAGTCGATGTCGACATTCCCCCTATAATCTTGAAACATTGAAACATATCGTTTCTGGCCAAAGGAGAGCCTAATTACTTCTTGAAAATGTGGTTTCCCAAGAGAAAATATGTTGCATGCGTCCCTGGATCGGACAACCCATATGGACCTCATAGAGGGCGGTATAAACGTTGAAGATTTGACCCACAGATGCGGTCAAGTTGAGTCCTTTACATACGAAAGTTTGAAAATCCTAGATTATAAGTTGGTTGTAAGGCTAAGCAGATAATTCCCCCTTCAAACATTCCAAGGACCCTAGAGGAGGTCACCAGTTGACCCTGCGGTCTTTCAGTTACTAATAATAGTTCGCCTTGAACTAAATCCCATATCCAGCTGCCAATCGGAACTCGACTCAGATAATTAGTCATATTACTCATCATACTGGTTCTACTTGAAGAACTATGGCCGACAAGGATGCGATCAGAGTATTGGATGAAATTGTTAGAAGTTATATTTCTAGGCGTTGTGTATCTGTTTTCCAATCATCACAACGAAAGATATCCCAAGTTAGAGATGTGCTGCATTTGGAAAACATGTGGCACTTGATTGCCAATCGTCCAGCATCGTCTTCTGCATTGTCTGCTTAGGTCGATGGAGGGACCGGAGAGGAAGGCGCGAGTGGCTAAAATTATCTTGCGCGGGCTTGGCGGGCGGAACGCCAACACTGGCTAGGATCAACGGTCGAGTGGGAGGAAAGCTGAGCAGCCTAGTAAATATGGGATCCAATAGAATGGCATGGTTCATCCGATGGCTTGTGACTATCTGAGTTTCTAGCAGGGAGTGTTAAATATTCCCTACTTCACTGACTGGTGTGTTAGGACCCTGGTTTCCGAAATACCCAGGATACCATCTGAAACCAATAGCGAATCGGGGAATCCTGTAAAACACTAACGCACAAGAATAATGTGGGTCTTCGTGATACTTGGTGGCATCTTCCTCTCGGCACCAACTTCTCCTGGTGTTGTATAAAAGATCATCCTTGATCCCCTACGAGGAATAATTTGAGACTCTTGTTTCAAACAAATACATCCAACAGACAAAATTTCCTATTTTGAGTCACCACGTAAGCCCACTGAGCCAGTCATGATGTTATAGGTGTAGCAATCCAACATGGAATCATGGCGGCTGTACGGTTGGCGCTAGCGCGCTTACTTGGCAGCGCCAAATCGTCCACTGACGGAATATCAGCCGGAAATGAACGTTGGACCCTGGATTGGACCCTGAGTCAAACCTGGGGGATGGAGGGGGCCTGGATCTGACAAGGCGACTAGAGGCAGCACTTAAAGGAAATCGTTGAACCTGAACTTTTTTGATGACGGGTCAGGTCTTTTTTTTAACCCTTTCCCCTGGCGTGAATATCTTTTTTTTTTCGTAATTTTCGAGAATCCTTGGTGCAACTGTTTCTTCATTCGGATTTTATCGCTCGGTCGTTCATTCATCTATCATTAACCGCTGGTCGGTTCCTATCTATATTGGTGATATTTCAATTCGGCCCTCAACCCGTAACTCAGATAGTTATATCAAAATGCATTTCGAGACTTCAACGAGACGGCTCATTTCGCTCTATGCTATCTGCACGGCAGTATGCGTGGCCAAAGATTTCGAGACCTTTTCTGTGAACCGCCTCATCCAGAAAAATTTCATGACAATGGGCCGCATGGATCCCATCATCGATCCCGGAATGCCGTCCGGTCATGTGCATGCTATCGAAGGTGGGAATAAATTTAATCTGACTATGGGAGACGAGGACTTGTTGAGCTCCACTTGCACATCTGCTTCCGTGGACGCAGACAAAAGCAATTACTGGACTCCTGCTTTGTACTTCCAAGATCCTAATACCGGAAAATTCACCGCGGTCGAGAAGTCCTACATGAACGTCTACTACTTGTACGCAGCCCCAATTTTTTGCATGTTGCAATATAAGATTAGAGACTAATCAAGAGAGCGAAAAATCCAGTTTCGAAGCAACCGATGATGAAATCAAAGCCTTTCCTCCGGGACTGCGCTTCTTCGTCGGGGATGTGAGTCTACGCGAGCCGCCAAAGGACCAGAATGGTAAAGCTACCGGTGCCGGTAATACGGATCCAAACAAAGGTCCTATTCAGCCTGTTCAGTGGACGTGCCCTCGTGTCTCATACAATCCTCGTTCTTGGCCCGAAGATTCAGATGGCATGCACGGCGTGGGTATCCAAGCACCAGGTGGCGAGGGCGTGAATGTTGGGGCTGGCTTTCCGGACCGAAACTGTGATGCAGAAGGGTCGCCCCTACGAGCTGATATTCATTTTCCTTCTTGTTACAACCCTAAGAAGGGTCTGAGAGACTATAAGAACAACTTCGCTTGGGCTAGTAGTGAGGGAACTGAATATCCGAAGGTGAACTGTCCGGAAGGATATATGCATCTTCCCCATATGTTTTATGAGGTTTACTGGCACACCGACTACTTCGCTAGGAAATGGACAGAGGGTAATCAGAAACAACCTTTTGTGTTGGCTAATGGAGATCGTACAGGATATTCCCTTCATGCTGATTTCGTGAGTATTTGACTTGCACGGCCTTGCTTCAAGTGGCTTGTGCTTACATATTTTTCATATAGATTGCTGGTTGGGAAGAAGATGTTCTGCAAACCATTATCGACACCTGTGATACCCAGCACAAGGGCATGCAGGCATGCCCCAATGCAGGTAGCGTCAGGTCGGAATACGACAACTCAAACCACTGCATCATGGAAAACCTCGTCCCCGAGAAGATCGATGGCACCTTGGATCAACTACCAGGCGATAATCCAGTGACTGGATGGGATTAAATACGCACAAATATCACACATGTTGATCCCAGAGAACGACAAGACCTCAGCTTTACTGGGTAAGTGACCAAGCTAAACTTCCTCTCCGCATTCTGAATCCCAGCAGTGGAGGAAGGATTTTCAAGTGGATAATGGATTCCATTAGATGGAAAAGCTTGAGCCTTGAAATACTCGGTAAGGTAGCGGAGAAGTTACGTGGAACCCCGATTCAGAACAATTCTAGCCCTGCTGATGGACGATTTTGTGCTGGTCTGTAAAAGTACATTAGCCTTGAGCATTGATGAAAAGGCCATTCAGACTTTATCTGGGGATTGGATGATAATTGAATACGACAAGCCTAGTTTATAGAAGCAGTGAGCCTTTTCTTTTGTCTATTATCGGCTCCACCTCTTTTAGCCCACAGAGCCTCTCTTGATTGCACAATCATTTATCTTGGTAACAAAAATTTTGGAATAATTTCACTGAGAATAATATCAGAACATTAAATCTCAGCCTTTGCTCTCTATCATCTGGTCGAAAATTTAAAGTTCGCCGTCTTCGAAGATTCAAAGTATGCATTCCATTTTGATTCCTATACGGCCCTTCAATCAGAGGCTCATGTCTTTTAAGAGCCATGGGGCGGTTCCTAGTCTCACGATATTATTAACATAAAGATCCAGAAGTACATTTGCATGCGTCTGCATGTATTTGAATTAACCAAGGAGGTTCGAATCGCATGATTTGTCAACATTGTCATTGAAAGTATCATTTCCCTCCCGCTACTCCAGCCATTCCACTTATTACTTTACGGGCACATTAGGCAGTCAGAAAAATCCGTTCAAAAAGTGGACTTCAGATGCCGTCGCTTTTTTATATGAGAATTGATATATCACATAATAATCCGCGGCAGTCTGGAAGAAGAATTCTTTCAACTCTTCTGGCTACCCCAAAAAAGATTCAGCCATGCAGCCGGTTTCCTTGAAATCGACAAGCATAACTTGAAATTAAAGATAGATTCTATAACATGTATGCTGAAATAATAGAAACAATGAGCAACTCGTTTGCATAGCCTTTGTATGATTGGCAATACCGCCTCTTCGACACCCCCTTTCAAAAGACTGTCCTGCCAAGATAGGATGTGCTTTTTGAAAGAGAGGCCTAGACCAGCAAATTGGCTTACAGACCCTGACTATCTGGGTCTGGACCTTTGGTTTCTTTCTTCTTAAGAACTTTGCGGAGTCCTGAAAATGCACGATGCCTCTCCACCCATGCGGATCGAATCTGTTCACGAGAAGGCTCGAATGTGGGTTCCAGAGACCAGAGTCTCTAGTCTCCATCAATTAGAGTGATTATCGTAGAGCCCTGAAAATATCTGCAAAGACGACGCATTCCTCCTGGTGCGAGTGGATGTCCGATTCACGTCTCCACCATCTTTGTCCAGACAAGCCGGTGGCCCCAAGGGTCTTGCTAGGGTTTTTGTCATTCATATGACCATATTATTCAAACACGTCTCTGATCGCACACAAAAATTCGGCCGATGGCAAGCCTGCAGTGTGTTCTTGCAATGCTTTTTCATATTGTGTAGGTGTCATCTGCTATTTATTCCATTGCCAACAACTTTCGCTCTAGCTGAGGTCTTTTCTGGCTGCGAGTGACTTGAATGCGACTCAAATTGCGCCACTTTAATCAGCCCAGAAATTCATTATGTCACAGAAAGGACTGATAATTCAAACACCCTAGCTTTTGATTCCATGGATTCACTTTTTTTGCTGGTGAGAATTCAGTGCATGAAACAATGGTGATTGGTGGAGTGACGCGGCTTGCCCTGCCAAGAGTCATTCTCACACGACCATTGGCTATAAGATGTGCACCCAGACCCACTCCACAACCATCCTACACCAATCGCGCTGCTTTATTTCTTGCCCTGGACCATTGTGACACTGTCCATGGCACACAACACACTCAGCATGTGAGAAAGACCACGTAAACGGCGTTGTGCCCCTGACCCGAAAGGTCAAAAAACCCAGGAGTTGTCTGTGCATTGCTATTTGTATAGCTTGCACGTTGTCCACGTGTCTAGCCAGGCGAGATAATCATCCCACTACTGAACCTTTGCGCATATAGTCCAACCACTAGTGATTCGATCTATCGAACAGGTCTAGAATCCAGCAGAATTCCCACAATCCCGGCTAGTGTCAAGCCAAGCGTTCCCGATCGTCCACGAACTCCATTGCCAAGCGAAAGGCCCACTGCTCTCAATCGCATCCTGGAGTATGTCCAAAAAAGTTTAACGGTGTCCACTGCCGACGTGGACGGGGTCTGGCCGAGCCCGACTGGCATTTCCAGCACACAGGCTACCCTGAGCTATTCTTAGTGGTCTGTGAGCTTCCTCATTGTCGCTATTTTTGACAAAACGCCGATTATAGAAACATCAGTAACAAGAGCGTGACCCCCTTGAGGTTGACAAAGAATAGCGGAGACCGTTTCCTGGAGTCGTTTATGAATGCCATTCTGACCGAACCCAGGTTGGGCGCTCCGGGCCTTTCCCCGTTGATGAAACAGAGGATGTCCACCCAGGCCCAAGTTAGGGCTCTGCAAATCACATCGTCGCCCCGTCCCCAAAAGTCTCTTGACATCCCCACCAGCAAAAGACCCAGAATGCTCCCAATATCTCGCCTTGCTCCAAACGAACCCCCTCAAGGACCCACGGGTTGGGCTTTCTTGTCAATCTTAGCGCCAATCAGTCCAGTCGCCCACCCCGACTCCACAGGCCGCAAGGAAGGCACACGTCAACCCACGGCGTCGGCCCTTCTGGAACTCCAAGCCTTTGTGTAGCCCTGCCCTTCCTATTCGTAGACCACTGCAGCCATTGACGTTTCGTGTGATCCCCGCTATGAGCGCCCATGGGCGTTGCCATCCAGGAACCAGGCACCCTGGCCTACGACTGGCTACCGCTGGCAGTCAAGAGGCGAAACGGTGGCGGCGGGGGTAGCCTCCAGACGCCTCGTTGCTTGATGAAAAAGTGAGGTATATATATGGTCATCGTCGCCCCCCATCGGACTCTTCTTCCTTCGTCAACTTTCATTCTCTTCAAACTACATTCTTTTTTTTTTTGCTGATTCTTGGAGGTTGTATTACCTTCCGTCCTTCCCTTCTATACAAGTTGCCCAGTCAACTTGTCTCAAGACATTCTCTTCAAGTCTTTTTTCTCATTTTCGGTTGACCCGATTTTTCAATCCTTTCTTCTCGACCTCTTTTTTTCAAACAAAAATGCAGTTCGCCAAGTCTCTTCTGCTGCTGGCAGCCCTGACCACTGGAGCGGTCTCTCGCCAGGTCGGCCACGAGCGTCGCCAGGCCGCAACCACCACCGCTTCTTCCGCTAGCTCCTCGTCCTCGTCCGGTGCCAGCTCGTCCTGGACCGATGTCCCCTCGACCTTCTCGCGCGCCGGCTTCGGTACTGCCACCAACTCCTCCGGCTCCGGGGTCACCTACACCGGCAACGTCGGCAGCCCGTACGGCAGCAACATCCAAGAGGTTTCCGCCTCCGATGCCAGCAACTACGAGTACGTTGTCCAGTTCCAGGGTGACAACACCGAGGACTGGACCGTCGCCATCTGGAACAAGTATGGCTCGGATGGCCAGATGGATGGCTGGTATGGCAACGCCTGCCTGACCTTCACTCTCGCCGCCGGCGCTACCAAGTACGTCGCCTTCGACTACGACACCCAGGGTGGCTGGGCTGCGGCCTCCGGCTCTTCCATCCCCACCTACAACGGTGGATACGCCACCACCTGGGGTGAGTTTGACTTCGGCTCCACCACTAACAGTGGATGGTCTGGCTTCGATGTTTCTGCCATCTACGCTCAAAACGCTGGCACCACCGTCCAGGGAATGAAGATTTGCGATGCTCTCGGCTCCACCTGCTCGTCCATGACCGCGGACGCGGCCTCTGTTGACAACGCCTACACCACCGCCGAGACCGACGTGGGTGGCATTGGCGGCAACCTGGCCGCTGGTGCCGTCCGTCTGGCCGCGACCCTGGACTACAGCGGTTAAGTCACTGGATAGGTGATATGTCAGTGCCGATATAGATTCTAGACTGTGTCGGTATTGCTCGCCGTTACTTTCTGATTGTTTTTTAACGCCATCGCTACAGCATGGTTTTGGAGGGAGTTTGACCTGGTGTATACCCAGTTGGTATTGGCTTCTTATCTCTTTACCATTTACTTTCTCTGTTCTGTGGATATAGAATTCTCAGGCTGGTCCTTGATGATCATTTCTGGATCGTCGTCCCCTTCGATGTTTCCTAGAATACCACACTGGTATCACAATGAATTAAAAATAAAAGGCATTCTCTCTTCGATCCTCCTCCTCCTCAATCCTCTTTCTCGATCCTCTTCCCCAATCCTTAAAGCACACCGAATTCTTTGAATTGTTTCATCCTCCATTCAGTACAGCCACTCATATTCTGCGTTTGCGATGAACACATCATTGCATACGTACCCAAAGCTCCACTCGGCCGCTCCCGTTCCGTGCTAGCGTAACGCCCCCGTCATGTTTGAATCACAGCGAACCAATTGGCCAGTCATGCCTCGGAATACGCAGTTCTACCAAGAAAGTCTCTAGATCGGTTTTCGGCGCCTCGTGGCTACCTATCACCCGGCTCAGCCCATCCTGGGAGCCAGCGGTCTGACGACGTTTCTCAGCCCTAAGCTGCAGGCCTTCGCGACATGAAACGAATCGAGGATCTGCCCAGTTTCATACTCGGAGAGAATGCTTGATTCCTGAAGCTCTATTGATTATCCTATCACGTCTATATGCAGACCTCTATCGCTCTTATACATCCATTATGTCCCACGCCCGCCACTAGTAGAGTCAGTCCTACCGGCGACAAGCGACTATCAAACGGATCCCGGATGAGATCTCCAGAGTCAAGGGTCTATCGTTCAATAATAATAGAAACCGCCCCATTCTGTTGGTTCAGTTCGTTAGGCACTCGGTATTATTGAGGACATGCCGAGTCCCGAGCGGGCAGGATCAAGATCAGACTAACCCACGATCTCATTAGCGCTGTTGGCGCCCACCCACCACCTCAGTGCTATCCTGATATATCGATATATCCAACCTCACAGTAATCTTCAATGACGTCGTCGAACCAGCTTTTAATAGCACACACTACACCGGCACCGCCATGCCATCCCCGCGGGGATCACTTCCGGCCGTAAAGACGCGCTGCCCTCCGTCGCCAACACTCCGGATGATCTGCCCCCGCCCAAACATGTCTCTCTGCCATCCCGAACGCAGACGCACAGAATGGCCCTTGCTCTCTAGACCCCGAATTGCTTCTGCGCTAATCCCCTCCTCGACATAAACGACCCGGTCAACGACGCCCTCGCCATCCGCCACGCCGCCCCCAATACACACCCGTGGTGCATCGAGCGCTTCCTGCGCACTCATCCCATAAACTAGCATGTTCAGAAGTACCTGCACATGGCCCTGCGGCTGCATGAACGCGCCCATCACCCCGAACACTGAGTGCAAAGCCCCCGTGACCGCGTCCGTTGCCAGCGCCGGAATGATGGTGTGATAGGGCCGTTTCCACGGCGCGAGCGCGTTCGGATGCCCAACCTCGAGCGAGAAGCCGGCCCCCGGCTCTGCAGCGTGAAGCCGCAGTTCGCCGGCACGATGCCGCTCCCAAAGCCGTGGTAGTTGCTGTTTACCACAGACATCGCGTTGCCGTCGGCGTCCGTCACCGCGAAGTACACTGTATCGCTGGATCGCAGGGCCGGGCTACCGTGCGCGAGGGGCGCCGATGCGGTGTCGGGGTTGAACAGCTGTGCGCGTGAGTGCAGATATGATGGGCAGAGCAGGTCTGGCGATGCGTGGAAGCCCGGGTCGGAGATAAACCAGGCGCCGTCGGCGAAAGCAATCCGCAGGCATTCGATCAGGAGGTGCAGGTATTCAGCGGAGTTGTGCGATGGAAAAGGTGTGAGCTGCCCCGATTTCTCGAGCTCTTGGATTATTCCCAGCGCGATCAGAGCTACGATACCTTGCCCGTTCGGTGGGAGCTCCCATATGTCCACGCCCGGGTATAGGCTGGCGCTGGGCGCGAAGCGCAGAGAGACCGGCTCGACAGGTTCACTGCCTTGCTTTACGTGATATTTCAGATCTTCATGTGTAAGATGGCCACCGCGATCGTGCATCACTTGGACGATTGCATCGGCAATGCGGCCCTCGTAGAAGCCCTTCTTGCCCTCGGCTGCGAGCTGGCGAAATGTACGAGCCAGGGTGGGGCATGTCATGATCTCGCCGGTGCGAGGCGCTCTGCGTCCATCCGCGGCTGTGGGATCCTCCTTGAGCATCTCGCTGAAATTCGGCGAGGCGTCACGCAGTTGCTGCTCATTCGCTTGCCACTGACCAGGTATACAAGTTAGAAATATTTCCACGGCATATCTGCTCTCAAATGTGCTTAGATTCAACTGACATAGTGTGCGGAAATTTCCGATACAGGAAATCCCTTTTCAGCCAAGTCGATTGCAGGCTGAAGAATCTGTGTCATGGATAGTCTTCCACTCCCAAATCGTTCCACCGTGTCTATCCAACCTGCTGCTGCACCTGGAATAGTCACGGCATACACACTATCTAGTGGAATACCTCCCGGCTTTTCGTCTGGGATATTAAGCTGCCGTCGTACCTCTTCCAAGGTATTGTGCGCTGGAGCTCGCCCAGATCCATTCAGTCCTTGTACCTGTTTGGTCCGCCCGTCGTAGAACAGGCAGAATATGTCACCTCCGATTCCGGTAGACCATGGTTCTGTAACGTTTAGGCAGGCGGCTATCGAAGGCTTTGTGTCAGTTCCTTGCTCGTCTGATTTCTGTTACTCAAATGATCTCGGGGGACACACCAACAGCTATCGCAGCATCCTGGGAGCAATCATCAGACTCAGCATTTCTGGTATAGTTAAAGGTCAAATATAGCCATTATTTACCGCAGCATTTCCTCCTTGTTGAAGAACACTCTGTCCGGCGACAGCTGCCAGGGGCTGAGTACATGCAACGATACCTTTCATGCTGTGAACGGCGCTACGCCGACTGGCAAAAGGCATGAATGTAGAAAGCATCTTGTGAGAATAGATATGCTCTTGACGATAAATGGAATCTTGTGTGTTTAATGTATTAATTTAATATTATTGTGTTGATTTCAAGTCTCCTGAGTGATGCTGGTCATCGGTATTGGGGCCCGGGGAGAAAAGGGTCAACTCCGAGATTCGGGGAACTGTGGTCAGTTGATGATCATCTTCCACAAGTTAATTACTCAATGGATTTATTAGCTAGCCTGGCTCAGAGGTATATTTAACATTGGCTCTTCTTTCTCAGCTTATACGTAACATGTTCTTATACTGTATGACCACATGACCCCTCGAGGTTCGCTCTTTTAACCTTCATTCACATTCATCAATAGATTCCGCGGCGCTGTTGGCCGGCGTAGCTGTGCTGTGTAGAGTCCTCTGGACGGCCAGTCTTGCATTTCTACCAGGGCCTCGAATTTAAGTCAAATCGATAAAGATCATCCGGTATAGATAGTAGAACGAAGTAAACAAAACAAAAGTCCAACGGTTTATTGTATACAGTGACAAGTCCTTTGGGTCGGTGGTGAGATTGAAAGTCATGATTATTTAGTTGGGGGGGGAGTTCTCATAAAGTATTGCTTCTGATTATTATACATTTATACCGTGTCATATTATATAATATGCATCAGTCCCCCAATTTGACATGACGCAGCTTGTTCTAAAGGAAAAAGAGAGTGGATAGTACTGTCAACACAGTAAGCAGTACAGAGATAGATCCCGTCTTGAGGGCACCTCCGGTATATACGCTGCTAGGAGCACTTGTCACAGAGGAGGCTGTTTGCCCCGAAGGAGTGTTGACCGCTGGGGTGGGCGTTGCAACCTTGGCGGAGCCAGAGGACGCGATCCCGCTTCTCCAGGTGTTTGACGCTGGGGTGTGGAGCAGAGTGCGGTTAGTGTAGTCAGAGTATTTAGTGTATTCATCGGTTTGTTCGTGGTCAGGAATATGCGGCTCGGTAGGCGAGACAGTCGGGACTTCCAGTGGCTTCACAGATGTGCTCGTCGACTGAGAAGCATGTGTTGAATCCGGGACTGCAACCCAGTATGTTGTCGTATAGGTAGCGACAGTTCGGGTCGTGGCGTATGTGGTTTTCTGTCCGACAGGACAGTTGAGGATGGAAGGCGGACAGGCCGTGACTACGTCAATATCCGTAATGTAGATGGTCGAGGTGGTGATCATCGAAGAAGGCGCCCCTGTATCTGTGTGCTGGGCCAGAGAAGCACTGGTGGTCTGAACCGCACTTGTATCAGGAATTGTGGTCGCTGAGTCCGTAGTTTGGGAGGCCGTGGCTTGGGAGTCCTCGGGACAAACTGTCGTTACGTATATGATTGTTTCGGTGGTCAAGTATGTTGTCTGTTGTCGCATGAAGCAATTAGTGACTGTACCAGCAAAGGAAGTGATTGTTTTTACCTGAGCCTCTGTGATGGTGTAGGTTGAGGTATAGGTTGCAGCATTTGACATGCTGCTGCTTGATTCGTCCGACGACTGTGTCGAAGGAGAAAATTCACTCTGGGTCACAGTTGCGGTAGCAAGTGGGGTTGAGCTAGCTGCGGATAGGCTGGAAGCAGATGATGAGCTACCTAAAGACAAGCTGGTGGACGAAGGAGAAGAAGGAATGGCTGAAGAAGGAATGGCTGAAGAAGGAATGGCTGAAGAAGGAATGGCTGAAGAAGGAATGGCTGAAGAAGGAATGGCTGAAGAAGGAATGGCTGAAGAAGGAATGGCTGAAGAAGGAATGGCTGAAGAAGGAATCAATGGAGTCGATGATAGCCGCACAGAAGAAGATAGAGGACTTGATGTACTGGAAGAAGCTGTGGTCGACGACCGGATGATAGGTGTTGACGAAGAGGCCACTAACGGGGTCGAAGAAGGCGTGGATGCAGCCACCGGCGTGGAAGACGGCGTCACTATAGCAGACGGACTCGAGATTGGAGTCGAGGTCGGAGTCAAGGTCGGAGTCACCGTGTACACCACTTCCTCAGTGGAAGTGACCGAGCCCGTTTCGGTGACCACCCAGGTCGAGACACACGGGCTGGCGGTGGCCGCATAACGAACAACGCCTTGGTACGGCCCGCCAGAAATCAGAGTCACGTCGCCCTGGAGCAGATAACAAATATTGCCAGGAGCATAAAAGGCCGCGGTACAGGCGGAATTGACTGCACAGCCAGATGCACACGCTCGCAGCGATAATCCGGTTCCGCTGGACAAGATGCTGCCTCCGGTCCACGTCGCGGCGCAGGTCTCCTGCCACACGGCGCCGTAGGTGTTGTAGTAGCCATTGCTACAGCTGATCTGCATAGAGGACGCAACCGTGCAACCTGCAACAGCGGATGAGGAAGTGACGACGGAGGTGGTTGGAATGACCGTCGTAAAGCTGCTGGTGACCAGCAATGCGCTGGCCAAACTCGTCCCGCGGCCCAGAGCTGCCATATTGTTTGATCCTCACCCGAAACTTCGAACGCGAGTCACAGTGGAAAGCAGGGCGACACGTCCTCGATTCAGGCGGCGGTGCCGCGTCGTGGACATTTATCTTCCTGCTCGCTCACCTTGACCCTATTTTCCGTTTCTGCATTGCATCTTTTCCCAGTTTCCCAGTGGTGTCTTAGGGAACTGCGGTGGCGTGGCAAGACTTGCCGACGGCGCGTGGACTCGGTGCTGTCTAGCCTCGAAGCCTTTAAATAGTAGGGTCGTGGACTCCACATGGCGTCCGAGAGGCTGAGATCTCAGCGACCTAAGTTCGGCTTGGGTCAGGGGAACACGGGGGGGGGAGCCAGTGAGAGGGCGAGAGGGTGAAAGGGCGACCTAGTTGACTGCTGCCGTTCGTCGGCCGAACTGGTTCACGGGGTGGCCGGTGGCGCACTAAGGGGTTTTGTGGGGGATTTTTTTATCAGGGTCTTTCGGGGGTTTTCAAAGCCGCCCCGGGCACATTCAAGCCTTGATTGCTCCCGTCCATTTTTATTTTTTTGATCATTTACTTTAATATTAGCGGTCATGTTCAAAAGATAGCCGGAGTGGAGTTTGCTTGAAATGGTGCCTTGGTAATGCCTCTCAAATAGACCCCCCGAGAGAGTGCCAGCCAGATTGAGGGAACAGGCCGCCGCCCGACTGCTATCATGCGAACAGCTGTCGCTTGGCCGATATACTTCACGTGCATCGTGATTGGCTCAGGATTTTGTACCCTCACACTTATGCCTCACCAGCGGCTTCCGTTATGTACTTGACGTCTATGTAAATCAAAAAGTGGTCATCCAACCGTTTGAACGTAATAGGCTTTTGACAATACATGAAAGTTTGCGAAACCGTGGAATTAATCGGGCTCGTCACCACATTTTCCGTTGTTCTCGTTGGGACTTTCCTACCTGCAGATAAAAGGGATGTCAAAGTTCCGCATACTACACTATTTGCTCCTGATGAACCGCAAGCGTTTTATGAACTAATTCCAACAGTGTGAGGTAAAATCCAAGATGGTCTAGCGAGTTTCAATCTGCTGGGGAATCCAGCGACCCCGTCCTGAAGTTCCATACACGATAAACAAAGCAGAAAAGCCCCGGTGTTCTATTCGCATATGAGATCCAAGGTTCAAGGCTAATATGCTTAGTTTGGATTGTGAGCATGGGTGAGGGTCTCATATGCCACAAAAAGTCCATTATTCCCGGCCGGCCGACGTGAAACGGTCCACTCATCAGTATATGTCAAGTTGGTGTAACCCATTCTTGTCGCAAATGCATTGAATCCAATCTCCGTCGTGGAGAGCAAGGTCAAGTCGAGAGTGCCGTTACAGAGCCACGAGGGAACATCGACACCCTCGGAAATTTGGGTATGGAATTCAAGGGCCGCTTGAAGGCGAGTGCCAATGGAAGTCTGGTATAAGTCCGTACCTTGGATGCGTGACATCTCTGATACATGTGCGATGGATGCCAGTCCATATCCTGTATGCTCCAGATCTCTACATGTCTCTTGTGCCATACCGCTAGCCTCGAATGTGCTTTGTCCTTCCCAATAGCTGATCAATGCAGCCTCAGTACTGATTCCCCGAGGGTACACTGGTAAGGAGCCATCCGAGGTCATGTAGATATAGGCAGGAACGCGAGCTTTGAAGAGTGCCATGGCAGTATCGTATGCTGTGGAATTCTCAAGGAACACCCCCATAAACATCGCGGCTTCTGTCATAACTGTGGCATACTGGATTAGTCACCGCGTCGTGGAGGTGATTTCGATTTTGACCAACCGAGCTCCCAGTTTCCGTTATAAGTCGAGCCACCAATCACAAATGGCATATAGGCGGTGCGCAGCATTTCTTCAAAATCCTGGATCGCATCATTGCTCCAGCCAGCATCTGAATACCGAATCAGTTCCCCCGTACGAGCCCAGACTGATCCAACCCAGCCGGATTGGAGGGGCGCATTAGAATCATTATGACTTTTGACAGTCGAAGACCAAGCTTTCATAATATCAATAGCTCTATCTGCATAGGACTGCTCTTCACTAACAATCCATGCTAAGGCATTTCCATACGCTGCAAGCGAGTCTTCACGCTCGGCAGAACATCCAACATCTGGGTTGCTGTACGATCCACAGACAACGGTCGGTACTGGCGAGGGCGTATATGTCGCATCGGCGACCCCCGTTTGGTCAAGAAGCTGGTCATAAGCCGCAAGCCAAGGCGACGAGGAGGCAGCCACTTTTGCTTTGAAATAATCGACCTGATCCTGGCTAATCATCACACCGGGATGGACCCAGGTCGAACCACGTTGAAAATGCTCTGTGGGCGTTGGGAGTTTCAGGCCAGAAGGAGCACTGGCTGCAATCCCAACTAAAAAGCATAAGAGGATATTCAAAGTAGAAAAAGGATTCATTTTAGGAGTATATGATGAATTGGAACGGTATAAGTGTAAAGATATCTAACACCTCGATAAGGGTGAAAAAATAAATCACTGAAAACCGTGAAAGATGGGCAGACTTATAATTGAGACATCCGATCATGTTGCTACAAAAGCACTACTTACATTATATTTATACCTCAAACACTCCGAAGCAGGTATTTCAGGAGTAGTGATATTAAAGGACTGGCTGGCACTTAGGTATGAAGATCAAAATGATACATGGGGGTCCTAGTGGAGCATTAACTCTAATTCCACTAAGCGAATGGCTGGGTTGTATTAACCACTTCGCCAGATCTGCTACCTTCACAATTAATACCGACGGCACTTCCTATCTATCTAGACTGCCGTGCCGACGCATATTACGTTCCGTACACTAGCGTGTGCGGAGTCTGCAAATGGGTGTTATCTGAAATCGGATCTGGTTCGGGACTTTTCGGTAATCACCCAGCCACAAGCGGGGGTGGTTTCATCTCAAGATGCAAAATGTCTTGGCACACATGGTAGGAAAGAATAAACTCCAAAGGTACAACTGTAAATATGGGTTGCAATGATTGAAGTTCGACCTGTTTTTATAAGGTCGCAATATTGATAAGGTTACATCAGAATTCCTATTCATGTTCTAATTACTTCGAGATGTTTATATATTAGGAGACTTTTGTGGCCATACAAGCCTTGAAAATATCCTATTACATAAACGTCCCTCAAAAATGAAGACTAGGCTCGGCCTCCTGGCTGCATTGCTAGCAGATTCATCAATTGTATCAGCAAAATCGATCTACGTTGATTGTTCAGGGAGCGGCTCTGGGGATGGCTCACAAACTCACCCCTATACATCATTGTCCTTAGTCAATAATTGCACCTTCAGCCCCGGTGATAGGCTTCTTTTCAAATCCGAGACTAACTGCACTGGTCAACTTAAGCCCCAGGGTAGCGGAACGAAGGAATATCCTATCACTATCAGTCGATATGGTAGCGGTGGACTTCCCGTAATTGCTGCAGAGGGCCAATTCAATGCGACCGTTTATCTTCAAAACGTCGATTACTGGATTGTTTCTAATCTTTTTCTCACAAATGCCGCTGAGGAAGAAGGTCGTCGTCAGGGTATTGACGTGGAGGCAACTGACGGTTGCATCCACGCTGGTATTACGATCAAGAACTTACGCATCGATACTGTTGCCGGAAGTACAAACAAGCGACTCCACTCAGGCGACTTCTCTAACTCAGCGTGCATATTACTCCAAGGAACCGCCAACTATTCCCGCTATGATGACGTTGAGATCTATGACAATAACATGTCAAACTGTGGCGGGGGTGGTATTAAAGTGCGCCTTGGCCAACTCGATAATCAGGGTAGAAATCTGCGAGTGCACGATAATGTGATTGAACAAGTTGGCGGTGACGGCATTGTCGTCTCCTATGCTATCTCGCCCTTGATTGATCACAACATTGCTGGAGACCTTGGGTATGGAACATACCCATACTCCGGCGGAAATTTCGCTGGCATCTGGGTACTCGGATGCCATAATGCGGTAATGCGGTACAATATTGTGTATGGATCTATTATGTCTGAGATTGATAGCGAGGCTTTCGACTGCGACTGGGGAAACACTGGAACCTGCACGGTCGAATATAACTACAGCCACGATAACGCCGGAGGGATCTTCCTCAACTGTGACGGTTGTGGCACCTCCCTGGCGGTGCCACGCAGATTGTCAGATATAACATCTTTGAAAACGATTGTCGGATTTATAGCAATGGTGATGCTCCAACTCTGTGGTTCTACAATAATATCGTCTATTGCCCTGACAAAGACCTCGAGTTTCATTTACCCCCTTCAACCAATTTTTGGAACAATATCGTGGTGGCGACTGAGAATTCAACTCTTCCGTTTGGTGCCAACATTGAGTACCGTACGAATATGTACCAGAATATGAAGTTGCATGCCTCGTGGCTGGGGTTTGAGGGGAATCCAAAATTTGTGGAAGCCGGACAGAACAGCAGCACCTTGGATGGGTTGAGTGGTTACAAGCTTCGAAAAGGAAGCGAAGCACTGCGAAAAGGAACAATCGTCAATAATAATGGTGAGAAAGATTTTTGGGGAGCCGAAATCTCTGGAGGAAAGCCGAATATTGGAGCATACGCTGGCCCCGGAATATAGACCATACCCAAGTGGTGGAGAACAACATTAAGTCTTGGCAGTACAATAAATTCTGATCATTCCTTTATAAGCTCATACAGTATTTGAATATGTCGACAGTTCCGCAGAGAAGAAATTCTCTAGCTCTTATCGCTTATCTTTTCTACACCTTGTTCATTCTCCAATGGCGGCAGTTCATGGTCTCGGAACCTTCGCACTGGGATTCCCTCATGGAAAAGACGGTCCACATCCTCTAGTGACTTGCCTTGGCAATCGGGCACACAGAAATAAATAAAAACGCCTGCACAGACCGCAACGCTACCGAAGATAAACCCCACCTTCGAGTGCAGCCCTGCATACCCATCATCGAGAAGATAAGGTATCGAGAACGTCACTGCGAAGTTCGCCGCAATATTCACAAGCGCCGAGACTCGCTGTGAATGGTCACGAAGAGAAAGGGCGGGCAGCTCGGTCACAACGACATAGGTTAATGGGCCCCAGCCGAGGCCGAAACCAGCAGCAAAGATAGCCATCATTGACACAATAGCGGTCTTTTCCGGCGTTGTTACCGGGTTTGCGGTCCCAAGACCACCCATTGTGAACAAAGCCACGGCCTGGACAATGCTTCCAGCGATAAAGAGCTTCCGTCGGCCGATTTTGTCATTGAAAAAGTTCGACCAGAGACATACCACGGTTCCGATAGAGCTCGTGATAATTGTGTAGTTGTAGGTGTTGATTGTGTGGAGCGATTTCACAAAAGTTGCACCATATTGACTAGCAAAGGATTGGCCTGTAGCTTGTTGGAAGAAGCTGATGGCAACCGCGATGGCCGTACGCTTCAAATTGACATCCTGTAAGAGTTCCTTGAATGCTCCTTTCTCCGGTTCAATCGCAAGACCGATCCGTAAGGTGGCCAACTCCGATAGAATCGCATCGTCTGTCATTGTTCCGTGCCGGAGGCGCTTGAGAGATTGTTCGGCTTCTTCAAAGCGTTCCTGTCGCAGGAGCCAGCGAGGAGACTGGACCATCGTTAGAGCCACAATGGAAGATATGATAAGTGTTCGAAGATCGACTCACTTCTGGTACAAACCAGATTAGACACATAATGGTAAAGGGAATGATGTAAAATAACCCAAAAGGGATTCTCCACGAGTTATTGCCTTCCAGTGTGCTTGTTCCGCGACAAATACTGTTAATTATCAATCCTCCAAGCTGGTAGCAGTGTTAGAACACGTAGGTACACAGTTTCAATTGGTGAAGGAGACTCACATTGATGCTTAATTGATATGTGCCTACAATGAAGCCCCGGACTGGACCTGGTACGATCTCTGACTGATAAACAGGCACGACCGATAACTCCATTCCAACGTAAATATCTGCACACATAAGCCATCGACTCAGTACATAGTACAGCAATAATCCAAATGGAGATGGTTCTTACAATTCAGTATGCGCGCAGCAAGGATCTGGCCGCGGGTTTGAGAAGTCACAGTAATCGTCGCGGTGACAAGAGCATAGCAACTCATGACGAACATGCACCAGCGACGACCGTATCTCTCGCTGAGGAGACTTCCAATCACCAAGCCTAACTCTTATTGTCAGGGTCGTTTGGATGAAAATAAATGACATTTTCAATGGTGCCACCTTTACGTACCGACCGCAAATCCGATATAGTTCAAGCTGTTTAGAAGGGAAAGAAAATATGTCGGTATTGCGTATTCTCCTGTCTTAGGATTATATTCGCCAAACTGCTTGGTGAATGCAGTCATGGACTGCGTTGTTGAGAATGCCTGGTTATCGAATCCATAATTGAGTTGCGATATAGCGATCAATGTACATGATAGCGCCAGCGTTCTGTTGAAGTGCTTCGTGATCGACGAAATTGCCGCCATAATGACCGGCTCGAAGTCAATTCTCAACCCTCAGATTCTTTGAGGGCCATTCCGGTTTCTGTCACGACGTGGGGCGAGCCCCCTGATTTTTGAAGCCCATCTCCTCAACAGTCATGAAGCTGAGTAGGCTGGAAACCCTCATCTCCTCAAGCGGAGACCAAATGGCGAGTGGCCGACTACCGCGTTCACAACCCCGGCTATCGGTGGCCGAAAGCCGGCCACGTTTTGTGTGTGAAAATGCGGGGGGAAAGCCAAAATCTTTGTGGGGAAACTAGGTGGCACTGGAGCCAATAGTGTCTTCGATCGATTCGCCATAAATAGGCGCCATGTTCTCATCGCACTGCGCAAATCTGTGATTTGGTTCTTGATGAAAAGATTGTCCGAGTGTTAACTACTCGATTGATGGGCGATTCCAACTCCTACACATAATGTCAAACGAAGCGAGCCGTAAACAAACATGCGTGCCCTGTAGAAAGCGAAAGGTACTATCGTGTTCAAAATTGATTTCCATTTCCAAATATCATCATAGAAGGATTCACTCATGCTCATTCATCCTGCTAGGTCCGATGCGATGGCGACCTTAGTGGCTGTTCCAATTGTAAGAGACTGGATTTTTCGTGTCTCTTTTTACAACCACAGAATGCTCCGGAAGCCCGCAACCCCGGAACACCAAGTTTCAATCTCCCTCTAAATCAACCAAGTTCGACCGCCTCTGGTCCGCGAACGAAATACACCATCGGAGGAATCGAGCGGCGTCGCGGTCTGAGGGCTTGTAGGCCCTGCCGTGCCTCCAAGTCACGTTGTAGTGGAGGCTGGCCGAAATGCCGACACTGTCAGCAACGCGGTCTTGACTGCCAGTATCTCCCCAGCAAACGCAGGAGAAATATTATGACTGATGCAGCGTTTTCTGCAACAATCTTTATGCCGCCAAATGAGTCTGGTATAGCTCTTAACGCTATGCAATCTATGGAGTCGATGAGTCAATCGAAGTCCCTCGGAAAAATGAATTCGATGGCAGACAAGATCTTCCTTGAGACTCATATCAATGTATTTTTCGACTACTTCAATGCGATTCCCCAGTATAACTTTATTCACAAAGCAACTTTTCTCCGAAGTTTCTATCACGACACTCTTGATCCTTTGTTCCTGCGCTGCGTATGCGGTGTCGCCTCACGCTTCTTACGGCCGAGGTCGGCCCCTGAATATGTTGTCGAATGGCTGAAGGAAGTTGAAGCTCAAATCTGGTCGAGAATGGGAGAAATGAAACTTCAAAATCTCCAAATACTCGTATTGCTCATTTGCTGGTACTTAATGGAAAGAAAGATTTCAAATATGTGGATTGCGTCCGGTGTGGCAGCTCGTATGGCCTACGGGATCCGTTTGAACTATGAAACAAGTGATAAGATACCGTTCCTGTCCAGAGAGCTTCGACGTCGGCTGATGTGGTCAATTTTCATGCTCGATAAGCTCTATGCGGGAGGCTTCACGGAGCTGGTTCTCTGCAGCCCGAGTACAATGCATATCAAATTGCCTTGTGAGGAGAGGAACTTCGAGCTTGACATGACGGTCGAAACACCTATTCTAGAGCCTGCTCGCCCTGATTCTCAGCTAGAATCGAATATTGGAATAATGGGGTACATTACTCGATTAATGAACATTCGTCACGCTGTTCTCGAGTGAGTCAAGGCCGAATTCATGATCCATGAGAGGCTTTCTACTTACCCCCTCCAGAATAACCAAGCAAATTATTTCATCCAATGCCAACCCCTATTCTGCACAGGATAGCATTCAGAGTCTGGACAACATGCTGAACAGCTTCGCCCTCAGCCTACCTGCCCATTTGAGAGATAGCCCACGTAATCTACTTTGTCGCGCTTATACATCTGAGTTGGCTGGGTATATCAACCTGCATACTCTCTGGCATCAATGCTACTGTGACCTTTATCGGATGATGATCCCTGGCATTCGAGAGTCCGTCCCAGAGCTCGTCCAGCGTCAGGTGCCTGTCGAGTATGCCGATGAATGTCGCCGACTATGTCTACACCACGCCGTCGGGATGTGCAAGCTGTGGTCTGATACGCTCCGTGAAGCAGATATTTCCAGAATTTCAGATCAATCCATCGGTATATATGCTTATCAGTGTGCCAACGTCCTCGTTAATCTATGGGACTTGGATCGGGACGACACCTTAGAGTCTTCGCTTCAGACCATCTCGTCCTTTTTGGATCATCTCTCTTTAATCTACCCCGTCGTGGCCGAAGTTGTATGTTCTCTACTTGCTGATTATAACCATAGTACTGATCCTTCTCTAATTCTAGCAACTGGAGGTCAAAAGCTTTATCTCCAAACTCAATGTTGTAGCAGACTTCTACCACACGCACGCTCATCAGAACCTTGCCCCGAGGCTGACGGCGGCATGGAGATCCAGCCTCCGACAGCAAGGTACTCAAGAAGGCCAGACAACTTCAAGATTTTCTCTTCTGGAATACCTACAGAATCAAAATAGTGCCGAAGACCCCGGTACGCCAGGAGAATACTGCGCCGCCCCGGTCAATGATGTACCAGCCGACCCAGTCCCACTTCCTGAAGTCAACATTGGCATGGGGTTAACCGCGGATGCTTCCTCTCCAGATCGGCCAGATCTGTTGACGGATGAATTATGGCCAGAAGAATCACTTGTAATAGACTTTGACACAGATGGAACTCACGTGGATCCTTTCAGTCGCATCTTCGGGGATTGGTCCCTTGTGACAGAGCCACAGAGTAGCCTACAAGAACCACCAAGACATTGAAAAACCGTGGTCTGGAATAAATATATTAACATGACAATCTAGAAATCGTTTCATTTCCAAGATTTCCATCATAACTAAGCTAGGGACAAAATTTCATCATTGACAAGGGTCGTCATATCCGCTCGAAATCACTTTCTGGATAATTCATATCGCTAATTTCCATTCTTTCTTCTGCTCCTCCTGGCTTTTAAGCATGTAGAGAAGAATCCAGGTATAAGGTTTGGTAGTAGAAGGGCAGTTTACTTCTGGCGGGCACTCATGAGAACCCACATATCCAGCGGCTTAATGCTGAACGCGCCGTTGGCATGAAGCTTATAGTTCTTATCCTCCAGCTCGAAGTTCACGTCCTTGATGATGCTGGCCAGTGTAAAGAATGCCCACTGCCAGGCCCACAACTTGCCGATGCACTCGCGCTTGCCGTTGCCGAAGCCCTTCTTCGCTGCGGCGGGCAGCTTGTCCCACTTGTCGCCAAGGACCTGCTCTGGCTTGAACTCCTCGGGGAATTCGAACACGGCCGGGTCGCGGTTGACCTGGTTCAGGACGGCGATCATGACCTGGTTGTGTGGGATTTGGTACTCGCCGCCGGCAAGCAGGACGGGGCTCTTGTCCTTAGAGGGGATTGGCTCGATATTGAAGCCGGGGGCGGTGGCGGACAGACGGATGGATTCGCGGAGGCAGGCTTCGACGTAGTTGAGTTGCTTCAGGTGTGCCAGGTCGATGAGACCGTCGCCGACCACGGAGTCGATCTCTTCTTGAGCTTTCTTGAGCGGCTCAGGGTTCTCCATCAGGTAGTACAGGGCATAGGATACGAGGTTAGCGGCAGTAGCAGCACCAATGAAGATGCTAATAATCTCGTCCAGATGCTGAGAGTCGCTCAGCTTTTCGCCGCTCTCAGGATCAACGCCATTGATGATCGCATCCAGCATATCCTTGCGAGCCTGATCGGGGTTGTTCAACCGGCTCTTCACGATGTCACTGGCGTAGGAGCGCATGGTCTTGGTCTGGCTGGAAAATCGGCCCTGATACAGCCAGTTGAGCAGCTTCGGGCGATTCGGCCGTTTCATGGCCTCCATTGTAGCACCCTCCCAGGCGTCAACCATCTTCTTAGCCTTGAGCCCGACCTCATCCTTCTTAAGCACTTCAACACGCTGGTTGAAGAAGCACTTCATGCAGGACGCCAGCAGAATCAAGTCCAGGTCGTCGGTGGCCTTAGTGCGCACCTTGGTGCCCGCCGACCATTTCTTGGTCAAATCAGGGACGACTTCGGCCATATCGTTGAAGACCGCGTCGGTGGCCTCTTGGGTGACATGGGGATACATAATCCGGTGCGCGATGCCCCAGCTCTTTTCATCGTCGTACGCGGTAAACAAACTATCGTGCACAGCGTACCTGATCTCCACGACAGGACCAGTCACACATTTGCGGAATCGCTTCTGGTCGCAGATTTCTTCGAGCAGGGCGACACTGCCGATGAAGACGATCTGGTGGCCCAGCGCATTGATCTTAAAGATAGAGCCTGGGATAATGGTAAGCGATCAAATGAACTAGATCCCACAGCTATTTCCCTGTATGCTCTATAACATACCATATTCCTTCGCGAGCTTATTTAGTGAACTCCACGTTTCGTTGGGGTTGACGTCGAACACATTACCCAGCAGGGGCACACCGGCTGGTCCAGGGATCTCGCTAGGCATGGCGAATCAAGCAATGAGGGGGGAATATCTCGCTATATTACACAAAACAATAAAGATAATCACAATAAAGACTGTAGAGTTGAGTTTGGGGAGGAAAGAAAAAAAATCAGGAACCTGCACGGGAGCGGGGGGCAGCAAGGTCCTAAAAAGCCAGACCCTCTTGAGCTTTCATCAAATCTTCAGCTCGCATGGTTTCCCGATCGACAGATCTCATTGTACATGTTCATTGGACCCAGATGGGGGGATGGGGCTTGTCAGGACTCCATCGTTCACAACAGGTTCGGCTTAGCTGACGAGATCGGCACGATCGCGATGTAATAGCGCAGATTGGCGGGCGACGATCGGCCTCGGATAGGCAATCCATCAAAGCTCTCTGGGGCCCATCTGGGACACATCTGCAGCCATCGGGGGCTGCTGGAGAACCCAAGCCTGCTAGGGGCTGTAGTGCAACCCTTGGGGGGCAATGGGGTTCCTCATGATTGTCAGCGGGTCTTCTGCTGGCTGGATCACGGGTTTTCTTCAGATGCTCCGTCGGTATGTCTTGACCGCTCTTGTGGCATGTTTCTTAGACATTTGGAGGGTTCGAGGATTGAGTGTGTAAGAGTGCCACATAAACTCTACATGCTGATCCAAACCTCTTGTGAAAGGTCTGTATTATGATGTGAGACTGGACAGCCGGAGCTGGATCGCTGGTGGCTGCTGATGATCAAATGGACACTGATTGGCGCCGGACCCATGGCCCAAGATCCCGAAGCCTACCAAATCTGAGTGGCTGATAGCGTCCGAGCTCGAGCGGCGATGTGGGGTCTTTGGCTGGTCCTGGGCATTTTGACATCATATTGATGGTCCCCAAATCAAGGGAGGCTGGGGGCCCGGGACAGCCGCTGCAGTGGTGCGGGTCACTGGGGATTCTGTGTGCCGTCGAAGACAAGGATGAAAAAGATCATGGTCACAGTCCTGCAACTTGAGCATGGCCTGTCCGTACACATATCCACCTATCCCCGCCGACTGCGTGGATAATCTCAAGCCACTGGCGGGATCTTCCCACCTGCCCAGGGAATTAATCCTGGTATCCAGTCAGGAAGCCCCCTCTCCCCCATCTTTTTCGTTGAGCGTGGCTGGCGCAATTGGTTGAGCTTGCGTTCCTCGTGAAAAGCATAGATGTATCCCGTGTTGACAATTGGTGCCGCTTTGGTCCAGGAACCCGCTCGGACAAGTGGGGATCTCGCGAAGAGGCCAGCGCCAGAGCGCTACAGGAATCCACTGTGACCGCCGGCAACGAACGCCTACTGCGCTCACACCATCGCTCGCTGGCGCCCTGTCCCTTCGTGTACCAGGTCACCGAGGCCGACGAGAAGAAAATCTGGGTAGTGAGCGTTGGACCGAACGTACCGATCTACGACACCCACGCCGGCGGTCGCGAGATTCACATCCATCCGGAGTATTTGCTGCCCCAGCTGTCGCAGGTGTACAGTGGAAGTCGCAAGGATCCCCTGCATCGTCGAATCAATCCGCGACGGTTTCTGCCCCCGTCAGACTTGGAGCTGTTACGTCGGTTTTTTCCCTCGGCGGTCGGCGCGCGGGTCCTCATCTCGGGGTTCATCATTGTGTTGTTTGACAATCGCAAGGATATCGAGGCGTCATGGTTGGAAGGCTGTGTACCCTCCTTTGGCCTTCTACGGCTGGGTTATGATGTCGCGGTACATTACCCGACTGAGACAGTTATGGATAGCGGGAATGCAGTCTCTAGCTCTCCGGACGAGACTGAGTCCGCCACACCCTTGGGTTTGAAGCTGAAATTCCCAAATGGATCGCAAGGCATTGCGGTGCCGACTCATGCGTTTGTTGACGTGAAAACACCCCAGGAGAATATCTCGCAAAAACATGAGAGCTGGCTGAGCAAGACAAAGGCTACGTTCTCGAAGGCCGCTGTGATGAGAGTCAGGGAACGTATCAAGATGGGAACCCCCGTTGACTCAGCGCTTGGAAAAAGTGTCTGGTTTGTGCAGGAGCCAAAGGAGGTATGACTTGTTGTTGCTTTCGTTGTCCGTTTAGAGCAAGTTGATGCTTCCATCACGGGACTCGCAGCTGATGCAGCCAGAAAATTGGAAACGTCACGACGACTTACGACCATCACATCGCCCGCATGTCCACTTTTCCACAAACCATCGATCACGACACGTCAATTGTGACGGGCGATCACCTGCCGAAGGTGTTGAACCCCCCGCGAGCCCCTAGGATCATCGGCTGGGGCGACTATCGACACACGCTGGACGGCCACCTCGTCTTCGCCATGGCCCTCAATGCACTTTCGGAGAATTCCAAGGCAAAGAATCGCAGAGATCCATTTGGGACCATCCAGAAGGCTATCGTCGAGGGCACCGAGTATCTCTGGAACCGCAAGACGCGTACGCAGTCGGCCGCTATTTTGTGGCGCGCAATGCACGATGGCACCGAAATGGAAGGTCTATCTGGATCGGTGTTGTGCCTGGGCGAATCCACTGATCCGAACTGTCGTGCGGTGCTGTTGAAGCATTTTGAGACTCCAATCTGCCCGCCACATTTCCATGAGACGGAAAACGCTACGGCCCATGGGGATTTTTCTTGGTCCAGTATAAGCGGTGGGTTTGTGCTTCCTCCCGAGATTCGAGATGCGCAGATTATCTGCGAGACCGACGAGTCGTCTGCTATTCCTTTAGACGAACAAACGTGGGATATTGAATAACTCGGATCATTTTTGATCATCTGCCTAAGTCCATACAGCCTGAATGGGAGACCACCAGCTCCTGACTAGAATGATCTTCGCGACATTTACCGCCTTCCGTCGTTCAGCTATGGCTAAAATCGCCATTATACCTAGTTTCAGCTGAAACAAACATCCTTTGGAGATATCTGCTATCTTCAGAGGAAATTGCAGTGCGCAAAACCTCGGCCATCGAGGTATATGAAGCATTGGGGATCGCTTCTTTCCTGAGTTCTATCTCAGCATCTACCCAGCCAAACACAATTATCATAAGCAATTAATCTCGATGCTTGGGCATAATTACGTTCCCCCGCGCCCAATACACAAGTTCGACGGCTTGAAAGACAGCTGAGCGTTACCCACTGCCCTGAACAGATTTAATGGGGAGGACGATTCAAATCTAGTGAAATTGCTCGTCCTTGTGATAAATCGCCATAGTCGCTGTCTGACCTCAAACAGCCTATCAAACCATCCTAGCCACCAGACCGCAGTCAGAGACCACTCACTTGGAAGTAAATTTTTGATATATCATTGTGACGATATATTGTTGCTTCCTTGCTGTCTGTTTTTGTTGCATTATTTCGGTGGTTGTGCTTTATCTGCGTTCTCGACTAAAAAGGATATTTTCTCGCCTCTCCTGTAGAGAATACAATCACTCTAGCATTTCCTACTCTATTATTAGATATTTTGTAGAAGAAGACCGGTTCGGGAGGCCTTCGCGGCTTTGACCAGTTGCGTCAAGAGCTTTATTGCTATTCTATGAATAGAAATAACGATAACTGATTTTCGACGAGCAACTTTCATGAGATTGTAGGACCACAATTCAGATACGTATCTAGGATCCCCATGACTCCGCATGACCCCAATTGATGTTATCAAACATCTTTTCCGTTTGAGTTGAGAATCATTCAGATACTAGCTGCCCCCTGTCGCCCAAGATATCAATATCTCATTGCCTTGGTTTGGCCCCGAGAACCACATTTGTACTTGAGCATGTAGTAGAAATCTCTTTTGGATTTATACCCCCAAAGAATATTCTAATACCAAAGACCTTGGTATACTATTGAACGTCAACGTTCCTGCTTCTGTTAGCGAGCGCTACGGCAGCCCTTGACTTCTAGCACTAGGCACATTTTCCAGAGGCTCCTATTCAGTTCTCCTTTCTATAGTGATTGATTCTACTCCCCTATTATATCGCTTCCGCGGATAGACCTGAACGCAAAATGTGAAGACCAGAGTGGTCATGGTGGTTTGAGATGCTCTGAGCGGATTGGAAAGGACAAAAAAATTGGCTACTCTGTCTATAGGCAGGACCTTTCCGTATTCCGCCGCGATTACTCAACATCCACAGCTCCTAGCAGTAACCTTGGCACCCTTCGTTGATAAAAACCCCACCTTTGACGCGTCGGCTGTTTTTCGTCGTATAGGTCATAGTGGAGTTTCGAATATTAACGGCGCGCATATCTACATCCTTGCAGAAACAACCTCGGCTCCTCGTCTATCGACATCCTTATCCCACAAAGCCATGCACAAAAGAAAGCGCGCATCTCTATTTAGCCTTTTACTATTTGACCCAGTGCCCCGTTCCAACTTTCTGTTTCGGGACACAAGTGGAGTGTCTCGGCGGTGCCGTGCCCGTCGAGCTCCCGAGAGTCTCGGCAGCGCCCCGATTCATTTTTGTTGAGTCGGACACGTTAACGGAGTTGGGAACGCGGCCCGGCGCTGCTGAGCTTCGGGGCGCGTTTGATTTGTTCCCAAGCGCGTCTGTTCCTTGTCAGCTCCACTGGAAAAAAAGAGGCCTTATTGATCATCACCAGTTAAAACAGGGTTTGAAGTATTATTTGCATCAAAATAATGACAATCGAATAATGATAGTATTGATAATATTTAATAATAATATTAATAATAATCTGAGAACTGGAATGATCTTAGTGCGGGTCCAGGCTCTACGGCTTCTCAACCTCGGCTCTTCCCCGATCGGGCAATTAGAAGCAAAACACCTCGTCGCTCAGCTTCGATACCGACCCGGGCTTCTGGAAACCGAGCGCGGCCAAGTTCTTCTTCGTCGCGCTCACCATGCCGGGCGGCCCACACAGCATGATCTTGGTGTCCGGTCCTGGCCCCGGCAGGTGCGCGCGCAGCACCGTCTGATCCACATACCCAGTCCCGTAGGCCCAGTCCTCGGGCGCCGAGTCAAGCATGTACCACAGCTTGAAGTTCTTCGGGTAACGCCGCGCAAAGGTCTCCAGCTCTGTTCGCAGCAGGATGTCCGCCTCCGAGCGGTTCGCGTAGATCAGGCTGATCTCGGTCGTGTCGGTCTCATTCTCGCAGATCGCCCGGATGAGCTGGTACATCGGTGTGATGCCCGTACCGCCGGCGACCATGCCAATCTTAGAGCAGAGATCCTTAGTATACTTCATCGCGCCCTTGGGGCCGCGGAACTCGACCTCGTCGCCGATGGAGAGGCCCGCTAGGTACTTCCCGCTGAGGAGGCCGTCCGGATAGCATTTCACCACGAGCTCGATGCGTCCGCGGTCGAGGTTATTGGAGGTCGGAGTATAAGACCGCGTCACGATAGCTCCGTCGACCTCGGCCTTGATGGCGACGTGCTGTCCGATCGGCAGGCCTAGGACGCCTTGAGCATCGGGCAGCTTGAAGACAAAGCGGAACACATTAGAGGAGAGCTGGTCCTTCTCAACCAGGGGCAGTTTTTGGTATTGTTGCGGCTCAAGGAACCCACGAGTCAAATGCGGATCCACGCGAATGACCTTCTTGGCCTTGATCCGCGGCGGGTAGCGCATGAAGCCAGACTCGACCTTGGTGAAACGACTGGCCTGGCGAGCAACCATCAACCCGATAGTGCCGCCAATGATACTCGCGACAAGGAATCCGTTCACGAAACCCCCTTGAGGCAGGTGGAGGCTCTTCAGTTGTCGAGGAAGCAGTCGAGAAATCGCATCCATGCCGGGGAACAGACGAGCGCTTCCATGGGTGTAGATATAGAGAACTGGGAGGGCACTGCCAACAACACCAGCAAGTGCTCCAAGCTTACTAAATGACGAAGGCTTAGGGGCTTCGGGAGTTTTTTGCGACACCACTCGCACGGCTTTGGGACGCACATATTGCTGTGCGTCCTTCAGTGTGCCCACAAGATAGGGCTGCATGATCTCGCGCGCATCTTCGGAGTGGCCCACATCCTCGTAGGCCGCTGTGGCATCTTGACCGGCTACTTCGACGAGGACTTCCGCACCACCAGGGTGATCTTGCGCATATTTAGTGATATCGAATACTAGTCATGGTTAGGAAGAGATGGCCGTGTGCGAAGATCGACTACTGACCTTGTCCGTGAATCACAATCCATAAGTCGCCCTTGGTATTATGCGCAGCAATCTCTTGCATGCTATACTCCGGTACCTCCACCTCCGTGTTCCATTGAGACTGAGACTCGGTTGTTTCTGAAGCTGCCATAATGTCTGATCACAAAGCAAAAAGAAAGCGTCGACGGGTGTGACCGTGTCAACCGGGCAATGCGGGAATAAAAGAATGTTTTTGGATATGGATTCAAGCAGGATCCCAGTCGTCAACTCGATATCCACTCAACCAAAAAAGTCTAACAGAAAAATCCTTGAAACGAATTCGGGCAATTTCCATGCATAAAATGAGCAGCCCCTTTGCATTTTCGCGACTCTCTGCCTCGGCGCAAATCCAAAGAACATTCGGCCCGCTCAAACTTCAAACTATACGGCTCGGACGGCGCTCACCCAGGGGACGGCACCGCCATCCCGTTGCCGAATTCACCGCCATCCCGAAACACGGCCCAATCAGAGCCCATATGAAACTCATTGTGGAAATGTGCCAGGCCATGGTATCAGAGACCTCGAAGAAAAAGTAAAAGTGGATCCGCCGATCTTCCCTCGATTCGACCGAATTCGTAAATGCAGTGGACCCCGTATCAAAATCACCGAAACTGCCGAGGCAGGCCTTCAGGCTGCTACAAGGTGTATATCGCGCATTATGAAATCTGTAATCAAAAGAAGTGTCCTTACATGAGTCCGAATCGTTGGTCCTGGTTCCTGGATCTTGGATAAGGGCGTGGGCTCGGTGGAGTCCCGTCTCAACGAGGACAGACTCGGCCCTGATGCTGCTGGATTGCGCGAGGCCGCTATAAATACTATATGTCCCCGTACACTTTGCTGGGCCCCTCCTTTTTTCCTTTCCTTGCTGGCAACATTGCACATCACTCTCATTTACATAACCATTAGCATGGTGGTCAAGCAATTTTATCTGCTGGGAGAGTCCAGCTCCACGGCTCGGGGGATCGAGGTGGACTCAACACTTGACAACGAGGGCCTACAGCATCTTCTTGCAAGCCAATTCGCCATTGTCGAACCTAATGGTGAGTCAATTGATACTCCATTCACGTAGACCAAATTGCTTATTCCCTCAATCGTATAGGAATTGGGTTTCAGTCAGAAGATTCAATTCTCTCCAGCATATCTGAGGTCCTGGCAACAGACCTCATCGCCATTTCAATAGACGGCAAGCCAGTCAAGGAAGTCCCGGGCCCTAAGGGCCTCCCATTTGTCGGTAACTTCTTCGAGATTTACCCCGATCATCTGGGCAACCACCAGCGTCTTTTTGATCAATATGGCCCTATCTTCCAAACTACCAACATGGGCCGCACCATCTACCAAACCAATGACCCTCAACTTTCCGCCATCGTCTTCTCCGAGTCTGACTTTTTTACCAAGAAGATCAACGAGGCACATCCCCTCTACCCAATCAAGAACCAAGACGCTGGTGTTTTCCTGGGTGACACTGACACGCCCGAATGGCGCGCTGCCCACAAATTCCTCCCGCCGGCGCTAGGCCCGAAGGCCGTGCGCCACTACGCGCCCACCATGCAGGAGACTGTCGAGGACGCCTTCTCCGTCTTTGACCAGCTTGATGATCAAGGCGAAGCCTGGAATGTGTATCAGTACATGTTGAAGCTGGGCTCGCAGGCCGTGGGCAAGCTCGTCCTCGGCATTGACTTCAAGCACTTCTCATCGCCTGATGCGCCGCCACACGAACTGGTCTATCGCATTGCGGAATCTCTGACTTTGAATAAGAAGGTCGCTGCCCGGGGCGACTGGTACGCGAAGTTGCCGTTTGGCGACCCGAAGAAGCTGCGGGATGCCCGATGGCGCATCGTTGAGATGGTCAATGAGTCTATTGCGAATGCGTCCCGCGGCGGTGTTGAGGACCTGCCTCTCCAAGATGCGGCGTTGAAGGCAACAAATATGGTTGGTGAGTTATTATCACAAAGAGAAAGAGAGAAAGAGTTCGCCGACGCTAACTTTGGTCCCTTACCCCCAAGACTACGCGATCCGAGCCACCGATAACAAGGGCGAAAAGCTGCCAAAAACCAGCCTGATGCAAGCCCTTGTCGTAGCCACCGGCGCCGGCTTCACAACCACCAGCTCCCTGCTGTCCTGGCTGATCTACTCGCTCGTGCACTACGACGGCATGCAGGAACGCCTGCTGCAAGAACTAATCGACCACGACATTGACGCCGACACCCAGATCACTGCCGACCTGACTGACCAACTCACCTTCATGGACAAGTTCATTAAAGAGACCCAGCGCCGCCACAACCCGTCGTACCAGCCCGCTCGCACCGCCAAGGTCGACCTCATCCTACCTGGTGGCTACAAATTACCCCAGGATGCCGTCGTCATCCCCGCCCTGCACCACGTCCACAATAACCCGGCCGTATGGGACAACCCGGCCCGCTTCGACCCCGACCGCTGGGACACAGATGCCGTCAAGAATCGTCACAAGGCGGCGTACATCCCCTTCGCAACGGGCCCGCGCATGTGCATCGGGTTTAATTTCGCGCTGCAAGAAGTCAAGGTGTTCTTGCCGAAACTGCTGTACCGGTATAAGTTCACGCGGGAGAGTGATGGCCCGATCGAGTATGATCCCATGTTCCAGCTAATCCGTCCGAATAATCTGTATGTGCGGGCGGAGCGGCGCGTGAAGTGGCCGCCGAAAAGTGAAGCATGAGTGAAAGGGTGAAATGGATAAAAGGAAGCGGCTCAGGGTTGATTGTACTATATAATAGCGACTCGGAGTTGATCGACTAAAGGCGGTCATCATCATAATGGAATTCTATCTCTTTACGCACAATGACCGAATTATATGCGGAGAGACTAAGGCATGTCAGAGACTCAAACTAAATATATTTCCGTAGGGAAAGAAGAGCGAATCTAGAAACAACAGCAATTATTGAAAGTACTCGGGGATATGGGGAGGGGAGGGGGGGTTTATTGGAAGTATAGAAAAAATTATAGTTTATCAGATCCATTAGCCGCGCCACCATTGGCCGTCGCGCAACAACAGTGGTTTTTTCGAACCTTCTAACCCCATCGCGATGCCCTCCGCGATACGTGCTTCGATTCTATCTTCTTCCATTCAATCACCTCCAGTTACTTTCAATCTAATCAGTCTCCAATCAAGTCCACTACAGCCCTACACGTGAACCCTTAAAAGTCGGAGCGTAAACGCTAAGACGAAGAAGACACTTCCTGTCTCCACTTGCTCCTTTATTTTCGCGCCACGCACCCGCAAGGGCGTATCTCCGAAGCTCGGGTCTATTAACTCAACAGGCACCAAAATCCCGATTTGCCGACTCATCACTAATCTTCCTCGCAACCCTCGTCATTCTCCCACTACCATCATCTTCCCATAACGCAACTATGGCCAACGACCCTCGGGCGCAGGCCTCGCGCCCGTGCCGCGTCCTCACCAACGCCCTCGACGAGCTCGGCCTAATCACCATGTGGCACGCCTCGCGCGATGTCAAGTTCCTCTGCGCCCAGCGCTTCGTGCGCCTGTTCGCCTACGGCGGCTCAACCCTTATTTTGGCTTCGTATCTGTCGGCAATTGGCATCTCTGATGATCGCATCGGCCTGTTCATGACCCTGACGCTGGTCGGCGATGTCGTGATTAGCTTCTTCTTGACCTTGTTCGCCGACGCCATGGGCCGCAAAGCGGTGCTGTCGCTGGGCTCGGTGTTGATGGCTGCGAGTGGAGTCGTGTTTGCGCTGTTCGGCAATTACTGGATTTTGCTGGCGGCGGCTGTCTTTGGGGTCATCAGTCCGAGGTAGGTTTAATTTCGCTTTTGCTTCTCCATCAATACTGTCTACTTGGATTACTTTCTTTTCTGTTTTTTTTTCCTTTGCCCCCTTCTTTTCCAAGGCATGCGGGGTTTGGGGCGGTTGCTGCCTACACTTCCCTTTTTTTTGAGTGTCGGTGCGAAGTCCGATAGCTGACACAGGAGTCTCCACAGTGGAAACGAGATCGGCCCTTTCCGCGCGGTCGAGGAATCGACCTTGGCCCATCTGACACCGCATGAGCGGCTCCCGGATGTCTTCGCCTGGTACTCGCTGGTCGGGACCGCCGGCACGGCCCTTGGCCAGTTGATCTGCGGCTGGACCATCACCTCGCTACAGTCGCTGCACGGTTGGGCATTCATCCCGTCGTGCCGTATTATCTTCTTCGTCTATGCGGCGGTCGGTGTAATCAAGTTGCTGCTGACGCTGACGCTAAGCCGCGAGGTGGAGGCCAACAGGGTCGACAAACCCCAGAACCAGGCGCAGAATGGCGAGACACGTCCGTTGCTGGCAGACTCGAGTACGGTCGACCAGCAGGAGCAGCAGACTCCGAAGAAGAAAGGCGTATTTGCCTCGATTGAGAAGGACCTGTGGTCTCTTGTGATTCGTCTCTTTATCTTGTTTGGATTGGACTCTTTCGCTTCTGGATTGGCGTCTCTGTAAGTGTGCAAAAGAAATCCTCAGTCCTACCTATCAAAGTTATACGACGAGCAACGGATTTGGTTGGCTGACGTGATCTCCAGGTCCTGGATGACATACTTCTTCCACCGCAAGTTCAACCTTCCGGAGGGCGAGCTGGGCACGATTTTCTTCGTGACCAGCACCATTGCGGCGGCATCGATGCTCGTCGCGTCCTCGATTGCCAAGCGCATTGGCAATGTCAAGGTAAGAAATGAACCTCCTCTCTTAGCTTTGTAATACGCTCTTATATCATTGACTGACTGCGTCAATCCACGTAGACGATGGTCTTCACCCACCTACCCTCGGCCATTGCTCTCTCCCTCATCTCTGTACCCAATAGCCTACCCTTGGCCCTGACTTTCCTCGTTCTGCGCGCCTGCTCGCAGAACATGGATGTTGCGCCGCGCTCTGCTTTCCTGGCCGCCGCTTTGCCATCCGACAAGCGGACCGCTATTATGGGTGCTGTGAACGTGGTCAAGACTACCAGCCAGAGTCTCGGCCCTCTGCTGACCGGTATCTTGGCCCGCAACAACATGTTCGGCGTGTCTTTCATCATTGCGGGTATCCTCAAGGTGGTGTATGACCTAGGCATGCTTGTCAGTTTTGCAGGAACAGAGGCAGCCAAGCGCAAACAGGCCCAGGAGGCTGATGAGGAAAATCAGTAAAAAAAATATTGGGATATAATGAGTTCTGGTGACATTTTATAGTCTCTTGTCATTCGTCTCATGTACAAACACACCGTCTGTTGCTGTAACCTTGGAGGGGCTGGCAGTGTACCACAAGAATTCATGGGCACAAAAGCAAAACATGGCATACACTCGTATTGCGAAAAAGAAAAATCCCCTGCTGGTTTTATTTGTTTACCAATTTGAGCGTCCTGTCGTTTTTGGTTGTATATCTTACGTGCCAGTCATCTCCCACAATGAATATATTGGAAAGAGATGTCAGATTTGCGACCTCTACAATATCTCAGTAACTTGGTGCTAGTAGCTCTCTTGGCTCAGAGATGGCGCAATTCATCACCAGTCAGCATCCGCACTAGTCGGGTATTTGGTCTTATTTTACCAGCCTTGTGAGTCGTGGATAATCATTAACCTTATCGGCTCTTCCAATCGGCCTTTGCCATCTTCCGTCTCAAAACCCCTCCAAAGTACAACTTCCACTCTTTCAACTCTCCAACACTCTAGCATTCCCCCAAATTCCGAGACACGTCACCTCCGCGCAAGCAACTTCTGGTCATAATTACTCTGTGCCCTGCATTGATTTTCCGGGGGTGCAGCATGGTACGGGTTTAGGCAGAAGCTTTTCCCCAAGGCTCGCACCAACCACCTCCCGTCCACAGAAGTATAACCGGGATCCACCTGAAAAGTGTTTCTGTTGTGCTTCCCAAGGCAGATGCGCATCTCGCTAATTCCCTCACAGGGTCTGGTCTGATATAAAACTGATCGCCCGGATCGACGGCTATGGAAATCAAGCTTCGTGGCATCGCTTGGCTTGGTCGTCATGCCCGGGGTTTCCTTTTCTCCCATTGCACTCCAGCCTCTCCGGTCCATACAAGAAGATCAGGTCTATGTCTATTATGATGATGGCCCCGATGGCCCCGATTCGGACCTAGAAGACACCGAAGCTGCCTTCGAGAAAGCGACAGCTTCGACATCTTCTTTCTACTCGCCCCGGCGAGTGCGGTGGAAATGCTCGTATCTGCAATGTGATTGTGGACCCTTGTCTCGACCAGCGATGTACTGCCGCACCCTTCGGAGGCCATTTTTTTTTCTTGTGGGCGCTCTGTATGTTCCCCTGCCTGTTCCTTCTCAGAGTTCAGAAATCATTAAGGAATCCATTATGCAATTTTAGTAGTTTGGAACCTTTTGACGCTGATACCCAAATAGTGGCTTCATCACTCTCATCTCCTTCGCGTGGGATAGCCTCGTCTCCTTTCTCGCAGAAAGCCGTGAAACAGGCATCTTCCCTGGCCAACCCCCGTCGCTCTTTTCAGATTGGCTGACGCAAGGCGTCATCCCCGTGGCCTGCCACTCCCACAATGACTACTGGCGCCGCGTCCCACTTTTCTCAGCTCTCGCCGCCGGGTGTATTAGTGTTGAGGCCGACATATGGCTCGACGGCGATGACCTGCGTGTCGGACACACCCTCCGCACCGTCCTCCCAGGCCAGACCCTGCGCACTCTCTATCTCAACCCTCTCCTCGATATCCTCGAACGCCATAACCAGCCTCCCACACTCACTACCACCATCACTACCAGCAGCAATTCTACCTCCCAATCCTTCATTTCATCCCCATCGCCAAATTTAGACCTCATCGGCGTCTTCGCCACAAACACCTCCCAATCCCTCACTCTCCTCATTGACTTCAAAGCCTCTCCGGACCTCCTCTGGCCCATCTTGATCAAACAACTTCAACCCCTGCGTGAGAAGGGTTACCTCACCCATTTCAACGGCTTCTCCATTATCCAACGCCCCCTCACCATTGTCGTCACCGGCGCGGCCCCCTTTCCCCGCATCCGCGACGCCTACACCTACCGCGACATCTTCTACGATGCCCCCCTCGACGACTTAGCTACAGACTCCCCCTACAATGCCTCAAACAGTTACTACGCCTCCGTCGACTTCCATCGCGCCATTGGCGCGCTCCCGCTAGGTAGGCTCTCGCAGGACCAGCTCGCCAAAGTGCGCGGCCAGATTGACGCCGCGCATGCGCATGGGCTGAAGGTGCGATACTGGGGGACACCGAAGTGGCCGGTGGGGTTGCGGAATTATGTGTGGAAGATGTTGGTGCGTGAGGGCGTGGATGTGCTGAATGTGGATGACCTGCATAGCGCGACAAGAGGAGATTGGAAGGAGAGGGGGTGGTGGAGATGATTTGAGCAAGTCTCTGGTTCTTTCATTATTTTATCTGGAATAAAATATGTCTCTTTTTCTCAATGCTCTGCACTTTTGCAGAGATCTTCTTGGGGTTTGGATATTAGGCGTTACAGGGGATTGATGGCGCGGCTTCATTAAACCAAGTATGGACTAGTGATGTTCAAGAGGAAAATGAGAGAAGATTATTTTCTTACAATCGGAACTCATGTAAATTACTTATACTTCTCTTAGCCCATAACACATGACTGATTCCCTTTTGCTTTGTGCTTTTTCTTTTCACTTCCTCGACCATTCTGCCCTCACAGAACCAGCTTGAAATCCGGGTTGCGGTCGTCATTATACCCGGAGTATTGATCATACTTGCCATTCCTCTTATCCCGATTCACCTTGGCACAGTAGAGGACATTGAACAGAATCCTAGGGGGTCATGAGTACGGGAAATTCAACATCAGTAATTCGGCGTGGCTGATACTCACATGAACCATGCAAACACCAAGAGACCAAAGATGATGGTATGTCCGCGATGGAAGTAGGGTTTGTCGCGAGATGGATAGTTAAAGGCTGGATAAGAGATGTTGGTGCTTGAACATAGTTGCCAGATCCATTGCAGGGACTAAGAGAACTTACTCGCAACAAATCCTCCGCAATTGGCAATTGCTAATTGTAGGGCTGACGTCGTGGCGCGTTTATAGTGACCTGCCGAGTTGTTCGACATCCATACTAATATACATGGTACGCTGGCATACTGGCCGGTTGCCATGAGGAAGGTCATCCCGTATTGTACGTGTGTGTTTTTGATGTTTGCAATCACCGCATAGCCGACAATAGCGATGGGGAGAGTAAAAAGCATGACGCAGCCTCTGAGTTGAAGGCGATCAGACACGAATGCCACAATCACTACTTAGATGTTAGTTTCATGCTAAATTGAACCGCCAAATAGCATAGGAGGAGTTACCTGTAATCACGGCTGCAACTGCATACGGAATAACAGACCAAAGCTGCACTTCGTTCGCATCCTTGGCGATATCAAGGTTCTCAATGATGGTCGGCAGCTGCTATTGTTAGGATAAACTGATTGACGCAAGTATATTGGCAGAATTCAACTCACAAACAGACCAAATGAATACATGCCAGAGAGAATGGCGAAATACGCCGTGGCAGAGAACCACACCTGTGGTTCCAGAATACCCCGCCGCACCTCAGACCACCGGAATGCATCTTGCTCCGCCGCCAGAGTTCTACTTCGATTAGAATATTATAGTTTGCGGCATATCTGGACTGCGTATACACATACCCATCTGGGGACTTCGGATTATCGAGCAGGAGTTTCTCGCGGCCAAATTCTTTTTCTTCGTTCGTTAGGAATGATGCCGATTCAAGAGAATTGGGCAGAACAAAGAAACTGAGAGCACCACAGGCAAAAGTCTGGTTTTGTCAGCTAGCGCTTTTTAATATCACTCCATTCTACTCCGCAATAACGTACCAACAATCCTTCGATAATCATAATCCAGCGCCATCCTTCCAAACCTCCACGGGGGCCAATCTCCGCCAACCCACGGGCAAGCAAGCCTATTGCGTATCAGAATCGGTCTATTTGGTAGAAATCAAAGAAATGTTACCTCCAAAGGCACCGGATAGGGAAGCAGCAGTATAAAAGAGACCAATTCGCAGAGCCAGTTCGCCACGACGGTAGAAAGTAGACAAATAGAGCACCTGTTAAGAGTCAGAAACTCATTGGTCTCGATAATCGAACTTGAGAATCTAAAATTGCCTACCATTCCTGGGAGTAAGCCACCCTCTGCAATTCCCAGCAGAGCACGAACTGCGACGAATCCAGCGTAGTTCTTCACGAAGCCGAGACACATCGTGATGATGCCCCAAAGGGCAGTCAAGAACGGCAGCCATAGCTTAGGCGAAGCCTTTTTGAGTACAAGATTACTCGGTAGCTCGCTGGTGCAAGACGACTTGATTATTTCTCATACGGTCGGGAGTCATTTCGGAACAGAACTCACCTGCAGATGTAGGTAAGATAGAATACGGTCAATCCGATATCGTACTGGTGGTCTGTAATATCAAGGCTTTTCTCTAGTCCCAGAATTTTTGCGTTACCGACATTGGTGCGATCCAGAAATGAGCAAAGAAACAGCAGTGCGAGCATCGGAAGAATCCTGGTATTCCTTTAATCAGGGGGAGAAACGTTGAGATTGATTTCAATGGCGAACAACTCACCGTGTGTCCAGCTTCAGCAAAATGCGACGCGCCAATTTCTGCTGATTCTCATGGTCGCCAAAGCGGGAAAATTCACCCTGTTTCACCTCTTCCAGCTCCATGGCGCCGGGCTTGGACTCCATCACAGTCGAAGAAGATCAAATGCACAGTGAGCTTGGGAAGCACTTGGCAAGGAGGGGTGCGACGTGGGTGGGGACGGGTGAATGATGCAAGTGGAAAAACATGGTCATCGCCCTGACTTGTAGATAAAAACAATTGGGACGTCGGTGGCCAATTCTGTCCCCGAGCTGATGCTACTACTGTCTTTCCCCGCTATTCCCCGGATTCAAGGGTCTTGAGCTATTGGGGTTCTTTCTTGGCTCCGTGGGGTTTGTTACAAGCGTCGTGCCGATCAGGTATCTCACGCGTCAACGCCTCCCCGGTATCGGCCTCTATTTCTGGATGCCGACCGAACCTCGGGTTTTGCCGTTTAAGTCGGCAATAGCATCCTTTCCCTCCTCATCCCACCAACTTCGGCGCCATGTCAAAGCTTTCCGCCAACCTCAAGGCATTGATCAATTCACCAGCTGCTCGGCCACACACGGTGCCGGCACCAGCAAATATCGTTTCTGTCTACCACAAAATCCAGCAGACTGCCGCGGCCCAGCATGTGTCGCAGCCCTCATGGGTCGCGCTGTCGGTGAGTTATGGCCAAACCAGACATTCCATATCAAGTCGCTGATTCATACAGACTGCAGCCACAATGACTATGAACTCCCCGGAGTCCCTCGCTGCCTTATACAACGTCGCGGCCAGCACCTCCAATAACAGCATTAGCGTCGAAACAGCCGAGCTGATGCGCGAAGTCGGACTGAAATGTATCAGCTTCAACGGCATTCCCCGCACTATCAACTGCCTCAACGCCTTTCGTGCTGGGCTCCCAGACTCTGTCGCAGCCCAACTCTCCCGCGCCCCGACTCGCACCCCAAACCCGGACAATATCGCCGCGATTAGCGCGCGTGGCCGAGCCCTGTGGGACTCGATCTACCGGCCCTTCGAGAACAAGCTATACTCCAAGCTGGCTGAGTCACACCCTGATTTGCCAGTGCACATCCTGCACGCTAACTACGGTGCCTTGCTCTCCGACCCAGTCCGGTCGACCGGTGCCTCCGCCGGGCGCGTGCTGACTTCCATTGTGGCAGTGGCCTGTCTGCGGGCTCAGACAGGGGTCGGGCCACAGGTTCTATCGCACGTGTTTGGTCTCCGGAAGGCGCTGGAGGATGGGAGCTGGGCGGATGATGTGGAGACAGAGCAAGGGGCGCGGTGGTTGGCTAGCGACGAAGGAAATGCGTGGATCTTAAGCAGCGTGGATGCCATTGTGGAGGCGATCAGCGGAGGCACTGGATCGAACTTCGCGCCGGGAAAGGCCAAGTTGTAGAGTGTAGGTGTATAGACTAAATGATGAGGTTCCCTTGTATATAGGATTGCGTGGTTTGATACCATGATAGAATGATTTTGACACGACGTGTTGAATGCTGCTTTCTAAATTGAAGCAACTTCCACAGTTGCTGATTTTTCAGTAACTCATATTATGAAGAGTGTATTATAGTGAATCCAGCATAACCCTCGCCTCAAAAAATTTACACCGCCATAGAAGCTCCGTTGGCGAACTTGGGAGGGATTTGGTTGATTTGGTATTTGGGGAATTTCAGGCGCCGAGGAAGCTGGCCTTAAACCTGACAACACTATCAGATTCTGGATATGTTGTAGAGAAACATATTACACTCTCGTTTTTCTTTTTTTTCAAGTGTTTGTTTATGGACTTAAGCGCAGTGGTAAAGCTTGAAGAGATTAAGCTCACCTGCCAAGCGACTCGTGCTTGATTGGCGCGATGGAGGTTGTATTTATAATACCGTATTGCCTAACTGAAAGGCTGTTCTGGTGAGTTTGAAGAAGAATTGCAATTCAAAATTGTGATGGAAGACCGGAGCGAAATACGTATATAAATCAAGCCGTCGCGAAATTCCACGTCGCAAGCAAGCCGATGACCGCAGACCACTCACTCCTTCTTGCAGGGATACGAATCTCCAAATGGCCCTTACTAAGTATAATCCAACGCTGCTTTCATCTAGGATTTTTCAAAACTGCCGCCTACAGAGTGAGCATCTGGCTATTGGTTGAACTCCCTGAATTGAAAACTTCCTATTCTCACAAATTTCATCTCTATATAAGCATCGAATCCCCTTGTTGTTTCTCACCTAAGCTTCCGAAAAGTTTGCGCGCTTTCTGACCTCTTCCGGGACGAGTGAACTGTAACAGAATCAGTAGGTCACTCTAACCATGTAAAGGACAATCACTGTACTTTGCTGGAAAAATATCGCCAATCTCAAGCAAAGAGCGACAAGAAATATGCTCGCAGAAAATAATAGAAGAGCACCGGTTGTTCTATTAATGCCTAGGTAGAGGTCTCTGATCTTCGTGAAGAAATGTCCCCAATGTGTGTCCTTTGAGCATATGAGACCTGTCCCAAAATCAGCTGCTGAGCCTGAAACGGAGGGGATCCTTGTACCTCGCCAGAGAAGACTCTCTAAAAAAAGGCTGACGCCACAGATATAGAGGATCGTAGAAAAATAGAAAGCAATTCTCTGTCCTCTACTTAAAGCTGACCTGGACTTTTGTGAAGCCCAAACTGCTCGTCCTCCAATCGCAAGGGGGAGTATTGCAAGTGCGTGGGCCAGATCAAACATATCAAGCAAGACTGTTTCAATAGCTCCGACACGGATTTTTTTGTAGCTGCATGTATAGGCGACAGATTTCAATGTCAACGGGGCCACACAGGCTTACATATGTCACAGTGAAGCGTACCAAAGTTGCAGATGAGAATTAGTCCCTACAAGTATCGTGCTCCATGTGCTACAGAGGATTTCCAAAACAGGTTCCCCCTCCTAGACCACACGCCTTCTTTTTGAGAGACCGACTAGAGCCAATTTCAGAGACTCCTCAAGCCAATCATGCTGCTACACACACCCCTGAAAACTATCCAGCTTAATTTAGTTGAGCGTAATTAGAATGGGGCGCTGGTAAGGTAAGCTTGTGTTTCTGGGGGGGTTTTGTGTTCAAACTCCTCTGCGTGTACTCCGTACAGAGCTTTTGAGGGCTATAATAATAAAAACCCTTCGTGTAAGTGCGAAGAATGGGATTTTGATAGGCTTCCACTTCCCTAGTCTTTGTCCGCAAAGGTACAGTAGGAGCGACTGTAGCCCGTCAAGTGGGTCTGACGCGTAAGCAGACTGCTCTCGGGCGACGTAAATCCCAGCATTTCTCCTATTTCCAGGAGAGAAGTTGGTATTTCAGGTTGAGGATATGGGACATTGTAAAGAGTTGGACCACATGGATGCCGCTCGCCCTGAAAGTTCATACCTTGTTGAATAATCAGCTGATATAACGCTCGAGCACATTCAAGGAATCGGATCCCAGGACCATGGCTTTCCATTGAGACCACAAGCTATCATTCGCTCCAAAATTCCACTTTCGTTTGATATGTAGTAAAATTAGTAAAATCAACAGGGAAGCAAATGGCGATGTTCGCGTCAAGAGCGCCAAGCCGCTGGGTAGTGTGTATACTCGAACTGAAAAGCACCCGGTGCTTCTCGGGCAACTATTCATGTGCACTTCAGCGCTTGTCCCTCGCCACCTGTTTTTCGATGAGAAGAAAAATTTTTTCTCTAGGACCAGTCAATCAAATCTACAATTATTGAGGTGGATCTTAAATCAAGACATCATCTTCATTCATTCAATGCTGTCTCTCGTGGCCTTACATAGCAGTACCTGATCCCCGAGAAAAAGGACGGGCTTTCATTACTAGTACTCGACCCCAATTTGTCTTTAGAGCTAAATAACTAGAGAACAAGCTTTCTGGGGGCGGTCCGCGAGTTGAATATCGTCTCCAATAACGTCTTAGAGGATAATTATTATGAGCGAATTAGTGAAGACAGCTTACTCACGTCCACAAAGGGGCATGGAGTCCTATAGGTTCCCATCAATATCCAGCGGATTCCTCGGCTAGGACCGTCTATTTATCTATCCAGGGGTTTCCCAGGAGCATGCAGTTTAATTGATTGACTATTGGGTGTTCAGCCTCAGTCCTACTCAATGAGTAAAAGCGAGGAGAGGCTAAGACTAAAACGAAAGGGGAAAGCCAAGAGGTGGCATAGGAAATCCGGTATCAATACATCACCAACTGCTTTGCCCCCAAATCTTGTAGATTCAAGTTCCATCCCTTTTTTGCTATTCAATTTGTTCCCTTTGTCTGCTTATATTCATGGTTTATGTATGACTCTTGCATTTTCCAGTCTGTCTTTTCCTCTTATTTCTTCGCCTTGTCGACTCTCATTAGCCACGCAGAGACGGGCCACGGCACCATAGGTATTAAAAGAGCCATGGTATTGTGACTGATACCAAGCTTTCTGCCAGAAAACGCTCCAATAGTCAGAAATTTATTGATCTTATGCGTTATCTGACCAGTTAATGAAAAGTCTTGGATTGAATAGCAATTAGTTGAGGGTTGAGCTCGCCCACCCAGATTATATCCTGAAAGATCCCCCCTTCCACTTGGTCCAGGTCCTCGCGCATGCAATAACAAAACAGCACCTGCTCCATTCGTTGAATCCTGAAAATTCTTTTCTAATTTGAGATAATAGTCTTTATTCTTACTTTATATCTCCATTCTGGGAGCTGGCCAGATTCTCCTATCGTTCGGGTAGGATCTTGAGGATGTCAACATCATCCACAGGGTTCCGATGTCCAATCGTCACACAAATTTCTAACAATATTTCGCACAAACCTTGACTTTGGCCAAGTAAACCTGGGCTCAAACCTCTACATATTAAATAGTGTTGGTCTATCTTTTTTTTCTCGCGCCCCACCGGTGCTGTGGGTCCCGCGCCTTACGCCCTACACGGCAGTCCGTCAATGCTCCTTGCATGGAGCGAGGTACCTTGAGCTCCAATATTGCTTCTTTTCCCTCATCTTGAAACCCAAATCCACACGATACCAGCAGCCGGCATGCCATCACGTCTAATTTGTCGCTTTTTCGTTTCCGGGACTCGCAGCATAGCTTGACGACATATCTCTTCAAGTTTATTCCCCTGCTTCACAAAGTCAACGCAATGAAACCACCGCGACGAGCTCTCCCTTCCATCAAAAATATGGAATCTTATAAAAATATGGAAATGTGTCGCCGAAGCATCATGGATATTGACATCGCCCATCATTACAAAGCCAAGGTGTATAATTGCGGCTCTCCCGTCCAGGGTGTTTTGTCGATCACTCCTCGCGATGACATTGAATTCGACAGAGTGGAGATTACCCTCACAGGAAAATCTCAAGTTCGTCGCGACAATATGCGAGGTACATCAGTTACTTCACAAAGATTCCTGAATCTTCAGATGCCAATTTCAGCCTCCGAACACCTGCCCTCTGGGATTCTGCAAGCAGGAGCCGCCTATAAACTCCCGTTTCAATTTGTCATCCCGCATCAATTGCCTCAGAATGCCTGTCCAAACCCATTGGAGCCCTGTTTTGAAGGAGATTATCATACACAGCTGCCTTCAAGTTTCGGAGGATGGCTGGTTGATGATATGGCTCCAGAAACCATCAGGGTGGAATATAATATCGAGGCTCGCATCTTACAAGCAGTCCAGGATGGATTTAAGGCAATTATGAGGAAAAGAAAGATTATCAGAATTCTCTCGTCCTCGTTTTTACATCCCGATATTCTCTTAGGATGCGACTTACACAAACACATCAAGAAGCCTACAGTAACCAAAGAACTTCGATCATTTCCATTTGCCAAGCCGTTTGGGCGTATCACGGTGGAAAACCTCCAAAGCGTTTCAGTTTCACTCGATAGAGATGGTCGTTCCGCAGTCAATTCTTCTGTCTCATTGGGCTTAACATTCGAACCGTTTTCTACGGAGGTGACTCCTCCAGTTATTAAGGTACATCGTCTTCGGATACATGTGCAGACACAATGCTCTCAGAGTCCCGTCGTAAAGCTGCCGCAGCTGGACCATCACTCAGGGCGGTTCTCAACTAAGGTCTCGATTACGCCAAAAGAGATTGTTTCTACACCGTGGATACCATGTATGGATCTTGTTTCACAAAAGTCCAATGATCTTCCACTGCCCAAAACCTACGCCCAAGCTCTGCAAATACCCTTGTGTCTCCCAACCGACAAGAAAATATTCGTGCCGAGTTTCCACTCCTGCCTGATTTCCAGGAAATATACACTTGAAATTCGGCTTCGAACTGGGTGTGCGGATCTTACACTGAACTTGCCACTTCAAATATTGGGACCGGAAACAATTCAAGTTTGTGAAGCAGACACGAAGCTTCCAAGCTTTCAAGAAGCAATGGGCGGCGTCGTGGAGCTATTGTGATACCCCTTGTAAATTATGTTCATTTTTTCCATCAAAGGCTTAATTGGTCTGGTCTACTTTTCCAACTAAACTTATCTGGGAAAACCTGCGAAATCTATCATCAAGTTCATACTACGCTATTTTTAACTAGATTAATACTTAATCATCGTTTATCAGTCGGTCTCATCCTTGCCGCCGGTGAGCTCACACTGGACAACAGTCCTCGCCAGGCTTGAGTATTCCTAGTCATATTCGCATCCTATTGTATGTACAAAACGTCTTGTTGAGTATATGCCTCAGTTCTAAATCTATTGCATGATCTCTAGTTTCTCTGCAACTGCGAACTTTGCATCTGTCTTGCTACGCACTTCCTCCACCTCCACACCCGGTGCAAGCTCAGTAAGGGTGAGCTCGCCCGTAGCCCGGTTCACCTGGAACACACACTTTAATCAAGTCAGTCGAGATGCTTTTAGCGAATCACTCTGTCGGTGATGTAAAACATGGAAGCACAAGTGCCCACTCACCAAATCTGTTATGATCGTGCTGACTACATTCGCTCCTGTCAACGGCAGGCTGCACTTCTGCACAATCTTCGGAGATCCGTCCTTGGCGACATGGCTTGTGGCCACGACAATCTTGGTCTTGTCCGGGTTTGAGATCAGGTCCATGGCTCCGCCCATGCCTTTAAATACCTTCCCAGGAATCATGTAGTTGGCTAGATCACCATTTGCGCTGACTTGTAGAGCCTATAGAAGACATAGTAATTAGCAAGGCCGCTTGCTATGTGCTCAATTGAGTTATGTTCTCACTCCAAGAATAGAAACATCCACATGTCCACCACGAATCATACCGAAGGACTCAGTACTGTCAAAGGTTGAGGCGCCAGGGACCAAGGTGACCGTCTCCTTGCCGGCATTGATGATATCCCTACATATTGGGCGATTAGCACACTTGATTCAAAACGCAAACCCAAAAACTTACGGGTCGACTTCATCTTCGGTGGGATATGCGCCCTGGGTCAAGTCAGCAACAAAAAAAACCACGTTATATTTGATCCCCATGCACATACCATGCCCAAAATACCGTTCTCTGACTGCACCCAAACCTTGACATCCTTGGGTAAGAACGATGGCGCCAGTGTAGGGATACCTATAACAGATCAGCTTTCCCAACCTCACTAGCAGTGTTCACAGAGCCCACTCGTTACTCACCAACACCAAGGTTCACATAATAACCTTGCTTTAGCTCCTTTGCTGCGCGACGACCAATTCGCTCTCGTTGAATCTGCGCTTCGCCCTTCTTTGATTCGGTGGTACTGCTGCTCTCGTCCTCACGGAGCTTCTTGAGCTCAATGTGCTTCTCGTCGGTGGCGGGTACAATCCGGTCCACAAAAATACCAGGCAAGTCCACATCGTTCGGGTCAATCGATCCAATAGGAACAATATTCTCTGCCTCCACGATAGTCAACGTCGCGGCCTTGGCCATGATCGGGCCGAACGCCTTGGTGGTATATCTACAATAAAATCAGTACACCAACTTACATTTTCCCGCTACCAACTTACCGAAACACGCAGTTTCCAGCTTCATCGGCCTTCCAGGCCCGCAAAATAGCTACATCGCCCGTCAAAGCAGTCTCCATCAAATATGTCTTTCCATTGAATTCACGCGTCTCGCGTGGTGTGCCTGACTCGAGGACCTTGCCCGACTCGTCCACGCGGACGGGAATTTTTCCCTCCTGGATATATGTATCTATATGGCTCCCATCAGCATACTCAATTCTGTTTTTATTTTGCACGTCAAAGCACAGGTATACTCACGAACACCAGTCGGCGTGAAAAAGGCCGGGATCCCCGCCCCGCCTGCGCGCAGTCGTTCCGCCAGGGTTCCCTGCGGGCAAAGCTCGATCGCAATATGACCAGATAGATACTTTTTTTCCAGTGCTTTATTATTTCCCAAGTACGATAGAATTAGCCGGCTCAGCTGGCCATTCTGCGACAGTGTTGAGAGCCCGCCCTTTCCCGCTGCGCCAGCATTATTTGAGACCGCGGTCAGACTATGCAATTGGTCCGGGCCACGGCGTTGCATGGCATTGATCAGTGTTTCTACCCGTATTCACTATGTCAGCAATTCTAGAATGCTGTAAATGTGTCGCAGACATCATAGCTTACCTGCAACCCCGCACAGCCCAAACCCGGAGCTCAGAATCGTCGAGCCACTCTGAATATCTGCAACCGCGGCGTCTGCGTCCTTGAAGAGCTTTGATCCGCCTCTTTCCACCTTTGGGACAAGCTCCTGTGCAAGTGAAGCGTAGCGCTTTCCCGTGCTGAAGCCAGCTCGTGAGCTGCCCGGTGCCAGCGGCCGCACATTAGCCGCAGCCGTGCAGCGGACACCAAGATAGAGCCGCGGCCGGCACGCGGTAAGCATTTTGTGCGATAGAGCGGTGGGTGAAACTCGCAATGCTGTCATTCTGTATGCGTAAATTTGCCCTTCTTCACACGAGATTTTCAGAAGGAAAAGCTGTTGCAATTAATACGCGTGTGTTGACAACCGGCCTCGGGGATCGGGGCTACTTTTGGATGCCGAGTGGCGCCGGGCCGAAAACAGGTCACGTCGGGCGGTCTCGGCAGCTGAGCAACGTAATAGGAGCGACGGTGTGTACCAATATCCTTCATTTTATAGAGACATTTGAATTTGCTTCTACCGACTAAATTGATTCTTGGAGCATCATATCAAGTTTTGGTGTCATCCGTGTTCATACCTCTCCAGTTTTATATTTGTCTGTATTCAACCATTCGAGCCACACTCACGACTATATATGTGTTGATTTTACCTTTTAATTCCTTGGGCACGCTATCCTTGTCTGATACCTTACCCCAGTGCTCGACCTGGACATGTTCCAAAGGCTCTTCGGTACCAGGAGTGCCATCAACAGGGATTGCATTGCCATCAAAATCCCCAGGTCCTTTTGCTCCCGCCCAGTTCACAACCGTAGGCGCAATGTCAATATGAGAGGTTACGAAATCGACTGTCTTGCCCTTGGGAATTTGAGGGCCGCGGATGACAAGTGGAACGTTTACCTGAATATCTTGCAATTAGAAAAGTCTCATGCAACATCTTTGGAGAAAAATGATGATTACATCTTCCTCATATGGGCACCGCTTTCCTGAGGTCAAACGATGTTGACTAATGTGAAAGCCGTTATCTGATGTATAGATTATATACGTATTATTGAAGATTTTGTGGTTCTTTAGTCGCATGATGGTCTGTTAAACCAAATCATCCACAGCTTGCAAAGCTTGGGGTCTTCGTTTATAATAGTGGTCATTCGACTCGATTGTTTCATTGTCCAACCTGTCAAGTCCTCGCACCCAATTTGCCCCCACTAGGCTATAAAAATTGTTATTTTCTGACTTTTGAGTAGCAAATTTCTCTCGACATACCTTATCAGGGTTGAAGTTGCTGGGGCTGCGAGGCACTTTCGCATGTGGAAAATCATTCTTATGTCGCTCTGCTGGAACAGGCGGTGTCCATTTCTGATTGCCGTTGTTCCAGTCGTAGTTGTTATGGGGATTTACCGGGTTAATCGCCAAGAAAAATGGAGCATTCTTCTTGATAGCATCGTCAATCCATGTCATTGAAAGATTCACAAGAAGATCAGTTGCATATTTTCCCGGTTTATGCTCAGGCGGGTCCATATTGTGCTGGATAGTGGTGTTCACGTATTGATACGTCCTTGGAAACATTTAGTCTCTGAAATACTTCTTTAAGGAACTTGAATCACCTGGTTTAATCATGAAATCATGTCCGTGTAATCCCATATCTCCCAGTCCTTGTGTATAGGTGTGTATGTTGTGGTGGTTCATTAATTTACCCGTGAAATAGGTCTTGTAGCCAGCATCTTTAAGCCACACCGGAAGCCACTTCTTATTGTATCCTTCAGAGATAAATTTTGGATACCCACCTAATACTATGAGTAAAGGCAATAATCTCAAAAAATTATTTAGGATATTACCAAAAGGAGGGCCAAGGTCGGTGATTTTGGTGTTATGTGCGGCCTTGCCAGTCCACATGCTGGCCCTTGAGGGACGACACAGAGCGACCGTTGCAAAATGGTGATTGAGATACATTCCATCATTTGTCAGGTACTTTCTGATCTTAGGCATATAATCCATAGAATTCATGCGAAGGCCTAATCATCAGTGAGAATGATCACAAAGTTCGGCTTGCTATTCGTATCACTAGCAAGGGCCGAGGACCCCAGTAGAAGCCCCACGATAAAAGTTGGGATGAATCTCATGATGTTCAGGATGGCAGTTTGTTGAAGCATTTTATTTACAGTTCAAGTTCAAAATTCAATGCTTTATATTGGCAACTTTCTTGGCGAGTAAGCCCTTACCCTCCCAAGAGTTTTCCTAAAGTTTTATTGCATCATGGCTGTCCCCGCATGGCAGGTGGCCTTTTTTGCTCCAAGGACGGGGAATAGGCATGAAGATCACTTTGGGTGGCCCATCAAACTCTCTTAGTAAGTTGTTGTACAACAAAGTATCTGCAGAAGACCCCGATGTACTGAATTTAACAAACAAGGAAACGGGGCTTATCCACAATCCAAGCAAAGAGAAAAGCACTATCGTGGTTCTCCTACTCGATTAATCAGATCAAACAAAGAAGCCCAATATTCAGGCATTGTCACTGTTTTTCTGGTTAGATGCAACCTATTGAATCAATCTTCAAGGAAATGGTGCTCTTCGTTGCGGCTGAGAAAGTGGCGAATCCACTGCTTACGAAGGATAAGCGCGCTTAGATTAAATTCACAGTGCTATTATTGCTAGTCTATACTAAAATTTCTTATGGCAACGCATTTTGTATACGACAAAACGTCGCTGGCCATCAATGAGAACATTGTTCCCGGTCATGTAAATAGAAGCATCATCATTCGTGATGTAAAACCAACACTACCCATCGGCAACTATGGAAGCATCTACGCAGAATGAACAAGGCTTGTTAAGGCTTGGAATTTGAAATAATTGGGCGAATAGATATAATAACCAATCGGCCCATCGGGAGAAAAGGAAAGGCCCATCCTCGGAAATTCAACCGCATTCCTCGCAGTGACTATATCGAGTCCACAATGCCGTATGTATAAACGGCATCTTTCGGTCCATGGAAGGCTTCCTTGCCTCTGCATCGTATACTTCATGCACGTCATTAATGCTAGGCTGAAAATGTAAAAGTAAGAGGAATAACAAGTAGCACCAGTGATCTCCTAGCGCCGCCTAAAAGTTGAAATCAGTGGTCGCAAAGTCAAGCCAGTCCCAACTCAGCATGTCGTCCAGGGGCACGTCAGGTATTGAGGTGCCGAATGCACTACCCGCACGATTCACAGCGTCGATAATCTGGTTGTCTGACATCGCCGAGAACTGTATGGGTTCAGTCCATAGGTCTCCCGGTGGAAGAGATTGGTGCGTCGTTGTCAAAGCTGGTCCCTGGTCGCTCACGCAAGTGACTGGAAGAACTGGGTCTGATAGATCGATCTGACGAGGATCGGGTCGAGGTTGGGAATTGGGGATGGCAGGGCCACGACGGATAAGCTCACGCAGGAATCGGCCATAGAGTACCGAGGCACCGTTGCGGTGGCTTGGGGTCGCCCCGATTCGTTCGAGGACTCCGGCAGTCTCTTCAATAAGCGTGCGGACACTAGGGGCTAGACTTGATCGGGTGTCGCCTGATGTCACACTCAGACTGAGAGCAGAACATGCCGCAAACGATATCATAATGACCGTGTTGTTCGGCATAGACTTCAGCCGGGCTTCTCCTTGGATGGCGGCTCGAAGAACATTAAGCGCAGACGACAAGCCCGCTGCGCGAAAGAAACGCTTCACTTCGAGTGGTGCAGTAGGGTGATTAATGACACCACCATATGTAGATAGTTGGGTGTGTGTGACTAAGATCTCGACATAGGGTGGAAGAGAACGCGCTTTGATAGGTCAGTTTGAGGCTGCAATACATTTTTTTGGCAGTAAAAACATACCTCCGCCTTCGCTGATGGCCAATGCCCACGTAGTATACCAGCGCTGATAGAAATTCTCGATGGTCGTTTTGATCCTACAATGGCGTTAACGAGTCGCAGCTCTTTCATGATAGGTGTGGAAACATACGCTTGTGCAGCTTGAGACCCAGTATCAACGATCCGATAACTATCACAGCTTGATTTAACGTTTCGAAATAGTTCGTCCTACTTGCATTAGCAAAAGCAGCACATTCCAAGACATATGTCCAGACACATACAAGATCCCTCCGCAAGACAGCCATTGAATTCATCGGCCCATCACGTCGATCAGCGATATCACACCGGTGCCAAGCATCGCAGTTCTCGATAAGTGCGGTCGGGGGAACAGTATAGCTTCTTCCGCGAGCGAGACAGACACTAGATCAATTTTCTGGTTAGATTTGACATGAAAACACAAGCCGTATCGAATGCTTCATACCCTCTCTCAACAACAAAAAGTGCGATCCAAGCTCGTTCCCGTCTGCGCAAAAGTCGACAACCCCATTCCGATGCGGGATCAACATCGCCAAATCCATCCATATGCAAGGCTCTCTTTGCATCGATACAGTCAGCTCGAGCCAGCCGGTTCAGCAGATCTTTTTCGAAGCTCGAAGATGGCGAGACAATCTTGTTCAGCGATAGGTCCAAAGCGACGGTCAGGGCCATGGCGATGTATGAACAGGTATCGTCATCGCCGAGTTGATCTCCGGGTGCCATCCACGGAACATTCACCATGAACGCCAAAACAATTTCCACTGACCGATAACGGTGCATCATCACTCGTTTGGCCAGCCATTTGCAATGGCGCGACAATCTCTTGGATAAGGCCGCGGCTGATGGCAAAAACAGGGCCGCGCCTGCCACGATCGAGGTGAATAAAAAGGCAGATTGGGAGCGCACAAAAGATGCAGTATGTACCAGGGGATCCAGTCCCCAGCGGGTATGCGCAAGATTCTGATAGAAACTGTTGGCGAGCGAGGTCAATCAAGCTATCTCATTTATCCCGTGCAATATAGACAACCTACAAGGAAAACAACGACTCTGACTCGTCAAACGTGACCAGTCCTAGATCCACGGGATCCAAATCAGGTCCGACATCTCGGTTTGCGCGCGCAGGCACAAAGAACGACTTCGCGCTCAGCTCCCCGGAGTTAGCACTCTCCTGGGGCAGGTTCGTCGGCGCGACAGACGGTAGCACTGACGACTTCGGGATATGGCGCACACCCGTGGGCGACAGCTGCAGGTCTGATGCCCGCGCCAACAGCTGCAGCGGATTCTCAGCGTCGTCCAAGGCCAAACTCTCGTCAGCGGGGACCTCGTGTGGAGACAGCAAATTCCGTGCACGATCTAAGTTCTCGGTGAAGCCGTCAGACTCGCCTTGCAGCTGCCCCTGGAAACGGTTCAACAGCTCCTGGAGGCCCGAGATCGCCTTTTGGGCATCGTCGGGTCCAGAGGGGTCAACCTTGGGTCTCTTGATGGCTTGTTCGATCTGGTGTATGGCCTTCTCCAGGCCCTTGCGTTTACTGTGACAGCATCAGTCAGTAGAGAGTTCCCGGGACAGCTACGGATTAAATCCACGAAATAAAAGCGCAGAAAATGGAACAAATCAACCGTACTTTTTCACGCCTTTCTGCCGTCCCAGGTGGTGACTTGGGACGATGCAGTCCGCATTCGATGATCTGCATTTCTCGCAGCGCGTGTGGCCTGTCGGGCGATTGCAGCGGATCTTGCTCCGCCGGCAGTTCAAGCATGCGGGCTGTTTGGCATGGGCTGGGCTGGCAGAAGACCGACTGCCTATCTCGGCCTCCTCCATGGAGAGTGAGAGGAAGCGACAGTACTTTTGATGAGCGAGATGCAGGACTTGCTCAACAGTCTACTAGCCAAGGCCATCGAGTTGAGTTCTTGGTTCCCCCGAATCTTCAAGCCGGCTCTTCGGGGGAGGTGGAGGAGCAAGAACAGGCTCAACCTGGAATCCGTAAATGATTCAACCTCATAATGTCAAATTGCGAATCGCCCTTCAACCAGCCCTGCCGGGCTAGCTCAATCGGTAGAGCGTGAGACTCTTAATCTCAAGGTTGCGGGTTCGACCCCCGCGTTCGGCTATTCCTACAAATAACCTGAGATCATTTCTTTTTTTTTTCTTTTTTACTCTTCTCTACTCTACCTTGCTTGCTTCTTTTTGACAATTGAATACTTCCCTGGAATAATGAGGATTGTCATTTTGCATTTTATTTACGCTAGCAAATAAGGTTTTATCTATATTTCTGATAGTGAGGAGCACCCAATATGGGTATGAGCAATAGTGGTCGAACAGTGAATATATATAGTGACCCAGTACTACCAACCGTAGTAAAAGTAGATTACACGCACTAATTTCAAACCAGAGGAAAGCTCCACTCAAAGTCCAATACATTTTACAAACTCCAAAGATAAATGCATTTAAAAATTCTGCGAAGACAGGTCGCAGGCTCATCATGGATCAATAGACCCAATGTATGAAACAGGGCATGAAAAAAAGAATGTGGTATCAATTCGTTCAAGCTCGCTATAAAGACGAAAATTAAGAATTATCAACAGAAATAGCTCACTGCCAGAGCCATCAGATGTATATGGTAGTATAAAATAAACCAACTCATGACGACGTGTCCGGACAGGTCCAAGCTGCCCGGATTCAAAGTCCACTTCTACCAAGTCCCCGCCCCCCGATCAAAACCACTTCTATTGTGCCCGACCAACCTCGTCGTTATGATGGCCCTGCGCCTGCTGTGGCTGTGGCTGCGGCTGAGTCGGAGTCTGAGTCGGAGCCGGAGCTAGAGTCTGCGGTTGTGCCTGGCTTTCACTCGCTAGCGCACCCGACGCCTCAGGAACAACGGGACTAGCCTGGTGCTGCGACTGCACTTGGCCCATTTCCGGTCCAGGACCTCGGTTCAACGATACTACCGGTGACACCGGCGGATACGCTCCCGTTTGTGGCGGCGTCTGGTAAAGCAGCGGCGGGCCCATCGGGGGTCCCGGGTGCTTGCCCGGCCGCTTGCTCGGGTTGACGCGCGCTGGCGCCGGGCCTAGGATGGGCGGGTACTTGTAGCGGAAGCCCCAGACCCAAAAGAGCTTGAACTTGGTCCAGGCGCTCATGTTCTTCCAGCGCTGCTGCAGCACGGCCGAGTCGTGCGCCGTGCGCGCGCGGAAGCCCTTACGGAAGCAGCACAGACAGAACAGCGTGAATGGCATGATCGTCAGCGCCCAGCACACCGGCAGCCCACGCCGGGTCTGCCAGCCTGTCATCAGTCGCCGAAATCGGATCCATGCTTCCAGGATGCCGAACAGGAACATGAGCACGATCCAGCCGAGCACGCAGATGATGATGATTGCAATCGGCGAGATCGTCACCCCGTAGTCGTAATAGTAGTCATTATAGCGATAGCTCGAACCGTATCCGTGTCCTTCGTACTGGCAGTCGCTGCCGACGTATAAGGATGTCGGGTAGCTGTAGTCGCTGAGAGAGTAGAGGGTCTCCGTTGGAACCTGAGTTGGGTCGACCCAGACATATACGTAAGTGCGGGTCGCAGACTGGAAGGGCTGTGTGTTGTAGACCGAGTAAGAAGTTGAGACAGAGGTCTTGGGAAGCAGTCGCTCGACGGTCTTCTGGCTGGGGTCGACCGAGACAGCGGACGTGCGGGTGAATTGAGTGGAGCAACCGGTGGGGGCAGTGAAGACCAGGTTCACCATGAAGATGGTAGTGTGACCGGTATTGTAATAATAGTAATAGTCATTGTAGGCCGATTTGGGCACTGGAGTGCCCACTGCACCGGAGGGGTACAGTTTCTCGATGATCGTCACGGTCTCATATCCGTATGTCTCGACGTTGGTGGAGGTCGACAGGGCCGACGGCAGCGACGTGACGGTAGGAATGATCTCCTCAATCGAGGTGGTCACGGTGGCCGGATAGAACTCGCTATTGTAGTATTCTGGATAATTAGTAACGCGGACCTCCTGATATTCATCAGTCACGATCCAGGGCGCGGCGCAAACGAGTGGTGCCAGCAAGACCCCGATCCAAGCGAACGACAAGAATGATAGAAACGAGTGTGAAGGCGCCATGACGAAATGGCCCTTATGAATGTTGGTGCGTCCCCCTGCAGAAGAGAATTAAAACTCAGGCGCTGCAGCCCCCAGGGGTTTTAAGGGACTCGCCGCATCCTGGTAGCCACTGGGTTTCTGCAAGCCTGTCGAAGGCAGAATTTGGGGGGCCCGGCGCCTCTTGATCTTCTGGGGACCAGTGGAAATTGCCTGTCGAGCCCAAGAGAGCATGAATGCCGGCGAGGTGGTGATTGCGATTGGCCAGAACCCGTTCGATCAGGGTCTCGTCGGACCCTCGGTAGGGGTCCGAACGGTTAGCCTTGATTTAGGGCCATTTTGGGGGAAACTTTGAGAGCCTCTTGCATCGGCCGACAACCGTTTAAAGCACCCTGTGGCTGCAACGGGCCAGTCGTAGAGGCTGTTGTTTCACTAGCGCCGAACTGGTCAGGGTTCAGTGGCCGCGATGCCTGGACTCGCTTATTTCGCGGAGGCAAAAATAGACTCGGCCTCAGCCTCATCTCAGGGCAGACGTTTGATGGCAAAAGGAGCCAAAACAAAATTCAGATAGGCGTATAAACAAACCAAGGTAGTCTGGCCTGCTGTAGGGTCTCAGGTTGGGCATAGCGTTGCCTGGTGGCGGTGATGGTGTTGTCAATCGTGGTTGTGCTCGGCGAGTCCGTTGCCTCCCAAACAAGGAAATGAAGAAAACACCGGATTGTCTCGGCGCGGCTCGGGCTCTCTTGGGCAGTCGGCAAATCTCTCGGATTTTCCAGCAAGATGCCAGAGTAATATCACGCTATCCTATTATTTTGTTTACCCCTGGGCCTGAAGGGATATCCTAATCTTAGAGTATTAAAATATAGACGGAACGTTTACTGCGCGGAGAGAATAAATATTAATCAACATCAGGCTGAAGTATAAAGTGTAGTATATAAGTTAGTCACTGGTACATGCCAGGAATGACTCAACTCATTATAAAGTCCGAGGTAATAAATTATGGATCAAGATTACTGATATGATCGCTTAATAGTGCAAGAATTCTTCTCCTAAAGCCAACAACTGGTATTGCCTACTCTGGCTGATGACCATTGATAAAATTTAGTCAAACTGTAGTATACACCGGACCTCAAATCGACCCTTCTACTTTGAGAATGTGCCCCAACACCTAAATACTTGCCCGAAGATTCATGAAATCACAATACCTGAGATTATCACAAACTCTGTCTGCTGGGAAAAAAGAGTGAAAGAAAATAACAACATCCATGCAACTATACAACTCCATTCAACGAACGCCATGCGTAAAAAAAAAAGAATAAGTCTAAGCCACTGGGCATCGAGATAACAACAGCCAGCAGCGAACGGTGGACAAATCGTCATGGGAAAAGCAATGACTCGAGAATGAATCAAGCAGATATAAAAACAAAAGCACGCTGAATATTTCAGGTGCGCAGCCGTGACATCGTAACATTTATCGTGGTATAGCCCGTTAAAAACCCCGCGCATCGAAAACAGAGAGCTTGCAGAGAGATCGCCCTCTCCCCATCATCGGAGGCATCAGAGGCATCGAAGCCCATGAAACGATGATCCAGAGGCGCATGCCAAGATTCCCACATCATCAGGCTCCCAGCCCGGGGTTCCCAAACACCAGGTTCAATCACAGGGCTCGATAATTCCCCCAGCAAGCCCTTCTGCAGATCAGAGGAGGATGATCGCAGGCACACGGCAGGTATAAACCAGACCAGAATCCTCCGTCGCTTACTCTTTCAATTCGCTGCCCGCAACGCCGCTAAGCGGTCCTGTAGCCCATCCGCCTCTTTCACCTGCGTCTCCTGCACGACTTCGTTTTTCGGCGTCTCGTCTGTCTCCAGCACCATCCGCATATCCACCCCCGCGTCGTCCGCCAACTGCTCCATCAGCTCATCCACCTCGTGCTGCCCCTCCGCCCCGTACTCCTGCATCGACAATCCTTGCGCCACATCTTCAATCGCTGCCGATGCAATCTTGAAGTCCTCCGACCGCGCCAGAAAGTTGTTGGCGTGGCCCACCAAATGTTCTAGGTTCACGCTCCGCGACGCCGCATCCAGCCCCCGCGACGCAAGCGCCAGAGTCCGCGACGTGTCCCGCGTGCTCTGCGCGGCCTTCAGCTCGTTGATTATCACGTCGGCTCGGGCCGCTTCAGATTTCAAAGTCACTTGGCGCCGCTTTTCGCGGATGGCCGAGGCTGCGTGGATACGAGCGATTTGGAATTCATGGTTTTTCATGGCTTTGTCGGCTTTGGCTTTCTCGGATTTGAAGGTGGCTTCAGCGCGGGCAGCTTCTTTCTTCAGCCGATTGGAGTGGAGCTGTATGGAGGAATATTAGTGAGTGGGAATTTGGGGAGAGTCAATGCTTGTCGCATTGCTGGAAAGGGGGTGGTGGTGGTGGGATGCGGGGGTGGAGGGTTGATGGATGGCAGCGACTCACCTTGACATTCGTGCGGGCTTCGAAAATGGGGTCGTTGCGGACCATGATGATGACAGTTATTGAAGAGAAAAAATCTGAGAGAGGAAAGTCGAGGAGAGTGAAAGTCTGAGAAAGAGATTTGCGAAGGGCGAAAGAGCGAGTCGTTAATCGGGAATCGAGATGATGGCGCGTGGCAAACGTCACTGACCGCATTCGGTGTTTAGCGTCGGCCTTCAGGACATTTCCGCTTGGATGGACTCTCAAAATAGGCTAGGTGAAAATAATTATAAAAGACGGATTTTCCTTTTTAGAACAAAAAAGAATATTCTTTAATTAGGTATCATTCTGATAGATTTTCTAAAACCTCAGAAATTCATCCATAATTGCTACAGATTATTCCAGGCAGCGAGATTGTTAGCGGGTTCATGACGCAGCCACCAAACTACATTGTAAATGCTCTCTAAGTACGTGGAGTCAACACTGCACTATAGGCAATTTACCAATTTATTGAGATCCAGTCAAGAGATAATAGGGGTCTTGAAACGGGCTCACCTTTGAGTAATATCCCAAGAGTACAGTGAAAAAATAACACGTATCTACATAATCACGATTTGCCCCTTCTCTTGCCTGACTTTCCTTGCCTAGTCTTTCCTATGTCTCTCAATAATTTGTGCAATATTAAAGTGATCCATAGTCGAGTATGACTTGTCTGGTCATTATCCGGTTCTAGCGTTTCTCTTGTCCTCTAGAGCCGTCGGAATAGAGATTCTGCTTCTTCATATTTATCCTGTTGATAGAGACAGCGACCAAGCCAGCAGATAGAGAAGAGGGTATCCTTGTGATCTAGGCCTAGCACTTTCTCTCGTCCCTCAAGAGCCTGTCGGAATAGAGGTTCTGCTTCTTGATATTGACCCTGCTCAAAGAGACAGAGACTAAGCCAGTAGATAGAGAGGAGAGTATCTTCATGATCTAGGCCTAGCACTTTCTCTCGTCTCTTAAGAGCCTGTCGGAATAGAGGTTCTGCTTCTTGATATTGACCCTGCTTAAAGAGACAGAGACTAAGCCAGTAGATAGAGGGGAGAGTATCTTCATGATCTAGGCCTAGCACTTTCTCTCGTCCCTCAAGAGCCTGTCGGAATAGAGGTTCTGCTTCTTGATATTGACCCTGCTCAAAGAGACAGTGACCAAGCCAGCAGATAGAGAAGAGGGTATCCTTGTGATCTAGGCGTAGCACTTTCTCTCGTCCCTCAAGAGCCCGTCGAAATAGAGATTCTGCTTCTTTATATTGACCCTGTTGATAGAGGCAGCAACCAAGACAGTAGATAGAGAAGAGGGTATCCTTGTGATCTAGGCCTAGCACTTTCTCTCGTCCTTCAAGAGCCCGTCGAAATAGAGATTCTGCTTCTTCATTTTTATCCTGCTCAAAGAGACAGAGACCAAAATCGTGGATAGAGGAGAGGGTATCCTTGTGATCTAGGCCTAGCACTTTCTCTCGTCCCTCAAGAGCCTGTCGGAATAGAGGTTCTGCTTCTTCATATTGACCCTGTTGATAGAGGCAGCGACCAAGCCAGTAGATAGAGAAGAGGGTATCCTTGTGATCTAGGCCTAGCACTTTCTCTCGTCCCTCAAGAGCCTGTCGGAATAGAGGTTCTGCTTCTTTATATTGATCCTGTTGACAAAGAGCGTAACCGGCGGAAAATTGAGCTGTGAGAATAGCAGGGTAAGGCTCCTGAGTATCAACTTGACCTTGATTTATGATTGACAAGGGACTTGTGCTCCATGAAGCAAACTCTTCAGTAAGAATTACCGCCGAATTGGGCACATGTGGCTCAATTTCCGAAGAAGCTGCCATCCTGGACGTGGTGGGGTATAGTATAGATGACTGTATCCACACACTTGACATGGCAGATGAAGCCGTGATGCGATCCTCTGGATGAGGTTGCATGAGGGAGAGCACAAAATCAATGCATGACTGGTTGACACCAACATTGGTAAGCAGGGAGACTGGAAAGTTCTGCTCTTTTAGGTAGTTTGCCAGTATTCCCGGATTTGCGAATGTCGGTTTCTTGGTGAGCATTTCGAACACGATCTCACCCAGAGCCCACATATCCAAGGCATATGCAGTGCCTCGTTCGATGAACCCCCAGATCTCAGGGGCACAATATTTCGGGGTACCCTTTACCGTTGAGACTTGTCCGTGATCTTCTTCGATACGTTTCGTGATACCGAAGTCTGCAAGCTTGATCCACCATTCATCAGGGGGATGTGATCGTATAAGGATGTTCTAGGTATTTGTTTCAGTGATCTTGCTCCCCTCTTTTATATTGACGAGGACGCCTACTTGCGGTTTCAAGTCCCGATGGGCAAACTTGTTTTCATGCATCATACACAGACCATCAAGAATTTGATCGGCCAGAATTCTCGCTTCAAACTCGGGAAGTGGCGGCCGGTGATTTAGATACGTAGAAAGGTCGCCAAGTTCCAGGTACTCCATTGCGATGAAAAGCTTTAGCTTTGCGGGTCCTTCGTTATACCATCCGAATGATTTGACAAAACATCGTTCGTACTGCGACCTCGAATGAGTATATTGCCTCTCAACCATGGGTGTTTATGGGGAAAGAGACGAACGCGAGGGTGCGAGAACTTGGCGATCGCCTCTAACTCGCGGTCTAAGTCGATTGACCCATGTTGGCTATTCATGTTGATCTGCTTGACTGCTCGAACTGCCCCTTCTTGAACTGTAGCTCCTGACGGCCCCCCTTTTGTGCGCCTCTCCAGCCAAACGCTTCCAAAGCCACCTTGTCCGATTGGAGATCTCTCTCGCCGCCAATGCTCGGTTCTCGTCACCAGGCGCCGCCTAGACTGCGGGTCCGATTCTTGGAAGGTATGAACTGTCTCCACTGTGTGGTCTGGGAGAAAGTGTGTTTCGAGCTTGGAATCTCGAATGAGATCTGAGACTCGCGCCATCTTGGATGTCGGTGCAGTTCAACTGCTGGGAGAGGGAAAAGGGGGGTTTGCTCCCCTCTACCTGAGTTTCAGCCCCCCCAAAGAAAATTCAAGCTGCATTATATATCACCTGATACATTAATCCCTGTCGCGGTGGGGTACCTTTCTCAGCTCACCGTCGAGACCTTCGTATTCAGGGACGACTCATCACCACGAACCCGATTTAAGCTTGAGGAGAAGATGCCCGGCAACAGAAGAGATTTTCCACTCGTGAGGTGCCATTTTATCTAAATTAGCATGCTGTCTGATGGGTATGTATGTCTGTCAGTATCTACTTTGAAGCTCATCTCGAACTCCAAGGAGAGAATCACCACACCTCACAGTTCTCCCCCAGCAAAATATCGACTGATCAACGGGCAAACCTATCCACTAATCTTGGTACACTGTATAGATGAACTGAATCTAATAAACAATTGCTGTAGGTTTTTGGTCTTGCGAGATATTGTAGTTAGAAAATGGCGATCCGCAGGATAGCTCAGGATTGATGTATATGGGACAACCCCACTCGCAGAGGGCAGACAATCAGACTAGTACTCTTACAACCCTAGTTCAATATATAATATTCCGAATAATACGCTCTCTACTCTCTTCGCAAATCAGCTTTTTTCTTGGTTGGGAAGTATGGCTCAGCACAGCAGAATCGTGGTACTTTGGCGGGCTATTTCAGTATGTCTAGGGCTTCATCAGAGCCAGCGGCGAGCTTCACAGGATCAATACCAATAGTAGCTATAAGCAGCCTTGCTGAACTACAACTCTACGCCAACTCATTAATGATACAAGAGGATACCCTCAGAACAGTGATCCAAAGTGCGGGGAAAATAACCAGCCCAGTCATTTTGTTTTTGTTTTTTCGAAGGGGCTGGATGATTTGGATTTCGGAGGTGAATAAACTAGTATACAACCAATAATGAAGAGATAATTAAAAAAAAGGAACCATGAGAATCCATTCCCTTGGTCTCCCCACCTCCGTCGCCCGACCCTGCAAGACAAAGCAAAAATAACAACTTAGCGTTGTTTGCCCATTAGCAAAGACGCGAGCGTATCACCCGCGCTTGGCGGGGTAGTGGTGGGAGTCATTGAACTCCAGGAACTCCGTGTACTCCGTTGATGAAGGATCTTTCCGTAACTGCGTCGCCGGCCGGATGTGATGGGTGATTTGGTTTTGGTTTTGGTTTGAGACTTGGACACCCCCATTGATGGTGCCCGTCGGTGGCGTCGCGACTGCTCGAGTCTATCGATTGCCCAGATCAGGGTTAATAACGACTCCCACCGCGGTCGGCCCTCCGGGGCGTCGGCCGAACCAGTCTGCAGGCTGAAGGCGTACTCACTAACCGCTCGCTGCAATGCTCTGCCCGTCGCATCGCGAAGTGGACGCGCCAAGGCTGGGCTGCAGGCAAGCAGTCGGGTGAGCAGTCTCATCCGAAAGACTGGCCGGGTCGACGCCGTCGAGGGCGACAGACTCGGGGTCGAAATCAACCAATGAATCAAAGGGAAATGCTGATAGATCTCCGCCGTCGAGAGCGCCAAAGGCAAACCCGTCTTCAGGGAATGAAGGATTTGAGTCAGCGGGCGAATCACCGTGGAATAGGCGGCGGAAGTCATCGTCAGAAAGAGGAGCGGCAACATCAGCTGCGGCAGGAGGGTCGATCTCGGAGGAGAGGTCGAAGAGTGGGAGAGCGCTTCCAGCTCCTTCGAGGCCAGCGACGGACACTGCAGGTCTTCACACAACACCGCGGCAGGATGTTGTGTCACGTCGGAGGCCTCAGCCAGAGTGGAGGGCTTCAGGGTGGGAGAGTAGTCGAGGGTGGTGGTGGCGGGGGTCGGGAAGGGGATGCGTTCCATGGCGAGTTCTTCGCCTTCTTGTTTGAAGAGGGTGGGAGTCAGGGTGGGGGATTCGGTGGAGGCGACGGGGGTGCCGGCCTTGACGGGCGTGGAGCTTCGTGAGCTGCGGACTTCGGCGGAGAGCTGGGCCACCTGTTGGGACAGGCGGTTGTTCTCGGCCTCCATCTGTTGTAACCGTTGGAGGAGGAACTGGTTCTGTTGTTCCATGCGGATCTTCTCGGTCTCGAGCTTCTCCATCTCCAGTCGCTTGCGCTCGCGCGAGGTCTGCGCGGCGGCACGATTCCGCAGCACCCGCTCAATGCGGCGCTGTTCCTTCTCGTCGTCGGTCTTGGCCCGTTTCCTAAGGAGGGGGAAGTTCATGTTAGCGGGTGAATCCATTATTGTGGTTTGAGCCTCGCTGCTCTTGATGGAGCCGGGGGAGTATGTACCGTGGAGGGAGGTTGGTCTTGGGGACGGGGAGTTCTTGACCCCAGGACTTCCTCTTCTTCGCCGGCTTCTTCTCTCCATCCTCCTCCTTGCACTCCATGGGTTCCGGCGAGTCGAGTGAGGTATCCGCGGGGGAAACCGTCAACATGAGCTCGGGGTCCGGGGTGGCGGACAAGGAGTCCAGGGGATTTAATGTGGTGTCGGTCATGATGTGTGTTATGTGGGGGAGGTTCTGAAGGAACCGGTTGGTATGATAGCCGGTGCCGTCAGTGATGAATGAGATAGGGCGTGCGAGGGGCGTTTAAACGCTTGAGAAAATGGTAATGCTCTTTTGCCTCGAAAGACTCAAGGCCACGCTGTCATCACCGTCGGGCACCGGAGATCTGACCCCGGAAATAGAGGCGGAGTGGAGGAGAGGAAGAGAGGAATGAATGAGTCAGCGAAGGTAGAGGACAGATGGTCTTTTCGGTCCTTTGGGGGCTGTGGGAGCGGACGAGGGAGGGCGTGGCGTGTTTAAGTAGAGGCCAGCGTGGTCTGAAGGGCGGCCAGGGCCAACACTGGAGGGCGGGCACGGGGAGGTAGAGAGTACCTGCCTTGTGAGGGGGGTGGAGGTGGTGGTGCTGGTACCTGGTACGCGGTCCTAGGCTCCTGTGAACCCGTTGGTGGCCTCGTCAGCGGGGGGATACCAGATGGGGCCCGTATTGTGACCCAACATAACCAAAATTACGAGTGCGAGCCACTCGGGGCCGGCAGCCGCCACGCTGAGGGGCTCCGTGGTCGGTAATACGGACGTCCGGCCGCCCCCCTGCGCCCCTGGATTCCACGGTTTCCCGAACGCCCCGTTTCAGCGGCCAAAGGGGCGCAGGGCCCGGTCTGCGACTGCAACAGAGTCCACTGTTCGAGGAGACTCGGACTATGAATAGCCTAAGAGCCCACTGGGACACTAAACAAGAGACGAGGTAACCATAGACGATGTCGGATGGAGCAGTAGTCAATCACTCCTCTGTACAGAGTACAGCTTACTACTCTATACTCGTGTATGCAGCGCTGCAAGGCCTTCTTCGATCTAAATATATACTCTATCTCTATTCTTCTCGTATTCTTCACTGATCTCTCTTCTCAACTAGTAGCACTCACGATACACACACACACACACACACACTCTCTCTCTCTCTCTCTCTCTCGTATTGGAGTTGATTCCGTAGCATCCGCCCGTCTTCCAAAAAGAAGGAACCCCCCGGGCCTCCCGTCACATCCGCCTTCATGTCCCACCTTTGTCCCCCTTCCACGACTCGGACTCGTCAACTTCCACATGTGCAAATGACGAGACAGAGTGTCTGGACCAGGGGGACCCACGAAAGACGCATCCGCTCCTGAGATCCGAGTCCCTGCGACCTGAGGCCTGCGACAACTCGCCTGCCCCGCTGACGCTAGAGGCGTGTCCCGCCATCGTCAGCCCGGATGGTCGTCGATCCACCAGCCCCAGTCCAGCCCAGAGGTCCAAAGGTCCAGAGTCCCGACGCCTCGCCACCGGGCCTCAATTCTCCGGCCCCTGAAAATCAAGCGGGAATGCAACAGGGGAATGAAAAAAGGGAGGGAGAGGGGCACGCACACACACACACCACCATCGTCCACATTGCATGCGGATTGGCGGAGACCACTGGGGACTGCGCCGTGACGGAGGTCTAATGCCCACCACCGAAGGGGATCGAAGGGCGCGGAACAACCCTGCAGGTCCCGGCTGAAACGGCCCTGTCCATTCAGGGTGGTGAGGCCTGAAGTGCCCCTCCCCTGATGCCCCTCCGATCATCCCGCGCACACAGGTGGAGTCGCGATAGCGCAGGTTTGTTCGAGGGACAGGAGGGACAGGCGTGACAGAGGTGACAGGAGTGACCCCTCTGCTCAATATGCTCTCGGAATCAAAAACAAAATGACAAAGTTACGGAGGCTTCCGATGAAATGGAATGGGAGTCGGAGAGTCGTATACTACGCTATACTTGAATGGCCGTCGAACTCGGGACCGGACTATAGAGTGCACGTACTTCCTAATTTCCCCTGGTTCTCATTGAGGGATCATCGGCAATGAATGTTTAGTCTATGGATGGACGGAGTATAATGGGTAGTCTATTCGAGCCTATTCTTTTGTTTGCTTCTTTTCCCATTAGCAGCCGCTCCATCTTCAATCGATCCAATCAATTCAATTGAGATCCACTAGATTGATGCGTGGTTTTGAGGGACATTTTTCAATTATCCAAACCGAACTTGAACCTTGACGAGGATGCACGACCTGCACGATGGTCGTGCTGCTTTGTGATCGGCATCGGTCCAGTGCATTCAAAATAATACTATACTCAGTGTTCTCTCCAAGTATTCTCCAAGTATTCTCGCGACTGTACGGGGTACACGCGACCCTACCCCTGAATTGAATTCCGACTCAAGGCTCTTCAACAATAGCCGTGATTGCCCTCATATCCACCAGCATGCATTACCCCTGCGTGTTTCTGCGGGAGTGGATCTCACCCTCCATACGGATTACATAGACAGAGGGCTCCGCATAGAACGAGACACCGAATTTGCCCCTCTCTCCCTCCCTCCCTCTCTCTCTCTCTCTCTCTCTCTGTCTGTCTTTCCCGGTGTGTAGAGGGCGTGCGCTCACGCCGCCGTCGCATTGGCGCAACCCTCTCCCCGCCGGAGTCCGGGAGACGCGTTGCGGATAAATTACGACCTGTCCCTCCTCGGACCGTCCAGAAAGTGTCCACCATCTGTGGGACATTGTGGGGGATATGCGCCGAATGGAGGCCCCCCCCTCGGGCCAAGTGCAACGGACGGAGCAACCCTAACCCTCCACGCGTGCGCTTTAGCGCGCATTGAACCTTCTGGCGCCATTTCGGCTCCAGTAACACAGTACGGAGAAATGATAGTAGCCCCTCTTCGACGGACGAGGTCCCAGGGGGCACAATAATAATCGCTCTGGTCCGATTCTCGTTCGCCCGGAAATTTCCCGTTTTAGAACGGAGGAGGAGAGAGGAGCATGAGGTGGTTGTTCGTGGCGTGGCCCTTGCTCCGGTATTCGTTTGGTTCTCTCAAGTGCTTCTTCGGCTAGGGTTGTTCGCATTACTGTGTGGAACCCCGAACTATGTGACACACCCCCCTTTTTCCCCCCCCTCTCCGTACTCCGTCCATGAATGGATGCATCTAGATTCCCGCAGTCCTTACTCGTATTCGCAAAAGTAGTATATTGGTCCCCGTCCCCAGGCATCGGAGTCTCATCTTCTTCTCATCTTCATTTCCCTTCTTTATCTCGAGTGACAGACGTCGATGCCAACGGGGAATCCTGCAAGCTGCGTCGTTCCCTTGATCGACACACTGGGTCGGGTGGGGCGTGAATCACAGTTTATCTGGTGCTCTCCGATCTACTGGGTCTACTACTATGTAGGTCTCTCACTTGGCATGTTAGCGACTGCCGTCAACAGCAGTTGTCCTCGTGGACCAAGATATACATATGCAGGTCAAATAGAATATCCGGCATACAATTCTAGAATACAGGACGGACCGACACCACGCTCGTCACTTCCACGCGGAAATTCTTCTAGGAGCCCCTATTCCGAAACACATCAAGAGGCTTCATGACCCATTTTGTGGGTTGAGGTCAACCAACCGCCCGGTCGAATTCTGGGTCCTAGGAGAAGAAGGAAAATGCACATGATCGCCGGCCTTGTTGAGGAGTTTTGTAGTCTTTGCTTCACTCACGCTTGCCAGGAGACTCGTACACGACCCAAAATGCGGTCATGGTTTTGCAGGAACATAGAATATAGCACTACAGTATCAATTGGCTAGGTTTGGTTGCCCACACTAGTAAGGCCTCGGTCCTGAGATAGCACATGATAAGGCCCGATACTTCTACTTAATGGTAGTCTATTCCTGTCTTAAAAAGATAATCTCTGAAGAGCTGGGTGGCGTTGGCGAATTGATTATAAGTCGAACTTCGCCGTAGTCTCGGCACGTCAACGCTAGGTTAGATATAATATTTAATATGGAGAGATTATAAAGGGGTTGATCATGGACTTCTCTATTCAGGTGTTCCTAGCTAAGTCCTTCCCTATATGACATGTAATTGATATTAAATAAGTCGCTTAAAAATTATGTATTTGTAACTATATAATTTTAGTTATTTTGCTCTAGAGCTAGAGAGAGACTCAATTTTTTCAAGATTCAGTCTGTTCATAATCCCAGAGCTACAGTTCTAATTATAATTCATCGTCGAGTCCTTGCCTAATCGATAGCTCTAACCTACTGGCAAGTAGTACCTTTACCAATTGCCGCTAGTGCAAAGCACGCTTTGATATGCACCTTGACATCTTTGGCTACCAGCTATCAAATGCCTAGTATCAGCATTTTTAGGTCAAATTTGCGCGATGGTCAAGCGTCGACATGTTGGCCCAGTTTTCATGCCGCTCTTTTGAAGGTCTGCAGCTTTGCGATGGTCACCCAGCTTCCAGGAGTTGCAACTTTGAGTCAGGAAATATGGTTATCTGGAGGGGGGTATCTGTATAGACTTACCTGATTGCTGGCACAGGTCGAAATGATGTGAATATAATTTGGGAATATGATTAACACTAGTTGACTGGCAGAGTAGAGGGCAGTAGCAGTTCTTTTTCTTCGAGGAGATCTCTAAGTGCTGGGCGTTTACATCTAATACGCTACGACGGGAGACTCTGAATGTGAACTTGGTATCGAATTTGTAATGATTCCGCCGCAAATGTCATCTCGTTGCAGAATATGGAAATGAACGCCAGTAAGAAAGACCGCTAGAGGCATCGAACCTGTTTCAAAATGTCAAAACAAATGTGAATTAACCGTCGTGAAGGGCAAGCCATTGCATAGCAAGAAAAAAAAAAGAAAACATATGAAAAACTCCCGGCAGTATCAGTCTAAGACGGTTGATGGGACATGATGGTGGTCGAAGCACCCTTAGTAATCGTTGAAAGGTCCGGCAGCAGCCTCATCCTTGACCTCAGCGATCTCGGGGTCCGTGGTCTCAGGCCTGGTCTCAGGCTCGGCCTCAGGCCCAGCCTCAGCCTCAATTTCCTCGGACTTGCGCTTCCGTGGGGTGATCGTGGTGGCCTTCTGCGGGGTGTTCAGAGATTTGCGGGGTCGCTTGGGAGCTTTTGTGGGGGTAGTCTCGTTCTCAGAAGTGGATGGAGCGATGGAAGAGTCTCCATGTAACTTGCTGAGCTTTCGCTTTGCATTCCCATACATGACCTTCACCGATCCTAGGGTGTAGCCGAGCTTGTTACCCAGTCTCTCATAGTCAAGGGTTGTCTGAACAGCCTGAGTGAGCTTTCAAATTCAGAGGGAACTAACAATATGGAGGGACGTCCTACCTTTCCCGCTTTGGTTTCCTGGCAAACGATGCTCATTATCAGGATGCGCATCTCAGAAGTGCTGAGACCCAGACCAGCGTCGGCAGGGCTGCCTTTGATTGGCGAAGAGAGTGTCTTTGAAGACGACATTTTTACCCCAGTGATAACAGGAGGTATGTAGATGAAGGCTTTGAAAGTGTGAAGTTTCTTTGAGAAAGGCGTTATGAGAAGTTGGAGTTGTAGTGGTTGGGTTGCGAAGAGGTGAAAGAGAAAGTAAGTCGGTTAGAAAGATCAATTGGAAGATAAAATGTGATGGCGCAAAGATGAAGGGTCTGAATTAATTGCACGCCAGAAACCAAGAAATACAAGCAGGGGAATCCTCAGCTCTGAATCGATATTGAACAGTAACTGTTTATGCAACAAATGTGATAACACTGCGGCTCCAACGCACTACATATCTCAAGAAATTTCCTCTGCTCAAATAAGGGTACATGCAGCCACTAATTATCTGATAGCACTAAAAATAACAGGCTACAGTATGTTGTGAGTGACCCCAATTATGGACCTCCTTGGTTTTGAAGGGTTGAAATATTCGAGTACAATCATGATGTTGACAACGATGCGACTCCCCCCCCCCCCAGAAATGATCCGCCGGCATATTACCGCTTCTTCTTGATTACTGCTTCTTTCTTCCAAGTCAAAGTCAAAGGATAAGCAGGGGTTCCTTCCACCTTTCCTCATTATAGTCTCAACATCCCAGGCGTATGCTACAAAGTGTGTTTTCGGGGTATAATACCACAATTCACCCATTCGGGGTCTTGCAATGAAAGATATATGGTGACTCGGTGGTAGATTGATTGGTAAGATGAGATGAGAGCCACCCATGATATGTATGATAAGATGAACAATCGATCAAGATCCATGAGAGACAAAAGTTGCTGTAAAAGAACTCAGGCAGAGCGCCATTGGGTTGCTTGACAGAACTTGCTCACCGTCCGGGGGTGTTTTCAGGGGAAATAATTTAAGCAGTAAGAGTACGATCAGCTCTCGATCTGTCTGTCACCAAGGAAGAGATCAGCAAAATGAGGTTGATACCCTCCTATCGGCTGGGAAGGCCAAGTGGAATCAAGGTTGTATGACCAGGCATGAGATTACAAATGCCAATCCAAAGCTTGAATGAAGAAAAGCAAAGAGGGTTTCTCATCTACGGAAGGATTGACCAGAGATAATTTTCAACAATGCTTTTATTTTAGCCAATAGAGGCTATGCTGCTCTATCAACTTCATCGAGTCCGACATCAAGGGGAATTATATGCAGTCCCACAGAAGAGAGTAAAAGAAAAATTCAAACACGTAACGCCATTCCATCAAAGACGTGCTCATGACCTGGTCGTAGGTGGTATATGCAGGGGAAGATTTTTGATGACAAAAGGAAAAGAAATCAAAGCCCAGAAGAGCATTTACATGGTCACATCCATTGTATCATCACCGGCATCAAGGGCATTCTGTTGCTCGGGATCCGGGAGGACTACGCCTCGACCACGGCCGGCGAGCAGTTCTCGTCGTACTTCAGGACCGATATCCTTGTGTCCACGGACCAGCAGCAAGTCCAGAAGAGCCTCACGCTGGTCCTCGGTAATGTCATTGCGGTAGCGCTGGGCGAAAACCAGAAGAGACTGGTGCCACAAGACGGGGAGTTTGTAAGCCTTGGCAGAATCACCCATGACGGTGTCCTCGTTATCGGCGCGGAACCGAAGGAAATGGAATACAAGAGCATCGATGACCTTGTACGGCAGAGCGTACTTCTTCTCCAGGAATACACGGATGAATGTGTTCACAGCACCAGTGCTCTCCAGTGACCGCATGGACTGCTCCGCGGCCAGATCACACATGCGAAGCAGCGCCGCAGCAGAGTGCAGCACGGGAATAGAAACACGAGCAATCACCGAAGAGACAATGTGGGCCTCGCGCAATGAGCAAGTACCGCTGGCCACGAGCGGGAAAAGAAGACCCTTGAAGAAACACGCCGGTTTATACAGAGCTTTGCGGAGGGCGTTATAGGTGTGGACATTCAACTTCTTCGTTTCGTGGATCTCTTCACGGACACGGTCCAGCAACACCGTGTTGATAAATTCTTGGGCCACGTGGGGCTTGGAAGAGATAAAGATGCGGGTTCCGGCGTAGACAGCATTGGCAGTCCATCTCTCGGGCTGAGTGATGTCGAGAAGGGTCGGCCAGTTCGGCACAGACGGGAGAATCTTGAACGGTTTGGGAAGCGGGCCAGACTTGTAGCGGGAGAGGATCATGCCGACTCTGGATTCACTGATTAGCCGGGGTCTATGTGGCAAGAGTGGGTGAATGAGACAACGTACTTTTCATATACTTCAATGGCCTTTGCGGGAATTTGAACGGCATCTTCAGGCAGGCCACCGCCTTGAATGAATGGTCCACCAGTCTCGCCATTCTGCTTGGCCTCGTGCTCAGCGATCTTCTCCAAGATCAGATCGGCCAAATTAGTCGTTTGTCCCTGAGCTCCGGGCTCTCGCGGGGCGAAAATAGGGTCTTCGTCGTTGCCGCCAGGCATGAACTTGTTGAACATATCCAGGTCATTCGGATCGACCTCCTAGTCCGTGTTAGGCATTTGCAATTTGCGACAGAGCTTGAATCCAAGAGAGAGCTCTTACGATTTCCTCAATCTCTTCCTCCTCATCAACCCATCCATCGTTATCGAACTTGTCATCGTCAGACAATTCCTCCTCATCGAATCGAGTATCGAACTCAAAAGCGGCATTCGACTTGGGGGCAGCAGATCCCATAGCAAGCTTCTGTTCAGCGGCGTCCTCCTCTGCTAGCTCCTGACCAATTTGCAAAATCTTCCGCGACATTTTGGCATCGATATAACGCTGTCCGTTTTCGCCATCCTCATCGTCATTCTGCGCGCGTTTGCCTTTCTTGCTGCTCTGTGTCCGGAGGTGCCCCACGGACGAGATATCGTCCGCCAGAGGGTTGTGTCTGCGCGCCGCAGCGGCGGCTCGGGAACCGGTGGCCTTGGGCATGGTGAAGGGTGAAGCGATCCTGCTCCAAGGGGAACCAAAATTGAAGAAAAGCGGGAATCGGTCGATCTGCTCGAGGTTAAGCACGGCAATCAATCGATAGTTGTGTGTAAATTTCTGGATCATGTGATCTAATCGGTATTTTTTTCTGCCGGGCGGAGATCGTCCCACTTTCCCACTTCCACCGCCTTCTGACAATAGTTGACCGCCCTGCGCGGCTCCAATGCTTTTCTGCCGCGACAGCTCTCACTTGCTCCAAGGATCGCGAGCTCTCACCAGGACGGCACAATCCAACTTCTCGGTGTTCTCCTCTAGTGACCCGAGTAAAGGATTGGTCAGGTTTAAAGGATTAGTGCCACCTCAGCTGCTCGCATTTTTTGCTTTGAATTTGAGCGAGATTCCATATCGCGTAGGCGGTTTTGGTGGGATCCCCGACGCAGGAGCGCATTTACTTTACCTGCGCCTACACCAATGCGCGTGGTAAGCTTCCTATTTTTCTTTCTGTGTGACTTACGGCTTTAGTGTGAGCTGTCAATCTTGAAAGGTTCTCTCAAGATGGCCAACAGCACGTGTTGCAGCTGCTGACAGTTCTCATGCATCTAGGTCCTCGTCAGCTCATTTTAAACAACCCGCGTTCATAGCAGCCTTGTCGGGTCTTTCCTTGACCCCAAGAATAACGGTCATCATACAAAGGTGCCAGTTCATCACCAATTATTTCTCTGGCCATGGCTTCCAGTCAAGCCCCAGGCTCATCTGCGCCTTCTTCCAATATCAACTCTCCTATCCTCCCGCCGGGTACCGGCCCCTCCTTAGTGGCACATTATCAGATCTGAATTCCCGGTCATCACCAGCGCCTGCAAGTAATCTGTCTGCGCAGGGCGATACTGCTCGAGGAAAACGGAACAAACGTGATAGTCGCAAGAAGCGAGAAGCAAAAGGCCTAGACCCCGAGAGCGCACCACCTCCAAAGAAACGCGCAACCGCTGCTGCAAGCACTGCCCGTCCCAGCTCAGATCTCTCCATCCTTCGTCCATTACTGTTAGCCGAGCCACGCACCTCAGATCGATACCCCCCACAGCCTCGACAATTCAATCTGGTGACCAGAAAGACCGACATTCTCGGCCAGAGCTGGGATTTCTACGAAGTCGTCGATAAGCTCACCAACAAGAACGGCTTCCGTTATTCTTATGCCATTGGGGACCCGGGTTTCCCCCATATCAAATATCGGCAAACAGATGTTCAGCCTTACCATGCTCGATTCAGTTTTGAAGATTCTCCGGCAGCGATATCCTTCTCTCAAGACGCTAAAGCAGTCACTACCAGCGATGCGTGGCATACAGCTCGAGCGAACGTCTGTGCTAGAGAAGGCTCATACTACTATGAAGCGCGAGTCATCAGCGGCAAAATCAATAATGTCCAAGCAGCCCCCCAGAAAGGTGGCCCTGGCGCATCGCCCCGCGGGCATGTCCGTCTTGGATTTGCTCGGCGTGAGGCTGACCTCGATGTCAATGTTGGGGTTGACTGCTATGGATATGGTATCCGTGATGTAAACGGAGAAGTCGTCAACCGTATGCGCTGCGAGTTCTTCTTCCCTAAGGGCGAAGCTATCAACGAAGGCGATGTCATCGGCATGCTTATCACCCTGCCTCCTTTGTCTCTACACAAAAAGATCGTCGAAGGCACGTATGACCCCGCGGTCGATGGTGATGGCTCAACTCCCTCGTCACACACACCTACCGCTGCCAATATCATTCGAGATCGCATCCCGTTCCATTACAAATCAGATTTTTGTTGGCAACAGTCCAACGTATTTTCTACTAAACATCTTCGCGACTACGCCTTTAACTTGAAAGAAACCCCAACCTTCGGTCCTCCCTCTCCGATGAATGGTGAAGACGCCTCCCTCCGCACATTACCGGGCTCAAGCATCACTATTTTCAAAAATGGCGTCAAGATGGGCACTCCGTTCAAGGAGCTGTACGCTTTCCTACCACCCGCAAGTCGTCTCGCCAATGGAACTAATAACCTTGGTATTGGCGAACGTGAAAACGCCGATGACGGCATGGTCGGCTACTATCCTGCGGTCAGCTGTTACGGCGGCGGTGCAGTCGAATGCCGCTTTGAAGCACCATGGTGGGTTGGCCCACCCGAACACAACGAATACGGCGACCCAGTCCGGCCTATTGGGGACCGCTTCAATGACCAGATTGTCGAAGACGTGGTCGCCGATATCGTGGACGAGGTCGAGGCCATGTTCACCTGGGGCGGCGTTGACGGCGATGTCATTGGCAACAATGACACCACCGAGCTGGATGGCCCTGCCACCGGCGCCGTTGGGGGCTCGGACGTTCTCCAGGGTGGTGTTGGCGCGGCCTTGGACTCAGCTGTTTCGGCCACGTCCGGGCCTGGCGCCTCTGATTCGGCTGCGAACAGTAACCGGGCGACGCCGGCTATCAACCGGGAAACTGTCACCGCCGCAAATCCACCCCCCGAGGATGCAATGAGTGTTGGCACGGCTGGCACGCCAAGTCACGTTCAGGATGCCCCGTCAATTGCAGCTGACGAGGATGTTGAAATGACGTGAATCTTGGCAAAACCATGATCTTGTGGTCTATGTTACACATGTGAATGCTAGAACAATGTGGAATCATCCAACCCCGGAGCATGGAACGGTGAGGCGTTACATAACTTTGATACCAATTTTCATCTCTTCCTCAAGTTACTCTTCCGGCGCATCCACAAACCCTCGAGTATAGGACGGGCTGCCTGCAGAATACAAGCCATAATTTACGAAAACCTAACGAATGAATAGGGAATGTACATAGGTAGGATGGTATCATTATAGTCATACAGAAGATTGTATAGTACAGCACGCCCCCAGAGGATGCAATTATTCGCTTATAGTGAGCCAGTTAGTCTTTTCCCTTCAAGCATCTCGGCAACGTTCATGACAAGTTCATCGTCCCCATACTGGCCGATGATTTGGATGCCAGCCACATCATCAGCATCGGAGCACTGGGGGGACTGAGACACCGTGACCGGTACTGAGATGGCAGGCAGACCTGCCAAGCTGGCTGGAACTGTGAATACATCATTGACATAGGCATCTAAGGGCGACGAACCAGCAGTCAAATCTGACAGTCGGGGCGGTGCTGATGGAGCAGTAGGACAAATAATCACATCAACTTCCCCAGCTTCTAGACGACTTGCGTCTGGAGCTTGGGATGCAGCAAATGGATGCGCGGCGGCGAACACGGCATTGAAATCCTGCTGGACTAGACGACGGACACGCTGTGCCTGGATGAAGTAGTTGTCCATGGCATCAGCGCTGAGACTGAAAGTTCCCAGCATAATGCGGCGTTTGACTTCATCTCCGAATCCAAGCCCTCGTGTTTTGGCATATAGATAGCCGTCTGGCTGGCCATTGCTATCTGGCCCTTTGGCGCGAGTGCCGTAGCGTATGCCGTCGTACTTGGCCAGGTTGGAGGATGCCTCAGCCGGTGCGAGAACATAGTAAGCTGACAGTGCGTGCTTAGTTGCTGGTAGGGAAATAGGGAGAACTGTATGCCCTTGCTCTTGAAGATGGGCGAGCGATTGAACCCAGGCATGACGAATTGACGGTGTGAGCTCGGAGATATTGTATTCTAGAGGGACTCCGATACGAAGAGGAGACGAAGTCAAACGGGAGGAGAGTTTTCGAGTTTGATGCCATGTCAAGATGGATGATCGTGATGACTGGGAGACACTCGTAGGATCGCGTGCATCGTACTGGTTCAGGATGGCTATTTATGCTCGTTAGCAAGCTTCAAAGTCACCACTAGGAAACCAGTGATCTCGTACAGAAGATATCTCGCACACTGGAAGTGCTCTTTCCGAGGATTCCCACGGTGTCCAAGGAGTTGGCATAGGCTACCACACCCCATCGTGAGATTAGACCGTAGGATGGTTTGAAGCCAACCGTCCCGGTGTATGCGGCGGGAAGTCTTACGGAGCCTCCGGTGTCTGTTCCCAAGGCGCTGCAGATCCCCCGACTTTCCGTTAGTGACCTGATCACGCATGCCCTGAGGGATCAACGCTTACGCATAACATTGCTCGGCAGCAACTGCGACGGCACTTCCACCGGAGCTTCCTCCAGCCGAAAGATCCTCTCCTGCGTGGTCTTGTCGCGAATTCTTTACTGGTCCAAATCGTGAGTGGATCGAATGTGACCCCATTCCAAACTCATCCAGATTTGTCTTGCCCGCGGTAATGGCCCCAGCAGCCTCCAATTGATCGACGACGGTGGCATTGAAAGGGCTGGTGAATTTGTCCAGGATGCCCGAGGCGCATGTTGTCCGCAGCTCTCGTGTACATATATTGTCCTTTATGGCAATCAAACGGCCATCCACAGCGGACTTTGGATTACCTATTGGAAGTGAATATTTCTGTCAGTCACGATTTTCGAGCACGGCAGCCTCCAGAAGTCCAAGTTCGTACCTTGTTCGCGCCGCTGGTCTGCCTCTTTCACACGGTCGAGCCACTGCCCAGCACGAGGCAGGGGTGTGATAAAAGAGTTGAGGCCATGCGCATGTTGCTTAGCGAGGCATCTCTCTGCTTCGCGTAGGAGGGACATTTAGGGCCATAGATGCGTGAGCTCGGCGTCGCGCGGCGGGCAGGAAACTGTTCAACGATCTCCGGTGGTCCGTGCACCCATCGTTTCGAGATCGGAATTAGGATGAACAGTGTAAACATCGCGGGTGCTGATCAAGATGCTTTTGCGTTGATAGTATTTGTATGGGGCTTAACACCCATAAATCCAGTCCGAGAAAAATTCTTCTTTCTTTTTACGAGAGGCTCTGACAGCTATGCACTTAAATGGATCTTTATCTGACAATTTCACCCTCCTATACTTCCTAACCAACAGCCACACAGTACGGATAATGAACTTTTTGTGAATGAGTCAACTCAGAAAGCAGCATGGAGTGATAAAATCAATGTTTTTTTTTATCCATTTAGGGGGTTCAACTTCTTTTATCGAGTCTCTTGGTTAGGCTCTAGTCTCCGGTGCCAACGGAAACTGCAGGAGAATCTCGTTATGACACTACGTAAACATTCTTGAATCGGGATGTTTCAGAACACAGAGAAGGCCTCCGTGGATGATAGAAGAACCAGATCAATTAAGAAGCTACGGATGATTTTGATATCGAATTTGAGGATGTCCTCGTTCTTACAAAAAGACACTTCATCAAATTGGAAACGATGGAAGAAGGTAGATATGCTATCTATGTCAAAACATGGAGAAGCGAGAGAGATCTTGTACATGCAAGCTTCTCCATTTCCAAGCAATCTCGATCTAAAATCCAAGACACTAAGCGAGTGAAAATATTGCAGATCAAACATATGAGAAGGAGAAGGAAGAACCCCCTCGATAAAGAGGCTTCTTCTAGGTCGTCTGAGGACCTATCACCTCGGAGCATTGAGTAGAGCAGAGATCTAGCAGCTGGAGACCTGGAAGCTGCCCATGGACCGGCTGAGCTGGTGATCGCTCCAGTCATCGGAGGCAATGCCGATTTGGTCTTTGCAGGACGAGTCGCTGTAGACACGGAGAGTGCAGTCGGAGAACAGGCCGTTGTTCCAATCGATCGTGCCGCCAGCCTTGACGGCAGCCTTGGTGCAGCTGCGGTTGTCATCGCTGTCCCATTGTCCGGCGGGAGTGGAGAAGATCCAGGCATTGGCCATGGGAAGGACGGCGGCGAGAGCAGCGATGGTGGTAGCAGCGAACTTCATTTTGATGGTTGGAGATGAAAAGTTTCTGGAAAAATGCAAAATGGATTTGCTTGCGGAGGCTGTGTTCAAAGATGTTTTGAGGAATTGAAGTCTTGAGATGGACTGTGGTGGTTGATGATAATGTCTACTGAACTCGAGAACGAAGCCAGTATTTATACATCGCCTGATGGCTTCACTCAAGGAGTTTCTGCTACCAGATTGATTGACGATGTAACTGTCTTCAATGCCAATGCTCGTGTTTTCCGGACTGTGAGGCTGGAAATAGCTCATCACGAGGGATTCGCGGTGTCGATGCTATTGTCGGTAATCGCCAAGGACTGGATACGATCCCTAGCATGGCGGACGGTGCTTGAGATGGAGTCCGGTACCTCGACTCCAACGGTGCCCCGAAGCCATTTCCGAGGTTGAGCTGAGGCTGGAAGGGCTGGAATGGCCCGCATGAGGTCGATCATTGGCTTCTTATGCTTTGAAAAGGACATATTCGACGAGAGGCTCGTGTTGATGCCTCTTGGCCGAGTGGGGACTTGTTAGGCCGGTCCAAAAGATAGTCGGTCGCATCAGTATAGCTACGATCGTCACGGTTGAACCGTTCCCCCGAAAACACGAGGGTTTCCACTGAGAACTCTGCAAATACATAATGCATACCCCTGAACATGTGGGTCAGTGAATAGGAAGGGAAACAGGGCCCGTTCTTAGCTGGAGAAGTATACGAGGTCCTATTTATAATTGTTGTTCGTTACGACCCCAGAATGATCGACACGGCGTCGATGGTGGCTGAGGGGCCCCCAATCAGGCAGCTCTCAAAGCCGATCAAGCTCGTCTTGAAGCGGAAGGGCTGAAATCAAATACAAGAGAGCGAATACTCGGGTCTTGGCTACTCATGTTTGACAACAATGAAGCTTTGGGGGGCGTTTTTCCAGTTGCAGCACATGCCAAGGAAGGAATCGTGTCAGTGAATCATGGTATCCTCACTTCCTAGAGACTCTAAGTAGACGATTGAGGCTAATAAGTGAGTAGTGAAGAAGGTCTGTTGGCCCTAGTTGAAAGTATTTGACTCACCTTTTATCCTTACTGTGCCATATCAAGATCCGTTAAGCATGGCCAACGGCTCGGTCAATTCAGCATGTAACGCAGCAGCTCTCGGCAAGAGATCCATGGATCAATTAGAGAAAAGTTCAAATGGATATAAACATGGAAGTTGAATCTACTCCTTCCAATTTGAATCTTAGCCCTAGGCCTCTGGGGTGATCAAGCAATTCGAGTCCAGTTTCACCTTTTGAACCCGCGGAGTGCATAGAAAGCGCCCTACTCGGCTAAGCTCAAGCCCGCGGAGTCGAGAAGCCCTGGATAGATGGCATGTTTTTGAAATACTTTGGAGTTTGGAATATGACCAAGCGCAAAAGTGAAATCAAGGTACAGTATATCGTGCGTAGATATATATATATATATATCTAAATATATTTCAAGAGTCCGAACCAGAAATCATGGTACAGAAACCCAGCAATTCACGGCGAGTCCACGGGGAAGCTCGTACTTCGGGCCGAGCTAAATCGCCAAACCCAAGACGTCATCCGGCCGTCCGCCTCGCCCATTCTTTTTCCTCCAACTTACCTTCTCTCCACCGCGTCTATCCTCAACATATCCATCATGTTGTCGCGCAGTGTATTCCGAGCTGCTGCTCAGGGTTGCCGTCACCCCGCAGCTCGTACTGCAGCGCTAGTAGCTTCCGCGCGCATCGAGGGTCGCAGATACGTCTCCGTGTATGGCTACACACAATCCAAGGCTTTGGTCTACTCGAAATATGGCGAGCCGAAGGATGTGCTCAGGTAATTCTACTGTCCCTGACCTTGGCCAGATGCCCATGACTGTGGATAATTGATTTACTAACTGATTGCTCTTCTCCAGCCTACACAAGCATTCGATCTCCGCGCCGCATGGCACCCAGGTCAACCTTCGCCTTCTCACGGCACCCATGAACCCCGCCGACGTCAACCAGATCCAGGGCGTATACCCCAGCAAACCTCCATTCCAAAATACCCTCGGCACCGCTGAGCCGTCCGCAGTCGGCGGAAACGAAGGCGCCTTCGAGGTCATTTCTACGGGCGCCGGCGTCAAGAATCTCACCAAAGGCGATTGGGTTATCATGAAGCGCACCGGCCAGGGAACCTGGCGCACACACGCCCAGCTGGATGAGTCTCAGCTAATCCGCATTGAGAACAAGGAGGGCTTGTCGCCGCTGCAGGTTGGTACCGTGAGCGTCAACCCGGTGACCGCCTACCGCATGATCCGCGATTTCTGCGAGTGGGACTGGATGCGCGCCGGCGAGGAATGGCTCATCCAGAACGGGGCCAACAGTGGCGTTGGCCGCGCTGCGATCCAGCTCGGCCGTGAGTGGGGGATCAAGACGCTGAACGTGGTGCGCCAGCGGAACACCCCCGAGGAGACCGAGGCCCTCAAGCAGGAGCTGAAGGACCTGGGTGCGACCGCGGTCGTCACCGAGGAGGAGATGTTGACCGGTGGCTTCCGGGATATGGTGCACGAGTTCACCCGCCAGGGTCGCGAGCCCATTCGCCTTGCATTGAACTGTGTGGGTGGAAAGAACGCCACAGCCCTGGCGAAGACCCTGGCACCAGACTCGCACATGGTGACCTATGGTGCCATGTCGAAGCAGCCGGTTGCTCTGCCTTCCGGGCTGCTGATCTTCAAGAATCTCGTGTTCGACGGGTTCTGGGTTAGCAAGTGGGGAGACAAGAACCCGGAACTCAAGGAGAACACGATCAAGGATGTGTTGCAGCTGACCCGGGCTGGTCGGTTCAAGGATATCCCCGTGGATGAGGTCAAGTGGAACTGGGACTCTGAAGGTTCGGCGCTGGCAGAGAGCGTTCAGGGCACGCTGGGTGGTTACCGTAGCGGGAAGGGCGTGTTTACTTTCACCGGCGGCGACGAGTAGATGTTCAGTAGGGGAAGAAGAACCAGTGTACCATAACTTCTCCAAAAGAGTCGACAAAGGCAATGAACTATGATTTATATACAATATGATTGCCAATGGTCGAAAGGATGAATAGTCTCCCCATCCAAAAAAATCTTGGTCTCATCAAGTTTGAAAAAACACCCTGGGTATTCCATATCTAGCTATTGATTGTGACGCCACTGATCACTCGCACTTCCAGTGCTTCTTGACCCAGTCTAAAATCAGATCTGTCAAGGTCATGTTCGGCATGTAGGACTCGCTTTCTTTGACGAAATCGACTTCAAGTTCAGCGAATTTGGCAGCTAGCACTAGAAAAGGCTGGAGAAACTCGATATAGATTAGATCCACGGTCTCGGGCCTTTCCGAATTGTTTGCCGATAGCAAAGCTTGGATGCAGTTTGGCACAGTGTAAAAGGAGACAGGGGAATGTATGGTATCATCGCCATCAGTGCCCGCATCATCCTTCGTCGTGTACCCAGGCACAACCTTCCCGGCTGCTTCATTAGCAAAGAGTGGTTTCTGCTGCGATCCTGCGCCCTCAGAGGTGTGTGTCAACTGGTATGCCTGCACATCGTCATCTTCAACGATGATATCTTTAGAGCCATAAAGCTGCTCGGAAGGTCCTAGAGAGCTGAATGATACTCCTGTTTGGTCCTGCAAGACCTTGACCTGTTTGTTTAGAACCTCCATAATCAGTTGAACTTTCTCATATGGAACATCTTTTACATAGCGGAATTGATTTGTGAAGGGGGATATAATCCAGGTTGTGTCCTGGGTGAAGGGGCCCTGAAAGATGTCGAACCGGATGGCGCCCGAATTCACAATGGCTACCGACGGTACCTCTCCACGGGAATCGTCCTTCAACGAATCGGTCAGGACTTTCGTCTGAAGCCAAGTGTAGACACTGTCAGGGTTTGGATAAGGCACCCGTGACATCCACAGATCCCGGGGCGCACAGCCATAGACCCGATCTAGTTGGAGGGAGCTCCGCGACTCAGCAATAAGCTTAGAGACGTTGCGACCCTTCTCCGTTGAAAAGGACTCTTCATCAAGACCAGTGTGGTGGTAAAAGGAGAACAGGTTATTGTCAATATATCGCCGCTTGAAGACGGGTCTGGATGCCTGGCTTGGTTGGTGACTCGACGAAAGTCCACTGATTGACATGAATCCGATCGTCTCCATGAAGCGTCCACTAGCTAGACCGACAGCCTTGTCATCGTACTGCGCATAGTCACGAATATGTTGATGTCCGCCAAAAAACTGGATCGGTGTGTCCCATCGCACGCTTCGAATGGCTTTGAAGATCGCTTGGTATTCCGTCGAGTGGGCGGGGACATGACCAGCGACCAGGAATAGATCGACTTCCTTGTCCCGGATAGCCTCCTGGAACCAGCCTTCCTGGATAGTATCCTCCACGCGCTGCACCACGGTATTATTATAATTCCCAGTAAAATCAAAGAGAAAGCCAAATGCTACGATGCGAATGCCCTGCTGTTTGCTGGTGAACTTCTTGTAGCGTGGTGCCAGCGCTACTAGCTCCCCCGTCTCCGGGTGATAGATATCGAGGTTAGATGCCAAGTATTTGCCCCGAAAATTAGGCACGGTGGTCCGAAACTCGGCCTCCGAGGTATTCTGTTTGTATAGTTCATGGTTTCCCGATGTGATTACGTCGATATGCTGGTGACGGAGGACCTCCGACAGATAGACGCCTTTGGGGTCCGACGAATCGTAGAGGCCGTTGCCTTCAACTCGATCACCGGTATCTATAACCAAGAGGTCTTGTCCTTGTCCCTCTATCTTTTCCCGCATGCGCGTGGTGAATGAGATGTAGTCCCCCCAGTCCGCTGAATAGGATGGTCTGCAAACGTGGATCAGTAGAGCTTACAACGGAGAACCTCCGGCGGCCTACTCCTGTAAATGACCGGCCAGCCAGCCATGGGTATCGGTCGTGTGGAGGAAGTTCAGTTGCCCGATTTCGAGGTCTCGTAAGGGGGCGGAGATGGGAGCCGGCGCGGAGGGCTGAGCGGCGAGCGCCGACGGGAGGAGGAAGGGTAACACCGATAACAACATCCTCGAGACCCCGGGACGAAGAACCCCTTCCTCAAGTAGAATCTGTAGCACTGCACACCGGAGATGAGAAGTAGGAGTCGCAGACGTTAACTGACTCGATGTAGAAGAAATCCAGAATTCAAAGAAGCTTAAACACGCAGCTTAAGCTGTTCGTACGGTTACGGAAGGAGCTGCCGGTGAGCGGCTGACTCAGCGCCCAACATCTTCGGATTTGCATCTCAAAGATTCAGGCGCGGCTTTCCCTTCTCCCCAACCTCGCCTTTCTGGTCTTTAATCGCCCGTGCGGTTTTCTCGACCTTGCGGACCTGTCAATTGCATCTCCCTCACCCTCCATCATCTCGATTTATATCCCAATTCCTCGCCATGGCCGCTCCCCGACTTTTCCGCCCAGCATCCCGGCTGCTTTCTTCGCGCCTTGCCTCCACCCCTCTCCGTCCGGCTTTCGTCCAGTCCGCTTGCGCCCAAACTGCCCTGCGCACCCGGGGCTATGCCACTGAGGGTGGTGTGAAGGAGGTCACTGTCCGTGATGCTCTGAACGAGGCTCTTGCCGAGGAGTTGGAGAGCAACCAGAAGACCTTCATTCTGGGTGAGGAGGTTGCACAGTATAACGGAGCGTAAGGCGCCCTCTTACACTCTTCAGAGCTATTGAAATACAATAGCGCTTTCCTCAAACTGGGAGATTTGGCTTCATACTGACGTGAATCGCTTTCCCGCAGATACAAGGTGACACGAGGTCTCCTGGACCGGTTTGGCCCGAAGCGGGTTATTGATACTCCCATTACTGAGGCTGGTTTCTGTGGCCTGGCTGTCGGTGCTGCTCTGGCTGGTCTGCACCCTATCGTGAGTCCTTTCCCGGAAATCAAGGAAGATGCCTTTGGCGGGTTCCGGGTATCGGATGCTAATTGTTGATTTCCTTTAGTGCGAGTTCATGACCTTCAACTTCGCCATGCAGGCTATCGATCAGATCATTAACTCCGGTGCTAAGACTCACTACATGTCCGGTGGTATCCAGCCTTGCAATGTTACTTTCCGTGGTCCCAACGGCTTTGCCGCCGGCGTTGCTGCTCAGCACTCCCAGGATTTCTCCGCCTGGTACGGCAGCATTCCCGGCCTGAAGGTTGTCTCCCCCTGGAGCTCCGAGGATGCCAAGGGTCTTTTGAAGGCTGCCATCCGCGACCCCAACCCCGTCGTGGTTCTGGAGAACGAGTGAGTGAAATCCATATGCTTCCGGAAAAAAAAAACAAATCTTCCGGAGATCGGAGATCGGGGATCGACACGGGTAACTAACCAATTGCCGCAAATTCTAGGCTTCTTTACGGCCAGGCTTTCCCGATGAGCGAGGCCGCCCAGAAGAGCGACTTCGTCCTGCCCATTGGCAAGGCCAAGATTGAGCGTCCCGGCAAGGACCTGACCATCGTCTCTCTCTCCCGCTGTGTCGGTCAGTCCCTCACTGCCGCTGCCGAGCTCAAGCAGAAGTACGGCGTCGAGGCTGAGGTCATCAACCTCCGCTCCATCAAGCCCCTCGATGTTGAGACCATCATTGCCTCGCTCAAGAAGACTGGCCGCCTGATGGTCGTCGAGTCCGGCTACCCCATGTTCGGTGTCTCCTCCGAAATCCTGGCTCTGTCCATGGAGTACGGCTTCGACTACCTGACCGCTCCCGCTGCCCGTGTCACCGGTGCTGAGGTTCCCACCCCTTACGCTGTTGGCCTGGAGAACATGAGCTTCCCCCAGGAGGATACCATTGTCAGCCAAGCCGCTAAGGTGCTGCGCCTGTAAGTGAAGGCGTGAGAGCGCGCGAGCGCGCAGTAATAAAACCATGTGTCTAGTACCCTTTCATCTGTCTCATTTTTCTTATATTGTTGTTTCCCCCCTCATCATGTCGTTATCTATTCCGCCTAGGCAGATTCTTGGAAAGCTGTGTACGATTACCTTCCTTGGGTCTGTGTCGTTGTCTTCTTTTGCACCCAGCGTAAATGCTTTAAAGATGGTTATTCACTTTTATTTCGATCTCACTAGATTGATAGACATTGAAAGTTTCCGTGTTCTTAAGTTTAATTTTGTTCCCTAAACAAAGGGTGCTCAATAGGATAAAAAAGGAACTAGGGTATTAAAAGGTATACCCTATTGTAACGCCATGCCCATCCCATGTCCAACGCCCCCAACCCCAGGAATCCAAATACAATGCATAGCGAATAAACAAAAGGTGAAAACAATTCTAATGGTGTCGGAATCAAGTTGCAGCCTTCATCCGCTCCATGCCCGCACATCCAGCAAAGCAGCCAGTTGGCCGGTGAGGGTCATAGTATCCTCCTCCTTCTCGATTGCGGGCATCCTCTTCCTCGGTATCACTGTCCACATTGTCTCGCGTCGCCTCGTCACGCCCAGGCTTTGAAAGTGACGTTGAGCTTGGTGGATCTTTCGCTGCAGTAGAGCCCTCATTCTCATCATCGTCATCGTCTCCCAAAACGTTCTTTTTGACCGGGGCCGCAGGGCCTTTAACGGTCGCGAAGGAACTTTTGAAGCCACCCTTCTTGAATCCTCCCCCACTCCCACTTTTATTCCCTCCGGTCGTTGCTAGACCACCGGCAGGGGCATCTAAGACTTTCAGACCGGCCTCTGCGTCAGCCTTGCGCTCAGCACGGCGAGCCTTCACCGCGGCATTGGGGTCGCGCGACAGCTGTTTGAGATCTTGTAATCGCTTGCGGTGCTGGTGGTCATAGGACGAGATATGCGCCTCATATTCAGGATGGCGCGAATATGATTTATTGCAGAGAGTACAGGTGAATGCGCTCAGGGCCGATCGTGCTGACTCGGTCTATCGGATTCAGTCAGCTTCACGGGTCTCTTGCTGGAATGTGCATTCGTCCTACCTTTGGCGCGGGGTTGGTAAAGCCTCGCTGGAAGCAGAAGTTAGCATCGTAGTTTCAAGGGTTCCTTCCCTTCAGGGTGTTCGTGTTCGAGGAGATTCTTACCGGACCCATGGTGTTGGCGGTTGCTGAGAGAAGGAGGGTCTGCGCCTATCAGAAGCGCGGCGTTTGGCGGACTCAGCATGATCGCCGGTTCCCCAACGTTTCCTTGTTTTCCCCTTTCGTTCTCTCTCCTCCATGAATATGCATGAGTGATGAATCTCCTAATCCTATTTTAAGCTACGAATCTTTTTTGGTCTTCTTTGTTCTTTTAGAGTTTTTCACGCTCTTCCAAGATTGTTTTGTCTCCAGTCTCCGCCATGCAGTCCTCCAAGGACTTTCAACCTCAGGACGTGGACGCCAAGTCCATCATCTCCATGCAGGAATTGGACCCGTCACCGGTGGACGACTCGACGCCGGATCTCGAGAGCCTGGATAGCAGTGAATATTTCCGTCCGCCGACTCCGACCAAGCCCTCGCGCACTTGCGGGTTTCCCACGCCGAAGTTGGGGCTTCGGGCGCATCGATGGGATGCTCTATGTAGGCGACCCGCCCACCCACAGCAAGGCGCAAAGCGATGAATTCTAACACCCCCTACAGTGTCCGGCGTTCAACGATACTCAACTTACCCTCCGACTGCTTTTTTCATCTTGCATCTCGCTAATACCTCGCTCATTCCGCTCATAACCCGCTCCGTCCCCGCTAGCGAGCCCTATCTCCTGCTCACGCGACCACTCTACCAAGCGCCCGGCGTGGAGCACCTCGTCCTAACTGTCCCCATCCTAGCCCATGTCGTTTCTGGAATTGTTCTGCGCAATATGCGCGCTTCACGACGAGCTCGGCTGTACGGCGCCGAGACCCGTGCCCAGCGCAATCTGTTGTCTTTTTGGCCGCGGGTCTCACTCCAGGCGAAAACAGGATATTTACTGGTGCCGCTGATCGGTCTTCATGTGTTGCTTAATCGAGTCACTCCCTTGATGGTAGAAGGCGGGAGCTCGGGCGTGGGATTGGGCTACGTTGCCCACGGAATTGCGCGCAGCCCCGTCTTCTGGAATATCTTCTACTTGCTCTTCGTCTCCGCGAGTGTCTGGCACTTTGTCGGCGGATGGGCCACCTGGATGGGCTGGAGAGTGACCACAGCCCGCACGGAACGAAGCACCAAAGGTTCTCTCGAGGGCTATCTCGGCTATCCGGAGAACCAAGATCGCGCAAAGCGCCAGCGCAAGTTGTGGTGGATGGTGAACGGAATTGCCGCCGTTGGCTGTGCTCTCTGGCTGGCTGGTGCGCTCGGCATCGTTGGAAGGGCCGGTGAAGGTTCAGGATGGGAGGCGCAAGGGTGGAATGAGATGTATAGCCAAGTCCCTGTCATTGGGGAATGGTTATGAGATCGAGGAAGAGAAAACGGAAAAAAAAAGAAGACATGATAGATGCACATAATGTACCTCTAGCTGTAAACTAGACTAATTCTTAATTGTACAGACTGACGACAATGAATACCTCCGGGCTTGACAATCTTTTCTAAATATCGTAGACTCTCAAATGCAACTCCACTGCCAGCGCTTTCATACGTTCAGAATGTTTTGTTGATACTCTCCCAAAAGCGTTTCTGTGTATAATTTCCGTCTTCCGTCCGCCTCAAGTAAGAACGTGACCAAGTGGGCAATGGTGGCCCGTGCGAGGAATCTTTTTTCGTACGCAACTTCGCTCTCCAGCACCGCATGCGCGCGTGGTCCATGAGCTTCCGATATTCTCACTCGATCTTCACTGTTTCTGCAAGATGCGCGTTTGATCTATCACTCTCCGTCCGCTCATACGCCCTGTCCCAACCCACCTGGTCAATTGCAAGCCCGAGATTCTGCAGTCATACATCCGCGGCCATGGAGAGTTCCACCAAACCCCTCAACACTCTGGTGGAGTACCGCGGGACCCAGTACAACGTTGTCAAGGAGGGTCTTGCCCATATTCTGAACCCGCCAGCCCAGGAAGCCGCTTCCAAAGGAACCAAGAAAGACCTCAAGGCCGACGATGAAAGCCAATCTGTCTTCTACAACCCAATCCAGCAATTCAATCGCGACCTGAGTGTCCTGGCTATTCGTGCTTATAGTGAGCACGCGGCAGATTTGAGAAGACAAAGGACCGAGCAGAAGCAGAAAAAACGCAACTCTGGGAATGATGTCGCAAAAGGGAAGAAGCGGAAGCGCGAGGACGACTCTGACGACCCCGCCCCGAGACCCGCTGTGGAGGGAGAGATCGAAAAGAAACCAGAGACGAGCGAGCAGCCTATCTCTGTATCAAACGGAAAGCAAGAAGCCCAGCCAGAATCGGCCGTTCCAGCGTCTTTTACGGTTCTAGATGCCCTGTCCGCGACAGGTTTGCGCGCCCTTCGGTATGCCTCGGAGCTACCTGTGGTCACTAAAGTGGTCGCAAACGACTTGTCTTCCTCGGCAATTCAGTCTATGAAAACAAATATTGACTATAATGAGCTGAACAACCGTATCCAACCTAATCTGGGAGATGCGCGCTCATACATGTATAGTCTGGAAGGTTCTGTGAAGAGATTCGATGTGATTGATCTGGACCCCTACGGCACAGCCGCGCCATTCGTGGATGCCGCGGTACAGGCTGTGAAGGATGGAGGCCTTCTGTGTGTAACCTGTACCGATGCCGGAGTTTGGGCTTCGACCGGCTATGCCGAGAAAGCGTTTGCCCTGTACGGTGGAATTCCAATCAAAGGCTACCACTCCCACGAGGGCGGGCTGCGCCTTATTCTCAACAGTCTCGCCATGTCAGCCGCCAAATATGGCATGCAGATAGAGCCTCTTCTTTCTCTGTCGATCGACTTCTACGCCCGTGTGTTCGTGCGTGTCTCGCGCTCCCCGGTAAATGTCAAGTTCAATGCGAGCAACACAATGGTGGTGTACAACTGCGATTCAGGATGCGGGGCGTGGACCACTCAACCCATTGGCGCAGCGAGACAGAAGCCTGACCGCAAGGGAAATCCTGTCTATCACTATAGCCTGGCCCAGGCACCGACAGCTAGTCCCAATTGTGAACACTGCGGCTTTAAGACTCACTTGGCGGGCCCCATGTGGGCTGGGCCTCTACACAACCCTCATTTCATTCAGAGAATCCTCAACATGCTTCCTAACCTCGATCCCGAGGTCTATCAAACAATCCCCCGCATTGAAGGCATGCTGACTACTGCCATGGAGGAGGATCTGGACCTCACCCCCTCCACTACCAACGCACCCACGAGCGACGAGCCTGAAAATGCGCAGCTCCGTGAGCAGGCAGCCAATTATCCGGCTATTATTCCCCGAATGGATCCAGCCATTCGTGACCCGCATCCTTTCTTCTGCAACCTCAGCAGCCTCTCCAAAGTCCTTCACTGCTCCACTGTTCCAATCGACGAATTCCGTGGCGCTCTACGGTCCATCGGCTACCGCTCCACCCGTAGCCATGCGAAGCCCAACTCCATCCGCACCGATGCCCCCTGGAGCGTCATCTGGGAGGTCATGCGAGAATGGGTTCGCCAGCATTCCCCCGTCAAAGAGGGTTCCTTGAAGCCCGCGACTGCCGGTGCTGCGATCATGGCCAAGAGCCGGGATAACCTCCGCAAATTCGATGGCGAGGACCCCTGGCTATCCCAGTTGAAGAAGGATCTGTTGACAGCTATCGAATCTGGACGGGACGTCAGTGACTTGGTCACCAAGGTCGAGGCCTCGCTCTATCGTTCTGGATCACGACAGGTCTGGAAGAAGCCAGAATTGTCCTCGGATGCATGTGCCGCTGAGCTGGAATCTGGTCCACAAGCGGACAGCGCTGCGCCTACAGCCACCTCCGAGCGCCCACACCCTAGCACTTTGGAAGTCAAGTTTGACGCTACACTTGGGCGTCAAGCGTCGGCCACACACTCGAAGAAGCGTCTTGTGCGGTATCAGATCAATCCCCGTGCCAATTGGGGCCCTCTCAATCGTGCTGCGGCGAACTCGAAGTGACAATATTGTGGATTTACTGCATATGTATCTCTTGTAAATATAAAACAATTTTGATTTTTACCAAACAACTGGATTCGGGACATTGCTTTTCCTTCCTTGATATGTTATAACTAAATTATTGACTTATGTTGCTGGATAGTCTTACTGCGTCAAAAAGCCTCTGCACTAGCACCAACTCTTTTCTGAAAGACCCGATACGCTAACGCTAATAGTGATATAAATGGTAACGGCCTGGATGGATTTGTACCTATAGGTAGACTAATAAGTGTCGAGGACATAGTGCTGCCTACAAGCTACTTGAAAGATAATAGAACCGAATCTGGAACGAAATTATGACATATCATTACTCCCATTATAAACACCAACGAACCAGGAGACGAAATTGGCTCGAATCTAGAGGACAGGATGAAAACGCAAACGTAAATCACAATCATCACGTCTCGAGAAATAAAAAGAAAATAAGGCAAAAAGAAGATAAAACAGCCAAGAGTCAAGAATAAAGGACGCGGACGTGCCTCGAAAATTTCCCATCTCAGCATCTAATATGCAAACGTCAACATCAACATCACGGCCACGCGGCTATAAGATTTTTCTTAAAACTGCGAAACCGCAACGGCAACGGCCTGAGATTCGCTGTGGCTGATGCTGACAGTGACCTGCTTGACGCCGGCCTGCTTGGCGGCGGCGGCGGCGGCACCGAGGAGCTAAAGAGAAGATCACCCATTAGCTTTGCCGATCACTGGACACGATCTAGTAGGGTTGAGTTTATGGTACTTACATTGACCACGGGAGCGCCGTTGGCATCGCTTCCGATTTCAATATCCTTCAGGGGAGCGCCGGCGCCCTTGCTGCTGACGCCCAGCGACTTGAAAACAGCCTCTTTGGCACTCCACCGGCCCGCAAACGAGGCTTGGGGCGAGGCGGCCTTGCGGCAGTACTCCTGCTCACTCGCAGTAAAGTTGCGCTCGACAAAAGTCTCGTTGGAGATGTTGACAGCCAGAATGTCCTCGACGTCCACGCCGACCTTCGAGTTCTCGGAGGCGTTGGCCTTGGCCAGAGACTCAACCATCTTACGAGTGCTCTCCGCGCTGGGATCCTCGGCCTTGGAGAAGGTGGCAGAGTACTTCAGCTCTGAGGTCTTCTTGTCCACACTCACGCGGTAATCAGGGTTGAGGAAGATCTTGCTCTGCTGGTTGTCCTCATAAGGAGCCTTGTTCTTGGCGACGAAGATGCTGTTGTTGATCAAGCCATTGTGGAAGTAGCGGTACGCCTTCTTCTGGCGCGACTCGACCTTGTTCTTGTAGGTCTGGTACTGAGACTGGTCAAGGGTGGCATAAAGGTACTTAGGGTGGATACCAATGACCTGAGCACCCTTCTGACCGAAACCGAAGGAGGTGACCGAGAAAGCCTTGATGCCGTCGGTCTGGATGCTGCGGCTGGGGTACACAATGTAGTCGAACTTCTCCATGACCTTATCAACATTGTCGGCATTGCGGTTACCAGGGACGAGACCGCTATCCAAAACCTGCAAGCAGCCGTTGAACATCCAGGCACCGGCGGCACCCTTGGGGTGACCGGTAAGATACTTCTGGAAGATACCCATAACGGCGTTACCCTTCTTGCGGCCCAGGTGCTTGAGTTGCTGGCAGATGACGTCTGACTCGTTCTTGTCGTTGGCAACGGTGGAGGTACCGTGGAAAGAAGCGACACCGATGTCGTCAACAGTAAGACCCCAGGTGGCCAGAGCACCGCGCAGAGGAGCAATGCGGGAATCCTGCTTCCAGAAGTTGTTGCCAAGGCTGAACTGAGCATCCTTCTCCTGACGAACAGCTTCGCGCTCGATGTGCTGAGCACGCTCGTGCATATACTCAGAGGCGTTGAAGGACTCATCACTCTGAGCCTGCATAGCATCAACCTCCTCCTGCAGATAGAGCAGCTCAGACTCTTGCCACTCCTTGATCTGCTTCTTGCGAAGCTCCAGCTGGCGGCGGCGGTACTTGATATCAAGCAGAGGCGAGGGGAACTTGCCGGGGTTCTCACGGGCAGTGGTGAGGACACCCTGTCCGGGGGCAGGAACGGAACGACCGATCTTGTCAGTGGCAGTGGTAGTCAGGGCGATGATACCATGAATGGGCACACCCATGTCAAGCGCAAGCTGCGCGCTCATGATGAGCTGCATACCGCAACCCTGCGACTCCATGAATCCAGCACGAGTGGTAGTAGTCGGGCGAGACATCTCCTGCGGGGTACGGCCGTGAGCGAACTCGTCCTCAGCATTGCTGGTAGCCTTCATGTTGGCGAACTCGTAGGATCCCTCCTCCTGGAAGTCATCGAAACCACCGACAAAGCAGACACGGGCCTTGCCCTCAACAATAGTCTCGTAACCGATGTCGACGGACTCGACAGCAGTAGCACAGGCACCGACAGGGGTCTTGATAGGACCGGTGGAGGACAGGAGCAACATGTTCACCCAGGCACTCATGGTGTTGATGAAAGACTCCTGCAGGATATCCTTCTGCAGGGGCTTGTCGAGGTAGCGATCCTTATACATGCCACGCAGAGCGTGGGTACCACCGATACCGGAACCAATGCAGTTACCAACCTCTGAAAGGTGGACATACTTGTAGAACTCGTAGGGGTCGGTGATACCGGCAGACAGCATCGACTCGGCAGTACAGACAAGGACGAACAAGGTGACAGGATCCACCTGCTCGATAATGTCGTCAGGGATACCGTAGCGGCGGGCATCCCAGCCAGTGGGGATTTGACCAGCAACAAGACGGTCAAACTGCAGGGCCTTGGGAATAAGCAGGTTGGCACCCTTGCGAAGACGGACGGTGTATTCTCCAGACTCGGGGATCTCGAAGATCTCGACCTTGTCGCCGTGCTCGCGCTTGAACTCCTCGGCGGTCTCCTTCGAGGCCTCGAAGGGCTCCAAGTCCTCCTGGATGACGATCTCCTGAAGCAGCTGCTTCTGCTTGGGGTCGTATCCCTTGAACAGCTCCGGCTCGATGAGACGGATACCAGTGTGCTCCAGGATGAACTTCTCGTACTTGGGCTTGACATCCTTGTCGTCAACAGGGTCACCAGTCTTGGCGTCAACCCAGCCGGAGTAGGCCTTGCCCTTGAGAGGACCGTTGTGGTGTTTGATCAGACCCATGATCCAGGCCATCTCAACACAGCCCTCCAGGGAGAACTTGCCGTGGGCCTCCATCTCCCAACGGGTACGGGAGTTACCCCAGGGACCGACCTCGGCAAAACCGGTGACAACGACCACCTTGTCGAGATTGACCATACCCTTAAGAGATTCGCTGAGGGGCTTGACCTCCTTCTCCCAGTCGGGAAGCTGGGGGAACTCAAACTTGATGTTGGCACGGGGCTCGGCGACGACCTTCTTGTACAAGACACCGCTGTCCTCACCGTTAACCACCTTGTGCTCGATCGCGGTCTCCTTGATGACAGCTTGGCGAACATCACTAGTCTCCATGATATCAGTCCGAAGCTTGGTCATCAGGCCCTTGAGATCGGGAATGAACTGAAGACCACCGTTGAGATCAGCCCAGACAGGATCAAGCTGGCACAGGTTGACCACAGCAGGGGACATCAAACCCAAAAGGTTGAATGCCATCTCCTGCTGGGAGAAGGTGCGAACACCAAGCTTCTCAACGCCCTCAGCAACCATGTTGTTACCGCTCATGAGACCGGTACCACGAGTCCATCCGATGACAGCACCACAGATGGTAAGGTAGTTGGCCCAGTTCTCAGAGTACCAACGGTTGAAGAGGGTCTCCAGGCCAAGCTTGGACTCGGAGTACAGACCGTCATTACCAAAAGTACCGTGGTTAGGAGACAGAGGCAGAATGACCTGGGCGGGACGAGTCTCAAAGCCGTTGGTCTGCTTCTGAGTCTTGATACAACCCAGGAGGCGGAGGAGGTTGGTCAGCATGATACGGTGAGCAAGCTCCGACTTGGAGTCGATCGAGTCGATCTCACGACCGTTCTCAGGGATGGCGGCAAACGGAACGACAAAGTCCAAGTCCCAACCAAGGCCCTTCTTCGTATCATAGATGTAGTCAACCAGAGCCTCAACATCTTGCTTGCTGCCCTGGTTGAAAGGCACCACAACCAGCTGAGAGCCACGGGCGCCGTAGCGGGCGTACATGGCCTGGTAGTACTCAGTCACCTCACGAGAGAAGCGGCTGGTGGTGACGATAACCTTGGCACCACCGCTGATCAGGCCCTGGAGAACCTCGGCGCCGATGGAACCGGCACCAGCACCGGTCATGAGGACGTTCTTGCCCTGGAAAGTCAAACCAGAACGGGCAGCTGACTCCAGGACGTTCAGATAGATACCGGTAAGCTTCTTGTTGTAGTCCCAGCCGTGCTCGGTCTTCTTCTTCAGGTGCAGGAAGGGGATGGTCTCAACCTTGCCCGGGCGAGAAGTGCTGCGCTTGAGGCCATTGCGGCCAGACTTCTTGCCATTCTCCTGGGGAATGATCTGGCTCTCGTTCATGCTAAGAGCATGCAGAACATCCTTGTAGAGAGCATCAAACTGAAGCTGGGATGCCTTGGAGAGGCGGTGTTGCTTGCGGATCAGCTTGTAGACGTTTTTCAGGTCATTCTGAACCTTATTACGGTTGCTATACTCCGAAATGGGGCCGCCTTCAGCCATCTGCTTGACGTAGTGCTCCAATTTCCGGGCACTGGCGCGGGGGCTCTCCTTGAAGCCGATGTTGCCACGGGCGTCAATGCTCGTTTGAGGACCAGTGGGAACGGCAACATCCTTGTAAACAGGTGCAACGTCCATCACTTCACGGCAATTCTCAATGAGCTGCTGTCCGAGCTCCTTGGCGAGCTGGTAGGTCTCGCCGCGTTCAGTGGGGCAGTTATCGATGTGGTACTGCATGAAGTCGAGGAGAAGAGGGTTGGATCGGTTCATGATACGAATGCACCGGCTGACAATCTCACGGTCAACAACCTGCAGACGGCCAAAGATGATATCATAGTACATGCTGAGGGCATCCTGGCGAGCCCAGTTCCATGAGGAATCATAAACACGGGCCTTGAGAGGATCGAACGATGGTTCAATTCCGGAGGCATAAAAATCTCCGTGCTCGGCCTGCCACAGGTCAATTTGGGCCTGGAGGGCCTTCTGGGTCTCTTGCGAGGTGATGAAAGCCTTGTCACCAGCACGAAGATCCATCTTCAGATAGCGAGCAATGACCTCCAATTGTTGCTTAAATAGAGCCCGCTGGTCCTTGGTGAGGGCATCAATAGCAGCGGGATCCATCATCATGCCACCACCGCCAGCACCGCTGTCACCACCGGCCGCAGGAGCGGAGAGGTTGATACCAGCACTGGCAGCGTATTTGTTGGTCACATCGTCCAGGAAAGCCTTGGCATCAGGCTCGGCACCGAGACGGGAGGCCGGCTCCATTGTAATGGCGAGCAGCAGCACGCCGTCTTGGCGGCCTGCGCCCAGTCCCCATCGAGTCTCGAGATATTTGCGAACGGCTGTGATGTTGAAGCCACCGGGCATCTTGGAAGAGACCATACGGGCGATAAGTGAGGAGGATTGCTTGCCCAATTGGCCGTTGAAGGTCGCCTGCATTGAGGCACCAAGCTCGTCCAGCGGGGTATCCTCAGGCTTCTCCGGTGTAGAGCCAAATTCCTTGCCCAAGTCACCGAGAATTTCGTTCTGTAATGTGGATTTGCCTAGTGAAGTGAAACAACCAAGAGTTAGTGCATCTGTGCGTAGATAATCATGTCGCATTGATCTGCTAGATGTCGAAATAGGACTCACCTCCTACGAGATCCTTAATAGCTTTTGACAATGGCACATCGGCCAAGCTCTTCTTCAGCTTCTGGGCCACCAGGGAACGCAGGATGTCGACAGCGGTCACTGGAACGTCGTCGACAGCGGCAGCGGGTCCGGCACTGGGAGGCGGGGGGCCGCAGCGGCAGCCGCAGGGGCAGGGACGGCCGCAGGAGCAGCACCAGCGGTGGCAGCGGCGGGCTCAGCAACGGGCTCTTCTTCGATTGGGTCGACGTCGTAGTAGATCTCCTTGGCGTCTTTGTTGTAGCAGAGAATTTGACGCTGGACGGATGTGGCAGCATCGTAAGCCTCGTACTTCGAGGCAAGCGTCCGGCGGGCCATGCCACCGAGGGTATCTGCGGGACCAATCTCAACAATGCGCTCGGTGCGCTGTTCGGCGAGGATGACATCCTGGGTCTCAATCCATCGCACGGGCGAGGCGAATTGGTAGGCGAGCAGCTCCACCAGCAAGGTGTGGGCGAGCTCCTGCTCGATTTCGGGACGCATGGTGATGGATGTGGTGTGTGTCGGGGGGTATCGTGGAAAGTATTAGGTAGAAAAGTAGGACGCAAGTCCTGGGATCAGGGCGCGACGGAAGGACGTCGCTGGATGCCCACGAAAGGCGTTAATAAGAAAAATGAAAAGAAATAAATAACACACAAGAAAGAATTAGGGAGAAAACACACGTCCAGCCAAAGTCTGGAGAAGGAGGGGGGGGAAGGAGGGAGGAGTGGAGGGAAGTGTAGCAGAGAGAGGACTTTGAGATGGCGGTTGGCATTGTCCGCCGAGAAAAAAAAGGTGGGAAACCGATAGGACCGATAGGGTGGTAAGCTGGTAATACCCGTGACCAGTGGTAATTTTGGCCGATCCCTTTAAGTTGCGATCTGGCGGGCGGTCGGTATTTTTCAATTCGGGTTTGGGCTCTCCAATCTTTCCATTTCCTTTTTTTTTTTCTTTCCTCCTAGAATTTCGTAGACTTTTTTCTGTCAATCTGGTTATCTTTTTACTTGTACATATTGTATATATTTTTTTCTTATTATTTAGGCTGAGAAAATGTTGCAGAGCATGATTTCTGTTCATTCTGTATGTTCAACGAGAGCAATTGGGTAATAGAACGTGCTAGAACCCCGGGGTCGAGGTAATCCGAAAATCCTCACGGGTAGAAGGGATGGGGACGTGCAGGGGAGAAGTGGTGAGGGCCGTTGGGGCTCCCGCTGCGAGCCCAAGAGCCCGGATTTGGCGCGAGAAGCTCCAGCTGCACCGACGCCGAAGCCCGCGCTTACCCGTACCTGGCATTACCTGGCATGCCCGCGGGGCCAATGGGGACTCTCCCAACAAACCCCATCAACTCGAAGCCCCATCCAAAACGACCCACCCACTTTGGTCCCCTCCAGACCATCCGATGGGAGAGGAAACTGCCCGGATGGCTCAGATCCAACAGGGCCGCTGGTCTTGAGGACACTCGGGAGCTGCTTCATGATCCCAATCTACGATAGAACCCAAGAATACGCCACCGGTGCCAGCCAGTACCCATAATTACTCTCCCATCCGCAAAATTACCAAAAGACACCGCCCCAAACCCTTCCAGGACATCGAGCATTGTGCTGATGGCTCCCCGACAGGCCACGGCCCGTCCCAAAATTACCGAATTACCGGCCGGGAACCAAGCGGCCGCCGAGTCAAAACCTGTTGAACGTATTCTACACTGAAAATATTGGGGCGGGTCACTTGGCCCTAAACCCGTTCGGGCCGCTTGCAGTTCAACAGCGGATCTTTTTTTTCTTTTCATTTTCTTTTTGGGACGACATTTTTTGCGACTCGAGCAAGTCAACGTCCAACAGGCACGACGGCCTCACTTCTGCTTCTCCTCCACCTCCTCCCTCCCCCCCCCTTCTCCATATCCTATCCTCTCCCATTCTCTTCCCTTTTTTGATGTCATTTGGTTTGTTTTAACGCTTTTTTATTTTATTTAATCTTTCACCTCCCCAAGTCTCTAGTGTGCCTTGAGACTTCCTGTGATCTTGACATTCAATTGAGGTGTAAGTACTGTCTGCTCCAAGCCAAATCACCTCCCCGCCATACCCCAATCTCGCCCTCGTGCTTCACAACAACACTCCAGAATTTCCCCTCCCCCTCCCCCCTACCCCCACCGACAAGGCTCCTCGACTCATTCTCAATTCTCCCAGCCAGATCCCGGATCAATTCTGAGCCCCGTTCGGGTCTCCTAGAGGAGAATAATCATCATGTACGGCACCTCAACCGGTCCCCAGACCGGCATCAATACCCCCCGGTCCTCTCAATCTCTCCGCCCTCTTATCCTCTCACACGGCTCCCTCGAGTTCTCCTTTCTCGTGCCGACCTTGCTCCATTTCCATGCCTCCCAGCTGAAGGACGGCTTCACCACATCATTACCCGAACCCACAGATGAATTGGCCCAGGATGACGAGCCCTCGTCCGTCACCGAGCTTGTCGCCCGCTACATTGGTCATGTCGCCCACGAGGTTGAGGAGGGTGAGGACGATGCGCAGGGAAGCTATCTGGAAGTGTTGAAGCTCGTGCTGAACGAGTTTGAGCGAGCTTTCATGCGCGGCAACGACGTCCACGCCGTGGTCGCCGCCCTTCCCGGAATTGTCGCCAAAAAAAATCAGGTCGTCGAGGCCTACTACGCCGGACGTGCCGCCGCCGGTCGGCCCACCAAGCCCTACGACTCGGCTCTATTCCGGGCTGCCTCGGATGAGGCGGCCGGTATCTATACGGTCTTTGGCGGCCAAGGAAACATCGAGGAATATTTCGATGAGCTGCGCACAGTTTACACCACCTACCCCTCTTTTGTGGAAGATCTCATTGTTTCCTCGGCCGAGCTGCTGCAATCACTCTCGCGCGAGCCTGAGGCGAACAAGCTCTACCCCAAGGGATTGGATGTCATGAAATGGCTGCAGGATCGGGATGCTCAGCCAGACACGGACTACCTTGTTTCGGCCCCGGTCAGTCTGCCTTTGATCGGTCTCGTTCAGTTGGCCCACTATATGGTGACCTGCAAGGTCCTGGGCCGCCAGCCGGGCGATCTTCTGGAGCGCATCCGGGGAACCACTGGTCACTCCCAGGGTGTGGTGACGGCTGCGGCCATCGCCACAGCCACCAGCTGGGAATCTTTCGCGACCGCTGCCCGTAATGCCCTGACTATGCTGTTCTGGATTGGTCTGCGCAGCCAGCAGGCCTACCCCCGCACGTCCATTGCGCCTTCCGTGCTGCAGGACTCCATTGAGAATGGTGAGGGTACTCCTACCCCCATGCTTTCCATTCGGGATCTCTCCCGGGCAGCAGTCCAGGAGCACATCGATGCTACCAACCAGCATTTGCCCGAAGACCGCCACATTGCGATCTCCCTGGTGAACAGTGCGCGCAACTTCGTTGTGACCGGACCCCCGATCTCGCTCTACGGTCTCAACCTCCGTCTCCGTAAGGTCAAGGCACCTACCGGCCTAGACCAGAACCGTGTCCCCTTCACTCAGCGAAAGGTTCGATTCGTGAACCGATTCCTCCCCATCACCGCTCCCTTCCACAGCCAATATCTCACCTCGGCCTACGACCGCATCCTTGAGGACTTGGAGGATATTGACATTCCCGCTAAGTCTCTGGTTATCCCTGTTTTCGACACCAAGACTGGTGACGACTTGCGCCAGCTGGGTGACAAGAGTGCCGTTCCGTCGCTGGTTCGCATGATCACTCATGACGCGGTCAACTGGGAGCAGGCGACCGTCTTCCCTGGTGCCACCCACATCGTTGACTTTGGTCCCGGCGGTATCTCAGGTCTTGGTGTTCTTACCAACCGCAACAAGGATGGTACTGGCGTTCGCGTCATCCTCGCCGGTGAGATGGATGGCACCAATGCCGAGGTTGGCTACAAACCAGAGCTGTTCGACCGGGATGAGCACTCCGTGAAGTACGCCGTGGACTGGGTCAAGGAGCACGGCCCACGCCTCGTGCAGACTTCCACTGGTGAGACCTATGTGGACACCAAGATGAGTCGTCTGCTGGGTATTCCTCCGGTCATGGTGGCCGGCATGACCCCTACCACCGTCCCCTGGGATTTCATCGCCGCCACCATGAACGCTGGCTACCACATTGAATTGGCCGGCGGTGGTTACTACAATGCTAAGACCATGACTGCTGCCATCAACAAGATTGAGAAAGCCATTCCCCCTGGTCGTGGTATCACCGTCAACCTCATCTATGTCAACCCCCGTGCCATGGCATGGCAGATTCCTCTGATCGGTCGTCTGCGCGCTGATGGCGTCCCCATCGAGGGTCTGACCATTGGTGCCGGTGTTCCCTCAATCGAAGTTGCCAACGAGTACATCGAGACCTTGGGTATCAAGCACATCGCTTTCAAGCCTGGCTCTGTGGACGCCATCCAGCAGGTGATCAACATCGCCAAGGCCAACCCCAAATTCCCCATCATTCTGCAATGGACCGGTGGCCGTGGTGGTGGTCATCACTCGTTTGAGGACTTCCACCAACCCATCCTCCAGATGTACGGTCGTATTCGCAAGCAAGATAACATCGTTCTTGTTGCCGGTAGCGGTTTCGGCGGAGCCGAGGATACCTACCCGTATCTCTCTGGTGTGTGGTCTGCTAAGTTTGGCTATCCCCCTATGCCCTTCGATGGATGCTTGTTCGGTAGCCGTATGATGATTGCCAAGGAGGCTCACACGTCCAAGAACGCCAAGAAGGCCATCGCGGATGCCCCCGGTGTCGACGATGAGGAATGGGAGAAGACCTACAAGAGTGCCACGGGTGGCGTTATTACCGTTTTGTCTGAAATGGGCGAGCCCATTCACAAGCTTGCCACCCGTGGTGTTCTGTTCTGGCAGGAGATGGACCAGAAGATCTTCAAGCTTGATAAGGCGAAGCGTGTGCCTGAGCTGAAGAAGCAGCGCAACTACATCATCAAGAAGCTGAACGATGACTTCCACAAAGTGTGGTTCGGTCGTAACACTGCTGGCGAGACTGTGGATCTCGAAGACATGACCTACACTGAAGTTGTTCACCGTATGGTGGATCTCATGTACGTCAAGCACGAGTCTCGCTGGATTGATGACTCGCTTAAGCGTCTCACTGGTGACTTCCTTCGCCGTGTTGAGGAACGATTCACGACCGCCAACGGCCAAGCATCGCTGCTCCAGAACTACTCCGAGCTTGACACCCCCTACCCGGCTGTCGACAACATTCTGGCCGCTTACCCCGAGGCTGCGAGCCAGTTGATCAACGCCCAGGACGTGCAGCACTTCCTGCTGCTCTGCCAGCGCCGGGGCCAGAAGCCTGTACCCTTTGTTCCCTCCCTGGATGAAAACTTCGAGTACTTCTTCAAGAAGGACTCGCTGTGGCAGAGTGAGGACCTCGAGGCTGTTGTTGATCAGGATGTGGGCCGAACCTGTATTCTGCAGGGCCCCATGGCCGCTCGCTTCTCCAACGTCATCGATGAGCCTGTGAAGGACATCCTTGACGGTGTGCACAAGGGCCACATCACTGGTCTTCTGCGTGACGTCTATGGTGGTGACAAGACCAAGATTCCGGTGGTTGAATACTTCGGAGGAAAACTGGCCACTCCCGAGGATGAGCCTGAGCTGGATGGTCTGACCGTCTCTGAGGAGTCGACCAAGGTCAGCTTCCGTCTGTCCTCTTCTCCTTCTGCCGTGCTGCCTAGCTTGGACCGCTGGCTCCGTCTTCTGGCTGGCAACGCCTATTCTTGGCGCCACGCCTTGTTCCAAACCGATGTCTTCGTTCAAGGCCATCGTTTCCAGTCCAACCCCATGAAGCGAATTGTGGCGCCTAACGCTGGCTTGTTTGTGGAGATTTCCCACCCGAATGAGCCTGCCAAGACTGTCATCAGCGTTCGTGAACCTTATCAGTCGGGCAAGCTGGTCAAGACTGTCGAGGCGAAGATTACCGAGAATGGTCAAATCAGCCTGACCTTGTTCGAGGGCCGTACCGCGGAGAATGGAGTCGTTCCTTTGACCTTCCTCTTCACCTATCACCCGGAGACTGGCTATGCCCCTATCCGCGAGGTCATGGGAGATCGCAATGATCGTATCAAGGAGTTCTACTACCGGATCTGGTTCGGCAACAAGGACGTTCCCTTCGATACTCCCACGACCGCTACTTTCAACGGTGGTCGTGAGATCATCAGCTCCCAAGCTGTTGCCGATTTCGTTCACGCCGTCGGCAACACCGGTGAGGCCTTTGTTGATCGTCCCGGCAAGGAGGTCTTTGCTCCCATGGATTTCGCCATTGTGGCGGGCTGGAAGGCCATCACCAAGCCTATCTTCCCTCGTACCATTGATGGAGATCTGCTCAAGCTGGTCCATCTGTCCAACGGTTTCAAGATGGTCCCTGGTGCCGAGCCTCTAAAGGTTGGTGATGTCTTGGACACTACTGCCCAGATCAACGCCGTCATCAACCAGGAGTCTGGCAAGATGGTCGAGGTCTACGGTACCATCAAGCGTGAGGGCAAGCCCATTATGCATGTCACCAGCCAGTTCTTGTACCGTGGTGCCTACTCGGACTTCGAGAACACTTTCCAGCGCAAGGATGAGGTGCCCATGCAGGTCCACCTCGCTACTAGCCGGGATGTGGCTATTCTGCGCTCTAAGGAGTGGTTCCGCATGGATGAGTCCGATATCGAGCTTTTGGGTCAGACCCTCACCTTCCGTCTGCAGAGCTTGATCCGCTTCAAGAACCAGAATGTTTTCAGCAGTGTTCAGACTATCGGTCAGGTTCTTCTGGAGCTGCCCACCAAGGAAGTCATCCAGGTGGCCTCTGTGGAATACGAGGCCGGCGATTCTCACGGCAACCCCGTGGTTGACTACCTTGAGCGCAATGGAACCTCAATCGAGCAACCTGTCTATTTCGAGAACCCTATCCCTCTCAGTGGCAAGACTGCCCTGGAGCTGCGTGCTCCAGCCTCCAACGAGACCTACGCCCGTGTTTCCGGTGATTACAACCCCATCCACGTCTCGCGCGTCTTCTCCAGCTATGCCAATCTCCCGGGTACCATTACCCACGGTATGTACAGCAGTGCCGCCGTTCGAAGCCTTGTGGAGACCTGGGCTGCTGAGAACAACATCGGCCGTGTTCGTGGCTTCCACGTCTCTTTGGTCGGAATGGTGCTTCCCAACGATATGATCACCGTGAAGCTCCAGCACGTTGGCATGATTGCTGGTCGCAAGATCATCAAGGTCGAGGCTAGCAACAAGGAGACCGAGGACAAGGTTCTGCTGGGCGAAGCCGAGGTCGAGCAGCCTGTCACCTCCTATGTTTTCACTGGCCAGGGTTCGCAGGAACAGGGTATGGGTATGGAGCTCTATGCCAGCAGCCCTGTCGCCAAGGAGGTTTGGGACCGCGCCGATCGCCACTTCATCGAGAACTACGGTCTCTCTATCATCGATATTGTCAAGAACAACCCCAAGGAGCTCACTGTCTACTTCGGTGGTCCTCGGGGCAAGGCCATTCGCCAGAACTACATGTCGATGACTTTCGAGTCGGTCAACGCCGATGGGTCCATCAAGTCGGAGAAAATCTTCAAGGAGGTTGACGAGAACACTGCTTCGTACACCTACCGCTCACCTACCGGTCTTCTCTCCGCTACTCAATTCACCCAGCCCGCTCTGACTTTGATGGAGAAGGCCAGTTTCGAGGACATGCGCTCTAAGGGTCTTGTGCAACGGGACAGCAGCTTCGCTGGTCACTCTCTTGGTGAATACTCTGCTTTGGCTGCTCTGGCCGACGTCATGCCCATCGAAAGCTTGGTTTCCGTTGTGTTCTACCGTGGTCTGACCATGCAGGTTGCTGTCGAGCGTGACGAGCAGGGTCGCTCCAACTACTCCATGTGCGCTGTCAACCCCAGCCGCATCTCTAAGACCTTCAATGAGCAGGCTCTGCAGTACGTCGTGGAGAATATTGCGGAGCAGACTGGCTGGCTTCTGGAGATTGTCAACTATAACGTGGCCAACATGCAGTATGTGGCTGCGGGTGATGTAAGTTCCAGTCTTTTCCTTGCTTTCCCGCAGGTGATTTTACATTTGACAATATACTAATCCGACCTTTTCTTAGCTCCGTGCGCTCGACTGTCTCACCAACCTGTTGAACTTCCTCAAGGCTCAGAACATCGATATCCCCTCCCTGATGCAGAGCATGTCGCTGGAGGATCTCAAGGCTCACCTGGTGAGCATCATCCAAGAGTGCGTCAAGCAGACCGAGGCCAAGCCCCGGCCCATCCAGCTGGAGCGTGGCTTTGCCACCATCCCGCTGAAGGGCATTGATGTGCCTTTCCACAGCACTTTCTTGCGCTCTGGTGTCAAGCCCTTCCGGTCCTTCTTGCTCAAGAAGATCAACAAGACCACCATCGACCCCAGCAAGCTCGTTGGCAAATACATCCCCAACGTCACTGCTCGTCCCTTTGAGATCACTAAGGAGTACTTCGAGGATGTCTACAAGCTGACCAACTCGCCTCGCATCGCCTCGATCTTGGCCAACTGGGACAAATACGAAGAGGGCAACGAGAACGCTGCTGCCCGCGCAGCCTAATTCTGTTTCTTGTGATTCCCCTCGTCTTTAATGTGTTTATTTCGCGATAGAAAGACCTTTTCTTTTGAGGGTCGTGTGATGTGACATGTCTTACACTTGGCGCTCTTAATTGTTGCATGTATATGAGTTTATTTATCTTTTTACCATCTCGTTTTCAATTGGATTCCTTTCAAGACAAAAAAGAACATTCTGCAGTTAGGATTAGAAGTCCAGCCTTTCATTCCGGTTGTCCAAAACATGAAAGTTCCCGCTATTGAAAGCCACAACATTGTCTGCAGTACTTTTGCCAGTTCTGAGGAGCGTGAAGGAAAGAGCTGAAGCTTCTCCAGCCCTAGCAATTTCCTGATCTCTATTTCGCCTCACTCGGTAGATAAAAGTGCTCGTGACCATAATTAATTGCAGAAACTGACCGGGGCATGCTTCAGCTGAGGGAAAGAATGAGGTTTTAAATATAAATAACACAATGTAGCTAGATTTCTCGTTATCAATGAACTCCCAACAAATAACCAGACTACTTAATCCTCCATAACAGCATACAAGCCGGCTAGTTCTTTTCTCAGATATCCTGAAAATTCAGGACTTTAAGGTCCATCATACCGATGTAGAAGACGATGACGATACGTTCTGTCTAGTCAAAGAAGGCGGGAAAAACAAAGATGTGTATATATTCTGAATATGAAGCTATGTATATATTCATCTGGCAGTATGGATAAACAGCATCTGGATAACCAATTGTGATAGCCTCCATATTTCAAACAGGGACATTACTTCTCCTACAAGCCACAGGCACCATTTATCAACTAGAAATGGCCAACTAATGTTGCCCATTCAATGTGCATGATAACCAGTCGGGATGCAGAATAGCCGAAAGTACAAGTAAACAAATCAGCTCCCGGGAAGATCAATATCGACTTTCAAAGTTCCTTTCTTTGGGACGATGGCTAACAAGATTGAAAGAACTCGAAAATTATTATGATACAAAAGAGATCTGTTCGCTTTCTCACCGAGGCTTTCCCGTCTCCGTCCGCAAAAGAAGAGAAAAAGAGATAAAAACAACGGTATCAATCGGTCGTTAACACCTCAACCCTCCCTCCAGGGCCCAGGTCGGAGCATCCGGTCCTCCTTACCGTAAACACTGACTTCCTTAACAATCCCAATGAAACGACGGTGGTTCTCCTTGGAATCTCCAATCCGGGGTCGGAAGATTCGCAGCAGATCGCTACTAAGGATGCCCGCGGCAGGGATCGCTGCATGGATCTCAGCAGGGGTGGGGAACATCTGACTGCCAGCCGAAACAGGCGTAGAAACACGGCCAGGGCCTGAGACGCGCGCAAGTAAGTATAAAAGAGAGATCAAAAGGCACTGAAAGCCAAGGTAGCGAGAAAAACTCACGATTCGGTCCATCGGGACTACTAGCTCGGCTGACGAAACTGGAATTGCCAGCGGCAGGACTCGCGGCGCGAGAGCCTTGCGGGGTGTTTCCACGAGAAGTAGCCGAGGGCGGGTTGAGTTTCAGCTTCTTTGACTTCCCACTCTCACTCATCTCGGCTCCAGATCCAGCGCCAACATCGATATCACTGCCAGACCCAGATCCTCCCATGACGTTTGGTCGAACGCGTTTCTTGCCAGTCTGGTGAAAATATGAGGAAAAGTTCAAAAGATCACAAGAAGGGGGGGGGGGGGGGAGGGTTCAGTCAACACTTACTGATATACCAGACGGAGAGATAGGACGCGAAGTGGGCTGAGAGGTTGGAGGAGGAGACTGGTGTTTATTTTTGGCCTTTTTGCGGGATGTGTCAGTTCCACTAGCGTCCGAGGCGTTTGGAGAACCCAGGCGTTTGCGAGAAGTGGATGACTTCTTTAAAGGATCGGTATGCTTGGGTCGACCAGAAGGTGTATTGCTCCCCTTGGTGGAAGACGCCGACTCTTTTTGATTCTTCTCCTCTTCCGCCTTGCGCTCCTCTTCCTTAATGCGTTCGGCCTCGCTATCTTCAGAGCTCTGTAGACATGCGAATCAGTACCCAATAATTGAGAAACCCGTGAACTCGCTCCTTACCTCTTCATCCGTGTACGGATTGTAATCCGAGCCACTACTATAATCGTAGTTCCTTTCCCTTTTCTGGAGCGCTCTGCGCACTTTCTTTCCTTGAACTCGCCGCGCTTCCCGTTCCCTTTTCTCGCGCACTTCTTCTGCCTCGTAGTCCTTCTCTTCTTTGAGGTCGAATATGTTGGCCTTCAGCTGGTCTGCTTTGATTCTTCTCTCGGCAGACTTAGCTTCTTCGTCTTGTTCCTCGAAGAGATCATTGTGCTCTTCGTCGTCCGCGAATCGATCCTCCTCAAAGTCCATCTCGGTAGCCTCGAGTCCTTCTGCTCCAGCCAGGCCTCCTTGTCTTCCGGCATAAACTTTACGTTCTCTGGCATATCCCGCTAGTTCCGCCTGCTCTTCTTGCTCTTTCTGCTTCTCCATGAACCAACGAGGATTCTTAGTCTTTTTGGACAGGTACTTTTCCGCCTCCTCAATGGTCAAGGCTTTGAATTGGCTCTTAGCACTAAATTTGTACCACTTCTCGGTTGGGATCATTCGCATCTTGCCGGTGTTCTCAAGCACAAATATGGCATGGGTCTCGGACAATGCTGCCTCATAGTTACCCACCCAAATGTTGCGATTATCGAAATCTTCTAGGTGCCAAGGAAGTGCCTCCTCGTACTTAATGCGAGCTCGTGCAATCTCCTCCGGGGTCAGGTCTGACTTGAATACCTGTTGCGTTTTCTGCTTCGGGGCGTTCGGTCGTTTAGCGGACGATCCAACGGAGGGGGCAATCTGAGCCAAATTCTCCGCACGTTCCTTCTCGCGTGCTGCTCTCCGCGCATCTAGGGCCGCCCGCTCTGCTTCGTCCAGTTGTTGGCCGTCGGGTCCGATGGCTTTCTCGGTCGGTTCTTGGTTTCGGGTGCGGGGGTCGCGGCGGTGCAGTCTCACAGGGCGCGTAAATTGGGACTCATCGCGTGGATCGACGTTCCGTCTCGAGGCAAACCGGGCGATGTGGTGCTTCATCCCCTCACGCAGAGCTCGCACTGTAGTCACCACGGGGTAATCAACATATTTCTCCGAGAGCAACGGCCCACTGAAGCCGTTCAGAGCTTGTTCTTCCTGCCCAGAAGGCGGTAGAATTCTTTCTGGCTGTGGCAGCGACGGCGCATTTGAGGGCGGGGGGCGCGAGGGTAGAGTCTTTGTGGCGATACTCCCCGCCGGTGCGGTCCCTGCTGGTCTCGGAGGTCTTTTCTTCGGGCGAACTAATGGGTCGGCAGCTTTAGGACGCCGAATTCGCTTGATTGGCGCGCCGTTGGGGCCTGTCGGCGCCTGGCCATTTGGGTTGGTCGGCGTCGACATGTCCCAGTCGATGAAAGAGGGACTGTGCTTTAGATGTGTGAGAGGAATCGAAGGAAAGAGAAAGATAGGGAAACAGGGAAGAAAGCTCAGTTTCCCAAGATCTCGAGATGCGATCAAGGCGGACGGACGAGGGAGAAAGGGCGAAAGAGGTGCACGTCACAAACACCGTTCGGGTGGAGTGGAGAGGTTTCGAGGTCGGGGAGTGGACGATGCCGGGCTTAAGTAAGTCCCGAGGCTTGGCATTGGGCTGGACTACGAAACTCGACAAGGAATTGGAAGATACAGAAACCAAATGGCGGCCAAATACAATGAGATTACGGTATAGACTTGATCATATATGTTCATTAATATAAGCCATACACGGCCCGATCGCAAGGGAGAGTGGGGATCCAAGGCTTCAGCTTCCAAACTTCTGGCCGGGTTCCAGCTGTCGATACGGACATGCAATCCAGTCGCACCCCTAGCGCAAGGTCAGCAAAGAGTGCACCATTCTGGAGTGAATCTGTAGGGATCAAAGTCAATCGCGAACGCAAGAGAAACTTACCTGTTTGTATATCTCGGTCCCCCACCACTTGAACCCGTCGACCCAGCCGGGGTAGATGAAAGCAAAAAAGACAACGATGACGGCAAAAGCCAGCCCCGAGTCCAAGGCCGCTGAAAGAGTCATCGCATATTTCTCCCACCAGGCAGTCCGACGCCGGCGGATGACATAGTTGAAGATAAAACAGACGAGGGCCCAAATCGAAAAGTTCAACCCGGTGGCCGGGGGGATCCAGCTCAGACTGCCAAAGAGAATGGGAAAGTTGACCTTGCGCCAGAGACTCTTCTTGCTGTGCCGACCCATCATCCATGCCCCAAGAGGGGCCGCGGCACCAATAAGGAAGGCCCATACGAGAGGTCGGTAGAGACCTCCAGGCCCAAAGAACCGTTGTGGTCCGACAACCCCCCAAAGGATACTTCCATTGAAGTGCACGCGTGCGATCGGGCAATTAAATCCGTTCATCGCCTGGGGGGTACAGAGCCCCGGGATGTAAGAAAACATCCAATTGAGCACCCCAATTTGCGTCAAACTGGAGACCAAGGTTGCCACCATCTGTACACCAAAGAGAATGCGGGGCGGGATTTTCATGTAGTGGCCAAGCTTCAGATCCGATGAGAATTTGATGCCCTGCGCGGAGCTGATGTAAGAATAAGTCACGAAAATCATATTCGCGACCGGCCGCCCAGGGAAAACAATTCCACAAAGAAGCTGACAGATCAAGTAGAGACTGCTGTGTTGGTTGGTGACGGCCATGATGATGCCCACTGGGATGAAAAAGATGCTGGTAATGGCCAAGGCCAGAAATAGCCCATACCAGGGGAGGTGGACGGGGTAGCTGCAAAGAAGGATCATGTCAGTACAGTGAAAGGGATAGGCAGAGGAGACGATGGTTGGGTGGTACGTACTGCTCGACGGTATAGGTGGCAATAGCTAGCATCGTTATGAGCACAATCAGATACCAAACGAGGGGTGCATCTTTGTAGCGCCTCATGAGGCGACAATGGACATCTTCCATGCCCAAGGGAAGATCGCGCCCAGGATCGAAGGAGCCATTTCTGGAGGCTTCGGAACTGTGGCGAGGGTTCGAGTGACTGTTTTCTGTTCGAAGAGGTTCGTATGTTTCGATATCGGGGACATCTCGCCGCTCCTCGAAGGCTTTCCGGGTTTGATGGAGAATGTCTTTGCCGTACCAGCACACAGTGTGGGTCACGAGGGAAGTTAGTGCAGCAAACTGAACACCGTATGACAGCACATAGGTGATGGGGAGATACACAGGCGAATAATCTTCGTAGGCCTTTTGGTCAAAAAGAAACTCGGGTGTTAAGATTCGGCTGACGTTGTATGGGTGGCCCGTATTGTCGAACACTGCCGCAGAAAGTATGGGCATGTACGAAGAAAAGAGCACGTTCTTGTAATCTTTTCACCGAGTGAGTCAGTATCACGCACACGAAGAGATAAGGAAGATTCAGGCCGTACATAGGATTGGAGCAATAATCCAGATGACAACGACGAGTCCGGTCACAATATTGGCTGCTGCCCACCAGGGCGTAAGTAGAGGGGACCCAATATATGCAATTTGGGCCCAGTCAAAGGTCAAGGGAAACATTCCAAGGCCCGAGGCGACTCCAAACTATCTCTCAGTCAGAAAGGGGGAAAGGATTTCCAGTACAAAATGACCAATTGAGATGGGAAGGTATAATCTCACCAGGTTTGAAACAACCACATTCTTTGGTGCAAGCCAAGTAATCACATTGAAATAACTTAGCGCCGGCATCAGCAAGCCTGGCACAAAGTACCAGAGGAATGCACCTCCCCAGACAATGATGAAGAATTTGTATCGAGAGATGCTCCAACCATTGGCCTTCTTGTTTACAGTCTTGTGCATGGTGGAGAACATTGCAGTCGACATAAGGGTGCCCGGCCAGATCATTGCAGACGGGCGTACCAGAAATCGTCGAGTGAGACCCGCAAATGCATATCCCAGCACCTGGGTGGAAATAATCAGCAGAAGTTGGTAAAGAATAGGGACTTCTTGCTGATAGAATTTATGTTGCTCAACAATGACCTATTGTACCCATTAGACACAAACCAAATGAAAGAATGTCCAGGATCGAAGCTCACATCGGTTGCGAAGGCAAACCCAAATGAGACATTGCTGCTGATGTAGACGCAAGCATGTTCCTTCTCATTCCAACGACCTTGAGCGAGCCATAGTCGAACTCGAGATAAGAATGATAAAGCCGGGGAGTCAAGGTCTCCAGAGAGCGATTCCCGATGGTGAAGAGTACCATTCTCGAACACCTCGACCGGATCATCGGCCTTTTTCAGCATTGCATCCCAGAACTTTCCTAGAGGATGGACCAGAACCAGGGCAATGATTGGTGTGATGGCAACGCTTGGATAACGAAGAGAAAAGAAAAGGTTGGCGGCGGAACCCGTCAAGGAGAATAGCAATGAAAGAATCCACATCCGGGGAGCTATTTATATGCAAGTGTCAGAGGATACCAAGCAGCATATGAGAGTTATAAAATGTAAATGGGGTAGGAAGTTTAGCATATCGCTGAATAAACATACTGTTTATAGAGAGGAGGATATCATCAGTCGCGGGAACAGTCGCTCGGACTTGCGCATATCTGCCGTCGTCACAAGACGCCTCCAATTAGTAGTTGCTACATGCGAGAAATACATATTGCCGGGGCGGGGGGACGGAATCAAAGGACTCACGGGGAATTATCAGGAGGGTCCTCATCGGAGGATTTTGGATCTTCATCCTCAATGTCCAGTACATCTTCATCCTCACTGGTAATATACGGCGACGTGGCGGGGGTTTCTTGCATCACCGGATTCCCGGGGACAGCAAGGCCCGTGGCGAATGAGTATTTCGAATCGGCACCCATACCCACGTCAGAGGTAGCTGATGATGGGCGTCGGGTGTGTCCTTCTGTATAGAGAACACTACTTCTTCTTCTTCTCTTCCGTCGGCCGAAGGATTGGGAACGTTTATGCCCTGACCATTGTCTTCCAGCAGTTGATGGGCCTTCGGCACAACTATCAGCACTCGTGCGCTGCAGACTATCAAGGCTCTTGCGCGCCGGGTTTCGCTGTCTGGAGGCAGGACGGGGATCTTCGTCGGAGTCGTCATCGGAGTCCTCTTGCGGGATACGCACGGCACCGTAGGACGACGAACCCAGGGCGGGCGACGTGCGGAGAAGAGGAGCTCGCGACATGAAGGTCCGAATGCGTTGGACGAAGGACCTGGGATGGTCGGGCGGGTTCACGATGAGGGGCTCGTCCAGGTCGTCACTTCCATGGTCGTCGCGCCTGCAATTGTTCTCAGAATCGGGATCGTCGACTCGGTCCGATTCGGCGGGAAGCCACTCGCCCCTCGGGGTCGGGGGACAAGACAGCTTCCGCGTCTGCAGCGGAATAGCGGCCGTCGTGACGGGTTCGTAAGTCGTTGGATCGTGGGGGGAGGGGGGTCGTCGAGGGATAAAAATGAAGATTTGGCTTCTTTGGGGTTAGAACGTGCAGTAGTCCTGTCGGTCCGAGAGGAAGTTCACTCGGGCTTTCGTGGGAGTGGGGGGGAACCGCCCCACAAACGAGTCCGATGGCCCGTCATGATGCTTGGTTGCATGCCCGCCGAATATACGTCGTCACATGGGGTCGTATGGGATTTTGATGGTCGCTTTATGGATAAAACATAGATATTCGGAGTGGAAGAGGGATTTGGCAGCATCTCCAGCAGACATAGAAGAGATTGCAGGGTGACATGGAGCAGCTACGGATATATGCATATCCCGAATGATTTTGGCTCATGCCAACGCATACATGTAGTATCTAGCAGCGTAGTATAAAATAGTTCGAGATTCATCTCTATGGTTTATGAAGCTTTGTATATTTCTATATCCTGTATATAGAGTGGGTATAGTTATGCCCTTTTGTGTTGTTTTTCGTCATAAAGGGAGAGAGATATGTATAGACACACTCTATACTCCGTCGATGTACCCGGGTGTAAATTTCTTGCACATCACAAGCATCACTTTAAAACAGCTCCGTCACTTTCTCCTCCTCATCCTCGGCATTTTTCTCTCCTCCTTCAATCTTCAATTGGGCCTTGGCCAGGTCAGCTTCGGTCTTCTCCCCCTCCCCTTGCTCATCGCGCATCAGAACCTGAACCAATCGGTCACAGGCCTCCTGGACCTCTTCGTTCGTCACATGAAGGTGACACTCTCGGATGAACGGATAGACCTGGATCGCGCGCATCTTCTCCCGACCCTCCCGTGTGGTGGTCAATAAAAGGAGAGTTTCCAGGTGCGTGGTGAGGATGGTCGGATCGCTATCCCGTTGCTTGTCCGGAGGCAGGAGCTGGAGATCGGGGAGCATTGATAACATCTCCTCGTCAGAAAACTCCTCCGGGCCAGCGATGGGCAACAGGAGATAGGGGAGAAGGTTGGCCTCATCCTCGGCAAAGAGCATGGGGTGCGACTTAACATCGAAAGCCACATTTTTGATTGTCGAGGCCACACCTTTCCGCCGGATGTGACTCTTGTGTTCCGTGAAGACGGTCAGCTTGGTGATCGGGACGACTCCATCATATTCCTGGCGGGTGGTGAAGTAGGCCCGGCCAGTTTCGGTCTGGGAGAGGTCGGCAAATAAGTAGGACAGGTAATCGTAATTGGCATGCTTGTTGAGGCCGCCCTCAGCACCCTTGACAAAACAGTCCATCAGTTGGTCGAGTGCATGCTCGGAGGTGGAGACCGACTCGGGAATCTTGCGATCGAGGGTGTGGAGCTTCTCAAGGAGGCTGGATTTGGCGAGGTTGGCGAGAAGCATCGCCACTTCATCGGCATTGGGCTCTTTGACGTTCTATCATCCGATAGCCCGTTAGCAGTCAGAACAGACTCTCTTGTGGAAAGGAAAATGGGAATGTGCATATCCCGGGAAGCACAATGCGTACCGTGAGTTTGGCCAGCAAAGTCTCGATAAACTGATCATCAGTGACCAGGTTTTGCAAGACCTCCTCGTCGCTGGAGAGATTGATGAGGATGCTCAATGCATTCTTCGCAATGGGCTAATGGGGGGAAAAACGAGTCGTCAGTCACCGGTGGGAAGGGCACTGCATCGATTGGGTCGCACACACGCTGTAGTCTCGAACGAGAAGCTTGAGATCGAGGATGGGGAGGAGTTCCTGGCGTTTGAAGAGGCTGGGCTCGCTAACCGAGAACCCAACAAGGTTCTCACAGGCTATATAATGAGATCAGCATCCCGTCTGGGTCACTTTCGCTTCCAGAAAGAGGGTCTTGACTTACCGATCTGGCGAATCTGGGTGTTCCCATGGTGGAGGAATTCCACCAGCTATCGACGGGACGTGGTTAGCAGAGCAGATTGTGAATTGACCGAGAATGCCAGGCTCCAAGCCCATTCCGAAATTTCAACGTACCTCCTCAAGTTCTGTGGGCATCTTGGGCGCAGATATGTGTCAAATAGATCAACAAGTATCGAAAGGGTCAAGGGATCCCGAGTCCCTTCATTCGGAGTTTGGCGCACGAAACTTTTTTCCCCGAAGTGGGGGGCGCTCGACGTCACCGTGCCCCTCCCCCTCTGTTTTCTGCCCCCAGGCCTATCGACTTGTTCGACATCCGGTCAATCGGTCCAGGTGTGAAGTTTGAAGGTTGATATTCGAGAGACAAGGATTTTTCAGAATCGCAGACAATCCTCATCCGCCGTGAGCCATTGGTTCGACGGGAGCCGGGGACATGAAGGATGTGAAGACTGACTACCCCTCGTCTCCGCCTTGTCCGGGTCCTCGACCTGTCTAGCGCGTCATTTCGGCCTCCCCGGATTTTCCTCTTTCCTCTGACTCGGATACACGTTAAGAGCTACGGTTCCTACGCTCGTTACAATGGATGCGGCTCAATTGAAAGAGATCCATGACTTTCTAGTCACCCTCGCCTTCAAGGCCGGAGACATCATCAACAATGCCCTGCCGGACACCAGCGGGACAGGGTCGAAGAAGAATAGTATGTTCACGTTGCGTTGGGATTGCATTGCAGTGGTTTGATCCGCAAGGGACAAGAAAACTCACATCGCGAAGGTGCCGACCTTGTCACCGAGTACGATCGTGCTGTGGAGAACATGATCTCGACCTCATTGAAGGAGAAGTACCCCGACTACGAGTAAGACTCCGCGACCCCCTTTCCTCGTCTTCTCCCCACAATCCTGGAACTCGCTTCAAATCATTTGAAATTGCTTGCTCCTGCTGAGATATTGATTGGTTGGTCCCTTCGCTTTCTAGATTCCATGGCGAGGAAACCTATGATCCAGCCCGTCCGTTGACAGACGCCCCCACGTTCGTCGTGGATCCTATCGACGGCACGGTCAACTTTGTTCACAGCTTCCCGTTTGCCTGTGTCTCTCTCGGTTTTGCGGTGGACCGCATCCCCACGGTGGGCGTTGTCTACAACCCGTTCACCAAAACCATGTACTCCGCCATTCGAGGTCAAGGGGCCTATCTTAATCGCGAGACACGTCTGCCGCTGAGAGGCGAGAATGTTGAACCCCTATCAGGTCTTCCTAACGCCCTCATTGCGATCGAATGGGGCTCCGACCGCCGGGGTCCGAACTGGGAGACCAAAGTTCGAACATACGAGAAGCTCGGTCAGTCCAAGGAGGAGGGCGGCGCCATGGTTCGCTCGATGCGGAGCTTGGGGTCGGCTGCCCTCAACCTGTGTGCCGTCGCCGAGGGCACGCTGGATCTCTACTGGGAAGGTGGATGCTGGGAGTGGGATGTCTGCGCTGGGTGGGTGATTCTGACCGAGGCAGGAGGCATCATGGTCGACGGTAACGCCGGGGGTGGGAGACCCAACTCGATGGCCGGAAATACCTGGCCGTCCGAGGGGCCCCCCATGCAGGCCAGCGACAGATCGTGGAAGAGTTCTGGAGCTTCATCCAAGGGACCTTGCAGTACGACTGAGAAAAACGTAGAGCGGGGCGGTTGAACGTCCAAATGTTCGAAAAGTCCTGGAAATGGCAGTGAGGATCAAGTATAATTATAGAGTAGCTTGTTTACAGGGGTATATCGTCAAAAATGGATATCTGATATGTACATTCTTTCCATGATGCTGTCAAGAACTTGGCTGCGGCGCTGGGGACCACCGAAAACCAGCCGCGTCCTCTTCCAATCCGGATTCACAGTCGTCATCTTCATCAATTTGGCGATCTGTCCATCGCGCAGAATCTTGTCGGGAGACCTCATTGGAGTACGCACGTTCGTGCGTACTGGAGGTTTTGTGAGATTCATGTTCCGCTGGGAACGGATCAGGTTGAGGTAGTGGAAGTGAATGACCACGATCAACCCACGAATGTGCTGGACTGGCAGATCCATCGGACTGGCCCTCAACCTCATCGCCGGAGCTTGTCGGCGCCACATTCGGGGGCTTGGCCCTCTCTGCACTGCACTTCAGGGTGTCATCAATCTCCACGCTAGGGGAATGGCCGAAGTGGGTGTCGACAAGGTGCTTCACAACGGGCCACCCATACGCATTGGTGAACATGCGCCGCACGATGATATTGTTGTGGGCATCCGGTTCCAGACGAACAAGGACTTTGCGCCAGGTGAGATCGCGGTGATAGGCACGGGCAATCTTCTCTTCAACCTTGAGCCCGCTTTGGCCGTGGCTCTGGCTCGTGGTGGAACTGGACGATAACTGAGTCGTCCCAGGAGGAGCCGTTTTGGCATGCCTATTTTGCAATGGTCCAAATGTCAGAGTGCGTCGTTTTCCGGGGATTGGCGTCGGGATATCATCAGGGTGGTAGATGCGGTCATGGAAGATGGTTCGGGGACGAGCCGCCGGGTCTAGAATGAAATCCGAAGGCGGCAAGGGTGGCATCAGCAAATCCCCTGCTGACTCGAAGAACGTCGTCTTAGGAGGCGTGTGGACGCCTTCTTCATCTTCATACAAAGAATTGCCTCGCACGCTGGAGGCTGGGGGGTCATTGGTATCGAAAGAGCCAAGGGTCTGACTGCGTTTGTAAATCTTAGACTGCTTCTTGCTTTGGTGAACCGGTTTGGTCTCCTTAGGTTCCTTAGTCGCGTTGGCCCGGAAGAAAGCGAGGAAGCTGCTCAATGGGCCCGAATTGGGTTCCAATCTCTCATTCTTTGGCCCGAGCTCGGCCACGATACTCTCGTGCGTGGAAGGCTTACGCTGAGCAAGGAATTGCGCCGGCGACGGGGATTCTTGGTCATCATGTAGAGATAGAGCTTCATTATCTTGCAAGGGCGGTGGAACGCCGTTGGGGGGCATAGAATGGCTTGCACCAATGCCAGGGACACCGACCCCGAGCCTGGGGTTCTCGTCCGAACGAGGGAGCTGCGGAGACTTGGAGTTGGCGCCTGTCAGTTCCGCCCAACCCCATTCCGCCATAGTCCCGACAAGTCCATTATCCCGCCTGGCTTTCTCCACTCGGTCGAGGCCGCGCCAGTCGAGAAAGAGAAGACAGGATGTTCGCAAAGGGACAATTCCATCATTGACCACATTGGAATACACCGTCCGGTGGTGAAACTTCTGGAGAACCTCGTGAGCCGGCCCACATGGTAAGATCCGTAAGAGAGGCTTTGCTCCCGGGTCGGACTGGCTTTGATCCTTGGTCGATTCGCCTCGGCCCCCGATGATGGCCCCCCAGCCACTTCGAACTTTTGGCGCAGTCCAGCTGAGTCCAAGATCCTGACCAGTCCGTCCAACAAGCCCTAGGTCCAGAGCGAAACGAACATACAGGGGATTCTCGTTGCTGAGACCCAGGAACGGCGTTGCAAGGGCGATGAAGTTTATCGGTTTGATCCGGTCAAAGAACTCAGGAGAGTGTTTTTGAATGTATGCAATAGCGTAGGTTTGGATGAGGCCGCCCAATGAATGTCCAATAAAGCTGATACTTGTGATCTGGTAGGCGTGTTCATTGGCCTCCGTCTCCCCTTCGACAGTCTGATAGGATGAGTGAGGATCAGAACTGGGCCGAGCCTGCTCCTTGCGAGCGCTGAAAGGGCGAGGAAATGCCTTCGATTTCGAGTTCTTCAACGGGAAATAGGACTGGTCAGGGTAAGTCATCAACAGGACATATTTGGCAAGCCGTTTGCCGAGATACTGAATTCCACGCTCGGTGCGAACGGCGTTGCCCGAAAACCCCCGTACGATCACTTCTTCATCATTTCCGTCTGCGTCGTTTGCGTCGTTTGCGTCGTTTTGCCGTTCGGCAACTTTCGCCTTGCACTGTTTCGCAGCAGCGTCAATGCTCTCCTTAAGATAGAGCATGTCCGCACCCAAATTGCTGTGCAAGCCATGGGTGATCACCACAAGGTGAACCTTTTTTTTCTTCGACGATTTGTCAGACGGGGCCTCTACATGGCTCCCGGCCTCTGTCGTTTCTGTACATCCCACCTCCGACTGACGATTCACGGGATTCGGTGATGCCGAGGGCAATGGCGGGCTGTTCCACAAACTACGGGTATCATCCACTCGTAGAGTGATTGATTTAGAGAAGATTCCCTTCGTAGCCATCACTGGCTGCGCCCCAGTCCCCATCGGCCAATGGTCTTGCAATTTGCCCGGAGGTCCCATCCCGGTGTTCGACGATCCGGCGGAGAAGAAATCGACTGACTTTGCGTCACGGCCCACCAGTAGCTCGAAGTGAACTGCCGCGCTGCTCGAAAAGATGACTTGAGACACAATTTCAATCACCCAGGTTACAGAACGGTCTCCTTCTGGCCCAAAATGGCCTGCGGCCAGGTTATGTGAATCCCCGAAGCGCGTGGGGATCTTGACGGTGGCATCCCAACTCCCTCCGGCTTTGAGGTATGGCTCAAACTGGGGGGTTCCATCGGTATCGTGGCTGTCATATTTAATATTCGGATCAAATCTCGAGGGGTAGCAAGCGGCGTAAAGCGTGTATGGGCCGTGGAGATAGGCTGCTCGGAGAGGGATCGCGGAGGTATTCTTCACCCTCACGTGAAGCTCCGAGGGCAAAGGCAGGATTGGATCGGCGGCTGGAGTGTACGTGAGTGTGTACCTGTTCGAGGAAGTTAGAGAGGTCAGGGATCCGGCCTCCTCGATAATCCGGGGTCCTCTTCAACCGGGTCTCTTTAAGGTGGGCGGGGATGCGTTGATTGGCGCCGAGCCTCCCATGAAGCCAAACGACCAAACGCCAGGGAAGTGAACTCACCGGACAATCTCTCCAACCCGGACACTGCCTGTCTGGTGGACCAACAACATATCTGCAGCTTGGCTGGTCGTCTCGGGGCTGGGCCACCAGCCACCGAGTGTATAGAAGTGGGCAGTGCCCTCAATGCGAGAAGCAGCCGCACCTTGATCGGGCGTTTGGGAGGCGGAATACGTTCGGGGAGTAATCAGCATCGAATGTCATTTCCATGATCTGAGGAGGGTGGAAGATGGTAACCAGTCTCAGTCCAAGTCACCGCAAGCCGGTGGTTGAGAAGGTGCAAGGAGAGGAATCAACGGGAGAAGAGGAGATGTTGTTGCTGGTCCACCATCCGGTTGGTTATTCGGGATCCTCGGGCGATCACGCCCGTCGGGACTATTGGGGTCTGCGGCTGCGCCTCCCCGTCTTCGCCGAAAGTACGGAGTACTTGCAGAGCACATTGTACATGACACTTCCTTGGGAGCATCTTTAGTGGTGAAGTTGACATAGTCTACTCCAGAGACGCATGATTAATCAAATATGAAGCACAGGTCGTATTCTATTCGCAAGTATTTGGACATTATGGTCGGTGCAAACAGGAGACGCCAATCTCCCATAGTGTTATCTTGTTATCTCTTTCGAAAAGCATCATCGTAGGGCCGGGCTCAACCCCCTTGGTCGCATTTATCAGTCTTGGTATAAAGCGATCGCAGAACCTGTTACCCCTGAATGCCCTAAGTTTCCTATTCGCTTGGCTTGATCACACACAGCAGCTGCCGAGGATCGTTGGAGAGTTCCATCCAGCCCCCTTGAGCGACCGCCACAATCTTCCCATCGACGCAGACGCGACGCCAACGTTCGTTGTCTTCCTGAAACTCTATGCGCAGCTGGTCAACTCTCTTATACAAAACTTTCTCATCAAGGACATGCTGTCCTTGTTGGTAGGCCAAGGTCATGAGGCGCATAGCTTCCTCCGCGGGTAAAGGCCCAAACCGTAAGAATCTCATCTGTCCGTCCAAGGGCTCTGACTCGGGAGAGATCAAGAAATCCTTCTCCAAGCGAGGCACCAAAGTCGCAAGAACATACATATGCTCGTCATCTTTGATGATCTCCTGTTCACGATCCCCAGAACCAGAATCCCCGGCTGTTGAGCCATCATCGGACACGGTCAGAGTAATTTGGCCTTGAAATCGATGCGGCTCCATACCATTCGAGGGGTAAAGAAGCTCTTTCGCGGCCATCTTGAATCTCTCGGAGCCAAACTTGCGATATTCGGTTGTGTCACTGTCAGCGACCAAGGCGGCATGCAAACCCCAACTCGTAACCACCGCGCCATAGATGGTCTGGTAGGGAGCATCAAGCTGGGGGCCTATCGAGACTCGCTGGCGCCCCTCGTCAATCACCAACTGGCTCCCCGGGGAGAATTTGGCCGTGAATATGGGAACCGGGAGGGGTTGGCCCCGGAGGAGGGCAGTGAGACCGGAGATGGGGCCAGAACGGAGTCCAAGGGAGCTGGCCATTGCATTTCCCGTCCCGCAAGGGACTAACGCAATACACGGGTTCATTTGAACGGTTCGTGCAGATTTGTAGAACACATCGACGATGTCAATTAGGCCACCATCGCCGGATAAGAGGATGATAGTTTGAGGGACTCCCGCACACGCTTGCTCCAAGAAACGCGATCGCGAAATTTCAATAATGGTTTCCGCGGATTGAGTCTCAAAAATCAAATAGTCCAATGCCAGATACTCCAAGAGCGGCTTCACAGAACTCTGGAAGACCGCATGTGCCATGCCGGTGCCAGATCGGGTCGATATCACGACCTGGACGGGCCCCCATAGCGAAGATGGGCCGGAAGCTCGAGCAGAAACGGAGATAATGCGACAGGTAAGGATGTAATATCACACTTGGTCAAGTTAAGAGGAGATTCGTCTCGATTCTCTTCGGCGTCCGCAAGGAACAGCACACGGTAAGTTGGCTGCTGGTGGTGTTCATGGCTATGCGTCACGCCGACGATATGTTTCAAGTCAACCTGCTTTTCCTCGCCGGTCTTCGAGATGCATCGCAAGGTCTTTTCCACCACCTCCGCGGTATACAACTCAGACGGATCCATCGGGGGCTGGACACCCGCTGGTGGGAAGTTTGTGAAAGTGAAGTTCGTGGACGCCGCATCTGGGGCTTGGGGCCTTTTTTGACGGGTGAACCTGGCTGGCCTGATCGAGCACACTATTACTATTACATGATCACCGACTAAAAGCCGAAGTCCCCCATAGTTCTTTTCCTTTGCCTCCCGCTAGTCGTTCTCGACTAGAAGTATCGTTTGATTGAATAATATCGAGGATAATATCGAAACAGTTCTAAGCAAAATCTGAATTCTTTATTTTATTTCTTGTTTCTCTTCTTTTTTTGACGAGATATATCCTCTAAACCAAGTATAATTCGAACAAGAACAATATAGGACAAAAGCATATACAGGACGGCGAAGACAGAAAGAAATTTACATAGGAGCTAAATGTATGATACAAAGGTTAGGGCAACAGCAGTCTTGATGAAATTGGTCGGCAAAAGACGCGTGCACTTGCTATGCCTTCGGCCTTTCCAGCAGATGGATGGGGTAGGCATAGAACTCAAGGTTGTCACTGGGAATCGGGTTCTTCGGAGGGGGAGGCTACATGCTTGTCGCTCAAATTCACCGCGATGAAGGATTTAGGGAGTTCCACACTATAGTTTGAGTTAGTAAGGGGAGAAGGCGCCATGAAACTAGGTTAGAGGAAGAGAGAGGGGGGGGGGGGGGCTCTGACGTATCAAATTTGGCCTTCAGGGTTTCGATCACTTCTTTCCAGTCCTGATGGGCCGTCAGGCTGCGCCGAGGGGCACAACCGATCGCGTGACGGGAATCCAATTGTACGTCAAGAGGATCAAAGGCGTGGCAGCCGGGGCTGATGGAAATTCGAATTGAGTAAGAATTGACCTCAGACTCACTATCCCGGGCTTCATAGAGTTCGAAGCAAATCTGAGACAGGTAGTCAAGTTCCGGGATTGCACTGCGAGCAATCTTGGTTTGAATGCCACCCTCAAGGATACAGTTCAACAGAGTGTAGATGTGAGATTCCTTGGTAAAATAGAAGAACGATTTGGCATCTGAAGATGCCTGGACCTCCTCCAGGTCGCGCACGATTTCCTGTAGCAGTGGGAGGGAGGTGAGAAGGCCAATTTCAAGCTTCTCGCTATCAGTGATGCCGTATTCCTGGGGTGTCACGTAATCAAACAGGACTTTTGCCAGCTTGTACAGCTCTCGCAATTTAGAAAGTCGCTCATCCATCTTACACTTGCTAGAATTAGACCCTGGAAAAAGCTTGAAATAATGATCATAGGAATCATCGAGCGCTCGAAGATGTGGCAGTGACTCCAGTGCGGGAAAACGCTTTTTTAATCCGAGCCGATGGGCAAAAGTATGGCCATCTGAGCGCTCATCACCCGGGGCTTCCAAGCCAGTCTTGCTGTCCGAATTCGAATCAGACTTCGCTGGGCTTTTGCATTTAATGCTGTTCTTTTCATCCTCGTCACGATCGCTATCCGGGGGCATGAAGACCCATTCCAAGAACTGGCGATTATGAAGAGCATCAAACTTCATGCTATCATAAAGTTCGGACAGCTTGCTTGGGTCAACCTTTTCCGTGTCACAAAACTCGGCAAAAAGCTTCTCCCATCGCTCCTTGAATAGCCGCGGGTCCTCTCCAGCGCACCAACGACCTTGGACACTGGAAATGTCTGGTTGCTCAGACACTGAATCAGCCTTATTCGACAGGCCTGACCCTTCAGAACTTTTGGGAGACGGTGATGAACCATTCGAAGAACTTTCAAGCTTCTCAAAATTGTGACGCATGACACTCCGGTGAAACTGCATCAGTTCAACCACAGTCGCAAGAACAACAGACGGTTCCGGTATATTACTGTCTTTCGGCCATGCAAATTGTGACGGTGCTGACCCTTCACGTAACAAGAGTTTGAGCTTCTTCTTGACTTTATCCATCACGTCTTTCGCAGCATTAGAGTCGTCAAGTAGATCCTTTCGGACTTGAATGAGGTCTCCCGGTATCTCTTTTTGGTCAAGAAATGAACACGCCCAAATCTGGGCTATACAGAGAAAAAAAAAGGAAGTTAGTAATCAAGAAGAGAAAATCAATCTAAGGAACCCGACTTACCACTTGTGCTCACTCTCCGCTCTGAGCTTGTGAAAAGGCGAACATTATTGAGCGCTTCCTTATTCATCAGCTTTAGGTCATCTCGCATATTCAACCCAAGGTCCTGCGATTGATAACGTGCGGCATGTGTAGGTTCTCCTCCCCATTTGATCACAAGCTGAAGTTTATCTAGAATCAGGTCGTTTTCCACAGCAGAGAAACGAGAGAAGGTGGCACCAGAGATAGAGTCACTGCGGCTCTGAGAATGACGCAGAGCCTCGCTTTCAGCGGCAGCCTCGTTAGCCACCGGCGAGAGGGGTTCTTCGGGGACAATCTCCCCCGGCAGTGCAGCCTGGGTTGTGGATGAGACTGATTGTCGCATTTCCTCCGGTCTCCGTTTTCTAAACATGGGCTTGATCTGTACTTTAGTTCCTGGCCAACCACCCTTCTTTTCCAAAGATGTACGAAGCAGCTTCAGCTTCTCCATGTCCTCGAGTCCTTGTGCCATAGCTACTTTCACGGCCTCGGAGACGCTAGACAAGGCTGCCTCGCCTTTGATCACAACCTCCTCTTGATGTCCCTTCAGAAGATCAACAAATGGCTGGCTGTGGAAAGTAAACTTGAATTTCTGCTTTGGGGTTCGATCGGCATGTCGAATGACTGCCACCATTCCCTTCAGCTTCCACGAGTGTTTCGAAGCAGGGAGTGGAGGCAGAGCGCCATCCCCAGAGTGGTGCAGAGAAACTGCCGGGGATTTTGTATTGGAGGGACTATACCCTCGAGGCTCAGAGTGACCTTCTGAGGAATTGAGCTTACTTAAGTTGACACCTGGATCCGCACTCTCCAGCCCAGACGATGACGCGAGCGAGGGGGCGACGGTGGAGGAGACATCTGACGGTGCTGTTTCATGATTTTTATGTCCACTCTGGCTCCCATATAGTCTTGATGTGCTTGGAGATTTGAGCAGCGTCTTTAGAGCTTGACGATGAGACCCAGCGGTGCTCCGGCGTGTGGGGCCCATTTCCGGGGATGGCGGCTCCGATGGCTCCAGGGCTCCTTCATATCTGCGACGCTCGGCCAGAAATGTATCCCGCAGAATATTGGCGCATTTGTCATAGTAATCGTTGTTGTCTTTCACAAAGCTCCAACCATTGACATCAATCACATAGCTTTTGTCACCCACGCGAAGCATGTCAAAGCCGCAGATTCTTTGGCCGAACCCGTTCGAGATTTTGGAGGCAATAGCGGCCTCCTCTTTGCTCAACTTCGTGATATATCGAAGTTCCTTTCCGTGAGTATTCCGCCGAACGAGTCCATCAACCACAGGAGATTTGCGAGTTTCCGCGTGGCAAAAGTCCGGACCCACGGTGTAGGCTTTGACATCCTCAGCATTGTCCACCCGTAGAAACTGTTCGTAGAGATAACTTGTTTCTTTCTCTGTGACTGATCGTGGCACGGAAAGGCTGGGGTCATATTCTGAGCTTTTATTGCCGACTTTGCGAAAAAGTTTGCGACCTCCACCTCCGTATTGTTGATCATTCGGGAAGTAGATATGAATATTATGGTCTTCCCCATTGACGGGCTTTTCAACAAACGGCTTTCGGAAGACTTTGCCGTCCACCACCAGCGCCTCCCCATCTTCCGACATCGAGACCTCTTGGGTTCTGGGTGCACCACCACCTGTTCCATCTTCTGGACCCTCCAGCTTGACTCCGGTGAGCCGATGTATGTGCTGAGCGACCTCTGCAGACTCAAGAATTGGGCCCCCATCGCGATTTACCTCCATTCGTTTGGGGGTTGGGACCCCCATCTGATCCAGGATCCGCAGACACAGGCGCCGGTCCCATAATACCTTCTGCATGGGTAGGTCATTGACGCAGAAAGGCTTTCGAAGTTTGGAATATGCGATGGCTTTGTCCAGCGGGAATCCATCTGAAAAGAAGGCGATCAAGAAATCGCAAACGGGCCAATTCTCGACGGCTTCGTCGAGGATCACCTTGTCACCGAAGACAATCACTTCAAAGTCCCCCTTAGATTGGAGCCGCGTGAGAATGTTCTGGCTGGGCTTGCTTCGGGCCTTGATATCCAATGCACAGACACCAATCCGCCAGGCCTTGGAGGCACTAGGGTCCCTCTCGCTAATGGAGCTTGCGGCGGTGCTCGCCGCTGTGCTTCCACTGAATCTCCGCGGCGCGCGGCTTGACGCCCGTGTTGAGTGGCCAATGAGGGTGGCCGAACGTGGGTCAAATATCGCATCGGTCTTCCCTGGTTTCATGGGAGAGTGTTGAGCAGGAGGCTTGGTTGCGGTCGTGGGCTCCGAGGTCGCGGGATCCATCTGCAGCTCCGAGGGTGGTACTGGGGCGCCTAGGCTGTGATATTCTAGTGGGGCTCTAGACGAGCCCGCATCTGAGGACGAGCCACCCGTGTGGCCATTGTCAGGATCCATATCACGATGTACGACGTGGATACGGAGAGGGAGGGTGGAAAAAGAATGGCGAAGGATGGCGGTCCGGGCGGAGGGGCTCGGTAGTGGTGGTGGGGGGGGGGGTGGTTCGGGGTTCCAGATGCGGGATCCAAAAGTAAATGTATGTGAATGTATCTGTTGGACGCTGAACCCGTACAAAAGGAACAAATGTAAACATCTCTTGTCCCTTCAAACGAGAATCGGACTATCTTAATCCTTTATTTTGTAGCTAGCTCCTGCTAGAGAGCAATTTACATCGAAAAGTTCTACTAAATAATGACCCGCCAGCAAGCCAAGCCGGTCGGGATGGTGACGATACTGGAATTTATGTCAAGTATGCGCTCATTCAAGGCAAATACTTCTCATATGAAATTCCCTACATATGCTCTCGAGCCATCAGGTTCGAGTTATGATTGAAATTTAGGTATCGTTCATATGGTAGCTTCATATGAAAAACACATAGGGCGACCAGTGTCGATCCTCTCCTCCGGAAGCTCGAAGGCGGTCAAGCCTCGAGCTCTCCGCCTGCTGAGAAAAAAAATCTCCTGCCAAAAAAAACCCGAGAACAGAGCGCGACCCTTAAACTCCCCGCTTCAAACGAGAAGCCATTGGGGATTTCGGTCTTTTGTTGACGGGATATTTTGTGCTCTTGCTGCTTGAGTACTTTGTTTCATCTCTGCAACTAATCCTGACCCCCTTCGCTACCGTGGTCTATCTTGCCTACAGTGGCATTATCGGGTTGTAAAATCAACTCCCCACCGCAAGCAAGAATGCCGGCATTGACCAGCGAGACCTTTGACTTGCCTCTGGCAAAACGGCAAAAAACAACTCCTGATCAACATGCTCGGGATGTTTCTCGTGGAGGGTCAAAAATCTTTGCGCCCTTTCGGGTACGTGAGGACCGCATGCTCTTGTTCAGAATTCTGCTAACCACGTCTCGTGAGATCACAGACACTAGGACTTGTCTCCCCCACTTCCGTTCCTTTCACTAGTGTGCGATTGGGAAAATCGACTTTCCAGATCACGACCTCTGTTGGCCATTCACTGCAGACCTATGATCTGCGTAAAGGCTTGAACCTGATCTTCCTGACCCGCCCATCCACCCCGGAAGTCATCACCGCCACCCATGCCTGGCAGGACAAAGTTTTTGCTGCCTGGGGCTATCTTCGGCCGCGGTCCCCCGGGGGAATTTGGGTGTTCAAACGAGGCAAACGAGTGGCGTCCCTGGAAGGCCCTGCACTAGATGGGCCCATCGAGCGATTGGCAGTCTTTGGTTCGTGGATCGTGGGCTGTTGGGCAGGGGGCATAGAGATCTGGAAGACGGGTAGTTATGAGCACTATGCCAGTCTTCGACCCCGGCCCATCTCCGGCCCGGCCGGGGACCAGGTCTACTCGGGAACCATGTGCACGATGCCAACCTATCTCAATAAGATCTTTGTGGGACGGGTGGACGGTGGCATCGACATTTGGAACTTGCGCAGTGGAAAACTGCTGCACACCTTTCTTCCCCCCTCGTCCGCTTCTGGTGCCGTGACAGCCATGTATCCAACCCCTGCTTTGTCGCTTCTGGCCATTGCCCATAAGAACGGCTCTTTATTCATCCAAAACGTTGACTCGGGTCAGCTCGTTCTGAGCTTGCGGACGGCATCTGCTCGCGCCTCTCCGGTGACATCGATCACGTTCCGAAGCGATGGACTGGGTGCGGGTCACGATGGCCGTAAGGCCGGTGTGATGGCCACAGCTTCCGGTGGTAGCGGGGATATCACCATGTGGGACTTGAATCAGGGAGGTCGGGTGGCCGGGATTCTGCGTGGTGCTCATAAAGTATCGAACGCTGAATCCGCCATGGGGGTAAACCGAGTCGAATTTTTGGATGGACAGCCCGTCCTGGTCTCCTCAGGAGACGACAACGCTCTGAAAACTTGGATCTTCGACGAGACTCCTTTCTCGCCGACTCCACGTCCGCTTCATGTGCGGGGCGGCCATTCCGCGGCTGTCAGTGCCTTGAACTTCATCCCGGCACCTTCGGACGGTTCGGACTCCAGTGGAAAATGGCTGCTGAGTGCCAGCAAGGATTGTAGTCTCTGGGGTCTCAGCTTGCGTAAGGATAGCCAGCACGCTGAGCTGTCGCAAGGCAACCTGGAGCGCAAAGCCAAGAAGCAGGGGCCAGCCGGCCAATCCAATGCAACTCCCGTAGAGGCTCTTCGGGCACCGGAGATCACGTCTATCGCATGCTCTTTGAATCGTGACGGTGGTATGGGTGTGACCACTTCCGGTCCGATCTGGTCAAATCCCAAGTTCGGAAGCACCGATGCCTCCAACGCAACCGGTTGGGAGAGTGTGGTGACCGGGCATCGAGGCGACAAGCATGCCCGTACATGGTTCTGGGGTAAGAAGAAAGCAGGCCGATGGGCATTTCCCACGAGTGATGACACTGAAGTCAAGGTATGTGGCCCGTAGCCCGAGAGCCTCGGAACCTCCAAGTCAAAAATAACTAATAATTGGTCGTGAATAGAGCGTGGGCATGTCTCAGTGTGGAACATTTGCACTTGTTGGATCTGCCGGAGGGTCAATCGACATGTTCAACATGCAATCCGGTCTTCATCGCCAAAGTTTTCCCTCTCGATCACCAAAAGCCCGGTCTAGAAAGACTCCAACAGTGCAAGACTCCACTGCCTTGGATTCCACGTCAGATATCAAACACACTAAGGCGGTGACCGGTTTGATGGTGGATAACTTGAACCGGATGGTGATCAGCTGTGGGTTGGATGGGAAAGTCAAGGTAGGCTCAGTCTCTTTTCGGGGGGATTATGGCAACTAACTAGTACTGTCTTTAGTTCTGGGATCTTCTCTCGGGGAGCCTCATTGACGAGTTAGACTGGCACCCGATGGCGGCCATTACTGGACTTCGCTATAGCAAGACAAGTGAGTTGGTTGCCTTTAGCTGCGATGATCTTTCCATCCGCGTCGTGGATCTTGAAACCCGCAAACTAGTTCGTGAGTTCTGGGGGTGTGTGGGTCAGGTCAATGATTTTATTTTCTCCAACGATGGGCGATGGATCATTGCGGCCTCGATGGACTCTGTGCTCCGCGTATGGGACCTGCCCACCGGGCATCTCATCGACATCTTCCGAGTTCCTAGCACCTGCGTTTCGCTGGCCGTGTCATCTACCGGCGAATTCCTCGCAACGGCCCATGCAGGAAGCATCGGCATTAGCCTCTGGAGTAACCGCAGTCTATTCATGCCAATTTCAACGAAAAACCTGGACGAAGATCTCATTGCCGACGTGGGGGTACCGACAACGGCCGGGGAGAGTGGTGCCGGGCTCGTGGAAGCAGCCTTCTTGGATACGCCCGAGCTGGATGACGCCGAAGGCCCGTTGCCGGCCACGGAGCAGCTTCGAAAAGACATGGTTACGTTGAGTTTAGTTCCCAAGAGCCGGTGGCAAGCACTACTCCATCTTGATGCAATTCGGGTATGGAATCCTTTTTCCCTTTTGATCTCCTTCCTGTCGATTGTCGATTGTTCACGTTGTGAGAGCTAACGCTGTTTGTGTTTGTTTAGGAACGAAATCGACCCAAGGAAGCGCCGAAGGCCCCGAAAAAGCACCATTCTTTCTCCCCTCGCTTCTTGGTCCTAACAATACCCAGCCATCTAACAACGCTACCGATGCTGGCGACGTGGGATTTGCCTCCCTCGCTGAGACAGCGGAGGCTGAGCGATCCCGAATCATCAAGGCCCAGACGGGCGTGACTGGTGCTTCTGACTCTCTCATTACTCGGCTGCTGGCATCTGGGCATCGCTCGGCCGATTTTGAGCCCCTGATTGAGCACCTCAAGTCTCTCACTCCCGCTCGGGCCGATCTGGAGATCCGATCGCTCGATCCACGTGTGCGCAATGGATTTTCCGAGCTCTCTGGGTTTGTGGCTGCACTCACGATGCGGCTGCGGCAGCGGAGAGACTTCGAGTTGGTTAATGCTTGGATGGCGGTCTTCTTGAAGATCCACGCCGATACTGTGGGGCTTTGCTCCCATCGGGATGAGCCAGAATATCAATTGCTGCGTGACGCTCTGGCATCATGGGCCCTTGAGCAACAGCAGGAAGGGAAACGCTTGGCCGGACTTGTGGGATACTGTCGCGGTGTAGTGGGTTTCCTCCGATCCGCTCGCTGAGACAGAGCAGACGGAGGGGTTTCTTCCCAGGGCCTGGTTACGGAGGTGTATGTATGTGTGTGATTGTATATATATATTTGAATCAGATAGACGGTCGGCGGAGCCGTTTCCACTATCAACTTTGTTCTTCATACTCGTTCTTTTTGGACTGTTCTAGATTGGCTCTTAATTTCCATTCCGCTTCAAGGAGTGAGATAGTATAGAGATCTAGGCTCTAGATATGGTAGATCTATATATTTCCAGTTCTATTTCAGGCTCTTAGAGACACCTCTGCCTATTACCACAGCTGGAAATGAGGGCTTTTGTCGTACTATGGGTAGTCTTCAATAATCTCCTGTTGACAGGACCGTAGTGGAGTTGTCAGCGGTGGCCTCGACTTCCTGACTAAGATCGTACATTTCTGGAGAAAAAAATGTCTCGACAGCCTCACCACACTCCGCGGAACCCACACAATTCCGGGCCATGGGAATCCCCTATTTAACCAGGCATCTTCTCCCATATGCCGAGTCCGTTCTCCTAAACGGAAGCAGCTTGGACAGGCCGCAACAGGATGTACCTCGAGTGCAGGCGGTGGTTATTGATGGACCCAGTCTGGTATATCATGTCTACTACCGACTTCTGGCCTGGATGGACTCCACACAAGATGCGTTGGACATCCAGCCCACCTGTAACGAGGTCAGTCGCGCCTTTGTGAACTGTCTGGTCGAATTGATTCGTCGGGGCATTGAGATGTAGGTCCTCGTCCTCGTCTGATATCCGTCCCTCCTAACCCCATGACAAGACAACAGATCTGTTTTGATGGCGCCCTGCCCGTCTCCAAACGGGACACCCGGTTGTCTCGAATTGAAAAATCGAGACATCGGTTGGAACTAACCCGTCGCGGGGTGATTCCTTCCACGCAGGCGTGTCGGAAAGAGCTGTCGATTCGGCCAGCGCAGTTGTGGAATAGTCGCAATATCTCCGCTCGGTGGAGGAATCTTCCCGAAAACCCCTTCATGGTCTCAGCGGTATTTGAAGATCTGCGGTCCAGATGGAACCGAGCCCGAATACTAGAAGAAACCCAGTATGATGCCCCGTCATTCAAGGGTTCCGAGTATCCGTGGGCCAACATCACAGTCATGGTGGCGGGGGAGGCGGATCGTGAGTGTGCCCGGGTGTCCAAACTAAAGGGATCAACAATCCTCACAAATGACTCCGATCTATTGATACATGATCTCGGGCCGCAAGGGACAGTGGTGCTGCTGAACTCGATGCACATGCCTGGGGAGACAGATCTATCTGGTTCCAGCATTCCGGAGATTCGGGGGTCAAGACTACACCCTAGAGAGCTTGCTCGCCGCCTAGATATTCAAAGCCTTCAACGATTTGCCTACGAATTGAAATTGAACCCCCAGCTTGGCTTCTCGGAGCTACTTCGTCGGTCAAAAGAGGACATCTCCTTGACTACACACCCGAATGACTACCATGAGTTTCTCCAGGAGTATGAAGAGGCAGGCGATCCGTCGGTCATGATCCCTGCTGGGCTGCGACTTCAATCTCTCGACCCAAGGGTATCAGAGCTTTTCTGCCAATATGAAAGCCCGGCTATTTTTGGCCGTGATGAGATTCCTCATATCTACCTAGGGATTCTCCACGAAGATCATGACCGGCGGTGTGCCTGGGAACAGGGTCGAGCCTACAGGGCACTTGGCTATGCGCTGCTTAAGCTGTCTCGGTCATCACCGCTTCAATTTCCAATCGTTCATGAGTTTGTTCGTCGTGGCAGTCGGATCGTGGCGGAACAAATTACACTCCCTGGGTTCAAGACGGCGGCTTCTGACCTTTCTGCCTTGCAGGTACGTCTCAACCAGGCAAAGAGTGTCTTTGATCCAACCTGTCCGTCAACATTTTGGGTTCTATTTGCCCTGTCCGAAATATATCGCGACCAACGGAACCAAAGAATGATCCCAAGTGCGGCGCAGCTGGAACAGTTTCTGATTAAGGGATACATGGGAACAACGACGGATTGGGCCGACGTGCACCTTTTAGCCCAGATCCAAGCCGTGCTATATTCCCTACGTATGCTGCGGCAATTTATTAGCCTTGCGGCCAGCGATGGTCTTTCCTTTCCAGCTCAGTCTGTCCTAGAAGAGCTACCGCCGCTCTATCTTCTCCTGAGGTCTCGAGATGAGTTTCTTCGAAGCTTTGTCGCGGATAAGGACATGATTCAGCATTCGGTCTTCCAGTTTTTTCAATCCTACGCTTGATTGAACTCCCCTCCTCTCCCCGGAAGGAACTAGATCGCGGCTCCCATTCTAGCCGAAGGGTCCATACTTAAGAAGTCAAGATGGTTATAAGCCATGCATCAAGCCATACCATTATTTTACATAAGCACATAAATCATAAATCCCATAATTCTCCCCTTTCTCATCTACGATATGTTACCAGGGGTCATATATGCGACATTTTAAAAGCTGAAAAAGGTTATGTCAATTGTCGGTCAAGAAATCCTCCAACCGCTATGGGTATCTATTCGTTGAAGCCTGGGAAGGCCATCATCTCCAGCTAGCGTCGCACCTCAAAACCAGAGAGATCCTTGGAGGGGAAGGGCTCTTTGAACGCCAGTCATTTGGACAATACCATTGGTATGCATGAACAAGTAGACCGCCTGTGGTCCAGTAAAGTACCTCATATGCGAGTCCGGTGACCGCTGGCGCTTCCTTTGAGAAACAGTTGAATGAGCTTCCACCTGCCCGACCTCTACTTCGACGGCTATATCTGACCAAAGAAGCCCGAGTGGGGTATAGCATGCGGGAAGAGATGCGTCGGGGTGGAATTTGCTCTACCTGCTTCCCACAATTGGTGTGGTGAACTGGATTTTGAACACCAGAGAGCCAGCATGGAAAGTCTTGTCTCGAGATTGAATGGCACCCAGGCACTAAAGTGGATAGAGAAGTTTCACTTCTCGGGAGCATCGGGGAGTCGCTCGATCACATATTTCCCACGCGCCACGCTCATTATTGGGGCACCAGGAATCTTCCTATTTCAGGTGTTAGCAGGACTATGACTAACAGATTTCCTGAACAGACCACCCGTCACCCACCTAATGCGTCTCTTAAGATCACGATCATTGGTTGCCACGATATAGACACGGTGCTTGATGACACGGTCAACAAGGCAGTCATCGGCATATGTGCCCTTGTGATCGCACTTGATTCTTTCAAATCGGGGGTCCTTTGCGACCCGCAATGCGAGTCGGTATTTTTGGCCCAGCTTCTCCAACTCTGCAATAACGCAGTCGGTAACAATTGGGATGCACTTGGCATATAAGCAGTCCATCATGGTTGGAATCACTTCAAGCTTGTGTTGGATGGTGTGGGAGATGAAATTTGTATCCACAAGGACCGAGTACGGGGGGCGAGCGCCGTGTTATATTGGAAGAATAGGGAGGATGGGGCCTGTGGTCTGGATACGCGATGGATCGGGTCAGTGGGCAATGCCTGTAATATGGAAAGAATTCACGCACGCCTCTCGAATCACCTCCTCCTTCCCAGCTTTGGTGGCTTTGCCATTCTTATCGTCTTTGGCATTATCCTTGCTGTCTCATCCATCAGCCATGTCAATCTCGTATTGCAGATTGAAGGGGCGACATGAAAGCTTACAGGCGATTATCACGTAAAGAGATTGCTCGCTTGGTCTGGGCAAACTTGCGGGTCTTCTTTTGGACTCCCATACTGGCGATTTGGTGATCAAGTGTGGTGTGGTGTTTGGCGGGAACGCAAAGAAAAAAGAATTCGCGGCTGCAAGAGTATCTTATCGGCGTGACCCACAGCTCCGAGTCCAAGCGGGCTGACTAACCTTCATGCCTCAGGCTAAGAAGCGGCCGACTGTTGAACTGCACGTGACTACGGAATCTGATCAAGTGTGCACTCTTTCTTGTGATTGCAAGTAGAGTACAATACTTATTTACTTGTGAGTGATGCAGAATACAGATACATAGAAGAGGCAGATGAGAAGTGCCAATCCAGAGGTCGGATTCAAAAATATTTTCGATTGCATGTCTGATACATGGCTGGAGTAAAGGTTTTGAACAGAGCCTCCTCAGTCGAGAGATACCGGTTCTAACTTGGCAATTTGCTGAATGGAAGAATGTGCATCGCCGAACAACACTATGCCAATCATGTTCTCAACTCGGTCCAATCAATCAACAAAACTAAATCAGCAAATTTAACGCTCAACTTGATGCCTTCGATCCTAGAGCCTGAGAATTAGGCAAACCCGAATGCGAGGTGAAGGGTTGCGCTGTTCATTTGGGTGGGATAATTGGGAGAACAACATAATTCGAAAACTTGGGCCCGAAGTTGATGTGATTCATGCCAGCAAACTTGGCCTCGGAGCTGTGAAAAAGAAAGAAGCAAGGTCAGTAGGAAGGTATAATAGCGATCATTCTGGATTGTATGTGCCGTTTTCGCAAGCAAAAGAGAAAAGAATCGTACCGATCATTAGGGTCGTCATGATGGAAGTGATAGCCGGCGCCCTGCGTGTCTCCAGACGCAACTTCAAAGACAAGCTTGCCCCCCTTGTCAATGATAACATTGGTCGGCAGCACCTCCACATCTACCGCGTAGATATCTCCTGGAATCACCGGTTGCACGTCTGTGCTGAAATAGTCCCGAGCTGGCAGGTAAGGAAGATGCTTTGAACTTTCCAAATTCACCTTTCGTAGGCTGACACGAAGCCAGCCTTTACAGATTGGCACGGGGTCTCCACCGGAGCCTGTATAATGAATCTCCTTCCCGTCGGGGGAAATGTGCGGAGAGTCACGAACAGATCAATATCACTGGGAACTGGGCCCGTCGGATATGGAGTCAAGGAAACATGCAGCCGGGCAGTGATGTTTCCGGTAATCTCGGTCTCCTCTTTGAAGGGAGCAGAGAGGAATTGAACTAGTTGTGGGTTGCGAAGATTGCCCAAAGCAGGATACGAAACCTTTGACCAACATGCGTTTGTCGATTCGGCTTCAAACTCATCGGTAGTGAGTCACCGATCCGAGGTTAAATAGAACTTGGTGTACTGAGTCCGAGCAATTGGCCACTCATTCTCCTGTCGGCGTGGGTACTGGCGTTCGGCATCGGGGTTGTTGAATCCAACATCGCCCTTGCGGAGGACCAGGTCGACTGGAGGCAATTTGCCCTTGACACTCCAACCGACTCGATCTTCTCCCTTGAGGAAAGCATGCAGGAAGCTTCGTTGGATCTCTACGCCCTCAGGAGAGTAAAAGAGAAGGTCATGGCGTCCGGTGACCGTGCGGAGATATTTCAACTCAGACCCAGCTTGCATGAAGCCTTGGATATTTCCCCGGAGGTGCAAAACAATTCCACCCCAGTTACCCACCGACAGAAGGGGGACTTTGACATCCTTGAGGTCATACTCCTTGGATGCGTAGTACTCCTGGTTGCGGAACTGGTTGGTCCGGTTATCTTGAGTCTGATCACGGCAATTCTGGGCCAGTTCCTCGTCCGTGAGGGTCCCCTCGCCTCCTTTGCCCGGCTTCCCATACTGGTTTCGGCCAACTTTGACCCACCAAAAATCAATGAACACATTGGACAAGATGCCGCCCTGGCGACAGCGGTCTCGGTAGAAATCGGACATGCCTTCCCAGGGGATAATGGCCGCCAATCCCTTTGGCTGCCGAGCTGCCACTCGCCACTGACTACCGGCATAGTAGCTGACTCCCAGTAAACCAACCTTTCCATTTGACCACTCCTGTCTGGCAGCCCATTCGACCACCTCCACGAATGCGTCACTAATACTTCGGCTCTGCGCCCGTTAGCCTCAAGAGACCAATTGTACCATTGCGGGCAAGTTGGAACAGGCGCAGCTCTGAAACCTTACCATAGTGTCCAAAATCCCGGGGGATTGGTTCGTTCCACGCTCATCTACTCGAACAACAGCGTATCCGTGCTTTGTCCAATAGCCCGGATCTGGCGTTTCCCATGCCGAATGCGCTGATTTGTGCTCGGGGTTGATTTCGTTCCAGGACGGAAGTTTCCAACTGAAGGTGTCAGATCCATGCTTTGAGACAGCCGAGAAGGAACATTACTCTTTGTATGAAATGTCCTTCCCATAAGGACCGTAGGTCAGAATCACCGGAAATTTATGGAGACCTCGCGGCTTGTACACGTTGACGCGGACCAAGCCTGGTGTCGTCACGAGAGGAATAGACACATTTTTCTCAAAAATGTATGGGAAAGACGTCTCATCAATCTCGGAGATATCTTCAAAGGCGTTCGAAGTATCCATCTGTGCGGCGTTTTCAATATATTGTCTTAGTCTGTCTTTTCTTGCGTCTTCTTTAGGTTTCCGAATACTGGTGGCGGCGGAAAGAAATTCTGACTTAGAGAGAAATAAAAGGCGCGGGGACGGTCGTCTTAAGTTTCTCTTCCTCATGGCGCTCCTCTTCAGTGTAGCGTGAGGGATCCAATCGACGTACATCGGATTTACGAAACCAGTTGTTTGCGGGTGTTCGCAAGGTCGATATCCTGAGCAGGCCCCAAGGTTCGATCTTGAAACCATTTGACCAGCCATGTCACAACACGGGAATATACAGGAGCCCCGAGCAAAATTGCATCGGCCTCTAAGATATGCTCCAGCATGAACGGTCGGTCGTCGGCTGTATTTTCCAAGTCCGTTTGAGTGCCTGCTTGAGACCCGGAATTGACAAATGGATGTGGAATCTGCCCCGCGATTGTTGAGTTGCCAATACTGACCTCGTTGAGTCGAATTGGCGTGATTGACGCAGAGGGTGAGGCTATCTGCACCTCTCGCAGTGCTGTGAGCAGCGTCAATTCCGTGTTCCCGCCTGTGGACCCTGCGGAGAATGCAACGACTTTCATTGTGGGTATGAATATTGACTTGTATTTGGACGAGCTCGAGACAATATTTCGTGATATATCCAAGGCTATACGATTCATGAAACTATGGATCAATGAAGAAGAGGTCAGCCTGTGATTCACTTTGGTATTTATGTACAGTTGTATATTCTCTCGCAATTGCTAGAATGGGGGGTCCAAGCGTCCTGGCCGTGGCATGTAAGATTAGACCCTACGTTGCGTGACTACGCAGCCGCTTGTTTGCGGGGATCCGTCCACCCCACCTAGCCGGTACCATGCACTGTTCCATGCCCACCGGCAATTGCAAAAATGAATATTGTTGAGAAGGGGAAATTGCTGAATATGGGGAGGGCCCACACCCTTCTCTGTACGTCCCGCGAGGACAGAAACACTCGATTCCTCACTAGTTTTGTATCGTATCCCGGGTAGACTCGGAACCTAGCGTCGTAATATAAGAATCAATTTTTACATATCTTTCGCTGAAGCAGCCTCTGTTTCCTCTATGAGAGGCTTCTTTCCATCGTGGCGTGGTGTGGCTTGTTGGCTGGTTCGCCGACCTATCTCATCCTGCCTGCATTCTCAGGCTTGCCGTAGAGCGCCCTGGTTCGGGAGTAAGAATTAGGCAGTAAGTAGTAACAGAATCCTCCAAACATGAATATTAGTATACTTCAGATCACATATGTCTAGCTAGGGTTATATTAACATGCTAAGACAGGAGGAGTACGTTACTCGATCTAGAGAAGAATAAATAATCTGATACTTTATGTTTAAATCTAGATGAATTAAACCTATTAAATTGGTATTAAACTAGAAGATGTTAGAAGGAACGCGGCAGAGATGATAATTATCAATTATAAATGATAATAATATTTATAAATAATTCTAAAGAAAAGAGCTTTAATTTATTATAAATCTACTAGACATAAAAGGATTCTAACTACTCTTAATAAAGTATCCTTCTTCATCTTTCTATTTTTCCATTTCCTTTTATTCTAATTATTTTTCTTTATTTATCTCTTGATCTTTATAGATCATCTTTATAATCGTACTAGTCTTGTGGTGGAAAAATAGTGCTTTCAAATGATAGAAGGTGGTGGGGGCGAAATGCTAGTGAAATACGTGAAAGAGAACCTATTTACTGAGTGAGTCCTTTTCGAATTGAGTTAGTTTTAGCCGGTGATAGTGTATATCCACGTGCGAATATATACTAGTTGCACGGAGCCGCAGTGTAGAGAACGATATATTGCATAGCTTCACTTCCGCGTGTAGAGATTTGATACGATTCTCTTGGATATCCTTCAGGGCTAATAATGACTTGCCCTCTTGAGTTGGTCCCCTTTTGCCAGGATTAGAGCGTTTAAATGGCATGGTTGCTAGTTGAAAAAGGATAATGGAGAGAGAAAGAGACGCGGATTTGGTGGGGTGATTAGTTTAACCGGGTGGTCATCTTAACCGGGAATTACGTTAGAAGACAGCAGATCCATAAACCAGTCATTATCAAGAATTTCGTCTCCAAAAGAACCAGGGGAAGGAATCTCGCCTGCATCCTGCGACGAAGGCATGGTCGCGGGAATCACATCGTCGACTCCGACCCTTGCCTCCCATTCTGGTCGAAGTGACCGAAATATTTGCGCAGAACGAGAGAACACATCGCCATCTGCGTTATCGCGATTATCCATTCCAGCAATACCAGGGACCTGTTCCAGGTTGGTAACGATCTGATTCAGAATGGAGAGTGGGTTTGCGGTTTTTCGGACATGCATTTTGTCCCACATTGGAACGTCGAGAGTGGCAAGTCGGTAGAGAGTGGTGAGGCAACGAACGAGCTGGGAGAAGGTTGAAAACGAAAACCCAACATAGCCAGACGGTGGGATCGTGAGAAAAACATCAAACCAGGAGTTAATAGAGGTAAGTGCTAGGTAGAGATTTTCACGTTCGGATATTGTCAGATCATTCGATCTGAGAGATATACCTGATAGTGCGACTTCGAGTTCAACACTATAGAGATGCAAGAAGGTAACTAGTCGGATGTAAGATAAGCTCTTTCACTTTTTTCCGTTGTCAAACAGGCATACCATTTTTCGGAGAAGTATTAAATATTATAGTTTTGATGTGCGCTAACTCGGAGAAGAAGTTTGATGGGGTTTCGGCTCTTTCTATCCATCTGAAGTGTCGACTATGTAGTGAATCTTGAGTTACTGTCTCAACAACGAGCTGTAGCCGCACCTGCTGGACCAAAATATCGTCATTCAAGCACTCCTTTTGTTTGTCAAGTAACTCGAGACATTCGTCTAGGTGCGGCGTCCAGCGGAGCGCATCGATTTTGTGAAGAAATGAAGAGATTCTAGATGGGGTAAGCAAGTGTTCTCTGAGAAACAGCGCTTATCGTACACTGATGTGACCAGGAAGCATCCAAGAACAGCTCTCCGCTCTTCCATTGTTCGACACTGCTTTGGACCAAAGGCCATCGATGCCTCATCCGGTAACGGTTTGTTGAGACCAAGGTCAAAAACTAACGATACTGCGAGCTGGGTAAAGACAGCCAGGAATGGCTTGCTGTGTACTTGATAGTTGGCCCTTTCGCGGAGTAATTAGTACGCATGATCGATTTCAAGAGAGAATGTCAGCTCTCATACCAGCCAACAAATGCCAGAAGCCCCAGGAGAAGATCAAGACTCTTCTCAGAGCGGACCACCATTTCCTGGGCTATTGTTTGTCGTACTCTGTTGCCCCAGCTCTGTTGCTGAGCCGATGATTTTGAGCTGATGGCCATAATGCAATGCCACAGAAACGGCCGCCTCCTTCGGAGAGACTCCGCGCTGGTTGTAAAAGGGATGTACAGAAAGGGAAAGTATTGCAGCTTTGAGGTCTGGAAATGTGTAAGATATTCCTCTGCCTCTAGTAGAGATGGCTCGCCTAGGTTTGACGGAGCTGCCGAGTCAGAGGCAGCCGGTGTAGTCGCTGGTGTGTTGTTTTGGTTCTTTCCTAGGCAATTCAAGACCGAGTCGTCGTCAGAATTTCGAACAGGAGTATTTTCCTGCCCAACGTCAACGGATACAGAATGATCTACAATGTTCGCGAGAGGAAGGTCTGCCGGACTGGTCCCAGCCTGCATCAGCGACACGAGGCTATCTATCTTGGCCTCCAGTCGATTTGCTTTGCTTGCCACTGGCCTTTTCGAATTACGGCGGCGCACTGTCTTTGCTGGCATACAGTCTCTGTTTGTCTTGTGGCATCTAATCCTATGGCATCAATATGTATGTTCTCTAAGATCGTGATGGCGAGGCGGCATACCGTTCACACGGCTCACCAGCTCCGCGAACGATACACTTGCGCTTCGACTGGGCGCAGTTGGCGCAAGACCGGCCATAGGGGGCGGGTGTACCTGGGAGAAGCGGGGAACCTTGATCCATCTTGAGACAGATGAGTTACCTCTGATGACCGGGAATAGCGTCCACCATAGCCTTGCACATCGATAATGATTCTGATGATGTGATGGTGAGGAAAGAGGGGGATGCGTCGTGATGCTATGCTGTCGTTAGTCAGCTCACATAACATATTGTAGTGGAGAATCGGCCAACGATAGGTGGTCTCTGATTGGAGGATATCTTTCCTGGCACGTAGTCTTTATAGAATATAGCTTGCATCTCCGATAGAGAGAGAATCAACTTTTACACATCTTTCACTGCAACAGCTTCCATTCTCTCTTTGGGAGGCCTTGCTTCATCGCGGTGTGTGGTGGTTTGTTGGTCTGTGTGTTGATCCATCTCATCCTGCCTGCATCACACGCTTGCCGTAGAGCGCCCCTAGTTCAATATGTAACGTAAAGTAATCAACCACCCAGCAACACCGATCCCATCAGCAAAATCGAATGAAACAATTCATCCACAAAACTGGAAAAGATGCAGATCAAAAAGGTCTATCTCTTCAATATGAACATGTGCCTGGTATGACTTTAATTCTGCTCAAAAATTGGACCTCGCGCTAAGTGAATATTTAGCCTGATTTAAGGCTAAATACACATGCAAATATGACTATCAATGAGCTGAATATGAAGATTCAAAGATAATTTATGGCTGGCTTGATTCAAAAATACTTCCTTATCTCTTTCAGTATTTGATACCGTATATATTATGTAACCTACTAGCACTAAATCTCTAACACCTTTTGATTCCTAGGTCGATTTTCCTGTGCGTATAAGAGGCTAGATGATTCAGATGATTGAAGAATTACTATCCGGGTGAACACTTGATAGAAAATTACAAGTTACGGGAATGAGAGTATTCAAGTGAACACAACAATGTATTTTAGTTAAAAATATAGTACAGAAGAGTATCTAGATTCAAGCTTTCCCTGAGAACAAGAGAGTGGGACTTTTACATTTAATACAAAAGGGAAATTAGTTTCACCGCCGTGATTCAAATGCTGCCCCTCCCCGCGTCTTTGCCCTCACATCCTGAGATGTCATAAAGTACGCAAACCCAAGCGACTTGATCAGTCCCAACCATCGAAGGCCTGGTATACGCTCCAATGATGAATTCCCTGAATATTTTTCAATATAAAGTCTCATCGCTGCAACATCAATCTCAATTGGACTTTCATGGTGCGCATATCTTGTCGACAATTCCTCCTCATTGCTTTCGTTGACCAAGGCATCCGTCAGACCACGGGCTGCTACTTTCGCAGGGATCATGTGGAAATGACCATCCCAGCTGCTAAAATCAGGCAGTTTTCCCGAGATTTCGATGTATCGGATTAATTCGTCCAAGTGGTCGCCATTGGAAACAGGAGATACGTCCGCGGATGGAGGGATAAAGCGATGCACCTGCGTGGGTATCCCTAGACACGCTGTTGCTCGCTCTAGTATCTGTTCACTAGCCCACCGTGTAGCAACATAGCCGTCCGTTCCGTCTGTAGGAGGAAAATTGCCTGCAACAGACACAGCTACGGGCCTCGCATCTCGAGGAAAAACCCCGGCCGTTGAGATATAATGAATTGGGATTCGACGGGGTGCGGCTAATCGGACCAGTTCTTTGGTTGGAAGGACGTTGCTGGGTCGCAGTGAGTGGTAGTTGTCCCAGAATGACCGCACAGCGCCCATGTGAAGAATCGCATCCACTTCGCGGGATAGGACTTCGAATCCGCTCTCGGTCAGACCCAGCTGCGGTGCTGCAAGGTCACCATGGTGAATGACAATCTTGGACGAGGACACAGGCAGCTTGCGGGGAGACTCAGAGCCTTTGTTTCGCACTGCTACGCAATGGATCCTGCTAACCCCGGCGTTGGCAATCAGCTCGGGAAGAACATATTTTGCGAGGAAGCCTGTTGTGCCGGTGACAAGAACAACCCTCTTCTCCTTCTGGATCGGCGGCAAACTCGCACGGACGGGCAATTTGTAGTCTGACAGAGCCGTCTCTTCCTCCCAGTCAATCTTTTGGACTCTTGCGGCTTCTTCAATATGTTGGGCCATCCCGCGCAGGGTGTTGGCATCGAGAAGATCCAGCAGGCGTACCGCGACGTCGAAGACGTCACGGATACGCGACTGGAGGCGGATCACGAGTAGCGAGTTGCCCCCGACAGAGAAAAAGCTTGTCGAGGGAACAATGTTGAAACCGAGCTCTTGGTTCCGGAGCACATCTAACCATACGCGCTTCAGTTGCTCCATGGTCTGGGTCAGTTCCTCCTCGTCTTCGGTTGTCATTTTTCTCTCGGGCAGAGGCAAGCTTTGGATAGATTTCCGGTCCACCTTGGAATGGTTCGTGAGAGGAAACTTTTCCAGTGGGATTGCAAGCACCGGGATCATATACTGAGGAAGAGGCAGATGGCTCAACAAAGATTGCAAGAAGCCCTCCTCATCCGTGACTTCGTGATGGGGACTGAACACAACATGTACTACTAGGAATTCCGGATCGCTACCACGGAGGGTCACGACGGCATCTCCTAGGGCTCCAGCTGATTCGCGAATTATGTTACTCTCAATGTCGCTGAGTTCGATACGAAGACCGCGTATTTTGACTTGGGCATCTCCTGCTATGCGGCTGTGGAATACCATGGCGCCATCTTCCTGCAAGTGGCCAATGTCTCCGGTGCGATACATGCGAGTCCACCCCGCAGAGACATGGTCGGGAGTCGCGAATGGATTGTGAATAAAATGCATATCGGTTAGCTTTTTGTTGTTCAAATAACCCAAGGATACGCCGGCGCCGCCGATATAGATTTCACCCGGTATGCCAGCCGGTACAGGCTTGAGCTGCTCGTCTAGTACATAGGTCACGTAGTTTGGAAGGGAGTATCCGCAGGGAATACGGCCTTCGCCTGGTTGTTCTCTGTAGTTGATCTCCATCTTGTGCGATGAGATGGAAATTTCTGTGGGGCCATATGAATTGAAGAATCGAAGACGTGGAAGATCAAGTTTATTGAATTGGCTTGTAACAGCAGCGGCCAATGGCTCGCCACCCCCAAAGGCAAACTTCCAGCTGGATGCCTGTCGGAGGTTCTCTGCGCCAAATTGCATCCAGAGTGAATACTCCGACGGGGTGGCTTTGGTGTAAGTAATTCCTTGCTGTCGCACAAGCTTGGTGATCTCCAGCGGATCCCCACGCTTGCTCCAGGGAACAATATAGACCGTGCCACCGTTGACCAAGCCTGTATATATTTGATCCGAAGAGTGGTTGAAGGTGAACGAGCTTTGCTGCAAGACGCATTCCGCGCCCAGTCCCCAGGTCTTGGTGTAGCCTTCGATCTCGTTCCGAAGACCAGAGTGCATAACGACGATGCCCTTGGGTGTGCCGGTTGACCCGCTGGTGTACAGTATCGCCGCCACTGAATCCGACCGGGCGCTATTTGAAACGGGAGCCGACGGCCTTGGTCCTAGACGTGAAACATCAATAATCCTGGCGTTAGGCACGTTCAACTGCGGTACATCCTGAGTAGTGGAGCTATCGGTGAGGATTGCGGACGCGTCGCAATCGACCGCAACTGTAGCCAGCCTAGGAAGGGGGTTTCGAAGATCTAGAGGCACGTAGACACAACCAATGCGCATGATGGCAAGCATGGAGCATATCCAGTCAGCAGTGGCCTGTTGGAAAACAAGCACCCGAGCCCCCGGTTGAATACCACAATTTCCCAGTATCTCGCCGATGGCCTCGACCCTATTGATCATGTCAGTGTAGGACATGTCCTTCCCCGAGTCATCCTTGAGAGCGATTGCGTTCGGTCTCCCCTTGGCCACTTGATCAATACGATGGGGTAGGGTTTCAGGCCAGGTTGACACGAGATTCGGCCCTAGAATGACGCTTAGCTATCATCTTTAGGTCTTATCCGGCGAAGGCTCACCTCGACCAAGTTCCAGAGCACGAGTTAGCTGTTGATTGCTAAACAGTGGGGTATTCTCCAGAAATAGCGTAATGTCCCCGGTAAGAACGTCAAGTAAATTCAGGTACGTATCGAGCAGCAAATTGGCGGCTGTGAGATCGTAGAGAGACTTCTGCGCTCGAATGGTGACTAGGGCCCCCGTGGCGCTCTCCGTCACATCCAACGTGATATCGTATGCCGTTCGCCCCGGATGCATTTCCTGTACCTCGAATTGACAATCCCCCCAAGGATGCTTGTCCTGACTCCCCGGTCGGTAGTCGAAAAATGCCTGGAAGAGGGGACTATGGGTCGAGGAGCGCGGTACATTCAGCTCCGTCAGGAGCACATCGAATGGGAGGCGGGAGTTGCTCAGCGCCGCATACGTCGTATTTCGGGCCTCTGTGATGGCGTCTGCAAACCGTTGGCCCGACTTGCGATGGAAACGGAGAGGCAGCAAATTGAGGAAGAATCCAATGCTTTCCATGACATCGCTGTCATTGCGATTGGCGTCGGCGATGCCGATCGTCAAATCCTGAACCGTGGTGAACCGGAAAAGCATCAATTTAAAAGCTGCCAGGTGAAAATGGAATGCGGTGGCCTTCTGTGCCCTAGCAGCTGCCTTGACTCGCGATGTCAGCTCAGGGTCCAGCCGTGTCTCTACCTGATGAATATCAAAGCGGTGCATTGGCACGCGCGAGCCTCCGTGCGCAATAGGCAGCAGGGGTAGGACTGGCGGCTCATCGGGGAAGATACCCTGCCAGAATTTCAATTCGTCCACCATGCCTCCATTTTCAAACTCCTGTCTTTGGGCCCTAGAGTAATCAGGGAATTGCCGAGGCGGTGGCCCTAGCGGGAGACCTTTGTAGGCCTTCTCAAGCTCGGCTAGGAAGACCTGGTAGCTGAAGCCGTCCATGAGAATGTGGTGGTAGTTAAAAAGAAGAAAGTGAACGTTGGGGCTCAATGTGAGGAGAATGACTCGCATAAGTTCACCTCTCTCAAGATTGAAGACGTGAGCCTTAAGCTTGGTATACTCCACAGCGACATCTTCCAGTTTGTCGATATTCCAGTGCTCCAGCTCCAGCGTGAGCTGTACAATGACTCTTTGCGAGGCAAGATCAGCCTCGTTCTCATGAGGCACAAAGCATGTCCGAAGCCCTTCGTGTCGGCTGGCGACGATACGAACGGCGCGGTCAAGAGCGTCCACGCGCATACTACCGGTCACCCGGTAGTAGAAGGCCACATTAAAAGTCGTTGGGTCCTGAAGAAAGTGGCCGAGAAACCAGAAGCGGGACTGGGCGAAGGATATCTGCTCACTCTTCAAAAACGTCAACGCCCGCTGCGTGAGAGGAGGCGACGACGTACCTTTCTCGGTTGACTTGAGAGACTCCTCGGAGGGCGCAGATGTTGTTGAATCCACCACTGACTGGGCATCCGGTGAGCTGGTGCCTGTGGGAGGCGTGTCTGCAGAGGCGGTACTGGACACTGCAGCTTTGGGTTGAGGTTTCGGTGTCGGTATCGACGGTTTGGCCCCAATTTTGGCGCGGATCTCCTCGGGCAGTTTGCCCAGCGTCTGCTCACAGATCTCGGACAGGGACCCTCCCCCGAGGAGCTTGAGAACTGGGAAATCGACCTTGACCTCCTTCAAGAACCAGGAACGCACTTCGACGGCGACCAACGAGTCAATTCCTAGCTCAGTGAGAGAGGCACCATGGTCCATCGCCTCGTCGGAGATTTGCAGGATGGCCTGTAGCTTGGCCGAGAAACAGTCTATATAATGGTCAAGATTCTCGGTATTTAGTAAATCCTAGATCTGACCCCACTTACCTTTTAGAACGTTCAAAGCATCGTCTAAGGAGGCCGCATTTGCGACCTGTTCAATGACAGGCAAGCTGGCTTTCTTGTCGTCATGCTTGGAATCGACACCCTGGACCTCAACAATGCAGTGGGAGAACAGGGGATTATCAAACCAGGGCCCCTTGATCTCCTCGTCGCTGCGGATTGTGCGGATGCCCGTCGTAACTACCGGAATTAATTTATACTCTGGATGTCCAGCCCGGATGGTCTCCGCGAACATCTGGTGGAATTCCGCCTCGGAGATCGCCATGTATCCGTATTTGCGCAGCTGGTCCACGACCACCTGGCCTGCCCGTTCAACGTACCCCACGCCAGCAACTCGACCAATGTCGAATGCTGACCCTGCCCTCCCGCGCAAGCGTCGCTGCCGCGCAAGACTCGTCATGTAACCACATGCGGCAGCGTAATTACACTGCCCGGGGTTGCCCACCAGACACGCTAGAGACGAGAACATGATGAAGAAATCCAAATTGTCGTTGTAGAATGCTTCGTCTAGATTGTTGGAACCTTCAATCTTGGGAACGATCGCCTCGTGCATCATGGAGAACGACATGTCTTCAAAGAGCGTGTCGTGGAGAACCATGGCTCCGTTGGCAACACCGGCGATGGGCGGGCATGACGATCGTATCTCGTGGACCGCTTGCTCAAGGCTTGATTTGTCGGTTATGTCCCTGCCAGAAGAAAAAAGAAGTTAGTTGGGGCAAACCTGGGGTCCCTCGGATAAACATACAGAGGCAAGAATTTGACCGTTGCGTCTGTTCCCTTGAATGTTTCCAGCCATTTTGTATCAACATTTGGACGACGACTCGTGAGAATCACGTATCCGGCTCCATTTCGCACCATCCACTCGCATAGTGACTTGCCAATTTGCCCACTGAGACCCACGAGAAGGTAAGTCTTGTCTGCAGAGAACAGGCGCTCAGCGTCAAGAGGCCGCACCGCCACCTTCACTGTCTCATCTGATATCCAATCGAGGACGGTAGTCGGCGGGTGAGGCTTTGAGGTGCTGGTTAAATGGGACAGTGTAATCACCCGTGTATGAGAGTCGACAAGGGTAACATCCTTCGCACTACGGATAGCATCTTTGAGGGCCGTCAAGATGGCAGCGTGATCATGGCTGAGCAGCTGAGGCTGGTGTGCAAGTAGCGTTGAGAGGTCAACACGCTTGCACAGCGAAGGCAGGGCCGCCAATATCTTGTCACTGAAAATATCACCGACCTCAGCCGTGACCACGTCCAGGAAATGGGTCACTCTCGGTGGCAGCAATCTGCGGACGACATATTCTGGTAGTCCGCGATTCAGGCTGATCCATGTGTTGTCTTCTGTGTCCTCAACGGAGATAAATGTAGCACGGACTTTCTTTACTGCAGCTTGTCGAACGAGCGCTGCTGTAAACGATCTATTCTGCCTGGAGGCATGTACCAGCAGATGGCTGCCAGAAGGGACCGCTTGAATAGCGCTGGTGGCGAGTAGCTCACTTGTCACTGCAACCAGAAGACCGGACGTCGAGGTTCTTTCGTTATTCACCGCCACGCTTACAACTGGTGTAACCTCTGAGGAGTTGGTTAGCGACAGTGCGACAACCGCATCATTGTTGGACGTATTTCTGCCAATACTGAGGTAAAGGAACGCATCCGAGGTAACTTTCAGTGCGGCCAGACTCGAGTACAGGACGCGCACTTGTGATTGATTCTCCTTGGGAGCAACAGGAAGCGTGTCTTCCTGCAAGAGCGGAGGGAGCGTGGCAGTTGACTGGGAAACAAAGACCTTTGACTTAGCCAGAGAGAGCTTCTGGGTCACGGCTCTCCTGGAGGTGTTCAGGCGATTATTGTACTCTGCATTGGCAAGCAGGCGGGCCACCTTCCATTGCCCACCCTCGAAGAAGAATTCGGGTTCATTGGACCAAAGCAACTGGTGGGCTGTCTCGCCAGCACTATTCCATGCCTCTAAGGCAGTCTGGCGCAAAAGATATTCGGAAATGACCTTGGGGACGTCGTCATCTAGACGGGCTAAGTCGAGATGGTTCAGAGCAATGTGTGGCATCTCGTGGCTAATAACACGGCCGAAGCTGATACTCGCCATATGGTACGGGTTCTCTCCCTGGGCGCCCGAAGTCACCCAGAGAACTCGCCGGGACAGCCTGAAAAGCCGCTTGATGCTGTCCATCCTCTCGGCGGTGAGGTCCTTGAAAATGGGATAGTCCAGGTCTACCAGATTAATGAACGTGCTCATGGGTGAGACTCGATCGGCATCGGTTGGCAAATCCTCGAGAATCGTCACCTGGCCACAGAAACGGCTCAGCTGCTCAGAGACCTGCTCACTGATGCGGGAGGTAACGAGCGATGTGCCCCCGAGGATCACAAGCTCGTCGATATACACCGGCGGGGTGGGAGATGCCAACGGGCGTCGAAGGAAGTTTACTTGGTCATTGACAGCCTGTGCCGCAATAATGGAAAAGGGCCAGGCGAGTCCATTGATTTCCGGAGTGATGGTATCAACGCCGGCAAACCCAGCCTTGCGGAGCGCCGTATGCCATGCTCCGGGTGCGATAGTCGGCGCGAGCTTGCGGCCGTCGTCAACCCCGAGCCACCATCCTGGGAGACCACCCATGATGTTGCTAAACCGAATTGGCCAGTTGTTGGTTGCCTCTAGCAGCATCAAGTACCCCCCTGGCTTCAGCAGTCGTCGAGTGTTTTCAAGCGTCTGGTGCAACGAGATCGTGGCGTGAAGAACGTTGGAGGCGATGATAATATCATATGAGTGGACATTGAACCCCTGCGACACCGGTGATTTCTCGACGTCAAAGACCTTGAACGTCATTTTGTCATTATGGGCACGAAAAAGGTCGGCGGCGTGCTGGAAGAAACCCGCCGAGACGTCTGTGTAGGTGTATGACGAGTATGTTTTGCCAATCGCGTCCAACACAGCCTTGGTGGCACCACCAGTACCAGCACCTGTGTGAGTTAGCATGGATTACACAATCACAGACAGAGAGACTACCGACCAATTTCTAGGATGTTCATATGGGGGTAGCGATGTGTGATTTGCTGCATCATCTGCGCCATGAAGGAGTTGTACTTTGCGAATCCAACACCTTTCTTGTAGAAGTCATCCAGCATGTTATCCCGAAGCATATGCTCAAGCACAGTTGTCTCGCCTCGTACGACGGCTGGAATGTGCTCTCCAACGGCTGAGATGAGCTTCAAGTCGACACTGTCTGGGTATCTAGAGGCACGTCAGCAAAGATATTCAGTAGAACGGCTGTTCCTTCGGATACGTACTCAGCCAAGAGTGTCTTTACATCTTGCTCCGTATCAGTGGCCCACTCCTTTTTTATATAAGGGTGACGACCGCTCAGTACAGAGGACAAATTATGCTCCATGAAATTTCGAAGAGCCCGGTGATGAGGCTGACCATTTTCCCATTCATTTTCCGTGATTTCTGACTTCCACCTGCGGAGATAATAGTACGAGACCCTCTCGCACAGCCCAGCCAGCGCAATTTCATAATCGCTAGGATATTCGTCGTTCGTAATGGAGCTGCCGTTCGGCGCGGCAACGTCCCACTTTGTATAGGAGAACAGGCGACGGTCATCCGCCTCAGTCGCCGGCGCGAAAGGCACCATCACCAGGTCGTCCACCTGGATCAGGGTCTCACGGCCATCTGCACTGAAGATTTCCGCACTACCACGGATTGCAACAGATTCTGGCTCATGCAGAACTATAGATATGGGCAATTTGGCACCAGCAGCTGCCACAGACGCGCAGAGAGTAGGGTTGATGCGAATGGTGCGGATCGATGTCGGAACATGGATGGACCAAAGACGCTCGTCTCCGGGTGCTGAATGCGCCAGCAGAGCGGCCTGGAATGCAATATCAAGCGTCGATGGGTGTACCAGGAAAGCAGAATCGGCGTCGGCATATGGATAGCTGGATACCAGGCCAGAACACTGTTCGAATCGTCGCTTTGGCGCCGACAGGCCCCGGAAAGGTCCGGTGTAACCGTACCCGAGCTCCAGGAGAGATGAATAGAAGCGATCGGCATCTACCTCCACCATAGTGGAGTCTTCGAGAGGCTTGGATAACAGAGTAGTGGGCGAAAAGGCGCCAAACGCTATTCTGACCTGCCCGCTGGCCACCAAATCCATCTCGTCGGTGCCCGTATTAGGGCACGCATAATACGAGAACTCGGCTGTCTGTTCCTGGTCGGTACCAGCATGGCTAATGGACGTGATCGCGGTCAAAGTGACAAGAGTCTCGACGGCAAAGTTCCCGGTATCCTCGAATGCAATAGCCTTGCGGATGATCAGGTTGTGAAGTTCGAACAGGGTGACGGATCTCTCGCCTGCAACGCTTTTAGCCGCCTCAAAGGCCGTGGCAATGTAGCCCGCCGCCGGAAAGACGGTTTGCCCTTGGAGCTGGTGGCCGTTGAGCCAGGTGATTTCACTAGCCTTGAGCACATTCGTCCAGCGACGGTCGCGCTCCGTATTAGCTGCAGAGGGGACGCCGAGTAGCTCATGTACGGGCTCTACAATGGCGCGCATCTTTCGAGAAATCCGTGCCTCATGGCGATGTGTTCTTGCCCGGCTCCAGGGATAGGAGGGAAGTCCAACAAGTAAGCTTGGTGATGCATCTCCCGCAAGAGCTTTCCTGCAAGCCTCAAAGTCAACACTGCCGTGACCGAGACTGGTCCAGATGAAACCTAGTGCGTCCGAAAAGGCTTCAACGTCGTTACTCCCTCGGTTGAGGATCCCAGTATACGGTAGGGCAGATCGCACGTCGGATATATTTTGAGTCGCTGGACCTTTGAGTGCCGGATGTGGCCCGACCTCGAGGGCAATTGTGAGCTGGTCGCCCGCCGCGTTCTTCACGGCTTCAGCAAAGAGAACGGCGTTTGTCATGTTGTCCCTCCAGTAGATATCTCGGAGCTCATCCGCGGGCTGCATCACTTCGCCAGCGGTGACACTAGAATACCACGTGCACGAGGGGTCGCGGTCCTTGTTCACCTCAATTCCGCATTTCCGGAGAGACTGGATATACGCATCTCCACACTGCAGCATATGGTGAGAGTGATAGGCCGTGTCGACCTTGAGCAGCCGGGCGAACTTCTTCTCCTCGTCAAAAACCTTCTTCGCATGGACGACGGCATCCGCATTACCCGAAAGGGTGACACTAGCAGCAGAGTTATGCGCCGCGATTTGAAGACGGCCCCGGAAGAAGGGAAGATCTATGAGATCCTGCGCGTCCTCCCACGATGTACCGACTGCCAGCATCGCCCCCTTCTGGCCGCTCGGGTCACAGGCCAAATGGGCGTGAAGCCCGCGGTAGTATGCAATGCGTACCGCGTCGTGCGCGGAGAAGAAGCCAGCAGCGTACGCGGCCGCGATTTCACCAGAGGAGTGGCCTACCACAGCCTCAAAGGTGATACCAGCTGCGCGCAGAAGCTCGACTATGATGATCTGAATCACCGTACATAGGGGTTGCGACAGTGCGGCCTGAAGGATACGAGAATTTTCCGGCCCGGCTAGCAGCTCCTCCTCGATGCTCCAATCTGGACGATCAGATGGAGGTAGAGTTGCCAGGGACCTGTCTAGATCATGGATTTTCTCGCGAACCATAGGCACGGAGCGAATGAGCTGTGCACCCATCGACGCCCACTGTGCACCCTGCCCGGTGAACACACCTAGGACTCGAACTGGCGCAGGGCTCGACCGGATGCCAACCGTGCTTCCAGGATTTGCCTTGACAGCAGCCAGCTGCTGGTCAATCTTGGTGATCAGCCCATCGATGGTCAAAGCCGAAAGCGCTGTCTTGACGGCGAATTGACTGCGACGGGACTGCAACGTCCAGCCCAGGTCAGGGAGATTCAGGTCCTGCCGGGTCTTCAAAAAGGCCGAGAACGATTCCAATAGCGCGACAAGAGAACCCTCGGATACTGCAGAAAAGGTAAACGGAGTAACCGGTACAACATTGAGATTAACCGACGTGGAACCTCCTGTCGGTGGCAGGTATTGCTCCAGAATAGCATGGGCATTGCTGCCACCAAACCCTGATGAGAGTTATTACAGCAATTCATGGTTTTATTTGATACTGTGAGTGCGCTTACCGAAGCTATTGACACTGACGCGTCGTGGAACGCCCTCTGGCAGTGCCGGCCAAGTCTTCACGCTCGTTGGGACATGCAGTCCCCGATAGTAAGGCTCAATGGACGGATTCAGGCGGTTAAAGAGCAGGTTGGGGGGAATTTCACCCTTCTGAATGGCCAGAGATCCCTTGATGACCCCGGCAAGCCCTGCTGTGCCCTCCGTATGACCAATAATGGTCTTGATAGACCCCACAAACAAAGGATCAGAGACATCACGTTGCCCAAAACACAGCTGAATGGCAGCGGCTTCCCGCGGATCTCCCACCTGGACCCCAGAGTCAGTCAGAATCTTGCCAGTGCTTGCATCTCCCCAGATGGTGCATATGAATATGGGTATACCTTGGTTCCCGTTCCATGTGCCTCAAAGTACTGTGGCCTGTCGCGGGGCTCGTTGATATCCAGTCCAGCTCGCGCGTAGGTTTGCTGGATCAGGGCCGCTTGAGCCTCCGAGCTGGGCACAGTGAGACCGGTGGAGCGTCCGTCTTGGTTAGTGGCTGTGCCGCGAATCAGACACTCGATATGGTCGCCGTCTGCGATTGCGTCGCTCAAGCGCTTCAGAATCACCGTTGCGATACCGTCGCCGCGCGCATAGCCGTCGGCGTCGACATCCCACATACGGGAGCGACTTGTCGGAGAAAGAAGGTTCATTTTGCTCTCGGCGACGTATATTTCTGCTTCATAATCAGTCCAGGTCTCTCCATTTCAGCGCACAAGCATATGTGTCAGCAAAACCCATGGGAACAAAGTAGACGCACCCGGTCCCAACATCAATTCGGCGCCGCACGCCACCGCAACCTTGGACTCCCCGGTGCGCAAGGACTGCACGCCCTGATGTAGCGCAATCAAACTAGACGAACATGCCGTGTCCATCATGACGCTCGGCCCATGCCAGTTGAAGAAATACGAGATGCGGTTGGCCATGATGCTCCGGGCAGTGCCAGTCGCGAAATAAGTCGGGAGGCTGTTCAGATCCCGCAGTAGAATGTCGTGGTAATCCACGGCCATATTACCCACGTAGACGGCCGTGTCGGAGCCGTTGAGGCTCTCTATGGTGTGACCGCCAGATTCGAGGGCCTCGTAGACGGTTTCGAGGAGCAGCCGCTGCTGTGGGTCAATTGAGTCCGCTTCATTGGCGCTGATGTTGAAGAATGTCGCGTCGAATTCCCAGAGGTCCTCCTCTAGCAGGTAGGATTGTCGGACGTTGGTCGTGCCATGGTGAGCTCCGTCTGGATGATAGAAGCCACGCAGGTCGAAGCGGTCCGGGGTGATCTCCTTCGAAACGTCCCGCGGGGCTCGTAGGAGCTTCCACAGATTTGAGGGAGAGTCGGCACCTCCAGGAAACCGACAGGCACTGCCGACGATGGCGATCGGCTCGGGCGATGACACTGTCATGGCGGGCCTGATTCTAATTGAGTAGATGTGCTTGAGTGTGGTGATTTGGTACAGGGAAGTTAAGAGTAGGAAGGTTGTCTACAGTCAATGTTTCCTCAAATACGATGCTGAGTGGGATCTGTTAGTGCTACACTCTATATTTGAATACTGCATAGGTGGTATGCATTCGATGCCTATGATACCTGTCCATGGATGCTAAAGTTAGGGCAGCCTAGAACTAAGGTACGCCGTCCAGAGATCGGCAGGGAATTCGCCGGTCGAGAACAAGGGACCAATCAATAACGGTAGATACGATATATCGGAGGTTTCTAGTGCTAATACACCGAACGCCGACCGATCCTCTCGGGCCTAATGGTAGTAGTTTCTGGGGTATGAGGGCGCCAGCGCCGAGTGAGTCTCCGATACCCAACAGGGGGCTCCTACCCTCTATTTGCACTTCATCCACCGTATTCGTAGCTCTCCTCGGCATCGGGACATGAGTCCAGTTGTCTGTCCAGATCCTGTATATAGTATTCAAAACAAAATTCCCTCTACTAAATGAAGTCCGTTTCATGTCATAAACCATCTAAAGACGAAGGGTTTGCTGCAGACGCACCAGCCGCTGCTGGACCTGGATTTCTAAATCCCGAATCGCTCCACTGGCAGCACCGGATGGCCCTGTTGTATTCCTATGCAATGCACGATCTCGTTGCGCAGATGGCAGAGCGGACAGTATGGCTTCAACGGCCTGGCAGAGGCGTTGAATGAAATAGGAAGTCAGTTGCACTACCATCACGATCCGCAGATCAGCCTGGGACTGGGTCTGGACGTCCGACGAGTGATCGGCTCCCAGAAGGTTAGTTCCACTATGCTGCATGTCCGCATCGTGTTGCAAAGTAGCCAGGATTTCGCTGTAGGTGTTAAGGATTAGAGTGTGGCAGGCCAGCACGAGGTGCCGGATGACAGGGTCAGATCCTGCCGTGAGAGACATGTGTCCTGAAGCAGGAGGAGAGCTACCTCCGCCTGTGGCATCGAGGAGAAGCTCGTCGGAATTGTCAGGAGCAGGTGGTTGGATCCGACTTGCAGCTGTAGAATGGGAGCGATCGGCCAACGCCCCCGTGGATGCTTTACGTCCATGGGTAGAGGGTTGACTGATTTGCAAGCTGCACAGAATGCACAGTAGCTGGCGCGAAGCAGACAGCGTTTCGTACAGAATGTTCGTTCCTGTACCAGTGCTAGTCGCAGTTCCTCGGTTTGGGGATGGAACAGTGCTCTGGCTCATCATTGCAGGCAATATCCGAGTGCCGTCTGGAACCAACCACTCCGCGATAGACTCGAAGAGAGAGTCCCCAATCAGTGAGCGGTGAAGATCCCTTGAGCGCCGCATCGTGGTGAAGACTCCACTTGATCGATACAGGGGATAAAGACGGACGCTCAGTTCCGACAGCTGTGCGATGTTATCTCCAACATTTGCGGCTTCTTCGGTTCCCCAGGCTTCCAGAACTGCATCAATGCGATCTAGCGGGGGCGTTAGATGAGGCGGGTGCGATAATAGAGGCGTTGCAAGAGCCCAGTCCATGTCTATATCGGGCAGCGACCCCGGCAGTTCGCCCGCCGCCGCGAGGTTGACGTCGGCCCCAAAGCACACCGACGTTGGCTCCCATGGCCATACAGCAGCCCCGGTGCAGTCCAAGGGAAGAAGAGGGCCGCCGTCGATTTCTCCAGGATCCGATAGCACGGCAGCCGCGGGAGATCTCGACGTAGCGCCGGCTTGGCGATGGCCACTCGGACGACGGCCTTTTCTCAGCGTGGCGCTATAGACACACCGGGCGCCTTGCCGGAGGCACCGAACGCAGGGATCGGTTTTACCGGGGCTCTTGCGCGAGCATCGAAGCTTTTGGCCGTGACATCGGTCGCAGGATTGTCGACTGGGCAATGGTTCCGCGGGTTCGGTGTTGGTGGACATTGGAGGCTTGTTACGAGGCACGCTTCAATGAAGATCTAACAGGAATGATCAAAAGGAGATCAACGCACGGCACGAAGGAATGGGCTTGGCGACGGCGTCAATTTATGTACCGCTATGGAATTACGATTGCGTGCTGCAGATAAGCCCGTTATTTGTCCATGGTCCGTAAAGATATAAAGGTACGTAAATTATCTTTGACCAGGGTCGCGCTGCAAGCCGCTCTGTAACGGAACTCAGGGTCCTATTCCGACGGTACGGGAGAGCCAAAGTACCATCCTGACCGGATTAGGAAGGTTGAAAACATCACCCTACCGCCTAGACAAACCATACCGCCTACCACTTTCACTGCTCACCTAGTCAACCATATCAATAAATAAATATTCATCTAAAGAACCAATCAATATACGTACGTGTACGCGCGCATTAGTAAATGTAGGCCTTCTATTCTCCATCCCTATCCCTTATCTTCTGCATCTTCTATTACTACTACTACTACTACTACTACTACTACTACTACTACTACTACTTCTACTACTACTATTTGTACTAAATCGATATACCTCACTAGGGATTATCACTATCAACACAATCGAAAATTTATGCCCTTCGGTATCATGTATATTGGAGCTAAAGTTGTATCGCGACCTAATATCCTACTATACTAAGCTCTACAATCTTTACTAACTCGACGCGAGGCTATATCTAGAAAAGGGAATACAGTATACGAAGATTTAGGGTGTGACCGCATATCGTAACAGCGGAAGATCGAGACCTAGTCCATCATCATATATAATGAACCATAATCAAGAACTACGAGATATTGTTCATAATAAGATTAGTTGTGAAACTCTAAGTCTTCTACCTCGAGAGATAGCTCTATGAAAATAGCGAGAAAAGAAAACCATTAATCAGTAGAGCTTAATACTATATAGCGTTATAAATAAGCTCTATAATATCGCTACTTTTACCCTAGTAACAAGGCGTATATTTATTTCTTTAATAAGATACTAAGCGAAGGTGCAGTAAACGTATTTAAGATATTGTTATACAATCCAAAAATTAAGCTTAATTAGGCGATATTTATCTAGTTATAAATAGGAAATAAATAGGTTAAATATTTTAAATACACTCTCTAGTTGTTAATGTGCTACTTGCAGGGTAGCGGCCTGTTAGTCAGGTAAGAAAAATGAATACAATATTGAATCGTTATAGAATCGAGGAAGAATAGTGAAGGTGTATATCTCCAATAATTGAATTTTGAAGAGATTCAGTTCGAAAGAAAGGGGAATTCTCTTTTTATAATCTTAATATCGTCATTCCGCTGTTCACTGACGGCATGACGATGAAGGAGTCCGAATCCGACTTGTTGTTTCCTGTGAACGCATATCTTCATTTTTCAATAAGCATATGCGTCATGCATATGATTTGTATCCGAAGTCGGCCGGAATAACATCAAGTATTATACATTTGGTTGTTCCATAACACTAGTAATGTATATCGAACTCCTCTAGTTTCCTATTATACGAAATTCTCCATCTACACGAATTAGTATTAATATAATAAATTAGTTTTCCTATTTATCAGATTTAAACCCTATTAAAGAATCAATTGGCTCTACTAAAAGACCTATTAGTACAGCTATATCCTAAGCTATGTACTATACCTCATACTAAGGCTACTAGAGAGTGTCTAATATTTACTACGTAGGATATTTAGTCGAACCTAGATACTCGTATTCTAGATAGTTTCAGCAAGAGCATATACAACCATATGGAAGCGATAATCGAAGGCGGTGGGTGGTATACTAGCTACTGAGGATATGTGTACAATATAGCATTTTCTGCTGGCAGAATCTTGTATAATATAGGGGGCTAGATTCAAGCTTCCTGGTCCAGACTGTATGGTAGTATTTGTAGGGGGTCGGTTGCAGGCTAATCCCTGCATCTCTCAGCGCGATATCCGCAAAGGCGCTGCTCGAAGAGTGATCTCATTCTCAAATGGCAAGGCAGAATCGAAGCATCCCCGCTAAGAGATAGCGTTCGTTTCAAGGATTCAAATCAGCCGTAGTCTAATCCGTCAGTGGACCCCTGTCGCCTCTGACGAAGGTAGTCTGAACTGGTGGGAAAATCGGTTGATAATATACTGCTCCACCGTCTCGTTGCTCGGTGTGTCTGGATTCAACGGGCTCGTGGCATCTAGATCTCCGTGCCAGAACGTGGCGACGGACAGCCGCTCCCCACCCCCCTTGTTGATGACTCGATGCCGCGTGCTTTTGTATTCCCCACCGGTCCACTTCTGGATCATATCCCCCAGGTTCACCACGTAGACGTCTTCCTGCGCCGGAATCGCGACCCACTCCTCTTTCGCCGCATGCCATACCTCCAGGCCATCCTTGCCGGGCTGTTGAAGTAGACAAGTAACGCCCCCAAAGTCGGTATGGGGGCCTGCCCCGAACTGTCGGGGGTCGGACGAGTTATGGGGGGGTACCGGATAAGTTTCATGAAGACGCCCGGGTGTTTGGTGAACCCATCCAGGACACTCACGGGGTGACCCAGGCCTTGAACCAGTATCTCCCACAGAATGCGACCCAGTCGGAGCATCTCACCGTAGTATTTCCAGACGGGGCCATGGAATACCTCCTCGGGAAGCTCGGGCCATACGTTGGGTCCGTGGATAAATGAGGTCTCCACCCCTGGCTCCTCGGGTCCGATGTAGAAACCCTGACGATCGTGTCAATGCTTATCAAGCCCCACTACTCCACAGGGGAATACGCACCTCCTTTGAATCCGGTAAAATGTCCTCATGTTGCAGCTGGTCCCCGGACCCTTCGTACCCACGATGGCAGGTGCGCTTCTTCAACGACATGGCGATTTTCTGCTCCCGTGGAAGATGAAACAAATTTCTTGTGCTCTGCAACATGGCATTTTGCGTGCTCAGAGGGACCCCGTGGTTCCTGATCTGCAGGAAGCCGTGTCGGAGGCACGCGTCGCGGACATCGAGGATAAGCTGGCTCTTGTCCTCTGGCGATTTGGGGACCGTGTATCGACTAATGTCGATTGTTGGCAGAAAGGCGTCCACGGGCGTCGTCATGGCTCTTGGATTGGGGGAATTGGGATGGGTGGGGGTGGGTGGGGGAATTCACCGTGGCTGATAATGTCGTTTCCAGAGTGATCGTCGAGGTGACATTGATTAAGTCTTATATCCCGGCCTGTTAGCTGTTTCCAGGCCAGGTTCCGAATCCCTCAGAACGTAGGTGCATATGTAGAGGCCTCTGACATCCGGCTCCTTGAGCGTGCAGACTGTCGCCGAGGGCGAAAATGCGGCGATCGGTTGCTGATTGGGAGGCTAACGGCGGGCAGGTCGGTGGTTTACATATACCCTTTCGGGTATTTCAGTCTTCTGAAAAGCCTAGGGCATATTGGCACACCCTTTGCAATCATGCACCACGGCCGATGACCAATTGGCCAAAGACTTTCGGAGGGCAAGGCTCTCTCAGGCTCTCTTAGGCTGACTCGGCGATGTCTGCGGGATTCAGACTGCGGGATTCGTGATGCGATATGAAATCAATCCTGCATTATTCAGCAGGGCAGTGCTTGTTGCTTTTATCTCCGGCGCTACTGTACGTCAGTTCCGCTTTAAGAGTCCTTTGAATCGATCACCTGCAGTCATACAACAATCCAGTATAGCTCTGGAATGTGGCGTGCTGGTGTCAAACATCCGACGCGCTTGAATGTTGTAGAATAACCGAAACCATTCACTATGTCATGGAACAGGCCGAGATTCTCTAAGAATCGGATCAAGCAGGAGGGAAGGTCCACCTCACCTTGCAGGTTGCAAAAAGGATGAAATCACTCAACTCTTCAGCAAGACGTGTGTTTGATATCGAGCGACCCTTCGCCATGGATGAAGCGGCGGAGCAAAACTCGCTGGCATAGACCCAAATCAATCAGACTATATCACTCAGGAAAGGCAACGTATTATATTCGAGAGATGTGCACTAGACTGCTCCTCAACAGTGGGAGGACCTGCGTGGGATTCCAATCCGCGAAGAAATTATATCTCCCAGTGACCAGGAAAGACTTGCTCTCATCCGACGTATGACCCCTCAAAATCCCATTCCAGCGATTATAAATCCACTTCGATCGCCATCCTAGACCACAACTGAACATTCGAAGAATGGGGGAGGATAGAAAGGATAGAAACAATCCAAAAAAAGGGCGGGCTGCGGAGTTCGGGGTTGCGGGTTTCACTCAAATCCGCAGCCATTACCAAGCGGGCCAATCAGGAATTCGGTACATAGCAAAAAGCAAGAGGATATAATAGACAAGCAATAGGGGTGTAGAATAAGAATAGAATAAGAGAGACCAGTCTGTTCTTAGCACGTATACTGTCATCTCCTGACCATTCACCCCCATGTCCTCGCCAGTGTTGCGTGACTTGGAAATGTCGTCCGAATCACCGTCCACAGACGAGAAGCAGGACAGGGAGCTCTCCAGCGCTCCCCCGTCCGAAGACGTCAAGCTAGAGACTGCAGAGGATACTGAACCTGCTCCAAAATCTGTTCCTACAGCTCAGGAACATGAGTGGGTCACTGGGTTCAAGCTCCTCACGATCATGACGGCAGTCACACTCGTGGCACTTCTTATGCTGCTGGATACCTCAATCGTGGTGACGGTGAGAAACTACGATGCTGGATATTTAGACCAACGCAGTAACTTACTCTCTGCATCAAGGCTATTCCTCGAATCACCAGTCAATTTCATTCTCTTCCCGACGTGGGTTGGTATGGAAGTGCCTACCAGCTGGCATGGTATGCCCTCTTGTCGTGCTCAATTAGGCAGCTACTGATGGTATCTACAGCGCGGCGATTCAGCCTTTAACCGGGAGGGTCTACATGAACTTGCCTTCCAAGGTCAGTGCCCTGGATTGATTATGGCGAGTAGTCACACTGAACATGTTGCAGTGGACATTCATGGGCTTTTTCTTTGTTTTCGAGATAGGCTCCCTAATCTGTGCCGTCTCCAACTCATCCAAGATGTTGATTGTGGGAAGAGCTATCGCGGGATTGGGAACCTCTGGCATCTTGAATGGAGCCTTCACCATCATCTCTGGGTGTGTCCCCATGTCGCGAAGACCAAGTGTGTCTACCCCGTCCCTCTCTTCTCCCTAATAACTGCTAATGACTACAAGCTATGCTGGGGATTGTTATGGGAGGTGAGTTCCACCACGACTCCTGTTCTTAATAGACAAAAAATATAGATCCTGATCCTCCTTTTAGTCTCACAAGTCGGCCTAGCCGCTGGGCCATTGATCGGCGGAGCACTGACCGAATATACCACATGGCGATGGTGTAAGTTTTGCCAATCGGCCAGACCTGGACCCACTCGGCCATATCTGACATCCTCAGGTTTCTATATCAACCTCCCAATTGGCGGCGTCGTTGCGATCATGCTGGCCTTTGTCCACATCCCGGAGCCGATCCAAAAGGCACCATTCCTGACGGCCATCAAGACCCTTCCTGGCAAACTGGATCTCATCGGGTTTGCGCTCTTTGCCCCGTCCGCCATCCAATTACTGCTAGCTTTGCAATACGGTGGGAATGAATTCAGCTGGCACAGTTCTCAAGTTATTGGACTCTTCTGCGGAGCCGGAGCCACTTTTATTGTTTTCCTAGCTTGGGACTATCGCAAAGGGGATGCGGCCATGATTCCATTCGCCATGATTCGCCGGCGGATTGTCTGGTCCAGTAGCCTGTCGTATGGGTTCTTGATGGGTCAAATCTTCTGTGCATCATATTATCTCCCGATCTATTTCCAGGGCGTCAAAGGAGTGAGCCCCCTGATGAGTGGTGTCTATGTCCTGCCCAGTATCTTGTCACATCTGATTGTTGCTCTCATTTCCGGCAAGATTAGTGGGTGCACCTCTTCCTCTGCCCGCTCATGCAAGCTGACAATTGTCTAGTTGAAAGAGTTGGATACTACCTACCCATCATCATTATCAGCGCTTCACTGATGGCGGTTGCCAACGGCCTGCTCTCCATGTTGGCCCCGGGCACCTCGACAGGTAAATGGATTGGATACCAGATTCTCCTCGGAGCTGCTCGTGGCTTTGGCTTACAAGTGGTAAGAGGCATTCCTAGGTACAGGTTTCTCTCGCAATTAGCACTAACAATGAATACAGCCCATCATCGCCGTGCAAAATGTCCTCCCTCCGCCCCAGATCCCCGTGGCCACGGCATTGGTCATGTTCAGCCAAACGTTTTCAGGTGCTCTCTTCCTCAGTCTGTCAGACACGATTTTCACAAACAGCCTCAGAACGCTCATTCTCGACTATGCCCCGTCCGTGAACCCCCAGAGTGTCATCGACGCCGGCGCCACTGGGTTCCGATCGACGCTTTCTGCGACAGACCTGGGAAATGTCCTGATCGCCTACGCCAAGAGTGTTGATCGTGTTTTCTATCTGACTACCGGAATGGCCTGTGGTTGTTTTCTGTTCTCCTGGGGAATGGGGTGGAAGAATATTCGGAAGAAGGAAACGGTCTCGAACGCATAGATGCTCTCACCTTATTTCTTGAGGCTAGACACTGAAAAGAGGTCTTCTTAATAAACGGTATCTTAACATTCAGATGAGGTCAAGATGGTTTGAAAAGCGTGAGCACGATAGATTGTCTAATATGGAATGCTTTGGGGGGAGGGGGTATTGTTCTTTGGATTGCCACTATGTGTTTCTTTACTCCATGCTATGTCTACTCTTGAATAGTCGGTGCTGAACAATCGCCGCTTAATTTTCGGTGCTAAACTTTCGGTTTCGGTTATTTTCGGTAAATAGCTAAGAGCTTCTATAATTCTCCCTCGGGACTTTGAAAGATGTACTTGTCCTTCCGTGCATCGAAGCCCTGCAGGCTAAAATATGTCACGGAAGAAGGGCACAAACCACACATAAGCTCATAGATACCGCAACAGGAACTTTTCAAGGAACCACCCTTTTCCCTCTTGAATTACTAGACCTTTACCATGCCCTCTGTGACCCCCTCTTTACCCCGGCTCCAGACAGCCATTGTGGCCCAGGGCCCAAGCAGGCTTGTCATCAAGCATGACGTCCTCGTCCCCGTCCTGGGGTCTGACATGGCCATTGTGAAGACAGCAGCCGTTGCCATCAATCCTGTCGATGCCAAAATGCTCGATTACAGTGCTGCCGCGGGTACAGTCCATGGCTACGACTTTTCCGGTATTATTGTTGCCCTTGGGGAGAACGCACCAGCTCACCTTGCCGTCGGCGATCGCGTTGCCGGATTGGTTCATGGAATGAACCCGTTGCAGCCCAGAATCGGTGCGTTTAGCGAGTATGTCGGCGCCTGTGCCGACCTGCTGTTGAAAATCCCCGACGCGATGAGCTTTGAAGACGCGGCGGGCCTGGGAACGGGTGTTGCAACTGCCGTACTGGGTCTCTTCAGGGAGTTGCAGGTTCCTGGGGCGCTTGACATCAGTGCAAAGTCCAGCTCTTTTGCTGTGGGCTCGGAGAAGAGTTTTGTTTTGATTGCTGGTGGTAGTACTGCCACTGGGACCCGTGCGATTCAACTGTTGAAGCTGTCAGTTTCTCCCTCCCTTCAGTCGGAAGTTAATACGCTGATCAAAGACCGGATTTTCATGCAGCGCTGGCCTCCGGCCTATCGTGACATGTTCACCCTCCAATTTCGACCTCGTGTCCCGCTTCGGTGCTGAAAAGGCCTTCGACTATCATAGTCCCACTGTGGCGGCCGATATTCGGGCCTACACTCACAACACTCTCGCTTATGCGCTCGATTGTGTTTCCCTTGCTGACACTACGCAGCTCTGCTATGGAGCAATTGGTCGAGCTGGCGGGCGATATGTGGCCCTCGAGCCCTTCCGCGAGGCTATTGCAGCTAGTCGTCCTACAGTGGAGGCATCGTGGCTCATGGTGCTGACCATCTTCGGACACAAGGTCGCGCTGGACGGTGTGTATGGACGAGATGCCAGACCGGAGGAGCGAAGGTTTGGCGCACAGGCGTTTCATGAAGTACAGAAACTCCTGGATAGTGGATTGATCGACCCGCATCCTATCAAGGCCCTCCCAGGCGGGTGGTCTGGAGTGATTCAGGGCGTCGACAGGATCCGAAACCAGACTTTCTCGGGATATAAACTAGTCTACTCTGTGCTTTAGATTATCTTTCTGTCAATATGAGTTTGCCAATGCTGTTGCTAGTTTGCCTATTAAGGATGATATTGTCTTCTGTTCCGGGTCACTGATCTGGCCTTCCAGTTTCCATGTAATCTCCGCACTTCCCGATCCCTGAATAATATGATTCATGATTATAATCAATCCCTAAACACCGAAAGGCCCGATCAGAATAAATGGAAGGGTCTAGCAATCCCACGACGTCGGCTGTGATCGGCGATTTCGGCGATTAACGAGGGTACATCACGGCCTGTTTAGGGCTACTCATCGGTATGTCTAATAGCATCGTCTATCTTCGGCGCGAAGCTAATGCTCATTCGGTGTGAGAGAAAATAACTCCGTAAATTCAATCATCTCTCCGTTCCTAGTTCGTCCCTCAATCCCGGAGGGACCTTGCACTCATTTATACACCGCCGATCTTATCATCTGTAGTTAAAGAGAGCTTCATTCTCGTACTGCCCTTGATGTTTTTGAACCCATACAGCCCAGGTAGAGTGACAGTAACAGCCACAATGGAGTGCCCGGTGCATCAGGTCAAACCATTTGCGCCTTCACTATCCTCCAAGGATGAGATCGACCCGTCGAGGCTGGTGGCCATTCCCCAGCCCCCGCCTCAGCATTACTTTGGTCTCCTGGGCCATATCCCCGAAGTAGACCCAAGTTTCCCCTTGCAGTCGTACTGGAAGATGATGGATATGTACGGCCCGATCTTCAAGCTGAATCTGGGTACAACAGCTCCACGAATTCTGATCGGAAATCACGAATTGCTCAGCGAGATGCTGGATGATGATCGGTTCCAGAAGTCTCCTAACCGCGTTCAGCAGGCCATGCGAGACTTCATGGGCGATGGTCTATTCACTGCTCGCTTGGAAGAGGAGAACTGGTGGAAAGCACATCGTATCCTGGTGCCGGCATTCGGTGAGTTGACTACCCTCCTATATCTCATCTCTAGTCAGCTAATCCTGCTTTTAATTAGGGCCAATTGGGTTGCGGAAGATGTTCGATGACATGTATGTCCTACATTTGGGGGATTTGTCTGCCAATTAATCGGTTACTGATCGTTGCAGGCTCGAAGTCAGCTCCCAGTTGATCTTGAAGTGGGACAGGTTCGGTCCCGACTATGAGATCGATTCCGCAGAGGACTTTACACGCCTCACTTTCGACACCATCGGGGTCTGTGGATTCGGGTACCGGTTCAATGAGTTCTACTCGGAGCAGCCTCATCCATTTGCTCAGCAACTCCAGGAGGCGCTGCTTGAATCCGGGAAGAGGGGGAATCGCCCGCCGTTCATGAATCCTTTCTATTACAAATCCGAGCAGCATCGGCAGGAGAACATCGCCAAGATGAGAGAGCTGTGCGATCAGGTAGTGCAGGAGAGAATCGCCAATCCACAGCCCGAAGCCAGAGACGTACTCAATCTGATGCTCAACGGCGTAGATCCGAAGTCCGGGGAGAAATTGAGCGTCGAGAATGTTCAATTTCAGATGGTCACCTTTCTAGGCGCCGGCCATGAAACGACTAGTGCATCACTCGGGTTCACTTATTATTTTCTTTGCAATCACCCGGAGAAGCTGGTCAAGGCACAGCAAGAGGTCGATGAAGTAGTCGGCACTCAAATCCTCACCGCGGATATGCTCCCGCGCCTTGTGTATCTCGATGCCTGTATCAAAGAGTCACTGCGGGTCATGAGCCCAATCAACCTATTCAACCGAACTGCCAAACGAGATACGACTTTAGCTGGTAAGTATTTTATCAAGAAGGGCCAGCTGGTGTCAGGCCTCATGCGGCACTTTCACCGCGATCCGAAGATATGGGGGGAAGACGCAGATGATTTCCGACCAGAACGGATGTTGAACGGTGGATTCGAGGCGCTTCCTCGGAATTCCTGGAAGGCCGTAAGCTTTCACTTCAGTCAATCAAAGTATTCCAAATTCCTACGTGGTGCGCTGACGTGTCTTCCTTTGACAGTTTGGCGACGGCCTGCGAGCTTGTATCGGCAGCGGGTTCGCAGTTCAAGAAATGCTCATCAACATGGCGATGGTGTTGCAACGATTCCACATTGAAAAGGCTGATCCTGAATATGTGCTCCAGCTCAAAAGCACCCTATCAATCAAACCGTTGCAGTTCAAGATGAAAGTACGCCGTCGGCCCGGTCGAAGCATCCTGACGGGACTCCCGGGGAGTAGTGACCCAGCGCAAGCGGCACCGCAGCGTCGAGGTCGACCAGAAAAGCTACAGTCATCACAGAAACGCACAAAGCAGCGCGTTTCCCTATTCTTTGGCGGCAACTCAGGGACTTCAGAGAGCCTGGCCCATTCCCTGGTCGCAGCCGCAGTTGACTTTGGAATTGAGATCGACACCCAGAGTCTGGACGCTGCTACCGAAAACTTGCCGACCGATCGTCCCTGTGTGATCATCACCCCGTCGTATGATGGGAGACCCCCTGACAATGCCAGGATATTTGTTGCCTGGATTGAAAATCTCTCAGCCAGGTCAAAGGAGCTTCCCCGTGGGATCAAATACGCTGTATTCGGACTTGGAAACAGTGATTGGGCCAGCACGTTTCTTCGAATTCCGCGCCTGGTCGATCGACTGCTGACTGAGCTGGGCGCTGAACGCATTGTTGATCCAATCTTTGCCGATGTTAAGAAGGATCTCATGGGGCCATGGGAAGAATGGAGCGAACAGCTTTGCATGACGTTGTCCGGCGCCACTGAATTACATCCTGGCCACAGCGCCGTTGGTGTCGACGTTCGGTTAAATGATAGTAACGATGTCCAGGTGGCTTGCGGTGAGAAAATGGTCGTGGGCACCGTTATTACCAACAATTTGCTGGCCGATACCTCGATTGGGCCCGCAAAGCACCACGTTGATATCATGCTGCCCTCCCAATACGAGTATAAATCAGGAGACTACCTCGTTATCCAAGGCCGAAATTCCGACGAAATTGTTAATCGCGTGCTAACACGGTTCCAACTCAACAAGACCGATGTTATGAGTATCCAAGGGAGCAAAAAGGATTTCCTTCCATCACAGCCCATGGCGGTTGAGGAGTTTTTACATGGCAAGGTGGAGCTCGCTACACCCATCACGAAGCGACAGCTGGCGACGCTTGCCTCGTGGGCTAAGGAAGACAACAATGACCGAAAACGGCTGCAGGAAATGCAAGGAGCAGAGCAATACCAGGCCCTTCTCGACAAGCGATACTCCGTTATCGACGTTCTTGAAGAAGCCCTTGAACTTACCCTCCCGTTTGGGGTCTACCTGGACCTTCTTGTGCGGTCAAGTCCCCGCCAATACTCCATCTCCACCACGCCGTTGGATCCTCGTAATAACCGTCACACACAGGCCGGGCATAACCTCGTGGCTGGGATCACGTTCGATTTGTTCAAATCGCCAGCGATGAGCGGTCATGGCACCTTTCATGGGGTGGCCAGTAGCTATCTGGCTACCTGTAAGCCCGGAGATCACGTCCTGTGCTCTATTCGCCCGACGAGCGTACCGTTTCGTCTTCCCGCGGACCCAGAGACGCCCATTATAATGCTGGCTGCAGGGACGGGCATTGCGCCGATGCGAGCCTTCATCCAGGAGCGCGCAACCATTAAAAACGCCGGTGTTCGCAGGTTAGGGCCGGCCATCCTTTTCTTTGGCTGTCGCCACCCGGACAAGGACTACATCTACAAGTCTGAACTTGAGAAATGGGAGCGCGAAGGAGTCGTGGAAGTCATCCCTTGCTTTTCCCGGCCCTCCGTAAAGTCTGAGAGACGATATGTACCTGACGCACTTTGGCATCTCCGTCATCGTGTTTGGGAGATGTTTCAGAAAGACGGGAGAATATATGTGTGCGGTAGCGCTTCCAGGCTTGGGCGAAGTTGCTCAGAGACATGGCGCAGAATATGGGCAGAAAAGACAGGGAAGAGTGAGACTGAGGCGCAGAAATGGTTGGAGAAGATCAAGAATAATCGATATATAAGCGATGTTTACTAATAAGGCTTTCTACGCAATCTCAAGCTGCCGTACTCATCTTAAAAATTCAAGCTGGGATATAACCTTCTGTTTTGTGAATTGGTGGTTCATCACGAAGGCACGGTCAACTCTCTTTCTGGACTTGATAGTAAGTCGAGACAGCAATTATTATACTTGCGTAAAAATTTCATTACATATATTTAATAGAGAGAATCATTTAGTTTAACTATGGGCTGTACCATAAATACCGTAATTCTAGATTATAATAAGCATATAGTGAGGATAGTAACCAGAGAATGCAGTACACAGTAAAGGTAGTATATACTGAAGGCAGGGGGAACTGCTTTGTAACTGATTAGTAACTGGTTGTGCTAAAGTTTCTAGGGCCATGCTATTTACCGGAAATGGAATGACACCTTGGGAAAGCGATAGCTGAGTGACTGTAATCTTTCAAGTTATGTCATAAACAGAGTCTAGCACTACGGAGTACTGAATAACCACATATTCTTACGTATATTAGTGACAGAGCGCTCACTCCACTTCGCGGCCTTGGCTATTTATAATATAGTGAATATTTTCCTGCTAGGCTTTATATAAACAATAATCCTGCACTGCTAAGGATCGGTATTTCGTGGTATTTTGCGAGTACAGTCGGCGTTCATTAGTATCTGGAAGGCGGTACTAGGCCCATAAATTTATCGCGCATATGGGGGCTAAGGAATAGATCAAGCCACGAGTGATGAGAAGTCGAGAGCTAGAGCGCAGTAGGACGCAAGCTAACGGGGAGAGACATCACTTCATTGCCAATCAGTGAGAGGCCAGGGATACAGAAAGGTGACAAAGCTTCGTTATGCATCAGGATTGATTAATATCCCAGGATTTCGATATTATATATTAAAGCCCGAGTCAAGTTTAGTTGAGGCCTAGAAGAAGTTCCGTGCGGGGCGAACCGGTCAAGTAGTGGTCATGACATATGCATTCTAACTTACGAATGGCCCATTTTGTCTCTTCTGAATAAATCCTAAGGTTGTAAAGGGTCCCTCGGACATGCAAAGTCGGTCAAGCAGTCGCCGATAACCGTTAATAGTGCTCTTGTCGGTGGGTCGTAGTTCTCTGGGTTTTCTGCGGCACAGCGCCAGCGCCATCCTAGATGGGAGGAGTTAGATACCGCTACTGATAGGGCAAGGGTTGACTTGCCGCTCTCTCTCTTGATCAAATAAATCTGCACTCTCTTCCTTATTTTCGGATCAGTAATCCCCAGTCTAATTATCCCCCGGCCGGAATGTAACCTGTAGGGGGATACATCGTGGACGCGATGCTTACGGAGGGGCATAGGCGATAAACTGAGCTGAAAATTCATTTCTCTATTCAACAAGAAGAGCGTATGCATAGAGGCGAAAAGTAATAAAGCATATGGTGAAAACACGCAGAAAATGGCGAGTTGTCACTTATGATAATATCGTTCTAACCGCTTTCGGGAAGCTCTACGACTTCGGGCTTTTGAGTGTGCTGAAATGTAATGACACACTAGGTTAGTACTGAACACGAACAGATAAAATATAGTGTGGAGACAAAATCAAGGATAAACGAATAATATTAGCTAGGGTAGTGAAGAGGATGAAAGTTCCCCTCCCTGTAAGTAGGAGGGGATTCTACCGACCTACTACCGCCTAGGCTAAACTTCTTTTAGAATAGTATATATAGTAGTAGCGTATTATCAATCAATCAATAATCTTATTCCTGATAGAGCTTCCTCTATATACAAGGTGCCATGTAGGGATTTGCGCCTTCTAGTGCTAGCCTAGTGCGTATAAGAAGTTGCTAGCAAGGGCTAGTATAACGCTAGAACGAATAGATAAAATCGAATAATAAAGGAAAAATAAACGAAAGAAGGGATCCGCCTCCGCGGTATCCTACGTATCCCGGTGGAGCCGAGTGTACCTGCCATACACTATAGCCTTAGCAATCTAGTATACAATATCTAGTATTACTATCTGTCGAGAAGGAAGACTGCATAATACGGGCGAGACCCACATATCTCCATGCGCGTCAGGATATTACAGGGATACTCGATTTGCTACGTGTTTTGTATGGTATCCCGGGTATACTCGGAACCCAGCGCCGTAACACGCTAGACAGCAAGGTAGGGGATATTCAACATTCCCCGCCCATACACTTAGATAGTTCAGTCACCCAATACATCACTATATTGAGCATCTCGTTCCATTGGATCCTAGCTTTCCTAGCCGATACCGTATCCAACTATATTGACACTATCTATACGTGCGGGCGGAGAAACTACCGGCCTTATCTTACAGAGTAATAATATAGCAGAACTATACTACCGGCCTTATCTATAGATTAATAATAAGGTTATATAGTAGCAGAATCTTACCGCCTAACCTCCGTATCCTATATTATAACTCCTATATCCTATATATACTAGTCCGTATATATATCCTACTCCCTTCCTCGCTTCCATACTCTCCTAGTAGCTCGTGTTACTGAGTTCTAAATTATTAGGTTGCTAGTTATTATCGCTAGTAGTAGATCTAATTTACTAGATCTCGATTTTACGCTACTCTTCTACTCCTACTCCTATATTCCGATATCTACTACTTCTCATACGCGGCTATCGCTGTTCCTACTTACTATTAGTAGTTAAGAGGGTAAGTCGAGTTCCTAGTAGCTTATCCTTAGTTTTATACCCTATCGGTCTAGTAGGACTACTATCTAGAGGCTTATATTTAGTCTACTGCGCTATCGGCCTCTAGTTCTATCCTAAAGATAGCAGGATCTAAATACTTAAACTAGTTAAGTAACCTAGATAATACTATAAACTAGGCTAAGTAAGGCCTAGTAGGAAGCTAGCGGAGTAGCTTATTAGTGTTAGAGAATAACTAATTGTATAGGGTAGAAAGCCTGTCGACTAGGTAGGAAGATAAACGTCAAGTAAGGAAAGCAAAACACTGTTTCTTGCTATCATGGATCTCTCTATAATCCTTAATTTATATACAAGCTTCAACACTTTCCTATATAACTAAAGCAAGAACAATAGATCATATTTCAATATACGGTCTAACGTAGCCTCTACGTAACAGAGGTAAGCCAAGGCTATAGGGAAGAGGGGTTCACGAATCCCTAATGGAAGGGTACCGAACCCTTAGGGCCTTGTAGGTTATATATCTATGTTAGGGAGAAGTAGGGCTATTATAACAAAGCCTAACTGGTAAGGTGTTAAACTAACACCTAAGGCGTAAAGTTAGGAATAGCTTTACGCTATAATATTATATAACAAATTATCCTCCCTCTATAACCGCTTACCTCTAAGTAGGAGATTTAAATAGTTAGTAGGTGTTAGAGAATAACTACTTGTACAGGGTAGAAAGCCTGTCGACTAGGTAGGAAGATAAACGTCAAGTAAGGAAAGCAAAACACTGTTTCTTACTATTATAGATCTCTCTATAATCCTTAATTTATATATAAGCTTTAATACTTTTCCTATATAACTAAGCAAAGACGATAGATTATATTATAATATACGATCTAACGTAGCCCCTATATATTAGAGATAAGTAAAGGCTATAGAGAAGAGAGGTTCACGAATCCCTAATAGAAGGGTACCGAACCCTTAGGGTCTTATAGGTTATATATCCTTATTAGGGAGACGTAGGACTATTATAACGAAGCCTAACCGATAAGGTATCGAGTTAATATCTAAGACGTAAAGTTAGGAATAGCTTTATATTATAATATTATATAATAAATTATCCTCCCTCTATAACCGCTTACCCCTAAGTAGGAGATTTAAATAGTTAGTAGGCTTATTTAGTGTAAATAGATTAAATCCTAAGGCTATAATCCTTATATAAGTAAAGTAAATAAAGAGTATTATACTATAGAAGTAAGAGCTTCCTTTATTTATATCCTCTACCTTATATTACTATCCTTTATTTTAATACTCTTCTATCTTCTCTCTTCTATTTCTTATTACTATCCTTTCTTTATTATATCGTCTATATTTCGTTTACTATACCTCCCTATCTTCGTACTACCTATATAGTACCGATTATACTAAAGTATTTTAGTATATATATTACTTATAGACTACTATTAGGCTTTTAGGTAGTCTATCCCTAATTATAGATATCTCTCTATTAATTAACTACGTCTTAGATACTAAAGTATCTATTCTATATTACTAGTATTCCGCCTAGAATACTATATATTCTACTATAGGTTTTACTAGGCCTTCTACTAGGTTTTATACTAACTTCTTCTTAGTCTACTACTACTATATTAGGTAATACCTATAACCTTTCTAAGATCTTACTATAGGCTAAGAAGGTTTTCTAGGATAAGATAGTAGTAGATAATAATACTAGGGAAATAGGAGTATAGCCCTTTTTCTAGGCTATTCGTCTAGAGATTACTAAGACTTTGTAGAATCTCTACTATACTTTTAATAGTATAGAGTAGGCCTATTACTATAAATATCTCCTTACTAGTACTAAGAATATTATAAAGATAAGTCCCTAATAGAAATTCCTTAAATTTTCCCTAGAAATAAAGGATACTAGGTTTATCGGGCTTATACTATAGTTTCTATAACGCGTTACTATCTTATACTAGGATACCTTTACTATTTATTAATATAATCTTTCTAGAATTCTTCCTTCCCCTAATAGATCCTCTACTTAGAAATAGGGTTTATACTAGTTAAATAAGCTACTTCGACTTCTTCCTAGAGATAATAGATACCTCTCCTAGGCTTAGATAAAACTAGTATTCTACTATAGGGTTTTAGTAGTAGTTCGTGATAGTGAGGTAACTTATCTAGTAGATTACCTAGCTAATATAGAGGCCTATAATAATTTAATAAATATTAAATCTAATAATAAGCCGGAAGTGCTAGTAAGAAGTATTATAGATAATTTTCCTCTTATTCCTAAGGAAATTTAATCTTTAGTTTAGTAATTATTAACGAAATAGTAAGGAATAGTAACTATTTTATAAATCTA